GATCCTAACTAGTGAGATAACTTCTATGGTCATAGATATTGTCATCCATCCTTTTTTTTTTTTTTTTTAATACCTGGGTAAAGACAAACCACTTGACCTGCGCGACAACATCCGTCCAAAAAGACCCCAGTACCTAAGTTTTATAGGAAAAAGCAAAGGTAAAGAAACCAATCCAAAAAATAAAATAAAATAAAATATAATAATACTCTATACGGTTACCTGCTCCAGCGATAGTGGAAGGTTTCTGATATACCACAAAACCTAGTCTCTTCTTGAGTAACTTGATCTTGTTGTTATTATCAGTAGTTGTCGTGCTATGAATGACTTGAAATAAACTCTGGATAGATGTCGCATCTGGTTGAACAATTGCCTGTTGTTGTTGTTGTTGTTGTTGTTGTTGTTGTTGTTGTTGTTGTTGTTGTTGTATGACGGAAGGACGAAGAGCACGCTTAGGTGGAAGAATACGCAGTGAATGAAGGTACAAGCGTATTGCCTGGTACGGATAACTGTATGTGAAAGAAAAACAATAATAATAATAATAAAAAGAGTAAGAGATCGAATAGAATGAACAAGAAACTACATTACAAACGATGAAGGTAATCCTTCATAAAAGCCAAAATGACCCAGAGAGAGAAAGAAAGTGTGGAAGAAGAAACCAAACGGAATAAGAAAATTTTATATTTATTTCAGATAAGAAGATTGGAGTAAACTAAATAACTAAATCATAATAATAAGAAAAAAAAAAAAAAAAGGAGGGGTACTGATAAAAACTAATATCAACTAAACTATTGATTAAGACTAACAAACTAAAAACAGTCTTTTTCTTCAATAATCAACTTTCCTAATCCCTATCAAATAAATAGATAAATAAGTCAGCACATTGATTTCATTGATTTTATTTGTTTTTTCTTACCTTCCATCAGAGGTAGGTTCAGGGGAATGGTAACCTTGACTTTCAGATGGGGAAGCACTACGACGAGAAGGTCTTTCACCAGAAGCAGCACGACGAGGAGATCGAGATCTAGAGCGGGATGGTGATTGAGATCGAGATACACGACGAGGAGAAGCGCTACGAGAACGAGAGCGAGGGCTAACAGATCTGGAGCGAGAAACAGAAGGAGAGCGAGTACGAGAACGACGAGAAGAACGACGAGGAGAACGGCTACGAGATCTAGAACGACTACGAGAATGACGAGAACGTTCACGATGATACTATATAAAAATAAATAAATAAATCAATAAAATATAATTCAATTTTTGCCATTTTTTTTTTTTCATTATAATTTAATCTATTCACTTACCAAACGAAGAGTAATACGTTGACCATTCAATTCACGATCGTTCATCTTTTTCAAAGCATATTCCATATCAGCACGATCAGCAAAATCAACGACACTAAAATCAGGAAATAAAAAAGTTAATAATGAAAATAATTATATAAACAATCAATTTATTACCCTTCACCAGGACGAGGCTTGCCAACATCAGCGTAGATAACTTCACCAGCCTTGCGCATCATATCCTTGAGATCCTATTGGGTAGTTTGGTAAGAGGAGGGATGAAGAAGGTAAGCATGACAGGCAAAAGAGGCAACATAAAGAGAGGAGAGAGAAAGAGAGAAAGAAAGAAAGAAAGAAAAAAAAAACCACCCCCCACAAAAAAAAAGGTAACCCATATCAAGCCAATCCGAGGATTCTTTAGCCGTAGAGTGTCATCATTATCATCATACAGCAGGCAAAGATGGCTACAATCACAAATACCAACCACTCTTAGGGAAAAGGGAGAAGGGATAAAAATAGAGGAGAAAGAGACAAAGATAAACGTACCTGCCAGTTCGTGCTTGGGGCAACATTTTCAACAACCAAACGATAACGAGAAGTAGACCGACGAGAGTTTCCACGACTAGAAATATATATATATATATATAAAGATTAGTTTGATCAGATTATACTATCTATGTAAAATTTATAAATATTTTCAACTATTACCGATCATCACGACGACCACGATCAGGACCATCATCACGAGTACGACGAGCTCCACGAGCAATTTCTACAATAAGTCTATAAAAAAAAAAATAGAAAAGAAAGGACATTTTTTTTTTTTAAAAAAAAATAAATATAAATACATAGATATAAAAGACAAGTTCATCATCTTACCTTTCACCAAGAAAGTTCTTACCATGGAAGTCATAAACAACATCCTTAGCATCTCGAGCACTTTTAAATTCAACAAAACCAAAACCAGACTTGACGTTGACTTCTCTGATTTCACCATAATTCTTGAAAAGACGTTCCAAATCACGAGCTCTGGCATCTCTAGCCAAGTGACCAATATAAACCCTTGTTGAAGACATTTTTTTTTTTAATATATGAAAAAAAAAAGGAAAAAGGAAAAAAAAAAGAAGAAAAAAAAAATCGGTGAGAAAAGAAAAAAGGAGGTGGACTGTTATTTCCCCCCCCCCCCAAAAACAAGAAAAAAAAGAAACGGCGTTTAAAAAAAGAATAGATGAGATCGATCACTATAAGATATATGAAGTATGTACTTACAATTAAAAAATTTCCACTGGCACAAGGCACAGTGAACATATCCTCAACCATTCCAGGATGGAATATGTTACAAAAAGAGGAGCTGATGTATAACCACAAAATATTGTTCCAGACGAGGTAGCCCAAGATCCAGTTGTTCATTCATATTCAGGAGGAGGAAGAGGAGCGGAGGAACGGAGACGGCACAGAACCATATAACTCTTGTTGTAGTCCAGACATAATCATGTTCATTGATGCATTGGCATCCCGTGATCTTGCAATACATCCAAGCTTCTTACCAATGCATTCAGGATTCACACATATGACTGTTCCAAGATTAAGCTTGCCTGATTGTTTACGAGGATGGTTGACAACCTGGTGACAAAGACAGCATAATTTCGTTGTTCGATATTCGTCAGTGATGAACACTTTTGATTTTTGTTCAATAGTGGCGATAACATCGAGATGACTACGTCGCAGGAAGCCTTTGATTCTTGAACCTGTTCCACGACCGGCAGCGCCATAGAAAAACTTGAGATCGACCTTGTTGTTGATGGTAGAAGTAGCCGCAGAGTAGTGATATTGTATCCTGTCCCGATGGTACTTCATAACATGATTTAGACCTCGTTGCTTCATTCTTGGTTGCGATCGTCGTTGTTGTTTGCACCATTTTCCTTGATAAAATGAACGAAGCTTGTTGGCATTTTCCCGTTGTTTCTACGATTAAAAAAAAAAAAAAAAAAAAAAAAAAAGAGGATTACTCGTATGAACTTAATGATACTTTAGTTTTTTCTTACCTTGTGTTTTTTGATAATTGCCTCTTTGTTGTATGATAATGCCACGTTAACTGCAGAATCAGCCAGATCAGCTTCAGTTTGCATAATAGTATCATCGTTTGCCTACGAAATAAAAAATAATCATTATGAAACGTCTTTGGATTTATTTTCTGCTATATCTTCTCTTACCTTCTTATTATTCATCTTTGTTCGAGACCTTTTTGACATCGTCTTATTATCGATATCCTTGCTGCTGATGGGAAAAGTCGGTAACTTCATCATTGTCCTGATGCTGCGGTCGTCGTCAAGATCCATTTCCTGAGAGAATTGTTCGAGAGGTTGGAAACGGTTGTCAAGGGACAAATAGAAGGATACTTTTTGTTTATCAGCATAAGTCGTTTGTAACATCGTTGAAAGACCAGGATCACAGCCTACTAAAAGTTGATCTGAAGTGGTTGCTTGAAACACTGGTGAAGTATTAGCGATGATTGTATCATTATCTTCAACGTAAGCTTCTTCAAATGCTTCCTTCTTTTCGTCTTTCAATTGACTTCGACTGTTCTCTATTTGTAAGAGCTGGGATATCAATTTGTCACGTCGCGCCTTCATTTGAGATCTATTCTTTATCAAATCGTTTTTGCTGGTTGATGATGAAACCAAAGATGATATATCGACCTGGGCCAGCTTCTTTCTTTTATATCGCTTTTGTCGTTGTTGCTTTGTCGATCCGCCAATATTGCCTGATCCAAATGATGCCGCCATACTGTTCAAAGTATTGGTGATCTTGGAAATTTCTGCATTCACTTGTGCCAGCTCCATTGTTGGTTCTTTCATATTGTCTTTCAACTTGGATAATTGTTCATCGACCTTCAACATCTTGTCATCACCAGAAGAGGGTTGAGTTTTTCGTCTCTTGCTTGTATCCGTTGTTATTACCACTTGTTGTTTTCGTTTCCCTTTTCTGTCGACTTTACCAGTTGTTGCTGCCACTGATGTTGTTGCTGTAGATGATGTTGCTACTGCTGATGTTAGTGTTGATGTTGTTGCTGTTGTAGTGAGAGCCATGTCCTTTTTTATCTGAATTCGTACCACACCAAATGTTGTAACGATCAGGCGGTAATCAAAGGAATATCCAGATACCTTTCGACAAAGTTTTTCAATAAATGGTAGGTTGAAGAAGGCACCAAACATAGATTTTCGTTGTTCCACAGCTTTTGCTTCACTAGTAATCACATCACCATGAAAGGATACATCGAATCCAAGTGAGTTCAGAGGAGCAGTTTCGCCAGCCTTGATCCGTTGTCCACCTTGTCTAAATTTTAACAAGCAGAATAGATTGTAAAGAGATCTTGCATCTAAGAAAATTGCTGCCAGTGTCGACGGATTTTTCGTTGGTATCGGTAACCGTTGAAATTTGCGATAATCGGTGATATAGAGAATTGAATTACACAACAAGATGAGAGGGTACTGGAAGATCGGATGTTGGTCCACGCTTTTGTTATATGAACGAGGTAAAACGAAAGGTAGAAAAAAATGATATAACTTGAGGATAATGGGAACTTCTATTTCCTTGAGTTGGATGTATTTGACATGAGATTGAAGAAGTTCGACATCAGCATTTTCAGGGAGAGAATTCTTCAGTAGGAGGGCCTTCAACAGTCTTGTTAATTTCTGTAAACGTTTCACGGATGGCTCATTAGACAAAAGTTTTGGATCAATACCGGTATCAGTGCCTTCTCGGGAAACAGAAGGTGTTGTGGTGGAGCCAGTAGGTACAGTTGTAGTAGCAGTAGTAGCAGTAGTAGCAGTAGTAGCAGTAGTAGTAGTCTTCCTTAATTCAATCGCTTGTTCCAATTCTTGTAAATGACGCTTTTTCCTTTCCAGAGCTTCAGGATTCAGAATATGATCATGCTTTTGAATGCGATGGATACGATTTTGGTCTCTTCTTCGACGACATAACAAGGCGTAAGTTGACGACTTTGGTTTGCTAACAAAAAAAAAAAAAAAGAGTTAATACTTAATGATACAGATCGCTAATCATCATCATAAACTAATTGTTCTTTTTGTTTTTACCTTGGCTTTTTTGATTCAGTTTTCGTTTCCTTTGTTGTTTCCTTTTTGTACTTGGTGCTGCCTTCTTCTTCTTTGTTTGGCGAGAGGTGGCATCGTAAAAGGACATAGAGAGCTTTTCCCAAAATGTAATCAGTCAACTTCCCTTCATACATGATTTTGAGGTTGGTGGCGTACTGGGTGACGTATGTACTCATGATTGAGCCCATTCCAGGAGGTGATGGGGTAATTGTAGCATCTTTCATATCACCACGGTTGAAATCAAAGAAACCAGAACGTTGGGTTTGTGAGGAAGGCACTGGAACGGACGAGGAAGATGAAGGTTCAGAAGGAGCTATTGATGTCGACTGTTGAGTGGATGTACTGGATGTACTGGATGTGATTGAAGTGAGCATCTGCTGTAAGTGATTGCTGGAATAGAGATCCGAATATTTTCGACCATCGATGGAGTCATTTTTAAGCATCTTGTTTTTCAGATCACTTGAAGGTGGAGCCACTGTCAAAGGACTATCCATAGTGTTTCTTTGCGCTTTTTCAGGTATAATTCCCATGATGTCAACAGGAGGTCCACTATCATAGAGAATAGATTATTAAATCTCTTTTCAGTTGAATATATAAAATGGTTTAACTTACGTAGTTCTTCTAGTTAAGTCCAATGCCAAAATTGTTGAGAGATCCATCATTTTGTCTGAAACAACCTCCCGACAACGATCAATAGTGTTCATGAATACTTTTTTTTCGTCCACTGTCAAGTCGGTTCTCAATATTTCTGTCAATGGCCTTGATATCACCTTTATACTGGGTGTTGTATAGTTGAATTGAGAGCTGTCATCATCATCGTCACCTTCAGTAATTGATGCAAAATGTTCATCCAGAGCATGATCAAGATTGTCGTCCAAGAATGCGAACCAGAGGGCAAAGAAGTCGATAGCTTCGGTGTCAACACACTGTTTGATGTTAGAGATAGTAACGGCACGCTGTTGTGGATGTTCTATCATAATGGTCATAATAATAATAAACAGTAAAAAAAAAAAAAAAAAAAAAAAAGTTAGTTAAGTCATATGACCTCTGTATTAAATATTTACCATCGTTGTATTTATTGGCAGTGTCCTTGAAGAGATCTCTCAGTCCCAGCTTCTTTCCTTTCTTGCTTTGTTCTTGCTTCAAAAGATCCGCCTTGAATTGTTCTTTTCCTGGCTGCTTTTTCTTTCCTTTCGTCTTGTTATGCATGGTCCTGATTGTTTTGGCTAGTCGAATGGGAAAGGTCAGTTTCATACATCTGATACATTCTGCTTTATCCAGAGGTGTTGCTTGAGACCCTTTTCTTCTTTGATCTTGAGTGTGAAGTTCAGCTTTCCGATATGTTGATTGATCAAAACGGTTTGGCTTTAATCTTGCCATAACGGGTAAATCAAGGGAAAAGAAAATAGATGTGTTCTAAACGATAATAAAAGAATAAAAGAGATATAATAGAGTATAAAGAATTGTAGTAATATGTAAAAAAAAAAGAACACACGTAAGCAAAAAAAAAAAAAAGAAAGAAAGAAAAAGAAAGTGAAAAAACGGCAGGAAAAAAACAGGAAAAGGAAAAGAAAGAAAGACAAAAAATATGCATCAGAAAAAAAGAGCACAGACATAAGGCGGAGATGAAATTTCTAAATTAGGTTACTCCACTCTTTGACAAAGAGTTCAATATATACAAGATAACGGTTGATTGTTTACGAAAAAAAAAAAGGTTTCTAAGATAGTCTTTTTTTTTGATATATATATATATATATATATATATATATATATAATATAAATCTAGAAATGAAATGGGTGGTGTTCGATTTCTTATATTTTGTTTAAATATTATATGTTGGTGTATGATCTTTGTATGATTTATGGTCTTCGATTGTATTTTGATTGATATATTGATTAAGCGTTATTGTATCAACATTCGAGTAGAAAAAAAGAAAAAACTATGGTTCATTTTTCACATTTAGACTTCCTCAATGGAATTTTAAGGATGATCACATCAACATTCGAAACACACGTGAGTAAACAAAAAAAAAAAGAAAACATTGTCTTGTCTGCTGACATTGGAGTAGGGTCCACATATTTCATTTTTGACATTTTAGACGTTCTTCCATGGATTTATTTATTTTATTTGACTCAAATATAATAATGATATCGTAAGTACGTTAAAAAATAAATAACAATACTATTTAAATAACCTGGATCTCATCATCCATCATCACTTCATCATCATGAATATGATTTTCATTCAGTCAATAATCAAGTCTACGATTCACTGCTATACGTAACTATTGTGCGCCCATGGACGATATGTTCATTCTTTCTGATGTGCCCTTTATTTGGTGTAGACTGGAATCACGCATTGGCTTGAATATTTTTGTATAATAAATATAGCATATATAATAAAAAAAAACTATTTTTTTTTTTTTTTTACCAATAATACAAACGAATAATGAAGAGTAGAAATAATATATTGATGATTATCCTTTATTTGATAATAAAACAAAATATAACGTAAAAAAAAGAAGAATATATACAACAACAATAAAAAAACCAATAAAATACCAATAATCATCATGATTGTCCAGATGTGTGATGATTGGGGAGAGCGATATCATCAATAACATTCCTAAAACTGACGTATTCTTTCGTTCAACAGTTCCTTCTTATCAATATCCAGATACGGCCCTCCAGGTTGAGTCAATTGAGCTGAATAAGTTGCTTGTATTATCGTAAACTTGTTGGTGTGAAATACAGCATTCTACAATAAAAAAGAACTATTAGTAAACACTATACCCTATAATATAAATGATTACTTACAGATCAAAAAGCTTTGGGTCATAATTTCATCTTGCCATTGTCGTACCAATAATAAGTCTTGAAATATGTATAAATTCAGAGAAATCAGTTTTATATCTTGATTAGAAAGAGGACCAAACTTTCACTTGAAACTGCATGCATCATATCATTCAACTTAATACGAGTTACATCCAATAATTGTCGAGTTTCATACTTGATCATCACCTTTGGTCTATATAATAGAAGAATAAAACAGTAAGTTATACATACAATAGTAGAATGATTTTTTTTTTATAATTCATTTTTACCTTTGATGTCAAATTCTTTTCCCATACACGTTTGATGTGCCAGTGACACAATAAAATAGTTACACCATCATTGAAGATAGATCGAAGACCTGATATTTCGGTATTACTGCAATCAATCATCACACGCTGTACATTCAAATTATTGTTGGCCTTGACCTACTCTAACCATGTCAGGTACTATTTCATTAGATGTAAGCATAAAAGCAATAGGGACACGTTTGTTGATTACAGAAGAGCGGAAACCAGCAGTATACAAGTAACAAATATTCATTCAATTTCACCATACACTTGCAAGCTTGACGAGTAGAATCATTACACCAATCCATGAATTCTTCAAGTAGATATAATAATGAAATATAAATACAATTGACCTTTTTTATTAATTTATTTTCTATAAAGGACTTACTTTTTTTCTGCCGTTATGAATATCATCTTATGTACCACGCGTAGAGTAAATATAATTCCTGTTGTTCAGATATTCCATCCACACTAGTACGATCAACAGCATGCTTTCCAGATAACTAGTTCAACTTTTATGATTGATATTCTTGAATGGACGAATAAAAAGAGCATATAATAGTTCCAAAATTCATTTCCAACTACAATATATTATGACATCCAAAGAAAATATTGAGCATAACTTTCATCAAAATCGTATAATTAAAAGTAAATCTTACCTCATCAATTCGATCGTAATTCTATTGTAATAATGACTTGATAAATTGCCAATGCATGTGTCTCTCCGCTTTGTCAGCAATCCTTTGTAGATTTGTTCAAAGTCACCAGAGTTGTCCTTGTTATAAATTCAGTCATAGAACCATTGGAGAAGATATGCTTGGCCAAAAGGAGGTTAGATGCTGAATTTTAAATTTTGATTGGTCATTCTTTCTGATCCATATTTGAACCCAAGCCACTTTTTAAGTAATCTAAAAATAGTCCTTGTTGAAAGAGGCGGCATTAAATACAGTATGATTTCAATTTTCTTTTTTTCTTTTCTTTGCAGAATTCTTGTGTTTAGCTACAATATGGTAAAAAGCTAAAAAAATAAAGAAAAATAAAAGCCATGTTTTCATTTATTTTAATAAAATATGTATTTTTTTTTATTTTTTTTTATTATTTTCTAGTCCAAAACGCGGATACAAGCTGTGATTAAGCAAGAAACAAGTTCTGTTAAGGTAAGTTCACTTCATTGGTTCAATCAATGTCTTTATACTTATTCCTATTATTAATTAGATGGAACAAACAACTGGGATGACTCGTATCAAGGTAAATTGTACTTTTAAATCATATGGAACGTTGTTCTCATTTTTTTCTTTTATTAGGAAGAAGTGGACGACTTATCTATCAATTATCTCTCGGAAATCAACTCTCGATCCAAAACTATCAAAAAGAAAAAACCTACAGTGAAGAAAGTACCAGCTATCAAGAAAGAACCAGCAATCAAGAAGACAAGAGTACCTACTCCCAAGAAAACAAGAGTCCCAAAGAAATCAAAAATAAAAGTAGAATCATTTGCCACTGAAGAGGAAGCAATGTTGTTACCTGTAAGGAAAAAAAAAAAATAGAACTCAATGAAATATGCTAAATGATATGATATCTTTTTTTTTTTTTTTTTAATACTTTAGGCAATGCGTGGAAGAATTGAACGTGCTCGACGAGAAAAACTATTTGTGATATCAAGAAACCCAAAGGATAGTACCAAGGAAGAATTTCAAGGTAAATATATAGATATATATATATATATATATGATAAGAATTGCGTAATCTATTCATATCATATACTTACAATTTTATTATTATTATTATTATTGGATTAGTTACTGGCAGTACAGGAAACGTAAGCTTTTTTTTTTTAAATATAAATCATTGATCCTTTGAATCACTTATCTCCTTTATATATATATATATATCCTTAGTTATATACTGTGAAGATTGGGCCAATTCTTTCCTGCTCTTGTGCTGATTTCCGTTATCGTCGTCGTCATTGCAAACATATGTTGATGATTCTCTTGAAAATGTTTTCCCTTCCAGCAACTTCACCCATATTCCAAACGATGACACCTAGTCATGATGTAAATATCTTATTTTATATAACCCATGTTTAAATATTAATGTTTCTCTCTTGATTAAATTAGGTATTGCGACAAATATTTTCCACTTGTGCTCCTGATCCTAGTACATTGATACCCGAAGAATTAAAGATTATGATTGATAAAAAATTGAATGGTGAACCAAGTCCATCCGAGATCAAGACAGAAAGGTAAAAGAAAATAATATGAAATAATAGATGTTCTAATATTTTATTTGATTAGACGTTCTCTGGATTCATCCGATTGTCCAGTATGTTGTGATGAATTTAAGGAAGAGGCTATTCTTGATATCTTATTCTGTCGCGTATGCGGTAATAATATTCACAAGGTAAGTGTATCTTTATAGATTGTTAAATAGAAAAAGGTATAATTAATTATGAATCTATTCTTTTTTATTTATTTATTTATTTATTAGACATGCTTCAACATGTGGAAATCTACTAGGCAACATGATGTCACTTGTGTATATTGTCGTTCTCCTTGGGAAGATCCAGCTGCATCCAAAAAGAAGGGAAAGAATATCAAGCTCAATCACGAAGGATTTGTCAACTTTGGTGTTGAACTTGGTTTATCCGATGTTCGTGGTAAGTTGTAAAAAAAAAAAAAAAGGAATGATAAATATAAAACATAATACTAATCATTATTTTCTTGATTCATAGATACAAGTACTTATCGTGCCTTCCCTTATTGAAATATTTTACTTTAGTTAGTATAAATTTGCAGTACTTTATTTAGTAGTGATCTAGTTGATCTTTTTAGGTTTAGTTTGTATTGATACCTTTAAAATCCATCATTTGCAGTGGTAGTGATAATAACAATAAAAAAAAGAAGTTTGTACTTAGTAATGGTTACTAAAAGAAAAGATAAACACGCTTCACATGAAAAAAAACAGTAAATCATACTTTATTGTCACTTTTAGCCAATCTAACTTCAATCAATGATCAAACATTGATACAGTTTGTCCACTAATACATGACGCAGTTTCAAAAATAAGATGTCGCCAAAATAGGAAATAAGATATCGTAAGAATAGAGAACGAATGACGGACAAAACAGATAATGGATGACGCATAAAAAAAAATTGAGATAGAAGGACAAATCAAATTGGAAATACCAAAGAGAGATCATATTGGAAAAATAAAAAAAAAAATTCGTTAGTACATCATCCATCATCATATTCATCAATTAAAAAAAAAAAAAAACTTACAAAAACTGTAAACATCTACGTGTTTTCAGTACACGGAAAAATTGTGAGAAGAGCAACAGAGAAGAGAGAGACACACAGAAAGATATTATTGATGTTATTGTTGATACCACTGGTGGAAATAGAGGAAGGCGAGGGTTGACTGATCTGCACATGTAAGGTAATGATTTTTGAGATCTTGATCCTACGACAAAGATACAGCCAACCAAGAAGAAGAAAAGGATGAGGAGCGGAAACAGTGGATCAAAACAACAGAGCAACAAGAAAAAAGAAGCAAATAGGCCTTAGCCCGTCTTGATGTCGTTATACTTGTACTTCAGATAAAACTTGTATTTGATATGGATAGAAGATAAAGAGACTTGTAGAGAGGTTTAGAAGTTGATATAAAAAAGATAAAGAAAGGAAAAGACAAAAGAAAAAGAAAGAAAAAGAAAGAAAAAAAAAAAAAGAAAAAAAAAAAAAGAGGAAAATGGCATTTTGAATAGGTTTCACATGTGAAAAGAAATTTATTTTGTATGTGAAGAAAAAAAGAAGTAACATTATGCAGTTTTATTACATTTGTCAGCTATGAGGTCAATTTGCTACTGGAGTTGCCTATATCATATATTCATAAATGTGAGTATGTAAAAAAAAAAAAAAAAAAAAAAAAAAAAAAAGATCCATCATCCATCCATCAATATACTCTAATCGACATCTCTGAAGCGATATCTATAATAGTGGAAATGCGCTATTCATTTTGGGAAAATCCGATATTTTGTTTAATAAAATCACGAAAACTATTTTCTTGTGACCCGACAAAAAACTTTAAAAACACTGTACCGAGTGGTTGAGAAAAGAAAAATAATCGTTTGCTACAATTTTTTCCCATTTCCTTTTCTTTTTCATATTTATCTATACCCGATATGTCTCTCACTAAACCTGACAAGGATGTTGAAACTTATTCTGGTATTCGTTTAAGGTAAATCAGTCATATTCAATCAATGTAAATAATAACCTCATTTTCATGTTTATGAATATCTTTTTTTTTTTTTTTTTTTTTTTTTTTTTTTTTTTTTAGGAAACGATATATGAAAACAACAGATCTTGATAATAAATTGGCGACTCTCGACTATATTGCTTGTAACCATCTCTCTTCTCGTATCAAACCATCGATCTATGTAGAGATCAAAAAACCCAAGGATTGGGCTACCATTGGGATTGTAGAAAGGTCTATCAAGACAGATAATGCCATGTTAGTGCTACGACTCACTGATCTACGAAATTGTTACATTGATCTTTTTCTTTTGGGCAAAGCTAATGAAAGATACAAGGATTTGGTCAAAGTGGGAACAGTATTAGGTGTGACGAAGCCAACAGTTCTATCGGTATGTGTATATATTATATCTTTAACAAAAAGTTGATATTTACTATTTCCATGATTATATAGTCTGAAGACGCGGTGGGTTTACAAGTTAATCATCTTCAACAAATATGGCATATTGGTGAAAGTCTGGATATGGGACGATGCGAAGCTTATATACAACCTCCTAAACGATGTTCAGCTACGATTGATCGGTAACTAAAAAAAAAAGAAGTAACAACAATATCAAACAAATATATATATATTATGCATTGAAATGATTGACATTTTTTTTTTCTTGGTATGGTTTTTTTAGACGATCTGGTGTTTTTTGTGATCTCCACATTACTAGTATTTGTAATTTATCCAAGAACGGTCGTATGGAATTAGCATCAGGGTAAATTTCCCTTTTTCTCATACATTTTATCGTATTCATGTTCTGATTACTTTTGTAGGGATAGCGGAATAGATATTCGATGGGCATCTACTGTTCAATCTAAAGAAGGTCAAACGCATTACAAGGATGTATCTGGTAGTTTATATTCAAAAATAAAGAAAAAAGAACATATTTACACTATTAAAGATATTCGAATGACTTCTGATGGCAAACAAGTCAACAAGAAACCTGTGATAGATAAACAAAAAATAGCAAATGAGAAAGAATCATGGACGTAAGTATCCTTTTTTCTTTTTTCTTTTTTTTTTTTTTTTTTAATTAAGATCCACAACAGAAGAATCAAAACTGATACAATATTTTCTTTTTATTGTAGGAAATTCTTAAAAGGACACAATGACCCTGGAGCTATGAATATACGCAAGATTATTGGAATTCAAGATGATCAACCTTGTAAGTTTTATTGATAATATATTATATAAATATTAATTTTTTTTTTTGATTAGCTACTGCTCTATCAAAAGAAGCTCTTCTCAAAGTACACAATACTACAATATTAGATGTGAAAGAAAAAGCATCCAAGGTAAAATAAAATATAGTATATATTTTATTATTGACATAGTTTTGTATTTATAGAAACGATCAATAGATCAAATATTGGAACTAGAACAAAGAAGGAAGAACAAGAACAAAAAACAAGATGATAAACAAGTGTACATAGATCTTTGATATATTTGTTCAATAAATTATTATTTTTTTACATATCTCTATTTTTTTTTTTTTTGACAAAAAAGAAGGACAGTCAACAACTACTATATCATAACTCGACAATTCGTGACAAATAACGCGGTAAATACTTTGGATACAATGAAAAAAGACAGCATGCAACAGCCGCGACAATGATGATTTGTCAACTTTCCAGCATCATACGCCTAGGCCTTTCTTCATTAGAAAAACAAATCGTCATTGCATTATTATTCCAACTCTGCTCTTACGAAAGGAAATCAACACAAGTGTGATTATATGTACTTGGATTTTTTTTTTAATCAACATTATTCTTTTTATTAAGTTCATTCCCTCAAGCTCGGTATCTGGATCAGCATCTTCTCAATCATCTTTCCGTCTGCTCATCGCTGACCAACGTTTGATTTCATGGATCCTCGATCTACACTCTTTTCCTGGTTATTTCATGTTTTACTTTTTTTACCAACTTTTACTTTTTTTTCATTTTTTACCTTTTTTTTTTTTTTTTTTTTTTTTTTTTTTTTTTACCAACTTTTACTTTTTTTTATTATATGTTACTTTTTATTCTTTTACATATAAGTCCCCTCCTCTATTTAGTTTTTCTTTCTGATCTTATTTTTAATAAACACATCTTCAAAAGTACAGTTATCAATTTGTTTTTTTCCTTGTTAATTGATAATTTATAAACCAAATCATTCTTGACCAGTCTTAAGGTATCAATCATCTTAGGTTTTATTCTTTTATTAGCGCTTACAAAACAAATAATCAGGCTTATTATTCAAGTTACTTTATTATTTCCTCATCATCAAGTTCTTGGTCAAATCCATTTCCATTTTTGGACTCAACCTACAAAATTATCTTTTATTTATTTTTATTCTATCTAACCAGAACTGGTGCTCACTACTTATCAATTATTAATTATTATTATTATTATTAATATAATAATACCATCTATCTTTATTAGAAAACGATATCACTCTTAAAATACAAAATAAAAATAATCATAATAATCTTAACACTGCAAAGATAATAACAAATATTATGATGGATACATTAATCTTGATATTATAAGATTTACTTATCTGTAGGCAGTAGGTAAATGTTGATCATAGAATATTTCTCATATCTTCCTGTTATTCCGTCTGATTTGAAAATGGATTGGATGATGCTATTGGTACCTGAATTTTTTTATTGGCTTTTGATTCTCTTATCTGGATTTATATGGATTAGTTGTTTTCCTTTTTTTTTTTTTTATTTTATTACTTATTTTTAAATAAACCATGTTAATCACGGTAAAGTCCCGTGGTTTTTCTATGCTCTATGTTCATGCAGCGAACAACGGAGTGTGAAATTTACCCTCTCATACATCTCCTCCCCCTCTTTGTTTTTATTTTCTCTTCTTTTTCTTTTTTTATTATACTATTTTATATATAGATTGACTTCTTTTCTTAAAGTTATATTAATTACCTCTTTTGTTTTCATGAAGCAACGTAAGTATCATTGTTCTCAAATACTTTTTCCTTTTTTAAAAATACAATTGACCAGGCTAATGATATTTTACGATAGATAATGATTATGAATCGTTTAGAACACACACACACTCAACATGACTAGGTATAACCTTTTTTACTTTTAAGTTCGTATTTCTATATTATAGTTACTTATACTTTCTTTTTATGCAATGGAGCAGTATACTGGATGTGGATATTTAGACTCACTTATTTATATGACAACTACTATAAAGAACTGCGAGGTAAGAAAAAAAAAAAAAAGAAAAACTCTTTTTTATCTAAAAAATGTAGACTATTTTTATCATTGGCCAAAAATAAAAAGTGACAAATTCCATATTTACCCATTTTTTTTTTTTTTTTTTTGAAAAAATAAAACATTCTTTTTCTTCTCTCAAATGTATTCGAATAGTGTACCATCACCCAGTTCTGATCCTGCATTTAGACAACAGCAATATGGACCATGTTCTCTTCCTCCAATTCCTCAAGATCTAGTACAACCTTTACGTGATGCTTTACCAAAAATAGATGAAGCTTTATTAGCCAGTGTACCAGTGGAAGCCCTTCCTCTATGTCAAAAACTATTCAGCGCGTGGTTATCAACAAGTTCATCTAAGATTGATATTGTTCCTCCACCAAGAGCAAAGACTACTATGAATATTGCTTCTCTCTATCAGTCTTCACCATCATCTTCAACTGATCATCAACGATATTTACAAACTTCAGTTTCATCTATCCAACCAACAACTATAACTACAACAACAAAACAATGCCGAAAAAGTCAATCAACAAGTCGTCTCTCTTCTTGGTTTTCCTGGACGTTCCCAAAACGAAAAAATCCTGCTGTGGCTCCGATGACATTTGGTCCCAAGAAATCAAATTGCCAACAACAAAATATTTCCGACTTGTCCTCGACTAATAAAACATCGATGTCTCCTGAAATTGGTACTGTTCCATCCGAACTTTCCACTTCCAAAACGGAGGCATCTTTTCATCAAAGATATGATTCATCTCATCGACCTCCTTTACCTCAACGACCTCAACATACTCATCAACCTCTTCTATCACAACGAAGATCTCAGAAAATTTATTCTGATCAACTGGAAGATCACGAGCACCGTCGGATTTATCAACACTCACATCCCTTGCCTGGATTATCGCCATCTTTGTCTTCTTCTTCTTCTTCCAGTACAACATCAACTACATATCTATCCAAAACAAGTCAAAAGGATAATGGTGGCAGCTCTCATGGTTATCGACGCAGTTTTTCGTTTATGTTATCCAAGATTGGAACAAAAGTACGCAAGGTGATTCAAGGTGGTAGTCAACGTATTCATCCTCAATTGAAATCGAACACCAGTCATCATCTTTCTTCTGCACTTCCTTTATCTGTCTTGTCTCAAATCAATTTGCCCGAACCGCATAACCTTCCTGGATCCTCCTCTCGTCGTTGTCGTCTTCCTGTACAAGAAATCCCCGCGTCCAGTATCATTTGTTCTCCTCCTTCTTCTTTATCTGATAATCAATTCAAGGATAATGCTGACACACCTATTGATTCGGATGGACACATTCATCAGGACGATACGATCCAAATAAAGAACGACATCATTTCGTCTATGAATGACAACAACGATAATGTAGACAATGTTGAATTGACAATCCACTTTGATGATGACTCTAGTAGCGAATCATCTTCTTGCCAACTACAACAACTTCAACAACCATCCGATTCTTCACCTTACGATAGAACAAATGCCGTCTATCGACCATCTTTAGCCACAACCGTGCTTTTGCCAAATGATGTTACCACCACTACAGAATCGATACATTTATCTTCGACACCCAATCGTACTTTGCTCTATGATGCTGATTTTCTTCAAGACACAAACAATTATAACGAATATAGCGAAGATGAAGAAGATGAAGTTGAAGATGACGACGACGACGACGATGATGATGATGATGATGAAAATAATCTCAAGACACCTTGGAGTCCTCCAGCATCTTTAGCAAGACGAACCATCAAAACAAGCAAAACGGATACCAATATGAAACATGAACCCTCGGTACCTTTTATCAAGATGGGATTGGGAAGAAAGAGTTTAGATGTTGAAGATCATGTACAATACACCACAAGATCCATGTCCTCTACTTCATTTGCTCTACAATGGCAAGAAAAATTTCATGATCAACAACAACCACGCGAACGTATCATCAGTACTTTGAAAAGGTAAAAAAAAAAAAAAAAAAAAAAAAAAAAAAAAAAAAAAAGGAAGAGTATATAGCAAATGATATAACATTTTTTTTTTTATCATTCTACCTCTTACTTGATTTAGTGTTTCTTGGACTTTATATGATATTATTCGACATAATCATGCATATCAACAATTTACTTCTGACACAGCCTATGTAGCTCATCCAAATTTACAACCAGGGGAAAATACCAAAGATTTATTTACCACTATTCCTATGGCTCATTGGCGTGATATCTTTGATCAAATTGCCTATGTATTTGAAAATGGGGTAGTAAGTAATATATTATTTGAAGAATTATTCTTGTCTTGAACTCCTTTTTTTTTTTAATAGTTGACAGCAGAACATGCCATTATTACAGTGATTTACATTGAAAGAATGCTAGAAAACTCTAAACAACATCTTTGTGAAGCAAATTGGCGATTGATTGTATTGGCAGGGTTGATTACTTCTATCAAGGTATGGGATGATTGTGCTGTTTACAATATGGATTTTGCTCAGATTTTCCCAGAATTGGACATCAAACATATGTAGGTTTTTTTTTTTTTTTTTTTTTTTTTTTTTTTTTTTTAAAAAAAAAGAATTGTGTGATGATAAACTGACTTTTTTTCTTTTTATCATATAGTAACCTCATTGAACGACGATTTTTGGAACATATCGATTGGGATGTCTCTGTCAGATGTTCTTTATTTGCAAGTACTTATTTTGAATTAAGAGAACATAGATAATACATTAGTTTAGTTTAATTAGTTAATTAGTTTTCTAACCACCACATTCCTTGAATCGATTCCCCCCCTTTCCTTTTATCATTCCTTCTTACTTTATTTAAATAATATAAAACAACTGTCTTTAATAAATAAAAGAACCTTATTCTATACCCTGTCTTTTTTTTTCAATATCCCAAATTATTTTATATACTCTCAAACAAATATGTATATAAAAAAAATAGTTCAAATATGACTATATTGTTTTTATTGAATGATGATGTACAATAAGTAGTGATATGATATAAAATAGAATGAAGAAGTGTATGCAGTAAACAAAAAAAACAAATGAATAAAGAGATATGAATAAAAGAATGGAACGAATACAAACTAATGGGGAACTCTTTCTAAAAAAAAAAAAAAAAAAAAAGAAGAGTATGTCAGGACTAAATAAAATCATATACGAAGGATAGATCATGATAAAGGTTTTCGGCGTTTGTTTGGTGATTCTTCTTCATCGTCGTTCAATTCATCAATTTCGTCTTCTTCAGATTCCATATAAGGCGTTTCTACAAGGTAATCAGATGATGTATATGATCGTTTCAGGGGAAATCGAGCTGTTGTTGTTGTTGCATGAATGTCGGAATCTGAGCCATCATCATCATCATCATCGTCGTTGTCATCGTCGTTGGTTTCATCCACTGTGAGTTGTGATTCTTCTCCAGTATCTTCATCCCCTTGATTGTTACCATTATTGCCGAAATTATCATCATCTGAAGGTATTTGTTGTTGGTCACCATTGACATTAAGATCACCAAGTTCATCGTCATCTTCTTCATCGCTACCACCGCTTTCATCATGACTATTATTGACTTGTTCATCTTCATCCTCCGAGTCATCATCGCCTAAATCAACATCTTCATCCACATTTTCATCGTCTTCTTCTTCTTGTTCTTGTTCTTCTTCTTCTTCTTCTTCTTCTTCTTCTTCTAATTCTTCTTCTTCTAATTCTTCTTCTTCTTCTTCTTCTTCTTCATCATCATCATCATCGTCTTCACCATCACTATTTGCTAAATCTTCTTCATCCTCCACAGAAGCTTGAAAGGATTCTATCAGTTGCTGTAGTAATGGTGAATTGTGTTGTTGTTGTTGCTGTTTGTTAGGAGTTGAAGTAGGAGAAGGACAAATATGTACTTGATAGGTTACGTTTGTCATGTTGTCAAAGAGAGTATCTGATAAAGGAAAAAGGTGGTCGAATCGAGTTTCATAAGAGCCAGCTTGAGGTATGGAACGACACCTTTTTAAGATAGAATCCCTTCGATGTTGAATAAGTTGAGTAGGCCATTGAGATGTATTATCAATCATATGTTGTAATTGAAGTAAAAGTGCTTTTTCATAAGCTTGTTCCCTATCAGAAAAACTTGAAAAAAAAAGTATGAGTTTCTTCGCCCCTACACGTGGGAGTTTTTTTTTTTTTTTTTATATTTATTATTACTTACGATCCTATAATATATACTCGAGGTATCTTTTGAGGATAATGAACAAGTCGTGTGACAATATAATTAGAAGAGTCCATAGTCATAATATTAGAAGTTAAAAAAAAAAAAGAAAGAAAAGGAATACAAAGAGAAGGAGAAAAAGAAAGAAAAAAAGAAGCGCGCTTGTGGTGTTTCAAACACAGCGAATCTTTCCATTACACTTTATTCAATAAAAAATGACGGAATTCAAAGAATAAGATGTCGCAAAAATAGGAAATAAAATATCGTAAGGATAGAAAATAAATGACGGGGAAGAAAAGAGAGAGTTGACGCATAACCAAATAGAGAGTATAAGAAGAAAAAGAACAAGAAGAAAAGGAGTGATAGTAGTTCCATTGAGTATTTTGAATAACAGAAAATAAAATATTATTTAGTCAACATATCCATTTTTTTGTATTTATTTATTTTAACTTACCTGTAGGGAAGCATTAAATGCGTCCTCCGAAGAGGCGATAACATATTTTTATATGTTGCTTTACAGTTTGATTATTCACTTTGAACACGAAGAGAGATTTCAAAAAGAAAAAAAAAAGAGAATGATTAATATACTGTATCATCATCATCATCATCATTAAAAGAAACTTACTATATATGCAAGGTACAGAAAAAAAAAAGTCCAATAAGTATATAAAAAGAAAAGCAAATAGACCTAAAGGCCCGTCTTGATTCTTGTAAGGTTGTAGTCCAGAAAAAAAAACTTGTATTTGATATGGATGGATATGAAGGTCTTGTATGCTTGTAAATTGGTTTAAAAATTGATATCAAAATAGATAAAGAAATTAAAAGAAAAAGAAAAAAAAAAAAAGGAAAAAAAAGAGAAAGAAGAAACAGAAAAAAAAAGAAAAATAAAATAGCACTTTTTTATATCTCTCACTTGATCAAAGAATAAAATAAACCCAGCAAAAATATCTCATAAGAAAAAAAAAAAGAACTATTATGCAAATTTACATTCGTTATCGATCGATCGAATGTCTCAGTTAATGAAAATAAACAAAGAAGACCCCAGTAAATGATTTTTTTTAAAAAAAAAAAGAAAAAAGAACTATTATGCAAATTTACATCAACATCACAAGATATGAATATTACATTAGTATACCCCTGTCTTATATGATACAATATTAAAAATATAGTTCTTTTTTTTCCAAATATGGCCTGTTGAAAAGAATCAGCTAACAATCAGTCATCAATCATCAATCATCAATCAATGACATACTCTACCGACATCTCTAAAGCGATATCTAAAAAAAGTGGTAATGCGACATTCATTTTGGGAAAGTACGATTTTTTATTTTATAACATCACGAAAAGCATTTTCTTGTGACCAGACAAAAAACTTTGAAAACACTGTATTTTACAAAAAAAAAGAAAAAAAAAAAAAAAAAAACGTGATTATTCATTTTCTACATTCCTTCAGGTACCACAAAGAAGTAAATGCATAATCCATAAGTCAATTTTCCTTCTCTTCTCTCTCTCTCTCTCTCTCTCTCTCTCTCTCAAACATAGTACTCCATTAAAGGTGACTCGACGTTCTACAAGTATGTTCAACAGTTAACTACATTTCACTATATCTGATGATTGCTAATCGTTCTTTTTACATACAGTACGTTATCAAACTGGACCATCTCACCAGTCTTAGTTTTTTTTTAATATATATATATTCTTTTACATGCACTTCTTTTGTTAAAATATATCTTTTTCACATCCATTTGATTGATGTATATCAAAGTTAAACGTGATAATATGACGATTATCAAAATGATTTTAAAAGCTTTACTTTTGATGATGGATCATATGAGATGATGGATGATGATATGTGGTATGGAAATTCATCCCGGAGGTTTGAAGATGTGAATAATACGTTGATAGTGTTGTAAGCATCAAAAAAAAAATGACACCCTCAAAAATTGGAAGATACGTGATTAGCCAATTATAATTTTTTAGATGTGACTCCGCTTCTTTTAAGGTAGCTTATCAACTTTTTTTTTATATATCCTTTCAATTCTTTTCTTTCTTTTGTTCATGGTGGTTCAGAAACCTGTAGCTACTTCTTTAATCAAACCCTATTTAAAAAAACTAGTACTTCAAGTCCATCCTGATTTTTTCGTGGCTGACGCGGTGAAAAAACAACATAATGCTCAGACATTACAACAACTTTACAGTATTTTAAATCCCATATTACGACCTTCTTTGACTGCTACGTTGAAACAACCCGTCCAGGTGTCATTCTATAGAAAACAGTCCAAAAGATCAACATCCAAACAACAACCTATGAAGCCTGGTGTTTTGTTTTCTCATCCTGAACAAATGTGGCCCACCATTCAGTCGTTTTTCTCACTTTGTGAACAGTTGGATGTTAAAGTATTACCATCCGATCAAAATACAGTCCAGGATATGATACAACAACAACAACAACAAAAGACAACACATCGATCCAAAAGATCCATCCCACCATTTGGACAAGAATTTGCCAATGCATTCTATAAAGAACAACAACAAGAACGACCCAAAAAGATAGAATGGACACCATCCATGATCTTGAACGAAAAGTTATTCATGTGTGACCCTAGTTTGGATGCTCAACAGATCGCCGACAAGTTGGTATCTTGGTTACCTCAATTACAACCTGAACTTTGGTGGGGCAAACTGCCGACGTTGTATGTTTCGTCCTCTTCTTTACCTTCGGATGATCTAGCAAAAGGTATTTTAATCTTGAATGATGCAATGGATTGTCAAGGTAAAAAAAAATTCTCTATATCTTAATTGTCAATTGGAACTTATTCTTTTTTTTTTTCATTATGAGTAGATATAAATGAATATTTAAGACAGCATTTGAAGACGAAATTAGAAGAATACCAAGCACAATCTTCTTCCTCCTAATGATACCCACAACAGGATGATCAATGTCATACGAATTCACAAATCATTCATCATAACAAAGAAGTGGATCTCTTTGTTTCCTGCAGCAAGAATCAAAATGTACGTACTAATGGACTTATTGTATTTGGGAACTTCCATCACCAGTTCGAACCAAGGATATCATTAAGGACAAACCAAATTGACACAGCCAAGGTTATTCATTCCAATTCAAGAAAATCTTTGACAACTGCATAGAAATAGAATTTAGTTTATCTGTATATTATCACATCTATTTTATATAATATTTGAATAAAGGAAAAGAACACTACAACAATCAAAATACTCATGTTGTTTGATAGGATGAATGAATCAATGATATGTGATGATGATGATGATGATGATGGCTTTCATACAAAATCAATCAATACGTACACTAATCATAAATGATTCTTCAAGATTGCTAGAGTGTTTTCTTTAAAAAAAGAAAGAAAGTAAATATATAATACATATGAGAAATAATACACGTACATATAATGTTTATTATATATCTAAAATTTTTATCTGTTACTGTACAATGGGAAAGAGAAGGGGGAAAAAACTAAATTATAATAAGTGAGATATAAAGTCATTCAACGAGCACGGATCACCATGGCACCACGAATAGCACCACAAATAGCACTAGCCAACAAAGTACTACCAACAAAATAGGTGATATCATGCCATCCACTGGAAAGTGATGAAGCCGAAGTCAAAAACAAGGAACCCAATGGATTGCCCACTACATTGCCAATACCTCGAAGAAGCATAAATGCACCTACCAAACATAAATAAAAAAATGAATTCCAATTTTTTTTTTTTTTTTTTTTTTTTTTTTTTTTTTTTTTTTTACCATTGACCAAGATAAAGCTTCTAGGATCAGCACCAGAAATATCATATACCATGGTTGTAAAACAAGTTGAGAATCCAGAGGAAGAAAGAGCATAAACAACAACGTAAGTAATTAAAATAGGTAAGGAATTTCCAGCAAAACCCCATAGGAAAAAGGTACTAAGAGAAGCAATAGCAGAGGAAGCAACAATAGCAATCCAATATCCAAAACGATCACAGACGAATCCTAAAAACAATTGTCCAACAATGGTGGTGGCATTCAATACTGAGAGAAGAGTTGTTGAAGTTTCATTGGAGACACCAGTATAAAGAGCATAAGCTAATAAAGTACAAAAAAAAAAAAAAAGAGGGATTTTTTAAAAAAAACAAGAATTATTTTATATATATATACTTACGTTGGATAAATAGATTAGGAACAAAATAACCAATGGCTTGGAATAAGACAGCGAGACCTAAAGTGATAAATTTACTTGTGGTAACAAACTTGAAATCTTTTCTTGAAATATTAAGTTTCTTGACTCTAGTGGCATCAGGTGCATATCGAGGTCGTACTACAAGGCAAGAACCAAGACAAAGTACCAATACGAACAATGCCATGATTCGAAGAGTCCAACGGAATCCAAGTGCATTTAATCCTTTTTCCACCACAATAGGACAAATCAAACCAAATACACCAGCACCTGCAAAAATAATACCAGTTGCTATACCACGATATTTGAACCAATACATGGGTACAAAAGTCATGAAACTATTATAAACTATATAAATGAAAAAAATGAGTTTTTCTATTTTTTTTTTTTTTTTTTTTTTTTTTTTTTATGATTACCAAAAGAACCACCTAAACCCAACAAAATGCCTTGACTAAGGATAAGTTGCCATACTTGATTTGCAAAACTTGCTGCCACCAATCCTACCACCATCATTAAAGAACCAGCAACCATCATTGATTTCAAACTAAATCTTCCACCTAAAACACCCACAATAGCTCCCTATATCAAAAAAAAAAAAAAAACTATGAGTATTTCCTTTGTTATTTCAATTTGTTATACTTACACCTATATATGTGACTGAAGTAGTCAAAGTACCTACAAGTGCCAACATTGTAATACTTGCATCCATGAATTCAGGAGAACGTTGATAGTACTATATTAAGAATGATGAGTATACATATATCTATAAAAGATTTCATCTATCTATCTATCTAAATTACCTGTTGCATGACAGAATAAGAGAATGGTAAGCCATAAGTAAAACCTTCTACCAAAAAACCAGCCACTAAGACAAGATAAGCATCGAAACCACCATCAACAGGAGGTAAACTAAATTCTTGTGTTCCTGTTGCAACGTTGGTAACAGAATCAGCATCACCAGAGTGTATAGTAGTATCGTCACTATCACTATGAATTGATTTAGGCCTAATGGTATGAAGAGGAATATCACCATGAACAGTATCTGATGTTGTTTGTGGTCGAATAGAAGGTCTTCTTTCTTTCAAATAACTAATTGCAATATCTTCTTCTTCTCTTGGACTCATTTTTATATATATATATATATAAGAAAAAAAAAAAAAAAAAAAGAAAGGAAAAAAAAGGGATCTGTCAAAAAAAAAAAAAAAACGTTAAATACCAAATAGAAAATTTTTTGGAAGCATCTCCGACGTAGAAAAAGAGAAAAAAAGGAAAATAGGAAAAGTAAGGCCGAATCAACGGACGAATGGGGAAAGTAGATCTGAGACACAAAGGAAGACTGGTAACTTTCCCTATCTTTGGATCAACTTGGTGAAACAACCCCACCTTTGGGAACCTTTATCTGATCCATCATCAAAATAAATAAAAACTTTTTTATTAATAAAATGCTATTTTTCTAATTGTATCAAGAGTCAGCTGTTGAATTTGTTGCATGCCAATAATTTGTCTAGAATAATCATATCTAAATATATATAAGAAGAGGTGATTAATAAAGATGAAACAAAATGAATTTATAATTTACCGGATGAAAAGAGTGCGAATCAATCTTGTATATAGATCCTGTTCTTCTTGATTCATAGGATATGATAATATTTTGATTCTATCTTCCATAGATGGCCATTGTTGTTTCCATTCTTGAATAAAATGTGTTGGTAACCGGACATGTTCATACATTTGTTTTGGGAAGACCTATACAAAAAAAAAAAAAAATGGATATCGTTAGTATTATGTAGTTTACATATAATATGATCTTTTTCTCTTGCCAAACTTACACTTAATATCAATATTGGGAAGAGTAATGCATAAAAATCAATAGCTTCTTTCTTTATTAAACCTTGTTGTATCCTATCAATCATTCTATAATAAAATAGTTTGAATACAATATCTATATATATATATATATAAATCTTTTCATACCTTTTTTGCTGTTCCATGATTTCCGTGCATTTCATCATGATTGCCATACCAAGTGATCGCTGTTGAACAATAGATAGTGCAAGCATTTGCCAGATTCGAATAAAGATGGTTTCACTAGGTGCATCACGATACTTGTCGATCAATAGAGGAATGATCCGTTGAATCACTTTTGGTTCTACCTTGCTGCTCCATAGTTGAATTGGCCAGAGTAATTCCATTTCCATCCTCGTCAACTCTATTTATAATACATGTCATCAATTGATATATATATATATTGAGTATGAATATTACCTTGATCATTGGAAGAAATCCTTTCACCTTTCTTGTTATCCAAAACATGAGAAATATCATTCGGTGTAGCATGTTTGGTCATATTCATACATTCATATACTATTTGATAGCCTCCAGTATGTAAAAAGTCTCTGAGTATGTAAAAAAAAAAAAAAAAAGAGTTGACATTAATATGTCTCTTTATTTATTTATTTATTTATTTATTTACCTGATCATATCAATATACACCAATATACTATCACCATTCGAACTTGTCACCAAAAGTGCTTTAGCTATTAATCCTTTCGCAACTTGATTGGGTCGCTCTTCTGTGGCACTGACCAACATTTTCATTAAAGAGAGAATAAGAACCGAAATATCTAAAATAAAGAATAGGTTAGCATGGATGTCCTTTTGTTTGTATTTAAAGACTTACGAAGATGAGGCATACACCTAATAAGAAGTTCACAACTTTTATTACTGAAAAAGACATGTGATAAAAGTGCACGGGCCATATGTTCACTATCGTAGATACAGAAAAAAAAAATAATAATCAGAAGATTGATACTATTTTTCCCTTTTCTTTCCTTTTTTTTTCTATATATATATATATATATATAATAATAATATTACCAAAGAGAAGGGTATTGTGATGGATGACTAGATGCCTTATTGACCATCCTATGTAAAACTTCCATAGATAGCTTGTCATTGGTGGAATGAGGCTGATATTGTTGATCATTGCCGTTGTTAGTGTCTGGTTGTATTCTAGAGACCAAGAATGATATTGCTTCGTGAGGTTTAGATAAAAATACATCAGTAATATTGGTTAAACGGTGCTTATCATCATCATCATCATCATCTTTATTCAAGTAATGATGCCAAGCGATGTCGATCATAGTTTTGAATACAGGTAAAGGTACATGGTAAGTCACACATAAATAAGGAGTCAAGCCAAGTAGTAATGGGATCAATGTCTGTCCAAGTGAACAAGCAGCTGTACACCAGGGATATGATAAAGGATAACATTTAATCTACATCATATAGAAATGAGAACATCATTGAATGAGCAACATCCATATTGGTTTTCTCTCCATTCTCACTTACCATTGTACAACAGGTAGACTTCACTTGCTCTTGATAATCCAGTTGATCAGTCCCAGCTGATGATGATGGTGGTGATATAGTCATGTTTTTGTCTTTCTGCTCTAGCAATTGCTGTTGATGTTGAAGCCAATATCCATTCTGTCTCAAGGCAAACATGATCATCTTGAGATAACTTGACAGATTCATATCTAAATCCTTGTCCTGTGACAAAATTTTAAAAGAAACAGAATAAGAAACAAGTAGAAAATAATGAACAGATTGATTTATTTACCTCGAGAGTCCAAATGGTTTTCCATTTCTTGATAGGGTTTTTTGATAATATTTGCGAAGATAATAAAACATTTGTAAGCCATCTCCAACCTTTTCGAACCTGTTGATATCCCTCTATTAATAAGGATAATATTACATTAGATAAACGAAATAGACAAAAGAGCGAACACATTTTTTTTTTTTTTTTTTTTTTGGTTAATCATGATTTTTTTTTTCCATTTACCTAGATTAGATCCCGTAAGGATAGCTTGACTTTGAATCATAAAATGAACGAGTTCATCCCAAGCACCAAGAGTCACCGGATCAGAAGATTGTTGCCACTAAAGAAAGAAAAAAAAAAGGATAGACCCGTAAGTACATCATGCTGTATTTATATTTCGAGAATCTCACCTTCTTCGCTAAGTTCAATAATGAATTCAAACGCGTCCAAAGTTCATGTGCTGCTTTTAGTTGTTTTTCATCCACCATGTAGTTTTCCTTTTCCTCTATGACCGTTATATTTGTTGACGATGATGAAGAATAGGGAGGTATAGATTTCGTTGCTGATGCCATTGCTGATGACTCTATATCCGTAGGTGATAGATAGATATCTAATACATAGACAGAGATGGTTAAGAGCGTATCATATGTTGTACACGCCAACAACGTAGGTAATTCACTAGAATAGATAATTAAGGATGATTAAAATCAGTTCTATACAATAAAATATAATTGCTCTTACCCAACTTGATCCAAAATCTGAATCAATCCCGGGATAAATCTAGCTATTATCATCACTTGATCTACCGTTTCTGGTGTCATGTCATTCGATAAAGATGGCCATTGTTGAGTGATAAACCATAAGAGTAAGCTGACAGAGAGAGCACCTCGTTTGTTGTTATTTATATTGTTATCCAAAGGAGATATTTCTCGTTCAAGACACTGTTGATATAATGCACGGTGAGGAGACCATAGTACCAAGGCTGCTAATAGTTGAAGACTGTTTGTTGAAGAAGTGTTGGTGTTGCTATTCTTTGGTGATTTTAGTACCTGCATTTGATATGAAAATAAAATGGCATTAGTTCTATCGGAACGTTCTTAAAGCAAAGTTGGGTAATCTTGGATACTTTACCTTGCTCTTTAAAGGATCATAGATATGTCGAACCATAGCATCCATACTAGAATCGTCGTTACCATGATGACGTTGGTGTTGAGAAAGGTGATGATCAAGGCTAGTCAAAGCATGTGCAATAGGCGATGCTGAAAGAAGGAGACAAAGAAAAAAGTCAGTACAAAAAGAAAACAGATACATAGTACTCCAACTTACGTCGCTGATCAAAAGGAGTATTTTGCTTCCATACTTGGTCAATGGCGGTGGCAAGGACGTGTGGTTTCACGTGTAACAGAAGGTGTATTGCTTTTCCTAATGGCAAATCTGGATGTTCATTTAGTTGCGTTTCTAAAAGAGTTTCTGGTGATGGGTTAGTTTCGAGTAAAAGTGAATCATGATCAGTGATATCATTTTCATTGAATAAAGAGGGAATCATGACCACTTTTCGGGAAAAGAATAAAGAAAGGAAAAAAAAAAAAAAAAAAAAAAAGAATGAGTGTGGACGAAGAAGTGAAAAAGGGAATTCACCCTTTTTATTTAAAAACCGCACTTTTCTTAGCTCCCCTCTTTTTCTTTTCTTTCTTCTTTTATTTCCAAAATACTAGTCTTCTATAAATAATGGACGAATTTACAAGACCTAGTGAAGAAGTGATCAAACAATGGCAAGACCAATTGCTTGGAAAGTATATTCTTGAACCCAATGAACCTCTTGATGGTCTTACTGAAGACGAGGTAAAAATAATAAACAAGTTGGGTTATATCTGTAAAACTAATAAACTCTTTTCCGGCTTTAATGGTAGGTTGTTCGGTCCAATACGTTACGTCAACCTGTACAAGTCTTACCACCTGGTGCTCCAATGATTCGAAACCTAGTTCCAGGAAGAATGAATGTATTCATAGACGACAACAAAAAGACCACTCAAGTTTATTTTGGTTAGATAGTATAGTTAGTTTATGAATGTATATATACCGTATTATTACTATTATTATTGTTATCATTATTAATGATCGTATTGAAAAAAAAGAATAAAATTTACCTCTTTAGTTATAATATATATGTATATATGTGCGTGTGTGCTTTTTTTTTAAACATTTTGCATTAATCAGGGAAAACACAGTCGGCCTGTAAAATATCCATTCAGAGGAATATATTGGATGATGTACACAAAGATATGAGTAAAAATGTAATATATTATATAACTTTTACTTTTTTTGTTTTATTGATTTTCATTTGCTAAATAAAAAAAAAAAAAAAAAGAAGGAAGGAATAAAAAAAGTATATAACTAAAACTAAAGAAATAAGATTTTGTTTCATCCTATTGATATCCTTTCCAATATTTACAGACTACCAAGAAGATTCAATAGTAAAAAAAAAAAAAAAAAAAAAAAAAAAGGGAAACTAACAACAACAATAACATAATATAATAATAAAAATAATAATAAAAATAAAAGTAAAAGGATCAAGGATAATGATAATCAGGATTGTATGAGGGGGTAGAGGGAGAATGAGGTGGAAATACTGAAGAAAAGTAAGATAAAGAAGAAGAAGTGGGTGATGATGGATTACTGGATCCAGTAGATAAAGGAGGAGATAAACCTAGAGCAGAATGGAAACCATTGGAGTTTGAATTGGAATTTGTAGCAGACATCTTGCAGTTGTTGAATGCGGTTATCAATTCATGAGGTAAAAAGAAGGGTTTTGATGAGTGATCTGATTGTCGATATACAAAGTAATTATCCAATTGACTGTGTTGTTGTTGTTCAGAGACTTGTCTTGTGGTATTGTCAGAGAAAGGTAAAAAAGGAGTACAGATGTTAGGGTATGATTGTAATGAAGATGAAGAGGATGATGGAGCAAGAGTTGGTTTTGTTTGTTCATCTGAAGATATAGTGTTCTTTCTTGTTACATCAGAGGAAGACTTGGATAAGGTAGAGGTTGAACTTGAAGTCGAGATTGAAGAGAGAGAACGATCTTCTTGTGGAGAATGAGTTTCATGAATAAAAGTACATCGAATACCATAAGGACATGTACCCAAAGTTTCAAAAGTTCTGCAGGATTCAGTTTTGTATTTTGGATGGCGTTGTACATATCTTAAATCATCTTGTCCATGAGCATATTGACATTTATCCCCATATCTAAATATAGAAGTATAAGTATTATGATGATAGCATATATATATATAAATCGACTTACTTGCAAGCATTTTCTTCATCCCAGTTACGACAGAATTCAGTCTTGTAAAGTCTTGCTTTTTTTTCTTGAGGATCTTCTTGTGGTGTCACATTTTTGTCATCTTGAGGGATAGTAGTACAAAGGATGGTCATAGCGAGGTAATCAGAAGCCATCGATGTGGATGTCTGAGCGATAAGATTTTGGCTTGAACGATCTAGATCACAAAATATTAATAATAATAATAAGAATAATTAGCACATGAGCAATCATATATATATATATATATATATATACGCACACACACACAAAAAAAAAAGGGAAGAAAAAAGAAAAAGAAAAAAAAAATGGGGTAGGAGTAGTCATAATAGTTAGACTCACCCAATAACAGGAAAAGAGAAAGAGAGAGAGAGTAATAGGTAAAAAAAAAAAAAAAAAAAAAAAAGAAGAAATAGATAGAGAGAATGATGGAAACTACCCTGTGATGATGATGATGGTATCACTTACCTTTTTTGATATGTGTTTTCTTGCTTGGATGCATAGATCTTGACCAAAAAGAAAGCAAAGTAAACCAGAGAATTCGAATAAAAGTGATTAATGAGTAAACCAAAGGAAACGTACGCAAAGATAATAATAAAAAAAAAATCAATGAAAAACGGATAAAAAAAAATAAGTTGATGGAAAAAAAAGTGAGAAGAACAGGGAAGAGAAAGGAATCAAAGCATCAAAAAAGTTTCTTTCCCTTTTCCCTGTTTTTTTTTTTTTTTTTTATCTTGACAGAAAGACCAATGCGCGCTCGTGATTTCATTTCAATCTCCGGTGTCTTTTTTTTTTGTCCTTTTTTTTATTCTTTTATGCGCGTTTAAGTTTTCTTTCCTTTTTTTTTCACGCTTTCAACCAATGACATTTCATTATCTACATATAACCTCTTTTTTACTATTTTGAAATAAAAAAGTAAAATATTCAATATATACTTTCTTCTTACATTGTATTTTCATTGCTTTACATTTTGGAATCAACTCAAATGACAATGTAAAAAGGTAATAACAAAAAAAAAAAGAAAAAAAGAGGTGGGAGGAAAATATGTTTCAGATCTACTGATGATAGTAAGATAACTGTATCGTATTTTTATTGATCAACACTTTCTTTTTCTTTATAGTTGACACGTGAGAATAGAGTGGGTTGGATCTCTTTTTATTTTTTTTTTTCTCTGTCTCTGTCTTTGAAAGGACTATTTGTTGTCTTTTTTTTTTTTTTGTTTGTCAATTACCAATTACTGCTTTTGTATATCACGAAAACTGAATCCATCCCTCACACATGCATACATCCGAGGTAAGAAAAGTTTCGGGGAATACAAACAATCATGCTAATGCCAATCATTCTTTTTCTTTTTCTTTTTTTTTTTTCTTTTCTGTCTCCTTTTTTTTTTTTAATGAAAATCATCATGACGTTTTTCTTTTTGTTTTTGACATTACCTCTTCTTCTTCAAGCTCAACTGGATAACTCATGTGATTGTGGTTACTATGATCCTAATGATAATCAATATTCAATATGGACAAGTAAATGGGAAATGGATTTTGAAGGCAAATCATCTGTTACTCAAGGATCACCCAAGTTATTAAATCAACTGGAACAAGATTTTTTTCGTGCGAATTATGAAATTGGTGCTAAATGGGTCAATAGTTTTGGTCGTATTTTTACAAAAGACAATGTACAAATTCAAAATGGTGTTCTTCAATTATCCGTCACAGTAAACAACAACAACAACAATAACAACAATAATAATTCTATACGATGTAGCGCCATTGGAACAAAAAGACAAGATATTTTATATGGATCCTTTCGAAGTTTAATGCGACTTACTCCAGAAAATGGAACGGTTCAGGCTATGTATTTCTTTCATCCAGAAGGTGAAATTGATATTGAAGTACTTGGTGCAGTGGCTCCTCCTCAATCTTATTTTGCTATTCATCCTGGTCTCAGAGAACCCAATGGTCGTGCCTCTGCTTTGACTCATGATAATCATTTCTTGAATTTTGATCCTTCCATTGATTTCCATGAATATCGATTTGACTGGTTTCCTGATCGTGCTGAATTCTATATCGATGGTGCCTTGGCTCAAACCCTTGTTACGAATATCCCCAATGCTCCTGGTAGATTCATGTTCAGTCATTGGACAGATGGTAATCCTACTTTCAGCAAAGGTCCACCTGTTAGGGATGCTATTACTGAAATCAAGTCTGTGGTCGCCCTCTTCAATACTTCTTCCTTTTCTCCTCTGTCCTGTCAGAGTACTCAAATGCCATGTGCAATACAAGGTAAAGTTATCTATCACATATATAAATAAAAGAAAATAGTTACTGACTTTTTTTTTTTGATTCCCTGTGATGATTCTCTATGATGACGATGATGATGATGATGATGATGATGATGATGATGATGATGTTGGATACGCTTAGGTACTCGAAAAGATCAGCCATCTTCCAGTCCCAGTGCCATTGTTGGATTACCGCCATCTTCCTCTGAAAGTAGTAAAACCATGGATGCCTATTTGTTTGTGATTCTGTTTTTGATCGGATGTACCATTCTTCTACAATAATTTTTTTTTTTGTATTTGTAACATTGACTTTTTTCATAGTTTATAGTTAGACAGATGGATTTAGATTTACTTTGTACTTTTTGATTGAAATAAAAAGAAATTCTTTGTTTGTTTTTGGAAATCAGGGGTCAAGGCATTTGTCATAAGATATAGATCATTTCCATCGGCGATTTGATTTGGTTTGAAAAAAAAAAATATAATGGATTGTTTATTAGGTAAAAATACATAAGAAGATTCGAAGTAAAGGACTAACAAAAAAGAAAATATATAAAGAGAAAAAGATATAATACCAAGTACTCTGATTGAGTGTTTATATATATATATATATGTGTGTGGGAATCAAATTAAAATTACAAATGGATACTAAAAAAATGAAATGACTAGGAATAAAAAAAAAGAAAAATGTGAATCCAAAGAAATAACTAATATGATTTGGATTTGCCTTTTGATGATTGACGAATAGGATCCAAATGAGCCAGCATTAACCGTAATCGTTCCAATGTCATGACAGACTTGTCATCAGGTCGAAGATAAGCAAACATGTCGGATTGCATTAATGTTTGGAAATAATCACTATCCTCCCCCATCTCCAGTTCAGGATCATTCAATGTGTTGCGGAAAGATAATGAGGAATCATGGATTGGATTTGTTTTTGGTAAAAACATCCCCATCATAGAATCAAAGGATGTAGATGCATTGCTTGTTTTTGTCGTAAAAGTCATGTTGTATAAAAAAGAGAAGAAAGAAAAAAAAAAAAAAAAAAAAGAGAAAAAATCTTCTTTATAATGATCATCAACTCCGCATTTTTCTCTCGGAACTGACAGGGAAATGGTTTTATATTTGTTTTTTCACATGAATGTTACTGATCATTTGTCAACTATATTAGAAGAGGATGATTTTCAATAAAAATATTTTCATTTTTTATTTCAAAATATATATGAGGGGATATTCACTAAACTATGCTATTTTTTTTTCTGTTGTTGTTTTGTCATTGGTAGTTTGAAGTTGTTGGAAGGTATCAGTCAACACTGTCATTTCATTGGTTGTGCTGGGTTCAACATGTGGTCGATGATCCGATTTATCCCAAATATAAGAAGAAGGAATAGGGGGATAGGTTGCATTTTGTTTTTGCTGTCGTTGTTGATCAAATATGTCGTTGGAAAGAGTGGTCACTGATGAACATGTTGAAATAGAAGAGGATGATGAGGACAAAGATGAGAGTGAGGTTACAGATGATTTTCGACGTAAATCAACGGATTGTAGAGTGTATCGATGATTCCTTCGCTGTTCCTTTCGTTCCCTTTTTTCCAATCGCCGCAAGTGTCGCATCGTTCGTTCCAATTCCTTTTGTTGTCCTCGGAGCGCCTTATGTTGCTCTTTGCATAATTGTCGTTCTCGTCTTCGTTCCAAAAACTGATTTCCAAATCCATCATCATTTGTACCATTTTCGTGTTGTCGTTCCTTTTGCTTCTTTTCCTTTTTGTTCCTGTCAGTAGTGTTGGTCATGTTATCACCATCGTCTCGATAACGTGAGCTGTCCTTTGCAATACTAAATGTTTCAATTGGATGACGACTGCTTGATGAATTGATCGTTGCTGATGAGGATGGTAAAGGTGGCATCCAATGGGATAATATACGACTTGTTTGTTTCAAAATGGTTGGTAAAATAGGTGGACGTGGATATAATGATAAATGAGACGACCGAGAAGGTTGATAAGAAGAATGATGATCAGTAGTATATGTTGATGGAGGAGATGCTGTTGGCGGTGGATGTAGAGAAGAATAGGCTGGCCATTCTCCCCATGAAGATGTTGGAATCGATTGTTCAGATAGATAGCCATAATGAGTATGTCGTCTGTTGATCCTTTTCTTTTCTTCCGAATGATGATGTGATGAGGATGACATATGGTCGTCATACGAAGGTGGTAATTCATCAGGAGCAACTGATTGTATATTATTCCATAATTGATTCTTCTCTTTGTCATTACTGGGCAAATTGGAAGTTGATAGCCTTGATGATGATGATGATGATGACGGTGATGATGATGATGGCAGTGATGAAGTTGCTGAGCTTGATATTTTTGGAATAATGTTGGAAGATTTTCCATGTAGATCTGTTGAGCTTGGCATATCAGAAAAAAGTGACATACTAGGAGGTAAAGAAGATCGATAGCTTTTGGTGGTAGTAGATGATATATTTTGTTGTTCCAACCAGTCTTCGATTACGGTAAGGTCTACAGTCGATTGTCGAAAAATGAGTTGAGTGGCAACTTGGTGCATCCGTTTCATCGCCTGAGGGTTCTTTTGAAATAAATCCTGATATCGATCCATCAGTTTTCCAAATTGTTCAAATTGTGTCGCAAAAGAATGGTTCGTTCGAATTTTATCATCTTCTATTGGCGTCTTTTCGTTTGTCTTTTCGAGTCGAGAGTGTAGTTGTATTGTATTGTCAAACACATCTTGGGTTGCTTGAAGAGGATCAATATACAAATGAATGATACCAGTAGTACATTGCTGTTTCAAACTGTTCAGTTCACTATCAGTTGAAAGAGTAATAATATCATTTTCGATATCCCGATAAAAGACTTGAGTAACAGAGATCTTGAAAGATTCAAATATGAAATCACGTAGATCAACCCAATGAATATTGTTGGTAATGGATAAACACTCACTTCGGGAAGCGTGACTAACAATAAGTTCGATACGAGTCATAATATTAATAATAATAATAAAAAAAAAAAGGAAAAACAAAAAGAGAGAAGAAAAAAAAAAAGGTACTTCAAATAAAAATAAAAATAAAAAAAAAAAAAGACTTGGCAATTGAGTTATTTCCTTTTTTGATGGTTAGTAGGGTCTCCGACTGGACGACTGATCATAGTATGCCAAGGAAATGTAATTTATGCGGACGAATCGTCATTTTCAAATGATTTCAAAACAAATTTTATTATGTACAAAAGAAGGGAAAGTGTAAAATAAAGGATGCCTTGGCATTTTATAAAAAAAAAGATGATATATATATATATATATATATGAGTGTGAGTGTGTGTGTGTGTGTGTGAGAGAGAGAGATCCCTAATGATAATAACCCAAATATTTAACAGATATTGTTACTAAACTATATTATTCCTTCCTTTTGTACCCAACCAGATGTCCCAAGATATTCGATAAACTAACAATTCCAATCAATTTGTTGTCTTCATCTACTACAATCAATCGATATACACGCTGTTTTCTAATAGTTCGAAAGATGGAATGTAAGGTATCGTTCAATCTACAAGTATGTACACCAGGGTAATTCTATTAAAAGATGTTAATGATGATAATATTCAATTTTGGTTTTTTTTCCTCTTTTTTTACCTTTGGTCGAGCTTCCAGCGCTTCACCCACGGGGATATCCAATTGATTGTAGTTTCCAGATCTTGCTATACTCTATATATATATTTATATAAGTAAGTTTGGTATATTTTTTTCATTCATTAACTATCTTACCATAACATCGATTGTTTCATATACATTTAGTACAATGCCTTGATCATCAACTATAGGTACTGCACTGATATTTTGATCCACAAATGTATTGATGATTTGAATTACAGGAGTAGACATGGTAGCTGTTGCAATGTTTTTATAAGTGCCGATCTTGAGTTCCGATAACGGTTGACGCAAAACATGTGATTCCTTGAACTAGATATTTAAAAAAGAAGATCAGATCATTTTTCCTAATATACCACAATAATATGTTACTTACATTAACTGCAATAAACTTGAGAATACGATATTGAGTAATCACGCTCACAATCATTTCCATTCCAGTATCAGGTTCCTTATCCAGAAGAGGGACTCGATGAGCACGACTTTCTGCCAGTAGCCGACAAGCATCATATAACGATGCCATAGGATCCATATAGAGTAGTTGAGGAGCAGGTGCACCAATTTGTTTTTCCACATTACGAAGATGAGCTAGTTCACACTTTTCAATATCTCGTAGTGCTTCTTCCACCGATGAATGAGTATAATAATATTGAATTAAATTAATGAAATCCGCTACTGTTAACATGCCTGCAAACTTTTGTGACGAACTATCCCATAATGGTGCTGATACAATACCTAAATAATAATAATAAAATAATAATTAAAAACAAATGAATGAAAAAAAAAGAAAGAGTAAATTCCATTTGATTATGAATCAATTACTTACCGTTTTGTACCAAAGCTGCAAGTGCTTTCTTGACAAGCAAATGAGTATCAAATACTATGACTCGATAACTGACCGGTAATACATCGTAGGCTGTATGTTGTTTCAGGAAAGTACACATGACTTTTTGAATATCACAAGCTTCTTCGGGTGGTGGAGGTGGTGAAGCATTCAAGGAATCTCTATCTGAACTGTGTTGTGATGGAATATCCGCGGTAGACATGATAAAGAGAAAGGAAGTAGAAGGAAGGAAGAAAGTAAAAAAAAAATTAAAAATAAAAATAAACCGAACGTGAGTATAAATATGAGTCGGTGCGTATGTATATGTGTCTATGTATGTATAGCGTGTGTGTGCGTGTGTGTCTGTGTGAGTGTGCGAAAGTAGATAAAGGAGCAAAAGAATAGAAAAGAGAACAAAGAAAGAGAAAGCGGCATTTGAAATTCGATAATGACTGATGATGAAACAATGATATTCCCCCCCTTTTCTTTTATATGATCCAACAAAAAAAACTGATCATTCACAGATAGAGAGAATGAGTAATATAAGAAAAGATATAGTTTAAATGAGCATGTATTTAAAATCATATCCATTTTGCTAAGTGTAAATGTGAATAGCTTGATGATATGCAAAATGTTTTTATTCTTATCTGATTCAAGATCAAAGTTCATCTTCTTATATATATATATATATATATATATGTATATATATTTTCAAAAAAAGAAAAAGTGAAAAATGGACAATATAAAGAACAGATATTTCATACTAATGAGGGCAATGCTATACTGTTGGAGTGATGCAGGAAAGAATAATTTCAATGTCAGTAACGAAAAGCCACTGATTTTTTTCTTTTTTTGACATTACTCTTTTTATATCTCTTTCTTTTTTTTTTTTTTTTTTTTCTTTCTTGATACAATTATTATTATGACTACATCTGCAAAACCTACTGAATCCATTTTGGGGGATAGTCTCAAAGTTGAATCCTCCCTTGATAGTCTATTCAAGAATAGTGTAAAGAAACCAAACTAGATATTATAAAATATAAACAATCGATCTAACATTTTTTATCTTTTTGTTTCGTTTAGGCTGGTCCTAGTGATGCTGTATCAAAACCTATTGCTACACCTATTCTTCCTTTTGAAAACAATACTGACTCCATTACTACAACACCTGAATCTAAAAAGGTAAAACAATTCTTTAAAAGAGAAAAGAAAGAAGGCTAATTTTTTTTTTTGGGTGAAAACTACCAGCGAAAGAAAATCGATACGACCATACCAGCTGAAGATGATATCCTTGCTATGGAAAGTTTACGAAAGAAGAATCGACCTGCTGTATTGACAGGTGACAAACAAGAAAAACAAAAAGAAAAGGACGAACGTACAGTGTTTGTGGGCAATTTACCGATATCCAGCGCAACCAAACAAGGCACCAAGGAACTACATAAATTATTTGGAAAGTATGGCAAGATAGAATCTATTCGATTCCGATCGTTTGCTATGGCCAATCATATGGATCGCAAAGGAGCGTATATCACCAAAAAGTTCCATAACAATCGTGAAGAAGTCAATGCGTATGTGGTATTCAAGACAAAGGATGAAGCTGACCAATGTGCCAAAGAGCTAGATGGACAAGTTTATCAGGAAAAACATTTGCGAGTGGATAATGCCAATGCATCAACGGTAAGAAAAGGAAAAAAAAAAAGGGAGAGATATAGTATTTTATAGAATCAATTCATCATACTTAACTACATTCATATATATATATATATAGGCTGTTGATCATAAGCGATCTGTATTTTTGGGACAATTACCATTTGATGTGAAGGATGAAGAATTATGGGACTTTTTCAAGACTGGATGTCAAGTACAACGAGTACGTACGGTACGTGATGCTCAAACCAACGTGGGTAAAGGATTTGGATTTGTACAATTTGAAGATCGTGATTCTGTGACGGTGGCATTAGCTATGGAAGACAAGGTATTCAGAGAACCTAATCACAAGATTCGAATTCAACGATGTGATAAATTGGAAGATGGAGCTAGAGGATCAGCCAAGAAATTTAGCAAACATAACCTCAAGAAATCCGCCAGTAAAATCAACAAAAAGAAAACAACAAAGAATGAAAAAGGATCCAAACGTCGAACACTTCCCACTCCCAAGCTGATGGAAGGAACAAGATCAAATAAGGAACAAGGAAATCCTCTTAAAATTGCCAAGATTGTGAAAAAAGCAAGCAAGAAATCATCCAAGAAATAGATTACCTTTAATTAGTTTACTATTTTTATTTCTATGAATCATTTGTCATTATATGCATCAATAAATTACATACACATCATGAATGGAAAAAAAAGAGTTGATTTTATTTATTTATTTTTTTTTTATTGATATATTGTCTAAGTTCACATTTGGGTAGGAAGAGGATAATCAAAATACCCCTCCAATAAAAAAAAACTGAATGCAAAAAAAAAAAAAAAAGAAAATAGGAGGGTTGATCACAAAATAATAATAATAATAATAATAATAATAATAAAAATAGGATAAAAAGCTCAAGGAATGGAAGAGGGAATACAAATGGGAAAAAATAAAAGGATAATCAAAAAAAAAAAAAAAGGAGATAGGATGAAAATACTAACTATTGTTGACTGATCACAGCTCTATAGTTGTCGCTGTTTCTTGTTAAAATGGCATGTACAGGACCAAGTAAACGAGTAAATGCCTTTTTGCCCAAAGTAGCACATTTCAAACGACCACCAGAAGCAATCACAGTAGCAGCACGAGGACTATCATTCAATAAAGCCAATTCTATACATAGTATTGATTATTAGTTTTCCATCACAAAATAATAATAAGAATAAGAATAATACTTACCACCAAAATAAGCACCACGACTACCTTGATTTACTTCTTGTTGTACACCATTTTCATCCAATTTATAAAAGACAGCATTTCCAGATTCAATGATATAGAATTGATCACCCACATCCCCTTGTTTGATAACAGTTTGACCTTCTTCAAAATAGACAGATTCCAAGGCATCAGCAATCTTGTGTCGTTCATAAGATTTCAAGGATTTGAGTAATGGGACTTCTTCCAAAAAGGATTCATACATGCGACGTTTTCGACTAGTGTGTTCCATCAAAATAGTTCGGAAAGTGATACGATCCAAAGCCCAGACAACACTAGGAGAAGTAGCGATGATGGTAGCTGCTCTAGGAGCATTGTACATCAAAGCAAGTTCACCAAAACTACCACCAGCTTCATAACTAACAACCTTGACTTGTTCTTCGCTATTAGGTTGCTTGATAAAACAATCAAAAGTACCAGATTCCACAATATAAAAGTAATCACCTACACCACCTTGTTCAATGATACGATCTCCACTTTCCACATGTTTTTCGGCCATGGCATCCACCACATCTTGTGCTTGTTCTTCATCCAGATGTTTGAATAAAAAGTTATTGCCTACACTAAATCGAATACGATCACATTGCTCAGTTGTCTTTGGAATCACCGTCTTGATAAAGTCTTGACTTTGAGAAGGAGCAATCGATTCAGCACTGACAGAGGTACGTCGATCCCGATGATAATTGGTAGGCATGGTCATGGGTGTGTTTAAAGGTGCAGTTGAAAAATTGTCTCTTTCTTCATCATCAAAGTCATCCTCATCTTCGTCTTCATCATCTTGGCGATCGTCACTATCCATCCATTGGAAAGTATGTGTATCCGGTCCATTATCCATTTCTCCATTAGTTGCTAGTGGGTGATGTTCATTTCCTCCTATATAATAAAAATAATAATATATGTTTTTAAATAAATAAATAAATAATAATATAAATTTGATATATTGACTTCTTTTTATTTATTTATTTACCATTAAACATGGCCTGTCGTTGTTCTCGGAATTGAGAGCGTTGTTCAGCTAATTTTCGGTTGAAAAAGTCAGCACAATATTGGACAACATCCGTTGGTTCATCACGACAGTAATCATTATGAAGGTCAGTCAAAAGTTGAGTATATTCGTCAACATAACCAAAAGTAAAGTTACTATCTATAGTCATTTGAAATATTAATTTTAAATTTTTTTAAAAAAAAAGTAAAAAAGAAAAAAAGAAAATAATAATAATAATAAAAAAAAAGAAAAGAAAAAAAGAAAAAAAGAAAAAGGAAGCTTGAAATCGACCCGCCGACTCACATTTTTTATTTGTTTACAACGTCAGCTCCCACGTTTTTACTGTGTCACCAAGACGCTTTTGAACAGATGATATTTCAAACACGAAAAAAAAAGAGACATATTTTGAATGGTATGACTTTTTTTATTATTAATTATTATTATTTGATATACAAAAAAAAAAAAAAAAACATAATAACTAAACTACCAACTATAAAAATAATCTAAATCAAACAAGACCCTAAAAATAATAGAGAGAGAAAAAAAAAAGGATGATGAATAAAAAAAAGAAAAAAAAATATTTGAAATCAAATTTTCTTTTATTCTTTTTCTTTTTCTTTCAAATAATCAGAGTGAGAGGAAACATTCGTTCTTTCATATACTTTAGTATAATCAAAATGAGCTGGGTTTAATAGCAATAAATCCAATCATCATAATAGAAAGAAAAAGATAAAAGACAAAACAAAAAGAAAAAGAAAAAAAAAAAACTTACCTATAACATAATATGAGTCCAAGTGATAAAGAAGAAAAAGAAATGAAGAAGAAAAAAAAGAAAAAAAGCCAACTTTTTTATATTGGTTACATGAATGAAAATTTTTTTTGACTTAACGCAGTCATGAATTCTCTAGTCATAAAAAACACTAACCTTCTTTTTTTTTTTTTTTACCCAATAAAACCACGTGGAACTTTAAATCTTTGATCCAAAGGGACCTGTCAGAAAACTATCTTATTGATGCCACCGTATCATGATTACTCTGATCGTTTTATCATCATCCAATCATACATATTCATTATATTCTTCTATACAGTTCATCACCCATCATCATTGATCATCATCCAATCTACCATATCTTTAAAGTTTTTTTTTTTTTTTCAATAAGTGTTTTATTATTATAAAGATCAAAACTAATAAATATAATAAATAATATCAAATAATAAAAGAAAAACGATTAACGTTTTTGTTTTCTAAATAACCATACAAAGAACGCAAATGCCAAGACGTTAAAAACCCAAAAGGCCAAAAGAATACCCCAATCTCGATATCGATTGTCAAAAGTCCATCCAATGCGGGAGTAATAATCAGCACCTGTTGAGTATTGACAATATTGACAAGACGTGGTACTGGAAAGAGAATCTGCTGTCAAATAACCTGTACCACCAGTTGCGAAGAAAGTACTAGCGTATTGTTGACATGTTTGACCAGGAGGAGGGATAAAAGTAAGTAAATCACTGGGATGACATGTCACCTTGAGTTGATATAGTTCATTCACCATAAAGCCTTCAATCAAATAATGATATGGATCCAACCAATACATCCACGATCGCCAAAAGTAAGGCATATCGGCAGGAGGTTGAATGATACCAGCAAATAGAATCAAAATCGATGAGAAGAATGGATTGATCACAGCTGCCATCGTGGCCGTTGCAGAGAAGGACGCGATCAAAAATCCAAAAGAAACAGAGAAACCCAAGAATACCACAAATAATATAAAGAAGTATCCAATACGATCTGATCCAGTTTGTAATCCTGCAGTCCAATAGAAGCAGAACATGAATAGTGCAGCGAATATGATGATATAAGGTAATTCAACAATGATACATCCAAGTGCTAATAATAATAATAATAAAAATGATATTGGAAAAAAAAATAATTAATTCATTAGTCTCACTTTTTTTTTTTTTTTTTTTTTGCGACTTACCAAAAGGAGCCCAACCATAGTAACGAGATGCATATTCACGTCTAAACCATTGTCTTTCTTCCATAAATCGAGGTTGTCCTAATACAATCAAACTGTTTGCCATCATCAATGTTGTAAAGATACAGAACAATCGATTGTTCATATCTACCACCGAATCACTCAATTTCCAAAAACTGAATCCAGAGATCAGAGCAATAAATATAACCTTGAAGAGTCGACCAACATTGTATGAAGGACATCGCCACCAAGATATATTGAGTCGCTGATAAACATACCAGAATTGCCAGAAAAAGCTGAGTGAGTACGTAGGAGGATTGCGTTTTAAATTAGGATCGATGGAGGAATGAATTTCTTCCAATTCGGTATGTAATTGTTTAGCTTCGTTAGAGTTAGCCCACACTTCAGCCCAGTCTTGTAAAGCATGTCCAGAAGTACCAGCACCGACGACTTCTAAAATATATTCAGCAGGGTTGGCACTAGGAGAACATTTTTGTCCACCATGAGATTCAAAATAATCAATCATTGTCTTGGAATCTTCGCCAATAGGTCCATAGTAAGCCGTTCTTCCACCACGTACCAAAAGTAACAAATGATCAAAATAAGAAAACAAGGTCGCAGAAGGTTGATGAATCGTACATAACACGGGCCATCCTACATCGGCAAGCTTTCGAATAAACCGAACAATATTATAAGAAGATTGAGCATCCAAACCAGAAGTAGGTTCATCCAAAAACAAAAGTCGAGGCTTGGCTACCAGTTCTACACCAATTGTCAATCGTTTTCGTTCTTCCACAGAGATACCCTTCATACCTTGAGGGTCACCAATCAAAGATTCTGCAATTTTTTCCATTTCCAAGAGTTCCAAGATTTGTTCCACATAATCATCCTTTTCTTGCTTTGATACATCAGGAGGTTGACGTAGATAGGCAGAGAATCGTAGAGCTTCACGTACTGTTGCATTAGGATTGTGGATATCCATCTGTTCACAATATCCAGTAACACGTTCAAAATCACTATGTAAAACTTCACCATTCATATACATGCGTCCTTCCACTTTGCCGATTGTCTTTCGTTTTGATAATACATCCAATAGAGTTGTTTTACCAGCACCAGAGGAACCCATCAGTGCTGTAAGATGCCCAGGTTTGACAATACCACCAATATCATTTAATAATTGCCGAGTGCCACCTTTGACAGGAACAGTATAGTCGATATGCTGCCATGTGAATGTCGTACCTGTATCCATTGCTTGCAATTTAGTTTTACCAGCATTTTTAGCACGCTCACGTAATTCTTCTTCTGTTTCTTCCTTGGGTGCACAGTTACGTTTGTAGACCTTGACTTGAGAACCACCTTTGCTAAGTTCCAGGTATTCCATAAAGAGAGCCGTCAACACAGTAAAAAGGAAGAAGAATAGAACCACAGCTACAAAGTTGATCCAACGTTGCCATGATGCATAACCATAAGTCACTGCCAAATAAGAATCACCGAGAACATAGGTATCACCAGGGAGAGCACCATGAATAATACATGTACGAAAAGCAGGATTGGTGTAAGTGGGTCCCGAGGGCACATGATCCCGAGCAGGCAAACAAGAATAATGTTGTCCATGCATTTCATTTTCCAAAATAGCCTTGTATGCATATGCCAGAGGGTTAATCCAGTAAATCCACATAAGCCAAGGATGCATTTGAGTATAAGGAATTTGATAACCAGTATAAATCATGAGAGCAATCAAAACACAAGATGACAGTTGTGAGGCTACAAAGAAGTTGGGAGATACACTACCAAACATTCGGAAGAAGCCATTCATACATAGATTACTGAAGATCAACACCAGCATAAAAGTAAAGAACTAGTTTACAAATAAATAAATAATAAAAAAAAAATAATTTAATTTCTTAATCCTAAAGATATATTCATTTTTCCTTTACTTACTTGTCCTGCCGTTAAAGTCAAATTGGCGATAAAGTACACACATAATGTGAAGATGATCACTTGAATAACGGCCATAGGGATATCTGCCATCACTTGAGCAATGTAAAAATACATAGGTCGATACAATGCATATGATTTATGTTTTTCCAATACCCGACGTCCATGCATAAATGTTGACAATTCAGATTGAGCGATAAGAGAATTGAAAAGAAGAGAGAAGAAAAGAAGACCACCAACAGAGAAAGTACCAGTAGCTGTTTGTTGCAGATTATAAAATACTGATGCCATGATAATACCTTTGACAATCACACCACCATAACGAGAAATGAGAGCACCCTTATCACCTAAAATACAAAAATAACAAAAAAAAAAAAAAAAAAAAAAAAGAAGGGTTAACTATCTAATTTATTTTTAATATTTTGTCACTTACCATAAATAAGTTGAAATTGTCGAATAGTTAAGGCTTTAATTTGAGACATAGGAGTGGCGGTAAAAGGAGATCGTTTACTTGCATGTTTTTGATGAGCTTCAGCAAAGGCTTGTCGAAAATCTTCATCAGGACGTTCACGTTCCACTTCTTCTTCATAATCAGCTATTTCCTTGAGAGCCTCTTGATAGATATTAGATTGTCGATATCGTTCTTCAAATTCTTGAGGGGTTGCAGGGATCTTGTCTTCAAAACCAGGACGAGCTTCACGTTCCATAAAGTTACATAAACCAGTCAAAAAGTCAGGAGTTGATTTTCGAGAAGGACAGTGAAAACCCATATCTTCAAAATAAGATTTTGCTTGATCAGTAGGACCAAAATAGAGACAATGACCACCATCCAAAACCATACAATGATCAAACAAGGAATAGATACTATCAGAAGCTTGATACAGAGTAGCCACGGTTGTTTTTTGAAAAAGATCAGTTAGTACACGTAAGGAACGAACATAATCCAAAGCAGAAGAGGCATCCAAACCACGAGTAGAACAATCCCAACAGTTAATACACGAACCAGTTGTCATTTGTTCGGCTATTGTCATCCGTTTACGTTCACCACCAGAGAGACCTCGTACAAATTCATTACCAACCATAGTATCCATTTGTTTTGTTAGACCCAACATATTGCCCATAAGATAAATGATTTTTTCTTGAAACTTCTTTTTTGTATCGCCTGCTAGTCGTTTTCCAGGAGTCTTGCACCGAATAGCAAATCGAAGTGTTTGAGCCGCTGTTAAAGTAGGATAATGTAAATCTTCTTCTTCATTGTAACATACTTCACCACGGAATTTCTTGCTAAATTCATTAGAATCAATACCACCATAACTGACATCTCCAGTGATTTCAGTAAACCCTTGCCGCATTTCAGAAAGAACACGTAAAAAGGTTGTACAGCCAGAACCAGGACGTCCAAGAACTAAAAGCATTTGACCAGGTTTACAATAACCAGTGATATTATTGAGAATAGTTTTATCATGACCTGATTTTCGTCCCCATCGCCAAAAACAACATATTTTTTCAAATACAGTTGCAATAGTAGGAATCCATTCGTGATCAGCACCAACACCCTTAAAAAAAAAAAAAAGTTAAGGAAAGGAAAGAGAAAGACGGAATTTTAAAAACTATGGTTCCCATTTTTTTTTTTTTAAATACCTTGACAGTCAAATTTTTGACAACGAGACCCAATCGTTTAGGTTTGAAACCTTCTTCCTCGCGTCTAACAGTAGCACCAGTAAGAAAGTCGGTAAGATCAAATTCTTCAGCCTTTTCTTCACCAGGTATACCAGCTGCTGCGATAGATTGTCGGCTCATTTCCCGTCGTATACTTTCATAAGCACTTTTAGCATCATCAATATCCACTGCATTACCAGACGTTTCACCATAGCCACCAGCTGTACTTGTTCTTCTTAACGGTTCACCAGATCCACTATAAGGTGATTCATCTGGTACTTGATATGTTCCATCACCACCTTTTGTATCATATTTGTTTTGATGTAAACCTTCAAAATCCATCAGTGAAATTTATATCAGGTTTTTATTTTTTTTTGTTGTTATTTATAAAAAAAAATAAAATAAAAGAATTTGTTATCTTCCTTTATATAGAGAATATTTAAATTTTCGAAGAGAAAAAAAAGAAAAAAAGCATCGGTTTGATCTATTTCCCTTGTCATGCTACATGCGATAAAAGAAATACCGTAAAATGATTCTCCGATACTGATTTTCCTTAATGAATTGCCCAGGTTTCAAATGATTTGGGTAGGATACCCAATTTGTCAGTCGATAAAAGTAAATCCTTCATAATGGCATCAGTGGAAGAAAGATTCACCGCTCCAAGCTTTCATCAAATGAAAATAAATTGGACTAAATCACTTAGATATGAATACAAAGAAATGAATGTTGTTCAGCGGATTTAGTTTATGCGATGATCAACAACAGTAGAAGCTAAAATAACCCAAAAATAAAAAAAAAAGGAGATGAAGATCAATATGATGGATGATGGGATAGTTGAACGATCGTATAATAAATGATTCGCATCTTCATTCATTTAAATAAATTCTGGTTCAAAGTCAAGTTATTTTTTATTTCTTTCATCAAGGTAATTAACTGACCAATAATAACAACATAAACTATAACTTATCTAACAATAGAATAGGGATATCATCGAGAGCGTCTTCCATTTATTCCTTCTACAAACGAGCACCAGTAGGGAATTGCTTCATAGCTTGACGAACACCCAAATCAGCCATGATTTCTTCAGATCCACCCAAGATAGCCTAAAAAAAAAAAATCATATAATACAAATGAGTGAATTCAATTTATAATCATAAGTTTCTTTCATTCATTATACTTACAGAGAATTTGTAGGTTCTTTGGAGCATTTCAACATAACGACCCATACCAGTCTTGGTAATAGCACGACCACCAAAGATTTGACAAGCATCATCACTCACATTGTGAAGCATACGCGTGGATTGGTATTTGGCCAAGGCAATGGGTCCAGCAAGCTTTTCAGATTGTTCCTTGTAATCCATATGATTCATTTGGAAGGTCAAATTTTCGAGCCAATTGTGGAATGATTCTACTTGAGCAATCTATATATAATTGATAAGTTTTTTTTTTTTAAAAAAAAAATCAATTATTTTAGTTCATTGATAAATAATTGTCTTCCTCTTTTTTTTTTTTATTATTATTATTATTACCATGCTAGCAAGCTTGTTACGGATAACAGGTTGATCAATAAGACGTTTTCCAAATACCTTACGTTGATTGGCCCACTTGAAACATTCTTCAACAGCCATACGACCAGCATAACTGGCACCCATAAGCATAACCAAACGTTCATGGTTGAAGTTGGCTATCATCCAAAAAGGAAAAGAGAAGAGTAGTGAGTTGAATTTTTTTTTCCTTTCACATAAAGATGATTGCTTATCATTGTTTTTCTTTTTTTTTTTTATTTCACTTACAAAGAACTACCTTGAAACCTTGATTTTCAACACCCAACAAGTTTTCAACAGGAACTTTAGCCTTTATAGTATCACATAAATAAGAAGAAAAAAAAGATATTAGTTAATATGTTTCCAAAATAAGCATAAAAGAAAAAAAAAACAAAATTAGGTTACATTTTCAAAGGTGACATAGGCAGTACCAGCAGCAGGCGAATAGGAAGTGCGGATGGCCTTGGTTTCAACACCTTCACCACGTTCAATCAAAAGCATAGAGAGACCCTTGTCAGTACGAACGGCAGTGGAGAAATAATCAGCGAATCTATCAAATAAAAATTATAATTGATCAGTTGTCAATAAATAACATAGTCATTTCTAACTTTGTTCATTTACCGTCCACCAGTAATCCATTTCTTAACACCGTTGACAATGTAGTGAGAACCATCAGCAGAAAGTTTAGCAGTCGTACGAATTCTTGCAACATCAGAACCAGCATAAGGTTCAGTAATGGCCAAACAAATACGCTTTTTACCAGAGAAGGCTTCAGGAACAACCTAATATTAGAAAAGCAAAAAAAAAAAAAAAATTGTAAGTAAAAAAAAAAAAAAAAAAAAAAAAAAGATATTATTCATCTTTTATTTTTACCTTTTCGCGCAATTGAGGTTTGGCAAAATTGAGAACAGTAGGAATAGAGATGACAAAACCACCAATAACACCATCATCGACACCTCTGGGGACAACTCTAGCGAATTCTTCACTATAATATGAGAATAATTATAAAAATAATAAAAGTAAAGATCAATCATCACCATCATTATATTAATTCAAGGTTAGTTTGACATTATATCAAAAGAACTTACTGGACAATCATTTCACTAAATAAAAAAAGAAAGAGAGAAAAAAGGAAGAAGTGAATATTACCAAGTATGGATCACTGGGACAATAAAAAAAAGAAAAAAACTTACTGGAAATAATCGAATTCATCAGGTTTGACACCACCAGGGATATTCACACCACGAAGATGTTTTCCAGGGCCAACATTACAAGCCAAAAGACCATGTTGACCAAGTTTTTGCAAGAGTTCATCAGAGGGTTTACCATCAGTTTGTTCAAGTTCACGGAAATCAGGTTCAAGTTCACCCATGATCTTACGAACAGCAGCGCGGAATTTGAAATGACTTTCACTATATAAAATACATGAATACAAATAAATAAGCGTGAGATTGCATTTTCATTTTTCACGTGTCAAAAGAAACCATCATCATCATCATCATCTATATACGCATATATATATCCCCACAATCCAAACAAATAGCTATGCATTCCTCCTTTTTTTTTCCCTTGTGTATAATGATATTATTATTATTGTTATTATTATTTATCTTACGTAAAGTAGGCAGACTTGAAACCCATCCAAGCACTTGGTTCAGCATAGGGCACCTTGGAGAAAGAACCAGGTTCGCGCATTTCAATTTGAGGTTGTTCATTAGCAATAGTACCAATCTTATAACGGTTATATTTGAGTAAAACTTCTTGACGATGAAGACCATAGAAAGCATCAGTTGCATCTTTGCCAGCCAATTCAATTATAGGGAATGCACCACCAGGGTGAAGATCAATAAAGCGACTCATATCATATACACTGGAATCAATAATGATCCACAAATCTTCTTCAGAAGCATGACGAGCGACTTCTTCACGAGTAAAAGTTTTGGACATTGTAAGAATAAATTAGGAGTAGGGAGAAAAGGTAGAGAAAAAAAGAAAAAAAGAAAAAGAGAAAAGAAAAGAAAAAAAAAACACACAATGTGGGGAAAATAAGTTCCAAATTTTCACTGCGGTCCTTCAATTCATTTCGTCGTGTAAGCAAAAATACAATTGAAAATGTGTGTTTTCTCTGGTGACAAAAAAGAACAAGTCATATAGGAAAGGTTTCAATAAAAATAGTAGGCATTATTTTATCTCTTGTTAGATCATTATTAATCATGATAATAGCAACAATGATGATACTGATGATGAATGATGATGATGTGGATATCGTGATAATAATCATGATATTAATAAAGAGTGTGTACATTTTACTCAATCGCCTTGATATTACAATGGGCATATCGACAATGATGATCATCTGTCTATTCTTTTTGCCTCTTTTAAAAGAGAGGGGTATAAACAACAAGTTTGAATGTTCGGTATGAATGATGACAGTGGATTCAACTTTTTCATCCAAAGTTTTCCTTACATAGAATGTTCAACAAACACTTGCTATAATTCGGTCATTCCTAATATGGCAAGAGGACTCAATGTATCCGCAATTATATTATACCCGAAACCTGATAAAATTCGATCAAGGCAATCCATGATACGCCAAACAGTAATCACTAAAGCATACTTTTCTTTAAAAAAAAAACATAAGTTCATTTACAAAAATCAAAACAATCATAATAATAATATAATATTGTATTTCGTTTGATAATAAAAGATAAAAACGAATAAAAGAAAGAATCATAAGCTAGTCATTGGTGACACCATCTTCAATTTCGTAACTATATACTTTAGTTGCTCCATCTAATAATAGAAAATAAAAAAAAAAAAAGGTAAGAATTAAATGCATAAAGTTTATCTTTGGCTTGATCCTACCATCACCACAAGAAAATACCAATGGAAAATAAGGATGAATAAGAATATCTCGTACTTCCGAATCTTTAAAGAAAATGAAATAAAAAAGTTGAGTATCTATTGATCATCATCATCTTTCTTTTTTTTTTTTTTTTTTTTTTTTTTTTTTTACCTTCATGTTCTTTGATAACAGCTGTTAATTGACATGTCATCATATTGAATATGAATAATTGGCCATACATAGTAGGTGCAAATAGATATCGACCGTTGGATGCTACTTTTACTAACCAAGAATTGGAATGATAGCTAATCAAAAAAAAAAAAAGGAATAAATAATAATCGAAATGAAATAAAGGAACCAATAAAATTGTTTTTTTATTATATCAACTTACTTTTCATTCTTGAATCGATGTACTTCTTCCAATTTAAATAATTCACCAGTTTTTTTGGGATAGATCAATCTATGTAAAGTACATGTATTGGGAGTACTTGCTATTCAAACATAATAAAACAAAAAAAAAGTTTAGGTTTCATCCATCCTCTTTCTTTCCTTTTTTTTTTTTTTTTTTTTTTTTTTTTGGTTCCTTACCGACTTCTCCATCATCAATCATTTCGGCACCACGGCTAATAAAGTAGGCAGGAGGCGGAAGTTTTACCGGAAAATCAGGTTCATTTTCTTCAATATCAATCAAGTCACAATCATCATCATGATGTGATTCAATAGGTTTTCCTTCAACTAATTCTGATGTTTGTTGTTTCATAAATAAATCTTGATCTAGCCATTTCACAAATTTTCCACAATCGCAATAAGATGAATAGATTCCTTCAAAAGTTTGTAGTAACTATAAGTAAGATTAGTACAGAGCCTTTTTTTTTTTTTTTTTTTTTTTTTTGAATACCTGAGCTTCTTCAAAATCATAAAGTCGGATATGAGCATCACAAGCTCCCAAAAAATACTTGTTTCCAGTATGCGGTATAAAACTAACGGTAAATGCCATGCAAGTAATACCATCTTCCATCCGTGTCGATTGGATCAATGTCCTAGTTTTATATATATATATATATATATATATATAAGATAATAGTCATCAATACAAGGATTATAATGAATAAAAACAGAACTAAGAGATTATTTGATTCTTATTCTTGATCACTTACTTCCAATCAGAATCAACGTGCCATTTAAAAATGTAACCATCTTGACTAGTAGTAATATAATAGTTTTGTTGATCAAATTTCAGTGACTTGATACAAAGAATTTCTTCTGAATGACCTTCCAGACGACTAATTACCGTTCCATGTTCAAGATCAAAGATCTACAAAAGAAAGAAAAAAAAATGTTAATTTATACATAAAAAGATTGATCTTTTTCTTCTTCTTCTTTTATATATACCTTGATGGGACAAGGTAAGATATGACAATCATCATCTTCACTAGACCATCGATGTCTATCCTTGAGTTTTCCACCGGCCAAAATGAATTGATCTTGAAATATACCACAAAAGAATTCATCAATATTATCTTCACTAGTATCTCGAAGTTTACGTAAAAGTCGAAATTCATCTTGTATATCCCAAATCTTGACAGAACCCAATGTACAAAAAGTAGCTAAAAGTAAACCATCTTGTGATAATGCCATACCAAGTACAGGACCTTGATCATCCAATGAATGTATTGCAGTAATGGGCATATCTTCGTTCACTGTACCAATCATATTACTGTTGTCTGCATGGTATTTCCAATAGGTATCAGGATTTCTTGATTTAAGGTCTTCTGTACGTTCATGATTGTATTGAGGAGGAGCAGGTGTTACTTTGGGTTGTCGACGTTTTTGATTGACTTTTGTGTTACCACCAGTACGTCTGTTTCTCCTTTTGGATTTTGTTTTTGAACGCGTCACTGAACTAGTTGTTGTCAGTGGTTGTAATGGTGTAAGTTTTTCTATCTTTTCCAATAATTCGTCAGTATCATAGCCATCAATAGAGTCATCAGAATGATCTTCAATAGAATTTGGTTGAGGAATAGGAGAAGAAGGAACTTCCATGTCTTGACCAGGATTATCTGATATAGCCTTTGCCTTTCCTTTTTCATTTTTGGAACCAGTTGCTACAACGGATGCATAAGAGATTGTTGGAGAGAACAATAAGGAAGAAGAAGAAGAGCGTGTTGACATTCTCCGCCTATTTTGTTCAGTTTTGTGACGCCTATTGCCTTGATGAAAATCAACAGGTTCGTTTTCCGTCCAAAGCTTCTTTTTGCGTAATTTTCTGGTTTCTTTGGAAAAAGAATCTTCTGATTTTATAGACATTTTCAATGATTTTTTTTATATATTATACTCATAATAATAATAAAAAAAAAAAAGAAAGAAAAAAAAAACACAAACGAAAAAGAGAGGTAAACAAATCATGAATCATTTGAGGAGAGGAACAATCTTGACCATGTTGATTTCACAGTCCGATGTACACTTTATTCAGGTGCATGAATGAAAGAAGAGGCGGAAATAAAGTTCTAACGATGTCCCACAGAATGACAAAAAGACTATCCAAGTAAAAGTCATTTTACTTCCCCGAAATTTGGTTTTGAAAGAGAGAGAGCACTTAACACTTTTGTGTATCAATTTTCATCTCATGCTAATGGTATCACAACAAAGTTTTTTTAGACAAAATAGCTTAATTGACCTCTTTTTTTTTTCTTTTATTTTTTCTCTCTTTCTCTTGTTTTTTTTTTTTTTTATTTATTTTGATTTTTTTTTTTTTGGTTCCCCTTTCCTTTCCTTTTTATTTAATTTGAATATTAATTAATCATCATCATCCATGGGCTGTTGTTTTTCAACCGAACCATCCATTAGTTCTGAACATCTACATAGTGACGAAATCGATCAAGAATTGAGGGCGGAGAAATTAAACTCTCAATATGTAGCCAAATTACTTCTCTTGGGTAAAAATTTTTCTTTTTCTTTTACTCCTTTTTCTTTTTTTTTTTTATTTTTACTTTTCAATAGATCATGACTTTTTATTAAAAAAATATTATTATTATTATTATTATTATTATTATTATTATTATTATTAACTTGATATTGTCTGTTCAACACGTTCGGATTTAGGTGCCGGTGAATCAGGGAAATCTACCTTTTTAAAACAAATTCGACTTATTCATGATGGTGGATTCACAGCTGAAGAACGACAAGCTTATCGTGATATTGTAGTCAAGAATTTATTACAATCCATGTTGACATTATTAGAAGCTGTTGATTTATTAGACTTGGAAATGGAGAATACTTTGATATCAAATACAGACGTTTTGGATCGTACTACCATGATATTGAAACTCCAACAACACGCTAATGGTATAGGCAAAGGCAATATTTTATTACTTCCTATGGATTTAGTTGAAGTTATTGACAGATTATGGCATCATCCTACTATTCAACACGTGTATGAAAGAAGAAATGAATATCAACTGAATGATTCTGCTGCTTAGTAAGTATATATATATATATATATATATATCTATGTTTTTTTTTTTTGTCACACTCTTATATTGAATGCGGAGATCTAACCTTTTCTTAATATTATACTTTTTGTTATAGTTACTTTGATGCTGTTCACAGAATTGGTGACCCAAGATTTATTCCCACTGATCAAGATATTTTACGATCTAGAGTGAAAACAACAGGAATAACGGAAACAAGGTTTACTGATACAAGATACGAATATCGTGTTTTTGATGTTGGAGGACAACGTTCAGAACGTAAAAAATGGATTCATTGTTTTGAAGATGTCACTGCTCTTCTCTTTATGGTGGCACTATCAGAATATGATCAAGTTTTATTTGAAGATCCAACTGTGAATCGATTAATGGAATCAATACAGCTTTATGCCTCTATTTGCAATACGCCTTGGTTTAAAAAAACATCCTTTATTTTACTCTTCAACAAAACCGATTTATTCAAACAAAAATGGTCATCTGCAAGTTTTAAACATTATTTTACTGATTATAAAGGTATACTTATTATATATTCCCAAGAAAAGAAATTCATTTATTTATTTATTTTTTTTTCTCTCTCTCTCTCTCCTCTTATAGGTTCTGATCATTATAAAAGTGGGTACAAATATATTCAAAATAGATTCTTGGCTTTAAAACCTTCAACAACGGATACCCAAATTTACTCTCATTTTACTTGCGCTACGGATACTGATCAAATTCGATTTGTGTTGATTGCTGTCACTGATGTCATATTACAACAAAACTTACGATGTGGTGGTTTGATGGATTAAAACTTTCTTTTTTGGTGACCATTTACAACTTTTCTCTATTAGGTCATATACATATACATATATTTATTCCTTCTTCTTACTCATCATCACAACAACAACAACAACATTATTTCATCCTTTTTTTTTTATCCTACTCATTTTCCTTCTTGTACAGCACTTCATTCATATACAGTCCATTCCTTTTGATTATTATTTTTATTATTATTGTCAAAATAAAGAATCATTTTAATTGTCCTTCCAAAGTTATATGAATCTAAATATTATTTGATAGAACTATGATTGATAGATGATATATATGATATATATGATAAATAAAATATGCCTTGGAGAAAGATCAAATAGAACACGAGTATCAATTCACGTATTCCGAAATCCACCACCAAGTCTATATTATAAGCCTTCTAATCTACTTTCATACCATGAATGTTATTGATCAAAATGAAAATGAACTATCATGATATTCCATTTCAATTCTATTGTTAACATCATGTCAAATTTTATTGTAAACAAAAAGAAAAATACAAGTCTATATACAATAAGCAAGATAACTACATAAGGGAGCATATCATAGTCTATTCCGTCAAGATTTCCACACCATCCTCGGTTATCGCAATCTATAAAGTAAATATAAAACAAAAGAATCAGTACTTTTCATCTTTAATAAATGTTATTTGGTTTACCATATGTTCAAATTGAGCACTTCGTCCTTGATCGATAGTTGCAATTGTCCATTCATCAGGCCACATCAATCCTACAGAGGATCCTTGACTAAGTACAGGTTCTATAGTGAAAACCATACCAGGAGTCATCACACCGTCTTCGTCATTGACTACGATGAAAATCATATATAAGCCATCAAGAAATGAGACCAAAAAAAAAAAAAAAATGAATATCATGATATAAGTAAACATTTTTTTTTCCTAAAAAATAAACTTACCATGATGATAGATCAAAGGTAGACAATGAAATTCCCGACCAATACCATGTCCTGATAATTCGTCTGAAACTGTATATCCATTTGCAGAGGCATACTCACTACCAATCAAAAAAAAAAAAAAAGTGAGATGATTGAACATATATAAACAGATTTTTGAATCTTTTACCTGATGACACGACCAATTTCTCTAAAAGGAACACCAGGACCACACACAGCAATCGCCTTGGTAAGAGATTCCTTTGTACATTCTATTAAATCTTGACCTTTTTTATCCACTTCACCAACTTGAAATGTAGCTGAGGTATCACCATGGAAACCATCCAAATAGACCTAAATGATCATCAAAAAAAAAGATCAATCTAACATCATCATATATTATTCTTTACTTACTGTCACATCTATATTGATGATATCACCATTCTCTAAGGGTCGCCTGTTTTCATTTAGAAATTAAAATAAAATCATCATCATAATAATAATAATAAAAAGAGAAAAAAAACATGGATAAATATACTTAAAAAAAAAAAAACTACAAATTCATTGTTACTTACTCGTCAGGAATACCATGTGCTATGATATTGTTCACAGATGTACAAATACTTTTTGGAAAGCCCATATAATTCAAAGGAGACGGATACGCACCAGCGGCAATAATGGCATTGTGTAAAATCTTGTCAATATCATTGGTAGTAGTACCGACCTATTTACCAAAGGAGAACAGAGAAAAAGGAAAAAAAAAAAAAGAAAGGGTTATTCTGTGAGGATGTAACCAAAATAATTTTTTATTCATTTACCTTACACAGATCACCACCTTGATATAGGATCTTTTTTGCAAGTTGAGCAGAAGCACGAAGTTTGATCAGGTCCTTGGGGGTATTGTAGGGAGTAGAAGGAGCCCATTCGGAAGAAGAACCTAGATCGGCATAAGCAGGTCGAGTGATAGTCGAAGGAACGTCAAGTCTGGGTCTCGACCTGACAGGCACTGGGTTGAGTGAAGAAGGAGTTAGTGGTCGAAAGCGTCCCCAATTACTTTTTTGACGAGAAGTGAGGTGTAATGATTCCTTTCTTGGTGGTGATAATGTAATAGCATTGGTATGAATAAAACAAGACGATTTTATTGGTATTGACAGTGAAAAATGGCGACGCGTGACAGGAAGGAATGGCATAATGTATATATATATGTAAAACGTGAAAAGAAAATAGAAAAGAAAAAAAAAATTGTGGCTCCAAAGGCCCCAGATGCTGAGTATGAATTACACCCGAGACTTGATCAATGGAGAAAGGCGCCATTGGAACCTTAAAAAAGTTAATAGGCATCTATACTAAAAAATTATTGATTGTGTAATGTATACAGCTCAGGATGGTAGATCTTTTGTTTTGGTGAGACATTATTACTACAAGGACAACAAATATTTTTTTTTATTAGTATTATTTTACAGTTAAGCCAAAGAAATCCAAATGTGTACACTTGATTTCCATATTTCGCAGTATAAGCAAGTAAAGGAAGAGAAAAAAAAAATAAGGCTGGTGAACCATGCGTTACACTTTATTCAATAATAAATAACGGAAGTTCAAAAATAAGATATGGCAAAAATAGGAAACAAAATCGTAAGGATAGAAAATAGATGATGGAAAAAAAAAGATAAAAGAGTTGTCGCATAATCAAATTGAATACAAGAAGAAGAAAAAGAAAAATAGTGGCAGTAGTTCCATTGACTATAAGAGATCTTTGAATAATAGAAATATGTATATATATATATATGAACATTACATAAGTATACCCCTGTCTTAGCAGTGAGACCATGATGATGATACCATATGAAAAATATAGTTCTTTTTTTTCCAAATATGGCTGTTGAAAAGAATCAGCTCATCTGCTGAAGCAATCATCCTCAATCATCAACCATCTATCATCAATCAATGTGATTTGATATACTCTACTGACATCTCTTGGATGATATCTGAAAAAGTAGTAATGCGATTTCCATTTTGAGAAAGATCAACGGTTTATTTTATAACATCACGATTTTCTTGTGACCCGAGAAAACACTGAAAACACTTGTAAAAAAACGATTTCCACAAATAGAAAAGATTTGGACATTGGCCTCTCATTGCGGTATTAAAATTTCACAAACCCCCCTTTTTAACCAAAAAAAGTTTTTCAATTTTAAATTTTTTTATTTTCTTTTTTCTTTTCTCTATTGTTCTTGTTTTACTTGAGGAACTTTGTGAATTACAATTAGTAAGGTGTTATGAAAGGTGCATTGACAAACTACGAGTTAGCATCTATCATGCTCGAATCTGCTGTGGTCAGTTATGCATTTGAACTTTGTATTCGCAATATCCTCATGTTTAATACCGACAAGTCATTGGGAATTCATATTGGAAAAAGTCTCTTAGGTTTTTGTTTTGCCGTCAAGACTGCCTTCTTCTTATCATTTTATACTGAGTAAGTAATATATGACAATACTTTTTTTTTTTTTTGACTTTTTATTATTTTATATTACATAGTCAAGGTCCTGCATGTTTTGTTGTAGCTCGTTTTGCCGATATCTTTTATCATTTGGGTATGACTGCCGGTGATTATGTCATATTATCTAGGGTACATGCTGTCGTTCCCCTACACTGGAAGAAATTTTCAAGAGTAACTTTAGTGATTCTACTGATCCTACGATTCTCTATAGGTGTTGTGGATGTGGTGCTTCTGCAAGTACAATATGATATTTCTGGCATGTGTATATATACAGATGATTATTATGTAAGTAGTTATTATTATTTTGGATTAACCAAAAAGGATAACTTATCTATTTTTTTTTTTTATCTAGACTGGACCAGTATATACTTTTTTAGATGTATTTATCGATATCTATGTCAGCGTGATGATCACTTATATTTTAACTACACATATCCGACGATTGGAAAATGCTCATTTACCTGTAAATATCTCTCTTTATATTGCTGTGGTGGTTCACAATATTATACGAACGGTGATGCTTACGGTGGTCAACTTGATTTCAGGTATCTTTTTAATCAATGTAAGTTTCATCCTTTTTTTTTTTTTTTTTTTTTTTTTTTTTTTTTTTTTGCACACGATCATTAGGATGCATGATATTGTGTAATCAAGCATTGTACTAACCTCCCAGTTTGTTTTTTTTTTTGTTTATTTTATTAGGAAATGTCAAGCGATTCCATCATGCTAGTATGGCCAGTTATTAATCTGTTTGTGGTTTTCCTGGTGGGATATGATTCTGATGTGACAAAAACAATCGTGAGACTGAAACAACAATATTGGGATAAAGTTAATACCATGTTATCTTCTGCAACTTTGGGTACTCCTTTAGTGATGGAAGCGTTATCAATAAATGCCAGTAATCAACCGATGTGGAAAAGTTCACCTGATCTGCCTCTTCGAACCGGATCATGTTTACACCTAACATCCTCCACTTCAAGTTCACCTCAGCCACTTCAAAACCAACAGCATCATCAACAACATCAACAGCATCAACAACATCAACAACATCAGCAGCATCAACAACACCAACAATATCAACAACATCAGCAGCATCAACAGCATCAACAACATCAACAACGTCAGCAGCATTATCAACACCAGCAACAATATCAACAACATCAACAGCAACAACATCAACAACAACAACAGCAACATCAGATATTACCGCATACTCTGCGTGGTTATTGGAGTGATGATGCAAGTCTATAGTCATGCGTGCATTATACAATAGATTTCACACTGATGTTTTATGCAATAGTTGGTCCACATGCCCTTTTTTTTTTATATTATTCTTGTTATTATTTGTAGTTTTTTTTTTTCTCTCTCACTTATCTCAAGTTCTCATATAATATGCATTATTTATCATCCCCTTTTAGTATCATATCATTATAATGGTCCTCATACCCCATCTTTACACTGTTTGTGTATACACTTCTCTTTCCTAATAAAAAAAAAAAGTATACTATTTGAATTCCCGCATAGTATTCGATGAAATTTTCATACCTCTCTCCTTTGTTTTTTGTTTCTTTCTCTGCCCTTCTATTTCAAACACCTATCGATTTACAATGAGTTTATTAAGACGATTCAAGGCAACTGATCTCTTTGAATTCAATAATGTGTAAGTGTTCCTTGTCTCGTTTGTACTTTTATCCTCATCCTTTTTTTTTCTTTTTTTTAGAAATCTTGACGTCTTGACAGAAACGGTAAGATCTTTCTCACCTGGCCCTATTTCTGGAACTCATTCTTTTGTTTTCAATGTTATAGTACAATATATCATTTTACTTACAATATCTAGCACGTTGGCCAGATCTCTTCTCTGTACAAATATCACCTCATGACAATCTTATGGGTTATGGTAAAAAAAAAAAAAAAAGGAAAAAAAAATATGAAATCAAATAACTTGAATGAATTTATTTGTTAGTGATGGGTAAGGCGGAAGGGACTGGCCAGAACTGGCATGGTCACGTTACGGCTATCACAGTAGCTCCTGAATACCGACGATTGGGTTTGGCAGATGGCATGATGAACTTGTTGGAACAAGTCTCTGAAAAAACGTAAGATGACATAGATAAATAAGATGGTAGTGGCTGGAGAATGAAAGACGAGGGACTCAAGTGAATATTTGAATCAACTGTAATTTTCTTATCTTTTTTTTTTTTTTTTTTTTTTTTTTTTTTTTTTAGATACAATGGATGGTTTGTCGATTTGTATGTTCGAGTCTCCAATGCAGTGGCAGTAGGCATGTACAAGAAATTCGGTTATTCGGTCTATAGGAGAGTGCGAGGTTATTATGGCGGATCTCACGATAGTGAAGACGCATATGGTAAGGGAAAAAATAAGTAAAGATAAATGATTGTATATCAATAGATGAATGTTTTCGATTTTGGAATAGATATGCGGAAACCATTGGCAAGAGACACGAAAAAGGAAACCATCAGAGATAATGGCGAAAATGTATATGTTAATCCAGAGGAATTAGATTCTTGGAGATAAGATAGTGGATGACAACAGAAAAAAAAAATAGATTCTATTGATAGCTAGTTAGTTAATTAGTTAGTTAGATAAATATATATATTGATGGATTTTGTAGATAGGTTTTTGATGGTTGAAATTGTTTGAATAAAGAAGAATTGAATGTACGTTTTTATTCATTATTTTTTTTTTATATAAATATCAAACTATAAATATAAAACATATATATGTATAAGTAGGGAGGTCAAGTACTTCCAAGCATGGTACGTCGTTTGATAGCAGCTGCTACACGTTTACTACTTGATATGGATGAGGAGACGAATGGATCATTCTTGTCTTGTCGCATCATCAATAGGCCACCAGCTGCTTCACCTTCATGAGAGAATCGTCCTTTAGGTTTGGATCTTGTGGAAGATGGTAAATGGAGTGATGAAAGAGTGGATTCCGTGATCCAATCGCCACCATTTGTTCGTACAAGTGGATTGTTGTTGTTGTTGATCTGTAAAATGATGTTTGATCCAGATGAAGTGGAGGATGAATCGCCTGGAGTGATTGTACTACCGTTCTCAGTGTGTCGATAAGGTTCTTGTGATCCAATTCTAATCTTGACGTTTGGTGCGATCTTCACTTTTCGTAATGTTGTAGGCTGGGGTAAAACTTGATCATCTGTTGCGTTGTTGTTGTTGTTGTAAAAAGTGTGTTTTTGAAATAATTCGCTCATATCATTGGTACTGTTGTCTTTGATCTCCTTTTCTTTTGAAGATGATGGATGATAACTTTCCGGTGAAAGAAGGCCAATGAGATCTCCTTGGGAACGTGATTGTCGATGCTTGTACCATCCCAGTCGTGCGTCATCAATGTCACTATTAGAAGTTTGCTGTTTATTGCCTTTGAATGATGATTGTGGTTGATGTTCAACAATAGGATGAGCTTTCATATCCAAGACCAGTTCGTGCATTTGACTTGGACCTGTTGGCGCATTCATGGATTGTGCTCTTGGTCGTCGAGTTTGTGATGATATATTGCTAATGGCATCTGTCCGTCGATGACCACTTGTCGCTACTTGTTGCTCCAATGTTCGAATGGTATCCTTTGATGCATTTTCTTGGTGATGTATGACTTTGGTTGAAGTTATTGATGATGACGAGTTGTTTGCATTGGATTCTACTGGATGCAACGCTGATATTGTTGATTTTGTAGAATGGTTGAGTGACTTTTTGGTCATGGATGATTGCTTTCTTGCCAAATTATTCGGATTATATGGTTCGGTAAAAGGTTGACCGGTGACAAAAGGATGATATCGTGCTTGTTTTGGCGTCCATCGTTTCAGAGGATTGAGTTCCAGCAATCCTTGCAAAAAATCTATCATAGCATGTCGATGTTCCAAATCTACAAAAAAAAAAAAAAAAAAAAAAAAAAAAGAAAAAGTTGGTAAGTTTGTCGTAGTCATAGAAATGCTATAATATTTCAACCTTGTTCAGGATTATCCGGTGAGCGATGACCTGATTTAGTTTGAAGGATGAGATCAGGTAGTTCAGTTTGAGGATAATATTTCTTGCCAGGTAATTCAGTTTTTTTATGTTCCAATCCATATTGTTCGAGACTTTTCATCACATAGATATGTTTCCCATTGCCATTGTCTTCCTTGTTAAAAAAATCACTCGAATTTGATCCTTTATCTAACATATCTTGAGGAGGCATACTATATATATATATATATATATAAATTCAAAAAAAAAAAGAGAGAAAGGGATCAGTACCTTTTTTTCCCAATATAATCACACGTTTTACCCCATCATGTCCACAATTCGACGTAATTGATTATATTCAGAACTTCCAGGAAAAAGAGGAATACCAATAAAGAGTTCAGCAACAATACATCCCAAGGACCACATGTCGATTGCACCTGTATATTGAAGACCCAATAGAACTTCTGGAGATCGGTAAAATCGTGATTGAATATATGTATATATTCTGTTGGCTTCATGACAAGCAGATCCAAAATCAATAATCTTAATCATAGGTGTATCAAAACTATATAATAAAAGGTTGAGCTCACTTTTTTTTTTTCTTTATTGATCTTTTTACCTTGTCAATAAGATGTTTTCTGGCTTGAGATCACAATGTATAATCTTGGCATCCTTGAGTAATATCAAGGTATCCAGCAATTGAAGAGTAAATACACGGACAAGATTGATGGAAAGACCCTTGAATTGGTTTTGCTTGATAAGCTCATAAAGATTGAAAGACAATAGTTCGAATACCAAACAAAAATGATTCTTGTGCGTAAAAGTATGATGAAGGGTCAAAATATGCTTTTGTGCTTTGGAATCCAATTTGCTTTTGAGCTATATATATATATAAGATCATGATGAGTTCTCTCTCTTTTTCTTTTTTCTTTTTTTTTTTTTCCTTCATTCTAGATTTTACCTGTTTTAAGATTTCAACTTCCATACGACTTTGTTCTCGGTAAGCCACCTTATTCTTAATCACTTTGACAGAGAAGAGTTCACCTGTAGTAACCCTTTCACATTTGACAACTTGACCAAATGTACCTTGTCCCAATAAGTCAATCACTCGATATCTAGATATATATATATATATGTCGTATTAGTAATTATCTGTATGCTCATCTATTCTTTTTTTTTTTTTTTTTTTTTTTTTTTTTTTTTTTTTTTACTTACTGATATTCTTTTTCTTCGCCTAATATGTCATTGACCTTGAGAATATAATCATAATCTTCGTTGTCATAACCATCATTTCTAGCTTCTTTGCATGGTTTAGTAAGAATCCGTTTTGGTTTGGCATCCGATTTATATTTGAATTGAGGATTTTGATTACCATAAGTATCTAATAATTGTGCTGTCATTCGTTTCAATAAAGAAGTCTAATAGGAAAATAAATAAATAAATAAATATCAAATGATCATGATCAGCTCTTTTACTTTTTTACCGTAGTAGTTTCTTTTTTCATAGGAGGATGCCATTTATCACCGTCTACTACTCTTTTGAATGTGGTTGATCGTGGCGGCCATTGTTGTCCAAGGTTCATAGGAGGCTCAATAACAGTTGAATAAAAAGGGGAGACAGGGTCCATCTTGCTAGTGGTTGTTTTCCCATGGCCATTGGTTTTCTTGGATGATGATGAAGAACTTGGTGATAGAAATGGAAGCTTTACTGGATGACGACGTGTAACCCTACTAGCTGATTGAATAAGCGCATTGTCCAGTTCGATATCTGAGTCCAAATCCATTGCTTCGGTATGCATCTTGTAACGATCTGTTTTAAGAAAGAAGAAAAACATTCAATACAAAATAAGATAATTTTGTTAGTTCAAAAATAAATAACCATAACGAATCCATCCTACTAATATATCTACTTCTGCTGCTAATTTATAACTATAGAGATTGTGGACTTTATACCTTGATGACTTTCTATTGGTGTAGGAAGAGACCGTAATTGTTGTTCTTGTTGTTGTTGCTGTTTCTGTAGTGTTGGCTCGCGTTTCTTTTTCATATAAAGAGGTGGTAACATATCAGTAGATGCTGTAGTCAGATTGGCTAAACCGGCTTTGTAGGGTTGTTTTCGATAAGAATATATATCCATGAGGTGATTCTGGGGTGATTCTGGAAACAGTATAAAAATATATGTATATCTATATGTGAAAATATTACAAAAATAAAAATAAAAAAATGAAGAGAAGGGAAAAAAGAAACTTTTTTATTTTTTAAAAAAAAGGAGGGAATAACAAATGAAATCACTATCAGCTGATAGCCTTTCTCGGAAAAGCCGAACTGTAAAAAAAAAAAAAAATAAGGTTTGATAATAACAATTGCCAATTTCTAATAATCAACCAGAGAGAGGGGGGTATCAGGAGAAGGAGTAGTCTATTTCTATATGAATAATGTCATTATGTTGTTCAAGATAAATATCTTCTTTCTGGATGGTGATAATAAAGTTGATGAACTGGATTTGTCCTATTGTCATGACTGTCACTATCATCATCATCATCATCATCATCATTATTATTTTCATTACTGCTATTATTGTGATGGGTCCAAAAATCGTGAGACACAAGTGATCCAAAACGGTATGAATTACTAAACATTCGTCCAAAAAGTGATAAATATGTTCTTGGTGGGTCCGTCTGTCTTTGTTGGTTGCAATCATGAACGCATACTTGATCCAAGTCCAAAATGTTGTCTTGATGTGTTTGCTGTGTTACTTCCATCACAGTTGGCGATATTCTTTGGTTTCGAGTATCATGATCCTCATTTTCATTTAATGACGTTGTGGATAGTTGTATGGAAGGCGATTGCATTTGTTGATCATTAAAAGGTAGTTTCGTAGGAAGCCATAGTTGAGGAAGTTCACCAACTAAATAAGGATTGCCGTATTGTCTGAGACCGGTATCCAGTACACCAGGATTAAGGAACATGGGTGGTTGGCGATAATCGGTCATGCGCACCGGAGTCGCTTGGTAGTTGTCCTCATCCAGAATCAAACGCCGTTGTCGAGCTTGTGATGGTGATAATTGTTGCTGTTGCTGCTGCTGTTGTTGTTGTTGTTGCAGTGATGGTGGCCTTTCGAAACGATTACGTGTAGTATCTTGAATGTTGTTACGAGCCGAAGTCCATTGGTTGTGATTGTTGTCCGCACTCTTTTCTGTCGAAGGGATAACATTCGTTGCTGTTGTTGGTATGGTTGAATAGTCGGCAGCCTGTAAAGGTTCGTAGGAAGTGGGTTGATGTAACTGTTCTTCTTCACGTAAAAGTTGCATAGGTAAGTGCAGACTATTTCTACTGTACGCAGCATCAATAGTAAATTTGAATATGATCGTAAACACCGTTAAAGGAACACATAACGCACCAAGTACAAAGGAATTCTTCAATATAAATAACCCAAGCATTGTCAATTGAAAAAGAATCATACCAACAATCAATCTAGGAAATACCATCGTCCAGAGTTGACCAGCCGCTTCATAAGGTCGAAAGTACACTACATATAAATCAATCAAGTTAGTTATCCAGATCTCGAAATATTTACTCTTTTTTTTTTTTTTTTTTTTTTTTTTTTTTTTTTTTTTTACCATAAAGGAATTGATATTTATATACAATATAAGTGATTCCAAAGTATAGTGCGCCAAACACCAGGATGATAGGCGAAATGGTTGAATATTCCAATACAATGATGAAGATCAATAAAGGAGAAGGATAACCGGCGCCATAGTTAAAGGATCCTGGAGACCGAGCATAAGCATGTTGACGAGGTGTTTTTGCATAAAAGTAAATAAAGAACCCACTAACAATAAGTGATCCAGGCTGTAGCAAATTCAACGGCATCCTAAACAAAAAGGATCATCAGTTTATACTGATCTTTTGTAGTATTTTTACTTACAGTAGTAATCCTTGAAGAATGGTGTAATTGATGAAAAATGGAGATACCTATAGGAATAAAGAGATGGCACTCTAGTTAATCAATATGGCTAATAACAGATGTGTTGACGTTGATATATATATATACCTTCGGAAGTCGAGTGGCAAGAATGTTTGCAATTGTTGTGGGCCGATCAACTAGTATAACAAGGGTATTGATTGCGGTTGATACAATGGTAAAGACTAGGAGTACATTGAAGATCAAGAAGAAAAAATACCTATAAAATAATATAAGCGAATAAGGCGAAAGGATTCAAACAGTTTTTGATTTTTATTTACTTGCTAAGAGTTGATTCAGTTACAGCACTACGGGCACGTAATCCCTGTAGGATTCCTAAATCTATCAACAAGAACAAAAAAAAAAAAAAAAGATGAGTACCTTCAACTAATATATATATTGTATCTATACATACAATCCAAGATCAGAGGCAAAATTTGCATGAAAATGTTGACAAGAATCGTTGGTATCAAACCTTGTAGAATGTTTTGTATTAAAGGGTGTTGATCCACAATAGCACCAAGTCCAGGAGCTACTTTGATGATTGCATCAATACTAGTAAAGGAGGAGATGAATGAAATAGGTACCGTCCAAAAGATAACCAAAGTAATCGTCGCACCCCATACTATAATATCACGGATCACACGTTGCTTTCCACTAATATGAATATTCTTCCATAACACGTCTCGAGGTTCGTACGCACTGGCTGTTCTGCAACGGAAAGGAACAGGATTGATGGCAATCTGAGAAGCGATCAACTAGATAGTATGAGAAATAAATAAATAAACAAATCATATAGGTACATTATCAAGATACAGTTTGTTCTCTTCTTACCGCGCTTTTCATTTTTTCGAAAGTGACAAAGCCAACCGAGGTCATATCAAAATTAGGCGATCCTCTTGCTTCCAATGCGAGTTTGTCCCATTTGTCGAATTCCTTGGTATAATAATCGATAGCATCCACTTTCGGTCCACATAATCCAAGAAATCCTGTACGTATCAGAGGCCGATTCAGTCGTTGTTGTTGTTGTTGTTGTTGTTGTTGTTGCTGTTGTTGTTGTTGTTGTTGTTGTTGTATTGTTTGGATGTCGGTTTTATTCTCCTTCAGCTTAGTGTCATCAATACCGATTGGAGGGTCACTTCCTTTGTTTTTTTTAAGCGATTCTTCGGTTGTTGAATTAAAAGTGGAACCTTCGCTGTTACCACCACCATTCAGTTGTTGTTGTTGTTGTTGTTGTTGTTGCCGCTCGTTGTCTTCTTGAGTAATACATCGTGCATGATGAGAAATATAATCCGGGTGATCATTGATGTATTGACAAGGATTTCCCAAGTATTCGACATAAGATGATTCCAGTTTGTCCAAATTATTAGCTCGAAGTCGTAATATATGACCGAGTCCCTTGACATGACGCACAACATGACAAGACACCACCAAACCCACACCTAGGCTTTCAAAATAATCGGCAAGAGCTTGATCAGTACGAAGTTCATCCGGTAATCCAGTGACAATAATAGAACGACACACCAGAGATCTTGAGAGTTGAAGAAGATAGCGTGCACGCATATAAATGTAAGAGTCATAATTTTGTTGTAAAAAAAACCATGCAATAAAAGTGAAGAAGTAGGTGAAAATCAAGTAGGCAACGAGGTAGGATGATGATTCATCAATAACAGTGATAGAAAGACGATCAACTGATGTTACCAAAGGATCAGTAAAATTACCAACTGTTGTACTAATTGGAATCAACACCACCACACCGAAAAAGGAACAACAACTAAAGATCTTGAGTGCCATAAGAATAAAATCGAGCATCTATCATGAATAATAATACCGTTAAAGCAAAGGAATTGATAATAACAATATTAGGTTTACTTACAATGACAGCATCCAAACCAACTTTATCGAGCATCTCAGTCTTGCTTATTTTTATTAAAGGAAGGATCCAACCAAAAAAGGTATTGGGAAGTTCAGGAGGTTTCTGTCGTTTCATGCTATTCCTGGGTGCAAAGATAACTGGCCATCTAACAACAAAGTGAGTGTTAGTATATTATTTGGATATTCATGTTCTATTACCTTGTCCTTAAATAACAAAAGACCAAGAAACATAATAATCCAACAGATCCGCAAATAATAAGTTGTGTTGTAAGACCACTTTGATTCTGTTTTGCTGAAGATTCGATGGATCCTGGGAGAAGACTACTGGTAGGGTTATTACTTTGCCCAGTTGTTGAGGTAGAAATGGAAGTAGAGGAAGCTGTTGTGAAGTTTGTCAAAGTCGAAGTAAGTAATTCAGTAATAGTATTAAAAGTCGTTAAGGAAGTGGGTGTCGCTGTCAAAGTGGGAAAGGGCGAAGATATGTTTGAAATAGACATAAGACAAACATAGATGGACCAAGTCGAAGAGAAAGAAGCGGTCTTTTCCTTTTTTTCAAATCAAAAAGGTAAAGGGACTATAAATAACAACATTCGGATACGTCATAAACATGATTTTGGATAAGAAAAGAAAAGAAAACAAAAAAAAAAAAAAATTGAAACGATACCCAAAATATGTAACGACGGAGGTGGAAAATAATTTGCTTGAATATGTATTAAATGTAAGGTTTTGCTCATCTTTGATCAATCACTACTTCATACAGTATATTCTTTTTTTTTTCTTTTCTTTTATATCCCATTCTTGATGTTTACTCCTTTTTTTTTTTTTTTTTTTTTTGTTCCAAATTAAATAATATCACCGTTTCTTTTTGAATACAGGTCCTCCTTCTTCTGTCGATTTCAACTAGCCAATGAGAAAAAGTTCCAATTCCGCGTTACTGTCAGGTACATGATCCATTCCATCACCATCCGGATCCATGTTACACAAAGATGTTATTACCCTCTTTAACAGATGATATTTTATATGCTGATGATGATTTTGAAGATGATTTTATCATGATAATTCCATGATGACTCAATGATTAACCTATGATAATGAAAATAATAATAATAGTTATGATAATGAGACTTTACAAAGACATATCTATGATAAAAACACTCGATGATCAGCCCATCATGATGATGAAAAATGCAAACTAAACGGATCTAATAAGAACGAATCAACGTTTACCGTTCCATCTTCGATTGGGTCGACTAGTTGATAATAATAATAATAATAATAATAATAATAATAATAATAATAATAATAGTATGATTGAATATAGATGATAATAAGCATCAATAATGATGAATTAAAACAAAAAGATAACGATAGTATGATCAAATGGTTGGATGATAGCTATCTCATATATTTATTCATATTACTATAATAATAGCCTGTTGCATGATGATTGAGAGACAATAATGAGGTATGAATATGACTTTATTGATAGAAAGATATAAACCTTGATCTGGATACCATTATACATATATAAAGAATGAAGATGATGAAATAAAATCTTTATTGTAAATGATGTATGTGTATGTATATTGATTGAACTAAACTAATCATGATCAGAAAATAAGTCTCTCAATTGTCGTTGTCTTCTTTCTTCTTGCGTTTGTGATTGTTCCGTTGATTTCTGTTGTTGATCTATGTCTCGTCGAGCATCTTCTTTGGCTTGTTGTTCTTGATATCGTTTATGCGTTTCATCTACACGTTGCTTCCACTCCTCCTTATTTTCCACCCACAGTCCAAGCCGTCGTTCCTCCTTATCTTCCGGATTCATCGGTGGCATGACAGTAACGGTATTGTAGTACTTGAATAAAGTTTTAAGAGCTGTTATATCCACACCTCCACTTTCTTTACTGATTTTTTGCCACGTTTCAGGTTGTTCTTCCAGTGCCTTAGGAGGTAAATGTTTTCTATGTTCCAATATTGAGAATAATTCGTCTGTTGTGATTCGGTTATTTGATCTTTGGTTATCATTCGCCTCCATTCTTTCCATACGTTTTCGTTCATGTAAAATACCCAACATAGCATCAGACTAGTAAAAAAAAAAAAAAATTATTAGTTTTTAAATTAGCAAACCTAGTTAGTAAACCTAGTTTTCTTTTCAACGCATATGATATATTACCTGTCTCATTCGAGTGATCGTTGGAGGTATGGTAACAGGACCAAGTTTAGCCAGATTTTCCAAAAGTTGAGGATTGCTACGTTCTTGTTCTATTTCTACTTCCAAAATGTCATCCTTCGTTGTATCTAAATATCAATATTGGAAAGAAAAGAAGTTTGATAAATGTAACAAAAAAAGATCGTGATTATTAAACTATTTTCAACTTTTTTACCAGAAGATCGACTGTTTTGTTGTGCTGACTGTAAAGTGGAAGGTGATTCACGAGGTGTTGACTTGAGTGTTTCTGGTTGAGCTGTTCTAGGTAGTTTTCTAGTTACTTGTTTTGAAGCCTGTGCACCCATTGTTTTAATAAAGAGAAAAAGAATAAAAAAAAAAAAAAAATTAGGAAAAGACGACCACGGTTCGTAACAGCGACCAACTAAAATCTCGATTTTACCAGAGGCATCTCAACTCAGATTTTTTTTTTTTTTTTTTTTGGCAGTAAAACTGTAGATTCGCTTTTTGCATTTTTTTCCGTTTCTTTTTTCTTTCTCGATATACACTATGGATCAAGAAACAGCTAACCAGTTATATGACGTGGGAGGCAAGCTTTTATTTCTTAATGCTCCAGAGAGACTTGAATTTGGTATTGACTACAATGCTTGGACTATTGGACCATTATTCAAAGGCGTCAAACTTATTCCTCCAGGCTTACATTTTATTTACTTTTCGTAAGTTTTTTTTTTTTTTTTTTTGAAATGGAAAACCAACTAATATGTATATATTTCAACTTAGAACAACAAGTAAGGAAGGTATCCAAGGTATTAGAACAGGATTCTTTAAATATTTTGATACGGGTGAAGTAAGTCATCTTACAGAAAAAGTCGCGTTCCTCTCATTTTATATATTTATTCTTTAGATTGTTGTACGAGAATGGAATCCAAAGATCGAGGACTTGTATGGTGAGTCTGAACTAGATCCTTCTCAAGTAGAACGATATATCATCAGTAAGTGTTTCTTCTAGCTAAGATTAGAACAAAAACTTTTCGCGTACTTTTTTTTTTTAAAACCGTCTATTTCTATTTATTTATTTTTTATTTTTTATTTTTTTTTTTAAAAAAAAAAATTAGATATTAGGGACTTTGATCGAAATATGGGACCATATCCACTCGATCCTCCAACATATTATCAACGATGGCAACATTTAACAAATCATATTACACCTGGACTTGTGAAGCGAATTTTACCCAACAATGGACGCGTATCTCATTTACCAGCAGTGACACCTGCCGTTGAAAATGAAGAACCAGAAGCATCAACGACATCAGCAGCAGCAACAGCAGCAGCAGCAACACCAACCACTACAATCAGAGACAGACGTAAAGGTCAAGGAATAGAAAAGGAAGAAGGTATGGAATTTACACCATTTGATTTGCGACAATCCTTCCCATCAGGAGCAACTGGTGATCAAGTGACAAAGTGGAGTTTGGACAAATCATGGTTAGTCAAGGATTTATTGCAAAGGGTATATCGTGGTGATCATCGACTCTTGTTGGGTGAAATGCAATTGGCCTTTGTTTGTTTATTAATGGCTCAAAATTTCTCTGGGTTTCAACAATGGAAGCAAATCGTACATTTATTGTGTTCTTGTCATGAAATGGTACATGATCATCCTACTCTTTTTGTGGATTTTTTAGGTAAATCATGAATTATATAATTGGGATAGGAAAATGATACGATTAATTATATTATTATTATTTTTTTTCATAGATACACTACAACAACAATTGGAAGAATGCCCAGTGGATTTTTTCCGTGATATTTTATCTGAAAATAACTTTATCGCTTCTATGCTCAAGGTAAATAAAGAAATTGAAAATGATAATGATAATGATAATTTGATGATTTCTTTATTTGTAGAACTTGCGTGATGTCATCCCACCATCCAGTACCGCCCTTTATACGAAATTCAACAAAATGAAACAATTCTTATCCACGAGATTCCAATGGGAACTGCCGGATCAAGCTGATGAAGATGAAGAAGAAGAGGATGATGATGCACCTGTTGTGGTAGATTTAGAAAATCCCTATTAATTAGTTGTATATAGCATTATTTTAATATCAATCAATAATAATAAAAAAAAAGTTTGTTTATATGAATATGAATAAAGTCTTTTTTTTTTTTATTTCAAAAGATAAGGATAATAAGATAATACCGAACAAAAAAGATGGCAGTTGATAGTAATATTTTTCCTTTTTTCTAGTATCTAATTGAAGAGGATGATTCAGTCAAGTGCTTGATGAGTTGGTCATTAACGAAAGTAGATTTATGCTTGATGTCAAACGAGTGTCGCCAACTTTCACCATATTTAATACATATTAATACCAATAGACAATTCATCATGTTCAAGAAGGCAAGACCAGTGAAAAGTGTACCAGGTCCCAAAACATCCAATACTTGATTTGAATAAAACGTCGTTATTGAAGCGGTTAGGCAACGAATAGAATGACTGATCCCTACTGCCGTCGCAGAAAGACCTTGATAAGAGTAAAACAAAAAAAAAATACAAGTATTAGATCATAATAATTTAATTTTTTAGTTATTTTGAAATACCAGGATTGGAATCAACAAGATACACAGTTGTGGGTGTAAACGCGCTCATTTGTCCAAATGCAACTACCACAAAAAAAAAAGATATTTAGTTATCTCTTCCAGATAATACATATGTATAGTTCTTACAGATGAATAAACCAATAAGAGGTGCATAAAAGATAGTGTTGCATTCAACAGTCAATCCATATACAAGAAATCCAGCAGGTATGCATAGAAAGGAAGGTATTGTAGCCAATAATCTTGATTCTACACTTGAAGAAAGAATGTTGTCATTCTTGATATCATCTGTTGTTGTTGAGGAAGAGGAAGATGTCACGTCTGTTTCTAACTTTCCAAGTATACGATCAGAATACCAACCACTGAATATTGATCCAATCATTAAACCAATACCAAAAGGAAGATAGCATAAACCCACCTGCCATTCATTGAAACCATATAACGTTTGAAAAGTATGAGTAATAGTAGGATTCTAAATTGTCAATAAGAGTTAATTGTTAGTGGTAGTTAAATAGATTTCAAATTCTTTCTTTCTTACCAAAAAATAAAGGGAGGAGTAAATAGTTGTATTGAATAATGAAATGATCCATACAGTTGGGGACTGAAGTAGTAACAAAATAGTGTGGGAAGATAATTGATTTGTTTGGGTATGATGAGAAGTATTATTTTTTTTAAAGTCTCGGGAAGAAAGAAAAAGACAAGACAAAGTTGAACGATGCCTTCCAAAAAAATTAAAAAAAGAAGAAAATTAAAATTAAAATGATGTGGGGCTTTCCTTTTTTGGAGATTTTCTCTTACCTAACAATGTCAAAAAATAAAAGATGGATTGCCAGCCATAAACTTCTGATAAAATACCACCTATCGAAGGTCTATAATAATAGAATGAATCATGATGAAAAAAAAAAATCAATCAAACATTTTTTTTTTTTTTTTTTTTTTTTTTTTTTTTTTTACCCAACAATAGGACCGAGTAAACCACCTAATGAAAATAATGCATAGGCTCTACCTCTTTGTTCAATGGGAATAATATCTGAAATAACTCCCGCTCCTACAGTTATCATCAAACATTAAATAAAAAAATAATAATAATAAAAAAAAAGAAGATTTCATCCGATTTTTTTTTTTTTTCATTATACCGAGTGTATGAGCAGCATTGGCACCACCAGATTGTAAGCCGCGAAATACAACTAACATCCATATATTGGATGAACAAATACAAAGAAAAGATGCCACGATATTGATCATACTACTAAGAAGAAACATCTTCCTTCTACCATACTTTTCACTTAATGTGGCCCATATTAAAGGCTGATCCATAAAAAAATAAAAGTCAACAACCTCTTTTGGTAAAAACATAATCTATTTTTTCATTTCATCCTCTCATTTACAGAAATACCCATAAAAATCATAAAAGAAGAGATACTGGCATTAACAGCAGAATGACTTGCATGAAAGTAATTGGCAATAGATAATAATCCCGGCATGTAAATCATCGATTCCTATATATAGAATAGGATACATTAAAAAAAAGGCTCCAAAGAGTTTTTTTTTTTTTTTTTTTTTGTTTAGATTCATTCATAGTGTACACATGATTACCAAGGGACCAATAAAGCTTGCCATAGCAATGACAAAGATGATGATGCTTGTACGTTTTTCAGAGGGAGATTCTCTATTTGATATGACTTTTTCACTATTCTTTTTTTCTATCATCGAAAATGGACCATCATGATTGACATCGGATGTCATCCTTTCATTCTCCATTTTAGGGTTCATTTAAAAGAAGAAAGCGAAGCTTTTTTTTTTTTTTTTTTTTTTTTTTGCATGAATTCTCTAAATCAACTAAAAAGTTTATGTAAATTGCTTTCCCGCTTTCATCCGGAGATTTTTTTTTTAAGAAGGAAGAATGGATGGTCCGTTTTTCTTTCAAAAAAAAAAAAAAAAAAAAAAAAAAAACTTAAAAATCTTTTTCTTTATAAAATAGTTTATATATAGAATAATAGTAGGACAAAATGTTCCTTTCATTGCTTGATAATATCAAGAAAGATATGAATGTACAACATTGATGATGAATCCATGCGTCATTCCATAGATAAACAACTACTAAGCATCTCATTTAACTTAACAAAAGGAGGTGATAGGTCGATCGATGCATATTGACCAATGATGTTTGCGTTTCGTTTTCTTTTGAAACGCCGGCTATTGTTCAGGTTTTAGGGATGATGATTGATGGCCGCGTCAGCGCTCGTCATCTCTTGCTTACGGGCTCCGAAGACATACTCTATCGTCATAAGTTTATAAATGTAACTCCTAGTTTCTTTTTTTTTTTTTTTTTTTTTTTTTTTTTATTTCTCTTTAATATCAGTTTCAAAATGTGTCGAAGAATCACTTGTAAAACTTGCAATAAATATACATGGACTGGTAAAGATATACATAGATAGAAACGAATAAAGTATTTCGAATCAACCTTAAAAAAGAAAAACTAATCATCTCCACACTTTTATTTCCTTAAATGGATGATTTTTTTTTTTTAAGGTTGTGGACTCCATATTCAAAGTGCTTTGGCTGGACTTACAGAAAATGAAATCTGTCAATGTAATGCTAAAGAAACCACTCCTTCTGATAAACAGAATGAAGATGATAATGGTATATTCTCAAAAATCAAATCTGCTATTGGAATGTAACTCATCCCACTTTTTTTCTCTTTCACATCTTCATCATCCTTAATAATTCAAAATAATCCATCTGTTTATATTCATCTTATTCCCATTTTTTTTTCTTGATAAATACCGTATATAGTCATTCAACATTAATAAAAAAAAAAGAAAAAAAAAAGCAATATAAATCAATAAAAGTGTTGATTTTTATTTCATCAAATATATATATAGACAACTATTTTATAAATCAATCAAGGGTCGTTCATCCACGGGTGGTGATTGAGTAGTCATGGGAGTAGGTTGTTGCTGTTGTTGTGTTGCTGGTGTTTGCATATACATTTGTTGCTGTGGATGATGCATCATAGGAACTGTTGATGATTGAATACTTTGGTATTGTTGTTGTGGTACTTGCTGAGAAGGAGAGGAATATTGAGGATTGAATCCATACGATGGGACTGATGATGTCGCTGCTGATGTTGCTGTTACTGGAGGGAGATGCTGATGATATCCATGCTGATCTGTTGTAGTGTTCCCGTGATATTGTGCTACATTGGGTAATCCTGTATGTTCAGCTGAGCCATAATATGGGTATGATGTAGTCGATGTTATTGTTCCAATATCTTTTCTGTATCCTGACATTCGCTGTTCCAAAAGTCGATCATAGATTTGAACCACTTTGTTGATCTTATCGTGTAGTTCTACACAAGCTCCTAAAAAGATAATATGTTTCAGCTCATCTTTTTTCTTCTTTTTCTTTCCTGATTTCATTTCCAACTTACGATGTTTTCGGATGGTATCATCTAAACTTCGAATTAATTTTGGTTGTAAAGCACCAATTTGAGTATAAAGTTTGTTGATTTGAGGGTCATTGATCACATTTCCTCCATGAGCACGTACATGTTCCATAAGTGTTGAAAAGAGTTGAATATTTTCCATTTCAGTTGGTGATAAGTCGGTACTAGGAGGTGCTGAAGGGTACTGATAATTCGCTTGTGGTGGAGATGCAATTTCCATTTCACGTAAGGATGCTGCAATAGCTGCTGCTAAATCAGGATCTTCATCATCAACCTATAACAAAAAAAAAAAAAAAATACAAATAAAAAAATAATAATAAGCCAAAAGTTTAGATTTTTCTTTTCTTTTCTTTCTTTACCTTGGCACTTTGAGGAGAATAAGAGATATTGTTTTTCATTGAAGATGGGGAATAACCAGTTCCATAACCAGTTTTACGTTTTTCATCTTCTTTCAAGGATAATTCAATGGCTTTCTTGATATCGCCATCATAATCATCAGTCTCGGCGTTTGCTGCAGGAGGATGGGACGAGTTAGAATTGGATGTTGATGGTGGAAGTGGTGGAAGAGTATTTTGTCCAGTGATTTTGTACATCTTGAGTTTTAAATGACATCCATCACAAACGCGTACTTGTTCATTGATTGCAAGATGTGGTAAAGCCATGTTTCTTGATGAGCATTCTTGGCAAAATGTTCCCCCACAGTTTCGGCAGTGATGCTATTATATATTCAAAAGATATAAAAAATAAACAGTTAGTTTTGAATACTATTTATTTTATTATTTTTTTTTTTTTAAAAAAAAGAGTTATTTACCTTTCTATTTGTCATAGTAAATGGAGTTCTGCATCTTTCACATACAGATGAATCTCCCCATTCAGGTGCCTACATCAAATAAGAATAATAGCAATCAAAAAAAAAAAAAAACTTGCTGATCAGTATATCTCATTTGATCTTCATTTTTGTTTTCTATTTGTCATCACTTTACCGCTGATGATTCCAACATGATACGATCAATATTTTGTTTGATAGGAGGAAAAACATGACCCTCTGCCTTGAGTATAGAGTACGTATCCGTCATATACCCTAATGCCGGATTTCCTTTTGCAGCACACCCCCATGTTTGAACACTATCTAATATCTTGTTTCTAACGTCTATATTGAGATTCTAGTTAAATAAGAACAGTAATAATAATGATAAAAAAGTTAGCATCTAGATGGAAGTACTAATTTCTGGAGGAAGATTATAGTTCACTTTTACCGAAGTTCGAACCATAGTAGTCAATTCATCCATAAATTCTTTACTTGCAATTTCCTTGACAAAGCTATCCCCACTGTTTTTGACACACGTATCTATCAACTGAATAATAATAATAATAATAATAATAAGAGATTTAGTAAGTATTTTTTTCCATATATATATATATTTGAATTTACTGATAGAGTTGCTAATTGAACATTTGGGTTTTTATGAGCGAGTCGCTTCTTCATTGCTTGCATAGCTTCCTTGGCATTAACTTTTTTGCTTCGAATTTGATCACTTATATCCAGTTGTAATCCCAAGTTTTCTTGACCAGACGGTATAAATTCAGAAGTTGCTTTTTCTATCAAAAAAATGAAAAAAGTATAAGTAAAAGATACCATTTTCGATTGTTCTTTTCAATCTATGACTTTTTGACAGCTTACCAATACGTTCTTCTAATGCAGAGACACCCCATAAAATAGAAACCATTGTATATATATAATAAGAAGCTGAAGATCAAAGAAAAAGAAGAAGAAAGAAAAAAATAGGTATATTATTTTTATTATAATGAAAGAAAAGTAAAAAGAGAAAAGGAAAAAGGAAAATCCTTGGCAATAATCCCTTTTTTCTAAATCCATGCGGTACTGTATCAGCAGAGTCTTATAGCAAAAAAACTCGTCACATGGTTCGTTCTGACTTGAAATGACTTTTTCCTTGCTCTCTCTCTCTCTCTTTTTTTTTTTTTTTTTTTTTTTCTTCTTTCTACTCTGTCTTTTTCTTTTTTCTTTTCTCTTTTTCTTCACCAACAATGGATTTAAAAGCTTGGGTCTCTGATTTTGCATTAAAGGTAAAAATAAAATAATAATTATATAATAAAAATAAAATAATACAAAAGAATAACTTCTAATCTTATTTTTCATTGGTTGCCGTAGTTATTCCAAATATCAGAATCATCAGTAGTAGATTTTATTATTGCAACAGGTAAAAAAAAAAAAAAAAAGAATTGAACATAGGAATATATATAATGAACTAATATTAAAACTTACTTTTATAGCTCAAAAGGCCAAATCACCTGACGATTTATTATCAACATTAACAACCGTATGTGAAGTACCTTTGGATGATCAAAGTAAGAGATTCGCTTATGAATTGTATGGACGTGTTCCACACCAAAATACAGTAAAATCAACAAATAAGGAAGCAATAGCAAAAGCTCAACGCAAAAAAGAAGAAAAGGAAGCTGCCAAATTACGACGAAGCAATGAATCTTATCAAATGGTACTTATGGACGAAGATGAACCTGAACGATCAACTTCCAAAGAATCTAAAGAAGAACGACGACTACGAAAATTGGAAAAGAAGTTAAGGAAACGTAAACTTGATAGTGCATGGGATAGTGATGATGATACAACTGTTACTACTACTATGAATGAACGATATAAGCAACAAGGTAAGAAAAATATATATATATATATATATTATATATGTAGTTTTCATATGATTAATGAATATGTTTTTATAGATGAACTAGAAGCAACGGAAACAACAGAAGAAACTGAAGAAGATCGATTGGAGCGTGAAAGATTACAAGATATGAAAGAACGGGATGAATTAGCTGAACGATTGAAGGACAAAGACAAGGAACGAACCAAAAAAATGGTGGAAGATCGATCATCAAAAAAGGATAGTGAAGCAAGGAAACGACGAAATTTAGCAGATGATAAACTTGCACGACAAGAAGCCTTACCAGACTTACGTGATAGATCTCGTCAACAATATTTGAAAATGCGACAAGATCAACAATTGGAACTTCTACGACAAAAAATTGAAGATGAAGAATTTTTATTCCGGGATCAAAAAGTCACACAACGAGAAAGGGATCAACTGGAATACAACAAACAAGTTTATGCCTTGGCTAAAGCTCGTCTCAAAATTGATACCAAAGAAGACGGTTACTCAATGCCTGAAGGTAAGAAATAAAACAACAAAAAATAAAAAAAAGGAAATGATTCGAGGAAGAATTGTATTTAATTTTTTTTCTTATTTTATAAATGGTAGATTACATTACGGAAAAGGGCAAGATCGATCGAAAGAAGAAAGAAAGCGCTTTATACAAACGATATGAAGAAGACAATGAATTTGTATCAGAACAAGACCAATGGGAAGCATTACAAGTACATAAAGCAGCAAAAAAGGCACAACAACAAGTAGAGGATGAATATGATTTTGTTTTTGATGAAGAACAAAAAATCGATTTTGTAATGGCTGCCAAACTGAATGAAGCTGAAGGTGAAGATGCCGAATTGTTGGAACGTATCGATGCTGCGGAACGTAAGGCCAAATCTATTGAAGAAACTCGCAAGTCTTTACCTATTTACCAATATCGAGATGAATTGATTCAAGCTATTCATGATTATCAAGTTCTTATCATTGTTGGTGAAACTGGTTCTGGGAAAACAACACAATTACCTCAGTATCTTTATGAAGCTGGTTATACCAAGGATGGCAAGAAAATCGGATGTACTCAACCTCGTCGTGTGGCTGCTATGAGTGTTGCTGCTCGTGTGGCTGAAGAAATGGGGGTTCATCTTGGAAATGAAGTTGGATACAGTATTCGGTTTGAAGATAGTACAACAGACAAGACAGTAGTGAAATATATGACTGATGGGATGTTACTACGTGAATTTATGACTGAACCTGATTTGGCCTCTTACAGTTGTATGATTATCGATGAAGCTCATGAACGGACATTGTCTACAGATATTCTTTTTGGATTGATCAAGGTATTCATAGAAAAAAAATAGGATTAAAAAAAAAAGTAAGGAATGAAAGGCTCATCATATTATTTCTTATTTATAGGATATCGCTCGCTTTCGACCTGATCTCAAACTTCTAATTTCTAGTGCTACAATGAATGCTCAAAAATTCTCAGAGTATTTCGATGATGCACCTATCTTTAACATTCCTGGTCGACCATACCCTGTGGAAATTTATTACACCAAAGCTCCTGAAGCCAATTATTTACGAGCTGCCATTACTCAAGTATTGACCATTCATGTAACTATGGGACGTGGTGACATCCTAGTGTTTTTGACGGTAAATAATGAATATCAATATTTTTTTTTTATTTTAACTCAACATTTTTATTTATTTATTTTCTTGAATAGGGTCAAGAAGAAATCGAAGCAGCACAAGAAGGGTTGACATTAGCATGCAAAGCACTTGGAAGCAAAATTGGTGAACTGATCATTTGTCCTATTTATGCAAATTTACCATCTGACATGCAATCTCGTATTTTTGAAGATACACCTGAAGGCGCTCGAAAAGTGATTTTGGCTACGAACATTGCGGAAACATCTATTACTGTGGATGGTGTGTCTTTTGTGATTGATCCTGGATTTGGCAAGCAGAAAAGTTTCAATCCAAGAACTGGGATGGAAGCTCTTACGGTGACTCCATGTTCTCGAGCTTCAGCAACACAGCGCGCAGGTCGTGCTGGTCGAACTGGTCCTGGTAAATGCTTTCGATTATTCACTCAATGGGCTTTTTTCAATGAAATGGATGAAAATACAACACCTGAAATTCAACGTGTTAACTTATCCAATGTAGTATTACTTCTCAAGGTAAAAAAACAGAAAAAAAAAAAGGAAAGAAAAAGGTGAATAAATTACTAATAATAACTTTATATAGAGTTTGGGTATCAATGATTTAGTGAATTTCGACTTTTTGGATCCACCAGTGGAAGATACAATGATTCGTGCTCTTAGTCAACTATACGCTTTGGGTGCATTGAATGATCGTGCTGAATTGACCAAACTTGGACGTAGAATGGCAGAATTTCCTATGGATCCCTGTCTTTCCAAGGCTATTGTTGCAGCTGAAAAATATGAATGTACCGAAGAGGTGATTTCCATCTGTGCAATGTTATCTGAACAAAGCTCTTTATTATATCGACCTAAAGATAAGAAATTATTAGCAGACACAGCTCATCAAAACTTGATCAAGCCTGGTGGTGACCATATGACGTTACTCAATATTTGGAATCAATGGGTGGAAACTGATTACTCTATTCAATGGTGCTATGAAAACTTTATTCAACATCGAACTCTTGAACGATGTCGCAATGTTCGTGATCAATTAGTACAACTTTTAGATCGTGTGGAAGTTCCGTTGGTCAGCAATCCAAATCCAAATGACATTATACCTCTTCAAAAAGTAAGTGAAGGAAATGAATGGATGACTTTATTATTAAACTAACAAATTATATTGATATAGGCCATTACATCTGGATTCTTCTTTAATGCGGCAAGATTGAATAAATCTGGTGATTCCTATCGAACAGTCAAACAAAATCAATCAGTACATATACATCCAAGTAGTGGTATGCTGGAAAAGAAACCAAGATGGGTGGTCTACTATGAATTGGTGCTTACAAGCAAGGAATATATGCGTCAAGTGATGGAAATTCAACCGAATTGGTTACTAGAAGGTAAAAAGAATAAAATAAAATAAAATAAAATATGATCTAGTGATCATCTTGATCTAATTTTTTTTTTTTTGTATAAATATATATATATAGTGGCACCACATTATTATAAACAAGCTGATTTGGATAATCTAGATGATAAGAAGAAACTTCCCAAACAATCAAAACAATATCGACCTGATATCGCACAACCATAGATAACAGTTTATATTATATATTTCATTTTTTTGAATAGCTGTACCATTTGAAGAATAAAAGAAACTAGTTTATTGTTTGTTGATAATAATGAAAAAAAAAAAAAAAAAGATATACACTATATACATATTACCAATTATGGTAGAGCAGAGGGGGGAGTTGACGAAATGATAGAGAAAGAGATTACCTATAAAGTGATTGAAAATGGATTTGACATAAGAAGGGAATATGATATCAGGAAGATTTGGAAAACATGGCAGAGTTGATAGAGAGTACGACCATCACACCTATTGCAAAAGAACCCAGCAAAACCATCACAGTCAAACTGAACCAGCCAGCTTGAATAAAGTTGACTTCACGTATAAGAGCTCGTTGATTGAAGAAGTAACGCCCAACACCATATAGAAATAGGCAAAACCCAGCAGCCACGAAACAATAGCCAAGGGGTTGAGATATCGCGTCAATGTTGGATGGTGAAGATGAACTGCTAGTTTTATAAGGTAAACGAAATTCGATCAACATTGTAAATCCTATTCAAAAATAAAATAAAATAAAATAAAAATGAATTAGTTGACTTTTTTAAGGAAGACATTTTTCTATTTTTTTTTTTTTTTTTTTTTTTACCAAGAATAATAAGAGTGCAAGAGAATCGTAAAAAGGTGAGGAAATTGCGTTCACCAGCCAATTGATCACGAGCCATGCTTATTTTGTTCGGTATAACAAGAGAGGTATCAAGTATGGAGAAGAAGGATGGAATCGAATAGGAAAGTGTGGCATGTCTTTGCCCTTCTTCTACATCATCAGTCGGCATGAAATCTTTCTTTCTAGAAAAAGAAAAAAAAAAAAAAAGAGGGGAAATAAGATTTCAGTAATTTCAATCTCCTGAACTTCTTTTGACAACGCCTGTGCCGAGTGGTTTATTTCTTTCGGCCAATGAAAATGCCCTGTGACGTGAAATGTCGAACCACCTTTTTTTTTTGTTTTGATTTTCGAGCATCGATACCCTTACCAATCTTTCTTTTTTTTTTCTTCTTCTCTTTCTTTTTTTTAATTACTTTTTCTTGAAAATGTCTCTCGTTAACCGACCCAACAACATCCTTGCTCAACAACGATATTTCCAAGTAAATATAACAACCTAAAATGATAATGAACTAGATGAATGGAGAGAAAAAAGGACTATTATCCAATATTATTATTTCTTATCTATTCATTCATGATGTGAAAACCGAGGGAAACTAATCATTTTATTATTACCATTATTATATTATAGGCTCCTTCCAATACTCCCTTGTTCCTTCGTGGTCCTAGAGATAAGTTGTTCGTCTACGGTACTTTCCTCGTTCTCGGTACTGGTCTCATTGGTGCTCTTTATGGTACTACCCGTATGGTCCGCGTAAGTATTCTATAGAAAAAAAAAACGATTTTTTTAATTAGATGATTATATCATTTGAAATATTAATATTTTATTTTATTTTAATAGGATCTCAAGGACTAAAAGATTCTTATATCTCGGATATTTCGTTAATGTTTTTTAGTCATTCTCTTAGAGTATAGAAAGGTTTTTTTGTTTTAATCTTTTTTTTTTTTTACCCTCAAAAGCAAAAAACCTTTTCTGTTCATTATACAACATATTACAATCAAAATAAATCGTTCTTTTATTGTCTCAATTATCTCTATTTATTTCTTTGGTTGGTCAATGGGTTCAATTTCTTTTTTTTTTTTTTTTTGACAGTTGTAAGCTTAGTCTCATGATCTACCTTTAAAGTTTTAATTGAATTAGTTGATTTGCTGTATTTGGAACCGAATACTATTTTGGAAATCTTTGATGCATGTGTATGTATGATTGAATCTTTTTTTTTATGACATCCATCAATCATGACAAATAATACAATAATACTTGCCCTATCTTAGAAAACACACCAAGTTTATTAGATACCATATACAGTGCATTTGAGTGTTCAAAGTAGTAGCTATATCTATTAAAGTTCTTTTTTTTTTTCTTTATTTTTTTTAATATGAAGATGAAGATTACGGATATTGTTTTAATTTACAATCATCATAAGAAATTCCATAGTTTTAGCACTGATGGTGGATTTGCGATTCATGCGGGAACGAGATATTGCCTTGGTTCATCACTGTGGCTTGGCGTCTTTGATACAGGACAACGAGAGAAAAAAAAAAAAAACCGGCGTTTCAAATAGCCGAAAGATTCACTTGCACGCCATCCTTTCCTTTTTTTTTTTTTTTTTTTCTTTCTTTCTGTTTGTTATCTTGCAGAAAACTAGAATGTCAAAGCACACTCATCCTGATCCTACTCAAGTGAAGGATGGGTTTGAACCTTTATTAGAAGAATACTATGAAGGAAAACATCTCAGTGAACCTATCAAAGAAATCAAGGTAAAGCTCTAAAAATAAAAAGAGTAGTTTAATATGTTTTATGAATATATATATATATTAACTATCTATCTTTTGACTACTTCGTTTAGGATAAATGGAAACTATTACCAGCTTTTTTACAAGTCAAAGGTTTAGTGAAGCAACATACTGATTCATTCAATTATTTTATCAATGTTGATCTACGAAAAATCATTAAAGCCAATGAAAAGGTTACCTCAGATGTCGATCCTAATTTTTATCTCAAGTAAGTAATAAATATATTCTCCCCTTTTTGCTAGTATAGATATATTTACTATCAAGCTATAACTTATATATTTTTTTTAATTCAATAGATATACGGGCATTCGAGTGGGTTCTCCTGAACGAACAGATGCAGACGTCGCCAACCGCAGTTATACACCTCATGAATGTCGGTTACGTGATCTCACTTACTCTGCTAATATCTTTGTGGACGTGGAGTATACTCGTGGAAAACAAATTGTGAAACGAAAAAATGTCAATATTGGACGTATGCCTATCATGTTACGATCTTCTCATTGTGTTTTGACTGGCAAAAGTGAAGCAGAATTGGCGAAAATGAGAGAATGTCCTTTGGATCCAGGTAAAAAAAAAAAAAAAAAAAAATAAAAAAATAAAACTAAAATAAAACAATAATTCTCACTCTCTCTCTATATGTATGTATTGGGTAATAATGGCTCGATTTTTTTTTAATTTATTTTGTAGGTGGTTACTTTATTGTGAAGGGGACTGAAAAAGTGATTTTGGTACAAGAACAATTATCCAAAAATCGTATCATTGTAGATACTGACAAAAAGGGAAATATTGTTGCGAATGTACAAAGGTATGTAATAATGAAAAAGGGGAAGAAATAGAAAAAAAAAAGAAAGAAAGCACTTTAAACATCAATATCTAACTAATATTATTGTTTTATCATAGTTCAACTCACGAACGTAAATCGAAAACTGCCATCTTTGTCAAACATAACAAAATTTATCTCAAGCACAACTCTATTGCTGAAGATATTCCGGTGACCATTTTCATGAAGGTAAAAATGAACTATATAGTGAATGAATGACTTATATGATGGTCTTGTTTTATAGGCTTTGGGGATTCAATCTGATCGGGAAATTGCTCAGCTTGTATGTGGTAACGATCATGACTTGCATGATACGTTCGCTATTAATTTGGAAGAAGGTGCTAAATGTAAAGTATTTACTCAAATGCAAGCATTGGATTATATTGGTGCGAAGGTCAAGATCAATCGAAAACTCACTACCGTTAGGAAAACCATTGTAAGTTTGTTTCATGTTACAGTACTTTTTCTTCGAAATAAATGCTCACTTTTTTTTTTTTGCCTTTTCCTCTACTATTCGATTATTTAGGCGGAAGAAGCTTTGGAAGTATTGGCAACTGTTATTCTCGCTCATATCCCTGTGGAAAATTTGAACTTTCGTGAAAAAAGTGTTTACGCTGCTGTGATGATCCGTCGTGTATTGGTGGCTATGAATGATGAAGTACAAGTGGATGATCGTGATTACGTTGGTAACAAACGTTTGGAATTGTAAGTGAAATAAAAAAAAAATAAAAGAGTGGATAATGAATTTATTTCCTTCATATGTTATTAGGGCTGGTCAATTACTATCATTGCTATTCGAAGATTTGTTCAAGAAATTCAACTCTGATCTCAAAATCAACGCGGATAAGGTCCTCAAAAAACCAAATAGAACACAAGAATTTGATATCTTTAATCAACTTGTTCTTCATGGCGATCATATTACAAGTGGATTTATTCGGGCTATCTCTACAGGAAATTGGGTGCTCAAACGTTTCAAGATGGACCGTGCTGGTATCACACAGGTATTATCTCGTCTTTCATATATTTCCGCTTTGGGTATGATGACAAGAATCAGTTCACAATTCGAAAAAACAAGAAAAGTGTCTGGTCCAAGAGCTTTGCAGGTAAATAAAAAAAAAAAGTGAACATGTCAACGATACAGAAGATTCATTATTTTTTTTCTTTTTTCTTTCTTTGTATAGCCATCTCAATGGGGTATGTTATGTCCTTCTGATACTCCTGAAGGTGAAGCATGTGGGCTTGTTAAGAACTTGGCATTAATGACTCATATTACTACTGATGATGAAGAAGATCCTATTCGACGTGTGGCATTTTCTTTGGGTGTGGAAGATATCAATCTATTGACAGGTGCTGAAGTATATCAACCAAATACCTTTATTGTACTTCTCAATGGTGGCATCCTTGGTGTAACTCGCCGTACTCAAAAATTTGTTTCTGATTTCCGTCGTTTGCGTCGTGCTGGTCGTGTATCAGAATTTGTATCTGTATTTGTTAATACACATCAACGTACTGTGAATTTATCTTCTGATGGTGGTCGTATCTGTCGTCCTTTGATTATCGTAGAACGTGGTCGACCTCGTGTGACTCAACAACATATCAATGCACTGATTGCTGGCGATTTGGTATTCGATGACTTTTTGCGCAAGGGCTTGGTAGAATACTTGGATGTGAACGAAGAAAGTGATGCAAACATTGCTACCTATGAAAGAGACATTATACCACAAACAACCCATTTGGAAATTGAACCTTTTACTATCCTTGGTGCTGTTGCTGGTCTTATTCCTTATCCTCATCACAATCAATCTCCTCGAAATACTTATCAATGTGCGATGGGTAAACAAGCTATCGGTGCCATTGGTTATAATCAACTCAATCGTATTGAAACTCTTATCTATCTTATGGTGTACCCACAACAACCCATGGTCAAATCAAAGACAATTGAATTGATTGGTTATGATAAGGTAAACTATCAATGAAGGTGGAAAAAGAAAACATAAAAAAAAATATTCATCTTTTTTTAAATATATTATTAGCTCCCTGCTGGTCAAAATGCTACTGTGGCTGTCATGAGTTACTCTGGTTATGATATTGAAGATGCTTTAGTTTTGAACAAGGTAATAATAATAACAATAATAATATATATGACTGATTTAGAACTATGATGAACTTACACTCCTTCTCTTTTTAAAAAGTCTGGTCTCGATCGTGGATTTGGTCGTTGTCAAGTGATGCGAAAATATTCTACTATGATCAAGCGATACCCTAATGGAACGTAAGTGCATATTTTTTTTTTTTTTAAGGATGATAAAGTTTTTGTCATATCTAACGAATGAATTGTATATTTATATAGACATGATCGACTTGCAGATCCACCATCACGGGATTCTGAATTTTTCGATAAATCTTTCGATACAGTAGAACAAGATGGTATTTCTGGTGTAGGTGAAGCTGTGGAAGCTGGCGATGTTTTTATCAATCGACAAACACCTGTAGGTGGCAACGATATGGGAGTTGCAGGAGCTAGTCAACAACCAACAACGTACAAATCAGCACCAATGCGATACAAGTCACCACAAACAGGGTACATTGACAAAGTTCTATTCACCACCACAGAAAGTGATCAAACGTTGATCAAGGTCAATATTCGACAAACACGACGTCCTGAACTTGGTGATAAATTCTCTTCTCGTCATGGACAAAAAGGGGTATGTGGTATTATTGTACAACAAGAAGATATGCCATTCAGTGATTTGGGAGTATGTCCTGATATTATTATGAATCCTCATGGTTTTCCTTCACGTATGACGGTGGGCAAGATGATTGAATTACTTTCTGGTAAGGCAGGTGTACTTGCAGGCAAACTTCAATATGGTACAGCTTTTGGTGGTAGTAAAGTAGAAGACATGAGTAAGATTTTGATGGAACATGGTTTCAATTATGCTGGAAAAGATTATGTTACTTCTGGTATTACTGGTGAACCATTATCTGCTTATATCTTCTTTGGTCCAATTTATTATCAAAAACTCAAACATATGGTGATGGATAAAATGCATGCTCGTGCTCGGTAAGTTATTATTTATCTATATATTTATGTTATTGATTGACTAATGATTATTTCATGATATATATGTAGTGGACCTCGTGCAACATTGACTCGACAACCTACAGAAGGTAGATCTCGTGATGGTGGTCTTCGTCTTGGTGAAATGGAACGTGATTGTTTAATCGGGTATGGTGCAAGTATGTTATTATTGGAACGTTTGATGATTTCTTCCGATTCTTTTGAAATCAATGTATGTGATGCCTGTGGTTTGATTGGTTATGCTGGTTGGTGTCAATACTGCAAAAGTTCCAAGGATATGAAAGCCATGAAGATTCCCTATGCTGCTAAACTTTTATTCCAAGAATTGATGGCCATGAATGTCAGTCCACGTATGATTCTTGGTGATGCTATTTAGAATCCTCTTTTTTTTTTTTTTTATCTCATAGTTTTACATTTTATATTCATGCATTTTCTCAACTTTTTATTTTATTGTGTTTATTATTTACCATTGAATCACACCATTTTTTTTTATTTTGTTTGGTTGACTTTAACTCTTTTATTTTTTTTTTTCCTCGTTGTATATATACACATTTCATCTATCTCTTCTTTTTTTTACATTTGTAACTCAATAAAATGAACCATTCAAAAAAAAAAAAGATTATGTATGGAACAATCCTATGAGTGAAATCCAAATCACAGAATTTTTTCATTAAGTAAAAGAATGCCTTCAAAGATTCAATTGAAAATTCTGGAAAGATAAAGTCGGTATAATTCTACACATCTGTTTCTCTTTTCATACCATAACAAAGGTGCCCACGCATACTTTTTTTTTTTTTTTTTTTTTTTTTTTCTAAAAAAAATCCTGCACTCCAATGGAGTATTGAGTCGAGAATGATTTATTGATATACTACATAAAAGAAAAATATAAAAATAGAAATGATAATATACAAATGAAATATATATATAAAAAAAAATATAAAATAAATCAATAATAACAAAAGTAATAATAATAATGATAATAATAACAAAAAAAAAAAACTAAACTACAAGTCCAGTAAATTACAAGTCCAATAAACTACAAGATGAGTACATCTTTATTTTGAGCATTTCCAAAGATGGTAAGCCAAGGTAGTTGCCAAATTGCCCATGAATGTCATTTCAACAGGATCCAATTGATCGACACATTTGCGTTCATGTTTGCTACAAGCATATACCTTGATTGTGTCAGTATCGTCCTTCGTTGGTTCACCATGGTATTCTATCAGTATAAAGTATTCCATCACCGCATTGGGAATAAATAGAACGATACATCTGTTCGATTTGTTTGGTTGTACAAGTTCGCCAGAGGTAAGAGGATTTATTTGCTTGATGATCTCCAACACAGCTTGCCATCGCAAATTCAAAGATAAAAATCGACTGAATTCAGAATGTGTGTCCTTGTCAATACGGATAGTTTCAAATTGCTTCGCAACAATCACTAGTTCTTGAGCATATTCAAAAGATATATCCAATGTCGTTTTTCTGTTGATAGCTTGATAAAGTCGATTCCAATCAGCATCACGATGACATGCTATGGTAGCCTACCAAAAAAAAAAAAAAAGAAAAATCATCGTCATCTTTCCATCATCTATTATATCCATCCATTTATTTATGTTTACATACCTGCTTCACCAGTGTATCAATTCTTTTTTTAGCTTGTTGTAAAACATCATGGAGAGAATGCATATCTGGTCCCAACATTTCATCTAGAATATTCTCATATCTTTCAGGTTTGTTCTTGACCACTTTGCGCCATGAATTCTTACTTGATTTCTTGCTATAAGGTGCCCGATCCATACCTTGATAGGTCACAATGACATAATATTGTAATATAATCCTATCCAACGAATTTGACGGAGGGATTTCACCAGTTTCCAAAGTACGTCCTTCCATTGTTTTATCACCATCGTACTCATGATCATAATTATCATCACGGGCTGAAGATGTATGAGGTGTATCCATAGATCCCATATGACTATATATGCTATGACTACCCGGCCAATGTTTAGCGTTTTCAGAATTGGTTGACAATGGTGTGATGATTAAAGAATAACGGAAAGGTAAACGATCATCATCATGTCCTCGTTCAAAAGAGAGATCATCCGAAGATACAAAGCAGCCCACCGGTTTCTTGTCACAAAATAAAGAGGAGAATCCAAAGTTATCCGCATTTCGTAATAGAGTTGGTACTATTGCATCCAGTTTTTCTTCCATCAACAGTTCATAAGAGCCATATAGAATGCGATTTCGAGAGTAACCACCAGGTCGTTTTCCATGCAAAGACACCATATTGTTGATCACATTCAAAAGATTGAGATTGGCAGGCAAGTCATCAATATTATCCAAGCTTTTTTGAATGAAGCGTAACCGAAAGTCTGATACAAACGAATTGACATGGATTTTCTGTTTGAGACTATCACATTCTTCTGTAAAATCATGGAATCCAGCGCGTCGCATTTCATGTTTTTCGTGAGTATAAGGTGAATAGGTCAAACGGCCATACCGACGGTGGAGAGTGTAGAGAGTTACGGAGACAAACACATCAGTCAATCTTGCTTCACAAAGTACTGTACCGCCATTATAGACTTGAAGATGATACGTTACAGGAGAGGGAACAGATTCTTCACTATTGATTTTGAATTTGGATAAATAGCATTGAATTTCTTCTTGTTGATCGGATGATGGGCCATAGACAATGAGATGCATACCAATACTCTCCAAGTAAGAAGCATATTCCTTCATAAATGTGTGTGCAAGATGCTGATACCAGTTGATTGTCATCAGATCGTGTTGAAGAGTATCCATTGTTGATGAATCCATGTCGTCAAACAGTTTTGCCGATCTCTGCAAGTGGTTCAATCCAAAGTTGAAGGTTTCGGTTGAGTCAATATCAGATAAAAACAATGGTGTTCGACAGAAATGAAGAATACGAGAGGCCTTGAGAATCACCTTGAGTTCAGAGACTGTCATCATTTCACTTTCTTCCACAGATTGTTGTATGTCAAGTGGTCCTCTTCCAGAATATCGATTGGCCCATTTGGAGTATACCTTGAACGCCTTTTCGTGAGCTGCTTGAAGTTGGGAACGCCTGAGATACATGTTGAGGAATGGTTCACCATGTCGCATCAAATAATCCCTATGATTTGCATGTTCGTATTCAGTTGTTGATTCAGCAAAGGCGTCTCGTAACACAGAATTTGCATCCGCCATCCTAACAGCTGTATATACCACTTCATTTGTAAGTTCTCCAGAGTGATCCATGTTGCCACTATTATTGTCTTGCCTTGGTGATCTACAGAGTCGTCCATATTCTTCTACATCGAATACACTAGAACTACCAGTGACTTCAGTTTCACTATGAAAGGAGGATCCTCTATCCAAAAGTGGTGGACGTGTCCTTGAGAAGTATGTATTGGCCACCAATTGTTTGAGGCTATTGAAGTTAACTTGTATTTTGTTGACTGATGATAACATGTCCATCCGACTTGAAGACGATCTTGTCCTTGATTCTGGTTGTGCTAAGCGAGCAATACTAGAAGCATTTGGAGAAGATATTTGTTGACCATCTTCTTGTTGCTGTTGCTGTTGTAAAATAACCTGTGATAGACTAGGATGCGATAAAATATTTTCTTCGCCGTAATGATGCGGTGACAATCCATTCGATACTAAAGAGCTTGTTGATAATATTTCAGACATAGTATGAGTATGATGGAAAAGACCCATTTTCTGATGCAGGATATTATTCAATGCCAAATGTCTTGATTCTTGTTGCGATAGTGTTCGAAGTACCAGTTGAGAGACTTGTTCCGTAAATGCTTCAGTGCAGTTGTAAATATACATGGTTGTCTCCATACAATCAATAATCAATAATATAAAGCAATGATGATGATCAGCTTCCTTGTAATTCAATTTTTGTTTGAGGACCACACCAGATTTTGACATGGAGGAGGCTACAGAGTCTTGACGAAGATGATGATCATCCTTTCGCATATCCCGTTGCTTGCCATATTCTTCATCCCTTGCTAAAGACCATTTTTTGGTTTGAGACCAGTAACTTTCAGAACTATGCCTACGAGAACTAAATCCACTTGATAGACCGAGGTCAGGTAAACCGCTGATGAGCATGTATTGTGAGTTTTGAAAATCACCATTTGAGCCTTCCAAGCCTAAGTGCAAGGTAGGATCGTACAATGAATGTTCACCAAGCAATTCCGCATCCTTGTCCAATTTTTGAGATAGAGCTGCACGGGTGATGATCGGTTTGAGTATTGGGTTGATGATACTGAATTCAGCATCCAATCGAAGTAATACATTATCCATACACCATGGAGCCAGATTTGTTGACCAAGATATTTGTTTCACAGTAGGACTTGACCATTCAACCGCCTTGTCAAGTACTTGTAGAAATGGTGTGGAGATAGCCTTGATAGAATAAGTCATATCATCTAGAATCACTGTATCAGTTTCTTGATTTTCCATCACAATAGGTTCCGTAAGAGCTGTATGGATAACTTGTTCAACAATGTAATCACAGATCGTATGTTTAAAACAGCCATAAAGATAATCCAACAAGAATTCACCTTCAATTTGTCCAATGGTCCAAATATCAATACCAAGTAAAAATTCGTCCTGAGTATCCTTCACATCACCATACATAATATAATCATCATTCAAGTACGATTCCAATTGAAGATCGTCGATAGTTGGTGTTCCCTTTGCCTTTGGTAGTTGTGATACAAAAACACCATTACTGTCAAGTAAACTGAGACAAATACCAGCAACACCTTGACCAACACTAAGTTCAAATGGACTACATAGACCTGGAGTACGACTTGTGCAACTGTAGTAAAAGCATAAATCTTGTAGTGATTTATCGTTCACACTAGGACTGGCATTCGTTTGACTATACAGTTTTATATCAGAATATATTAGTCAATTTTTTCATCTTTTCATTTTATTACTATTATTATTATTATTATTTAGACTTACGAGTAAGCTAGACCAGAAGAATAAGAACCGTAGCGAATCATCCGATGTCTTCGAACAAGAGATGAAATATCAGTTCCATCAAGAGCACGTAAAGGACCCACCAATATATTTTGTCGTAATAAGGCCAAGAAATGAGAAGGATTCGAGATAACAGGTGTAATACGAAAAGTTCGACGTAAAGATGGATTTTTTCCAACCGGTAAAATGAATTCCAAATCCTATTCATAAAAAAAAAAAAAAAAAAAAAGAGTATATGTTCAATATGTTTTTATTAATAGATTATTTTAACCTTTTTTTTTTTTTTTTTTTTTTTTTTTTTTTGAACTTACAGCACGGGATAGTTTTGAAGTAGGATTTCTAGTCAAAAATTGTTGAACTTCTTTCATAGTAATTTGAGATATCAATCGACTTTCAAGCATATCCACCAATTCAGATATCCATCCACCAAATTCAACACCATGAACTTCAAATAGTAATTCCCTTGATTCACTGTATCGAGAGCCATGTTTCTTGAGGCTTGGAGACAAGTTACTACCATTGAAATTATCGTGAGCTTTACCAGGACTTTCCTTGCTACTTGTACGTTCACTATGAGGACTACCATGAGGAGAAGAATTCCCAACAAAAGAAGTAAAGGATGATGTATGTAATTTTGGATGAGATAAAGCAAGAGCACTACTGTCACCAATGAAGGATTTGTCACCATTACTATCGATTGCTTGCAAGGAGATACCAAAAGGAGAACTAGGGCGCAGATAGATACTTTCGCTGTCATTTTGAGAGTCAGAATCCAAAGCATGAGATGTTGTACCTTCTGATAAGAAACAATAAACTACCACGTTATCACGCATGATAACAAACATATTGGGTCGATTTTTCACGGCAAATGGTCGAAGGACTTCGTTAGAGAGAATGGTGAGAGCTGAATTGGGTTGTAGTCGCCAATGTAAGGGAAATCGTTTCGTCAAAAGTATTTCACATCCGAACTGTCCAGGTTGAAATTTTTTGGGAGGTGTGAGAGCCATTTCTTCACCAGATGTTGAGAGAATTTCTACTAGATTGTTGTTGGTATCAATACAAGTCATATCAATATCATCATCAGATAAATCATCAGAAGAACAATATTGCTGTTTTTCATTTTCATCCACTGGTGCAAGTAAATATTTGCTATACATAAAAAAAAAAAAAAGAACAGTGTTAGTCATCATTTAAACATTGTAATTTCCAATCATTACCTGCATATTCTTGAATCATGCATAGATTGCAATAACACGATTTTGTTTGTTCGTTCCATCACATCGTGTACCATGGCTTTAGTCATTCGTATAATTTCAGATCGGTTAACAGATTGTTGAAGTTTGGAATAAAAGTAGAGTTGTACACTCTGTTTCTGAGGGATCAATAATAGCCAGTAAAGTTGTTGCTTTGTCGATTTCACTTGTTTGTCATTGTTATTGTTGTCTATACAGATGTCGTCCTTTGTATCATCGTCAACATTGTTGCTGCCATCTTTGTTGTTCTTGTTGTAATCATCATCATCCTCATTGTTCATAGCATCGGGCTCCATAATGCTGATACCAAGACCTTGGCAGTAGTCATCGCTTCCCTGTGGTTTGTTGTTTAGCAAAGTTCTGGGTCGATGATTCAGATGATCCGCTGGCATATCAATACTAATGTTGAGACCTTCAATATCATAAACGCCAGATTGTTGTTGGTAGCCAAGAGTTTCAGGTTGTTGTTTATCCAGAAGAGGCAAATCATCATCATCATCATCATCATCATCATCATCATCGCAGGCATAAAAAGAGTCACCAACACGCATGAGTCTATAGGGAGTGCTTCTTGCCTTTTCCAATTCAGAGAAGAACGTTGCACGACTTTGTTGCTGATTTTTGACAAAGACCAAAGGAATAAAGACAGTTGTTGGGAAGTCGACAAATGGATTCTTTTTCATTAGTTGCGTTTCCACATATCGAATAACAGATGGTGTTATAGGTCCAGATCGCAAAAGTCCATGCATGATTTCCTCAGTAAATAGCCATACCAAACGAGCTTCTGTTTCCAACAAGGCATCTTGCTTATCCGTATTCAAAGAAGAAAGAGTTTCGCGATGTTCATTTTCATTTTCCAAAAAGGAATAACTACCAAAAGAAAAAAAAAGTTAATACCTATGGAAGAAAGTAATTTATATATATAGTCATAAACAAGCTAAAACCCAAACTTACGGTCGGTGATGTATTGAGAGACTTGCAGCAGGACATTCTTGAGCATGTTGCACGTGGATTTCAGAGGGTTCACCATCAAAAGAAGGTAGGGTCAAGCACACCATGCGTAGGGTTGCAGTTGTTCCATCAGCAGAGGCCACAGGCGAATCATCAGTGCCAATGGATTCAGGTTCAAATGAAAAATCATCCTCGTCGACTTGATGTTGATAAGAAGATGGTATTTGATCAAATGTAAACGTTTTTTCCATATAACCGTCACCTGTCGAGTTTGGTTTCCGTAGTATGCATTCCAAACGTATAAATAGAGGATTTTGAGCACATTCAACAACATCAGCCAAATTTGTCGGTTTCTGACCAAGTAGTGATAATCCAAGTTTTTGTCCTGCTTTGGTGAACGGTGGTCTATAACAATAAATATTTTGATATCGTCCATCTGTGGTGATTACTGGTTCGAAATAATGACTGAGAACAGAGACAAAACGACGATGAGCCAATTCGATTTCGTTTTTGCTACAAAGATTATATTCAAGTCAATAAAACCCATGTTAATAAAAAAAAAAAAAGAATGTCCATTATTATATTAGCTCTTACCTTTGACTATCACGTCTTTTCAATAAAGTTTGTACATTCAAATACCCAGTAATGTCAATATCCAGAGTAGTTTCATCACAATAATGTAAGATCTTTTCAAAATCAGTAGGTTCTACCACACGTCCATGTAAAAGAGAGGTGAAAATAGTCTTTACAAAGCTTCGAGAATACACCTGAGTCACTTTTGATATCAATTGAGTCAATTCTTCAGAATCACCATGTTGATTTTCATTACTACTAAGACAACCTTTCCAAATTCCATTAGGAACAAGATCAGAATCACGATTTGTCTTGATGATATCCAGTCGTTGAATTGTTGACGTGTCGCTATTGTTGTTGTTGTTGTTGTTATTGTTGTTATTATTGGCGGCATAAAACCCAGTTGTATCTGCGTTTTCGTTTGACTGTCGATGACATTCATATAAAAGTATTCCAGTATGATCTGTTCCATTGGATAACAGATATGGGTTGCTTGAATCTAATTTGGTCAGTCCCTTTATCACAGTTTCAAAACTTGGAAGAAGCATAAGCATCATGGTAGTTGGACTTATTGATTTTACAAAACATCGGAGATCGAGTATAGATTGTGCGATCCGTAAATTCCCAATTTCAATATCACCATCGAGTTGCTTGAGCGTACCCAGTAGCGTTGCCCAAAAATCGTCTTTTGGTGTATTTTCCAAAGATACTTGATAATCAGTAATGACTGCAAGAGATCGTTCCATAAAGTAATGCAGGAATGCCATATCGTGACGATCTGGAGGTAGTGTTGAGATGATGTTGCGGTTTTGATAAAAGATAGCACCAGGACGTGGACATGTACAAGATGACGTTTTGTCTGTTTTCCATATCTCTTGTTCAGCTGCTATTTTTAAAAAAAGAAGTTAATAAGAAAAAAAAAAAAAAGAAGAAAAATCAAAAGTTAAGTCTCGTTGTTTATCTATTTACCAGTATAGCCGCTCGATAGTTCACCACTATTACTGGTACTATTAACGTCTTGTGAATTTTCTTGATTTCCAATAAATACAGGACATCGATAACTTGCCAACCAAAATGTACCCAATCGAAGAATAGAAGAAATATTGAAAAGATGGTGTTGTCGAATATGTTGAGTGTTTAAAAGTCTATCACGAAGATCCGATGTTGATCGATCCATAGTTGATTGATCCGTCAAATGGCAAGTATGACCCAAAGCAGCAATGTGATCAAATGTAACTAATCGTGTTACGATATCCTTATCAATTTTTGTCATATCCGTTTCCATTTGTCTATGTAATTCCCCATCCAATGAAGAAGGTTCCATCCAAAGTTCTGTCATGATTCCTTTCTTGGCGGGATCCTTCCAAATATAGTATTGAATAGAAAATGATGTACCATTATCATCCACTTCTTTATAAAAATGACTTCCGTTGCGTTGTGATGAGAGCAAAACATATCCCTAATTTTCCAGTAACAACAAATAAATAAATGAGTGACAATGTCTGACGGCAAACTTTTTTTTTTTTTTTTTTTTTTTTTTTTTAGGTCATTCAACTTACTTGTTTTATTCGAAGTCGACACATAAAATCATAAGCTAAGCAATATAGAGGAGTCAGGTTTGCTGCGCCAGAACCGTGATCTTGTACATCCCAGTGAAGTGTATTGTGATAAAGATAATTCCGGACGATATATTCACCAGTGATCCATAAAGTAGGATTACCATACCACATGTTCATTTGGATTTGCTGTTGCTGAATATGAGTCTCATTCACCATATAATGCTCAGGATCACGCATCAAAAGACCGGCCAATGGGCGTTTGACTACCCAACAAGAAGGTTGAGAATTTTGCTGTAAAGATGATGTTTGATGTACTTCCAAAGGAATGTTCGCCGAATAGAGATCAGAAGTAGGAGTAGAAGAGACTAATAAATTCCTCAAATCATCAATAACTTGCTTGCGTTCGAGAGTGTTAACATTAAAGAAGAGAATTCGTACCATCAATATCTTTTCTTTTTCCTTGAAAACCCGTAGTTCGCAGAATTGAAGACTGGTGTCCTGTTGCATTTGTCGTTGTTGTTGTCGTTGTTGTTGTTGTTGTTGTTGTTGTTGTTGTTGTTGTTGTTGTTGTTGTTGTTGTTGTTGTTGTTGTTGTTGTTGTTGTTGTTGTTGTTGTTGTTGTTGTTGTTGTTGTTCTTTTTCATTTGAATGATTGGATCTATAGTGATTGCTGTCCAATAACTTGATATAAACATTATCCTGTTGATGGGTAAACGTCGACCATGATGCGAGCTGTGTATGGATAGTGTCAAGAAGGGGACCATTTGTTGGCATAGAAGTCAAAGGATCAGTATAAATCAATTCAAATGCCTGTTCATCGTACCAACACCGGGTGTAGGGTCTAATATCCGCATCATTCATCTTGGTCCAGGAAGTTTGAAATCCATCAATATAGGTATGACGTATTTGTGTTGGATTTGGTGTTGTTGGTGTTGCTGTTAATATTGGTGATAACGATGAAGACGAACATGGTGATGATGAAGAAGGAGAAGGAGAAGAAGAAGAAGATGATGATGATGTATTCGATGTTGATGTAAGAAGTGTTTTGAGCATGGTATCCGATTCATATATTCTATCCAGCAGTTTCTTGAGCTTGCCAACCTTTGAAAAACCTGCTGTAGAGCCGGCAAATTCCAATCCAGAGCCACCATTGACCACACCCATCATCTGCATCCGACGTTGAAATAAGTCCCAATTTTTCAGCATTTCAGAAAATGTATTGTTGGCGCGAATAAGAATTTCTGCTTTTGGTGATCGCATACCGTTGTAAAAACCATGTTTTGAGAAGTCTGTTGCAATATCATGAGGATCCAATTGTCGATTCTTTTCTTCATATGATGTGTATTGATTGAATAGAGTGGTCCATCTTGAAGGCCAATATGCACGTATACGATATTCCACCGCCACATGAGGTTGCCACTGTAATACCAAGATAATAATCACCCTTTCCCGTTTTGCGTTGTTGACATTTTCGTTGCCATTTCTATTAGATCCAATCTGTTCTTGATTTTTCTGTGTGGAGGATGAAGTACCCTTTCGGTGAATGTAATCGTCAAATATGATTGAAGCCAATGAGAAGCCTTGTCGTATCCTAGCACTAATAATATGCCATACTTCTTTTGGTAGATAATATTCTTGATAGCGCATCAATCGTGCTTCCACAGGTACAGGTAGAGTGTTTGTAGTCCAAGGAAATATACCAGAGGTTGATCCTGTAGACACTAGCAGTCTGTTGTCTGTTCGTACTTTTTCCAAACTAATCGATTTGGTAAGGAATCGTAAATGGTATATATTTGGCATTGAATCAATAGTTGTTGTGTCTGTAGGCAGAATAGGTGGATTTTGACCAGAATAAGTAAATTGTCCCCCTGTAGCATTTGTAACAAATTGTAAGATTTCTGTATCTGGTACGAATCCAAAGTTACATCCAGGAGTAAAGCCATCTTCTACACCAATATGGACCACATGACATGCTGTATTATCACAAGAAAGTTGTCGTAATACTGATTCGTCCACATTTGATTTCACCACACCATCAGTCAATAATACAATAGATCGCCAACCATCTGGAGGTAACAATGTCAAAGCGAATGCACCAGCACGTAAAATGTAAGAAAGATTGCTGCCAGTTTTCCCAACTCCCCAAACGTCCTTTTTCCAGCTATTGATTCCTTTCGCTGCGCGTTGTTGTCGATGTTGTTTTTGTTTTTGCTGTTGCTGTTGCTGATGCTGTCTTTGTTGTTCTTGTTGTTGATGCTGCTGCTGTTGTTGTTGTTGTTGCTGATCATTTTGATTGAATGTATGGGTGACAACCATTGGTGTTCGTTTAATAGATGCATTGTTTTTGGGAGTCGTACGTCTTGTATTTTTTCCTGTTTTCTTCAGAGTCCTTTTATTGCCAGTAGGTTGAGCCAAAGTTTTCGACGAAGGAGTCATTTCAGAACTAATCAATGTTGAAGAAGGTCGTGTCATGGAAGCGGTATGGGACTGATCTAGAGGTCCAATATCATATTCATTTTCATCCTCCTCTACTACTGAAGAATGATCATAACGCACATCAAGTTGATATCCAAGTTTCGATCGACGTTGAGTAATCTGTTGGCGGAACTTGCCCAAATCATATTGAAAGGCTTTGATTTCATTGCTAAGAGTTTGTAGTACTGAAGATACATTGGATGCGTTGATATGGACATTTTGTAATAGAACACGCATAGTAGGATATTCAGCCAAGATGGGAATGACATTGATGTTTGATCCAAATTGAGAACATTCAGCGATGACAGTGACACAAATGATAGGTTCAAACTAAATAATATAAGAAGATTAATACAATGGTTACAATGATTCTATATATCCTTACGCGAATATTGGTTCCAGAGGACAATGGAAGAGAAAATGGACGAACGATTCCAAGAATAATATTGGCAAGCCTAGAGAAGAAGAAGAAAAAAAAAAAAGAAAAAAAGAGAGATAAGATTTCAGTATCACGAACAGTGTATTGATAAAATTCACTTACAAATCAAAAGCATTTTCAATCATAATATGACCTCGAAACATATCAATGGTCGCCAAACTTGAACTTAGATCCACCATAAGTACCATCGAATGTTTGTTTGCGACTGAAAGAATATTGGTTCGAGGAGTCATGATATATATTTCTTGAGAGTCACTAGATTTTGAATCCATTATGTTATCGGTTGATGACTTGATGTCATTTCTAATAGGTAAGTTATTAGGTGATTGTGCAGATAATAACAACTTGTCAGATGAAGATAAAACAGATACTTGTTCCCATATGGGTTTGATATTGGAAGATAAGTGTAATATAGAATAATCCTATGATAGAAAGGAATATTAGTTCAAAATTCTTTTATTTTATTTTATATTTTATTTTACCTGATATATTTGTGTTGATATTGGACGAAACATATAATTGAGTAACCATTGTGTATTGTCATTATGAGTTGCCAGTGGTGTACTTTGATCCAAAATAATGGCAGTTCTAGCTTCGACAAACTAAACAAAATAAAAACAATATAGTTAAAAGAAATTGTTATTCAAATTTGTTATAAACTTGGTTTACCTTAACTTGGTGTTTTGAGTTATCCTTACTTGGTAAAGGTGGCGAAGAGGCTTCTGGTATACTATAAAATTGTAAAGAATAAGCAAAGAATTTAAATGTTAAAACTATAATAAGTTTACCTATTCATTGTATTAGTACCATCCAGAAAGGTATTTATTTTTGACAGGTATAAAATAAATCAATTATTGAATACGAGAAAGACAGAGGAAAGAAAAAGGTAACAAAATACAAAAATAAAAAAAAAAATTAAAGAAAGTAAAGGAAAAAAAAGTAACAACAGGAGAACATTTTGATCAAAATTGTAATGCCGATTTTATTGTTTTTGAGTAATAAACTACACAAAGTTTAATAATAATAAGGGCATAGGATACAGTCCTTATTCTTTAGCAGTAGGATGAACATAGAAAGCCAATGCAACAATAGCATAAACAGACTATATATAATAAATAAATAAATAAATAAAGATGAAATAAACTAATAAGTATTTTTTTTTTTTTTTTGCTTACCAAAAGTTGAACACCTTCCAACCAATTGGAACGACCATCTTGAATCAAATAATTGACAATCAAAACACTAGAGAATAATATCACAGTTTCAAAGTTTTCAAAGAAGAGAGTCATAGGTTGACCAATGATCCAACCAGCAATCACTAATACAGGAGTTACCAACAAACCAATTTGAAGAGAAGAAGATACAGCAATACCAATACAGAGATTCATCTTATTCTTGAGAGCAAAAGTAACAGAACTAACATGTTCAGCAGCACTAATAAAAATAAAAATAAGGAATCATGTCAGTTACCTCCTCTCTCTCTCTCATGTACTTCAATGGTGCATTATCACTTGCATATGCATAAACTTACTTTCCAACGATAGGCAATAAAATGATACCAACAAATGTTTCATCAATCTATTAAAATAATTTTCAAATCGAAAATGAGTATATTGTAGAGAGAATAAAGAAAGAAAAATAATGACTTACACCCCAACTATCAACAACACCCTCAATACTATATATATATAAGAAAGATTCATATTTAGTTAAATAAAGACTTCATCCTATACCACCATTCACTTACGCTCCGACCAAGAATTCAGCATGTAGAGATACAAATCCAGCAATCACAATGAGACTAAAATAGAAGATGAGATGAATGGAACTAAAATAATAAGTATATTTATTACCTGACAATGGAGAAAGACAAGGTAGTACTAGGTGTTTCATCTTCATCAGCTTCATCTTCATACTAAAGGAAAAAGAAGGTGAGATAACAGAAGGATGCATATCATGTATGTAATTACCAAATATGTGTGAGTTTTAAGCTATGATTAAAAATAAATAAATAAATAGAAAAACATTTAGTGTCAAAGATGAATATATATATATATTACCTGGAAAAACAAAAACAGAACGTAAACCAATAAAAGAACCAATGCAGTACCATGACTGAGTTTGAGAATACCTTCTTTAGCTTCACTAGCAGTAGAAGCAGTAGCACTGAATGCAGCAGGAATTAACAAAGATAAAGTAGTAAGAGCCAAAAGAGAGGATGAAGTTTGAGCAGCTAAATAAATAAATAAAGAAAGAAAAGGATTAATTATAATAATAAATAGATCATTGATAGACGCGTTACCTGTCACATTGAAACTTTGTTCTTGGCGTGTGGAACCACCCAACAAGAAACAAAACCCAAGTACCTAAAATTCAAAAGATTAAATTAGTATTGATTTATTTTTATTAAATTAATTAATAGCTTTACTAGTAAAATATTAGACAAGATGGAACCCAAGATGGAAGCTAATTTATTGACAGTTAGTAAATAAACATATTCTATATATTAATATTATTATTATTACCTTGAACCACACGAATCAATCCTTCTTTCAAAGCGATAATACCAAGAATAAGTTCAACAGCATTTCCAAAAGTAGCATTCAATAACTATTTTAAACTTATATGAGATTTCTTATCTTTTATATTAAATATCGTTCTATATAACTTACAGCACCAATGGTACTACCAGTACGTAAAGCAATTTCTTCAGTAGCTATATAAAAAAAAAATAAAGAATGAATATTTTGTTTTGTTGACAAAAAAAAAAAAAAAAAAAAAAAAGGACTAAAATATACATACCAAAACCTAAAAGTTTTGCCAAAGGAATAATAGCCATAAAGTTCAAAGAAAAGACAATAGGAGCAGAAGCATCAGAATAAGAGGCAATGAGAGCCATGGGAACAAATATCAAAAGAATGTTAAAGTAAGAAGAAGCCATAGTTGTCTTTAAAGAAGACATAAAAGTCAAGTCTTGTTGTCTATGAGTAGACGAACCAATAAGAGGTTCATTTTCAGTATTCATATTTCTTTCTTTTTTTTTTTTTTATAGGGAAAGAAAGAGAAAAAAGAAGAAAAAAAAAAAAGTTCAAAAAAATAAAGAAATTAGCGGAAATTCAAAATGTCAATTGGAGACATGTTTGTATGGGGTGTTGCCAATTTCCATTTCAGGAACAGGGCCGTTGATCAATTATTTGGAGGCGGCAAAAAATACTCATAAAAAGGTGTAAGCTTTTTTTTGTTTCGAAACTCTAGAGGTTATTCCACTCCCATTTTTTTTTTGTATATATTTTTACTTAGTATCTCCTCAATTTTTTTCTGCTCCCCTCTTTTCTATCATCCCCCCCCTCTCTCTCTGTCTTTCCTCCTTTTCTCTCTCTCTCTCTGTCTTTTTTTTTATTTTATTTTATTTATTATTATTATTTCATTTTATTTATTACTTCTTTTCTTTCTTTCTTTTCTTTCTTTATTTTATCGTGTATCTTTGAAAAAGTTAACTCACCATATACTATTTGATATGACGACATATACTCAAGAAAAACCTTCTAGTCGTATTCATTCTACACCGAGGTTCAAACTTTTTGGAAAATCAAGCAAGTAAAAAAAAAAAAAGAAAAAAGAAAACAAACTTCCATTCATAGTTAACCTTTTTTTTTTATTTTATTCTATTTTTTTATTTTATAGCTTCTCTTGGTATATTTTCGACTATGGGTTGGATAACCTCAAAACCATCGAAAAGACGACGTATGACTGGAAAAAAAATGTTATCTTTATTGACTTGTTGTTCCTTTGGTGGAAAACATACTCAAGATCTTAAAAAAAAACCTCATCAACAAAACACGACACATGAAGCTAATAGCAATAATCCAACACCTTCACAAACTATTACTTATTCAACTACTTCTGTTATATCCAAAGATCTTCAAACATTTACAAATATTGACAACAATTCACTAGAAACAAAACAACAACAAGAACAACAAGAACAACAAGAGAAGGTCAGTATCAACGATGTTTCAGTACAAAAACAAAATATTATGAAAGACCCTCTTAGACAATCTTCTTTGGATGATTTTCAAGAAACTACTACACCTTCACTCGAAAGCGAACAGGTATAATTTATTCATTCTTTTATTATGATCAACTATAAATATATGTGTAATTAATTTTTTTTTTTTTTTGGATAGGATCTTTGGTTATTGGCACCTATTGCTGAACGAGATAGAGGTCGTAAATGTCTTGTACTTGATTTGGATGAAACATTAGTACATAGTTCTTTCAAGGTAATAAGAAAAAAAAAAGTGATGATATTAGATCAATTCCATAATTATCCTTATGATTATTTTAGGTTGCTCCTCACGCAGATTTTGTAGTACCTGTTGAAATCGATGGCACATATCACAATGTTTTTGTTTTGAAACGACCAGGCGTAGATGCATTCATGAAACGAATGGGAGAATTGTATGAAATAGTCGTTTTTACTGCTAGTTTATCCAAGGTATGTTATCAAATGACAGAAAAAATCCCATTATTTTATATAACCATTTTATTTATTTATTTATTTATTTATTTATTAAATCTATATATAAAGTATGCAGATCCCGTATTAGATACGTTTGATCTTCATCAAGTGGTACAACATCGACTCTTCCGTGAATCATGTTTTCATTATAAAGGTACCTATGTCAAAGATCTATCACAACTTGGACGTCAATTGAATCAAGTCATTATTTTGGATAATTCACCTGCAAGTTATATATTCCATACAGCCAATGCTGTCCCAATATCTTCTTGGTTTAATGATCCTCATGATTCTGAATTAATTGATCTGATCCCATTTCTTGAAGATTTAGCATCTGTAGATGATATCACCGATATTTTAGATAACACTATCCCTGGCCCCTTTTCCCACTTCTAATCTTAGTTGTATTGCAAACTAGATAGTTTATTCTGTCCCCCACTCCCCTTTATCCCCTCTCCTCTCCTTTATTTTTTTTTTCTTGATTCCACTATATCATATCCCATTTTTTTTTTTTTTGCCACTCATTTTTATGTTTCTCATTTTACCTCATACATTTGATTTCCATTCATTATTATACAAACATAGAAAGAAAGAAAGAAGAAAAAAAAACACAATTCAACAAACTATAATAAAATCATTCAATCGTACTTTTTTTTTTTTTTTTTTTAAAAAAAAAAAAAAGAGTAGTATCATGTTTATTGATAAAATCATTTTCAAAAAAAAAAAAAATTGGTATACATAATCATCATCAATCTAACATATATATTCTAGATGCTACATCCTTCACCACCCAATCCATACCTTTGAGAAGATGTTCTCCTGTAACAGCACTACAACTTTGAATGGCCCAATGATGACTTGATATATCGTCTAATGATAATGCCTTTACGAAAATAAAAAGAGAATTGATTAGTCAAGTTAATCATTTCATCATTTATATTTACCTGTTGAATTTCTTTATCTGTAAGAGCACCTGGTATATCTTGTTTATTAGCAAACACTAGTAAGGTCGCCCCAGCCAATCTTTCTTCTTGTAAGAGTGCCAATAGTTCTAATCGGCAATCAGCCAATCGCATTCTATCAGCCGAATCCACAACCCATACAAGAGCATCCGTTTGTTCAAAATAATTCCTCCAGTAAGATCGAATAGACTTTTGTCCTCCTACATCCCAAATGTTTAACTTGTACCTAATATTCAAAGTATAATAATAATTAAGTTCATAGATTATTATTAACTTTTTTCTTGTATGATGCTAAACTTACATATCATGTTCTAAAGTTTTAATATTAAATCCCAAAGTGGGTGAAATGGTATCTATAGGTTCCCCATTGATTCTTTTCAAGATGGTTGTCTTGCCAGCATTATCTAGACCCCTAAAAGAAAAAAAAAAAAAGAGTATTAGGAAATAGGAAAACATGATGTACTTTGTCTTACAACATAAGAATCCGCATTTCCTTTTCCTTTTGTCGGTTTTTCTTCAAAATAGTCAATAACCCCATCTATATGTATATATGTATTTTGTTGATCTAAAGAATAGAAAGAAAGAAAAAAGAAAGAAAAAAAAATTCGGTTATTCAAAAACGGAAACTGAAATTCCTGAAAAGAATAAATAGTTCGCAGAAGTATTCTTTTATGCTTTTGTAATTCGCTCCAAATTCATCATCATTATGTCAAATTTGGATTGGACATAGATAAAAGCATTCTCTTTCATTTGCCTTGATCACAATTTATACTTGATTTCCCAATTTCTAGAGTAAATTAAAAATGAAATGTCAATATTGACATCTCTCATCCAATACTGATCATCATCCAATGAAATTACCATCATTAGATTCCTCTCAAAAAAGTAATATAATACCATATAATCCCATTTTATCGATTACCCTGCCACCTAAAGTGTCAAAGCATTTCATCGATTTTTCCAAAAATCGCCTGATGGGCCCCTCGACGATTCATTTTTACAGCCAAAGTTTGGCTGTGGAGTTCGAAAATTTTAGCTGTAAAATCCAAAAATCCATCCCATTTTTTTTTTTTTACCCTTTATTTCAGCGAGTCAAATCTTTCTCTTTTCTTTTCTTGTCATCATCACCATACCAAATTTAAACACAACATAAAAGAAATCATTTTCTTTGGATTTATCTTATGCCATTGATAGGTTGTATTTGTAGAGTGAATTAAAATATGAGGATCTGTATCGCCATCCAATCATCATCATTAGCATGAAAGAAATCAATAGATAATGACATTGAATATGAATCCATAGAGTATGCATCAACCACCCTTAGTATGCATCAACCACCTATCACGCCCGAAATTCATACCTCTTTTATCAATCATCAACTACAAATTATACAACGGCTAATCATTGGACATAATCCATCCCCATAATATCAAAGAAGAATCATTGTAAATATGTTCAAATGCCAATGCAATATGATCTCCAATAACACAGAAGAAAAAAAAAATAAACGCGATACACGAAGGAATGATTTATTAATAGCTTGGTTCGTTTGAAGTTTTAAACTGGAAGGTATCTGAGTTTGAACGTCTGTAGGCAGATTATTGAAAGTAGAAAAAAAAAATTGCCCATGCACACACTTATATTTCCTTTTTCTTTTCTTTTTTTTTTTTTATTTTATTTGAGACGATATTATATCATGAAACGAATATCAACAGAAGGAAGTTCGAAAAAACCAAGTAAATCTACTTCTCAAACCAACAAAGCTTCTGCTATTTCGAAACAAGTTTTAAAAAGCAATCCCATTCCTCAACCACTTGTCAATAAAACTTTGGATACCACACCATTATTGAAACCAAAAGCTCAACCTCTCAGAAGTAGCAAAGTATCACAAAAATTGGTTCTCTTTCCTCAAGCATCCACTGAATCAGAATCTACTTTAGCTGTCCTTCCTGAAGACCATGAACCTATGAAACCATTAGGTCAAACCTTTGATGCTTCTCACCTTCAACAACTTAGTCATGGTCTTCCAATAGAATACATACAAGAACAACAACAACAACAACAACAACCGGAATCTGATTATTGGAGATCTCATCATACTACTGGTGTTGATTTACCTACAGAATGGACTTTTGGATCTCGTACAGCAGCTGAACGTATGCCAAAGGATGAACGAGACTTTGCTCAACTACCACGAGTGGCGGCCTATTGTACTGGTGAAGGATATAATCTTGCTCGAGTACGACCATTCTTACGAGAACATCATCATGTCATTCCAAGACAATATGACGAAGCTTTATATGCTGCTTATCATTTTCCTCTGATGACTTTACGACCTGATAAGGAAAATCTCTGGAACATCCGTGTACGAAGTGCTTCTCCAAGACCTCCAGCTCCTCGACGATATAGTCAAATGGATAATCAACAGTATGAAGACAATTTGAATGCAAATATCAATGAAGATGATGGTGTCAGTAGTATCTCATCTGAACGACCCACTGAACAACAACATCGTGCAGCCTTATCTCAACAACGACTTGAAAATGAAGAAGCTGAAATGAATTATGATGAAGACAATATTGATCAAGAAGGCTCTCCTCTGATAGACTCGATATCTCCTCGTCCAGGTTATCCTTTCCCTGAATACCATCATCCAACTGATCATCATCATCATCTGGACAATGAAATGACATATCAAGAAGACTCAACTTTACAATCATCTGAAAATAATACAAATCAAATCAATAATAGTTATGATCGCAGTGATGATATGTATTTGGAACATGAAAATCAACAACAACAACAACAACAACAAGAAGGTTACCCCGAACATCATGATGAACAACGACATGAAGATGATGAAGAACAACAGAAGCATGAAAGAGATCAACATGAAGACCAACAACAACAACAACAACAACAACAAAAGGATGAAGTAGTACATCAAAATCGAAAGCCATTTACTGGAGGTGAAGTATTTATCTTTGATTATGGAGTGGTGGTATTCTGGAACTTCCGTCGAGCTGAAGAACTATTAATGCTTGAAGATTTGGCCGAATTCTCAGTACGACCTTTCCGTGATAATCCTGATGAAGACTTACAAATTGAAGAAATGCATTTCCAATACGACACCTCACAACTGAAACCCAGAATATTCAATGACATGATTACCATGAAAACTGGCAATCATATGATCAAGTTGACTCTTTCTCATGGACTTTCTCAAAGTGCTGTACTTGCTAGATATGAAGATATTATGGATAAGACAATCGAGGTAAAAAAAAAAAAAAAAAAAATGCCGCCATTTTTTTCTTCCTATTAGGACATGGTTAGATATACTTACATCTTTCTTTTATAGGATACAAAACATTTACCAAAAGAAATGGCAGAAACAGGTCGATTGGGGAAAACAAGAACTGAAATCACAAAAATCAATGGACAACTCTTCAATCTACGGATGAACGTGAATTTGGTTTCCAATGTGCTTGGTAAGCTTTTTTTTTTTTTTTTTTTTTTTTTTTTTTTTAGATTGAATCGAATGAAAGGGGGTATTCATTCCTTTTTTTTTTTTTTTAGATACACCTGAAATCTTTTGGTCAGAGCCTGCTCTTCAACCTATGTACAATGCTATTCGAGGTAAGAAAATAGATCATCCCGATAGTGAATAACTTTTTTTTTTCATTTAGAATATCTGGAAATACCACAAAGGGCTAAAATCTTGAATGATCGTCTTCGGGTGATCTCTGATCTCTTATCCATGTTACGAGATCATTTAACCAACTTTGGTGTGGAGTATCAGACATTGATTATCATTTATCTGATTATCATTGCTGTCATTGTTGCCTGCGTAAGTGATCAAAAAAAAAAAAAAAAAAAAAGGTTTAGTTTCTCATATTTTTTTTTATGGTAGTTTGAAATTGCCGTCAAGATCTTACAATCTATTAAACTATAACCCTATATATCATTTATCCAAACGCACACTTATTCATATATTCATACATTCTACTTTTATTCATGATTAGACAATTGATTTCATATTTATCCCTTCTCTCAATAAAAATTACTAGTACCATATTTCTGATGTCTGGATGAATAGTTGATGCCTTTTTTTTTCTCTTAAAAAGAAAGACAATAGGAACAAATATATAAAAAGATAAAGAGATAAGTACAAGACAATGGTAATACTTTATTTATTGATTGGTTTTTCAGGTTTGGTCAAAGATAAATTCAAAATGACAAAAATGGGGGTGATGATTCTATGATAAAATAATAATAAAAATAATAATAATAATAATAAAAAATAATAATATAAGTTGAATGAATTAAAGGGAAAATATATAATAGAAAGGAATCAAATAGGAAGAGATCTAGGATCAACAAATGTTAAAGAACCGGCTAATGCCAAGGGAGCACCAAGTAATGTCACAAAGATCACAAACATCAGCACGAATAACAGACCATACACAATCGATATCCGATACCGTTCTTTTCGTTCCTTTGCTGTCCAAATGGGTGGTCGTATTTGTTTGCTTGGTCGTAGCCAGAATAACATGAGTGAGTGTGCCGTATTTACACAGGGGATCAGACAGAAAAGTGATAACACAAATAGGATACAATGACCCAAAATAAAGTCTGTGGCAAATTCACTCATCTCGACAATCTTGCAGATAAATTCCCGAAGTGGTTGTGATGCAGCTAGATAAAAAAAAAAAAAGCATGACAATGATGATGATCAATACGATTGATGTCAAAGTCCCTTTTTTTTTTTTTTTTTTTTTTTTTTTTTTTTTTTTTTTTTTTTTTTTTTTTTTTTTTTTTTTTTTTTTTTTTTTTTTAGTAAAGTGTGACTTACCATGCCAACCAAGCTAGTTTGAGTAATAGAAATAGAAAGATAAGAATTGAAATGAGTCATCAATCATATATATATATAATTCTAGTATCATTGCTTACCCCATGACCATACCACTTGCCAGTCCACCAACCTCGATTTGCACCATCATGTTTGAATTCGCGAGTCAAAAACAATACAGTCAGAATCTTGAGTACACAGCGTTGAATAGCAACAATAGACACGATTCCCAAAACAACAAATATTGGTTTCCATTCTTCCAGTAACATCAATCCTTCAAAGATCAGAATAAGGTTGATGACCGCCCACCCGTGTACCATAGCAGCAATGACGGATCCAAATTTGCCACAACATAAACTGAAGAGAGAACCCAAAGTGATAGAGATACAAAAGAAGATAGCCAAAGCACCGGCGTTGAGAAGAACAGGAGCCAAGGCCAAGACACCTATACGAATCAGACCACTAGGTCCTGTACTTGGTTGCATATTGTCATCAGGGTCGAAACTTTTCACAAACACATAAGGCATAATACATAACACAGCCAGTAACACAGGTTGAAGGATTTCAGAGTAAAATACTGTTCCCATTCGTGCACGTGGAATATCGCCCAGCACTTCTGATGATTTCATCCGTCGTTTATAACCAGTAATCCGGGTCCTTGATAATCGACAATGGTTGATCCATGAACTCTTGTGCGATTTTGAATTGCCACGAGACAGCCAGCGTATATATTCCCGATAATCCACCAAAAAGTCTACTAGTGCAAATTGATTGGGATTGAACACGAATGGAGAGATAATCAATGCAATCACCGTAAACCAAAAGTAAATCAAATGAGGAATCCACACTGCCAAGGATACAAACAACATAATCACTAAATTGCGCGCCCCAGAATAAATACTAGAATTGGAAAACCGAGAGTACAGGACAGAAAATGGAATACGAGATGTAGCAAATCCACGACCAGTACCGATGTATTGTGCACCACCAAAGATCAGATTGTCCAAAACAGAATTGGTATAGATTTGAGTCACAAAGATTTCAAACAGTGGGGATAGTGAGATAAAGTGACGACCTAATCTTGTCAAACTACGCCAAAATCCACGTTCCGTCAATTCCTGTAAAAACAATGGCATAAAGGCGACAAAAAATACAACAAAGATAGATAGAATACACCGTTTCACCCATTCAAAAATAGGAACCATGTTGTAACAACCAGCAGGACTCAAAGGAGCATCTTCAGGAGCATCCGCATTGTATTCACATACCACCAGAGTTGATCCCATCGCAGCAATAAATAATAATGCATACATAAACATTTGGACAGACAGCATGATAAAGATATTGTTGATATGGAAGCCGGGATGTGCATAATAAAACGTCAAGAACCTATCCAATGGAAGCTGTGTACCGATATAGTAGTATTCTCGTGATAGCATTTGTTCACCCATACCAGTACCAATTTTTGTTGTAAAATTGAGAATCGATCCAAATCCAAGATCACGCCCTTTGCCACATTGAAAGTATTCTGTGTGTTTTATCCGTCCACCACGTGTAAAGGCATTCATACCAGCATAGATGTCTTCGTTGAGATGTAATCCTTTTTGAGCCTTGCTAACACCACCTCGAGTCGTCATAAAGATGGCATTCAAAAAATCAGGATGTCCATAATGCAATTTGCCACCGATCTTAGCCATGATACGTTGAGTCAATGTTCCAAATGTTTGTTCCTTGCCAGCCGCCACATCACCCAGTACACCAATGTTTTCCGAAAAGATATATTCCCGAGCGCCCACGATTGCCACAGGTGATGTTTTCTTGTTGTTATTGTCGTTGTATGCTACTGAATAAGGAGAATGATCAATCGGATCCAAGTTTTCAAATTCACCAAGTACATTTCTAATCTTCAGACATTCTTCCAAGTAGTTATCTTGATTTGCATCCACCAATTGTAAGAATTCACCACGATAAAAAATCAAGGCATGATTTTGATTGTCAGATTTACCATCACCCAAGATAGGATTGCCAGGAACTCGAATACGATATTTGGGTATACGTTTACCATTTTCTGTCTTTTTGCAATGTCCATCCACCAAAGCCGAATAAAATATTGATTCACCATTATTTACACCATCCTTGGCAGGTTCTTCTTCATCTACATAGGCCACTTGAAGGTCAGGATAAGCTGAGAATAGGAATTCGGCATCTTCTGCTTCTGTTGCGTTGAATTTGGCGTATCGCTGCATAGCCACTAGGAACTTGAATTTGCGATTGGCAAGTCGATCCAAGTCTTTTTCCAGTTGTTCATGTTCTTCTCGATAGCCCTGTACACTATCTGGATTCTCTACTCTGTATAAAAGTCGAATCGCCTTTCGATAGTTCATAAATCCACTGACCGTACGATAGAGAGTTTGTGCCCTAAGAGATGCCCATATCCTTGTCCGTAAAGTGTATTCAGGTTTTGATGATTTGAATCCAATGCAGTAGAATGGTAGATCATCCACTTTTGCTTTTGCTGTGCCTTTTTCGGTAATTTCAGAAAATGTCGATGTGCTGCGATTGATATCTTCATTTAATTCTTCGTCGGCCATGATCTTGGTATCCTTGACAAAATTTTCCCATTCTGCTGAATGAAGTTGTTTGAGATATTCCAAAAGTGTTACACGACTATTCTGATCATCTTCTCTAATAATTTCACGTAAGGTCAATAATATCTTTTCACCATAGTGAGGCTGAATAAATCGGAAGAAAAAAAAAATAAGAAATCAATTTGATATTTATAATTATATATATATATATATATATTGATCACTTACGGTAAGTACAGTGAATGATGGCATACATTCCACGGGTCTCGGAGGAGGCATCGGTGTTGTCAAGCTTTGAGCAAAAAAGTGGATTCGACGTTCCGCTTCACTATGTTTGGGAAAATATTCAGTCTTGAAGGCAGTGTCTTCTTGTGATACAAAAAAGGTTGGTGGTTTCAATGTCTTTCGTCCATCCGTAGAACTAGCTTCCTATTAAAAGAATCAATATAGATGATTTTATAAATCAATTGTTTTCTATTCTTTTTTTTTTTTTTTTTTTTTTTTTTTTTTTTTACCTGTTGATATAACATTCTTTGAACATGATCAGCAGTGATAAGATGTTCCCTGTACATAGTGATAACAATAGCGTTCCAAATTTGAGAGCAAAGTACCTTGGGCTTGTATTTAATTTGAATATCAGTAGTAGCCAACAGTTTAACAAAGATTCGTTTTGGTAGTCGAGAGAAGATATTTCGCCAAGGAGACCAAATGGATATACCCAGATAAAACGATCGAGCAACAGAAAATACTGTATTCCAAATGATGTACCAAAGATAAGTATCCAGAAAGTAGAGAATCAAATCCATGAGAAACATGAGAACAATTGTAATGGAAGGCATATAGTCACAAAGTAATGTATTCAATACTGCATCATTACAATTTTCAATCTGCATCCGAGACATCACCTTGAGAGGATCCTTGAAGGAAAGAGCCAAGAAGAAGTAGGATTCCAATAACTTGCACGAAAAAACACATACCCAGAGGGAAATAGACATGATTCGATCGATTGGTTTCAAAGTAGGAAAGTTTGCCGTAAATTGTCGATAAGCCAAATTGTTCCGATAACGCTTGTCTCGTCCAATGAAGAGGTAAGCTGAAGGAGTAAAAACGAGAAAGAGGGTTGTCGCAATACTGATGAGGAGTTGAGTCAAAGCAATAAGTTTGGAAGTAAGACTTGTACGATCCAGGAATACACAATAAAAGGAAGGGCCAGCGTTGATAATCAATAGTAAAATCAGGAATCCAATCCGCCTTGTGATGATTTTGGTACTAACCCAAGACATTGGTAGGTAGGTCAATTCAGCAAAGGATCCAATCAACATGATCAATACGGCAACCACACCACCAAGACCAACAACAGACCATTGAACAGCCGATTCTTCGTAAGCAATAGCAGGATCAGGATCCAAATACATTGTAGGAGCGTTTGCACTAATATAGTACCAGAAAGAGACAATATGAATAATCCAAACACGAGTAAAGTTGATGGAGGCATGCATCCAAGATCGTTTTTCCTTGTATGTTTTTTTAAATACATGTTGCCAATCGACTTGATAGAGAGCATGGTATCTAGCATGTGGAGGCAGACTTGCAAGTGTTGTTTTCTTGTCATCAATAAATATCCGTTCAAAGCATTTTGGGTGCCAAAAAAATTGATTCACATCGTCATATCCAATAGTTTGATCATGGTCCTTTTCTCGCTTGACATAACGGCCATCATAATTTTCATATGTTTGATCCCGGAAGAACCGATAAAAAGGAGTCACCACGTTGTCCAAATAAGCACCTTCCTTCACCTTGTCATAAGCAGTCAAATCCTTGTCATCCGAATACTTGTCATAATCCCGTGCATTCTTGTAAATAAAACAAAGGGCTTCAGGAGTAAATCGAATAGCAGCAGCCTCACCCCAGAGTAGTAAATAGAGAGCCAAATCTCTGATCTTGGTTTCGTTATCGAGTCCTCGCATTGTATTCATCCATTTTGTTTCTGCAGATTGTAACCAGGCAAATTCATCATTGTTGTTTTCTTCTATTTCTTGTTTGATATCTTCAGGATCACGATCCATACAATCCATTTGTGCTGCAAAATACCATTTTCGATAATTGGCTTCTTCACCACCAATATAATCCGCATGTAAAGAATCCAAAGCTATCTGAGGACGTAACCTTGATGATCGTGAATCCAACATCACCATAAGATGATCGTACATATTGCTAATACTATCAGCTTGGAAACCAAACTTTTTCCCCAAAAGTTGCATCACAGATTCAATTTGTTCACAAGTCATTGGAGTATCAGAACCACCATTGTCACCACAACCAGACCATGAAGGATATTTCGTGTCACTAAAGTCTCGTAAACTGTATTGTCGTACACCATTGTAATCCTTTGTAGAACGAAGATCATCAAGAGAAGCATTGGTTTCAATCATCTTGTTGCGATATTTTTGACTTTGAATAGCAGCAAGCATAGAATCAGCAGAGGTAGCATAACGCATATATCGGTCATCATTACCATCCACCAAAGCAGCTAATACATCCACATCAGATCCATCTTCTTGGTATTGTTGCTGTTGTTGTTGTTGTTGCTGTAATAGTATTTGTTGTTGTTGTTCTTGTAACTGTAATTGTAATTGTTGTTGTTGTTGTTGTTGAGCAAAGAATGGTATATGTCCAGTGGAAAATGAAGAGTGAGTATATGGAAGTTCAGGATCAGGTGTCAAATATATTTGAGGTTCACGCGAACGTTGACTCTTGGAATGATCTTTTATAAAAAAAAAAAAAAGAAAGAAAGAAAGAAAAATAAGAATTGAGAATTTTTTTTTTTTTTTTTTTTTTTTTTTTTACTGTCGGGGCCTGGTGCTGGAGGAGCATGCTCATGCCTTACACTAGGCATAATTTTCGGATCATTGATGATACTATAAAAAGAAAAAAAGGGATAAGATCAAGACATATCAAAAATAATCATGATATTTTACCTAGCATAGTAAGCTTGTATTTCTGGGAAATCATCACTTGAAATTTGATCTTTTTCTGTCTTATGTCTAGATTTATGACCAGTACGACCATAATCTGAACGATGCTTATTTTGTCGATGCTCAGAAACAAGGGACTGTTGTGATTTATGACGATGTTCGGAATCTATAGAAGGTGCAATAGATTGCTGTGATTTATGTCGTTTTGAATTCGATTCTCCATAAGGAGCAGGAAGTGGCATTTTTAGTCGTGAATGTGTTTTATCTACCGCTCCTTCTGATTTCATCGGCTCCACCTCCTCACCAACTAGGGAATTTTGTGGTTGTAGTAAATTCGTACTAATGCTGGTTGATGGATGATCGTTTTTCGCGTCAGAACGAGATGATGGAGGCATTCGCTTATAAAAAAAATAAATAAATAAAGTTGATTGATCAATCAAAAAAAAAGAAAAAGTATAAGAATGTTGTCTTCAATAGAATATCAAGACCCTAAAAAGAAATCAATCGAGATGATTTTTTTTCTATTCGTTTTCAACTCTTTATATCCTTTTTTGATAGACGATCGAGATATCGTTATTGATGACAAAACGTAAAGGATGATGATGGTGATGATGATGGGGTAAAAAATAAAAAGAGAGAGAGAGAGAAGACACACTACACAGAAAAAAGAGATAAGGAATCAAATCTCTAGTCTATAATCACAGTGTTTACTATTAACAAAAAAAGGTTTAAGAATAAAAAAAAAGAGGAAGAAGACAACGAACCGGAAAAAGAATACAGAATCAATCTACTTCTAATAAACAAACCGGGGAAAAGAAATGCATTAGATGAGTGGTTGCATTTAAAAGCAAGAAAATGACACCACAGAAAAAGATAAACATTGATGGCATGCGATTGATATGGCTTTTTGGTTAACCTGAAAAAGTCACACATACTTCAACATTTTGCCGTCAATATTTCAACTGTAATGTGTCCAATAAAGTGAAATGAATACATCAGGTCCTTAGTAGAATGAAAATACAAATAGATGAGTATAAAGTCAAGTCTTTTTCATACACATTTACATAATAATAGATGAGTACACTTTATGGCAGCACACGATTCAAAAAAAAAAAAAAAAAAAAGCCGATGGTACTCCTATACCCCTTCATCATCATGGTACAGTAAGGTTTATTTCCATCATCCATCTTGTAACAGCTTTAATTTAAAAAAAAAAATCTATAAAGGAAACTCCCTTTGATGTATTTCATTGAAACTGGACCTGTATGAATGTGCTTACCAATATAGAAGGGCAATCATGATTAAGTCCAATCTTCCATTCCGTTTACGGTCACTTTTTTGATTTACCAGTTTGCTGGAATTTTTTTTTGTTTTTTATTATTATTATTTTTTATTTTTAGTTTTAAAAATGGTTGATTTTATCGTCTTTCTCTTCTTTTCCGTTCGTTCGTTGATGATTCTACTCTGTGGAGGAAAAAGCCAAACATATTATTCACAAAATACATGATAATCACCCTCGTGAAGACTCTACTACATATTGTTGAGAAAACAGATGGATAGGAGGTTACCATATTTGGAAGATAGATGTGTGAGCTCCTCAAAAGAATTGTAAACAAGAATTGTATCCAGGGAGGTAGATGGGATTTTTTTTTCAAAAAGGATCATCACATCATAACGTGTTGAATATTATATATATATATATGTAAGAAACAAACATGATTGGATAAGATAAGGGAGTCGAAAAGGAGTATTTATTTATATCATAGAAACAATTGATTGGATGACTTTGAGGTAATAGAATAGTAATGATAATAATAATAATAATAATAATAATAATAATAATAATACTAATAATAAGTAAAGGGAGAGGTAAATGATGGGAGAATGATAGTAAACGAGTAGGATATTGCAACCAGTGCACGTATATTCAGACAACAACGAGGAAGAGAGGGGGTTCATCTAAGCTAAAAGGAGAATGATGAAATGGATATCCAGGAATAAAAAAAAAAAAGTATAAGGGAATTGAAGAAATAAATATAATAATAAAGATTATAATCTATGTGCAGGAATAAACACAAAGATAATGGTATTGACAAAAGCTATTAAAACGTTGGCCACACAGAATATAAACGCCCGTTTTTGATGAATCTTGATCACAGTTTTATCTTCAACAGGAACAAATACCATAAAACTTGTTTCACTATAATAATCATCATTAATACCAATCTTGTAAGATTGTGTTTTTATCTAATCTACCTTCTTTTTAACCAAGCAGACCACCAGGCAAAATGAGTAACACCAGTTAATAAACCAGCCCAACTAAATAAAAAAGGTAAAAAGGCCCACGACCTTGTACCAGTATTTCCAGCATCCAAAAATATAAATGCAAATTCTAAAGCCAATCCAAAGGTCAATAGTACAAGTCCAATCACCAAAAACAAACGGGAAGACCATGTCGATACATTGGTATAAAGAACAGCATCTACAAATTGAGGGTAATAAAACATATTGAGGACATCAAACACGTGGGATCTTGCTGCATCAAAAATCACAGGTTCTGGTCGTTGATTTGTTTCCACCAAAGTTTCCAAAGCTGCACGATGATCATCAGGTAAATGGATCAATTGAGCAGCATCATATCGACTACAAAAGGTTCTATAGATTCGTATAGCATTTTGTACAACATCATGACGAGAAAGTGATTTGTCTTCATGTAGCGTTCTTGAAGCATAAGTTTGATTTGCGGATGGAAGATGAGTATGACTGCCTTGAATAGATTGTAACAAATCCATAGTATCAGGTGTTTCAAAATAATCAGTAGTAGGACTCCATTGTGTTTGTTGTGATAAAAGTTTACTTGAACGGTCAGATTTCATTTCAGGTCGTTGTTGTCGTTCTACACTATTAAGATATGCCTGCCACAGCCGTTGATGAGTTTCCAGTTGTAATAAAAAGTTGAGGTTTTGTTGAGCTCCACGTCGTCGTAAAAATGATGAGAATTGGGTTTGTGTGATTGGACTACTAGTTGGTAAACGTAATAATTGATCCAATGTTGGAATACCATTGACTTGAAGATTGTAGTCTTTCATCTCTTGCCAAGCTTCCATGGGTGATACAGCAAAAGGATCCTGTTGAAAACCATAACCAATAGATTGATGTTGTTCTTGACTAGTAAACGATTTATAGGGATTATTTGAATGTCGATCAAGGTTTTTGTTGCTATCGAGATGGTTCAAAGGAATAACAGGGCTGTTCTTTTCTTCCATTTGTTGTAGAGTAAGATCACTTTCTAAAGCTGATTCCAATCCACGTGAATAGAGACGACTATTGGCTTGACGTATACTCCATTGTCGAGTTGGTGCTGTATGTTCATAAAACGTAGAATCATGGGATGGCGATAACATTGACAAAGCCAGGCAATAATAATAATAATAAAAAGAAAAAAAAAAAAAAAAAAAGAAAGAAAAAAGAAATGAAAAAAAAAAAGAGGAGACAAAAAATAATTGTCCCAATGTCTGAGTTTAATTCAATGAACTACCTTTTTTTTTTTTTTTTTTTTGCACATTGAACTTTGATTATATTGACATTAAATTTAAAACAATTAGATAATGTAAGGATTGATTGATTGTTGTTGTCTATTTTAAAGAATATAATTTGATTATAAAAATAAATTTATTTCATTTTTTTTTTTGTAAGTGAGAAATAGACTTTTTTTAATAAACTCCCTTTTTGTTGAACATTCTGATTGTTCCATTTTTGGCAAACTGCAATTTCTGTTGCACAACTCCCTGCTGACATTGAATACCACTCGATCAAAATTTCATAACGTTTTTTTTTTCACTCTTTTTTTTTTTCCTTTCTTTCATTTTTGTTTTCTTACCATTAAACGCAACTTGTTTTTATTATTTTAATAATGTCCACTACAGCTGAAAAGGAAGATAATAAAGTAAGTTGAAAATAATAATACTTATATATAGATTGAAGACTTTTCATTCACTCTCCATATATGTTTCTTTTGTTATTATTAACATTATTATTATTATTTACTTTCGTTGCTATGTGAAAAAAAAGGTATTTGTTGGTAACCTATCCTTCTCAACAGACAAGGAAGCTCTTGGTAAATATTTTGAATCTGCTGGAAAAGTGTAAGTCATTTCTTCATATTCTTTTTTATTATTATTATTATTATTATTATTAAAACAGAAAGTAAATGTCACTAACGCGATCTTTCTATTTTATTTAGGATCAATGCCACAGTGATTCGAAGAGGTAGATATCGATCAGCAGGATATGGATTTGTCACGTTTGAAACATCTGAAGAAGCTGAAAAGGCAGTTGAAAAATTCAACAAGACGAATATGGATGAACGCGAAATCACTGTACAAGTAGCCAGACCAAAGACACCTCGCACAACAAAAACTAAAAACACCACTTCTGGTCGTCGACGTCGATCATTACCAACACGTCGTCCTACTGCTGCTTCTACTACACGCGTTTTTGTGGCCAATTTGCCATATTCTACCACGGATGAAGAACTGGCCTCCCTGTTTGAAAACTTTAATATTGAATCGGCTTCTATTGCAAGACTAAGAAAGTAAGTGGATATAAAGAGTGCATTTTATTTTGGCTCTGAGTTATATATATATATATTCGCCGAACATAAAATCGACTCACTTTGTTTTCCTTTTTTGGTCAACTTCTTCCTTTTCTTAACTATCTAGTGGTCGGTCAAAAGGATTTGGATTCATCGATGTGAAGAATGAAACTGAACAACAAAAAGTGATTGAAAACTTCAAGGATGTCAAATTGGGTGATCGGGAAATATCTGTCAAAGTGGCTATGGTTCCTGTGGATCTGGATGCAGCTGAAAATGAAGTAAAGCAAGAAGAACAAACTGAAGAATAATGGATGTTGAAGCATACTAATGATAGTGACTAGTATAGTTTAGTATATGGATGTGTAGTTTATTTAGTTTAATTTTTTTTTTTTTGATGACTTGAATAATAAACAAAAAAAGATATACATTCATTTTTTCTCTTTGTTATATAGTATGGTAGTATGATTCGAAGAAAAAAGATCAAAAGGATAAACTGGAAGTGTTCTATTTCATTTCGTAAAAAAAAAAAAAAAGTATAATACATGTGTGTGCTTGTTTGTGTATGTACGCGAGTGCAATATCTAACTATATGTCATGTTGATCAGAAGGTGGAGAAGAAGGGGATGGAGAAGAAGGTGCATTAGGTTTTCGTTTATTTGATTCCTTGAGTAAGAACGATATCCAAGCATCTGTAAATGACTACATTTCAAAAAAAAAAAAAATGTTAAGTATTTTCTTTTTCGCTATTAATATACACTTACTTCTTTGGGTTCAGTATCTTGTTGTTGACGAGGACTTTGCCAACCAGTGTTTGAAGCAGGCGAATTGGATTGTTGGCCATTATTGTTTTTCATCCTAATCAATCCGACTTGTTCTTTCTGTTCATCCGTCAATTGTAATACACTGGCGATAATGGTTAAAATATCAAATCGTTTCCTGTCACCTCGTGGTGCTGAAAAGAATCCTACTATTAGATTGGTAATCAATTGCCGATCAACATTGCTTTCATTGGACTCTTCTTTCAATCTGCGCATAGCTTCTACCAAGTGTTCATTCAAAATAATCGCTATCTCCAACAATAAAAATAAAAAAAAGAGGATGAGTGATATATATATTCTTCATTCTATCTCAATATTTCAGCTTTTTTTTTTTTTTTTTTTTTTTTTTTTTTTTTTTTTTTACCTTCATGTCGTAATTTCCCAATCAACAAGTTCTTTTCCTTGATTTCACGTTCATATTGAGGGGTTTTGGCTTCGTCATGTTGATATTGTTCCAGAGCCGTCTAATGAGAAATAAATTCAGTGTAAGCATAATATATTATACTTCATTTTTTCCTTTTTCTTTTAATACCTCCGCCAATCTAGCTCTTTCTTCATATTCCATCCATGATTTCTTGGCTACTTCTAATTGACGTTCAATATGTTCTACAGCAGCTCGGATTTCAGCATCTTTGACTATAGAAATAATAAAACAATAAGAAAATGTATAAAATAAGTTAGTTTCCAACTAAAAATATCATCCATTCATTTCTTTCTCATCACTTACTTGTTTGGAATTCTTCTAATACGGATTGTAAGTTTTCTAAACTAGCACGTTCTGATGCACTGGAATGCAATTCATCCGCCATTTGCTTTTTGATTCGATCTAATTCGGCCATAACAGCAGACTTTTGATCCTCCAGTTGATGACATCGAGCATCCAATTGCATAGTCGATATATCTAGCTCTTCTTTTTCCGCTTGTAGCTTTTCAAATCGTACCTGTAGTTGGTATAGATGTCGCTCTTTGTTTTCTAATTGTCGACTAGATTCTTCATCCCTTGCTACCATGGTAGACCGCATTTCTTCCAAATGTTGTTTAGTTTGATCCAATTCTGCTGTCAATTCTGTTACCTTGACACGTAGTTGTTTATCAGCCTCTAATCTTGGTGCCAATGTATCCTTGATATGTGAAATTTTGTCCAAAAGAGCTTGATGTTCCTGTTGTAAACGTTCCACCTGTTCTTGCGATTGTTGACGTGCTTTTTCCGATGTACCTAATTTCTCCTCAAGCTCCTTGATCTTATCCAACAATGATTGTCGTTCTGCTTGTGCTTTTGCCAACTCTTCTTGGTATTTTTGAACTTCTGCAGTCGCTGAAGTTGACGCTATAGAGGAGGATGCTAGCTTTTCTTCATACTCCTTGGTCTTGTCCAAAAGCAAACGGTGATCGAGACGAAGTTGATCCAATTGTTCTTGATGTTGTCGGTTTTCTTTCGTGGCTTGCTCCAGTTTTAATTGTATGTCGTGATCCTTTCCGCGGTTGTTTTCCAGTTGAGTTTCCAAGTCTTCTTTATCTGAAAGCCATTGTTCTTTTTCTTCTGACAATTCGTTCACATTCATCTGAAGCTGCGTGATTTGACGTTTTAATTCTAAGATATAGAAAAATAATTTGATTCAATTTCAAATGATATTTTGATTAAAAAGCATCATCTTTTCTTTTTTTTCTACCTTTTGATTCATCAGCAGTCTGAAGAGCATTGGCCTGTTGAGTATCGACAAGAGTTTGTAAATGCGTTCGTAAATGTTCTAATGTCGCTAAAAGTTGTGGCGGTATGGAGTTAGCGTCTATGCTGTAGCTTTCTGTATCGTTTATCAACCCTTTAATATTTTGTTCCAAATAATCAACGGATATATGTTCATTTGAACTAGCGGATGGACTTGTTTGAGTTGATATGGAAGAAACAGGTAGTACAGGTGATGATACGCGTGTTGACTTTACCATTTCTATAAAGATAAATGATGAGAAATGGCGAATGATCAGAATCCAGTCATCTGGCAAATTCCTTTGATTTTTTTATAATTTTACCTTCGAGTTTTGCTTGTAATTGGCCTATTTCAGATCTTAGAGTACTGATAATGGTATCTAAAGAAAATGAAAAATGAAGTTGGTGGTGAGACATTTCAATCGTGTAACTATATAGTACCAAATATAATACAAGATATGAGGATATTTTGTTCTATTACCTTTTTCCCTTGATTGCTTACTTGAATTGGAAACCCATTGTTCAATGTACTGTTTTACTTGTTGCTGGTCAAAGACATCAGGGAGAGATGATGGTGTAGAGTCATCATTATTATTGTCATTGATAGTGAGGTTCTGTAATAAGAGCTCAATGGTGGAATGACTCGTTCTTTGTTGTTGCTCTAGTTGTGCTGCTAAAAGGTCACGTTCAGACTTGAGTCGTTTCTCCGTTTCCCCTGATAAAGATGTGTGTTCTTTGAGTTGTTGCTGTAAATGGGCATTATCAGTCGCCAATGTTTTGAGATGAGTTCCAGCTTGTGTAAGTTTTTGTTGCAAGTTCAAAACTTGTGTATGTTCTAACTGAGCCTTCTCCAATTGTTGTTTCCATTGTGATTCTCTATGTTCATATGCTTGTAGTCTTGCTTTCAGTGCATCTACTATATGGAATAAAAAAAATCCAACCAAACATTAATGTAAATAACTGACAAAAGGAAAGTTGATTATTATTATTATTACTATTTTGGTTACCTTCTGAGGACATTATTAAGTTCTGCACCGGAAACTAGTGAAGTTCAGGTAAAGATACAGATTAAGACAAGACGAAAAAAACAATGAAAAAAAAAAAAATAGAATGAGTGGAAGAAGAAATAAAACTAGAGCAGAGAAAGGGGAAAGATGGTTTCTTCAAAAAAAAAAAAAATAAGTATCTGACGGTGTTTCAATCAATAATATTGTAAAGTGAATCAAAAACAGGAAAAAAAAAAATAAGTAAAGCGTGATCAACAAAATATATTGGTAATTATATTGGAAAGTCAACAAAAAAAAAAAAAAAATAGAATATCTACAGTAGGAATGAAAGTGAAATTGAAAAAAATAATGATTTATAACTAACTAACTAACTAACGCCGAGATCCACGGGAGCTACCACCACTACTACTACTCATGCCATAATTTTGATTCACTCGCCCAGAGCCACTAGTACTTCCACTACTACGGTTACCCAGTTTACCATGATGACTACCCATTTGAGGACCACCCATCGAAGGAACGCCCATTGATGATTGAGACGAAGAGGAAGGAGGAGGAGGAGGTGGTAATCCCATCATTGGATTCATCATTGGATTCATCATTCCCATTTGCATACCACCTTCCATCATAGGCATCATCATCCCCATCTTCATAAAATCTGGTACTTCCATACCACCCATTAAGTTTTGCATATCCATATCAACATTTCCGGTAACCTATTGGTAAACAAAAAAAAAAAAAAAAAAAAGAAAAGTAATAAAAGTTTGTTGTTAATATCCTCCGTACCAAACCTTATTCGGTTCGTCTTAACCTTTTTGTCTCTCATTGTCTTTTGTTTTGCACAATAGGCCCTCCAAGTCACTTCATTGAATCCATAGTTAAAATAATCTGTGATATCTGCACCAGGTTTTCGCCATGGTTTGTCTTCAAAAATGTCCAAATCCACATCCGTAATTGGTTGTCCATGGTATTCGCCAACTGCCTCTAAATCAATTCCTCCAGATGATTTTGTAGTTGTACCAGTTGTTTCTGATGTGGTATTATTGGTTTGTGATGCTTCTTTAACCTGTTGTCCTGGTTTGATGTTAACGAGTGGATTGGAAGTTTTCGTTGTTGTTTCTGTTGGTATTCCTTGAGGTTTTTGGCTAGTGAGAGAGTATATACAAAACAATGATTAAAAAAAGAAAGAGAGAAAAAAAGAAGAATAACAGTAATTATTTTCAAAGTCTTACGTTGTTGTTTGTTGTGAATCTGTAGGTTGATCATCGTCAGCTTCTAAAATGATATCCAAATCCTATTATTTAATAATAAATAATAATAACAGTTAGGCGCGAGATAAGATCGTGTTCAAGTTATCTTACATCATCGCTATCTTCTTCATCTTCGTCTTCTTGGTCTTCTTCCATAGCTTCATCGTTTTCGTTGGATTCCGTCTCTTTGTCAACACCTTTGATATTCGTCAATGAACTATGATCGAGTACCAAAATAATAAAACAAAATACGTAGTTATAACATTTAGCATCCAGTATCTCCACAAGTATTGTATCCTTACCTATTTGCTAAAGATTCATTATATTGTTCGTATATTTCATCGTCTTCTTCATTAACTAGAGAAAAAAAAATATATGTGAGAAGAATTTCTTTTTTTGAAATAATGATTAGTTGGAAAAACTTGCTTTTTTTATTTGCTGATTTTGTTGTGGTTCCGTAATTATCTTCTGGAGCATCAGATCCATACAAAAAGTCGTCGACATCGTCTTCTTCCATTGGTTGGTGGGTACTCATTTTTGCTAATCAAGTAAAAGAAGTAGAGAAAGAAAAAAAAAAGAGAAAAAAGAAAAAGAGAAAAGAGACGCAACTTTGAAAAGAACAATTGGACAAGACCAAAAAAAAAAAAAATTGATTTCCCGAACAAATTTTGGTTCAAAAATCATGAATAACAATCAGAGAACAAATGTATATATAAAAAGGTAAAAATCTAGGAATCAATATATAATTTTATTTCCAAAAAAAAAAAAACATAACATGTAAAAAAAAATATATAGAGAGTAACAAAAATGTCAGATAAAAAAGAATAACAGGGACAACATAGTAAGAAAGATGAGAGAAAGAGGAGGAAAACTACAAATGCGGATAGTGATCTAAAAATTGTACTTGATAAAACTATTGTTCATCGATCGTAACGCTAGCGAGGTACTTTTCGAAATCAAAATCGGGGTTTTCAAAGTCTACAAGAAAAAAAGAATAATACTTTAGTAACTCAAATCTAATATCTACTCGTTCCCAATAGTCGACCATAGTTGTTCGTTGTCTGAAGTTACCCACATAGACACATAGACACATATATGTATATATAATATATATATACACATATATATCTATATGTTATTGTTGTCTTTATTATTTTTTTTTTTTGACTTACCTAATTCCATAGCGACAGGGGAAGGGTCAGCCTTGATCAATTGTTGTTTGGCATAAGCAGCCTTGGCTTGTGCAATAAGGCTTTCTTTATGGCGGTATTCAGCTAGCTTTTGTTGTTCTTCAGCTTGCTTGTTCAAACTAATGTTGTGAGTGTAACCGTATACGAGACCAAAGGCAAGAGCTGACCATCGTCCAACCTATTTATCAAAAACAGATAAATAAAATAATAATAATAATAATAATAAAGTGAGTAACTAATATATAGAAAAAAAATACAGAATCACATGCAACGAGGTAAAAATAAAAAAAAAAGAAACTTTCATATATTTGTCCTTCTTACGTTAACAAAAGCTTGGTTGACCATGTTGTATGTGTATGTAAAGAGAAGGGAGGAAAGAGAAAAAGAAATAGAAAAAAAAAAGGGGAGGGGTTTTTTTTTGTTTTGGTAAAAAAAACAAGTGACGTTCATCCAGCCAACCTATTATCGGTGTTCAAAAAAAGACAAATTGGTAAGGGGCATTGACAAAAGAAAAAAAAAGGGCTTTATTTCAAAGTTTGCGTTTTTTATTAGCACTAACACTACTATTGACTTCACCATCTGATGATGATAGTCCACTTTCATCATCTTGACCATCTTCACTATTCAACAGACTTTGAAGCATGAGTCTTCGGCGTCGTTTTGCTGCTTGATTTGTATCCACCATATTCCGTAAAAGATTGCCCTGTAATCCTAAGTTATGAGGTCCAATGATAGAATGATGTACATGTTCGATTGATTTGAAGTATTTCACAGTCTAACGAAATAAAGAAAAAAAGAAAATTATAAGATAATGTATAGATGATTCCAATTTTTTTTCTTACTTTGACATGTAGTTCCAAAGTAGCATCTTCATCACACACTATCAATCCTTTTGGATGCATTTGAATAGCTAGATAAAGATGAATATTATATATTAGGAACTAATAATAATAAAAAACCATCATAAACCCATTACTTACATGATACAGCCCACATATGATTGACACCTTCTTCTATACATTTAGCTAACGCTAGACTTTTATGAGCACCAGTAATCACAATCACTACTTCTCTAGCATCCATCACAGTCCTATAAAGATTAATAAGTATGAAAATCAAACCTCATATTCATTCCAATTTTTTTTTTTAAAAAAAAAGACAGCATCTAATGATTTTTGTTCACTTACGCTACACCCACTGTCAATGCCAATTTAGGTACCTTGGATACATCACCTCCAAAAAATCTTGCATTTGCTATAATGGTTTCATATGCCAACGTTTTTACACGAGTTCGAGAAGTCAAAGATGATCCAGGTTCATTAAAAGCAATATGTCCATCAGGGCCAATACCACCAAGAACGAGTTCGATCCCACCTAATTTCGCAATTTCAGCTTCAAACTTGCGACATTCCTCATCCAAATCATCTGCATTGCCGTCCAAAATATGTACATTTTCTTTCTTGATATTGACATGTTTGAATAGATGATTCCACATGAATGTATGATAAGATTGAGGATGGTCACTAAAACATGAAGAAGATAAAAAAAAGAAAGAAAAAAAGAAAGGTCAGTTATAGTATGAGAGATTAGTTAAATAATATATATATATATAAGAAAAATGACTATTAGTCTTGGGACAGTTCTTACCTTGGTAATCCAACATATTCATCCATACTGAAGGTCACCACATGTTCAAAACTAACGTCGCCTGATTTGTAGAAATCCACCAGTTTATGATATACGCCAATCGGTGATGATCCAGTCGGTAAACCCATAACGAATAATCTATCTTTGGAAGGTTGGAATTGCCTGATTCTTTCCTTTACATAATAAGCTATAATGTATATAGAGATGGAAACAAATATGAATAAGTAAAAAAAGAAAAAAAGATCAATGAATAGTACGCTGTTTCTATGATGAACGCGCAAATCTTTTTCTTGTATGTTTTTAATATTACCGGCGTAAGCTGATACTTCATCGTAATCTTGACGAACAATAAGACGCATAAGGGAATATGGGATTGGAATGGATTATTAAAAGTGAGAAAAAAAAAGAAAGAAAAGAAAAAGAGAGAGTGAGGGAAAATTCAGTCATGATTGTCTTTTCTTTTCAATTCCAGTCCGATCATTTCTGTTTTTTTCCCTCCAACGAACGACCCTGAAATCTTTGTAGGATTACGTAAAAAGAAAAAGACACATTTCTTTTATTATTGATCACATATATAAAAAAAAGCATATACTAAAAAATAAACTATCTACAATAACAAAAAAACAAAATGAAAAAAAGAGAGATAATGAGATATTCTTCATATTAATATATTATCATTCATTGGGAGAGGAAGGTTCATCGAATGGTCTAATGCGACGAGATCTGCGTTGAAGAATACGTTTGTATCGATATAATAAGATGGCCATATCCTGAAAAGAGCATAAGAATCAATCATCATGTAAAACCAATTTTTTTTCTCTTATAGATTACCTTGGCAACCACAAACAAGCAACCTCCCAAAAGATTTCGATGGAAAGCTTCGGGAAAATAATACCGAATGTATTTGATTTGTTTCAAACCACTATCAAAAAAAAAAAAAAAAGAATTATGAAGGAGAAAAAAAATACATTATATAAAGACTTACTTTCCAATGAATCCACTAATAGTAGGCCAAAGTAAAGCACCCATTATTGTGACATTCAAATCACGATGACTCCGACCATAAAGCAGATCTGCATCTTGACTATCCCGATTGGGTGGTAGATTATTCGTTGTTGTTGATGATGATTGATCTCGTTGATCCATGATTTCTTGATTAGTATAGTGGTATAAAGAAAATCGAGTATATCTAGAGCGAGTACGACTGGTTGGTGGTTGAATAGATAATTTTTGAGAAAGATGATGTCGTACCATTGAGTAAAATGTAAAGTAGACCAACCTATATAGATAGAAAAAAAAATATGAGTACATATATACATATATCAAACATAACAAACCCAAACATATATAAAGGGAGGTAAATATTTTTTTTTTACCTAATCCAAGGTAAGGATCCAACTACTAGAGCAGGAGAAGGAGGCCATGAAACAACCACAGGAGCACTAGCACGTAAAAGAACAAGAGCAGCAACAGGGAGAATACCATCTGCCAATCTTGATCGAGACGCAATCAATGCAAAAGGTATAGTTGGAAGAGCAAGAAAAGTACGCCAAGTCCAAGAGTTTGTTGGTCCAAGTAATCGTTCACCTTCTTTCCTACCAAACAAGGTCAATACAGTATAAGCTCCATAAGTACTAGCTGCCACAAGAATAGAACAACCCAAACCAAACACCATTAGATAAGGAGCTGCTGCCCGAGCCACTGATTGTATAGATTCAAGACAAGCCAAAGAGATGGACCGATGTTCAAAGAGATAATAAGGCATAGAACACTGAGGACAAAGTACTTTTTTCATGGGTGAACGTCCTTTTTGGTTTTCGGCAATCCAGTCCAATAGACATTGTTCATGTGCCACTAACGAGCAAGGACAAGGTTTTACCCACTTTCCATCCGAGTCTTTATCTTCACCAAAACATATCCAGCAACGTCGTTCAGTTGTAACTTCATTGTTGTTAGGTTGTTGACTAGTGGTTGCTTGAGAACTACAAGGTGAAGGTAATAATGATGGGTCACCATGGGTATTTTCCGTCAATTCAATTTGTTTTAATTTTATTTCACCGCTATTATCATTGGAAGTTGAATAAAGTGGTTTATGAGAAGATGACATTGTACTAAAATGTTAAATGGGGTAAGAAGGGAGGGGGATTATAGTAATGAAAGGAAAAATGAAAAAAAAAAAAGAATGGGGATGATTTTTTTAAGTTAATCATTTCAAACACCGGATTTTTTTTTTTTTGATTTTTGAAGCTTCAAACTGATTTCCACTGATTGTATAGATTCAAGACAGACCATATCAAAGGAAAAGGGTATCCAAACGATTTGCATTTTATTTTATTTTTTTTTAATAAAAAGACAATCATATGATAAGGAATAAGATAAAATAATCATAGTAAAAAACTAATTATTCTGTTTGAGTGTCAATAGCCCGTAAACGTCGCATGATTCTATCCATTTCTTGTCGTACTGTAGCCATCGTTTCTTCATGTGATTGAGTAGTTTTTTCAGATTGTTCTAAAGTATCTTTGAGTTGATTCACTTGATGATGTACAGAATTAACCATATCCAATTGTTCTTGTTGATTGATTTTGTAATCTTTTTCCAATTGTACAATATCTTGAGAAGAAGGAAATGCCAATCGAGCTTCTACCTGTTGTTGAAGTTTCAAAGCCTTATCAGAAGAAGTGACTAAATCTTGATATGCAGCTGCAATCATCTTGTTCAATTCTTCTTTATCCGTCTTGTATTTTTCTTGTGTTTGTTGAATCTTTAGTTTAACTTGTTCATATTCTGTTTGGGCTTGTTTTTCCAATCGTTGTTGTTCTTCTTTGGCTTCCCGTAATTCGTCATCCAATAACTTCAAATGTCCCATACCTTGTCTTGCACTTTCAATTTCATCAGTATACTTTTTCACTTGACCTTCAAAAAAGAATGCAGTTGCCTTTGCATTTTCTGCTTGTCGATCCTTTCGGTTGCTCATATCAGTCAAGGTTTGAATTTCAGCTTTTAGCTTACGATTGGTTCGTCCACTTTCAAGAGCATGTAGTTCAGCTTGCTTTCCTTGTTGTCGAGTTTGATCTAGTTCTAGTCTTAATTGAACAAGTTCTTTTTCAGCTTTTGATATCTTTTGTTGAAGTTCACCAATGTCACTGCCTGTTGTTCGTCCTGACCGAGTAGCATCTAAAGATAAAATAGTGTGTTAAATATATCAATATATTTTATTCCTATTACTTACATTCTTGAGAAGATTCTTTTTCAGTCATGTTTTTAATGATGTTGTTGGATGAGAAAAAGAAAAAGGAAAAGTATATTAAAAAAAAAAACGGATGTCAGATACCCAAAGGGAAAAAAAAAGGAGAGCGGATTTGAATCACCAGGCTCCTTTTTTGGGGAGTTGCCCAAATTTGTTAGTGGCTTTTTTTTTATATTCAGCTTTCTTTTTCTTTTTTTTGTTTTTTCTTTCCCTTTTCCTTTGATTTTTTTTTTTTAAAAATTCTTTATTATAATTATCATGAATACTCCAGTATTGCCTCTCAACTTGAAAATTGAATCCAGTAAAGAAATCTCTATGAGTGGAGCTACAACATTACTTGACAAGTTCTTACATGATGGTGTTGCTATTCATGCTGCCAACAATACAATCTCTGCACAACTTCATCGCTTACATCAAGGACTTCGCGAAGAAAAGAAACGATCAAAACAAACTGAACATGCTGACTCTCCGGAATCCAATGACTTGTAGTTATTCCCACTATATATTCCAATTCATTCCTTTTTTTTTTTTTTTATTGCATTCACTTCATATATTTGTTATACAATTCCCTTTAGAAAGGAAGGGATACCTTCTCCTTTTCTCACTCTCACACACTTTCTCTCTCTCTTTTGCATTTTTATTAATCTTCAATATATATCAATAATAATAAAGAAACTATTTTTTTCCTATTTTTCTTATTTTGTTTTTTATTTATTACCTTTCTTTTTGTTACCTTTTTGTATATTACATGATGATCAATAGGTTTTGCTGACAATTGATACTTTATTTGGCAACCCAAGCATGTGTCTGTACATCTCTTGAATGCGTTTAAGACTCCGTTTATGTTTTTTTTTCTTTCTTTCTTTTTTCTTTTTTTTTTTTTCCTTTATCTTTTTCTTTGTTTTCTTTCACTTTTTTTTTTTTTTTTTTTTACGTTAATGAGTACATTGACTTTCTTACCACTTTTGCCTTTGGAAACAAAAGAGAAAGTGGGTCGTCTCATTCATGTCACTCATCAAATTCCATATGAAGTTCAATCTTATCGTACACAACAAGGTTTATTATGGTCTTTTACTCCTCGTCACGGTCATTCTGCTATGTATGCTGGTATGCAGTCTTTAGAACCAGACTTTGAAACTCTTCGAATAGGATGGACAGGTTCTATTCAATGTCAACAACTTACATCAACACAGAAGCAATACGATCATCTATTTACACCAAAAGAACAACAGCAACAACAACAACAACAACAACAACAACTGACTAGTGATATAGATCAGTTTACAGAAGAAGAAAAATACGATATGATACAACAACTTTATCATCAATATGGTTGTATTCCTTTATTTTTAGATAATGAAGAAGTGGATGGTCATTATTATGGATATTGCAAAACTAGTAAGTAAATTCATATTATATATATTTAATCAAAACTAATCATAAAATTGAATAGTGCTTTGGCCTTTATTCAATTATATTTTATGGAGTGATGCTACTGATGGACGTATTGAAAGAAAACAATGGGAAATCTACAAGTTAGTGAATCAAAAATATGCAGATATGGTACTCAAACATTACACAGAAGGAGATACAGGTATAAAAATAAATGATGATGATAATAATAATTATAATAATAATAATAAATTGAATATATATATATGTAATGAAATAGTATGGATTCATGATTATCATCTTTTACTGGTTCCTGCAATGGTTCGATCAAAACTTCCAAAGGCCCGTATAGGCTTATTTTTACATGCATCCTTCCCTAGCTCCGAAATCTTTCGTGTATGCCCCAGTAAGTACTCATATTAAACGCACTAGAGAACAAATAATCAAACTGATATGATCATTTATTTTTCTATAGAACGTGAAGAAATATTGAAAGGAATGTTAGGGGCAAATCTGATTGGTTTTCAGGTATGTGTTTATAATAATAACAATGATATATTCAAATTATCTCATATAATTTTTTTTTTTTTTTTTTGTAATAGACATATGCAAACTCTCGTCATTTTATCTCAAATTGTACTCGATTACTTGGGTTTGAATCTACTCCAGATGGCGTGAATTGGGAAGGTCATTTTTGTCGTGTTGGTACTTTTCCTATTGGAATTGATGTGGATGATGTGGAACTCAAAAGATCAAGTCCTCAAGTGATGCCTAAAATGCAAGCTATTGGGGAAATGTATACTGGCAAGAAAATCTTGGTTGGACGGGACAAATTGGATTTGGTGAAAGGTGTTTTACAAAAACTGGCAGCTTTCGAAAAGTTTTTGACAGATTATCCTGAATGGCAAAACAAAGTGGTCTTAATTCAAGTTACTGATGCAAATACTGGTGATACTACTAACAAGAAGGAAATAGAACACAAGGTCTCAGAAATGGTGGCTAGAATCAATGGCACCTTTGGCTCACTTGAATTTACTCCTGTACATCATTACCATCATCATATTCAACCTGATGAATATTATGCTCTATTATCAATTGCTGATTCTGCTTTGGTCACTGCTAATCGTGATGGGATGAGTACTGTTTCCTTGGAATATATTATGTGTCAGAAAGAAAAACATGGTCCCTTGATATTATCTGAATTGACTGGTACAGCTGGTTCTATGAGTTCCGCTTTGATGGTAAATCCTTGGGATTATGCTGGTGTGGCAAAAGCTATTAATGATGCATTGATAATGTCTGATGATGAAAAGGCCTCTCGACACGCTGTAAGTTCCTTAAAAAAAAAAAAAAAAAAAAAAAAGAAAGAGAAAAAGAAATTCATCTTGAATTTGATCTTTATTACTAATAGCAATTGTTGGATCACGTCAAAAAATATACGGCTTCCTATTGGGCTCATTCCTTTATCAAGTCTCTATTCCATACATACACTTTATCTGAACAAAGCAGTAATACACCTTTACTAAAGATAGATCATCTTGTACAAAATTATTCTACCTCACAAAAACGACTGTTATGTTTTGATTACGATGTAAGTTATGATTTAATAATATTATTATTATTCAGTCATTCAATTATATTCATGTACATTTTTTTTTAATAGGGTACATTGACTCCAATATGCCAAACGCCTGGTGCAGCAGTGCCTCCTCCTGATATGTTGAAAGCATTAACAATACTATGTCAAGATCCAGCTAATGAAGTATGGGTGATTTCTGGACGAGATGAACATGCTTTGGATACATGGTTGGGACATATTCCTGGATTAGGATTATCTGCTGAGCATGGTTCTTTTATAAAATATCCGAATTCGAACAAATGGATGAATTTGGCGGAACATTTCGATATGGGATGGAAGCACGATGTATTGGAAATATTCACTTACTACACGGAACGAACGGCGGGCAGCTTTATCGAACACAAACGGTGCGCTTTGACCTGGCATTATCGGCTTGCGGATCCTATTTTTGGTGAATTTCAAGCAAAAGAATGTCAAAACCATTTGGAAACGGCTCTATCCAAGTTACCTGTTGAAGTGTTGGTTGGCAAGAAGAATCTGGAAGTAAGATTGAAATCTGTCAATAAGGGTGAGATTGTAAAACGGCTACTATTAGCATCACCATTATCCACTTCATCATCACATTTGCAAACCCTATCCAACTCATCTCCTAGTGTTGATTTTGTTATGTGTTGTGGGGATGACAAAACTGACGAAGATATGTTCAAGACTTTGGCTCGTTCGTCCGTGGACAGTACTGGCAAGTTCTCCGTTCTCATTGGTGCTGAAGACAAGAAAACAGCGGCTTTATGGCGTGTCCCATGTGTACAAGAAATGATTGATAGTTTGACTGTACTGGCCAATTTATATACCAAAATAGAGTAGATCATTCTAGATTAGGTTAAACATTAGTCTATAGATTTGTATTTTTATATGTAATACTATATGTATATATGAAGGATGAATAATAATAATAAAAAAAAGTTCTCTATTCATTTTAGATGATATTCTTTATTAAATCGATTATGTTCATGAAAGATTGATTGTAGTAGTAGTAACTCATACTTTATGGGTGATCCCTTTGACTTCACATATCTATATACGTATAGATTGTATAATTAAATCATCCAATTTCACCACCAGGCCATCCATCATCCATTCGAAAAAAAAAAAAAAAAAGAAACCATGTAATCCCTTTGGATAATTTTTATTATTAAAAAAAAAAAAAAAAAAAAGGTATTAAATTAAGATTACATCTACAGAATCTATCTATCGAGTCTGTTGATCACCCATCATAGCCAATAAATCAGGGATAGAGAATTCAAGATGAACACCAGCATCAGGGTAACATTTAGAGATAAGGCCTTCCATACGTTCGTGTTGTCCAATAAGTTCTTCTTGAATGCCACGCCACATGACTTGTAGTAATCCTTCTTCTTCAGAGTAATGTTTATCAACTCGTTTATAAAGTTGTTCCAATGATTTCCGTACATCCTTTGGTGGATACAGAGCAATGACTTTGCGTAATTGTGATTTGTTGTAATTGACATGGAATGCAACTTCTTCAGGTGTACTTGTTCGCAATAAGACCTCTACACCATCAAAGAATTCCTATTATATCATTTTTTTTTAAAAAAGAAATGAGTTCCATTTGAATTTTGATTTTTGACTAACCCATTCCTCTTTTTTTTTTTTTTTTTTTTTTTTTTTTTGACATTGAACTTACCAAAAGTTTCCCAAGTGGTCGACGGATCACAACCTTGATATATGCATCCAAACTTGTTTCATATTTCGCTTTTGCTTCTTTCACCCATTTTTCTAGAACAGGTAACCTATTGCTACGTAATGCTTGATAAAAGTGATGCATATTTTCTATCCACCCCCCCAAAAAAAAAAGCACTAAGTGAATCCATACTAAAAAAGTTCACGGTTAACTTACCAATATACATGATGTTTGCATTCAACTGTTCTTTGTCATCACCAGTTTCATCACTTTCTTTAGCGTTGGTATCCAAACTTGACATCATGCTCTTTATAATCTTGTCATATGCATCATTGATAGTTTGTCTGGTCTGGGAATCAGCTTCTGCACCCGTGGATGCCAATTCTATACGAGCCACAAACAACTACACAATATAAACAAGTCAGTCAGTGTGTTATGACAAGATAATCACTATATATAGAATCCAACCATCAATAATAACCCATTTCTCTATTATACTTACAGGGAATGTCCGGAAGGATGGCAAGATTCCTCGCCGTTTCTTGGAACTAACCTTGGTATCATCAATGATTTTGATTTGATCAAGCTACATCATAAAAAAAAAAGAATAATCAGATAAGGCTACCTATCATTTTATGAAATCTTACCACGAATTGCTTGAAATAACGTCGCACTCGTAACATCAGAGAATCAAAAAAGGTATATATAAATTCTTGATCTGATTCTTTCCATTTTTCCAATTGGAATTCCACAGAGGTCATCATGCTGACTGCTTGAATAGGATCACTTTTGAGTCCATATTCCACAAGTGGCACCACGCTAGGCTCTAAAGATTCGAAGATAGTTTCCATCCAAGTCCTAAAAAAAAGTATATCATCAGTATGACATTTCTTTCGTTTTTGACTTTTTCAACTTACTGCACTTTTTTCGATATCTTGACATCACGGATCTTTTCACGGTGACTATAGAGACGAGACTTGTCAGGAACAGAAGCATAAACAGGACCACGATCCAAAAAGGATTTTGGTGCAAAAGGAGATTGTTCAAATAAATCACAAACAAAATTTTGTTCACGGCAGACTTGAAGGGCACATTGGTTCATCAAATGGGAGAATGCCTAATATCATAAGAGAAAAATAAAAAATAGGTTAACACTTTTCTTTTTTTTTTTTTTTTTTTTTTAAAAAAAAAAAATCCACTTCATCTGGACTTACATCACTAGCAGCTTTTTCATCTTCATCCATATTGCCCACACTGGATTGACCATCTAATGATCCACGTATAACATTCCTATGACGACTAGAATCACCTCCAATGTTGCCACCACTTCCAACACTTCCTCCTGTTGCTACATTGCCTAGTTTTGCACCATAAGCTAATGCCCTTGCAGATCTTGATTCATCATTTCGGAAGACTAATAATTCAAATTAAATATAAAATATATGAATGATTAACATTAGACTTACGATAGTCAACATCTTCTAATGATCTATTTCTTAGAGTTGAATAATAAGGACGAGTCACCTCTACCATATCTCTGATATCACGTTCGTATGTTGGTGCCATTGTCGATGCGTAATGCTAAAAAATTAAATATATATAATAAACGGCCATAAAAAAAAATAGGAGGTACTGTTGCTTCTTTTTTTTTTTTTTTTGTTTTTGTTTTTGTTTTTTTTTTTTTTTTGACATTTTACCCGTTGTAATTCATTATACATTCTTGGTTCCATTTCCTTTTCCCATAAAGAAAACCCTTGATAACGAATGAGTGCATCTTCCACTTGTTCATGAGGATATGCTATTGGTACTTTTCGTTGAGTTGGAGGTTTGTTGGACATAAATGCACCAGCCTTTAGTAATAAATAAAATGATAAGAATAAACTTTATAAAATAAGGCTCTTATGGTTATTACCTGATGTTCAAATTTGGACTTGAGATAGTCAAAGATACGAGAGCTAAATTCATTACTGTAGATATTGTATTTTTCGATCATTTCTTGGACAGCAGTGAGTTCATGTAGATTGTCAGGAAGTTTGATTTTCAATGCCCTTTGTAACAATTCCGCACTATTTTGGATTTCTACAATATCGTCAGTTGTATCCATGGGATCGTACTTGAGATTATCCAGTGATTCACGTGGAATGGAGATTTCATTCTAATAAATGACAATATACAGTGAATATAAACATATATCTATACGTAATTGAACAATCTCTTTATATAACTTACCAAAATATGATCCAATTCTTTGATGAGGTTGTTTTGATTTACAGTCAGGATTTGTAAGCCACGGTTTTGTGTTTCAATTTCATGTATATCATCACCCATACTCTATAAGAAATAATAATAAAAATTAGATAATTATCAGAAATGATAGAATAAAGTTACTTACATTCAGTTCAGCAGCATAAAGAGATAACCAACTTTCCATATTGTCCAAGTCTTCTAATGCCTTATCGATCCGATCCACCACCGATTGGACACGTTCATCTGATTGTATGATAGCATGTACATTTGCCTGTAAATAAATATAATATATTAAATTTCAATCGGTTCTTGATATTTTTTTTTCTTTTTATATTTTGTTTGCTTTTACTTACAGCTTCTAGTGCATGCAATTCACCTAAAAGTCGTTTTTCAAGCACAGCTGCATTACCACTTGTTTTCCAATTGAAGTCAGTCAAGATTTCTTCTACATTCATCAATGAAGCTTGTTCAGTCATTTTATCTTGAAGTTCTAGGGCTCGTTCTTGCTTTGCTATAATATCATAAAAAGAGAATATTAGTCAATAGGTTATAAGATAAACTTTTTTTTTGTTTTGTTTTGTTACCTTGTTCTTCACGAGATTCTTTTTCCAATTTTTCCCGTTCCCGACGCTGTTCTCGAGCCTTTTCTCGTTCCTTTCTTTCATCCTTTTGATCCTGATACGGAGAATAGTTTGTATTTCTTGGTACTTCATCATGATCTATTAAATAAATGTGATCAGAAAACTATGTATTCTTTTTTTTTTTTTTTTGTATATAAAGTTACCTAATACTGAAAGAGGATGAGGAGAAGATATGGGACTATGTCTGAATGTTTCTTGAGTTGGAGTAAGTCGACCTGTACTTGCTGATGGTGAAATTGGATTAGGATAATTGTTAGATGATATTGGAGTAGATTGTAAAGTATTAGGTGATCGTGGTTGGGTTTCAGTTTCATAACTTGTAAGATTATTATAAGTTGGTGAAGGTATTTGTTGGTTATTTGATGATTGTGATGATACTGGTGAACCCAAAGGCGGAGCAGAGCGGTGAGCAAGGACTATAATCATAAAATAAAATAAAAATACAATATTAGATTTGATTGTTACTTTCCTTTTTTAATCCACTTTACATCGAAGTAAATAACTTTCATCAATATTAACCAGTTTCGGTACACGGTTCAAAAATCTTTGACTTGCCTATAAATAGTACCAAAATTGATTAGGTTATGTATTATGAATTCAATCATTTTATAGTAATAAAATATCCTTACATCAACTATATAAGCTAGAAATACCATCTTGTCAGGAGGTTTTTCCACAGACCATACATAACGTTTATTCAGTGTCATAGAAAATTGATTTTTCTATCAAGTCAAAAAAAAAAATTAATATATATATATATATATATATATAACATCATATCTATCTATAACTTACATCGATAACTTCAGCTTGTCTAATATCTTCCAGAGACCAAGATTTTCCAATACTAAAAGTACCATTTTGATTCCTTTTCGTCTTATAAAGTCGACATCTGTTACGTTTTTCTAAAATGGAGATCAGAAAGAGGCGGCGATATAATGATGATGATGAAACTTACGAGTTAGACATAAATATCTAGGTTTTCCCATGATACCAGCTCCTTTACTTGCATCGCCTTGTTTAAGATCTTCAAATACTTTGAGATGAATAAGTAGTTTTTCAGCTACACCTAAAGTAGAACGAAAAGAATAAAAATATAATAATAAAAAAAAAAAAGAAAAAGAGTAAGTATTTTATTTATATATATATATCTATTTTTAATCCTTATTACCACCAACATCTGGTGAGAATAAACTTGCAGTGATAGCAGCGCGTATATCATCCGACATTGAGAAAAGAGTTAAAGATAACCAAAAGAAAAAGAAAAAAAAAATCACGTAGACTGAAGAGAATATGATCTTGAAATTCGATGTCCGGTTTTTTCTTTTTTTTTTTTCATTAAGTATGAGATACCATACTTTTTCTTAAATGAAAAGAAATTCTATTATGTAATGAATTATTAATAACTATCTTATAAGTCTTCCTCTCATAAAAGTTTATTCATATATATATATATTGTGTTATCCATCATTTTTCACTGTTGACTATCTCATATTTGATATGATCTTTCTGTCTGGAAATGAAAAAAAAAAAAAGAGAGGAACGGTCCTATGTCCCTTTTTAGTTTCTAACTTTTTTTTTTTCCTTCTTCTTCTTTTCCTTTCTGTACCCTTTTTTTTTTTTTTCTTTGAACTCCTTTTCTCATCTTTCTTGATATTGATACTCTTGTTTTTTTCTTTTTTTTTTTTTTTTATTTTTCTTCTTCCATACTAGAATATTGTTAACTGTTTCTATTTTTATTCCATGGTGGATACTTATTCAACGTTTTCTCCTGTGGTTCGCATTCCTAAAAACCAAAATAGCCAAAAGGATTCCATTAAAAGTAGTAACAATTCAATTAGAACTGACCTTGATGATTATTTGGTTTCTGATACTTTATTTGTTGGTGATCTCCCTAACTCTATAAGAGAAACAGATATCAAGACTTTACTTCAACATTGTATGCCTGTAGAGTAAGTATATCTGACAACTAACGAAAAAAAAAATATTACTGAAACTTCATCTATTCTTTTTTGTTTTCTTTTTCTTTATTAGAATGTATATCCGACGCGAAGACGACCAAGATGATGAAGAAAGTTACTTACGATTTAGTAGCCCAAGATACGCAGACCGAGCTTATACTTTATATCATGGTTTCAAGTTTACAAACGGTGCCACTCTTCAACTCCGAATGTATCGCGATCCTTCTTTGGAACCAGAAGCCCATGCTGATATCTTGGAAATATCTAATTTAGCCCTGGAAACGGATGATGTACATCGACTTTATGATATCTTTCGTCCTTATGGCCCACTTCAACTTTGTATATCCAATGGAGAAGGAACTGCTATGATTCAATATTTTAATCAATCCGATTCTGAAAAAGCTATTTATCAAATGGTATATCAAAAGAAATAGAAAAAAAAAAGTGATCTTATTTTTTTTTTATTGTATTAACCTTATTCTTATGTATATATATGATATTCTAGGATGGATCCAATCTGGATGGAAACAAAATGTAAGTTCCAGAATCAAGAAATATAATAATGCATGATGAACTTATGTATTATGATATTTTTATATTTTAGTACAATTACATCACTTGAAAAGAATTTAGCAGCAGCTCCAACCACACCAACTTCACCAAATACTACTCCTCCGTCGCTTTCTCCTGTTCCACCAGTGACTCCTCAAGACTCACAACAACAAGAACAAGAGCAAGAAGAACTAGGACAGGAACCAGAACAGCAAGGACAACAAGAACAACAAGAACAAGAACAAGAGAAGCACTTGAAACAACAACAAGAGCAGCAACAACAGCAGCAACAACAGCAACAACAACAAAAGCAACAACAACAACAGCAACAACAACAACAGCAACAACAACAGCAACAACAACAACAGCAACAACAACAACAGCAACAACAGCAACAACAGCAACAACAGCAACAACAGCAACAACAGCAACAACAACAACAGCAACAACAACAACATCAAACACCTATTTTATCAACGAAACCGCATATCGATCTTATGAATTTATACGTCAAGAATATGGATCCACTCATTACAAACGAACATCTTCATGCTTTGTTCGGTAAATTTGGAAGGATTATCTCTGCTCGTGTAATTAGCCATCCTATCACAAAAATGTCAAGGGGTTATGGATTTGTTAGCTTTTCTCGGGAAGATGAAGCAGCTCATGCATTACACGAAATGAATGGTCAAATGGTTTTCTCCAAACCTCTCTATGTCTCTTATCATGAACCGAAGAAAGGAAGAAACGACAATAATACTAATGGCGCAGCACAACAGCAACTACAACATCTCAAGAACCAATTGTCACAACCTGCTCTAAATGGGTATATCAACGATCACCAAGAAAACAATAGGAGGGACCCTGTCCCTTCGGCTCCCTATCAGAATCAACAACAACAACACATTTCGCCTCCTATTATCAACCTACCACGAAAACAGGAACTACTTCAGGAAAATGTCCATCGTAAGTTGGAATACATGGCAAATGTTAAACTGTATTTATTAACTGTTTATTTTATTTTTACTATATAGCTTCTACTGCGATGATCGAAGAAATAAACCCGTACAGGAACAACACAACTGTCAAATTACCTCGTAGAAAGGTAATTGATCAATTCATTTGTATAATGAAATTACTTTTACTAATGATGTTTTATTTTTTTTTTTATTTTTTATTTTTAATCCTTTTTTAGTCATTTGCTGCAGAAGCACCAGTGGTCAAGACTTCTCCTATTTTTGCAACCTCGTCTCCAAATATGGGTGCACCATCACTTGTTTCATTAGCAACAGGAATGTCCATTCAACCTGCACCTGATTCATTTAATCAACAACAGTCGACAATACAACAATACTCCAGCAACAATAAAGATTTGATAAGAAATCATACCAATAATAATCTGACTCTCAGACGACGTGGATCTATTGAATCCGTTTCCACTACTTTGACGGAGAGCAGCTCTTTTATTCAACGGCAAAAATTGACAAATGCTGTTCTGCGATGTACACAGTGTAGTTCAGAACGCGCCTCTGATATTGTGGACCTACTGTTGACACTTAATCGAAAGGAACGATCGTTATGCCTCTTCAACTCTGATTTTTTAAAGGAAAAAATTGGATTGGCTCTGGATGCTCTGGATGCATTTGAGGATGATGATGATCTCCAGAATGACAGTGACGAAGATATCAACAGTGCTGTGAATGAACCTGATATTTGGGAACCTCAACAATTTCCTCCAACAGCGTAAGATTTTGTGAAACAAAAAAAAAAAGAAATTGGAATATAGATACCAAAGATTAATTCCTTTTTTCTTTTATTTTAGAGCTTCTCCTTTACCTTGTGTGTCAAAAGCAATTCCAATAATAGCGCCAACATCACTTTCAAACACTACAAACGTGAAGTCCAATAATATCAATGACAGTGGTAAAAGCAACAAGAACAACAATATCAATAACAGCCACTTACCCGTCACTCCTCCATCAAGTCTTTCCACTTCTGATCTCAATTCTGGCCGTATGTCTCCAAAGGATATTGATACGTTCTTGGATTCGATTAGTACTTTGTCCATATATTCACAAAAACAAAAGTTAGGGAATATGATGTGGAATTATGTCAAACCATTGGCAAAACTATTGGCAAAGGTAAAAAAAAAAAAAAAAAAAAAAAAAAAAAAAAAAAAAAAAAAAAAAAAAAAAAAAAAGAAAGAAAGGATAAAGAAACCTGTCTAAATAACTCCATTTATTATTGAAATAGCATCACAAGGTTCCTGGATTCTCTTCCAAAATACTTATTCATTTATTGGACAACGTACCACTTGATGAACTGGCTCATGGCATCAATAATACCAAATGGCTCAAGACAAAAGTAGAAGAAGCTGCGAAATGTGTTCATGATTGATAATGATTCATTGATGACTTTTTTCTTTAGTATATATCTCTTATTCTTTACTTATCCTAACCTGATATCATTCCTATTTTATACACACATATATATACATATTTTTTTTTATTTGGTATACCATCCCTTAATTAGTATCATCTGTAGAATACAATATCCACTTATATTAAATAAAGAAAAAAATAACTGCTCTCATAGAGCATTTTTGAATATTCATATGAACGAAGAATTTGAAAACAAATAACCTTGATAATGATGGATGAATCGCTGTAAAGTTCACTTAATTCCACTTTTATGCATTTGTCCCTGAGCCTGAAGAGAAGAGCTCTGGAGATGAGTGATTTTTTTAATTTCCGCGATCAGGACAACAGACAACAGTCACCACCACCAATTTTTTTTTCTTCCATTTTTTTTTTTTTTCCTTTGGTCTCCGTTTAATACTTCATTTCTTTAATTCAAAAGACGTGCCATTGACCAACAAGCAGTGAATCCAGTTTCAAGGCGAACTTCTATTGCCTTACCTCAAGGTAATTTTTGGATTATTTACTTGCAAAGATTATATATTTGATATTTTTTTTTTATCTTGATGGAGATCTACAGTACAATCGATATGCTTTAACTAACTAGAATTATTTTTTTTTCTTGGGTACCATTCCCTTGAAATAGATTCTCTTTATCATTATTTCTATCTAGTCAATTTTGGTATCTAACTATTTTAAGACAACAACAATATCACGTCTATTGAACTATTAATAAAATATAAATGAAAGCAAACGATATGGAACCAACAAACGAAGATTTACAACAACAACAACAACAACAACAAGAAGAAGAAGAACAGCAAACATCAACGGAAAATACTCAACAAGATAAACGATCACGAGTAAATGATGATAATGAAGGTAATGCTGACCATGTAGACAAACTTCGAAAAAGTACACCAGCCGAAACAACTCCTACTGCTACACCACCACCTGCGAAACCAGAATCTCGAAAACCACAATATGATCTCAAGTACTCTCTAGTGGGACATCGTATGTCTGTATCTTCAGTTAAATTTTCTCCTGATGGCAAATGGCTTGCTAGTTGCTGTAAGTTATATGCCAATTATTAGGATAAATATTAATTTTTTTTTTATTCTTTTATATAGCCGCTGACAAAACAATCAAGATTTGGCATGCGTTAGATGGTAAATATGAAGCTACATTGGAAGGACATTCTCAGGGTATATCTGACGTCGCATGGGCATCAGATTCTCAAAGTCTTTGTTCAGCATCTGATGATCGAACTATCCGTATCTGGAGTCTAGGCACGGCAAGTAGAAAACATGATGAAATAATAATAATAATAGATTTAGACACACAAAAAAAAAAAAAAAAAACTATCAGCGCATTTATATTTATATCTTTTATTATTATTATTCATTAGAGAGAAACAGTCAAGGTATTAAAAGGTCATTCCAACTATGTATTTTGTGTCAATTACAACCCGCAATCCAACCTTATCGTGTCTGGTTCATTCGATGAAAGTATCAAGATTTGGGATGTCAAGAAAGGCAAATGCATGAAAACCTTACCTGCTCACTCTGATCCGGTATCGGCAGTGCATTTCAACAGAGATGGAACAATGATTGTTTCATGCAGTCATGATGGTCTGATGTAAGATTTTTTTTTTTAAAAAAAAAAAAAAAAAAAAAAAAAAAAAAAAAAGAGAAAAAGAGGATGGGATAGAAGTATTATATTTAACTTTTTTTTTTTTTTGGTATAGTCGTATCTGGGATACTGCTAGCGGACAATGTTTGAAAACCTTGGTGGATGATGACAATCCTCCTGTGTAAGTGTTGAATGAATAAAAAAAAAAGAAATATTAAATGGATGATTATTGTAGATCATTTGTCAAATTCTCTCCTAATGGCAAATATATTTTGGCATCAACTTTGGACAATACCCTTCGACTTTGGAACTATCACACTGGGAAATGCTTGAAAACTTACCGAGGACATGAAAACAACAAGTATTGTATATTCGCCAGCTTCAGTGTGACAGGTGGAAAATGGATTGTCAGTGGAAGTGAAGATCATAATATTTATATTTGGAATTTACAAACAAAAGAAGTGGTACAAAAGTTGGAAGGTCATTCTGGTAAGGGAAAATAAATAAATATATATATATAATATGTATGTTTAATCATCTTACTTTTCTTAAATAGATGTTGTTCTTTGTATTGCTTGTCATCCTACCATGAATATTATTGCCTCAGGATCTATTGACAAGGACAAATCTGTCAAGTTATGGTTTGACAAAACACAACCAAATAGTATAGGATGAACATCCCCTTCATACATCATCATTATCATCACAACAACTCGTCATTATATTTACCCTTTTTTTTTCTAGCTTTTTTTTATCCTTTTTTTTTTTTTTTTTTTTTTGTTATCTTTGGTCTTGTTCTATTTAGTTTAGTTTTCTTTTAGCATATTTCAAAGTTTTTTGTCGGGTCACAAGAAAATAGTTTCGTGATATTATAAAATAAAAATATCGGTCTTTCCCAAAACAACATTGATTGATGATACAGTATATTAGTTATTCTTTTTGAAATCTCCTTTGGTGTTTCCAATTCAAAGTGAATAATCAACCTTTAACAACATATAAGAATATGTTATCACCTCTTACGAGGATGTATTTAATACAGATAAGTTAAAATAAATATTAAAAAAAAAATGGATATGTTCAAAGTCTCTTATACTCAATGGAACTACTCCTTTTCTTTTTCTTTTTCTTTGTACAGTATTCGATTTGGATTATGCGTTCAACCCTTGTTTTTTTTCTTTTCTCTTTTTTTGTTTTTCTTCTATCCTTACAATATTCCTATTTTTGCGACACCTTATTTTTGAATTCCGTCATTTCTTATTGAATAAAGTGTAGCCAATATAACCCTGTAGCCGGTTGACCTTTTTCCTATTTTGGACATCACGTCTTTTACGACTTACCCACGTAAATAAATAAAGTGTAGCAAATCATATTACTGTAGTAGAAACTTGTGAAAAGAAAATTGGAATAAATCTTGATTGTTTATTTTGGCAAAACATGGATAACATCGGAGGGGGGTGATCGATAAGAAGAGGGTATGTATAGGGGAAAAACAAAGAGTGGTCTGATCAACAGATATATTTAAAAAAAAAAAAAAAAGGATAAGGGGGGGGGGAATACAATAAAGTGACATCATTTCTTGTTCCAGGAACCAACCCATCTTGTAAAAAAGCCAGGTTTGCGTTGTCGATGTTGATGTTGTTCGTCATCATCATATTCATCCTCATCAAAGTTCATATCCACATCTTCTCCAGTAGCATTTGTTGTATGTTGCCATTGTTGTTGTCGACCATCAAAACTTGGACGGAAATCCAAAGAAGGACGATAGGATGAAGTGGTATCCATATGATGTCGTTGATAAGTGGCTACATCCATCGATTTGCGTCCTCCAAAAGCACTCCACCAAGCTTTCTTCATTTCCTTTTCTTCAAATTGTCGTAATGCATCGGTTTCATAGAGCTCGTCAGTGGAAGGTCGTGATTCGACTGGTTCATTCAGATGTGGAAGAGGTGGTATGGGATCCATCATAGGTGACGTTTTCTTTGCTGCCATTGCATTCATCAATGCTGTTGTACGTAAGTGTCCACCATCCGAACTGCAGCGTTTCAAAGAAGGTCTTGCATTGTTTGATGTTGAGAGTGCATGATGGGTAGGTACAGATGAAGCGTGAGAATCTGTCCACGTATCTAGAGATAATCGAGATGGTCGTACTTGATCAAGAGATTGTCGTGTAGGAAGATCATCCAATCCATAAGCTCGTCTTTCCAAGGAAGATAAATAATTTTCATTGCCATCATGATGTAAAACGCCATAACTATACCAATCAGGTTTTCCATTTGACAAGACATGATTGCTGTTTTGAGAGAGAGAGGATGGTGGAGTACTAACGATGGTGGTGCCATCTGATGATTTGGAAGATGAAAGTTCGGGAACTTTTGGATGTGAGGGTTTTTGTCCAATAATGTCCATTGTTGGAGTATGTTGATCCAGGCGATTGTTTGGAACTGGAGGTAAAGTTGATAGAGGAGGTATATCTAAAGCTGGAGAAGATATCTTTCTTTTGCTGATGTGTGATTTACCTTCAAACACTGAGGGTAAGCTGGGTCTTCGCATACGTTCTGCTCGATCGTCCAAAGAGGATGAAGATGAGGCTGAGTTATTGGGATCAAGTTGGTGAGATTTTTTTGAAGAAGACGAAGAAGAAGAGTAAATGACATCCATAGAATGACGTCCTTGGTAAGTTGACTCGCGTTGTTGTAAAGCACCAAAAGTTTCCAAGAGTTTGACAATTTCCATGTGATGTTTTGCAGCGGCAATATCCATAGGTCTTGATCCATATTTGTCTTTCAAATCCACTCGAGCATCATTTCGTAATAGTAAATCTACAATCTTGCTACATCCATTAGCACAAGCTACATGTAAAGCAGTCGAACCTATTGCACCAGCTACTGCTTGTGACTTATCAGCACTATGTTTCTTAGACCATCTAAAAAATAAAATGGTTTAGTATAAGCACGTGTGTTTTAAGGAGTATTTACCTTTGAGCATTGACTTGAGCCCCTCTGTCAATCAAGTATTGAACTACAGCAATATTGTTATCACTTATACAGGCAAGTTGTAAAGGTAAGAATCCATTCACTACAGAATCAATAGGAGCACCATGGTCTAAAGCAAACTTGACCAGACCTTGTTTATAAAAAAAAAAATAAGTGTAAGTCATAAAACTATATTTACTTAATATAGTATCATTTTACCGACGTTCCCATTGGTTGCTGCCATATGAAGTTGAAGATGATAATCTTTGGTTTTGTCCTTTTTGCCTTCATACATTGATCACAAAGTAGTAGTTAATAGTTGGTTGGATTGGGTGATACTACTCTTTCGTATATATATATATAAATTGGATGATGATCAAAAAGAGTAAGTAAATAGTAAAAGAAGAGTATATGGATCTAAAGAAGAAAAAGAATAGTATACACAATAAAAAGAAATATATGAATAAATAATAATAATAATAATAATAAAGAGAGTTAAAAAAAAAGGTAAAAGAAGAAAAAAAAAAAAAAAAGGTAATAAAAAAAAAATGTGGGAGCAAAAAAAAAAAAAAAAAAAAATTGAGGTACCTAAAAGGGGAAAGAGGAGACTGAAGCCTATGGTTTTTTAAGGGGGGAGGATGTTTTATACGGTTGAAAGTTTATGATTATACTTTTTTGTCCTACACATTCTAAAAACACTTCAAAATATCAATATATATGTGTCAGAGTTTTTCTTTGTTTTTATTTTTAAAAAAAAAAATGAATAACAAGTAAAAAAAGAAAACTATTAAAGAAGTTTGGAAATCAAAGAGGCAGCACCACCACCACCACTACCACCAGATTTACCGAGTAAACCCATAATAGTACTCAAACCACTTGAGCCACCACCACTTTGACCACCAGATTGAGATGCATACAATTTCATAGCCATAGCAGCTGCTGATTGTAACATTTCAGCTTGACTACCACCACTACTACCGCCACCAGAGGATCCTTTATAAAGTTTCATAGCTTCTCCCATAGCCAAACCAATCAGTTCAGAGCTACCACCGCCGCTACCTCCAGATCCTTTGCTACTAAACATCTTGAAGGCTTGAAGAGCTGCTGCAGATCCCATATCACGAGAAGATGCTTCAGAAGCACCACCTTGGTTATAAATACGATCATGAGCTTCATATGCTTGATGAGCATCGTGTTCTTCGACAGGACGCTTGTGGTCATCATCATCTCGGTCTAAAACACTAGATAATACAGAAGAGAACATACTACTATGTTCTATAATATATATATATATATAAGTTTCTCTCTATCATATATAATAATAATATATATTACCTTCACCACCATGTTGAGCAGCATATCGAGCACTTTCATCTACATTAGGACGTTGGTATCCCACTTGAGGAGCACCTATATAATAAAGACAACGTTTATTGAGTTAACTTGTTCTTATCTATTCGTGATTTATTTTATTTATTTATTTACCTTGATAAGAATCAGCTTCACCGTAAGTCATTGTATAAAGAGAGTAAATAAAGAAGTAAAGAAGTAAGAAAAAAAAAAAAAAAAAAGGGAAAAAACCAGCCTATTTTATTTTAATTTTTCTAAATAGGCGGGAACAAAGAGCATGCAGCGCTCAGCCAATGAAATCTATGTACTACCTTATCCACTGAGGCGCCAGACATAACTATACGGACTTGCCTCCGAATTTGGTGTTTTTGTAGTTTCTTGGCTGTCTCACTTTTTTGAAACTAATCCATACAAAATGACTATTGCCTAAATGCTGTTTTGATCGAAATATTCTTGCAAAAAAAAAAAAAAATGGAATTCTACCTTTTTTTCTTTGTATCTTATGATACATCAAAAAAAAAAAAGGGAACTGTCGGAGAGTAAATGAGCCCATCAGTGAAGACAAAATGATCAAAAAAAATGAGACCAACCTGACTGGCTGACTGAGAAAAAAGAGGGGAAGAGCGAAAAAGAAAAAAAAAATTCTCTTTCTTTTTTTTTTTTTTTTTTGTTGTTGTTGTTTGTTAAAATTATTGAAAGTAATGGTCAAGTTTCAACCCAACACTGACCACAAGAATGTCAAACTATATGATACCACTCAAAAGAAACATATTACATTTGAAGATCAAGACAATGCTTCACCCAAAAAACGATCTCAACCTGATCAGCCACTGATCAGCAGCAGTAACAAACGATCAAAATCTATTATAGATCTACCATCGACAAAAGGAATAACAACGCCTAGCAGAACGAAACCAAAAAAATCATCAAAGACACGTGCCTACCTCGATCAAGTCAACCGACCCATGAAACAGAAAGTAGCAAAGACAGAACAAGACCGTCAAGCACAACTCCAAGCCCGTGGATTAGCTAAACGAGATGCCAAAAGACAAAAGATGAAGGAACGACGTCGAACCAAGAAACTAGCCAAGGTTATTGATGGTGTCCAAGTACAAGTCCCGGTTTTTCATTTTACTCCTGACAAGATAAGGCATCCTCTCAAGGTCGTCGATCTACGCAATTTTATTTTGTATTGTTTGACCACTGGCCCAGTTCCCAAGTTTGCTCATATCACCCGTTCCTCTTGTGTTCAACGTATGGTTGTTATTCATAGTATGGGTTTAGATATCACTTCTTTTGGAGCTCCTTTGTCTCGTGTCAATGTACCACATACAATACCGTTGGCCTCTGTCGATCCTAAAACCGCCATTGGAAAAGCAAATATGCCATTCTTGGTCTCCCACATGTCCCATATGTTGGTTTACAAACTCTCTTCCTCTTTTTCAGGTGTCGTTCTGAATCCTCTCTCTGAACTTTTACAGTGTCCAGTATCATGGTCTCAAAGGGAAAAAAATTATGCAGAGATGAAAGAAAGTAAGTTCCTTAATGTAGATGAAACTAAAATTGGACTCACCTTTTATTATTATTTCAATAATTTAAATAGAACTTGAACAAAGTGATGTGGATCGAAATGAATTACATATGCTTAGTCTAAAGGAATTACAAGATGGTGGATATCCCATTCCTCCTTTTTTGGATCCAACTAGTACTTTACCTGATGGATGGAAAGAAACAAAACCGGCTATTCAACCAATAGAAAAGAAACGATTGATCGCTGTAGATTGTGAAATGGTATTAACTGCTAGTGGAAGCTCTCTTGCACGTGTATCATTATTGGATGAAAGTAAGCAAATTATATTCCTGATTGATATTCTTTTTTTTTTTTTTTAATTACGTACTCATACCTTTTTTTTTATATATTATTATTATTTAGATGGACAAGTGTTATTGGATGAATATGTTTTACCGGATGAACCTATTTTGGACTATTTGACAGAATTCTCTGGGATTACGAAAAAGATCATGGATGAAACAACATGTTCTTTACGCCGTGCTCAAAAACATTTTCGAAAATTAGTAGATCATAATGTTATACTGATTGGTCATAGTTTGGATTCTGATCTTAAAGCTTTACAAGTAGCTCATCCTTACTGTGCAGATACAGCCCTCTTATACGATAGCAAACGTGGACCTCCTTTTCGACCAGCTCTACGATCCTTGGCTAAACATTATCTCAAACGCAACATTCAAGAAAACGATCTTAATCGTACGGGATTAGGCCACAATTCGGCAGAAGATGCTCGGGCGACGATGGATCTATTCAAACTCAAGGTACAACGTGGTTTCTCATTTGGACGTATCTCTAAAAATATTGAACTTGTTTTCAATCGACTGGCTCAATCAACACCACCTATGCAAGGGATGATCTTGGAAACAAACAATACTGGCACTCAAACATTCCAATCTTCATTGGGTTCCAAGTACAAGAAATTCGCATCTGATGAGACTTTGGTGGATAGTTTGGTGGAAGGTATGAACAATGATCAAAACTTTATCTTGGCGCAATTCGAGCCCATCAAACATCTGGATGAAGACGAACTAGAAGATCAACCTCCAACTGTGATATCCAATACTTCAACAAATGATCCTATCCTAGCTCGAAAACTAGCAAAGTTTGACGATAATCTCAAAAAGTGTTATGAAGCCATTCCTGAAAATACAGTTGTAGTTGTCATGGGTGGTATTGGTGATGTGCCAACCTATCGAAGGTAAAGAAAAGGAAAAAGAAAAAAAAAAAGGAAGAATGGAGATTATGCAACGTTTTTGTGATTCGTTATTTACATATTTATTTGTTTGTCTATTTTTTTTTTTTTTTTTTTTTTTGCATATGGGCTTAGATTACGAGCAAAACATAAAAGATATCTTCAGCATCAACATAGAAAGAAGGCTGATCTTGATGTGGACATGGAAGAAATCACTTGGACTTCTGAAGAACAAAAACAACTGGAAGAAGAATTTAACAAGGCTAGATTAGGATGTATTTTTGTTACTATGAAATAAAGAATATAGAATAGATTTTTTATTGTTCTTATTTTTTTTTTTGTGATGGTTTATTGCTGTTTATATGATCCAGGATATTATAGACACAGTTGATGATATAAGTTTAACATCTATTGATGAATGATTGTGTGTATGAAAGACTAGTAACAAGTGACCAAGTTATATGTTTATTGATTAGGACAAAATTCGAACATACTTTTTAAATGTTTGGTGGATCGGGTGAGTATTCGGATGAAAAGATTCTTGTGTAATCCTGTAGATCTATTTCTGAAGACTCAAGATATATATAAAAAAAGTTATTAAATCTGGTTCAAATAAAGTTTTCTTTTTTTCATTTTATTTAATAACCTCCTAAAACAAAGATGGATAATGGTTGTGATGATGATGTCGAGCATCATCACGCTTTCATTACTTGGCTATTTTTGATGAACATGCATAAGTTTATGCAAAATGATGGCTGATTTCTTCTCTCTCCTTTATTTTTTTTTTCATTCTCCTTCGTTATCAACCTCCTCTTTGCTTTTTTTTTTTTTTTTGCCTTTTTTTATCACACTTTATTGACACATATACACTTTGTTTCTTTTTTTAACTCTCTCTCTTTTTTTCCTCATCTCTTTTTCCTTTTCTTTATACTTTTTTTTTGTTGATCTATTTATCATGACAGAAACTGTTTTTAAAAAACTATTATCTATTTTAAAGAGAAATAAAATGCGTTGTCAAGACAACAATCGACAAGATCATCCAGTCATGGTTGATTCTGCATTCAGTAGTTCTTCTTGTTACAATAACTCATCTTCTTGGGATGATGATTTGGAAGAGATTCATCAACATGGTGAACAGCTTGTCATCAGCTGGTATCAATCTTTAGAGCAATTGGCTTTGATGTTGGACAAAGTGGTAAGTTTTTATTTGTGGGCTGAAAAGGTTTCATGCATAGCAGGCTTGAAACACCGCACATTCTCTTTGTAATCTCACCCCTTCCTTTTTTTTTTTTTTTTTTTTTTTTTTCTTTATTCTCTAGACATCACCATTCCAAACCACCAATCGATCCTCATTACATCAAACACAACAATTCATCGAATCATACCTCAATAACTGGAAATTTCAACGATATACAATGGATACTTTCGATCAAAAGTTACAAATGGTGGATGACCAGTTTTCTGTAAGCTGAAAAGAATATCTTTCAAAATATGTTTCAATTATATCTTATATTATTTTATTGAATAGGATCATACTGAATTGAAGAAATGTGTTTTATATCTTTATGAACTTGAAAAGAAGCTTTATATATATCAACAAACTATGGATACACAACTGACTCTTTTATGGAACACAAGACAGAAGGATCAAGATATGGATGTTTGGAAGAAATATTTACAACACAGTCAATTTTCTACAAATCAAATGGAAAACAAATTAAAGGTATGGATGATTGTTGATTGAAATCCATTTTCTTATTGTTATTTATTATTAGACTTTATTAGAAAACTCGACGCCAAATCCAGATGAATATACATGTGCAGTGTGTTTGTCCATTTTTACTGACCCTGTTACGATTCCTTGTTTGCATACCTTTTGTAAAAATTGTCTTCAACATATCTATTGTACCTGTCGACGTTCATATTGTACTTCTCCTTGTCATGATGCCACCAAAAGACCAACCAACATAGATGATGACTCCGATAAATCTCGTTTTGATAGTCGAAGAAAGTATTCCCGTGGTCTATCTTCTTATAAACCTCGTTATCGAAGTATGATTTCACCAAAAGCAACAAAAAATGCATCAAGGCGTCGACAATCCGTCAATGCAGAAGAAAACAATACCACTTTTTCATCCACGAATTATCAAGATCCAGTGCTGTTTCAATGTGATTGTCCTTTGTCATGGTCTGTGCCCCCAGCTGCTCAGTGTCCCCTATGCCGTTATCCCTTTGCTCCAGAAGATATTACTTTGGCCACTGCACTCGACAATTTCATCCGATTTTATTTTCCACGTCAAGATCGAGTACGCCAACGCTACCATGCACGCCAACGCCAACTGAAACGACGTTCCTTTTTGAACACCTTGTCTCAAAAGCTCGTACCATCCACACTTCCTTCTGTGCCTTTGCCTCCTCGTCGCCTACCACCACACCAATCTCATCATAATCATTACAGTAATCATCACGTCGACGCGAATTATCAACAACTACAACAATTATTAAACCAAGACTCCCCTACAAGTTTCCGACTCAGTACTCATCTGCTGAATTTAGCCCATCGAACCATTCTTGTTTAAGACCATCTTTAATAGATCATCCCTACTTTAATTGTCCCTTTTTTTTTTTTTTTTGTTATTATTTATTTATTTATTTATTTATTTATTTATATTCATTTATAATAAAGATATTCTTGTTTTATATGTAATGTGATTATTTTTCCCCCACTTGTAATAAAGTCATCATCATCATCTATCACTCACATTTTTCCAATCATTCTTATAAAAATCATCCATCCATCCTGATAGAAAAAAAAAAAAGTAGATTCTACAGAAAATGCTTAAGTGACAACTATGATCATCCATGTCAAACCATCCTTAAAGTTGCTTTCCCCATTATCAGTATGATTGAATGCATTCTAATCAATTTATTGTAAATCAAAAACATTAGATGTATATAAAAATAAAAAGTGTAAAGAGAGAATAGATTATACTAACAGATGACACAAAAAAAAAAAAAAAGAATGATGGAGAACAATATATAAATAAATAGATATAAAAAAAAAGTAAATAGTTCAATCATAAAGAGTAACGTCGTGACATGGTAGGACGATGTTGTTGTTGTTGTTGCTGCTGTTGTTGTTGTGTTATTGTACGTCTTCTAGGGTTGAATCTATCCATTGAGTGTTCAGTCTCATCCTGTTGTTGTTGTATCCTAGATCGTCTAATAGTGAAGGTATATGATTTGTCAGTGATGGAGGCATGAGAGGAATGATGATACCGTCTTCTTGTTGAACTTGTTGCATTTCGTTTGATAGGAGTACGACGTGTAGTGGATGCCTTTTTATTATGTAACGTTGTATTGATTGGAGCTGGACGTCTGGATCGGATCATTCTATTGTTATATGATTCACATGATTGAGATGGGTATGGAATGGTATCTAATAAAGTGGAGTAACTTCCAGGTAAAGATAATCGTCTAGATCTAGAAGATGGATTGTACTGTTGTTGTTGTTGTTGTTGTTGAGAATCCGAGGTAGTAGCACCTGACCAAGTAACCATCATATTTGCTAGAGTGAAAAAGAAAGTCCAAGCTACCATACTAGTAAGGGAAGAAGGAGCATCAACCAAGGAGGAAGAAGAGGTGGATGTTGCTAATTTCCATGTTGATGTTGTATTGGTATTTCCAGGATTTGTAAGGGTATCAAACACCATAGATATCAGCGCATGCGGGATATGTAAAAGAGGAAGAAGTAATAAGGTAAATTTGGATGAAGAGGCTGCGAAAGATATCAATGAGGAAGTACTAGAATCATTTTGTGAAGCTAAATCCCGAGAAAGAGAATCTACCAATGCCATAGAAGAATCCAAACGTCGGAATGATTCCATCAAAGGGTCATCAAATCTAGTATGTTGTATTGTATTTCGTGACTGTTGCGTACTGTCGTCATGATGCAACTGTTCATTATCGTATTGTTCAACACAAGTATCGGGAAGAGGAAGGGATGGTGAAGGCGATACTGAATTATAATCCTTATTAAAATCTTGATGTTGTTGTTGTTGTTGTTGTTCCACCGATGATGCTGTTGTTGGTGATTCCACAGGTAGATCAGGTGAGAATAATGAAACTGATGAGGCGGAGGAAGAAATACTAGAGTGTCGATCATGAAATTGTATTGAAGAACGAGTTGGACGAGGTAATCGAGAAATAGTTTTGGAGGATGAAGTCATATTTCGTGGTAGAGACCTTAATAATCGAGATTGCCGTTGATAAGTTGAAGGTCGAATAAATTGTTGTGAATGAGTGGTATCTTGAACAGCTTGGTTTGCTTCTTGAATAAGATTGGATAACATTCCAGATATTCGCTCTAAAGCTTGGTCTTCGTTTTCATCATCAGAGTCATTAAATAGGGTAATATCAGGTCGAGTAATAGTATGACGTCTTGGTCGAGATATATTAGTTGGAGGTGAAGTTGGAGGTATAACAGGCATAGAAAGTGATGGTATTGGTTCCAGTTTTGGGAATTCACTTTCAGGTGGAGGAGTATTCTATATTAGTTGTTAATAAAAAAAAAAAAGAATAATGAATACAAAAAAAAACAAAGAAAAAAAACAAAGGACTTTTTAGTTTTAAAATATAAACACGTTTTCCTTTTCTTTATTTCTGCACACTACCATCAGAATAATTATATAAATATATAAAAGGAAGTAATTGAGTTGATATGATGATATAATAGGAGTGTAAAGAAGGGAAGAGGAGCAAACCAAAAAAAAAAAAAAAAAAAAAAAAAAAAGAAAGAAAGGAGTGGGACGAGAAAGCCCGACCCTGAAAAGATCTTTGTACAACTATTATTCTATGTATCTAATGTGGTGTGTGAGAATTCCATATGACCCATTCAAAATCCAAAAGATGATTTGGGTTTCTTTTGATATCCATCACCATATTTGAGTGCCCATTTTCGTATTTCAACCAGAGAATCCATATCTTCACTAGAACTAGCAGGTACCATTTTTAAAGCTTCATCAAAATGAATTTGTTCTAATCTTCGTTTTTGATCTTTGTTGCCTTGTTGTATACTTTTCAATGCAGCCGTAACACATAAATTTTTCAAGTCAGATCCAGAATAATGTGGAGTTGCTTGTGCTAATTTTTCTACCGAGATATTATAATCTTCATCTTTCAATAATTTCTTTAAGATTTCTGTTCGGTCTTCTTTCTTTGGTAAATCCACTTTTTTTTTAAAAAAAAAAATATAGATTAGATTTCAAAAAAAAAAAAAGAAAAAAAATACGAGTTTATATATTACAACTTACCAAGGACACGTCTAGGCATACGTCTTAATACTGCATCATCCAAATCAAAAGGTCTATTTGTAGCTGCCATTACCATTACACCTTGATTGTCGCTTGATAATCCATCCCATTCCACCATAAATTGATTGATGATTTCACGATGTGCATTTGATGTTGCTTCAGATTGTCGTCGGTTCATTAAACTATCCACTTCATCTATGAAAATCACACATGGAGATAATTTTCTAGCAAGAGAGAAAATGGCCTATAAAATAAAATAAATTAATATCCTATTTATTCATATTCTTTTTTTTTTTTGTTTACCTTGACGTTCTTTTCCCCTTCACCCACATACATTTCATAACTATGAAAAAAAAAATGGGAGTCGGTTTAAAATCATTCTGTTTAACATATTTAATTTAAACTTACACATCACTAGCCTGAATTTCAAGCATCCTACTACCACTTTCCTTCGCCACAGCTTTAGCCAACATTGTCTTGCCAGTACCAGGTGGTCCAAATAAAAGTACACCAGAAATGAAGTTTTTCTTTAAAATTCCATATTGAAATAGATCAGGTCGTTGTAATGGTAAAGAGATCAATGTTTGTAAAGTTTCAATTGTTGTTTGTGGTGCTTGGACATCTTTGAATGTACTTTGAACTTTGCCTAAAAGAAAAAAAATGAGATGATTTTTTTCTTCTCGTTACTTTTTTTCTTACCAGGATCCACAATTCGACTAATCAAACAACTTTCATGAGTATTGCAACCTCGTCTCAACGATTCAATATCCACCATACCATCTTTGCCAAGAGCCAATGTACGATGTGATTCCAATAATTGTGTAGCCTGACGATAGATCGATGTTCCTTTACCAATAATATCATTTGCCTTGACAAAATCATGTATATCCACATAATCCTTATTTGCTTGTAATGCATGACCTAGTGCCACAGTTACCCGTCGGTCGACTTGATCAGCTGTCCAGAGTTCATCCTTGATATTTTTCACTTGTTCACATAATTGTTGTACCATATTGTTGTATTTTTGGTGACTAGCATCTTGATGACAAGATTTAATACCAAGTACCCTTTTATGTTGATGTACTACCAATAACTGTCTAGCATTCAGTTCGCCTATTCGTTGTGCTGCATCTTTTGCTAATTGAGCTTCCCATTCATCTATAACAATGTTTTCTGGAGAAATGGGAGGCATAACATGGATACATTTCATTCCATTGAGTAAAGGTATGCTGTCAGATTGTAACGAGTATTTGTAACTGCCGATTGCTCCATCGCTATGATCACCATTTGCCATATCATCCATATCATGCGACATTGTAGTCATTGTTTCAGAATGTGATGATGAATGTTGTTGTTGAGATTGTTGCTGTAGAGAAGGAGAATGACCGCCAAATACAACTAATTGTTGACCTGTTCGCCGTAAATCTTCTACAGCCATCATCAAAGACTTAAGCATCAGGGATCCAAACACATCATGCATTTCACCATAATCCCGTAAATAAATAATTTTTCTGTTGCCAGCCAGTGGTGTTGAGTTTGTTGATTTCGTCTTTTGAATTTGAAGAATATTCTTGAACATTGTACTATATCGTCCTACAATACCATTCATTGCTTTTGACACCAATTTATCTTTGTTCTTGAGTAGTTGAGATATAGATGTAATAGATGTAGTGTCATCAATATCCATAGTCCATACATCCGTTTCATTTTGATTTTGGTTATTATTAATGTTGTTTGAAGTACCCGATGCTGATTCCTGATCTATATCGTATTGTTCTTTTATCGAAGCAGATGAATTCATAACGTCAGGTTGAATAGCCAAAATGGTTGATATGTCAGAGTTCCCTTTAGAAAGAGTTGGAAGTAAAGTCATCACTGTGTAAGAGTCAAAAAAAAAAAAATATGTTTATCAAACAAAGAAAGAATAACTTTTTTTTTTTTTTTTTTTACCATTGCCCGAGTTTTCTTGAGCCAAAGAGAGTAAATCTTGAGGATCAAATATAACGAGATCAGAGTTTGTAACGTTTGCTAGTTGTCGTGCCAGATTATCTTGTAAGTAAGTTGCACCTTGTTTGGGAACGTTGAGAATGATATGATCAGAATGATCAAAGGAAGCTAAAGTACCTTTTGGAGCTAAACCAGCAAGTAAACTGAGCCTTAGTTCTTGCCATAAATGTTCAGGAAAATGATATATTGGATCAATAGGTTCCAAAGGAATAGTAGTATGAGCAATGTAGTTATTGAGTAAGAAAGAATCTATTGATCGATATTATTAATAACAATAATAATAAAAAATAATAGATTAAATGAGGAAGTATGTTTTTATGATTAAAAGGCTCTTACCTGGTATCAAAGGTAATTGTCTTTTTGTTTTTCGAGTTTGTTTTCGACCTTTTGTGAGTGTAGAAGGTTTGGAAGATAAATGCTTGTTTTTTGTGGTTAAATCATCTGTTGTTGTCGCAGTAGTAGTCGTAGTAGTAGAAGTAGTAGTAGATGGGGGTTCCGTAGTAGGTTTAGCAGTCAAAACATAAGAAGTAGTATGGATCCAACGAGTAGTTCTAGGTAAAGTTCGACCCACAAGTGATACTAATGTAGTCATATTCTAATTTAGTGTGATTATAGTAGTATAAATATGAAAGGGAGGGGAAAGAAAACTTTTTTTTTTTCTGCAGGTGAAGTTCATCCAACATATTGAAATCCCGCGGTTTTTGTATCTTCTTCATAACAATTATTAAGATAAACAACAGACTTTGTTATGGGTGTCTTCTACAATCTATCCTTGCATATCTCTGGCTGTTTCTCTGATAATGTCTCTATTTGTCCTTTTGACTATATTGTTTTTTTTTTTTTATCAATTCGCATATTTTCAAATTTTGTGGTTCCTTTGATTTTGTCATGATATGTCCATATCTCGGCACCCTGCATCCTAGATTGGTTGACAATAAGTCTTTTTTTTTTTTTTATTGTAAGTGTACATATATATACATATGAAGATCATACTATCCTATCAAACTATTGTCAATTTTCTTGTTTTAAGTACCGAACTAGTCGAAAGAATATTGAGCTTTATTACGAGTGTTAATGATGATATTAATAGTTGTTAGTAGCAGTAGTTCCTCATCACTGTCACCATCATCATCGTCATTGTCATCATTTTCATCATCATCATAATAATAGTAATAGTAAGTATTCAATAGTAATAATAAATAAATAAATAAATAATGATGATATGCAGCTTACAACAAACAACTTACTAAACAACAGAGTTTAGGGAAATGAGTTGTACGACATTGAATAGTTACCAATTTAGAAAGCGATCAGCTCTTTTTTTTTTTTTTTTTTTTGTCATCCCACACAAAATTTTCTCCTTGAAAGCACGCAAAAATCATTGTTTTCTTTCTCTTTCTCTTTTTTTCCACTCTTTCTCTCTTCTTTATCCTCCTTCAACTCCCTTCCTCCTCTTCCCCTTTATTTCTCTCTATTTACATTCCTCTTTTTTCCTTCTTTCTTTCTTTTTAATGACACGCCTTTGAATCAATAGTATTACAAAAGCAAAATTCTCCAAACATCTACATACACGCATATACACACGTCCTTTTATATACGATTTCTTTTTTAGATTTACGACGTCTTTCTTTTCATTTTTCTTTCTTTTTTTTTTTTTTTGTTTGTTTCTCGTCTTGAACGTGTAAACTCTCTACCCCTTCCCATTCCTTTACTTTTCTTATCTTTATTATTATTATGTCTTACAAACGATCAAGTTTACGCAATCAAAAAGCAAAAGTAACAATAATAACAACAATAATAATCTAGATATCTTTATTCATTCTTTTATTATTACATTAGTTGGCAGCAGATTACAATGAATTGTTGAAAGAACTTTCTTCTCGTGAAATGACGTCGGTTGGCTGTTATACAATAGGGGACACAATAGGCGAAGTAATATATAAATATATATATATATATATCTAAGGAGTATATTTGGATTATCTAATTATTATTATTATTATTACTATTAGGGAACTTATGGCAAAGTCAAATTAGGTACTCATAAACTCACTGGTCAATTAGTCGCAGTAAAGAAAATCAACAAACAACATGCTTCCATGATAGCAAGAGAAATACATCATCATCGACAATTAGAACATCCAAATATTGTTAGAATATATGAAATTATCTCTACTGAATCCGCTATTCATATCTTCTCTGAATATTGTCCTAATGGTGAATTATTTGATTTATTGGCTTCTACTGGTCGTTTTGATGAATCAAGGGTACAACGCTGGTTTCGTCAACTTATTGATGCTCTTCAACTATGTCATCGTCAAGGTATTGTCCATAGAGATCTCAAATTGGAAAATATCTTATTAGATACCAATGATAATTGCAAGATTGGTGATTTTGGTTTTGCTCGATTTACTGACAACAAACAACTTTTGGATACTTTTTGTGGAAGTTTGGCCTATTCTGCTCCAGGTATGACAATACATTATAGAGTGGAACAATGTAATCTCACATTGGTGACACACATACACAAGCACACTTTATCAATTTAACCTCCTTTTTTTTATTTTTATTTTTATTTTTATTATTATTATTATTATAGAGGTGATCATGCGTGAAAAATATACTGGTCCGGGTAAGCTTACATATATTGATCATTGGGAGAGAGAGAGGGGGGATAACAATAATGCATTACAAAATCTTAATTTTAACTTTCCCTTTATTTATTATTATTATTATTATATTAGAAACTGATATATGGTCGTTAGGTGTTATTCTTTATACTTTATTGGCTGGTGAACTTCCTTTTGATGATGACTCTGAAATAGTGGTTCAACGTAAAATTGTTAATGTCGATTACGAATTACCTTTTTATTTCTCCTCTTCTGCTAAGGACTTGGTTATGAACATTTTGAAACGGCAACCTTCTGAACGACTCACTATGGATCAAATAACCAATCATCCTTGGGTTCAACAAACGATGGATGATATTATTGAACAACAACAACAACATTCTAATCACACCATGACAAGCGACGAAGACGATGATGATGACGATGATGATGACGATGACGACGATTCTTCTTCCTCAACAAGATATTCAAGTCGATCTGATTTGGATTCTATCTTTTCTAATCCTCGTTTCAAGAATGATCTTATGGAAGAAGATGAAGATGACTTGGTGACTGAAGCTAGTTTTGTAAGTCTTCCTGATAATATTGGGAAGTCTATCGATTCACAACAACAACAACAACAACAACAACAACAACAACAACAAAACTATTTTAGGAAAAGCAATGGTCTTTCTAATTTTACTTCTACTCAACAATATCCTGATACCGCCAAATTCTCTCCTCAAGTCAGATTCAGTCTTGGTATGATGCGACCCGATGACAAGTCCAAACGTTCACCACGATTTTCTGCTCCAACTGTCAGCAATCGATCCGCTTCTGTACCTTCTCAAATGCCTTCTCCCTTTCGATCTTCTTTACCATTGTCTTTGCCTTCCAATCGTGAACGTATTCGACCTCCTTCTATTTCCTCTACAAGCTCATTAGACAACAACATGACTCCTACTGAACAACGGCTTGCTACTACCTTGATATCAGCTGGTTTCGATGAAGATATTGTGCAATCGATGAAATCTGGTTCTTGTGGAACAGCAAATACCCTTTGGAACATGCTCATGGAAAAACAACAACAACAACAGGATACGAATACGTTCTCAAAAATACAACATGCCAACGATCGATGGTCAATGCAGTCATCATCGAAACATTTTTCTATTCAGCATCCAGTACCATCATCAGTGGATTCGTCATGTCAAACAATGTCAGCACCACCTCCAGCAATCACACGAGTAGATCGTATGACACAAACAATATGTACAGATTCAAACTCGATGAACGATTTGGAAAAACATGTGAGTCCAGAAATGACAAGATCAGCAATACCTTCAAAATTACAATTATCTCCAATTTCCAATAATCACTCTTATCCAATGGCCAAATCTTCTCCTCGATCCATTTCTTCTGTGTCATCATCATCTTCTTCTTTGCATTCTATGGCATCTTCTGAAAAATCTGGTTGGTTTACTTCTGTCAAAACTTGGTTTGGGGGATCCAAACAAGAAAACAATACATCTGATGCTCCTCCTAGATCATCATCCGTTCGACGACAACAACAACAACAACTTGTAAGTTATCGCGATTTCGACCTTTGCCAATCACCCAAAGTCCAAGGTAGCAATGGTGTTCAAGATGAATTGACTCCTCCCATCTATCGATCTGGTTCACTTAAATACCGTCGACATATGTTACAAATGAATGAATGGAATCAATCATCAACCGATTACAATGCATTTGGTCATGCTCAACGATCTGGAAATATGATGATGAATAATACACCAAGACTAGATGTCACACTTTCACCTCCACCACCTACGGCAACGATGACTCCTCGACCCATGGCAGATACGCTATCCATCATCACTACACCAAAGTATGTTACCAGCACTGCAGTACCAAGTCATGTTACTGAAGTTGATATATGTGAAAAACGTTATCCTATGTATCATCGTCCATTACCACCACCAGCTCCACCTGCTGCTATATATACGAACAACAGCAAAAATAGCAATAATCGACAGTGTTATCAAAATCAATGTTTACCTCGCCAGTTACAACAACAACAACAGCAACAACCATCACCTCCACCATCACCTCCTGATGCAGTACCATCCTCCACCAACCCAGGACTTCCCGTATTCACTCAATCTATACCATCCACCTTACCATCAACACCAATGGTCAACAACAGTCATTCTGATTCCTCTTCACTATCATCATCATCGATGACAACGTCAACAACAACAACGACGACATGCGTTACTTCCAACTATTCTTCAACATCTACTAGACAACCATCATCATCAAAGGAGATAATGCCAACTTTACCACCTACACCACCATCCGTGGAAGAAGATAAAGAAGAGAAAGAAATGCCTGGAACTAGACCAAATTTAGCCAAAAACATTATAGAACGACCTACTCCTTCAGTTTCTGCCAAACTATTACCCACATTAGATGAATCAACACTATCTCAATTGAAACCAAATCCATCAAGATCATCACCTGCATTATTGGTAAGAAAAAGAAGAAGAATAATTAAAAAAAAAAAAAAAAAAAAAAAAAAAAAAAAAAAACGTTAAATCAATGATTCATTTTGTCTCTTTTTTTTTTTCTTGATTTTATAGAACTCTAATGGTGAAGGTTTGAAAATAACGACGACGATTCCCAATCGACGGTTTGAATTTGCACCACGATCAAGACTTAGTGTATATGGAATGAACGACCGTGGCTCGATGGCAAACAAGGCGATTATTGAAGAAGAAGAGGAGGAAGAAGAAGAATAGTTGGTTTAAGTTCCCCCCCTATATTTATTCATTCATTTTATTCCACTCTCTTTTTGTCTTTATTACAAGTTCTCTTTGTTCATATATATATATCCCTCCGGTTTCCTCTCTACTCTCTTTTGGTATACGTGTATATTTTGTTCTGTGTCCTTTATTTTCTAAGAAATACAAAGGATTCATAACACTATATTTCACTACCATTCTCCCTTCATTTATACCATAGACTTATTATTATTATTATTATTATTATTATTATTATATTTACTACTCCTATATTTATTTATATTATTAACTATCATTATTATATTATTATCTTATTACTTTTTCCATTTTACCCCCTTCTTACATACATATCCTCTCTTTCCTCCATTAGATGACGAATAGCTTTTGTTTTATTCTTATTATTTCCCTACAATCCACTCTTCCCCACTTCTTTTTTTTATATCAAAACTTCCATAAAAGGATTAATCATTGATCTTCCAATAAAAACCAAAATAATGTCTTTTATCTTTCAATTCTTGATAATGCATTCAAAAAGAAAAAGATGCAAAGTGAATGGATGGTTGTTATAAATTCAATATCTCTATATGATACCTTTATATATATATATATATATATAGAGCGAGAGAGAGAGAGAGAGAGAGAGAGAGAGAGAGAGAAGGATTGATGGATACATGGATGATCAGTATGTCTCTTTTTTTTTTTTTTTTTTTTTGTAATGAAATTAGCCTACTTCTGGAATATAAAGGAGAAGTTGTGGTTTTATGAATCATGAGATCTTCCTAGTGTATCATAGAAAAATCCTTCTCATCATCATGATAAAAAAATAAAAGATCTTGTTCCATGACATTCACCCCTTCATGGATTTAGATTAGACTAGCATGGATTGATTTGTCGTCGGGGAGGCTGCTAAACAAAGCTCCTTTCTTTTAGGAAAAGGAAAAAGGCGATCTCTCCTTAAACTATGGGTTTGCGTTTCTATTTCGGGTACAATGATCCTTTGTTTCCACACACACACACCCCACAGATAGAGACAGAGAGAGAGAGAGAGAGAGAGATGATACAATAACAAACAGTAGTATCGTAAGGTTTGAAAATAGAATTTTATACATCTTTATTTATCATATATACAACTAACACATATTATCCAGATTCATCAAAAAAAAAAAAAAAAACTACAACTAAAAGAATAAATAACAATAATAAAAAAAAAAGTACATAATAAAACTACAAAAAAGCACTGGGGATGATCACTTTTGTTGTTCTTCAGGTACCACGTGTAACATCTGTCTTGGGAGATCATCATACTTGTCGTTGAAAGTATCTTCTTGTTGTCGATTGACATTTCGGCACCAACGTCGAATGCTTTTGGAAGTTCGACCTACTTGTTCGCGTACACCATCCAGAGAATCCCCACGTTTCGCTAACCATTCAGAGACTGTATATTGAGATGAAGAAGAAGTGCTATAGATCCTATCATCCTCAGAAAGATGCTGTTGCTTCCGATCCATTTCTTCACTGTATCTTCCATTGTCGTCGTCATCATAAAGGGATAACCAACTTTCTTTTCTATAAGATGGTGAAGAGGAGACTGTCGATACCCTTGGACAACTTGAGATTCTTGATCCATTGATCTGTTGATGATGAGGTGTGGTGGGTGGAGAGTTCATGTCGTTGTTATGTTCAGTATCATTTCCTTCTTCATCTTCATCATCAGCTTCTAGAACACGCCATGGGACAGCATCTTCCATTTCATAGCAGATGGGCATCATGATGACTGGTGAGAGTAAAGTCGTATGATCCGTTGCTGTATCCAATTGTAATAAAGGTGCTGGTTTTAACATGTCGATAAAGTCTCTTTCTTCAAGTTCAAGGGAAGTTGGATGATTCCTTGTATGAGTTGGTGATGGAGGAGGAGGAAAGAAAATGTTTGGCATCTCAGGAGATAACGATGGTTGATAAGAACGTCGATATGTTGTGTTTTCAATCTCAATAGGTGTCAAGTTTTTCGTTGCTGTAGAAGTAAAAGCTGCAACAGGTTTGGTAGGACCATCCGAGGTATTTGTCTGAGTTGTTAATGAAGAAGTCATAGAGCTTGATTTGGTATATCCATCTTCCTGATTTTGCTTGCTATCATTTTTATCAAAGATTGTAATACCCATTTCTTCCTCATCATGTTTGTTTTCCAAAGTAGATTTTGACCAAAAAGACCTGATAAAATGCCAAAAGATAGGATCCATCAAAAACACTAGTAAGAGTAAAAATCCACAAATACCATTGGAAAGTGATGCCCATTGAGATAAAATACTATTTTCTCTTTTATACAATAGATTAGTTATTTTGATATTAATTTTTTTTTTAAATTTTATTATTTATGTTTACCTGTTATTTATGTAAAAAGTAACTTGAGCAGAGATGGTGCCTAATTGATGGATAAGAGGAACCAAAGGATAGAGGACATAACATATATGAGTTGAACTGGACTTTGTGAACAACACATAGCAAACCATAATAACATTGAAGAGAAGACAACAGGTTTGTGGTATTACATAAAGAAAGAGAATGTCTAATTGATTGACAGCTGTAAAAGTAACTAAAATATATATATTAAAAAAAGAAAAAGAAAAAAAAAGAAATGTTGATGTTTTTAAATTACCTTTTGTAAACCAACAATAGTTTCCAGTAGTATCAAAGGCAAAAGATATGAAAGCAAAAATAAGTGAAAATAAACAAGGAATAAAACTAAAAAGAAAAAGAAAAGATAAATAAATAAAATAAAAAAATAAAAAAAATAAAGCATTTACCATAATAGTAAAGGAAAGTTGAGGTACCGCACCAATAACAAAGCCATAGCAGTAGAAAGTAAAGTGGATTGATTAGAAAGCCAAATTTCAAAGAATTGATTTACAATACAAGGAAAAGTTACATAAAATTGAATAATATATAATAAAGTATGAATAAAAAAAGTCAAATTCATCATCAATAAAAGATAAAAAAATATAATTTGATTTTTTAATGATTGATTTCTATAATACCAATATAATAGAATCATCATTATTGAACTAGATATAAAAGATATTAAATGAATAATCATATTGGTTGTATCCATTTTGTTAATAAAATAAAATAAAAAATAAAAAAAAAAATAAAAAAATAAAAAAATAAAAAAAAATAAAAATATTATATATATATATATATATATATATATATATATATATATTAGTATATGATGTATAAAAAAGATCTACGTATCATACAAAAGAAGTAAGAACACATTCTTGAGGCGTCAAAAAAAAAGCCAAGTTTTTTTTTTTTTTTTTTTTTTTTTTTATTCATTGTTTCAAATATATATATATAAAAGAGATGAAATGCAGCTAAACATAATAATCCTTATTGGTTTGAAGAATTTAGAAAGGGAAAATAATAAGCTTTTGACTTTTTTTTTTTTTCCTCCTCTTAAGTATTATTGTATATTCTCATGGATCATCACCTTTTACGGGTAAAAGTGCTCATCAACTTTTTTTTATTTTTTTGCCGAATTTTCGATAGATCTTTTTTGCATTAAACATCCACGTTCATCTCCGAAAGGGGGTGCAGTATTATAAAATATTTAAAATATTAAAATAGAAAAATAGAAAAAAAAAACTTCTCAATCTCTTTTGGTTAATACCTTTTAGGGAAACTACAATTGCGGAGAAGAAAAAAAAATATTCAAAAGAAACCATATGTCTATTTGACTGATCATTGATGATTGGCTCATTCAATAAACGTTGATTTTCTTTAACCTGCCTATTTTGGTGATTTTTATTCATCGGCCCGCCATTTCCATTTTCCCCCCTCTTTTCCACAAAAACCAACAGGACTTTTTTTATACCCCCCACTCAAAAACCGGATGAACCTATGGAAACCCTTTACCTTTTTTTCCTTTTTTAAATGCAAAAAAATATAAGATGGAGGATCTTTTTCTCCCTTTTTTTTTTTTCTTTTCTTTTTTTTTCTTTATCTCTTTTATAATACATAATGAAAACATCACTTTTTTATTTACCTTGTATAAAATCAAACATGACAAGTGACATATCTGATAATAATCATCTATCATCAATATCATCATCATCATTAATAATATCGTCATCATCATCATCATCATCATTACCATCTACATCTGATAGTGTATCATCCAATTATACATTTTGTTCCAATTGTGGAGTAGATATTTCCATTTTTTCTCATGAAGATCATTGCCCTAAAGCAAGACAATAATTTCTATTATTATTCATTTTAGTATTTACCAAAAAAAAAAAATTGGCATTTCTCTTAGATTCAATCTATTTTGTTAATATCCAACATACCATTCATTATAATAAAATTTTCTCTTTAATTCCTTTTTCATTGTGTAACAAAGTTGTCATTCTCTATACCATTGGTGCTTGAAATTCAACTTCCTTCTTTCTTTTTTTTCTTTCTTTTTTTTTTATTATTATTATTCAAGCAACATACTTTGCCACACTCATCCTACTTCGTCTTCTCCAGTAAACCAAATTTTGTTCTTTAATGACTCATCCTGAACACCAATTCAATCAACAACAATTTAATCCCAATGACCATTCTGCATCTTTAAGAAAACAACACGGATACTCTTGTAAATGGATCTATTGTTATATAAAATAGAACTTTTACATAGACAGGCCTTTTACTAATCTCCTTTTTTTTTTTTTTTTTTTTTTTTTTTGCTACTTGTATGGATGTTTTCTTCGAACGCCAGTGACCGAAACAATGATGAAAGAACACGAACGCGACACGATACCTGTCATAACTGTGGATCCCTATTATGCGCCCGATAGTGATTGGATTCATCAAATCTATGACGATAACAATCAGTTTATTCGTCCTACCCATCATAGCACCCTGTTTTGGATTCATAAGTCATGTTCTTGTCAACTTTTATGATCACCCCTCTCCCTCCAATCAATAAATCAATCCACTTCGTGTCAGTTTATTTCCCCCCACCCCTTCTTTATATCCAATTAGCTCTTCTCCATTTCATTCAGTTGTATATTTCCCTCCTTTTTTTTTTTTTTTTTATCTTGTATTCCATATGTAATCCATGTTGTTTTATTCTATTTCATTCATATATTCCCTCCTTTTTTTTTATTTTATTTTCTTACAGAATAAATAAAAAAAAACCAATCACTTTATCATATTTGCAAACATCACTAGGGCAGCTTGATATCTTGTTTTATTTTGTATATGAATTGTATTAATGATAAATACTATGAATATTTTGATTAACTATAATGATGATGATTGTCCAGTGGCAGGGAAAGGAGGAGCAGGGATGATACCTAATTCTTGACGGAATTGATCGAGAGGAGTATAAAAGTGACGTTCATAATAAACATTCATCAAAGGAGAACAAGATGCAGCACATTGAAGAGCCCAAGGCACAAAGGTTCCATAGAGTCGATAGCGTTCAGTCCATGATAAACGTAAAGGTCCAAAGATGGAAGAAAGCATTGTCATTGGTAATCCAGTATGTGTCCATTCAAACCATTTTAAAGCCAATTCTTCTTCCACTGTCACTCCAAGACCTGTTAGTGTATGAAAGAAATCATGGATTTCTCTATATCGTTGCATCACATAAGCTAATTCTTCATCATCCACGAAATGTACCTACACACAAATAAAAAGAGATCAGTTTCCTATTATGTCTATAGATAACTTTAATTTACAGGTAATCGGGTATCAGGTGTCACCCCTTGTTCATCCAACCAAGAAATATAAGCATGACCAAATGTCCCAGGTTCACATTCTTGTCGTAATAGAGTAAAATCAAGGGTGTTGGTATTGATACTAGGTCGTTCCCTGAGAATCTGTCTTCCTGTTGTTGTAGAAAGCATCCCGTCTCGCATACGTTTCAAAAACACCTTGCCTGTGGTTTCACCCAAAGTGGCCACCATATCTAACATATATATAAATATATAAGACACTTACTCTTTTATTATGATTATATCATTACCTCCACGTAAAGGATCCCGTAAAGCAGTTATAGCAGAGCCTACCGTTAGTACTGTTCGTTCTATTCCGGAAATGGGGATATGTCCATTGTATATTGGTTGTTGATAAGACGAGGCTGAAAGAAGGAAAGTCAATATAGATACAAAGTCATGTTCTTTTTTTTTTTTTTTAAAAAAAAAAAAAGAATTACCTTCGCTATTGTTGTCAGGAGGTGTATTTATCCATCGCCTATAAAGACAATGGGGACGTGATTTTGATAGGATAGACCGACGTAATGGTGTGAGTAACTTTGACATGAAAGAAATATATGAAAGAAAGAAGAAAAAAACACCGACGTTGCCTGTTCTTTTTTTTTTTTTTTTTTTTTGTAGAAGATGATTTGCATGACTTTTTTTTTTTTGTAAATCCACTTCTTGATAACCCCCGGGAGACTTGGTGGCGGGACATGAAAGCTGATTGTGACATGCTTTTCTATCTTTGTAGTAGAAAAATATGACTCTCTGTGTTTAGCCCTGGCGGAGTATTCAAGGGCTAAGAAAAAAAAAAATAATTACACCTTGGACAATAACAAAACGGGGGGGAAGAGGTTATTTTTTTTTTTATTCTCTTTTCTTTAGCTCGATAACGTTATTTTAATAATGAACGCCATGTCCACCGTTTTCCGTCGTGCTTACAGCACCAAGTCTCTTGTTCCTCCCAACATTGCTGCTGCCACCAAGGTTGGTAGTGGTGCTGCTAAGGATGCTCAAATGACCGATTTGGTTGCTTTCTACAAGGTAGATATATCAAAACAAAACGATTTTTCTTTTTTTAATATTTATTTGATGATTTTTAGAAATTGCCCAAGGGTGCTGCCACTATTGCTAAGCCCTCAGGTCCCTGGGGTCGTTACAAGGCTCGTTATATTGATGGTGAAAATGCTTCTATCACTCCTTTCCTCCATCTCCTTGCTGGTATCTTCGTCACTGGTTATTCCATTGATTATCACTTCCACTTGAGTAAGTTAACCAAAAAAAAAAAAAAAAGATAGAGATATGATCTAAAACAATAATTAACCATCTTGTTTTATTAGAGCACCACAAGAACGTTGAACACCATTAGAATAGTTTTTTCTTACAAGAAATAAAACATATCCATATAGTCACGACAACCACAACATACACATACGCAATTTTTTTTTTAAGTATAGTTTATTTTTGATGGATGAACAATAAATAAAAAAAAAAAAGATATAAAATAAAAATCATTTATTTTTGTACAATGAATAACTATTCTAGTGAAAATAGTATATGGGGGATGCTTAAATACTAATGAAGATGGGAATAAGATTGATTTGATCATGAAATTATATATATATATAAAAAAAGGATGGATCACCTATGTCAATGAATAATATAACAGTCATCATCATCATCATTATCACTGGTATGGTCATCATTGCTGTCATCTATATCATCGTTTTCATCCAATAAAGTTCCATCGTCCCAGCCAAGAGGTTGAAGATAACTACCAAAATTAGAACTTTCTGCCATGATTTGTTTGGCTTGATCATCAAGATCAGGTTCATATTGTTTGCTACTATTCTTGTTGATCAAATCTTCACGAATCAATCTAAATCCAACTTCAGGTACTAATACATGTTGTAGATATTCTAATGGTAGTTGAGGTGAAGTGACTTTGCTGGTGAGTTTACCGGAATGAAGATACATTTCCACCAAGTGTTCTTGAATCACAGAAGCTCCTTTTGTACCATAATAACCCGGCTTCAATACAATCAGCAAAAAAAAAAAAAAAAAAAAAAAGGTAGGTGAGGAAAGAATATTTGATATGATTTTTTTTTTTTTTTTTACCAGAATAGTTTCCAAACGAGTCATCACTCCCATTGTACTACGAGCTTGATTGGTACCCATTTTCTTGTAAGCTTCCAAAGCTGCTTGTCGATATGAACTGTCCAATTTATTATCAATCACGTTGTCTAATTCATCTTGAAAACCTAGAATACGGTCCTTGAGAGTACAAAATGGAATCACAGTTGGCCAATCATTTTCGTCCCCTTGAGGTTTGATCACCAATTCAATGGTATGTAATAAGCAGAATGAGTATTGATCCATGTTTGCCACTGGTCGTCGACTTTTGTGGATGGTAGATTGTTGTTCTTCGTATAATTTATCTTCACGTTTGATCTTTCCATAAGCTAATGCAACTACTTCAGAAGCATCCAAAGAAAATCTAGTACGACAATATGGACATTCCACTAAATAAAAAAAAAAAAAAGAATAGTTTTCATATAATCAGGTTAATATAACATGTCATCACATAAGAATCCATTTTCCATACCTTGATTCCCTTCATCTGTTTCCTGTCGATGATCATCGGGAAAGTCGGATAAGAGAGCCATGGTAGATGAAGGCGCAGTTTTCATACGTCGTCTATCTGGAATCACTAGTTCAGAAGAAGAAGAAGTAACAAAGTTCGTAGGTAATGGTTGGTTGATTGTCCTTTTTTTGTTGATAGTCAATATATTGCTCTGAGAAGTCGTTCGTTTTGGAATGAGTAGTTCAGAGGAATTCGGAAACTCTGTCGTTTTGTTGGCATGCGGGTATGGTGATATCCTGCGCTTGTCTGAAGAATGGCTTGATTCTAAGCATGAGGACCTTGATGAAAGGCGGTTTGACGACATTGTTGACGTAAAAGATCGTTTTTTAGATAGAGGAGATTCACGGTTATTCTGTTGAAGACGAAATCGCTGTAGATCATTTTCTCTATTGTTTCTTAAAAACGTGGAAGGTTGAAAATCATTATCGCCAAGTGTATCAGGAGCATAATCATGAAGTACTGTTTGATGCCTTTTTATTGGATGGTTGTTTCTCTTGTTGCTGTCGTTTGTCCTCCGTAGCTTTCGAAATCTAGTCACTGGTGAAGTAATAAATAAGTCATCGTCGTCGTCATCGAGATTGATAATTGGTGGTGCAATAGGTAAGCCGCGTTGTCTTTTTCGTTTCAAATCGGGTGTCAGAGAGTTGGCTTCTATTCTATGTTTTAATCGGGTATTGTTTCCGTCCCTTCTGTTCAACATTATATCTACTGATTGTTATAAATAATCACAAAGGATCTGAAGAAAAGAGAGAAAGTATATATATATAAAAAAAAAAAGATGAAAAGCTTTATAAAGACAAATGACTATGTAAAGTCCGACTTTTTTTTTTTTATTGATTTTGATCTATTCAACTAGAATCTAAATTAAATGATCTGTCCTTGTTTCATTCAAAACCCAATGAGCTGGCCAATCTAATAGTAATTTTGGGATTCCACGTTTCTTGTATCGAATGTATTCATTATATACACCTATTGATGCCTGTTGTTGTAGTATTGCGTATCTGTGCTTTGATGGGTTGTATCGCCATTGCTTTGCTTTGTTGATCGTATTGTCTGCTCTTAGTTCCATATTTGGTACATCGCTAATCACCTTTCCCAACCAATTGGTTCCATACTTGCCACTATTATCACCACGAAGTAAATAAAGACGTTTGGAATCATGCGTTGTAAATATTGACTGAGATTCATGATGATTGTTCTTCTGATCCACATGAATAGCATCCAATGATGATGATGATGATGATGTTGCTGTTGTTTTCCTGTTGCGTAATAGTTTGTGTCGTCTTATTGGTGCTGTTGAGATAATTGGATCAATCAATGGTTTGGGAACGGCGTAATACTGATACCAGATGTCACCATAAGGAGTACCCAATCCAACATCCATTTTGTATTGGTCATCTTCTTCCTCTTCATCATCATCGCTATTAATGATATTGCCTTCGTCAGTTGTTGTTTTTTTACTTGTTGTTGAAATACTAGAGCTAATAGACATTCGTCGTATATCAGAGATCAATTCCTTAAAAACGTTGTCGCTGGAAGTGGGTGTAGTTGATTTGACATGTGTCTCTGTTTTAGTATTGGATCGTACCAAACCTTCTGTGTTCATTTTCTTATTAGATGTCAATTCCAGGAAGAGCGAAGTTGGGGAGTCAGTTAATGTAGATTGCATCAATCGATAGGACACCACGGCTGTCGGATGTTGATTCCAGTTATCGAGTTTTTTTTCTTGTAAAATTTGATCATCTTCATATTGGTGAAATTGTTGCTGAAATGAATCAAACAATGTTTCTAAAACAACATGAACCAATCTAAAAAAAAAAAAAAAAAAAAAAAAAAAAAAAAAAAAAAAAAAAAAAAAAAAGAATGTGAGTGTTGCTATTATGAGCATATACCTTACTTACAATTTCGAATGTTGTCTTAACTGCGCTTCCATCTTGTTGAATGAATTAGCAGTAATTTCAAAATCAGAATAACCAGTAGCATCCCAGTCGTCAATAAATCCACTTTTTTTGCATATATCAGTATCACAAACGGGAACATTATTTCGGAGTGCCAGTTCAGTCATTTCTGAGGACCATCGTACAATAAGTGGGCGCCATATACAACCAAGTCGCCACACTAAACACCTTAGGAAGAAATTTCTAACGTTAGCACCCCAGTGTAAAAAGAGCTTTTCAAAGATCACGGTATCTAGTAAGATTCGATTGCACAAAAAGTCAATAAGTCCTGCACGAGAAGCCAAGAACTTGAATTGAGCATATACAAACGAAAGAACTCGTAAGAGAGTAGTAGAGTGATCGGAATAGGCTAAAACAACTTGAATTGTATGTAGTAAAAAAGGTTGGTCAAGTGGTGGATGATAACAAGTTTGTAGTCGATAATGTTGTAATTGTAATATAGCTGCTTCCAAAAAATCAAAAATACCTATCCAATATTGTTGTTGTTTTTAGGAAAAAAAAAAAGTAAATGAGTGAACATGCTTTAACATTATTATTATTATTTTTCAAAGTTAACATTACCAAAAACAGCGACAGCATTTCCAATTTCGGTAGATAGGACCAAAGCACGCATCATCACATTCGGAATATCATGATATCTTCCAAGAGGTTCAGACATCATCACACACCAAGCGAGGCACTCTGAATATTTCCATGTCAATTCTTCCAATATTTGAGGTTTTCCACAATGTTGTTGACCAGACACAGCTACTTCCTTCTTTTTTTTTCGTCGATAACCATGTGGACCAGATTCATATTCATGTAATGATTTCAGTTTGATAAACTTTTTCTTATTCGTACTTCCACTAGATCCTCGATATGTCAAGCCACCAAATTGATTCTTCTTGTAGTTACCGTAACTATCATCTTCATCATAGTGAGGTTTTCTGGAGAGTAAAGACGCCAAATTATCACTAGAATCATTTGCAGTGTCAAGTGTAAGAGAATGTACCATATGATGGATGAAATATTCAATACAAAAAAGAAAATAACCAGTGACATAAAGATAACATGGAGAAGCCACCAACATAGAATTTCGTGCTTGTAATCGTTCTTTTTGAGCTTCAGGACATATGAGACTAAGATATTTGGCCAAAACGACATGTATATGTCTATAAAACAGCGTGTATAATTCGCCTGATGTACATTTCAAACTATAAACAACAAATTAAAAAAAAAAGTTGAATTCAGTAGTTCAAATTTATTCTCCATAATAAAATGCTACTCTTTTTTCTGTAATACCGTTCCATCCATATGCTTGACATGTCTTCCAAATTGGGAGAAAGGCCACGAATAAATTGTTGATATTCCCATCCACTAGCACCAATAAGAGGATGTAAATGGGAAGGAAATATTTTTTTCATTTGTACTTTGTAATCATCCAGTCTATAGAATTATCCAATAAGAAAAAAAAGAGTCATATTTAGCTATGTCGCTTCAATTTATCTTCTCTCCATATTTATTTTACCGTTGTAAATCACCCATTTCTTTACGAAGTCGATGAATCCAAACAGGCCGAAGATTCAATCCACATAATATCGTTGCTGTTAGATCAGGTACCTTGAAAAAGCAAATTGCTTTCAAAAAAAAAAGTTATATAAAAATTAAACCTATAAATCCAATATTATCATCATCAAACTCACCAAGGACATTGGCTGAAAATCGCATAACATCTTCAAAGACTACATTATTATTCATTTTTTTCTTGACCAATTCCAGAGTAGAAGATATTAACTTGTCATAGTTTGCTTGGTGCATGTAAAACGACTTGTCACCACAGTCTAACAGAAAAAAAAAAAAAAAACGAATGTTAATGTGATTTATAGAATGATAAATTGATTTGAAATCTACCTCCTGGTAAGAACTCGGGTCTAATAAAACATAAAATAAGAAGGATGATATGTTAATTATAATATACTAATGACAGTAAGGTATTTTTTTAACTTACCGAATCATGATTTCACATATACAATTCATATACGCGTTCCGTTCATCATAATCCACTCTAAATACTTCATCCAGTAAAGTTTGCCACCTAATGAGGATCAAAAAAAAAAAGTTCCGTTCGTAAAGTTGATAAATATCATTATAATAAAAGTTTGAAATGTCATACCATTTCATTAATAAATCTTGCACCAATGATAACCTTTCCTCCGGATGTTTTGGTTTATGGAAACCTTTGAGTCGCTCCAAAAAAGTGATTGGCCGAGAAGACAAAAGAGTGACATTATCATTCAATGAATCCATACCAGGGATATGACGAAACCATGGTAGCAGAGTTTTTTCCAGTAATGAGTATCGTTTTTTGCGTTTATGAAGGAATCTATCATAAAAGAAAAGAATGAATTAGCAATTGGTAGAGATATAACATAATATGTCTCATTGTCATATAAAAGGTTCTTTATACATACTTACATTTCAAACGATCGGTGAAGAAACATATAGTCATTGATAATTGATGCTTTGCAATTAGTATCCGACATTAGCTAAAATAAGAGTAAAAGCAGACAAAAGTGACAAAGATAGAAAGGAAAAGGAAAGAGAGAAAAAAAAAAGTCGAAAATGTCATTTATGCCCTATGTCAAAACTTAAAAAAATTCAGCGGAGTTCAGCAAGTCAAAAGACTTGACCATCGCTCTCATCAACAACCTAATATCAAAATGAATATTAAATCAGCAATCATATATAGAAAAGGATGTACCTTTTCACGTTTTAACTTAAAAAACACGCCCAGTTTTGCGGAGTTGATGATATTATTTTTATTTGTTGATTTGATAAAGAGAATAAAATATATATATATATATATATACAAATAGGATGATGGATATATTTTGTATATAGAAATAAAATAAAAAACTATAACTAATCATTTTGATTTATATCATTATCCTTTTTCTTCTTTTGCTGTAATAAAGATTGATGTGCTTCAGCCAATTGAGCTTCCAATGAGACCATGCGTTCACGTTGATTTGATTCCTTGATCTTAGCTGCTTCACATGCATTTTCCGCCGTTGCTACCCGTAATAAAAGCGTTTCATTTTCTTTTTCTAATTCCTTGACTCGTCGTTCTAACCCTTCCATTTTCATCACTTTTCGCAGTCTTGATCGTCGAGCTGCGTCCGTATTCTTTTGTCGTTTCAATGTCAAACTATCCAAATTGTTCGTAGTTGACTTGGATGCCAATGATGTTCCATTCAAATCCCGATCCCGTTTTTTAACTATTTTGTTGATTGGTGATGTTTGTGATTGGTTTTTTACGGGAAGAATAGGTCTTGATTGTTGTTTTAAGGTTACTTGTAATGGATTGATAGAGGCTAATATTGATGCTGATGTTGATGATGTTGATAGAGGTAATTGTTGTTGTTGTTGTTGATGTTGTTGTAATGTGGATAGAATGGCCAGAGCCTGGAAAATAGAAAGTGGTGTAGTTTCAGGAGTGTTCATTTTTATCTTGTCCATGTCGGTATCATCTACCACTGTCTTATCATCAGATTCATCACTATATGATAATCGTTCACATTCGATGATCTCTTCCAATTTGATGTCATTATTGGTAGTGTCATTATTACTGAAGGTAGTTTTGTTCTTGTCAATGGGTAATATTCCAGATTGTCGTAGATCATTTTCGAGCCAATCATCCAAACTATCAGAGTCAATAACACAAGAATTAAATCGAATTTTGGTGTCCATTGCTAAACAATATAAGTTATAGAAGAGAAAAAAAAAAAAAAAGAAAGAGATATATAAAAGAAAAAGAAAAATAGAAAAGTTAAGAAGAGTTCAACAATTCGGTGATCAAAAAGATTATCAATTACCTAAAAATCCAGTTCCTTGATTGGCCGATAAGAATCAACAAAACCATCTTCAAATCAACTCCGTTCCACAATCAAAGGCTATGTCAAACGATGTTGCCGAGGTAGTACACGATGATTTGATAAAGAGTCTCGAGCACCTTTCCATTGTTGTTGGGTTGACTGAGTTTTCCTTTTTGTTGTCCTTCAGGTAAAGAGAGTAAGCAACCATTATCAGTAACCAAAAGTGTTGTTAACCTTGTTGAATGTCCAAAAGGTTGTTCCCATATTTTAGCTTGATTATCCAAGTAACTACAAGTTTCTGTCAATAAAGCCAAAATATTTGCTAACTGATCAAACCTAGTCCATTAGAAAAAAAGAGAAAGAAATTATTATTTTCAATTTTGGTACTGATCTATGTATTATACCTGATATATAGATGCCGATCATTAGAAGGAATATCAGGATCAAAGGTCCCATCGCTACCCAATAGTAATTCTAATAAATCCATTACACAAACGAATGAGGGAGGCTGTCCTTGTTTTTCTTGATGAATCCATGATATTATATCAGTTTTCGTTTCAGAATTTGGTGACAGGTGAATACTTGCTAGTATGGCACGTAATTCATGTATGTTTTTCACATAACTAGATCATAAATAAGAAAAAAGAAAAAAAGTTAAGGATCAACAATATATTATATATATATATATATATATATCTTGTGGTATTTTAGTCTTACCATAAACGGATATCTTGAAGTAATATTCTTTTGTTAGGTCCATCACCTTTGTTTTCAATAAAGATATGAGAAATAGCAGTTTCAATGGGTTTTCTTGATGAACAAAAGAGGAGAACCCATGGTCTTGTAGTATAAGCAACAGCATCACCAAAGCCTTCTACAGGTTTTGTATATTCCAAACACTCCATCGCATAATGTAAAACTTTTCTATAGTTATTGTTAATATTCATAGGACTAATTTATATGTGTATATATATAAACATACTTTGCATTTTCAATAGAGTCATTTCCCATACGAAGAAAACAAGTTTTAATATCTAAAGAGTAAGCCATAACAGGTGACTTTAAAGAAAGAAAGAAAAAAAAGAAAGGAAAGCTTTTTTGTTCATTATTTGGTCAGAAAGAAAAAAAAAGTGAGGATGACAATTTGGGCTCCGAAGACATCGTGTGTTGGTTTTCCACGTATCAATCAAAGGAGGACAAATAGAAACAAATTTTTATATTTTTCCACACTCTTTTTTTACTTTTTTTTTTTTTTTCTTTTCATCGTCCTCACTCGTTTTATTTTATTTTATTCAGGTAAAATAAAATAAATTCATATAATATAAATTTTTTTTTTCTATTTCTTGTTTCTCATCTTTATTTTATTTTATTATTTTATTATATCGTTTTGAATAAACCAAAGGGGCCGATATAAATTTTAACATCATGGCAAAAAGGCTCAACGAAATTCAACGGACAGCTACTTTTGCTTGGAGTCCAGGTCAACAAATACCTCTTATTGCTGCTGGTACTGTAGCTGGTGCTTTAGACGATTCTTTTTCAAACGCGTCAGAACTTGAACTATTCCGACTAGATTTAACAAGTTCCAAATCAGATGGAAATATCTCACATCAAGGTCTTTCTCCTGTGGCCAAAGTGAACTGTGCTTCTAGGTAAATGTAAACAAATATATACTTTTATTTTTTTTCATTTACTTATATAATATTATTTCTTTTTATCTCTCAAGGTTCAATACTTTAGCTTGGGGTTATACAACTATTGAGAAACCTCATGGTCTTATTGCGGGTGGTATGGAAAATGGTGAACTTGCATTATGGGATCCTTCAGCTATTCTTGATAATAAAGGGTAAGTAAACAGTAATCTAAAGTCATCTAATCATATATTCATTTTCTCTTTTATTTTATTTTATCATCATTTATAGTGATGAAGCTTCCTTGGTATTACGAAATTCAACTCATACTGGTACTATTCGTGGTATTGACTTTAATGTATTTCAATCCAATCTTTTGGCCACTGCTGGTAGTAACAGTGAGGTAAGGTCTTAATATTATTATCGTATTTTATCAACTCATTGTTCTTTTCTCTCGGATTTATAGGTATATATTTGGGATCTTGCTAAACCAGATAAGCCTTATACACCTGGATCGCGTTCTATGAATATGGATGATATTACAAGTGTTGGATGGAATGGTCAAGTATCTCATATTCTAGCCACTTCATCAACTTCTGGTCATACTGTTGTTTGGGATCTTCGAAACAGAAAGGAAGTCATGACTTTGGCTTATTCTGGTCAAAGCGGTGGTGGTATCAGTGCTGGAAATAGACGTGGAATTACTACTCTTGCATGGCATCCCGATGTGGTAAGTTATTAATATTTTTATTATATTTTATAATTTTAATTTATTTATCTTATATTTTAGGCTACTCAACTTGTTACTGGTGCCGAAGATGACAATAATCCTATTATTACATTATGGGATCTTCGACATGCTCATTCTCCTGAAAAAACTTTAGCTGGTCATCAAAAGGGTATTCTCGGTGTATCGTGGTGTAGACAAGATTCTGATTTATTATTATCATGTGGCAAGGATAGTCGTACATTGTGTTGGAATCCTCAATCTGGTGAACTCTTGGGTCAAGTGTCTCAAAATACAAATTGGACTTTCCAAGCTGATTGGTGTCCTCGCAATCCTGATCTTTTTGCTTCTGCTTCATTTGATGGCCAGGTACAGTTTTTCATATTCAATATATAATATCATATTATTACTATGATTGTTATTCGTCTTTTACTTATTTTTTTTTTTTTTTGTATTAGATCAATGTGTTCTCAATTCAAGGCTCAGGTGATAATCAACCTATTGATAATCAACCAAAATCTCTTCATGCTGATGATCCATTCTCAGCTGCTATGCTTTCAGCAGTTCCTCAAACTCCCTCGTTTGCTCTGAAACATCCTCCCAAATGGTTACGGCGACCAGTCGGTGCATCCTTCAGTTTTGGTGGAAAATTGGTTTGCTTCAACAACAAGGCTGGACAAGCAGCGGCATTGGCAGCATCAACTTTACCTCCAGGAACTACGCCAGCTCCACAAGCAGTAGCACGAAATATCACCATTACTAACGTTATAACAGAACCAGAAATCGCCAAACAAGCAGATGAATTGGAAACTGCAATGGAATATAAGAATTTACAACAACTTATTGATGAACGTCAAGCTCAATCTTCAAAGAATCAAGATGAACGGGATAGTTGGCAAGTTTTACGTACACTGTATGATGATGCAGCTCGTGATCAATTACTGGTGCATTTGGGTTTTTCCAAGGACGACATTATTGCTGCTGTGAATAAATTGACAATAGGAAAAACAACTACAAACAATGTGGTCAGTCCTGTACCTACTTCTGAAGTTGAAACTTCCGGCGCATTTGAAAATAACAAGGATGGTGTTTCTGATCTCTTTAGTGGCGGTAATGGCAACAACGACTTTTTCGGAAATTCAACGGGACAGCAACCCTCAAATGGAATTTCACCTGCTACTCTCCTTCCAACTGTGAACAAACAACCTCTTGAATTGTATCCCTCCTCCAGCTCTGATATTGATCGGTTAGTGACTCGTGCAGTTGTCCTTGGTGATTTTGAATCTGCTGTGAACGTGTGTCTTGCAACAGAAAGATGGTCTGATGCCTTAATGTTTGCTATTTGTGGTGGTGATGATTTATTGTCTCGAACTCGTTTGGTATATTTCCAAAAACAATCATCTTCTTTACCTTATCTTCGACTTTTGGAAAGTGTTGTCAATCATGATTTGGAATCTATTGTCCGTTACTCTGATTTGAAGGAATGGGATTCTGTGATTGCTGTTTTGTGTACATTCGCTGGATCAGAAGACTTTGCTACTCTCAGTGAAATTTTAGGTGCTCGTTTAGAAGACGCATGGGCAATCTCAAAGGATATCAATAAGGGTCGTGAATATCGTCGTCAAGCCACTCTCTGTTACCTTGCTGCTGGAAACTTGGAAAAAGTGGCTGGTATTTGGATTGTAGAACAAGAAGAACAAGAACAAGGTGAAGATGAAAAATCACGTGGTGCCAGTTTGCAACACTTTGTAGAAAAGGTCACAGTATTCCGTAATGCTATCGGTTTTGAAGATACTCATTTGAATGATGTTGGAGCGACACATTATCCATTGGGACCCTTATATTCCAAGTACTGCCAATACGCTGAATTATTGGCAACACAAGGCAAACTATCAACAGCTCTCAAATATCTTAATTTGACACCAGCCAACTATCAATCCTCTTCTTCTATGTTACCTATTATTCGTGATCGTGTGTATCGAGCTTGTGGATCTTTGAATGGTGCTAATCTCTATCCTGAACCTGTGTTTCCTTTTGAATTGACACCTTTGGTCTCTGAACGTGATCTTGTTACCTCTGCTCCTGTATCAGCTGTAGGCAGTCAAGTTCCTCAATATGGTGGAATTACTAGCAATACCAACTATCAATCATCTTATGCGCCTCCTCAACCTTCTAGCATAACAGCAAATCAACCACCTACTAGCTATGCGCCTGTAACAAATCCTCTTGGTGGACCCAATGTATACCAACCTCAACCTCAACAACCTACTGTACCAAGTCCATATGGTAATGTTCAAACAAATCAATATGGTAGCACCTACAATCAACCGTCAACAGGATATAATAACTATGGATATGGCAGCTCTACTTACGGCAGTACTTATGAATCAAATCAACAACCTAGTACTGCACCTCTTCCTCCCCCACCTATGGCAGGACCACCTCGTCAATCATCCACTACTTCGTCTCCTAGTCGTACTGGTACACCTGTCAATGTGAAGAATACTACAGGTGCATGGAATGATCCTCCTATGCTTGCTAATCCAAATATGACTAAAAGTCCTCGTACATCTGCCTCTGTTGCTGGTCCCACCAAGCGGGTAACATCTCCTTTCCCCAATATGCCAGCATCAACTGCTTTTGTCCCAACTCCTCAACAATCATATATGCAATCAGGTCCTCAAGGTAATATGGCAATGGGTCCTCCTCAAGGTATAGCTCCTCCTCCTCAAGCATCAGCTCCACCTAGAGCACCACCACCACCAATGAACGCTATGGCACCAATTCCTCAAGCAAAACAATTTCCTCCTCCTCCTCCTCAGCAACAACAACAACAGCCACCTCAACAACAACAACAAGGTATGTATAATCCATCTGTACAGCAAGTTCGCCCTCCACCTATGGGTGCGCCAGTGCCTTCTACAGCTCCAGGTCCTATGAGATCTCCTCAACCGCCTATAGCCCAAGGTCCTTATGTTCCACCTTCTGTCAACAATTCATTTGCACCTGGTCCTTTTTCTCAACAACAACAACAACCACAATCTAATCGACCTCCACCACCTCAACAACAACCTCTTCAACAACAACAACAACAGCAGCCATATCAACCATATCAACCTCAACAACAACAGCAATCACTGCCACAACAACCACAACAACCATTTGGTCAAGCTCCTCCACCTAGATCAGTCCCACCTAGTGGTCCAGCGGTTCAACAATCACCCTCTCCTGCACCTGCAAAACCTGCTGTTGTTGTGCCTGAAAAGAAACGCCATCGTAAGTTTTTGAATCATAAAAAAAAAAAAGGATATAGTTTCGAAATTAATATGATTCTATTCATGTAGCCAAGGATGATCGAAGTCATATTTCAGCTCAACAGCGTCCAATTTTTGATATTCTTTCTAATGAATTACAGCGACAGAGACAACAATCTACTGTAAGTATTAATAATATGTATGAATGTAAATATGATTCTCGTCTTTTTTTTTTTTAACTTTCTTTTTTTTTTTTTTTTTTTGCTTTCATAGCCTGCTCAAAAGAAGATGTTGGATGACACAGAAAAAAGACTCAATGCTTTATTTGACAATATGAACAATGACGAATTATCAGATGATGTTGCAGAATCCATGTTAAAGTTAGCACAAGGTAAGGAATACTATTCATTTGTTTTCCAAGTAATCAAGGTGCTGATGATTGATTATTTATATATATTTAGCTATACAAGGCCGTGATTATAGTGGTGCTCATCGCTTACAAGTTGGACTGGTGACAACAAAATATGGTGAATGCGGTGCTTGGTTAGTTGGCGTCAAAAGATTGATTGATCATGCACAACAAACTATGTAGAATGACGGAATGCAAATGAAACTTCAATACATACTACACATACACACATAAAACTATACAGACACAACACACAAAACAGCCTATATGCACTCCTTTTGATTTAAAATAGTTCTCCTTGTTTTTTACTTTTTTTTTCTTTTATTATTATTATCATCATTATTATTATTACCTATTTTTTTTTTATATATTTTGAACTTTTCCGCAATAACAATAAAACAAACTTGACTTGTGAAACAATTCATTTTGATTGACAAAAGAAAAGAGAATGATTTTATCAAAGACGAGTATAATCAATGATGATAATGATTGATAAGTGTGATATTGCACTTCTTTAATTAAACAAAAAGATATGAAATAGGTCAGTAAGGATGATATCGGAATTTGAACAACAAGAGGTACAACAGCAGAAAAAGGGGGAGATGATACTAAATATATATATATATGTATATATATATATAAAGAAGCGAGGAGGACAAGGAGAGGAGGAAGGGTGAAGTACCTATGAATGAGTTTGATAATCAACCGAGGAAACATATTAAAAGTACACAAATAAATCAAAAAAACATTTTGTTTATTTGATAAGAATTCAGAGTTTAGATAATGCAGTTTTCCGTATATGGAAACTTTAGAGATAAGGACTTTTTTTTTTTTAGCTATACAAAAGTAGAAGGGTGAGCTGATCAACATTATCACTGCCGCCTGATGCACAATTTTTTTTTTTTTTTTTTGTTTAAATTATTCTATTTTTGAAATTATTCCTTTCTTTCTCCTTTACTTTTTTTTTTTTTTATTTTTTTACAAACCATACTAACAACAACCAACAAAAAAAAATGGCAGTTCCATCCAGTGCAAGCACATTATCCAAGTATTTGGCTTTAGATCAAAAAGGCAAAGTACAAGTAGAATATATATGGATTGATGCTTTTGGTCAATTACGAAGCAAGACAAAGACAGTGGACAAGGTGCCCAGTTCAGCCGCAGATTTACCAGAATGGAACTTTGATGGATCTTCTACTGGTCAAGCAGAAGGTCATGATTCTGATGTCATCATGGTGCCTGTAGCTCTTTACAATGATCCTTTCCGTGGTGGTGATAACAAGTTGGCTTTATGTGATCTCTATAATCCTGATGGTACTCCTCATAAGACCAATCATCGTCATGCTTGTGCCAAAATCATGGCTGCTCATGCTGATGCCAAACCATGGTTCGGTATCGAACAAGAATATATGCTCTTTGATCCAGAAACAAACAAACCTTATGGTTGGCCCAAACATGGTTTTCCTGAACCTCAAGTAAGCTTGATGAATGATCATATGATGGATGATGATGATTGACTGACATCTTTTTTTTAAAAAAAAAAAAAAAAATCTATAGGGAAAGTATTACTGTGGTGTAGGAGCTGGAAAGATCTTTGGTCGTGATATTGTGGAAGCTCATTATCGTGCTTGTTTGTTTGCTGGAATCACTATTTCTGGTGTCAATGCTGAAGTGGCTCCTGGTCAATTTGAATATCAAGTAGGACCTTGCGAAGGGATTGCGATGGGTGATGAACTATGGATGGCAAGATACTTGTTGGATCGTGTATCTGAAGACTTTGGTATTGTGGTATCCATCCATCCCAAACCTATCAAGGGTGATTGGAACGGTGCTGGTTGTCATACCAACGTCAGTACTTTGGCAATGCGACAACCAAATGGTATTGTGGAAATCGAAAAGGCAATCAACAAGATGTCCAAACGTCATATGGAACATATTGAAGTTTATGGTGAAGATAACGATCAACGATTGACTGGAAAACATGAAACTGGTCATATTGGTAGCTTTAGTTATGGTGTGGCTAATCGTGGGGCTTCCATTCGTATTCCTCGTCATGTTGGTAAAGAAGGAAAAGGTTACTTTGAAGATCGTCGTCCTGCTTCAAACATTGATCCTTATCAAGTCACTGGTATCATTATGGAATCTATCTTTTTACCCGAATAATCGTTTTATCCCCCTCTCTCTCTTTTCTTTTTTTTTTTTTTCTGTAGATTATTATTCACTTTTTTCATAGTCAACCTTTTATCATCTTTACATATATATTATTTATATATATTATCTATCCATCTTCACTTCAATCTATTTCCCCCTCAAAAAGATATTAATGTTTATATTTATTTTCAATAAACATTTCTTTTTTTACAACCAATATCATCCTGAGCGGTACCCTAAAACAGACGCGTGAAGGGAAATCTCGACCTGTGCAAAATAATAAAAACCGCGAACTGGCGTTCTTTTTTTTCTTTTCTTTTCCTTTTCCTTTTTTTTTTTTCTTTCCTTTCAGTGTGTAAATATCAAGGAATGGAAAACGATGAATACTACAATATAGACTGTATTCTTGCTGAACATACGGTAAGAAAAACGGAACACTCTGATTCTCTACACCTCATTCTCTCTTTAAATTTAATTTAAAATGTCAACTAATATCTCCTAATTTTTCTCCTCTTTCTCTATATTGTATTATAGAAAATACCCTGTGTATTTCAACAAACTATCGATGCAGAGGTTAATTTGACTGGAGATGAAACTGATGTAAGCAGATATGTTTGGTATTCTCAAAAAAAAGGAATCATTAAAACATACTCCTTTTGTTTGAAATGTTAGGTATCACCTGGATCGAAAATAGAACTTCCATTTTGGTTGGCAAAATCACTAGCACAATTGACGTAAGGAAATACAAAGAAAGGAAGAGCAAGTACTGTTACTAACTTGTCTATTCTCTAATGTTTTTTTTTCTTGCTTTCTTGAATGGTAATGTATCTTGACCACCTTATTCTCGAACTTTTTTGTAGACTGGAAGAAAATCAGTAAGTATTTTAATATGAATGAATATGATAAATGTTTTATTGTATTTTGGATAAATTAACAGTTTTATTTCTTTTAAAGACAGTTGATGCAAATAGAGTTACCAAAAGCTTTTGGACCTCGTGTACGGAATGCTTTGGATGCAAGCCCTTCTTCAGTAGATTATCGCCTTCTTTGCCCTTTTTATTATGTATTTGGTCACAAATTATTGGATTTAGTGGTATTACCAGAGTTGGCACATGTCATGGAAAGTGTAAGTCAAAAGGATATATCTTTTTTTTATTTCTTATTCCATTGTTTTCTTTTCAAATTTTAGGCATTTAAAAGTCGATTACGTGGGATCATGGATTATTCTCAAACAGGTGTCAATGGAATGGGACAGGAATTTTTACAAAAACTGGATGAAACAGAAAAAGAACGTAAGTGATGAATAGGAAGTAAAAATTTTATTGACTAACATTTATCTATTTTTTCATTCTATATCTAGTATTCAAATCTGGACAAGAAAGTGCAATTCAGTTACGGCATTGGTACAACAAGAAATTATTTACCCTAGATTACAAAACAATCAAATAGAAATATACCGTTATTTAATAAAATTACAATTATTATTATCATCTAAATGATGGCAAAACTTGAATTTTAGGGTACAATTTAAGTTTTGCCTTCAGCACAGAGGCATGATGTATCCATCTTCAACCAGTCCAGGATGAGAAGAGATCAAAGTTTGGAATATCTTATCAATATTGTTGTTATCGTTGTCTGTTGATGAGATTGACCGCCGGAAGGATGGAGGAAGGTTGCCAGTAACTTGTTGCCATAATCCAGTGATGATCATATTCATACTTGCATTTGTGTCTCGTGATTCAGCAATCATTCCAGCTTGACGTCCTTTGCAATCAGGGTTTTGACAAATAACAGTTCCCAGATTTAATTTTCCATTAGCTTTCTTCGGATGATATATAGGCTCATGACAACGGCAGCAGAGTTTTGTCGTTCTAAATTCATCTGTATGGAAGATAGAAGAATGTTGACCAAGAGCTTGTAATAAGGGTCCATGACCTCTTCTTAAAAATCCACCGATACGTGAGTTTCTACCACGGCCCGCCTTTCCATAAAAGTAATGTAGTTTTCGTCCAGGTTCTTCTTTTACTTGTCGTTGGTGATGCTTGATGACTACATGTGTTCCCTTTTCGCTGTATATCACTGCTGTTCGTTTCCATCGCTGATTGTATTTTTGATCACAGTAAAAATCCTGGAGAACAGGTGCACTTTCCTTAACCAACTAGATAAATTGAAATGATTGCATTCATTAATATCCATTGTCTTTTTTTTTTTTTTTTTTTTTTTTTTTTTTTTTTTTTTTTGGTCTCCGTGATGATGTATAATAATTGATCCTACCTTATGATTTGTCATGATTTTTTGTAGACTTGTTTCATATAAACGGACATCAATTGATCCAGCCAACTTTTCTTCTACTTGCTTGACGGAAAGCACACCTTGAGCTTGAGACTAGTAATTAAAAAAAAAAAATAGGTTATTGGATCATCCTTATTTTTTTTTTTTTTTTTTTGGAATCACTTACTTTGCGATGATCTCTTCTCTTTCTGAATTCCATTCCCTTGCGATGGCGTTTGGAGAAGGTCTGATCGTCGAGATGTTTACTGGTAATTGAGTATTTCTTCAAAGTAAGCATTTCCTTTTCATCGCCATCACTATCCACCTTTTCTACTAATGTTTCCAATGGTTGATAGCGATTGTTGATTGCCAAATAGTACATTACTTTCTTGACATCAGCACTTGTAGCTTGGACCATGGTTGCCAGACCCGGATCACATCCAACAAAAATACTTCCATTTTCCCATTCGTTACCAGTAGATGATGAGGATAGGCTAACATCTGTCGTGTCAGTTGAATAAAACTCGTCAAAGAGGTCCTTCTTCTCTGTCTTGAGGGCTGATATCTTCCGTAACACAACAAGCTTCCGTCGAAGTAGATCATCACGCTGTCGCTTCTTTTCTGCCCGCTGTTTAATTAAAAAATCTTTTGTTGGGAGGTCTTCCAGATCATCATGTGTTGTGTCGGCAATGGATTCAATTTGTTTGTTGATATTCATAATATTCATCTTCGTTTCATCTATTTCGTTATTCAACTTGCGCAATTCTTCAGCTGGTGTTGATAAGGAAGCGTCCAATGACTTTATCTTTTCTTGCATTGTAATCTCTTCAGATAACTTTCTTTTTCGTCGTACGTTGGTCGCTGATGGCTTGATATCAGTGTCAATTGGTTTTTCCTTTTTGGAATGTAGCCGCACCGCGCCATAGTTAGTGATTGTGATTCGATTGGAGAAGATAAAGCCAGTCTTTTTCGCACAGAGACTTCGCCTGGTTGGAAGATCAAAAAAAGCACCAAATAGTTCATCCTGGAATTTGATTGACTTGGTAATATTGCTTATTGTGTGACCGTTGGGAAGAAAAACATCGAATCCATATGAATGTAGAGGTTGCACATTTCCGCCTTTTGTTCCACCAACACGCCCTTTCAATGAGCACAGAGTCAAATACAATCTCGTTGGATCCAAAGTAATGGAATAGGTCTTGGAATGATCTTACAACTGGTACAGATCGTCTTACAAATTTCTCGTTTCCAGTTGAGCGAAGAATATGATTGCATACCGTAACAAGAGGGAAATTGAGAAGGGGATGCCGATCTACATCGTCATCGTATACTTTCGGTAACAAGTATGGTGAGAAAAATTGATACAAAAGGAGTACTGAATTGGCTTCATCATCGTTAAATTCCATATCTGGCGCATGCATCTTAAGATCCTCGACAGTTAACGGTTGATCGATGTTCTTTTTGAATAGAATTGACTTCACAAAATTTGCAATTTTCTTCAGTCGATTGTAGGAGGGGTTAACATGAATGGTTTCAGGGGCATCCACTTCCATCGGAGCACTAGTATCATCCACCAAAGTAACATCCAAATTCATTTGAGCATCAGTATTGTCCACCAAAGGAATCTCCACGTTAACCTGAGCAGTAGTACTTGACTTGAGAATAGAGGATTGCATCAAGTGTTCGAGAATTTGTTGCTCCTTCTGAAGAACGTCTGGTCTATTTATATTATCAAATTGTTGCAACCGCTTTATTCTTTTGCTGTGGCGTCTGATTTGGCACTTGAATGTAAAAGAATTCTTGGGAATTTTTGGTTGTGATTTTCTAATTGTATATAGATAGGTTAATAATGTGAACCATCCACCATCATCATCATCATCAAATCATCAATATGCATTACCTTTCTTTCAATTCATTCTTATTTTGGTCCTTTTTTGGAAGAATAAGCCGACACTGAAGAACAGTCATAATAGCTCTTGATAGCAGACGATCCACTATATCACCTTGATATATATTCTTTAAATTGGTGGCGTACGTATTTACATAAGGCTGAATAATGGTAGATAATCCAGGTGGCATATCAGTAAGGTTTAGGTTGGTGATTTCCTGTAAATCCAAATTCCAATTTAATATACCATCCTTGTTGGAATCATGACTTGAAGAATTAGAAGGACCTGGAGTGTCAGTAAGAGAGGTTTCTTGAGAGTTATGAGTTGCGGTCAACAGATGCATCAAATGGCCGAAAGTATACAGTTCAAATAGACGTCGTTCAGCTTTGGTGGTATTGTTGTGACTAGCCATGAGTTTCTTGACATCATAAGAAGGAGGAGAGATCAGTGGTGGTGGAAGGACCTTGGTAATCTTGCATTCAGGTAGAATACTAGTTATTTCTACAGGTGGACCACTAAGAAAAAAAAAAAAGAGCATATGAGTATATGACTAGTATTTCATGATCACTATTTATTTACGTGGTTCGTTTCAAAAGGTCTAACAAAACCAAAGTTGAGATATCCGCCATTATATTGGTAATTATCTTCTGGGACTTCAGTAGTGATTGATGGATGATGTTTTTCTCCAAGTCAGACAAATCTGGTCGTAAGATTGTCTTCAATTGAGAAGTAATGGTATTGTGAATAAAATTATCCTCATTATCTTGATTGTTGTCGTTGTTGTTGTTGTCGTTGTTGTTGTCGTTGTTGTCGTTGTTGTCGTTGTTGTCGTTGTTGTCGTTGTTTTTTAATTCCTCTAATATATTGGCAGCGTTCTTATTCACAAATTCTTTATAAAGGCGAACATAAGGTATAGCTTTCGAGTCTACAGTTGCTCTAACTGTATCTTTGGAAAAGTCGGTTGAGTTTTCTAAATAAAAGTTAGATTAATATTGGTATAGAAGTATATATGTATATGTATACTACCTTGGTTATACAGTTCTACAGTCTTTTTGTAAAGGTTTGGTATTGTTCGCTTTCGTTCTTGTTGTTGACAATAGTTTGATAGAATTTCGGATTCGGTTTTCTTCTTTTTGTTTGTCCAAAGCTTATGTAAATCTTCGCGTACTAATACTTGGAATACTTTGTTGAGATATGATATACAGGTATCTTTGTCTAACTGTGGTATAGTAATTGTCTTTCTTGTTTCTTGCAGATGTAGTTGTGCTTTTCGGTAAGAATCAAATGACATGGCGATATAATCAATGTAAAACAAGGTGAATAATTGTGCATTCTTAGAAGAATCAAATGAAATGGTATAATAATATATAAGATATAAAATAAGGTGATATGATAAGCAAGTATAAACAAAAAAAAAAAAAAAAAAAAAGAAAGGAAGAAAGAAATAGAAGTAAAACTGGACACGACTTTGAAAAAAAAAATTGTAGTTAAATGATAATTGACGGAGTGTGAAAGCACATTACCATGTCTCACTTTCTTTTTTTTTTTTATTTTGTATCTCTCTACTTGATAATTTTTTTTTTCTTTCCTTTTCTTCTTTCTTTCTTTTTTTTTTTTTTTTTTTTTTTTCTCGAACTGACCATTTGAACAATGTCAGATTCAGTAGTCAAGGAATCAACTACCACTCCACGACTTATACTTCGATCTTATAGACCAAGTGATCATGAACAAGTGGACTTTATATTTTACAGTACCTACTTTGCACTTGTTCCAGAAGGTGTGAAACAAAAACTACGATCACCATTATTTTGGATATGCTGGATCACTGTGTACGGATACCTACTTGCCATTATTCCTATCTTATTATCTGGTATGTCTGTGCCTAGCTGGACGGGTCGTGTATTACAGGTGTTTATGACCATTGCCTGGGGTTTGGTCTCGTTTGCTGGTATGTTTGTCATGACTGACCGTTTGGACGTTATCGACCGGATTGAACAAGTACGACAAAACGATCTCCGTGATCCCGAAGTTTATTATATGAATGTGGTCAAGGAAGAAAAGATTGTTATTGAAGAAGAAGAGGATACAAGTAAGGATCAACAGAAAAAGAAACGTGTTACCTTTGATAAAGATACCAAACCTGCAACGGAAATAGTACGTACTCCCAAACCCAAGGATCAACAAACAAAATCACACTTTTGGGTTCTTCAAATGGATAATCAAATATGTGGCATGGTGGGATTGGCTCAATATAAGGATATTCAGTATGACCAACGTCCTCCTTTACCTCCTGGCTGGATCAAGATCGGGCAACTTTTATGTGAACGCTATGGTGTGACACCTCCTTCGTTTTTACAATTCAATCCACCCACCAACATCTTTGCTCAACCTCATGCACCTCACACTGCTACATTACAACGTTTGGCTGTCAAGCAGGAATTTCAAGGTTGTGGATTGGCTTCGATTCTCGTCAACCGTGTCATGTCATGGGCGCATCAACAAGGCATCACTCAGGTCTTTGCTGTCACCAATGAAATGCAATCAGTGGCTGCCGACATTTTACGCAAGCATCATCAATTTACAAAGGTAAAATCCGAAAGGAAAGGATGGTTAGGTCAAACCGAAACTACCTGGGTCTGTCATGTGGAACAATGGTATGATCAACATGCTGCTCAAGCCGATACTTTTGCCAAGGATACAACTCCCACTACATCTTCTTCTGAAGCATCCGGATGAATATCTGTAAGTATGCATGTGTATGTGGATGATGTCATTATTATATTTACCTTTTCTTCTTTTCCTCTTCTTCTTTAGGTAGTGACTTGTTAGTTTAGTTTTATTGGTTTTTTTGTAGATATAGTTTTATGTGGGAATAGTCAATTGTCTTGATGATACTCTTTTTTTTTATATATACATATTGAATAAAACATAGATCTTTTTTTTTTTTTTACTTATTTATTTATTTGCCATTGTTAATGATGGATGTTTGCAAGATAGTCATTTCAACCTTGTATATGATAAGGATGACAATATTGGAGAAGAAATAGGCATCATCATCCAATAAAACCACCACCATTAGATTCCTCTCAAAAAAAGTAGTCTGATATCAACTAAACTCACTTGATGTATAAATGATCACCAAAAAATTTCATCCATTTTTTTTTTCCCTAAGATTGCCTGATGACCCCTCGACAATTTATTTCTACAGCTAAAATTTGGCTGAGGAATTTCAATCTTCTGGCTGTAAAAAATCCAAAGATCGATCCCATTTTTTTTTTTATCTCTTACAAATGTCAAACTCTCTTCACCATTAGCTGTACTATTAAAAAGTATTATAGTATATTTTAACCTTTCATTGTTTGCTCCATAGTGAGAAAAAGCCATTTGAAAAATTCGAGCCATTCTCTGAATTAATATACCAATTCAGTAAAACGAACGCAATTTCCTTGTTTTATAAAATCCTGTTGCTTCACATAATATCATCAATCATCTGCCTCTTCCATTAGATTCAAATCCCGGAAAAAAGAGTTTGTACGACTAAGATGGGTAAACACGTAAACATCTACTTTGAAAATGGTTCAAGATATCAGATGCATCAGAGGTCTTGTTGCTTTTTTTTTCTTTTTTTTTTTTTTAGAGAGAGAGAATAAATGATAGTGATTGTATTTGGAAATGAAAAATGATCTTATATGAATTGAATGTTTGGTTGAGCAGATGATCAGTACTTGAGGTGCTACGAAACCGATAGAGGGGAAAAAAAATTGAACTGCGGCAAGGTATATAAATATATATTTCCTTATCTATCCAACTGATCTCTTTTTTTTTTTTTTTATTCTTCTTCTTCTCTTTCTATATTTTATTTTTCGTTATTAGTCCTTGGAAGATATATGGATCATCAACAAGAAATCATTGTTTCTAACAACAACGACTTCACTGCCACTTATGAAAGTAAACAAAGGCGGAAGAAGACCTTTTATTTCCAACGCGATTCACTTGCCAAAAGAAATAGACTCTTAGTTGGTAAAGAGGGTAGCCGGAGACGTCAACGTTATGATAATGGTAATTTTTTATTTTTATTTTATTCCATTCTCTTTACTAAAAAAAAAAAAAAAAAACCAATATAGGAAATTTCACCAATCATCCATTTGCCGTTTTGTACGAAGATGATTTATATCCTCCAGGATATCAGGATTTGACAACAGCTTTTTGGACTCGTCCTGATATTGCATCTCTATACAGTGATGATGAATATCTTTTGGATTCATCATGCTCTGATGGTACTACATTATCGATGATCAAGCATCACTCTTCCATCATCAGTCATCACGTTCACAAAGAGTTGAAGAAACAACACATCCCACAAGGAATAGTACTTCATTATGAACATCAATTAATCAATTTCAAAGAAGGTGATCAATCAACTTTGGCCTGGTCAATCAATGATCCATTCATTCGATTTGTTATACATATCATGTGTCATTATCATCATTTAGAATCTCATTGTAAGTCATCTTTTTTTTTTTTTTTTGGTCACCATTTACTAATCAATATATATATATATATTAGCCGAACATCATGACGATCGATGTATTCTCTATATCAATCATCCTTCATATTATCATCATCATAGACAACAACAAAATTCTGGTTATGGATGTATACAAAGCAAGTCGTTTTTTGATTATCTATTCCGTATGTCGTAATTTACCTCCCTAGATTATTTTTTGATTTTTGTTTTAATAAAAAAGTTTATGTCTTTAATGGATGAGTGGTTTCTATAATGTAGATGATTCCAATGATGATGATATCATGGCATGTCGATGCATGATAGATGATGGTAGATGATAATAGGATGAATAGATTGAATGATAATAGGTGATGATACGATAACAGTGGATGATAATAATAAACAAATTGATAAAAAAAAAAGATGTTTTTATTTAATTGTGAATGTAAAATAAATATTAAATAAAAACACTATAAAAAATAAACTATATTTTTTTCCTGACTTGCTATTATTTGGCCTATAGAAAACCTGTTGTATATCCAGTTGTTCCTATTCTATATTCTTGTCATATTATCTACTATATTTTCACAGAAAGAGTGGGAAAAAAAAAAGTAATTCATAGTAAGAATGTATAATATGAAAAGAGTGACTTTTAAGTATATAATATAGATTAATAAAGTAATGTATAATGGTAACTTAACAATGTTCAAAGTGCCAGTGGTTAAAAAAAGAGAAGTAAAAAAAAAAAAAAAAAAAAGTAAAAGGAAAAGTAAAAAAAAAAAAAAAGGTAAAAGGAAAAAAAAAAAAAAAAGTAGAGAGTGCACCAACTTTTTTTTTTTTGTCAGAGCTTTGGTCCAACTTTTTTTCCATTGTCTCCAACAATTTTTTTTTTTTTTTTCAATCTCCAGATTTTTTTTGATCTCGCACGACCAGATCTTTTTTTTTTTTTTTTTTTGATCCAACACACCTCACATTGAGAACGGACTTTGAAGTTATACCATTTATGGATAACACTTATGATTTGCATTAAAAGAAAGTAGAATTAGATGAATAAATAATAATAATAATAAGATGATGATGATAAGATGGTTTAGATTGAATTATTAGTAAATGATAATAATAATATGAATAATATGAAATGATGATTTTATAATTCATAACAAGATGAATATTAACTACTATAGTATCACTTCTCTTATAATATTATACTTTTGATGACAAGTTACCCTTTCTCTCTTTTTTTATCAAATTCATAAAATATGATAATATGATGATATGAGTTGTATTATGATATAAATCAATACTGTAATAAATAATAACAATAATGATTTGTACTTTATTAAAAGAAAAAGAATATAAATTAACTAATATATGTATGTAACTACTAAGATTAACAAACAACACAAACAACTACAATGGAGATGGAATGATATAAAATAAAGATGATTTTATTCAAAGTATAATGATCGTTAGGACTAACATTCATATTACATATATATGCATTGTAATGAATTAAACCAAAATAGGCTATTTATTTAAAAATCAGCATCATGCGATAACTTTTATATGATGATAAAGAGTTTAGGATTCATTATCATTATATTAGAGTTATCAATCAATCATCATCATCATCCATTTACTTTTTTATTGTCCCTGAATTATTTTTAAAATGTCCCTTATGTTTTCTAGATCAGTCAAACCTGACATATTAGAATGTGGTAGATCAATTTAGTGTAGTACATGTCCTACTGCATAAAAAAATATCAACGTTCTTTTCTCATCATAACATTGTGTATCAATATATTTTTTTTTCTCTTTGTAAAAAAACAATGGGTATATGTAATACTAGTACTTCTACTAATAAGAAAAAGGATTAGATAGAGTGTGACATGTGGAGTTTGAAACACGTAGAAATTAAGGTCTTAAGAGAAAAAAAGGGATTTTACTTTTTTTTTCCTTCTCTTTTCTTTCTTTCTTTTTTTTTTTCCAACTTTTTAAACAAAGTTTTTACTAACACATATTACTCTTCAATTATTTAGATCGATCCTGTATTATAACTTTCCTTTAGTAACCACCTCATTCACCATCTTCTCTTGTTGGAGAACCTTGTTGTTCGGTAAGTAATTGAATGAATACATCAATTTATTATATACTCACGCCTTCTTTCTTTCTTTTTTTTTTTTTTTTCTTTTTCATTTGTTTACATTTTAGTGAGTAATAAAAAAAAAAGATATCTTCTTTACCAAACTAATCTAGTTCTGTTTATATTATATAGATGTTAAAAAAGAGAATTTTATGTGTCTCCCAATGATATCTATCGTCGTAAGCTTATAACGTATAAATAATAACTATGATAACAAAGAATGAATAGTTACTGAAACCATTGTTATTTTTTTATTAGAATACTGGGATAAGAAGAGTTGTCGAGAAATGGTGGTATGATAGAAGGCATCTTTTGGCTGGCAAAACAAGAACAGTCTGTGTATGAAGGATGATGGTGGTGGTGGTGGGATCCTAAGCAAAGGTAATATTATTAATGAAATTTATCATAAATCATCAGTTTTCGATACAAACCATTCTTTCTCTTCTTATAATAGGTATGATCGATGCCATATGAAGTTCTTATTTTAGCATTTATTTGTCTTTTCAACGTTTTATGGTTGATTGATGGGGATAAAAGAGACATATACAAGGAACAAGTAAAGGTCAGACAAAAGAGTAATGGATGTGATAGACTACTTTTATGTGTTACCTTTTTTTTTTTTACTTTTCTTTTGTAGTTGGATTACCACAAGTGAAAAAAGCAAGAACTATGTAAGTATTTTATTTATTTTATATCGTGTATAACCTACTCATTCTTTCATTTCCTTCATTCTTTAGTTCTCTAGGTTTGGTGATGTCAGGTTGCATGATTGGCAAGGAATAGAAAGGCTAGGATAAAAAAAAATATTGTGGGTCAATATAATTATACTTTCTCATGGTGACTCCAGGGTAACACTGAACGAACTATCACTGTTCTTTCCTTTTAGTTTAGAAAATAGTAGAACAGATATATAGTAATCCATTTTATTTTATTGATTTTATACAAGCTCAATAAACTCTTGTTTTCAATATTCTTGTCAACCTCTTTTTATTTGTACGTGTTGTGACGCGATGACTTACCTTAAGGACGATGATGATTCCATGATGACTTGATGATAAATCTATGCTGCTGTTGAGGACGATGAGGATGATGATGGTGATTCTACAAAGACATATCTATAATGATAACGTATGAAGAAGATTCTCTGGCCAGTCGATCATGATGATGAAATCCTTTGCCGATAAAAAAAAAAAGAATATCACTGATTTTCGTTATGTTTATAGTACGATCCACCATCACGCGCGCTTATGTAAAGAGATGAGTTAGCATTGGTAAAAAAATTCAATCCATGGTTCAACAAGCAATGAAGTGTAACAATTGCATAAAAGTAATCTGCAGAGTAGTTTGGACAAGAACGAAAGCCTAAATGAAAATGATTGTATTACTCTGTAGGCTGCTCCGAAGTTGAATCGGCGAGGTACCCCGCCGTGAAGAGTAGATCCTAAACATGGCGGGTAAATGAAATCGGTTGCTGAATAAGAGTTTTGCTGCTTTTTTTTTTCATCTGTATTGTTTTATTACGTGTTACCTTAACAAACGCCTTTTTTTTTTTTTTTCTTCTTCTTCTTCTTGTCACGTTAAGGACATATAAAGGATTCATTTTATCGTTTTTCAAAAACTTTTTATCTGATGATTATCTTTTTGATGTAGAATGAACAAATAAGTTTTTGCGAATAAGGTTAAAATATCCAAAAAAGAAGACTTTTCCAGGGGGGTGTCTCATCGCCATCCCAACATGTTCAACTCCGTTCCCGGCTACCGAGACCATTAAAAAAAGTTTTTAGGGCAAAGATTATAAAATAAACTTTTTTCCATTTTTCTTTTTTTCTTCTTTTTTTTTTTTTTTTTTTAATAAAACAAAAAGCATCTTATCTAGGCTCGACGATGGTAGCTGTGGAAGAAAAAGAAAAGGTGAGCGCCAATGGTGTACCTTTATTCAAACATACCGTGACGAAACTCGATGAAAAAATGGACAAGGAAGTGGTTCATGAATTTGGTGGACCTGTCGGTGTATGCGCCATGATGCTCGGTTTTCCTTCTTTGATGTATTATTTCTGGGTATGCTTGGAATATCATCAAGGCAAGCTCATTACTCCTTCGTACTCGCTTGAAGGTATTCAATCCTTTGTTTTGGACGACATTATTCATAAAGTGGTGACTGGTGCTTTCCCTCACTTGTTGGCTATCAAGATCTATATGGGCTTTGTCTTATACTCTGCTATCTGTGCTTATACTCTTCCTGGTCCTGTTGTTGAAGGTCTTGGACTTCCTTCTTTGAAAGGCAAAAAGGTAATGTGGTTGTATATTGTGTTAAACATAAAATTTTTCACGTGCTTACTTTGATCTCTTTTTTTTTTCTATTTTTTTTTTTTTTTCAGCTCAAGTACCTTTGTAATGGTCTTTCATTCTGGTATCTTACTCTTGTATTATCTGCTGTGTTCCACTATACTGGTATTTTCCGTCTTACTTTGATCATTGACAATTTCGGTAGCATTATGTCCGTGGCTATTATTTGGGGCTTCACCATGTCAATTTTGGTATATGTCATTTCTGGTATCATGGGCAAGCATCATCGTATGTCTGGCAACTTTTTCTATGATTTCTTCATGGGTGCTTGTCTCAATCCTCGTATTGGTCATTTGGATCTCAAGATGTGGGCTGAAACTCGTGTTCCCTGGCCTGTGTTGTTCTATATTTCCGTATCTTGTGCTTTGAAACAATATGAATCAAAGGGTTATGTTAGTGCTCCTACTGCATTTATGGTCCTTGCCCACTTTTTGTATGTTAATGCTTGTCAAAAGGGTGAAGAATGTATTCCCACATCTTGGGATATCTTTTACGAAAAGGATGGTATGTTGGATGATTTTGTGTGTGTTTGAAAAAGGTGGATGATGTTCAAAATACTGATCATAATATTTGTCATATAGGATTCATGCTTATTTTTTGGAATATGGCTGGTGTCCCCTTCACTTATTGTATGTCATCTATTTATTTGATCAAGTCTGAACAAGCAACTGGTATCAGTATCACTCATTCTCTTCCATACACCATCTTCTTGTACATCTTGTTGTTGGTTGGTTACTACGTTTTCGATACTGGTAATTCTCAAAAGAATCGATTCCGTATGGAACAAAACGGTTCTTTCATGACTCGCAAAGCTTTCCCTCAATTACCTTGGGGTCATCTCAAGAACCCTTCCTTTATTCGTACCGAACATGGTAATCTCTTGTTGACTGATGGTTGGTGGGGTATCGCTCGTAAGCCTCATTACACTGCTGATTTGATGATGTCCATCTCCTGGGGTTTGATCACTGGTTTTGGTTCCTTCTTGCCTTACTTCTACTTTTGTTTCTTCGTCTTTGTCTTGACTCATCGTGTATCTCGTGATATGGAACGTTGTGCCAAGAAATATGGAAAAGATTGGGATAGATACTGTGAACGTGTGCCTTATATCTTTATTCCTTACGTATTCTAGTTATTATTATTATTATTATTATTATTATTATTATTATTATTATTATTATTATTATTATTATTATTTTACTCTTTAGTCTTCTTTGTATATCTTTTTTATTTATTTAGTATCCTATCCTTTTTTTTTTTTTTTTTTTGTATCGATGAAAACAATAAAAACCAATAATAATCATCTTTTTATTTGATATGAGAAATTTATACGATATGTATGGGTGTATGTAATGAATGAATGAGTGTGTGATAATCTAAAATGTACTTGTGGATATAAAAAAAAAAAAATAGAAGTATATGATCATCTAATTCTAATAGGGAGTACGGATGGCTGTATCATAGGATGGCACTCGTTGCAAAGGTTGACAAGGTTGATATGAAAAGTAATCACCAGATGAAGGAACACAAGCGATATCATGAGTAGCAATAGGTTGATCCAAAGGAGTCGTTAAATGTTGTTGATGCCAATCGCCAGTATCATCTATAATATCATCATCATCATTGTTACCATCATAAGGAAACGAGGAATGATTGTTGTTGCAATGTACAAGAGCTGGTAGTGAGGGTACTGGAGATGGAGGTGAATACCATTGTTGTTGATAAGGTTCATAAGGAGCCAATAAACATGCATCTTCGTATCGTGGTAGATCATCAGAAGAAAAACGATATGGTGCCGTCATAGTGGTGGTGTTATTTGCCATCGTGGAACGTATCCTTGAATCAGAGACATCGTCGGTCGTAGCCGATAGCCGAATAGGCATGGTCACACGTAATTCTGAGAGTTGACCATGGGGCTGGATAAAACAAATAGTAAATCGTAACTTGTGTTCGATTTTCAGCAAAGGATGATCCAAATCAAATTGCACAGCTTGAGTCGAGCGAGGGATCACCAAGGTTTCCATTTTTTTCCATTCTTGACCACGACAAGGGAAATGATCATCTCTAGTCAAAGATATAATTCGGCTCTGTTGACGCGTACATGATGATGATGGATGAATACTTGATATGTGTTCAATAGAATGAATCAGGGTAACGTATTCTTTGAGGAAACAGCTGACATGACGAATACGAAGACCTTGATCCAAAGGAACAAATTTGAAATGAATACGGATAGGTTGACCCCGTTGATAAATCGACTTTTCCAATTGAATCCGATAATTGACTTTTTCACCATAGGTGTTGTTGATAACCATATTGTATCTTGGAAATAATGTGCGGCACGGTTCCTGTTGTCTAATCACTTGAATAGGTCTATATAACACCAAGTTTTTCGCTGCCAAAGGTCGAGTCACCGTTGCTTTGAAATCATACGATAAAGAACCATAGTTACCGCCAGTTGAGGTTGTAATGGATTCCGGCATATTACCAGGCAAGACCAAATCAAACGGATATCGGTAAGTTTTATGAGCTTCCATTGTATAAGGCCATTTTCTTGCTGATAAAAAAGTCCAATCATGTTGTATCAATGTCTTTTTGATTTTGCACTGTCGTCGATGATGAGTAATATTTGATGATCCTATCAAATTAAAAAAAAAAGTTATTGACTGATATCTTTTTTTTTTATAGATATTTTTACCTTCTTCCCATTGTAATTTCAATATACCAAAGAAGCGTAGAGTGATAGAATTGACTCTTGTTGGCTCGTTGAAATATATTTCAAGACAACCACGTATCTCCGTTCCAGCTGATGCTTCAGGTGTTCCATATAAATAGAGAGAATCATTTTCCAAGTGAATGGTAAGCATTGTTTACTTTATTAAAAGAAACGAATGTAGAAATGAAAGTAATGAGAATATGTATATATATAAAAGAAAAAAAAGAAAAGAAAAAAAAGAAAACAAGAAGAAAGAGGGAAGAGAAATGGCGATATTTTATGTTTTTGAAAAGTGACAGTGAGCTCCCTGAAAAGGAACTAAAAAAAAAAAAAAAAAAAAGAAAAATGGGTTCAAACTCAATGCATAGTGGCACAAAAAAGGATTGGTGCTTCTTTTTCTTTTTGCTTGATTTGGATACATTTTCTTTTTTAATTGTAGAGGCTTATCTATAGACTATATGTTCTTTTTTTTTTTTTCTGTAAAGACTATTTTTTAGAAAATAATCACCAGATTATCTTAATATAAAGACTTAAAAATCTATTACTTGCTTTTCTTTTATTTTAAATTCTGATTTATCTTGATTTTTATGCGAGAAGATGATCACATTTTACAGAAAAATCATGTAATACAAATATTCAGAAGGACAATCAAGATTAATGTATATTAAATCTGTAATTCTATGTAATAATGTAGAAAATATTCATTGAATAAGGAGACTTATTTTTGTTTAAGAAAATACATATACATACATATATATATATATATAAATTTCAAGCATTGTCCATTACTCTACGAAATATTCCATTTACAGTATAAGGATTTAATCTTTCAATCATGTTACACGCATCTACTTTATATGCTTTCATATGAAATGATATGTAATGAATTGAATATTGAATCATGAAGATTTTCCATTATTTTACTATAACAGGTTGATAATATTCTAACTTGATTTATTTCAATATATTTAAAATACATATAACTACAATACAATACTAAAACTAAAATAAAATAAATAATAAATAATCATATTCACATCATTTCCAATGGCCTTGTTCTTCTTCTTCTTGGTTATTACTTGGTTCCACTTTGATTTCTTCCTTTTCATCAATAGTTTCCGCCTGTCGTAAGGCAAGCTCCTTGTTTGCTTTCCATACTAGGCATGATTTACTTGTAAATACAATATCCAATTCTTCCAAAGTCCTATTTGCTGTTTCTGGATAAAACACATAAACAAAAGGAATGGATAACACATTGAATGCTGCAAACACCAAGAAAGTAACCCATCCAATATTTTGTATCATAGGTGGCGTGATTTCCATTACTAGAGCGTTACCGACTGACCACCCAACTACAGACCATGCTCCTCCCTTGGCTCTAACCTTGGTAGGGAAAATTTCAGTCTATGTAAATATAAAGAAGAACGATTAATCCAATTTATCAATAAATTGTTGTTTTTTTTTTGTTTTTGTTTTTTTTTTTTTTTAAAAAAAAAAAAAGACTTTTATCACTTACAGGATATAGCCAAGGGACTAAATTGTAAATATAAGAAAGGAGTAAGTAAAAATGATAAATTCTTTTTTTTTTTTTTTTTTTTTGCTTGATCAATTACCAGTAAGCCAAGTCATTCCGAAAAATGCAGTATAAATAAAAGTAAACACAGTGGCACCAATACCATAACCCATTGGATTTTGTTCCATGATTTCAGGTTTTACCAAAATTCCAATCAAAAGAAGAGATAAACATTGACCAACGGCTCCATAGTATAAAGTGAATCTTCTACCCCATTTATCCAACGTAAAGACAGCCACCAACGTTGATAGCATGTAAGAGACATTGTTTAAACCTGACAGAAGTTGAGATGTTGATTCTGAAAAGCCAGCAACCTGAAAAACCTTGGGTGCATATACAGTGATCTATCATATTAGAAATGGAATTAATAAATAGATCTACCATATATCCTTTTTTTTTTTTTTTTTATCATTACCATTCCAATGCCAACCAATTCTTGAACAATTTGTAACCAAATAGATAGATGAACACGTCTTGGTATATTTAATTTGTCATAATTGATCAACATGCTAATGTAACCAAGTTCATCACCACCTTCTTCACGTTCCATTGCAATATTTTCGATAATATCGTTGTATTCCTTTTGTGCGGCTGGATGATTTGGATCACCATCTCCACGAAGAGCTGCAATAATTTCCAATGCTTCTTTTTGCCGACCTTGTTTCAATAACCATCGAGGAGATTCTGGGAAAAAGTTAATACCAACAGCTAGAATCACCAAGGGAATCAATTGAAAACCAATAGGGAAACGCCATCGTATACCACCTTCATAAGATCTTAAACCATAACCAATCCAATACTAAAAAAAAAAAAAAAAAAAAAAGAGACAACAATAAGTATATTGATTCATTTGAAATTTAAAGGAAAAGTTATAAACTTACAGCAATTACTACACCGAAGATATTAAGTGTAAATTCCATACTTATCATTTGACCCCGAGATGTATGATGTGAAGTTTCAGCACTCCAAACAGGTACAACAGCATTTCTACATAATAACATGAATAAGAGTTCATTCAACTTTTTTTTTATTTATTTTCGGTAACTTACAAATGACCAGTTCCAACACCAGTAAGAATTCTAGTAAATATCATCCAATATAAATTTTGAGCAGATGTTTGTAAAGCAGCACCAAGGATAGCAAAACAACAACCAACTACTACTGTTCGAACACGTCCAATTTTATCACCAATCCAACCACCCATAAGAGCGCCTATGAGTGTACCAACTAGAAGCATAAAGATAATAATAAAAAAAAAAAAGAAATGTTAGAAAAAGGAGAGATTCTATCTATATTCTTTTTTTTTTACCATAGTATAATGAAACTACACCACCTAATAGAGCAGCATTATAACGAAGACCCATAATATCCAAATAGTCATCCGAGAGATTTACAGATCCCATAACTCCTTGATCATACTATATACGAAGGTAAAAAGAATTAGTTGGAAAGAAATGACAATTATTTTTTTCACTTACACCAAAAAAGAATATACTAAGTCCAGCAGCAAGGTTAATGGCAAGCACCAGGTCTTTTCCCTTGAAATGCCTATGTATCCGATACATTAGTGAAGAATGTAAAGAAAACTAGAGATAGAGAGAGAGAAAAAAAGAATGAGGGGAAGTTGATGCCCCTCTTTTTATACTCAAGTGTAAGGTTCAATCACCGCTTTCAAATAGGAACCTGTGTCACCCGCTAACACGGTTTCTCCAGCAAAAACATGCCTTTATTCTATTACTTGACAATACTTTGTCAAAAGAAAAAAAAAAGAATGAATCAGTTATAATGGAATAGATTAACCAAAAAGAGATCAATCAATCTATAATATCATCAATAGTTGAATAAAAAAGGAAATTAAAAATTTCATGGGAAATAAGGAACAACAAGACGTTTCCCCACAGTACAAAAAAGAAAAAAAAATATCCGATGGCCATGGTTTGTACAACCTTTTGAATGACCATCATCGAATAGAAATGTCATCCGAGTTGACAGTTTCATTCCCAGCAACCTATAGGAATTTTTCTTTGGAACTGTTCTAAACCTGATTTGTCCATCAATGAGAGCAAAAAAATCAAGATTGCATTTACCCATGATTTTTGCCATCAAATAGGACATTTGTTTAGCGTTGCTAAATGACGTCTTTGTAACAGAAAAAAAAAAATGTCAAACGGAAATTCGCGGATAATTGATCAGTCAATACTATTGAGTGAAACCATTTCTGGATAAGTACACCTAAATTTGGCATTTATCGAGCACCTGATGTTTTCCTTTATTCATCCATCATTCCAATGGCTTCTTCCTTCTAGCCGATGTAAGAGAAAATACACTTTAGTTACCCTCCTTTTTTTTCCCACCAATGATTCTTTTTATTGATAACAAGATAAACTCATTCTTGTTCAAACATATATCTTTTATTAAATACCAAATATGATCAATGAAGGACAAAAAGAAAAATAAATAAATAAATCTAATCTACTATATAATATTGCTCCACAGGAAAGGCACACCATCGATTTTGTTCCAATGATGTGTATACAGATCAAATGCGCCAGCCTACGTTCAATGATGTATTACAGTTGCTTCCATTTCACATATATGTTCCCATAGTACTGATCATTAATGAATGTTGTTATTGATTAGCCGTTGAATCATTGTCATCCATCATTATCTAATCAAATCCTACAAAGATTATAAAGAATAGAAGAGAGGTAAATATGATAATAAAAAGTGTAGAGTTGACAATTTACACCATACGTAAGAATTATGTGTTTATAACATGTATGGCGGTATGATCAACCTCTTTTCTTCTCTGTTTTTTCTACTGTTTTCTTACCTTTTTTAATTTTTCTTTCGTTCTTAAGAGGTGATCTTCTTACCATGATGAATCTTGATACCAGAGAATGAAATACACATAATCTTCCAGTTCAACTTTTTTTTTCTTCGTAGAGGGGTTTCACAAAAAAAAAAGAGAGAGAGAGAACGCGTGCTGGCCAACTGGTTGTAACCATCAGAGTTTGTATATGATAATGATTGATTCATCTTTTGGTCAATCCAGCGAATAAAAAATTTCATAATCTCCTTCCAACGATAGATTAAAAATTGACCATAAGAAATAATGATGGTTCTAATAATAAAAAAAAAAAAAGGTAAGCACAGATCGAAATAAATGATCAATGATGATCAGTGATTGACATTATTTTGATCCATGAGAATCTTACTAATACCTGTTTTTCAAGTAGAATATGTCGAAATATGCTTGAGCAGAAAAAAAAAAACATAAAATAAAAACGATATGAGAGCTTTGAAAATAGAAAAGAGAGTATTAGCGACATTGGTACCCGTCATTCTTGATATCGCATATCTTTGGTCCATAATATATTGTGTTGAGCAATTCCCTTGAGACGATTGAGAATTCAATCTAGCATATAGATAGTTGCCTGTCATCTAGTAAATGCAAACGTTTTTGTATTTGTTTTATCAGAAAAGACGAACGAAGAAATCTCTATCAAGCGAAAAAAAATGCTCTTTTTGAAGTCCGGTTCAAGCAATTTTTTTTTTTTTTTGTTTGTTTGGTTCCAATTTCTTTTTTCTTTCTCTCCCGCTGTTAGTTATAAAATTCCATTATTTGATCGATTCCCTTTCTTTCTCCCTATTTGATCTATTCAAAATGTCCAACAATAAACAAAGTCATCCTTCTTGGGATCCTAGTCATTCAGAATATACAAACACTAACGAACGACAGTTTCCAAGTATATATTATGAACTACAACAACAAACTCAAAAACTTCAAGCACGTGGTGCACTTGCAGCTGCTTCACTCAATTCAATGCTCAATCCAACATATAGACCACAACCAGTATCATACGATGAATTATATCAAGATCCTGTACCAACCACTTCTCAGGCAACTGACTCTACTCAATCACAAAAGTAAACAAGTCCATCAAAGAAGACACAGTGTATCTTATTTTTTTTTTTTTCTGTAGGAATGGTGGTGTCTGTTGCAACAAATGGTATAAAACACAAATAGCCCTGGATCAACATCGATCTATCCATATCAAATGTAAGATCTGCTCTACGTTTGAAGGAAATCCAGCATTTGTACAAGTACACCAAGAAGAGGTACATGGAGTGGCAAGCAACAAAAAGTAAGAGAGAGAGAGAGAGAGAGAGAGAGAGAGAGAGAGAGAGAATAGATGTGAGAAGGTAATATATACTTATTTATTTTCTTTGGATTGTTGTAGGAAAAAGGATATGCCTGACGGTATTGTTCCCGCCAATGCACCAAAATTAGATACACCCGAAGCCATTGCAGCATGGATTGAAGAACGAAAGAAGAACTGGCCAAGCAAAGCAAATGTGGAACGAAAAGTAAAAAAGCAAAAAAAAAAAAAAAAAAAAAATGGGTACTACAGGTTGAGAATTCATCTTTCTTTTTTTTTTTTTTTTTTTTTTTGTTATTATTATTATTAGCAACAACAAGAACAAGAACGTGAAGCTCGTGGAGAATTACCAAGAGATAATAAATACAACAAGAACAAACGCAAAGCAACAAGTGATCAACAGGAAAGCGTTGGGAATAAGAAACACCAAGCGACAATCACACCTTCATCATCATTACCTTCCTTGGTTAATTATGATTCAGACTCGGATGAGGAATTTCATAGCGCTGAAGAGGATTTCCCAGATATCAGTAAGAGCAACAATGATGATGATGATCATAATGAGGAGAATGAAGATGATACGATGGACTTACAACAAGATGCGGTATCATCGAAGGATCCAACCTCAATGGGAAAATTGACCTTACCACCTGCAACAACAACTCGACCACGAAAACTATGCAAATACTTTGTCCGAGGGAATTGCACACGAGGTGATCAATGTCACTTTTTACATGAAAAACCAAAGTCTGTAAGTCAAAATCATTCCACTAGAGATATATGATCTGATTCATCTTTCCTTTTTTTTTTTTTTTAATCTTGGATAGCGATCTCAAAAACCGAAAAAGACATCCACAGTACCTGAATTGAATAAAAGACCTCATTTGCTAAAAATGGTAACAACAAGATGAACAAGAAAAAAAAAACATCGACTGATTTTTTTTTTTTTTTTGGTTAGCTCTTATCCAAAGAAATACGACAGGAACAAAATGTGATTCTTCAATGCTTAAGATATATACATCAACAAGATTTTTTTGGACTTGGTGAACATACTGAAAAAAAAATTCAAGGTGACAACAAGGGATGAACAAATATCAATGCCATAGATAGTTTACAGGAACACTCCATATACACAAACATATATATATATAGTCATAATCATTGTATTACAAACATACGCACATAATTTATTTGAATAAAGAAATCCAAAATGTCTAGGTTGCATAAAATAAACTAAACATCAGCTATAATGATACCCAAAGATGAGAGTCAACAAGGTAGCCAAGAGTCCAATACCTATAGCAAAAAAAAAAAAAAAAGGTGATTTCAATTGTACATCATTTTATTATGATCTACTTACCAATCCCGATGCAAAGATGTAGAGTACCATTGTTAGATGAATGAATGTATTGGAACCGATCCAGGTGTCTAAATGAATTTTCCAGTATCCAGGAGAAAGATGCGGTCTTCCCAGCGTGACGAGTAAGAATGTGTTGATGTAACTTATTAAAAGCGTCCATATGAGACGTCAATTCATCTTGCACAGTCCTGATCGAGTGTTCCATATCTTCAAAATCCCCATGCTGTTCCTTTTGGTATTGAACCGATTGTAAAAGTGTTTCCAATTGTCCATCCAAGTGATCGCATTTTGTTTGATACTGTATAATATCGGTTTTATGTTTGTCGATTTGTTCCATCAATTCCATACATTGAGTCATCGCTGCTTTATTTCGTATTTCTAGTTGTTCGATCAAGTTGTTTTGCCTATAAAATCAATTCAATGATTATTTTATTATTATTATTATTATTCCTTCTTTTTTTTTTTTTTTTTTTTTTTTTACTTGATGATCCGTCGAGATAGTGATGGTGATGAAGCTTTTGAGGAAAGTTGTTGATTCAGTTTGAAAAGGTTGATAAACATTTTTTTCTCCGAAAAACATCGTGCCTTGAGTTCAAGAGTTGTACGCTTGGATCGCAAAACCACAAACTTGTTGTTCTTGTCGTCGTCATTCGTCTGTGGCTGGAGTTTACAAGAAGCATGAATCCAACATACGTCACTGGTACGATGATCTTTCAAAACATCGGTCAAAGTCACTGCATCATTCAAGTTGTTGTCGATAGAGGTGGAAGAGAGTGATCGCTTATATGCATGTCTTGCATTGTTGGTGTACATAGGTTTAGATTCCATTTTATGTTGTCGAAATGAAGAGGGGCGTTCAAGATATGAAGAATAGGTAGATGATGAATGATCAACAGCAGAAGAATCATCATCGCTAGAAGAGGAAGATGAATCGTTGAAGGCAAGAGTGTGCTTCCAAGATTGAAATACTGTTTGAAGTCGTCGACTATTTTGTTGTTGTTGTTGTTGTTGTTGTTGTTGTTGCTGGTTTTGAAAAGAGGCAAATGATGGTTGACGAGGACGAGGAGCATGACAAAAATATAAAAAGGCCAGTCTTGTTCTAATCGGTAGGATGGCAATCGAGTGTGGCAAGATACGAACAAGGACATAACAATGCATTGCAGGCCAATGGAAACAAAAAGTATCCAATGTATCTTTATCAAAGGACATTTTGCTTAAACTTGATACTTCATCAGTAAGGTGATAGACAGACTTGTTGTATTTGGTGTTGTTGGGTATCTTTTTTGATGACAGGGAGTTTTTGGAATAATGATGATCTAAACGATGGTAACGATTGGCTGTTGATCGAAATGACTTGGCACGATCCTTTGTCCTTGGTTTATCAGTTGTTGTCGTTCGTTTTAAATATGTTGACCTGAATGGTGATGGAGAAATAATGTCTAGATGGGCAATGCTATCACGTTTATCCTTTTTTTTCCTTGAATACAATGAATTCGAGCTAACAAGAGTGGGTGCTCTTCTGTTGTTGCTACTGAGACTTTTGTTAATTTTTTCCGGGTAATATGTTCGATAAGGTTCAAACATTAGCTGATGTCTGTACAAGATTAAAAAAAAAAAAAAAAAGGATGGAGAGAAAAGACAAAGAAGAGGAAAAAAAAAAAAAAAAAAAAAAAACTTGACAGGTAAACTGAAATAGATAACAATTTTGACAACCCGCCTTTTCAGTGTGAGAAACTTTTTATATAACACAAGGAAAATAATTAGGCATGAATCGATAGATTATTTTTATTTTATTTTGAGATCATAATACAAATATACAAAGATGAGATAATATATAAATAAAGAGAGAGAGATATATAAAAACTATTACTACAATTAATAAAAATTGTCATAAGACAAATAAAAAAAAAAAAAAAAAAGGAAAGAGACATATACAATATAGAAGACAAAATACAGAGAAAAAAAAAAAAAAAAAAAAGGAATGGAATCATTTGGAAATAGTAACATCGAGAACAGACCAATAAGTATCACCATTTGACTTGACATGACAAACCACAGATTTTCCAGAATGATAAACAACATTATCTTTTCGCACCATTAACAAAGGTAAATTCAATAAACGATCACCTTCTTTGGATTGAGGATCATTGATTAATAAATCATGATGAGCGACCAAAAAATCTTGAGTATGAGGAAGATCCAAATTCAGTTGAATATTTCCATTAGTGACAATATGTTGTTGTTGTTGTTGATGATGATGTTGTCTACAAGGAAGAGGACCATGCGCACCACCAAGCCAGAATTCTAGTAAATGAGGATATACCGATGTAGGAAGATGCTGTACAAGATGTTGCCCAACTAGATGTAAACTATGGTTTTGTTCTTCATAAGTTACTGTAGATACCATAGGAAAAGGTACGATTGTGCGAGGTGGAGATGGTGGTGGTGATGGTTGAAGTAATCGAGGCATAGTTTCTTGTTGATGATGGCGACGTTGGTGTGAAGAAGATGTGTCTAAAGAATGACTGGAAGAGGAATTGGGTGGTGAACCAGGTAAAACGGGAAAAGATGCAGGTGAAGAAGAATTAGTGAGTATCATTGATGAAGCTGGAGGTGCTGGAGGTTCTTCAATTGTATACTCGAACTTTGCAATACCGACAATCGTCCAACAAAGATAATCATCGACTTTTTCCATCATAGAACCATTGGTAGATTTTGGATCCAAAACACGATTTGAAGGATTATAATCGAGCCAAGTACTTGAATGAGTATGATTAGTACCATTACCATTGTTGTTTTTGTTGCTTTCATCGCCATCAGTTGAACTGTTGCTGGTATCTTGCATTGCATTCCCATTTGCACTGAGATAGATTGAATCATCAGCATTCACCGAAGAAGATAATTGAAGAGCTATTTTTTGCATTTGACTAACAGGACCAAAAGCGGCATGAGAAATGGCACCCTTGTCAACCTTACGAATAATGACTGGAGGAGAGCAAACACCAGTTTGGGAATCCTTGAGAATAATTTCCGTTCCATAAGTCAAAGGGACACCAGCAGTTGTAACAGATGGTTGATGATGATGATGATAATGATGATGATTGTGTGATAATGTATGTTGAGGAGGAGGAGTGGGTTGTCGAACCAAAATAATATCAAATGCTGACCATGAAGCGTTTTTTGCACAAAGTTCTTGTTTGTTGTTGGTTTCGGATAATGATGATGTAAGGTATTTTGTTCGTACAGTTTGTGAGTTGATACGGTTGAATAAACAAATTTGAGATGTGGTGAAAATACAGCTGGAAACATTGCGTGCTTTTGCGGTTTTCTTTGATGGCTTGGATATGATAGAGATGGGTGAGGAGAAAAAAGTAGCAAAAGGAGGATTGGTAGGACCAGGGGTAAGATTTGAAGAAGATGGATTCATATACCCGGATTGATGAGACATATTCACCCGTAGACAAAATTGCTTGGCCTTGGAAGAACCCGTGACATGAAGATATTTGAAGCTACCACGCATTTGATGATCAAGAGAAGTACGTTGTTCCACTGGTCGTTCATTTCCTTCAGCAAGTACAGACATAGAGATCAAAGGAGGAGGAAGAGAAGTGGTTTGTTGAAGTGAAATCATAGGAGGAGGACATAAAAAACGTTTTTCAGATCCATAAGATTTTTGAGCGACAGCAGCATGAAGACAAGTAATAGTTGTTGTTCGTTTTTTTGATTGTTGAGGTGGTGATAAAGGTGTTTCATCGTTATATCGCCTGTGTTTATGAAGTCGATCGTCATAAGTAGCTGAAAGCCAAGTTCTTTTGATTGGTGATGGAGATCGATCATGATCATAAGTTCCATTTGAATCTAACATAGATTCTATTGACATGTTGCGTTTAGGAACTGGTTTTGGTAAATGAATAGGATGAGATTTGTCAATTGCGTCTGAAAAAGTATCCATGCGTGATAATCCGATGAATTGTAACGTTTTACTAGAACCAAACACTTGTTGTGAAATAATATGGGATTCTTGATCCATATAAAAAAAAAAAAAATAAAAATAAAAAATTGAAAAAGGAAACCAAATAGAAGAAGAAGAAAAAAAAAAAGTAAAAAGTAAAAAGAAAAAGAAAAAGGAAAAAAAGAAAGGAGAAAAAAAAAGTGAAGGTTTTATGAAAGCTCAACTGAGTTCGAAATGCGTTTTTTTTTTTTTTATACTTTAACACAAAATAACCCACATTCACTGATAAGATGGAATCAGGGTTTGATCTTATCACATGGAAGTGATTTTTCTAAAGCAGCACCATTTTCCCACCAGTGCTTTCCCAGGCCCTATAATCAATCCACTCACAACAAAGGTAGAATGTTACCTACTTTAAATTTTTCTATCTCCCTTTTGTTCTGATCCTTAATGTCAACTAAAAAGGAAATATCGTAGTTTGAACGATGAAGTAATAAAGGGAAAAAGATAAGATCTTTTCTTTGAATGAATAAATAGTTAATGTATAAATAATATCATACTTATATGTAATTCCATTCTTAGTACAAAATAATAATAATCATCATCATGATGTGGGGAGTAAAAAAAAAAAAGGTAATTAAGGAGAACTGATAAGATCGACGAATAAGAATCTTGAAAAAGATTACCTACTCCCATTTTAGGCACCTTGATAAGAAAACTTGATATGATTTGACACATGACTTTGCCTCTCCGCTCTTTACTTGTTAAAAGCATCGGAAACCTGTGGAGAGATAAGAAAAAAAAAACAATGTCAGCCCACCCCTTCTATCCTTTTGAAAAAAAAGAAATCTGCATACCTAATATGGGTGCGTGGGAAATCATCTTTTGCTATTTCGAACTCAGTATTGTTTAATTATACCTATAGAGTTATATATATATTCGGGTCAATCTATTCCCCTTCACTTCATCCATTACCAATTGTTATTAGATATCATCATCATACAACCAAAAAAGAAAAGAGTCATTTAACCATAAAGTCAATGTCACGTAGTACATAGTTTTTATTGGTAAAAAAAAAAAAAAAAGACTATTCTAATGTCAAGTGCTTCAAAGAATGATGGATTTCATTACAAAAATCAAAAGAATAATCTTCTTCGTTGATTGGTAAAAATAATGGTGGATCTACCTTTCTAACTATACTTTCTTTCAAAATATTATCATATTGAATATATTTTTCCATTTCTTGAACCAGATATTTGTTTTTTTCATGCCAGTTAGCGAGAATCAATGCCTTTTGTGTATGAAAGGTAGTCGGTATCTAAATAAATAAATAAAAAAAAATAGATGTTGTTAGTTTGTTTTTTGTTTTTTTTTTTTTTTTTTTGATTGATACACCTTTTTTGTTACCTTGTTAATCCAAGAAAGATATGATGAGTGAATCTGATGTTCTTCCCGCAGTGTCACCAAATAATCTTGAATTCCCTTTTGTTGCTCTGCAATGACATCTTCTGAATAATAATATGCTGATGATGGTGATGATGATGGTGACGATGATGGTGATGATGATGGTGATGACGATGGTGATGATGAAGAAGATGACAATGACGATGATGATGTAATTGATGATGATGATGACGTTGTTGTTGAAGATGATATTCGTGAATTCATTGCCTTCATGGTATTTGATACTAGTGACGTTTGAGGTGGTTCCCATGTCGTCAATGTATAAGACCCAAGTTGACCGTAATCTTGCATAAGGTGTATTTCCCACCCATACAAATCGCTGCTAACAGGTGGTTTCAGAAAAGGAATACGTGTAGCCATGGCCGCTGCAAATTGTATCCGCTTGATCCAAATATCGGTCATATCTTGATCTTCACATTCAAATTCATACCAAACACCGTTACCCAGTATAACATGAAATGAGATCAATTGTGATTGTTCGGTATTGTGATGGTGATCGCTGTAAATAGATGCTCCACGTGCGGCAGTGCTATGACCAAGATCCAATTCCCACGACGTGTTCGTTTGTCTTATCTATAATATGATAGAAGGGGATTAAAAAAATAAACTAGTAAGTATGTATTTTTCAAACTTCTTATTGTTGTTTCCCTGCTCTCCCATTTATTCCGATTTTACCCCGCTCTCCTTTTTTTTTTTCGTGGGTATTTTACTTACTAAACGTGAAGTTGAATTTGGTTGTTTTTCCAAATATAAAAGGCCATGATGATGTAATCTTACCCAAACTTCGTGCCAATCATAATATGAGGAAGAGATGGTGGAAGCTGTAGCCGATTTCATGGTCCGTCGTCGAGTATCGTCATTTGTCCTATACCGCATCCGTCCTTCCAGTTCAGGTACATGTTGCACATGTGAATCCGTTTCTTGATGTTCAATAAGAGTTGTGCCATCTTTCTTCATATTTATTGTTCCACCAAAATAGTCAATCTGATACAAATAATATTTTTTTTAGGGGGGAATGTTAATAAATAGTATTTAATGTAACATGTTCTTTTTTTTTTTTTATTTGTTACCATAGACTTCTGGCGTTGTGATTGTTTCAAAGATCCCATACGTTGTAATAAACTAGTGGCCATTCCTGATCCTTTTTGGTGTTCATTTGTCGAGGTTTCGTCCTTAATGGATTGTAATATACCTTGTAACTTGACAGAGTTATAAATTTCTTTGAGATATGTTTCCATGATTTGTTGCCAATGTATCAAGTCATCTTCGTCAGGTTGTTGTCTGCTATCCGATCGTATATTATTGATGATAGTTGCCATTGTATTTTCACAAAACTTGGTTCGTGACATTCGTTGGTGACCAGAACTGTGAACAATATGTAGATCAGTATTCAATAGTAATACTGAATATACTATGGCATAAACAATATCTATTTTGAGCATAAAAAAGTAAAAGAATGAATACAAGTTTTTCAATTGGATAAATTTCTTTTAACTTACCCGCATTGTATAATACCTTGGCTTGTTGATTACAATACCAATATCGATGAGCGAAAGCTTCTAAAATACGATCAATCTCTTGAGCTTCTGCCTTGAAGTAAAGTCTGGAGCAAAATAATCTAAATGTCAAGGAAAATATTAAATAATGAGTATATGTTTCATATATTTATTTTGTTACTATTAGGTTTTACCTGAATGCATGTTCTAATCGTTGTGAAGTAAAGTCAAACTTTTCAAGATAGAGCTGTAATACAGTATTATGGAAGAGGGTACTTTGGAAAAAAAAAAAAAAAAAAAAAAGTAAAGAAAAGAGGAGTTAAAAATAAAAAAAAAAAGGAAATGTCTCTTTGAGTTTACCTCTTTCCTAAAAAGGCAGCCATATATTTAAGAGGCACAACACTTTCATCTTTCATCCAAAGCTTGTCTGCTGTTTGCTGACATTGTTCTTGCATAGATGGTTTCTTCAAAACATTTTCAATGTCACCAAAAATAGAAGATCGAGGCCATAATTCTTTGCTTTCAATATCGAAAAAATCCAAAGAATCAAGTTGATCATCTTTTTTATTCAATTGTTCTTCTTCTTTTTGATGTTGTTGTTGTTCGCTGATGGGAGGAGGAATAGACTTTGTCAGTGTTAAAGTTGATTGACGTTTCCAATGTAATAAAGCTGATTCAACATCATCATCTACTTTGCCTGCAATAATAGTATTTCCATTCTGGTTATCATGATCATGTGTATGGTCGATATGAGAGTCAGTCTGGTGAAACACAATGGAATCTTCATATGCGGTATTAAAGGAACAATTGTCATCATCATCATCATCAGCAATCGATGGTAGAGGAGGTAAAGGTCGAGTCAAAGGTGGTTGGATACGTGTCACCGGATTAGTCAAACTAGAACTACGTGTAGGAAGGACGGTCAATCGTCGATTTATGGATAATGGTATCTATTACACAAAAAAAGAAATAAAAAGGTGTGATTATACAGATTTTTCATTTATCATGTTAAGCTGAGACTGAAATTTACCAGAGAGATGTTGTCGATCTGAGTCCGTGGTGGATGATCTACATTATGAGATGTCTAACAAAAAAAAAAAAAAGAATAAAAAGGATAAATATACACAAAGCAAAATAACTATTAGAATGGATTACCATTATTAAAGAGTCATTTCTTGATCGAGAAGAATTATTTGATGATGATGATGATGATGATGGTGATGGTGATGATGAATTATATGTTATGTATGAAGGCATATTAGGTACTGGCTGATTGCAACTAACATCATTTCTTTTGAGTCTTCGTTTTTGTATTAAAGAATCATGTCGTTTTGGTGGCATAGGATTTAACATAATGAATGAATTTCTTCTTTTTTTTTAAAAAAAAAAAAAAAAAAGTGAAAGAAAAAGAGAAAGAAATGAAAAGGAGGTGTAACATTGAGACTTTTTAATTTCGGACGAACTTCATTTCACGTGTTTCTAAAAAGGAAATCAAAGTTGTTTTTTTTCGGATACTCCAAAATAGAAACTTTATATAGATGATATGAACAGTAATTGTATAGTTAGAATACTACAAATTAATATGATTATTATTTTCATTTTTCAATATTATTATTATCATCATCATTATCATCATTATACTTATTGCCAACTTGTTTCAATGAAATGCTAAACTGAGATAATAGTGTAACCTAAGCTAACGTTACCAAGGAAGTATAGCTTTAATGAAAAGAGATTTGTAACCAGTTTCAACGTCGGAGGATCCTATAATGGTAACATTCTTCTTTCTAATGTAAACTAATGTAAAATAGTTTCTCTAACCTTCTTTTACTCTCTCATCCAACATTTTGCTCCTTACAGATACCTTCAATAATATCATATTTCATTTATCATATTCAAACCCCATGCCGCCACGGCAACAGATCTATTATGAAATAACCATGTAGAATGCCAAGAATCATAAATATATAATTAATAATACTAGCAATTCCTATGATTAATATTGATGTCGATTTTCTATAGTGACAAATGATTATTATAATCACGTTAGTTATCATCATGATCCAACATGTTTCATTCAATAATTTCCATTAGTATCAGTGTTACTATCATCGTCATCTACCCAGTCAATTATCTCGTCGTCAAAGGTGTATAACGGTTCTTTTATCCATGATACCATCATTAATAATAATAATAATAAAAAAAAAAAAAAAGGAGTGAGCTTGTATGTCATTCCCCGCCTCCCTCCTACTATGTCTGCAGAAACAGAAAGTGCATGACAGTCTAAACTTCATTCAAGACATAACTATTGTAAAGATACGATCCTTTTTTTATTATTCTTAATAATAAAAAAAAATAAAACACTACAATTATAAAAGTAACTATAACTACAATGTTAAACTAGTAACTTCATCGATATCAAAATCTAATCTAAGTGAGAGTACCTTTTTGACTTCAGCCACTGTCAATCTCCAACTAACAGGTCCAGATTTGGTACCCCAACAATGATAAATCTCAGATGGCTAAAAATATAAATAAAAAAAAAAGACGGGTGAATACAAGACAAGATTTAATTTACCTTTTTTTTTTTTTTTTTTTTTTTTTTTACCTCTTCAAAGTTCAATAGGGTTGCGATTTGATTAAGTCTTGTAAATTTATCACGAGAGAACCAATCAGTCATGCTAGATAGGTATTGGATTACCGAGCGTAAATCTTTATCGAATCGTAAAGAGCCATATTGATTGAATCGAGTTTGCAGAACAATTCTTTCCCATTGTAATGTCAATGCGTCCAAAACCATACTCATCAATGTGGCGAAATTGGAATCGGTCAAGGCTTTGCGATAAGAATTGATCATATTGTCGAATCCATGCCGAAATCGTTTCATAAATACTTCATCTAAATCTGCTTCATTGTATTCATCCTCTTCCAACACATATTTGACTTCACGATATGATTCTTGAAATAAAGGCCGAATTCTTGGTTTGATTGTCTGTCCCAAAAGTTGTTCCATTCCATTCTAAGAATAAAAAAAGGAGTAGGTGATTAAAAAGAAAGTAGTTTTCGTTCCTTCTTCTCTATTTATTACCTGTAATAGTCGATTGAAGTTATTTGATAGTGCTTGTAACTTTTCTAATGCCTTATCAACAATGATCAAATCATGTTCTTCGTCTTGCCAAATAGTTGATCTTGATGTTTGTTTCATGTCTTCGATAAGTCTTTCGGTATAATCAGCGCTAACATCCAAATTGTTCAAAGTTACCTAAATTTTGTCCAACAAACATAAAAAAAAAAGTCTATTAGTTATGAATCCAAATTGTTTTATATTCAATACCATATAACTGATTTTCGCTTGTTCCATAGCACGATCCAATCTTGATGATGATGTATCAGTACTCGAAAAGGCATTGACTAGACGTTGTTGGAGAAGCTGAGAATAGCCAGTTTCCACAGATTTCAATACAGTTTGAACAGTAGCCATGACCAAATCCGGTTGATAAGTTGATATGCTACGTTTCATCACTTTTTTCAATATATAAAATACATCATCCACACAGGTAGAAGTTTGACTTGAGGATGCATCATAATTATCCAATTCCATTGCCTATCACCAATAGCCAAAAAAAAAAAAAAAAGAATCAGTTTGCAAATCTATCCTATTTCTTCTTCTTTTTTTTTTCTTAAAAAAAAAAAAACAGTCGTACCTTTTCCATACTTCGTTTCAATAGATATTCATCAATGACCAAAAATGAATTCATAACTTCTTTGATACGTTTAGATAAACCAGAGGAGGTCAATAAACCATTTTCACCATAAAACCGTCTATCCTTTCCTGTCATTACATTTATTATGGTAGCATTTTTTGTTGTTGTTGTTGTTGATTCCGTAGTGGAGCTGGTATCCAAAACAGTAGCAGGATCGTTTGTATCATCTAGTTTTTCCATTTCTTCATTTGCTCGTTCATGTAGGAAACCTTGGAAAAGAGAGGCGCGTTGACTGATCAGTGATAATTCCAAAAGGTTTGCATCTAGTTCACGAGGATCTACAAGAGGACTAAGATTGGAGATAGTAGAAGTTGATGATGAGGAAGTGATTCCAGTTGTAAGATCATTTCCAGTTAATGTAGCAGAAGTCATAGTTGGTGATGTAAATCCTGTTGTACCGGTTACTCTATGGGTTGAAGAGTTATTCGATCGCATCATAGCAATATTGAGAGATTGAATATCTACAAGCTAAATAAACATATAAAGGTATTGAATATAATGTAATCCTTTTTTTTTTCTTTGATTTAATTTTATTACCTTTTGATCCATTTTTCGAACATGTAAGAATTGGTCCAAAAGAATTCCACTTTGTAAATCACTCTCTTCTTCAAGTCTTTGGATAACTCTTAACATTTTTCCTCTACCATAATGAGTTTCCACCAAAGGTTGATGCTGATCGATGATGGTTGCGATGTTTTCAAATAAACGAGTTAATGCATCAGCAAAATAAAGTGGCGAGTCTGATATGTAACAGAATAAATAAAAAAAAAAAAAGGTAGGAGTAAGTTTATTGTTTATCCATTTTAGTTTTATCTTACTTGTTCCCATTTTGAGTTCTTCAGTACATCTTGCTTTTATAATATTACAAACAAATCTTGAATACTTGTCCAGTCCTTCTGTTTGACAACCAATCAAGGGGAATAATTTGAAGTAACGAGTAATATCGGTTTCATTTCTTTGAGCTACAGCATCATCAAATCGTTGAGAGAAAATATCAAAGAGTACACGTTTGGCATCGGCTAATGTTTTTGTTGGATGATCAGGGTTTTCAGATGTCGGCTTAAGATATATATAAAAATAAAACACGTGAATTTCATTTTTGAATAGGGGCGAGAACGAGATTGTACGTTTCAAAAGAAAAAAAAAAAAAAAAAAAGAGGAGAGAGAGATATGAGACAAAAGGGAGGGTCTATTGTTCACTATATTTTTTTTTTCTTTCTTACCACAGTAAATTCCACTAGTGAACCCTGCAGAATGGAGGTATCAATTCTAGATGCCCTTTGTAATAGACCAGCAGCTTCATCATATTCTTTTCGTTGCATAGCATCTTGAATTCCAGCCACACAATATTTTAGTTCTTGTACATCTTCCACATAAGAAATCGCTTGTCTTGTTCTTGACTATAATTAAAAGAAGTATAAATATAAAACTCAGTATTTCTAATTGTATTTACCTGTTCTTTATCTATTTGTCGAACTTTATCGCATATATTGGTAGCTAACTTGGCTGTATTACTTATAGTTTCCATCATACTAGTTGAATCAGTTTTTAAATGACCTAATTGTGGTCTATCCATTTTGTTAGTCAAAAAAAAAAAAAAACTTAAAAAAAAATACCTAAGAATATCCAAAGTTCCTAAAACATTTTGTAATTCAAGTTTATCAGCAAGTTGTTTATCTAAGGCTTGATCAATACGAGTTTCTTCTTCATCTAATAAGCGTAGACATTCACGTATATCGTCTATATTAGTAAGTGTATCAATGTTATTTAAAAGAGAGTTCTTTTCTTGAATAGTTGTATTTAACTGTATTTTTGTTGGTGATTGTGGCGAAAGTAAAGTTGTTGGCATATGAAATATATATATATATAAATATGATATAAAGAAAAAAAAAAAAGTATACTTTAAAAATAAAAATAAAGGGAAAAAAGGAGACGATAGGAGAATTACAAAAAAAAAAAAAAAAAAAAAAGTAGAAAAAAAAACCCCACCAGCCGCTGCATCCAATAGGAGGACAAGGAAAACTGGGCCAAAGTGGAATCTTTTTTTTTTTTGAGGGGAAAACAAGAAGTTCCCTTATAATACAGTTTGAAACAAATATCAGATCTTTTGATATATATATATATAGTGGCTAAAATAATTCAATCTTAAAAAAAAAAAAAAAAAAAGGGTGAAATGGATCAGGAGATCAAGTTACAAAAGTAGAATAAATCAAGGAGATAGAATGAGTTGTCAGAGGTACATCAATCCATATAATGCAATGTCGGAAGGTGAACAAAAAAAGATCTTCTTTTCTGCCCCTTTTTCTTTTATATTATCTTCTTTTATTAGTTTTCTTTTTTTTTTTTTTTTTCTTCTTCTTATTTTCTTTAAATCACTTTATTTTTTTCTTTTTTAAGTTATTATCATGATTCAATCTACCTTGTAAGTTATTATAAAAGAAATTATTAATATGAAATATTTTAATGATTATTTATTTATATATTAGGCGAGTAACATCCAAGGATCATCTACCTTCTTCAAATAAAGGAATCAATAACAATAATAATAATATAATGAATAGAACTTCAGTATCTTCTTTTCGAAATAACAATCATCATTCTCGATCTACAACAACAATTCATCATCCTACTAATAGACATCGACCTTCAACACAAACAGCTCAATTTGTACAAGGACAACAAGATTATTTACCATCAACTACTTTGCTTGGATCGGATTCTATCACTATTAAAAAAAAGGAACCGAGTCTTTATTTTCGACGAGGAACAGTGATTGAAGTGATTAATAGAGATTCATCTTCAGGTTGGTGGCATGGACAATACGATAATATTCGGGGCTGGTTCCCTAGTCATTTTGTTGGTAGAGTAAGTCATCTTGATACACGTATGGGGTCGGATGATGCAGTACAAAAGGAACTGAATGCATGGAAAACAACTTTGTTGGATCAACAAAAAACTCGCATGCCTATAAATGGTAACCCTGCTTTGACCAATAAAAGAAACATTGTGTCACCTTGTAATGACAGCTCGACAAAGGTATTAAAAAAAAAAAAAAAAAAAAAAAAAAAAAAAAAAAAAGAACATATATATATATATTATATTTAACTCTATATTCATCTATTTGTATAATCAAAGGGGCCATCATTATTAAAACATCGTTATAGTACAACAAGTAGTATTCATCGTCAAAGTATGACTCCTTCGATAGCTTCTAATGGTATCAGATCCAATTCAAGAACATCATCACTAATACAACAAAACAAAACGGAATCACATTCAGCCACTCATACAGCCTCCTCTGTTCGCAAAAGTCGCGTACCCCTTCCATCACCTCCTTCCTCCGCTTGCTCTTCTATCATCATCGATTCACCTAAATTTTCTCAATCTACTACCTTTCATTCTTCCACACCATCATCATCATCACAACCACAATCATCATCATCATCATCAGTTATCAATAAGATATCTTTGGATTGGGAAAATCGTATTGATGAAGTTTCAAAACACATGTATGATCTCGTGGATGCATGCGTATCTCCAAACAAATCCAATTTACACACTAAAATCCATCAAACAACTTCATCCATACGTGCATTACTGGCATGCGTTCCATCTTGTTCATTATTAGAAGCTAATGATGACGATAATGATATGCTTAGTGATCAAAGAAAAACGGTCTTACAACTCCTCAGCAAAGTGGTACACAAAGGATCAGAGCTTCAATTGACAGGTTTTGTGGATAATACTTGCTTTCGTGTCTTGGTAAACCAACTTTGGGTTGAAATTGTTGCATTTGAGGAAATCATCCGTACAACTTTTAAATCTCCAGCGTCATCATCACCTTCTAGTCATCCATCGGAACCTTCTTTCAATTCTCCAGCTATATTTACTTCCGTCAATGCAACCCCACCAAGTTCACCTCCTCGTGACCCTATTACCCCTCGTTCATCCACAAATGAATTGGATCGACTTGTTTGTGGCTTACTGGATCATCAATCTCAAATCATCGATCTGATTAATACTCATATTCCTTATTCGAACGATTTACTGGTAAAAACTAAAACTAAAAAAAAAAAAAAAAAAAAAAAAAAAAAACTTTATATGACCGCGGAAACTCAAATATAACTTTTTTTTTTCTTTTTTCTATTTTTTTTTTTTCCTTTCTTCTTTTCTACACTTTCTATGACTAGCGAAAAGACGATCATACCACAGCAATACGAACAGCCAAAGATGCCGTATTTAATGCCATCACTCAACTCATTCAAGCCATACGCGAAGAAAAAGGTGATTCAACTACGACTTCAACTTCTTCAACCCAAGTAGCTTCAGACGCCACTTCTGTCAACCAAACTCTCCTATCTAAGGTACAACATGAATTACCAAAAGTTACTCCTATTGAGACATCAAGATCAGCCATTACTACCGACAACTCTTTATTAATGCCTGTCTCACCAGTCTCACCTCAATCTGCCAAACTTCCACTACCATCATCAGAGCAGGAATCTTCTATTAGAAAAGAATGCGTTACGACAACTCTTATGGGAAACACAGCAACTTCATCAACATTAGCCATCAGCAGTCAGCATCCTAAAGATACAACTGTAGTCAACAAATATTCATCGATATCTGTCAACAGCATAGATGCTTACTCTAGTAACTTATCAGTGCCAACCGGATTAACCAACACGAACAACTCTATTCGTCTTAGTCATTCATTCGAACAATTGGAACGACCCTCCAGTACAACAAGTAGTAATCTTCTTCGAAAGTCGTCTGAACTCTTTCGTAGCAGTAGGAATTCCAGTCAGATTACCAATACTTCTTCCATTAGTTCTATTGGTGGTGAATCAGCTTTACATCCTTCTTCCGATGCAACGCCCACTGTATCCGCTTCGACATCTCAACGAAAATTACCAAGGGTTACTACACTATCCAATTTGGCCATGCGTTATTTGACCTCTTCCTCCTCCACATCAACATCTTCTATGTTATCAAATCGATCTTCACAACAACAGCAACAACAACAACAACAACAGAATGCGATGCCACCTCCTCCGTCACCTGCAGCATCATTAACCACGGTTGATGTCAATGTACCACGTGTTAGTATTTCTCCTCCTCAAATGTCTACTCGTGAAATTCGATTACTCAATTCAAAATCTACACCAACATTCGATCAAATCAAGACCTCCACTTCTCAAAGTTTAAGGAATATGAGTGTTGTTTCACTTCGAAATATATCTCGCAAGCCAAGACGTCTCAGCAATCAAAATAGGAAAAGCGACAGCACAATGGCTCCTCCAACTTTTTCAACTACTACTACCACTACGACTACGACAACAGGGACATCAACCGCGTCAACTACTGGTGGGTCATCATCTCTAGCTGATCCTCCTTTACGCATGCGAATTTCTTCATCCTTACGACTTCGACGAAGTACTGATGGAAATGATCAACGTGAAAAAGCTGCACTGGAACAAAAGGTAAATATATATATAAACCAAGCGAATAAAATTCTGATGTGTCTTTTTTTGTACATATAGTTAAGAGAAGTAGAAGAAGAAGAAGAAAGAAACAAACCATGGTTTCTCAAGAAGAATCAAATCAAATCTGAAACCATTTTGAATGCTGAAGGTCATCTTGTTGGAGCAAGTTTACGTGTGCTGATCGATACAATAACATGTCATGAAGATTGTCCAGGTAAATATATTGTTAATAAAAGTTGGATGATTTTCTGAGATACTAATCCTAACTTTTCTTTTTTTTTTTTTCTCTCCCTGTTTTTATAGATCCACACTTTTTACGTACCTTTTTTTACAACTTCCGGCTATTCACTGATTCTGAAACGTTGGCAAGAATGTTGATAAATCGATTCAACTTGACTCAACCTGTACACCCAGATACTGAGGAACCATTAACAACTGAAGAAGAAGAATTGTGGGAAAGTGATGTCCATGTACCTGTCCAACTACGTGTTTACAATGTGATCAAGGATTGGTTTGAGGCATATTACGATCCTCTTCAAGATAAGAAAGCTGCACAAATGCTTCTCTCCTTTGCCAAGACTGATATGGAGACTGCCATGCCTATGCCTGCCAAAAGAATGACTGAATTGATCGAACTGAAGGTAGAATTAACCATATTGAAAAAATTTTCAACTCATTTTTTTTTTTTTTTTTTTGTGTTGGTAGCTTATGAGTGCAACAGATTTAGATTCTCAAAAAGCCATTGATGATTCAAGCTATTCCCTGGAACGCCAACAAACTCAAGATTCCAATGTGATGATATCAGCTGCTGTAGCCGCTGCACCACTTCCATCCAATACAACATCTACACCTATCAGAAATGCATTACGACGAGCTCTTGCCAGTCATCACCATCATTCATCATCCGTATCATCCCATTTCATCCATCCGCTTCAAGAATCCCATCATCTATCCAGTATTGCTATTCATCGGATGGATCCACAAGAAATTGCTAATCAATTGACCTTGATGGAAAGTACGTTGTTTTGTCAAATCCCACCCAGTGAATTGATGGCGGCACAAAAGAAGAAATCAGCACCAGCAATACATGTCAAAGCTATGGTACATCAAAGTACGTTACTGGTGTATTGGGTATCAAACACTATTCTTGGTGAATCGGATGCAAAAATACGAGTGATGGTTATCAAATTTTGGATTAAAGTAGCCGATGTAAGTTTTGGATTAAACAAAAATGACAATGATCATAACTCTTTTTTTTTTTATTATATAGGCCTGTTTACAACTCAACAATTTCAATACATTAATGACTATACGTTGTGCGCTCAACTCTGCTAGTATTGCACGATTACGAAGAACTTGGGATTCAGTGATGCGATCGACCAAATACAAGACCATGTACAATACGATTGACTGTGTGGCGGATTCCGACCGAAATTTTGCAATGTATCGAAAATGTTTGAAGAATGCCACGGCTCCAGGACTTCCATTCTTAGGTATTTTTCTTAGTGATATGGTTTTTGTGGATGAAGGGAATATGGACCATAGGACAAGTACTACCTTATCATCGAATGGCAACGAACAATCCAATCATTGTATTATCATCAACTTTGACAAATATATGAAGATGACGCAAATGCTAGACCAAACCATTACCAGGTTCCAACAAGTACCCTACTACAAGATCAAGGAAATCAAGGAAATCCAACGTTACTTATTAGAGTGCATTGAAGCAGGAAATGACAGCAATGAAGAACTGATATATTCAAGAAGTTTAGAAATTGAACCTAGGATAGTGGATGAAGTGTGTGGATAAATAAAGGCCCTTCTTTTTTACCGTTACCATGGTGTTATTATTGTTACAAGGGTCTCTCTCTCTCTTTCTCTCCTTGTATATGAGTTTTCATTATAATATACCGCAGTTTTCTTACTAAGCGTTCACTATAGGGATCTTCTTCATTCACATTGGATAGCTTTTGTATCACTACTATGTCTTTAAGGTTTGCTTCCATGCATAAAAAGGCATCCGTCTGAGCCTCAAAACAAATCAATTCGTCCCTTTTCTTTCTTTTTCTTTACACTTTTTCTTTTTTTTTTTTCTTTTCTTTTTCTTTCTTTTTGTTTTTTTTTTTTATTACTACTCTGTCTGCTCATGACCAAAGATTATCCTGATTCCAAGTTGAACTCTGACCAACAAGACAATGGGTCATCCCTTAATGAAGCCATGTCTTTGGACCAAGTTATTGACCAAGCTTTAATGGAAGCTCAAGAAGCCCTTGCAGATCCTTATCGTCTTCAACATTCCATTTCTCGAGTTGCCGTGATTGGTGCTGGTCCTGCTGGGGTAAGTTCTTGTTATCATAAAAAAAAACAACCAAGTGTTGTACCTAACCCTCTTTTTCCTTATAAATATATAAATATTGTTATATATATATATATATATATTGTTGTTTTGTAGTTAGCAACAGCCAAGTCTCTTTTGGAACAAGGATTTGATGTCCATGTTGTGGAACGCAATACAAGAGTAGGCGGAAATTGGTAATACGAGAACATATTGACAAGTGATGACATGAACTGACATATTAAATATATATATATATAGGGCATATTCAGCTGTACCTCATACTGATTTTAAGATTCCTGCTACAAATGATGATTTGAATTGGCTTAAATCTATTGAGAAGACACCTTCTTTTGTTCATTCAACTCAGCCTGTGAAATGTACCGAAGACGTTAAACAATGGTTATTGAATCATCACCAACCTGCTACGGCGTGCTATGAAGATCTTTACAATAATACGGCCACACCTGTTCTTGGATCATTCGATTTCCCTTGGCCAAAGGATACTCCTTATTTTGTACCTCATCATACAGTGCAAAAATACTATCAAGATTACTCTACTCATTTTGGATTGGACAAGGTCATTCGATTCAACATATCTTTGGATCATATGGTGAAAAAGGGAAACGAATGGGAATTGTCTTTCACGGAAACAACAAAACTGGATGATGGCGAAAACCTCTCTATTAAAAGATATCAAGATACTTTTGATGCCGTGGTACTTGCTACTGGTCAATTCCAAATTCCTTCGGTACCTGCTTATGATGGATTACAAGAATACCATACTCAGTTTCCTGGCAAGATCATTCATTCTAAACAGTTTAGAAAGACAAGCGATTTTAAAAACAAAGTAAAAAAAAAAAAAGGTTATAATATTCTGTACTAACTTTTTTTTTTTTTTACAATATATATATATATATATATATAGAAAGTTTTGGTAATTGGAGGTCGGGTTTCAGCCGTTGATGTCTCTCGCTTAGTATCCATAGAAGCAAGCCAAGTCTACATATCTTATAATGGTCCATTCATCACCAACATTCCTATTTTGAATTTGGTACGCTCTATGATTCCTGACAACGTGGTTCATAAACCTCTGATTGAAAGTTTTTGGTCCAAGGATCCTGATACTGGCAAGAAAATATTGGATGGGAAAATTACTTTTACGGATGGATCGACCTTGGATGATATCGATATTGTTATATTCGCGACCGGGTATAAAGTGAACCATCCCTATTTAGGTTCGTTGCGTACCCTGACAGAAGATGACGCCAATGATTCCGACCTTCCTCTTGTTGTGATGAGTAACAAAGGGGTACAAAATACTTACAAGTAAGGTTATACAAAAAAAAAAAAAAGGAATTCTGACTTTTTTGTTTTTGTAGGGATATCTTTTTGATCACTGATCCTACATTGGCATTTGCTGGAGCACCTCGACATATTATTACCACACCATTTTTTGATTATCAAGCCAAAGCCATTACACGTGTATGGAGTGAACAAGCGTACCTACCATCTCAAGTCAAAATGAAGCAATTTGCCCGTGATCGAAAACCAGTGTGCAATCCTTTGCAAATGGATTATGTTTCTGAACAATTACGACCTCAATTTTTACTTCCTTGGCTCAATCTTCATGCTGAAACTCTTGCGCCTGATCTTCCTCGTCTTCAAGGTCCATCCGAATCGTTACAATCCGTCTGGAAAACTGCTTTGGAATTCTGGCCCAAGTTTGTTGCTGAACAACAAGAAAAATGGGCTTTGGAACGTAATGGTGCTTAGTGAATAGTTAGTGATAGTCTTTTTTTTTTCTGTTAAACATATATTATTTGAATAGGTTTTATACATCGATTTGAAATAAAGACTCTGTCCTTCTCCTTTTTTTTTTTTTTAAATGTGTATTCATTACATGGTATTAATTTTTCCTACGACTGATACATCTGTATTCTTTATATGATTTTTTCAAATGGTCCTCGATATAACATTTATTTTATTTTCATCAAAAAAAAAAAAAAGGATATGTAATATCAAATAGTCATCTACCAAAAAAAAAAATCTATACTAGGGTTCTAACTGAAGGAAATAAGCCTGGTCTAAAACTCGGTGCATTATTATCAAAGGTCGGGAAAACTTGCCAAAAAAGGAAGGATACAGTAGACGGCATTGTCGTTACTAGGTAGAATGATGTGTTTTATTTTAAGTCTATTATAAAAACTATTTTTCAAGTTCGGAGCATCTGAACTAAAAAGAATAAAAGATCAGCTTGATGCTTTTCTATTTTTGTAAATTCTATATAAAATGGTCCTAATATCGACAGTATCATGATGATGAAAGGTGTGTGTGTGTACCAAATTATATAGAGAACATCCATCCTTTTTTTTTTTTAACCATCACACAAAATAATAAATAAAAAAAAAAGAGGTAATATAAAAAGTAAGATTGATTTTTATTTGATAAAAAGAGTTTGAACACCTTTGTTGACCTTATCATAATTAGCCATTGCCATTTCATGCCTAAGATCCTTGAGTTGTTTTTCGACACGTTTTGTTTCGCTGATTTCCCTATCCAAGAGACGTTGATGTTCCATCTTGATATCATTGACTAGTCGCCTGAACTCCTTGCGTAATGAAGCAGTGGTAGGTGTATCCTTTTGATTTTCTTCATAACCCAGTTGATTGACCCGAAGCGAGACCAATTCACCATCCAACACAGCCACCCTTTGTTGTAGTTGCTCAATCTTGCGTTCATAATTCATACGTTCACTTTCGAATTCCACCGCCGTACCTGTCAGTCGATCGAATTCCTTCAAGATACCTTCAAAGTTGGCTTCCATATTAGCGCTTTGTTCCATCCAGGCAATTTCCTTTTGAGAAAATGCATCTTGTAATTCTCGCATCACTTGAGGATCCACTCCTTTTTGTTGTGATTGACGTCGTAGTTCTTGGATTTGGGCTTCTAATTCACTGATATGATTATCACGTGTATCTAATAATCGCGTCTTGCCTCGAATCAATTCTTCCAAATCATGACAAGTTTGCGTCAATTGATCACGTTCCAAAGCAATGGCATCTTTTTCTCGTGTGGTTTTGTCCAGATATGCCTTCTGTTCCTTGAGCTGGGCTACGTATTCTTGTTCTTGTTCTTCCAGTTGTTGTTCGTACTTGTCCTTGATACTGTTACCACCCGCACCTTCATCCATCAACTGCATCACTGTTTGTCGCTTCATCATCCTTTCCCATTTGTTTTTCTCTTGTCGTAACGCAAACGCTTCATCACGATAATGTTGTAATTCCAATTGGTCGGTTACTTCTCGTTGTTTGGTAGATGCCATTTCTGCATGTACTTTACTAGTCTCCACTTCCAAATCGGATAATTGACCACGGACTACAGAGAGTTCCTTTTCAAGCTTTTGGCGTTGATCTTCGGATTGATGTAATTGTGATTCCAAATTCGAGATTTGATCCAAATGTACACTAAATATAAAATTAAAATAAATAAATATCCATTTTATTCCATACTTTTTTTTTTTTTTTACCTGCTATCGTTGAATGAAAAATTATCCACATCAGCCTTGAGACGATCCAATTCAGACAGAGAAGATTTCTTGTTAGATTTGACTCGTTCCAGTTCTAAAGTTAGTTCTTGACATTTGGCTTCAGCAGCATCGCGACGTTCTTGTGTGGCACGAAGTTGGATTTCAATCTTCTTTTCTGACATAGCTTCCAATCGATGTTTTTCCATGACAGATTCCATCTCCCGTTCCAATTGACCAGCCCTTGATTTTTGTGCCGCCAATGTCTTTTCCAATCTTGTAAGCAACGCACTCACATCATCGTCATTCGCGTTATTATCATCATCATCTTCTTCTATGTAGTGTTTTGTCATTGTCGTCAATTGGTGTAGCACATGATCCAGTATTGCTTGATTTTCTTCTTGCTTGGTAAGATCAGTTTCTTTGTTATTCACATCTTGAGATTTGAGCGATTGAATTTCGTTGTCTTGAGCTTTGATGATCTCTTCCTTTTTGTTCAGTTGAGCCAGCAATTCCTGATGAGTCGAAAGAGGTATAAAGTTGTTAATATCTACATCTTTGGTATCTGGTTGTAAGAATCGAGCGGATGATGATGGTGATGATGTAGAGAACGATTCTAATGGGTTGATTCGACGAATACTAGCACTCAATACACCCGCCATATGTTCCAATAATTGACAATGAATTTCATGCTCTTTTGCTTTGAGCTGTTGGTGTTGATCTATTATTTCATCCACTTTTTGATCTAATGCCTTGATTTCTTGTTGATGTTGTACATAGGAGTGTCCACTACGAGAATCATTCAAATATGCTAGTGATCGAGCTGTTTCTCTTATCTTCATTTCTAATGTTAATCGTGAAGCTGAATGTTCTACTTGTTGTTTGATTTGATCATATTCCTACAATGATAATAAAAAAAAGTTTAAAAACCTAATCAATCTTTTTTTTTTTTTTGGACTTACTTGTTTAACCTTGTCCAAATCTTCAAAAGATAAAAGTTTGAAATCACGAGAATCCAATATTGCACGAGATACCAGAAGTTCATTCAATAGATCGCCAGATTCCATCATCATTTTATTGTCAACTGGCTCATTTGATGAAGGGTAAGGAGCTGATTGTGATCGCCACATTTTTGCTACTTCAGATGTTAAACTAAATCTTGCTTCACTAAGTCGAGGTCGAGAAGGAGGAGAGGATGCTGTTAATGATTCTGTATAAACACTGGATGAGTTGTTGTAAGTAGTTGAAAGTGATGTAAAATCATTATTATTGAATGATAAAGAAGGTATTGGCGAAGTAGAAGTTGGATGATATTGTCGATTGTTATTGGAATAAGCTAATATATGTAAATAAATATAAAAAATAAGTCAATACCTTAAAAAAGATATCTTTTTTTTTATTATTATTATTATAAATTATTTACCATTTTCTGTTGAAGAGTAAAATGATTGTGAAGTGGAAGTTTGAGAATCTCTGACACGTTGGGGAGACCTTGTTGGTAAAGTAGGAGAAGTAACACTAGGAAGAGGTCTTGTAGAAGTGTTATTGTTAAAAGCAGGACGGTCTTTTGCAGGTGGTAAAATAGGTCGTTCTATTGTATCCATGGAAGGTCGTGATGAAAAAAGACTATTACTAGAATAACTAGTTGAACTGTTATTGTTATCAGTATACTTTGAAGAATAACTAGAAAATAATGATGATCCTTGATTGCGTTCATTAGTTGAGTCATGGTCACGTTGAAACCCATAATAGTTGTTTCTAGTAAACTTTAAACCTGAAGGACGATCTCCATCATTTGATTGTCGAGGCATGATGGGAATCTGTATAGATAAATGATGTTAATGTTTTCATATATTTTAGTATATAATTATTAAAGACATACCGAATTCATTTTTTCTAGTTTCCAAAGTAAACCAAAGTAAAAAGAAGAAGAAAGAAAGAAGAAAGAAAAAAAAAAAAGAATAAGGGCGGGCTTTTTTGTACAACGAATATGTATATTGCTCAATTCTCTCCTGAGGTAACCATTTCAAGGTTGCACAAACCGGACATTGGTTCAAAAAAAAAAGGAAAAAGAATAATGGCAAATCTATTGTCTTCACATGAAAAAGTGTGGCATTTTTTTTTTTTTTGTCAGGCCAAGAAAATCTTACTGAATGCATTTAAAAAAGAATTGGGATTTTTTTTTCTTTCTTTCTTTCTTTCTTTCTTTCCACTCTTATTACAAATATGTTGAACACTTCTTCTTCTTCTCCTTTAACATTTTTATGTACTATCCACCATGTCAAAATATCTATTATAACAGAACAAAGTCAAGAACAACTTATTGGAGAACAATATACTATTGAAATCTATGTATCAACTAATGAAGCACTTTTACTACAATGTCATCCTTCATTACCAATTCCTTCACAAATTACAATTAATGTTCCATCTCAATCAAAAGCTTGTTTATATCAACCACATATTTTGACTTTACCTCATACTGATAGTGGTTTATGGTCATTAGATTGCAGGTAAGAAAAATAATTATTTTTGAAAGTCAGGGCATAATTTCTGTTTTATAGTGAGACAAATGAACAAGAATTCAGTACATTTCAAGATATCTTAACATATTTTATCAAATTTGAAAATCAACATCAAATGCGAAACACACTTGCCATGATGAACCCATCAACTTATCAAGTAACTCAAGTCATTGCCGAAAATATTTATATGGACCATAATAGCGATCATCATCATGTCAAGGATTCTGACTTTGATGATCTTATTGATGATGATTTTATTAACACGCGTGAAAATTATTACGGACAAAAACTCCCGGTGACTATGGACGAAAGTGTATTCAAGGAAGGACTTCAATTACGAAAAGTACGATTGATTTATCAAACTAGTCATTGTATGGATGTTGGATCTGACTGGTTAGCTAGACGATTGATCAATGCAGGGGATTCCATTGCTGATTATATCCAGACGTAAAAAAAAAAAAAGAAACTTTGGAGATCAATGTATTTTTATTTATTTGACTCTTTTTTTTTTTTTTTTTTTTTTTTTTTTGGTTAGTGGGTGTAGATCTATAGAAGAAGAAAGATGGGATCCATCTGTTAATCAACAACAATTGATATTATCAAGTAAACAAAGACATTATTTTGATCTTATCTATAATTTAACAACGAGTAAGTATAGATCGATAAAACAAAAAAAAAAAAAAAATACTAAAAACTCAAATCTCTATAGTGACAGGCCAATGGATCTCTAATCTCATCAACTTTACAGCCATCAAGCAAGCGATCCCAGAATTTCAATTACCAGCCCCACGAACCAAATTAGGGAGTTCGGCTCTTCAAGCAGCAACTCGAGTGATGGAGGGAACAACAGTAGCAGCGGGTACAGTGTTGGCAGCATCAAGACAAGGGTTAATCCAAGTGATTGAAAAGAAATATGGACCAGATGCCGGATACATAGCTGAAAAACTGATGGGATCTGATACTGCGAATGAAGATGTATTGGTTTACTTTGATAGCAATGGAGTATCTCGACATGTGGTTTTACAACATCCATCATCATCATCATCATCATCAAATAGAAAGAAAAATCGACAACAAGAAAATTCATATTTGGTATATGAAGACAAGGATACTGGAAGAGAGGATACTCAACGACAATTGGTATATGATATTGAAGAATCAGGTGATATCTTGGAAGAAAGGAAACCCGAAAGGCTAGTCCTGGTGTAAACATATTGGCTCTTTAGCTATTTATCGTTATCATTATTATATATAGATAGATAGATAGATAATCTTTTTACATATACTTCCATTACTTCCATTCCCCTTTTCTTTTTGATGCAACCATTTACTACCATCATCAATAAATAAAATTTGTATTTTGAATATGATGAATTTAAAAAAAAAAAAATGAAAGTGTGTCATCTATGAAGTCGTACCTTTTTTTTTTTACTTTTATTAAAAAGTATATAATCTACTACAAGTCTATACTATTGACAAAGATCTAACTAACTAGAATGCCATATCCAAGCAACTAGAGAAAACAATAAAAGACAAGACCAAAGAAGGATGGTCTCACCAGGATAACTTGCACCAAGGATGGACCAGACGGAGACAACAGGATGAACGAAATCTGGGTTGGGCTCTTCACCTAAAACAAAATCCTTTGGTTTCCATAATGTCATTTCCCATAAGAGTGATTGATTCCCAAAATGACAGAAATCCAAATTAGTCACACCGGTATTGTTAGGAGTAAAATCAAATACATAACTTGCTGTTGGATGAAGACATCGAGATCGCATATTCCATAAATGAGCGGCTGAGACAAGATACACCAAATGACTTCCAGAATGTTGATTTTTCTTTCGGTCCGGTTGAATAATATCTCCATTATACTTATTTTTGCCAGTAGCTGGATCAAATGCCACATTCGTCCAATCGAACGTTTTGGAGGGATCATCACGCATAAATAACCATTGTTGTTTGTCTTGTCGAATGGCTTCGTACGTATTCACATAGCGTCGATCTAATCGTTTATTGTTGTGTTCTTTACCACCATGTAATGGTCGAGGTAAAGATGCATTGTATACACCATGGAAACCTGGATAAATGTCAAAGTCAGGTTCATCGATCGTTTTGTTGTCTACTTCACACTGCCAAGCTACCTGAATAAAATAAATGCTTTAGTTCATCTATTTTTACATGGAATAAGTTTGAAGTAAGGAAAAAGAATCAAGTTTACCCCCGCATCATCGTTTCCTCTAGTATGATCCCACCTAGTAGATAAACATTTATCGTATCTTGCATGGTTCAAATGATGAATGGAATAGTTTTTGTCACCGTGCCATTTAACTGTCCAAAGTGTACCATTGAATACGGTAGAGTTCTTGCCTTCAGTAGGTACAATTTGATTTTGAAAGTCAATGAATTGAAGATATTTATTAGTTTCAACATGTCGAAAACTATAAAAACCAGTCTATTAAAAAAAAAGAAAGATATGATTAATATTATATTTATTGTTGTTGCTGTATATTTTCGTACTGGAATATGAGTTGAATTGTCAATGATCTGAGCACCTTCAATAGCAGCATTAGCATAAGTACCTTCTCCTCCTGATACAGCAAGGACGGTACTAATAAGATATAATAATAACAATAACAAAATGAGTGGAAAGGGTATCATAATAGTAAAAATTAGAAAAAAATAAGTGAATACTAAGGGGAAAAGAGAACAAAAAAAAAAAAAAAAACTGACTGAGTTAAAATAGGATATTAAGTTACACATCGTTTTGACAATCAATCAATCAAAAAAAAAAAAAAAATCGGTAGATCAATATTGTTTATTCAAAAAGAAATAGATAAAAAAAAATGTATATATAACCTATTATAACTTGACTTTTTTCAATGTTTGTCGTACTCCAAGATCTAAAAAAAAAAAAAAAAAAAAGAACAAAAATTTAACCATCATAACTTTGTAAAACTATAATATTTTTTTTTTACCAAGCATAATTTCTTCAGATCCACCAGGAATAGCATAAGCTCGTACTTCTCTATATAATCGTTCTACCTTTTCAGCTTGTCCACCTCGGGTATATGCTAAACCACCAAAGATTTGTGCAGCTTCACGAGCACAATATTCAAATGTTTGAGTACTTTGAGCCTTCAGTAATGCAATAGGTCCACCAAGAACATTAGCTTGAGTTTCATGAGGTAAAGTCTTGACTTGATACAGAATACTTTCAAGCCAAGCATGTGTAGCTTCCACTTGACGAATACAATGTCCAAATTTATTGCGAATCACAGGATGTTGAATCAAAGGTTGACCAAATGTCTTGCGCTTAAGAGAATGCTACAGCAACAAAATATATATTAAAATTTGAATTTAATTTTCCTTTCTTTAATTACCTTGAAAGCTTCTTCAATACAAACACGAGCTAAACGATTTGCTTGCATCACAATACCAAGACGTTCATGATTGAAACTATAAAACCAAAGTTATTAAACATCCTTCAACATATCATCATCATTACTATTTACATACTTGGTCATAATATATTTGAATCCATGATTGAGTTTACCAATCAAATTTGTTTTTGGTACCTTGACCTATTATCATCATTAAAAAAAAAAAAAAAAAAAGATGAATACTTACAAAGCTTTTTCATTTTTGAATCACTTACATCTTCAAAGGTAATATAGGAAGTACCAGAACCCCACATACCTTGGCAATCCATGGCCCGAGCATTCACACCTTGTAAAGTACGTGGAACAAGTAATAATGAGATACCAGCCATACCTGAACCACCAGTACGAGCAGCCACAACATAATAATCAGCATAAGCTAATTTAAAGAGAATCATTTAGTAAAACAAAAGAAATTTTCCATTTAAAAATCTTACCTCCTTGAGTAATCCATTTCTTTTCACCATTCAAGATAAAATGATCACCAGCATCCTTGGCACTTGTAGTAAGATTAGCCACATCCGATCCAGCAGAAGGTTCAGTAATAGCCAAAGAAATGAATTTTTCACCAGAAAGAACAGCAGGTACGACTTCTTTTTTCATTTCATCACTACCAAAATTGAGTACAGGAGGAAGTGCCTAATAAAAATCAAGCACAATAGAATTAAAAAAAAAATAGTGAGTGAGGTTCTATATCTATAAAAAGAATATAATATACTTACAATAGCTAAACCACCTTCGACAGCCCAAACCAAACCACCAGAACCACATCGAGAAAGTTCATCCACACAGATAAATTCATGGAAAATATCAAATTGATCTGTAGTCAAACCAGCAGGTAAAGGATAAGGTAATAAGGAAGCCACAGAAGGATTGGAAGCAGCACCAGAAATAGCAGCCAACATACCAATTTCACCACATCTTTTCACCACTGATCGAGGAATAGCTTTAGCTTCACTCCATTCATGACAGAAAGGAGTGATTTCCTTATCGACAAATTCACGCATGACCTTTCGTAATTCGATATGAGACTTGTTATAGTAAGGACTAAAAAAAAAACACAAGATCAATAAGATTATCATATCGCTATTAACTTTTTTTTTTTTTTGGTTCATCAAAGAAAAAAAAAAAACTTACCTATTCCATTCTTGATACCAAGAGGGATCACCATAAGGAATACCTTCACCAAATTTGCTTTCAGCACCCGAAACTATATCCGAGATAGTATAAGTTGCAGGACTAGAACGAGTAGTAGCAGAAGTAGCAGGAGTAGCAGGAGTAGCAGGAGTAGCAGAAGTAGTAGGAGTAGCAGGAGTAGAAGAAGCAATGACACCAATTTGCATAGGTAAACCGACACGTTGCATGATAGCGTCATTATGGAAGTTTTTGAATTGCTGACTTGCATCTTTTCCGGCCATTTTGACAAGTACTTTTTTACCACCAGGATGTTCAGATAAGAATTTAGTCACGTCAAATACTTTGTCATCAACAATGATCCAACAATCTTTGGCATTGTTATGTTGAGCTACTTGTTCTACTGTATAAGTTTGCATAGTAATGTAAGAAAAGTAAAGAAAAAAGAAGAAAAAGAAATGAATAAAAAAAAAAAAAAAAAAAAAGAGGTTAAAATCTAAATCTTTTTGTAAGCTGAAATACACCCCCTCCGCATATAAAATATCCCTTTCATTTCCGCTGAGTAAGGTGATCGGGAAATCAACGAAATATTAAAGTTTTTGACATCCATGTTACGAAAAACATCAATAATTTATCTTCTTTTTACAAGGTGAATCAACAATTTATTAGATTTAAATATAATAGATAAGAATGAATGAGAAGAATAAGAAATATTCCAATCAACACTATAAAAACAAAAAAAAAAGTATACAAGAGGGTTGATCTATTCTATGTCCATATCCATCTCCATTTTGTTATCAGTATCTTGTTGTGGTCGTAAACGAATCCCTTTAGTCAAGATTTGTCGTCGAAGTTCATTCAAATTGAGATTGGCTCGCCGTACAAATCCTGGTGCAGGCATACGTCGATAATCCACAGTATCACGTTCCCAGATAAATAAATCCCGCCAATCTTGATCACGATTCAAAGCTGTCGATTCAAAGTGATGGAACATCAATTTTTGTTTGCTGATATCTACATGATGATGTTCCTATTTATAAATATATTATATATAAAATTAATCATTCATATATCATCTCTCTTTTTTTTTTTTTTGTATGTGTCAAACTTACCAAACTTGCCAATCGATTTGCCTTGTCTTTTCGTTTACGTTGTTCCATCCATTCTTTATGTTCCCTATGAAATCATGGTACAAGAAGTGATAAACACAAAATGACCAATGATCCATTCCATTCTATCCATTTTTTTCACTTCCATTCTACCAATCCACTATATCTCTTCATTTCCTTTTTTTTTTTTTTTGATAAATACTTACTTTCTTTGTTCCTCTAGTTGACGGAAAGCTTGTTGTTTCTTTTCCATGAACTGGCGATCCTTTTCCTTTCTTTGTTCCTCTTCTTCACGTTTCTATGTGTTACAAAATAAAAGGAAAAAAAAGGGAGTTAATTTTAATTTAATATATAGGATTGATTCTTACCTGTTGATCTCGTACACGATTTTCACCTTTCATACGATCAATATATTCAGTAATATCAAAGGTTTTTGTTGGAACAGGTGCCGTTTCTTTCGGTTTGGGTGGAGCAGATGCGGTTGTTGTTGTGTTAGTTATTGTTGATGTTGTTACTGGTGGTGCTGAATTGATAGATGAAGGTGGTGTTAATATTGAAGATTCCATATCATCTGTTGATCCCGATTTTTGAGCCAAAGCTAACCATTTGTCATGATTCTGTAATACAAGAGGAGTCTAATATAAGAAGAAGAAAAAAGTAGATGAGATATCTTTTTTTTTTTCAATATGATTGATCTGATCATACTTTCTTTTCAGGTTTTTTCTCTGGAGGTGGGGAAATTTTGCTACCAATAGCTAATTTCGGTCGTTTAGATTCAGTTCGTGGTTCTGTTGATAAAGCCAATCCTGGATTCTTGATTGGTTTCAATTCTTGTTGTGGAGTCGCGATTGCGGTTGATGATGGCGGAGGAGTAGGTGTATTCTATCAAAATAGAGCAACAAATGGATGAACAAACACATACAATCAAAAAACCTTCCTATTTTTTTCAAGTTGTTTCACTTACAGATTTGGGTTCTTCACTTGGTTTCGTCGTTAATTTCAGTCGTAGGATGGTAGGCGGTCGAACTAGAAAGAAAACAATAATAAAAAGGGTTTATTGATTCCATTTAAGTTGCATTCTTCTCTTACCTTCTTCAACTGATGGCGTTGATGTTTTCTGATCATTGATGATAGTTGATGCTACTTCATTGGTATCTACAGGAGATAATTGGATGAATATTATGATTTTCTATTAACATTATTTACAAATTATTATTATTTCATTTTACCTTTGGTGACATTTGTTACCAGTTTGATTTTTCTGTCTAGTTTTTTGGAATCCTTTTTCGCTAATAATAATAATAATAATAATAATAATAATAATAATAATAATAATAATAATAATAATAATAATAATAATAATAATAATAATAATAATAATAATAATAATAATAATAATAATAATAATAATAATAATAATAATAATAATAAGAATAATAATAAGAATTAGTCAAGCATATAGTAAAATTAAAAAAAAATGACATTATATTATTACCTTTTGACGATGCCTTTTTGTGTATCTTCTTCCAAAATGATTCAAATAAATGTTCGAGTTTCTTGCCTAATTGATGTACAGCATGTTCTGGTGGATTATACGCATAACAATTAGCGAATATCAGTCGTATATCTTTTTCGAATTCGTCTTCATTTCCATATTCGTAATCCCCTAGTTTCCGTTCTACTGTTGACAAGTCCATTGGATGTGAAATGATTTGGTAATAGTCTGTTGCACCCCAAGCTTCTGCATTCACTGGTAAGAGGAATGGCCAATTCAAATCCGAATGTTTTCCCTTCTTCAATTCCTTGATAGTTGATTCACATCGTTTGAATTGATCATCTGGCATAATAGCTACTTGATCCATTGTCGTATTATCGTCCTCTACTATACCGCTATCGTTTGTATCATTATTCTTGTTATTTTCTTGTGTTTCGGATACATTATTTGAATCTATATTTTTCGTATTCGTTTCAGCTGTTGTGTCCTATAAAGATAATATATGATAATAATAAGAACAATAATGAAAGATAATCAGTTATCCTATTCGTCTTGTTCGTTAATATATATATTTGATTTTTACCAATTGAGGTTCGGGTCGTTTTTTTAGCCATTTTTCGAATACTTCTTCTAATTTCTTGGCATCCAAAGAGACTGGGTCTTGAGCATTATTATAAAGAAAACAATTGTCGAAAACTAAACGTACATCCGCCAGAAACGCGTCAACTGATTCATATTGATGAGTGTTGAGTTTTTGAGATATAGTACCGAGATCCATAGGTTGTTTTATAATATCCAAGTAATCGGGTATGTTGAAGGCCACTACATCAACAGGTTGTAAAAAGGCAATGGCTTTTCGATGTTTCATGAGCGCAGTCAATGTCTTTATACAGTAAGCTTGTTCTTGTTTTGACATTTTTCGTTTTTGTTGCTGTATAGATTGTTGTTTTTGTTGATCATTAGATATAGATATTGATTGTGGTTGTGATTCGGGTGGTGATGGCTGGTGAGAATAGTTTGGTACATAATGTTGTTGTGGAGGTTGTTCTTGATTATGGTATGTAGTCGGCAATAACTCTTGATAATGATTTGTATTGAAATGTTTGTGATCGATGATTTTGTCACTAGTCTCGTTATATATATCGTTGTGTTGTTGTTGTGTGTATACTGAGTCATCTGTAAATGTATCGATAGCCATAGGTGATAAAGAAGGTTGTGGGGAGAGATTATCGTTCAACCCGCTTAAAATATTGTGTATATATATTAGGGAGAATATAAAGTAAAAGAATTGTATAAATAAAAATTAAGTGTTATTGAAATATATGTATACTAGAATAATCGTAATTTGTTTACCTGTCATAATCTTGCTCCATAAGCGAAGCAAAAGGTCGCTTTTGGGCTTGATTGGTCATGCTAGCGAATGATCGACTCGAATAATAAAAGGAAAAGGTGTTAAAAAAAAAAAAAAGAGAAAAAAAAATATTTTGTGTAAAAGAGTTATCGCTGCGTCATTAGAAAAGAATAGCGGTGTTTAAAACTCAATGGAGATAACATATGTTTTTTTCTTCTTCCCTTTCTCTCATTCTTTTCTTATTTCTTTTTATATATGAATACACGGAAAAGAGCTTACTACAGTACTGTTATTGAAAAAGCGGATTATGGTTTACGACCTATAGACCCCGATGTTTATGGAAATAAGAAACGAGCTACAAGGGATATTATACAGAAGTTACAGCAACAAAATAATGACAATAACGACGAAGAGGACGATAAAGCTTTTGACGATATTGTAGACATGTTTTCAGATACCATTGCCACAGCTCTATACCTTATCAATCAACTCATGTTTCCTCCTTCAGAAAAAAAACAAATTGCCAACAGTAAGTTTCCTCGGGTCTGTTTTATACACCAGATATATAGTATCTTACAGGATAATACTGCGGTCGATAGAGAAATTGTAAGTCATACAAAAGATATAATACACATATTGTTCTATTGACCATTAATTTCTTTTTTTTTTTTTTTATGTACAGCAACAATCTGTGAAAGCAGGTACTTGGCGAAAATTCCATATTGTTGGCACTTTGGATGATGAATATGCGGTGATGGAAACAAAGGACTATTTGCTGACCATTCAAGAAGCCAAGCAAGAATTTATAAAGGATGTTACCGATGGTATTAATAAAGACGGAAAAGATCTAGATCCTGGATTATTTGGTGAGTTTAAATGAAGGAAAAGAATTCTTTTATAATTTATATTAATCACACATGTATTTGTTTAGATCGATTTCAACAACTTGTGCATGATGGACGTTATTTTGACACTACTATTGCTCGACAGGCACTTATCTCACCAAATACAACTTCATCATCAACAGAACAATTCACAGAAAAGGAACTGATTCAATTATGCAAATATGGTCTTTTACTACCTCATATGAAGAAAGATTCTTATTGGTTTGCTATTCGACGACAAGGCACATTCATGTCTTCCTTTTTGAAAGGTCGTACAGAAGTTCTGCGGATGTTGAAAAAACGATCTACAAAGGATATTATGGAAAAGGTAATAAAAAAAAAATCGAACAAGGACATATCAATTTAACTATTTTTATAATAGCTCTTCAAAACCAAGAAACTTCGACAAACAGTATTCAGTCATGATTTTATCTTACATGATTTAATTGGCAGTGGTCGTGTTGAAAGGTAAATTGGAAAAATGGGAATGATGTATATATTACCATCCTATTCAACTTTATTATTCTAAACACAAATATTTAGGCATAAAACAGCTATGGGTGATTTGATCAAACTGACAAAGAAAGGTGAATTGGGCCGTTAGGATACAAGATCAATGATACGATATCGCTCAAAAGAGTAAGGTCATCTTAGACAGCTCTCCTATCTCTTTCTGGTAAAAAGACATAGTATGGTTGTTCGCATATCGGGCTACGATGAACGCAGGGTAATAATGGATTTGAATAAAATTAAGTTTCACTTGTTTCTTACTTTGTCGACATTGAATGGGGGATATTTTACTTTAATTAGTGTTTATTAGAATAGATTATATGTATATCAATAAAATTGGGACATTTAAATCAAAGATGATATGATCTTGATATTACTTATTTTAAATCAGTTCATTACAGAAGCAATTGGCTATTGAAAAAGAGACAAAACTATACAAATATCATGAGCACACCCTATTATTTTCTACACATCTTCCACTGTCTCTATAACGAAACCTGCCTCTACCACAATCAGAGCTATTAAGACATCCGGTGCTCCACACGTAAATGCTCTACATTTATCATCATGTTTTCTGTTCGTACCATGGCAACATCTACCATTCAAAGAGTTTTCTCCATCTTGATTTGATGATGAATGAAGGAAGACGAATCTAAAAAACAAGTTATCTTTTTCTTTTTATTCTATACAAGGATTTCAATACAATAAGATTATAAAAAAAAGAAACTAAACTACATTAACTAACTCTAAAAAATAATATAAAGAGACTGTCGTTCTTTATTCACCATGTTTCACCATCATGGACATGATTTCATAAATCAAATCGGCTGCAAGGTAGCTGGTAAGTTGAGCTTGAGTGTCATATGCAGGAGCAACTAAGGAGATAACATTAAAATGATCATGTCAGTCAGTTACAATATTCTTTTTTTTTTTTTTTTGTGGATTCGTACCTTCAACAACATCCATTCCAACAATATTGTAACCATTCAAGCCACGAAGGATATACTTGAGTTCCCGGGTTAACAAACCACCACTTTCAGGAGTACCAGTTGCAGGAGCCATGCTATAATTTAAAATGAGAGATATTAGGATAAAACAAAAGGTGTGTAAATTTGATCATCCATTTGATTTACCTTGGATCAATAACATCAATATCAATTGAAAGATAAAGCAACGTATCATCTTTTGGACCAATCACTTCCTTGATTCGTTCTACCATTCCTTCCACACCTAATGTAAAGATGTCATTCGCCTTGACCATACGAAAACCTAAAGCTTCATCACGTTGGATATCTTCTTCATCATACAAACTTGATCGAATGCCCACGTGCATTGAGGTACCATTGGTGGTTAAACCTTCTTTGGCAGCATGATAAAGAGGATTACCATGATTGAATCTGGATTGTTTAGCCTTGACATTGTAGATTTCAGGAGCCCTATAGAAAAAAAAAGAATGTCAGTGACGTTTAAACTTCCATCCAAACTTTTTATATGATTAATAGATAACTTTACCAGGTATCAAGATGAGAATCAAAATGAATGACTGTGATAGGTTTCTTGTAGGCAGCACGCATGGCTCGTAAAACAGGCAAAAGAATTGTGTGATCACCACCGAGAGTAACAAGACGTGGAGGAATAGCAATTTCTTGATCAGGCTTAGGAGGACGTTGAAGAACATACTTTGCGTGTGCTTCTATTTGACCCATGGCATGTTCAGCATCAAAAGGTTCAAAGGGAATATCACCACAATCCACTAATTTGGCCCATGATTTGAATGGATTTACCTTGATTTCATAGTTGAAACCCTAAATAATAAATAGATCAATATTTAATATACATATATATATATATATATATATATATATATATATATCATTCTTCTTTTTTTTTTTTCTTTTTTTTTTTCCTACCTTGATACGTTTAGATCCTTCACGGATAGCAGAAGGACCAAAGCGAGCACCAGTTCGAAAAGTAACACCAATATCATAAGGAGCACCAATAACAGCGATATCATAATCTTCCACAATACCTTCTTCAAAGCATTGTAAATAAGGCAAATGAGCAAAAGTAGATATACCAGCGAAGGAAGGCATATAAACATCCTTTTCTAACACAGGACGGTCAAAGTTAACGGGAATATCAGAAGGACCAGAGACAATAGGCATTTGACCAAACACTTGTTCATGTTCATGACCAGCATGACCTAAGACCAATGCAGTAAGACAAGAAAGAGTAATACTTGTAAGTGTAATAAAATACATGTAGAAATAAAACCTTGCGGGAAGAGTATATATAATATAAATAAATAAAAAAAAAAAAGAAAGAAAGAAAGGAAGAAAAACAAAAAACTAAAAAAAATCTATCCTTTATATTCCTTTTTTGGGTGGGGGTAGTTTAGCTGTTTTTTCTTTTTTCTGTGAACGGCGGTTGAAACGGGTCCTTTCTATCCATATCATTGGCTCTTATGACAAATACTGGTCATTATACTTTTAGCTTCAGCTATTTTGTTACTTTTGTTCGTTTGGCTATGTTGATGTTTTCGTACTTTAGCTAGTTCATCTATATTCCCATCGGAAAAGAGAGAACCCGATTTATTTCGATGATTGATAAGGTACACTTTATATATTCTAACATCTTTTTATGATATTGCTTGGTGTGAAAGCGGTAACCAACACTTTAGCATAAATGTTTAGTGGTTCCTGTGCAACTTCATTGGGTGAAATAATATTTTGATCAATGCAAAAAAAAAAAAAAGCCCTTGGTATCAGCCAGGCTGGGACCGGAGGATGAATTTTCGTTGATTTGTTCCTTGTTATTGGTTCGTACAGTTTATTCTGGGTATATGATGTGACTCTCCCGGAGAATTGGTTGATGTGTGCTGTGTATCTTTTTGTGTTCCCAACAGTAATCCTTTTCACTGAGTAAACCCTTCTAGAAATATGATGATGTAGTGCAAGTTAAAGTTATAGTGAACAAGAGTAAAATATATAGATATGAGTAACAAAATCATGTGCTTTATCTGTCAATTTGAAGGCATACAATCTTTTTTTTTTTTTGAGAAAAGTTTATTTTTCAGTCTCCGTGGGTGAGAGAATTCGTGTTTGCTCGCCACTTTTTGTGTATCTCTCTTTCTCCCTTTTTTTTTTTTTTTTTTTAACCACAGCACAATACGATCTTCTCAAATTCAATGATGACCGCGACTAGAACACAGCAAGAGATTGAACAAGATGTCGCAAATATAGACCGCACGTTATCAACGGTAATATTTACATTTATCAAGTAAAAAAAAAAAAAGATGAATATACTTACCATGAATATATTATAGATATCAGAAACACGTTCCTCTTTGCAACATTTTATACGAACAATCAAAAAGAATCCAAATGGTCCTACTTATATCCATCAATTCAGTGAAGGTCTCAACAAGATTAAAAGAGATCTGAATCGCCAGTCAGTGGAAGTGGAAAACTTGAAAGGTAAACTCATTTGTTATTTGTCGTATAGTATCTGCTGTTTCTCGTATTAACGTATTCTTCCTTTTCCTCTCTCCTTTTTTTTGGGTTATTTGGCTTTGTAGTTGCTTTGGAATATGCTCAACAAGTGGCTCAAGTGAATGCATTTGATTGGCCTGCTATCAAAGAGTAAGTCAAATTTAAAAGAATGTATTGTAACGACTTGTCTAACCATCTTTCTTTATGTCTAGAATTATGAATAAGGAAACCACCAACAATGAAGGACAAGTTGATACACAAGTTGAAACAAAAAAAGAAACCGGCAATACAGTGAAAACTGAAGTGGATCGTCTATATAGGTATATTGGGCAATATTGTAATGTAGTTACAAGTTACTGGATATTAATTAATTTTTTTTATCCTAGCGAATTGTCTTCCATCGTTTTGGAAAAGCATCAAACCGGTTCATCAAAAGATCACGATAATGTTCCAATCGATTTTATTACCTCTCATTTCAGCCAATGGATGAATTCGAACAAACATCAACATCATCATATCAGCGGCAAATTTCTGGAACAAGAGCAGTCGATTACCACTGGTTCTACATGTTGTTTACAGGTATATGTTAGAAAGAAAATATGAAAGTGTATAAGACATCGCTAATTTCTTTTTATTTTTTTTTCTACTACAAATGATTAGATTTCTGTGCACAAGGTGCTAACTGCTACAATGGATTTGGAATATCATTACCCATCCGATTCGCTGATCATTCACCGATATGAAATCAAAGGTCCCAAGGAAAATGTAAGTCATCTTATACATATTGTATAGATTTTATTATGATGTAGATCTAATCTGAAATATTTTTTATAGAAACCATTTTGGAAAGAATCAAAGTACAATGTATTTCAAAAGATCACCCTGATTGCTGCAAGAGCTTTCGAAGATATGACGTTACTAAGTGCAAGAGAAGCTCTTCTCGGTTTGCTGGTAAGAAACGGATTAAGGAAAAAAGAAAAATATGCCAAGTCGAAACTCACACATTTTTACCTTACTAAAATATATACAACAGGATTGGCTTTCAAGTTATCATCACTTATTTACTGCTCCATGTCATCGCTGCCAAAAACGCCTTCAATATGATTCACCACAATACAAACATCTACCACCAGTAATACGAACTTGGGTTCAAAGGAAAAACGCCACTGATATACCTATCACGTCAACAACTGTTACGACGCCGTTATCGTCGCCAACGAAAAATGAACCAACTACTGATCATCAAGGAATCACAGGACTTCCTTACCATATTCGATGTTTTAACACTACTGTTTGAACATATCCTTAGATTCTATTGTTGTTATTGTTATAATTTGTATGATATCCCTTACCTTCATGTACATTCATTTTTAGTTTATTTGTTGTTTTTTTTTATGATAATAAAAAGGTTTTATTATACATTGTATTTGTTTCGTTCTCATTCTTGATTTGGTAACCAATTGCCTTACCATATAGATCTTTATAGAAATCAACAGTAGAAATCATAGGGCTATTCCCCCCTTGATCGACCATTAACAAAAATAGATACATAGAGTTATCACCGGTACGCCTTCACAGATATCCCAATACACAAACTTGAACAAGAGTCCAAGAGGGCGAATATCAAGACATTTGATAAACACAACAAAAAAAAAAAAGAGAGAGAGAGAGAGAGACAGAATATGCATGTATATAAGTGATTTTATTCAGTGTATAATTGTAAAAGAAAAAGAAAGAACTAGGAAGGGTGTTGTTGGAGAGGCATATCATTTATTTGGTAGCAGCAAAGATCTTGGGAGCAGCCTACAAAATCAAATATATATATATTAGTAACCTCATCCTATCATATCATTCGCATACGATAATCTATTCTACTTACGCATTCATCAGCACAGTGCATGAAATGGAAGAATTCTTCAATACCTATTTTTTTTTAAAAAAAAAAAAACAAAAAAAAAAAAAAAAAGATCAGTATTGTCTTTTCCTTTGGACATTTGTATCAAATCGTCCCTATCTTTTTTTAAACGTACAGTTTTCAGAAGAGCCATTTTCAACACGTTCATTGCACTCATCGAGGTGGTGCTTAAGAGAAGAACATTGCTTGGCGCATTCTATAATAAAAGTCGAATATTTATAAAAGAAAGAGAGAGAGAGAAAAAAAAAGAAGTGAGTCATATAAATCAATGAATTTTTCCACCACTATCATGACCATTGTATCCGACACAAACACACATATTTATACACAGACATAAGCAAATATAGACATAAATATTCAAATCTTTGTCGAATGGCACTGTTGACATTTACGAACCAAAATAAAAAAAAAAAATAGGAGTCGTTCCAAGAAAAAGAATATATAGATACAAGTGTTCCATTGACGCGTGTATGTATGTATGTATATGTGTGTCGGTCTTTTTGTCTTGTTGCCAAGGTCACTATATTTCCAATAATAATTCAAATGAACTTACCTTCCATGATAGCTTCCTTAGGATCTTCAGGTTCTTCTTCTTCTTCTTCTTCTTCTTCTTCTTCCACTACTTCTTCTTCAGCAGCAGGAGCTTCTTCTTCTACAATTTCGACAGGTTGTTCTTCTTCGTCAGCGTAGACAGTGGGAATGAAAGTAGAGAAAAATTCAGAGAGACCCATGGTGGATAATGTAGTGATAGGAGAGTAGGGAAGTAAAGAAAAGAAAGAGACGGTGGAGTTTAGAAAAGAAAGAAAAAAAAAAATATTACACTGGCCAACCCCTCTCAGTGTTTTCTCGACTCTAGTCAATTGAAAAAAAAAAAAGAAAATTAACCCTGGCTAACCAAGCCACCCAATTCATCCTATCTTTCTAATCTCAATCCAAAAAAAGTAACGGTCCTGAAATCTATTCATGCATATGCTAAGAATTGTTTGTTTTCTTTATTGATTGAAATATGTACAAATGATCTTTTTTTCTTTTTTTTTTTCCTTTTTTTGTTTTACTATGGTAGTATAAAATAATAATAATGAAAAAAGAACCATCCAATATAAGAATATGAAGATAATAAATGATAAAATGATAGGTGTTGTATATACGAAGTTGACGTTGGGGATGTTTAAAAAAAAAAATACAAAACTATAAAGTGGGAGAAGAACCAGTGGAATGAAGTCTAATGTTTGACAAAATGGAATAAACATACGGAGAGAGAGAAGGTTTGCTATCGGAAATGCTGATAAGTTTGATTTCATAAGGTGTGAGATAAGCAGGACTGCTTGGATCTTCTGATAACAATCGAAGTATATGTATTGCCACCAAAGGTACACCCTTGAGTTCATTACATGGTGTTTCTAATACCGATAAGTTATTTGTATTCATCGTTCCTTGTTCGTTATTCTTGTCGTTCTGATCATTGATTCCATTGTTGTCGTCCAACTGTGATGATGTTGATGGTGATAACGTAGAAGGGTAAGAAGAGAATGGAGTTGATTCTACCATTGTTGTCTGAGGTATTTCCGCTATATGTCCAAGTAAATGTGTAATCAACTCGTCTTTTGATTTTATCGATTGTGAGCAGTTATTCCATTCGCAAACATAATCATCAGACGCTTGAATATGATTTTGAATATGGTTTTCCAAGGAAGAAGAGTCACTATAGATATTGTCAGTGCAACCAGCCCATTGACAAAGATAATGTGTGCTCACTAGATTGATATAAATGTAAGTTACAGTATTTTAAATATAGTTTCATTCTTATCCATTCGCTCTTTTTTTTTTTTTTTTTTTTTTTTACGTTCATCATGCAAAATGTTCATTTTGATTTGTAATCCCTTCACACATAAGCCTTCAATCTTGGTACCAAACGTAGATGGGTTTCGAATAATTTGTCCATTTTCCATCACATATGATGGTGGTTGTTCGGGAAATGCAATGGTCAGTACTGAATAAAAATGGTGTATTTTCAAAGCTTTTTCCATGCCAAATCGAGAATAATAGAGTAGATACAAATCATCCAACGACAATGAATGAGTGTGATGAGTTGCTTCAAATTTGTCCTTAAGCCTATATGAAAAAGTGTGTTTGATGAGCGTTTGATTTTATAGCATTTTCCATCGCCTCTTTTTTTGGATATTACCATCCTAAGCAACGAAAAGGTTCTTCAAGAGTTGAATATTCGACCAAACTAGGTATAGGAGTATGTTGATTGCCAAGTCCTATTGTTCCACCAATCATATTACTTGCTGCAGTATTATGGGTATTGACACTACTAATGCTACTGTTGCTACTGGAACTACCACTTGGTGATAAAGGCTGCAACGTCATACTACTGGGTGTCGTTGCTGTTGTCACATCATCTTTGATAAGTTTTGATACATAATATTTAACCGAGAATTGTAATTTGTTGACCAATAATCCAACATAGGCACCTTCATAAGCAGAAAGCATTTGAGATCGACATTCCGCAGAGATATTGACTTGCTGATAAAGATATTCCAAAGAAACACCAACTAATTCTTCATCCGTCGCCAAAAGATTTTGAGCAATACAACCCATGACTTGAGTATTATTCGCCAAAAAAAGTTGATTCAAATCACACATCCCAATGACTGTTAATGCACGAATAGAAGCCACAACAAGATATCGATCTTGAGCATAGATTAGCTTGGTAAGACATGGAATCCAAGGATCATCAGGACCTGCCAAAGGAATATCACTTGCCATGTTTTCCACAATATCAATACAATATCGGCCGATTTCTAATCCACCTGTCAAAGTCGACATATCCAATGTTTTGATCACCAATTCTTTCAAAATAGCATGAGTTGATAACATTGCTGAGTCTGCCTTGCATGTTGAATAATTTCGAATAATATGTAGAACCTTCTTTAATCGATCCATTTTGACAGTTGATTCATCATCTTCATCCAAATCCATAAGACTAGACAAGGTATCATTACTATTATTATTATTATTATCAGAATTGCTGTTTTTGGTACTGTCGATTGGCTGCTTTTGTCGAAGAAATAATTGCCCTTGTTCTAATAACAGTTCCACGAGCATTGGGGTGTTCGAAACAGGTAAAGACTGAGGAGTAGTGTACGTGAGATCGAGCAAAAAATTCAATGCCCAGTCGATATCCTTGTCATCACCAAATCGTAGTGCAAATAGAATCTTTTGTTTTTTCCCTTCTTCCAAAATCACATCTAATAATAATAAAAAAAAATAAGTCATATACCAATACCAAGTTATGAATCTTTAACACAGGTTTATTCTTACCATTGGTTGTTACCACAGACGAATCAGAGGAAAAGTTGTCACCAAAATCATCATTATAAGTTACAGAATCTTGTGATAAAGGAGTTGGTGGATATGTCGTAGTATCTTGAGTAGAGTCAAACACAGTAATGCCATTATCAGTCCTCATCTTTTTTTGCTTCGTCTTTGAAGGTGTACCTATAAAGGTGAAGGATAAGAAAAAAAGAAAGGTATTAGAAATGATAATGTATGGTTTATTTGTCGCATCATAAGAATTAGCTTACGAGGAACATGTTTTCTGTATTTGCTTCCAGCCAAAGTACTGATTCGATGCGCATGCGGTCCTTTGAGTTCTTCTGGTGGTTTCCAAGTCTTTCCATTCACATTTTCTTCTTCCCAACCAAGCTAGATTCATAAAATAATAATAATAATAATAATAATAATAATAATAATAATAATAATAATAATAATAAAAAGAGTGAGATAATCACCACTAGACACCATTCCAATTTCTGTCACACTTACCAGATTCCGAATATAGAGCCCTTTTAGAATATAGGCACTGTTGGTACAGGTAGCAGGAAATTTGAATTGATTACCAACTTGTTTCCATGCTCTCCCTTGTGTCACCTACAGAAAACAAAAAAAAAATGAATTGAGCATTTTTAATTGAACAAGATATAAGGCGTTAGTTAAAAAAATGTTACCTTTTCAAAACCACCAAAACCAAGGACAATCTTGTATAATTTCAATAAATCCAGGCGTTTCTTTCCAAGAATAGGTTCTACCTGTAATGTGGTCCTATATTGGAATAAAGAAATGTGATGTTGGTAATCTATTTATCATCCAATAATTTGTTCTTTCTTTTTACCCTTTTGCTGCATGGAACTGACTAAGATCGTTGATAAAGTTGACATATTCTGCTGAACGTTCTATAGTATTCGTCAGCTTCCGCATTGAAGGGGACGAGACACAATGAATGACAACAAAGTTTGAAAAGGCAGTGCAAAGAAAAAGAGAGAGAAAGAGAGAGAAAGAGAAAGAAAGGGAAGAGAAAAAAAAAAACTAGAATGGCCCTTTTTTCTCGAAAATGCATCTTTCGATACTGGTGGCTTATGGCGGAGGTAGAAATAGATGTCTTTACATACAGAATGTACGTTTTGTGTATGTAATCAAAATCAAAGTAAAGGTTGAATATTTGTGATTCTCTTTTATTCTCTCCATTTTACCATAAAATATCAAATAATTCTGTCAAATATTAAGGTAAATGACAGGAAATTATCATATTTTATCTCGTCTTTTTTTCGAATTGATTACCTAATAAACTTGAACACTAACATAGAATACTGCATAATTCAAAATAATAAAGTCAAATGATGACAATATCAATAATTTACAGAAATATAAAGAGGAATGAATTTGTATATTGATACAGTAATAGAATACAGTCAAAAGTTCAACTTTATTGAAGAAACTAATCAAACAATATCAATAAAGAATCTAATATATATATATATATATATATATATAGACTAAAACTAAAAATTACCAATCCTTCAAAATCATTTGAATCTTTTGTAAAAATGTGTCGATAGTACCGTTGCCATCAAGATTATTATTGTTCTTAACTATTTGCTCTTGTCCTTCCATTGTCACATCTTCGTTGTTGATCTCATTTTCATTTTGGTCGTCCACCATCTTGATATCATCCACCGTGCTTGATAATTTCGCCATGACATCCTCTTGTTGTTGCTGCTGTTGTTGTAGTTGTCGTACTTTTTGTTGTATCCAAGGCATTCGTGTTCCCAAACTTTTAATCAATTTTTCCAGCTTCGTTTCATGAATATCCTGTCGCCAATATTCACCAAAAATAACCTTTTCAGGGGATGACTTGTATTCAATAGGCAATTGTAACTAAAACAGTAAAAAAAAAAAAAAAAAAAATTAATTCGCTTTCCTTTTTTTTTTTTTTCCTCCTCATCGTACTCTTTTGATTATTCTTTCATAATTATATATGCTTACCAAGCGTTTTTCTTCATCCACAGAAAGCTCTTGGTCTTCTAGGAGATCATACACCAGTCTTTTTGGTACCCTTTGTGCATTCCAATCGCTACCCACATGAAACCAATTGATAACAGATGCAGAGGCAGGAAGTCGAGGATCATAAGGACCAACGATAGCGCCCACAAATGGTTCTAATACTGATGTTGATGATGATGGTGATGTCGTTGATGGTAATGGTGACGACGATGATGATTTTGGTGCTGGAGGTGACGATTGAGAGTCTTCATTGTTATTTATGAGGGACCCATCATCTGTTTTCGAATCCTCGTTGCCTGTTGTGGTTGTGGTTGATGATGATGTTGCCATTGCTGTATCTACGGTTGTTGTCAGAGTAGGACCACATTCATCTCGGCAGAGTCTTTGATAATTGCATTGGTTTTCAATATCCACCAAACTTGGATCAGGAATAAAGGTTGGATGAGAATGATACCAGCCCACTACCGTCATATTTTTGTCTTCAATCAATTGTCGAGTCTCAAGTGCACTTGTAGGATCCATTTCCACATTCACATCATTTTGACCAGTATTAAGAGATCGACATGGATAAGCTTCCTTGACCAGAATGCCTAAATAAGAGATAAATTGATAAGTAATTCTAAAACTATATAGGCCGTCCTTCTTTCTCATTTTTTTTTTGTTATTCAATACTTACGTCTCGTTGTCTTATCCCACTCGCCAGCTAAAAAACCGATAATTTCCGTTGTCATCAAGTGTGCATGAAAATCCATTGTCAGCAATACATTTGAATGGACAGACATTTCAAATGGTTGAGAACCTTGAATGTTCGAGCCTGGTTTGCCAATAAAAGGTTCACATTTCACCATGGTAAGAGGATCACTATGAAATAATAATAATAATAAAAAAAAAAAAGGAAGAAGCATGAGTTCAAAATATCAAAATTTTAGAAATATTTTTCTTGTCACATATTTTTTCATTCACTTACTCATCCTTGCCTAGTTGATTATAATTTATTGAATTTCTGCTTCTTGGTCGTCGAAGTCTGGAAGATGCATAATTGGTACGTCCATTATCTTCATAGATTGTATCAGGAGAAGGTGAATTACTGCGAGATTTTGACTTGGTTGATTTCTTTGTCCTATACAAAATAAAAAAAAAAAAAAAGTAACTTGATTATGAACAAAATTCTCTATATTAAAAGTAGTATATGTTGAATATTACAATGATCTTACTTTTTAGAGGACGTTGTAGTGGAAGATGACGATGGTGATTGCTTCTTAGGTGAGGGAGACTTGCCATTCATAGAGATTGGAGTTGTCGATGGTGATTGTTGCAATGGTTCCATAGTGGTATTCCCAACATTCAGATCCGTTGTTACTTGTTCCGGTTCTTTGTCAGGCTTGGTGTTTTCTATCTTTTTTCTATCCAAAGTATTTTCTTCAGGTCGATCTACTTGCATAGGTTCATCAGCGATAGGTTCAGTAACAATTGGTTCTGTACGTTTAGGTGCAACATCAGTTGGAGTTGATTTCGTTCCCATAGCCATGCGATTCAAATATGGTTTGGCAGCAGCTGAATCAGGATCCAAAGGTTTACCAGACAATGTGAACCCTTCGCCACTTTCTTTTACCTACAAAATCAAGTAATGGTCAGTACTTGATCACACATAACAACATAGAGCTGATCATCGCATACCTTATCTGGTAAAGGTAGATTGTCCCGGTACAGTTTGATGAAATGTTTTTGAGCATGACTTCGAATAGAGTGAGGATCACGAGTACCCATATGTCGTGAAAGCTATGAAAAAAAAAAAAGAGAGAGAAGTCAGTCATGATAATCAACTATCAAGCACTTTGATCTTCCTCCATCATAGTTATAATTTACATCATTCCAATTTCGGCCATGTAAATTCAGACCTTCCAAAAACAAGACTTCTTCTTCATCAGTGTAGACACCAGTTTTGAATCCAGGAGGCAAGGGCTTTTTGACTTTTTTGATTTTTTCCACTTTTGGCGCGTCGTTGACTTCAGAAGGTTGAGAACCATCAACATTTGGTGTAGCTGCTTTAATGTCTGATGGAACATTTGAAGCATTATCATTATCGATAGCTGCATTCTTTCGTTTCCTTCCTCGCTGTTGTGCTTATGAAAATTAGAAAAAAAAAAAAAAAAGGTGTGAATCAGTCATCCAATATCTTCGTTTTTTTTTTACACTTTTTTTTTTTTTGCTTATAAAGGGAACTTACGTTCTGCTTTCTTAGCCTTGGTCTTCTTTGATTTTCCATATCGCTTTGGTGCATAATCATCACTATCATCTTCTTCGTAGCTATCATCAAGGTCATGACTACTTCCACGGTAACGGTCATAGTGTCGCGAGTCGTTACTGTATTCTGCATAGTAATCACTACCACCATCATGCATTGCGTCTTGAGCCAATAATTTTGCAATGAGGGCTGAACTCATTTCTTCTTCTTCAGCTTTAGATAAGGTTGCTGTATCGTCTTTTTGTTGTTTCTTTGGTGGCATGATATATATCTGTTGAGAAGTCTATAGAAAGAAAAAACAAGATGGTTAATAATAAAAAAACAAGTTTTCTCTATATTGAATAAATGGGTTGTCTGCAAGCATAAAAATCCATTTCCCGAAAAAAAAACTTCCCAAAAAAGTAAAATCATGCTACGCATATCTATCATTCGTCCGTATTATTGATATTGTTGATATAAAAGTACTTACAAGTTTTGAATGATAACTTGTTGAGAGTCAGCCAGATATGAAAAAAAAGGGGGGTCGCGTCTGTGTTTGTTATATGAATGCTTTTTCAGACCAATAGAGGAATATGGTTTCAAATTAAAGTAAAATTAGTTTAAAGTAAAAAAAGGAGTATTCAACAAGTCTTTAATTTTACGATAAAAAGGATGTACAAGTGATAGAAGAAATAAAAGAGATAAAATGGTCTTATTTTTGACAGAAAACAATTGAAAAATAACCTAAATACGCGTCGGGCGGAGATAGTCACGAAAATTGAGGACCGAAGATCAATCCCTCCCAGTAAGCAGCAGCATCATCAAGAATTGTCAATCAGCACAATTTATTCAATATATGAAAATCAAGTACTATTACTACTAATACTATTACTAATATTATTGCTACTAGTATTCTTTAAATATTCTACAAACTAAAAAAAAAAAAAAATCATGAGTCATCGATTCATTAGTCAAATTTATAAGATTTACTTACTTCATCAATCAAAATTGGCCAAGCACCTTCAGCATCATGGGTATCAATGTCAAAATTGGGTTGAGTGGCAAAATCCAGAAACTATATATATAAGATGTAATAAAATAAATAAATAGTAGACTATATATATATAATTTGTTCTTACCAAGGTCCATGTGTCACGAGAAATTGCCTTTCGATGTTTTTCCTAAAATGATGTAAAGATAGTTTGATCAATTATGTTCATCAACTTAATATGATTACCTCTAAAAATGTAATCCATTGATCAAGACGATCGTATCGACCAGCTAACAATAACTTCCATAGTTCAACAGCAGCATCTAATGCTATATAATAAAAAAAAATTAATTAATTATGTATCATGATTCATAAACAATATTTGATCTTACCCAAGTTCTTTTGTCCAGTTTGTCTTCCAAATAGAAATGCATAATTGTAGATGTTTCTAAAATAATTGACATCCTTCAAATTGTTTTGAAAGTCATTGGTCAAGGCATGTTTAAGTTTTGCCACCGAATCACAGTGTAATGAAAGACATGCTTCAACAAATTCTTGACGACTAAATTCACCCATATGTTTTGATCCAAGATGATATGATAAGAGTAAAAAATCTAATTGAGTAGGATCGATACCAAGATCTTGACATAATTCCATTGTTCCATCTACAGTAATCCAACCCTTCTTGTCTGGATCTATAACAAAAAAAGTTTGATAAATTATATTCCTTTCTCTTGTACCCCCTTATTCAAAAAAAAAAAAAAAATCATATCCTCTCCTTGATTTTATACCTTCATATTTGTTAAATATTTCTTGAATAGCCTTGGTTTGACTAGAAGATGCTTTTGGTTTGTTTGACGGTTTTTTTGTTGATGCTTGTTCATAGTATAAGTTGAGAGCACTATTTACATCCCAATTAGAGTGTCTTAAAAGTCGTTGAGCCTCTTTTTGACTATCAATGTATATATATATAAAAAAAAGGAGGGAGAGTGAATATCATAACAAGTTTCTTAGTAATAAATATTTACCTAGTATTAGTAAAGTCCATCAATAGTTTCGTCTTATCGTCTTGTGAGCTGTTTCGTATAAATGACTGTAATTGGTAAGTTGTTTATTTGAAGAAGGTAAATGAGTAAAAGTTCAACTTTTTATTTTATCCTTTTCTTCTATGCTTGAATAGTCATACCATGAGTGTAAAGATTACTTCAATAATAATTTAGATAATGGAAAAAGAAAAAGAAAAAAGCGGAAATTGAAACAAATGCGTTAAAATTATGTTTGGGCTCAAAAGAAAGCGGCTTGCCGAAAAAACACGCTTTCTATTTTTTTTTCTCAACTTTTTGAACCCCTTGTCTCTTTTTTTCTTTGTTTCTTTTTCTTTTTAATTGTTGAAAACCATATCCATGCAACGCCCTGCTCTTCTGGTCTCAAAACAGTGGGCAGCAGGTCGCTCTTCATTGTTAGGCTACATTCAAAACAGGAAATACGTAGGCCTCGCGTACAGTCAACCTTCATCGACTATCCAGACCGTTGATCGTTCTTTAAAGTCCTTTGAACATACTTCTACTGGAACAACAACTCCAAGCACTATCTCAACTGTTGGTCAAGGTATAATTTCATCCTGTTTTTCTTTTTTTTTTATTGAGTACAATAAAACTGACATTTTTTTTTTTTTATCTTTTATTGAAAACATAGATGCTTCGACTGAAGATTATTCAGAACCTGCTTTTGAAATTGTATCCTCAGGAGTAGGTAAATAAAGCGATCATCTATTTAAACCTATATACAATGTGGTCTTTTATTAAAAGAACATTCTTAATCTTATCTTCTTTATCATTATTATATATAGGATCGGCTTTACTTATCAAGGTAAAAAGGAAAGGAAGCAAAACTGTGGGTAATAACAAGCCTTTATATTCTCTTTTTCTTCATTTAGATGCCTCCCGAAACTGAAATTACTGCTTCTACTGGATCTGCTTTGGGTTCGTCTGGTCGAGTAACTTCGAAGCTTACTTTAGATGGCAATGCTGTAAAGGCTACTGGACGCAAATTGATAGGTGATCCTCTCTTTTACCAAAAGGTCTGAAAATAAGAATAAATAATTTATTATCATGGATGACAATTCTAATTAAAGTCAATTTTTTTTTCTCTTTCTTTATAGTTTTATACCAAGCAGCAACCTGGCGATATCTTGCTGGCGCCTAATCGTATGGGTGAAATCACTACTATTCAGTTACGTGGTTCAACGAAATATGTTCTTCGACGTGATGCTTTTCTTGCCAAAACAGAAAAGGTGACTTTAGATGTTGGTATGGATGGCGTGAAAGGAAAACATACTGTAAGTGACGAAAATATAAAGGGGAACTATATATAAAAAAAAAAATGGACGACCCTTACGTTTCTACTTTGTTGGATGATCATCATAGGGTTTAGCTAATAAATTGGTACATACTGTGACTGGTCCTGGTACAATTGCTATCTCTCATTACGGCGGTTTATATAGACTTTCCTTAGCAGCTGGTGAAGAATATCTTGTCAACCCTAGGTAAACCAAATAAAACCATTATTCAACTAGATTTTCTCATTATCTCTTTTAATAGAAATTTGATATTCTGGGACAAGAGGACAGCTCCTACTCGACTTCATCCCTCGGATCCTATTGTACCTTCACCTCGCTCACCTTGGAGACGATATGCAGTTGTCAGAAATATTGCCGAAAGTCCATCTTTTCAACCAAAGCTTCAATATATGAATAGTGTGGTCAAAACTCTTCGTAACTTCATACTTGGGGCTCCCGTAAGTCTTCACATTCTTCATATAGAACCAATACAAGAATAAACTACTGACATTCCTTTTTTTTTTTTTTAATCATACCCCACCACAATTCAAGGACTTTGTCAAGCTGAAAGGTCCTGGTGATTTCTATGTTGCTTCTAGAGTGGAACCTCGATTTGAAAGATCAAGATTGTAAGTATAAAGAAAATGATGAAAAGCGAAACCATGTCACTTATTATTTTAATTTTTGGGGAAGATTGAATGCCATTGCAGCTATCAATGATTCTTCATCACAATTATTCGAACAATCAACTATTTTCCCTGATCCGGCACCTGGACAAGAAGCAACCTCAAGTCATCTAGCCGCTGCTTCTGCTCTTCTCAACTTTGGCAAAAAGAAACATCATCCTGGATATGCTGAAAAATCAACCAATGGCAAACCATCATTTTATGCTGAAGTTGGACCCAATGGAAAAGTGACCTTCATCTCCACCAAAGAATAAGTACCATCCTTTCTTTCATCTTCTCATTATTTATCAACCTTCCCTATCAACTTAGAACTAAAATTTGACCTTTTTAGTTTAGTAACACTTTTTGTTCTGTTTTTGTACCAAAATAAACTATTCTTTATTTAAAAAAAGAATGGATATGACTTTTTTTGTATTTCAAATCAATCATAAACATATATTCAAACTACATATATAAAAGGGAGGGGTAATAACAATGATGTCAATTACTTTCGATAGAATTGACGTTTGAAATGGAACCAAAGAGACAACACCCCCCTATCGAATGTACATTTGAATCCTTTCTTGTGAGAGTATTCCCATTCCCGCTTGACAATTCGGAAAGCGATATCCTAATATAACATGATAAAATCAATCAATTAAAAAGAAAGGCTTTTTTTTTGGTTAAAATAAACTTACTTCATAAGGTGGACCAGCCTGGAAACGGATCAAAACAGTATCAGGAGATTCAGGGTCTTTTTCAATAAAGTAGGTAGGAGCTTTTGACTTGTCAATCAAATCAGGATAAAATATATTAAATCTACAAGATAATTGGATGAGTATAACATAAATAAAAATCAAGTTAAAAAAAAGAATATCATCGACTTACTTGTAACCTTGCACAACTATTGGATTCGATCAATTATAAATTAAAAAAAAAAAAAGGAAAAAAAAATTAGTATTTAATTTCCACAAACATGTATTGATTATATGACGTACCTTTTGGAGGAGGATTATCAAAGTCATAATGAGTTTGATTATACTTGTTCCATTCGTAACCAGTATGCACACGATTGAAATATCTTGGTTTTCTTGGTCTATATTTGTCTTGCCATAGATACGTCTAATGAGACAAAAAGGAAATGAATCAAATAGTAAATAATCATTACTTGCCTTTTTTTTTCAAAAAAAAAAAAAAAAATGTCTCTTACCTGTTTAGCCAATTCAGCTTCAATATTAAAGATAGCCTCATCATCATCAATGCCGTTAGCTTTCTCCTTTTCGTATAAAACTGATGATGCCACAGATCCATCCATTGGCTGAGGTTCCTTTGGTGTTTCTTCTTTCTGTTTTGGTTGTCTGGGAATAATCTTGGTAGATAATACTTTTCTTCTTTGCGCAATCTATAAGAAGAAGAAAATGGTTATTGACTACGATAACAAAAAAAAAAAAAAAAATCAAACTTATTCTTACCAACTGTTTCATATCTTCAATAGGATCCAAAATACTTAGTTCGGCTTTATCTGATCTTGAGATTTGTTCCATTGGTTCAGGACTCATCTCACGTTCATAAGGCACCACTACATCTGATTTTTGATTGTCATCTTGCAAAAATGCCCTATCCTGTTGTTCAGCCAATACTTGATCCACAGCTTCAGTAGCAATTCCTTCACCTGGTCCAATACCTCGTCCTTCTACTTCCGTAGCTTGCATAGATAAAACTGCACCCAATTCTTGTTGGACTTTGAGAGCCTCTTCGTGTTGTTTTTCACGTAGTTGTTGCAATCGTTTAGCCAATAATGCTTGATGCATTGTGTTAAGTCGTGCCTTGGCTTTGTATACCACCAATTCTTTGAGTAAATTTTCCCAATATTCTACATCGATTGGTTGATTGGATGCCAGTTTAGCCATGACTTGTTGTTGAAGTACCATCAATTGTTCATATGTTTTGCCTTGTAAGATTCGATGAATATCCTGGTTCACTGATCCAGCCACTCCACCAGTAGCAACTCTACTATTATCTGCTTCCAATTTTTCCAGTTTGTCCTTAGCTACAATCATCATTGCACGCCAAAATTCCAATGTTTGTTCATTCTTTTCCAGTCCAAGATGCATTTCTATATCCTGTTCAAGTTCCTCAGTGTCTTCTAATGATAATGACTATCATAGGAATCAATTATTATAAATGATGATTAATTAAAAAAGTTTTATGAACGTCTGAAAGTATACTACTTACGTCAAAGATGGTATAAGGTTCTTCCAAATCAATTTCCAATTCTACATCATCTTCGATCTTATCAGGTTCATTTGCTAGTCGTAAATTCATTGCCAAAATATCAATAGGTTTTGCACGTCCTTCTTTGATTCGAATTTCCGCACGTCGTTTAGCTTGTTCAAGATGGAACTAGATAATATAATAAAATATTGAATATTTTCTTCTTTTTTTTTTTTTTTTTTTTTTTTTACCTCTTCTTCTTTGGCATGCCAATCACCCATTTGAGCAAGTTCAGCATCACGTTGTTTCTGTTCCATTTCTGCTTCACGTTGTTTTCTTTCGAGTTCCCGTTCAGCCCTTCGTTTATTAAGTTTGGCCAATTCTTCATCAGCTTCTCGTTTTCGTTCCAGTTCACGTCGCTTGAGTTCTGCAATTCCAAGTCCAAGTTCCTTTCGATCACGTTGTTTCTTCTTTCCCCAAACGAATTTTGATTCCAGATTAATATCATTGAAAGGATTGTTCACATTGGAATAACCGAGTTGTTCTAAAGAAGGTCGAGAATTGCTGGCATATTTATCAAGATCATCGTCAATCGTATCATCGTCTCGTTTACTATGATAACGGTGTTCCTTTTTGGATTTCTTGCGTTTTTTATCTTTGCTACGTTGTCTGTCTGGTGATTCTGATCGATGTCGATGTCTAATAATAATAATAAAAAAAAAGTTAAAATTGGCGAATTTTTTTTTTTTTGTTATAGTAAATGATACATACTTGCTCTTTCTTTTATATTCATCTTTATATCTATCCCGACTATCGGATCGGTCTCGTCGACTATATCTTTCTGGTGATCGAGGCATTTTCAGTTGTACATCAAAAACAAAATAAAGAAAAGAAAAAAAATCTCAGCAGCAAAAATCGTAAACAATATAAAATACTTCTGCGTCGGCGGAGTGACAATAGAGTACTTTTTTTTGCAGGAGAAAGAAAAAGGAAATTTGAAAACAAAAGAAAAAAAAACTTTCTTTCTTCTTCTTCTTCTTCTCCTATCTTGACAACAACATAATAAATGGCAAAAGACGAACTAGGTAATGATTAATATATATTCAATTACCGTATACTTATTATATTTTGATATTATTTAGAGAAATACTTGGCATACTTACCAACGCGTAACCCACGACCTCATTCCTCACCATCACCTCCTACTACTGCAAACAAGCCAAGAATTCGAATTCAACAAAGAAATCAACAACAACAACAACAACAGTTTTCTCGAATATCATCAGGTCTCAAAGGTCCTCGTGATCTCTCTACAAAGTCGACAACAATTGATTCACCTCGGCGGACAGGCACTCCCGATAGTTTTGGAATTAGCAGTAGCAGCAGCAGTAGCATTAGAAGCAGGAAGAATGACTTTTTGGACAATGTTGACAATGATATCATTCAAGGAGAAGGTCTTTTGCAAATGGTGAATGGGCTTGATCTTAAAGAACCTATCGAAGATCTTAGTTACTCAGTAGCGTCTTCGGAATTTCCTATACAACAAGACGACAATGATGACAACAAAAGTAATATTTCAACAACTGAACATTCACTTTATTCAGCCACTGGGAAACATCAACTAGAACACACCAGCGACAAACATGAAATTGAAACCATTATTGACAGATCAACAACTGAAAACACAGTAGAACAGGATAAACAAAATCTGGAAAATGATTCGATTGGCCCATCATCATCCGTACATACCGTGGGTGGCAGCAAGACTCATTCATCATCAGCACAGTCAAATACATACCATCAATACCAGCAAATTGAGGATAAGCCTCCTATACCAACATTCTCTTTTGGCAATATCAGCAATGACAATGACGGGATGCCACCTATACCAACATTCTCCTTTGGGAACACTGACGATGATGTCAATAGTGACATGAACAACAACGACAAGCAGGATGATGTACTCAATTTGGCCCTTGGATTACGATGTGGTGGATGCGACAATCTTATCAGTGGTATGGCTATTACTGCAGCAGGACATCGTTGGCACGCTGATTGCTTCAAATGTCAACATTGTCATCAAGACTTGGAACATGTGGCGTTTTATGAAAAGGATGGATTACCTTACTGTGCATTGGATTATCATGAACTATTTACTACGCGATGTGATTATTGTCATACACCTATTGAAGAGGTAAGAAAGAAAGAAAGATAAAAAAAAAAAAAAAAAAAAAGATAATTTATTCCAATTCATCGTTTGTCAATCTCCTAGAAATCCATTACTGCCCTTGGAAAACACTATCATGTTGGACACTTCTTTTGTAGGGAATGTGGCAAACCTTTTGATGAAGATGGCATCTTTATGGAACATGATGGTCACCCATACTGTGAAAAGGATTATTTAGCCAAATTCTCACACAAATGCAAAGGATGTAAAGAAGAAATCACTGGTGATTTTTTGGAAGCCCTAGATGGAAAATGGCATTTAACTTGCTTTGTTTGTGTAGTAAGTAAATCATCTTTTTATTTATTCAACTAAATTACTCATTTAAACTTTTTTGATTTATTGTTTAGGATTGTGGAAGAGCATTTGAATCCAATACATTTTATGTTAGAAATGACTTGCCTTATTGTGAAATACATTCGCGACGGATTAAGAAATCACCATAGTTTAGAAGATAAGTTTAGTACACTCTTAATAAACTCTCTTGTTTATAGTTCTTCAACAATAACGTCCCATTGTACGCATCTTCTCAGATTTATTGAAAAACGAAATGACAAAACTTAAAAAAAAAAATATCTATGATGATGACGATATTGATATTCATCTTTTTTTTTAATTTACTCGAAAACACAGATAATAACCTCTAAATGATATTAGACAAAGCTGAAGAAAATAAGATGTTTTATGTTGTGTTCAAATTTGGTACGATGATGATCCGTTTTGAGAGAGAAAGGGAAAGGCAAAGTTTGCTTGCCCGTTTGTATGCAGGATGAAAAAAATGGGATCAGTTTTTGGATTTTACAGCCAAAAATTTGAAACTCCTCAGCCAAACTTTGGCTGTAAAAACAAATCGTCGAGGGTACATCAGGCAATTTTTCAAAAAATCGATGAAATCTTTTAGTGTTGATTGCACATTAGGCGGCAAGTGAAGCGATAAAATGAAGTTAGATGCTATTAAACTACTTTTTTGAGAGGAATTGAATGGTAATAGTCTTATTGGATGATGATCATTATTGGATGAGGCATGGTGATACCTCCGTTTCATTTTTTAATTTATTCTAGAAATTAAGAGGTAAGATATAAACTAGTACTAAGATAACTGAAATAGAAAGGTTTCATCCATAGTTGGTCCAAATCTGGTAGGATGATGATGATTTTTGAGTGAATTACAAAAAAGTATAAAGAGGTCCAGGTCTGCCAGAAAGAGAGACATGGATTTCGGACTGCGAAACTTCGCATTGTGCTTTTTTTTTTTTTTTTTTTTACATAAAAAAAAACACTGCGCCTTCTTTTCCTTCTCTTTATTTTTTTTTTCCACCTATAATGGTCACATCTAAACGAAAAAGAAAAACAGGTAAATGTCAAAAGAAAAACAGTAATATATGTGATATTGTGAACTAATAGTTTCTCTTTTGATTCACTATGAAGTAAATTTATCCACTAAGAAACGACCACAACGACGTACTACTGCCACTCGCGCCTTGACCGAACACGATAGTGATGCTTCCTCTGCTTCAGATTATGAAGAAAAAGTCGACAATAACAAAGAAAGCAAAAACGACGTGAATACTGATAATCAAAGCGACAACGACGATGATGTTATACTTACTGCTGATGATTTCAACCCACCAAAGATCAAAGTGCCCGTTCCCAAAGGCAGCCCATTTCCTGATGCCATTTCACCAGCTTCTATGACATTTATGGCCACCTTGATAGAAAATAATGATAGAGAATTCATGAAACTACACGAGGTAAAAAAAAAAATCGAACTGAAAAAGTCGTTTGTGCAAGTATTGACGATGTCTTTTTCTATCTTTCATATACAAGGAACAATGGAAAGCAACCAAGAAGGATTTTATGGATTTTGTAGATTTATTTGCCAAAGAATTACATCAAGTGGACCATACTACTCTTGTACAACCTGCCAAAGAAGCGATATATCGTCAACAGTAAGTTAAAAAAAAACACACAATTTTTCTTCTTCTAATGACTATATTTTTTTTTTTTAATTAGCCGTGATCTTCGATTTACAAAAGACAGAATACCATACAAAACAACACTTAGGGCTTCATTTACAAGAGAAGGCAAAACATCACCGTTACCAGGATATCATATCTCTCTAAAACCTGGAGATGAATCGGTCGTGGCTATAGGTGTGTTTCAACCCCAACCTGATTTGAAACAACGGATGCGTTCGGGTATCATGCGACAAGCTAGTCTACTTCGTGAAGCACTATCTACAGAGGCAATACAAGATGTGTTTGGCAAGGACAATGTTGGTGCTGGATTATTGGATCAAAGAGATCGACTCAAGGTGGCTCCCAAAGGTGTTGCAAAGGATCATCCGGATATTGATTTGTTACGACTCAACTCTTTATTCATCATCAAAAAATTCAAGGATGTAGATGTTGTTTCTGAAGGGTTTTTGGACAAGGTTTTGGATGTATGTGATGCTCTTTTACCATTTGTTACTATATTGAATTCTTGGATGGCTTGATCACTTACTTGGGTTTACTTCCTTTTTTTTTTTATGTTGTCCTGATATCTACTATCATTTACTCCCCATATAGTCACTTTTTTTTTTTTTTTTGAGCATAGTATATAATCATCATCATTTTTTTTGGAACTCTTCTTTCGAAATAAAAAAGATCTACGTTTGCATTTTTTTGAATATTAATAATAATAATAATAACAAACATATGTCATATGTTTTTTATCGTTTTGTCTCAATTTAAAGTAAATTGTCATTTTGAGGATAATACACAAGTTAAAATAAATTCTAATAAAAAAAAAAATTTTTTTATTATTATTACTAAAAAAAATGAAGGGGGGAATATGGACTATTACTACAATATAGATAAAGGTACAAATGATAAATTGGAAAAACAGGAAACTATACTAGAAGAAAATAACAAAGATACCAAAAAAAAAAAAAAATCAAAGCCATTCAAGTCGTCTTGAATAATCCTATTATTTCGTCATGACCCGTTTTCGTTTTGATCCAGTAGAAGCGGTTTTTGTTGATCCAGAAGCCATCGTCATCAAACTACTATCATCCGTGTCATCTTCTTCCACTTGCACATTCTTCAAGCCCATTATGTATTGTACCAAAGATTCTTCTTCTTCAGGTGTATCATAAGGTCGTTTGCCAGTACCATGAATATGACAGGTGAGAGGATCCAATTTGACTTCATCATCCAATGGTGTTGTTGCTAAAGGATCTGCATCCACCATCCATCCATTACCTATTTGTTGTTGTTGATTCTTTGTTGTTTCTTGTTGTCCTTCTTCTTTTTGACCTACTTTCCATATTTGATACCCGTAGCCACACTCGTCTTCTAAAAATTGTCGTCGTCGTTCTGAAAAAGTAACTTCATGGGTATCGCTCGTAACCATTGTATAAAACCGAGAATAAAAACCTTTATCGTTTCGTTTCTTTGCACGTAAAACACGACCTAGACGTTGAGCTTCTTGTCGCCGAGAACCAAAATGAGAAGAGACCTGAATCAATACAGTAGCTGCAGGTAAATCCAAACTGGTATCGCCAATACGAGACAAAAAAAGAGTATTGATTTGTTTGGCTCTTTCAGCCCGTAAGACCGCCATTTGAGACCATGTCAAAGGTTCACCATTTTCATCCACCGTAGGGATATGAGCATCTATTTGGAATCGTTTCAAAAGGGCTTGAGCTTCAGGAGTAGAAGTTCCACCATAAATATAAGGTCGACCTAATTTTTCCGCATATAACTTGAGAGCTTCAATATGATCGCAATATACCAAAACCTTATCACCCATTGCTTCATGATATTGAATCAGACGTTGACATAATTGCATTTTTTGAGGGTTGAGAATGGCTAATAAACTTTTCATATGATGTCGTTGACCAAGGAAGGAATGATTTTCGTCGGAATGCTTTTCACTGAGTTCATCGTATGCTTGTAATAGACGAGGCGAGAGTCGAGATTCCACTTGAGTACAAATCACTTTGGCGATATAACCACGGTCGGCTAATTCTTTCCATTTTGCTTGATATAAAGTAGGACCTACAATTGTTTCTAAATCACCGATTTTCTCATCTTCACGTAACATAGTCGCTGTTAACCCCAAACGTACTTTGGTCTTGATTTTGGTGATCGCTTTACTATAGTTAGCAGCCGGTCCACAATGTACTTCATCCAAAATAATCAATCCCCAATCCATCTTTTCCACAAACTGCGCCATTCGCTTGCTGTCAGCCGATCGATTCTTGTTTTCCACCAACATCGTATAGGTAGTGAAGAGCACACCAGAGACACCATTGAAAGGCCATTTTTTGTTCCCAGCAAACATACCCATGCGTGAAGCCATCAAAGTTGTTGAGCGTAGGAATTCTTGTTGAAACTGTTCAGCCGCAATGATAGTTGAACATACCACCAAAACTGATTTCTGTACCGCACAAGCCACGAGAATAGATGTCAACGTCTTGCCAGCACCACAAGGAAGAACAATGATACCAGAGTGGGCGATTGAGTTTTCTTCTAATATCTTTGTGAGAGACTTTTCATTATCATTGTCGTTTTGAGAAGGATCTTGAGATGAGGTAACAGCTGAGAGTGCTTCTAATTGATAGGGGCGAGGTTCAATGGTTGATTTCAAGCCTATTTCCAAGTGAGGTAATTCATTGTCGTCTTTATAATGATAACTAGGTAAAGCTGCCTTGGGAACAGAAGATCGATTAGTAATATTGATTGAAGATTTTGCTGCTGGTTCCTTATTATTCAGTTTTTGTCGCTTTTGATCTGCCGAGCGTTTTTGTACAATAGAAAGTAAATTGGCTAAATGCTTTTGATGACTGGCTTGAGATCCGCCTTCTATATTTCCAAGAACCATGATCTATTTAATAGTATCAAGTCCAATAGAGAAAGATAAAGCAAAAAAGAAAAAGAAAAAGAAAAGAAAAACAACAGAAACAAAAAAAAAAAAAAAAAAAATGTCTTGCCTCCCTTTTTTTTTTTTTTTTTTTTTCTCGCTCAACTCAAACTTGTAGTTCGTCCAATTTGACCTTCCGCATATGTGTTAGCAAGCATAATTGTATTTTTCCTGTTTTATAAAGATGATCTTGTAAATTGATGAGCCTGTAATAATTATGATGATTTTGTGATGATGAATACTGTGATGGAAATAATTCTTATCGTGTTACTTTTTTTTTATACTCATTCTATCTTTTTATCTTCACGATTTCATCTCTGTTTTTTTAGTGAATACTTATTTGCTATATATGACACTTTTTTTTCTAGATGATAGTAAAATATTTAGAACTTTTCTATAACAAACATATTAAGCAATGATGATGGACAATGCATTTTCGATATGAATCGGAACTTTTTAAATCAACAAGTAGATCTTCACTATAAGCTTATTAGATCAAATTCTTCTTTTTTTTTTTTTCTTCTTCCTTTTTTTTTTTTTTTTCCTTCTTTATTATTATTGTTGTTATGTATGCCACCGTGACCAATCCATTGCTTCCATCAGCAGATGAAAAATCATCCTTACGTCGATCTTTTTCTACTAATATGGCACAGAAATGGACTGACTCTAAAATGCGTCAAATGTTAATCTCAAAGAAAACTAAACGGATTGTACCATCACCTACAAAAATCCTTAATCTGGAGTCATCTAAAGAAAAACTATCACAACAAAAACCAATACCACTTTCACCCAAAACATCATCCTTACATACCATCACTGAACATCAATCATCGCAGAAAGCACCATCTGTTCATTATAATGGTTCATTGGATACACTTGACCAATTTTCTGATGAAACCCTGGATTGGTTATATGAACCATCTTCTGTTGAAAAACATTTATCACCTTGGCCAACTCCTCAATCCATCGTTTTACGTAAACCATACACCAAATTTCAAAATTAGTAAGTATCTATCATTCTTCTTTCTTTTTTTTTTTTTATTTTTAATTATTATTATTATGTTACTAATGGATTCATATATCTAGTAATTTGATGAATAATCCATTAGCTATGGTCTATCTAAGAGGTAATATCATCATGTTAATTCTTTACAAAATATTGATTCTTCGTTTTATACAGTGATTGATATTGTTAGATCCACTTCTGCAAAAGGTATTTAAGTTTTTCTTTTTTTTTTTTTTTTTTTTTTTGTTATTATTATTCATGTTATGAAAAACACTAAATATAATTTCAATTTAGCATTGACATATTATTGTACCATCCAGATCCATGATCAAATAAGCACTGGTGAACTTGTCTCCAGTACCAAATATGGTAAACAAAGTAGTCAAGCCGACATTGATGAAGTATATCTCTTGTAAGTTGATTCATCCACCATCATATTCATCTGTCTTACATTATAATTACCTTATTTATTAGAGATTTAGTACGTCCAACAATAATCACACTTCGACTCTATACCAAAACCAAAACAAATATACTAAGTAGTGGAAGAAAACGATCTAGTGAAATCTGCATTGGACAAAAAGAATTTCAATTGATGCTTCATCCTATTGAAAAGCAAGTGAATCGAATCACGTTTGAACATGAAGAAGATACATATCAAGTCACACTGATATATGGTACCTTTATGAATGCTCGTGCACAAGCACTTGTGGCTAATCGTGCTTTACATGCCGATTTTCTTACAGTTTATTTGAGAGGTGGTAGTATTCCGGTAAGAAAAAAAAAAAAGTAGAAAGATATAACAATAGACGATGGATGATTCATTTTCCTTTGTTTTTTTTAAAAAAAAAAAAAATAGAGATGGCAGCGTTACTGGGCTGTATTACATGCGACACATCTATCACTATATGACTTTGAATATAAGGAAACAAAGGCAGCGCAAGTAGTGTTACCATTACACGGATTGGATAATATATTCCATCCATCAAACACAGATGATGATGAACAAACAGTAGATGTGGGAAGATTAGGTTTAGCTTTACAGTTTTCAAAACATCAAGATGATCAAAAAATGCCTCCAACAGAAAACAGAATGTATATTTTACCTGATGATATTGATTCGGGTAATGAATGGGAAAAAAAATTCATTTATTGTGTATCTTTAGTGCAAGAATTTCGTCCTAGATCATATAAAATGAATAAGGAAACAGCCTATTCTATTCCATCTAAATTTTTATGGTAGTTTGAATAAAATTGTTTTTAAGTCAATATGACTCTTTTTCTGCATGAAAAATACCTCATTTTTAGTCTCAGGCTGCGGCAATTTTCCCATCTTTATGGACAACACGTGAGCGATTTTTTTTTATTGATAAAATGGTTTCTTTTTTTTTTTTCCTTTCTTTTCTTTTTTTTTTTTTCTCTTTTTCTGCCAACGACTTCTTTTTTTTTTTTTGGTTTATATTCATGAGATTCTCTGATACGAATACCAATCATCCGTCGCTTCTCCTTACTATTGGTCTCATTCGAGTCATGATCTTTGGTTACCTTCCCTGAAACAAATTTGCTATTCTATCTGATATCTACTAGTTTTAGTTGGTTTTTTTTATTACTATTATTATTATTACTATTATAATTTTTATTATTTTTTTTCAAAATACCTTTTATATTTTACACATATCCTCTCATTCCTGACAAACTTATTCATCAAGCATGATTCCTCTTGGCCATGTTATTACTGTGGTCGACCATGACCTATCTCCTATTCAATTCCTTATCATGGATAGTCCTACGGAAACAACTCTCCCACATTATTTGGACGCTTTTCATCGATACAATGTTACTACTGTAGTTAGATGTTGCCAACCAACATACAATGCAGATATTTTATTGGATAATCAGATTGATTTCTTGGATTTACCCTTTCGTGATGGTGGCATAGTAAGTGATAAATCAAATCAAAATTTTCTTATATACTAATATCATCATTCTTATACATAATATATATAGCCCAACAATATGATTATCAATGAATGGATTGATTTGATCGACAAGTATGCGCAGTATCCTTATCGCCCTCCAACAACAACGACTATGAAACCAGCAATAGCTGTTCATTGTGTAGCAGGACTAGGACGAGCACCAGTACTCGTGGCATTGGCACTGATAGAATTTGGAATGGCTCCTTTGGATGCAGTTGCTTATGTTCGTGAAAAACGTCGAGGAGCTTTCAACAAACCTCAAATTCATTTCTTGGATCAGTACAAACCAACAACGAAACATTATCGTCGGCATTACTCCTCTTCTTCTTCTTTTTCCTCTGGTTCTTCTTCCGTCTTCTCTTGGGGTGGTCGCATCATGTTGAAATTGACAAACAAAGTACATCCTCCAACAGTTGCTCAACAATAGAAGGCTTGAAAAAGGGATCGGTAATATATATATATTTCAAAGGAAACTGACCCCCAATTTCTTTTTTTTTTTTTTTTTTTTTAGTATATGCAATCTCTTTTAGTTTAGTTTGATTCTTTTTCTTATTTTTATTTTTTATTGTTTTTATTACTATTATTATTATTTATTATTATTTTTCTATTGAATAAAGAACTGTGTATTGGTTATCTTATTATGTATTGATTCGGGTCAGCGTGGGGAATATGCAGGTGGAGGAATATCAGGTGGATCTAAACAAGGTAAATGGTGTGATGATAGCGATGATGATGATGATGATGATGATGATGACGATGATGTTGATGATGCATGAGCTAAGCCTGATTGTGAATTGGAGGAAGCAAGACATTCTTTGGCGGAAGGAGCTGTGGGTATTGGAGTAGATGAGTTGGATTCAAGTAAAAGAGGAGGGATCAGTGGATGTATCATGATAGATGGGCCTGATTCAGTAGTGTTAGTAGAGGTTGAATCCACTTTTTCCGAAATAGGATGATGTGCTTGATCTATATAAGATGCAGATGCAGGTATTGCCGACGATGATGATGATGATGATGATGATGGTGATGATAGGAATGTGGTTGATAGATCTGACAATACTGGTAAAGCTGGCAATGGGTCAATAGATGATCTCGAGGTTGGAATAACTATCAAAGACATTGTATGATGACAAGACGATGATGAGGATGATTCAGAAATAGAAGACATCGTCGCCATTTTCCTTTTCATCTCGAGTTTTCTTTTTTTGGTACGTCGTTCATGCCAAGCTCGCCAATGCCAATAAATAAAAATCCCAACACCTAATAGAAAAGACAAGGCTAATCCACCAGTCAACGATAATACCACTGCCAATATCCGAAGCTCTTTTTCATCGCGATGTAATGCGTGTAACATATCTGTTGGTTCCTGTTGATCAGTAGTGGGTATAGCTATCATCATAGTCGTCGCTGTCGTCGTTGTCGTCGCATAAGGAACAGTATCAATGGCCATGACATAGTTAAGAATATAATAAAGCAAGAAGAAAGAATAAAAAAGAAAAAGAATAAAAAATCACGTTTGTTTTCTCCTTTGTCATCATGCCAGTAAGGAGAGAGAGAGAAGTGATAAAAAAAGAAACAAAGAATACAAGGGGGGAGGATCATCACATGGATACAAAACAAAAAGAAATAAATAATAACAAATATCATATATACAAAATCAACCCTTGTTTTATTTCAAATATCAAAGTAATCTATATGAGCACCAGAACTATAACTATTGTTCTGCAGCAAACTAACTAATTTTCCTGCCGAATCTTCCATTGGTACCAAATTTCCCTAATATACAAAACAAAAACAAAAAAGTAGAAGTATTAGAATTCAAGGGGTTTATTAATACTGCCACCCCATCTTCACTCTCCTTTTTGTTTTTCTTTTTTTTTTTTTTTTTTTTTTTTTACCTTTTTGGCCATATCATTATATAAAGCGGATTGTTCTGGATCACCTAGAGTTTCTCGTACACGACATTGCATTTCGTTATCCAAAGGACCGGGCGCATAAGATAATGTACGAATCAAAGAAGATGACTAACAGGATAATTTAATATAAGAGTGAGTGAAATGAGCTTTATTTTTATAGTTTTGCTGAGTACCTGATATTCTTTTGCAATCACCGCCAATAGCATATCACGGGCTGCTTTTCCTGTTGCATAAAGTCCCCAGTGTGAGAATGGTTGAATCGCAAGTAAAGAAGAAATATTCACTAATTGTAAGGATCTTGATTCATTTGCCCATTTTTGTTGATACAGTTTTAAAAATCCAGATCTAAGAGAAAAAGAAAGGAAAAAGAAAAAGATGGAATAAGTTAGTTTGTCTATTTGCCTAATATATATATACACATGTCAATTCAGCTTACACTAAAGTTATATATGAAGTAACATTCATGTCTATATACGATTGGATAGTTTCAGGTTGATATTCTGCCACTGTTTGAGACAAATCGCCCGTCGAGCCAGCATTATTGATCAATGTTATGGATCCAATTTCTGGAAGCTAAAAAAAAAAAAAAAAAAAAAAAAAAAAAAATGAGATACCACTAAAGATAATAAATTTTTATTTTGCTATATTACAAGAGCGGACACCAACGGTTCTACACCTTCAAGCAATAATTGAGTTGTTGTAGCAGCATTATCAAGACCATGAGGTTCAGCAGCAAGTTCAACGGAACGGACGTGTTGATATTGACCTAATTCAGCAGATACCACTTGTAGTGAAGCCAGTTCGCGTCCAATAAGAATAAAGGCAATATCATTTTGACACTTGTTAGCTAATGTCAAAGCAATACTTCGACCAAATCCTCTGTTTGCACCTGTGATAACATATAATGAGTACACCATTGTCTATTAAAAAAAAAAAAAAAAAAAAAAAAAAAAAAAAAAGAGGAAGGAGAGCAAAATGCCCCGTGAGAAAACAAATACATGGTGATTTTATTTCGATCCCGCTCAGCGAAAAAAAAAAATCTAATCTACACCAAAAATAATAATATGTATTATAAAGGAAGGCCATTTGAAGCATCAGCTATAATATCTTGTTCTATATCTGTCGCCATCACCCTATCATCAATAGCAGACCGGCATAAATGACTACCAATCAAAAAAAAAAAAAAAAAATGAATCGGTATAAATTCCTATCATCTTAAAACTCATACTATACTTACCACATATCTAACAATTTTGCACAATTTTGTCCAATACCACCATGTTGACAAGGTAATAGAATCACATTCTTAGGTTCAGAGAAACAAATGGTACATAAAGGACCATCCCAATCGTATTCCACAAGGCTATCATTTGATGTTGTAGAAGAAGTCAAGGATAATGGACTAGAACTTGAATAATCATCCGTACCACTGTTGCTACTGGCGCCACCAATACCACCTCCATAACTATTGCCACCATTTCCATCTCCACTGCCACCTCCACCATTGCTGCTGCTTTTGAAGTGAGGTCGAATAGGCGAATGATTATCTGCCAGATGTAATTTTCTAATGCGATAACCACGTTGATTGACCCATCGAATGACACGACGTCGATAATCACGATCCAATCTTCCTGCTTCACTGATTCCATGATACCGACATGTAACAGGAGGAGGATAAATCCAAGGTCGATCTCCAAGGTTGAGAAGCACATGTTGATGAGTGGTAAGACTGATTGCTGGATAAAGTCCTAGTCCTTTGGCTGATCCGGTTTGTAAAGGAGATGTCGCTGCTGCTGCTGTTCCTGATGATGATGGTTTCCCAGATGTTTGTTCCATGTTATATGGTGTTTCCTCTGTAATAGTGGTCACTTTATCCTCGTTGATATCATTAAAAATTCTGTTGTCACCCATAACCGGAATCGACACTTCATTTGTTGCTGCTGATGATGATGATAATGATGTTGCTGATTTTGAAGAGACTGTCGAGGAGAACGAGTCAGAAAATTGGGAAGCTGAAGGACGAGATTGATGTTGATTTGTAGTGGATGGCGCAGAAGAACGTATCAATTTGAAGGTTTCCGTAGATGATGAAGGGCTTGGATCGTGGATTGGAATGCGATGATAATGGTGGTAATGATGTTGATAATGATGACTTTGTGACCAACTTTGGCGTTTCTTTGAAGACGATGAAGATGCTTCGTCATTGATAAATAATGATGATGATGATGATGATGGTAACATTGAAACAACCGTACTAGTCCCAGTCAAACCAGTATTCTCTGCCTCTTCCGTATACAATTGTTCAGAATCTACTTTTGACACAGGTTCAGCAGACGTTGAAGCTGCTGATGCTATAGCTGATCCAGATGTTGTAGTTGTTGATGATGAAGATGATTCCAATACTCTTGTTGTTGATGATGATGAGGATGGTTCCGATATTGTTGTTGCTGTTGCAGCTTTTAATTGAGCTTCTTTCAATGCATTCGCCTTGGCTGCTTGTTTTGTCGGATTTTCGAATTCAATAGTCAACCCGAGATCTTTGCCATTGATAAAATAGCTACAAAGTCCATTGTCTAAATCCAAGAAACTACCAAGTACATCACCAGATTGACATCGAATTTTGAGCTTGACTTGTGGATAAACAGCCGTACCATCAGCCTATACATAAATAATAAACAATATATACAAATAAACACCAACATTACTATTTCTTTTACTTTTTTGTTCATTACCCAGACAGCAGTACGATAAGTATCAAAAGCGAATCCATTCTAAAAGGATAAAAGAAAAAGAAACAGTTAATAAAAGAAAAAAAAATCATAAATCTGAGATTAATGAAGGCAATTAAAAAAAAAAAAATACCACGTACGCAATCATCTCCAACACCATATCCTTCTTCAGGAGTGAATCGACATCGACTAGTAGCCCAACCCAATTGCATAATACCAGATGATAACAAGAGAGTCTCATAATACCATTTCCCAGTTTTCACACTAGCAGTGGCACGAATAGATTCAAAATGAGGTCGATCGTTTCGTAACTATATCACATTAAGAATGGAGAAAAATATAAATGATATATTCTTCCTAATTTCTATACATAAATATATATAATGAATGAATCATGATTTACCTCTAAGCCATTGATTCCAAATTTCCAATGAGATGTAGCATCAAAGGGATTCATGATGGTTCTGATATGAGAGAGATTCCACGGAGATGAGTCAATATGCTACAAACAAGAAGAAGGAGAAAAAAAAAGGTATGTCAGATTCATGCCAAGACCTTTTCCATCCAAACATTAATATATTGATTGATTACATACCTGCTTTCCTTCATCTATGCGAGGTAAAAAGAGTGAAAAAAAATAAAACAAAAAGGCGTTATTAGACATTATTACAAACACATATTCTATTGCTTTTCGAATAAACAACTTACTAAAGACGTTTTCCAAAGCCCAGCGAGCACAAAAAGATAATTGAAGATACTTTGCCCACTCTTCTCGAATAGGACCCTTTGGAGGAATAAAACCAGTATCAAAACTATTCAAGTGAGTTTGGAAGGACTGTTTTTGCTTCTGGTCTGCCGATGAACAAGAAGATATATCCATTGGTGATGTCAATGTAGATGATTGTTCCTTGTCTTTATCTGCAGTGGTTGATAAATGTTGTCGTGTGCGCCAATATTGTCGTTTCCTTTTTGAACGTGAAGGTATTTGTACTTGTTGTGCTGTCGTGGGTCCAGATTCTGTAGAAAGCCTGTTTGACTTTGTAGACAATGTTTTTGATATTGATGTTGATGTAGTTGTAGTCGAAACACGACGTGGGCTCCCTCTATGCCATAGACGCTGGAAGTGACAAGTTGTGTTCCTCGCTAAATGAATAAATATACCCCAAGACTTCCTTGTTGAATTCTGCTGTCGCGCTTCCTGTTGATGTTGTTGATGCAAGGGGTGCTGCTGGCGTTGTAACATTAACTGTTGATCGAATTGATTGGTGAAACTGTCTCTTTTTTCAACGCGTTGACGACGTGGCGGTACGTGTTGTTCGTCGGTATCTACGTGATCCAAAAGACATCGCGTCATGGTAAAGAATCCTTGGTTGGCTTTTTCGCATTCTTCAACAACTAATTGTAGTACTTTTTGAATATCAGTAGTTTCCAATATAATATTTTTGATGGTTCCTTGTTGATGTTAAAAAAAAGAAAAAAGAAAAAAAAAAAAAAAAAAAAAAAAAAGAGAGAGAGAGAGACAAAAAAAAAAATTAGCCGCTCTATATTTTTTTTCTGGAATTAAATAACCTTACCAGTAAGAGAAAATTTCTCCAATGCCAAAAGTGAAAAGAGACGCACCATCAGATCTTCCCTGGGATCCACTAACATTTGAATCAATAGTTGGCCCACCTGATTGTTCCACATATGCATACACATATCACCAGCATATTTCTCTGCTAAAAGAGACCATATCACTGTTGCATTTAGCTTTAATCTTGTCGATTCTGGTGAGTGATAGCTATTGAATTTTGATTTCAAGCCTACGGATGTCATTAGCCTTTTAAAAAAGGAGAGATTCGATGGAATAGATGACGATGATGATGAATATAATGTTGATGACTTTTGATTGGTTTGTTTCATCGTCGCTAAAATGACAGGCGATATGATTTCCATAGTGTGTTTGGAAGGTAACGTTGAGCGTTCAATGATATGGCTAAGAAATGCCATTGCAACAGGACTATCTGGATCCAAAACTAGGGTCATTGTATGTATGAAGGCAAGATAACCTGGACCTAAAAAAAAAAAAAAAAAAAAAAAAAAAAAAATGTCCAATTAAATCATCAACTGTCATCATCGGTATTCCAACTTGCCTTCATGCGCATAACCAAACAATATATCTAAAGCTTGCATCATATGTCGTTCACGATCGTAAAATTCACTTGATGTTCTGTTGGATTGGGTATCTTGTTGCTGATGAAGACTACTTTGATCATGATGAACTGGTGGATGATGGCGACCTTGCTCATCAAAAGCCTGAACATGATTTTGTGCCACTGCTAATGTACGGTCCCATGCTTGTTCGATTGCACGAGTGTACGACTCGGAGATGGTTGGTACAGAAACTCGAGGCATTGAAAACTAAACTACAACTCGAACACACACACACGAACACGTTCAGAGAGTAATGTATATTATTATGAAGGAAAGGAAGAAGAAAAAAAAAAAAGAGTATAAAATCAAAAGGGATTAGAGGAAGAATGGGAAGAATAATATATTTTTGGTTTCTATTATTATCTTTTGGACGATTGGATGGAAAGAAAAGAGAATCATTCTACGTTAGAACTATTTCACCTTTACTTGATCGAACGAGGAGAAAACTGTGAATGTTTGTTCCTTGTTCCTCTCATTTTCCTCTTGGGTGGATCCGGATATTCGGGTTTTTTTTTTTTTATAGAGAATTAAAGGCCAGTGACGCCCACCTATATGGGAGATCCTAATCCATCATCATCATCATCATCATCATCATCATCATCATCCCATTATCCATCATCATCCCATTATCCATCATCATCCCATTATCCATCATCATCCCATTATTCATCATCATCCCATTATTCATCATCATCCCATTATTCATCATCATCCCATTATTCATCATCATCCCATTATTCATCATCATCCCATTATTCATCATCATCCCATTATTCATCATCATCCCATTATTCATCATCATCCCATTATTCATCATCATCCCATTATTCATCATCATCCCATTATTCATCATCATCCCATTATTCATCATCATCCCATTATTCATCATCATCCCATTATTCATCATCATCCCATTATTCATCATCATCCCATTATTCATCATCATCCCATTATTCATCATCATCCCATTATTCATCATCATCCCATTATTCATCATCATCCCATTATTTATCATTATAATATTATCCATTCATTGCTATAAAAAAGTAATATTTAGTTTTATTATCATCGAAAATTTGTTAAAAGAGAAAAATAAAAAAAAAAATGATCCATTGATAATTTCAATTTGTGGGAGAATGATAAGCGAGTAAATTACTACTGGCACTTTCAACAGATACTTTGTCACTAAAAGTCAATGCATCAGCGGTTGCCATGGAGCGCAGAGCGGCGTATAAGTCTTTCACAGATTCATATGAATGTTCAGCCATCAAAATAGCTGCGATGCCTACTACATGAGGATTGGCCATACTATATATAAAACGATGATGATGATGTTATTTTGATATATAAGATCCATTCTTTTTTTTTTTTTTTTACCTTGTTCCATCTAATACTTGAGTGGCATCCTTTGATCCAATCCATGTACTTTTGATGCTAGAGCCAGGAGCGTAAATGCTGACACATTCACCTATATCTGAATAGTTGGGTACCCGATCATGGATATCCGTAGCACCTACGGCAAAGACATGCTCGCTTGATGATGGAGAAAAATAACATGCATCGCTACCCGAGTTTCCTGCTGATACAAATACTGGAATATTGTGCACTTCAGTTGTTTCTTTCAAAACTTCATTCAGTATATTTGATTTGGGTCCACTGAGAGATAGATTAATCAATGATTTTCCGGGGGGAGCGATGTCAATGACATGTGATAGAGCTATAGAATACAAAGAAAGAAAAAAAGTCGCTTGTTACATCTAAAAGTGGAATGTCTCTTTTTTTTTTTTTTTTTTTTTTTTTTTTACCATGAATCAAACCACTCGTTGTACCCATTCCTGATTTATCCAAGATCTTGACAGCATGTAAGCTCACACCTTTGGCGACACCATATTGTTTTCCACCAATCTTTCCAGCCACGTGTGTCCCTATATCAATAGATAATAAAAATGAAAAAAGAAGAATTCATTAAACAGTTCAAACAATCAATCCTATTCTTTTTTTTTTTTTTTTTTTTTTTTACCATGGCCACCCATATCATCATCAGGTTCGTTAGATACAAAGTTAATCTCAGAAGTTGCACGACCTCCAAAATCAGAATGATCGACATTGATACCAGAGTCAAGTACATATACGTGAACTCCTTGTCTAAAAAAAAAAAGAAAAAGAGAGATAATCAGTCTTATCATCCATCATCTATCAATCATCATCATTACCCATCGTTATCATGATAACTATAGGAAGACAAATCCGTATTGACTCTATGTGTGATTCTTGACAGACCCCAATTTGCAGCTTGAGAGACACGGAGAGTGTGAGCGGTATCACTGGCAGCAGCCATAGAAAGATCATCAAAGGACATCGTTTTGGTGTTTGAAGGCAAGATCATATCTGCTTGATAGTATTGATTGGGTTCAACATATTCCACCACACCATTGTCTCTACGTAGGTAATCCAAAAACTGAGCATCTTCAAACCTACCCGTCATAGCCATGAAACTTTCACCAACTCGAATAGGTTCCAATTGCCATTGGGATTGGGCATAGTAATGATCTGCATTGTTAGATACTGAGTCTCGTTTTTTCATCAATACATCCTTGTTCGTTTCGACATAGGCTCGATGACTCGAAAGAAGAAACGCATTGGCTTTTTTTTTTTTTGATGACATTGAAAAAAAAAAAAAAAAAAAAAAAAGATTAAGCGGATATAATTTATATCTATTTTTTTTTCTTTACCATTGGTCACATTGACGGTGTCTTTAAATTTAATGATATGCGTTGGATCAGCGTTGGTGTACGAATTGTATAGAAGTACCAATCCTACAATGATAAATAATTTCATTTCGTTCTTTCTTTGTTGTACAGCTTTGAAAAAAGGAAAAAAAAAAAACAAGTGAAGAAAAAAAAAACAAATGAAAGGATGAAGAAGTTCAGAATCCCAATTGATGTTAATAAGAAGAAAAAAAATATGGGTGTCTTAGGTTTTATTTGTTCAAATGTATTTGCTCGTTGATTATCAGCGCCCTTCAGAAACTGACACAATGACCGACAGTCATGTAATATGACTCTAATCGATACCATTCCACTTTTTTTTTTTTCTCTCTTCACCCATTTGCATCTATCCAATGTATTCAATCACACAGAAAATAAATAAAACAGATTAAAGACAGAATAATTTTTTTTTTATTTAACAACGATATATATATATATATATATATATATATAAAGACAAGTTCCAAAATAGGTAATCCCCATCGTACCAAAAAGGAATAATAAAATAAATATCCGACATCCATTTCTTGCAGGAACCAAATCATAAACCCAAATATCTGGATTCCCAGATAGAAGAATATCCAAAATCCAAGTAAAAGAGAGAGAGATCAAAAGTATCACTGTAATAAATTGGACTGTTTCAGTATTGCTGCCAGTCGCTTGTAATCTGCCAATAGCTCTGGAATTTCGCCTATCGTCAATTCATCCACCGATTTCATCGTCAAAAATTTCTGTAAAGGTCCATCATAAGGTTGTTGATGCTGATGTTGCGTTTGTCTGCTGGATTTTTGTTGTACAGACTGAATAAACTGAGCAGGTGCTTGTAAAAGGCTTTGGAAAGAATCGTTTCTGGATGAAGTCGACGAAGATGTCGAAGTGGATATAGAAGGCTATGAAGAAAAAAAAAAGACATGAGATAATCGTAAAACAAATAAACAAACATACACACCGCACATATATTTATATATAGAGTTCTATTTTACACAACCAAATGGAGGTGATATTACCTTGAGAGATGCTTTCCTTTGTTCTAAAAATCCTGGTACAGCGTTTTCCCAGTTTATACCTTCACGATGAGTTGTTGTTCCTGATTCTTCCTTTTTCGATTTTGATAATCCTATTACTGAAGTGGCCATGTCCTTAAGTTCACTTGGTGATAATGATGAAAAGCTATGATGACGTTTATTGTTGGTATCAATCACCTGGGCCGTTGTAGGTGCAGATGATGTCATTGTCGCTGATACTGTTAAATTATCATTGTCAGTTCCATTCCGTTGTTGCCAGAATCGACCAATTCCGTCAAATACACGATAAGAACTATCCATCACATCAGATACAAGTTTCAATCCTGTCCCTCCAGCACTACTTGATGATGATGACCCTTGTTGATTTGACGGATCAGATACCATCTCGGTTGGTGCGATAGCATTCAAATCGATCACATTGCTATAAAATTAAACATATATTTAGATATCATTAGTACGATGATATGTTATTATCATGTCTCATTTAAACTTTACCTATGTACTTTATCAGCTGACAAACCAAGACCCACTAAATTCGTTGTTTCTAAAAAAGAGACAGCCGCTAACTATCATAATAATAATAATAATAATAAATAGATGATACAAATAAAGGTATTCAATGAGTAACTCGATGATGATCCATATAATTCTTACTTACGATATTTGTGAGACAGTAGCTTGCTTGCCCAGAGAGTCGACTTGGTTGTCTAAATCGTTGAATAAACTTGAGATTGGACATAAAGTTGGTTGGGTTGCATTTAACAATGGTGAAAATAAGAAGTGGAAGTAATACATCGGCACTAGCTGTTCGCAAATTGGAATGATCAGAGGATACCGGTGAAGACGATGGAATTATGTCGGCAACAGTATGAGTATTCAGGTGGGTATCTACTATCGTCGTCGTCGTCGTTGTTTTTGTAGTTTTGGGTTGTAGCTGATTGTCAGATATTGAGATATTGATATCATCAGTAGATCTAGCGCTATCAAGCTGTTGACTGGTATCTTTGTCGATTCCTGATCGTTGTTGTTCCGTCATTGATTCACCACTGATACTAACTTTACTTGATTCATCGTTGACAGTTGACATTGCCAGTTTCATTTCTTGTATCACCTCCAAGTTCGTGCCCACGGCTGTTTCCTTATTTTCTGTCGCAAACTCTTCGATGGCATCTATGGTTGAATTAGAAAATTCATTAGAAAATGTCAAATCAATATAAAATTAATCTTACCGACTATGATTTGGTGAGTTTTCACTAAAGCATCTAATTTTTCTTTGGCACCTGGAAGAGTATTTAGAAGCTGTAACTGAGATCCAGCAGATTTGACCATGTTATTAAGACTTTCAGTTTCCGAAGGATCCACGGCAACACCCAAATGACCAAGGTTGAGATCTAACAAATTGACAGCCGCAATACGTGATTCCAAAATTTCATCCTGTCGTGAATCATCGCTAGACCCGGCCATAAATAATCTAATTTGTGAAAAAAAAAAAAAAAAAAAACAAGTTATGTTAATAATACAATTGATGTGGTATTTTAAATGAAAGTTTAATATAGTTACCTGTCGTATAATTCTCGACACATGAAAGTTTCAATGATATCTAATCTATCATCAATGTTTTGTCCAGTACTAGTATCCATAGAGTCACGTAAATCATCCAGAAAATCGGCCCATTGCGCGCTTGCCATAGTGATTGTTTTCGGAGGTCGATGTCGATAAGCATTGATAAACCTTCATAAATGAAAATTTATTAGCAGATAGGTAACATAAAAAAAAACATCGTATATTTTTTTTTGTACTTAATTGTACGTACGCATTCACAGTATGAGCCAATGGATCATCTAATGTCGTTGAAGTAGAAGGTTCTGTTGATGTTGAAGTGGTCAAACTTGATTCCATATTCCGTGAATGTTGTCGGTTGCGCATCCATTCCATGACTTCTGATCTTGACAAAGGTTTTTGAATCAACATGGTAGAAATAACTTTATCTCCTCGTAATTTAACGGGCACATGAGTGGCGAGAATATTGCATACAGGATGATCAGGTGTAATTGACGTTGGATCTAAATCAAAGCTATCAAATGCAGATCTAATCCACAAATAGAAGATATGATGAGCACTATGATCTATATTGTAATTATTATCTTACTTTCGTTCTTCGGTTCTCCCTATAAAAGAGCTACTCTCATATTCTGAGGTTAAAAGATCTAGTGCAACAAACTGATCCCTAATGACAAAGATAAGAAATAATGTGTGAGATTAACTATATATATACATATATCTTATAGCTTACTTTTTAAATGCACCGCGTATACCACTAAGAGACATAACATAAGATCTATCTTGCTGAGGAGGATAAATGATCACATGATCCTTGATAAATTCCAGGTCGATATGTACAGAAGGATGAGTTGGTCTTGATACAGGTAGAAGTAATGTAGCCTATGTAGGTAAGAAATATAAATAAATAGTTGTCAATTTCTATCTCAGTCTATCGTTATCATATGTTACCCTATCCCCATCTAGTAGTAAATCAATGATATCTTCATAATCAGTACTGTCAGGATCTTGTAGTAGCGAGAGTGCTTTCATACCCCACGAATTGCTTGGTATAGGAATAGAGAAAGAAGAGGTCGATTGAAGTGTGGAAGATGACGTACTTTTGTGAATATTGGATGTACTTGATTTCTTATTGTGTGGTGGTCGGAATAGAGTATCACTACTGGCTATGCGTTGTAAAAAACTTGCTGGTGGTTTGTTGCTGTTGTCATTGTTATCTTCATTTGTCAAGTCAGTAGAAGGTGAATTCAATGGATCATGGCCAATATCTATAGTTGCATTTTCTGTTGATGTGCCGATAGCTGGTTTCCGAAAGTTTTCAAAACGAAACATCAAAGGATGGTAACTATATTGATTTCCTTTTTTTTTTTTTTATGTTATTATTATTATTTATCAAAAGAAAGAAAAACAAAAAGAAAAAAAAGGGTGAAAAGGGTGAACAAGTAGCATTTGTATCCTTTTTGATTTTCACATTCCGGTCAATTCGTTCAATTTCATTGGATAAAAGAATATGCTTTAATGGTGTATGTCTAAAAAATGAACTAATAATGTAACAAAGTGATGGATGATGATCTATAAAGTGTAATAGTGTAACAAAGTGATGATAATATATAAAAATATAGAGTATAATAACGTAAAAAAACTAAGCATAGATAGATTAATAATAATAAAGAATAAAAAAATGGACATAATATCTAAATAAAAACAAATCACCAATTGAAGGCTTCTTCAAAATAAGCAATACCATGATGTGCACTAATATGTCGAATTTGATCACTCATACGGTCAGGACCACAATGTAATAACGCCACAGAGCCTTGATCCATTTCAATATATTGTCCAAGTAGCTTATCTAAGTCAGGTCGAGTACCAAAAGTCATAGTGAGGCCTTCTTGTTGTTCATTTTTTTTTATCTTGCCATCCCCATCAATTTCCACCCGTGTAGATCTAGTAACATAGATAGATACATCCAGAACAAATGATGATTCCTTTGAAGCAGAGTCTTCTTCACCTATTGCTGTCTGTTGCTTCTTTTTGGCGTTGACATGAGATAGACAATCTTGAATATCGTTTTGTGCCCAACAGAGTTGATCGTCTTGCTGTACTACCCAAACAAAAACTAAATGTCGCGTGGCAATTTTATTCATGTTGTAAACTGCTTCTTGTAAATAAGGTACCGTAGCTGTGCATCCAACACCACCACCAACCAATATCGCTGTATCATATTGTAAAACAGGGTGAGTATGACCATAGGGGCCTTCAATAAGTACATACATATCACCACCACCAGGGCCTAATTGTTGAACTGTTTCGTATAATTTCTTGGTCATGCCTTGCTGAGGTCGTATCAAAAGATCAAAAGTATGATCAGAGGAAGAAGAAGATGATGTGTTGCTGGAAGTAGAAATACTTGAATTGGACGTTGAAGATAATACTGTTTTTTTGTTGTCCATGTTTGTAGGACTGGTAATGGCAGTAGTTCCATAAAAGCCTGCATCGCTTGGAATGATGGATTGCTTGTCCAAAGATGGTTGATGCCATGAAGCAATTGTGAAAGGATGAGATTGCCAAAAGTAAACTTGTGGTACATAGATATAGACAAAAACACCAGGAACTCGACGAGATAAACCAACTTTATTTGATTCCACACGGAATCGAATACAATCAGTACCAGGAAGAATGTCTGCCTTGACTTTGCGTAACAATCGATGACCAGTTGCTAACATAATATTGTAATATGCCACCCGAACGAAACGAGCCACACGATCAAATGCCCAAATAGCAATAGAAGCGTAAAGCCACATCAAATTTTCTTGATCATCCAACAACTTGACATGATACCAACAACCAACCGTAAATAGTAGTACAAGGATAATATGAATATATAAGAATAAATCATAACAAGACCGTCGAAGATTTGGTAAGGCAAGTAAAAGTATGAATCCACCAAGTACAGTAGCAACCACACCCCAAACAAAATAAAGATCCTGGAAATATGATTTATATGTTTCAAAACTGACATGAACTCCACACCAAGTATATCCTGCAGAGTGCACAATAGCATGAAACATCATCATCCTTGATGCCCATTTGTGAGCTACAATGAAGCGATCATAACTCCAACCTATATGTAAAAGGAAGTTAGATTTTTTTTTTTTTGGAATTTTTTTTTTTTTTTTTTTTGTACCTGTCAGCCAAATCAAGATATTATTTCTTCCACCAAATAAATATACCATAGGCAATTGAGCAAAAGCCATTTCACCAGAACGATCTGATATGTATCTACCAAGTTGCGCAGAAAGATCATCAGGCCAATACGTATTTTCTAAGAACAGGTCATAATTGGGAAAGATTAGGATAACATTTAGCACCACGAAGAAGAAAATCATAATAGATTCCAATCGAGTAGGATAGCTGACCAAGATACCAAACCAAGAAGCGTTCTGTAAATGTACACCATTGAAGAAAAGGGAAGGATTGATAATATGACGACGTATTGATTTCATCCATGACGATGAAGGTGGTAAAGGTTTTTGTTTTGTTGAAGTATATCGCCAAGTAAAGGAATGGTGGAATAGATTGTTGAGCATACCTAATACCAAAACACCAAATACAAAAGCACAAGTTGCAGCACCATAGTCAATACCATATTGTAATTGCTTATTGAATTCATTGACTGTTTTCACAACAGCTAAAACGTCTTCTTTTGGAAACCGAATGGGAGCATAAATAATGTCAGTAGATGCATTGGCAGGTACAGGAATCACATTGTTTGTTGCGTTGGTCAAAATAGATTGCATAGAAACAGTATTTGCCAAAGAATCTGGTAAGGTAACACAAAACGATTGTACATAAGACCAATAACGTTGTTGTTCACCAAGGTCATTTTCGTCATTGTCAGATATACAGAGAGCTAAACTTCCCAACCAAGAAGGACTATTGCATTGGCATTCAGGTGTAAAGTATACACTTTTAGTACAGTTGGATAACAAGTAGTTTTCAGATACAGTTTCACAAGCAGAAGTTAATGGAGGAACCTGAATACGAGCCAATGTACATTGTAAGAATAAAATCAGGAAAGTGAAAGAGAAAAGAATGTTCATTTTTCTCTTGGAACTTTAGTTGATGTAAAAAAAAAAAAAAAAATGAACTCCGCAACCTTGCTTTTTAACCTTTGACCAACAAATAAAAAAAACAAGAAAGAAATCGAAATGAACAATCGAAAACAAGTACCTTTATATATATATATGTATATAAAAGAATCTGTCTTCTAATAGCGGTAAATAAAAAAAGGTCCCGAGAAAGAAACAAACGATTTTATTTCAATGAATAAAAATAATTCTATTATAGGCACATTACTACATCTAAGGTAATTCATAGGAAAACTCAGTTCAATGCTATCATAACCACAAATTGATCGACTTGAATGTAATAATGGATTGATCATCATCATTGTTACTAGACTTTTCACATTATCGCGGTTACATCTTGGAAGCTTAAGAAAAAAACAAAACCAGCACTAATCAGACACGCAGCTGACTTTATCAGATGCAGTGGGGAAAAAAAAAAGATTTCATCAGATAATCAATCAATCAGTATCCCATTTGTTAAGTCTAAACTTTAATGATTTTTTTTCTTTTTCTTTTTTTTTTTTTTTTAGTATCAATGATAAAATATAAATATAAGATTTATGGATGATTATTTAGAAATTGTCTTGTACTATTGTTTCATTGGAAAAATCTTTGCGAATCAAATAAGAAAATGTATTACATTATAACAATGATGACCAGGGAATCATCTAGACGTAAAATAGTAAATACAATACTTTATGATGCGACTTGAAAACCAATAACATTATGACAGTTCCCGTTCTTTCTATCTTTGTTATCTGATTTTCTTTTTTCCCCGCAGATCCCCGAGTTTCAACCAATCGTTTCTTTTAGCTGTTCCGTTGATCCGGAGTCATTACTGTATTTTTCAGCCACACAATCATCATTACATTCAATCATTCTTTCAAGGGAACCTAAATTGTTATATGATCACCTTATTATTTTATGTAATCATCACAAAAAAAAATAATTTATACGAATCAAACATCATTATCATTTTATTTTGTTTTGTCAGGATTGAACTGACAATCACTATGACCGATCACAGAATATACCATTATTTTAAATAAAATAGACCAAAATAAAAAAGGCAACTCATCTTTCTACAGATGTTTTTAATCTTTTTTTTTTTTTTTTTTGCCATGATCATTGTTACACACGATCATCCATCCAATGGACCATCCAAATAAATCATTCCTCTTTTTTGTTCTACTTAACTGTACATGTGCCATAACTAGGACCTACTACAATTCTATATGCAAATTATATGTATCGAAAAGGTATGATTTTACGGGCATACGTCTACCAAGTGCTGTGTTAAGAAAAAAAATTATATATATTCTTATTTTTATCAAAACATATATTTTATCTCCCGGTCACTGACATCTCCCTCATTCAATATATATCCATATCACTTTTTGACTTTGATCGCTTTTATCCTTATATCACTCTGACCTTTGAATTCTTTTGGACACTTGTCCATTACATATATATATATATATATATATATATAGATAGATATATTAATAGAAATAGTCCATCTTTTCCTTTTTTTTTTTTCTCTCTTTTTTCAGTCGTTCATCAACGTATTTTTAAAATAAAAAACATCCTTTTATCCCTACTTAACTGTATTTTGGATTATTCTCTATGATTGGATCAACCCTTTTCTTGAAGTCAGAGTTTTTTTTTTTGCTTTATCTCTTTTCTTATACTGTGTCGTATCAGCGTATTTTGTAACCATATGCGTAAAATAAAACTAAAGAATGCATTCACAAATAAAGAATAAATAAAAAATACATCGTAAGTTGGAATCAATTATATTGACGTGTAACAAAGTAGTTGGAATAAAAATAAAAAGTTTTATTAAATAAAAATATAACTACTAAAGACTAGTAATTGATATACTATAACTAAAATTGTTATAAAGAAAGGAAAGAAATAAAAAGAAAATAAAAATTACTGCATATCTAAAAAATAAAAAATAAAATACGGACTTTGAAAGTCATTATGCTCATGGTCTTTTGATACTATCAAGAAAGATATATATCAAATGTATAAACGTTCCAGGGCAACTAATATAATGAATTACTACACATATGATGATAACATCATATCAATGAGAAATAAAATACTAATAAGATTATACGCCTTGTATAACAACAGTATTACAAACCAAAACAAGAATAAACAAAAACAAAAATAAAATTTGATCACCAATCATAAATATAGTATGATGATCACTAGTATTACGCATCACTCACCACGTACTTATATATAAGACCAACAAAACTTTTTGTGTAGATACTTCGTCTCTTTTTTTTTTTTTTTTTGTAACTATTTTCTAAATAAAAAAGAAATCTCACTGACCTCCTTGTCTCCTCTTTTATTTTTTACTTTATTATTATCAGACCATCTACACCAATTCCACAACGTGTGCTTGCGTAATCAAGTACTGGTGCTCACTATTTAACTTATTATCTTTCAATCATCCGTTTTACTTTTATTATTTTGAACCTAACAACCAAAAAATCACTTGACACAACAAAATATTTTGTCAAGGAAAAATAAAAAAGGAAAAAAGGAAAAAAAAATTTACAGAGGAAGGGATGCGCACATCAACATTCAAAAAAAAAAAAAAAAAAAAAAAAAAAAAAAGGAAGAAAAGGAGACACTCGCATATCACCCACACCATCAGAAATCGTCAATAATGTCTTTATTAACACTAATAAGATGATCATCAATAATCTACATATATAGTACTATTCTGGTGTTCAAAAAAAAAAATAATATAAGATCAACATTTTTATCAAATCAGCCACCCCACAAATCACATCATGATGAATTCAACCCTATTTACTCCTACCAAATCTCCTATTTATGATACCTATTCCTTGATGGGTGTCACCACTGCAATCGCTTCCTTGGGGGAATGCTCATCACCTACCGCGATAAATATTGACGGAGACTCTGCCAATAATGACTCACCAAATGATTCGTCTTCAGGTAGTAATCCACTATGCAACACTGTTAGCTATTAATGATTCATTCATAAACAATGACCCTTTGATGGCTGGCAAGACCGATGATGATTGGTAAACGTCAAATCTTGTTAATCATCCTTACTTCTCCCCCACTAGTCCATTTGTCTTAGATCACGATTACGTCCTGTTTTTGCTTGAACTGTCATTACCTACCTACAGTCTAAAGGTTCAAGAAAAGAAGTTAATAGAAGAAGTTCTGGAAGAAGAAGAAAACCAAACCCTAGTGCCTCTTACCTTGCGTCTCCTCCACGATAGGTACGCCAAGCCCAAGAATGCCCAGGAGATAAAGAGTTATAAAGAATATAGCAATTCATACGTTAAAAGCCTCTATCGTGATACCCATTTATATAACTACAAAAAAGTTGCTTAAGAAAATTCGTAAAGCCGATACCTGGAACCAACTTGGTGAAGAATAACGATGGGGACCATCTTCTCCACGGATGGGGAATGTTATAAAAAAAAAAAAAAAAAAAAAAACAAAAGAAAAAGAAAAAAAAAAAGAATTCACTCTCCGTTTTCAGTTTGGAACGAAATTCATTTCGAACGAATTTCGTTTGTAAAATTGAATTTTATTATCAAAAATTTTTTTTTATATAAATACTCCACCTTCCCTTTTTTTTTTTTTTTTTGATTAGTTCAGTCAATTTATAATATACTTTTTAAATAAAACATCTCCTTTCATCCCTACTTGATTGTATTGTGGATTATTACTTTTGATTGGCTCGCTTTGTTCTATATTTAAAGTCAGAAAAATTTTACTCTACTTCTTCTTTCCAAATTTGGAACAAGGCCTTATTTTTCTTTACTTTACTTTTTGTTTGATTTTATCTCTTTTCTTATACGTGTGCTTGCGTAATCAAGTACTGGTGCTCACTAAACAACTTATTCTTTTTCGATCATCCGAGTTACTTTTTCAATTTTGAACCTATAAACCAAAAAATCACCCAACACTTAACAACAACAAAAAATCTCTTAACAGTATCAATGCGCTTGACAACATCCAACAGCCAATCATGTCTCAAGATAAAAATAATGCATCTCCGACCATTGATCGACAAAAAAGATATTGTTATGGAGAACCTGGGCATTGATCCCAGTGCCTCTCGCATGCTAAGCGAGCGCTCTACCATTTGAGCTAGATCCCCAACTTTTTTTGGAAAACTGTTCTCTTACTTATCAAGACAATCGTCGGAGAACGAAAAAATTTTATTCATTCATTCACTTCTGGGGGTTAGTGCGTTGGCCAGCGTTCTTTTTTTTTTTTTTTTTTTTTGGCTTTTTGGCTTTTTGACTTTTTTTTTTCATTTCTTTCTCTTCTTTCTTCACTCTACTTCTTTATTATATTTAATTAAAATACATTTTATATGAGGTACATATCCTATCTATTCGTTTATTTATTTGAACAGTATATCTCTCAATACTAACATCTCTTTATTATGATTATTGTACTCTAATAGAAAAATGCAAACATTATAGATATGCAACTTGTTGGCTTTTGCGTAATTGGTAATGATTTGATACTATCTTTTTAAAAGGTAAAAAATATTGCTGGTTTTAAGAATTATGGCTATCAAGTACATAATGTATAACTGATACCTTTCTTTTATTTGTTTGTTTCAACAAAAGTAATTGAATCTTAAATGGCAAATATCATTGAACTGAATGAAGTGAAAGGTACGCTGAAGGATTACTAGCAAAAACAAAAAAAAAAAAAAAAAATAGTTACTCTGATGGAACAACAATACGAAGACCAAAATAACTTATGGAAATAACCTTAGGTGTAACTGAGAGGAACAAACTAAATGGTTATGTAACTAGAACTATTCATTTACGAAACGACAGCAACAAAATACAGATCTAATTGTGATGGGAACTTGTGATCATGGCAGACACACTGGCCCGAAAGTTTTGTACAAGATGAAATACTTACGAAACTCTTATATGGAAATGTAAATCAGTGGTGACAAATAAGAAACGACGATGGAAGAGTCCAAAGCAATCACATCTGTATAATAATATACCCAAATTAGGAGTAAGTATAAAAAAAAAAAGGGCTCATATCACTTAACTCATCAAATGTTTATATTCACGTTCTTTCTGGAAGTAGTGAAAAAAGAAAAAGATACATGAAGCATGGAGCATACAACGGAACATTCAAGAAATGGCAATGACATACAGTTAGGCTTGTTGATGATGGATGTTCCATGAAATATTACGTTGTTTATATTGGATCCTTTTACTTTTTTTTTTTTCTCTTTTTTTTTTTTCTTTTTTTTTTTTTCTTTTTTTTTTCTTTTTTCTTTTTTCTTTTTTTTGATACATTCTTTATTGATAGTTACATGTATTCTTACACTAGATGGACTTTTAGATTAGATTTCCTGTCTTATTGATCAGTTATTGTAATATTCATCAAAAATAAAATATTCATTTTCCATACATAGAATAAACTATACATATTACTGCGATTGCTGATCATGAAACAAGATTTATTTATTATACTGTTTGATTATTCATCATTGTCCATTCAATCATTAACGATGCACCCATTGTTCTAATGTTATAAGAAGACATAAAAAATCGTACAGCTGATGAAAGTTGGAAGAATCTTCACAAAATTTGACTTTGATTATTATGAACATGTTACAATATTATCTTCTACAAAGTAGACATACGAGCAAAACTATCAATCGATTTGGAATAATGAAGGGAGTTTGATGATGTTAAGAATATAAGACGGGCAACATGCAAATTTCCAATTTTGGCTATGATAGGCGTTTGAATACAGAATGCATTTTCGTGCCCAAGCCTCTTTTCAATATCCTCTTTCTTTCCTTTCTTTTTTCTTTTCTCTTCTTCTTCTTTTTTTTTTTTTTCTCTGTCTTTCATTTTAGATAAATGTACCGCGATGTCAAGACCGTAACACCATGTTCAGGCTGGACACCTGGTGTACATTACATTGATAAACTTGTTTGGTCTCCTGATGTACCTAAAGAATTGAAACAATTGTTTGAACCCAACCAAGCGGCAATCGAACAAGCGAAAAAGAAAAACAAGAACAGCAACGATAACGAAGGTGTTGACAATACAGATGAAGAAAAGAAAGACATTGCTGGACGAACGATCACCTTTCTCAATGAACATGTCAACCTACGGGGATCTGACTTTCCATCTATCAAGGAACAACGAAAAAATATAAAGATCAAGAAGATTACGGACACTCAACACCCATGCAATGGTTATTTTGGATTGGAAGCAGCACGGACATTGGCACCTCGACAATTAATATTAGATTATCTCGGTGTGGTGGAATACAAGTCATATAGCTCGACATCCGATTATGTACTGCGATATGGGATCGATCTGTCTATTGATGCGGAAAAGTATGGTAACGAAGCAAGGTTTTTCAACGACTTCCGTGGCATAGCCCCTGGTCCAAATGTCTGTTTCCTCAATTACTTGGATGAACGTACACAACGTATTCGGGTTGGCGTCTTTGTTTTAGGCAACAAAAAGATCAAGAAAGGCGAAGAACTGGTAAGTCAGAATAACACACACAAAAAAAAAAAAAAAAAGGAAAGTGTTTTCGAATGATGCTGATCCTTCTTTTTATATCATACATATAGTTAGTCTCATATGGAAAGTCATTCTGGTCAAATCGTGGTATGGACTTGAGCGAACAAAACCATTCAAAGCATAGATCATCATAGGTTTTAGTATCCACTCTTTATTATTATAGCATTTGTATTATATTTACATATCCCTCTTTGAAATAAATTCTTTGAATCATTGGTTGAAAATGATGATGATGATTGTTGAAATGATGATTGTTGGATGATGAGTGCTAACAATGGATGACGGATTGCATAGTTGATGATGCTTGTTATCTCTCATTTTGAATTACCTATCGTCAGTATTTGATTTTCCTTATCGTACTCATTCTTTTGACACATGTAAACAAAATCTATATAATGCAACAGTAAGATTTTAAAGACATACATTATTTTTATTATTATCGACAATCGTCATTCATGGAAAATAGAGTAGATCATCAAAATTCATCCACGAAACAGGTATCATCAATCATCTTCATACATATCACTCACCAACCGTTATCCATCATCACACATAAACACATAGACACAAATACATAAAATTTTACAAAAGAGGGTCTAATTTCAGAAGATCGCATTTTTTATTGAAACAATGAGAAATATAACGTGATTGGAGCATAATCAATCTATTCCTTGAGCTTCTTGGTACCACGGAGCAAACCAGTACGACGAGCAGCAATGAGACCAACCTTTTGACCTGTAAAATAGAGAAAAACATAAATCGAATTAAGAATGATTCATTGATTATCAAGATTTTTTTTTTTTTTTTTGCTTACCGGCAGAAGAATCACGAGCCATGGTAGAGGCGTGACCAATGTGTTGATGGTTACCACCACCGTGAGGATGGTCAACAGGGTTCATAGCAACACCACGAGTCTTGGGCCAAGAGTTACGCTTGACCTTGTACTTGTGGTAAGCACGGCCAGCCTTCAACAAGGGCTTATCGATACGACCACCACCAGCAACGATACCAATGGCAGCACGGGCAGTAGAGGGAACAATCTTCTTAGCACCAGAGGGGAGACGAATACGAGTCTTACCATCTTCACCATGACCAATGACGGTAGCATAGTTACCAGAAGTACGAGCCAACGCACCACGATCACCCACCTTTTCTTCAACATTGCAGATAACAGTACCTTCGGGGACGGAGGACAAAGGCAAGACATTACCAATGTTCAAAGTAGCCTTCTTACCACAGTAGACAAATTGACCAGTGTACATACCTTCAGTGGCAATGAAAGTTTCAGTTCGAAGCTTGTACCTATTATCATAAAAAAAAAAAGAAAGACAGAGAGTAAGTTTATCATCTATAAATATATCCTCATTTTTTTTCTATACTATTGTCTATTGATGGAACTTACTTGTAGGGATCACGGAAGACAACCTTAGCAAGAGGAGCACCTCGTCCAGGATCGTGAACGATTTCCTTAACAAGACCACGGATATAACCATGACGTTCAGCAAAATCAGAGACACGCAAGTTAGCAGCACCCTTGCGACCAACGGTATGAGCCTTGAAAATGCTACCAGCACCTTTTCTTTGAGCACGGATAACGCGACCCATTGTTTATATACTGTAAGTGGTCAAAACGTAAATATACGAAAAGGAGTGTATTGTTGAGATCGATAATGGTTAACATATAAATTTAAAAAAAAAAGAAAAGAAAAGATTAGTACAAAATCCATTTATCATTCATGTTGCCTATTTTTCTTTTTTTTCTTTTTTGAAATCATCATCGTCTATTCAACCATCCATCCATCCATCCATCCATCCAACTATTCATCTAAATTTCTGTATCGTTCGTTTGTTCCCCTCTTTTTGATGATTCATTCAAAAAAAAAAGCATCACCCTTTATATATGGTATCTAACTAACCTAAAAGAAATGAAAGAGGATGTACAAACAATTCCACTTCAGTGAAAATGATATATTGCTGAGAACCTTTGAAGTTCAGTGTCCGACACGAACAGAGCATGCAATTGAATTTTAGGGTACAATTCAAGCTTAAAAAGGAAGAAATAGAAGTAAGCTTGAATTGTACCCTAAAATTCAAGTTTACTTCTATTTCTTCCTTTTTTTTTTTTTTTTTTTTTTTTTTAATACTTGCTTATCATATCACCTTATTTTATATCTTATATATTATTATTATACCATTTCATTTGATTCTTCTAAGAATGCACAATTATTCACCTTGTTTTACATTTATTATATCGCCATGTCATTTGATTCTTACCGAAAAGCACAACTACATCTGCAAGAAACAAGAAAGACAATTACTATACCACAGTTAGACAAAGACGCCTGTATATCATATTTCAACAAAGTATTCCAAGTATTAGTACGCGAAGATTTACATAAGCTATGGACAAACAAAAAGAAGAAAACCGAATCCGAAATTCTATCAAACTATTGTCAACAACAAGAACGAAAGCGAACAATACCAAACCTTTACAAAAAGACTGTAGAACTGTATAACCAAGGTAGTATACATATACATATATACATTTATACCAATATTAATCTAACTTTTATTTAGAAAACTCAACCGACTTTTCCAAGGATACAGTTAGAGCAACTGTAGACTCGAAAGCTATACCCTATGTTCGCCTTTATAAAGAATTTGTGAATAAGAACGCTGCCAATATATTAGAGGAATTAAAAAACAACGACAACAACAACAACAACAACAACAACAATAATAATAACAACAATCAAGATAATGAGGATAATTTTATTCACAATACCATTACTTCTCAATTGAAGACAATCTTACGACCAGATTTGTCTGACTTGGAGAAAAACATCATCCATCAATCGCTGCTGAAGTCCCAGAAGATAATTACCAATATAATGGCAGATATCTCAACTTTAGTTTTGTTAGACCTTTTGAAACGAACCACGTAAGTAAATAGTGATCATGAAATACTAGTCATATACTCATATGCTCTTTTTTTTTTTTCTTAGTGGTCCACCTGTAGAAATAACTAGTATTCTACCTGAATGCAAGATTACCAAGGTCCTTCCACCACTACTGATTTCTCCTCCTTCTAATGATGTCAAGAAACTCATGGCTAGTCACAACAATGCCACCAAAGCTGAACGACGTCTGTTTGAACTGTATACTGGCAGCCATTTGATGCATCTGCTGACCTCAACTCATAACTCTCAAGAAACCTCTCTTACTGACACTCCAGGTCCTTCTACTTCTTCAAGTCATGATTCCAACAAGGATGGTATACTGAATTGGAATTTGGATTTACCGGACATCACCAACCTAAACCTTACAGATATGCCGCCTGGATTATCTACCATTATTCTACCTTATGTAAATACGTACGCCACCAATTTAAAGAATATATATCAAGGTGATATAGTGGATCGTCTGCTATCAAGAACTATTATGACTGTTCTTCGGTGTCGGCTTATTCTTCCAAAAAAGGACCAAAATAAGAATGAATTGAAAGAAAGGTAATGCATATTGATGATTTGATGATGATGATGATGATGGATGGTTCACATTATTAACCTATCTATATATAATTAGAAAATCACAACCAAAAATTCCCAAGAATTCTTTTACATTCAAGTGCCAAATCAGACGCCACAGCAAAAGAATAAAGCGGTTGCAACAATTTGATAATATAAATAGACCAGACGTTCTTCAGAAGGAGCAACAAATTCTCGAACACTTGATGCAATCCTCTATTCTCAAGTCAAGTACTACTGCTCAGGTTAACGTGGAGATTCCTTTGGTGGACAATACTGATGCTCAAATGAATTTGGATGTTACTTTGGTGGATGATACTAGTGCTCCGATGGAAGTGGATGCCCCTGAAACCATTCATGTTAACCCCTCCTACAATCGACTGAAGAAAATTGCAAATTTTGTGAAGTCAATTCTATTCAAAAAGAACATCGATCAACCGTTAACTGTCGAGGATCTTAAGATGCATGCGCCAGATATGGAATTTAACGATGACGAAGCCAATTCAGTACTCCTTTTGTATCAATTTTTTTCACCATATCTATTACCCAAGGTATACGATGACGATGTAGATCGGCATCCCCTTCTCAATTTCCCTCTTGTTACGGTATGCAATCATATTCTTCGCTCAACTGGAAACGAGAAATTTGTAAGACGATCTGTACCAGTTGTAAAACATTCCAAGACCTATTCCATTACTTTGGATCCAACAAGATTGTATTTGACTCTGTGCTCGTTGAAAGGACGTGTTGGCGGAACAAAAGGCGGAAACGTGCAACCTCTACATTCGTATGGATTCGATGTTTTTCTTCCCAACGGTGACATAATAAGCAATATTACCAAGTCAATCAAATTCCAGGATGAACTATTTGGTGCTTTTTTTGATCTTCCAACCAGGCGAAGTCTCTGTGCGAAAAAGACTGGCTTTATCTTCTCCAATCGAATCACAATCACTAACTATGGTGCGGTGCGACTACATTCCAAAAAGGAAAAACCAATTGACGCTGATATCAAGCCGTCAGCAACCAACGTACGACGAAAAAGAAAGTTATCTGAAGAGATCACAATGCAAGAAAAGATGAAGTCATTGGACGCTTCCTTATCAACACCAGCTGAAGAATTGCGCAAGTTGAATAACGAAATAGATGAAACGAAGATGAATATTATGAATATCAGCAAACGAATTGAATCCATTGCCGACACAACACATGATGATCTGGAAGACCTCCCAACAAAAGATTTTTTAATTAAACAGCGGGCAGAAAAGAAGCGACAGCGTGATGATCTACTTCGACGGAAGCTTGTTGTGTTACGGAAGATATCAGCCCTCAAGACAGAGAAGAAGGACCTCTTTGACGAGTTTTATTCAACTGACACGACAGATATTAGCCTATCCTCATCATCTACTGGTAACGAATGGGAAAATGGAAGTATTTTTGTTGGATGTGATCCGGGTCTGGCAACCATGGTCCAAGCTACAAGTGCTGATATCAAGAAAGTAATGTACTATTTGGCAATCAACAATCGTTATCAACCATTGGAAACATTAGTAGAAAAGGTTGACAATGATGGCGATGAAAAGGAAATGCTTACTTTGAAGAAATACTCAATTACCAGTAAACATCTAGACGATCAAACATTCTCCAAGCGCCATCGCAAGGGAATGGAATTTAGAAAAAGACGAGATCATCGCGAAGTAAGTGATTCCAAAAAAAAAAAAATAAGAATGATCCAATAACCTATTTTTTTTTAATTACTAGTCTCAAACTCAAGGTGTGCTTTCCGTCAAGCAAGTAGAAAAAAAGCTAGTTGGATCAATTGATGTCCGTTTGTATGAAACAAGTTTACAAAAAATCATGACAAATCATAAGGTAGGATCAATTATTATACATCATCACGGAGACCAAAAAAAAAAAAAAAATGGACAATGGATATTAATGAATGCAATCATTTCAATTTATCTAGTTGGTCAAGGACAGCTCACCTATTCTCCAGGATTTCTATTGTGATCAAAAATACAATCAGCGGTGGAAACGAACAGCAACGATATACAGCGAAAAGGGAACACATGTAGTCATCAAACATCACCAACGACAAGTAAAAGAAGAACCTGGACAAAAACTACATTACTTTTATGGAAAGGCGGGTCGTGGTAGAAACTCACGTATCGGTGGATTTTTAAGAAGAGGTCATGGACCCTTATTACAAGCTCTTGGTCAACATTCTTCTATCTTCCATACAGATGAATTTAGAACGACAAAACTCTGCTGCCGTTGTCATGAGCCTATATATCATCCGAAGAAAGCTAATGGAAAATTAAATCTGGGAACTGTTATTTGTCAAAACCCTGATTGCAAAGGTCGTCAAGCTGGAATGATTGCTGAATCACGAGACACAAATGCAAGTATGAATATGATCATCACTGGATTATGGCAACAAGTTACTGGAAAACTTCCTCCATCCTTCCGGCGGTCAATCTCATCAACAGACAACGATAACAACAATATTGATAAGATATTCCAAACTTTGATCTCTTCTCATCCTGGACTGGTTGAAGACGGATACATCATGCCTCTGTGCTGAAGGCAAAACTTAAATTGTACCCTAAAATTCAAGTTTTGCAACAGAGCATTTTTTTTGGAACCTGATTTCTGTGGCTACTGCATAAAAAAAAAAAAATAAACCTGTTCATATAATGTCGACCTATTATAATAATAAAATTGTAACTAAGCTAGATGATTTGTATACAAAAAGAAAAAGGGAAAGGGAAATTCATTCAAACAACATATGTGTAATGAGTGAAAATGATTTTTGTTTATTAAGGAATGATTAGTATATAATAAATAAAGAATAACTGTAGTAAAAATGGTAATAATGATAAACTAAACTAGTAAAGCCTTGTCACCATACGTACGAGCATATTTGCCCAATGCCCAGATGGTAAAGGAGAATTTGTAATTGGGATAAGAAATCATACAATTCTTGTTAAAGACACCTTCAATACTTTCTTGTAACCATTCACCATTAGATTGTTGTCTTTGCATAATAAATTGTATACCACGTCGAATAGGTTCTTCTATAGGATATTTGGCTTCCATCAAAGACATCACAGCCCATGCTGTATTCACCACTTGTGATTGACTGTTGTGAGAATAGACTCGATCTTCGCATGATTTGTAAGTTTCACCCCATCCACCATCCACTTCTTGCTTTGATATTAAAAAGTCACATCCTTTTCGAGCATGTTCACTATATATATATATATATATAAAGTATGAGTAAATTTAATATTTTTTTTTCGTTTTAAATTGGATTTTGTCTTTTTTTTTTTTTTTTTCCTAACCTATTTTCATAATATTCACCAATACTTGCCAAACTTTGTAAGGCAAAAAGTGCAGCGTAAGTAAAACAGACAGCCCATGAGCCATACCAAGAACCATCAGGACGTTGGACATTCTTAATATATTGTAAAACAGTTTCAGCAGTACGATCAATTTCCTTTCTTCTATAATCAGGATCTACTTTTCGGAAGGCAGCCAGACCCATCAAAACAGCAGTAGAACATTCAGGATAACTATATTCAGTCATGATATTACTAAATACTTCAGCTGGATTCAATTTTTCCAACCAGGAAGGACCACGAATAGGTTCATAAGAGGCAAATCCAAGATCAGAATTTTGCATAGTTAATAACACATCCACAGCATCCCGCATACGTTCCACACTAATAAGTTGAGGTAATCCTTGAGTTTTCTGCAAAGCAATAGCTGTTTTCAATCCTTCTGCCGTGCAATCTGATACAGTAAAACCTTGATCTCTTGTACTGAATGGCCAAGCACCTTTGGATTTTTGTCGATAACATCTTTCCATACGAGGAGGATCACGTTTAATCTAGTACAATAGATAGGATAGTTAGTAAAAAAAAAAAAAAAAGGAATTTCTTGATGAATTGAGATATGTACTTGAGTAAGATCGATGAATTCCAAAACTTTGATCATATTTTGACGATATTGTTCATTGTCAGCCAATTGAGCTTCAACACAAGCTTGAGCAATAAAAGCAGCATCCCACAGTTGACTACCATTAGTACCATTCATCATCATTCCTTCAGGACCCATCCACATAAAGTCCAGGTTACGTTCAACATGAAGTTTGAATTCACGAGAATCTTTGCCATAATGATAATAAACAACCAACCAATTCATCACTTTGTTGACAGGTCCAATATCCAAGAAGAATGAGTTTTCATCTTCCATTTTGATTTGTTCAATGGTTTCCTTGATAGCATATTGTCTAAGCCAATTCCATTTATAAGGGAACATTTCATAGTAAGTCACCACCTCTATTGAAAATAAAATTAAAAAAAAAAGGTAAATACTTTTATTACGATCTTCTTTTTACACATATATCCAATACACTTACTGTTCAATACATCCATGATTTTGGTATGAGGAATATAAAGATCTACTTTGTCGACATTGTTGCGTTGTTGATCCCAATTAATAGTATCATAAGGCTGAACATAAATTTCCTCACGAAGCGATTGAGTGAATTCGGTTAATGGTGCGTTGAGACGAAGAGCGTAGATATAACCCATGGGTAGATAGACAAGACGCGTATGAACCCACCAATTACCAGGATTGAGAGGTACCCATTTAGGTAACGCCCTTGATAAAAAAAAATCAATATCATTAATCATTATCATGTTTAGATATATAATTGATTCTTTTTCTCTTTTTTTTTTTTTTTTTTAATATTTACCATAATTCAGGAGGAACAGGATTCATACCTTCCCATTCATAAACACCAAGTGCAGAAAGCCAAAATTTGCCCCAAGCAGGAATTCCAGTAGCACCTCCTAATTTATGTAGAGTATTACGAGCTTTCACCATAACTGGATGATCTGGACCAAGACCAAGAATACGTAGAGTAACATAGTTCAATGCTGTTCCAAATACTGTAGACACTCCTTCAATATGAATCCCCCATCCACCATCTTCACTATGAGCACGGTTAAGTAGGTATCGTATTAATTCAAGTCGCATAGGTTCTGGAACCGGAGTGCCAGTGATATAATATACAATAACTAAACCAGGTATCAAAAACCTATTTTAAAGAAAAAAAAAAAGAAAAGAAAAAATAACGTGTCATTAAAACCTATTATTATTATTATTTTTTAATTGTTTACATTGGACCACCATATTCACCACCCCAGTGACCATCTTGTGTTTGTATATGTCGGTAGAATTCAAAACCATTTCGAGCACTTTCAAGAGGTGTTTTAGCACGAGGAAGTTCAGGTAAACCCTATAAAATTAAATTAAGTATACTAATATATATTATATATATATACATATATATATTTACCGTAGGAAGACCTAGATGATACTTATCCCAAATCTCTTGAGGCCAAGCTTGACTTTCTTCTTCAGTTTCTAGATAACGCCATATTTGTGCGCCTTCTTCTACTTGTAACCGCCAACGAGAAAGATCAGTGAAGGAAGGTGTCTGATTCAAGTTGAGAGTAGCAGAATGGTAGGTTTCCAAAGGAGCCATTTATAATATAGAATATTAAAAGGAAAGAAAAAGAAAAAAAAAAAAAAAAAGAGAGAGAGAAAAGAGAAAATGGAAAATTTTCAGATGTAAATTCGTCTTTATATATACAGTTTGAGTACCGATAGACCGGGCCTTGATGCAGACTTGCACCCTAACGACTTCCTTAATTAGTGAAATACTCAAGTTGTCATCCTTATTTCCTTCTTGTTATATATATATATAAGAACAAAGTTGATTGTAAGTTATATTGCATAAACAAAATTAATTCATAATCTTATTTGCGTTTGTAAAGAAAATCTTGATGGAAATGCGTTGACCAATTCACCTCTTACTTTGAAAATCCGAATATGGATTTTTTACCTTTTTTTTTTTTTTTTTTTTGATTCTCTTCTTCTTAAATTATTCCACTGTCATGAACAATTCCAAAGCCAACCTGAAAGCAGCTAGAGAAGCAATAGGAAAGAAGGATTTTGAAGAAGCCATAAAATGTTGTAATCGTATTACTTTATGGGATTCTGGAAACTATAACGCGTAAGGCACTATATATATGATATATATATGTATAATGCTAAAACTTTATTTAAAGCTATGTCTTTTTAGGTGTTGCTTATGCTGGTCTCAACAATACAGAAGAAGCTGAGAAAGCTTATCAACATGCTATTGAAATCAATTCAGAACAACTATTAGCTTGGCAAGGATTGGTCAGTTTATATGAAAAACAAGACAATTATCAAGCAGTTTTACAAACGATAGATCTCATTTTACCCAAACTGATATCAAGGTATTTGAAAATAGTTATATAGAACTTTAGTGATCTGATTGTTCTTTTTCCTTTTTTTTTTTTTTTCTATAGTAATGATGGCAACCGAGTGGCAGAATATCTTAACAAAAAACTGGACATTTATGAAAACAAACAACCTGACGAATCAAAGTTCATTAACACTTTGAAACTATTTTTACCCAACAGCACTTATTATGATCTCATCAAGAACTCAAGTAATTTGCCTTCGACTACAAAGATATACACCAATTTGATTATGATTGCTGAAAAAAGTGCTACCAAAGCCATCGAATCTGGCTTCAAGGATCGACGTCTTCGAGCAAGTGCTTCACCTAATGTCACAGCAACTACTCTTCTTGAACAAGTGGAAGCAGATGTTTATAGCAAATCTGATCTCGCCAGTCTCTATGAAACATTATTACGGCAAGACGATACCTCAATCGACACACAAGACGTACAAGTCAAGCTATTGGAACTATATCGAAAACAATTACCTGCCCTTCCAAGCAAAACTGATGTAAGTATGAAATAATAAAAAATCACAAAAAGAAAAATGCAGTATATCTATATATCTTGCTTTTTCAGGAATTGATTCTTTTCTTTTATCGTTTTTAGGTTTATGGTAAAATATCAAATCTGGTCCATTCATTGGTAGCTCAAGAAGTCAATAACCCATTACCATATGAAATATCTATGGAATTCACTGATGTATCACGTTTTGGTAAAAAAAAAAAAAAAAATGAAAGAAATTGATTAGATAGAAGAAGTGGATGATATTCTTACTAATATTTTTTTTCTTTTCTTTTCTTTTTTCTTTTTTTTTTTTTTTGACTTATCCTTCTTGATAGATGATTATAATCAAGAACTCATTGATATTCTTGTGAATCGATTCAACTCAAATGGAACATCCAAGATCATACAGGGTTATCGAAAATACAATGAAGGGCAAATAGATGAAGCATTTGATTTGTTCGGGGTAAAATTATAAAAAAGAATGAAAATGGAAAATGAAAATAATATACTCACTTCTTATCATTATATTTCTTAGGAAGGACTAGAATTGAGACCTCAAAGTTTGTGTGGTTATCTCTGTCTTTGTTGGATTTACCATGACTCAAATGAATATGAAACTGGTTTGGAATATGCTACTCGTGGACGTGAGCTTGTACAAAAGTTCATCAAGGATGCTGGTCAACCCATGGAAAAGTAAGCAGTCATGATATATTGTTTGATTCAACAAAGGCAGTTCTTTAAAAGTATATTTTTTCTTTTTTGGTTGGTACTAGGATGATGCTGTCTATGGATTTGTGTATGGCACATTGTTATAGACAATTGGATTCAAAATATCACCCTGATGCATTGGATATCTATAAGCGAATCTTAACTAAATCATCTGACCAAATTGGTGCTCTGGAGGTAAGAAAATAGTTGAATAATGAATAATATCAAATAGACTGTATAACATAATACTTTTTCTCTCTCTCTCTCTCTCTTTTTATTTTATTCAATTAGGGAGCTGGTGTTATCTTGTGTGAAGATCGAAAATACGATGAAGCTCTGACTTACTTTGAAAAGGTGCTTGGTTTGGATCCTCAACAACATATGGCATTGGCAGAAATTGGATGGATCTATGCGCAAAAACAAGATTATGATAAGGCTATTCATTACGTATCTCAAGCTATTGAATTAACTCTTGATAAAGATGTGGCTGATTACTATTACAAACTTGGCCGGATATACTGGATGATGGAAGGTAAAGAGCTTGAAAGGGTTTTAACTATGTACTTATACAGCAAGAGATCTTATGTATTGTCATCTAATTGGATTATTTTCTACTCTTAGGAAATTATCGTACTGATACAAATTATGCATTCAAGTATTTTATGTTGGCTGTCAAGCGTGATTCGGAATTTGCCAACGGTTTTGCATACTTGGGGCACTACTACCGTGAAATTCAAGGCGACCATGTGCGTGCCAAAAAGTGTTATCAAAAAGCATTCTTGTTAAACCCATTGGATGTGGAAACGGCGTTACTTCTCAGTGATTACTATGTAGCAGATGATGATCATACTCAAGCTCAAGATGTGTTCCGACAAGTGGCTAATACTAACCCCAAAGCTGGTTGGGCATGGCGACGTTTGGGTTATGCGAATATGGTAAAAAAAAAAAAAAAAGATGGGTAAGGGATTGAAAAGATATACTCAAATGAAAATGTTGTATTTGTGTTTATAGGATTCCAATGATTATGAAGAAGCAATCAACTGTTTCCAAAAAGCTTTGCGTAATGATACCAGTAATGTTCGCTGTTGGGAAGGACTTGGCGAAGCATATGCACACGAAGGACGTTATGTGGCTGCACTCAAAGCATTTGAAAGAGCAACAACTCTGGATCCTTTATCTATTAATGGCAACCATCAAAAGGCACTAGTGAAACAAAAGGTAGGTATGCTTAATGTGGCCTTATCCGAATTCAAAGCAACTCTGCTACTGGCTCAAGAACAAGGAAAAGGGAACTACTTGCCATCATTGAAAGGACTCGCGGATACTTATTTGGAATGTGCAAAAGAAGATTTTCAGCAAGGATTTTTTGGACGTGCTGTCACTGGATGTGGGGATGTTATTCAAACATGTTTACAAGGACTACAGGTGGATCCATCCATTCTTGGTTTTTGGAAATTGATTGGTGATGCATGTTGCATGTATAGATCAATGCCTAGTTATCTCCATTTATGCGCATATCCTGCATTACAACTTTTAATGAAAGATTTTGCAATCAAGGCTCATCAAACACTAGGATTCAACGATGATCACTGCTCTCAACTGGTGGATGAATTTGTACAATTAGATGTCTCACAAGATGATTTTTATTTACCACCTCAAGCTTCTTTGGACGTGGTACTGGCATGTGCTTCCTTTGCTTACAAGCAAGTCATTGTTCTTTGTCACAATCATCGTGCTATCTCCCCTGCTTTCTGGCATGATCTTTCATTGGTCTATTACTGGGTGGGCGAGAACAATTTGGATCATCAAGAATCTTGTACTGCTGTGAGTACCAAATGTATTCAAGTTGCATTGACTTTGGAACCTACTCAAGCCACCTATTGGAACGCATTGGGTATCATTACTATGAAGACATCACCGAAAATTAGTCAACATGCATTTATTAAGGCTATGGAATACAATAATAGGGTATGAAAGAAAAAAAGAAAAGAGAAAAAAGAAAAATAGAAATAGGTGATATGATTGATTTATCTCATTTCATATTTTACTTTTTCTTTTTTTTTAGTCCGCAGTACCATGGACAAATTATGGATTTTTATGCTTATCACTCAAGGATTATGAATTGGCAAACCAAGCATTCGAAACAGCCCATGCTCTTGATCCTGAATGGATTAATGCTTGGGTAGGACAAGCTTATGTTGCATCAGTATGGGGAACCGAAGCCACCGCAATATTTCAACATGCATTTGAATCAAGTAATGGATCAGCTGTAAGTGATTTTTTTTTTTTTTTTACTATTGACAATAGTCAAAGAATATTCATTTTTTTGTTTGATATACATATATTTATGATTAGCTGGAAGCTAGTTATGGATATGCGAATACTGTTTATCGTCAACTTTCAAATCAACAACAAACAAGTACTATGGCAAATAATACGATTGTGATATCACCAGCGTTTGCATTACAAAAGCTGACGGAACAAAGATTGAATGATGCATCAGCATTGAATTTACTGGGTTTACTATCAGAACGATTGGGTCAACATCAACGAGCAGCAGAAGCTTTCGCTGGTGCAATCCTAGCATTGGAAGCCAAAATGGAACAATCTGGTATGAATGGGGATGAAGAAACGACCCAACGATTGGCCAAGCTACATGCTAATTTGGGACGGACATTATGTGCTACGGGTGATTTTGCAGGCGCTATTGACAATTATCAGATAGCTCTTCAACAAGAATCCATGTCAAGTCGTATTTACTGTCTTTTGGGTGCTGGAATTGCTCATTATTTCTTGGATCAATTGGAAGAAGCGTTACACATGTTTGAACTGGCTTTGAATGAAACAACGACTGATGTGAAATTACGACAAGATGTGGTGGTACTTTTGAGTAAAGTCTTATGGGCATTAGGTGGTGATGAACAACGTGCAGTTGCCAAAGATCAATTACTTGGATGGTAACAATGAAAAGAAAAAAAATAGGTGAATACGTTGGATAATCACTAATACTTTTGTGATTTTATAGTATCGCTGATTCTCCTCAGTATCTCCCTGCCATCTTCTCATTATGTGTCATGGGTATTCTTGGAAATGATTCTACACTTACAACAGCTGCTTTGGATGAACTGATCAAATTGCCATCTGATGTTGCATGTAAGTTATTATGGGAAAAAAAAAGAGTGAGAAATAATACTGATTGAAATTCTTTTTTTTTTTTTGTAATATAGTTGATGATGACAAAGAACAATGGATATCTTGGATCTTTTCTCGTTATCATAAACTTCAGGTAACCAAAAAAAAAAAAAGTACATCTTGATAAAATTTTATTCATTCGTTTATTGAATTCTATCCTTTTTCACTTTTTGATATAAAGGGTGATGATCATCATGCCATTCAATCCTTGTTGAAAAATGTTCATCAATTACCATGGTTAGCATCTTTGTGGAGTCGATTGGGATCTGAAGTAGTGACAGACAAGGATAACATTAACAAGCGGACTTTGACATCGATTGCTTTGGTGATGGATCGACAACAACAATCATCAACAGATAGTCAAGCACAAAACTATGAAAACTCAGCGATCGTCAATCAATCACAGCGTGAGGCACAACGTGCTATTCATATTGCACCTTGGAGATTACAATCCTGGCAAAGCTTGATTACCAGCAACAAACAATAAAAGGAATGATTCTCTTGGATTCAACACTTCTTTGGATGGTTACACCAATTTATTCTTCTTGCTTTCTTGTCATTTATTGTTATCGTTTACTATTTTGTGATAGATTATTGTTTAAGGATAGCTTTTATAGATTTAGATTTAGATTTGAATTTTTTTTTTGTTGTTGATTTTTCAATAAATATATGCTTCAACAATTTTTTTTTTTTGATTCCATTCATATTTGTACGATGCAAATCATCTTGGTGTAACGAGTTGTTATATATTAAGCATTTTTGACTGAGCCGCGCCACAATAAAAAAAAAAAGCTTTCATTTCATTCCTTTTTTTTTTTTTTGTGATCTATTTATTTCTTTTATTCCTTTTTTTTAAATTTATTTATTAACAATATCATCATCATGTCACCAAGAGGAAGAGTTACGATACATGTGGGTTCTGATGGTGGAAGTGATGGTGGAGGAGTTGACCCAGTTACCCTAGGCAACTATTTTTGGTATGCTTCATTAGGGGTGTATGGACTTTACTTTTTCTATATCATCATGGTAGTATTAGCACAAAAGAGACATTACCCTTATCTCTTTATGTATGCGATCATCACATCAGCCATGATATCGACTCTTTTAACCGTGGTGAGTATTGTGGCACCTTTTGGTGGAGGATATATTGATCTTGCTGCTAGTATCTATTTCTACTTTTTCATTTATTTGACATGGGCTTTTCTCTTTGAACCATCTCGTCAAATCAATCTGATCCAACGTCGAAACAACAACAACAACAATGATCGGCCATGGCATCTCTCTCAATATACTTCAAGCGCCGCGGGCATTGCTGTGTTGATTGGCTACATCTTAATCATCTGCTTTACCTTGTTGATCATTGCCTTCTATGTTGCTGCCTACTATAGCGATAGCATGGATATCGCCACGAGAAATGGTTTATTTTTGTTCATTGTCTTTTCATCACTCATATTCCCCTTGATCTGGTTCTTTTTGGCTGTCTCTCATTGGCAACACATTGGTGAAAAACGATCTTATTGTCTCTATGGATTCTTTGCCTTGTTAATGGAAATAGGAATGATCCTTGAAAATGTACCTGGTGTTCTATCTGTCGATTATGGTGTATATGGTCCTGTCCTTCTCAACTTTCTCCTAGTTCAATGCTGTCATTTCATTGCCATCTTTTTCGGTATCATCCATGGGTCGAAATGGATCAAGCATGACATGATCATCCATCAAAAATAGAATTCTATCTCCCTATTTCTTTTTTTTATTTACTAATTTCATTCAATATAATAAACAATCCTATTTATCATCATTAAGAGATCCAATTTTTATTCAGTAAGGAAAAAAAAAAGTCATACATTAAACAAACTATTGTAAATGTCTAAAAACTATTTCTACAAGTGAGAAGAACGATCCTTGGTCCATGCTTTTGTCACAAACTGGATGATTTGATCGATAGCTGCCAAAGCTTTTGGTGATAATTGTTGATCAGTAAGGAATCCATGTCTCTACAAAAAAAAAAAAAAAAAAGGATGATCAACCATCTATTACGACATCGATATAGAAAGAAATATTCTTTTCTTACCACTCCATTATATCGTTCCGTAATTGTTTGAACACCGGCTTCTTGAAGTTGTTTACCATATTGTTCACCATCATCACGAAGAACATCCTTTTCTGCAGTGATGATCAGTGCTGGAGGCTATAGACAATAATAAGAATACATTGTTATAAAATTAAATTCATTTTTTCATATATATTTTACTTACCAAACCTTGGAGTTGTTCTTTAGTGGCTAACAAAGGAATAGCAAGTCGATCTGTTTCTGCATCCTTTGGCAAATAGAGATCCCAAACCCATTTAACTACTCTCAAAGGTAAGTATGAATTGTTTTCATATTCAAGATAGGATGGAACTGTAAAATCTGTACCAATAAGAGGATAAAGAAGAACTTGAGACTTGATTAAAATATTTTGATCTTTTTCTTTTTCAAGAGCTATATATATAGAAATAAGAAAATGGAATGAGTTTTATTACTGACAATATATATTTGATATAGCTTACCACATAATGATGTCGATAGATTAGCACCTAGCGAAAAAAAGAAAGAGAGAGACAGTAATGAATTAGATGAATCAAATATAAAAGTGGTTGGATATTAAATACCTGCACTATCACCTATAACTGTTAATCGATTCAAATCTCCTCCAATAGAAGCAGCATTCTCCTTGATCCATGAGAGAGTAGCATAAGTTTCATCTAGGGCCACAGGGTATTTGGCTTCAGGACTAAGAGAATATTCCAAATGAACCACCACAGCTGGAGTACGATTAGCAAGCTTTTTTGTTGTTGTTGTTAGATCATGAGCAAAAAAAAAAAAAAAAAAAAAGAAAAGAGCTTAGTTTATGGCAAACACGTACATATATATATATATTACCTCATGAACGAGAATACCATGTGTTTCTATTCCACCCATAAACCATCCACCACCGTGCCTACAAGAAAGAAAAAAAAAAAGAGAGATTATATTATATAATCAATTTCAATTTAATATTTATGAGAGCAACTTACAAAAAGAGAATGATAGGTAATACTTGGTTTTCAGATCCTCGTGGTCTAACAATGACAAGATTGAGTTGTTGAGAACCTACAGTAACTAATTTTGTTTCACGAAGAGCATCGGCCACAGGGATTTCAGCAGCATGTTCCTTGAAAAAAGCACGAACAATATCAGGTTGTAAAGCTTCTTCTTCTGGTAATTCTGTTTCATTCATGATGATATTGGCAAGTACAGGATGACAAGGGAATGGTTTATACAGGTTTGAAGACATGATTAATGAATAATGAAAGAAAGGGAATTTTTTTTTAAATAAAGAACTGTGTGAAAAAAAAAAGAAAAGAATATTTTTGAATTTGAAGTAGTGGCTGTACCTTTTATAGTCAATTTTTTCTCGGTAATAACGAAAGGCTCGATAAGTCCGACAATCATGCAAAAAATGGTCACCCAGTCATAATAATAATGATGTATGTTGTTAATGATAGAGTTTCAAGAAATCAGAGAAAATCATAAACAAAAAAAAAAAACTTTTACCCCTTAAAAAAGATCATTTTCCATTTTAGAAAAAGAAAGCAAAAAGGGAGGAAAGCCTATGTATTGGTATTGAATAACTATTTGATTCTCCGTCACTTTTGTTGCCACTAAGGTACCTTTTTCTTTTCTTTTCTTTTCTTTTTTTTTTCTCTTTTTATTTTCTTTTTTATTTTTTTTTATTACTTCTTCTTCTTCATATTATATTGTAATATATATATTTATATATTTTTATATATATATGTTATTTTGGCCCAAATTTTTAACCATTGCTCATGGAGTGGCGTCCAGTGTACATGTCTTTTTACCATTATATTTCTTCCATTTACTTCATTTCTCATATTATCGAATAGCCATCCTTTTAGCCATCGCTTTAACAACAAGAACAATAGCTTGTGGATTTTGGACAGCTTGGGTAGATCAACGTGATATTCAACTTCATGGTGTTTTAACTAGTTTACTTACTGGTCTTGGTGCTGCCAGTTTGGTATTATTATTATCTGTCCCTCCTGATACTTGGTTATCTTGGCCTGCTGCTATTTTATGTATGGTACTGGATGGATGGTTCTTCCAACCATTAGGATGTTTAATCGATGGTATCATTATCAAGATTTTAGGTGACTACAAATTACTTTATGGTAATCAAAAAAAAAAAAGATGATTGTCTCTTCTAAAGAAAAAAAAAAAAAAGGGGTGGAGACAGAAGTTTCTTTTAAGGGACATACATAAAGCTAATCATTTATTATATTTCTATTATTATGCATCAACGTTTGTCTTTTTTTTTTTTTTATTAGAATCCGAAAGACGATGGGGAAAAATAAGTTTAGGAATAACAGCATTAGGTATTGGATGTTTCTTGGATGATGATTACGATTTTGATACATTGATGGGAACAGTTTTAGTTGGATGTGTGGCCTTATTCTTACTCTCTCTTTCTACTACCGTTCAACCTGCAGACCCCTTATCGCTTGGCTTACAAACAGATGAACAATCTATGGAAACTTCGCCTTTACTAGCCAAACCACCTTTATTATCTCAGTACTATATTGACGAAAACCGTTTTGATCATCATCAACGAAATCATCAACAAAGTCAATCTCATATGACCTATAATACAAATCATGAATCTCATCCATACAGTTTGACAAGTTATTCTACTACAACAAATGCATTCAATAATACGGAAAACCTGAGATCTAGCTTTGACACAGTAACTGCTATGACCTCTTCTTATTCATCATATCAACCTTACAAACCTTACAGTCTTTTTGGTGACCATTTATCTCATATCTCGGAAGAAGACGTCAATATGCTACAACAGATTCCTAGTACACCACCACGTGCCTCAAGTATTATATCAACAAACACGAACAGTCTAAATTACCTATTGGATAATAGTACTTATCAGTTTACTCCCATTACCTATTGTTTACCTTCATCACCTTCATTATCTCCTCCCACACCTTCATCTTCTGGTCCCTTCACCAGTTTTTGTTATTCTTCTCCCCCACCACCACCACCTTCTTCTTCTATACCTACTTCTTCCTCTTCCTATATTATTGATAGTACATATTATGGTGATACTCCCGACACAATGGATTGTTCTTCTTTTTTGGATTCAACTTTTATGTCTATGTCATTGGCTTTGCTACCATTTCCACCTGGTGATATTCCTATGGTAGTATTGATCACTATATTTCCTCGATTTCAACCTCTCTCCTTTTATCGACATCAATCTTATCAACAACAACAAGTATTAGAACAGCAGGAAATACAGTCGAATTCCCTTGCACAAATTCAGGAGGTTGATTCTTACCAAGAAGATGATAAAATGGACGACACTAAAGAAGAATGGTCCTATCTACTGATTATGTCAAGTTGTTTTTTGCTGGGACTGGCATATACTCCGTTGATACTTTGGTCACCGTTGATTTATTACGATTATTTTGGTTTGCCTATGCATTCAGTTGGGATGATGATCTTGGTTGGATGTCTTTCGGATGTGATGGCTACTGGAAGCATATCGGTGATTTTGGAAAAATTTTCATTTAGATGGTGTATTATCGTGCTTCATGCCATCTTGATGATATGTATTTTTATTTATGCCTGGATGCCCTCTGGTCAAGTACAATATTGGTGGTCACTGATGTGTCTATTTGTTTTGCATATTATTTCAAGTGAGTACAAAAAAAAAAAAAATCTTCTATTTTATTTATTAATTTATAATTATACTGTAGGTAGTAGTATTCAAATGTTATGGTTGATGGCTTCCTATCAAGTAGACTTGTTATACTTAACAAATTGTCAAGATCGGATGATGTTACGTGGCAAAATGTCGGCATTGTATAGTAGTTTTGGACCGGCATTTGGAAGTCTGGTACTCGGCTGGTTGGTTACCATGGGTTGGTCTTTTTACATGATTTACCTATTTACCTTTATGTTGATCCCAATCAGTGCTTTTTTAGCTTTAGGCTGGTATTAGATTTCTTTTTTTTTTTTTTTTTCTCTCTCTCCCTACATTCTCTTCCTTTGTTTCCTCCTTTCTTTTATTTATTTATTTATTTATTTAGTTACTTATTGTACATATTACTTGCTATTTTTATCATTATCATCATTATCATCGTTATATATATATATATATACCTTGATTCTTTTTATTGTCTTTTATCAATATACATATCTATTTTTTACTTATGAACTTTTTCCTGTGTAGATTTTATTAAATGGAAACCTGTCTAGCCTGTTTTTATGTACCACTATTGCTGTTGTGGCATGAAAAAAAAAAAAAAAAGATCTTCTAATCTCCTTTGACTTTATTTCCATCACCCGCAGATTAATCTTGTTATGCAATCGTTTTTCATCAAGTAATCATCACTCATCCAATTAGTTTTGTAGAACGATCATCTTCCTCATTTAATCATTTCTATCATCATCCGTTACCACATATCATCCACCATCCATCATCATCAATGTCCAATACATCATTAGGGTTCAAAATATATCAATCAGTATTTATTGATCATAGAAAAGTAGACAAAGAAAAAGGTAGCTAAACTATGTATATATTTATTCGCGACGACCACGACCTATTTCCAAATCAAAATATAAAAAGTTCAATAATGATCATCTCTATATAACAACATTGACTCTTTCCCACTTACCGAAACCACCACGGAATTCAGGCTTGAAGTCACCAGAGGCGCCTTCCTTACGACGATAGTCATCACGGTCACCACGAGCACCACGACCACCTTCACGGCCTTCACCGACTAATTAAATAAAAGAATTGGTTATATTTATTTCCGGAAAAAAAACACAACTTACAGTTACGACGAGGAGCAGCAGGACGAGCAGCCTTCTTCAAGGTAGCAGGAACAATTTCGGTAGGCAAGTGAAGATCTATTTCAAAAGTTAATAAAAAGTCAGGTATAAATCGAAAAATCATATCGAAAGATAAAAAAAAAAAGGTCACTTACATTCACGGAGATAATCAATACCTTCATCGGTAAGAGTATAGTAATAGTATTGCCAGGAGAATTGAGTCTTGACAAAACCCTTGGAGGTCAAGGATTGCATAGCCTTAATGACTTCCAAATTGGGCACATCAATTTCAGGATGCTTGGGGAGGTTGAAGTCTTTGGCAGCGACCAAAGCACCATCTAAAAAAAAAAAAAAAAAAAAAAGAAAGAAAAAAAAAAGGAACGAGTGGATTGAATATCATACTATAGCTTTTTTTTTTTCTTTGGTCAACTTACCCTTGAAAAGAGTTTCGTAAATAGCCTTACGGTTTTCCTTGGAAATAAGCATGATTCTATTAATGTAAAAAAAGAGCAAAATGACGATGAGTTTACAATGTTGGTTTTAATCTATTCGATATTGTCCGGTCCTAAATCAACGTGTTCTTCATGTTATATACATACTATAAACTCGTAAAGCCGGGTACGTCCTAAATCGAATGATAATAAAAAACAAAAAAATTGATCAGTTGAATAGGTCAATGGATGAACGAATAAATGAACAAAATGGAACATGGATGGATGGATGATGGATGGATGGATAGTGTTATAGGTTGGGATTTTTACCGTTGCGAGGAAAGAGGAAGATCAATTCAACTTTGATTCCTCCATCACTTATATTTTGCCGCTCCAGCATTCCCCTCAAGCTTTTTTAGCAAAAACCCAAATTTTGGCCCGGGCTGGGATTGAACATTTCTCTTCACCTAAAAAAAAAAAAAAAGCTCTTTTTTTTTTTTTTTTTATTCTTTTGTTCCTGTCAAACATGATATCCAATAATAATAAAAAGTATAAACGACAAGCTTTAAGAAAGTTCTCTTATGAAAAGAGAATTCAAGAGCAACCACTTCAATGGTTATGTTGTGCCACCACTTTTAACGATAAAGCCACTCTTGGTCGTCATATACACACCCAACATGCTCAAGATCTTTTACAACTTGAATCTCAATTGTCTGAAGCTGAACAAGAACTTGATCGATTATCAAACTCACCATTTACGAAAAGAAGAGCTGAGAAGGTTTGTAAATGATATAGAATATCCAGAAGAAAAAGTGTTGTACTCATCTTTAATTATTTTCCATAGGGAACATCTGATCCGATCCATGTGGAATGTAACTGTGATCAATCACAACACCTAGTGATTCTTTTTTATCAATATGTGAACATTATGGATCCTGAAGCAGTGGCCAAGTTACATATGGAAAAATGTGGGACAACAGGATGGAATTTTACAGGCAAGGTACGAGTGGCAAAGGAAGGTATGAATGTGACTTTAGCCGGTGATCTGGCATGTGTGAATGCTTATATGGATTGGTATACACAAGATCTACAACAATTCATTGGTGGTGAGATTGGTAAAACAAGAGATGATTTTTTCAAACCTTCCCTTGGATGTCGACATGTATTTTCAGATCAACTTTCGGTGAAAACGGTGGATGAGATCTGTCCTTTACGTCAATCATCCATCACTTTACAACAACTGACACAACAGGAACATCAACAACGCAAACTATCACCACAGGCATTCCATACCCTCGCTTCTACTGTAAATAAGGAAATGGTGTTACTGGATACCCGGAATTATTATGAAAGTAAAATTGGCCAATTCAAACATTCCATTACTCCTCCTATTCGCAAGTTTAGTGTATTTCCTTCATATGTGGATCATCATCGTCAATCATTGAATGGAAAAACTATTTTAACCTATTGTACAGGGTAAGTGAATCAAGAAAAAAGTTTTTTTTTTTTTTTTTTTTTTTTTTGACTAGTTCTTTTGGGGATATTTAGGGGCATCCGATGTGAAAAAGCAACAGCATACCTACGTCAAACTTTATCGCCTGATACACAAATCTACATGTTGGATGGTGGGATACATCAGTATTTGAATTGGGTGAATCAACATCCAGAAGTGAACTCCATATGGCAAGGCAAGAATTATGTATTTGATGCTAGACAAGGTGTGGCTTTAAATGGAGGAGAGATCATCAGTGAATGTCAAGTGTGTCATACTCCTTGGGATACCTATCAAAAGTGTCAATCTGAACATTGTCATTTATTGATCCTTCATTGTGATTCTTGTCGTCAAAACTCAGGGAATATATCTTTCTGTTGTGATGATTGTCAATTTGGGAAACATCTACGTGTCAATGGTGGTGATGGTATTTGTCCTTGTGAAAAAACCCGGAAATCTCAAGAACTACATCCAATTCCTCTATAACTTCCTCAATTTTTTAGTCATAGATTTTTTTTTTTTTATTATTATTCCCCTTGTATTTTTTTTTTCCCTCATCAACGCTTTATTGATGAATATATAGACTTTTATATATGATTTTGTAAAATAATAATAAAAAAAAAAGTTGACAAGTTTTTGAATGTTTATGAAAAATAAAAAAAGGGTAATATCGATCTAATCAATTCTAACTAACGCGCCATTTCTTCTTCATATTCTTCCAAAAAGGTTTTCCATGTTGATCAATTCCGTCGACAGATGTTGGTCTTATGATAGGAGAGATAAGAGGATCAATGGGGGTCATAGTTGTTGATTGTAATTGTTGTTGATGGAATGATCGGCCTTGTTGATGATGTGATGAAGAAGAAGAAGACATGGAAGATAATGATACAGTAGGAGAAGAAGGAGAAAAATGAGGAATGGGAGGAAGAGGAGTGGTAGGAGGAGGAGAAGATGGAGCAGAGGATAAATATAATGGAGGAGGATAAGATTTATCAGAGAATGTGGAGGGTCGAGTGGAGGCAGTTGGAGATGGAGTTGGAGGAGACAGTCTATAGTTTTTTCTTACCATGGATTGTTCTTGATATTGTAAAAGTAAAGCATCCTTGGTTGCCAATTCTTCAGTCATAGCCATCATACGTTTTTCCATTGTCAGTTTTTGTCGTTCAAAATCATTTTGGATTTCGGTTGAGACCATCATCATCATTTGCATCTGTGCCTGGTTACTTTCTATATTTGCTTTCAATGATCCAATGGCTATTTCTAATTGTTGTTTGTCTAAATATAATGTATCCCAATCTTTCGTTTTGGATTGCTGTTCCGTCAATAAATGTATCAATTGATCTTGTTTTCCTAATACGTCGATGAGTTGCCTGATTTGAAGTTGTGATGATTCGACTTTACCCAAATAATCAGCAATGGTATCGTGGGCTAATTGTTCCTGTCGTACAAGCTGTGTTTTGTATTCAGCCAATTGTTGTTCTAGTTGTTGTTGATGTTTTCTTTGTTGTTCTATTTCCTGTAATCTAGCTTGAAGTTGATCTTGTAATGTATGTAACAATAATTCATTGTCTTGTTGTTGTTGTTGTTGATTTATATGTTTATCATTATTCAATGTTTCTTCGTCTTTTTTTGACACTTTTCCCAAACTTTTAAGTCTTGCTAGTTCAAGATCTACTTTACGAGGTGTCATGGAAGATCTTTGTTGTTGAGTGGTGTGTAATAGTTGAAGAATATAAAAAAATAAAAAAAAAAGAAAAAGAAAAAACAAAGAAATATAAAAAAAAATGGGTTTGACAAAGAAGAAAGAGAAGAAGGAAAAAGAGATATTTTTAGTTTGAGACATGAAAAGCGGAAGATGAAAACTACATAGTTGAGAGGCAATCCAACCCCTTCTTTTTCCCCAAAATTATAATAATAATAAAGTATGCTTTTGTATGCAAATGATAATATCTTTTTTTTTTTTTTTTTCAGTTAGTCAATTGAATTACCGATAGATATATTTGATTTTTCTTTAATATATTATTATTCAGCTGAGCATCACTATTTTTATGTGTGAGTGGCAATCCATTCACTAATGAGGGGAGAATCAAAAGAGGGAAAATGTGACGTTACAAAAAAGGGAATTCAAGTGCAAGAAAAAAAAAAAAATGAAATCTTTTTTCTCTTTTTCGCTCTTTCTTTTCTATTATCACAATTTATTATTCTTTTTTTTCTCTCTCTCTCATTATTATAGTATAACATCATCTTTTTTTTTTTTTTTTTTTACTATGTCTTTTAAAGGAGGCATAGTTGAAACAGATACTTTAATAGGTATTGCTTTAGCTATTGCAGGCAATGTAAGTTTTTTTAAAAAAAAAGAAAATTAAATATATATATATATATAAAGAAAAGAAAAAAAAAGTGTAACTAGTTATATAACTTCTTGATAGGTTCTTATATCTATTGCTCTCAACATACAAAAACTTGCCGTAAGTTTAAATAATTACTTATTATAGTTATGACTGATATAACTTATTCGTTTCATATAGCACAATAAACTCTCACAGCAAAAACACCAAGAAAAACGACCCACTCTTTATTATAGGTCAACTAGTCATTCCTTATCTTCAGTGGAATCTTTAAACGACTTTCAATATGATCATAACAAATTGATAAGTGATGATACTCGCTATTTACACTCAAAAACTTGGTGGTTAGGTATTATGATGATGGTTTTAGGTGAAACTGGTAATTTTATGGGTAAGTAAATAAAATAATAAAAATAAAATACAATTGGTTTTTCTTACTATTTTTATATATTAAAACTATAGCTTATGGATTTGCCCCCGCTTCTACTATTGCTCCTCTTGGAACAACTACTTTGGTTTCTAATGCTATTTTGGCTCCTTGTCTTTTGGATGAACACTTTCGACCAAGAGACTTTTTTGGAGTACTCTTTGCTGTATGTGGTGCTGCTGGCGTAGTTTGGAGTTCAAAAACACATGAAGTCAAGGTAAAATCAAAAACTCATTTTATTAATACTATATAATATATTTAACCGTTTTTTTTTTTTTAAAAAAAAAAAGTTATCACCGGAATTAGTGGCTGCTGCTCTTACTCAAATTCGATCTATTGTATTTTATGGTATTACTTTATTTTTGATTATTGTATTGACTTTGCTATCTCCGGATTATGGTGCCAAGAATATCTTTGTGGATCTAGGAATTGTAGCAGTTTACGGTAAGTGAATTTTTTTTTTTTTTTTTAAAAAAAAGGATTTCATTAAAATATATTCTTTTTTTTTTTTAATTATAATTCAGGTGCTTATACTGTTCTTTCTACTAAAAGTTTATCATCATTACTCAACCTTACAATGTACAAGTTATTTACGTAAGTAAAAAAAAAGAGAAGGCAAGAAATGAATAAATTACAAGAAACTTATATTTAATCTTTAGATACCCAATCTCTTATATCTTACTTGTGGTTCTTATCTTTACCGCTGTTATGCAAATCAAATACTTGAACAAAGCTCTTCAACGATTTGACGGTGTTGCTGTGATTCCTACTCAATTTGTTTTATTCACTATCTCAGCTATTATTGGTAGTGCTGTGATTTATCGTGATTTCGATGATGAAGATGCAGATCATCTTTTGAAGTAAGTTTTTTATTTTTCAAGTTAGAAAGTATTGACTTTTTTTTTTTTTAATATTTATCTAATAGATTTATTTTTGGGTGCCTGATCGAATTCTTCGGTGTTTTTCTTATTACATCCAATCGACGAGAAAGTAACTATCATGCAAATACTCGTGATGATGATAGCAGCATTCATTACCGTCATCCTCCTTCAAGCAATGTGACCATTCATCCACCATCACCCCCATCTTTGATTACCGCCGAACCGTCTACTACAACCACTTCATCTACCACACCTCTTTTACATTCACATTATTTTTCATCCGAAAACACTGGTAATGATAATGACACTATAGGAAAACGATCTATCTCTTCAGCACGACGATCTTCTATATTTGGTGGCATTTCTCTTCACTCTCAACTGGCATCTAAGGATGATGACTGATTCATCATCAACAACTCTCTCTCTCTCTTTTTTTTTTTTTTTTATTTCGTAGTTATTAGCTATTAGTATACCTCTTTTTTTTTTTTTTTTTTTTTTTTTTTTATCATCCGTCTACTATAGTGAACCAGCATCATACCCTTATAGTTATTTTTTTTTTCTCCTAGTTCTCACTTTATCCTATTATTATAATAAAAATAGTATACCACATTGTTGTTATTCTTGTTTTTAAAAGAAATTTGATTTTATGACATGTTTATTTATTTTTGTTTATTTGACCTGAGAATGATATGATAAAATAAAAAAGAATTTTTATTGAAGTGTATGTAAAAAAAAAAAAAAAAAAAGGAGTGATGTATATGTATATAAAGAATGAGTGGAGAATAAAAAGAAGATACAAAAAATAAAGAATACAATATATATAATGGAATAAAAGTGGCATGGTGACAATAAAGTGGAAAAAACCTAATCCAAAGAGACAATGGTAGCATTGTTGTATCCACGATGCATGGCTAAACCCACTCGCGATTTTCCAAAGTCATAGATATGATAGAATTGATTCAAGAAAGCACCACCTAATGTCCATAACTTTGTTTCCACAGGATCATCACGGATCATCGAGATACACATATGAGGTTCAGCAGAGTCGGTACGGAACCATGCATAATAAGGGATGGAAACTTTATAACCATGGAAATAAAAGTCCAAAGGAGGTAATTGTTCTACCTTGGCACATTCAAGTCGATACACAGTGACAGTACCTGTTGTTGAGTTGGTTGATGATGAGGTAGCACCAATGGCGGCATGTAAAACTTCACTTTGACATTTGGGAGCAGAGATGATCATGGTGCCGGAACTGAGTTGAACCATGGATTTATGTGCGAGTTTAAGGTCCACTTGGTCACCCAGACGGACTGCATTGATATAGGCTTTCCAATACTTGGTATCACCGTAATCACAATCAGGTAGAGAAAAATACGCCACAGATCCTTGATAAATGTCATGATCCACACCACCAAGAATAAATTGAGCATCGAACCATCGTTTATTGAGAGTACCCCCACTAACAGGTGTCGAAAGTCCCATCACAGCTGGAGTATTTGTTTGTGCTGTGCCAAAAAAGTTTTGCGCAAATGTATTAGAGTTTGGTGGTGGCGCTATATTAGGAAAGAGTCTCGATTAGTAACTGACAACAAAAATAGAGTGTTCTGGAATATGAAGATTTTTTTTTTTTTTTTTTTTTTTTTTTTACCTTGGCGTCGACGAAGACCTATGTTCATACAGAAATAAGAATGAACATACCAAAAAAAAAAAAAAAATGATGAGCTAAAATGATTATTTTATTTTTATGATACTAGATACAAACCTCGATGACTGAGATCGACTTTGTCACTTGATTCCAACCACTTGGTACCGTTGTCTTGAAATCCGCCCAAACCAAGCATACCCAGATATTGGTTATCACCTAAACTACCGGTGACATGATATGCAGAAGCAAATAATTGATTGGAGATGGTTCGATCAGCAACAGTAATGGTATCCTAAATACAAAAAAAAAAAAAAAGTGAGTATATAAATCGCGATCATCATCATGATTAACTTACAGTATAAAGGCAGGCATCGATACACCCATCATCAAACTTGATGGACCGTTTTTGGTGTAAATTTTCAGCAGTTTTAGATTTCAATGCCTTGTAACGTCTAGGAGCAGCACGACATTCGCTTGTATGACACTATACAGAATAAAAAAAAGTAGATAGATGAGGATATATCGATCTATCTTTTTTTATTATTGTTTACTTTTGATGCAGGTACCCAGGTAAGGGAAAAGCTTGTATCAAATACTACAGGTAATGATTGAGGTGGTGTACCTATCAAATATGAAAATAAAATGAAATATGATGTTAATTTGTTGTTGTGATTATAGAATTGAACTTACCAACTTGAATGTTGCCAACCAACTAATGATATATAAATAAAAAAAAAATATAAGTTTTTCAATCATCCATTACAATTATATTATTACTTACCAAACCACCATCATCGATCAATGTTTCTTTGGTGAGACCAGATGGAGAGACTGTTTGACGTCGTTCAAGTGGAATACGAACAAGTTGAGCTGATGCGAAAACGAACAGAGTGAATAATAATATGATGGATTGCATCCTATGAAAGTATGTATAAAAAAGAAAAGATGAAACAAAAAGAAAAGAAAAGAAAAAAAAAGAAAAGAAAAGAGAAAAAAAAAAGTAAAAGCATTTATTTATAAAAATCATCATAAGCCCGATACCAAAAATGCCTTTTGTTCTTAGATAGAGTCATTCAATTGGCTGGCGGACTATCTACAGTATCCCTTTTTTTACACTTTTTTGTTGCATTGAAAGTAACCTAACCTTTGGTAGGAGCGCGTATGTGTTACAACACTTCTCTTTTTTAGTATCTGGGTGGATATTTTTGGCCATCCTTTCCCTTTGTTTATCATCTATCATATGATGTATTTTAAACATCATCATGGGCTGAGGACCAAGAGTTGTATCTGTCTTTTCTTTTTTTTTTTTTTTTCAAGGAAACAAATAAAAATATAAAAAAAAGATGATCTTCCATCTCTACTGATTTTATACATATATATGAAAAGAGATAGAGTTGATGAGTGATCTATTTATGAATAATATCATGTTTAAATCATCATTAACATCCATAAAGGAAACAATGGATGATTGTTTTAAAAAAAGAAAAACTGATTACTTACTTGTCAATCTTCATCTATTTTTGGCTTTTTTTTTTTTTTTTTTTTTTTTTTTTTTTGGCCGGTATCGGAAATGTTGTCAGGGCAAATAAACTTTGTTATGATGTCTTAAAAAACCTAGACTCTTTCGTTTCTGGACTATTTTAACAACAATATAAGTGCGTATGTGTGAGTGGATTTATTTTTACAAATCATTGCCCGTTTATGATGTTTTTATTTTTACTATAAAAAGAACTTGAACAAAGATTCTTTGCCCCTTCGTAACACGAATGATCTTTCAACCTCAAGAAACTAGAACTCGTCACCTTATCATCACCTGTCACCCACAACCGCATATCATCCGCAACTATCATCCATCGTCACTATCGTCGTTCATCATCCATATCATTCATAATCACATATCATTCCATTGTTCATTCATCAACTTAGTACGATGGTTTCATGAAAAAGTCAACAATATATAGATGTGTGTGCACATCCATTTTTATTTCAAAAAAAAAAGGTATTATGGAAAAGGAAAAAAAGAGATACTATATAAGAAAGAGGTATTACATCATCGAATCGTCGTCATTCAAAAAAAAAAAAAAAAGAAATGATAACTAATATTATGCACTATCCATTATTGTAAAGATCAAAACATCCAACCCACTATCACCAAGGCAATGGCCAAGAAACACATATCGTTACGATGAGAGGGTACAACGACAGGCATAAGTTGATTGGCGCCACTTTTTTGATTATTGTTGGTGGCGGAAGATACGGAAGTAGGAGCCATTCCTGTAGCAGTGGGTAACAAAGAACTAGTAGGAGGTGTCCAACTTTGAGCAGGTAAAGTCCTAATTGAATACAAGTTTTAACCCCCAAATAAATAAATAAAAAAAAAAAAAGAATAATAAATGAGAAAATGGAGTATCATCAATACAATCTCAGGAGTTGACAGAAGGGAGATGATAACATATATTCTTCATTCTTTTTTTTTTTCATTTGACTTACACATTAGCACCAGGTTGAGAACAAACATCTTTGACGGTTCTACTTTGTTCCAATTTGCCAGCGTCTTGAGGACAATTATCATAACATGATAGTTTACTAGAATGCCACTGTAGAATGAATAAAAAAAAATATAAGACAAAAAAGAAAAGAAATCAATGGATTCCTCCTTTTCCATAACTTGTGATCTTTTTCTCCTTACCCTGCAAAGACATGCATATTCTAAAAGTACCATTGAGAAAAAAAAATATATATATTTTAGTGAATTTCTCTTTATGGAAACCCTGATATATATATTTTTTTATATATACCTTCAGATCGACATCCTTTGATATAATTATCTTGATTCTTCAAACAAAGTTCGAATCTAATCAAGAAAGAAAGAAAAAAAAAAAAGAAAGGATTAAAAGATAGATAAAAAAAAGTGAATAGAAACTTACACAGTTTGATCTGAACATAAAACAGGACCTTGAGGTGAAGTTGTTGGTTGTTCTGTTACAGGAGAACCAGTAGTGGATGGTGATGCTGATGGTGTAGATGGATTGTTATTGCTACTAGTAGGACCAGTGGGTGATGCTGCTGCTGCTGGTGGTTGACCTCCAATGGATTGAGCCGATGAAGCATTCACAATGCTTAAAAGACCGATGATGATCCATGTAACCTTCATTTTATTATTATTATTATTATTATATATAGAAAATCAAAAGAAGAAAGAGAAGAAAGAGGAGTCAACAGAAATGATACAAAAAAAAAAAATAAAGGTAAATTTAATGCTATCATTTGATTCTCAGATTCAAGGGGATGGGAGGCGGTAGGGTGATAGTATTATACGAAAGGAGTCAAACAGGCATTTATCAAAGGGGAGAGAAGGATTTTTTTTTTTTTTTGTGTATGAGGAGAATAGAGATTGATTGAGTAAATAATATTTAAACTTTATCAAAAGATCAGGGGAAGGAAAGAAGGGATGAAAAAAAAGAGAATTTTGTGGAGATCCATAAAGGGTGAAAAAGGAGGGAAGATGATAAACAAGTGTTTTCTTTTTTGACATGGCATAAAATATATCAACAAATAAAGGGGATATTCTATTTTTGATACAAAAGTACAAAATACAAAAAAAAAAAAAAAAGTGTTTATTTCTTTAATAATAAATGACTATTCTACAATTTGCTTTTGGCAGCTTGTCGTTCAGCCCTTCTTTTTTCAGAAGCGTCTAATGATAAAATATTAATGAGGTATGCATAAAATCTTCTTTTTTTTTCTTCTTTCTTACCAACAAAAGCATTCAAACTTGCTATAGATTCAGGAGATCGGACACGTGTATGTAGTTGGATCATTTCTTTGTCGTTCATATCATGAAGTAAAGGTCGTTCCATATGTCGAATCAGATCCTTGGTCACTTTTAAAGCTTCAGGTGAGAATAAAGCTGCTTCTTCTGCAAGTTTCAAAGTTTCTTGTCTTATGGTATCCTTGCTGATGGTTCGACTGACAAATCCACATCCAACCATTTCTTCCACTGTCATTGTACGTCCCATAAGCTATACAAAAAGAATCAATTATATATCATAAAGTCTATTTAAAGCAAACAAATATATTTCTTTTATTTTACCAGCATTTCATTGGCCTTGGAATTACCCATAATCCTAGCAACAACAACAAAAAAAAGTATTAAAATCATTCTAATATGTTTGTCTGCTTTTTATTTTTATTTTGTACCTTGGGAATGTATAACTTGAACAAGCTTCACTGCAGAATCCAAGTTTCATAAAAGGGGTTGTAAAAGTAGCATCTGGTGTTGCATAAACGACATCGCACAATGCAAGACTAGTCACTGCAAATCCATAAGCAGGTCCATTGACTGCTGCGATTATCAATTTGGGGAAATCAATCAATGCCGTCACGACGCCTCTACATAATTCAAAAAAAAAAAATGAATTTAAAGAAGTCAGTTTATTTATCTATTTACTTTGTAATATTTCGTCTTATTTCATCGGCTGCATTTCCTTCTTTGGTATGGACATTGGGTCGGTAAAGTTGTTGACCAGAACAGTAATACTTTCCGCGGCCGGTTAATAAAAATACCTTGACACGATCATCCTTTGCTGCCCATAAAAGTGCATCCCTCCATTCCTATTGAATATATACAGTTAAATTCATTACGTACGTTTCCATAACCCTGATATAAAAAGTGATATCCCCCCTTTTTTTTTTCCTGTCAAAAGCATACTTGAGTTAGTAACTTACTTGATACACTTCTTGATTCAATGCATTATAGATATGTGGTCGATTAAAGGCAAATTCATATACACCAGAAGAGAATAAAGTTGTTTCAAAATGTTGGAATTTGGGTAATGACATTAGAATAATAATAAGAACAAAAAAAAAAAAAAAAAAAAAGGGAAGAAAAACGGGAAAAAGTAATACCTTCAAAAATTTAAATTTTATACGGCAGCTGAGTGCCAACCTACGAGAGGAAGATGGGAAAAAGATGACAAAGAGAAAGGCGTAAAGATGGTTTGATTTATTGTTGTGTACAAATAGAGAAAATATATAATATAAAAATAATATTAAAACTAAATCATGTATGTTTGATCTTTTTTTTACAACTAAGACTAATTTTGTTGGGTTTTCGTTTGACTAAGGGTTTTGATACATCTTCTTCTGGAAAGATATCAGAAAATATATCATCATCATAAGTACTATTCTTGTAAAACGGTGTTTCAAGGGTGGTTACATTATCTTGTTTCTTTGCTGTTGGTAGAGGCGCTTCATTTTCATTTTGTATAATTTCCACTGTCACTTGTTCCATTGGCTGATCCATTTCCTTGGTCCTTGACTCTTCGGTCGTCTTAATTGTCATATTAACAAGTTGTGAGGGCGGCGAAACCTGGTATTTTTCGTGGCTACTTGCTTGAGCTTCTGTCTGTTTCAATGGATATTGTGGTGATTCTTGTTGATCTCGCCCCTGTGTAGACGTTTCGTTCTTTGAATGCTGTGGAGATGGTGCCTGTCCTTCTTCATGAATCATCCGTTGAGTAGATGTTTCTTTCACTGATTGTTGTGATGATTGTTGTTGGATATGAGTATATGTTTCTTTCACTGATTGTTGTGATGATTGTTGTTGGATATGAGTAGATGCTTGTTCCACTGATTGTTGTGATGATTGTTTTTGGATATGAGTAGACGTTTCTTCCAATGATTGCTGTGATAATGTATGTCCTTTATGAATAGATGCTTGAGTAACCGTTTTCCCTTCTAGTGGTTGCTGTGAGGATGACAATTGTGTTGATGATGATGATAATGATTTGGATCGTTTTTTCCGGGATAATGATAGTTTTGCTTTTGGTTTAACGGCTGTATTATCTGGAGGATCCGAAGGATTTAATAGAAATGGATTCATATGATTAGCTTGGTCGATTTCCGTCGTCGGCATTGTAATGTGTTCATCAGGATTCTTTTGTGTGGATGTAGAACTAGCCGAGTCTTGCTATTTTAAAAAGGAAAGGCAATCATGATATTAGTATCAAGCACAAAAGACCGTATGTTATCAAGTTTTCTTTTTTTTTTTTTAAAAAAAAGATACCTTTTCTTGGGAATCAGTGGCATATTTCTTAGTATGTTCCTTGGCTTTCTTGGAGAAGAGATCGTGATCTTGTATATATTCTTTGGCCTGAGGGAAAAAAATATAATATAATAAAAAAGAAGTTGACATTTAGTAATTAATTCAATATACTTCATCATATATATATGTAGATTACAATGTCAGCGTCCAAAGGATCGTCTGGATTGGGTGTACCGATCAATTGTTGTAATGAGAGAAGTGTGTTACGCAGATTCATGGCAGGTTTCCAACCTTCTTCGTTGACACCCTTTTTTAGAATACTTGCACAGATACGACCGCCTTCATCGATATTGGGGTGATAGATTGGTGTCTTGAATCGTATTAAAGGTGGTTCAAAAGGATATTTATCTGGTACGGTTATATCAAGTTGAAACAGTCCTTCCTCGTAAGGTGTATCAATCGGTCCTTTCAAAACTAAATATAAAAAGAGAATATTGGTTAGTGGAGAGGAAAGCAGAAATGAATGTAATTTATACACATAAAACAGTATATCCATTATATTACAAACGTAAAACTTACAGGCTTCAAGTTGTGCTAGATTGTCGTCTCGTGGATAACAAATAACGTTGGGAGGAGGATCGTTTTCCAGATTTGCTATTTAAAATAATATTAATAATAAAACTGGTCAGCAAAAAAAAAAAAAAAAGAAAAAAAAATAGAAACCATTAGTTCCTTATAGTTTATAACATTACTTATTTCAAACTTCATTCGACTGAGCCAAGCTGAAGAACTCATGGTTGTAGAATAATATCAGGGGAAAGAGCAGATGTTATTTTTTTTTTTTAAAAAAAAGAAGGGCGAACGGACTATGAAAAGAGGCAAAGCTCAAAAAAAAAAAAAATTGGGTGCTTTATTGTAGCTCGCTATTTCCATTTTTGTAAATGCATAAATTCACCACTGTGAGGGAAGTTGTTTGTTGTTGCTGTCAATACTATAATCAAGGATATGATATTTTATTGGTTTATTGTCACATGATTGAAGTATTAATCATCAATGAGTCTATTGAAACTAGTTTGTTGAGGAGATAAAAGTAATGAGAACATTATAAGGGGTGCCTCCTTTTTCATACCTCAATTGAATATTAAGCTTAATGCTTGAAACAAAAGGTATACTGTAAATATAATGATAGAATGAGTTTTATTTTGCCAATGGTTGAATGACAAAGGTTTCGAATCCTATCGTTTGAATGTCCGCATTTTGTGTGTGTGGTGTGCGCGTGTGGGTAAGATATCCCCATGAATACAATTTTTTTTTTTTTGGTTACTTCTCTCATCTTTTTTGTTCTCATCCACAATCTTTTCTTTTTTTTTTTCTCTCTTTTCCTTTTTATCAATGGACGTTATCATGACTGAACCCAGTGTCGCTCTAGTGTATGCTGACATTAACTTGAAACAAGCAAAAGATTACTATGAATACGATAATTTACAAGTACAGTGGGGGTAAGAAAAGAATTTAGATAAAGAAAAAAAAAAGAATATTTGTCATAGGAAAGAATCAAGATAATAAGTATTAACATGATAGATTTTTTATTATAGGATACAAGATAACTATGAAATATGTCGAAAAGTGGGTCGTGGCAAATATTCAGAAGTATTCGAAGGTGCTAATATGTTGACTCAGGAACGTTGCGTGATTAAGGTACTCAAGCCTGTGAAAAAGAAGAAAATTAAACGTGAAATCAAGATTTTACAAACGTTAAATGGTGGTCCTAATATTATTGCCCTATTGGATATTGTCAGGGATCCACAGGTAAAATTGTAAAAAGAAAAAAAAAAAAAACTTGAAACTTTTTTAATTAATCCATTATTATATTAATAGTCCAGAACGCCTTCCTTGGTGTTTGAATGTGTCGACAATACAGAATTCAAGATTCTCTATCCTCGATTTACTGATTATGATGTACGATATTATATGTATGAACTACTCAAGGTATAGTAAGATTTGCATGAAAAATGACAAACGATACTCAATCATCTGACTTTTCTATTATTTTTGAATCCAATGTGTAGGCACTTGATTATTGTCATTCAAAAGGGATTATGCATCGTGATGTAAAACCTCACAATGTGATGATCGATCATGAAAAGAAACAGGTATGTTATACATATATATATATTTTTAAAAAAAAAAGCTAAAGATAAACATTTTTTTTTCTTTCTTTTCAAACTAGTTAAGGTTGATTGATTGGGGATTGGCTGATTTTTATATACCTGGAACTGATTACAATGTACGTGTAGCTTCAAGATGTTACAAAGGACCAGAATTATTAGTGGACTTTCAACGATACGATTATAGTTTGGATTTATGGTGTTTTGGAGCAATGTTGGCAGGCATGGTAAGAAATATATATATAATTTTAAAGAAGATACTCATACTTATATTCTTTTCTTTTGTAGATTTTCAGAAAAGATCCCTTCTTCAATGGTCAAGATAATTATGATCAATTAGTCAAAATTGCTCGTGTTCTTGGTACAGAGAGTTTACATGCTTATTTGAGAAAATACAATATTACATTGGATTCACATTTTGATGGTATTCTTGGAAGGTATGGAAAAAATAATATTCATTTATTTGTAGTATTAACCATTATATTCCTATTTTAGTTACCCACCAAAACCTTGGACAAAATTTGTAGGACCTACTAACAAAAAGTATGCTTCTCCTGAAGTATTTGATTTACTGGACCGTCTCTTACGTTATGATCATCAAGAACGATTGACTGCCAAACAAGCCATGGAACATGATTGGTTCAAACCTATTCGAGAAAAGGAATCTTCATAGAAATCTTTTAGTTTATTCCATACCCGCTTTTTTTTTTTTTTTTGTTATTCATTCTTTTAGTTTTTCATATTATATATTTATTCGATATGTTTATTCAATAAAGAATTTCAACTTTTTTTTTGTTGTTATTGCTTTACTATTTTCTTTCAGGCACCCATCAAATATATATATATATTATACAAAAAAAAGAGAGCCTGGGACATGATTGGCCACTTTTTCACTGCCTTTTTTTTTTTTTTTTTTTTTTTTTTTTTTTTTGAGGTGGTCGGTGAAATAAGTATCTCCCTCGTTCTTCTTTCCTTCTTTATTCTTTCACATGTATATTTGTCGACAGTTTCTATGGAAAAGCAATAGGCATCACTTTTCATCAACTCCTTTGAAAAGAAGGTTAACATGTTTACCACAAAAGGACCGACTTTTTGCTTTACGACAAGCCATGGCAACTTCATCGCCTGAACCTGTGGATGTTTTGTAAAGTCAACATAGAATAGAACCACCGCAATATTGATTGACCTACTTTTATATCATAGTGTTGTTCCAACTGAAGATGCTCACCAGGTAAATAACTGTATGCCAATATTGATTTTGTTTGTCTTCCAACACACGTTTGTATTTTTTTTTTTTTTAATATAGAGTGAATATACAGCTGAGTGTGACAATCGACGTGCCTGGATTTCTGGTTTTAATGGCTCTGCTGGTAAACTTTCATGATAATATCAAGATATAGATTTCTTTTTCAACTATTTGACTAATATATATATATATATATATATGTATTAGGTTGTGCTATCATTACTCAAAAGAAAGCTGCATTATTTACTGATGGTCGTTATTTCTTACAAGCATCCCAAGAATTGGATCATCAACAATGGACATTAATGAAACAAGGACTTCCTGGTGTACCTACTTGGCAAGAATTTCTTTCGGTATGAAAATAGTTTTTTTTTTATTATGAGTTATTTTTTGATTTATTAAAATTGATTGATGATCAACCCTTTTTTATAGGAACTTCCCAATATCAAAATTGGTATTGATCCCTCGGTCATTACAATAGGTGAAATAATAAAAAAAAATAGGTATAGATCATGAAAAAAAAAGTAACCCTTTATATATATATATATATATATTGTAGATGAAGCCAAAAAACTTGAAGATAAATTATCACAACATGGATCTACATTGGTACCTCTAACCGAAAATCTGGTGGACAAGATTCGTGGTGATACAAGACCTGCTCGTCCAACCAATTCAATCAAAGTGCATGATATCCAATATGCGGGCAAAACTCATAATACAAAATTGACAGAGCTGATGTCTTATGTGACAGCACAAGGATGTGATGGAACAGTTGTGACCAGTTTGGATGAAATCGCATGGTTGTTGAATTTACGTGGATCAGATATTCATTGCTGTCCTGTATTCTTTGCTTATTGTGTCGTAACTCCAAATCAAACACTACTCTACATCAATGACAATAGTGATGGTACTCGCCTGACCAATCTTCATGATCATTTATCTTTGGCCAATATACAACTGCGTGATTATGACCAACTAGCTTCAGATATCAAAAATATGACTGGTGTTACAAAATGGTTCATTGATCCTCACACTACAAATCTTTCCATTATACAAGGCATTAAGGTAACAAGTATTCCTATAGAAATACATTGAATTCAACGTCATCTTATTTTTTTTTTTTTTAGGATCGTGTTCAATATGGTACTTCGATGATACCACTATCCAAAGCAATCAAGAACACTACGGAATTGGCAAGTACTAAGATGTGTCATTATCGTGATGGAGCAGCTGTCAGTCAACATTTTGCATGGTTAGCACATGAATTATGTACAAACGAAAATAAAAGTATACGAGAATACGACGCAGCATTACATTTGGAATCCATGCGAAAGAATCATAGTGAATACGTTGGTTTGGCTTTTGATACCATTGCAGCTACTGGACCTCATGGTGCTATCATCCATTATCAACCATCAGCAATCGATTCTGCCGTTATTGATCCTCGTCAACTTTATCTTTGTGATTCAGGTGCACAATATGTAGATGGTACAACAGATATTACTCGAACATTTTTATTCCTTGGTCAACCAAGTGATTTCCAGAAAAGGGCATTTACTAGAGTTCTTCAAGCTCACATTGCATTGGATCAGGCTATCTTTCCTAAGAAAACAACAGGTGATCTTAGAAAAAAAAATATCATCATCTTTTACTAACTGTTCAATTTTTTTTATTTTTTATTTTTTATATAGGATATCAATTGGATACAATTGCAAGACAACCATTATGGCGTGATGGATTGAACTATCGACATGGAACTGGTCATGGTGTAGGAGCATATTTGAATGTCCACGAAGGACCCCATGGTATTGGTGGTAGAATATCTTACAATGATATTCCACTTGAACAAAATATGTTGGTAACCAATGGTAAGATATATATATATATATATATGATTTTTTTTTTTTTTTAATCATTATCATTCAATACAGAACCTGGATATTATCAAGATGGTGAATTCGGCATTCGAATTGAAAATGTTTTAGCTGTTTGTCAAGCATCAACTCCTTATCACTTTGATGGCGAATATCTTGGATTTGAACATCTGACTTTTGTACCTCTTGGCAAGAAATTAATAGATATAGATTTACTAGATGATAATCAGATACAATGGATAAATGATTATCATCAAAAGTGTAGACATATTTTAGAACCTTTACTTCAAGGCGATAGACAAACTTTGATATGGTTGGAGGACGAAACGGAGCCTCTTTCGAAATAAATTTTTTTTTTGTCCCTATAATTTATTTACCGCTTGGTACTTTTTTTTTCTTGTCTTCTTTTTCCGCGTTTTTTTTTTTTTTTTTTCTTCTTCTTTTTTTGATACTTTGTTGTACCTATACTTTTCATCTTTAGACTTTTTATTTTCTTGTTTCATATACAAATTACTTCGTTTTATCCTTTGATTAACGTTGTGAAAAGATACCTTAGTTGGAAGCAACAGCAACAAACAAAAACAAATCTACGATGCAACAAAATATCTCTTTGCGTCAACGGTTAACCAAAAAAACCTTAGGAGAAGTTTCCACTAATACAATTACGACTACCACAGCTGACGTTTCGACCTCAGATTTTCGTCAAGTCAATCCTGAATATTGGTCAAGAACATATCGCAAGGCATTTCCTACTTTTCGGTTTTTTTTGGATAATATCGACGATAAATTCAAAAAGTCTTTGGAACGAAAGATCAAGTTATTAGGAGGAGTAAGTATCTATACACACACACACACAGACAGTCTTAACTCATATATAATAATATATTAATTTCTCTCTTATATAATTTAGTTTACCGACTTTTTTTATTCCAACAAATGTACTCATATTATTACCTCAAGAGCCTTCGTTGAAGAATTACCAACAAAGGACGCTGGAGAACCATTACAACCTATGGAGACCAACCAAAGGGGAAATGACCAAGAAAACGTACAGCCTATCAATAAGTAAGTATTTTTATCACTACTTAAATCTTATAGTATTTCGTTTTAGACCTCTAATTATATATATATAGTCCTGATATCATAGATGCCTCAACCTCTACTGTTAATAAGGTAATTAAGGAAAAAAAGAATAAAACTACTTTTTTGGGTATCTAGTAGGAAATTATATTCATTCTTTTTATTTCCTATTGTAGAAACGAATTATTGCCAAGGATCCATCACAACAAGACTTTTTTGACAAGGCGTCTGCCATGAATGTTGAAGTTTGGAGTTTAGCAAGTAAGTAATTATCCCAACAAAACTCTTCAACGTTATATTCATTTTTTTTTTTTTTTTTTGAAAGAAATGTTATGTGTAGTTAGTGCACTTATGAATAAACCAGCTATCCATAGTCCTTCGATCAACCGTGGACAACGCCATGAAAATTTGGACAAGATGTTAATGGAAGAAAAAAGATATGGCGTCAATACAGGTCACCGCAGCGGCCATGCACCACGTCCAGTGTACGTGACTTTCAACGATTACTATACCAAAGTAGAAGATGTTACTGGTGTCCATGCCCCTATTCTGGTTAGAGAATTCCCATCTCCTACATTCGACCCTCAAACTCCTGAAAATGCTCGAGCTTATCCTTGGCCAAAGCTATATCTCAAACAAGAAAATGGACGATCTCCATTTACTCCTCCTGAACAACCGAATCATTCATCTTCACAGCCTCAACAAACACGGCATATATCAAAAAAACCTGTCTGTGCTACCACCACTGTTTCATTGCATCATCAACAACAACAACAACAACAAGAAGAGATACCATTACAACAAAATCGCCATCTAACAAATACAATGCTCCCACCTAACGCCATTGCAATTAAAAATACATACATACCTCCCAATACCAATTTCACTGTAAAAAATGACCATCCACAACAACAACAACAACAACAACAAGATCAATCATCAATGCCACAATCTCCTTGTCAACCACAAGATAACAACAGTAATAGTCCAAAAATCGATAATCAAGAAAACAATCCATCTGCTGACACCATATTACATGCCTCTCCTGATATTTCTCAATTGACATCCAAAACACCTTACACCACCACTATTTTCCCATCTACTATGAACACAAGTCAATCTACCAATAATACTCAGCGAAGCAAACTGACAAGCATGCATCGTACACATCAAGATGGTACATCTGATAAGAATGGATTTAGTAAAAATGGAACTCCTTTAAATGAAAACATGACAAGAATGGATCGAAGGATGATCAGCAATCAACGAAATTCACGTGTAAATGCAAGTGCAAACCATATCTTAGGTGCTACTACTGCTGCTGCCAACGCTAATACTGTCGCTACTACATCTGCTACATCTGCTAGTCCGGCTACTACAGGTGTTACTACAACGGGTTCACAAGCTACTCCATTACGACCTGCCGTGGCAGCTAAACTTGCTCATGATCAAGCTGAACGGAAGAAAAGGGAACTCACTCGAAGACTGGCAAAGGAAAATGCGAAATATTGTGAAAATTGTGTCGTTGTTTATCAAGATTTGGAAAAGGTAGGATATATAAAAAAAAAAATGAGAATGGATGACCAAATGTATTCACTTATTTATTGACCGTCAATAGCACTTACAAGAAGAATCTCATCTAGCATTTGTCCGGGATCAGAACAACTTCAAGGAATTGGATATGGTACTGGCGACTACCAGAAGATTACATCGCTAGTTTTTTTTTTTTTTTATATATATTTCTTGCATCTATTCCCTCTCGTCTTTTGGATTCATAGTTACATCACTTCCTTTCATTTTATATAGTGTCCCTTCCTTTTTTTTTTTTTGTTTTACCCTTATACATTTACATATATACATACTGCCCGTGTAGTTATAGTCATTGAATAAAAGAAATAAACTGGAAGACACACTTTTCTTTAATATCATTAGTGTTATTATATACGTTCTCTCTGTAGTTGATGATATGGACAAGAAGAAGACCGTATTTTTTTTCTACCGTTAATTTTGTCATCAAAAGCCAAATTATATTACTGTAGGCTCATAGAATCCTAATGATATTGGAAAGAAGATACTCCAGTATATGATGATCTCGTTTTCATGCATCAGTTTTCTATCTTAGGCATGTTTCCGCACATCTTGTCTAAACTACCGTCGCAATTGCAAAAAAAAAAAAAAAAAAAAAAAAAAAAAAAACCTCAAAACAAGCCATACCAATAATAATAATAAAAAACTATTGTAATGATAAAGATAAAGAGGGTCTAAAAAATCCTACTATTATCTATCCTTTATTTCAAGACTGACAAAAAAAAAAAAAAAGTACTACAAAAAAAAATATTGTGGAAAATAAAAAGAAAAAAAAATAATAATGAAGAAAGAGAAATTACAAAAAGGGGTCATATAAAAAGCAAACTAACAACTAGAAAGAAAAGTAATAATGGGTTTCACTAAAAAAAAGTATATACTATAAGGTGGGGGATGTACCGTTTTGAATTTTTTTTTTTTGGGTGTGTGAGTTTTACCTTTTGTTCTTTTTTGTCCTTTTTTTTTGTGTATGTATTCAAAATAAGAGAATGGTAAGAGAAAGAAAAATGATGGAGAAAGTGATGATGATAATAACAGAAGAAAGAAATGGATGTATGTATAATAAAAAAAAAAAAAAAAAAAAGAGGAGGAGGGAAATAAAAAGAGATGAGATACAAATATATTGATGAATGAATATATATGAATATATATATATATGTTGTATATATAATAAAACAAATCCAAAGACTATCATGAAAGTTCATTCACCAAAAATTTAGGCCAACGTACCACTGATACTTCCTCGAGGTTTCTAGAATAAGTAATTAAAAAAAAAAAAAGAGCTTAACATAAATCTGTTTTGATCATCCTACTTGCATAAAAAAAAAAAGATACTTACTCCATGATTGGGTACTTTGTAGGGACCATCCACATCTTTTTTCAAAGATCCAGCTTGCTTAAAATCATCCAAAGAGTGATATTTCTCCAACAATTGCTTGAGTTGATCATCCACCTTGCATTGTTTTGTTTTCTTTGTTTCCTTACGATAATGAAGATAAGCCCAGAATTTTTCAAGACCATAAAGATGACCATGTTCCACATCCATCAATGTCAATTCTTGGAAATCTTCAAATACATCCTTACGGAAACGCTTTTCAAGACCATAAGAATAAAATCTAAAGATACATTCAAGTCCATAACGATAATCTTGATTGGCATCTTCCACAGCAAGTTTCTTGAATTCACGATACATACGTTTGTTGAAGTGATCACGTAAAAAGTGAGACCAGAATCGGAATAAAGTATTCATTTCTTGAGATTGACCCACACCGAGCTGTTTGCGTTCCTTGAGAGCCTTGGCATGATATTTGTAATATTTGTGTTGGACAAAACCCTTTTCCCGTAAAAGACTATGTGAAGGATGTTGGAAGTTGGGAATAGAATGAGCCATATCCATAGAAGAACCCAATTCAACAGATTTGCTAAGAGATGAAGCGATGTCACTAGGATGATATGCTTGATCAGAAAGAACCCAACCAACATCAGCATGATCCACCTTTTTGTTGTTACTATGATTATTGTTGTTTGTAGATGACATGGTAAGAGAAGAAGGAGTAGCAGTTGATCGAAGACTTCCACTGTAAAAGGCACTGCTTGGAAGTGATTCAGGTTGAACAGGATAAAATCGAGGACCTTGTTTCTTGATAGGCTTGGCTTCAGCAGTAGTAGCATTAGTAACTTCATCTCTTTGTTTGTTGAAAGCTTCACGGTCAACAGTAGCCACCTTTTCATTCTTGGGTTTGTTGGATCCACCCAAACCAGATTCATATTGATAAAGACCTTCGTTAATCATATCAGAGATTTCATCATTCATCTTGGCACGATCAAAAGAAGCATGAGAACGATCACGTTTACGTTGAGTCACAATCATAATACGAGCAATCATATCATCATCTGCGTAATCATCATCATCTTCGTCATCAAATTCAGAGTCGTCATCGGATAAGTAATATTTCTTGACAGTATTTGGTCGGCTTCCATCCACCCATTCATCATCAAAATCAAACAAATCATCCTCTTCTTCGTTCTTCACCTTGGGTTTGCTTGGAGTACTGGTTTGTTTTATAGATGATGGTAATGTTGGGATAGGACTAGTCAATGATTTATTGGAAGGGATGGGTGTAACAGGTGCTGAAGTTGCGGCAGCGGTATTGACGTTACTATTGTTGTTGTTGTTAGTTGAAGTAGTTGTGGTGGTGGTTGTAGTACTAGTGGTAGTTGTGTTGTTGTTGTTGTTGTTTGCGGATGGACGAGGAGGCAAGATCCACATTTCCCAACCTTCACGCTTGCGAATCTTGTTGTCAGAAGTCACTTCAACTACTTGACTTTGAGTAAGAGCATCACGAATCAAAGATAAATCAGTGGATAATCCCTTGACACGATTGAAGTTTGCCAAAAAAGCCAAATCGATAAAACCATTCTTGTCCATTTGAGTACGTAAATAGATATCCTTGCACAAATTGTCAATACTGAAATAATATTCGATTTGTTGGGCAATGTACATCTTGAGTGTATCTTCGTGTACATACACAGGGCGACGGTTATTGAAGGAACGATGATGGTTGTTTCCGTTGCGCATAACACGACGATTTGATGATCCATTTGATGAGTGTGATCGATCTCTGTGGTTGTGAGTAGAGGTGTGTTCTTTGTTCAAAGGCCGAGGAGTAGGAGTGGTAGGTTGAGAAATAGGTGTTTCTAACTTGTTAACGACAACAGTTTCCTTTTCCTTGTTGGCAATAGATGATTCCTTGGTATCGGTTTCCTTACTAGTTGTAGTTGCTTTATTATTGATAGTTTCCTTAGTTTCTTTTTCTTTAGGAGGTTGACTGGTACGGCGAGGTTTTCGTGCACCTTGTGTCTTTTTGTTGCCATTGCTATTATTTCCACGATTAGAACCATGACGAGGAGTTGAAGAAGAGTGAGTAATAGTAGGAGTATAAGGAGTACCACGACCTTTAGCTTTAAAATGATAATAATAATAAAAAAAAAAGTGATTAATTTCACAATAAAAAGGAACCTTTTCAAGCATAACTTTAATTGTTGGTAATTTACCTTTGGGAACCACAATCTTTTCTTCCTTCACTTCTTCCTTATCTTGTTGCTCTAAAGCTTCTTTTGGAGCAGGCCATGAAGATTCTTCGTTTTCTAAAATAATATAAAAAGTTATTACATCGATTTTATTTGTCTTTATATGATCTATTTACCTGGGACAACAGTTGTTTTGACAGATTGTTTAACTTGCCATACGTTGACTTTAGGAATAGGAGCTGGAACGACTTGGGATTCAACTGAAGTCTTTTCAGTCTCTTCGACAGGTGGATTAACGTTCGTAGCGCTGACCATGATAGATTTGTCAACTTTATTGTTTGATAAAGGAAAGAGAAAAGGAAAAAAAAAAGGTTCACTCCGGTATTTTTTTTCTTTTGTAATAGTCAGGGCGGCACCAAAAGCCACTCTTTCAAGCCACTATATCTAAGCGGTCCTTCAAAAAGAAAAGAGTGATCCGAATGAAAGGGGGGTCTTCTCAATGGTTTACCCCTGATTTTTCTTTAAGCAACCTTCAAAAGTCATCAACCATATTAATGAATAAAAGTGTCACTAGAGCTTAAAAAAACAAGTTGACTTGAATAGTAGTGATATCTACTCCTTTTTTTTTCTTTTTAAAAAATCATCATCCACAGTGGCTTTCATTTCTTTTTTTTTCTTTCTTTTTTTTTTTACTTCTCTTTCTTATTTTTTTTCCTTCATAGTGAATTGTTCTACCTAAAATTTATCACTTCTTCCAAAATAAAATATTTGATCATCATTGCAGAAATGAGTTGTTGTGAAAGGTAATGATATAAAATAATCAAAAATATCTTTTTATTTTTTTTGACTCTTATGATAATACTTAGATTAAGTAAATGGTATATAATCACAGTAAACTTTTTAATTGCATGTTTTGGTTGTGGATTGATGGCGTTTGGCTTGATGAGTAGTCAATTGAAATTTAATGATGCGATCCTATTCCCGGTGAATATCATAAAAAGTAAGTAGTGATAATAGTAATAATCGGGTAATTTCCATAAAAAATAAAATAAAATAAAATAAAGTAAAAAAAAAAAAAAGATAACTCCTTATTGACTGACTGGCTGATTCTTTAACTCTCTTTTTTTTTTTTCTTCCCCTTCTTTTCTTTTGTAATACAGTGATTAATATCTTGGGTGTATTGATTTTATTTACAGCTGTGATTGGAACCATTGGTGCATTTTACCGAGAACGAAAAACAATTCATATCATCTACCTTGTAATAGCCATTATTGCTTTTGGATTTCAAATGATTACTGCAGTTGTGATTTATCAATTAACTGCCAACGCTAAAACGTGGTTAAGTGTCACTTGGGCAGAGGCAACAAAGGATTATCGTGAATATGCTCAAAACAAGGTATTCTTTTTTTTTTATGCGTAAGGGAGAGCGGAATTTAGACTTTATACTTTTTTTTTTTCTTATATAGTTCTCATGTTGTGGATATGCTAACTCACTTGATCATCCGGTAGTCAATCAATTCTGTTCAGCAACAGATACTAAAAATAATCTTCCACCATGTTTCGATCCACTAGTTCATTTCATCAGACATGAACTAAAGAATGTATATATCGTTTTATTTGCTGCACTCAGTGTAGAGATATTGGCCATTTGTAATGGTATCACTCTGTTATGTACAAGAACAATAGATATTCCAGAATCAATTGAACTACAGAAACGTAAAGTAAGTTCTGCAACGTTGATTGATTCAGCCATTGATCAATCTTTGGATATTACTGGTACTAAATATCATCACTCATATATTAATCATGCAAATTAATCATATAATTTTTCTTTTAATATCTAATAAAATTAAATTAAGTGTATCAACAAAAAAAAATACGAAAACATTAATTGATAGTTTATGTGTTCATCATAAAAAAAAAAAAAAAAGAAAGAAAGTGTATAAATCAGGTCCTTAAAGGGTATGATTAGTTGGTAAAATATTACTCCGCGAGGGATGTGACGTTTTTAGTGCGGTTTTGGAAAAGTCGAGGGTGCAATTGAAGGAGGGGGTGGAAAAAGAAACAAAAAAAAACACAGTTGAATTTTTATTATTGTTTTCTTCTCCCTTTTTTTTTTTCTCACTTTATTGTATTTAAAGAAAGAATCATCATGTTCGGTCTTCGCAAATTCAACACTCCTGTTGTTCGTCCTGTTGCTCCTTTCATCGTTGGTGGTGTTACTGTACTTTACTTCGTCGCCAAGATCCAAGATGCTATGATCAACTGTAAGCAAAACAAAAAAATATATCATTGTTAATATTATCTCATTAACTAACTGTTATCTCATTTTCATTTTATAGCTGATGAATACAGAAACGACCCTAGAAACCCTGCTTGTACGTATATACTTTTTTTTGAAAAAAGGAAGGACTAGAGATCGCGAATAGAGAGGAAGTGAAAAAAAACATGCATATACTCATTACTCTTTTTCTTTTTCTTCTATCTTTCATTAGTGTCTGCTGGCAAGAAGGATCACTAAACGCATTGTATTGTACTCGTTTATTTACCAACTTCTCTCTCTCATCATTATATATACTTTTTGATTATTATACATTTATGTTTTTATTCAACTACTCGTCCAATGTTCGACAATGATTCAAAACAAAATAAAAATCAACCTTTTTGTAGAACTTTACATTATTTGTATATCCTGTTTGTATTGTGGAATTCTATATATTTTTTTTTTATTGATTGATTGGATGATGATATTTAAATATAAATATATATATATATGTGTGTGTGTGTATTTGTGTATGTGCGTGTATCTATATATGTGTGCATGAAGTAGGGTATATCTAATATTCTAGGTGGATGTTATTGTAGTGATAGGTTTCCAGAGATGCATAATGTGATCGTAGAAGGAACAAGAGGCAATAAGATCATCAGTTTCACCAGAAGAAGAGGAATGATAAGACCAATCAGCACCATAGGCCATGGATTCATGATCAAGGAATCGACTTGTAATCATCAATTGATCAGTATCAATAACAAACGCGCCAGCATGCATAGAAGCAGATAAAAGAGTGGTAGGTTGAGTTGGATGCCATTTCAGTCGCCAAATACCTCCGCCTTCAGTATGTACCTTGGCTATAGGTTGCCGAATAGATCGAGTATCCCATAAATATATATGTTCATCATAACTACCAGTTGCCAACATATATTCACGATGAGGATTGGATTGCATTGTTGTCACACCCATTTCATGTCGTCTGTTGCTAAAGATAGGTGTTTCCACGCCCATACGCGTATCCCAACCCTTGAATATCATATCATCTGCCCCGGAATAAATGCGATGTGGATCCCAATAATCAAATGCTGCTATCCATGCTTCCAAATCGTGAGCATGCCAAGATTCCATCACTTGCCATTCAGAATTATTGTTGGATACCAAGGAGAGATCACCGTTCGAGTGAGAAACAATACATTGCGTGGAAGTAGATTCGGGAAACCGTCGTGTAGACCAATCCAAAGAAAGGCACAAGTTGGAATGATCTTCTGTCACTTGAATATGTTGTTTTTGTACAAAGTTGGTTACATTGTCTTCAGAAGTCTGGAGAGCATACAGAGTGAGACCACCAATAGAATCCGCTACACCAAGAACTTGATCATTGTCGATAAGAGAATGACACCACTTCATATCCAAAATAGCTGGTGTTTCAATCATTTGCTTTTGAATCAAAGATAAATCAGTTCCTTCATTTCCACTGTTTTCTATACAAGACACGTCAAAGAGATACAGTTTTCCTTTTCGTATTCGAGACTCTTGCTGATCTTTTTCATCCGTCAATTGATAAGTACCACAAGCTAAATAGTTACTATGATCTTTAAATGGACAAAATTCTGTCGAATCTGCGCTGTAGACAGTATCAAATGATATAATAGACTTGGCTTGATCGGTCATGAAGAGTTCAAAAAAAAAAAAAAAAAGAAAGGGAGAAAAAAGAAAAACGAAAAGAAATGTAAAGGGCGGTGATGGTGGCTGATTTGTTCACTTTCCCGCTTTCTTTTAATTTTATCAATGCGCAGTTCGGCCTTCTCCCACTTTTTTTTTTTTTTTTCTTCCCTTTCCAATTTTATTATACGTTATTCTTTTTTTTTTTTTTTTTTTTTTTTTTTTTTTATGAAAAAAACGGAACCTCACAAACATGGTACCTTGAGTGAGGATTTACGTTTACACAATCTATACAATGCTTTAAAGTCATCTCACTCAAGTGCCAGTATTCGCTATTTGGAACGACTGAAAATAGCTTCTGTCTCTACCATTGACCAGCTACTATGCAAAATAGCTTCTCGAGCTCGCAAAACTCAACAATCTACTATTATATCAACTTCATCATCTCGATCATCAGATATATGGCCTATACATCGACTCTTGGCTTGTTTTGATGTTATTTTAGATGCTATGAAACAAAGATCTTGTCCTTATGATCTTTTGTCTATCAAGTCCTTCAAAGCTTGTGTGCGTCTGGTTCTTGAAACTCTAGGTAAAACAGATGACAACGATATGGACATTACCAATGAATATGGAGGGGATTTTACCAAAGCTGCTACTCAACTCAATGGCTCGAAATGTTGGTGTAAACTCCTAGAACATCTTGCTCGACTGACTCGACGACGAGGGACAACAATGACTACAACAAAAACGGTGGAAAGAGGACTCGTCAAAGCTATTTTGAAGGATATTCAATTACAGCAAGCTCATCTACGTATTTTCTTTTGGTCTACTAATGTGACAGAACAAGATATGTCTCCTTATGTACAACACTCCTCTTTTGATCACACAATGATGACAGCAAAAACATATGGTCTTCGTGGTCTTTTCGCTCAAGTTTCCTTCTTTGGCTCTGATTTGATCATGCATGGTGCTTATCGTCGACTTGTTTGTCAACCTCTCTTTTTCTATTTTGGTCATAGTTCTCTATCTCAACATACTGAAATAGCAATAGCATCCTCTACTAACACCTCCTCTTTGATAATTGGACAACAAAACCATGGCCGATTATATTCAGCTCATCATTTATCGTTATGCAAGGCAGCTACTCAGTTACTAAATGCTTTGTGCAAATTCGAACAAGAACAACAAGGCGATAATGAAACAATATCCCATGGGCAATATTCTTGGATTCATTTTGTTGGGTCATCCACGTTAGTATCAATTAAATTGGCAAGAACATGGTTAGGTATCTTGGATCATTTATTACAAAGTGAAGAATATTCAACGGCTCAACAAACAGGAACTACAACAGATACATGTCGAATATTTTATTGTATGACAGCTGTATTGATGAAATTACCACCACAAAGCAAAGTATACTCACACTTAATACCACGTCAAAAACGCAATAGCAACAATGAATCAACAACAATATGGTATACAGCACTCCCTCGTTTCTTTGCACAGTTTATATATTATTTACAACAAACTCAACTGAATGGATCACAACATACCACCGTCAACACTAGTCAACATGTCAATGATTCTATTGGAAGGAGACAAAGAACAAATATATTGAAATCAACATATACTTTGGACATACTAGTAAAACTTTTGACGCGACTTTGTCATATTTCTTGGCGATGCTTACTTTCTACGTTGGATGGAAAAACTCTTGGTAGCAAAAAAGGATATGATGGTCATATGGAACTGTTGGGTGAAAAGTTGACTGGTTACTTGACGAACACATTGATGGCGTTTACTGCGTTTCCTATTTCTGTGGAAGCTCTTTTCTCTATGGCCACGGATGATGGAAATATTGGAGACACTACCGGTATGAATTCTACTTATTTGCTATCAATGGATATCTGTGCAGATGTGGTAATAAGGGGTTATTTCGGATTGACAAGTACGACCATTGAACTATATCAAACATGCTTGGAACCTTTACTCGAAACACTAATGCAGCATCTTCAAGTGGTACGTTCCTCGTGGCGAATGAAGCTTGGATCTAGATTGGCCTGGTGCATTCGTTCTCAAATGTCTTTACTCTATGCTGATAATAAACTGGACAACTCTCCCTTACTTTCTCGATTCCAAAAGTTGGTGATTTATTTACTACATGATGATGGCGCGATTGATCAACTGGCTGGATATTCAACGGGTTTAGGAAAATATATTTGGGAACCTACTATCATGCAAGCTCGAGATGGGTTGGTGGAAGCAGCTTCTTTCATTTCATCAACTTCAGCGACGATACCAACATTATCATCATCATCTTCTTCTTCCTCAACAGGAATCTTGGCGAACAATTATACGGTAAAAAAAAAAAAAAAGTTAGTTTCTATTTTTTTTTAAACAGGCTAATTCTTTTTTTTTTTTTTTTTTTCGTTCATGCAGGACAACGATAGACAGCCTGGACCTACTTCACTACATGCCACATCACAATCTATTTTTAGGACACCCCAGAAAATGTTACAAGTACTAGCAAAGGCGAAAAGGGCATTGGTAGCATTGGAAAAAATATCACGACATCCACGAGCTTGTGAAAGGTTGGCGGAAACAAACATACTGGAACTAGTAGAAGTTGGTATGATCCCCTCATATGCATCCAATCATACTTCATCACCTTTCAAAATATCAATGGATAATATTGACACTGTGTCGACAGGATCAACATCAAATGACGACGATTACCAACGCTTTTCAGTACTACCGATTCAAGTATGGACCGTATATGGCTTATTTGTAGGACTTGTTGCATCTTTGGCTGAACGAACATCATTAATGCGATCCAAACTACGGCAAGAACAACAGTTGGTGGATGTTATTATGGGAATCCTTTGGTCCACCATTGGAAAACAATCGGCAATTTTATTACAACAACAACAACAACATCAATCATCCGAAGATATGATCAAGGTATTTCAGCATGTAGTGAAAGCATCCATTCAAGTGGTATATGCTTATAGATATGACAGTGTAGCGGCCATGGAATGGTTAACCTGGAAACAAGAAATTGAAGATGGACGATCATTGACACTAGTATCAGCATTATTAGCTATTGTGGTACCGTGGTGCAACGAGACTTACATTAAAACTGGTTGTGGAGAAGGTGACAAGGAAAGACATTGGTGGATGATCTATAGTGGACAAATCAATAATGCTTCGACCCTTTTGGAACATCTATCTCTTTTTGGTGAATGTGGAAAACAATTAATTCAAGATAATGCCTCTGCTTTGCAAGATATCACTCAATGGATGGCAATTCTTTCTGATATGGCAATTGAACGCTCATCATCTGGCTTGATAGACTCACATGGAATCAACTCAGTTCACAATTTGGAAGAGAATATGGGCGAAAAGATCGACGGTGGTGATGATGATGTGGAAAACGTACAAGAAGAACAACTCTATATGGACTATGATGGAAATGACGATGGCGATGTTTCCTCTTTTATATTTTGCGACAATCAAGACGAAGATTACAAAGAGGATGGCGATTCAGACAGTAATATGATGGTTGATTTTACAGTATTGACATCTCCAACACCGAGTAGTGACAAGACAAAATGTTTAGCACCATTACTACGTACGTTGATCAAATTGATAACCAGCCGGGAAAATTTGAAGCTATTGATTCTCACGGATGGATTTACTCGCATGTTTGGACCACTTTTATTTACGCTGCAAGCTTCTACATGGCATGATGATAAAATGGAGGCTGTACTGGAGAAATACGGTATGGGAATACAACTTGGTCAAGCTTTATGGAAACGTGTGGAGGACTTGAAACGACTATTTCAATTTTTTGGACAAAACGAACAAGATATCAATCATCGACACGAATTGACAGCAGTGGCATTGGTATATGCATCGTTTTGGAATATAGATCACTGGCAATCTACTTTGGGAATATTTGGTTTTGATACAAGTCAAGAATCAATTGTCTACTCCACAAGTCCTTTTGGTATTATTTGCCATATGTTGATGCTTGATGATGATGATGATAAGCAACAACAAAATGATTTCTCAACTACAATGGAAAAGAAACAAGGTAGAAGATGTGCAGCAGCCCAAGCGATCACATTATTGGCATATTCCTTTCGATTACCTTGGCAACAACAATTAGACGATGCTCTGGAAAATAATCAACAAAAATTGGATCAGCTTTTAGTGGAACAAATGACAAAGAATAGACATTTGTTGGATGATAGCAACAACAGAATAATTTTATTACAGACAGATGATGCATCGAATCCTATTCAAGTCAATTCGAAAGATCTCACTTGGATATCTCCAGCATTTGCAGCCATGCTTAGCGACCATTATGCCGAAACAACGACGGAATCTTCTATCCAATTACATGACATTACATTGACAAGTCTACAATATTTTATCCATGTCAGTCAATTGCTTCAGAATCACTACAAACAGCAACAACAGGATGATATGATTACAAAAGATATATTGGATGACACCAAAAATGAATGGAAGGATGTCATGGTGGTAGTACATATGGCTGATCGATATAGTAGTCCTATAGTTCAATTGCTAGGTGAAAGGTGGATTATGAAACAAATCAAGAAAAAACAACCTGATTATCTTTCTGGATGTCTGGAAGCCTATTTATATCTGCGGGACAAATATCATGGTATGGATGGTGGTGGATTGAAAAGTACTTCTTGGCCATTTGGGCTTATTTTGAATCAATGTATGAAAGCTCTTTTACTGGATACAATCGACTTGATAGAGACGACAGCATTCAATAATATGACCGATATCAACAACAACAACAACAACAGCATCGAAGATATTGAAGCTTTCTGCAATGCCGCTCTTGTTTTACTCCAACACCCATCATCATCATCATCATTAGATTAGCTATCATTTTCTTATCTTTACATAGTTATACCCCTCATCTTTACTCTGTATAGAATCATCTCAATAAATACAACTCCCATATACAATTATTTATTTACTCAAAATAAATATAAAATGTTCTTTTTTTTTTATTTGTTATAATAGAATAAATAAAATGGTGTTATCTTCCATGATATCGTAAGATCTTGAATTGGAAATAGTGATGCTAACGATGTTTGATAATAAAAATGATAATTTATGGATAGTATGACCTGCTTGAAAGAATGATTAAAATCTTCATCCAATAGTGAGCAAAACAAATCTTGTAGACCAACCAGTGAAGTCCGCCTTCCGCATAGATCAAACAAATCGTAACTAAATATTTTACTAATCAATCAAACAGTAATCAAACAAAAGAAATGTTAATATCAATTCATTTCAAAAACAGGAAGTTTATTTGATCCAAAACCAAAAAAAAAGATAATAAAAAAGTAGTCGGCGTAGTTTGTACAAAAGAGGGAAGAAAACTATCATCTAATTCAATTCATCCACATGTAATTGACCAGATTTCACACCTAAATAATAAAAAAAATATAAAGTGAATCAGAAAAGAGAAAGAGAAAAAAAAATGACTTACTTTCACTGAGAGGGGTGGCTGTGATTGTATGCCGGATTTCTTTTTTCTTTTTCTTTTGAGGTTGAATGACTGCAACTGGTACAAGACTTTTATGCACTAAATAGGTGGAAACGGATCCCATCAGTAACCTATATATAAAAAAAAAATTAATTACAGATCGTTTTCATATCATTCTGTATTTACCCTTTCATTGTCCCTCTTCCTCGACTACCACACACAACCATTGTTAATGAAAGGCTTCGAATCTAATGAACCAAACAGGTATATTAGTACCTTTTTTTTTTTTAAAAAAAAAAAATCTATCCTTTTTATTTTTACCAAAGATTTCAATACATCCTTGACTCTGCCAACCACAGAATAACACACCAACTTGATATCATATAACATCATTTTTGATAATCGTTTTGTTGCTTCGTCTACAATCGCTTTCAAGGAAGTTTCAATCTAAGGAGTAAAAAAAAGAGTGTTGAGTATCATGATCCTTTTTTTTTTTTTTTTTTTTTGATTATATTCTATTCACTTTACTTCACTTTCCATATTCATGCCAGATTGATTAACAATGTCAGGATTATCTTCACGATTGGATACAGTGACAATATGAAGTTCATCATGATCACGTAACATAGTCCCCATGGTCCATTCCATAGCATGCAGGCTTTCATGGCTAAAATCACAAGCAACGAGATATCGACGTCGGTAACGTTCTTCTTCTTCTTCTTCCTCTTCTTCTTCTTCTTGACACACCGTTACCACTGTTGAGGATGATCCTTGTCGTATTTGATTACCTTGAGGCCCAGCACCATAGATCATCGTGACCACCTTTCGATCAGGTTGTTGAAACACCTTGTTGGTAGAGGGATCAGCAAAGACCAAAAGTTTGCGAAGACCAGGATCATGAGTGGAGATGGATCTTTCCCTTTTCTTGTTGTTGTTGTTGTTGTTATGATTATTATTATTGTTGTTATTGTTGTCTTTGGTAGAGTTGATGTTAATATGACGATTGGCTTCAGTAATTCTTCGTAATTCATCATCCGATTCATCATCATCATCATCATTATCTTCTGCCCAATACCTTTCATCTTCAATATCCCATTGTCGTTGTTCCATTTCATTCCATAACAAATCCACTTGGCTACTTCCTTGGCGAAGAGATCTTTTGATCTTATGGTCGGTTTGAGTTCGATCTGCAGTTGCTTGTTCCGAAGAAGTAGCGGTAGTCACTTTAGAACACGAAGGTATCATGGACGGAGGAGGATGTGTCAAGGAAGGTAGCGTCACCACGATAGGTTTGGCACTATCTTCTTTTTCTTCTTGATCATTGGCTTGTATATCATTTTCCATATCAGAACTATCATAGTCTTCTTCGTTATTATTGTTGGACATTTCATCCTGTTGTACTAATGTATTATCCACTTGGGTTGAATCCGCCGAATCCACTAGATTGATATCTTTGAGTTGATCCACTAACCAAGGTCGTCGAATAGGTTCTTCTGTGGTCAATGGCATAGAATCTGAGACAGAATGTTTTGATTGAATGTTTTCGTTCTTCGACATGCAAATTCTTCAATAATGGAAGAGAGGGAAAAAATAAAAAATAAAAAAAAAAAAATAAGTTGGGAAACTCTCGATCGTTTTGGGTTTCTCGTGCAATAAATTCATATACCGCTTGGTTGTTAGTGTGATTGTGTTACTTCTCTCTTTTTGCATAAAATCAACTATTCTTAAGATAAAAAATGGATTATCTATGTACAATTTTTTTTATTTTATTTTCATTGTTTGCTATATATAAAATTGTATGTAAAAAAAAAGAAGGTCAATATATACTACAAGATATAAAATATCAAAAAAAAAAAAAAAAAAACAATCTAATATAAATCATCATCGTCATCATCATCGTCATCATTGTCAACGTCACTAGGATGTAAGGGACCATCATCACGAATATAGCTAAAACCTTGAAATACATTTTGTGTTGATTGATTCAGAGGTATAGAGTCCTTGACCATAAAAGAAACTTGAGAATCAACAGAAGAAGGTACATGTTTGTTAATATTCTTCTTGGTATGATCCATTGAAAGAGAAGAAGGAATATTGATCGCCATAGAAGTTGATTTGTCTCGTTGAGAAGACAATGATGGAGGAGACATCTGTTTTCTTGCAACTTGATCCCAGCGAATATTTTTGAAGAAGGGATGTTTTTTGATATCAGTGGCACCATGTGTTGAACCTAAACGCTTGGTAGGGTCACGTTTCAATAGTTGTTGAATCAGATCCTTTGCTTCCATAGACAAATGTCGAGAGGATGGGAAAGACAATGGTTGATTCAGGATCCGCCGATAAAGAACATCTAAATGTACTGAATGGAATGGGGCATTACCAGTCAAGAGTTCATATAACAAGATACCCAAACTCCACCAATCGATTGCTTGAGTATATTCTTTTTTGAGAACCATTTCGGGAGCCAAATATTCACTTGTACCACAAAATGTCGATGTTGTTGTATTGTCTTTGAGTTCCTTGCATAAACCAAAATCAGTCAGTGCGATATGTCCCTGAGCATCCAATAAAATATTCTCCGGCTTGAGGTCACGATACACAACCTTGTGAGCATGGATTTCTTCTAAAGCACAGACCAGCTCTGCAATATAAAATCGTGCTTGATGTTCTTCAAGAATGCGATGTCGTTCCAAACAAGTAAAAAGATCCCCACCAGGTAAATAATCCATCACCAAGAACAAATGAGAAGCCGTTTGGAAACTGAATTTCAATGTGACAATAAATGGACTTGTGATTGTCTGTACAAGAACATTTCGTTCAGCTAATGTATGATCCACTTCATTTCGCTTGATCAATAGTTGTTTGGAGAGTACTTTCATTGCATATATTCTCTTGGTATCCCGTTTTTCAACCTTATATACCTTGCCAAAGGAGCCATGACCAATTTGTCGTAAAATACGGAAGCAGTTGGGTGTCAATTTTGTCTATATCAATAAATATATTTAAGTATAAAATCTTTTTTTTTTATTTTCCTTTCTTTTTTTTTTCTTTTTTTTTTTTTTTTTTTACCATAACATGACCAGAGTAGGTAGCTTGTAATCGAATTTCACCAGAACTAATATCATTTTGATCTTTCAATCGTAACCAAAGATCCAACGTGTTTCTTCCAAAAGTATATTTCCATTCAGTCATTCCTAAGCACAGATCTTCACCAGTTACTAAACGATTTCCACGATCAAAAACTTGTACAATGATTTTATCTTGATCCGTTAAAACATCACTAACAATGAAAGAAAAAAGAAGTATAAGATGAGTGGGATGATAAAAAAAAAAAAGATAGAGACTTACAAAGATTGTGAATATTGCCATTTGGGAGCACTTGCCCGAAGTTGCTTTTCAAAAATATCCAATGGTTCGGCTTCGGCTATTGTTGTTGTTGTTGTTGTTGATTGATCTAAAGTTGACATTGTGTTACCATCGTATTGAACAACACAATAAATATCGGCTTTCAAGGGATTGGTAAGGGTAAGATTTCGAGCTTCAACAATGACAAGATCTAATTTTCCTTTCACTTGGTCAGGAGCTGGTGTGGTAATGGAATGTGTACTTTGTTGTTGTTTGTTAATGAAAGCTGAAGTCAATGAAGTGAAAGAGTTACGTGCATAACGTAAAGATTCGCCTAGTTGTTCCAACTTGTCAGCCAAATTGACAGAAGGGAATTTTGCAGAAGTGTGGATAGTAAAATTTTTTATTAGTGAATCGGTATAATCAGTCATTTTATTTGTCAATACATAAAAATGAATAAATAAAAAAAAAAAAAAATAGGATATGATATAATAAAATAAAGAAAAAAAAATAGTAAAAAGAAGAAAAAAAAAAGAAAGGGGGGATTATATATATAAGAAAAAAAAATCTTTTGTTGGGGAAAGAAAAAATTGGGGAACAAAAAAGGCAAGCTGAGTTGGGATTGTTTGGAAGGGAGGTGATTTTTTTCTATCTATTTCAAATAAAAGAGTCAAACAAAAGGGGAAAAGTCTATCAGTTGCATAATCGATCAACCATTTAAACTATTCAGAATCTAAATATTAAATCATAGTATTAGTTAAATTATATAATACTTTAAGTCTCCCTTTTCTTTTCTTTTTTTTTTTTTTTTTTTACCTGTTGTATTGATGCACGTTCAAGAACTGACCATGTTAGCAATTTGGAAAGTAATTCTTGATCATCCTTGGATACTTTTCCTTTAGTTAATACGTCAGCTAATAAAAATGATTCATTGTCTTCTTCGTCACTTTCCACCATATCATCATCATCGTCATCATCATCATCATCTTCTTCTTCAGATATATCCGAATCATCATGACCAAAGAACCAGAGTTTGTTTGTATCAGGGTAATTGATCATTTCCTATATAAGAAATAGATAAGAAAATAATAATAATAAATCATGCATAAAAGTTTTTTTTATTTTTATTTTAATTTTCTTTTTTTTTTTTTTTTTTTACCTGTTGCATCACTTGCTTTGAAGGACGACCTAATGACTTAACGATCATACCAACTTGCTCTAAATCACCTTGACTAGGATAAAGTAATCGTCCTAATAACAGAGAAGCGTACATCACTCCCAAAGACCATATATCAGTAGCTGCAGTATAACAAGATGATCCAAAAAGATGCTCAGGTGCTTTGAATTGTCGTGTACCAATGTCTGCTCCATGAAGTTGTTTAGCCGGTTGATAATATGGTACCAATGGATGAGCACAACCAAAATCACTAATAATTACCAATGGTCTATGATTTGAAATATCGTTATCGTTGAAATGAGGGGGTGAATCCATTAAGATATTACTGAGACTGAGATCACAATGAGCTATACCGTGTTGATGAAGATAAGATACTCCTTGTACCAAATCTCGGAATGTTGCCAGAGCCAAAGGACGAGGCCAAGGTTGCTTTGTGAATTCTAATAGTGTATGTGGATAAAAAGGTAACGTCAAGCAATACGCGTCATCTAAAGTTTTGGCTTCTAAAAGATATACAATCTAAGAAAGAAAGAAAGCGAAAAGGAATCATAGTAAGTATATCAATCAAACTTTTATTGATTCAAACTGTATGACCATCCATAATTACTAAGTTGACTTTTCTAATCTTTTCCTATTTTTATTTTCTTACATGTTGTCGTCGAGCTTCAGTTTCCGATGATAATGCCAGTTTTTGAAAAGCCCAACGCTCCCTTTCATAATGTTGAAGAACAAGATTACCATACACTTTGTAATACTTCTTGACAGCGACTATCCTTGAATCAAGAGTTTCCTTGTCAATTATGGCAAAAGTGCCTTTCATGATGAAATGTTAGGAAGTGTTTTCTTCTAGAGTAAATAAAAAAAGAAAGAGGGAGAGGGACAAGAAAGATATATATATGTTCAAAAGAAAGAAAGGAAAAAAGAAAAAGAAAAAAAAAAGAGAATCATTGACGCCTGAAGCGAAAAAAAGCAGTTACACCATTTCAATTTTGAATGCCGACGACTTCCCTTCCGAGTGTCCCACATGTCTTCATTCATCATCGTTCAAAAAGGTTCAATGGAAGGAAACATGTTATTCTAAAAAAAAAAAAAAGCAAGTCATCCTTTGATTTGAGCTTGAAATTGAATGGATCTAAAATGATATATAAACATTATGACGATGATGATAATCGCTTATTATATATTCCGTACTTAACAGAAGAAAAAAAAAAAAAAGAAGATACATGAACTTTGCTTGATCATCTGGTTATCATCATGTAAAATACATAAAAGAAAGGTCATTTGCTTTGAGGATGATATCTGTTTTTTCCGCATTTCTCCACTCCCTTACTTTTAGTCTAAATTTCAATGGCTGCTAAATATCGAATAACCAGTTACTTGGATCTCCGCTGGTTACTTATTACTTCTTGATTAGTATTTGACAAATAGACAACGATCATTACATCCAACTATCTATTTTTCCCTGAATGGTGCCGTAAATAAACAAAAAAAAAAAAAAGATCAAATTGTTTATCAAAGATAGATTTGAAATGATGATTGAGTATAAAAGAAGGTTCTTTCCTTCACTTTATTTTCGTCTTCCCTTTACTGTTTCTATCCTTTTACCATTTTTCCTTTTTTGGCTTGATTCCAACATCCAATCCATCCTTTTTTTTTTTTTTTTTTGACAATCATATTCAATACATATTACTAAAAAGAAAAAGAAATCAACAGTAGTGTTACCATAGAAACAAAGAAGAGAGAATCAAAAAAAAAAAAAATGAAAAATCTTAGATCTCTTTTCATTCTTCTTGCCATTTATACGTATGGTCTAGCCACAGTAACAGCCAAGGCAAAACCATCATCCGAAAATACTGATGGGAATTCATCAGATGGAGGCATCGTCGTACCTAGAAATGACAAGTGGCTCGCTGAGGTGGATGTTTCGAATGTACCTAAAATTCCCATCAGACCTGTTGGATCTGGTACCTGTGAAAATGCAAAATGTGATGGTACAGATAATGACAAGTGTTTTGAAAGTTGTGGCAATAAAGCATTACCTACTGACATTTACGGATGTCCTAACGCACATGAATGGGCATTAACCTTTGATGATGGTCCCAGTAATTTCACCGGTCAATTACTCGACAGTCTGGATGCTTTGAATATCAAGGCCACTTTTTGTGTGATGGGTTCCAATGTTAAAAGGTATCCTGATATGCTTAAACGGGCTTATGAAGCTGGTCATCATATTGCATCACACACCTATTCTCATCCTCACTTGATGAGTCTGACCAATGATGAAATCATCTATGAAATGAAAGCTACCGAAGAAGCTATTCGTGATGTTATTGGTATCCGTCCTACCTATGTTCGTCCTCCCTTTGGTGAAGCAGATGATCGTGTCAAAGGCTTGATGAAAGCCATGGGTTATAAAATTTTACTTTGGAATGTAGATCCTACTGATTATGATGTTCATGCTTTACCTAATGCTGCTGATAAAATTCAAGGTGCATTCAAGGCCGCTGCTAATGGTATTGATACTGGATTAAACTCTCATGATGAACCTGGTTATATTAGTCTTCAACATGGTACATTAAAAAAAAAAAAAAAGAGCTTGCTAACAAATGATAATACTGATTCCTTTTTTTTTTTTTTTTTTTTTTTTTTTTTTTTTAAAAAAAAAAAAAAAGATTTGTACAAGAGTTCCATTGATCAAGTACCGGATGTCATCAAGTTCCTTACCAACAAGGGTTACTCTTTCAAAACAGCAGCAGAATGTATTGGCGACAAAAATCCTCATCAGCCCTTTCGTTCTGAAGGAAGAGTCAAGGCACAATCAGACGATGACAATAAGGAAGAAGGAAAATTACTAGATATATCTTCTTCATCCGTTACCGATGCTAATCCACCATCCATTGAAAATGAATTGGAAAAAAATACCTCCCCTAAGAATAATGAAATCGTTGATTCTGCTACTACTAACAATCCAACCACCACATCAGCAGCGACTTCCTCTTATCACATTTCGTTCTCTCTTCTATTCATATTGATGTTATTGATCTCTTCTCGTTCATAAATTTTTTCCCTCCTATTACTAATGATCGTTCACTCTATATTAATAAAACCTCTGGCAATTTATTTGATGATGATGATGATGATTGTATGATGATGATGATTGTATGATGATGATGATTGTATGATGATGATGATTGTATGATGATGATGATTGTATGATGATGATGATTGTATGATGATGATGATTGTATGATGATGATGATTGTATGATGATGATGATTGTATGATGATGATGATTGTATGATGATGATTGTATGATGATGATGATTGTATGATGATGATGATTGTATGATGATGATGATTGTATGGCGATAATGATTGTATGATGATGATGATGATTTCTGAGTGAATTACAAAAATATATGTCCGTCCCAAGTGATGTTAGTGTGCAAAAAGACAATGGTTCGAATTTTTCAAATGCGATTTTCTCGCTATGGGGCAAGTAAACCAATGAAAAGCCATTATCCATTGTTAACTACTTTTTAATAATGCAGCCAATGGCGAAGAGAGTTTGTGGTTTGGTGGGATGAAGAACAAAATAGGATCCATTTTTTGATTTTACAGCCAAAATTTTGGAACTCCCCAGCCAAACTTTGGCTGTAAAAATAAATCGTCAGGGGGTCATCAGGCAATTTTTCGAAAAATGAATGAAATGTTTTTGCAACCATTGTACGTTAGGTAAGTGATAAAATGTCATTAGATGTTATTAGATTACTTTTTTGCGAGGAATCCAATGATGGTCATTTTATTGGATGATGACCATTATTGGATGAGAAATGATGATATTGACTTTTTATTTTTTAATTTACTGGATAAATGAAAAGGTACGATATAAATTGTTATTGATGCAAGTGAAAGAGAATGTTTCAAGTATGTTCGATCGAAATTTGGTACAATGATGATCATTTCTGAATGAGTTGCAAATATCCAACTGCTAGACGACTGTATAGAAAAAGCAATTTTATTGGCTAATTTTGAGGAGCGTAAAAGTAAAGCTAGGAGTTCACTTTTTTTTTTTTTTTTTTTTCTGCAACACTTCTTGTTCCTCTTTTCTAACTTGCCACAAACTTTTTTTTTTTTTTTTTTACTTTATTCATACAACTTTAAATACCCAGCAGTAACTTTCCATATGTTAGCGACAGGGTTGGGTGTCACCGTATTCATGTCACTTTCTTTTTGGATGACGATCGCCTTGTTATGTGGATGGACTATTTTTACCTTTTTCAAACTACGTGTCAAAAAGTCAATCCAGCCGAATCGTATTCAACTTTTACAAGACCTAGGTTTTACTAGTCAAGAGGAACCTGTCTTTTTAGGATTCTTTCATCCATATTGGTAACCATAAAATGAATCAATACTAATACCTTTGAACTCAATGATTCTTTTATTATTATTATTATTATCAGTGATGCTGGTGGTGGTGGGGAAAGAGTTTTATGGACAGCTCTTCGTGATGTTCAACGTGAATTTCCACAGGTTATATGTGTAGTTTATACTGGAGATATCAATGTATCTCGAGAACAGATCATTCTGAAAGTTAAGGTAAGATTAAGAAACCTGATGATACTTCATCTGATACTAACTTGTTATTCCTTGTTTATAGACTCGATTCAATATTGAGTTAGATCCAAGAAGACTTGCTTTTATATATTTGACAAATCGATATCTGATAGAAGATGGTCGGTAAGTAGAGAATGGAAATTAGTTTATGTGGTAAGAGAGGCTGTGTTGACGATTGAATTCTGTTTTTTTACTTGTGATGATTTATAGGTTTACTCGATTCACATTGATACTTCAAAGTCTGGCGTCAGTCCTAGTTGGTTACAAAGCTTTAATTCAATTGGTTCCTGATGTTTATTTTGACACTATGGGTTATGCATTTACGTATCCTTTAGTTCATTTCCTGGCAAATATCAAGATCGCTGCATACGTTCATTACCCAACTATTAGGTAATCTCTTGAATATATATATATATATTTACACGATGATTGATCTCTTTATACATATTTATATGTATTTATAGCTCTGACATGCTCCAAAGAGTTTATGAACGACGAGCACAATACAACAATAGTGCTGATCTTGCCAATAGTTGGATATGGACAACTGGAAAATTAATGTAAGTATGTAGGAAACATTTTTGGGGAATATAGGTTAAGATAATGCCTTCTTTTTTTTCACTATTCTAATAGATACTATCGTATGTTTGCCAAAATGTACAGTTTTTGTGGATCATTCGCAGAAGTGGTGATGGTAAACTCAACATGGACCAAAGGACATATTGATGAATTGTGGGGCACGAATGCAGATATTGTTTATCCACCTTGTGATACTGAACGATTGAATGAATTACCTTTGACTGGTCGACAATCTATGATAGTTAGTGTGGCTCAATTTAGGTAAAGAACAAACATAAAAAAAAGAATGAGTGATTTTCTTATATATATATTTATACATTTAGACCAGAAAAGGATCATTCTTTACAATTAATGGCGATGGGAAGATTATTGAAGAAATATCCAGAATGGAAATCAAAAAAATCGATGGAACTGGTATTGATTGGTAGTTCAAGAAATGAAGATGATGAACAACGAATTGCGAAATTACGTCAAGAATGTCAACAACTTGGAATCGAAGATAGAGTACGATTTGAAATCAACGCATCATTTGATTTATTAGTAGAAAATTTAGGTAAAGGCAAGGTTGGACTTCATACAATGTGGAACGAACATTTTGGAATTGTGGTAGTAGAATATCAAGCTGCTGGTTTGATCCCTGTTGCTCATAAATCTGCTGGACCAAAGATGGATATTGTTGTAGATTATGATGGAAAACCTACTGGTAAAAAGAAAAAATAACAATGATAAAAAAAAAAAGAGTTCCTTACAATGATGCTCCTTTTATCTCTCTATATAGGATTCCTGGCTGATTCCGTAGAAAGTTTTGCAGATAGTCTACATGCAGCATTATCATTGACTGATGAAGAATATATTACTATGGCAACCAGTGCTCGAGCATCCTCATCAGATAGATTTTCAGAATTATCTTTTAGTATAGAACTATTACGATCATTACGTCGATGTTTAACTTGAAATTATTATTATGAATAAAATAATTATATATATATATATATATATTTTATTTTACCCTCAAAATACTGTATTCCTCCTTTTGTTCTTCTTGATATTCTCCACCCCTACCTCAAATCATTTTTTTTTTTTTTATTTTAGTGATCATCTTTTAACTTTCAAGAGGAGGTGAGAAGGATTACCTTATTGGGATGGGGTTACACCAATCTATATATTATTTTGATACTCATTTTTTTTTTTTGAACTTTTAGGTCCTTTTCTTTTTTTCTTTCACTCTTTTTTGTCTATTTTTTCTTTATTTTATCATCATCATGTCTCCTTCTGCACTTCTTCCTGATGGTGTTGGTATTGCCCACTTACCTAATCAGCGTCATAAAATTGTATCGAAACGTGGTGCAAAATTTACTTTGATGGTATGTGGTAAGTTTTTTTTTTTTTCTTTTTTCTTATATTGATGATAAAAAAGGAATATTATTGGTATCATATCTTCTATAATAATAAATATATATATATATATTTAAGGTGAATCTGGTGTTGGTAAATCTACTTTTGTGAATACTTTATTCACTACTGGTATCAAGGACCCTAAAACTTTACATCTTCGACATACTAAACAAACCGAAAAAACAGTAGAAATTGAAATTACTAAGGCTGGTATGTGTCAAATTTATATATTATTATCAAAGTTACTAAATGATTTAAATTTTATAGAATTGGAAGAAAAAAATTTCAAGGTAAAATTAACTGTAATTGATACTCCAGGATTTGGTGATTATGTCAATAATCGCGATAGTTGGATGCCCATTGTGGAATTTTTGGATGATCAACATGAATCGTTTATGGGTCAAGAGCAACAACCTACTCGTGCTGGTATCATTGATCTTCGTGTCCATGCTTGTTTATATTTCATTCGTCCTAATGGTCATACGTAATGTATTTTAAATGATTCATGATAACAATATAACTCATCTTTTTTTTTTTTTTTTAATAGCCTCAAACCTCTTGATATTGAAGTGATGAAACATATTGGTTCCCGTGTCAATTTGATTCCTGTTATTGCCAAAGCTGATACTTTGACTCCTCAAGATTTGGCCAAATTCAAACGCAATGTAAGAAAGAAGAAAATAAATCATTTCTTAAGGAGAGTGTTATCATATAAAATGAAATACAAAAGGAATCTTTTTATTATTATTAGTATTCACACATGATCTTTTTACCCCATTATTTATTTATTTGATAGATTTTGGATGTGATTCATGCTCAAAATATTCAAGTATATTCATGTCCTATTGAAAGTGATGATGAAGAAGTGACCAATATGAATCAGCGAATTATGGACGCGATGCCTTTTGCTGTGATTGGATCTACAGAAGATGTTACTGTAGGAGGTCGTACTGTCAAGGGTCGACAATATTCTTGGGGGGTTGCTGAAGTGGAAAATGAAGACCATTGTGATTTCAAAAAATTACGCACTTTGTTGATCAGATCTCATATGCATGACTTGATTTCCACTACTGAAGAAAATCATTATGAAAACTACCGCCAAACTCAAATGGAAACTCGCAAATTTGGTGAACAAAAGTAAGATACAGAATAATAATAATAATAATTATTCTTATTATCATACTTATATTGACTATATCTTAATAGACCAAAGAAATATGAAAATCCCAAATTCAAGGAAAAGGAAGAACAATTACGTTTGGCATTCACAGAACAAGTTAAGAAGGAAGAAAATCGATTCCGTCAATGGGAAGCTCAGGTATTAAAAAAAAAAAAAAAAAAAAAAAAAAAAAGAGAAAAAGGAACATAGATGCATGCACGTTTATGTATGATACAAAAGACTGATGACTGATTGAATGCATTTCTCCTTCTTTATATGTATATATAGCTTGTATCAGAACGTGATCGTCTCAACAAAGATTTGGAAGCTCAACATGCTCAAATCAAAGCCATGGAAGGTGAACTGGAACAATTGTATCAAATGCAATATCGTAATCCTATGAGACGTTAGGTGGATGGTTCTATATTGTCTTCTCCCTCATACCCCCTCTCTTCTCTCTCTATTTGTTTTTTTTATCTTCCCCCTCAAATGACAAGTTATTCTTATTTTAGTTATCTCACGTAGTTTTTTTCTTTTTCTTTTTTTCTTTTGTTTGTATTGACCCTTCTTTTCTTCACCTCAAATCTTATAATTTTTTAAAACTCAAATAAAGACTTTTTTTCCCTTTTTTTTTTTTTTTTTTTTTTTTTTTTTTTTGACAAGATCGCCATGATATCACCACGCTATATTTTACGATCTACTCAACTTTTATGGAAACGATATCATTCTACTTATACAACACCATCAATTGAATATGTATATGGATTATCAAGTGTCGCCTGTGCTCTTCATGCGCAAAAACGTAAAGTGAACCAAATTTTTGTCCAGCACCGCTTAGATTCAGACAGGTACAGGATTATTCTAAAATACCCTTCTCCACTTTATTATTGACCCACCTATTCTTTATTATTATTATTATCCAGTATTTCCCATATCACCGATATGTGTCGTGAAAAAGATATTCCCATTAAAACTATGGACAAAGGACGATTGAACAATATGACCATGAATAAACCTCATCAAGGTGTAGTACTGGAAGCTTCTTCGCGATATACTATTCCTATCAAGTCACTTACTTGGTCATCCCATCTCATTGATAATACAAACGATACTATCTATACTGCACTTCCTACTTCCACCAAAGCAGCACCTTTTGTCTTTCAGAAACCCCGTCATAGATTACCATTATGGATTGCCCTTGATCAAGTTCAAGATCCTCAAGTAAGATACGAAAATTTTAAGAAGAGTAGTTTTATTCACATATCGTTCTATCTCTTATTATGATGTATCCTTTTTTATTTGTTTGCATAGAATTTGGGTTCTATCATACGGTAAGTATATATAAAAAGAACAATTCACTTTACCTTTATTCATGCCCTCTTTCTTTCTGTCTTTCTCTCTTTCTCTCTCTGTATCTATCATTGTTTCTTAGGACTGCTCATTTTTTTGGTGTGGATGGCTTACTTGTCTGTAGCAAAAATAGGTCAGTGATAAAAACTAAATATCAAAGGTATTGTTTAACTTACTGTATTCTTTTTATTCCATTTTAGTGCTCCACTGAGTGCAGCTGTTTCTAAAGTTAGCTCAGGTGCTATGGAAATCATGGATGTTTACACAACTCAATATTTGGTTAAATTCTTGGAGGTAATACAACCTTCTCTTTCTTTTTCTTTTCTGAATATAGCTGATCATGACATTGAAACCCGTTTTTTTTTATTCATAATGATAGGCATCAAGAGAAGAAGGATGGGAAATTATTGGCGCAGCATCGGAATCAACAGCAGCAAGTGAAGGAAATAGTAATAGTCAACAACGACCAAGGATACTTGTATTTGGAAATGAAGGCACTGGGCTACGTACCAATGTGAAAAGATGTTGTGACGTTTTGATCAACATTCCTAGCGGACAACAACGGTTAGAAAATGGTAACATGGTCAAACAAGAAGAAAGATATCCAGGTTTCGTCGATAGTTTGAATGTGGGTGTAGCCATGGGTGTCCTTATCAATACTTTATTATCCTCTACCTCCAATCATCATTAGATATCCCAACCTACACATCAATAGAAATAAATTGACAATATTGTAGATAGATATTTTTCTCCATTCAATGCATTGTATATTAATAAAAAAAAATACTTGATTTATTATGTATTCATCAATGCCAACTATATTTCATATTATAATACCCACTTTGCGTCGCAATGTCATAACCCTCAAAGTCACTATATCTACCAATAACAATAATATATAAAACAAGATCCTTTTACATTATATAATCATGATCAGTAGACTCTCCCATCGTATAGCAAATATTGGTAACACAAAAACATAAAGATGAATGGGTTGTCAATACAAAAGTCAAAAACAAGTTTGTTTTATTTCATAAAAGTAAGAATATAAACTAGAATGTTGTTGTTTTTGTTGTTGTTGCTATTTGTTTGGTGTAGAGAATCGAAGCATTTAAGGACCAGCAGTAGGAGCAGGGTTCATCTTGCGCTTACCACCGACTTGGTTGGTGACATTGACGAAACGACGGCTAATACAAGAAAAAAAAATATTAATCAGCGTACTTAAATACAATCAATAATCTCTGCTATTATATATTCGTCTTACTTGTAGACTTGTCTCATCTTGGCACGACCGGTCAATTGCTTCTTCTTTTCTTGCTTGGCAACCTATGCATAAATAAGAAAAATAAATAGTGGTTAATAAGATTCTATGCTATCATTTCATTCAATATTAAGCATTTTTTTTTTTATCCTTTGTTGACTTACCTTGGGGGTTTGAGACTTGACCTTACCGGCACGAGCTAAACTACCGTGAACTTTACCCTAATGAAATCAAAAATAAAAAAAAAGAAAGAATCAGTTCATATTCGTCGTTTTTCCTCCTAATCCATAAATATTTGATGATATCCATCCATCCATTCACGCTATAGAATAAAAAGAATCGATAGATGTCATGGATGGATGGATGGATGGATGTTCGTTTTCGCTTTACCATGATAAAATATTAATAAATCGAGAGGGAGAAAAAAAGAAGAAAAGAAACACAAAATATTTTGTTGTTGAATGGTATTTTCATCATTTGCCGCAGACACACCATACCAACAACAGTCTGGGATTTAAAATGTCGAATCCGGACCGTTTCTCTCTTTTCCCTCTATTGCGCATTGAGATCCTTTGTGGCTATCCGTCTCCCCCATTTTTTGTTTTTCCCTCTTTCTCTTTTTTTTACATCAATTCACTATGGGTAAGCATCCATCCATCCATCCATCCTATAAACACGTTTATCTATCTACTTGTACTATTATATGAAACATTGATTGACTGAACTTCTTTTTTTTTATATATATATAAATTAGCTGTCGGTAAAAACAAGCGCCTTTCAAAGGGAAAGAAGGGTTTGAAGAAGAAGGTGTAAGTATCTCGACGAAAAAAAAAAAATGAATACCATTAGGCAACAAAACGACTACGAATCATACTGTACGGGAAAAGACGTTAAAATAAAGAAAACGATGCGGACGAGTCATGATCATTTATTATTACATCAACATCATCCATTTCTGTCTACTTTATTCTTTTTCGTCTTTTCTTCATAACAGCATATACACTACACGACCGATACTCACCTCGACCTTACTATCTTTTTTATTCATGTATACTAGTGTCGATCCTTTTACTCGTAAAGATTGGTATGATATCAAGGCTCCTTCCATGTTCGATGTTCGTCAAGTGGGTAAGACTTTGGTCAACCGTACTCAAGGTCTCCGTAATGCCAATGATTCTTTGAACGGTCGTGTTGTTGAAGTGTCTCTTGGTGAATTGGCCAAGGATGAATCCCGTGCCTTCCGCAAGATTCAATTGAAGGTGGATGAAGTCCAAGGCAAGAACTTGTTGACCAACTTTTATGGTATGGACATGACCTCTGACAAGCTTCGTTCTATGGTCAAGAAATGGCAATCCACTATTGAATGTTATTTGGATATCAAGACTACCGATGGCTACCTTGTCCGTTTGTTTGTGATCGCTTTCACTGCCCGTCGTCGTAACCAAGTCAAGAAGACCACCTATGCCCAAACTGCTCAAATCCGTGACATCCGTAAGAAGATGTTTGAAATCATGGCTGAAGAAACCAGTGCTTGTGACTTGAAGGAATTGGTTACCAAGGTCACCTCTTCTGCTTCTCAATCTGCTCAAGATCATATTGCTGCTCGTATTGAAAAGGCTTCTCAATCCATCTACCCTCTTCAAAACACTTACATCCGTAAGGTCAAGATTCTCAAGGCTCCTAAATTCGATGTCTCTCAACTCTTGGCTCTTCATGGTGGTGCTGCCGCTGCTGCTGAAGAAGTTGGTTCTAAGATCACCAAGGACTTTGTTGAACCTCCTGTTTTGGAATCTGTGTAAATTCATTTATTATTTGATGTAGTGTAGTAATTTTTTTTTTTTATTCTTCTTCTTTTTTGTCATTATTTTGTGATTTTACCTTGATGGATTTCTCACATATAAAACCATCTCTGTCTCCCCTCACACACACACAGTATATATTCATATTTTCTCATTAAAAATAAAAAAAGTTATTTTTCAAATATCCCAATGATAAGGTTCTTCGGCATATGAAAATGTCCAATTTCCACTTTGTCATGAAAAATATGTACTCTACCCCGCTTTTTTTTTTTTTTTTTTAAAAAAAAAATGTATATTTCGATTGCAACTTGATTAAGTTTCTTTCCCCTTTTCTTTTTATCTCTTTATTTTTACTCGACATGAAAATCAAAGGAAATACATTTATTGTCACTGGAGGGTAAGTAAAACGAATGGTCTTTGCCATTAAACCAATTCATTTCCCTCGTGTCTCACTTTTTTTCTTCTTCTTCTGCTTCTTCTATTATTATTATTATTGTTATTATTAGTGCTAGTGGCCTTGGTGAAGCTACTGTCAAACACCTTGTAGAAGCTGGTGGTAATGTTGCTGTAAGTGATTGATTTGATACTTAGTCTACTTTCCCTTAATTGACAAAAGAATGATCCTTATAGATCTTTGACTTGAATGATGAAGCTGCGTAAGTTCATGATTGTCTTCGTTTTACTCTTATTGACTAATTGTTATTCCTTTTTTTTTTTTTTTTTTTTTTTTAATATTAGTCAAGCATGTGCCCAATCGTTAGGTTCTCAAGTATTTGTCCCTGGCAAAGTAGATGTGACGTCTGAAGTGATTGTACGCGATGCTATTCAAAAGACAATAGCCAAGTTTGGCAAATTAGCAGGTGTGATCAATTGTGGAGGTGTGGCGACTGCTGCCAAAGTGGCTCGTCGTGGTAAATCGGCTCATACTTTGACGTTGGATTTATTTGAATTTACTGTTCGTGTCAATCTGATTGGAACTTATAATGTATGCCGTCAAGTAAGTGAAGTATTGGTGAATCAAGATCCTTTTACTGATGATGGTAAAAAAAAAAAAATCACACCTTTTTTTTTTTTTTTTTTTTTTTTCTCCAAGAACTGAAGTAATCATCTTTTTCTTTTTCTCCTGTTAGGTGAACGTGGTGTAATTATCAATACAGCTTCCATTGCTTATCAAGATGGTCAAGCAGGACAAGCAGCTTATTCGGCTTCTAAAGGTGGTGTAGCAAGTATGACTCTTCCCTTGGCCCGTGATTTAGCTCCTGCTGGTGTTAGAGGTATGTAGATATCACTTCCATTTCAAGAGTGTATGATAACTCATTATTCTATATGATTTTATAGTTCTAGCCATTGCTCCAGGTCTCTTCCGTAAGTGAATGTTTCCTCATCTACCTTTTTCTTTAAGAAGGTAATGTATTGACTTGTATCATCCAATTTTTTTTATAGGAACCAATATGACAGCTATGATCAATGATAAGGTATTGAAGGATGCTGTGTTCCCCAATCGTATGGTAAGTTTCTTTTTTTTTTTTTTTTCCAAAAGACAATATATATGATGATCACATGTTCATTCCTATATATATATATATATCTAGGGTAATCCTCAAGAATTTGCCCAGTTGGTATCAGCTATGATTGAAAATGGTATGCTCAATGGTGAAGTCATCAGAATCGATGGTGCAACACGTCTTGGAAAACTGTAGTTTAGAATTATATATATATTTATCTACACTTTATTCAATAATAAATGACAGAAAAATAAGATGTCGCGAAAATAGGAAATAAAATATAGTAAGGATAGATGACAGAAGAAAAAACAAAAGATAGAGTTGTCGTATAATCAAATAGAGATATGAGAAAATAGATATCATGAAAAAAGAGTAACAAAAAAAAAAAAAGAAGTCCACCAATTGAGTCCAAGTTAGCATATAGAAAAAAAAAAAAAGAAAAAGAAAAAAAATGAGTAATACTTATGCAGATGATATCTTTTTATTCACTTTCAATTTAAGCGCGAACGCCTAAATGTATTCAAAAAGTAACAAAAAATAATAAAAGAAGATTAGGATCAATTATATTGACATGTAACAAAGTATAATGAATAAAAATAAAAACTTTATTGAATAAAAGTATAAAATGTTAAAGACTACCAATTGATATACTAAAAGTCAGTACAAAGAAAAGAAAGAAAAAAAAAAAGTAAAGAAAAACGGACTTTGAAACACCTCGTTCATAGTCTATGCAGGAAAGACATATCTCAAATGTATAAAAAGTCCAGGGCAATCATCATGATGAACCAGTACACTAACGATGATCCATCATATCAATAAAGAAAATAGACACTTTGTCTTTTATTTAATATAGTTTTCAAATAAGAAAAAAAAATGTCACTGATTCTCGCAGTATTTTTATTTTTTACATCATCAATTATCAATCAATGTGATTTAACATACTCTGGAGCGATATCTGAAAAGTGGTGATGCGACATCTATTTTGGGAAAGTTTGATATTTTACTTTATAACGAAACCCTGTTCTCGTGACACGACAAAAAAAACTTTGAAAACAATGTATATCCATCTATTTTTTTTTTTTTTTTTTGAAGGAAATAAAAATGAATTCATTTAATGAGTACAATAAAAAGATATTGATGTTCGTAATCGAAGCTAAGCCAATTCTTGATGTAAACACCATTCAAAGTTAGCAGGTACGATCCAGTCATCAGATTTTTTTTTTCAGATATTAAAGAAAGGTAAAACAAGTTCTTGTTTTTATTCAAAAAAAAAAAAGGAGTAAAGGCTGATCTACAGCTTGAAAACAAATGCTTCATTTGATGATAATACATAATCGAATTGGGGGGAAACAGATTGTAATGTGGATAAATAGTTGTATATGAAAAAGGGAAATAAAAAAAAATGAATGTAAATGATAAAGAACAAGAAATAAACAAATGTAATACTACTGCTAGATAGTGAATATATATAAATATATATATATACAAATATATGTATAAAAAGTTCTTTGTTTCTAAGCACCCATCATGACCTTGAATTCTTCAAAACTGATTTGTCCATCACCATTCTTGTCAGCTTCTTTGATCATAGCATCCAATTCTTCCTCAGAAAGAGATTCATTCAAAGATTGCATCACTTTACGTAATTCTTCACGATCGATGAATCCATTACCATTCGAGTCAAATACCCTATCAAAAAGAAACATAATGAGTTTGATCTGTTCTTGTCCTATAGTTTTTACTTACTTGAAAGCTTCCTTCAAATCGTCCACTTCATTGTCAGTTTTCAAGTTTTTCACCAAACCCAAGAATTCCTGGAAATCAATAGTACCATTACCATCAGCATCCACGTCGTTGACCTAATTATTTGAGTTGAGTGGGATAAACGGGAACAAAAAAAAAATATCAAAAAAAAAATATTAGTTCCATTTACTTCTTTTGGTCATCACGATTCTCTATCATAAATATATAGACCTTGTTTTATATCATCCTCCTCTTCTTCATATCACTTTCCCTTTCCTCTTTTTTTTTTTTTCCTCTATTCAAATCAAACTTTTTTTTTTTTTACCATATCTTGAAGTTCCGCTTCGTTAGGATTCATACCAAAAGAACGGAGAACAGTACCGAGTTCCTTGGCAGTAATAGTACCATCACCATCCTTGTCAAATAGTTGAAAAGCTTCACGGTATTCAGCAATTTGATCGTCAGTCAATTGATCAGCCTATATAGAAATAAAATAAAAAGTAAAAAGAATAAGTCACTTTTTCATTTTATTGTTTTGTTTTTCATCTTTTCAGCAAAAAAAAAAAAAAAAAAAGCCGATCGATAACGAAGAAAAGGTAGAATTTTCAATGGAAACTATGTTTCTTTTTTAAAAGTTCAAATCCTTTCCTTCTAAAGATCTTTTTCGTTTCTTTTTTATTTTCTATTTTACCATTTTCGCGTATATGTATTTAAAAAAAGTGAAAGAGAAAGAAAAAAGAAAGGAAAAAGAAACAAGAAAGGACGCCAAAAAAAAAAAAAAGACGGTGTTTCAAAATATATTTTTGTCTACTTTTGGAGAAATGTGGTAGAGCCAATCAGAAGCATCCAAAACTAAATAGTCATAAAAAAAAACATTGATCTAACTATTTTTTTTTTTTAATCAATAGCTTTATACTTTCTTTTTAATCAACAACATCATTTTGATTATATTCAATGAAAAATGATAAAAATAACCCATTTCTATCTATTTATTTAAACAAGCGCGTGTCTCCGAAGTATAAAACCATTTTTTAAGTGACACCAAATTTTTTTTCTTTCTTTAACATACAAAAAATCATTCATCATATGTAAATGGATTAGAAAAGCCTACCAATTATTGATTTCACCGGAGATATGAGTATCGAGAGGGGGTGACCTTTATCAACCAATGATATCATTTCCTTCAGCGTGAGAAAACGGGGATTTAAATTCCAAAGCTTTGCACACAAAAAAAAAGATGGGTGAGAAATATATAAAAAGAAGCTTTACCAGCTGCTTCATTTTTTCCTTTTTCTTTTTCCTTTCCTTTTTTTTTCTATTATACAGCAATAAACAAACAATAAATACAGAAATGTCTACTTTATCCAGCAAACAAGTTCTCTCTTTGGAAGAAACATATGGTGCTCACAAGTATGTATTCATTGACATGAGAACAAAAAAAAAAAAAAAAAAAAAGAAATACGATCGATCTTAATTCAATTTTATAATTTTATAGTTATCATCCTTTGCCTATTGTATTCTCCAAGGCTCAAGGTATATGGGTATGGGATCCTGAAGGCAAAAAATATATGGATTTCTTATCTGCTTACAGTGCCGTCAATCAAGGTCATTGTCATCCCAAGATTGTCAAAGCATTGTGTGACCAAGCTCAACGTTTAACGTTGTCTTCCCGTGCATTCTACAATGATGTATTTGGTTCTTATGCTAAATATATGTCTGATTACTTTGGTTATGATATGGTATTACCCATGAATACTGGTGCTGAAGCTGTGGAAACTGCTATTAAATTGGCACGCAAGTGGGGTTACGAAAAGAAGGGTATTCCTGAAAATCAAGCTATTGTATTGAGTTGTGAAAACAATTTCCATGGTCGTACTACTGGTGTCATCTCTATGTCTACTGATCCTGATTCCTATGCAGGTTTCGGCCCTTATTTGCCTTTGGTGGGTCCTGTTTGTCCTACAACTGGTATCACTCTTCGTTATAACAATGTTGATGATTTGGAAAAGATCTTGGAAGCTAACAAGGGCAAGGTTGCTGGCTTTTTGGTGGAACCTATTCAAGGTGAAGCTGGGTAAGTGTTGATTTTTTTTTTTAAAAAAAACAAGGGGAGAGGGATGATCAAGGGGTTTTATAGGATCTCTGTTTATGTGTATCGATATATGAAAAATAATTTTTTATTCTTTTTTTTTTTTATATAGTATCATGGTTCCTGATGAAGGTTATTTGAAAAAGTGTTATGATCTTTGCAAAAAACATGATGTACTCTTCATTGCTGATGAAATTCAGACTGGTTTAGCTCGTACTGGCAAGATGCTTTGTGTGGAACATGATGGCATCCGACCTGACATTGTCTTATTGGGTAAGGCGTTATCAGGTGGTGTTTACCCAGTATCTGCTGTATTGGCTGATCGTGATGTCATGCTTTGTATCAAGCCTGGTGAACATGGTTCTACTTATGGTGGTAATCCTCTTGGTTGTGCTGCTTCTATTGCTGCTTTGGAAGTCATTAAGGATGAAAATTTGGTTGAAAAGAGTGAACAATTGGGTGAAAAATTCAGAGCTGCTCTTAAGAACCTCAATAGCCCTATTGTCCAAACTGGTAAGTACAATCATATAGATGGAGGTACTTGACCTAATATATCAATTCTTTCCATTTTTTTTTTTTTTTTTTTTGTAGTCCGTGGTCGTGGTTTATTGAATGCTATTGTGATTGATGAATCCAAGACGGAACGTAGTGCATGGGAACTTTGTTTGTTACTCAAATCTCGAGGTCTATTGGCCAAACCTACACATGTGAACATCATCCGTCTTGCTCCTCCTTTATGCATCACTGAAGAAGAATTAATGGAAGGTGCCAACATCATTGGTCAAGCTCTCAAGGACATTGTCAATATGAAGAAGGAAGATATCCCCAACGAACTTGGTCATTGAATGGATATTTGTCTATAGTATTTCATAGTTTAAATAGCATCTAGTATATAACGTTTTCCCCCCTTTTTACAATTTTTTTTTAAAACAACATTCTATTCTATAATATAGTATTATAGATTCTTCCTACCTTCTCAATTCTTGTTTCTCTTTATAGCATAGACTGCTTCAATAAAGATTATTCAATGATGATGATGATGAAAAGATTTGTTTTATATGATGATATCATTCGTTATGTGACGAGATAAGTAGAGATAAGGTTTCTTTGGTGTAACAAAAAAGGTAACTTCCTTATTTTTCGCACGATGATTCATAGTGGCAGCCAATCATATGACGTTCCTTCATCTTTTTCTGCATGACTGATTCCGAATCAACAAAGAAGATCTAAAAAAGACAAATGATAACGCCTATTCAAAATAATCCCAAACCCAATCAATATTTTCTATTTTTTTTTTTTTTATTAACAACGTTCAAATATTTTATAAAGATCAGATAAACTAGCTAATTGTGTAATATAAGAAGAACCGTCTCGGACAAGTGATTTTGGTGCAATGAATCTAGTTGTTTTCATGGCTGGAAAGATAAGATGTTGTATTTGCCATAGGTATCGATCATGTCGTCGTTTGTATTCGGCGGGATTGTCTGGTAATGGACTAGGTGGTTCGGTACTATAGAATATGGCGATTTCCCGTGAAAGTGTATCCAAGCAAGTTTGTTCATCTTCCCAGTCAACCTAATCATAATAAGAATAAGTATGATAAAAATTCTTTCATTTTTTTTTTTTTTACCTCTGTTCCCAATCGTAATAAAAACATTGGTAGCTTATCCATGGTAGGTATATACCCTCTTAATAACATTGGTAATGCCATCAATTGTCCTTCAGAATTCACCAACATGGAAAAGTAATCTTCCAACATAGTTGCAAATTCCATCAATTTGCTCACTATAATCTATTTCATGAGAAAAAAACATAAAAGTTGAATCATCTACTTTTTTCTCCGCTATTCTTTTGATTTGTTCTTTTTATTTACCTCCGCTACTTGTTCCTTTGATTGTAATTGTGGGGGTAATGTACCATAAGCTTCTTCAGTATCCAATGCTATAGAGATGCATTCTTTGATAGAGATAGGTGTTGATAATTCAATGAATCCAAAATTGTTGAATTCAGCAAGAGCAATCTGATAAAACAACTCTTCACTATTATTCAAAAAAAATCATGTTTTTAAGTTTCACAGAGAGAGACAGAGAGAGATCGTTTCCCACACTTTATTTTTTCTTTTTTATACCTGATGACAGCATAGTTCACAAGATAGAGAGATGTTTGATGTTGAATTAATGCCAAAGTATCATCCACACAACCAACGAATGTATGATTTGATAGTAAATCAGTCATTCCTAGAAATCAAAAATCATGATATCAGTATATATATATATATATATAAAGTAATTCCAATTCTTACCAATATGTTCAGATTTTTTGACATTTTTTCTCAGGGTCAGAACGCTTGTCAAGGTCACTTCTACTCTATCCCGCTTGATCCGTTTTTGAGACTTTGATACCAGATCCACGGATCCGTCAGCTTTTGAGGTAACACCAGTGTCAGATGGTTTATTATAGCTAAGGAGGGAACACAAACAGAAATAAAATATAAAAGGGTTAGTTTTCCCACACTCTATAATAGTAGCCTGAGACACAAATTATCAATCAACTAAACTTACGTCAAAGTAGAATCAGTATCCATGTCGACATCTTCGTCATTCTTTTCTTCTTCAAGTACGTCGTTGGTACGTTTTGTTCCATTTGCATCATCTTGAATAGATGATATTGATGATTGTGTGCCATATGAAGCAATTGGCCCTGTCAAAAATGAATCCATTGTTGTTGTCCTACTATCTGTTCGTACTTGATGATATACTGCCACTTTGTTGGTTGATGTACTGAATACTATAAACAGATAATGAATTAATCAACGAGATCACTATACGTGGTTATAAAAAATGAGTGACTAACTTACAACTATTATCTGCATTTGTTGCTGGAGCGCCAGGAAGTAATGACTAAAGTAGAGAAGAAATAATTAGATGTCACCATTCATACCTTAAAAGTTAATCTAACAATTTTTTTTTTTCATAAAAGTGAGATTTACCTGCGTATAGAATGTTCTTGAACTATTCGCATTCTCTAATAATTCTTGGAAGACTTCTTGTATAGAATTGATGATCCATTCTTCATTTAAGAAATTGACCACTTGCTTGGTAGGATGAACATTGACATCGACATTTTCGGGTTTGATGAGGATACTGAGGTAAACAAATGGATGACCTCCTTTTGGTAAAAGTGCTGAATATACATTTTCAATCATACGTTTGATAGCAGGACTTTCCACTGAACGATCTAATTTTTTTTAAAAAAAAAAAGGATGTTTGTGATCCAATATTCACTCGTTTTGTACTTATATGTCTTACTGTTGATAAATAGTAATAGAGTTGTTCGTTTCACACTATAGTTGGCATTGGAAATGTACGATTTCATTGTAAAAGCCTGTGACTCAAATGTTCGTTCACCATATAGCAATTCTGTAGCTACTGAAGAACCATGAATTTGTCGTATATTGTCAATAATGGTAGCTGTCGTTGTTGTTTGTATATCCGCAGTCATTGATCCTTGCTAGAAAAGAGAGATAGAAAGAAATAATCAAGATTATAATTAGTTCATCCATATACGTATTGTACTTTTTAATGATGATAATTTTTTTTTCTCTTATTACCCTTTTGCATGAGAAACTAACACCAGCATTATGAATAGCATATCGACCGACAATATCCAGTATCCGATTGTATTCATCACTTGCTGATCGTAGAGCCTTCTTTCTTTGTGGCATATTGTAAAATAGATCCTCTGCCTAAAAAAAAAAAAAAAAATCATTTTAGATTGATCATTCCGATCCTTTTTTTTTTTTGACAGAACTTACGGTAATTTGAGTTCCATTGTTCCCAGCACAAGGTTTTGGATCAGCACTTTGACCTGGCCTTGGTGGAGCCAATTTTCCATCAGTATAATTAGCTCTAAAAGAAATGAATATATTAATACATATTAATACATATTAGTATATTCCATCCATTCTTACCTATATGCACATTTTGAGTCTTCAGTTTTGGTTGTGATAGTAACATGAGCTACATGAGAGATACTAGCCAAAGCTTCACCACGAAAACCATAGGTTGCAATGGTAGATAGATCTTCGAATTTCTTGAGTTTACTTGTCGTATATCGTTCGCAAACAATAGCCAGATCTTCTTTCTATTAGCAAAATAAATAAAATAAATGTGAGTTATTCTATTGACTTTTGAAGACTATATGTTTTATACTTTGATCCCATGGCCATTATCTTGTATTTGTAATAATTTTAATCCACCTTCTTTCGCTTGTATTTGTATTTGAGTCGAACCAGCATCAAGTGAGTTTTCTATGAGTTCTTTGAGAGCATTAGCCGGTCGTTGGATAATCTATGATTAACAGATAAATGATATATTCTTAAAATATGACTTTGTTTAAAGTATAAAACTTACTTCACCCGCTGCAATTCTATTTATTACAGTTGGATCAAGGCGTTTGATACTTGGTAGTGTTGACATTGATAAGAAAAAAAAAAAAAGAATAAAAAAAGAAAGAAAGAAAGCAGTTGGATTTTTTTTTTTTTTTTTTTTTTTTTTTTTTTTTGAGATTTGACGCCTCCACGCGGTCCATGGATTAAGCTATTTTTAAATTTCTCAAAAAATGAAACCTTTTCTTTTTTCCTTCTCCCCTTCTTTTTCCCCCTTCTTTTTTTTCACTACTTTTTCTCATACCAGCTTTACTTAGTTTTTTTTTTAGCAAACATGTTTTCTCGTCGTTTCTCACGAACAAAATTCTTAGAAACTTGTAAAGCAGTCGCTATTGAATACTCTATTCTGGACAATGACGAATATGCTTCGGACGAAGAAATACAATATTTTATGATTGATATGGAAAACCTGAACAATGGCATCGAATACTTTCATTCCGACATATTTGAACGCGTTACAACATTCTATTCAGGTGTTGAAGAAGTGCTAGAAGAATTGGAACTCGATCAACAGAAATTGAACGGTTGGCATTATCACGTTTTCAACATTCATGTTGCTGAGGCTCTTGGTCTTGTGGATTATGAAGACTTCTGCGTCTTTGGTGATGATTCCCTCTTCTTTTTCGTCACTATTTATAAACAACAACATCAACAAGAAAAGCAACAAAAACAACAAAAACAACGTGAAAAACAGCAACAGCAACAACAACTACAACAGCAACAACAGCAACAACAACAACAAACAATCGATACGAACATACAAACCATATACTCTGATATCCCAAGACTGCAACGAAAATGTGTTGACTTATACAGGCTATACAAGGTAAAATATAAGCATAAAAAAAAAGTTAGACAAATAGGATAATTAACTTCTGTCAATTCTAGTTATTACTTCCTACACAATCGACTCTGGATGCACATGCCAAGCTTATCGCAAAACTGAACTCGATGCTTGAAATTCAATGGCGTCATGCAGGTTACAAAGTGTGCGAATTTGGGTAATAAATACTTGATAGAATGGTATATTTTGTTACTTAGATCCTTTCTTTTGGATAGATCTTCTGTTAGTGGACTATTAGTGGATGGATCGGATTTGGATCTTTGTATTGTACTACCTGGTGATGAAATGATGTTGGAATATTATAGGGATCAAATGAGAAAGAGCCATCATCAAGGTACTAATTCAACTTCAGTTTTCAACGTGATCTTTTTGGCAAAACAATTGGTAAAAATTGGTATGGTCAATGTACAAGCCATCAATGCTTCTGTACCTATATGCAAGTTTATGGATCCTATTACCAAACTCAACTGTGATCTCAGTATTCACAATACCTTAGCCATAGAAAACTCAAAACTCATTCAGACGTATGCTTCTTTGGATACTCGAATTCGACCTTTGATGTACTTGATCAAATACTTCACGAAACGGCGATCTATCAATGATGGTAACAAAATAAAAAAATAAATAAAAAAGATTATAACTTTACACGTTTTTATTGACTTACAATCGGTATATTTCTATAACTTTTTATAGCTGTACAAGGAACTCTCAATAGTTATGCATATTCCATTCTTTGTCTACATTACCTCATGAATACTAATGAACCTCTTATTCCCAACCTTCAAAAATTGCCAAATTCATGTCGTGATCCATCTTGTGCTGCAAAGTGGAACAATGGACCCCAAGGTTTACGTCGCTTCCTCTATCGTGGTAGTATCAAGAGCTATAATACTTTCTTTCACAACTGTTACAAAGTAGATAGTGCCTATGATAAACTACTAGAAGCTAACAATCATCACCTATCAAGATCGACATCTTCATCAAAAACAAGCGTCTGGCATTCATACAACAGTATGGATTTACATTCGTTGTTAGTTGGTTTCTTCGACTTTTATACTGATTTTGATTTCGATAATGACAATATTGGCTTATATTATGGAACAAGGAACAGAAATTCATCAACCAGAAATGACAACATAGTAGTGGATGATCCGTTTATTCCTAGAAACGTCGCGTAAGTAAAAAAAAAAAAAAAAAAAAAAAGTTTATATTTACCAATTTATTAATAATCTTTTTTTTTTTTTTTTTTTGTTAGAGGAACTTGTACAAGTAATGGATTAGCACTGATTCAAGATGAATTTCGTCGAGCTTATAATATGTTGACCAACGGTGCCACCTTTGAAGCTGTTTGTTCTATACCCAACTTGCGCAACCGACCTTATGATCCTCATGCTCTTGCAAATCGACCTGGATTTCAAAACACTAGGGCACATATTTCTGAATCACAGCAGACCAACAGAACCATCAATCATAATAACGGTAGATCCGGTAATGGAAACAACAATAGGAACAGTAACAATGGTGATATCGAATTGACGTACACTGAATTGCTTATGAAAATCAATCATATTTCAGAACGCATTCAAAGTATGTATCTTACTTAAAAATTGATAACTGCAATCTCGAAAACGAAATGAATGAACAGTATGAACCAACAATTCCGACAATCTCTGATACACCCATACCCTCTTGCTATATTTTATTCTATCTTGTATATATTTATTTAGTTTTTTTTTCCCATTTCTCTTTTATATTCAACTATTTTCGTATTCATTTTCATTAGATACCTTTTATTGTTTTTATTATTTATTTGAAATAAAAAAGAAAAATCATAACAATTATGCAATATTCAAATGGATAAAGTTATTTCACCCCTCCAATCCTTTTATTCGACGGGCACTGAAAACCTAAAGTCCCTCTCTCTCTCTCTCTCTCACTCACTCCAGTCACTGACATTTTTCTTAATTTTTTTTTTTTTTTTTTTTTTTTTTTTTGTCTTTTCTTTTCCCAATCAATCTATTTAATTTACCATGCCGAACGCAAGAAAGAAGAAAGCCGCCAAGAATGAAGACTTTAAAGTATAGATCTAATAAAATGACAGATAATAATAATAAAACAGTATAACATGTAAAAATTCATATATATATTTTTTTTCCTTGGATCATATTTTACTCCATGATAGAAAAAGAAACTCAAGGTGGGGAAAACCAAGGCTTTACCTGACAACTATACCGATACTTCTTTTACTTCTAAAAGTAAGTTATGGAATTATATAATATTTTTGAATTAATAATAATAATAATAATAATAATTTTATTTAGGTATCTCACTTCCCAATCAAAGTATCACTGAAGACAAATCGAAAGAGATCACCACCGGTCGCAACCTTACAATGACAGATCTAGTGACTCAATTGAAACATTATAATAGTAGTGTGAAGAAAGGTAAAAGATAGACGTTGGAAGTTATCATGGCATACATTGGAATGAGTCTTTTTAACTTAAAAATATCATTTGACAGATGCTCTTGCTGGACTTCAAGAACTTTTCCGTCGCCATCCTACCATGCTGATATCATCTCTCAGTACTATTGTGAATAGTATAGTCAAGTTATTCATCGATGATGTAAGTTGATAAAAAGCATAATATGATAGTAATTTTTTTTTTTTGATTCTAATCTTTATTATTTCTGTTATAGGATCGTGAGGTACGAAAAGCACTCATGAAATTTTTGAATGAAACATTCACTCAAGTCGATAAGGTAAAGAAAGAACATAAATAGAAAAAAAAAAGGAAATGTTGAACTAAAATAAAATCATGATTTGATATTCATAGGTTGAATTGGAACCCTTTGTACCGCTGTTGATTATCTATACATGTTCAGCAATGACTCATATCATGGAAGATATACGCTTGGATGCCATCAAACTGTTGGATTTATGGGTTGGAATGGTACCTGAAGCAGTCATTGGGAAATTTTGGAAAAGGGCAAGTTGATTAAAAGAAAAGTAATGTTATAAATGCTCATTCAAATATTTCTCTTTCTATTTATATTTTAATTAGATCTCTGGAAATTTTATTAGTTTGCTTGCTGTTGGATCCAACAATATCAACATATCAAAATCAACTTCATCCAACACACCCACCACTACATCATCCGTTAAAGCAGCAGCTGCCTCTTCACATCTACATGTCAACAAAAGCAAGTTGGAATTATTGACAAGTTTGAGTAAATTCTTTGAAGCTGGATTATTTGAAGATCGACAAGATCCGTAAGTTCATCATACGATGTTGATTGATAAAGAGTGACTAATGTGAATATTATTCCCTTTTAGGTATTGGTTCATGTACAATTTTTTGGATGATCGTCATGCCAGGAAAACTTTCAAACGAAAATTCAATCAAGACGAAAAAGCAAAAAATCCTGTCATTCCATGGGATCCTTCGTCAATGGTAAAATTAGACATATATATATATATGCGAAATGACTCACATTTAATTCTTTCGTATATACTACTAGGCAACATACACACCAAATCATGTCATGACTTCTTCTGTAATTCCTTACCTTTCCAATGGATCTGTTTCCGTCTCTTTCAACTCATTGGGTTTATTCGAAGCTGCTGGAAGCAATGTTGGCCAAGAAAAGTCTCATTCTCAAGACAATGACAAGAATCAGCAATCGTCTAATGATGTCAGTTTTCAAGATCGTATGTCTCAAGTCAAGGTATGTATGACATTGAAAAAAAATCGATAAAAAAAAATCCAACGAGATGATTGACAAATATATTTTCTAGGAATTCATTGAAACGTTTCAACCCATTTTGATTGGTAATTGGCTTGAATCTGCCCCTATGGTCTTTACTATTTCCAATACAATTACTTATTCGCCAGCATTACAAATGTTACATACGGTACTTCATGTTTCTCTGATATTATGGCGGGCTATGGTTAGTGGTGGATCTATCGATAAGACAACTCCTCAATGGTTGGATACTCACTTGCAACAACTCCTAAAACATATTTCTGTCTATTTCCCTTATGGTTTATCGTCTCTTGGAAATGGTGGTGCAAAGGTAAATAATAATAATAATATATAAAAAAAAAGGAGTCTGTTATGGTATCCATGCTGATCATATGATCTTTTTTTTTTCATCAGGTTGACTCATTATTACAAGAAATGAATATCATGACATGCGAACTCACATCACTCTTCTTACTGGCAAGAAAGATGCAAAATGATCAAGTGGCTTTTAATGATGGACAGGATAAGAAACGTTCTTATGATGATATGGAACAAGATGATATGGTACCTACATGGGCGAACAGTATTGTGGATTATGTGCTTGGTTTGTTAGGTTTTGACGTAAGTAATTGTTATATATTTACCTATCTCCAATTGACTTTTTATTTTTTATTTTTTTTTGCCCTCTAGGCACTGGATACCAAGACTTCTAATGGTGCCATGACTAGTATGTCTTCAGAATTCCGAAATGAAAATCTAGTGGCATTACTTCCTGCAGTTTGGGGCTTTTTAAACTGTCTAGAAGGGGATCGACGTTATGATGTATTCCGATCTTTTATCAACTACTCACAACACTGTAATGCTCATTCAGCGTCCAAGAAAACTACTATGGCTTTCATCATTCGTGCTTATTTGGTAAGCAAAATAAATTATCTTCTATATAAATTTGAATAATAAATCTTTTTTTTTTATTATTAGATTCAATCCATGCCCAGTTACACTGGTCGATTTATCTTGAAAGCTGGAACACCATATGCTAATCTTATGCAGACATGGTTACTTAGTTTACCAAAACTATTATGTAATCTAAGTACAAAACATATTGATACAAGTCAGGTAAAGATTAAAATTAAATATAAAAAAGATATCAAAGTAGTCTCATTGTTAACATGTCGGTATTCCCTTTTATATATATATATATAGATGTTACTGAATGTCATGTGTGATATTGCAAAGCGTGGTGACAAAGATATATTTGACTCCAAGGTAAAATTCATCTTTCTTTCTTTTTTTAGAGTGAATGCGCTATTCACTAAAAGTATATATTTCTCATTGTTTTATTTCATCATAGACTCTTGAACGCACTGCGTTATCCATGTCGATCTTCTTTTATGTACATTTGCCTAACAAAGGTAAACCATACTAATTGATCATCAGAAAACTGAGCGATTGATCTTTTTTTTTTTTCTGTTCAATAGGTGATGTGTACGGACCTTTCCTCTATTTACCTGTGGAACTTCAGAAGCGTGCTCTTGAATTCATGTACTTTATCAATGCAACATCAGAAAGGGTACAAACATCGATATCAAAGTGCAAATCTCGTATGTATTCATTCTTTGTCGTTCTATAATCTTAACATCCTGACTGACCCTGTCTTTCTTTTTTTTTTTTTTTTGGATAGATGACTTGATGACCAAGGAGGTATTGAATTGGATCTTGTGAATTGTATCACCATCCGTTATAGAAATATCTTCTTTTTTTGTACAGTATAATTTTATTCACGAACAATAAACATTCATAGATCATTCTTTTCATGCAATTTGATGAGTCTTTGCATTTATCTATTTTATTTTTGATATGATCTTGTTTCATTTCCTTTTCACAAACAAATAATAATAATAATAATAATAAATTTCCAACATCCCAACAACATGTTGTAAAAACCACACATATCTATCTTTTTATTGATATCAATGTAGTAACAATATAATATAAACGGAATTCAAACTAGTGAGTAAAATAAACTATTCTTGATTGACTGAGTTTCCATTGTATGTCTTTTTTCGATCATCATCATTATCTATGACTTGTCCTTTGTTTCGTAAAGTATTGATGCCATGTATTTGCCTATGAAATCCCAGGATTATAAAAAATAAGTCCTTTTTTCTTTTGGTATCAGGCCAACCCATTCTCACAGTTGCATAATCCAATCTTATTTTATTCTTACCTTGATCCAGAAGGAGATAATGATTGTTGCTGTTGCTGTTCTTGTTGTTGTTGTTGCTGTTGCTGTTGTTGAGTATGTTGACCACCTAATCTATGTCCATCGGATTCAATAGACGGTCCAACGGCATTGAAGACGGTTGCCAAGGCATTGGTGACTGAATTGCCTACACTACTAAGAGTATTATATACCATCCCTCCAGCCGAATAAACATAATCCGCCATCATTCCTCCATAATATGTCGCTGTTGATCCAGATCCGGATTGATACGCAGTCGCTACATTCTTGATTGTTTTCATGATAATGGTACCACTGGGAAGAAGATCCAAATTTGATAATGTTCTTTCTTCATCACCAGCTGTAAATTGTCGCGTGGGGAACTGTGCCAATAGTTTATAAGGTTGATCACCATCCGTTCGATTTTCATCAATCCATGATCGTACATGTCCCAAAGTGTCGTGAGCTAAGGAAAATAATAATACAAGGTGGATTATTTTTCCATAAATATATCGTCCTTTTGATTGCTTACCATTGAATTTATGTCGTATGTTGACGCCATCCACTTGCCGGATGTTCAAATGACAAGTATCATGATTTCTATGTATATACAAAAGAAAAAGTAATCAATAAGCGGCTTTTTATGACTTTGTTCCTTTTTTTTTTATCTTTTGCTATTACTTTGTACCCTGTGATGATGATAGTGATGAGAATGAAGATGAATTACTCGTTTGTTGTTGCTGTTGTTGTTGTTTTCGACGTTCCATGATTTTCTCTTCGCGATCCCGTGCAATTTGTTCCTTGATTTTTCTTCGATGTTCCTCATCAGCTTGCTTTTCCTTTTTGATTTTGGCAAAATAAATCTTATTTTGTTGCTCTTGTAATTGTTGTTTTGTTGTTTCGGCTTCTTTTCCATCTTGTCGTCGCTTCAGTTCACGCTGCTTTTCATTCTATAACAATCCATAAATGATATATGAATAAAACTTAATCACAAACGATATATTGAATGACTACCTCTTTTTCCATTTCATCCCTTTTAGCACGAGCTTTTTCCATTTGTTGTTTAAGCCTACCATCATCACAAAAACAAATAAAATGAGTATGAAAACTATGTATTATCATTATTTTTCATTCATTCCTTACCTAGCTTTTCTATCCAAGGTATCATTAGTCACTTGAGACGATAATTCTTCACTTTCCGTAGTTGCCCTTTCAATAGAAGAAGCGTTGGTTGTGGTGGAAGTCGACGCCACTGTTGTTGGTGAAGATGACGATGTATTGGTAGGAAGAGTGGTAGTTGTAGCAGGGGTAGTAATAGGGGTAGCAGTTGTAGGTATATTAGAGGTAGTAGTAATTGTCGCGGTAAGCTGATTTACTTTATCAATGAAATCTTGTTCAGAAGTAGTTTCAATAGCAAAGTCTTTGATGATACCTTGCTTGATTAAATACACCATTGGTACACGTTGAATAGGATCTAATAAAAAAAAATATTGTTCTAATGAGTAAGACTAAGTGAGTTCAGGATGAATGAAACTTACAAAGTTGACCAAAGAGTTGAGCATTCTCAGAACGACGGTCTAGTTTGATAGAAACGTGTGGTTGTAAACTATGTTGCACCTAGACGGTAAAAGAAAGAAAGAAAGAGAGAGAGAAAACAAAATCATTCTTGTTAGATACTAGTTTTTATTTCTTTTCTAAATAAAACAAATTAATCAATTTACTTTGGAGTTTGTAAAAAGTTGATCTAATTGAGTCGAGGTGTCCGAGTCATCTATATAATAAATATAAAAGAAATATGTTAGTGGGACGTGGTAAGTCAGATAAGGAGAAAACATACCATAAAGGAATACAATAAAAAGACAATTTTTGGTATTGACTAGTTGAACTGCGTCATTCATTGAACCTTGAAACCAAATAGTTGAATCGGTCATTGTCTAAAAAAAAAAAAAAAGGAAAACGTGAAGAAAAGAGTAAAGAACTTTTCTTCTGAACCGCCACCTATTTCAGTATTAGTGACACTGGGTTTGAATTTAGATGCAGTGCATACGTGCCCAATGAGTGTATTGTATGTTTGCACTGTCATTGTTCTTTTTGGATATCATTGTCCTACTTCTCTCTCTCCTTAACGATCCAAACTATGAGAAATTACATGCGTTTTTTATTATAAATATATGAAATATCATATATTTATATCTAACCCCCTTATTATTCAAAGTTAAAAAAAAAAAAAAAATACACATAATATATATAAACAGGTACAAAAAAGAAAACACCACTTTCATGGTTTGACCATTGCTCCTTTTTTCAATGACCGCAAACAGCCAAAAAGTTTTATTTCTTTATTTCTTTTCTTTCTCCTTTTTCAGTTCCCTCTTTTCCCTGTCTTCCCCTTTCCTTCTTTCTTTTGTGTTTTCTTTACATGTTACTTGTCTGTTTTTAATTGATTTATTTATTATTATTATTATTATTATCATCATTAATACTACTACGATTATTTTACTATTACTACTATTATTATTATTATTATTCTTATCACTATTCTTATTCTTATTCATATCAACTTAATATGACGCTATCACCTATTTCCATGTCATCGTCCCCTACTTCTTCGTCCGATACTGAAGTGGCTTCCGTCATCACTGCCCCTCCTCCTTCTTATACTTCAACAACTCAATTACACTCTCGACTAAAATCCTTTTTCTTCAATCCAGCAACAACGACAACAACAACACAGCCTCCTATGGGAGAAATCACTTCTTTTGCTGTACCTGATGATTTTGACCTTACCAATCAAAAAGGTTTTAAAAGTAATTCTTGGTTTACGCCTGCTCATATGAATTCACAAAAAGGCATCCGACGTGTAGCTTCCGCTCCTAATGCAAATAAACTATTATTCAAACAACAACAATATCCTCCTCCACCACCTACACCTAGTACACATAGTTTATACCAACATACCACCAAAGACGCCATGGGTTCTATGCCATCTTTTGGTTCTCCACAACAAGTACTACAACGAAAAGCATTTAGACGTACTTATTCTTCAGCAAGTATCAAAGTGAAACAAGTACAAGTTGGCCCATCAAGTTTTGTCAAAATTCGAATGCTTGGAAAAGGTGATGTTGGCAAAGTATATATGGTGAAACAAAAGAATACAGATAAATTATTTGCTATGAAAGGTAAAAATCAATATCTATATTTCTTTATATATTATTATTATATTTATCATTATTATCATTATAGTTCTTTCGAAACGGGAAATGATCAAACGAAACAAAGTCAAACGAGCATTAGCTGAACAAGAAATCTTGGCTACTTCCAATCATCCTTTTATTGTAACCTTATATCATTCATTTCAAAGTCAAGATTATCTTTATTTTGTTATGGAATATTGTATGGGTGGTGAATTCTTTAGAGGTAAAAAAAACAAGCTTTTTTCTAGTCGTTTTATTAATCATGATGCACTTATTGATAGCCTTACAACTACGACCTGGAAAATGCCTGAATGAAGAAGGGGCACAATTCTATGCAGCTGAAGTGATTGCAGCTTTGGAATATCTTCATCTACATGGTTTCATTTATCGTGATCTCAAACCTGAAAGTAAGTGATACAAAAAGAATATATTTTAATTATCCACTTTTTTTTCTTATTATTATCATTATTATTCCTCTTAGATATTCTATTACATCAAAGTGGTCATATCATGTTGACTGATTTTGATCTAAGCAAGGGATCTTCTCCTCCTGGCAATCCTGGTGTGGTCAAGTCAACCTCTCCGAATTTAGTAAGTCGGTTTATTTTATTTTGAGATCCTACTGATTGTTCCCCTCATCAATTTTTTTACTTATCATGATCTATTTTGTTTGTAGCCTCCTTCCATTGATACCAAATGTTGCGTGAATAATTTACGAACCAATAGTTTTGTTGGAACAGAAGGTAAATAATCAAAAAAGAATTAAATGTGATCAAATGACGAAATTAGGAGAAGTTAATTGTTAATTTTATGATTTAGAATATATTGCTCCAGAAGTCATCAAAGGATGTGGTCATACAAGTTCGGTAGATTGGTGGACATTAGGAATCTTGATTTATGAAATGCTGGTAAAATATATATATATATATATATATATATATATATATATATATATAAATGGTTATTATCCAATTAAGAAATCTTACATCACTCCTTTTTTTTTTTTTTTGGTTATTAGTACGGCACAACGCCTTTCAAAGGTGCCAACCGAAGTGAAACCTTTAGTCGTGTATTACATTGTGATGCCATGTTTAGTCATCAACCAGCTCCTTATCAACAACATACACCATCATCAGCATGTAAAGGCTTGATTCGACGATTATTACACAAGGATGAAGGACGACGATTAGGGTCTCGTGCAGGGGCTTCAGATATCAAGGCTCATCCTTTCTTCAAATCTGTGAACTTTGCTCTTTTACGCCACGAAACTCCTCCTATTGTTCCCATGATTCAAATGCCTAACGGGATCGACGCTATCAACTTCCGAAAAATGCCTCCAGAAAGCATCAGTTTGGATTTGGAAACTGACAACACAAATAACTCGACTGTTTTGACCACTACCCTGGGTAAATCATCTAGTAAAGATATTGGCTCCACTGTGTCAACTATTTCAACTACCACCAATCCATTTGAAAAGTTCAGTTCTAGTAAGTAGTCTTCGTATGTTCTATTTTAATCCAGTTTCTAATATTTAATCTTTCTAATAGTGACACTATATCATGAAGGTGACTCTGATTCCGAATTTGATCAAATTTGAATTATCCTATTTTATTCTTGTAGTTCTCTTTTAGATATTATTATTATTATTATTACTATTATTATTATTATTATTATTATTATTATTATTACTTTCCCCATCCATCATACGTATTACTACCTTTTTTTTTTTATCTTATTGTTTTCCCCTTTCTTTTCATTCATACCATTCCCATTTCTTTTTTTTTTTTCCAACCTAATACTATTCCCTTTCCTTCCTTTTTTTCACTATTCCTTTGGTTATCTGTACAAGTTTTCTTTTTCTTCTATTCTTCTTTTCATTTGCCTTCTTACCCTTGCTACCCATCATTGATCTTTTACAAAACTTATATATTTATATATTTATATTCTACTTTTTAATTAAAAAAAAAACCAATCATCATCATCTATTTTGTACGTGCCAAATCAAAGAAATATTTATACGTTCAACGAAAAACTTAAAATATATAGTCAATAAGGATTGTAATGATTGTTTATTGATTGTAATAATAATAATAATAAAAAAATATAATAAAAACATCATTTCCATCAAGCAGTAGATCCAAGAACACCCATCTTATCTAAAGCACGGGGACCCATTTCTTCCCATTCTTGTCGAGTCACCCACCAAGAATCTTTGTCTTTCATGATATCAGCCAAGACAGCCCCACCAAGGTACACCCTATTTAAAAATAATAATATAAAAAAAAAAGAAAAAAGAGAGAGGTTTATATTGTCAGATGATTAAATTTCTTCCTTTTTTTTAGATGAATTTGATTTAACTTACATATGTTTACGTCTAGGAGGATCTTCGATCCGGATCTTGAATTTCTATATATGTATTACATAAATAAGTTTTTTTTAATATATTCATCCTATAACTTGTCAATGATTCACTTACGTTCAATCGACTGGCATCCCCATTCAATACATTGGTGAGGTATAATTGCTTGACTTCTTTCTCCAAACGACTAGGCAAACCAGGATACATTGTTGAGCCACCAGAAAGAACAATATGTTTGTAAAGATCAGCACGGATATCAATATCAGCTGATTGAATGGTATTGAATAGCATTTCTAAAAAAAAAAAAAAAAAAAAAAAAAAATCAATACTTCTTCAAAGATTCAATCCTTTTTTTTTTTTTTTTTTTTTTTTACTTACCAGCCATGCCTGGAGCATCCACATCTACCAAATGAGGTTGGAACAAACATTCAGGAGCTTCAAATCGTTCTGATCCTACCTTAATGATACGTCCATCAGGTAGTTCGTATGATTCTACCAATGTGGTTGTTTCAACCCCTAATTTTTGATCCATTTCAAGATCGTAACTATTTTTATTTTAAAATATCATGATCAGTATCATATACATACTCCTTCAAATATCTGTTTCTCCTTCATTCTATCTTCTTTTTTTATATCATTACCTAACATAACAGAATTCTTCCTTGATTTGACGTACAGTTTCAAAATCGGCAGTACGATTAAAAGCATATCCACGGAGGAGTAAAAGTTTGATGAGATATTTTGTCACATGTCGACCAGCTACATCCAAACGACGAGTCAAGTTAGCAGGAGCATAACCTTGATACACAGGTACAATATGAGTAACACCATCACCAGAATCCACTACTACACCAGACATGAGCCCTAATATTATTATTGTTGTTGTTCAAAAAGAAAAAAAATGGTTTAGTTAGAAAAAATAAATGAATTCTTTGGGCCTGATTGAGAGTATAATAATATTTTGATATTTTTTTTTCTTTTCTTTCTTTTTTTTTTTTTTTTTTTACCTTGAGCAAACAAAGTCAAGACAGCTTGGATAGCTACATAGATACCTTGGAAACCGTATTCTTCAAACATGATTTGAGCCATTTGTTCACGATTCGAGCGAGGATTCATTGGAGCCTCGGTCAATAATATTTTGCAATCACGAGGATCCACTTGAAGTTGTTCATCAAAAGTATAATTCCACAAGTGACGCATATCTTCCCAGTTTCTAATAATACCATTTTCCATTGGATATGACATTTGAAGAATGTTGCGAAGGGCTGCTGCTTCATCACCAATCATAATATCTTTGACTTGAACATCTCCCACACGTTCTTCAGCTCGTAGGATGGGACGACCAACTACACTAGGAAACACATGTTCAGGAAAGTTGGAACCTGCATAACCACATTTCACAAACTATATTAAAAGAAAAAATAAAAGATGAAAGGATGATATATTATTGAGTATGAATTCATTCTTTTTTTCTATCTTGGTTTCTCTACAAATATAATCCCTGTCTCGAACTTACACCGGTACCGTTATCAACGACAAGTGTTTTGGATGCATTCATTATTATAATATATATAAAAAAAAGAGAGACAAAAAAAAAAAAGAAAGAAAGAAAGGAAAAGGTTGAAAAGTAAGAAGAAGAAAAAAAAAAAAAAAAAAAAACTGTAAAGCGCGAAAGATTGTTAATCGTTTACAATTTTGTCCTTGGCAATTTTGAAATGCCGTCATTGACAGAGCCACGAAAGGAAAAAATATTGGATACCATGATCATAAAATAGATTTAAAGAAAAAAAAAAAAAGAGAAAGAGGCCACTGATAATATTGAAATAAGAATCCTCATTCACAAATAAAATCGATGTATACAACTCTATAATAGATAGCATTTGAAAGAAGAAGAAGAAGCTTCTACCTACTTTCATATACATTTATCATTGGATAAAACTTTGTTCTAAAGATTTTCTTTATTTTCATCATGTTCTAACTAACCATATCTAATACTAATAAATAATAAATAACAATAATACTATAACATACAGTCCTATTGACCGTTCACTTTCTGATTTTGGTTTGTAATTCAAATCTTTGGATAAAGAAGGTGGAGAGTACACTAAGGATAGCCATGCCAGCACAGGCTCCAAAAGAATATCGAAGAGCAGTTTGGTATGAATCAAGTACAATTTCCAAAACATCAGGAGGGAGTAAGGATCGTACATCCGTCATGGATTTCCGAGCAATATCAATATACTATATTATCAAAAAAAAAAAAGAAAGAAAGAAAGAAATCAATACATACACCAACGTTTTTTTTTTTTTTTATTGATTACCAGTTGAGCATCTGGACCAGTAATCTTTTCTGTAAGAATAGTTTTGATGATGGCTTGAAAAATGGCAGAGGTAGTGGAAATCCCAATCACACCACCAGCAGAACGGTAAAGGTAAGACATACTAGTGATCGTTGCCATATCTACATAGAATACAATAAATAAAAAGAGGTTAATATTACTCAGCATCAACGTAAGCATTATCATAATTTGTAATACCTTTTGATTCAACACAAGATAACATAGCAATCAGCGTAGTGGTGAGAATGATACCTAAAGAGAAGCCATCACCAAACAAGCACAATAATAAATAAGAAGAGGAGGTGGATGGCGTCCAACAAGCATATCCAGTCATAGATAAGAGACAAGCGATAGCACCAAAAGTAGATATCTTGATGTATTCACCAGTGCGAGACATATAGATGCCAGAAAGCACCGATCCCAAGGATACAGCAAGTACTTTGGGTAAATAGTACAGACCAGCATGAGTAGGCGTATAACCAAGAAGGGCTTGGAAATAAAGTGGCATAATATAAACAGTACCAGTAGATGCCATGACAGTCCAAAAATTCGTAGACGAACAAGCTAATGGAGTTTGACTGGAGATGATATGCCAAGGCATCAAAGGATTGGTAGCCCATTTTGCTTCCACAACACAAAACAAGATAGTAAGTATACCTGCAGTCACCAAACAACCTACAACAAGAGGATCAGACCAAGGACGAAGATTACCACCAAGTGAAGTAGCAGTTAAGAAAGCTATCACAGCCATCACAACGGTAAAAGCACCAAGATAATCGATCTTCTTGAAACGTTCCCATAAATCTGTTTCCATCTCTTCTTCCAAGTTATAATTTGTCAATAAACAAGTTGAAACATAGATAGTGACCAAAAGTAATGGCAAATTAATATAAAAACAATAACGCCAGCCAATTGTGTCTGTCAAAAAACCTTTAAAAAAAAAAAAGGATTAAGTATATTTTTGATTTCAAAATTGATTCATGTTTTACCGCCTAAAGGAGCACCAGCAATTCCACCAACAGCATAAGCTATATTGCCATAACCTTGAAAAGTACCACGTTGACGTAAAGGAACGAGATCACTGACCATTACAGTTGTTAATGTATTGATACCACCACCTCCAATACCAGCAATAGCACGAGCAAATACTAAAGTCCATAAATCATTTGCTGCACCACATAATAAGGAACCAACAAAAAAGAAAGTAGTGGCAAATATCAAAGCATTTTTTCGTCCCTATTCAATAAATACATTTAGTAAAATAATAATAATAATTCAAAAGTTGAGTACTCACAAAGATATCGGAGATACGCCCATACAAAGGTTGAAGAGCAGTGTAACTCAACATGTAACTAGTAGCAATCCATATAATTTCATTTGATCTATTATAATTTTTATAAGTAAAAAAAAGAAGGGATATTAAGTTTAATAATGTTACCTTTTGAATTCTGTACCAATTTGAGTATAAATGGTGGCAACAATGGAAGAATCAAGAGCAGCAAGGGAAACACCTACCCAAAGTCTGATAAAGCCGAGAGAGTGGACAAAAGGAAAGTAAAAAAGAAAAAGGTTAAATCACCTGTGTTCCGCCATTTTTAATCAACCGAAGTTTGTGTGACCAATGGAGCATATCTTACACAAAATTTTTTTTTTTTTTACTTACCCAAATAAAATAGTATACAAGGAAACACCTTTTAGTCGCTTTGCCACAATATCATTATTATCATCTTGATCATTATGTTTGGATTCAAGGGTATTCACAGTTGAATGTGTATTGGAAGTCAAAATAGTAATATGACCAGTATCATCACTGTTTATACTACTTGTTTCTTGTTGATCATATGTTTTGACATGATTGTTTCCTAAAAGCGGTGATGTTTCATTATTGGATTGAATCATTCTAAAGCAATTTAGAATATAGAAAAAAAAAACCAAGAACTATTGGGTATAACTATACAAAAGAAAAGAAAAAAAAGAGGAAGAAGGAATAAAATAAAAAAAAATATATAGATATATAAATTTTTTTTCTCTCAACCCTTTTTGTACTCCCAAGATTAATATTACAGAGCAAAAGAAGGTGGGCGGCCCTTTAATGACCAATGCAGGCCAAAAAAAAAAAGAAGATGACTATGATACATTATGATACAGGAGTTATTCTTTTTTTTTTTTGACATCAGCTTAATATATAAATATATATATATGAAATAAGGAGGCTTTATACTATTGTATCCACTAAGTTTGAATTTACTCTTTTAGCATGAAGATAATCAAAAAAAAAAAAAAGAGGAGGAAATAAACTAATCTCACTTTTATGTCGGTGTGCGAATGACTTGCGTTTTTTTTTTTTTCTACTTTTTCTTTCAAAAGTTTTTTTTTTGATTTTCATTTCTTTTTCTTTCTTCTCTTTCTTCTTTTTCTGATTTTCCTTACTTGGATACTTTTACTTTATATATATTAATGTCAGATGATAACAATAGATTAACACCTCACTATGATGATAGCGTGTTGACTATCACTGGTATTGCTTCACAGTTAGGTATCAACGTAGCTATTGCTTTACTTGTTTTAATGATATTTACCATATTACGACCAAATAATTCATGTAAGTTTGACAAAATAATCGATCAATCACACAAACAAACAATAGTTTTATTATGGTAATAATAACTATTTCTATTTATATCTTTTTTTTTTCTTTCTTTCAAATAAGTGGTATATGCACCCAAATACAAATACTCAACCAACACGTAATGATCTAATTTACAAATCAAATATTATTCTCATCACTATTACTCATCCATTATTATTATTATTATTATTATTATATATCATATAGGAAACGACCTCCTGCTATTGGTCATGGTTACTTCACCTGGTTTAAAATCATCAAAAACACTCCTGATGAAGTTCTATTGGAAAAGATTGGTTACGATGCTGTCTTATTTATTGCTTTCATCCGCATGCTACGAAAACTTTTATTCATCATGACTATTGTAGGTGTTTGTTTGTTGATTCCCTTGAATGTGTTGGCAAATCGATTTACAGGGTAAAAAAAAAAAAAAAAAAAAATTAAAAGAGCTGACTTTGATTGCCTTTTTTATACTGACTAGTCTTTCACAATTTTTGTTTATCATCACATATCATATTAGACCTTGGCCTCCAGAGCTCAGTGTGGACGTTTTATCATTTGCAACCATCAATACAGCCGAAGATGAATCACGAATCAACTTGTCATGGTATTGGATTCATTGCATCGGTACGTGGGGCTTCTCTTTACTGATCTATTATCATCTATTCATTCATTATCACAAATACCTACGTTTTCGACAACATTATTTCGCTAGTCCTGAATACCAAAGGTCTCCTCATGCACGTACCTTGATTATATTCAACGTCCCTTCAGCAATGCAATCTGATGAAGCTCTGGCAAGTTGGGTGAAAAGAATGAATCTCAAATATCCAGTAGAACAAGTCTGCATTGGTCGTCGCAATAATACACTGGCCAAATACGTAGAAGAACACGAAGAAGCTGTTCGAAAATTAGAAATTATATTATCACAGTATCTGGAAGAAGAGGACAAAATTGACGCAATAACGAACAATAAAAAGCGACCTCAGATACGACTGGGTGGATTCATGGGTTGTTGTGGTGGACGAAAAGTGGATGCAATTGAATACTATACCGAAAGAATACGAACTTTACGTGATGATATCAACAAGATTCGAACTAACATTGACGCCAACAAACCAACAAATTATGGATGGATCTCTTTTTCAAATGTTGCCTGGGCTCATTCAACAGCAAAACACTTGGCATCACCAGCGGCATCACATTTACTACGTCTTCCAGAACGATTGCTCAAAGGCGAAACTCATCATCAACTTCCTCGCGTAGAACTGGCGCCTCAACCCAAGGATATTTTATGGAACAATCTTTCTCTCAACGAACATGTCCGACGATCTAAGCGTATTGTTGTCACTGTGTTGTATTATGCATTTGTCTTCTTTTGGTTTATCCCTTCAAGTCTTTTATCGGCATCATCCAACGTCAAGGACTTTATCAAACTATTTCCTAATTCGGATGTCTTTCTACATGAACATAGAACCTTTGTTGCCTTGTTGTCCTCTTGGTTTACTCCTTTAGTCATGGCTGTTTTCTTTTTGATTCTACCCAAAGTGATGCGACTCCTTTCCAAACATCAAGGTTACTTCACACATACTTCTGTGGACCGTCAAATTTTCGCCAAACTATATACCTTCTTTCTTATTAACAATCTTTTGGTATTTACCGTTGCATCAACTTTAATGAAACTATATACTCAAATCAAGAATGCCGCTCAAGGTGGTCAAGTATTGACTTTTGAAGGCTTTTTTATTACCATGGGTGAAAACTTGGTCTTGGTGGCAAAGAACCTTTCAGGTACATCAGGAATCTCAATTGTCAAAATTAGTATATGCTTTTTTCTCATCCCTAGTTCTTTTAATTTTCTCCCTTCATTTAGATGTTTCTAACTACTGGCTAAGCTATGTGACATTAAAAGGATTGGGGGTTACCATTGATCTGGCTCAAATCTTTGTGTTGTTGACAATTACTCTCAGGTAGGTTGAATAAGAAAGGAGAAGAAGAAAAAAAAAAAAAAAAGGAAGGAAACTAGTGGAAGAAAATAGAAATCGACTGAATGTGTTCTTTTTTTCCTTTCTACGAATTGTATAGGAAACTGTTTACAAAACCAAGTCCACGTCAACTACAAGGTAAACAGAATATCTCTCAAGTTAGAGAAAAAGATAGTTTCACCAACATACCGAAACAGAGAGAAACTAATAGTCATTATTTTTCGATATTTGTAGAGTTGACACGACCTTCACAATTCGACTACCCTGTATTTTACAACCTGTTGATCTTTTTCTTCACTGTTGGTCTACTTTATTCGGTGATCTCGCCTTTGGTTCTTCCATTCGCAATGATTTACTTTATGTTAGCAACTATGGTATTCAAGTATTTACTCATGTAAGTTATTCTACCAAAAAAAAAAAAAAAAAAAAAGACTACCTTTTGAATGATAGGTTCATGGTGACGATTCTCCTTTACTTTTATAATAGGTACGTTTTTGTTACTGGTGTTGAAACTGGAGGACAGATGTGGCGTATTTTATTCAATCGAATGATCGTATCAATACTTCTTTTTCAAGTGGTCATGATTGGTATATTAAAACTCAAAGATGCAGGTGGTCCTGCCTATTCTTGTGTCCCTCTTCCCATTTTTACTGCTCTCTTCAAGTTCTATTGTCTTCGTCGTTTGGACCGTCATGCATATTATTATAAGCCTGGTTTTGTGGATGATCTATCATTATTCGGTCAATCTCGCCCAACAAATACGACTTTAACCACAACACAATCATCAACCCCTTCTTCCTCCTTTATTAACGATACGAAATCTATCAATAATAGCAGCATCAAATCATTTTATTCATCGGATAACAAATCACAGCATCATCTGGCGATTGGACAACGATTTGGTGATCCAGCCTTCTTTTCTGAATTACCTATTCCTATGGTTCACGACAAGGTACGCCATTTATTACCCGGGTTATATGGGACACAAAGTCAGACACAACAGAAAACAGTTACAAGCAAGTTGACCCGACAAAAAAGCGTGCGACATGTCTCAATGATTCAATTACCTGGACAAGGAATGCCATTTCAAAGTATCAAAGAAGATGAATTGGAAAATGACGACTCTACAGAAGGATTGAAGGGATATTATAAATTTGACGACGATCAAGACGATGACTATCATAATGAAGATACCAATCCTAACAGCAACTACAATCAGAATTATGCGACACCAGTTGACGCAACAACAGTTGGTGCACTTGCGGTTGGAAATGAAGAAGCGACAAAAACATCATCGGATTACAAACCATTATCGAAACTTCCTGCGTCTCAATTATCACCCAAAAGAAAAAGTATGCTAGGATCTTTATTCAAGGAATCACCATCAACATTGTTAACAGGAGCAACACGATCGGCAAAGATGGATCCATATTCAGCAACAAGACCCTTGATGATGGACGACGATAACTTTTCCTATACTACGCATGCTACAACAAAAAATAAATCCACGGATTCCATACATACGATACACACACCTGCAAGACTGCATGGACAGACAATTCGACAAGAAACACAGTATTATCCAGATGTGATTGAAATGTCCCCTTTTGATCAAGAACAAGCTTTTCATTCAAACCAAGCAATACAGCAACAATCACATCAACAGAACAGCCCATACTACTATCCATAAAAATATATCAATTGTACAAACAACCCTTTATCAATATACATAACCATCATCTTCAATATATACAACTCTCAAGGACAACACAAATGTTTTACCCTTTGATCTCTATTCTCTAATCATATTAATATTTACCCTTCCCCATTATATACTGTTTCTTTTTTATGATTAGCCTTAGACTAGATTACACAATTATTATTTTTTTTTTTACGTATTTCATCTTCTGATTTGACCTTGGATAGATAGATTTTCCCCGATTCTCATTTATAAACATATTTAACTGGTTTGAATAAAATGCCACTGGATGGACACATACCTGGATTCTGATTCTCAACATTCATCGGTTAGACGGGTGTACAACAAGATTGACTGGATAAGGTTATTAAAAGGATTGAATATAGGAAGTAAGTTAATTATACAAAGTGTCAATTTGTAGGTTTGGCTGTCTTCTCTCTTATCTCTACTTTATTTTGCAATGGAGAATTATTATTATTATTTTTTTTTTTAGTGTCGTGATGATCATTTCTTATTCTGGTTGATTTATCTCATCTGGCTCTTACGACGATGATGATTCTTTTATCGGTATTTGGATAGTGTTTGTTAGTTAGCATTTACATTTATCATATTCTACTTTTTTTTTTAATAAAGTCATTTTATTATTTTAAAGATATATATCGTCTTTAATCCATTGATCCATTCATCCATCATTTATATGGTAGTACCATCTATTTTTATTATAAACGTCGTTATGAACCAGTGTAATTACTGGCAGCATTTTTCATTTCAAAATGATTTTTTTTTTCCTTCTCAATATTATTCGCAACAATTATGTCCTAAGAAACATTGCATATAATCAATAATTACACTATCACAAAGGAAGATACAAAATTAATCTTTGATCAATGCTGTGAAAAAGTATATGATGGCCAGAGTTGTCCTCCCAAAAAAAAAAAAAAAAAAAAAAAAAAAAAAAAAAAAAAATTGTTGCGACCATACTCTGTTGATGATACCAAATATGGTTGGGTTAGACCAGTAAATATTTCTTAACATTGCATGGTGAATCTTCAAAGCCAAGTTCATCATCACATATCATCCCATCATCGCATATCATCCCAGCATCGCATATCATCCCATCATCCCATGTCATCCTTTCGTCATTTATCATCACCAACAACATAATTCAAAGCCAATTTTCTACATTAAGTCAATAAACTTACGATCAAACAAATCCTTGATTTCAAAAAGCTTCAGAAGAGAAGAACTAACGTTTATTGTAATAAATACATAAAAATACGACTACGACTACTACAGTACTATTACAGTCACTGACTATAATCCGAGACCGCCCATATGACAATCTCTCCATTCATCTATTTTGACTTTTTGCTGTGTTTCTTGCTACTTTTCTTATCGGTATTGATGCTTTTTCCACTGTTGGTTTTGCCACTGTCATTGCGGTTGCCATTGTTCGATTTGTCACCAGAATTCCGTTTCTTGTTCTTTTTCAATCCCTTCACAATGGCATTGTAAGAGTGAATGATAAGTGCAAAAGGTATAATCACCCATAATCCATTGAAGAACTAAATAATAGCAAGTAAGAATAATGATGAGTTCGACTAATAAGAATTGTCTTTTTTTTTTTCCTTCTTCATCTGCCTTCTGCTTACCCAAAGATAAATATAATGCCATAACCATACATCTGTGTTCAAATATGCAGATCCAGTCAACCACTATCAAAAAAAAAAAAAAAAAAAAAGGAGATGGTTAGCACGAAAATAGGATGACATTAATAAATAAAGATATTTCATATAACTTACTTCTGGAGCAAAAGTCATCCATCCACCAACAATTTCAATAACACTGACCACCACAATCCAGAAATGACGAGAGGGATCATTCTTGACCAATTGACGTAAAATCAACAGACATAACAAACCATCCACAAACACTGTCATTATTTCAATCGATACAACAGTGGCATCCGCTAAACCCCAACGTCCATCTGCCTTTGCATATTCTTGCCCTATATAAGTTCCCACAATATATTCATCATAAAATAAAAAAAAAAAAAGATATTATTAGTTTCACGTGTTTGACTCAGAAAAAAAAAAAAAAAAAGAGAGAGAGAAACTTACATAATAGAGCGAACATGTCGGTGCCAGAGTTAACAGTGCGACCAAAAGTACTATGATAAACAAACGAACCTTCAAAGATAAAGTGAATCAGAGCATCAAAAGTAAACCAGACAAAAGTCGCATGGTCCACACGACCTGAAGATGAAGGTAACAATATCCGGGAGGCAAGCAATGACACAATAAGAATACCAACTACTGCTAATAAACTATAGATAGTCACTTCGTCTATTAGTGCTGAATCAAATATCATGTTATTGTTATGCTTTGTGTTCGAGAATGTTCAGGATTATAATAGTGATATGGATGAAAGTGAAAGGAAAAAAAAAAAAAAAACCAAAAAAAGAAAACGAGAAGACCTTATTTTCTTTCTGGTGAAAGGACTTGGAAGCTTTTAAATACCGCGGTAACACGAAAGATCTTGTGTAGTGAAAATTAACACCATCCCATTGACACCATTAAATAACTAATATCATTATCGATCTAACACCTTCCTCTAAAATTAACATCATCATTCATTTAATATTATTATCATCAGTATCCTGATTATTATTATTATTCAATCGAATGGCTCTATTATCGAAAAAGAATACATTTGAGTAGTATTTTTTTTTCAAAGATATTTGACAGGAAATAAGATGTAAATCAATTGAATGATGTGATAAACATACACGCAAAATGATACTGATATGAATAATAAAAGATTCGTTGTTTTAGTTAAAGCTGCTTACAAATGATAATCAAACACCGTTGACTATAGTATGATATATTCAATGTCATCAAGAAATTCCAACATAGTATGAAAGAAAGTACGATCGCCTTTTCTTGTCTTTTTTTCTTTTTTTTACTATAAAAAGGCAAAGAATGGACTACAGATATGGATGATCAACAACGTGAGATCTCGTGATGTTTTGTGTCAGGATCAAAAAAAAAAAAAAAAGTGAAACCCGATAAGGATGATGTAAAATAAAAAAGATGCTCAATTCATTCAGATTGTTGGGTAATCAGATTCTCTTTGAGATTACAAAGCAAAATGCTTGTCTTTGAGAAAGCGGAGCAACATGAGAAGAAACCTTACTATCAGTCAACAAAATACTGTAGGTATTAATGTCTGATATGACAAAAGGTGACATTATAGTATTCTCAGAAGAAGATGATCTTGATGAATGCTCTTAATTAAAATTTTTTTATCAAGACTACGGATGATCTTTATACAGACAGACTCATTTATTTGATATTACTGTTGATCATCAGCTATGTGTCATCGTATTTTGTTGGGATGGTGAAAAGAAAAAAAAAAAAAAAAAAGCGCGGTTATCACCATTGTCATTTTTATACTTTACAAATCATCATCAAATCTTAAAACTTTTAATGAATAAACTCGATCACTTTGTGGAAAACATACTAGATTGATTTATTTGTATTTCAATGATTTCGATATATTGTATTTCATCATTATCATCCGGTTGTATGTATACAACGCCAAGAGAGAAATATCTTATTGTACAACAAGTAACGGAAGTTGAATTAGAAAAAAAAATGTTGATTGGTTGTAAGTATTTTCGGGCCATTGGTTACCAAATAGGTGTGATAGTTTTCCGGAAATGAAAACTTGGAGGCTAAGCAATGAATGATCTGAATAGAAGAATAGGATTCAAATAGGTAGGTCAAAATAATTGATCTAAGGTAGTACAGAATATCAATATAAAAATAAACTATCATAGAAATGGTCAGCTCATTTTTCTCTTTTGTTCATTATATTTGCTGGGGTGGATAAACAGTCTTTCCAGCTGAGTAAAAGAGATACAAGAGAGAGAAAGAAGAATAAATGTCTCGGAAAGGGATTCACCCAAGCAATGAAAAGGTTTTTCATAATGCCTATTTTAAAATTCCGTACCACACAACAAAAAAAAAAAAAAAAAATCCAAAAATAGGTTCCACTTTTTTCTTTTTTGGCTTCCTCTCCTTTTTTTTTTTTTTTTCCTTTCTTTTTTGTTTATTTATTTACCTTTCTCTCTGTCTCTCTCTGTCTATCTCTACTTTTCTTTTCTTCCCTTCCATTTTCGCTCTCTCTCTCTCTCTCTTTTTTTTTTTTTTTTTTTTTTTTTTAAAAGACCTTGTTTCTCTCTCTCTCAATATGAAATTTGGTCAAGAGCTACAAGAAAACATTTATGAACCTTGGAGATTCGAATATGTCGCTTACGATGTGATAAAAAAAGATATGAAAAACCGACAATTATCTCACGACTGGACTGATCAAGATGAAAAGGATTTTGAAGCTGTTTTACGACTAGAAGCTGATAAAGTTGATCTTTTCATTACTCGCAAACAAAGAGAAATCGATTCACGTATTGCTTATTGTGATCGTATTTTAGTTCAACAACGTCCCAGTATGACTCTTGCTACTCAACACTCTTTATACGAATCCATGGACGATTCTCTGACGGACATTCTTACTGATTTGAACGACTTGGCTAAATTCACTAGATACAACTTTTTAGCGTTTCAAAAACTTATCAAGAAACATGATAAATATACTCATATAGACCGTCAAGCTTTACTAGTGGATATTGTCAGAAATAAATCTTTGGATAGACAACGTTTTGATGTCGCTTTGGTCAAAATTTCTACTCTACATGATCTCTGTCGTCTTCATGGTGAATCAAGAACTGGTAATGCTGCTGCTGGTTTGGATCAAAATGCTTTTGAACGTGCTACTGCAAAATACTGGGTTCATCCGGATAATGTCACTGAACTCAAAGCCATTTTACTCTTTCATCTTCCTGTCTTGGTCTTCAACCCCAACAAACCTATTGAACCAGAAGATAGTGCCATCTCAAGTGTATATTTTGACAACAGCGATTTTGATCTTTATGGTGGTCGTTTACAACGTGATGAAGGTGCTGAAGCTATTCGTTTGCGATGGTATGGTCCCATGTCTTCTAATAGTATCTTTATTGAACGTAAGACTCATCATGCTCCTTGGTTAGATGGTGCTTCTGTCAAGGATCGTTTCCGATTGGATGAATCTCAAGTCAATGATTTTTTGCAAGGACGTTACACTGCTGATCAAGTGGCTCACGATATGGCAACAAAACAAGGTATGGCTCAAGATGTGGTGGAAGCAAATCATTTTATTGCTTCTGGTATTCAACGATCTGTAGCTGAAAAACAATTGAATCCAGTGATGCGTGTCTTCTACAATCGTACTGCTTTCCAAGTGCCTGGTGATCAACGATTACGTCTGTCTCTGGATACCGATTTGACTTTTATTCGAGAAGATGGAAATAGACGAAAGAACAACAACTGGCGACGACAAGATGTGGGTGTAGATTATCCTTTTGATTATTTACCCGATAATGAAATCTACCGCTTCCCTTATGCTGTATTGGAAACCAAATTACAAACTCACTTGGGTCAAGAACCACCTGAATGGCTTACTCGATTATTGGATTCAAAATTGGTCTATGAAGTTCCTAGATTTTCCAAATATTTACAAGGTGCTGCTCATTTTTGGTCTCCTCAATTACCTCTACTTCCTTGGTGGTTAAATGATTTGGAACAATTGGATATTCGAAACGCAAAACAAGTATCTGGCAATTTTACTGGTTTATCTAGATCAAAGAGTTTGAAACCTTTGATTGATGGACGCTATCGTTTGGGTTATTTGGAATCTCAATTAGAAAAACGGGCAACATTGACAAGAAAGGAAAGTCAGGCAGCCAAGGCAAAACGTGCAGCTTCTTTACAACGACAAAACAACAAGATACCATTACCAACAACCAACGAAAGTAGTGAATACAAAGCCACCGTCATCAGTCCTCCTGTTAATAGTTCGACCGATCCTTTTGCTGATCCTATTTGGCGCTTAGATACTACATCATCAAATGAAAATATGCAACAATACCATCAACAACAACATTATACAGCTGCACGACAACGAGTGGGAATATATGATTATGTGGATGGATCTTCAACAGAATACCTTATGGGCAAAACTCCACGATCCTCTGTTATGCAACACAACAATATGACCAGTCAAGAAGCTTTGAATGGTGGAAATCAACAACGAGACGACGTGGATGCAATTATATCAGAAGAAGGTGGTATTCCTTATTCAAAGAAAGGCAAAAAAGGTGGTGGCAAAAAAAAGAAAAACAAAGATCGTATTGAACCCAAAATCTTTTTTGCCAATGAACGTACATTTATCCATTGGTTATACTTTGCAGCTTTATTATTGACAACAGCTTTGACTCTTCTCAATTTTGGTGACAAAACTACAAGAATCTCTGGTGGTGTTTTCTTTGGTATTGCCTTTGGTTTTGCTATCTATGCTTTCATTCGTTATAGATGGCGTGCTCATCGTATCATCAATAAACCTACTGAACGTTATGATGATCTTTATGGTCCTATTGGTCTATGCCTTCTTCTTGTTGGTGCTCTTATAGTAAGTATTCATTACATGATATATTTATTTATGAAATAATTTAGATACTGGTTGAACTGATTCTTTTTTTTTTTTTTCTAGTTGAACTTTGTTTTAGAGTATCAACGAGCGCCTGATTCAAATGGTTATCTCAACACTGGTCAAAATGGCACTCTCTCTTAGATTATCTTCATTTCTTATATACATAGCAACCCCTCTTTTTTTTTTTTTTTTTTCTCCTTTCATTCTCTTTGAAATCCTATTACCCATTTTACTTTTATAGTTGTTTCCTTTATATATATACATATATACATATATATATATATAGTATCATACAGTTCCTTTTTTTTTGAATCATTCAATTTTCTTATATCATTATTATGGCAATAAAGCTAATGCATCATTTTCAAAACCATATTACCCCTTTTGTGTTCTGATGATTTACGCTATGTATCTATTGAGTGTGCAAACCGATGTTCATAGTGTATCAGTATTTTTTTTTTTTTGTTGTTTTATTGTAATGTTAACTTATGATGGGATTAATCACTAAAAAGGATGGTCCTTGACGAATCAGATTTATTCCTACAAAGTATATAAGATCAATTTATTCTAAGGGGGGATCGCCATCCAATCATACAAATATTTAGAAAATAGAGATCCATAGAGAAAAAAAAAACATAGACCATCCAAAAATTGAAAATCATTTTGTTGATGTTTTCGTATACTAAACACGTAATCAGATGATGATCATCATCACATGATGATTGATTACTTCTCATTTGACGGATTGCACACATACATAGATCTTCGTCTAAAAAAGGTAGACCCCTGAATTTATTTACAAAGATGGATAAATAGAATACTAGTCTACAATTCAAAAAAGATAATAAAAATACAAACTAAAGAAGAGTATATCAGTCTAATTTTGCAAAACATAATGTCGCATTGGTGCCACCAAATCCAAAGCTATTCGTCAAAGCTGCCCTAATGATTTTGTCGGATTGAGCCTTCAGAGGGACATAATTGAGATTGAATTCCTCCTTGTTACTCAACTGATACAAGTTCAATGTTGGTGGAAGAATATTCTATATAAATAAATAAAAGTATCAGATATCAACAATACAGTTTTTTTTTTTTTTTTTTTTTTTTTTTGATTCTGAAAACACTTACGTTCTTGACAGCCAATACCGTAAAGATAGCCTCTACTGATCCAGCAGCACCTAGTAAATGACCAGTGGCCCCTTTTGTTGAAGATACATTGATTCTATCCCATTGTCCGTCAAAAACCGTCTTGATAGCATTGTTTTCCGCCGCATCACCAACAGAAGTACTTGTCGCATGAGCATTAACATAGTCGATATCCGCTGGAGTCAAGTTGGATGCCGTCAAAGCACGCTTCATGGAATTAATAGCACCAAGACCAGACTGTGGAGGTGCAGTCATATGATGAGCGTCGCCAGATAAACCATAACCTTTCAATTCAGCATAGATAGGTACACCTCGTTTCTTGGCATGTTCGTATTCTTCCAGCACCATTATTCCTGATCCTTCACCCATCACAAATCCTGCACGGTCTTGATCAAAAGGTCGTGATGCTTCAGTTGGTTTTGTTTCGTATCCTGTCGCCAATGATTTCGCCCTTGCAAATCCTGCAATAGCCAATGGATGTACACAAGCTTCAGTTCCTCCTGCTACCATCACATCTGCGTCACCATATTGAATAAATCTCATTGCATCACCAATCGAATGAGCTCCTGTTGTACATGCTGTGGAGACTGCATGATTTGGACCTTGGAAACCATACTTCATTGTCAAATGTCCAGCTGCCATGTTGATTAATATTTTGGGTACAAACATCGGTGATACTTTACGTGGTCCCTAGAAAAAAAAATATCAGAATCAATCATTTCATCATAAGTTATCAGAAAAAAAAAATAGTTAATAACCTTTTTTTTTTTTATCTTTACTTACTCCAGAAGTAAACGCTATAGATGTTGATACAATGTCTTCAAAACTACCCATACCGGATCCTATACAAACACCCTAAAAAAAAAATAACGATAAATAATCTTTTACTGTACTTGTCTTTTTTTTTCATTACCGTTCTTTCTTTTTCATGTACACAAGAGGGAGCCCAATTAGCGTCTTGAAGAGCCTGACGAGCAGCAGCAATCGCATACTGAGTAAAAGTAGCCATCACTCTATCATCCTATTAAAAAAAAAAAAAAAAAGACAATGAATTTACTAATTCTTCGTTTTTTTTTTTTCTTTAATACACCCTATTTCTCGGTTGTTTCTATTTTATTACCCCAGGATCTAACCATTCAGAAGCAGAGAATTGACCTTGATCTTTTGAACCTCTTGGTACTAAAGCGGCTATTTTCACAGGCAGAGAATCAAAAGCAGGTTGATCAGTCAAAGATACAATACCACAGTGACCTTTGAGAAGATTGTTCCAAGCTGTTTTAACACCTACACCAACAGGAGTTACCAAACCTAATCCTGTCACCACTACACGTCTTGCCATTTGAAGAAAATAATGAAAGAGAAAGAAAAAGAAAAAAATTCTCAAACAACCTAAAAAAAAAAAAAAAAAAAAAAAAGAGAGAATGGTTTAAATTACCGCTCCCATTAAAAAATTGTTAGAGGTCTTTTCAATGTATCCTTTTGTTTTTTATTCATCTATTCATTATCTTCCTCATTTATTGTCTTATCTAGCCATTGATTTTTCTTTCTTTCTTTTGATAACTTCATTGATCTGCCTCTGGCTTATTAAAAATTCACACCAACATCTCATAGGATAGATATTATACTTTTGTACTTTCCCCCAAGGCTAATAATCCTCTCATCAAATTTAAACTTAACATAACTGAAATCATTCTCTTTTGATTAACTTAATAACAATTTGTACCTTACCTCCCAACTTGTAGAGTAAATTAAAAAAATAAAAAGCCAATATCATCATTTCTCATCCAATAATGGTCATCATCCAATAAAATGACCACCATTCGATTCCTCTCAAAAAAGTAATCTAATATCATCTAATGACATTTTATCACTTAGCTAATGTACAATGATCGCTAAAACATTTCATTCATTTTTTCAAAAATTGCCTGATGACCCCTTGAAATGTAACGAGACAATAAACAGAAAATTTAGAGCATAAAAGAACCTAAAATTTATTAAAGCATAAGAATTCATAACATATAAAACATAAAAAAAACAAAGGAATGTACTTACCGTGATGGTACACGGTTCAAATAAAAAAATATAAAATAAAATAAATAAAGGGTAAAAAAAATATAAAGAGGAAGAAAAGAAAAAGAAAGAAAAGGGCATAAAATAAAATTGGGCATAATTTAAGAATTCATAAAAAATAAAAAAAAGTCATAAGATTGGTCCGCCATCACCCCTCGACAATTCATTTTTACAGCTAAAGTTTAGCTGAGGAATTTGAAAATTTTGGCTGTAAAAACCAAAAGATTCATTCATTTTTTCATCCTGCATAGTAAACGTTACCTTTCCCTTTGTCGCTCAATAATCACCATCATCATACAAAATTCGCATAGAATATAAAAACAAATTATTTTCTTGAATATTATTTAATATAATGATAGTTTATTGTTCGTATTTATAGATCAAATTTAAAAAAAAAAAAAAATAAAAAAAAAGAATCCAGCAATATCGTCATTGGCATGATATTTTCAACCCATTCATCAGCTACCTATCATCAATCATCTTGATGGAACCAAAATCATGCACCGGAGATGAATGATTCCATTGCAAATGCCAAGTGTTCCAAAAATCTACCCTTAATTCAATTGCCAAGGAATGTGAGTTCGAATGTACCCAGGATGCCAAAAAGAAATGTATAGTGATAAGTTTCTGGTGATAATGTTAGTATTTTTTTTTTTATCTCCTAGAAAACGGAGAACAAAACAAAAGAAATACACATGGTCTATTTGCATGATGATCGTACCTTTTTTTTTTTTTTTTTTGATAGGTCACTCCGTTATGATGGTAGGGAGAGATGAATTTCCATATTGAGTTGGAAATGAACTAAAAAAGTAAAGAATCCAGTTCTATCATTTATGATCTATTTGTACAAGATCCAAGAGAAATTGATGTTCATCAACTGATTATCCAAAAAAAAGAAGGGATGAAACATGAATATTAGAATCATCTACAAGATGATGAATGATCTATTCTTTTTTTTTTTAAGGTTGAAATATTTAGTAGTAGGGAAAAATGATTATCCGTATATTCCTTAATATTCTAGAACACTAAACTCCGTTATTGTTTTATGTTGATAGGCATATTGATCTAATACATAAACTCTATCAATGGTAAAAAAAATTTCTATCAAATTGTTGGATTCTTGGCTATCATCATGTGATTTAAAAAAAAAAAAAAAAAAAAGAAAGAGACAAAAAGAAGATCTAAAATAATTAATCCATTTTATTACTTTTTAATTTAGGTTACGAATCATGATAACAAACACCTTTGCTTGTATCATCTGAACTACAACAGGCTTCCCAATTGTTTAATGTTTCTTGTGAGTAGTCATTGGCTCTCCAAAATTTATTACCACTTACTCCTAGGTAATTTGCAACAGTATCACCGTCCCAAATTTGGTCACCACATTTATAAGTTGGTCCAATACCTGGTAGAGGGCATCCCTTTCCTTTATAAGCACACCAATATTGACGCCATGCGTGGACTGATTGAATAATCAATAAAAAGGCTAGCACCGTTACCAAAGTTGACTTCATGACACAAATGGCAAAAAAAAAAAAAAAAAAAAAAAAGAGTGGATTATATACACAGCAGCCATTACTGCGGATTCCTTAAAAAAATATGTTTGTACTACCCATTCAGGGGATATTTGTAATATATACCGTCCGGTATCACGGAGTAGAAGGGTAAGAAAAACATGAATCAACCAATGCATCATGAGAAAGAAAAAAGTTTCTGATTGACTCTATGTTTATAAACAAAATGGTTTTGAACCCTTTTTGCATCAAAAAAATGGACAATATGGTTTTTTAGTTTCGGCATCAAGTTTACCCTTATCGTTTAGAATAGGGAGGGCGTACAATTAAGTGCTTCTATTTGACTTACCGCACGCTACCGCATTTTCATTCAACCAATGTATGTGTCTTTAAATATCCGATATGATCCGTTCCATATATCATCGATCATCTATCCAATAAAGAGAAAGAAAATAATAATAATAAAAAAAAAGGAGTCTTAGACAAAGAAAATCATGATGATCACAAGTGATACGATCAAAAGAAGTATGAAAAAGAAGAAAAAAAGCTGTAAATAAAAGAACAATCAGAATATGAGTAATGAAAATCGGGAGCACGAGCACACACATTTGGATTTCGTTGTGAAATGATTGGTCAAAATTGCTCAACGGAATACAATTTTTCCTTGGCTTAATGATTAAAAAAACAATTTTTATTTTTATTTTTTTTCCTTTTTCTTCCTCTTTTTTTTTTTTTTTTTTTTTCCTTTCTCTTCCTTTTTATCTTTTTTTTTTTTTTTTTTTAAATATATACGTACTAACTTTGCTTTCCTCAATTATTATGAATGGTTCTCGTCCAACTTCAGTCACGTTTCAAGATGTTGTTCAAGTGAATAATCTTAGCGAAGAGTTAAAGTCAATCAACTTTGATACACCTGCCAAGATCTTTCAGAACAAACATGCTATTCATCAATTCGAAAATGTAACTCCAGACGTATCTGTACCTGGTACACCTATTATACATCGATATCCAAAGTCAACTGCTTCTTCTAATGCTACTTCTGCTTATCCTTCACCGTCTTTACCTCCCACTGCTGCTCATACTCCTCCTTCATTGTCTCCTCATCACAGTGGTGAGAATGATTCTGTTGTTATCACAGTTCAAGATCATAGTTCAAATCAAGGTACTCTTCATTCAAGTCCTCGACCTATTTCTTCTGCCTCTTCGTCTTCTTCTGATAACGGTGGTGCTACTCCTCTCTCTTTATCACGACCAGTATCTCCAGAAAACAACAACAATAATCAAGATACCTCTAGTAGTAGTAGCTCTCTTCATCCTCATACCACCAGTTCTACTTCCACCAATAATACTGTACCCGGACGACCGTCTACACCTTCACAATTCATTTTTAAGCGACCCGAATATAACAAAAACTATCATCATACTCATTTTCACCATTTGGAAAAGAAAGATACCATTTTACACGATCTCAAACGATTCTTCAAAAATGACAAGAAAAAGAAGAAAGCTTCTTCCATCACATCAAAAGCAAGTAGTCAAGGGAAAATCAGTGATTTATCATTTGCCAATGAATTCAACAAGGATTTAGAAGGTCGATATGGAAAATGGGGTAAGTTTTTTTAAATAATCATACAAACAATTATTCATTCTTTTTTTTTTTTCTATTAGGTCGATTTGTAGGCAAAGGTGCTGGTGGATCGGTACGATTGATCCGACGTAGTACAGACAACAAGACATTTGCGGTTAAACAGTTCCGGAGAAGAGGCACCAATGAAAACGAAAAGGAATATGTCAAGAAGGTTACTGCGGAATTTTGTATTGGATCTACTCTTCATCATCCCAACGTGATTGAAACTTTGGATATTATTCAGGAAGGCTCCAACTTTTACGAAATTATGGAATTTGCTCCTAATGATCTATTCAATATTGTTATGAGTGGTCAGATGTCACGGGATGAAATCGCTTGTTGTTGGAAACAAATGTTGAATGGTGTTCATTATTTACAATCCATGGGTATTGCTCACAGGTAATTAAAAAAAAAAAGAAAAAAAATTTATAATGGATAATTGACTTTTTTTTTTTTATATAGAGATTTAAAATTGGATAATATGGTATTAGATGAACGTGGTATTTTGAAATTGATCGATTTTGGATGTGCAGTGGTGATCAAATATCCTCATGAAAACAAGATTCACCGCAGCAAAGGAATTTGTGGATCTGATCCATATATTGCACCTGAACAATATACCTCTCTAGATTATGATGCCACTTTGACTGATCTTTGGTCTTGTGGGATTGTATATGTATGTATGATCATTCGACGTTTCCCTTGGCGTATTCCTCGTCCAGCTCAAGATCAATCCTATCGAAACTTTATCACGCCATCCACACAAAGCGCCGCCCGGTTATTCAAAATGTTACCTCGTGAATCTCGCTCCATTCTATCTCGTATATTAGAACCTGACTCAACAAAACGATGTACCTTACAAGATGTATTGGATGATCCTTGGGTAAAATCGATTGATACTTGTACTGCTGAAGAACCAAGTATTCATCATCAACATCATCTTTTGGTGCAACCAAGTAAAAAAATCATGGAACGTGGCAATATCATTGTTTTGGATAATCAACCTACTTCTGATGATGCTTCGACCATTGTGGCTGATAATAACAAGAAAAAGAAGTAGTTAGTTCATTCCATGTTTTTTTTTTTTATTCTATTGATTCCCTTTCACAACATCTTCATTCTACAGTTTATATATGTGTATATAGATAGATAACTTTCATTCACTTTAGCATCATGTTTTCTTTTCCTTATTTTGTAATATATTTTTTGTTCAAATAAATATGTTTGTTTTATTCAATCATAAATACTAAAACTAATTAAAAAAAAAAAAGATCTATTTCTTTGATTTCAGTCGTTGTTGTAAAAGAGTTTCAATTGTATCCAAAGAAGAATCACCAACGGCAGCTTTTCCGTTTGACCAGTCAACAACAATGGGACGATTGAGTGCAGTTGGTTCGTTCAATAACAAGTCTTGCGCATCCTGGATATTGCTTGGTGAAGTTGCTGTCTTGGCCAACAGTGGTTGCCAGCCATGAAGATAGGATGCCATTTGATGTAATTGATCCTTGGTTGGTAATGTATCGGTGCCAATGATATCTACGCGGTACACGTCTTCCCCACTTGGTCGTTGTTGCCGGCTTTGTAACAAACTCAATGCCTGCCGAGATAATGGTAGTTGTGCATTGTGGAAGATGGAAAGTATTGGTAAAGTCTTCGGTGGTCGGAAGGACATTGTTGAGAGAAAGTGAAAAAGAAAGAGGTAAAAAAAAAAAAAAAAAAAAAAAAAATGTACAAATGCTTTTTTCCGTGTACACAAAAATTCCCCGCCCGACTACTATCATTATCTAGTAATACAACTATACTATGAGCCGTTTGGGTCTATTAAAGTCATCAACTAATCATCTGACCAAAGAAAAAAAAAACATGGAAGTAAAAGATTATTAATGTGAAATATATGATTTATTATATTATACCAAAAAAAAAAAAAAAAAAAGGGAACTGAACGGGTTTACAATTGGGTTAACAGGATGGGACGGACTAGATTGAATGGATCAACTGGAGGGATACACGTTACTGAACAACTATGCTAAAGGTTGGATAAAGAAAGCAAGTGAAGTGGTGATCAAAGGTATCTCTTTGATGGTGTTCTTCTGATTTGATTGTTTTCTCTCTCTCTCTCTCTCTAGATCTAACTAATCATGATGATTCTTTTATTGATAGTTAGCAAGAGTCTTTTTAGTTAAATCATATGTAGTATTTATTTTCTTTATATTCTTCTAATAAAACCATCTTCCTGTTTTATTATTATCATTATTACTGTTATCTCCATCGTTGATATTCTCATCATTATATTAGTTACCATTATAGTTAAAACATTTTCTACATACTATAATGTGGTAGAAAGAAGTATCCCTTTTTCTTTCTTTTTTCTTTTTCCCTGTTTTCCAAAAATTAAAAATCAATAATCCTAAAAATCATCCAATGTTCTGAAACTTGTGTATGAATCAAATCCAATTCTATGCGATCTAGGTCACTACAAAGTGAAGTAAACATATATATTTTCTTTTGGAGGTTTGAGAACAGTTGCATTTTTTATTTGTACTGTATAAATTTAAATTCAATCATATAACTACAATGTAGAAAAATACAACGTGTATAATCTATCTAGATTATAAGTACCATAACAACGGAGGGACTATTCTTTGATTTGACTTGTAGTTATCCATTCTACTACTTTGTTTGCCATGTAGTTTGAATGTTTTTCCTCTAATGACCAAAAAAAGAAAAAAAAAATGAGAAAAAAATAACAAATCATATACTATAAAAGGTTATTCTTCTGCATACCAAGAATAAACGCATGAGGGATATCTTCAGCACATAGTTGGACATTGGCTAAAAATAAAAAAAAACAAATACAATGAATTTCAATTGATTATATAGATTAAAAATCATACCACTAGGGAATTTTTCAGTCATATATTCATAATGATCCAAAGGAGCCCATTCGTCATTTCGAGAATAATACATAATGAATCGATCCACATGAGTTGAATAAAAATCTTCATCTAATTCTTTAATAATTTCCATTTCTTGTTTTGCCATGTAAAGAGCATTTTGAACTACAGATCGATGTAAAAGTCCATGAGCTGTCACTTTTAAACTTTGATTTTTTTGTCCAGTGATCAAACCAGTAAGAGATTGTCGTATAGGAGAAGGAATTAAACTTGCCAACCCAGCCACACCAGAAATAAGTGATAGAGGTACATTGGATACTAATCGCTACAAAAGGTAATAAATAAAATAAATAAATAAAAAAAACAGTGATCATCCTTTTTTTTTTTTTTTTTTTGTAGTTCTTACAGTAATGTTCACACCATTTGGAGTCAGGGCAATTTCACGAAGAGTAGGGAATAATGCAATCAATCGAGTGATATTATGATGTTGACGTTTTTTTAAGACTTCAGCACATATATAAGATCCAACTGAATGACCCATCAAAATATATTGAGTATCAGACTCATTTTCTTTTCTTAATTGATCAAAACATGCTATCTTGTGATCAATTTGTTCCTGAAGACCATAGACACGATTAACTGTTGACGTATGATGACCTATAGAGTGACCCAAGTGTGATACTTTTTTTTTTTTATTTTTGAAAATATTAGTATAATATATATATATATATATATATATATAAAAGAAAGAATGACTTACCACCAATGATTTCTAAAGGAAAATGGATTGTTTGTTCATGAATAGTTTGTAAAAAGTCAGTATAATATTCTACTAAACCAGGATTTCCACATATGAAGAATAAGACAGTTTTTGAGTTGGAAGAGTTAGATAGAGAAGGTTTTACAGGCCACCATAATGTTTCAGTTGGATTATTTCCTGCATTCCAAATAGCTCTTAATGGTTTATTAAATATATGTGATTGCATCATATAAAATAAAAGAGATAAAGAAAAAAGAAAAAAAAAAAAAGGCGGAATTCGAAGATGAACGCTTGGCGGGGGACATAGGTTACAAAAAGGATAAAAATTGAAGTGATACGAGATGTTTTTCTTCCTTTTTTTTTTTTTTTCTTCTTTCTTTTCTAATTCTTTTTTTTTTCATTATCATACTTTTGATAATATGACATCTTCTATTTTATTGAAAAAACAAGAAGAACTGAATTCAAGGTAAAAACTTGTATATATTTGTTATTAATACAACTACTTAACTTTTATTTTTTTTTGTTTTTATCTTTTTATTTTTTTATTTTTGTAGAGCTGTTCGAGACTTGCTCCGGTTACCCGAAAATAAAAAATGCTTTGACTGTCCAACAAAGGTAAAAAAAAAAAAAAAAATATGAATCATATTCTTATTTATTTATATTATAGAGTCCTTTTTTTGTAAACGTTACTTTGCAAACCTTTATTTGTTCTCGTTGTTCTGGCTTAGTGTAAGTCCTTTTTTTTTTTTTATGATGAAACGTCTTTTTTTTTATGTACAACACTAATCCAATTGTATTTTATATATTAGACGTGAAGTAGGACATAGAGTGAAATCTATATCAGCAAGTAAATTCACTGGACCAGAACTTGTTGCTTTAGAACATGGTGGAAATGGTATTGCTGGCAAGATATGGCTGAGCTGTGGTTACAATACTGTGGATACTCCTGAACCCGAGTCAGATGGTGAAGTCCGTGCCTTTATGAGACAAAAGTATTATGAACGAAAATGGTTGGATCATGATTTAGCTGCTTCTCACGATCAATTTGTAAAAGATCGTATTAATGAATTGTTTGATGAAGTAAGTTGAATTTTTTTTTTTTTACGTTCTAATATGTAATTATTTTCTTATGTTTATTTTAGGAAGGTATGCCTAAACAACAACGACGACGACGAGCTACTACTATTGAAAATACCAATACTATGATTCCATCTCCACAACAACAAAGATTAAAAAATGTACCTGGTCCATTAGATATTTCTTCTGCAAATAAATATCAACAACCTAGTATTCAGACAGCACCTCTCATCATGGTAAAATGAAAAAAAAAAATCATCACCCCCTTTTTTTTCGTAACACAATGACTAAATTTGGTGATTGCTTACTGCCTTTTCTCTATTCTTTTTATTTATAGAATTCTCTTCAGCCTCAACCTAAAATGGTGTCTCCAAAACAGCCAACTGGTAACGAAAATAAACCAGATGCGTACTACCTATCTTTTTTTTTTATTGACATATGTTCTTTTTCATTTAATAGTTGCATCAACAACATCATCATCATCTGTACCTGTTTCTCCTGCTTCTAGTCTATCTTCCAACCCTATTCATCAAAAACAGCCTCCGATGAATTCCATTTTTTCGGATTTAGCAGGTTTATCTTTGTCTCCTTCAACAGCTCCAACGTTGTCGTCTCAAGTTTCTAATGTGACACCTATTACCAATCATAGAGCAAGTTATACTGGTGGTGTCCTTACTCCTAGTAGATCTCCTGCTATATTGACTCCAACATCACCTTCTAGTATAAATCATCATGATCTCGATAAGAATCACACTATTCAACCCATAGCCACAACAAGTATGCCTCGTGCTGGATCAGGTATAAAAAAAAAATTCATTCTATCTATTGATATGAATTCTCTATTCATTCTTTATATATATATAGATATCCCTTCCAATCACAAACGTACTACAAGTTTACAACATAATGATCCTTATTCAGCATTACGGGATCATCATCAACAACATCAACAAAGACAACAACAAATGATTTCGGCTATTATGTCTACTAGTAAATCATCGGCTTTCGTCAAAAATGATACCAACAAATTGAATGACAATGATCCTTATGCTGCTCTTCGTCAACTTTCTGATCAACCTGTTCAACCAGTTTATGATCCAGCTTTTACTTCTTTCACAACAATATCATCATCTCCAAAACAAGAACAACAACAACATCGTTCATCTATATCTCATCAATCACCTAGAATATCACAATCGAGTGATGGATCTTCATGGCAAGGTAATTATTGGAATATATATATGTGATGAAATACAAACTTCCTCTTTTTTTTTCATTTACAGGGAAATCCTATTCAACAGTGGATGATGATTGGGTAGAAGCAGAACCTTATCAACCGAATGTGGAAGATGAAGATGAAGATGTCATGACACAAATCTCTTCTACTACAACACATTCTACTACTTCTTCGACGAAATCAAATCCAGTGAACAATAATCTATTCAATGATTTGGATCCATTGGCCAATTATAAACGAAACAAACTCCTTAGCAACACATCAAGTTCTTGAACTCTCTTTATATATATATTTCTTTTATACCTATCTAGCACTCTTTTTTTATTTTATTTTATTTAGTATTAAATATTATTATTGATTTTTGATTATATATCTTTTTTTTTTGGATTCATTAAACCAATAAATCAATATTATACTATTGTTATTATTATTATTATTATTATTTTACTCAAATTAAGTCATCCTCTCATATTCAACATTAAATTTCGACGTTTATTAAAAAAAAAAAAAGAATAAACTACTATAATAATGCTTTCACTGCCATAATATATATATATTTTTTTTTTGTATACACAAGAATTTACATTTGTTGTCGAATTTGTTTAGTTTCCATTCACCAGAGATACATAAGAAGGACTTGCATTTTGATATTCGGTCACAAAAAATTGTTTTTGCATTTTTTGAATATATTTCAAGATATCAGCCAGATATTCAGCTAGAACAACCACAGTACTTTCATCCATACTTGTGTGTGCGATCAGATTGGGTAATTGTACTATAATATATATATATATATATTACATGTTTAGCTTATTTTTTTTTTTTTTTTTTTTTTTTTTTTTTTTTTTTTTTTTACCATAAAGTCGTAATAAATGTTCAGCACCATAGATATCGGCCATATCTTTTGATGAATTCTTTCGTCGTATATCTGAATATTGTTGTCGTTCAAATTGGTATAATAACATGGTACCCAGTGCTTTGTTGAAATACATACATAATCCTTCTATCACTTCATCCATTAATTCAGCATTCCTATCATTATCATCCTGTCAATAAATATCTATGATATTTCTTTTTTTTCTTTTACCATTCTTTTCCAGATTTCTTTTCCATTCTGTATTGTTTGTATTGTGCCAAGATTTGAGTTACAGTAGGTTCTCGAGGTAATGGTACCAACTAAAAAAAAAAAAAAAAAAAAAAAAAAGAAAAGGTTCATATACACAATAAAAAAAAAAAAGAAAGATTTACTTACTTGCTGATTTTTTGTAATATTTTCCCAATCATCCACTAATTGACATTTCAAGGCTTCAGGAAGATCTAATCGTATTTCAGGTTTATTTATGTATTCCATTTTATCTTTTTCCTAATAGATAAATATGATATTTTTTTTAGTTTTTTATATATATATCAAACTAATTCGTTATAAAGACTTACCTTTTCTAGTTCTTCCCGGGATCGCTTTCTAGATGTATCTGAAATAATTGTACTCTTTTTCGTCATGGTTGGTTTCTTTTTGGTATAAAATTCTTCCGTTCGTTGTTGTAACGCGAGATTTTCTTCGTTCCAACTTAATATCCTTGTATCGTCCACCCATTCATCCCATCTATTCAACCAAAAAAAAAAAGATTAAGATAATAGAAATAAATAGAAGTTTATTAACTTACTTTTTATTCCAACCTTTGTAATGGACATAATATAATGGACCTTTCATAGTTGGATCGTCGTGTTGTATAGTACGATCAAGAATCTATTGTATAAAACGTAAAAAGTTAATATATAGTAATAAAAACAAGACCCAACTTACTTTTGCTTCATAAATTAAAGGACCATGAAAACATAATACCTTTTCATCTTGATCATAAGTAAAAGTAGAATCTGACATAAAAAAAAAAAAAGAATGTTAAGGAGAAGGTGGGGGTTTGTTAAGAGTAAAGTTTAAAAAAAAAAAAAAAGTTTTAAGCACGCTGAATATCTTTTTTTTTTTTTCTTGGGAAGATCCAGAATGAAGGTTTTAAGAGACCGACCACATCTCTCGTTAAAAGGGACAGGGTCTCTTTTCCCAGTTTTTTTTTTTTTTTTTTTTTTTTTTTTTTTTTTTTTTAAAAAAAAAAAACAACAACTCCTGCTTGTAAAAAGTATGTCCCTGGATATTCATAATACTATATTGTATCTAATTTTAGATATGATTTCCTTTGCTTTTGCTCGGGAGATAATAAAAACAAAAAAAAAAAAAGGGAAGGGGGAGAATATGTAGTCAATGATTTTCTTTTTTTTAAAGTATGGACCCCTACTTAAAAAACTATATTCAATTCTCCAACAACCTAAAACAAATTTTGGGTTCACAAAAAAGAGTTAAAACAGTTATCTTGTATGTAAAATAATTTTACTATTTTCGGATGAAGAGGGTTTTTTTTTTTTTTTACAATATATATATATATTATTTATTGTATATTGAATATCCGCATTATTACTTGGCACCTTAAAAAAAAAAAAAAAAAACTATTTGAATAAATATCAATGATTGGCTACTTGCATATTAAACTGGAATTGTTATAATAGTTTAATGGAAAAAGGATTATGCCGAAGAAAAAAAGAATTATAATAGTAAATGTTGACAACGCAAAAAAAAAAAAAAGAAGCAAAAACTACTCATTCAGTCTCCGTTGTATCCTATGTTTTTCTTTTTTTTAAGTCAAGCAATGAGAGGGATGAAATGAATTTTTTTTTCTTTTTTTTTTTTTCCTTTTTTTTTTTTTTTTTTTTTTTCTTATATATATTTTTTTTTCTTTCTTTTCCTCTTTCTTTCCCCTTTATCTCCATCTCTTCCTTTTTTTTTTTTATACAATGGATAATACTGCACCATCACAACCACGATATGAATATGGACATCATACTAGTTTACCACCACCTACCAGTTATCATCCCCCTAACGATGCATCTGTACCTATCAACCATTATCCTTCAACTTCTGACCAAAGAGTTATTATGAAAAGTGACACAAATACAACTGAACAAGATCAACAAAGTAGAATGGATACTATACCTTCAACTATTGACCGTATTGGTTATGATGAACGTGAAATGAGGTAAACATCTCTTTTTATTTTTTTGTTGTCAGGTTTTATTTATTTATATATTATTTAGAGCATATGAATTAGTAGTATGTCAACAACCTTTACATGCAAGAATGTGTGGTTTTGGTGAAAAGGATCGAAGACCTATTGATCCTCCTCCTATTGTTCAACTGATTGTTAGACAAAGAGGTCAAGAACCTGTGGACGTGCAGTAAGTTGTATATTAGTGTTTTATCATTTGTTTATTTATTTATTTATATTATACATTCATTATAGAACTTTACAAATACCATTTTTTGTACTTCATGTCACATTATGGTCGGCGGATCGTACTGAAGAACGGAATATCATTTCGAATCCACCCAAGTGTACTCGTGTTTTGATGGGCTCATTGGTGAGTTCACCTAGTTTACTGAAGAATCCCGATGGTGAACAAGGTTTATACTTTGCTTTTCCCGATTTGAGTATTCGTACCGAAGGACGTTATACCTTACGTTTTAGTTTGATGAAATTGGTTAGGTAAAAAAAAATAAAAAAATAAAAAAAAAAATCCCCTATGCATGCTCTCCTCTTTTTTTTTTTTATTTTTTTTTATTTTTTTTTTATTTCTTTTATTTTTTTTTTATATACCAATAATTTAATCTATTTTATTTTTATATTAGTGCCGACTTTCAAACTGATGCCAAATCCAAGATCATTGCTCAAGTTTTTTCTGATGCATTCACTGTATACTCCGCGAAAAAGGTAATCAAATCAGTTTTTTTTTCCGTGACACAAATTGAACTGATTTTTTCTTTTTTTCTATTTTATCTTTTTTTATTTAGTTTCCTGGTATGACTGGTAAGTTGTTTTTTTTTTTCTTATTGTTACTTATCATTAGTATTTTATTGATTGATTATTTATTATTATTATTATTATTATCGTCTTATTTAGAATCAACGGATTTATCAAAAGCATTTGCTAAACAAGGGTTGAAGATACCTATTCGAAATGATGGTATGTATCATGATAATGTATCTTCTGTTTTTTTTTGGAAACTAACTTTTTTATTTTGTTTTATATAGTACGATCAAGAAAAACGGATCCATGACAAAATTTACCATTATCTTCGTCGTATTATTCAATATTATAGTTATATTAGTTAGTTTCAAGTTTACTTAGTTAGTTACTTAGTCAGTTGGTATTAGTTACTGATAGTTAGTTTTTTATATGTGTGTTTGTGTTGTGCCTGTGTTGATGTGTATATATTATTATGAAATAAAATGATCAAAAAAAAAACAAGAAACTGACACCTGATTGCATGATGGAAAAATTTGGAAAAAAAAAAGGAAATTTCTATTTTCGATTCAGGGCGGGCTGTGAATAGTGGGCTCATCTTTTTGAAAAGAGGGATTCATATATAAAGTCAATAGGACCCTTCCCCTCCTTCCATAACCCTTTTTTTTTTCTCTTCCCCTTTATTCGATTTCTTGTTTTAGGAAATCATGAAAAGGAACAGATATATATTTTGTTTTTAAGTACGATTGACAGAATGAAAAAAGATCAAGGTATCTTGATGAGACATCATTCTCATTATAGCTTAGGTAAGATTGTGACATCATACATAAGACACATGTTCATAATATTTATTATAGAAATTCCTCAACATCCTATTCATGCAAGAAGTTGCGGTTTTGGAAATAAAGATAGAAGATATATAGATCCAGTACCTATCTTACAACTTTATAAGATACATCATGATGGAACAAAAGAAAAATCATCATTCAGGTATGGAAATAAAATAAATATATATACATATATTAAAAAGAAAACAAACTCATCCTTTTTTTCATTTTATATAGATATGATCATTTGGTAGTTCATTGTGATTTATATGCTGATGATAAAGATGAACCAAGAAACGTGGTGTATCTTTCATCTACTCCTAGTGGCGGTGGAGCTCGTCATAAATCCATTTCTAATAATTCAACTATACTATCATTACCAAGTCAACAAGTGATGAAATGTTTGGTTGGTACATCTATTTCTAATGCCTATGAATTAATGACTCCTTCTGGTGAAAAAGGTGTATTTTTTATATTTGATGATCTTTCTATTCGAATTGAAGGTCAATATCGATTAAAATTTCAATTAATAGATGTCTCTTTAACGTGAGTAAAAAAAAAAAAAAAAAAAGGAAATAATAATATAATCTTATATATATATATATATCAAACTAGATTTCCTATGATGATATTAGATACTATTTATTCAAAACCATTTAAAGTATATTCACCAAAACAGTTTCCTGGTGTTTGTGGTAAAATGATGATTATATATATATTTTAGATTGATGTCTAATATTTTTTTTTTATTTTATTTTATAGAAACTACTGAATTATCACGTTGTTTTGCCAGTCAGGGACAAAAAATAGCCATTCGAAACAGTAAGGAGAAAGAAAAGGGAGAAAAAAGGCTAAGATATAATACACGTATTGATATCTCTTCTGTAATTCATCCTCCATCTTCCCCTTGAATATATACATACATACATTTTCCCCTCTTTTAAGGGGTGCATCATCATTATCATCATTTGAAATAAAATAAAGAGTCAACTAACTGCATTTATTGTCACACAAACGCGACTACTTTTGGCTTCATTTTGGAAGTCCTCCTTCTCCTATTTTTCTTTTTTTCCAATTTCTTTCTCTTTCTTTCTTTTGTCTTTTTTTTTTTTTTTTCTTTTTCTTTTCATACCATTTTGTTTGATTCAGTCTATCCTTTAAACAACCCTTAACACTCTCTTTTGTTATAAAAACACGACCTTTTATTTTTTTTATTATAAACTTTCTCTTCTTTTTTATACAATGTCATCTACTTTTAATGACAACTTTACTTCAACACAGCAACAACAACAGCTCTTGGATGAACATACAATAAACGACACTTCTTGTCCTGTTTCTACTTCAGAACCAACAAAGTCCATTACTTTAGCTGAACGACGACGTATTCCTGAATCTACTGAAAAGTTTAAACTTTATCAACAATCATCATCTTCAACTGACCAACCATTTGACCATATTATTCTGTTATCACCAACAAAGGTAAGTCATTCTCTCCTCTTATATATTGTTGCCTCTTTTCTTTCTTCGCCCCCTTTTTTTTTTCTTTTCTTTTTTTTTTTTTTACTTTCTTTTATCCCAGTTTACTACGCACGCACGATATCACTCTTAAACTCCTATCCCCACTTTCTCCTTTTCTTAGTACCCCTTCCCCTTTTTATATTCCTATAAACAAGAAATTAACGTTGTTCTCTTTATTAGATATCAGAAGATGCCTTGTTATCTCATTTGGAACGACAACAAAAGGCTATTCAACAGTTAGATTCATCTGTATCTGAAACCATTTCTTTATCATCTACACCTGTCATACAAATTCATCATGAACAACAACAACAACAGGATGAGCATCATATGGCATTTTGGAAATTATTGATTCAAGATTATATTACCACCGCTCAAAGATATCCATCCTTATTATTAACTTTACTATGTGAAAACAATGGAATTCCTCATTCTATTCGTGGGGCTGTTTGGCAAGCTATGGCTACATCCAATTCTTCGCATTTGATGACCGTATATGAAGATTTGGCTCAACATTCTCTATCTTCTTCCTCTTCTTCCTCTCCTTTCATGTCATTAATTGAACATGATGTTGATACCCTTTATGGTCACAAATACCCTCAACATATATTGGATATCATGAAAAAGATTCTCAAGGTTTACACTCTATATGATCCTCAACTTGATTATTCCACTGCCTGTTTGTCTTTGTTGTTCCCTCTACTTAGATACGTTTCGGAATCTCAAGCTTTTTGTCTATTTGTCAGGTAACGTTTCACATAAATTTCCAGTCTTTTTTTTTTTTTTATTAATCATTCCTTTTTAGATTGATGGGATTATATGACATGCGATCGATGTTTGTCCAGAAAAAGGTGAACGCTATTTCAGTTAAATCTCGGTTATTTGAACTACTATTAGGTCAATTCTATCCTCAACTCGCATCACATCTAGATCAACACTTGGTTCAATCTATACATTACGCTGGTCCTTGGTATACAAATATCTTATCGAATGTTCTTCCTGACGAAGCTTTTGATCGAATGTATGACCTTGTCTTTGCTTTGGGTGCTATGGAAACAATCACACGTGCTGGTATGACATTGATGCAACAAGCTCAATCACAACTTTTGGCTATGGATGATTCGAAATCACTGTTACTTTCGGTATGCACTTCAAAATTATTCGATATTGGATATCATGGTGATGTGAATGCTTTCATTTTGGATACAATGGCTTGTGGAACGACTGTGAGTCAACATAAATTGGTGACAATGATGGATACCCTGACTTCACAAATGGAAATGGAAAATGAAATCACCAAGAAAAGGGAACAAGCTTCAATCATTTCTGTTACTCAATCTGATTTGGAAAATAAGAAAAAGGAAAAACGTGAATCCTGGTTCTCTTCATGGCCTTCCATCAGTAATCGTCAACAGGAACAACAAGATCAACAAGAACAAAAACAAGAACCATTACCAGTCACTCCTGTCAGTCCATCCTCTACTTCATTCTCTCAACAAAACGATCGTACCGTACCACTGTTACACCAACAAATCGAAGATCTGGTCACAGCCCTGTCACAACTACAAAAAGATCATACTCAGCAATCAGAGGAATTGATGACCATCAAGTTACGCGATATGGAATCTCAAGTAGAGCGATCCAAACTTCAAAAACGGAATTCAACATTGGAGAAAAAAGTCAAAAAATATAAGACAAAACTCACTCAACAGCAACAACAACTCAGCATGAACGAGCATAGCAGCGTATTGAACCAGCAAGATGAACAGTATCGATCATTTGTACAATCTTTACGTCTTAGTGGTAACTTTGGTGCTTTGGTGGCTGGTGCCTTAGATAATGAGTCTACCAAAACAACTCGTCCATCTCCACAACAACAGAAACGCCAATCGATACACTCACAGACACAAACAGAAAATCAAGAAATCATCCCATCAAAGGAAGAAGTTAGAACCAACAATGACACTTCAACCGATGCCATGCATGCAGTGACCTCTGAATTAGTTGCAGTGAAACTTGCCAACTTTGAGATGGGCCAAAAATATGAACGACTCTGTCACAAGTACAATGACATGGATCAAAGTTTGACCCAAGCAAAACAACAAATCAAAGTACAAACGGAACAACTGGAACAAATGACACAACAATTGGAACAAAGTACTCGCGAGAGAGATGAATTTTTGGAAGAACAAGCTACGTTATGGTCCGAGGAACAAGAAACTCTTTTACAAGAAAATGAAGACTGGATGGACAAGGTGATGGCTGCCAGAAAGACGGCTAGTGAATTACATATGGATAAACTAGCATTATTGAAAAAGGTGGAACGACTAGAACAACGTGTAGAACAACTGGAAACGGAAAAGCGGGAATATTTGATGCCGAGAAACAGTTTTGCTGAAGATGTTTTTGCGACACATAACCTCTTCTTTGGAGAAAAACAAAAGCAAGATGAAACGGTATTATCACAAGAACAACAACAAGCTTTAGATGAATTTAGATTGAAATATGTTGAAACGGATCTACGATGCCGGGAATTGGAGAAACTGTTAGCGGAAGCCAAGGTCAAGATTGCCGAATACGAAACAAGTAGTGGTCGGTCCTCCATAGCGTCATCCTTTTGCTGTTCACCTCGGGCGTCTCTTCAACAACGTGCTTCCTCTTTACAAATGAAACGGGCTTCGACTGCTTCCTTTTTAACCACGACCTCATCTATCTTTGCTGGTGGATACCAACCAACAACACAATCAGGTACAACATCTCGTGTAGCCACACCAACATCACCTACCACAAATGCAACGTCACCTAGTACTTCTCGTCTTTCCAATGAAAGTTGTGCGTCATCAGCGACATCATCATCAGTACCATCCTTGGGAAGTCATAGCAAACGTGCCAGTATGTATGCTCGGATTTGTTCTTCTTTTTCTACCACGCCAAATACTAATATGATCAAGTCCCCGATCCTATATGAAGAACCTCAATCCAGTATTTAGATCTTTATCCCTTTTTTTTTTTTTTTTTTTAGTTTAGTATTGATCCATTTAGATTCATTTTTTTTATATGTTTATATTTTTATTTTGTTTTTTATTGATTGATCGTATTGTTTTTTATTTCCCCTTGTTTTGATGATGATAACATTCTAATAAAACATTGGTTACTTAAATACATCTAAAAATAGGAATGATCTTTTTTTTTTTTTAAGAGGGAGGACAAGGGAATCATATGCTTCACAATGATTAATGCAACTTGGATGTCATCTAGTTTCCCCGCAAAAATCAGATAGGGACAAACGATTTTTTAGGTTCTGCTTGTGATGATGAACAATGCAAATTACTTTTATTAGTTCTTTATGCTTCAAACTCCACAAACATCATGAACCTTTCTCTTTTTTTTTTTTTTTCTTTTCATTTTTGATTTCATCTATTCAATCAATATACATCTATATGTATTCTTTTCTTTTTTTTCTTTTTTTTTTTTGTAATGATTTCGTTGAAATGGGGAAAAATAATAATCTTTAGTTGAACTTTCAAAATTCTTTATGAACGGGACTTTGATTAGAATTTCACGTGGGATACGTCAGGTTCATTTTTCATCTTCATCCTCCACGCTCGTGTAACTTTTACATCATCGGTTCTGTGTTCTCCACATATCGGCATTTGAATCCGGGAAAAATGGCCTTTATAAAAAGAAATCATTTTGCAGCTTCTTTCTTTTTTTTTTTCTTCTTTTTTTTTACACACCTTTATATTTAAACAAGATGACCGTACTTGAATCCAACAATCGTCATGCTGCTACCAATCGTAAAAATTTGGAACAAATCAAGACCTTGACTGCCGATTTATCAGGTTGGGAATTCTCTCAAGAAAAGGATGGTGTCAAGTTATATAGTAAAGCAGTAGAAGGATCCTCTATTCCTTTGGTCCGTGGTGATTATTTATTAAAGACAACCGAATATACTGCTGAACAAGTGGCTGTAGTGGCTACACTTCCTGGTGCTAGATCCATCTGTAAGTTTTTTTTTCTTTTTTTTTTTTTTTTGAAAACTTACCTTTTTTTTTTTTTCTAGGGGATGAAAAATTTCATTCATCTGAAGTCAAAGAAATGTTTACACAATGGGAATCCTTCTTTTGGGTACGTCTGAATACACCTTGGCCGATCAGCAACCGTGATTTCGTAGGATGTAACTTGAGAGATATGTCACGCGATCTCTGTTATATTTCCATGGCATCAGTACAAGATGATACGGTGGGAGCAGTGTCAGGTTGTGTGCGAGGCAACTTGATTTGTTCTGGTTGGAAATTACAAAAGGTGGATGAAGGTATCCAAATCACCTATGTGACTCAAGTGGACTTGGCTGGCTCCATCCCTTCGTCTTTCTTACGCAATGTCCAACTTCAAGTCCCTCTTTGTGCTGGTAAAGTCGCCGATTATATTTCAAACTATGGTTTTCCTCCTGTCACTGGTGAACTCTCTTGTACCTTTGTCAAGGAATCCTTTGATCATGCTAAACGTGAACATACCGTACAACTGGATGGTCAAGGCGATGCCACTTGGACTTTCTCCTCAAAGATGTATCCTAATGGTGTCAAGGTCAATACTTCCTCTGGTCAAGTCAATATCTCTGGTACTACTATTCAACTCTCTGCTATTAATGGTCCCACCACCGTCACCATTTCCAAGGCCTAAGTTAGTTACCCTCCTCATCTTTTTTTTTATTTCTAAAATCGTCTTTTGTATAGTTCTTTCCTGCCCCCTTTTTTTTCTTGTTTTAAATAAATTTATCATTGATTTTTCTATAATTGAAAATAGATATGTATTCTTTCTCTTTTCTATGTCATGATGATTGATCGGAATAGGATGAACGGATGGTTGGATAATAGTTCAATGACGATGATGTTTTCAATGAAGAATGGATCAATGAAGGCATATCATCACTCATGTCCAAGTCATCCTAAATAGACCAAACTCATCCAGGTCATTTTTCTCTTCTTTTTTTTTTTATATCTTTAGTCCCTCCGGTGAAATAATCGGCATTACGCCCAGAAATAAATTTCGACAAAATTATCTGGTGTACATTGATGGATGAACTACTCTTATTGGCTTTCTCTCTATTAGGTGAATTTTTCTCTTTTCATTATTAAAAACTGTGTTGGTCACGATGACCTTTTTTTATATGTCTTTTTACTGAATTGAATAAAATGTATTTACTTCATGCGTCTATAATAAATTCGATGTCCGGTTTCTAGAAAGAAGTCGAGAACAAAGAAAAAAAAAAGGGGGGGTTGGTGCTGACGTTTTCTTCTTTCTTTCTTTATCTTTTTCTTTTTTTTTTTCTTTACTTCTTTCTTTTGACCAATGACTCTTTGGACATTGTAAGTTACAACTATACATAACTATTAATTTACTTTATATACTTAAAGTCGCTCTTTACATAACTACACATACTTCTATACTTACTCTATACTTATCCTTTCTTACTTTTCTTGTTTTCTTCTTTTAGTCCCTCATACTATGAACTAAACTATTTTATAGTTTTTTTTTTTTCTCTTTTACTCTTTCTGTGAAATTACAGTAGATGGATAATACGACAGGATATACAATAAGAGCAACTGGATATACAGCAAGTTCTCTATTGGACAAAGAATGGCAAGTCAGGAAAAAGTATCTCTCTTATTCTTCTTCTCTTTTATCCGATTCTTTCTCAAAACTGCAGGTGTCCAAGGAATCTAACCAACGTAAGTGTTGTCTTCTCTTTTTTTTTGATTTATTTATCACCGATATACGTATATTTTGATAAATCAGTCCTCATGCTAGTATTGGCCCTGGATTACAACTCAATGCTGTCTTTTTTAGAAGCATCCGTTGGGAAGTAGGTGATCAAGAATTTGCTATCTTCTGGGAAACCACTGGCTTACCAAGTTAGAAAATATCGACGTCCAATGCTAAACTATCGGAAACATGCATCCCTCAAGATGATCATCGTCAACGCAACTTTATGGTTTGGCTCTTGGGCTTCATTCATGCAGACGGACACGTGACATCCCGATGGAAGAATACCTACACAGATCCACAACTGCAAATGGACTACATCATACTCGCTGCTCGTGATCGTGGCATTCTGATATGGATCAAAAAGATGCTTGGTATTTTCGGTGAACATTCAGCAACCATTCTCCATAGTGAAGAACCTGATATTTTACACAATGAAGATAAGTGGACAGATGAATGAAAGCCACTTCAAGATTGGGATCACTGCCTTGCAAGAAGAAGTAACACAGTTTGAAAAGATCTGGCTACCGCATTAATGTATCCAACGAGAAAGATTACAAGAAAGTGTTATCCGCCCGGCCCTTTGGCATGCGTTAGCCCTTCAATGAACCTCTCGATATATTTTCTGGAAATTCCCTTTATCCAGTTATCGCTCAGTAAGTCCTTTGATATCAAAAAAAAAAAAAAAAAGATAAATGGATACGCTTTTCTCATACTTTTTCTTTTCTTTTTTTGGTCATCTATAGAAACTTTTATTACCTCAAGTCAATGAAATTTTATTCACATTTGGAATGGAAACTTTCATCCTGGCCTTCAACCTGGGGTGCTCTAGTTCTGCGTTCATGGACTGCAAGCCGTCGAATTAGGTTTGGACTCAACATTGCCTCAAGTTCTCGCGAGATCCTACTTGGTCAGAATGTTGATAACAAAGCCAAACTTCAAGGATAAGCTATATGCGCAGGTAAGCAAATGGTCATGGAATAAATAAGAGGAAGTTCATCGAAGAGACAAAATAACAGTACCGGAAAATGCTATCATCTCACTTTTTTTTTTTTTTTTTTTTTTTTTTTTTTTTTTTTTTTTGGCAGGAACTATCTACCAACAAGAAAAAAACTGGAAATCCGTTTATTTGAACACAATACCCTATATTTTTGCAACCACAAATTGATACAGGACAAATTCACGATCCATTATGGACCCGACTTTGGCACTCAAGTAAGTTATTCTACTTTGATCAAGCGTGCAATAAAAAGTTGATGTTTAATACGGATGTTTATTATTTTATTTAGATATTTATCGGCTTGTCCATAGCGATTATAATGACAATTCAGAAAAATTATCTCTTTGACGGTTTGGGTGGCTTCTCTTTCTCTCTTATCCAACTCTTTATCACGGAAATTATTTTATTCACTAGTTTAGTCTTCTAGCTAGTGTTTATATTTTATGAAAAGAAAAAGTAGTAATACTATATTTCAATTCTCATTTAAATAAAATCATCTTTTTTTTTATTTGTTGTTACATTATCGTCCAGTATTGTCCTATCATCACATACTACTGATTCATCCGTTTGTCATCTATCACTTAAAATCATCATCATAAAAAGGAGTAGTAAGAAAGAAGAGTATGATTGTCATGTTAGATTTTATGAACAATGAAAAAAAATATGGTATAAATGAAAATTCATACACACACACATATCAGTATCTTGTTCCTGCTATTTCCCTTTATACATTACATCCATCATTTTAAGTGTCTGACAAACTAGATGGTTCCCTTATTATTAACCATTGTCATCATATGACAGTAGCAATATTGTATATTGTCGATCGTTTCATCAATCATCAGGATGAACTGATCATGAAGTTATCTTCATAGCTTTGTCATCATAGATATATCTTTGTAAAATTTCATTGTCTTATCATCATCCACAACAGCAGCAGCATTGACTTATCACTGAACCGCCATGGAACATTAACGTCAACATCAATATATATATATATATATATATATATATATATCATCGCATCGCAACACTTATAATTATAAAATAAATCAACAAAAAAAAAAAAAGAGGTGGACAAGTATATTGAAAACAAGAGTTTATTGAGCTTTTACAAAATCAATAAAATAAAATGGACACTATATATCTGTTCTACTATTTTCTAAACTAAAAGGAAAAGAACAGTGACAGTTCGTTCAGTGTTACCCTGGAGTCACCATGAGAAGGTATAATTGTATTGACCCACAATATTTTTTTTTATCCTAGCCTTTCTATTCCTTGCCAATCATGCAACCTGACATCACCAAACATAGAGAACTAAAGAATGAAGGAAATGAAAGAATGAGTAGGTTATACACGATATAAAATAAATAAAATACTTACATAGTTCTTGCTTTTTTCACTTGTGGTAATCCAACTACAAAAGAAAAGTAAAAAAAAAAAAAAAAAAAAAAAAAAAAAAAAAAAAAAAAAAAAAAAAAAAGGTAACACATAAAAGTAGCCTATCACATCCATTATTTTTTTGTCTGACTTTTACTTGTTCCTTGTATATGTCTCTTTTATCCCCATCAATTAACCATAAAACATTGAAAAGACAAAGAAATGCTAAAATAAGTACTTCATATGGCACCGATCATACCTATTATAAGAAGAGAAAGAATGGTTTGTATCGAAAACTGATGATTTATGATAAATTTCATTAATAATATTACCTTTGCTTAGGATCCACCACCACCACCATCATCCTTCATACACAGACTGTTCTTGTTTTGCCAGCCAAAAAGAAGCCTTCTATCGTATCACCATTTCTCGACAACTCTTCTTAACCCAGTATTCTAATAAAAAAATAACAATGGTTTCAGTAACTATTCATTCTTTGTTATCATAGTTATTATTTATACGATATAAGCTTACGACGATAGATATCATTGGGAGACACATAGAATTCTCTTTTTTAACGTCTATATAATATAAACAGAACTAGATTAGTTTGGTAAAGAAGACATCTTCTTTTTTTATTACTCACTAAAATGTAAACAAATGAAAATAAAAAAAAAATAAAAAAAGAAAGAAAGAAAGAAAGCGTGAGTATATAATAAATTGATGTATTCATTTAATTACTTACCGAACAACAAGGTTCTCCAACAAGAGAAGATGGTGAATGAGGTGGTTACTAAAGGAAAGTTATAATACAGGAACGATCTAAATAATTGAAGAGTAATATGTGCTAGTAAAAACTTTGTTTAAAAAGTTGGAAAAAAAAAAAGAAAGAAAAGAGAATGAAAAAAAAAAGTAAAATCCTTTTTTTCTCTTAAGACCTTAATTTCTACGTGTTTCAAACTCCACATGTCACACTCTATCTAATCCTTTTTCTTATTAGTAGTAGCAGAAGTACTAGTATTACATATACCCATTGTTTTTTTTTACAAAGAGAAAAAAAAAATATATTGATACACAATGTTATGATGAGAAAAGAACGTTGATATTTTTTATGCAGTAGGACATCACTAAATTGATTTACCACATTCTAATATGTCAGGTTTGACTGATCTAGAAAACATAAGGGACATTTTAAAAATAATTCAGGGACAATAAAAAAGTAAATGGATGATGATGATGATGATGATTGATTGATAACTCTAATATAATGATAATGAATCCTAAACTCTTTATCATCATATAAAAGTTATCGCATGATGCTGATTTTTAAACAAATAGCCTATTTTGGTTTAATTCATTACAATGCATATATATGTAATATGAATGTTAGTCCTAACGATCATTATACTTTGAATAAAATCATCTTTATTTTATATCATTCCATCTCCATTGTAGTTGTTTGTGTTGTTTGTTAATCTTAGTAGTTACATACATATATTAGTTAATTTATATTCTTTTTCTTTTAATAAAGTACAAATCATTATTGTTATTATTTATTACAGTATTGATTTATATCATAATACAACTCATATCATCATATTATCATATTTTATGAATTTGATAAAAAAGAGAGAAAAGGTAACTTGTCATCAAAAGTATAATATTATAAGAGAAGTGATACTATTGTAGTTAATTTTCATCTTGTTATGAATTATAAAATCATCATTTCATATTATTCATATTATTATTATCATTTATTAATAGTTTCAATACAAATCATCATCATCACCTTATTATTAACAAATCATCATCATCTTGTACTGTTATTATTTTTTTCTACTTTTAATGCAAATCATAAGTGTTTCCATAAATGGTATATATTGAAAGTCCGGTCTCAATGTGGGGTGTGTTGGATCAAAACAAAAAAAGTTCAGGAGGTCGAGATCAAAAAAAATCTGGAGATTGAAAAAAAAAAAAAAATTGTTGGAGACAATTGGAAAAGTTGGACCAAGCTCTGACAAAAAAAAAAAAAGTTGGCGCACTCTCTACTTTTTTTTTTTTTTTTTCCTTTTACTTTTTTTTTTTTTTTTTTTTTTTACTTTTCCTTTTACTTTTTTTTTTTTTTTTACTTCTCTTTTTTTAACCACTGGCACTTTGAACATTGTTAAGTTACCATTATACATTACTTTACTAATCTATATTATATACTTAAAAGTCACTCTTTACATATTATACTCACTCTATACTTTACTATATACTGACTCTATACTTATTCTTTCTTCTTCTTCCTTAGTCTTTCGTATTATGAACTAATCTATTTTTTTTTTTTTTTTTTTTTACTCTTTCTGTGAACATATAGTAGATAGATATATGAAGAAATATATAATAGGATTAACTGAATGTATAACAATGTTTTCTATTGGACAGAAGAGTAGCAAGTAAGAGAAAAGTAACCAACTCTTTATCATTGGTTTATTTAATAGTCTAGTCTTTTAGTTATAGTGCTTTACTTTATATTATCTTTTAAATAAAATCATATTTTTATTATTGTTTGTTTATTATATTGTCATTTCACATATTATTTATCTACTTGTCCTCGATCATCATCATTATCAAAAGGAGTAATAAGAAAGAATGATACGATTATCATTGTATTTTCACTAAAAAAATAAAACAAAATCCATATATACATCAGTATCTGCTATTTCTCTTCATACATTACATCCATCATTTTTAAGAATAGATATTCTCTTATTATCAATCATCATCGCCACCCATGACAATAGAAAGTTGTACCTGTATACTGTTGATTGTTCGTCTTCTCTGTTAACGAGAATAACGATTCTGTTGATGATACTTTAGAATAGATCATGTACTTTATTACATAATACACTGAAAGATACATTTTTATCAAATCATCACAACAATAGATAGTAGCAATAGGTACATACACAAAACATCATAGCAGGATAATTTAAATAATCAAACATTTTTATTTAAATAAAAGGGTATTTTTTTTACAAGAGAAAAAAAAAGAGTAACTAAATAGTAACACTATAAACAATATATACAATACTAGTGATGATGATGACAATGATAATAATAATAATACTAATAGAAACAGAGAACAAGTAGAAAACAGAATGAGACCATCAAACATGGGTGAGACCAACCAAATAGGAACAAACCAAAAAAAAAAAAGACCAACCACGTAGAAAAGAGATCTCAAAGAAAACACCATGACAATGAGAGACAGATGAAGGAAAGGGAAAGAATGAGAGACCAACCAAGTAAAAAAAGAGACGAAGAGACCACACGAACATGAGAGAGAACAGCAAGAGAGAGAGAGAGACACCATACCATTAGAAAAAATAACCAACCAAGTAGGAAGGAAAAAAAAAAGACCTTCAAAAGTACCTGTACACACAAGTTGACTTGTATCTCACAGTCCAACAGTAAAAAGGATAAAAAAAATAAAACGATTAGTTTCTTAATCTATGTCTTACCTCTATACTTGTCATTCCATCCAGTTCCAAACCATTAGAAGAGCCATAACCAGCTAAAACTAGAGAAAATAAAAAAAAAAAAAAAGGAAAGAAAGGTGAGAAAAATGAAAACTCAGTGAGATAGATAAAGTAAGAAAGGAAAAAACTCAGTTAGATAGATAAAATAAGAAATGAATTTATGAGTTGGCTGAATTAAAGTATCTCTCAAAGCAATCACGTATCTTTTCTTTTCTTTTCTTTTCAATAATAAAATGAAAGAAGGAATATATTAGTATCATTACTTTTTCTATCTATTATTCTTTTTAGACTTATCATTTTGCACCATTGACCGCTTTGTTTGACTAAAGGTTAATATAAAGTAACGATGATCATTCGAGATTTGATTGCATAAAAGATAATCATTGTATCTACAGATAAAGTCAACCAAAAAAACAATGCTCCATCACTGTTATTCTTTTATATATATATCCATTGTTACCTTGTGTATATCATCTGACAGCAATACCGCATCAATCCCCATACAATAAAAGGAAGCATCTAAAAAAAAAAAAAAAAAAAAAAAAAAAGAGAGAGAGAAAGAAGCAAGTGATTGTATGTAATATTGATTGATCATCTTTTTCTTTCCTGACAACTTACTGATTTGATTGTATAGGCGACAATCATGATACCTACAAAAAAAAAAAAACCAAATGAGTAGCAATCTATTACTCTTTTTTTTTTATATATACATGTTACCCTGTCAACAACAATGAATGTTTTGTATCATATTGCAATTGAATGTCATCATCATCATGAGTTCGGAGAGAAAGAAGGGTTGCCACTAGCAGTATATCTGACATTTTAAGACCATCAAGGTAGGTAGCTTGTTCCGGTTTTAATAGATACGCTCCACTGACCAATTATGATATTATCCCCTAATTCTTTCCAAACCATACCGCAAATGGCAGGACTTCCAAGGACTCCAGCATGAAACAACACGACCTACAGGCGATATACTGTATTCCCTGCATGTTGCCTTCTAGTCTCCACCTACTTGAGCACTAGATCCAGCCTCTAGATTCATAAATGATCCTAGACACCAGTCATCCTCGACCAAGTCCAATGCCTGTTAGATAAACAAAGATCATCCCGCCATGATCTTTGAATATCACCAAAAGCTAAGTATAAAGTGATGATGACCATTCGACATTTGATTGTATAGACGACAATCATGACACCTACAAATTTAAAAAAAAAACAAATGAGTAGCAATCTATTATTCTTTTTTTTTTATTTAATACATGTTACCTTGTCAACACCAGTGGATGTCTTGTATCATATCACAATTGAATGTCATCATCATCATGAGTTCGAAGAGAAAGAAGGGTTGCCACTAGCAGTATATCTGACATTTTAAGACCATCAAAGTAGGTAGCTTGTTCCGGTTTTAATAGATACGCTCCACTGACCAGTTATGATATTATCCCCTAATTCTTTCCAAACCATACCGCAAATGGCAGGACTTCCAAGGACTCCAGCATGAAACAACACGACCTACAGGCGATATACTGTATTCCCTGCATGTTGCCTTCTAGCCTCCACCTACTTGAGCACCAGATCCAGCCTCTAGATTCATAAATGATCCTAGACACCAGTCATCCTCGACCAAGTCCAATGCCTGTTAGATAAACAAAGATCATCCCGCCATGATCTTTGAATACCACCAAAAGCTAAGTATAAAGTGATGATGACCATTCGACATTTGATTGTATAGACGACAATCATGGTACCTACAAATTAAAAAAAAACAAATGAGTAGCAATCTGGTACTCTTTTTTTTTATATACATGTTACCTTGTCAATAACTAGTGGATGTTTTGCATCATCTTGATTGTATAGGCAACAATTGTGGCATCTACAAATAGAATCAGTAAAACGAGTACTAGTTCATCACCGTCATTCTCTCTTTTTTTAATGTATGGATTACCTTAGTTACATGATTCACCAGTGTTGATGCATCAATCATAATATTCAAACCAAATGAAGAACCAAGGACGCTTTTCAAATAGTATAGGCGGAACCGAAGCTATTGATTTTTGTTGAAAGGAATGGAGAGTACCACAAGACGAAGGGATAATAGTCCAAGGTCATGGGAGAAACAATAAGTGGAAGACATCATACCAAGTGGGAGGGACAAAAAAAAAAGAAAGACAAGGACCAACCATGCAAGAAAGAGATTTCGAAGGAAACACCATGACAATGAGAGACAGACGAGAGAAAGGGAAAAAAAGAGAGAGAGAGACCAACCAAGTAAAAAAGAGAAGAAAAGACCACACAATCTCGAGAGATAACAACAAGAGAGTGAGAGACACACCATACCAGTAGAGAAATGATCTTGAAGAAACCAACATCATAGAAGAGAATGACCAATCAAGTAGGAAGAAAAAAAAAAAAAGAACTTCAAACGTACCTGTAACACAAGTTGACTTGCATTTGGTGCTCCGTCCAGAGTCTAACGGTAAAAAATGACAGAAAAAAAAATAAAACGATTAGTTCCTTAATCTATGTCTTACCTTCATAATTGTCATTCCAACCAGTTCCAAACCATTAGAACAGCCATAACCAGCTAAAGCTAGAGAAAATAAAAATAAAAAAAAAGAAGGAAAGAAAGACTAAAATAAAACAAGAAAGGAAAAAGAAAGAAAAGATACGTGATTGCTTTGAAAGATACCTCAATTCAGCCAACTCATAAACTCATTTCAATAAAAAATATTTAACATCTATTATTTTTTTTAGACTTATCTTTTTACAACCATTGTCTTGTTTTGTATCATCGTTTCGTTTGATCAAAACCGAGAAGAAAAGAGATCTTGACAATTGGAAAAACCAGAAGAGTCATGAATTAACATAAAACAAGTAAGTAATTATATTTTATACAGTCTTTTTATTATTATTTTATTTTATTTATTTTTTTAAATTGACAATAATAGAATAAGACTCCATTACTGTCATTGTATTTTATATGTTACCTGTCATTATTCCAATATGGAGACGCGAACGAAGTGCGGAGAGTGAATAAAAAAGTGTGGAGAAATGGAAAGAGAAAGAAAGAAAAGAAAAATGTGGGGAAACGAAATAAATAATAAAAAAAAAGAAAGCAAAAGTCCGAATAGATAGAAGTGACGTACCAAAAGTAGCAAACTAAAGAGAAAGAATATATTGTAATGTGATAATGAATGTACAATTAAAAAAGTAGATTAGTTTTTTGACATTGAAAGGAAAATGTCAAAAACTAACCTACTTTTCCTTTCACTGTTAATAATACATTTAGATCGAGTCGAATACAATATATGGCAAAAAAGGGAAAAAAAAAACGACAAAATATATGAAAAAGAGAATTAATATGATTCCATGTTGTTTCTTGTTTTTCATATTATTGTTAGAAAGTCTTTAAGCTCTGATTCTCGTTGCTTGAATTCAGCTGTCATTTAATTTATTTAAGGAACCAGGTACAGAAATGAATTGATGACTGTTCGAGAGCTAATAATCAATAATATTAGATAAAATAATAATAATAAGCAGTGATAATGATTATGATTTTATTAAAGAAAAAGAATGTAAATGCATATAATTGATATACTAAGTACCATTCCAAACTACAAGTAAAAAGAATCACTATCGATTCATAAGCCAGAATAAAAAAAAAAAGATAAAGAAGATACTTCCAATCGATTGTATAATCCAATCCAGTTGAATCCTATAATATATCCTGTTCATCCATGTTGTCCACATCTTATGACAATAGCACGTATCCGTTTCGTTTCATTCTGTGATCCTATTGTATACATGTATCTATCTATTCCGCTGATTCAGATGTATAGCCATTTCGCGTAATATCCTATTGATACTATATTTAAATGATCAAGTCTTCGTGTATCTAGATTTCTTTCTTTCTTTCAGACATATATTCAGTGATGATGATTGTCAAGGATACCAAGTATAACGTATGAGAAGAGGAAAGAATAGTAGTTCTAGATGAATGGATGTTGTAGTAAAAAATATCAAGGTCAGAAGAACGTATATATATATATAAAAGAAAGAAAGGAGGTTACAAAGTAAAAAAAAAAAGAGGAAAAGCATTTGTTTTTGAAACTTACCTTCAATAAGAGTAAACATTTGTAAATACGACATAGATAAAATGAGTAGGATATAGTAACAAAGTTGGAATGTATAAAAAAAAAAAAAGAAAGAAAGAAAGAAAAAAGAAAAAGATTTATTTTATATTTCTACCTGATCGGAGCCAGTTTAAAAAATCCTGCAAATCAAATCTACCAATCATAAGGAATCACATAAGTTTAAGTTTCTTTTTTTTTGAATTGATTTTTTTTATTATTGATTATAGTAATATCATAATGATGATGATGATGATGATATATTAGAATAAACACTTTCAAGTGAATGATTTTATCACTTATTTCATATTCCTTGTATTCATTGAACTTTGAATAATCATGATAGTAAAGAAAGATTACAAAAGAAAAAGGAATATCAAGCATATAGATTAAATCAATTTAAACAACTTTTTATTAAACTAATGGAGCATCAATTACATTCATTTAGAATAATAAATCAGTTTAAGTATGATAAATTGATTATCTGATAATAGCAAAATAATAAAGTAATGAAGATAAATTATGAAAAGCGGTAGTTGAACATCCAAAAAAGGAAAGGCTCAATTCATAAGGTTATATAAAATAGACCTCACATTTTTTTATTTTCTCACACTTTCTTCTTCTTTTTCTTCCTTATCACTACTTTTATAAACTTCTTCTTTTTTTTATTTTGTATAAAAAGTGAGTAAAGATATAATAAAAGGAACTTTATATATTTGTTAACTAAACTCTCTCTCTCTCTCTTTTTTTTTTTATCTTGCTGCAGAAATACCATCTCTTCACTCTTCTTTACAAACTGAATCCTCGATATATAGTCAACAGATCATGAAACTATAACAATGGGACTATAACTTTCAAAGGTACTGCTATAAATCTAAAAGAAAAAAATAGTAAAATATTAAGTGATATAGGTATGGCTGCGATTCTCATTCTTTCCTTTTTTTTTTTCTCAGTAGTGTTCCAGTATCATGCCAATGGAAAGGCTATTGAACATATCTATCAATTATGGTTATCAAGCACAAGCAGAATACAATCAAGGATATTATATTTGAAGGTAAGACGTAAAATATGATAATGCAGGATCTGTCAATCAAGGTATCTCATTTTTTTTTTGTTGATGGGTAGTGTCTCAAATACAAGTTTAGCTGTTTATATGTTACTCTATTCTCTATAAAGGCATCCTTCTTATCAAGATGGTTTGAGTTCTCATCAGTTAGCTATCCTCGTGGAAATTGATATCGTTATCATTACTATCATTGTCATCCTTCAAATATTACCGGTATAAGTTCCAACTACAGTGGAATATATATATTATACACATCAACCATTAAACATTTATTTATTAAATAGATAGGGTTGTCATGATACATCGTCCATCAGTCTTATTATGTTACTATCATTCAATTGTTATGATCCGTTTCAAGTATGGTCAATTACTGTATTCAAAGTAAGATATATAAAAAAAAAAGAAAAAGAATATTGAAAATATGATTCTCATTCTCTTTTTTTTTTTTCTTTCTTTCTTTTTTACTGCTTTGATACATCATCATCCTATATATAAAGATCACAGAACCAAATGAAAATTGGATACATAAAAAGGATGAATAACTAACATATTATTAAGAACAACTGGAAAGGGAAATCAATTTGTGTACAAATAGATGACATTTTTTCTATAGTTTCTTTTATTGATAGTTTTAGTCTTATTATATTCTTTTTATATTCTTCTTCTTCTTTTTTAATAAAGTTTATCTTTATATCATCATCATCTTATTACTATTATTATTTATTCATCTATTGTACTTTATTAAAATCATAAGTGTTTCCATAAATGGTATATATTGAAAGTCCGGTCTCAATGTGAGGTGTGTTGGATCAAAACAAAAAAAGTCTGGAGGTCGAGATCAGAAAAAATCTGGAGATTGAAAAAAAAAAAAAATTGTTGGAGACAATGGAAAAAAAGTTGGACCAAGCTCTGACAAAAAAAAAAAAGTTGGCGCACTCTCTACTTTTTTTTTTTTTTTTCCTTTTGCTCTTTTTAACTTTTTTTAACCAATGAGTCTTTGAACATTGTTAAGCTACCATTATACATTACTTTACTAATCTATATTATAAAGTCACTCTTATATATTATACTTACTACACTTTATACTTCTTCTTCTTAGCCTCTGATACTATGAATTAATGTGTTTTTACTCTTTCTGTTAAATAGGCTTCCTATCTAACAAAGAATAGTCAAATAGTGGTAAAAATATCTCTCTTATACAAAAAAATTATGGAAATTCAGTAGTTTGGTCTATTAGTTATTGTTTATATTTAATATTATCTTCTCATTCAAATAAAATCATACTTTTATCCTTTGTTTATTATGTTGTCATCGAGTACTATCAAACTATTATATTACCAATTCATCTATTCATCCCATCATCGTAAAAGAGGCATCATGATTAAAAAGAAGGAAAAAAAAATCGATCATCACATACAACCAGGAATAAAAAAAACTTTTCTTTTACTTCTTTTTTACCAACCGAATTTCCCAGAAATCGATAAAGAGCAACATGTCACTGGTATGCCAAGTCTTCTTTTTTTTTGGGGGGGGGGATAGGTTTACTGGTTATTTTATCGGCCGCACATCAAAAATGGAGAGAAATGACCGAAAAACCAAAAAAAAAAAAAAAAAAAGAACAGAGTATCACAATCATTCATCCTACATGAAAGAAAGAAAAATCAAGACAACAAAGAATGGTAAAAAAAAAAAAAAAAAAAAAAAGAAGATATGAGAGTTTATTGATATGTAAAAAAAAAAATCATGAATTTGTATATACAAAAAAAAAAAAAAAAAAAAGAAAAGAAAAAAGGAAAGGATATTCCAATAGATCATCAAGCATCCATCGAGGTATCATTCAGGACCCAACGTACTTTCCAAGGTTGACCACATTGCCAATATTTAGGATTACAAACGAACGAAGTGATATCTTCATCCAATGATAATTTGCCATTCGGTCTTGACGCCCGCATTCCATCCACCAGTTGAATCACTTTGCGTTTTTCTTCCTTGCACAATACCCATCGACAATGTCGGCATACACTACCTCCACTTTTGTTATATCTAATACATATATATATATATATAAAGTAAGAGATCAGGGTCATCTATATAAATATATTTTTTTGTTTACCGAAGTCCACATTTGTTGCACAGATAAACAAAAGATCGTCCTTTGTCATAATAGATATCATCTGATGGAAAGGGCCAGTCAAATGCTTTTCGCATACATGCTTCGGCACTTTGGTGGCATGCTTGACAAGGACCTTTTGTTCGGACAGGACGCCCCGACGTGAATGGACTAGATGTTACCGTAGGTAGATGTTCAGGTTGCTGTGTTCTTTTAGATGATGATGATGGCGATAATGATGATGATGATGATGATGATGATGATATTGGGAGTAATGACGATGAGGTTGATGAAGATAAAGCCGTTGATGATGATGACAATTCGTTTGCGACAATTGGTAAATGATGATCAGAAGATATGCGTTTTTTCATGTGTTGATCCTTCGATGGTGACAAGTTGTTGTTGTTATTGGAAACTCGATGACGTAAATAAACAATCCATGGTGATTGCTGATGTTGTTGTTTTTGTGATTGCATAAACGTTAGAGATTGAAAGAAAGGAGCGGTTCTATGTAATTGTATGATTTGATCAGTAGTGGAAGGCCATTTGAATATTAAATCAGTCGATGTTGCAGAAGGTGATCGATGTGGCGTACATTTCCGTCTTTTGTTTGATGATGATGAATTCGATGATTTTCGTCGTTGTTTCATACACATGGGTGGTGTTGAAGGAGGTGATGCAGGTACGGGCGTAGGATCTTCTTCTTCATCTTCATCATCATCATGAACTAATTCAGGTGGTGATAACATGGAATAAGGATGATTTGAAGAAGAAGAAGATGATGATGATGTGGTATAATTGGATTTCAAATAATATGTTGTCGTGATCGTTCGGTAACTCGGTGATGTAAGGGTCATGTTTTTTTTCTTTATTTGGGAGATCAACTGTTGATGATGGGACGGGACTGGGTGTTGACGACGGTATTGATGAATATTGTTTAGATGATCCAAAAAAAAAAAAAAAAAAAACTAAGACAAAAAAAAACCAAAAAGAAAAAGAAGATGAGATATCAAATCACCGCAGTTGGTCAGATCAACGTGTCTCTCTTTTTTTTTTAATTTTTTTAATTTGAATGATTAGGTCTATAAAAGATAGAGCGATCCTTTAAATAAATAAATTAAAAAAAAAAGATGTTACTTACCAGTAATCACGAAATAAAACAATTGAATAAAAAAAAAGATAAAAGAAAAAAAAAAAAAGAAAGAAAAGAAATAGAAAGAAAAAGAGAAAAAATAGTGCCAAGTTTTTTTGAAATGAAAATATATATAGAGCGAACCTGGTGAAACGAGCGGCACCTAAAAATATTGGGGGGAGAAGAATATCAAAGCTGAACAGTTATCAAATGAGCCTTTTCCTGTTTTTTTTTTTTGGATGAGATTGATCTATTATATAAAACTTTTTATTCTTATTCCAACTTGGTTAGATGTTGTGAATAGAATAAAACTAGGATTTGACATTCTGCTGGGTAGAACTATTGTAGTCCTGATTTGAAACAGATCCTTATTTTTTTTTTAAAGAAAGAAAAAAACAAGGCGACATTTTTTTTTTTTTTTTTTTTTTTTGCTTAGCAGCCTTGTTATGCAAATCATTACTTTTTAGTCATGGATTCACAATCATAGAATCATCTGCCAAATACATTTGTAATTTTTTTGGGGGGTGGTAGAGTGGGGATCAAAATAATGGGATAAATAGACACGGCATAATTAACACCCAATTCATTTCATTGGCTGGCGGCTTAAATATGCCCGAGATCCGAAATGGGAAAAAAAAATAAAAAACTTTTCATTGCAAAGAAGGTATCAACTGATGAAAAAAAAAAAAAAAAAAGAAAGAAAAAAAGAAAAAGAAAAACACGGTAATGATTCTGCGGAAAACAATGGAGCTCTTGGCAGTAGAAACGATAGTAGTAATAATAGTAATCAATAATGTCCCGCATTTACCAATCAAATTTTGTCAATAATAACAAAAATAACTTTTTTCTTTTCTTTCCAATCTATGATTCATAAATCAATTTCTGTTGTGCATTCGGGAACAGTGCCGAGCAAGTGACTCTCTCAATGATAATGTCTATTGAATCATATCCATTCAATAATCTATCTTTTTTTTTTTTTCCTGTCCATGCAGTTAAGAATAAGATATTCGTACCTTTATTCATTTTACTGTGACACGTCATTTTTTTTTATATATTTTCAATCCATGATCCTGATGACACATCATATTTTCCGTAAAGCATAAATAAGTAAAATATCCAAATAAAGTCACCTGTTTTATTGATTTATATTCACTATTCAGTAAGACTAATTAACTAGTTCATCTTCTTCAGTATCGAATCATAAAAGTTGATATCCATACCTTGCAACCATAACGAAACTAAAATAATATCAATGAATAAACAGTTTTCTTTTCTTATCATCTTCCCTTTTTTTTTTTTACCTCAACAAGCTGACAAGACCAGCAGGCATGAATTTTCCACTTTTGTTAAAGCGTAATCCCATTACTAACAACAATACCAAACTCACCACTTTGTACATAAAAGGGATAATAAAATAATGAATGATCATCATTTCCTTTTCAGTAAGATTGTTCCTTCCTATCGATACTATCACGAATATCAAACTTACCTAAAGACAAGCCTACATTCTTGGGATTACGAGAGACAAGAGTAGCACCGTAAGCAGCACCAAAACCAAAAACAGAACTAGCAGCTAATGAGATAGTACTACCAGCTGTATATATATAATATATAAGTTAGAGTATAAAAAATAAATTATCAAAGATTTACCTTTTACATAACCAATAACACCACCGGTAAAGACTAATAAACTGTAAATATAACCAAGGTAATCTGTCATGATAATATCAATATGCGTGTTTCAAGAATCAAAACAGAAGAGAGTGCAGAAAAACAATTGTTTCAAACGATAAGATCAACACCTATAAAACTACACTGAATAGAAACAAAAAAAAAAAAAAAAAAAAACGAGAACCTATTTTCTTTTCACAGGCTGACAGACAAACAAAAAAAAAAATTGGTGAAGTCCGATCATGCAATACTTTTTATGAGATATTAATTCTTGACTATTTTATGACATATAACGATTGGATCATTGATTTGATTTAATAGAATAATCATCATTATTCATTGATAGCTTCAATGTGATTGGAGGAAAAAAAACAATATAAAAGACACTTTTGTTTTATTTTGTCTTTCTTTCTTCTACAAAAAAGAAATCATTTGCCTCCTTTGGCTGCTTCCTTGTTGGTACCTTTTTCTTTTCGTTCACTTCATCACACGCGACAGAATATTTGATTCTTGTTTCCCCGTTTTCCTCGTTGTTCTAGGTCTTGTTGTGCCTCTGGTTATTTGTCCTTGCGTCTTTCTCTCTTTCTTCCTTGCTGCTTGGATCCTTCTTTTTTTTTGGCAAGTGCACATATACAAATTATATTTCGTTGATCATCACACTAACCATTTTCCAACATGATCATTGCAGCTTTTCTATTCAAAGGATTCGAATTGTGCAGTATAAATTAAATAATTTAATATGAAATAAAGATATTTTCATTGTTCCTTTTTTTTTTTTTTGTGATCTTTTGCTATTGATATTGGTAAAAGTTCTAATTGATTCATTGAAACTATTTAATGGTAATAAATTCTAGAGAAAAAGAATACCCAATGCTGTACACATGATGATCATTCTACAATAATGGTAGATGATGATAATGGATAATAATGATACACATGAATGATGATCAAAGACTTTGATAGATGATCAATACAAAAAAAAAGAGAAGTCATAGGATAACCTGATATTTTCCTTTTACTTATCCATTTGACATCAGTTCCACCTTCTTTTTTTTTTTTTTAAGATAAAAACCATCCAAAATATTTAACATAACAACAACAACAAAAAAAAGAAATCATCGTAATAGTTTATTTGATAAATATAAAGTGAGTATATAGAAAAGTAAGGCAAAAGAAATTGTGAATGATACAACAGTATATATACATGTAAAAAAAAAAAAAAAAAAAGATGAATAAGAAACAAGAGAGTAGGGGAAGAAAATAAAAGTGTGACAATAATAAAAATGTAAAAAAATAAAAAATAAAATTCAAAGATCAATAACAAAAAAAAAAAAAAAAGGAAAAAAAAGAAGAAAAGAAAAAAAAAAAACTACTTATGTAACTAACTACGCTTGAGTAAAGTCAATACAGTAGCAGCTTCCACAGCATCCACACCCATAGATAAAGGAAATTCACCCCAAGGTACGCGATCTAAAACGGATACATCAGCAGTATGACGCCTTGGACGTTGTTGTTGATTTTCGGACTGATGGTGATAATAAGTAGTTTCCTGAAATCCTGCAGATAGCGGCCATTCTTCCGGAGACTGTTGAGATTGTTGCCGTTGGTATTGGTAAGGAATATAATTGGCTGCATTAGATGTTGTCATTGATCGGGATCTTGAATGAGGCGTTGGAGGTGATGATGATAAAAATGGTGGATTGGCATAAAAAGTATTATCTTGTCGTTGACTTTCGTGAATAGTAAGATGTCGAGCTGCTACAATGTTGTGTTTCATTCTTTCATCTTCATCCAACATATCATCATCCTCATCATCCTCATCATTATCATCGTCATCATCATCATTGTTATTATCTTCATTGTAATCCATAAATTCATCTTCATAGCTGAAATCGCCATCTTCCTCATCTTCATCATCAATATCTTCCTCTTCGGTTGTAACCATAGTATTATCCGTCGTCGTTTCATTCCCATGCCAATGTTGATTCCTTTGTTGACGTTGTTGTCGTTGTTGTTGTTGTTGCAGTTGTCGTTGTTGTTGCTGTTGTTGTTCCTTGACCTTGATTCGTTTATCCTTTTTGAGTTTCAGTTCACCATTTTGTTTTCGTTTTTTCTGTTGTTCTTTGGTTATCATTGAGATGTTATTTGTAGATGATTTCATTGATGCTGGAGCTGATGTTGGCCCAGACGCTGACGAAGAAGTTTTTCCACACAATATTTTCCCATGTTTCCATTTGACACCACAGGCGTTGCAAAGTGTACCAGCACCTTCGGGGCCACGGCGCCACATAGGGGTTGTTTTTGATCCACAGTATGAGCACTTCCTTCCATTTCCATTGGATGTATTATTGCGATGAGTAGTGGATGATGATGTTGTTGTCACTGATGCTGTTGTGGAGTTTGTTAAAGTTGTCAGAGTTGAAGTACGAGAAGACGAAGGAGAAGAGATGGAAGCTTGTTTTGGTGAAATCGAAGGAGGATTCATAGTGTCCATATTCCCATTGGCAAGTTTAACTTTGTTGGATAAAGTAGAATCAATGGGAGTAGTAGCAGTAGTAATGTTGGTGATACTGGAGGTAGTAGCTCGAGGAGATGTTTGCCTTTGCGATTGTGATCCTAGATAAAGAAAAAAAAATTGGTGAATTCGTTTATCCAAGAGGAAATCAGTTTACCTTTTCGTTTATTTTTCGTTGTTTTCAAGTCCGAGGTTACTTTCTTTGTTCGAGATGCATGATTTCCATCCAATATCTGTAGTTCAGCTTGACGATGAGAAACACCCTCTGTATGAAGTTTCATCTATAAAAAAATTATATATTAGTTCTCAAGTTCTCAAGTTTTTCATAATTTCTTACCAATTGTATCATTTTTCCATAGGTTGTTTCAAAGCCAGCAACTGTTTCTTTGATATTTGAATAGAGTTCTTTTGATAGGCCAGATATCGATAAATGAATGATCAAAGAACCATCTATTGTAACCGAGCTAGTAGTTTGTTCCATTTTAATATCAGGCATTGTTTCCAATAATAAAGATGATGACGGGCTGTTTGTGTAACACCGTTGGTTATCCAAAGGCGACATGTTATTGCTGACATGGTCAGAAGGATCGATGACATATCCGAGTTGTCGTTGTTGATTAGGGACCATGACATGGAATGAACAAAATACCTAACAAAAAAAAAAATAAAAATAAAAAATAAAAATAATATTTTCTAATATCAATATCCCATGCCATCGATTTTTCTTGATTTTCTTACTTCATAAGGTGCACTATCATTCACTGTTTCAACAATAGCATCAGAAGGGAATATATAATATGCTTGATGACTGGAGAACTTGATAGCTTGAGTGTCGGATGACATGACAATAATGCGTTTACAATTGTTGCTTCTTGGATATTCATCAGAATGATTGGATTCGGTTGTATCACTATTGTTGGGTGAACTAGAAGTGGTATCTCCTGTTGCTATACAAGATATCAGTGGGTTTGTTGTTGACGGTGTTGGTGTAAAGGAATCATCCACAATCATTGTCCCCATCCGTGTCTTATCTTCACTATTACTTGATATTTGAAAGAAAGCTACGTCCATAAGACCATAAGTTTTGGATTTCAAACTACAAACTCCAAGGAAACGCCAATCAAGATGATCGTCTACAAGTTCATCATTGCCATCACCAGTAAAAGGCATAACATAGGGTTGGAATATATTTGCCAGCCAGGATGAACTAAAAGAAAAAATAAAATAAAAAATAATAATAAAAGTAAGAGAGAATATATTCATTAGTTGTCATGATTGCATAATGTATCCATCCACACTTGTTATTCTTCCAGATGAAAAAAAAGAAAAAAGATGACTAACTGATGATCTGGTCATCAAGTTGATTATCTTTTAGAGTTCTTCATACTAGAGTGGTAAGATATCAAGTGTATACCAAAGTATTCTTCTAGCATCACTCCAAGTCCAAAGATCACATTCCTTCATGTTCTCTTCCCTTTTCATTTCCTCTTCAAGTGCTTACCTGTGATCGGTATCGAGTTGCATCGTAGTGCCGTTTGCCCCAAAAGATTCTATAGTAATGGACATGAATAAACAAGGATAGATACAATAAATAAATGAGGATGTATCAGATTAACACTAAAAAGTGAAGGATAAAACGTTTTTGTAGATGACAGGTTGTTGATCAAATCTTAGATGGTTTTTTTTTTTGTCTATAAAAGATTACAGGGGATGTAAAGGGAAAAAAAGTTAGAGATAAAGGATATAACATCATCACGTGTAAGTAGATTGTTGATTCCTTTTTGTACATACATTATTGGCCAATACAAAAATGATAACAAGTATTGTTGAGTGTTCAAAGAGTGAATAGTGTAAAAACCGACGGAAAGAATAAAGAAAGCGAGAAAAAAAAAAAAAAAAAAGGAGGGGACCAAACTGCATTTTTGTAAGATAGAGTCTGAGATTCAAATGAGGTAATGGCCTGTTTCATTTTTCACCTGTTTCTATGCAGCCTACCAAAAGGAAAACATCATGTATCTGACAGTTTTAATTCTTTTTTTTTTTTTTTCGGGAAAGATATATATGCATATCATACACCCACACATTACTATACATTTATTGATATATATGTATATATACAAAATGATTGTATGTTTGTCATTTTTGTTATTATTTATTGGAATCTATCCTTTCTTTTTCTTTCCTCTCTTTATATTTATAATATATTAGTTTCATTATTTCTTTCAATGTTCATCATTATAACGAGTGATAATTCGCTCATTTTGATTTGATTCTTATTGTCAAAAATCATTCCCTGAGTAAATCGGATATTTAAAAATAGCAAGTAAAAAAAAAAAAAAAAAATGAAAAGGATGAACGGATGATTGGATTTAAAGTAGATGCTTTATCATAAAAAAAAAAAAAAAAAAACAAAAATAATGATCAAGTTAATTTAAAGCAATTTCATCATCATCATCATCATCATCATCATAATAATAATAATGATAATGATAATAATATGTAGCCGTATATCTATCTATCAGGGATACTATTTAGATATTTGATAGATTTAAGGTACAAGACAAATTGGTTGGTCCTTATTTGGTGTTAATTTACTTTCCGCTTTCCGGGATCCTGAGCTGAGCGGGATCCGATAGGTGAATTTTCCTCACATATTTTGGATACGACTAAACAGAAATCGATATTCTTTCTCTTTCTCAGAATAATATACAATGTAAGCATCCCTCAACTATCAGTCAAAAAAAAAAAATATTATCAAGAGAAGAAATATGAATCGGAAGATTAGATGGATGAATGGATGAAACGATTAGGATTAATATATGGATGGATGGATGGATGGATAAATGATTATGGGAATTATTAGAAGTACCACTTTTGATTTTTCTAACTTTCTTTTTTCATATTTTTATTTTATATAGATGGCTGATTCTGCTCCTCGTGGTAAAGAACACTTTCTTTTTTTTTTTTTTTTATTTAACAAAACAAACCTATATCTCGAACGAGTTTTTTTTTTTTTTGTATTATTGGTACTGATATTATTCTTTTTTACATTGATTCGTCATACTATATAGGACGTGGTGGATTTGGTCGCGGTCGAGGCCGTGGTGGTCGCGGACGTGGTCGTCGTGGTGAAGAAAAGAACGAATGGTAAGAAGATAAATGGACTAATAGAAAGTTATAAAGTAGATGCTAATATGTCTTTATTTTATTTAATTCTATAGGGTTCCTGTCACCAAGCTCGGTCGTCTTGTGAAGGCCGGTAAGATCAAGTCTATCGAAGAAATCTACTTGTTCTCTTTGCCCATCAAGGAATACCAAATTGTTGACTACTTCTTGCCCAAGCTCCAAGATGAAGTTATGAAGATCATGCCTGTTCAAAAGCAAACTCGTGCTGGTCAACGTACTCGTTTCAAGGCCTTCGTCGTTATTGGTGATAACGATGGTCATGTTGGTCTTGGTGTTAAGTGTTCCAAGGAAGTGGCTACCTCTATTCGTGGTGCTATCATTTTGGCCAAGTTGTCTATCATCCCTGTCCGTCGTGGTTTCTGGGGCTCTTCTCTTGGTGAACCTCACACTGTTCCTTGCAAGGTCACTGGTAAGTGTGGTTCTTCCGTTTGCCGTCTTATCCCTGCTCCCCGTGGTACTGGTATTGTCGGTGCTCCTGTTCCTAAGAAGGTCCTCCAATTGGCTGGTGTCACTGATTGTTACACTTCTTCCAAGGGTTCTACCCGTACTTTGGGTAACTTTGTCAAGGCTACCTTTGCTGCTATCGGTAACACCTATGGTTTCTTGACTCCTGATCTCTGGGCTGAAACTGAATTCTCTAAGACTCCTTACCAAGAATTCACTGACTTCCTTTCCCAAAAGCAACGCAAGTAGACTTTTTATCATTTTTTTTTTAGTGTAGCTTTTTTTACCTCTCCCATCTCAAACATCATTTATATATTTTCTTTTCGTCAATAAAGAATTATTGTTATGATACTATTTTTGAAACCTACTATTTGAACACCTTGTTGATCTCTTCTATATATATATGGATATGAATGGATGTGAATGGATATGATTTTTTTTTTTTTTTTTTTTTTTTTGGTTAAAGACTATCATCATCATCACATGGAGAGTTTTTACTATTATAGTCACAATTTTAGGAATTGTATCATGGCAAGGTTTATCATCGCACAAAAAAAAAAAAAAAAAAGAAAAAAGAAAAAGGAAATCATTATCATCTTATCATTATGGATATCATCTTTGCTTAGAATACAGTAGTTTACATTTTGACGTAGAATGTTGAATGTGGATTACATCTTTGATATGACTTCAGCATTTGTCTTTATTCAATTATTTGATAAAAAAAAAATTACAAGTTCGTTCAATACTAAAACCAAAACTTTCATAAACTATTATAAAAATAATCTAATCTTTCTAAAATATAGTACCATCACTCTAATTATACATAATAATAAATAATAATAATGATTGAGTCATCTTTCTGTGAATCCTTTTTTTTTTTTTTCATCTTACCTTGATTGCAATAGGAGGACCACCAGTTTTAGGTCGTAATTTCTTAGCGATTTCTCTTCCAGCAGTCCAAGTGCCAGCCTCCAGAACTTGAGCCAAAGATAATGATTGATCCATTACTTTTTCCATATCACGATGGATACGATCTAGGTAAACTACGGTCAAAGCACGCCATTCAACAATCAAAGGATCATTGCCATCAAAGAGCGGAACAATATTCTCACCATCAACCATTTCCTCTGCACGAGCATAGTCAAGTCCACGTTGAAGATGTTCTGGCTTGAGAGTGAGTAAACCATCGTCAACCAAAAGCCCACCATTCCTATATTCTGGTAATCCTGTAAGTTTGTCCACACCATTGACCTTGATATCCAAAGGGGATTGTTGTAATGTATCAATCAAAGAATAAGTCAACCACTGAGATAGTTTGTGAAAAGGTACCAGATTGTCATATTGTTGTTCCTTGATATCATCCAAACATGTACAAGGCCATACATCACCTAGAGGGACCCCTTCAATAGTAATTCGTGCTGGCCACATTGGAGCAAGACTCATCACTACTTGCCAAATATCATCAACTTGGACTGTTTTGTTGTCTCCTGTTGTTTTTGAAAGAAGATAATCTAGAGAAAAATAAAATAAAATAATAAATAATAATAATAATAATAATAAAAAAAGATGTGTATATCATTCTGCGCTTCAAAAAAGGAATATAACTTACCAACAAGATTTCCAGGACGATGTAAACCTTCATGTTCAAAGTATTGGGATTCATTTGTCAATATATCCGCTAGACGTTTCAATAAATTCGATCTTCCTTCAAGACCAGCCATTGGATTAGAGTCGGATACTTGAAAACCTTGAGCTATACGTTCTACTGAAAGTTGTTTCAAACCTTGAGCTATAAAGAAGATTAATATATCAATCATAAAAATTAATATACGAGATCACTAATATTTTTTTTTTTTACCATCAACACGATCCTTTATAGTAGGGTCACTTGAATAATATCCATCCAAAAACATATCCAAAGATGCGATAGCTAAACCTTCGGATCTTCCCACACGTTCACCTTGTTTAGTAGTATACGACCATATTTGCCCTGCACCAGCATCCACCAAAACAGAAACAACCACAAGATCAAGAAAACGACGTGTTTGTTCCAAAACATCCAAACCTTTGTCCTCTTGCCATTGTTGACGTAAACTTGCCAAACGCTCAGTACCAAAATGATTTAGTCGTGAATGAGGAGGAATCTTGTTTAGATCAGTACCAAACCTTGTTCTTGTTACTTGCTGAACATGTTGTACCACTTGAGGAAGTTTTGTTTCATCAATATCAAAGTAAACAAGTTTACCTTTTTGTGCCTGCTCATATACTTTGTAGGAACGATCACGTATGGCATCTAATGTACGTAAATAGTCTTGAGGGGGAACCGTCATAATTATTGCAGTTTTTTTTTTATTTAAAAAAGAAAGAAAGAAAAGTGTGAGAAAAAGAAATAGAAGAAAAACAGAACCACCGTTACTTTTAAATCTTTTTTCTTAGGGTGCTCTCATGATAAGGATTGCTGCCAATTTCCACTATCCTGAGTTCCAATTGATGTTACGCCAGTTATGCTATTTCCAAAATACTTCATGAATGCTACAAGTTTATTGTATATATATATATAATATAACAAATGAAATGAAATGATAATAAATAATAAATAATAACAAAACAATGCACAAACTATAAAACCAAAATTATAAAAAATCTAAAACTAAAACTAAACTACATACTAGTCACCCATCTTGTGCCTTCTCTTCTTTGTTCAACTTCAATTGGTGGGAGTGGCCATCCTTTTGGTCCAAAGCTAGGTACAACATGACACAGTCGGCGATTACCTCTTTCATCCATCATCCTATTAACCATCATCAAAAATAAATAATAAATATATATATATTCTTTTTCTCACTTACTTTGGAAGAGGATAGTCTAATGGTCGCCCAAATGTACATAATGATTTCCCAATCTTAGCTAACCATTTTGGTTCCACTGCGGTCACACCTTTCAACCAATTCCTTGAGCCATTGAATAGTTCACTATATACCAGAACAGGAGGAGGAGGTTGACCATATAAAACAGAATTTGGATGTATATATGCTATTTCATTTGACCACATTAACTTGTAAGGTACATTGTTTGCATTCTTGAATGTCAATCCCTTTCCACCATCAGTATCCAAAACATCTTGTCGCATAGCCACACAATCCACTAATCCTGCAGTAATCACCTGTCGAAGGACCTTGAGTTGTAATTTGCTTGGGGGTTTCATTTGAGGATCAACACATATATTGATATTGGGGAAATTTGATGCCACCATATTTGTAAGTTGTCGTCGTAGTTTTCGAATGTCTTCCATTGCTCTAGGCCGTAAAAAGTTATCATCACAGAACTTTGTAGTTGCTCCCGCATATTCATACGCGCCCACCACGTTGAGTAACTTTAATATATCACTTTTTGGGTCTAATCCTGCATGTTTCTACAAGTGAAAAAAAAAAAAAAAGAAAATTCATCAATCATGACTTGTTCCTATTTGCTACTTTTTTTTTTTTTTTTTTTTTGGTATGTCTCCTTACTGCTTGAGATTCATAGTACTTCTTTCGAGTAAGTTTCCGTTTTTGTTTATCAATAGTGGTTTGATTTCGAAGGTGAGCCATCTCTTGTTGTTCTAGATCGTCGTCACTGTCTTCATCCTTATCTTCTTCATCAGGTTGTGTTTCATCCAAATGATAATCTTGAATAAAAGGATCGCCTACAGATAAAGCCGATACAATAGCAATCACATATGGTAAACAATCATGCTGTTGACCAGTGATAAGCCTAATTCAGAAGAGCATATTAGTATATTCATCCACATAATTATTCTATTAAGCTTCCTTTTCATATATATATATCTTACATCTTTGCAAATCGAGGAGTGATAGGAAACATAGACATTGTATCACCAAATTCAGTAATACGTTTAGTCATAGTATCAACAGCACCAAGGTAACTCAAAATCTAACCAAAAGTAAAGTGAAAAAAAAATGAGTTGATATTCTTTTTCTCATTTCATATATTTTTTGTTTACCTTTTCTGCCTTGAAAAGATTTTCTTTTGGAGGAGGCGTTGGGAATGGGAAATTGATCACATTGTCAATATTCATCGCTTTCATATTCAAAACCACACCTAAGGGAAAAAGAGAAAAAAAAAAGAAAAGAAAAGAAAAGAATGATGATATCAGCTTCCCGATATTCTTTTCTATGATGATCTAGATATAATTACCTTCAATTGGCATTCGTTCAATTTCTGGTTTCGAGAATTGATTAAAATCATGATCAAAAACGGCAGAAGAATAAAGGCGATAACAATGACCTGGACCAGTTCGACCGGCACGACCAGCACGCTACAAAATAAAAAAAAAAATTGTCAATATAATTAGACCATTGAGTTTTTGCTTTAATTTTAAGCTAATCTTACCTGATTTGCTGCTGCCTTGGAAGTCCAATCTACTTGAAATGATTGTACACCAGTTTGGAGATTGTATTGACGCTAAAAAAAAAAAAAAAAAAAAAAAAAAAAAAAAAGTGATCCATGTCAATACTTATGTTTCATATTGTATTTTTTCATATTTACCTCTTTTGCTTTTCCCCCATCTACAACATAACGAATACCAGGAATAGTGACTGAAGTTTCCGCAACATTGGTAGCTACCACACATAATCTTGTTCCTTCAGGGGGAGGTTGGAATACTCGAAGTTGAGCTTCAGTTGGCAACATGGAATATAAGGGTAATACGTGTAGTGGTGCTAAAACAAAAAGTTCAAACAGATTAACATTTTATCATCATCTTTTCTCATAATCAGTGTTTGATGAAGTAATATTTTACCATCCTTGACATCATCGAGTTCGTCTTCATCAAATCCAAGATCGCTATCATCATCTTCCTCTGAGTCAGATTCCAATTCAAAGTCTTCTTCAATTTGATTTTCACCAAGTTCAACATCTTCATCCTCCAAATCAGCTAAAGTAGAAAAGGATATCAATAGTTAGAATCCAATTTAACCATTTTCTTTTTCATTTACCTTTTCCAGCTTGGGCTTTGATTGACTTGGATTCCAATGCAATTGAGCGTTCCTCCTCGATTTTGGCAGACTTCGATGATTTGGGTGGTAAAGCAGGGTATTTTTTTCGGAGACGTTTGCATAACTGAGTGATTTCGTTCTGACCAGTTAAGAAGATAAGTATACCGCCATGAGGTAATCGTTCATGAATCTTGCAAACCTTCTTGAAAGCTTCCGCTACATGATCTTCAGGGGTACGACGGTTGAAATGAATATTTACCTAAGAGTAAGCAACATATTAGTAAACATGATCTTCCTTGCTTTATCTTTTATCATAGGCTTACCGGAAATTGTCTTGCATTGACATTGATCACAGGTGGAGGCACAGCAAAAAGAGCTTTATTTTCTGTAAAATCAGATACACGAAGAGTAGCAGACATAATTACCACTCGTAATGGCTATAAAAGAAAAAAAAAATATATAAATATGAATATAAATAGAACATTTCTTTTTTTTTTTTTTTGTTGAATTCTTGATCTTGTTACCTTGATTTTTTGTCGATCTTCTTTACTGAGTTCTGCCCGTAGTTTTAATACTCGACTAACAACCCCAATCAAAATATCAGTGTTCAAATTTCGTTCGTGTGCTTCATCAATGATCAAAGTGGAATATTTAGTTAATAGTAAATCTTCAGAGAGTTCCCGCAATAGAACACCATCAGTCATAAACTTAATACGTGTCTTGTCCGATACAGTAGCATCATAACGGATCTATATCAAAATATATACATATATACATATATTAGCTAAAACTGATATCTACAATATTAATCCTTTTATTTTTTTTTTCTTACCTGATATGACACTTCCTGTTCAGATAAATTCAGTTCTTCCCCAACACGCTTAGCCATACTAACAGTAGCAACACGCCTAGGTTGTGTAACCCCGATAAGACCAGGATTATCTGAAATATATATCAAGTCAATACATATTATCAAACTCTTTTTTTTTTCTTTCAATATTGAAGTTCTACTTACCAGATTCAGGATGGGACCAACCAGCTTCATATAAGAATTGAGGCACCTGAGTTGTTTTACCAGAACCAGTTTCACCACAAATGATAACTACAGTATTATTCCGAATAGCTTCCATAATCACCTGAAAGATAAAAAAAAAAATTAATTGATCACCATACAAAGAAATTTTATATATGTATAATTCTATGTTACCTGTTCTTCGCCACACACAGGTAGTTTTGATCGTACAGCTTGAATTTCAGGTGTTCGGTTTACAGTAACAGAAAAATGCTATAAATATAGAGAAAATCAAATAAAAGTTGAAAAAGATTTAGAATGAATTACATTATATTATGATCATCAATATTACCTTAGCCATGTCCTTGCTAAGGTCACCTTCAGTATTGCTTTTCAAAAGTTGTAACTTGACTTCATCTTCTTCCTCGATATGCTTGGGTACAGGAATAGTAATATGTTTGGCTGCTTCCACGACTTGTTCCAATTGACTAGGTCCATTTACTACAAATTCTTCCACTAAGGGTCTTGCTTTTGGCTTATCATCCGTATCTTCCTTTTCCGAATCAGTGTCATTAGCGGAATCAGAGCTATCAAAGGAGTCATCCGAGTCGTTTCCTTTTCTTTGTTTGAATCGTTTTCGGACATGTTTTGGAATGGTAGACTATATCCAATAGTAATAATAAAAAAGAACAAAAAGAACAAAAAGATCTTAATTCAGTCTATTGATCGGTCAATCGTTATAACTTTTACCTTCTTCTTCTTTCGTTTCTTCATCACTAAAGGTGCTGCTGTTCCATTTTTCAAAGCACTACCGACAATAGCAGATGATTCATTAGAAACAGGTTCTGTCGCTGTAGATACATCCAAATTAGGTTGTTGATAAGGTGTAACATCAAATTCAGCATCCTGTACATCCTTTTCAACGTAAAGTCGCAAGTCATCATTATCATCGTCAGAACCTTGAATTCCTGCCTTTTTTTCAAGCATTGCTTGTTTCAATTGTTCACGAAGTGTTTGTGCAGGTCGTCCAATCAGTTTTGATGATTTGAGTAAATCAGAAGACCATGAAGATGTTCTAAAAAAGAGGATACAAAAGAGTGAGTAAAACCAAAAAAAAAAAAAAAAGGATATCTTTCCATTATATATAATCACTTACGAGAGTTGTTCCATTAGTCCAGCACGAGCATCCTTTTTCAGTTTTTGGTCCTAATATTCAAAAGCAAAATGTTTAACACTTTATAATGAATGTCACACTTATTTTTAGTTTTCCTTCAGCTTACAATATATTTTTCCAACTTTTTTCTCTTTTTCTTCGACATGTATTTAGTTGGCTAGAAAAATGGGTTAATAAGTGAATGGAATAAATAATAAAGTTAGTAAATGATCTTTCTCCATTAATTTCGATCTTTTTCTTTAAATATTATTACCTGTTTGAATGCCGGTTTTTCCACTTTATCCTTTGTTTCACCTGGTACAATAATCTCTGCATTGGTATCCACCCTAAATGAAATATAATAATGATTTTCGTGAATAAATAAAACTTAAAAGTTGAATTGTTCAGGTACTACTTACTGAGCAGTAGGTTTTTTTGTGAGTACGCTTGCATCAGCTATACCATCTTGATTACCAAGTCCACCATTTCTTGCTTTTGGATGAGAGCGTTGATTAGGTTTCAATGAAGAAGCTCTTGCCTTTTCATTGTATCTAGGTCGAGATTTACCCATAAGTACTGTTAAAGAAAGAAAGAAAGAAAAAAAAAAAAGAATCCTGCAACCTTTTTTTTTTCCGTCTCATAAAAATTCCAGCATGAGGCTTCACTGTCACAGATCTAATTACCGCCTACACCTTGTCAGTGGCTGTTGATCGATTTTCTCTAGATCTGATTCGTTTTTTCCCACTGCTTTTCTTCTCCTTTTTTTTTTTTTTTTTTTTTTTTTTTTTTTTTTTTTTTTTTGTTACTGTTTTTACCACAAAATGAAACCAAGTAGCGAAAAGGCTAGTGACAATGCAAGTGAAAAACCTAGTCTTCTGTCAAAACTCATGGCTCGTCATAATGAACTTTGGGTATTTGATGATGTTACCTTCAACGAAGTCTCCTCAACTTCAAAAGACCAGTTGCAGTTATCTCAGGATTCCAAAAGTCTCCCTGATTCTCAGAAAGTACTACCAGAACATATGCCACAACAACAACAACAACAACGACAACAACAAGAAATTAATCATCAATTGCCTAAAGTATTATCACCAACGGAACAACAACAATCAATGCAACAAGGAAACGAAAAGTCACTTCAAACAAAACAAAGGCTAGCGCAACACCATTCTGAAAAGGTATCACAAGCAAAACGACCATTAGAAGAGCAGCAACCTGATATAATACCACAAGCACAGACCGACCAAAAGCAATTATCTTTATCTACACAGCAAAAACGTGACGATCGAATTCTATCAACCGAAAATACAGTATCGACAACTTTATCAAAAACTCTGGCTAAAGAATCCTCTCAAGACAAAGAACAGACAGCTGAAACATCCCAAGCTCCTGTATATGAACGTTTGAAAGGTTCGCATTTAAGTATCAAATTGAAACACAAGAGTGACACTTTGAATCCATCACCAACCAACAACCAAAAGGAATCTTCAAAAAAGACAACAACTCCTCTTACTGGCATTCCTATTGGTATTCCTCCAAGAAATCCCCTTGACAAAGCCGAAAATACTCAACAAACAACAGCTTCCTCCGACAATCGCAAAAATATTTCTTCATCATCCAGTTCGAAATCTTCAACAAGTAGGCATTCATCAGCAGGAACCAACGACAATAACAAATCATCAACATTGGACTGTGTACCAGGATTTGAAAATAGGATATACATTGGCAACTTACATCTCGAGTGCAGCAGAAGTGCTGTCTTTGAACGCTTCAAAAGATATGGCTATATTGAATATATTTTAAGAAACGTCAACACTACACACGCATTTATCGATTATTCAAATGATTTTTGTGTTGCAGAAGCTATTAAAGATGCAAATGGAAAGTTGTTCAAAGGTGGAAAACTTCGTAAGTACTTTATTTTTTTTATTTATCCTTTTTGTTTTTTTTTTCGCATGAAACGACATCAATGCATGCATCATCTGACTCCTTTTTTTTTTTTTATTTAGGCGTTGAACCTTATCGACGTACGAATTCCTCGTCTTTTCTGGGCAAGAATGAAGATTTACCCACGGACACTCCCAGCGTTTTTTCTCGTCTCCAACCTCTACCTGGATTATCAACAAGGACAGAAAATCAAAACCATGACCATGCTACAAAAGGACAACAATACCCAGTCTCAAATTCTGTATCAGCAATTCCATCAACAGCTTCCTCGATTTTGACATCAAATTCAATACCAACCGAAGCACCACCATCATCATCACCGTCCTCAATCACACCTTCCGATTTAAAACAAGCCACATCATCATCGTCCTCAATCACGTCTTCGAATTCAAAGCAAGTTTCATCATCATCGTCAAAGGTCTCATCATCGGCACCAGCGTCAGCAGAATCATCATCATCATCATCATCTTATTTGGCCAAACAACAACATACTGATAATGAATCTCATCGCACTCGCTCTTCTTCATCAAGGCGATCTCATTCACCAAGCACACGTTATTCTTCTGAATCACCTAGCAGGAAGCGACAACATACGGAATCTGATTCGTCATACAAGAACACTGATAGTAGCAGAAAACGACATACTGAAGACGATACGCGGAAACGAGATAGGGATTATGACAATAGGAGAAAATACTACAATGATGACACTGAATACTATTCTGATGGCAGACGTCGGTATGACAGACATATTCCTTCGTATAGTCACCTAGCTAAATCATCATCTGATCATCGTGCCGATCGTCACTATCGCCAACCGTCTTCTTCTTCATCAACCAGTCAAGATGTATCTTCTCGACAATACGACAGTGATCGTGGACAGTTTATTTTGACAGTATCAAAGGAATATGATGACTCCTCTGACAAACGACAATCCAACAGAGACAGACATTCATCATCAATTGACAGTCGACAATATAGAAATGACACGCATTCATCATCATCTGAAAGACGGCAATCAAGCAAAGACAGGCATTCATCTTCATCTTCTGAAAGACAACGATCTAGCAATGACAAGCATTCATCATCACTTGATAAAGGACAATCTAGCTATGATAGGCATTCATCATCATCATCATCTGAAAGACAACGATCTAGCAATGACAAGCATCCATCATCACTTGATAAAGGACAATCTAGCTATGACAGGCATTCATCATCATCATCTGAAAGACAACAATCTAGCAGTGACAAGCATTCATCATCACTTAATAAAGGACAATCTAGCAAAGACAGACATTCATCATCGCTTGACAGACAGACATCATCAACCAAGACTCAGCAATCCAACAAAGATAAATATTCATCATCATCTGAAAAACAGCAATACAGCCAAGAAAAGGATCCATCATTATCTGAAAAACAGCAATCCAGCAAAGAAAGTCATTCATCCAGTGAAAAACGACAATCCAGCAACGAAACGCTTTCATCTGCGGATCATCAATCCAACAACGAAAAAAGTTCCTCAATCAATCTTGTACGCCATTCACAAGAAGATGAATCGTCTATGGATCGACAATGCGCTAATCAACAACGACCCACAGATCCCAGAAAACAACCACCAACAGATCCAAGAAAACAATTATCAACAGATACAAAAAAACAATTAACAACAGATACAACAAAACAGTTACCAACAGATTCAAGGGAACAACCAAAAACAGATTCTTCAAGAAAACAATCACCAACAGATCCAAGAAATCAGTTAGCGACAGATCCTAGGAAACAACCCTTACCTACTTCTCACTCGAGTAATACTAGCAGCCTAAAACGACCAGCTGATGATGATGGTAGCAGTGTCGAATATGGAAACGATATGAAGAGACAGTCGACAATCAAGGCAGTAGAAACTGACAAGACAGGAATGGATATTAGTGACCCGAAAATAGATACGTCTAACGTCAGCACGACAGGAACAACCATGATCAAGAAACGGACGACGAACGAAGATCCTCGATTAGGAAAAAAAGATGATTTTAGTAGAACGCAACAACAGACATTTCAACAGAAAACAAACATTACCAATGAACTGAATATGAACCAGATAGAAAATCATAATATAGCAACAGTGGACGACCCATCACCAACATTACAACGATTACATAATGTAGAGACAGCGATTTGTCAACCCCAGACACAAGATTTAGTAAATGGACAGTTATTACAGCAACAAATGGTTTTCTCGACACATGCACAAGGTCATCCATTAGCCTTTCATGCGTATCAACCTCCATCAAGAGAACTTGCTGCGATTCATTTGATATATACCGGCTCATTATCACATCAATATTTGGTTTTCAGATTGGAAGAAGAGATCGCTCAACAGATTTCAGGGGTGAAACTCCGGACGATACTCCTTCCAAACAGTCCTTTCACGCGAGAAGAAATATTGAAACAGGTACTCACCACAGGTATCAAGGCAGTTGTTTTATTAGGTACGGAATTCGAACGTAATGACAAGGTCTTTTTACAAGTCTATGAAGAACAACCTGGCGGAACCAATAGTCTCCACTTTGACGGTAGTGAACAATTATTTAATCGGATACTTTATGGAAAGAAAAGGTGACAAAAAAAAAAGACATGAATTTCTCAACGCACTTTTTTTTTTTTTTTTTTTTTTTTTATAGAATATGAATCTATAGCTAGTTCTGACCTTATTCCAATTCTTTCTGAAGCAATTCCAGCGGCAAAAAATCAAACCACACTCTCTTTTCATCGTTCTTCTCAACCTCCATCTCCTTTTTTATTGCCATACCATCAACAGCATTCGACTTTTAATAATCCAACAAGCCCAAATGCATTACACAATCAAGATAATCAAGACAATATGGATACTCTTGTTAAAGTGTTGAATTATTGTGTAAATCATCCACCACAGAGCAATCCTTCCCACTATTTACTCTAGCTATTCCCTTTCTTGTAACATTATTCTTCATTGTACTTATCAATAAAAAGTATTGTTCACTTTATTATCAATCAATTTTTTTTTTTTTTACGAGAGAAATAAATAAAGATCAAAACTAGGGTATGGTTACACTTTTTTTCTCAAGCATTGGTGGACAGACCAAGAAATACAATGTCCGGTCATTCAATCATTTTTTTTTCTCTTTTTTCTTTTCTTTTTTTTTTTTTTCCTAAATTCATGTCTACTACTCCTAAAATCAGTAAACGATCTTCTTCTTCACGCACACCAAATGATATTCTTATACACAATACCCAACAAGGAGGTATCAATACTACATTACCTTCTGATCGATCTCGTACCAAGGCAACCAAATTGAAAAATTTATTTGTCAATGGCAAGGAACAAGAAGAATTAATGTCAGCTTGTAGTAAAGGTGATATAAAGAAAGGTATATATAATTTTTTTTTTAAAAAAAAAGAATAACTTCCTTTCATTTTAAATTATCATTCTTTTTCTTATATATATATATATATGTAGTAACTGAACTCTTGACATGTACAACTCCTCATTTGAATCCTGATAAAATACGTGATACCAAACTTCGAAGTCCTTTATTGATTGCTTGTGCATCTGGTCAAGCTGACTTGGTGCGGTTATTGGTCAAGTTTGGTGCTGATGTGAACAATCCTGTGGGGGATATTATTGGTAACAGACCTTTGGATCTTGCTGTTGTATCGAATAATGTGGATACTGTTTTGGCCTTATTGGAATTAGGTAAAAAAAAAAAAAAAATCACTCTCTTTGCAATCCATCTTGTTGTCATTCAAGTCATTGTTTATTTTATAATTTTATTATTTTTGTCCATTAGGTGCTCATGTCCATCATCATATACCTTCGGCAATGACTTCACCATGTGTAACAAAATGCCCTGCCCCTATATCCTATCGTCTTAAAAGAACTCCTTTAGATTTGGCACGATCTCGATTAAATTTACTGGCACAACAAAATCGATCCAATCATCATTCGTCCCAAGCTGATGGGTTTACAACGCAGGTGGTCAAGGTAAAAACTACAATGTGAAATCAATTTAAAAAAAAAAAAAAAGAGATTAGGAGGGGAGGAGAACAACTTTTCATGCTACTGACTTACATTTTCCCTTTTTTTTTTTTTGTCATCCATTTTTATTCCTTGTATGGATAACATGAGTAGATCATTGAATTATTACGATACTTCGCGAAGAGGTCACCGGCAACAGGGAATGGGGACTCAATACAAGAACTAGATGAATTGACTGCCAAGTTATCTTCAGTGGAAATTCAAGAAGGGGATCATCAGCAAGGAACAGATATTATCAAAGATTTAGGGGATGTTATCTCTAGATTGCATTTGTGATAGCATCAATAGTTTAGTTAACCCTTTTTTCTTTCCTGTAGTGTATACATTTTAAAATTTATAAATAAAGTTGTTTTTGTGTATATATCATCACATTATCTATTCTATTTAATCCTTTACTATTTGAATTCATGACCATTCCAGCGGTATTAAAAAGGATTGATTATAGGAAATGATGATGGAGGAAATAAAATGTGGACTTATTTGATAACCAAGTTAATATGCATTGGGAATATCCTATCGCAGATTTTCGGTGCATGACTCTCTCTCTCTTCTATCGTAACAAAGTCTCCTTGCTCTCGATTTGACGTGGCGTAATAGATCATCAATGTATTTGATCAAACAGCTGACCAAAAAAAAAAAAAAAAAAGAAAAGAAAAGAGAGAGAGAATCGATGTATCACCATTATTATTATGAAAATGGAAGGTTTTTCGTTGTTGATTGACTAATTTTCTTTTATTTACAAAGTGATATTGGATATCATTGATCAGTATTCTACACTAAACTAAATTAAACTAAATTACAATCTAACCAGCAAGGAATTGTTCATTGACCTAATACTAGATAGGGATCTTGTACAGCTTCACTAATCACTAACTTGCCTTGATGTTGATCCATATACTTGCTCAAACGTTCATAATCTGAAGGCACCACATACATAAAGGTCGTTCGATCGTCAGACCATAAAGATAAGCTAAAATCTGAATCATTATGACATAGTTCTTGTAAAATTGAACTCGCTTCTTCCTTGTTGATTCCAATCCGTTTACCCATTTCTTCCACATTACTAACCTTGGCTTCCTGTTAAACAACGATAAAATAAGAAAAGACAAAATGAGATATTTTGCAACATGATGATCATAACATTTAATTCTTTTATATATATATATATATATATATATATTGATTACCTGTACATAGGTTTTGATACGAGTATGATATTTTTGGAATCGTTGTTGTTTTCGATACAGTTCTTTTTCTTGTTGTTTCTTCTGAGCTTGTCGTTCCTTTTCTTCTTGCTTGGCCAATTTTTCTAATCGTTTCCTACGTTTTTCCATCTATATAGATCATCAGCTATCTTCCAAAAAAAAAAAAAAAAAAAAAAAAAAAGGTACCTCGTCAGCTCGTTGAATAGCTTCTTCTGCTTTTTGTCGTCTATATTCTTCATCCAATATTTCATCTTGTGCTCTTCTTGCTTCGTGTTGTTGATCCATATACTAACCCCAAAATAAAAGAACATTTAGTGAATGTGTAATTCTCATGTTCTATTTTTGTTTTATATGTATATTTGTCTTACTTCTCTATATTGTCTCATTTGTTCTTTTCTTCGTAGTTTTTCACCTTTCTTTTTGCCAACCTTTCTAATACGTAAGGCTGTTGCCCCAGTTGATGATCCTTCACCCGCGTTGTCATGTTCGTCATTACTATTGTCAATACCTGAATATGTTGTTTCTAATTCGTCATTCAAATCAGAGTCATTTGTTTCATTTAGAGAAAAGTTGGTTATATTCTGTTGTTGTTCTAATAGATAATAAAAAAACAAACTAGTATTAGTATAGTCATTTGAAAAAATAATGTTTCTTTTTTACCTAGTTGAGAAGTGAAAGATCGGTGTAATTGACGTATATTTAAAAGAAATAGAATGGATAAAAGACATATTATCACAGGAATAAATAAAATATAGGATATATCTTCTTTTGCCATCTAACTAACTAGTAAGACTAATTCCTGAAGAAAAAAAAAAAAAAAAAAAAAAGAGAAAGAAAAAGAATGGAATTTTTTTATTGTCCGCTGTTTTTGGCTTAAATTGCCCTGAATGGATGGATGAATAAAAAGTGTATTACATATGATATTTAATGATGATATTTCGTATATTTTTAATGACAACAAAATAAAAGATCAATGAAACATAATTAATTACTAAAAAGGCAAGAAGGAGATGATTTAGGAAGGGGGGCAATCGAAAATAAAAAGGAGTTCCATTTTAACTTAATAAATTGACTTGGATTTTTTTTGGGCGCTTGAATTGATTTTTTATTTTTTTTTGATGTATTATCTATTTAAGGAATCCATCTCCTTTTGGAACAATATAAAAATACAACGCTTTTTTTCTTTTCTTTTTTTTTTTTTTCTTTTATTTTATTTTTTAACTCTTTCTCCTACTAATATAAATATAAAAAAAAAATATGGATACCTCTCAACTTATTAATACAACTTCATTGGCTATTCGTCGTAATTCTATGAAACAACTTCGTTTATGTATTTTACCCACAACTTCTCAAACTAACATAATAAACAAACGACAAAAATCAACAAATACGAAAAATAATAATATACAACCTCAATATCATTCTTCATATCAACAAGGTCCTCTCGCCATTTTACCTCATCTATATATTGGCAATGAAAAGAATGCACATACTTTATCACATTTGGACGGAATTGATTGTTTATTGAATGTAGCTGCTGAAGTCGACCGACCTGCTTGTACGACGGTAATTCCATGGTCAGATCAATGTGTCAAGACAGGTATGACAACCACCAAAGGATACGTCAAATTAGCGACAGAACAACATGGTGATCAGTTACAGTTAGATGATGCGATGTTATTGATCGATCAGGCTAAATCACACAACAAGGTAGTACTCGTTCATTGTCAATGCGGTGTCGCTCGGTCAGCAACCGTGGTGATCGCTTACATTATGCATTTCCTCCGTATTCCTTTGCATGAAGCTTATACATTTGTCCAACGTCGTGCTCCTGCTATTGGTCCTAATCTATCTCTACTCTATCAACTACAATCTTTGGAATATCGATTGGAACGACTTCATCAAGATCATGTTACAAGAAAACCAATGCGGATCTCAAACGATACAAACAATACCAAGAAAAGGAAACTCTCTGTTACTTGTTAAAAAAAAAAATCAACAATTTATCTTTGATCACCATTTCATCCACCTCAATGTTGGCTAATACTCATTAGAATCTCATCAATCAAACCATTATCAGTAATCGCCCTCATCATCATCATCTCTCTCTCTTTTTTTTTTTTTTTGTTCATAATTATTCATCATCCAACTCTCTCCATTTTATCGATAATTATCACCCTCCTTGATTTCTCGATCTCATTCTCATCTTCATGTACATTATTTATCCTTCCTTACATAGAAATTTTTATTATAGTCTCACGATATTTTGTTTTATCTTAATAATAAAGTTTTTTTTTTTATATATTTTTTTTATTTATTTATCATCCAGTTCATTGATCCTATTGTCCTTCTTTTTTTTGTTCATTCGATATTTTGAAAAAGGAGGTGCAGTATGTGTGCACGTATGTAAGTGAAATGATGATGAATGAATGTAGGAGAGCATGATCATCATTTTCCCTTATCTCCCCCTTGGCAACAAGAACAAGCTTTTCAAGATAATCGTCGGCGTAATGATTATGTCTAATTTCTTTCCACGAATGACAGCGGTCCAAATAGAGTAATAAACATAACCATGAACTTTAAGATACCTCCCGAAAAAAAAAAAAGACGATCAGAAGTGAAGGCCGTTATTTTTCCTGTCATCTTACTTGATATGTAGTTAAAATGTGCAGTAGTTTGTCTTGTACATATACCTTTTCTTTATCCTTTCTATGATATGATTCGATGGATGTCATTATTGTAGCATGATCTTTGACATTTAATCTCAATATGATAAAAAAAAGAAAAAGAAAAAGAAGACTATTTTATTGTGTTGATAAGAATACTATTATACTAATCCACTAAATATTGTTGTATCACTACTACTGTCCGCCAAGAATGAAAGAGTAATTTGTACTTGACACGTTCCACGATGATGATATGTAACCAGAAACTTCCCGTAGAAGAAACTCTTCAAATAAAACACATATGCTATTGTTAGTAAGTCCATCAGAGAATGTTCAGCTTGAAATTAAGGACAACTGTTAAAGGAATATTGCTTAGTTCGATCTCTACAAAAAATATTCCCAAAGAGTGAGTAGAGTATATAATCAATCATACTTCCTTCCTTGATTCCTCTTTTTTTTTTATGATCTGCTTACCTTCAATAACAACAATTAGGTCAATCCTTTTCAGAAGATCTGTTTACTTGGTGAATATTTCGCTTGTTGAAATGTTTGAGCGTTGATGATATCCATCCAGATCATTCCAATCATCCAATTTCGTATTTTGGTAATATAGCCCCCAGAGTATCATATCACCTTGTTTTCCCACATTTCATAATTCATCCAATCCATTCCAAATAGATCCAGCGAAAAACTGTCGCCACGTTGTGCAAATAATTTTTTCAAACAATATCTAGCCGGCGTCGCATACTGTTCCTTCGCTGTAACTTCTTTTTCAAATTTAAGAATAACTTCTGACGCATTCCAAATTAAACCAAAAGAAAAAAAGAAGTGAAAGGTTTAGGATGGGAAAAGTTAGTTTGTCAGAAAAAAAAGAAAAAGAAAGAAAGAAATCGATAAATATAATAGTTTGGTGCTTACGGGAGACACAAGCATATTGAGTGGAGCCTTCCATTTCTTGACTTTGTACAGTATGGAATAGAAACAGCATTGAAGTCGCTACTGGCAACGAGATCTAAGGATAAAAAAAAAATATTCATATAGTCTTGTATTGTTGTATTTGGTTTCCTTTTCTATTTTCCTTTTCACTTACAGAATAACGCGTCGGTTTTTGCCAATAAAAAAAAATAAGTTGCCATTCTTCTTGATGGATTGTATGACCAATAGAGAATAGAATCGTAATGAACGTATCGTTCAATAAACCAAGGGTCGTTAGGTATGTAGAAAAACCATGGTTTAGAAAAATGGGAAAAGACAAAAGAGAGAAAGAAAAATTCATTCCCCTCCCCCACCACGGTTTAACCTTTTTATTTTTTTTAAAAAAAAAAAAAGCATCCAATAAAATTGCCTTTTGTGGACTTTTGAGCATAATCACCCATCATTCATCATCAACCCATTGTTATCTGTTACATATCATTATTTTTCAACCCTCTTTCAATCATTAATGCTACATAGTTAGTGAAACATCTATTTATCGAGATCAAGTCCCTGAAATATTTTTATTATTTGATGGTTTTAGCAGATGGATTGAAATGATCATCATTGAAAAAAAGAAGAACATAGCCTTAGCAACCGGATCGAGAAAGAGAAGGTGTATTCCAAATAGCCACTTCTTGCTTACGACGGGGAATCAGGATACCATTTGTAGTGAATGAAGATGTCCATACATCAGCAACGCCCTATCATTAAAAAAAAAAAAAGGAATCAGTAGTGAATATGGTTAATGCTGTTATTTGTATATGATCCACTTTTTACCTTGTAATTACAATTGTCGGCTAATTGTTCATAAATCTTACTTGCACGGAATCCATTGTCACTAATACCAACATTGTAAGCGAAAATGACCAACGCACCGAATTGATTACAGTTCAAAGGACATTTCAATTGCTTGGTGACGGTATTACATATATAGCTTTCAAAGGATGCGACATCTTGTTTCAACAATGCTGCTCCTTCTGCTTCAGTAATAGGAGATTGGATATTTTTACAATGGGTGGCGTCACTAGATGAGAAATCATCATCATTGTTCGGATGAATAGTTGATTATTGGAATAAATAAATAAATATATATATATATATTATAAAGAGATCTACTTACGCATCACAATTGTGACCATAGCCAATAGTCTTGTGCCGTAACAAAAGAAAAATCAAAAAAGAAAAACGAGGTTAAGAAAAAGTATATATATATATATAAAAAGTTGATCATCTAATCATGATACTTATCAAGTCCATCATCATAAAAATTGGGATTCCAGCCTTCAAGTTGTTTGAGAAGTGAAAGACTTTTTTCATTCAAATGACCACCACATCCCACATTGGGAGGAGGATGAGGTGGTGGTGGAGTGGATGAACAACGCTTCAAAAGAAATAAAAAAAAAAAAAAAAAAAAAAAAAAAGGTTAGCCTCCATTAGCTATATCGTTTTTGATAAGATATACCTTGAGTTGAGGATCAAATCCATCATAACCAGTCTTGACATAAACATCAGGAAGATAATAAGTACCATCTATAATCAAAGACAAAAAAAAAAAAAAAAAAGGCGAACATGATTGAAAAATAATGATGATGATGGATGGATAAATGCAGATTTAATTTGTCAGTACTGAATCCAATTTTTTTTTTTTTTTTTTTTTTTTTACCATAATCCCAAATCTTGCTACCATAAATTACGTCTCCGGTAGTCTGGCATTTAACTAAGAAAAAAAAAAAGTATGAAGATGAAATAAAAATATGATGATCCATTCTTTTTATTGTTGATTTACCTTTGATGCAATCGCCTTTTTTATAGATATTGGTAACTCTTTTAGCATAGACGCCAGGAGAGGTGCGTCCATCTAAATCCTCCTTGGCGATAATGGAACAGCTTTCACTAGCTATTGAGCCGGTAACTAGCAATAAACAGCTGATGATGGAAAGATTGAATTTCATTCTATATAACCAAAATAAGAAAAATAAAATGTAGAAAGAAAAAGAGAAAGAGAGAAAAAAAAGTTTACATTTATTACATTTTCTGTATAATTCAGAAGAAAACGATACTGTAGTTGGGCATGTCCTAAAAAGGAAGGTCTGTACTCCACTTCATTTAAATTCTGCTCTCTCTGTGGCTCATTTTGGTAAAGAAGAGACAAAGGCAACGTGGTTCCTCAAGAAAAAAAAGAAAAAGATGACTACATTGATTATTACACAGCCACTTCTTTTTTTTTTTTTATTTCTTTCTTTTCTCCGATGTTCTATTTTGTCAAATGTTTCGACGATAGGTCAATGCATCCTCATATTGTTAGAATGCCATTGTCATATGCACATGCAAATTCAATACTATCATCGCATTTCTAGATGTTAGCATTGATGATCTGATTTTGTCATATTTTATTGTCACTGTTGAGATGATTCTAAACGAACTATAAAAAAAAAATATCCAACATATTGCATTACATTGATTCAAAAGCTCGATTCTTTTATTATTCAATTTCATGTCATATAATATAAAATGATCTATTCTAAAATAGGGGATGACGATGTAGTTTCAGGGGATGAAGTAGGTGAATGATTGCTAAAAGGTGATAAGATATTCTGAGCTTGTTGGATCTACAATAGAAAAAAAAATTCAATCAATACAATCGTTTCAATCTTTTCTCATTCATTTACCCTCTTTGTTAGTTTGACAACAGAAGTATCAATCAAGATGACTTGCCATGCAAATTCCAAATCGAACATCACCGTGATCATATATGCTAGCCGTTTTGCTTCTTCATCAGTCAAAATAAAAGAGTCCACCATTGACATAGGCATGCGTTCCACATCATTTCCCATTACATGTTGTATCGATTTCATGACACAGAGGGATAAAGCATCAGTATCCTTAATACTAGGGACAGAAGGAACTAAAAAAAAAAGGTATTAATGATATATAAAAAAAAAGGTGTCACTGTTCAGTAACGATGATTACGATGATGATGATGATGATAATGTGATTTACCTGTAATTTCAAACGGTCTTGATATTGCCAAGATTCGATAGGATGTACCAAAATGAAGTCTGCATTCATACCAACCAAGCTCCCATGGTAGTTGTGATCCTTTGAAAGTAAGAGTACCTTTTTCCTTGTGCGATTCATTGTCCTCTCTTCCATTTTTGCCTTCATTGAGCCAATGCCAACGTCCATTAGAACTGATTGTTGTCATTTGTTGACCATAATTATCTAGCTTAATGTCACTGTCACGGGTTTTCGAATAATTTTTCACTTTAGATGATGTTGATGTCGTTTTGTATATGCCAATCCAGTTCTTTTGATGATATTTCCTTTGCTCATAAGAGGAACAAACTATTTCCCAATCAACTTTGATAGGCGTACCAAGATTCCATTGTTCTTGAATATAAATGCCATAGTCTGCATTCTGACAGTCTTTCAATTGACGTGAGGATGATGATAATGCAGTTGTGTTATGTTGCTGACTCGGCGCTGATGGAGGTTCCATGGAATTTTTTGCTTCTATCATCAAATTCTTGATATGTGGTCCTGCTACAAAATAATAATAAGAATAATGGATATACAATATTAGTCATGTATATTTTATCTTGTTCTTCTTTCTTCTTTCTTTTCTTTTCTTTTCTTTTTTTTTTTTTTTTTTTTTTTTTTGCTTACCGGTGATGGTATCACCTACAGAGCTAACAGTCCCTTCGATGGCCTTTTCCACTCTTTGTAAAATGGGAATGGTGTTGTTATCTTGCTGTTTTTGTTGCTGATTGGGAACCAATTTGATAAGTTCTTGAAGTTTTTCAGGGAATGTTTTTGGTAGTGAATTGGCTGCTGATCGTAATGTTTTTGTCAGTCCTGCTTCTGAACGAATTTGGTCACCATATAACTTTTGCATATGAGGTCTACAAAAAAAAAAAAAAAAAAAAGGTAAAGATCAACGTCATAAATCACTTGATTATTATTATTATTATTATTTTTACCCTTCAACATAATGTAAAAATAAAACATTAGATAACTGCGAGAATAAAGCTAGACCATAGATAATCCAATTGTTTGTGATTAAAGTCATTCCCCAAAATGCAGCATGACCCATGATCTTTTCAGGATTGTTCAAAAATCTATAAATTTCAAAAAAAAAAAAAAAAAAAGAAAGAAAGAAAAAGTTGAATTGGAATTATTTTAATTACTCTCCCATCCTGTATACGATTTCTATGCCTTTACCTATATATTCCAGTATATAATAAGGTATTCCGATGTTGATCAATAAAGAAATCCCCATAGAACCATCCAAAGTCACCTAACACTTCAAAGATAGAAACAGATGTCCAAATATGTAAAGAGATGAATACCTAATAAAGAAAAAGAAAAAAATAAGAGAAAAATAAATAATAAAAAAAAAGCTTATTATAATGATTACCAATCCAAGGATATGACGCAACAGAGTGGTACCATATGTCCAATCTAGAGGTAGAGAGTATGATTTCCAACAGGCCATAAAGAAAGTGATATATGTCATACAAAGGGATAGGTTGAATATACTCTTCCAATTCTGGAAAGCATCTACTTGATTGCCACCCCATTTGACAAAGTGTCGAGTAAAGAATTTGGTTGTTGATTGAGCCCAAAGTAGAGTACCTAAACCACCAGAATAAATCACACGCCATATAAATGCTTGGAGAAGTGCAGCAGTAATACCCATTTGATCAGGCAGGAGTAAAGGAAGTAAGATAGAATAGACCATTACCATCAATGAGACTAAATCTGTCGATCGAAATATATCCAAGTTTTGAAATACAATCATATCAGATCGAATCCAAGAAGAAGAAATATCTCGACCAGCATTCTTATCCAGAGCCAACATCATATGCTTCACATCATCATCCAAGGTCATATTCATTCTGGGTTGTCTTCTCTGTATCTTGCGAGGATTATAAATCTTTTCAATATCTATTAAAAAAACAAAAGAAAAAAAAAATTCAAATGAGTATAAAAAGTCAATAATGATAACTTCTTTTCTTTTTTTTTTTTCTTACGTGGTGTTTCTACCAAGATCAAGAATGCAAATTGTAAGACATGAGCGGCAATACTAACAAACAATACCATATAACTCGCACTGATCAATGATAATCCATAATAACCAAAATACCCAATAGAATACATAGGGTGAGGAGCCATTTCAAATACACCATCAAAAGTAAGAGATTGTTCTATCACGAAGAAAAAGTCACCCCAATCTAATAAAAATAAAAATAAATAAAAATGGAATTAATATACATATATATATATATATAATGATATAAAATCTTACACCAAGCAAAGTCTTTCACTACACGATGAGCATCCAATTTCACCCAGATATTGAACAAAATCAAAAATAAACCACCAGTCCATCGCAATAGATCACCTAACATAAAGTAAAAGGAAGAAGAAGAATAAGACCAGTTGAACCAAGATAATACAAAGAAGAAGTAGCTAGCAAAATCATTCATCAATATCAGATCTACTAGCTGTCGAAAGAGAAGCCAAGTATTGTATTCAAGAGGCACCTTTTCAAACTGATAATCAGAATCCATCTTGATTGATAATTGTCTCTTCAACCAATATGACCATGATTGTTGTCCAGTCAACTGTATATCAAAAAGTCGATAATGATGACAGAGTTCCACAAGCCCACAAGAATCGCTTTGATATTTTAATAATAATCCAAGACCAATATTATACGATAAACGCCAAAATAGATAGAGTCCCAAAAGTATATATCTTGAAATAGATACAGGAAGACACAACCATAGTAAACAAGGAATAGTCATACAACCTAATGTGATCAAGTCAAATACTGATTTCGGTTCCAAAGGATTTAAAAGTGTTGTCACCATATCATGAGTTGAAGGAACACGAAAAACTAGAGTTAACAGTTTATTATAAAGACAGTATAGTGAATACATTGTTTTATCATTCCTTTTTTTTTTTTTTTACTTTGACCACTTGGGGTTTTGCCAATAGAAGGACGTTGCTGTTTCTCTTCTGTTCTATCTTTTTCTTCTTTTTCTACCAAAGGAGTATGTTTGGGTTGACCAAACCGTTGTCTAAGTTTATTTTCATTATCCATTATGTTGAAAATGGGAAGTAGGTTAAAGAAGAAGAAGAAGAAGAAGAAGAAGAAAAAAAAAAGAAAAGGGAAAAAGTACAAAAAAGTAGAGGGGAGTCAAGGTTTCCAAATATAGGCTTCGGCGGTTGAATAGAGTAGTGAGAGAAACACCAACAGAATTCTTTCAAAACGATGACGCCTTTTTTTCTTGCATTAATAATATATATTATTTATTATAATCTTCAAAAATAGTCATTTCTTCCTCTTTTTAGTCTTTATGAATCACTTGATTACTTGTTAAAAGGAATATTCATTCATTTATCTCTTTTCCCACGAAGGTACAATATGCAAGCCAAAGAAGTCCATGTATCGTGAGAACTCTTTTTCTTTTTTCGTGCTTCAAGCTCAGCTGTCAAACCCCTTTGATATTTGTGATATATATATATATATAAATTCTTTTATTTCATCATTTATAGTAACATACATACATACGAAAAAAAAAAAAACAAATCTAAGATATCCTATTCAATAAACCAACACCAACTAAAAAGACAATCACCTTGAAACGAGGATCCGAAAGTATTCTATATCCAAGAGAGGGAGCGGTTGGTATACCAGTGTCATCTTCTATTTCATCCACATTGACTACATTTGTATCGCCATTGTCATTGACTTTTCCTTTTACTTGTGATTGTTCTTCTAACGTATTATTATTTCCTGTCGTTGTTGTTGTTTCTATAACTGATTGAGGCGCTGATGATGGTGATGTTGATGAGGTGGGTAGAAGGGGTACAGCTTGATATTCACGAGAGTTTCCATGAGATCTTTGTTGTTGTGTCCCCATCAAAAGGTCCGTACAAATCCATCGAGTTAATTCTCCAGTTGTTTGACTAATATAATAACATACAAACACAAAGAGTAATGTTGACACCATCAAATTTGTATACCATCCGATAGAAGACCTGGCTACCCAAGCACTATTAGGAATCACTACCAAGAGTCCTTTTGTATCACCTGCTAGCCACATATGGAATTGCCCAATGAATGTTTCCAGAGAGATTTTACCGATAAAGATGAAAAATCGTGAGGAAGTATTGCGAAGTCGTACCGTAGCATTGCGTAAAAATACAAATGCCAAAATAGGAATCCAAGATATATAAGGTTGAGCATGATTGTAAACAAATTTGTTCTCACGCGTTAGTTCAAAATAAAAGTACCACATCAAACATATTGCAGAACTTATCAAGACACCCTTTTTGATCTTGCCAAAGGAAACATGATCCATCCATTTGAGTTCTACACATTTGATATAAGCGAATGCACTGATCATACCAACATAGACTATAAGACCATCCAATGATAACCGGAACCGCCATTCTTGTGCATTCCATTGAATATTAAAAAGTAACCGTAAAATATCAAATACAAATTCCATAACACCAGGAGTATTGATCAAAGCTGTTGTTACCATAGCAGCAATAGCAATTTTGGCGCTCATGAATTTCACATTGTTATTATTGCTGTGTCCGATATACATTGTTAAGTAGATAATCCCAAACCAAAAAGAAACCAAAGGTGTAAAGTAGTAGCTAAGGTAGTCGGTATCCATTAAATATTGAAGAACAAAAGTCAAAAAGTTCAGTCGTACCATCACATTTAATACACGTGCCAGTCCAAAATCGGCTTTTTTGTAAAAGAAGAAAAAGTGACCATAACCAGTTTGGAAGAGATAAGCAGCTACCAAGATTCGAACAGCATTGTAAATCCCTGAGGTCCCAGATGCACCAACAAAATGGTAGATAAGAATAATGACCTGCATCCATCCTTTCCATTCATCCGTTTGATCACGATTCAAGAATCCTAAATCCACACCTTCTTTCTTGTTACTTTGAAGTGTCACCAAGCCAGCCATCACCACAAATATTGTCATAAGGAATGTAAATGTTGTACTATCATAATGTTTGTGAATTTTTCCAAAGAGTTGTGTACGATCACCAAAATACATATAAATCACACCAAGTCCAAAAATAAAGAGAGCATTGAGGACCTTTTCAGAAGGTACTAATCTTGAGAGTCCTATATAGCAACATATTATATTAGTTCAATTTTAGTATGTCCTACTCTTTTGATTTATCTTTTACTTACCACTATCACAAATATAGAATCCAATAGGAACCAAAATCAAGAATAAGATAAAAAATATATTTTGATACCATCGAGGTTTGGGATAATGGAAACAACAAGTGGTATCATAAGGAAAATGTTTGGGTCGAACATCATTACATCGATAATTGAGAGCCAGTTGAACTTGAGCATTCGTAACAATGGGGTCATAATGTAAACCATCTTGAGTAACGTTGATTGAAGAAGAAATGATTTTGTTCCAAACAAAAGGAATGGCGAATGGTGTATGAGCATTTTCAATGTTGGAACGTTGAGAAGCAAGATAGTCGTTCATAGCTTTGACTTTTTCTGGAGTGATAGTCGCAGAGCGATTAGGATTAAGTTGATCAAACTGAGGTATTTCCATAGGAGACATAATCACAGCATCAGCTAAGCGTGAAGATAGTTGAACTGCATCTAGTACTTTATCTATACTTGTTTGCCATTGGTCCATGTAATTAGTTTCTTCCAAGTAACGCATATGCCAAGATCCAGCACCCACTACAAGTAAACTAGGACGAATATCATCAATAGAACCAGGTTGTTGGAAGAATTGTGTTGTTCTAGTATCGTTGAGGTAAGGATCCCACCAAAATTCAAAAATAAGACCTTCTTCAGTAAATTCGTATTTTCTATCAATATGTTTTTCGCCGTCAGTTTCGATATCTGGATGAATAAGTTTTGCAAATGAAAAGAATTGTTGTCTAGCAATAGAATCACCAATATAAAGAATACGTGAATGGTTGAGACAGGTTGCTACTTGGTCAGGTTTGTAGGTATGCATCATACAGCCAGAAGGTTGCCATTGTTGATAGGTATCAGAATTGAGCCAAGAACCATCATCTAGCATACTTTCACAGCGAGTTCTATCATTTGCATCTATCAAATATATATATATATTATAAGTATTGTTCCTTTTTTTTTTTTTTTTTTTACCAAAAAGGAACCGGGTTAATGCAGAAAAGATCACCAGACAAAAAGTTAAACATAAACCTAATTGTAAAAACTTGGTTTGTATTGTTGATGAAGTACCCATTGTCAGGATCGTTCAATAAAAGGAATGGAAGTTTGAGATGATGGAAATAAAGAACAAAAAAAAAAAAAAAAAGAAAAATATGGTCTAGAATAACGAAAAGGGGTAAAGTATACATTTTTTTTTTTGGAATCAAGCGGAATCTGAATATAGAGAATTTTATCCAAAATGCAAGCTTGAAAGTGTCACTCATTCTGAATCATTTTTGAGAGTCTACTTCGCCGCTTTTTTTTCTTTTTCTTTTCTTTATTTAATATTTCATTGATATTATTACGCTTTTTTTTTTTATCTATTTTATATGAAAATTTTACCTTGAACCAAAAAAAAAAAAGTTATTTACTTCATTTATATATATATATATGTTTCATGTAAGGACTTTTTTTTTCTTATATAGATGTTTAGTTATTAATTCATCTTTTCTTGTTTTTTGCATAGTTACGTTATGCATAGTAAGAAAAAAGACCATGTGATAAAAGATATATGGCATCATCATCATACAATGGGATGTTTCCCTCCTGAAGTAGATCATCAAGGCAATATTGAATACAAGGTAAATGAATCAACAATATATTAACATTTAATAATATATTCTTTCCTCTCAATTATTACTATTATTATTATTTTTGTGTAGTTAAAATTGGTCGATCCATCGGAAGAACGCCTAGAACATTTGATTACACAGTTGAAATGGAGGTAAGTATAACGAGAAAAAAAAAAGGAATTGATAACTACATCATCATCATATATCTGTCTTACATATTATTATTTATAGATTGACAGAAGGTGAAGGACAAGCATTGTATGAATTGGGTGTAAATGATAATGGTTCACTTACTGGTAAGGAATAAATATTCTTATTCTATAGTTTATGGTAATTTTATAAACTAAACTGATTTTTTATTTTATTTTATTTTATTGTTAAAAAAAAAAAAAGGACTATCAGATCAAGATATGACTGCAACTTTGAATACTCTTCGACGAATGGCCGCAGCTTTGAATGCAGAAGTCTCTATTGTACAGGAAATGAAAATCAATCAACCAACTCATTTGAACAACAACTACAAAAAAATGAATGATTCAAAAAAGAAAAACAAAAAGAAACAAAGCACGAATGAAGTCAATAATAATGATACTCAACCAAGATGTATTATCGAAGCTTTGGTACGACTGCGGACACCTTTGGATTTACCTACATATACTGATATTCGAATGGCCATCATAGGGGATACTGGTAGTGGCAAATCTACTTTTCTTGCTCATATTAGTCATGGCATCAAAGATACAGGTCATGGGACAGCTCGTATCAGTCTTTTACGCCATCCACACGAAATTGAAACTGGTAACACGTCCTCCATTGCTCACGAAATGATTGGTTACACTGCTGATGGTATTTTGGTCAATAGTGCCTCTTCTTCTTCTTCTTCCTTTGATGACGCTTATTTTTTCAATGACAATAATGATTATTTGGACTCTTATACTTGGGAACAAATTTGTGCTACAAGTAGTAAAGTGGTAACCTTCCTTGATACTTGTGGTCATTCTAAATATTTACGTACGACAATCTCTGCTCTGACTGGATATGCTCCGGATTATGCATTATTGGTGGTATCGGCAACTCTTGGTGACTCTGCTGTGACAGAAATGACTAAAGAACACATTTCTTTAGTGCTTATGTTAGATGTTCCTCTCTCTGTGGTAATAACCAAAATCGACTTGGCAACCAATGATCAAATTCAGTCCTGTATTCAAGCTCTTCAAGCATTTCTTTCTTCTATGACTGGTGTCCATCATCAACGTCGTTTACCTGTGGTTATCACTCCTTTCCCATTTCAAGAAAAGAATAATAATAATAATCAAGAACAACAAAATCTTATTGGTGTTCATAGTGCAACGAACGCTGCTTCTGCAATGATGGATGATGAATCAACAATACCTATATTTTTGGTCTCTAATGTCACTGGTGCTTATATGAATTTGGTCCATTCCTTCCTAAATGCATTGGCAAAACCAACTCGCAAGAAATCCTTATCTTCATTGACCTCCTCCAATCTTCTTGAAGAACCTGTGGAATTTCAAATCGAACAAGTCTACACATTATCGGATGTTGGTATTGTTATAGGGGGTGTTCTACGTCAAGGTCGTATCAATATTCATGATCCTGAACAATCTCGTACCTTTGCACTTGGTCCCAACAGTCAAGGTCATTTTATTCAAGCTACTGTTGTCTCTATTCATCGTCATCGTATATCTTCCCATTATGTACATTGTGGACAAACTGCTTCACTCGCCATAAAACTGACATCATCATCATCATCATCTATAGACGAACGACGTCAACAACAACAACATCATCACTCATGGGGTAAAATCAAGAAAGGTATGGTGTTACTAGCTATCAATGATGATCGTCCACCTGAAAGTTATACCATCTTTGAAGCAAGTGTACTTGTATTATATCATGCAACAGGATTAAAAAAGGGGACTTGTGGAATGTTACGATCTGGCTTTATACGTCAACAGGCACGTGTCATAGATATACAACAAGGGCAACAAACTGATGATGATGTAGTAGTGACTTCGGGACAACAAGCAACATGTGTATTTCAACTATTGGGTGATCCTGAATACTTACGATTAGAAGCGCAATTTTTGTTTTTAGAAGGTTCTTTCAAATGTCTAGGCAGCATCACCAAGTTAGTGGGGAAAGTCACAGGCAAATGGATTAAATAAATAGAAAGATAGATAGACTTTTTTTATTGTTATTCTTTATTTCCCTTATTTATATTTCTTTATTTACTATTTACTTTTTTATTTGTTTATTTATTTATTTTGTATTGAAATAAAAACAAGTTGATGAATGATGATGATTTTTTTTGTGGGGTATAAAAGGAGAAAGAAAAAAAAAAAGTTGTGAACCACAATTTAAGATTAAAGAGCGGGAGAAATAATAGGACAAGACTACAACATATTTTTTTTTTCTATTATCGGACGTTCTTCTTTCGAATAGTGTGTGTGGCTTCGACCCTGTCGGGCTCGTTGTATACTGTTTTTCAATTGGAATGATCTCAGATGAACAAATTCGTTCTCCACATTAGTTTCTTCCTACTCTTTTTTTGAGTAACCTTCAGAAGATCCTAGTACTATTTTCACGCGAAGATATTTTTTACTTATAGTTTGGAAGAAAAATGAAAATAGGAATAAAAAAAAAGAAATTGATATGTTTCGAATTACAATCTTCTTATTCATGCAAATTGAATAGTAAAAGAATATAATTTTATTAAGTTGTCAATCAAAAAAAAAAAAAAAAGAGGAATAAATGGGTAAATAGACGAGATGTCAATATCTAATAATATGAGGTATATAAATCAAGATAAGTGTGTAAAGGGAATATGAGTAGAGATAACAACAATGATAAAAAAAAAAGGGAAAATCAAAATACAAGATAAGACCAAGATAAGAAGAAAGATTCATTCTTTGTTCACACGACGAATCCATGGTAAACGAGGTGCCTGTATATCAATGGTCGATGTTGGTGGTCCTGATCCATTCCTGCCATTGCGTTCATTTCTATCACGAATATCACGTATCTTTCTTACAAGAGGAATCCACATCTTTTCTTGTCCATATGTCATATACCATAATCCAAATCCTGCCCCTCCAAGATGTGCCTATCCATCAGATGTATTGTAATAATAATAGTAATAATAAAGAAAACATCGTTAATCATCCACTTCCTTTCATATATCCTACTGATACTTACGTAATGATCAAACAGTCGCCATTGAAATAAAATCCCAGTTATGTCAACAGTAAGTAATCCTGGTAAAATAGTACTAAACAATAAAAAAAAAAAAAAAGAAAGATGAGTTTTCCAAGTCAATCGATGTGTATTCATTGATAATACCTATATTCAATCGGTAGCCGTGGAATCAAATCAATGGTATAATGTGGATGAAGGGCAGTGACAGCAGCAAGGCAACTATAGACAGTACCACTTGCCCCTAAACTTGTAGAAGAAGGAAGAAGAAGGATGGGACGATATCGACGCGTAAGTAAGCCCAAGATGCGAGATATAGTTGCGCTGGTCACGGCAGAAGAGAAGTAAAATGCCAAGAATTGTTGTCTACCGAGAATATCATGTAAAGCTGTACCAAAATACCAGAGAGCTATCATGTTGACTGTCAGAGGCAATAGATGTTGATGAGAAAAGTTGGAAGCAATGAGAGTCAAGTTGCGAGGACCCACACACCATACAGGATGATTAGTAAACCAACGAGTCATAAAAGGTTGACATTTCAGAGGTAGTAGTCGCCATCCTACAAATACCAACACATTCAATCCAATCAATCCACTCAAAGTGCGTTGACTAGGTGATGAGAATTTTTCCAAATACAGTTGCTGACATTGATAAACTTGATATTTTGCCCACGATTCAAGCATTCCAATAGCCGTACTGATGCCTCCAAGCCTTCCCGGATCTTCCCGTCGTTGTTGTTGTTTTTCCAGTTTATCACTTTGTTGTTGCTGTTGTTGTTGTCGAGACAAAGATGCTGATATTGCTGCAGTTTCTTCTTGTCGTTGTTGTTGTCGAGTCCTAGTTATTGCCCTGTATTGATCATCATGTTGTCGTCGCCATTCCGCTGCTTTAAAAGTATCGTCATCCACACTATTGCGTAGTTTCTTTCGTAACTGTTCACGTCGATGCTGTGATTGTCGCCATAAAAAGGTTTGTTCTCGTTCATAACTAGAAGCTGCCATTAAGAAACTACCTCCTATAGCCACAAGTGCAAATAATGAAGGAGCAAGGTAATGTTTCCATAAGCGAATATCATGAGAAGTCATTGGTATAGATGCCTTTGCTGTTGAAGGTGTTTTTGATGTTGGTGTGTGTGATGAAGGAGTTGTTGAGGTTACTTGAGTATTGGACTTTGATGGACTGCTGTTGTTCGAGAAATGGAACGAGTGATATTTTCCCCGTAAGATAACCTTGTTTCGTACTATGACATCATGATGAGTAGAGAATATAAATAATTTAAAACGTGAAGAGGTTGGATGATGTTTGATATTCCACATGAATGTTTGAAAAGAAAGGAAAAAAAAAAGAAAAGAAAAGAAAAAAAAAAGGAAAAAGAAGCATGAAAAACTGCATCCATTCATTCCCATTCATAACGGAGCTTTAAAACCCATTGAAGCCACTAACAGCAGTGAATTTTTTTTTCTTTCTCATTCTTTCCTTTTCTTTTCTTTCTTACAGATACACACACACACACTCACCATGGCAATTAATAATAAAGCTCAAGATCTTTTAGGACTTCATGAAAGTGATAACGATTCAAGTATTGAAGAAGAATTGGTAGAACGTGAAGATACTCGATTCAACATTAAACAACTTCGACAGAAAGGAAACAATAGCGAATCTGAAGATAACGACGACGACGATGACAATGAAGATCAAGACGTTGATAAAGAAGAAGATGAAAGTGAACATTCAGATCACGACAATGAAGACGATGGAAATGATGATCCTTTGGCGGAAGAAGCAACATCCAAGAAACGAAAGAAGACCAAACTCAAGCCCATGACCCCAGCCGAACTTGAAGAACTTGAACTAGCCAATAAACGTAGTGGTGTTTGTTATTTATCTCGTGTACCTCCTTTTATGACTCCCAAACGTGTACGATCTTTGTTGAGCAAGTTTGCAGAATTGGGCAAGTTATATTTGGCACCTGAAGGTAAAACTGTCTTTTTTTTTTTTTTTTTTGATCTTTACTGACGATTTCTGTGTTTATGATAGATCCAAAAATCACAGCAAGACGTCGAAAATATTCCAAAAATAGAAGAGTTAATTATACCGAAGGTTGGGTGGAATTCAAGGATAAAAGAAAGGCAAAGGCTTTGGCTGAACATTTGAATATGCGACAAATAGGTAAAAGGGAAAAAGATATATATAAATAAATATCTTACTGTATTTCATTCTAATTTAGGTGGAAAACGAACATCACAACATTTTCATGAAATGTGGAATATCAAATACTTGCCAAAATTCAAATGGAGGCACTTGACAGAACAATTTGGTAAGAAAGAAGAAAAAGAAAAAAAAAGATTGAAGATGAAGAAGGTACTCAAAAACCTCTTTTCTTTTTTTTATCTGTTTTACAATCTTCTTAATAGCTTATGAAAGACGAGCTCGACAGGAACGATTACGGGCTGAAATGGCGCAAGCTGCTAGGGAAAATAAAGCATATATGCTTAATGTGGACAAGGCGAAGAAGATGGAACATATTCAAGAAAGAAAACGGAAACGTGGTCAAGATATTAATACTGATGGTACAGAAGCTCGTCGTATGTTCCGACAACGTGATATGGTGAATCGTGAAGGTGCTACTGGTCAGGCAGCAAAGAAATCATTAGATAGAGTAGAGGATCCTGGATTGAAGAATGTATTAGGACAAGTTTTTGGTCAATAAAGTTTATTAGTTTTGCATTATACTGTCCTTTTTTTTTTTTTTTTTTTTGATGAATGAATGATGTTGACTGGGAATATTATGTTTTTCACGAGGACTTTTTATTAATATATAATTAATTTGGGTTTGGTCATTCAATCAAACAATAGATATAGATTTTATAAAAGTCAGATTGCTTTATTCTAGAAACATGAAGACTCAGGTCAAATGATAAGGAATATGTATATGAGTGACGAACGACTTGACGTCATACGGATGATCGAAGTTCATGATATGTATAGCTTGGATGTAATTTTATTTCATTTGGGATATATCTTTTCTTTAAAAAAAATAATCAAAGAATGATATCATCATGTGCGATTGATAAGGGATTTCGGTTTTTTTCCGGATATTAAGCCATGTTGGATGCATGAAATTCAGATATTTGTCATTTTGTAAGGCAAATTGCGTGCTAAAATGTTACGGATACAACTTGTATCAAAATAGGATTAGTAAATTCAGAATCTTCAACTTCAAAAAAAAAAAAAAAAAAATCCATACATCAGTAATCATCTTCAATATGCCATACGAATCATCATAAAATTATACCCAGATATCTTGAAGATAAAAAAAAAAGAATTACTTCTTCAGCAGGTGGTAGTTTATTTTGAAAATAAGCAAAAAAAAAATGTACACTGATCTAATGATATATGTATATATATATATATATATATATATATATATGATTAACTAACTAACTAATTGTAGCTAATTGGAGGTCTTTTGTTGATGTTCCAGAACCCGAGACTTTCGACCCTGATCCAATTGTACCGTATAATCATAAGTTTCCTTGGTCAAGACTCGTTCTCCAAATGACAAGGCGACTAAACGACAAAGGTTCATTCGCATCATTAAATCTTCCTGGCTTGGTAAAGGAGCTTGTCGTTCAGAAGCTTGTTTTCGTTCTTTCACAAAATCATCTTGAATATACTATCAGATCATTGAACGACAAATAAAAGACAATAAGAAATGACTTGCATCAGTTAATGTACTATTTTTTTTTTATTGACTTACCTGAGAGACATTGTCTGGAATTTCATAGGAGGCATGTTTCGAGGCCTGTAAATAGATTCTAAATACTTCTAACTCTTCTTTGGGAGGTGATGTCCGATTTTCCGCTTGATTTTGTTCCAAGGCATAGTCTGGTTTCAGAGGAATGACGCAGTGATTCTACAAAAAAAAAAAAAAGATAAGATTAACGGATATAAAAAATCAATTTTGTTTAACTGTTTCACATACTGGCAATAAAGACTTTCCACTAGATAAAGTAATAAAGCTCAAATCCATATCAAAATCAAATTGACTATAAGGAAATCCATACGTCAGGGTTTGATGTTGTATGACGTTGATCAAAGCCTGCATATTTCTAACCCCTGTATCACCTAATTGACCTTCGGATAATTCATTTTCATCCACCAAGACATGTGTTCCTGGTACCAATTGTAAAACACCAGATATCAGATCCTCATTGACACTTTGAGGAGAGAATCGAGATTTGTTAAGAACATCCAAAGTCAATGGAATAGATACTTGATGAAGAACAAGATTGGATATCATATTAGCCACCGATTGACTAGGACCATTTGATAATTGTAAAGAGGACGTCGATTTCTGGGGGACAGGGTCAGATGAAGGGTGAAAATTCGTAATGTTGAGACAAAATTGACCTATTTTCAAACCATGTCTTTGAGTTGATCTAATGTTTTTTTAAAAAAAAAAAAAAAATTAGAAAGAGATAAATTTAGTATCATTATTCTATATTTAACTCTATAGTTTCTAACCCAGGTTTCCTTTTTTTATTAATAACAAAACTTACACTTTTGATAACAATTGTAACAAGACAAATTCAGCAACCAACATATCACCACCAAAATAAGATGCTATATAATCGATTAAAGGACCTCGTATATCCCTTGATTGAAGAGCCATATCATCCAATTGAGATTTTGTAAAAGGAGCACCAGATTTTCCATCGATAGTTGAATAAGTAATAGCATGAATGACTGGGACATCTTTGTATTGAGTCAAATGAGTATCAAATTGTGCTTCAGGGTCCATAGTATCAACCATATTTGAATCAGAGGAACCTAATATACCAATCACATCTACCAATTGACCTACACGAAGAGATTCTGAATCATGATAAAACTTGATAATAGCAGCAGTATGATGTGTTCCTGGAAGTGGGAATTTTTGAGGTAATGGTGTTGGTTTTTCTTGAATATTAATATTGTTCAAAGCTTCTGTGATATCTATAGAAAGAAGTTAGATAAGGAGAATTAGTCTATTTTGATATATATATGTATATAAAGAAAATGAAGAAAACTGAGTTTTTTGTTTTTGTTTTTTTTGGTACCTGAAGTGGAGGAATTCTTTAACCATGAGGTTTCACCAGGAGGAGAGACACAGTAAACAATCGTTCGTTCACAAAGATGATCGGTTGGAATAACATTTTCTTGATTTGTCTATAATAATGATTGTAAAAATAGAATCAATTTTCTTTGTAAAAAAAAAAAAAAAAAAAAAAAAAAGCAACCTTACATCTATGTCCACGAGATCATCAGTATAACGGTAGCACAAAGTTTTTTGAATACCATTTTCATGCTTTGTATAAGCACTGACAAACATCTCTTGTCCTAAACCAGTATCTTGTAGCATACAACGGAAGCGAACTAAGGAATTTTTTTTTATTGAAGAAACAGATACTTGATTCAGGGAAGGTATCTAATATAAATCTGTTAGTTTTAATTCTATTATTTATTATCTTTAAATAATAATAATAAACAAATTACCATGGTCAAATCTTTTTGATCTTTGAATAGATTAGCAAAATAAGAAGAAGGATTGAAATCTATAGGCGTTGAACCAGGTTCTTTCATATATTCATCTATTACAAAATAGGTTTAGTATACTTTCTTTTTTCTTAAATAATAATAAAATATCAATTTCTTTACCAAAAAGAGTAGAAATAAGATGAAGTGGTTGTTGAATAGTATTTTGTAAAGTCATAGTTTAGTGATAATATAAAATAGAGTTGACCCGCAGTGAAAAATGGAAGAAGAAGGACAAAAAAAAAATTTTCTGACGGAGAGAAAAAAAAAATGGCTCAAGAAAGAGACAGAGAGATCAAAAAGGTACGAAACTAGTCGACCAATGATCCCATAAAAATTAGGGTTAAATCAGCGCTTTTTTTTTCTTTCCACTACTTTCTTTTTCTTTTCTTTTCTTTTTTCCTTTTTTTTTTTTTTTTTTTTTTTTTTATCTAAAATATAATAAAAATAAATAAATAAATATTATATATATATATTCCTCATGTTACCACAAGAAGTGGATAGTTCATCTGGATTATGGTCAAATAACTCAAGTAATGCTTCTCTACACGAATATACCCTTCCTCAACAAAGTGAAAATAACAACAGGAATAGTATTGGACTAGGTGATATTTCCGTAGGTGATATTCTTGAAATTTATAAACATGATACCGAATTATTGAAACATATTTTAATGGCAAAAGCTGAAGAAGATAAAGTAAAGTATCTATTATAACATATTATATTTTTTTTGTCACATGATACCCGGATATATATTTATTAATAATATTATTATTATTATAGCGACGAGCAGCTGAAGAAGTACGAAGAACTGAAGAGGCACGATTACAAAGCAAATACCTGGATCTTGGATGGGAACAACAGAAACGTATTAGTGATCCTTCAGCTTTTACAAATGATTTTCTTAGTGGTTCCTTAGGTATGAATTATATATATATTATAAATGAAACTGATAATTAAAAATGATCGAAAAAATAATAACACTTTATTTAGGTTCCCTTGCTGTATCCTCTACTGATGGTGTTTCTGATTGGCTTTCTATTCCCCCTAACAATACCATATCAACTTTATCACCTTCTCCAATGGCAGCATCACTTTGTCATTTTGATCAAACTCCACCTTCTCCTACAACTTCTTATTATCGTCCACCTTCTCCTTTGACCACTACTTCATTCGATGTTCCTTTTGCCGATTTGACCATCTCTACACAATCTTCTCCAGAACCATTGGACTCTTCTTCCAACAAAAATAAAACAAAACCTTCATCTCCTTCTTCAGTTAAAAACATCAATACATCAAATCGAAATAGTTTACCTCCACCACCACCTCCTCCTCCTCATGATGATACGACAAATGATGATCATATACCTCCAACAAAAAGTGCATGCAAACGTACATTATCTCGTACTCGATCTCAACGACGACCTCATGTTCCTGGCAAGAAAAAGAACCGATCCCTTACTCTCCCTCAACAACAACAACAACCAGAAGAAGAAGAATCTGAATCATTATCTGTCAAAGATGAACCACAATTGGATCATGATAGAGTCATGGAAGCTTTACGTGCAAAATTACGACGATCATCCAATCCACCCACTTTATCCAGTGGTGACAAATCATCCTTATCATCCAATAATAATCTCATATGGCCATCATCTGATGATACTGATCATCCACCTCAACCCATGTCTCCTCAAGGAATGTTATTATTGGACCTCAAGAATCCACGTAAGGTATTCCCTACTGTCAGCTCAACCAATTCTTCTAAACGTACAACAATGAATCCCAGGGTAGCAGTACTACGACGGCCTCGACCTTTCACCTCAGCCCATAATCATTGTGAAAAATCAAAGGATACATCAACAACAACTCCCGTTACCACCAAATGAAATGAAAGATGAAGAAGAAGAAAAAAAAATATATCTTTTTTTAGTTTACTACTCTCTTTTGACTGTCTACCTTTTTTTTTTTTGTGTATATATTATTATCATTTATTTAGTTTGTTTGTGTGTTACTTTTTTTACATCTATATTTTTATTATCGTTGTTTTTACATAGTTCCCCTACTATCTTTATTTTGTATTATGGAAATAATAAAAAAATTTTATGTCTTTTTTTTTGTTGCTGTTGTTGTTGTTATTATTATTATTATTATCCTAGTTTCTTCTTCCAAATGAAAAAGCGAATTCAGTGACAGACAAGATGATTCAAGGTTTCCAAGGTTGAAATTGATTGGATCAAGTCAATCGTAAGAAAAGAAGCAAAAGATCCGATTCAATAAAGTTTTTTTTCTTTTTTTTTTGTTTTTCCTAATCATTACATGAATACAAAATTTTGATCTTTCACTCATTTAATTTTTCCCTCTTTCTGGATCTATATTATTATTCATCGTATTTTTTTTTCTTTCTTTTAGTGATACATCAACTTTTTCTTTATTACAACTGAATCTTCACAGAAGTACTGTTTTACTTCCCACTTAATGCTTAAACTGACATGAGCCAATCACAACCAACCATTTTATCGATGATGCCATGATGAAACTCCGTCAATCTCAAAAAAAAAGATGGTACAAAAAAGAAGACCCTTCCTTTTTTCTTTTCGTTTTCTTTCTTTTTCTCTTTTCTCAAACGGATCTATCAACGATGAAAATTGTCGAAAAATTCAATAAAGCTCAACAAGAACGATCCTTGAGCTATTCATTCGAATACTTTCCACCCAAAACTGAGTTGGTAAATACCTTCAAGTTTAAAAACCATATCACTTATTACCATTTATTTATAGGGTTTAGCCAACTTATTTGATCGTATGTCGCGTATGTGTCAATGGGAACCTGCGTTTATATCATGTACATGGGGTGCTGGTGGATCAAGTCAAGAACGTACTATGGCTGTTTGTTCTACTGGTCAAATAGTCAATGGTGTGGAAACTTTATTACATTTGACCTGTACTAACATGGAAAAAGAGAATATCGACATTGCTCTCAAGGTATCTTTTATATATATATATATATATATATATATAAAGAGAATATGAATTATATTGAATTTTTTTTTTATTGTTATTAGAAAGCTAAAGAAACTGGTATTCAAAATATTTTGGCATTACGTGGTGATGCTCCTCGTGGACATGAATATTGGACACCTATTGAAAATGGATTTAATCATGCTGTTGATTTGGTACGTTATATTAGACAAAATTATGGTGATTACTTTTGTATTGGTGTAGCTGGTTATCCTGAAGGACATATGGATGCTGTTTCGAAAGAACAAGATTTGATTCATTTGAAAGAAAAAGTGGATGCTGGTGCTGATTTTATATTAACTCAACTATTTTATAATGTCGATACTTTCGTCCATTGGTACAAATCTTGTCGTGATATTGGTAAGAAAGACAAAAAAAAAAATTTATTTGATTTATGCAGATGTATAATCTTTTTTCTTTTCTTTTAGGTATCACTGTGCCTATTGTCCCTGGAATTATGCCTATTCCAACGTATCAAAACTTTCGGCGTATGATCAATTTGTGTAAAACTCAAGTACCTGAAGACATATTGCATACTTTAGATAGGATCAAGGTAAAAAAAAAAAAAAAAAAAAAAAAAAAAAAAAAAAAAAAGCACACACACACACATATATATATATACTAAAATGCTATTTTTGTTAATCTCAATAGGCAGATGATCAAAAGGTGAAGGATTTTGGTGTTAAACTAGCTGTGGATATGATCAATCAATTACATGAAGAACACAATATATATAATTTTCATCTATCTACATTGAATTTGGAACGATCAACGAAATTGATATTACACAATCTTGGTTTGGTTTCAGAAAATTCTCTCAAAGTATGATTCCAATTAGATCAAAGCTCTTTTGTACTAACATTCCATTTATATATTTTTTTTTCAATAGAAACAACCTAGTTTATCGAAATTGTTAGCTCCTTATTCTACTCCTCACGATGATCATGCTGAAAACTGGGATGAATTTCCAAATGGTCGTTATGGTGATTCTCGATCACCAGGTAAAACAATCAATATATATATTTATAAATTCTAACTAATCTTCTATGTTATGACTTTAGCCTTCGGTGAAGTAACATTTAGTGCAAGTCAAAGTCAATCTACCTCAGAAGCCAGTCGTAAATGGGGTTATCCAAAGACAGAACAAGATATCACGACTATTTTCCATCAATACATTCTTGGCCGGTTGGATAGCTTACCTTGGAGTGAAGAACGACTACAAACAGAAACAGATGCTATACGACAAGCATTAGCTGAGATCAATACTCGCGGTTATTGGACAGTTGGTTCTCAGCCTTCTGTTAATGGTGTATCAAGTCAAGATGCCGTTTTTGGTTGGGGTCCCAAAGGTGGTTATGTTTATCAAAAGGTAAAAATATAGGTAATATTATTTGACATGATCATTAATGCTTATGATATGATAGGCCTTTTTAGAATTCTTTGTATCTCCAGAAAAATTACAAGTCATTCTCAAGAAATTCAAACAAGATCCTTGGGTGACGTATTATGCTATGAATAGAAATGTACGTTAAGCAAATAGAAAAAAAAAAGATATTGACTAACATGGATTTCTTTTTTTTTTTTTTTGTTCTTATTTGATAGGGCGATTTATTGACGAATGTGATGGAAGAACAAGCACAAAATGCAGTGACTTGGGGAGTATTTCCTGGCAAAGAAATAGTACAACCTACTTTGATAGAACGAGCCAATTTTGAATCCTGGAATGAAGAAGCATTTGGTTTATGGAAAGAATGGGAACAACAGTACGCTCCTGACAGTGCATCGGCAGCACTTTTGAAAAAAGTGGGTGATTCTTACTGGCTGGTCAATGTAGTGCACAATGATTATCAATTAGTGGATGGTTTATTCAATATGATACTTTCATAATAGGTTTTTGTAGACTAGAGTCTCCTCTCATTTAGTTTAGTTTTTTATTCCCTTGTAGTGATAGAATCTACTTTTAATTGTTTAATTCAAATGATAGAAGCAATGTTTATTTATTCAATAAAATAAAATAAAAAAAAATATCATAAAGAAAAACTATTCTGAAAATATATAAAAAATATGAAAAAATATATATAAAAGAAAATAAAAAAAAAAAGTAAAGAAATGGAACGTCAATAGGCACCACGAAGGCTTGACTTGATCCTATTTTGCTTTATACTATAAATAACAATAGATAAGTAATCATTCACTTAATCAATTTATTCCCACTTACTTCGGTCATTTCACGATCATATCGTTCCTTGTCTTTTTTAGCTTTTTCGATGTATTGCTATCAAAAATATATATATATATATATAAGAAATCAAGTCATCATTGCTACAAACAGGATAATATATCTTACGTCTTTTTCTTTGTCACTCAATTCGGACCATTCCCTCCCCAATATTTTACCGATTTGACCTATGATACAAAAATGATGATTAAATGAGCAAGCATTATGAGATGATGATGATTTTTTTTAATCAAATAATCAAAGATATCAATTACACTTTTTTTTGGGGGGAGGAACTTACCGAAAGTGATATCAGGATTTTCTTTCTTGACTCGTTCACGATTGACTTGAGAATAAAACATGTAAGCTGACAAAGGACGCTTGGGAGCAAGAGGATCCTTCTTACGCTTTTCTATTTTTTTTGCTGTTTGTTTAGCCATTCTAAAAAGAAAATAAAATAGATATTAAAAAAAAGTGAGTTTTCAAAGAATAAAAAAAAAAGAAGTAAAGGTAAAAGGTGTATCTATATATGCGAAAAGTGGTTGCATAAATGAAAGAAACCCATTACGATAAAAAGTGAATTCAAAAAGAAAAAGGTCAAGCTAAAAGATATTAGAGATAAAAGTAAAAAGACCATGGAAAGTAAAGAAAAGTTATGGGAAAAGAATATCATGATGAGAAGGAAAAGGGAAGATAAGGTGAAAAGGATGGAGAGTATAATATTTTTTTTTTTTGGAGGTTAAAAAAAAAAAAAAAAAAAAAGACTCACCTTTTAAACTGAGTGTGTGGTGGAGTTATATGAGTAAGCTAAAGTTGTGAGTGAGAGTGTGTGTGTGTGTGTATAAGTATAAGGTGAGTGTGTGAGTTAAGTGAAGAGAGAAAAAAAAAAAAAAAGCTGTGAAAATGGGGAGCGACTCAACTCATTTTCCTTAGCGTTCATTTTGAAATTCCGTAATCGGTTGTTGTATGAACAACCAATCATCATTCATGAATTTACTCCTTAAGTGATACATTGAGCACATCATTTATTTTTATTTGATTGGAAAGGAGACACATATTATGCTATCGTGACGCCTAATAAGTTATACTAAGGGGGAAAATCAATGATCATCTTGAGAATTGGTTATATTTGTTGGATTGCCTTCTTCATCTTCTTCTGTCAGTGTTTCATATCCTGATCTACGCCATTTCTGCCATACATAATAGCCGATGCCAACTACAGCCAAAACACCCATCAGGCTTAAGACTAATACCACGGCCAAAGACCAATACCAAGGTAAACCAAACACACCTCTTGACACTGGTAGCAGTACCGTATCCAATTGAATCATGTGTGCATATTTTCCAAGCTGTCCTTTTGCAAGCACACGACCACGAGCACCTTGACCTGTTTGACCCATCACTTGTACGTATTGTCCATCAAAGAAACCAAGATCATGAATCACCAATCGATCACGGTCCGATAAAAGAGTACCATATTCTTCAATTTCCCCACCAAGTAAACTACGTCGTTGTAATTGTTGTTCCTTGGGAATCACGTGTAATCGTACCAATCGTTCGTATGCATCAGGGTCTTTCTGTTCCCAACCACTTCCCAACACTGAATCCAGTTGCGTAAAAGCACGATCTGTGGGTGCCAATAGGATATAATCATCGTCAGCCTTGTCTAACCATGAGAAATCTTCAAACCATTCCAATACACGATGTGCATTCATTCCCACCAGCATTTTATGATGTGTCAATATCACTGAATTCGGCATCATCAGTGTATCAATCTTGTGTACAACTCCATTGGCCATCAATATGTTGCTTTCGCTAATAGTTCCATTGTTATCTTCATTGCCAATGACAACCCTTCCTTGTTGATCTGTTCCGCCTACTTGCATTGTATCCTTTCCATTCAGAGTAGACACGCTGTATGCTGATGTTCGGAGATCGTGATCATATAGAATCGCTTCTGCTGCGTGATATTCCAATGTTGATTTCAAATCCTGTCGTCCGGTCGGATGGGTCAAATAGGTTGCAATCAATCCTAATGATCGGTAGGCTTCATTTGTCGGTGCGAAAAGAGTGATCCCATTCGATTTCTTGATCTTGTCCACCACTCCCGAAACATATAAAGTAGCAATAAAAGATGATAATTCCAAGTCGATTACAATACTTGAGAATACATCATACGGTAGTGTCATTGGATTGGTCAGTTGATGAATAACATTATTGTTGATTGTCACTATGAAATAGATCTTAATTTCAATATCCTAAAACATGATGATTTCCCTTTTTTTTTTTTTTAATTATTACTCACGATTGTCATCATGAACTCCAGCATCACCAAAAAAAAGAGAAGACTTGCGAGTAGTATCAGATAAAGAAACAGGAACCTGCTGTGGTTGATCATTAAGCTGTGGTGATTTGAATTCAGATGGTAATAATTGACGATCCGTTAGTTGATCTCGATACCATTGACCATGTAAGATATGATAACTGAGCCAAGATTTCTTCACATTGTCTGGAATAGAACCTTCATCTATAGAATCATTGTCCGGTGCCAATAATGTAAAGTTGGTAACTCCCGACGCCAAGTAATGACCCAATCCATAATTGTCCAAAAGTGATACAAATTTTGTTGCATTTACTCCGTAAAGGTACTTTCTTGTGTCAAATTTCACTTGTTGACTGTTCGGCATTACTTGTAGTTCATGTAAAACCCCTATAAAGTATCATGGTATTGAATTAATAAGTTTGATTTATTGTACTTTCTATATATATATATCTTACCGTTGGCTGCAAGTAAATCTTTTCGGATAACACGTTGACCATTAACAGTAATTATATCTTTTTCCTTGTTAACATTGATGGTAAGCATTTCCCCTCCCAGAGTTTTATCTTTATGAAAAAAAAAAAAACTCGTTAGTATGAATACATCGAATCAGACATTTCTTTTTTTTTTTTTCCTGACTTACATTGTTGTTCTCCAGTAAAATCCTCGGAATAAATGTCACCACGTATAATCAGGTAATCCAACAAATGGAGAAGATCTTCATCACCATAACTTGATAAAAGATAAGACTTTTCCACATCATTGAAGGAATGTAGGATAGATGGTTTTGCATAAAACACAGTAAAGGGCTCTTGTTTCTTCAATAAATGGATGATACCAATATCATCCATCAAGTTATACAAGTCTTTGTTCTTGGATTCGAGACTGGGAGCTTTGAAATAAAAGAAAAAAATAAGATCATATAGTTATCTATCATATTTCCTACATTAAATAATCATTTTTTACCTAACATCATCGGTGGTTCTAATACTTTGCTGATCACATGTATGTTGGTAGCTTCGTTAACAAAGATATCAGTTTCAATAAGACGACCGTCATTAACAAAAATAGAGTCAGTTGGTTTGATTGAAGAATGACGTTGAATCAACAGTCGTTGACCAGTGTTGTTTCGTAAAAAATTGTCAAACACCAATGATGATTCAAGTACTTGATGGTGATGGAACTGAGAGGCTGAGGTGTGTTTTGGTAAAAGGTGATAAAGTAAACTGTCTTGGGTTATATCTGGTCCATGATAATTAGCAAAAGCATCATTGTCAGGTGCAAACAACGTTCCTGTTTTGAGTTGATTGATAACTGGAATAAGTCGTGTATGTTGTAAATGGCGAAGAAGTGTTTCAAATCTGGCATCTTCTGATAATACGTCAATAATGGTTTGATATGCCAACGCAGTGTTAAAAATGGTCGATGAAAATAAGTAGAAGAATAAACACCATTTTGGTATAGAGAACCACATAGAGAGTATCAAAAATAAACACAATAGATATATAGTAATATGTAATGAATATAGAGACAAAGGTTTATTCAATAAAATAAAATAAGAAAAGACAAGAGAAAAAAAATGGGAGGAAAAGGTCAAAAAAAAAAAAAAAAAAGTTGCATACGGATCTTGAAATTTCAAACAGGCATAGACGGCATGAGAATCCAGGCAACTTGCATTACAATAGCCATCACTAAACAGACAATAGGTAAGCATAACATGCCATAATGACCAGCAATTTGACCAGTAATGAATGGAAGGAAGGCTGCACCAGAAGCACCAACACCAGCAATAAATCCAATAGACGTAGGTATCATTTCTTTTGGTATAGATTTAGACGCTACAGAGATAGCAGTAGGAAACATGGGTCCCAATAAAAAGCCAATAATGACATACACTATCAAAATATATATATAATTATAATTTTTACTATTTGAATGAATTAATTTTTTTTTTTTTACCTGTAGCATCTATACGAAGATCATCCACTTGCCAAATATTGACAATGCCAATTAATGTCAACAAAGTAAATACATTGATCGATGATCTTTCCCCATATCTTCCTGATAAGTAACCCAATAAGATTCTTCCAATGGCCATAGCAGCCCAATACAAGGATAAAACTCTTCCCATTTGAATAACATCGCCATGTTTTCCTTCTATCAAATAAGTGTATCCCCATCCACCTAAAGTAACTTCCAATCCGACCTATAATAAAAGACTTAAGATCAATATCAATAAATAAGTACATATACAACTTACGTATATCAAAATATAGAGAGCACATAATAAAGTAATACGATTCATAATGGCATCATGAATCATCTGTCTTGCAGATTTATCAACTTGTAATTCAGATGATTCCAAGGGTCTATCCGTAGAAACGGTATCATCAGTATCATCACCATGATTGACAGAAGAAGAATTTTCTTTTTCAGTATGACGAAGTCCAATTGCGATAATAATCATGTTCACCAGTGATATAATCGATAAAAACGCGTATAACCATTTCCAAGAGAGTTTGTTTGCTATCAGTGTACTTCCAACAACAGGACTAACAGCAGCGCCAACAGAATATAACGCTAATAAAATAAAATGGAATAAGTTTATATATATATATTTTTTATGTAGTATGTTTGTGTTACCATGTACAATGTTTAGCATCAATGTGGCAAAAGGGAGATGCGCTGCTAATACATTCATTCCTGAATAAAAAGTAAAAAAAAGAGTCAGGTGTCATCCTACATATATTAAACTCATTCCTAATTCCCTCCTCCTTAACTTTACCAGCATCCAGTAGAGCCATTCCAGCACCTTGAAAAACCATCAAAAGGCAAGTCAATCGATAATCAAATCCATTCATGATTAATAGATAAGCTAACAAAGCAAATCCACCAGCCATGAATACAGTTCCTTTTTGACCAAGACTTTGTACAAAGAGACCATTTAGAGGAGCGCATATAATGTAACCGGTAGCATTGGAAAGAAATAAAAATGAGAGTGCTTGATTGGAAACACCATAGTATTGTTTGAATTGTGGAATCATGAACCCGATCGCACCGTCATTTAGTCCAATAACGATACTCATAAAACAAGAAGTCAAGAGCACTGGAAGATGAGGTATAAGATCCTTCCATTGTTCTGGTTGTCTCTCTTCAAAAGATCTATTCAATAAATGCGTCCGTTCATCAGATATAGTAGAAGTCGAAGAGTCTGACATACTTCTTTCTGTTATAAAAAAAAAAAAAAAAAAAAAAAAAAAAAAAAAAGGAAAAAGGAAAAAGGGAAAAATCCCAAACTTTGCACCGAGAAGCGGAGAAAAAGACATATCCAGGTTACACACATTGCACAGAAAGATTTTTGGATCTTTTATGCAATCACTAATAGAAACCCTTCCTATTTATGAGCTATCACTTATCATCCATCATTGGTAATAACTTACCAATAAATCCAAAGTTATCCAGTACGCTTTATCGTACTTGATATAAAAAATAAAAATCCTTTGACCGTCGCAGTAAATATATAAAATCATCATTCAAGCATCAATAATAAATAATAAAAAAAGCTCGTTCATTCTTTATTTGCAAAGAATAATAGAGAATAATACAAAAAGAAAGAAAGATGAAAGGAAACAAAAATAAATCTAAAAATGCTATACAACTAAAGAAAGGAAAAAAAAAAACTAAATAACAAATGTTGGGAAGGAGGGAAGAAATCTAAAATCTCCTGGAAAAACCAGAAGTATGTTTAGTAGTAGAGCACATGATACCTATATATATATATATATATATATAATAAAAATAATGAATAAGATGGTAATGAAGCATTCTGTTCTTTCTTTTTTATTTATTTATTTATTTATTTACCCATAGCTCTAGCTCTCTTGACAGCCTTGGCCAATTTTCGTTGATTCTTTGCCGTCAGACCTATAAATAAATAAAAGAATTAAGTATTCTATTTTTTTTTTAAAAAAAAAAAAATCATTCATTCTTCCTTTACCAGTCTTTTCTCTTGGTAAAATTTTTCCCATATCAGATACAAAGTGAGACAAAAGACGATAATTTTTGTATTCATGAAGAGGATCTAAACCAAGCACATCAAAAGGATCTTCACTAGGAACATTGGGTCGACCTCGACGTTGGCGTAATTGATCTTGGTATCGTGCATCGTTCAAATCTTGAGGATGATAAATGTCACCAGCATGATGGATCTTTTGATATCTTTGTCCAACATCCGCTAAAGGTTTCGCTTTTTCCTCTGTCAAACGTAAAACATAAACATGTTAGCTTTTTTTCTTTTCATTATAAAAAAAAAAAAAGACAAACATTTATCACTTACTGGTAATAGAATCTTGAAGAATCAAAAGAGTTTCACGTTCAATATCTAATTAAAAGTTGTATTAGTACTGAATAAACTGTCAAAATCATGACTTACTTTTCTGTTCTACGGGAGGTTCTTGTTGTTCTTGACGAGTAATAAAACTAGTTGAAAATGATCTTTGAGTACAACCAAGTGTTATACGTTGATTACAGATTGCACCACGTTGAGCAATGACTTTCAAATTGGATAACATTGTTATTGAACTAAAGAAATAAAAAAAAAAAAAAAAAAGGAAGAAATTTAAAATTCCCCCCTTGATCATAACAAAAAAAAAATTGCCTCTTTCACTCCTTCTTTTTTTGGAAAGTAACGTCACATATACCCTACAAATTAAAATCCAATCCATAGAAAACATAATACTTAAATAACGGGAAAGAATTATTCAAACTATTGATGATAATGTACATGTGATGTTAAATGATATGAAGAAGTAGATGTTTGGATAATATGTGATGAATCAATGAAAAATAAAAAGGATGTGAAGAAAAAAAAGTTTTATGACGGTATGTTAGAGGCACGAATATCAATTGGTCAGACTGGGCGTAGATATCTTTTACTATTGGGATATCAGAGGATGACTTTGAGCTGAAGATGATGGTGAACAACCATAAAAAAAGTGGTGACCAAATTTCAAATACCGGTGAGAACTCTTTTTTTTCTATTTTAGCTTTTCTTTTTTTTTTTTTTTCTTTTTTTCTTTTTTATTTACCTCTATTCATGTTATATAATAGTCGGTCAATACCATTTGATAAAGATGATGAACAACAAGAAGGATGTAAACTACTTGATACATTTGCTATTTTTGTTCAGCTTTTATTAGCCTGTGTTGCTTTCTCTACACTTATCATAAAACGACAACGAGAAAAGCCAAGAAGACCTCTACGCATTTGGTAAAAAAAAAAAAAAAAAAAAAAAAAAAAAAAAAAAAAAAGGTAAACAGAGATAACTCATATATTCACTTATTATTTATCATTTTAGGGGATTTGATATCAGTAAACAAGTAGTTGGAGGAATAGTCATTCATACACTGAACTTGGTTATGTCATACATATCTGGATATTCACTTGAGGATAGTAGTCCGTCAAACCCATGTGTCTGGTATAAAAATAAAAAAAAAATCACAATTGATTGTATATATTTACTGTTTTTATCTTTATACTTAGGTATTGGTTAAATATATTTGTAGATACGACATTAGGAACAGCTATTATATGGGGAATACTTCGTTTGGGACAATTTATAGCAAGACAATGGGGATTCTCAGGTTTTGAAAATGGTGTATATGGATCTACTTTTAGAAAACAAATAGAACGATGGTGGAAACAATTATTGATGTATGTAACAGCTTTGATTATGATGAAATTATTGGTCCTTTTACTATTTCGACTTTGTCCTTGGTTAGAATGGTTTGGTGAATGGGTTCTTGGTTGGACTTCGGGAAACTATAAAATTCAAGTAGTATTTGTGATGCTTATGTAAGTAGAAGAAGAAGAAGAAAAAGAATAAAAAAAAATGCAGGTTTTCAATTGATAACTAAACTAACTTGTATTACTTTTTTATTATTATTATTATTATTCTAATTATTATTGTAGTTTTCCATTGATCATGAATATTGCTCAATTTTGGATAGTGGATACAATACTTAAACATAACTCACAACATACACCTATTCATTTGGATGACGCTATGGATGAAGATATTCTGATACCAATCTATGATGATGAGGATGATGATTCTTTGGATAATAATCATCTTAATCAATATGATGATGATGATGATAGTCATTGGCCTCCTCCAATTCATTCTCCTTTAATGGATGGCGAGCAAGATGCTGTTTCACTTTCATCCTCTTTGAAACCATTGACTGGACTTCAAGATGACGACGATCAAAACAAAAAAGAATTTAATCTAAATCCATGGACTTACACCTCTTCTTCTAATAGCAACCAATCTCCTCCACCTTCCCAACAATGAAACAATGTATCAGTAATTGTAGATTAGTTGTTTAATTTATTGTCTTCTTTTTTTTAAAAAAAAAAAAAAATATATAATAAAATTGATTATTTTTGATTGCTTCTTGTTATTGTTGTTGTTAAATGTTGGATAGTGTCAAAACAGGAGAACTAATATTATAGAAGGAGAAAGTCATGCGTTCTTCCCGGATACCGTAGTTTTTTTCGACCCTACCTTTCCGTTTCTCCCTTTCCTCTTTTTCTCCCCTCCCCTCCTTGATTCCTTTTTTTTTTTTTTCTTTAAAGTATATTTAAGCATTTTATTTTTTCCCATTCGTTCCTTCTTTTTTTTTTTTTTTAATGCTTGTTCCTTTTCTCGTTCCCTTCTGTTTTTTCATTTAAAATCCTTTTGATGTGTTCTAATTCTTCTTCTATTCGTACAAATAGATCAATCAGTGTATTAAGTACATCTGAGAATAATATTTCTTATATAACAGATTATCAAAATCAAGTTCTTCCATTAACAACTAGTAACTTGGAATTACTTCAGGTAAGCTTAAGTAATAAAAAAAAAGGGACATCCTTCCCTAAAAGGAATCAGTCATCTTTTGGCGGGAGCGGCATATCAAAATCACATTGAAAAAGCTTTTTCCACTTAGTCGATCATGCATGATTTTTTTTATTTCTGTCTCCTATCCCTTTGCCATCTGAGTCTTTTTTTTTTTTTTTTTTTTTATCAGAAAATTGACCTCCTTTTACATTGGTTTTTTTTTTTTTTTTTTATGATGATGATGATGATCATCATAGTTGACTTATCAACTCCAAGCTAAACATCAATATGTCGCCACCTATGTCAAAAATCAGACATGTATACTAGCATTGGAAGCTAAATTACAGCAGCAGAGGTGGAAAGAAATTCAAACTTTGGTACCTTTAGAAACAGCACCCTTTGAAAAGGAAATTATTCTTTGCCAGAACAACAAAAAGAAAGCGAAAAAGAAGGCAGACCCTATATCCTTCTCAATAAGTATTCATCAGCAGAAACAAAGCCAGAAGTCATCTATTGCTATTGACAATAATAATAATAATAGTAATAATAGTAATAGTAATAATAATAATAACGATGATGATGGTGGTGGAACAGATATTATCAAAAAAAGACCATCTTGGTTATTCATGATGAAACGTCGGCATCGTCATCATCATCATCCAAATTCATCATCCACATGTAGGCCACCAGAAATATCTCAATCAAGACTGCAGCAAAGGTATCGTCAAGACAAAATGAATTTGATTCATCAAGGTCTCTGTGGTTCATCTGGCAGTTATTCCCCATCCGATGATCATCAACAACCTAATCAATTAGCATCCTTTCTGTTCTCCTCTATCATCACATCTCCTTCTTCTCAACATCCATCTGTCATATCATCCACTTCCTCATTTAACGCCACCCTCCCTGTTTCACATGGCTCCTTTATGCAACATCACCCTTCAACTACTACGAAGCTAAACAAACCACATCCTTCATCCATCCATCTAAATCACACTACATTTGAATCATCACCATCTATACCTAAAAAAACTTGGTGGAAATGTCGCTGGAAGGACGCTCAACTTGAAACAAACAACCAAAAACGCCATCATCATGATGATTTCCTTGCCTTTCGATACCCTAAAATGATCTCATTCCATAAACTCCGTGATGCAGCCCTTCAACTTTTACTGACTACAGATAAGCATAATAATGAAAAAGACTTACCATCAACCTCTACGTAAAAAGTTTTTCAAGTTCGTATCTGTTGTTGATTAATCCCTTATTATTCTAATAAATAAATGCATTTTCTTTTATTGTATACAGTGTATAAGAAGTAGAAAAAAAAACAAAGAGAACTATAGATAATGCCTAATAATCAAAACGCCAAAAAAAAAAAAATAAGTAACAAGGGATAATATAAAATAATGGAATATAATAGAATAAGGGAAAAAAGAATAAAAACTAGGATGAAGGGAAGATGTAAGATGATGAATTGCAATGATATACAGGATTCCTATGTTTCCAAGTTGATGGTTTTGTAGTTGTTGCTGTTCCTTTCACATTCCAAGGAGTCCGCTGAATTGACTAGCATATTGCATTGGTCGAACTTGAGGATGAGGCTAATCATAATAAGAATAAGAATAATAAAAAAAAAAGAATATTAGAATATTGTCATCACCCTTATTCCCCTTTATTTCTGTTTGTCACTTACCACAGCTTCAAATGTCTTGTATTCGAGTTTCATATCAGGAGTAATGTTGATTAAAGCACCTTTATTACCCACAGAATCACTAGATTAAATAATAATAATAATAATATTAGATCACCACCTTCTTTTGTTCCTATCAGTATCCATCTTACCAATAATTAGGAGCAGAAAACACCGTAACACATTTCCCTTCATGTTCTATCACATAACCATTTTCTTTCACTTCATGACTTCGAATCAACATATCTAAACAATACAATATATGCAAACATGAGGAAAGACATTAAATCTCCAATAGTTAAATCATTGTTTCTTTTTTTTATCGTTACCAAGTTTGTTTCTTTCCAAGAAGTTTTTAGTGACATCAGGACCAAATTGAACACCTACACCACGTTTGCTTGCTCCTCTACCGAGTTCAGGTTGAGGATCAGACCATAATAATTCACACATGAGACCTTGTAAAGAAAAAAAAAAGGTAAGTTTAGACTTGGATTTATCAATCTTCATCTTTTTTTTTTCTTTTTCTTTTTTTTTTTTTTTTTTTTTTTGTTTTTACCTTCATTGGGTGGTTGTCTTAATGACAGTCGATCAATCTTTCGAATATCATCCAAAGTAACATCATCTCGAGAGAATAAACCACCATGAACCACCAAAATTTTGTGTTGAATGACATGAGCCAATGGTAAAGCATTGAAAGTTTCAGAGAATAACTATTAAAAAAAAAAGGGAATTAGAAACTTGGTTTTCTTTTCTTTTCCTTCATCATGTAAATTACCTTGAACATCATTTCACTATATTTGGCTTTGACTTCCCCTTCAAATCCATATACCTTGTTCATATTATCAGTTTCATGATTACCACGAGCCAAAAAGAGTCGATCAGGATAAACACACTTGTAGGCAAATAATGTTAGCACAACTTCCAGAGAAAAGCTACCACGATCCACGAAATCACCATTGAATAAATAAGCATGACTTTCAGAGGGATAACCATTGATGTTGAAAATATTGATAAAATCATAGAATTGTCCTGTAATAAAACAAATAAGTGAAATTGTTTCCTTTTTTATTCTTTTATAAAACATACCATGAACGTCACCACACACAGTCAGTTTACCGTCATTTGGTACAGAAATGTCTATCAAAGATGGAGCCTGCATCATCATTTGTCGTACAGCCAACAGAATCTACAAATGTAAAAAAAAAAAAAAAAAAAAAAAAAAAAAAAAAAAAGACGAGGAGGATCAGATGTTTGTCATATGAAAAATAACAAGTACATTAGTATATTTACCATGAAAGCATATTTCTTGTGAAGTTTCTTTTGATTCTTGAATCTTTCCACCATTTTATTGACAAAGTCTACATCGATTTCGTTGGTTTCTTCGTTAATTCGAGGTCCATCATAAGAATCTTCAACATCTATATGAAAAATAAAATAAGATATCAATTTAATCATCATCGTTGTCATTTATGTAATATGGATTCAATTATCCTAAAAGTCATATACTTACTCATTGTGGTAGTATCTAAAGAATCGGCCACACTAGGGATATTATTGTCAGCCTAATCAAATATATCAGAGTTCAGTAACCAATCATCACTCTTCATTTGAATGTATTCCTACTTCAATGGCCTTTTCGAATTCGATACGTTTGACAATCTTGGCACATTCATTTAACTTGTCTCTTGCGTCTTTATCACCAGGTACACGTTTGCAAACCTATATTTGTTTTTTTTTTTAAAAAAAAAAAAAAAAAGATCAGTAATACAGATATAACCTACCTATATATATATATAGTATAAAGAATAGTTACCATTTTGAAATCTTTCAATGCTTCTTTGAATCTTCCCAAGGCCATGTTCGCACTTGCTCTACGGTAATTAGCCTATGTCAGAAAAAAAAATAAAGTTTTTTTTTTTTTAACACGAAGATTATATTTATATATTTTTCCTTCACCTTTGTCAAAGTAGGATCTAATTCCAAAGCAGCTTCGGCATCACTAATGTGATAAATAAAAGGTTAAAGGTTCGCGTGTCAAAATGTATAATATCTTAATAACTTACGTAATAGCATATCCATAAGATTCAAGTTTTAGGTGACAGAAAGCACGGTTGGAATAATAAGTAGATACAGGATTCAAGTCGATGGCAGCTGTGTATCTTTCAATGGCTTCAATGAATCGCTTTTCTAAGGAATAAATGGAATTTAAAATTAAGTCATCGATCGTTTATATACAATATATGTGTTTGTTTTATATACCTTTGAACAGTTGGTTGGCTTCATTTTTGATTTCTTCAGCTTTGATCTTATTATCTTCTGCCATAACTGTCAATAATGAAACTAAGAAAGGAGAAAAGGAAGATAGAATTAAAAAAAAAAAAAAAAAAAAAAAAAAAAAAAAAAAAAAGGAAAGAAAGAAAAAAAAAAGAAAGTGAAAACGTTAAAAAAAAAAAACAATTGAAAAGCCAATAGAAAGGATGAATTTCGATTCTCCGCTGTCTTCATTTGGATATCAATATATTATATTGTAGATGATAAAATGATATTATAGAATCATATTTCTATATATCTTAAAGTATAAAGGAGATGAAATCAAAGAGTAGATTATTATAGTTGAGTGAAGAACTGATGATGATTTTGAATTGACCTGTTTTTGTCTGTACCTGTACAACAAAAAAAAAAGGGCGCAATGTACTAGGAAACTTGTCGCCCCAAGAAAAAAAAAAAACATATATGACCCTTAAAAAAATTGGCCAACTTTTTCTTTTTCCCTCTTTCTTTCTTTTTTATTTTGTCTTTTTCTTTTTATTTACATCAAAAAAAAAAAAGAAAGACATTCTCCTTTCTACATACTTGTATTCTTTTTATTATTACTATTACTATTACTACTACTATATATATATATATACTCTCTCTCCTCCTCTCACGTCTCCATTTGTATACATTACTTTTTATTTTTTTATTTTTTTTTTTTATCTCTTATTGCCTACATCGTGACCACTTTCACTTTTTCTTTTCTTCTTCCTTCTCCTACACCCCCTGCTATCGTTTTCTCTCTTTAGTTTATTATTATTATTATTCCCTTTATCCCTATTCTTGATATTCTATAGCTAGATCCTTTTAGTGTTTATTACATTTTATATATCTTTTTTTTTTTTTTTTACCTTTCTTTTTTTTTTTTTACACTCTCATATGACAACATTCAATACTCAAACTACAACACAACAAGAACAAGTCAGTCCCAAACTGAATTTCAAGACACAAAATAGACGCCAACAATATCAACTTACTACACAACCTATATTTCACCAACAGTCTGGTCAATCTACCTCTTCAACTTTGAACTCGACTTTTTATACCACTACTAAGCAATCAAACAATAATCATTCTACAACTATTACTGCTACTGAAACATTGTCAACTTCTTTTAGTCATACTGTGCCTGACGTAAAACATGATGATGCGTTGGAACACTCTGATATGATTGATCAAGATAATTTGGATGATGCTGAAGATGAAGATGACGTTGAAATCATTATGCATAATGAACCCAATGCCTTCAATTATACAGGCTCCGGTCTTGACAATCACGCTTCTCCTATCAATTCTTCTCCTGTCGCCGCAGCTCTAGACTCACAATACCACCAACAACACCAACATAAACAACATAAACAACAACAACAACAACAATTAAGCTCCGATCCTGATCATCCAACACGTAATAAAAAAAAAAAAAAGAATATATACTTAACGTACTCATTTAAATTCTTTTAAAGTAGATTCTTCACCATCATCAATACCATCATCTCATCATCATCTTCAGAGACAGTTGGAATATTATTTCTCAAGGTAGTAAATTATTTGATGAAAGAGACATCAAATTGTTCTTTGTTTATATGCAAAATACAGAGTTAAGGAGTAAGAAAATCTCATCATCCTTTTTTTTTTTTTTTTTTTGGTATTTAGACAAAATTTGGCAAATGACTCTTATCTTGGTAATATTATACATATACATATATAAATGGTATTAACCATTGTTTGCTTTATCTCTTTAGTGTCACAAATGAACCCTGATCTCTATGTTCCGATTGCTACCATTGCCAAATTCAGACGTGTTTTGGATATTACTACAGACATGGATCTTATAGTCTCAACTCTTCGTCGTTCTCCCGTTGTCATCGTTAATGAAACTGGCACTATGGTCAAACCGAATATCTCTGTACAACGAACAACGGTAATATTACGCGATGTGGCCGATACAAATGAAACGGTAATAAATAAATAAATACATATATATATATATATATATATATATCCATATACTCTTTTAATTCATTCCATCTCACTACATATAGGAAATCAAACAATTTCTTCAAGAACTTGGCACTCCACCAATTAAAAGTATCAAGAATGAATATGCAAATATGTGGTATATTACCTTTGAATCCGAAGATCATGCTTTGAAAATGTTATATGATTGCCGTGGAAAGTCATTCAAAGGACAGCCTGTAGCCGCTAGAATGAAATCTGAACCAGTGGTTGGTAGCATGTAATATCAAAAAAAAAAAAAAAAAAAAAAAGGATAGATGGATCGTGAGGGAATAAATCAAGATAGATTCTTATATTTTTTTTATTATTATTATTTGATCGTCTCATATAGTCAAGCGCGAAAATCGGCATTACAGGCGGAATCAACTGCTTCACCAAAAGCAACAACAACAACAATAACAACAACTACAACTACTACTACTAATATTGCTACAACAGCCTCCAACACCCACAACGATAATGATCAACGGCAATCTCTCAATGATAATCCTATGAAAAATTATATTTACAACGGTTATTATATTCCTTTCAACTCTCCTATGACATTTAGGCATCATTGGCCTATACCTTATTCTTCTCATCCTGGTAACATATATCCAAACTATATTCCCAATGGTAATCAAAATGGAGGTCGCTTCAATAATAACAACAATAAACGTGGCGGTAAATCTGGTAGAGGAAGGTATAAAAACAACAATCATTATGGAGACATGATTAGAAACAATTCAGCAATAGGGACAACGTCGACCAGTACAAATAGTACACCTGTAGAAACAATATCCACTTCATTTTCATCTCCAAAAACACAGCATCAAACACGTACGAATGGATACAAGCTTAATGGATCATCGCAATCACAACGATCGCAACCGGCGTATCATCCTTCAACGTCTCACCATGAAGGTCTTCGTCCTTCTATATCATCACCGTCACCAACAATGATACAATCATCTTATCATTATCCAGCAGGACATCACCAGAATTATCATTACCAACAAAACAGTCATTATCGTGGACAAAAGAACAGGGGACATAATCAACTATATACACAATGGCGGTCCAACCGACAGAGTGTCAGAAACAACAATAATCACAGCAATAACACAAGTACCAATACCAATAATTACTATATCAGCCATAAAAGCAGCAACATGAATCATATTGATAGCAATACAGCAGCAATACCCGTTCACCAACAAAATTTCGAATCGTATTCACCTACAAATCAACAACATCCTTTACAAAATCATCGTCAACATCAACAGCATCTACAAAAACAGTATCCTCAACGTCATCAACAGTATCAACGTCACCAGCGGCATCAGCATCAACAATTGCAATATCAACATCAAAATCGACACTTTAGAAATCAAGCATCACCAATATCTTGGCCACATGGGACGGCATCTCCTATTTCAGGTTCATCTTCATCCTCAACTTCTTCTGGGTCATTGGACACAAAGGACAAAGTCACAGCAAGTGCCATAAGTATCACAACGACCACACCAGCTACTACAAATACTAGTCTTATATCACCAACATCATCTTCAAAGGATTCATCAACATCTACTACTCCAACAAAATCATTGGTTGGATCTTTAGATGCAAAATCAAAACGGAAACCAAAATGGGATAAGAAAAGGAAGAATAGAAAGCAATCAACAACATCTGCGAATCATGTGACTGAAGGTAATATATATATATATTGGAGTAACAACAATGGAAGAAAAAAAGAAAAAGAGGGAGTGGAACAAAAGTAAATGAACAGACTAATGATGAATTGTTTTATTATACAATTAGAAGAAATTGATCTTCAATCTGGCACTTATTTTCCACCATTACCTGGGTCCAAATTTAATATGATTGATACGACTACTTCCGACTCTACTACAACAACGACAATGACTGTATCAACCTTATTGAATGAAAGATTATCAGCTGCGGATGTGGTGAAAAAAGGCGGTCAAGACAAAACACCAACCATTTCATCATCAACTCCTGGACTGCAAAAGATTCAACAGCAAAAGAAAGTGATGACCTCCGAATCACAAAGGGAAAACATGGTAGTTATCAAGGAAAATCAAAGGCCATTAGAGGAACAAAAAGAACAAGAAGAATCATTCCCTCTATTGTGTCCCGTACAAGAAGTCTCTGTGTCCTCCTCTAGCTTTAGTTATGCTGATATGTTGAAAAAGAAGGAAAATTAATCAAGATGATTCGTTAGTTAGTTTGTATATTTGAAGGGGTCTTTTCTCCCTTCTTCTCCTTACAATATATGAAATAAACTCCGCATTATAATATTTGAACACTTCCACTTTTTTTTTTTTTTTTTTTTTACCTCTTTATTGTTTTCTTTTCATATGATCTACACGATACTTAGGCCATGTCTCTATATGAATCACGGAGAACATTTCAAAAAAAGGATACCATCCTTCCATTTAGTTCGGTAAACAATCCTGCTATATCTCATTCAACCAACGGACGACCATTATATCTATCAAGTCATCAAAAAACGATTGGTGGATTGACGAAACAACAACTTTCCCTTGTGATCCTGGTGATTCAAAATAGTGTGCTTGTACTAGTGATGCGACAATCTAGGCGGATGATGGCGAATCCTTTGATGGACGACATGGAAAATGGATCAGAAGACACACAAGATACAATGTATTTGGCATCTACCGCTGTCTTTTTAGCTGAAGTGATCAAACTCTTGTGCTGTACGTGGATGTTTTATTCGACAACTGGAGGTGATCTGGTTTCTTTTCTGAAACATGGATTATGGAAAGATGTGATTCTCTCTTCAGGTGGACATGATTTAGCATTAATGATGGTGCCTTCTGGATTATATGCATTACAAAACAACTTGCTCTATGTGGCACTCAGTCATTTGGAAGCAGCAACATTTCAAGTGACATATCAACTCAAGATATTATCAACAGCGATTTTTTCTATGGTGTTATTGGGTCGACGACTGGACAAACATCAATGGATAGCATTATTTTTGTTAATGTTAGGTGTGACTCTGGTTCAACTCTCTACTTCGACTACTATAAATGATGAAACAACAACAACGTGGATTGGATTAATGGCAGTATTGGCAAGTTGTATTTCTTCTGGATTTGCTGGTTGTTATTTTGAAAGAATACTTAAATCTTCTGGTGTTTCTTGTTCCATTTGGATACGTAATGTACAACTTGGTATTTGTGGTTTGATCTTCTCATTTCTTGGTATGATGATATATGATCGACAAAGGATTTGGCAAGATGGATTTTTTCAAGGTTATGATGGTATGACGATCTGGGTGATACTAAATCAAGCACTAGGTGGATTGGTCGTTTCTATGGTGATGAAATATGCGGATAATATCTTGAAAGCTTTTGCTACTTCTTTATCTATTATATTATCTAGTATTATTAGTGTATATTTATTTGATTTTCAACCTTCAACATACTTTGTATTGGGTACATTCATTGTATTATTATCTACTTATTTATATGGTCAACCTTCTTCCTCATTTAGTTTAAAGCCTGATTAATAAAAAAGTGTTTCGTGCTTCATACACTGACTTTTTTTTTTTTGTTTATGCAGCCATTACTGTAAACATTCCCACACACCTTTTTTTTTGTTGATTGATCATGCATTTTTTATTTTATTTTTTTTTGTTGATCATACATTTTTTTTTATTTGACAGGTATCTCAAGAACTGAAAATATTTTTCTTTTACTTCTTTTTTATCGTTATCATTGAAAAATTCATGAATACAATATACAGACAATGTACGCGCAAGATCAACCTTGATTGGGAAAAAGATTTTTCACTCTCCGCGTGCCTGGGCGAGGGAAGACAAAAACGGATGAGGAACAAACCAATTTTTACCTTTTTTTTCTTCTTCCCCATCCACTTTTTAGTGTAGTTAAGACTTCGAAATGGGTAAGTCCTTATAAATAACAAGTCTATATATAAATGGAAAGAAGAGGGATGAATGGATGCACAGATGGATGGATGGATGGATGAACAGATGGATGGATGGATGGATGGATGGATGGATGGATAGGTGAATGGATGGATGAGATAAGAAAAAAAAAAGTAACAAGATGATACTGACCTTTTTTTTAAAAAAAAAAAACGCTTGGCACTCTCTTTCTGTTATTGATATTATATAGTTGTAAGTAACATCATTTTTTTTATTCATGGTCTCCATATATATATATAAAAGATGAATTGACTTTTTTTTTCTTATTTTATAGAATTTCACTGTTGAAGAAATTCGCGGCTTGATGGACAAGGTTACCAATGTGCGTAACATGTCTGTTATTGCTCACGTCGATCACGGTAAGTCTACCTTGTCTGACTCTTTGGTATCCAAGGCTGGTATTATCTCTGCTGGTCGTGCTGGTGAAACTCGTTTCATGGATACTCGTCAAGATGAACAAGATCGTGGTATTACCATCAAGTCTACTGCCATTTCTCTTTATTTCCAACTTCCTGATCCTGAAGATATTAAGGAAATCAAGGGTCAAGTTACCAATGGTAAAAAGAAAAAAAAAGAAAAGTTATTTATTAAAAACAATATTAATAATGATTATTACTATTTATTTTGATAGGTTCTGATTTCTTGATCAATATGATTGATTCCCCTGGTCACGTTGATTTCTCTTCTGAAGTTACTGCTGCTCTCCGTGTTACTGATGGTGCTCTTGTTGTTGTTGATTGTATTGATGGTGTCTGTGTCCAAACTGAAACTGTGTTGCGTCAAGCTCTTGGTGAACGTATTAAGCCTATCGTTGTTATCAACAAGGTCGATCGTGCTCTTCTCGAATTGCAATTGGGCAAGGAAGAATTGTACAACGTAAGAACGGAAAAGGAAATTATTTTAAAACACCTCATGTACTTATATTTTTTTTTCTATTAATAGACCTTTGCTCGTACTATTGAATCCGTCAACGTGATCATCTCTACTTACTTTGATGAAGCTCTCGGTGATATCCAAGTTCGTCCTGAAAATGGTACTGTTGCCTTTGCCTCTGCTCTTCACGGTTGGGGTTTCACTCTTCGTCAATTCGCTCAACGTTACTCCAAGAAGTTCGGTGTTGACAAGGAAAAGATGATGGCCAAGTTGTGGGGTGAAAACTACTTCAACCCTAAGACCAAGAAGTGGTCCACCAAGGCATCCGCTGGTGGTGAACGTGCTTTCAACATGTTTGTCTTGGATCCTATTTACAAGATCTTTGACTCTGTTATGAACTTCAAGAAGGATCAAGTTGCCACCTTGTTGGAAAAGTTGGATATTCAACTCAAGTCTGATGAAAAGGAATTGGAAGGAAAGGCTTTGCTTAAGGTTGTTATGCGCAAGTTCTTGCCTTGTGGTGATGCTCTTTTGGAAATGATCTGTATTCACTTGCCCTCTCCTATCACTTCTCAACGTTACCGTGTACCCAACTTGTACGAAGGTCCTGCTGATGATGAATGTGCTATTGGTATCCGTGATTGTGATCCCAAGGGTCCTCTTATGTTGTACATCTCCAAGATGGTGCCTACCTCTGATAAGGGTCGTTTCTATGCTTTCGGTCGTGTCTTCTCTGGTACTGTCCGTGCTGGTATGAAGGTCCGTATTCAAGGTCCCAACTTTGTTCCCGGTACCAAGACTGATTTGCACATCAAGTCTGTTCAACGTACTGTCCTCATGATGGGTCGTGGTGTCGAAGCTATTGATGATTGTCCTGCTGGTAACATCATTGGTCTCGTTGGTGTCGATCAATTCTTGGTCAAGTCTGGTACTATCACTACCTCTGAAGTTGCTCACAACATGAAGGTCATGAAGTTCTCTGTCTCTCCTGTCGTGCAAGTTGCTGTCGAAGTCAAGAACGCTAACGATTTGCCCAAGCTCGTCGAAGGTCTTAAGCGTCTTGCCAAGTCCGATCCTTGTGTGTTGACTTATACTTCCGAATCTGGTGAACACATTGTTGCTGGTGCTGGTGAACTCCATTTGGAAATTTGTTTGAAGGATCTTGAAGAAGATCACGCTCAAGTCCCCTTGAAGATTGGTGATCCCGTTGTCCAATACCGTGAAACTGTTACTGCCGAATCTTCCATCGACTGTTTGTCCAAGTCTCCCAACAAGCACAACCGTATCTACATGCGTGCTATGCCTTTGGATGATGAACTCTCCAACGCTATTGAATCTGGTAAGGTTGGTCCTAAGGATGATTTCAAGGCTCGTGCCCGTATCCTCGCTGATGAATTCAACTGGGATGTTACTGAAGCTCGTAAGATTTGGTGTTTCGGTCCTGATGCCACTGGTCCTAACTTGGTAAGAGAGAGAGAGAAAAAAAAAATAGAAAAGATATAGATGGATAATCAAAAAAAAAAAATAATAATATATTTATTCTTTTTTTTTTATATATATATAGATGGTTGATGTTACCAAGGCTGTCCAATACCTCAACGAAATCAAGGATTCTTGTGTTGCTGCTTTCCAATGGGCTACCAAGGAAGGTCCTCTTGCCGAAGAAAACTTGCGTGGTTGTCGTTTCAACATTTTGGATGTTACTCTCCATGCTGATGCTATTCACAGAGGTGGTGGTCAAATCATCCCCACTTGTCGTCGTGTCGTCTATGCTTCCGTGTTGACTGCCACTCCTGGTATCCAAGAACCCATGTACCTCGTTGAAGTTCAATGTCCTGAATCTGCTATTGGTGGTATTTACTCTGTACTTAACAGACGTCGTGGTGTCGTCTTCTCTGAAGAACAACGTCCTGGTACCCCTATGATGACCATCAAGGCCTACTTGCCCATCAACGAATCTTTCGGTTTCAATGGTGATCTCCGTGCCGCCACCTCTGGTCAAGCCTTCCCTCAATGTGTGTTCGATCACTGGGAAGCTATGAATGGTAACCCCTTGGAAGCTGGTAACAAGGTCTACGATATCATCCGTGACGTCCGTAAGCGAAAGGGTCTTACCGAAGATATTCCTGGTCTCGACAGATACTACGACAAGCTTTAGAAGTTTGGTCTTTTTTGAATTGTTTGCGGTTTTTATATATTGTGGATATCTCTCTCTCTCTCTCTTTTGTACACTTTTGATGAATTTTATATTTTTAGAAACTAGAAATAGAAATTGTTACAATAAAATAAAGATTTTTTAAATATTATTTGATGGATATATGTTTTGGATAATGCTTTATTGATATATTGTTGGTTTTTTTTTGGATATTAAACAAATAGGATGATGCTTTATTCATATTTTTTTTTTTTTGGATGTTAAGGAAATAGGACTAAGTGATTGTTTTATGACAAATCAAATCGGGGGCGAAGTATATCGTCAAAATAAAAAAAAAAAAAAAAAGTGGCATATTCATTTAAGATTAGTGCTATGATGATTCTTTGGAATTTTGTGTTTGTACACCAAGAAGAAAAAAAAAATCTAATGTATTTGTCTAGAATACATTCATATGGATGATCCTTATTTCTGATATATCATGACATTTATTGGAAAGGCAGAAGGAATAAAATACAAAATGGATGTATAAGAAAAAAAAAAAAAAAAAGAGGGGGGAATCTAAGAAGAAACGATCATACACGACTAATTCTAACTAATTTTGAGTAATCATATCCAAATCTATATCAAAGGAGATATTGCATCCACAAGAATTCTTTGCATTGGGATTATCTACTACTTGAAAGGTGGATCCAATCAATTCTTCCACAAAATCAACATTGGAGCCTCGAAGATATTGTAAAGAGATACCATCCACCACAACTCGAACACCGTCCTTTTCAAATATACTACAAGAAGAAGAGTTAGCTCATGTTTAAAAGTTAGCAGGCAACCACTTACATATCATCTTCATCAGTTGTATTAGTCAATTCCATCTTGTTTTGAAAGCCATGACAACCACCAGAGTCGACCATGATACGTAATAATTGTGTAGGATCATTATCACGTTCTGCAATATATTTGAGTTGCTACAAAAGAAAAAAAAATTAAATGAAATGAGTATAGAGCTCTTATCACAAGTCACTTTTTTCTAAACTAGTTCAACAATATATCTAATATGTTACCTTCAATGCATTTTCAGTGATATTGATACCAGCTTCATTAGATGCTTGTTTCACAGTAGCTCCATTCCATAGTTTATCGTCATTTGATTGTGATCCATATGGTTGTCGGAATGGAATAAAGGTAGTAGAAAGTCGTGGTGATAAAGTTTTCGGTCTTAAAGCAGGAGAACGTCGTGATAATGGTACTAAGAACCGTAGCATTGTGTATATAATAGAGAGGGGTTACAAAAAATAAAAAATAAAAAAAAAAAAAGTGGAGAAGAATTTTTGTTTTTGTTTTTTTTTTTTTCCTTACTTTTTATATAAGTACCGACCCATTCTCATTCGTTGATTTTCACTGGATTTGCGCTTCACTCAATGAAGTACATCTACTTTTTAAGCTGTGGAAGATAGTGATGATGATAATAATAATGATAATAATAATAGTAAAAAATCAGAGATATTTTATGTTGTCAATCCTATTTTTGGCTCGTACAAAGATGATTGATCAATTGGTTCATTGATCGATGTGATCATCATTTTACGGAGTCAACGTTTACCTCAGTATTAATCATTCTTGTTCATTATTCGATGATGTCTTCCTTCTACCAGTTCTCATCAATCAGTGAAATCATCCTTTCTCATTTCACCATTTAATTCTCTCTCTCTCTTTCTTTTTTTCTTTTCTTTTCTTTTCTTTTTTTTTTTTTTTTTTTTTTACGATCCATTCTTTTTCTATTATTATCACTCAATGTCACCTACCATATTGGAAGAAGAGCAGATGGATGATGCTCAACTGGACGAAATCGAATTGTATGAAGGAGAACAAGACACCAGGAGGATGATCCATTACTGAATGCTTCTGAAGAAGATCAACTTGATGGACAACAACCAAATGAGTTGCAGAGGGAAGAGCTGGATGATCTTTTGGATGATGATCGGTTTGAAACACGTCCCATCACTGATATAAAAGTAACAGATATCATCCTACCTGGTGAAAATCAAGTTTCTGTCAGTTCAATTGCGAGATTGAGATTTGCTAGCAATGGAAGACAAGTGACTCTCACCTTGAGGATTGCCTGCCGCGGATGAACTAGAAATACCCTTAAAAGGATACCATGTGCATTTTACCGTCAACAATCCATCTCGTCGCTGTACTTTCTTGGATTCCGATGCCATCGATAGCACAATGAGGCATGGTTATGTTGCTATAGCATTACGACCCACTGAATTCCCTTTTCTTTATGATTTACTCCACAATATCTGTGGAACAATAACATCGCCTTTTGGTAAGCTTTTTTTTTTTTTTTTTACTTGCCTTTTGGCTGATCAAATTCATATTTATTTTTTCCTTTTTTTCTTTTTTCTTTTTTCTTTTTTCTTTTTCTTTTTCTTTTTTTCTCCTTTTTTTTTTTTTTTTTTAGACAAACAGATTCCTTTGCCCTTTTAATTGCACAAAGTCATACAACAGATCCGATAGCTTGGTGCAACACATTATTCTCTACCATTACAGCACCGTAAGTCATGGAAAAAAAAAAAAAGTTGCAACATGCTAATCTATTTTTTTTTTTTTTGGTTGCATTCATAGGAAAAGGAACGAGCCGCTGCTAGGATTCCCTGTAGAACGTGCCTGGTCAATGGTCTATGCAGAACTGCGCGGACGCTCTCGGGTCATTAGTATATCGAGTAAGCATCAAAATACATTTATATAGTTGCGGTTTAACCATTTATTATTATTATTCTCTAGGACATTGCTCCTACTCGCCCCCGAGTAACAACTTTGGCTAAATTAGATGGGGATCATCATATTCGAAACAATAATCTCCCAACGGACCAGGAAATGATACAACGTTGTCGCCAAACACAAACGACAACATGACCTCGACATGCTCGATTGGCTCCAGATCAACAACCTCAACAGATACTACAACCAATAGAAGCTCCTCTACCGGACAAATATATCAAAAGAACCAAGTATGTTTGTTTTAGATACTATTAATACTATGATGGATTATTGATCCATCGCTTAGTTTTTTATAGGAAAACAAGTGCTCTGTTGAAAATTGAAAATCGTACATCGACCTTTCGAACACCTGGGAGCTTGGAGAAGCATATCCATGACATGCACATTAGGACAGTAAGTAGAAAGACAAAATAAAAAAAAAAAAAAAGGAAAGCTTAGTTCGCCATGATTGACATTCTTTTTTCTCAATCTTGATAGCCTGCACGAAGAGAAGCCCTGAAAATTCCCCCCTGCTCAGAATGCCAAGCTCAACATCTCCACCCGAAAGGCATTCACCAAGGTGCAAACATTGACCTATGTCTCGGTTCATCATGTAAGTATAAAAAATAATCTGGATATATCTGAATATATTGATGACTGATTTTATTATTATCTCTTAGGATATCACGCGCAATTATCGAAACGCCAAAAACATCATGGCTGATCAAGATGAGGGAACATATTATGAATACGAGGACTTGACACCATATTTGCAACAGATGATGACGGTTGATGTATGATATTTTGGAAACAAAGAGTTGTCCGTATTGACGTACCTGAAGTAATCAACATCTAGTGGGCCTTCTCTTCTTTTTTGATGTCTTCTTTTTTAATATAATCAATCATTTAGTTAATATTTGAATCAATAAATGTTTTTGAAATACATATTGTTTCCTTTTATTTTTTTTTATCATTAATCTTTTATTCGTATAATGATGATTTTATATTGGTTTCCAATCATAATCTATCAAAGAACAGTAATCATGCTGATTTCAATTTAGACACACAGGGCATTCTCGGAATCTACGCTCAAACCACTCGTGGACGTCAAGTCAAATCTCTTGAAAGTAACCAATGAATTTATGTCGGCTTATGAAATACAAACTTTTTTTTTTTAATTCCACCCCCCCTGGCTGGTCCAACAGAAAAAAGAAAACAAATTTTTGACCAATAAAAATACAAAGAAAAAATTTTTCAATCTTTATAAAGTTCAACGGGAAGTCTGTTTACTCCTTTTTTTTTTCTTCTTTCCTTTTCCCTTAACTTTCAACCCCACTCCCTTACATTTATATAAAAATGTCTTCTTTCGCTGAACAAAACAAGTTTGCCATTGTAAGTATTCAATCATCTTATTATATATTATTATTTTAGTCAAAAAGAAAAAAAAAAGATCAATTGATCTTTTACCATCTTTTTTTTTTTTCTTGTTTATTAAAAAAAAAAAATATACTGATAACTCTTTTTTTTTTTCAACCTAGGATTTCCTTATGGGTGGTGTTTCCGCCGCTGTCTCCAAGACTGCTGCTGCCCCTATTGAACGTATCAAGCTTTTGGTCCAAAATCAAGATGAAATGATCAAGCAAGGTCGTCTCAGCTCTCCCTACAAGGGTATCGTTGACTGTTTCAACCGTACCGTCAAGGATGAAGGTTTGGTTTCCATGTGGAGAGGTAACACTGCCAACGTTATCCGTTACTTCCCTACCCAAGCTTTGAACTTCGCTTTCAAGGATAAGTTCAAGCGTATGTTCAACAAGGATAAGAAGAAGGATGGCTACTGGGCCTGGTTTGGTGGTAACCTTTGTAAGTCTGAAAACATTTGATATTTCACTATGATTTTTTTTTTTTTTACTGAATTTTTTTTTTAAATTTCTTTTTTTTTTTTTTTTTATCTCTCGTTTCTAGTGAGCGGTGGTGCTGCTGGTGCCTGTAGTTTGTTCTTCGTTTACTCTTTGGATTATGCTCGTACTCGTCTTGCTAACGATGCCAAGTCCTCCAAGGCTGGTGGTGAACGTCAATTCAATGGTTTGATTGATGTTTACAGAAAGACTTTGGCCTCTGATGGTATTGCTGGTCTTTACCGTGGTTTCAACATTTCTTGTGTTGGTATCATTGTTTACCGTGGTTTGTACTTCGGTATGTACGATTCCATCAAGCCTGTCATGCCTGAATCTCTCAAGGATTCCTTCTTGGCTTCCTTCTTGTTGGGTTGGGCTGTTACCACTGGTGCTGGTCTTGGTAAGTTGGATTGTTTATTTAAAAATTTTTCTATTGGGCGGAATTCAAAAGATTCAAATGATTGATTTGTTTTTTTTTTTTTTATATAGCTTCTTACCCCATTGATACCGTCCGTAGACGTATGATGATGACCTCTGGTGCTGCTGTCAAGTATGACTCTTCTTTGGCTGCTTTCAAGGAAATCGTTGCTAAGGAAGGTGCTAAGTCCTTGTTCAAGGGTGCTGGTGCTAACATTCTCCGTGCCATTGCTGGTGCTGGTGTGCTCAGGTAAATTCAAAACCAATGAATGATAAAAAAAAAAAGTGTGGAGAAAGGGCGATGATGATGATGATTTAACTAATCGTATTTTATTCTTTTAATTCCTTTAGTGGTTACGATTACCTCCAAGTTGCTGTCTTCGGCAAGAAGTACTAGGTTGTTTTTAGTAGATTAGGAACATTTTATATAGATACAAATTTTTTTTAACACATGTTAATATTTGGAGTTCAATAAAAAAAAATATATGTTATTTTGTTTGAAGTTAATTTGATCTTTTTATGTATGTCTTTTATTTTGATGATGTGTTTATTGAATTACTAGTGAAAGTGGCTTGTGATAAACCTGGGATTACCATTCGACCTGTTACACTTACTGGGATTGAAAAAAGGTACGGGTTGTTAGGGTAAGTTTTACCCCTTTTTCCATATGTCAATTTGGATGACGATGAATAAATATAGTAGGATCTTGATATTGTGTTATATTAGCTGAAAATAATAATAATAATGAAGATAGATTGGGAACATAATGATTATGTGATTAAAAGTTGTTGACGACACAAAAAAAAAAAAAAAAAGAATACCCCTGACGGATACTTTTTACTATTTGTTGAACTTTATTTCATTCTCCCTTGCACCAGCTCAAATAAACTATTTTTTTTTTTTTGACACAGGTCATGATTCTTTCCTTCTATGTTGTATCACCAAAGCGAGGCATTTCTGATAGATAGATAGATAGATACTTCCGTTATTAAAATTGACAAGACATCACGTTTTGATTCAACTTGATATATCCTTCAAGTTTTGGTAACCAAGTTTTTTTTTTTTTGTATCTTTTTCCTTATCTCGCAATTTGTAGAGTAAATTTAAAAGCAAAAAATCAATATCGTTATCCCTCATCCAATAATGATCATCATCCAATAAAATCACCACCGTTAGATTCCTCTCAAAAAATTAGTTTAATACCATCTAATACCGTTTTCTCGCTTACATTACCATCTATCGGATAATGATCACTAAAAGATTTCATCGATTTTTCCAAAAATTGCCTGATGACCCCCTGATGATTCATTCTTACAGCCAAACTTTGGCTGTGGAGTTTCAAAATTTTGGCTGTAAAATTCAAAAATGGATCCCATTTTGAACCAAAGCAAGCAGACCTTTTTGCCATTATCAACAATATCAACGAGACCGCAAAAGATACTAATTGTAGTATAAATTGTTTTTTTTTCCCTTTCGTATTTATTTTTACCACATATATATTTACTGCTGTAGTATAGTACTCTCTATTTATAATAACCTGATATTTATGCATGTATCGTGTCTGTATAAAAAAAAAACTCGATTCGTCCTGTACTTCAACCTTGTAACGTCTAATCATTTTTTTTCCAAGATGATCCATCAATTCAGAATCTGTTATCCATCTCTCAGAATCTATCACTTAGCATATAAAGCCTAACATCCCCATCATCCTACCATCCCATCGTGTAGAATCTATCATCCATCATTTGCCATATACACACGTCTACTAAACCACTTGAATATTCGATACCAAAAAGAAAGATTTTATTGATCAATATATGACTATATGGTCTACGTGTCCAACAATCATTAACTAATACGGAATACCTTTTAAGTGGGAAAAAAAAAAAAGAGTTAGATCGCATTGGCCTTTTCTTTTTTTTTTTTTCTTATTTCTTACCATTGGTCAATTTTTGGAAGTAATCATAAAGAACAGTGCGTTGATTTTCAAAGGAATCCCTAATACGCATCATAATAAAATCGGAAGCTTGTCGTTCAGTCTTATCCACCTGGAATCGAGATCGCATACGTTTAATTGTTTCACCCTTGAAACATGGAAGACCAGATTCAAGCATGAGAGTGACTAACTGCATGATATATTCAGCATAAGGACGACAGGCCAAATAAGATTTGATCATCAGTTCCGAAAAGTGTTTGAAGGCTTGTTCTTGAGATCCACCACCCATCACTTGAATCATTTCAGCTGTCAACTTGAAAGGTGAGCTTTCGAGAATGCCACCACCAGGAGCAATATCAAAGATAAATCCGAAATCTATATTAAAAAAAAAAAAAAGAGAATGAGGTTTGATTGATCATCAATAGAAAAAATAAAGTCTTTTTTTTTTCTTTTTTTACCAATATGAATAATATGTCCATCATCATCCAACATAATGTTACCATTATGTCGATCCTTGAATTGAAGTAAATACGAAATCAAAGAGTATGCAGCCACAGATTGAACAAAATTGATACGAGCACGTTGGAAAGCAATAGAATCAGGAGAACCATATTTGGCGACAAAATAATCAAATAAACTGTTGACACGTTCACGACCAAGTTGATCACGAGAAATAGAGTTGGGTAAGACATCAATCACACCATTACCAGGCGCCGTAGCAACTACACGATAAGGATATACATAGAGATCTAAGCCAACACTTGTAAAGATGTTTTTGAAGACTGCAATCAACTGAAGAGCTAGTACGTCTTGACGACAATCGTCACCAACCTTGAAAATGGCACCTTGCCATGTTTGAATGGTTTGCTTGTGCACTACACCTTGTTCACCTCGCATCAAAGCTTGTCGCATCTTTTCCGTATCTTCCACTTCCTTTTCTACCTTGAAAGTAGCCATGAAAGGTGCCTAATATATGATCAAATGGAGATAAGTTTCATCAATAAATCTCTCTTTTTTTTTTTTTTTTTTTTTTTTTTTTTACTTACTTTAGCATGAGATTGAAGAGGTCTACCAGAAGTACGATTGATATCCACAACATGACCATCAGGATTGGAAGGCAAGTATACACCAACATCCACTTGAACTTTGGCCAATTCCTCATCCAAACGTTTCTAAAAAATATAGAAAAGGCATGAGATCAAAAAAAAAAAATCATTGGATATCACCTATTTTCATTACCTTTTGCATTGGTTTCTTTTCTGTTTGACCATATTTAATATATTCCTTGAGATATCCAGATATACCAGTGACTTCATTGAAAAATTTGAATTCACGTTCATAAAATGCACGATCTGCACCAGTAAAGGAGGCTACCAAATTGTCGATAACACGTTCCAAAGTAGGCTTGAGAGCATCAGGCTTAAGACAATCCTTATCAGCATCCACAAAAAAGTTGGCCTTCATATTCCAAATAAGTTGATGAGCAAACAATTGAGAAACTTGACCCGCTTCCATAATGTACTTTTCAACATATCCCATTTCATCGTAACGTAGCGCTTGTACAATTTGAGGAATATAAAAGAATACCGTATCCACAGGATAATATTCCAAACTTCTCATAGCATATTGTAAGATCAAAGGATGATTATTGAAAGCAGGTAAAAAGTAATTGGCGGCAGTGATAGCTGGCACAGGAGCCCAATATTGTAAATACTAGAAAACAATCTCGGAAATGAGGTGATGTTTCATCTTTTTTTTTATCTATATATATATAATTACCTTCAAATCTAGTTTGGCGTTTGGTACCAAGCGATCACCAAGTAAAATAATCAAAGCTTCAGGAACATCCACAACATCCAAGGAATTATTGGCAATCAAACGATGAAGTTCACGATGAACCACAGGGAGTACAAATCGAGTATCCATTTGAACAGCTAAACGAGGAGAAACTTCCCAAGCAAAACGGATCATTTCCTTCCAAGAATCTTCCATCACCAAGGAGCGTTCGGTATTTCCAGTAAACACTGAAGGTAAACCATGACCAGTTGCATTCAAAGGATTACACCACACAGACAAACGAGTCAATTCACTTTCAACAAAGAGCATAAGTAACTTTTTAGCTAGATGATGTTGTCGAATCACATCGTCCTTGGTTTTGTCGTTCAAAAACATATAGAGTCCAGCGCCAATTTTTGACGTACTTGTAGCATTATTCTTCAAAGGTGAGCTGGTAACAAGGTAACTGAGGTTTGGTGTATCATTACTAATGGCGGTATAAAAGTCATTCAATAATTTATATAACATCAATGCTTGACTCTTGCGGGATCCATAATGCCATCTATAAAGGGCAAATAAAAAAAAAAATATGTCAATGAATGGTGAGATATCTTTGTTGTGTTATTTTCACTTACTTGGGAGTCAAGCTAAACCAGTTAAAAGCAGCATCATAAACAAGAGAACGGAACTTGTGTTCAGCTAGAGCTTCCATTCGACAAGATTGTAACATTTTCAAACCAAGACGAAGTAATTGGAATCGAGAATAACAGGCCAAAGAGTGAGTACTCATCAAATGAGCATTTTGGAATGATTCCTGCAATAAACGAATAAACATGTTGACAAGATGTTTGCTTCGATGACGAATGGCATAAAATCTACTACTGAGGAATTTGATCCAAGTGACATGAGGTGAAAATAAGAAGGAAGCTACACGTATAGTATTGTCACGGATAGCCTTGTCCGATGGAGCATAAGTCATCTTGCTAACAAAAGGATGTTTCACACTAATCATATAAAAAATCAAAAATATCAACTTTGTAAAATAATCATACTACAAAAAGAAAAAGAACCATCGTTTCGTAACTTACTTGAGAACTGGTGAGAATAGACCTTTGCGATGACGTTGAGCCCAACTCCACATACCTAACATTTCCACCATCAAACGATTTTCAATTTCAGGACGTTCAACCAATATCCAAGTCCAAACAGAAGTACCAAGTTCCAAAGATTCAGGAGTAAATAATAAGACAGGAATACGTACCAAATATCGAATCAAATCAGGATGAACATGCGGTAAAGCAATAGTGAATCCAGCAGCACGATGTAAAGTACTGTTCAATCGCTCTACCGAAACGTCACGAGTTTGCTTAATATCTTCAGCCAAGGTTTCTAAAGCTTTGAGAACGTATCCAACTTGTTTTTCCATAGCATCTGAACCTGAGTTGCCTATATTGAAGAAGGAAGGGAAAAAAAAAATGAAATCAAATGGTCATCATTACGTTTTCACATTTCTTGTTCCATCTTTTTTTTTTTTTTTTTGTCCATTTCCCTTACCTGGTTGTTCATTCAGATCATAGAGATATTCTACACCACTAATTTCACCAGCATAGAATCGACGAGAAGTAAACCCACTAACAAAACTGGAAGCAATATCAGGATGAATGGATGGCACCTTGGGAATAAATTCGTTTGAATGATGATTCTTTGTTGTAGCTTTTCCAACATCCAGAGCAAGAGACCGACCTAAATGACCAACATCGAGCGGGGTGTTCGAACTAAAACGATCAAAACCGGCAAGATAGCTTTGAAGAAGTCCAGAAATTTCTAAAGGAGCACGATCCACAGCAAGATGCAACCATTTCCTTGCGCTTTCATAGAATTGAGTACAGATTTCCTTGCGATAAGTAAAACTGTCACCAAGTTCAATAGTAATACCACCAGGAAGACGAGACGAAGAAAATTGATACACAGGTGAATATTCATCACGATATTCTGCTTCACAACTGAGCCAGAGTAATTGCACCAGTTCCAATAGTAAAGTGATCAGATGTTTATCCGCAAAAGCTTGAGGGAATGAAGTAACAATTCGATCAGTTGTTTTGATTGCTAATTGATGCACTTTGGACAATCGATGACAACAGAGTTCCAATAACACAGCTACTTGTTTTCGAAGATCACCTTCCAAAGTTTGAGTAGCAGCCTTGTTTGCCGAATCCTTTGTAAAAGCATTTGCCACACGTTCAGCAATGGTTTCCAGACAATTTGCCAATGAGCTAGTACTAACTCCATCATTCATAAAATAACGTAAGACAAAGCTACAATCACCCATCTTGCTGCGCATCATTTCCACGTGGTAAACACTTAGGGCAAAAACCAGTTGAGCATACGAGAAGGTCTTAACATCATAGGATAAGGAGGGTAGCACCATCAAAAGTTTTTGTCGCATTGTCCCGACATCCATATCCACTGATCCACCACGAAGAACAGAGTTGTATTCCAAGTCACTTTCCAAATAATTTGTAGCACTTTCAATCACAAGTACAGGAGTTTTCTTCGCTATTACTTGCAAAGATTCATTCCATTCGCGAATCCACATAGATTCAGTCACAAATCCAAATACGACACAAAGGAACCACATGTTGCGGAAAAGAGAGACAGTTTCAGCACTACATCCAATATGAGGTTCAAAATCAGGATGGGACAATAAAGCTTGAAGCGCAGGACGGAGAGTTCCAAGTTTCGATATGAGAGGAAGATCGGATGATTTTTTGTCCTTTGCCATGATACGTTGTATAGCGTTGCCATTTTCCACAAAAAGAGTTAACAAACTACTAAAATAGGTTTGATAAAATTCAGGTCTTGATGACAATCTAACAGCTAGATCGTGCATTGCGTTTTGAATCTATCAAAAAAAAAAAAAAAGGACAATATATCTACATTAGTCACCTGTTTCTTTAATAATATATACGTTATAAATGATGCTTTTTTTTTTTTACCGATGAAGAAAGTTGCTTATTATCAATGGCTAGTGATTCACGACTAAGATTGGAAAACATGTTCAGAATATCTTCAAATACCTTGGCAGGAGCCACCAGAGCAAGGTCCACAAGACGAGAAGTAAGGGATGAAATGGAAGCAACAGACAATGATTTGCGTCGAAGTAAAAGCATGGATAGAGCTTGAGTCATAATCTATATTTATAATATCAGTATGAGTATTCTTGACCTTTTTCTTTTTTTGTTATTATTATTAATTTGTTTTTTTGATATTCTTACCGCTTCATCCTTCAAATAAACAGCAACACCCACAATAGCAGAAAGAGCATTGGTGCACACTTGTTGTTTCTGTTTTTCATTCAATTGTTCTGCAGCAGGAGCACCAGAAATAGCATGATGACCCGTTTCATTTCCATCATCACCACTGTATCGAGTAATTTCATTCAGCAAGGCATACAAGGTGGATATGGCAGCTTGAGACATTTGAGCTTGAGGTTTCGATTGTACACATTGTGCCAGACGGATAACAGCATATTGTTGAACACTAATATCACTTGCATAGAGTTCAAAGACTGGAGAAGGTGTAGCCAAAAACCGAGAAATACTGTTGATCATATTATTGTTCATATATGGGAAGCTATAAATAAGAAATAGATATTGTCATGAGAATTCTTTTTTTTTTTTTTTGATATGATGTGTAATAAAAGGCAGATAGTTAGAAAAAAAAATTCTTACTTGATGGAGAGAAGAACTGCAGCATCCAGAGCAGCCACTTGAATCCAAGCATCAGGAATTTTAGGGACAGTAAATAGACATTCAGAGATATGGTCTACAAGTTGGTCATCCATTTCATGTAGATAAACAGAAGACAATGCCGCCACATGCTATATTGAGTATCAAAAAAAAAAAAAAAAAAAAAAAAATAGAAAAAAAAAAAATATTATTTTTGTTAGTAATACAAATATGTGTAGCATTCTCTTTTTTTTTTTTTCTTTCTGAATAATTACCAAACTGGTACCCATAATTTCTTGCATATAACCATCCGTAGCCCATTTGTTGTCATTTTGATCTTGATTTTCAGCAAACTTTCGGACATCTTCATAATAACCTGAGCTCATGACATAAACAGATCGTAAGCTGTGATTCAATTCTTGGTTCTTGTTAGAGGTATCAAAAGGTTTTTTCATCAAAGCAGACCAGGCAGTATCAATAGTGTCAGTCCAGTGAGATTTGCGAGTTTTTCCAACCAAAACTGATGGAGTAGATGGTTCATTATTGGATGGATCAGCTTGAGCAAGGACGCGAGCGGTAACATTTCGAAGAACAATGAGCAAGTCATACACAACACGGTTGCTGCTGAGTGGCATTCCATCTTCCCAATAGCGAGCTAAAACACGGCGCCCATAACCAGATACATCATGATCTTTGAGACATGTTTGAATTGAAGTAGCAATTTGTTCCAGCACAGTATCTTGAATCAATGATTGTGTATTAGTACATAATATTAATAATTGATTGCTTCGATACAAATAGGGACTAAGTTGTAACGCACGAGACAGACCAGCCAAAGATGGTAAAATGAATGTAATGGTGAACTCGACTATTTGTATTAAAAGAAAAGTTGTCATTAATCAGAATCAAATATATATATACCATTTCTATTTTTCCTCCCTTCAACAACCCCCTTAGATAATTTTATCCTTTTTTTTTTTTTTTTTTTTTACCATTGCTAGATAATTGCTGCATAAGGGCTTCTGCATATTTCCAAAGAATACTGGTAATACGTTCATATACAGAAGGACACTTGTAAGAGATTTCCAATAAACCAGATACCAAACTATAAGTAATACCATCAGAAGGAGGAGGACCACGAGTGAGAGTAACAGGTTCCCAATCATATACAGATAAATGTCGAATATAGGATAAAAGTCGAGGTAAAAGTTCCAATTGTCTTTCTTCTGTTGCTTGAGTAACATATTTCACCAATGCTGTCAAAGTTTGCTGGCTACGTCGAGTCTAATAGTTATTTAAAAACAAATAAAAATAAAAAAAAAAAATAGTAATAATGAACTAACAGTTCCTGAAAATAATACAAAATAAAAAAAAAAAAAACTTACCATTGTACCCACGCTAGGAATAGAACCACGAATATAAATGTTATCATCATCAGGAATATCCAAAGGAACAATAGGACACTTTGAAACTAATTTTTCTACTTCATTTGTAGTAGCTTTTGAACGAGAATCGGCGAGGACTTCAGCTAAACCAAGTAGAATACGAGAATGCAGGTCGTTCTCTAATCTAAACAAACAAAAGGAGAATAAAATAATAATCAATACAAATAAAATAACAAAAAGAATAGATTGTATTACCTCGTCATATTGGTTTTGATGACTTTGTAAAAGAAAAAAAAAAAGAAAGGAAAAGACAAGGTAATCAAAGAACAAAAAAGTATTGAAATTCACTTTCACGTGCGGAAGTTTAATAGACCTGGCCCGTTCTTCATTACTCTTTTTATCATTTCCACATCTTGTCATCCAATATCAACTTAACCCCACAAATTAAAAAACGAAAAAAAAACAGCACATTCATTTTCTTTATTGTACAACATCAAAAAATTTGGAAGAATAATGTATCTAATCTAATAGTAATTCTAAGTAACCAACATCTTCATATTTTCATAGTACATTAACATTGGATTTTCACCACTACGAGTTGTTGTTCTTTCCACTTCACCATATCGTTCACAGAATTCCCGATGAGTCATTACCTTGACATTCCTGTCACTACCAGCCCTAGATCCGCGGCACACCAAGAGATACATATCACGGAAAAGTTCCCAATTGGTAGGAAAAAAGATGTCGAACCAGCCAGGTTGTACCATATAAGTTGAACAAGGTACCATCGTACCTTTATAACGAGTTTGAACCACTGGAGCATCTACACCAGGGACAGCATCAGGTAAGGACGAAAAATCGGATAAAACAAGTCGATGTTGAGGGAAGTATTCTTTGAGAGTTTCCATGAATAAAAACAATTTGGTGGGTATGAATTCTGGTGCAGTCAAATTGGGTGCCAAAGGTAATGAAGTCAATAATTTGTACCAGAATGAATTGGCCAATACAGGACTACGATATCGTGTTTGTTTTCTTGTTGTTAGGTATCGATTAATCAGCGCATCCTTTCCAACCGGTTCATATAATTCTGTGTAATCCCCTTTACTGTCTATACTGACCAAGCCTTGATATGGTTTCAATGTTTCAATATCATAACGAATAAGATCGTGAGCAAAGTTATCCTAATAAAAAAAAAAAAAAAAAAAAAAAAAAAAAAAGAAAAGAAAAGAAAAGATATCGGTTAATTGATGTAATTAAATAATCCAAAAAAAAAAAAAAAACTTACAATGACTTCCATTCCTAAAAAGAAACACTGATCTGGAACATAGGTATCCCAATCAAAGATACTTTTATTGATAATTTTGACGCATTGGTGTTGATCCTTGAGATCTCGTACATCCTGTCGTTCTGATTGCCTTTCTGCTAGTTTACCCGAAATTTCAATAATGTTGTACTGTGTTCTTTTGTAAACTGATGGTTCGTATTGTTGAATATAATCCAGAATGTTCATCATCAATGTACCATTTCCTGCTCCCATTTCGTAAATAATCAAATCTTTATGAGGATAAAGGTTGAGCTTGTATTCAGAAACCATATACTTGGCAATAGCATATCCATACCATGGCTGTTATCATTCAATGAAATAATAAAAATTATTACAAATAGAAGGGTAAAAAAAAAAAAAAAAAAAAAAGGAGAAAATATTGGTTAACAAGGTACAGATATACATCCAAGAGCATTATATAATTTTATTTTATTTTTTTTTATTTTTTTTTTTTTTTTTTTTTTTTTTTTACCTTGAATAATTCTGTAGGAGTATGCCACACTTGTCTAGCAATTTCATCTACTTCATCGGCATCACCTTCAATATCACGGTACATACGAGCCAAGATATTCATGAATTCCAAGTGATCACGCATTTCATTAAAATCAAAATCGATTTCAGGAGAGAAAATCACAGCTTGCTTAGAGAAGTAACCATAGTTTGGATTGTAAAGAGAGTCATCAATGAAATCGCGTACAAGCATATTGGTTCGAGTTGGTGGTTGAGTCAAGTGGCTAATGTCGCTTGCTGTTTTTCTGGGATATTTTTTCCGTTCCTCTAAATCTTGTTCTTCTTCTTCAGGTTGTGTTAAAAATGGAAGAGCAAAATGTGTACGTGGTTGATGATCAGACGAAGTCGAGTAATGCTGTATGTGGGAGCGACGTGCCAGGGCCAAGAGTGATCGTCTTTGACTGTATAAATATAAATATTGCTGCAGTTGTTGTTGATAGTGACGATTATGACAATGAAATGGGTTATGAGTGCTTATTGAGTGTATACCACGTCGTATGATGGAAGCATGACGTTGCATAATGTTGAAATAATGTAACAGACTATTTGTGGAAAAGACTAAAGTAAGAAATAAAGAGAAAAAAAAAAACAATTTCGACCTTCCCATGTTTTTTTGGACTCGGAATATGAAATTCTCATCAACCAATCATCATTCCGTATCGCGATAGCTGGTGCAATTCAATCTGTTTCACTGCCCCTGAAACTAGCTTTCAGCAAACACCAGTGGACTTGAATAACTATACGATCATCTATACACATTTCTTCATCATCCATCATCACATACAGTATAATCCATCGTCACCATATCACAAAATTATACCAGCATACTGTAGCATCCTTTTCTTCTTATACCGTCAAAATATCTAATCATCATGTTACTGTAGAATGTCAAGGAAGTAATCATTTTTTTTCCTTCCTTTTTCTATTTCACACACCCGACAAATGGATACAAATAGTGTTCTTAAAGGACAGCATTGCACCATTCTCTCCTGTCCTAAAAATTTCTCTCATGATCGGGATTTGAAACAATGTTCTTAAGGAATGCAACACCAATTTTTCTTACTTTTTTTCTTCTTTTCTTTACTCTCTTATCTTCACTGTCAAAAACCCTGAAATAAATTCAAAATGGTAAGTACACTTGGATATTCATTAAATAAAATAAAATAAAAAAAAAAGAAATACTTTGACTCATTTTAGTTACTCCCCCCACTTATATATATATATAAATATTGTTGGTTGTTCTGATTCCTTTAAAAGATCAAAGTTGGCGATACGGTAAGAAAAAGAAAATAGCCAAAAAATAAACACGCTTTCCTACTCTGTTCTTTTTACTCACTTTTCGTCTTCTTGAATTTTCATTTGATTTTTTTTTTTCTTCTTCTTCTTTATAAATAGATTCCCGAAGCAATCTTGAACTATGTTCCATATGATGCTAATGAAGCTCCTGACGCGTGTCCTATGTAAACTATATCTTTTAGAATAGTAATGATGAATTATCGTGGGAAGTGCACTAAACTTTTTTTTTGTTTATTTATTTATCATTCCTTATTAGCCCGGTTGCCTACGACTTGCACAAGGAATTGAAGGGTAAAAAAGCTGTTATCTTTGCCGTCCCTGGTGCTTTCACCCCAACTTGTAGTATTTCTCATGTCCCCGGATTTATCAAGTATGCCGACGAGCTCAAAGCCAAAGGTGTGGATGTGATCCTAGGCACTGCTACCAACGATGGATTTGTCATGCATGCATGGGCTAAACAACAAGGAACCAAGGACAAGGTAGTGTTAGCAAGTGATGGTACTTCTGGTTTCTTTGATAAACTTGGTTTGTCCCAAGACTTGACTGCAAAGGGAATGGGTATTCGGGCTCAAAGATTTGCCTTGATTTTGGATGACTTGAAGGTAACATACCTTGCTGTGGATGAAGCTGGCAAGTTTGAAGGATCTAGTGCCGAAGCTGTATTGAAAGCTTTGAATTAGTTTAGCTTTGGGATATATTGTAGTTGTTTGTTTTTTTTTTTTTTTATTTTCATCTTTTTTTTGTTTTGTTTATTTTTTAGTGTTTTTGTTTTTTTTGTCTTAATCAATAATAAAAAAAGGATGTTAACAGTTATTAGTGTCTTTAGTTTAAATCTTGTATTATCAATATTCCTAGTTGTGAAATGACGATGATGATGAGTGATGAATGATAACTCCTCTATTGATTCCTATTATTCCTTTGGTGATATTTCTCCAACTCCTGATAATGATTGATGGCAATGATCCTGCAATAATGATGATGATGGCTTCATGATACAATATGGATGACGATATTTCTATATATATTGGGTACTATTGATGATAATGATAGTATAATAACAAATGATGATGATGATGATGATGACAAAAATACCATGATGACTTTATTAAAAAGAAAATAACAAAATAAAAATAATACACTACATAATATAGTAACTAACTAAAGCCAGGTAAAAAAAAAAATATCATCATGTCACGGAAGAAAAAAGTAATAAGGTTGATGCATAATCCAAATTAAATACAAGAAGAAGAAGAAAAGGAGTGGCAGTAGTTCCATTGAGTATAAGAGATTTTGAATAATAGAAAATATATATATATATATTTAGTTAACATATCCATTTTTTTATATATATTTATTTTAACTTACCTGTATTTAAACACATCCTCCTAAGAGGTGATAACATAATTTCTATATGTTGCTGTTACAGGTTGATTATTCACTTTGAATTGGAAACACCAAAAGAGATTTCAAAAAAAAAAAAGAGAGAATGATTAATATACTGTATCATCATCAATCATCAATCAATGTGTTTTGACATACCCTAGAACGATATCTGAAAAAAATGGCAATGCCACATCCATTTTGGGGAAGTTGGATAGTTTTATTTTATAACATCACGAAACTATTTTCTTGTGACCCGACAAGAAACTTTGAATACACTGTAAAAAAAAAAAAAAAAAAAGAAAATAAAAAAGGAGAAAACATAGCCTATTTTAAACAGAAAGAAAGTGTGATTAAAAAAGAACAGGCTATGCAGGAAGAAAGAAAAGAAAAGTGACAAGTGACTTACCAAAAAGAGAAGCAAGACGCCAAGACCAATAGAGACAATATTATCTTTTCGATATAAACCATAAAAGAGATCTCGAGAAGAAGGGAGAAAAAAAAAAGGTGTTCATAAAAACACATTAGTACCATTGTTCAATTCAACACTTTCTATTTGACATTACCTTTGACGCAATAAGACAATAAAAGGCATAGCAACTTGCCTTGCAGTTTTCGCTGTGTGGAACAATAAATACGTTTCCAACTAATCTATGTTAGGATGAATATATATATAGAAAGAAAAGAAAAGGAAAGAACAAGTAAGTCTAAAAAAAAAAATCGTTTTAGATTTTTACAGCCCAAATTTTCCAACTCATCGGCTTAAATTTGGCTGTGTAAGGGCTTTGAAAGGTACGCAACGAAATTTTCTCAAAATTCCATTCAAGTATCAAATCTGGATGATCGCTTGGAAAGTCGATATATTACAATAACTTGTTTTCTGAATTAACTCTATGATTAAAATGATGCTTGTACGAGGATTGTATTATTTTGGAAGGCAATGATGATGATCACTCTATAATGGTAACAATATTGTGACGGATGATGCTTCGATCAAATGTATGGTGACATTTGATTGATGGTTGATGGATGATTGACGGATGATGGATGACAGATGATGGATAATGGGCGATTAGAACGACAAATGAACGGAAGGATGATGATGGTTGATGTTCGAAAAATGAAGAGAAAATGTTGGCTTTGTACATCATTCGATGCAGAATCCATGTTTCATTCACTTTGGCTATTTCTTCTTTTTTTGAGAAAAAAAAAAAAAAAGAACATTTGTACGACTTACATGCATAATATGTTGAAATAGATTTTTTTTTTAATGGTGTGTAATGGATCTTCCTTCCCAGGTCATCCCTCAATGCCGTAATATCTTTTTCATTATAACTTACATATTTAGCCATCATCATTACCATAGAAGGAAATAAACGATGTCATTGGAAAAAAAAATTTCGAACTATCAAATCCGTTTTTCCTTCGCCAACTCACTTTCACCCATATACTTATTCATTATCTTCATATCTCATATTTTCTTTACCATCTAACAACTGACGATTATCAGTAATAAAAATTAAATATGATATTCATCTATTTTTAAATAAAAGCGAGGCTGATTGTTTTAGCAATGATGGGCTTAAGCAAACAAAGCTCAATCAACAATTATATTAAATCACCGAATATATAAATGTGTTACCAAGGTGACAAGCTTGCAATTCTTTTAAACAATAGATGATGGATTGCCATGTTAATAAAAAAAAAATTGTTAATTGACAGTAATTGGCTAGGTATTTGATTATAATAGAAAACAGTAAACAAACTAAGCAACATCATCCTCATGTTTTGAAACAATTTTTATACTGATATTGATGATCGATTAAGATATATTTCATAATTTAATTCTGTACCTCCGAGGTGTATTGACCAATGATATTTTAAAAAGGATTATGAAAGGAAGTGGATTTTTCATAATAAGAAAGAACTACCTTTTGAGGCGAAGTCTACTTTTTTTTTTTTGATATTTGTGCCTATGTCTTCCATTTGAAGAACCGGGTCTGCTCTACTATAAAACCTTCATCTTTTTTTTTTACATATATTTTTCTTTTTGATTTTTCTTCCAAAAAAAAAAAAGGTAGTACGTGAATATGATCATTCTACCATCATTACTACTATTGATCTTTTGCGCATTTGAATGGTCTGAAGCCCGATTTGGTACATTCCATCATGGGTAAGTAAAAAAAAAAAAAAAAAAAAAGAAAGCCAACTTCAACATTGGAAGAAAAAAAAAAAACATTGATCGTCCTTGTCCATATGATTAGTACGAGAGGAGTCAATCGTTTGCTTGAAACATCAAAGTCATCATCTCATGCATCGCACGACAAATCAAATTATACCACCTATTATATTGAACAACCACTTGATCATTTTGATTCATCCAACAAGAAGACTTTCCGTCAACGTTACTGGGTTGACACTTCATACTATAAGCCTGGAGGCCCTGTGATTTGTAATTTAAAAGAGAAAATATATATAAGTATATGTACTCACAAGAATGTATTCAGTGAATAATGCAGGTGAAGGTAACGCTTATCCAGCTGATGGTTTGATTCAAAGGTCTGTTTTCACTTTGATGGCAAAAGAAATGAATGGTATCATCATCATCATGGAACATAGATATTATGGTGAATCACATCCTCCCAGCGTAAGTCATTTTTTTAAAAAAAAAAAAAAAAAATGAAATAACCTCTTAACGTTTTATCTATATAATAGAATGAAGAACCAGACTTTACATTCCTTAGTGCCAATCAATCTTTGGCAGATATGGCTAACTTTATCCAACAACACAAAATTGATGGCATTGATTATGATGTCTCAGCACCAAAGACAAAATGGATTGTAAGAGGTGGATCATATTCTGGTAATCTGGCTGCCTGGATGAGATATAAATATCCTGATATTGTATATGCAGCTGTTTCCAGTTCGGCCCCTGTTCAAGCTCAATTTGATTTCTATCAATACTTTGACCCAATCATTCAATATGGCTCTCCTCGTTGCATCAAGGCTCTCCAAGGCATCGTACAAACGATTGATGATTTCTTTGCTGGTAATCCCTCAGATAGTGATAAAAGCAATTTTAAAGCTGGTTTTGGAATCTCTGATCAAACTCCCGATGTTGATTTTGCTGATGGTATAAATTTTTACGCTCTTTTTTTTTTTTTTTTTTTCTCTTTCTTTTCTATTTTTTTTTTTTTTTTTTTTTTTTAGTGCTTCTACTAATGTATTTTTTTCTTATTATGTAGAGGTGATGGGTCTTGCACTTGGTTTATGGCAAGATGCTTCTCCTACACAATTCCCATTTGATGAAGTATGTTCATTGTTCACCAATGTCAAGGATCCCAAGAAACAATTCCAAGTATATCAAAACTGGGTGAAGGAATCCATGCCGTCAGAAACAAAAAAGTTAGTAACGAATACAAAAGGTGATAATGTTACTACTTTCTCTGAAAGTCAAGATCCTTATTTGAACTCATGGTACTGGCAAGTCTGTACCGAATTTGGTTACTGGCAAGATACTCCCTCCAAATCTTCTCCTTGGTACAACCGTCGTGTCACTTCCAATTTGGTCACCACTCAATATTATGAAGATCAATGCAAACAACTGTTCAACCTTACAACGAAACCTGCTATTGATGCTGTTAACGCGGAATATCAAGGATGGAACTTGCACTTGAATCGTACTATCTGGATCAACGGAGAATGGGGTAAGTAGCTAGAAAGGATAATAAGACAATAGTGGTGAAGAAGAGAGATGTGACTAACTGTGATCTTTTTATTATGATTATCTTTAGATCCATGGCGTCCACTTAGTGTAGCTAGTGATGATGCTCCTAAACGTCAAAACAGTACCTTTGAATTATCTTTGATGATTCCTCATGGTGTCCATTGCTATGTAAGCAAAAAAAAAAAAAAAAAAAAAACTTGTATTACCATCAATGACTGGATATTCCTTACTCATGACAATTTGTTTTTTTTTTTTTCTGATATAGGATTACAGCATTGTCCCTGGATACAAGAATAGTTTGACCGAATTACACAAGTTGACAATTTCGACTTTGAAGGAATGGTTGCAATAGGTCATAGATTTTATACGTTGTAGTTCCTTTACTCGCCTTTACTCGAATTAATTGTAGCTTATATATTTATATTTATTCAATAAACAATTTTTATATGTTTGATCTATCTGAAACGACATGATGCTAATACTATAAAAGCGTGAGATCATAATTGAAATCGTGATTATTGAATAAAGTGATAACAGTTTTAATACGACAAAAGTAAAAGTAATAATGAGAAAAAAAAAAAAACTTTATTGAAAATGAATACAATAAGGAAGGTATGTTTTTATATGTATATCAAGTTGATTCACTAATTCGGCTACTAAACTAAAAACTAACACTTATGAATATAATCATAATGATCAGTGCATTCTATGCAAAAAAAAAAAAAAAAAAAAAAAAAAAAAACAGTTTCCATTAGTTGGTAGAAGCATAATCATACCGCAATCCTTTCTTCTTCAAGAGATCATCCATTGTCTTAGTATAACCATAATAGGGTTCCCACTCCTTTTCGCCTTCCAAGGGTTTGAGCTGACATTCTTGTATTCTATTTTCTAGATGTTTATGGCTAGATTTGGATTTCAAAAGAAAACAAAAAAAAAAAAAAATCAAATTAGATAGGTTATATCAAACTAATCACAACTTTTTTTTCTTTTTCTTTTTTTTTTTCCAAGAAAACTAACTTACATTTTCCCCACATCACGAGCTCGATCCAATTGTTTAGCAAACAGTGTCAACACTTTGAAGAATTTGAGAGCCACAGTCATTGTTTCATCATCATTCTTGGATTCGGTTGCCTTGTCGAAAACAAAGTTGATTCCATCAATATGGATACGTTCACAGACAATGTCTTCGAAGATCTTGTGTGAATTAACCCTTTCATTGGTTTGCTTGAAGCTTTGAGAGAATAGACGCCCCAGTTTGAGAGTTTTGTCCAAAGATCGATGATTTCTGTCAACTCGAAGATCAAAGGTCTATAATAAGATGGAATATAACTATGATTAGTTAACTATTTTTCCCTTTTTATTTGAGTATGATTACCTTTTGTAATGTTGCCATATATAGCTTGCAAATTTGATCCGCCATTGTAGGGTTACTAATCAAGCTGATTTCTGTTTCTTCCACGAATGCTTTGATTGCTGCATCCATTTCTTCATCCCCATGTTGTCCGTATTGTTCCAATAATAATAAACCATGTTGTGCTTCAAGCACACCCATTGCCAGTCCACGTCCATAACTTAGCATCAGATTAATTATACAGGTTTTGTCGCGTTGAACTAATTAGTGTTGAATAAATGTGAGTAATCATACTTGCCAATCAAAAAACCCACATACGCTTTAGTTATCATCGTTCTTACCATTCTCACTAGCAGTATCATCATCGCCGTTGTTTTTTGATTCTATCCAAGACTTCATTTCACCAGTCATATAAGCTACCAGTTGAAGTTGAATCGTTTCCGTACACTTGAGATACAATTGACCCAAATCGACTTTTTTGAACATTTCATTTGAGAAAACGGAATAGATATCGATCAAAACACCAAATGCCTATAACCAACAATTAAAGTATAAAACATAATGAGTAATAGAAATGGATCCTTTGGGGCTGATTCTTACCAATCGTTGAACTTCAGGTAGTGGTTCAGAATCAGAATCTGATGAAATGAGTTCCAAGGATTTTTCAATGAGCCAATCGCGACGCTTTTCAATCTTCAACAGTACCGTCTTATCAAAGTCAGTCAAGTTTTCTTCAGTTGCATAGCAGCATTGCCAAATAAGATATCGGAATAGAATAGATAAAGCTGACTGTCCAATCTATGACATAAATACAAAAGAGAGAAATAATCATTAAGTCATTGATCTATTTAGTTCCTTCCCATTTGTACCTGTACTTCTCCATTGTAGCCAAGAGCAGATCTTTCCACAAGTTCCCCCATGAGTTCAGTAACGTCAGCCTTCAATTCTGATGTATCATCCATATCACTGGTAATGTCCACAGTACTAATCAAGTAATCAAGTCGAGTCACCGAGGTAGTAATGGCGTGAAGATCGTCCGCTGAGAATCGAGCAGTATATAAATCTTTGTTACGGCAAGCATCTCGAACTTGATTGACTATTGTTTCTTGAAGATTTTTCATCAAAGGATCGCTGGTATCGGACAGGAAGCTAGCTTTCATCATATGTTGTAAAGATGAAATACAAGTTTGAAGTAGATCAGGCAAGGTGATGGTGGTGTAAAGTTTGCATAAATGGTGTAGTAATTCTTTATAAGACTATGTTGATGACAACAATAATAATAATAATAAAAAGTAATAAAAAAACAAGTTACTAACTTGAAATCATTACGATTCCATGAACTTACTTCTTCCATGCGTAATTCCAAATAGACGTCCAGATTCACCAACTGAGGAACTTGTATCAATTGGGCCAATCGATTGAGATCATCACCGTACTTGCGCAATAGCTTTGGTAATATTTGTATAAGATGTCGGGAGACAGTATTTCGGATTTCGTCAGATTGAACGTCATCCTAATAGGAATTATGTTTATAAAAAAGAAGTGAGCTTTTCATCTATGGTCAATCTTTTTTTTTTTTTTTTTTGCACCGTTACCTTTTTCTTTTCACCAAGTTTGTCGCTTCCAGTTTTAATCGTTTTCTTCAAACAGCTTACAAATACGTAAACTAATATAGTTTCTTCTACATTGGTAAGACGGTAGCAAGCATTGAATTCACTATTGGTCGTTTGGTTGTCATCGTTGGAAGTGAATTGTCCAGTGGTATCAGAGGAATGATCTCGGCTAAGATAATCCGCCATAGTTTGATAATCTTGAAGTTCTCGAATGAGGCCCCAAAGAGATTCTACTGTATTGTCAATGATCTGAATGCTGTTTTGATCAAAAACAAAAGGTTCATCCAATGACATCATGCCATCACTACTTTCACTTGTTCGAACACGAGGAGCTAAAAAGTCAGCAATGCTTTTGAATACAATCCAAGGTTTCTTGATTGCCGATGTTGAAGCAGAGGTACTAGTATTGGGTGTGCTTGAAATTGGACGAAGGTTTCTTGTTGACGAACGATTTGCTGATGATGATGATGCAACAGTCAGAGATTCCAAAGCTTGTTCCACTTGTTGTAAAACAGGATTGAAAATATCAGATTCAATAACAGATTTGACAAAGGGTGCGGCAGCTTTTCGAATACGAGAATTGTTAGATGTCACCAAGTTGGTCAAAGCATCCCTACTAGTTTCCTGTATCAGATCATGTTGATAGGCGTATAATGTATTGCAGAGTGTGATGGCGTGTACACGAGTAGAGACGTCCACATCATAAAGAGCCATTTCTTCCATACGAGCTACAAAGCGTTGAATGAAGGATGTCAGTTTTTCCATTTGATCCGTCTTGCATAACTTGGTGATAGCTTTGAGTGATTCAGATCGAACACTTGCATTCTAAGTAAAAGAAGATGAAATAATAATAATAATAATAATAATCAGTATTCTATTTCCCGGTTTTTACATATGCTCTCTTTTACCGGATCGTTCAGAGCCCATCCAAAGTATCGAAAACATAGATTGTTCGCAAAACGAGCAGGATAAAGTTGAATCCACGCACAAAGTTCCTTTAGACATTCATTGCGAATGATAGACTCCACATCTCGAGATCGATGAGCAAATACACTAGATTTTTTTTTTTAAAAAAAAAAAAAAGATCAATCAAAAAAGTGCGACTTTCTCCAACTCTCTATTTTCAGTCCTCACCTTACAAAAAAATCATTCACATATTCATCAAGATCTTTTCCTTTCTGTGTCAGCAAGTCAGAGCGTCGTTTCAAGATATTGAGTCTGTTTGTGTTTCTTCCACCTTTTTTACGTTCTGCATTTGCTTGTCTTGTTGCCTTTACTAGGTCAGTTTGGGTTTTGTCGGCCAATACACAAAGTCTACCAGTCACTTTGAGAGCAATAATTGTCGATGTGTGTCGGAAAGGTCGATAAACAGAGCTGTAATTAAATGAAAAAAAAAATTGATATGATTAGGGCTTTTTTTTTTCTACCTTGATTTATTTTCTTTTTCATTTATGCTTTCTTTACCTAGACATGGTGGTCAACCAGCTTTGTAAGGTTTCAATCAAAGTACCATCATAGAGGAGTTCATGCTGACATTGTTCAATAAGTAATTCGAAGAAACCCAGTAAATTTTGTTTTAGATTTTTGTGAGATTTTTCCTTGGAGATGATAGGATATTCATGATGAGGAAGCTATTCAAAAAAAAAAAAAAAAAAGGTTTTGTCAGTAATAATGATCTAATTATATATATATATATATATATATGCAAAGTGTCATCTTTGTTCAAAAGTACCTTGGCCAATTCTTCTTGTAATTCTTGAAGTGCATCCACTGTGATATTTTCATTTGCAAAAGCCTCAGTTGTCACTGCCATTCTACATCCAGCGCTCTATAAATAATAAAATGTATACAAGAAGCATAATGATGAATTCACTCAATCCCTTTTCTTTTTATAGCTTTTTTTTTTTTTGTCTCTTACCCGAATAACGTAGTTAATCAAATCTTGTAGAGCAGGAATTTTGTCATCTTTATAATGTTGAATCCAAACAGTCACCATATTGTCGATATCCGCATCACTTGCAAGTACTTGATCATACAAACTAGTTCCTTCTTGTTGTTCACTGACTTGTTCCAATAATTGACTTGAAGTTGGCATTGTGATCTCAGTCACAGGGTCCAGACGTCTTTTCTTGTTGGTTTTCTTTGTCCTATCTTTGGATGTCGTCTTATTCCTGGGTTTCTTAGCATTGGATTCACGGCTTGTCAACAATGCCAAGCTGAATTCATTATCCGAGTCATCTTCGTTAGCCATATCATTTGGAGCATCTTCATCAGAGTCGAGTTCGTTTTGCTCTTCTTCATCCTGACTTTCTTCCTCGTTAGAACTATTATCGCTATTATCAGAGTTGTCTTGTTGACTAGAAATACGTTTTCTTGATACTAATGAAGGAAAAAAGAAAAAAAAAAAGGATAAGAGTTTGACACATTTTTTTTGAGTCTTTTTTTTTTTTTTTTACCTGCATATCTTTGTTGTTGTTGTCGAAAGAAATCAGGCATTGTTTTTGTACGAGTGGATCGCCATACTTCTGGAGCCTGAAAAGAGAGAATAAGGAATAAAAAAAAAGTATAAATCAGTTAGAAAAAAAAGTTATCTAAAGTCATTCGTTTTCTTTTCATGTTGTATATATATATACAATTATAATAGTAATATTTTTGTCATAGGAAGTCTTCTTTTGCCTTACCATTGTAATCAGTTTCCTTTCAACACAAGTTCAAATGGAATTAAAAGATTGAGAAAGAGAAAGAGAAAAAAAAAAAGGCGCGTCCCCATTTTCTTTTGTGGAAAAAAGGGCAACCTGTACGCGTTTAAATTTTTAAGTGGCGCATCCACGCGATATTTATAAGGTCATCATGATCCATCGTACAGACATACAATGACCAATGGACTACCTATTATCGTAGATAATTGTATCATCATGTCAATCATCACATCAATTCATTCATCATTATAGGATAATAAATAGCTTAATTACAATATAGAGTTTGAATATAAATGATTTGTTAAAAAAAAAAAAATAATGATCGAAGAAAAAAGAGAGGAAGAGAAGGAATACCCAACAGCTCTCCAAAAATTATTTAAAATGAATCTAAGATTACATAGACATCAATTCAGAATTTCAAAAAAAAAAGAAGGAATTTATTCACATCATACACAACAACAACAACAATAACAAAAAAAAAAAAAAATATGTTCATCTAATAAACGAATAAGGAGAAGAAATAACAGATATAAGAAAAATCATAATGTATAGAACAGAAAAGGGTGGACCCAAAGGAAGGAAGTGTAATAGAGGGTATGAGTATACGACAAGGGATAAAAATGATAATAAACTAAATAAACAAAAAAAAAAAAAAAAAAAAGGTACAACTAGCTGCTTCAGTGTAAAAGATAAATGTATTCTTTGGTATACAAATATCTATTCATGATGTGGACGAAGACCAACTCGAATGGGGTTAATAAGTGGGTGAAGTTGAGCTAGATAAGTGATAGCCCACCTATGATAGTAGAAGGAACAACAATAAAAAAAAAAAAGCAATAGTCAACAATATGATCTCATTCTCTTTTTCCTTTTTTATTTATTCTTACATCAAATAACAACACACAATGGACATGATAATCATAGTTCGAATGACACTAAAAAATTAATAAAATAGTTAATAACAATGTATCGTTATTATTATGACTTCTTTTTATCTTTTTTTTTTTTTTTTTTTGTTATAGTTTATTGTCTCATCTTTTTTTTTCCAGTTGTCCTTACGTTTGATTAATGCCTTTGGGAGTCAAAGTATATGATGCTGCAGAAGCAATCACGGCAGCAATAAATACCCAAATAAGATTGTATCCTGACATGCTTTTTTTTTTTTTAATAAGTTGAGAGAAATAAAAAAGAAGTGCGACAAAAAAAAAAAAGAAAAGGAAAAAAAAAAAAAAAAAAAAAAAAAAGAACGGAGGGTTTTTTCTCGTTTCAACTGAACATGGTCATTTTGCTGAGTTTCTTCCTTACTGCCTTAACACCCCCTTTTAACCTTTTATTATTATTGGCCATCTGAACTTAACAAAAGAATATGATTGGCTGAGGTAAATAAGCTTATTGGCTAAAAATTTTGCGCGGTCGGGGAATCGAACCCCGGCCCTTCGCGTGGCAGGCGAAGATTATACCACTTAACCAACCGCGCTTGATGGTTAAGAAAATCGATTTGTACATTATATTTCTCACGCGAATTTAAGCTTGTGGAATATAGTATGAATTTTGAGAAAAATTCGATTGTAGCAGACTTGGCAGAGTGGTCTAATGCGATGGATCCAGGTTCCATTCACTTCGGTGGCGGGAGTTCGAATCTCCCAGTCTGCATTTTTTTGTTCCTTCTGCATAGCAACTGCTTTTTTTTTTTATTTTTTATTGCTTTGGTTTGCTTTTTTTATTTTTTTTGGTTTGTTTGTTTGATAGTTGATGGTTTTGGTAATGAATAAAAGAAAAAATTTTGCTGCCTTCCACCTACTCTATGCTGGCGGAGCTTTGATTTTTTTTTTTTTTTTTTTTTTTTTTTTGGTCGATGTTTCCTTTCTTTTTTATTTTTCTCCTACTTTTCAATTTTTCTTTTTTTTTTTTTTTTCCTAATCTTCTTTTTTTTTTCTCTACTTTTTTTTTTTTTTTTTTTTTGTTTCCTTAGCTTTTTACTTTTTTTTTTTTAATCTACATTGTTTAGTCTGGTTTATGACATATACTTCATTCATTCATTCGTACATTTATTTTTACATGATCTTTTTCTCTCTCTCTATAATGTTATGAACATTGTTAGATTAAATAAACGATATCTTTTTTTTTTTTGTGTTTACTTGATTGTAAAGATACTATCTCTTTATTTATTTTATTTTTGTCTGTTTGACATATTATTATTCATTAAGTAATCAATTTCTCTTATTACTGGATAAATATTCCACTTGTGTTTTATCTTTTTCTTTCGATTTGTTTTTTCTGATACATTATGATGTTTAATGATAATATACGAAGGAATCAGTGTTGAATGGATGATAGTGATGATATTGTATGTGATGATGGATGATGTGTTGATATGATAATGCTTGTTACTATTGTTGTTTGCAAGGTATTATATTAACTTTACAATATAACTTGATATCTTTTATTTATTCAAAGTTTATCAAATATAAAAATATTCAAAGGGCTCACATTTTATCATTCTGTCAATTACATTTCTTTTTTTTTTTTTTTTCTATATCATCATATATTGTAATTCATAAATAAAAAAAAAAAAAAATACCACAAATGGAAATAAAAGAAGAGTTTTTTTCTTTGGGATGGTACTTAAAAGTAGTATGAATGATATATTATATTTAATCTTATTATAAAAATATGTTGTTCAAGTACAAAAAAAAAAAAAAAAAATGATACACATTTCAAGAGACATTTAAGAATTTTAATGAATATAGCGGGTTCCTGTAATGGAATATTATAAAATGCTGGGATTGAGTATGATTGGCTGTAGAATAAATTTTTTTGTTTGGCTTTTTTTTTTTTTTTTTTTTTTTTTGTGGAGAAACTCAAGATTTTCCCTTTTCTTTCCGTTTTTTCTTTCTTTTTTTTTTTTTTTTTTTTTTTCTTTTTAATCAATATTTCCCTGACCATGTTTAGAAGCATTATTCGTACAGTAAATGTCCATAATAGACAATCCAACCTTTACTTGTCTTTACGTCATGCTTCTACTACCTCCAGCAGAAGTAAGTCAAATAGGATAAATCGATTCTTAATCCACTGATTCTTTATTGTTTTTAATTTCTTCACTTTAGCCAAGGTATTGACTACTGAAACGATGCATCCTCTTGTTCGACAAATGGAATATGCTGTACGTGGTGCTCTTCCTATTCGTGCAGAAGCTTTAAGCAAGGTAAAAAGAAGAAGAAGAAAAAAAAAGCAATCGGGTACTTATATATTTTGCTTATATCTTTGCTCATATACCTTTTTTTTTTTTTTTTTTTTTTTTTTTTTTTTTTTTTGGATAGCAATTGTTGACTGACAAAAATCTCGGGTTTGAACGTGTTGTATTTTGCAATATTGGTAACCCCCAACAGCTCAATCAAAAACCCATTACTTTTTTCCGTCAGGTAAATACATTACTTTGATCTTGTGCCTTTTTTTTTTTATTCTTCTGTTTATGGCTATGGTAATAACCTTTACTATTATTCCTTTATATATATAACAATTAGGTGGCCTCTTTGTGTGAAAATCCTGAACTACTCAAACCTAGTAACCGTGAGACTTTACTCAAGTTATATCCTGCTGATGCTATTGCCCGTGCTGAACTATTACTGAAGCATATTGGTAGTGTTGGGGCTTATTCTCATTCCAAAGGTATCCATCATATTCGAGAAAACGTTGCCAAGTTCATTGAAAAGCGTGATGGTTATGCTGCTGATCCTGAAAGTATCTTTTTAACTCAAGGGGCTTCTGCTGGTGTCCATACTGTGATCCAAATCTTGACTCAAAATAACAATTCCGGATTTTTGATTCCTATTCCTCAATATCCTCTTTATTCTGCTACATTGTCTTTGGTGGATGCCACTCAAGTTCCTTACTATTTGAACGAATCAAAGGATTGGGGTTTGGATGTGAAGGATCTCAAGAAAGCAGTGGATGAAGCTCGTGCAAAGGGTGCTGATATGCGTGCTTTGGTGATCATCAATCCTGGTAACCCTACTGGACAATGTTTAACTGAACAAAACATGCGTGAAATCATCGATTTCTGTCATACGGAACGTTTGGTTTTATTGGCCGATGAAGTTTATCAAACCAACATCTACAAGCCTGATTCTCGACCTTTCCATAGTTTCAAAAAGGTGTTATGTTCCATGGGTGAAAAGTACAAGGATCAAGAACTTTTCTCATTCCACTCTATTTCCAAGGGTATGATTGGTGAATGCGGTCGCCGTGGTGGTTACTTGGAATGTGTCAATATTGATGAAAAAGTGATGGATCAACTTTACAAGATTGCATCTGTGTCGTTGTGTCCTAATGTTCAAGGTCAAATTCTTGTTGATTTGATGACCAATCCTCCTGTGGAAGGTGATGCTTCTTATGATCAATATAAAGGTGAAGTCGATGCTATCTATCAATCTCTTGTTCGTCGTTCTTCCAAATTGGCCGACTGTTTCAATTCTTTGGAAGGTATGTCCACCAATGCTGCTGAAGGTGCAATGTATCTCTTCCCTAAATTGACTCTACCTCAAAAGGCTATTGATGCTGCAAAAGAAAAGGGTATGGCTCCTGATACCTTCTATTGTATGGCTATGTTGGAAGCTACTGGTGTTTGTGTGATTCCAGGTAATAAATAGATTTATGGGACAAAAAAAAAAAAAAAAAAAAAAGGCAAGAATATAAAAGGAAAATTATATATGGACTATTAACTTTTTTTTTTTTTTTTTTTTTTTGTCATCAAGGATCTGGATTTGGTCAAGAACCCAATACATGGCATTTCCGCTCTACTTTCTTGCCTGAAGAACACTTATTTGACACTTTCTGTACCGATCTCAAGAAATTCCATGGTAATTTTATGGCCAAATACAAGGATTAAAATTATATTAGATTAGATCTGTTTTATACTCTGTATGTAGTCATTGTTATGTTATTGTTATTCTATTTCTTTTTATTTTTTTGTATTACTTTCTTTTTTTTTTTTTCTTCAATAATAAAAATCCTCATCTTTATACTCTTTTGTTATTTTATTATTTTAGATGATAAAAAAACGAATAAAGAAATGAAAACTGGATAAAAAAAAAAAAAAAAGAAAACATCCATGATTTTTTTTTTCTTATTAACAATAACATATTCCTTCCTGATGATTTAATATAGGAATAATATCATAAATCATGGATAATACATGATGACGAATGAAAATGATGGTTATCTATTTTGTGATTTTTTTTTTTTAATCCAATGGATTAAGGATTCAAGTATTGTCGTATATTGCAGGGAGCGCTGTTCAATTTTTTTTTTTTTTTTTTTTGAGACCTCTCATAATTTTTTTTTCTTCTCTCGCTCTTTTTTCTTATTCTTAATCATATAACTTTCTCCTATCCCTTGAATCACTTTTAATCTTTTTTTACTTTTTATAATTCTTTATGGTTACAATGACGGCAACAACTATCAATTCATTAAAAACGAATGACCCTGGATCAGTGAAAACTGTTAACGGAAGAAAGGATGTGATGGCACTGAAACAACAACTTGCCGATTGTTTAGGGGACAATGGACCTTTATATTGGGATGCTTTGAGGGATTTCGTTATGGGAAAACTCAACCGACAGGAATTTGACTTTTATGCCAATTTATATCTTAGTCGTCAACATGGTAAGAAAATAAAAGAAGAATATAAAACTAGGACACTGACACGATACAACCCTCTATTTTATTATTATTTGATCTATTAGCTCATTTACACAATGCCTTTATTCTCAGTACGATACACAATGCTCAATCAGCTACACCACCTCCTTCAAGACAACGTACTGTAGGTTGGAAACGAAAACGCGGAAAGGATGGTCATGATCAAAACCCTCAGAAACAAAAAATGAAACTCGACATTATGTCTCTCAGTAAGGCTGATAGAGAAAGATTAAAAGCTTTGATCAAGGTAACGAATGAAAAACTATTATTATTGTTCATAAAAAAAAAAGAAATAGTTTTTTTTTTATTAATTGATATACTTTTGGTATTTTTAGAGTGGGGATAAAGATAGACTGCGTCCTTTTGTCAACAAACTTCTTGCACCTCGTGTCAGCAAACCAATTCCTTCATCACATACATTGAATCAACTACCGTCAAGTAAGATCTTTTATTAAAAAAAGATAAAAAGTATTAATATCTTTATTTATTTATTTTATTTAATATTGTGATAGACTTCAACATGGCCTATTCTCGTGGACTTTTGGCACCTCTATGTAGTGACTTGAGAGAACTGCCTCGAGCTGGTACATTGAAAGCTAGAATGACAAGCATAGCTATGAATCATGGATTAATGGGTGGTGTTAGTGAAGATGCTGTATATGGCATGTTATTTGCAATGGAGGTAAACTTTTTATTTATTTATTATTATTATTATTATTATTATTTTATTTTATTTTTTTTTAGAAAAAGGAAAAATGATGATTCATCCTATTAATAATTTGAATTCTTATTGTTATTTATTTAGAGCTACATTAAATCTGCTTTATCAAATGCTATTAGCAAATGTCGATACAATAGGTCAGTAGGGTTGAAAATGATACAAGATCGATTTACCAACCATGATGAAAAGGATGATATCAGAAAGGATAACAACGATGGAACATTACCAGGACCAACATCATCATCATCATTATCATCAACACCCAATCCACTATCAACCGCAGGACAGAAACAACATCAAGCATCACTGAACCTCCGAGATTTAGCGTTTTCCTTTCGTATGACACCTTATGTGTTGGTTGAGAATCTACTGAATGCAGAAAGGATGACAGCTTTGATTACTGATAGCGAAGATGAAGAAACGGATGAAGATCTCGATGATTCTGATTCTGATTCTGGCAATGACTTTATTATTTGATATTAGTCTAATATTCTTTTATGTATTTCCCTCTTGATTAGAAAAATCATTGATTCATTCCCATCTTCCTCGTTATTTTTTATTATTCTATTCATTCTCTCTATTATGTATATATGAAACCTAAATAAAGCTATGTTGACAAACATACTAATGAAGTGAACTGATTAATATTGATCATATATGCTTAGGGTATATATATTATGTAGATATGTACATGGCGCAAGGATATGCAGCTTTTCAAATAAAAAAAAAATAAATCAGTTCGGAGACAGTTCTTTTTTTTTTTTTTTTGCCTTTTTTTTTCGCACTTACATTTCCTCTTTTTTTTTTTTTTTTATTTTTTGTCTTTCCTTCTTCTCTTTTTCTTTTCTTTTTTTTTTTTTTTAAAAAAAAAATAATCCTCAATGACATCTATTGCTATGAAAAAGAAAACTATCACCAAGGATGAATGGGAACAACGATTAGCCAAAGTAGTTGTCGAAAAACAGTAAGACTACATTCATTAGACCAAAAACAAAATATGCCGATACTAATTTATTCTCACACTATTGTCTTCATTAGAACATTGAATCAACTTATTATGAATTATTTAGTCATTGAAGGGTATATGGAAGCTGCTGAACAGTTTAGTCGAGAAAGTGGATTATCTCCTTGTGTGGATTTACAATCAATTCAAGAACGCAGAGAAATTCGTCATGCTGTTCAATCGGGTGATATCGATACTGCCATTGACCTTGTGAACGACTTGAATCCGGAAGTATGTTGATGTGTCAAAAAAAAAGAGAAAGAATAAGTTATTATGTACTTGCATATCAGTGTATACATATATATTTATATATATGTTATAGATGGACTGGAACATACATGGAAAACTCATAATACTTTTACTTTTTTTTTTTTTTTTTTGTTTGACTATAGATTCTAGACACTAATCCCAAACTATACTTTCATTTACAACAACAACGATTAATCGAATTGATTCGTAAGGGTGATGACGAAGGCGCGTTAGCATTTGCAGCAGATGAAATGGCACCACGTGGAGAGGAACATCCAGAATTTTTACAAGAACTGGAACGCACCATGGCTCTATTGGCTTTTCAAGATATGCAACAATCACCAGTACAAGATTTACTTCATCCTCACCAAAGGCAAAAGACGGCACAAGAACTTAACGAAGCGATTCTTACTAGTCAATCTCGTGATCCTCATCCAAAATTACCTCATCTTCTAAAGGTCCTTGCTTGGAGTCAAGAACAATTGGATGAAAGAATGATTTATCCTCGTATCAATGATTTCGTCACAGCAGAATTGGTCGTTCAACAACAACAACAAACGGATCAACAAAAACAAGATCAAGATGAAATGGATACCGTCGATACCAACAATTCATTGTGATCCCAAATAGTCAAGTCTTTCTTCCATCTTTAGTTACCATTTCACTTCGTACATAGTCTTTTTTTTTTTTTTTTTTTTTTTTATCTCCCCTCTCTTCACAACCTTTTATTTCGTTCTAGCCTTTTAGTGTATTATAAGCAATTTTCTCTTTCTTTTTTTTTAACTTTTTCTGTCTTCTTCAATAAACAAAAAAAAAAAAAAATACAACTACCGTATTTTATTGTCATCTATACTTTTATTATCATCCTAACTAAATCTAAAAAATACTGTACAAAGGTATGATTCAAGGCTAAACTAAGTATCAGAGGAATGGGGAAGAGTAGCATTGATAGTAGTTGTAGTATTTGCAGTAGGCGGATGTTGTGTTGGAAGAGAAGGTGATTGTTGTAAAAGATCCAAAATAGTGTTCACTCGTTGTTCAGTACATTCTTGTTCTATACTAGGTTCCACCAGTAACAACTTGTCAAAGCCTTCAATAATAGTTTCGTTGGGAGGATGATAATTCTTAATAAACTTCTTCAATATAGCGATACCTTCTTTTCCTGAGACACCAGTTGGATGGTCTTTTCTTTGCATAACTCGATCACTGCATTCCTATTTTATAATGAAAACAAAGTCAATCACTTGATTATAGTCTTATCTTTTTTTTTTCCTTTATTTACCTGTTGACTGGCAGTAAACACAATACAATCCACTGGTACATTGAATTCTTGAGCAATAGTTATCCAGGTTTTCCGTTGACTAACATCAAAGTTACATCGATCCACTACTACATTGTACTGATCTTTCAAATATTTTCTTGTATGTAATTCACAATTTTTCCTTGATTTCATATCATCTTGATTAACTCTTCTCCAATCCTACCGCAAACAAACAATGATTAATAACATATAATGCTTTTTTATTTTATTTGCGACTTACTGGTCGACATTGTATAAGTTTATTTGAAAAGGTACTTTTTCCTGATCCTGGTAATCCAACAAGTACAAGTACACGTGGTGTTGTCATTGAGAATATCTACCAAAAAAAAAAAAAAATAAAAAATAAAAAATAAAAAAAAAAAGGAAAAAAGGGAAAAAAAAGAAAGAAAAAGAAAAAGAACGAAAAAAAAAAAAAGGCAGGACATAAACATTTCATTGACCGCATTGTTATCACAAAAGAAATTATTTTCAAGTTCATTTTATCATCGAAATGAAACATAATCATGTCATATGCAACAAAACTAGATTTACTGTTTCCTTTTATTTCATTTCTATTTTGAATTGGTACATTATTGTGTATAAAAAGCCTGCTTTTTTATATAAAAAAAATTTGCCATGGTCGTCTAGAGGTAAGATTCGCCCTTCCCAATCATCTCACAGAAAGGAAATAGGGTGCGACCGGGGTTCGATTCCCCGCCATGGCAAAAAAATGATTCCTATTAACTGGTGCTCCTTGTGTTGGGTAAATTTTTTGTGTTGTTAAAGATTTTTTTTGTTATTGAGTGTGTTGGGTGATTTTTTGGTTTATGGGTTCAAAATTGAAAAAGTAAACAGGATGATTGAAAGTTAATAATGTTTATAGTGAGCACCAGTACTTGATTACGCAAGCACACGTATAGGAAAAGAGATAAAATAAAAAAGAAAAGTAAAGTAAAGAAAAATAAAGTCCTGTTCCAAATTTGGAAGGTAGAAGTAGAGTAAAATTGTTCTGACTTTAAATATAGAACAAAGTGAGCCAATCAAAAGTGATAATCCACAATACAATCAAGTAGGGATAAAAAGATGTTTTTATTTTATTTAAAAAAAATATATAAAATATATTGATGAATTGAAAAAAAATAAAAGGCAGAAGGGAGGCTATTTATACTAAATTGATTTATAAGAAAAGAATCAATCATAATTCATCCTAAAAGAAATTTGTTTCAAACGGAATTCATTCACAGCATAAAAAATATTGAGGGTTAAAAAAATTTTTTTTTTTTTTTTATATATTTTTTCTCAACAGTGTGTTGGGTGATTTTTTTTGAATTGGTTATGGCTGTACTTGATGATTCTTGTGTCGTAGGTTTATAATAAAATTTTTCAAAAGTATTGGTGTTTAAACTCCAGTTTGCGTGTTCCTTTATGGATTGAATCGAATGACCTTTTTCCACCGCTTTTGTGCTCGACGCCGACCTGATTGAGTGGGCCTTATTTTTTGTCTTCGTTTCGCCAACATATTGATTTATAGGTTCAAAATTGAAAAAGTAGTTCAGATGATTGAAAGAGAATTATGATTATAGTGAGCACCAGTTCTTTCATATAAAAAGAACAAAAGTAAAATAAAAAAAATATAAATGTAAACCAAAAAGGAAATAGATGTCTTGATGATTTGATCACAGATGATGATGATCAACCAAATAACTTGAATAAAATGCTTGATGATTGCTTGATGATAAAAAAATAAAAATAAGACTTAGGATGATTTATTCCTTAAGAGTGGCCAATGTGATTTTGGTTAAAAAAACCTTTTTTATTGAATACAAAATATAAAAATTGACAATGAAAAAAAACTAAAAAAAAAAAAAAAATGGATATTTATACTAAAAAATAAAAAAAGAAAAATAAAGTTTGATATTTTTCAAACACTGGATTTTTTTCCACTGGATTTTTTTCCAGTGTTTGAGAAATATCCAACACGAGAAAAAAAAAAAAAAACCGATGTTTAGAAATATGTCAAAACTTAAGAAAAATAATAATTGATGAAGAGGAAAAAAAAAAAAAGGATTAGGGTTCAGGCGCCACTACAGATGAATAGTTGTCGTATCAGCATATTTCGTAACCATATGCGTAAAATAAGACTAAAGAATGCATTCACAAATAAAGAATAAATAAAAAAATACATTGTAAGATGGAATCAATTATATTGACGTGTAACAAAGTAGTTGGAATAAAAATAAAAAGTTTTATTAAATAAAAATATAACTACTAAAGACTACTAATTGATATACTACAACTAAAATTGTTATAAAGAAAGGAAAGAAATAGAAAGAAAATAAAAATTAACGCATATCTAAAATATAAAAAAATAAAATACGGACTTCGAAAGTTAGTATGCTCATGATCTTTTTGATACTATCAAGAAAGATATATATCAATATATAAACGCTTCAGGGCAACTAACATAATGAATCACTACACATATGATGATTCATCACATCAATAAAAAAATAAAATACTAGTAAAATTATACTCTCTGTATAACAGTATTACAAACTAAAATAAAAAAGAAAAGAAAATAAAAATTTGGTCACCAATCTTAAATATGGTGTAATCATACCAGTATTACGTATCACTCACTACGTACTTATATATAAGACCAACAAAACTTTTTGTATAGATACTTTGTCTCTTTTTTAATCATCTATCTTTTAAATAAAAAAGAAATCTCACAGACTTGTTCTCGTCTCCTTTTTTATTTTATTTATTTTACTAACCACATCTACACCAATTCCACAAAAATAAAAATGGTAATATCAAGGTGATGATATTGATGATGATTGTTCGTATAGTGAGCACCAGTTCTTTTATATAAAAAGAACAAAAGTAAAAAAAAAATAAATGTAATCCAAAAAAGGTAATAGATTTCTTGATGATTTGATCACAGATAATGGTGATCAAATAAATAACTTGAATAAAATGCTTGATGTTTGCTTGATAATAATAAAATAAAGGTAAAACTTAGGATGATTTATTCCTTAAGAGTGGCCAATGTGATTTAGTTTTTAAAAAAACTTTTTTTTATTGAATAAAATATATAAAAAAAATTGACGATTCCAAAAAAAAGAAAACTAAAATATGATGACTATTTATAATAAAATAAAAAAAATAAAATAAAAAAATATATAAATAAAAAAAACCATTGTGTTTGACATTTGTCGAACATATGAACAAAAGTTCAATGTTTGACATCTTTCAAACACAAGGTAGAAATTCAATTGTTTGAAAAAGGATTGAAAAAAATTCATTGGTCAGCAATATTTCCATATCCAACAGTTGAGAGAGAAAAAATTTTTTAGGAGCTGGGTTCTACTTCTACAATAGTGAGCACCAGTACTTGATCACGCAAGCACACGTATAAGAAAAGAGATAAAATAAAACAAAAAGTAAAGTAAAGAAAAATAAAGTCTTGTTCCAAATTTGGAAAGTAGATGGAAAGTAAAATTGTTCTGTTAAGGATTTTTTTTGTTATTGGGTAGATGATTGATTTATATATTTGTTGGATGATATTATTAAGGTAATAATATTGATGATGATTTATCGTAGTGAGCATCAGTTCTTTTTATAAAAAAAAAAATAATAGTAGTCCAGAAAAGGAAATAGATGTCTTGAATAAATGATCACTCTTGATGATGATCAATAAAATAATTTGAATATAAGTACTTGATGATTGCTTGGTAATAACAAAAATAAAAATAAAACTTTGGATAGTAGATTCCTTAAGAGTGGCCAATATGATTATGGTTAAAAAAAAAACCTTCTATTGAATATAAAGAAATAAAAATTGACAATAAAAAGAAAACTATCAAAGAGAGTGATATTTATAAAAAAATAAAAAAAATAAAAAAGATGATTGATAATAATAAAAATATAAATGAAAAGAGTATTTATACAAAATGAGTGAGAGGATCGCGAAAAAAAACAGTCAGAAGGTAAAGGATAAATATGATTGGCGGAAAGTCAAGGGGTAATTTTTTTTCAATGTCAGTGTAATACAGAACATGTCGATGATGGTTCACTTTAAAGATGAACGATTTTATGTAGAAGGATAAAGTTCATATCATCGATTCTTTTATTACTTGGTATCATCAATATTCATAGTGATGATTTTTTTTTCATTTTATTCTTTGTTTCTCCTCGTTTGAAATAGAAAAGATGATAAACATATGTTAATCCCTATTTCCCCTTGATGTCTTTCTCCTCTTTCTTCTTCTTCTTTACTAGTACTATTTCATTATTCTTCATTTTTATTCAATGTATATAAGATAATATGAATCAAACATATGAACATGATTTTATTTGTGTTTATCTAAATTTATAGCTTTACACCGTCATCATCAATGTTGATATAGGGACTTGGTGGTGATGATCATTGGATTTAACTAGGAGTTGAAAAACCTGATCACTCCCCATCCTTTTTTTTTTTTTTTTTTTTTTGTTGGAGACATTGACGATAAAAAAGAAGCTCATTGCGATGGCATCATCGTCTCTCAACCTCGTCTTTATCATCATCATCATCATTATCATTATTATTATTATTATTATTTCTATTTATTATCATCATCATGTCCACTGCCTGATTTAGGTGCCTGTGAGCGTGATGACAATCCTTGTAGAAAAAAAAAAAAAAACGAGAAAAAAAAAAGAGTATATGAAGATAGTATATCAATATAGATTATGATATGAACTCTCTTACTATTTATCATCATGGAGAAAAGCGACTCGCACATGTTAAGATCTAACTCCCTCTCTCTCCTCTTTTTTTTTTTTTTTTTTTTTAATCCTTCTTTCATCACTTGGGGTCAATGGGTTAAAAATATATTAAAACACCGTTAGGAAGCAGCAGTCGGTCCAATAATAAAAAAAAAAAAAATAACAACAAAAAGGTTGGGCTTCTTTTTTTTTTATTTCTACTTTTCTTTTCCTTTTTTTTTTTTTTTTTTTTTATTTTCTCTTCATATATTCATCATCATACAACATGGAAAAGTTTAAGGAAGTAAGTAAACTATACAAAGAAATAGAGAAAACAAAACATATACGTTTGTAATGAATTGATTGCGTGTATAAGTGTGTTTGTGTGAAAAAAAAAGATGAGTTGTGTTTGATGATGAATATTCTTTTACTTACGAACTTGTCATACTTTATTATTATATATAGAAATTGGCCTCACTTCGCTCTGAAATTGATACTGCCAACAACCGCGCTCAAGAACTTGAAGAAAAGGCCACTGCCTTGGAAACTCAACATGCTAACAAGGATGATGAATTCACCTCTTTACAAGAACGTGCCAAGCTTTTGGAAGAACAACTTGAACAAGCTGAAGCTGATTTGAAGGAAGCCAGTGCAAAGTAAGTGAAAACTATACCAGGAAAACTGGCAAATAGCTGGCTCGAGAATATTTTTTTTTTTTTGGTATTAAACTGGTTCTCATGATACTGATTTTCTTTTTCTTTTCATAGTTTCCGTGAAGCTGATTTGCGTGCTGAACAACTTGGCAAGAAGGCCATCAAGTTGGATCAAGAACTCAAGACCTTGGAAAAGAAGAATGATGAATTGGAAGAAAAGTATAGAGCTGCCAAGGCTGAAATGGACGAATTGGAATCTCAACTTGAAGGTGTTTAGATGGTTTATAGGTAGACTTGTATCGTTTAAGTTTTTTTATCCACTTTATACACCACACAAACAAACACATATATACATATCTACTTGATGATTCTCCCCTCTTTTCTTTTTCTCCTATCATTTTGCCCTCTTTTTTTATTTTATTTTATTTTATTTTATCCATATTTATCTTTTGATGGGAATAATAAAACAAACAAAACAATATAAATATGATTTATTGACTTAATGAATACCAGATTAAACTAGATTTTGGCGGATAAATCGGGACCATTGCTGATAGGCACGACTCCAGTAGGATTGATTTGCAAATGAGACATGTAATAATGACGTTTGATGTGATCCATATTAACGGTAGCAGCTACACCTGGTTTTTGATAAATACGACGAGCCCATTTCAAGATATTTGGATAATCCTTTTCAATTCCCTTGATGTTGCATTTAAAGTGACCAAAGTAAACAGGATCAAATCTATAGGATGGTAAGAAATTTAGATGAATGCTATCAACCAAAAAAAAAAAAAAAATGAAATGATTACCTGATAACAGTGGTCCATAAACGAATATCTGCTTCAGTGAATGTATTGCCTGCCAAGTAATCCGCATTTTTGAGATGTTCTTCAATTTTATCCAACCAGACGAAAACGTTAAATACATTGTTTTCATCTAAAATAAAAAAAAAAAAAGAAAAGATCAATTTTACTCTAAAAGAAAGGAAGAATAATGACACTTACATGCTTGTTGAGTTGAAGCAAAACCAGATTTGTAGACACCATTGTTCACATTATCATAGATAGGAGTGTTCCAATCATCAATTTCTTTTTGTAAAGCCTCAGGATAAAAGTTAATAGCCCTCTTATCTTCAGGAATAAAATCATTAAATGCTGTGTTGAACATTCGAATGATTTCAGAACTTTCATTGTTCACTTTTATATACATATAAAAAAAAAAGAGTCAATATTATTCATTCAAACATATTCATACAACCTATTTCATTTTTTTTTTTTTTACCTATGGTATTTAATTTCTTGTCCCAAAGAACAGGCACTGTAAATCGACCTTCATAATTAGGATTAGCTTGGAAATACAATTCACGAATGTATTGTTTGTTATTCACCGTATCAGGAATAGCTCCAGGACATTCTTTTTCAGAAGAGAATTTCCTATATCAAAAAAAAAAAATCAAGTCAGTGATTAGATAAGAAGATATTTTTTTTATGTTAACTTACCATCCTTTGTCACCTAAAAGATAGTCAACTACAGATAAACCTATGACACTATCCAAACCTTTCAAAGCACGTACAATGATAGTTCGATGAGCCCAAGGACAAGCCCAAGAAACATAAAGATGATATCGGTTACTATATATAAAGAGAAAAAGGTATATAAGCGTCATTGTATATATATATATATATATATAACACTTACGGTTCGGCAGCAAAAGTAGCTTTGGGATCAGTAGATACAAAGTCTCTAAAAGTAGAAGTTTGACGACGGAATTCACCATCTTTGGAAGCCCATTTCAAGATATTGTTAGACATATTTGGTTTAGTAAAAGTGTTATAAGAACGAGATAGAATAGGACGAGAAAAACGAAAAGAAAGTAAAGCCGCCGTCATTTTTTTTTTTCGTGTCAAAAATATTTATAGGGTTTTGCGGGCTCTTTTTAAAAGAGTGTGTGAATGAATAATAAAGAAAAAAAAAAAGTATACGATTTGTCATATTTTTGTAAGCCCCGGAGCCCGCCACACCCATCAATGATCAAATTTATGCGACGCAATGATGATGAGGAAGCGGAAAGTAAAAATCATGAATAATGGATGATTCAAACAAAAAAAAAATGCTTGCCAACAAAACAAAATGACACCGTATCGCGATCCATTCTTTTTTTTTCTCTTTTATATATATATATATGATGTTTAAGTTAATGATGTTTGATAATTTCTTCTTGATTTTCTTTTTTTTTTATAAATTTCTAACCGAGTACGAATTTAACTGCACCCATCATTCCTCATCAAGTAAATCCATCTAATCAGTCTTTCATTTTTTTTTTCAGTTATATTACTATCATCATCATTCGTGTGGGAATTCATGCAATAGGACTGGGAAAGAATAAATCCATAGAAAAAGCTTTTCATTGGATCAAAATAGCATTCACTCTCCGTATCATGCCCCCCCTCCGCATAGTTGACCATTGTTAAGTGTGATTCTCCTGATACCGAACAAATAATCGGGTTTCTTTTTTTTTTTCTTTTCTTGTTTTTCTTTTCTCTATTGTTATTATTTGATTTATCCTCTTATATGTTATTGATTATTCACTAAAGTGTAGTATTATATTCACTGATAATCCGCCTTCCAAAAGTAAATAATGGATTTACCTTATAAATCATCCACTCAACTTATTTACCCTGCACCTGTTGGAAAAGAGAGAGTGTTTGCTTTACAACATCTTGGATGTACATTTAAAGAAGGTGATCATGACGTTACAAAGATCGCCACTCCCGCTATTACTGATACTCAAGAAGACCTCATACCTACCTTTATGGATGCTGAAATGGTAAAGAAGAAAAAAAAAATCATGATTTTTCATCTGACATCAATTCTATTTAGGATAACAATACGACATCATCATCATCATCAACCGAATCAAACCCAATGATGGATCATAAATCAGGATAGTTTTTATTTTTATTTTATAGTTGTTGTATTGTAGATATGAAGATGAGGATGCATTTTTCTAAAAAAAGAAAGGATCATATATAAATAAATAAATATATAAAAGAAAAAGATGTATACAAAGAATGATGTTATGGGAAAAAAAAATAACGACTATTCTAATGATGCGCTTGTTTTTGATATGTGTGTATGTGCGAGTTTGTGAGAGGAGAGGGGGGGAAATAAACTAAAACACTACCAGTCCAGCCAGGTTTGGAAATATTCACAAGAGAAGGGGGAGATAGGACCATCTTCTTTGCAAAAGGTAAAGACCGGGCATCGACCACAAGGAGTTTCCGTCAAAGCTTCAGTTGGAAGATGAGATCTTGTTTTCCTTGATGCTTTGTATAACCACTGAATTCCATTTTCTTCACCCAATGCTGCGGGATCTTCGTCATCATCACTGAATTCTTCCATACCAACCATAAATGGTAGTCGTTTTTCTACTTCGCCATCATATACCAATACGTCTAATAAACTAGAAATATCCTTGACTGATAAATCGATAGATGAAATTCTTGATTCTGTGATAAATCGACGTACTTCATTGGCTGTAGGATAATGTTCGTAATCTGGTCCATATACTGCATCTCGTACCGATTCATTTCTTGGAAAACTCTATTCAATAAATTAAATAAATAAATGAATAAAAAACGTTAGAAAAGAAACAACAACAAAAAAAAAAAATACTCATATTACTTACTCTTGCCATAATGTATTTCAAACAAGCCGCTTTCAAACTGTCAATAAAATCTATATCCAATTCTTGATCTGTATACCAGGCTCCACCGGTGACTTCACTTGATGGTGTAATATTATATAACATATATATCTTACGAGTAGGATGCTAAAATTGAATTAGTAAAACAAGAAAAAAAATGTTAATATTATTCGATCACCACTTTAAAAGTTAATCTTACTTTGACATGCTTGACTGATTTGATTTCTTGTTTTTGCTCTAAGGCTTTCAACGTACGATTCAAAATAATAGTATGTAAATTGGTTTTCTTTTTCAAATCCTTGGTCCATAATCCATTATTCCCAGTAGCTCGAATAGCATTGTAAACCAATCGTTGTTCATCGTTTAATCGACTTGCTCTATTATAAAATACGTTAACAATCTTGTTTTCTTCCTACCTCTATTTTATACCTACTTTTCAGCATCTTGAAGATCAATGGCTCGTACCATATTTTCCCCATTGAGTTGTATTACTTCCAAGGTATTCTAAGCAATAATAACAATAATAATAAGAAGAAACAAGACCATTAATAAAAAAAAAGCTTATACTATTAGAATATGAAAAATAGAATTACCTTCTTTAATAAAGAGTTCATGGCAACAAAAGCTTCTTGAACTCCCATATCCTTAGGTCGATCATCAAACTTGACACCCTATTATCAATATATTATTATGATTAGATCTATTCATTCCATATTCCCTTACTTTTTTTTTTTTTTTTTTTTTTTTTTACCTTGCCACTCTCTTTTACAAACTTGTAATAAGCCCATTCATCTTTAGAAAGACCAAGAGGGATATCACCATCGGAAGATCCACCTTGCATTTTGTCCATTGGCTCTACCATTTTGAGTTTTGGTATATCAAAGAAAGAAAAGAGTGGAAATAAAATAAAAAAAAAAGCGCGGTTATTCCCAGGTCTTTTTTTTTTTTTTTTTTTTTTTTTTTTTTTTTTTTTTCAACAAACGACGGTTCAGTCACACAGTCCCACAAATCGATGCCGCATATACCGTAATACAATAGAGTAGTAATAATAACCATAATAATAATAATAAAGACTGATTTTATTCATATTACAAAAAAAAAAAAAACAATTTGACGAATGATAACTATCAATTACTTGGCCCAGACCATTTTGATCCTAAGATACTGCTCACCTCCATCCCCACTAGTATAGAAGCTACCATCCGGATCATCAGCAAAGACAAGCGGTCGAGTTTCACAAGCCAAAGGACAGGTTACCCATAAAGTATCGTATTCAGGAAAATAACCATCATAAAGAATATTGATACCCACCAGTAATCGATCCATATAACATTCCATCCAGAGTTCAATATCTGTATATATATCTTGTTGTTGATGTGCTATTGAGTGTCCATCATCTTCCACCAGTTTAAATGTCCATCGATAAGGCGTTTGAAGTTCAGTCCGATCATCTTGATTTATTACATCAGGATAAATATGAATACGACGTTCATTATCAGGTAAAGCATGAACATGAGCCATAGATTTCCCATAACACATAAAAGATCCTTCTTTGATAAATAATGGTGCCAGTGCATCTTCCAAGACGGATGGTACCGTAATCCATTGTCCACCGGAATAATATTGACCTGTTTGATAATGATACCATCCACCTGTTGTATTCACACCGTTGTTGTCAGACGGATAATAAAAAGAAGGAAGATAAACATGTCGATCTAATTTGTCTTGTTCATAAACAGGTGCCACCAATAATTGTGATCCAACCATAAATTCAAAATCCTGTTCATACGTATTTCTGTCATGAGGATGATCGTAAAATGTTGGACGTACTACTGGCTCATTGTTTCTATATGCCAAAGTCACATATAAGGAATACAGATGAGGTAACCACCGGTAACGCCATTCAAACGATGATCGAATGGTAGGAAAGATTTGAGGATACTATAAGAATAAAGAATAAATATATATATATATATTTGTAAATAAAAGATGGATAAGAAAAAAAGCCAATCCCTTTCTTCCTTTTTTTTCTTTCTTTTTTTTTTTTTTTTTTTTTTTTTCTTTCATCAACTTACCATCCAAGGTTCAGTGATTGATTTGTCTGAATTCCAAGAATGAATACAAAATCGAGTCCAAAAAACACCTTGTTGTACCCATCGCACCAATTGTTCAGGAGTAGGAGGAGGTCCACTAAAACCCGCAACATCGTGACCATATCCTGCAGGCATAGAGCATAATCCAGCACCGATTCCCATCGAAATATTGTAAGCCAATGTTTTCCAAGAGGTATAATTGTCGCCACTCCATGTTTGTGCCACCAATAATTGAGAAAAAGGAACGGTTGAACGAGTAATCAAACAAGGTCGTTCTTCAGGTAAATGTCGACGTACAGCTTCGTACGATGCTTGAATCATCAATAACGTTTGTACAGGAGAGTCGATATTCCATCCATTGTTGATACGAGATGGTCTACAAGGGATATCGATGGATGCCGATGGAAAGCCATCACATGTACGTTGACATTGGAATTGTTGTGATTCATCATCCATCATGGTGAATTCATTGTTGTCAAGCCATATATCGAATCCAAACCGTAGAAGTGCACTTGTCAAATTATCTTGCCAATATCGATAGCCAGCATCACTTGAAAAATCAATATAACTTGCTTGACCTTTTGTATTTCTTCCACCACGCCATTGCCATATCAAACTAGGACCATTTCTTGCCTCATCCCAGACAAATCCATGTTCAGATGCCACCTTATTGTAATCAGGATGATTCGTTAGTAACCATGGTTTGACATTAGCAAAAATCTTCATTCCGGCATCACGATATACTTTTGCTAGTCTTGCAGGATCGGGAAAACGACGCTTGTTCCAGGTAAATACCCAACGATCACCCTCTGTTTTCGCTGTCGAATCTACTGTATAACCAGAAGAAAGATGCATACCATCACAAGGAAGCTTGTATTGCTGTCTACATTTGTCTACAAATTGTTCCAAAAGTTCTTGAGCGTTATCTTGTTCAGCATATCCCATCGCTGAAGCCAAATAACCAAACATAGACCGAGGCATAAGAGAATAACCACCCATCATTTTATTGAATGTTTGAACTACTTTGGCTATTGATTTTCCACCATAAATCATGTAATAATCTAAAGGTCCTTTTTCTACTTGATAATAAGTATAATCACCCCACATCTACACAAAAAAAAAAAAAAATAAAAATAAAAAAATAAAAAAAAATGAGTACAAAATAATATGTATTATCCACTAAAATCAGACTTACTGCATCACGTTCTTGTCCCATATCCAATAATGTTCGACCAAAGTTGTTGTAATAAACACCATAGACTGATAAGGAGGATATGTTGGATAATCCAATATAAAATGGACAAAACTTGTACAAAGGATCTTGAGTTTCCGCATCATAACCCATAGTATCCATTCTTTCCAACCGAAATCTTCGTCCATCCAGATTTAATCTCCCAGTATGTTCACCCAATCCGTAATAAAATGTATTTTGACTTGTAGTTCGCCGACGTTGATAGTGCCATCTTGTTCCATGTTTGGGGTCATAACAATAGCTTCGATAAGCCAAATCTTGAGCAAACCAGTCTTTTTCGTCAAGGGGTCGCCAGGTGATACCAAATGGTGATAAAGTAATGGACGCTTCAATAGCATCAGTTGTCACTTGCACCATCTTTTTTTCTTTTTGATGGCCGTCATTGTTGATGATGTTAACTTTGAAAGCTGGTGTTTCTTGAAAGTGATTGTTATTCATTGGCGTTTTGTCTTCAGAGAGAGTATGGCAAACACGAATCAGATGATGGTCCAAGATAAAAATATTGATTCTATGGCCTTCCTTATTGATAAATACGAGAGGATGACTAGAAGCATCCTTCAAAGTATAGTCATCAGATACAAGTTGTCTCATGAGAAAAGTGTGAGAGAATGGAAAGGAAGAAAGAAAAGAATTAAAAAAAAAAAAGGAGGACCTGAGACTTATGCGCAGAAAAAGAGTTTAAACACAGCGGGAAGCCAAAAGTTAGATTTAATACAGTTTGTTGATGTAACATAACAAAAAAGAAAAAAAAAAAAGAAAAAGAAATGTATTAAGTGGATTAGAATATTATACAAATAAAAAGAAAAAAGATAAAACTGGATTAAATAACATAAACATAAAAAAAAAAAAACTATACAAAGGAGAATAAAGTGTGATACGAACGGTAAAAAGTACTATAATGAAGATAAACGAAAAAAAAAGAAGGAAAGGGAAATGATCTATACTAATACTACTATTGTTGTTGTTGTTGTTGTTGTTGTCTAGCAATCCATCCATGTTTGAAAGCTTCATCAGGTTTGATCCTACTATCAGGATTCCATTGGAGGCATTGATCTATAAAATCAACAAACTTTGTATCGGAACACTTGAGAATTTGAGCCAAGGATTTTGTACCAGGTTTTCGTTTCTTGCCTTTGCTATTGGGCACGATTCGTGGGTTACCATAAAAATCAAAAAATACTTTACGTCTTGTACTTTTTTCTACCAAAGAACGAGCAGGTACACCTTGAACTTCCATAATACACGCCAATTGATCTTGTTCATTTTCACCAGGAAACAAAGGATAACCCGTATACAGTTCAGCCAGGATACATCCTACACTCCACATATCAATAGCCATGCCATAGTCCAATCCTAATATCACTTCAGGTGCCCGATAAAATCGACTTTGAATATAGGTATATACTAAACAATATATACATATTAATATTATATGTGTATTAATTTTTTTTTTTTTCAATCCTTATATTGATATTTACCTTTCTCATTTTCTAAACAAGAACTTCCAAAGTCAATCACTTTGATGGTACTTTTTGTCGGATGTTTGAGTAAAATATTTTCAGGTTTCAAGTCGCAATGGATCAAATGATGTTGATAAAGAATCACCAATGAATTCAATAGTTGGATAGTAAATCTAGTAATCATATTAGTTAAAAAAATAAAAAAAATAAAAATAAAAGTAAGAATCATCACAGATAAATCTTTTACTTTTTTTTTTTTTTTTCCTTACCGGCGAATCAATCCCATACTAAATCCCTGAAAGTTGTTGCTTTTGATGAAATCATAAAGATTGATACTGAGACATTCAAAGGCGATACAAAGATGATTTCGGAAATAAAAGTGATCAGTCATTCGTACATTGTTGTGCTTGTCATCAGGATCCTAAATCCAAAAGAAAATAAATAAAGAAATAAATTACATATAACTTGATTATTCTTTTTCAATCATATATATGTAATCTATAATTTAATGTTACCCATTTCAATAAATCTTCCAAAGTCTTGACTTCCACTAATGCCTGAGCATGAAATCGTTTCTTGTTTCGAATAAGTTTGACAGCTACGGTTGTACCTAATTTATGATCAAATGCTTTGACAACTTGACCAAAAGAGCCCTTGCCCATGATTTCCAACACTTCGTATCGATAAGCCAAATGGTCCTTTTGTACAATAAGATAATCTCCACGTTCATCGTCATAACCATAATTGTTGTTTGGTTCATTCATTTTCGCCTGGAATTTGTTTTTGGTATGATGGCCGACGAAGTAAATTTGTGAGTACTTTAGAATTTCATGTTGTTCAAATGGTGAAAGATGTTGTTGATATAATTTGAATGCGGTGGGTGGGCTCATCGCTGGTCGCATGGAAGGGGTTTCCAGTGTTGTTGTCGATGTTGCCAATGATGATGATGCTGGTGATATTGATGACGACGTACTTGTTGCAGATGGTACCGTCCTTGATGAATAAGATGATGGCGGAAGTCGTCGTAATCGTCGTTTTTGTTGTTGTTTTGGTGTTGTATCTTTTATATGTTGATGCGTTGGTGTCGTCGGGTTCAAATTTTCATCTTCTTCTGGCCATTCCTCTTCCACTCCATTATCAATTGTACCATCATCTTCTTGCCTCAAAGTGTCGTTCCAGGTTGAATCATCTTGTACTAGTTCCTGAAGTCGTTCATGTAGTGAAGATATGCGTCGTTGCAATGGATGTGATGGTGGTGAAGTAGAAGAAGTTGATGACGATTGATGATGATGATGATGATGAGAGTCATGTTGTTGCTGTTGTTCTGGATCCAATGAATCTGGTTGAGATATACATTCAGGTACACAAAGTTCCCCTTGTACGGACACTAAATTGACATCCAACTGACATGATATCTTTCGTTCCTTGTCTCGCTGTTCCTGTAAAAGATCACTTGATAATAAAGAAGGGCGTCGGATCACTTCATTGTCAGGTCGACTATCATGTGAGGGTGATATTCTAGTCACTGTTGTTTTGTTGTTGAGAGATGGTGCTGTAGGTGGGCTGACCTGCTGTCGTCGTCTTCGTTGTTGTTGTTGTTGTTGTGATGATGATCCATCGTCCTCACCACTACCACTTGTATTGTCCATGGATTCAGACTTTTTGTTGCTACTGATAGGTAATGGAATACGTGTAGTTGTTGGTGTGGCTATATTCGCATTGCGTCTTGATGGTGTTTTTGGTCCTCCAGCAAGTGTATGAAATGAAGTTGTTCTATCCTTGTTGATGCACTATAAAATAAATATGAATAAACAAATAAACAAATAAAAAGGAAAAAAAAAAAAAAAACTTGAGTACAAGTACAAATAAATAAATATCACGCCTATTTAAATTAAATGTAAGATTACCTTGAGTCTATCATCTAGAGGATCTTGTGATAAAAAGGGATCAAAATCCACTAATTGCCTATTTGCTCTTCCTTTGACGTGATCTGAAGTACAAACATCAGTGGATGATTGTTTCCCAGTAAAAGAAGAAACCATGGAAACAGGTCGTTTAGTATCTTGTTTCCTTGGAAGTATAGGTATAATTGTAGAATTGTCAGTATCAAGATCCAACCAGCTTGAGTTCGAGGTAGGATGAGCAGAGGATTGATAATGATGTTGTGAAACAGTTCCGTCATTTGCTGAGAGATGTCTTGTCCTTCTTGGTCTATCGATTGTAGGTAAGGATGAAGTATTTGTTTGTAAGAAATGAGAAGATAAATGGATAGAGGATGATTTTGGTGTAGGTAGTCGTGTAGGAGCTGTAGTTGGCTTAGGAGATAGAATATTGTTAACATTATGACTGATAGAAGAACCCAAACTAGTATGACGCCGCCTTGAAGATTTGTGTTCTATTTTGTTGCTATTATTGCTGTTGCTGAGAGGATCAAATGTTTGTAAATTTTGTTGTAATGATATATTTTCGTCCTCTACTTTTGATGTATCCATAACAAGTTGATTTTTATTCTCGTCTGGTAGGTTGACAGAGTCCAAAGCCGATACGCTGACCGAAGAATTTTTTGCTTGAAGTTCTTCCCGTTGCTTTTTTGCTTTCCGTTGAAGTTTTTTTTGAGAGGCAGTCAATATCCAACGAGTATATTCATCATGAGTGTCCAAGACATCAAGATCTGAAGAAGATTTCTGTTGTTGTTGTTTTTCCGATGTTGCATTCTCTTCGATAGAAGTAGAAGGTGAATTAGCATTTGGTTTCGTCGTAGTTATGGTATCATCATATATGAGTTCCTCCATTATATTGACTAGACTATTGAAGATATATAAATGACTATTCAATGAGAAAGGCTTTTTCCTTATTATCATATATATAAATTACCCATACACAAAGTTCTAATCCTTCAAAAAGATTGTGGATGAAAAGAAAGACTAACAAGTAAAGATACTTTTTTTAAAGAATAATAAAAAAAAAGTGAGAAAAAGAAAGGGAACAAGGAAAGAAAAAAAAAAAAAAAGGGAAAAAAGAAAGTGAGAGGGAGAGGAAAAAAAAAAAAAAAAAAAAAAGCGAAGATCATGAAAGGGCGGGTGCTGTTACAGTTTAACAACCGCTGAAGGCCTAACGAAGGTTTATTTAGATGTATAACGCGTGTGACTATATTGATCTTATCAATAATGATACCAATTTGATACAATAATATATGAATAATTAATATACGTGATTTGTAATAAATAGTTGATTTGTTTTTTTTTATTGAATTTAATAATAAGAGTATCATTTACATAAGATAAGACCCTTATTACACTTTTTTTTTTTTGAAGAATTTCAAAACGGCATAACGTACAAAAAAGAAATGAAAATTTTGAAAGGCCGCAGATGAATTTTTTTCTATTTCTTGTATCCTTTTTTTTTTTTTTTTTTTTTTTTTTTTTGCTTTCTTTTTCATTTTCCCAAGCTAACATGACTACAGATAGTGCAAACTCAAGGAATATGGAAATGAATACATTTGACCAACTATTCAATTATATGGATACAGTAAAAATAATGATAAATAATTATTGGTTATTATTGAAGGACACGGTTATTCAACTTTGGCAATAGTAAGTACAATTATTATTATGATAACATATATGTATAATACTTTTTTTTTTTTTTTTTTTTGATAGTATGGAGTTTAGAATAATGATATATTTATTTCTGGCTTTATGTTTTATTCCTATAAGTATATTTGTAATATTTTGTAGTTGTCTATCATCTATATTATTTATGATATCAGCCGGTATTTGGATCTTCTTTGGTACAATTGCCTTCTTAATATTATTACCTTTCTTGATTGGATCATTATTAATATCAATTGGATTAGTTTTAGTTTATAGAATATATATTATTCTCAATAATAATGATTTGAACAAAAAAAAATAGTAATTCCTCATTGTATATTATATTTTGTATCACCTTAACCCCCTTTATACTTTTACCTCTCCTTTTCCCCTCATCTTATTATTGATTATTATTGATTATTATTGATTATTGATACTTTGAATAAAAATATTTAAATGTATGTATGAACATATGTATATATATATATACGTTATTTATATATAGGGATTAAAAAAAAAAAAGATGATCATTGATGAAATTTCCAAAGTCTGAAATGACGACACCTTATTTGTATCATCGCCATCATCATACATCATTGATCCTCCAAAGAAAAAGAACAATAAATAAAACCCAATTTTTTTTTAAAATACTTACTTGTTTGTATGTGTAAAAAAAAAAAAAAAAACAAGAATGGAAGGTTTTGTTTATAAACAATCCTGATGGTCGGTTGAATGAAAAAAAAAAAAAAATAAACTAGATGAAGACCAAAAAAGGAGGTTGTGGCAAAAACAAAGCACGTAAACTAGTTGACAATTGAAACACTACCTAATCAATTCATCTGTAAAAAGACTATAAATAATCTCTCTCCACATAAAGAATAAAGCGCGATAATATAAAATTCAGGGGTATGGTTCTATAAAAGTCAAAGTAAAATAACTTGAGCCGATACACGTTCTTGTTATTTAAGCATAAATGCATTTCATCAATAATACCAATATTAGAGTATTCAACCAAGAAGTTATTCGACGATCTTTTTTTTTTTCATTAGTCTTTTGCTTTTTTGTGTGATTTTCTTTTTTTGTTTGATCGGAACCACGTTTTAGTCAATTTTTTGCCACATGATTGTTTATTGTTTTGTATTCATTTATAAAGAACTTCTTTTTCTTCTTTTTTTTTCTCTCTCTCGTCGTCTTTTTTCTTTTTTTTTTATTATTTTACTTTTCATCTTCTTTTTTTTTTTTTTTTTTTTTTTGTTAAAAAGGCCATCTTTAGTTTGTTTTTTTTTTAAATCATAACCAAAACAAAAAAAAAAAAAGAATCATCATCATCGAAATTGATTAACTAGTTATTTGACAAATCACATTCATTCCTTCATTCCTTCATTTTTCCTTTTGAAATCAAAATATAAATGACTTCTTCAGAACAACAATCACCACCATCATCATCTACAACTATTCATCATCTTCATAATCACGTATCTCTTTATCGATCCAAAAGCACAGGCACTATGCAACACGTGCCTCGTAGACTAAGCTCGGGATCAGCATGCGAGACATGCCGACGTCGGAAGACTAAATGTGATGGTGGGCAACCCTGTGGATTTTGTGCCTCCAATCGAATTGAATGCATTCATCGGCCAAGTAAAAGAAAAAGATCTTCCCCCAAATATTCTAAGCCTATTTTAGATCAACGTTATCATCTCCCCTCTACTGCTTCATCATCACCATCTTGGTCATCTTTACCTTCATCTTCTCCACCTTCTTCTACTTGTTCTGTTTCTCCTCCTCCCCCTCCATCCGATCATCATCAACATCATTTAATGAAACAAATCAGTTGTCCTTCTTTCTTTAATCATTCAGGAAAGAAAGAAATGCCAAGTATGTTGGGTAAAGTATCTTTCTTTTATACATCTGATTGGTTGATTCTTGAACTTACCTTTGTTTTTTTTTTTTTTTTATAAAGATCAATTATCTTGTAGAACTTTCTCTGCTGTAACATTGGCGGCTTCTGAGAACAAAACAACGTTTCCTATATATCATTTACATTCTGATTTTGAACGACCTTCTTATTGATTACTTTTTTTTTTTTTTTTCATCTCCTTTCCTTTTTCCTTTTCTCCTATGCTTTAATATATGATTCCATTCATTTTATTATATATATATATATATTCATGATCCATGATTTTTTATTTATGCTTTTATTTTTTTCATTATATCTTCTTGGCATCTTTATTATTTTTTTTTTTATCATTCATGTCCTTTTATTCCTTTTTCAAGATAATGTTTCTTGTTAGCCGACATGACATTGAAAATAAACTATTTTTTTTTTTGATCTCCTCCCCTGAACTACTATATCGGGTATTCACTCAGGATCTTCCTGTTTGTTTCATCCTACCCCATCCTATTCCTCCTTTTTTTGATCAGTAGACTTACAGTCATTCCGGAATTAGTTGTCGCATTTTTAGAAAATGATGTCGCCTCACCAGAAAAAAGATGTCGTGGTTTTAAAAAATAAAAGTCGTACTCTTCGAAATGAGATGTCGCCCAATTTGATTTTCAATGTCGCATTTTTCGAAATAAATTTTTCTTTTTCTTTTCAGTTATTTTCTTTTTCTTTTTCGTTATATTCATTCTTGTCTTTTGTCCCATTATTTATATCCTCATTATTTATCCAATAAAAAGCTTTCTTATACCATTATTATTTACCTTGTCTGGATTCTGTTTTTTTTTTTTTTTTTTTTTTGTGTGTTATCTATAATGGACATCAAATTTTTATTCGATGATGGTCAAGGGAATATTGTTGATGAAGATGGGAATGATCCTATGGCTGCTGATTATCCTGAGCTGGACAAAGAATTGGAATCACTCACTAACATGGAAATTTATACAAGGTGTCAGAATGAACAAAATCAACGCGAGGAAGACCAACAAGACGAAGTTATGATGCAACAACAACAAATGGAAACAACGGCGAAATCCAAAGGACGCAACTACAACGTACATTCGGAAGACGTCAAATCTCTTGTCATCACTTATCATCTTGAAAAACTTGTGTCGGCAGCCAAGGCAGGTAAGGAATACGGAGTGGATGCACGAACAGCTCAACGGTGGATTAAAGCATACAAAGAATCTGGACAGCAAGACGAACCTGGAAAAAACAAAAAAAAAACCTGGGCCGAAATCAAGATTAGGTGACGAACACAAACGACATCTTATTGAATTCATAGACGACAATCCCTCGGCGATCATCGATCAAGCTGTCGATAGTCTTACAAAGCAATTCGAAGGACTGGTTGTCAAGAAAACTGTGGTGCATGAATTTATGAAAAATGAATGCAATCTATCTCTCAAGAAGGCTCATTTCCATTCTTTGGCAAGAAACAGCGATGAAACGATCGAAAAAAGATACGAATGGGTGCTAAAATGGATGAACACTGACATGGACTTCACTACTAACTGCGTTTTTATAGATGAAGCAGCCTTCAACATCAACCAGCGTCGAACATATGGGTGGGCGGAAAAAGGTGTTACTCCTATTGTGAAGGTGGCTAAAACACGGGCAGCATCTCATACAATACTAGGTGCCATATCTGTTGCTGGGATTGTCAATATCAGTATTCGAAAACCAGGGACTAAACGAAAAAGGCAAAAACGGCTTAGAAATGGAGAAAACACAACGACAAAAAGGACAACAGGAACAACAACTGGACATTATGTGGACTATTTAATGGAGACTATGGATGTTATGGATCGATACCCTGAATTTAAAGGCTTTTACCTGGTTATGGACAACGCACCAATTCACAAGGCAGTGGAAATTCAAACGATAATTGAAGAACGTGGCTATCGTTGTGTCTACCTTCCACCTTACTCCCCAGAACTGAATCCCATCGAACAATTTTGGTCCAAGGTGAAGTATTCAACAAAGCGAAGTCTACTCATGGAAGAAGAAACTCTTACAACAAGGATAAGGGAAGCTTGCCATATGGTGACTCACAAAGATCTTCAAGGTTATGCCCGATATTCTGCTGCTCGTTTTGCCGATTGTCTGAAGAAATTGCCTATGTAGATTAGACATTGTAGTTTAGTTATTCCTTCTTATTTGTGTTGATATTTATGTATTTTTTTTTTTTTTTTATTTAAACCTCCAATAAAAACTGAATTTTTATAGTACTTTAGTTAAGTAATGTTTATTCATTAGGTGCGCCAACTCCAACGACAAATACTGCGACATTGAAAATCAAATTGGGCGACATCTCATTTCGAAGAGTACGACTTTTATTTTTTAAAATCACGACATCTTTTTTCTGGTGAGGCGACATCATTTTCTAAAAATGCGACATCTAATTCCGGAATGACTGTATTCATATTTGTATATAAAAATTATAGTTTAAACTTCGATTGCTTCTTTGTTGTTAAAATGTATTCGGAACCATCGGACACAACAAAATAAAATAATAATAATAAAGCTCTCTCCTGAAATAGTAAATAGTATCATACATCTTTATCATTACCATTTATTTAGATCCGTATAGTATAATAGTGATTGATATTGATGATGATTCCTTTTTATATTGTAGTTAATTATATCAATATTGAAAAATTAGTCTTTGATATTCAATTGTTATCTGTAATCAAGTAGACCGCGGGATTTCAAGCTATACAAAAGACATTTTGTATTTTTTTTTTTTCGTTTGCCTTTCTTCCCACCTTTTTTTTTTCTTTTAAAGAAAGAATATGACTGACAATGCAGTCCTTTCAGGTTCTCTACGATTAACTAAAGGTAACTACAAAGGAACAAAAAAAAAAAAAAAAAAGGCTAGTGTAACTACATATAAATGATTATGACACTATCATTCTAACGATCTTATTTATCTTTTGAACTTTTTTAAAAAAAAGGTCTTAACTGGGCTGGCAAACAAGATCTTGAAAGTAAGAAGAGATTTTCTTTTTTTTTTTTTTTTTTAAAAAAAAAGCTTGAAGGACTCACTTCTTTATATTGTTACTCTCAGCTTTATTCCTAGCACGACATTCTACTGATTCGATCTCTTGTGGTACATTTTCTGTTGCCTTCTATGTGGAAACTATCATTCCTCTTCATGCTGTTAAACTATATACTCTTACATCACAAAGATATCGCGCGTAAGTCTTAATTCAAAATCAAAAGTGTCTTTTATGCTGAATGATCAAACTAATGTATTATTTGCACTTTATTTTTTATTTTTTCAAAGTATGACGAATTCTTCTACGCTTTGCAACTATCTTACTCATGTCTTTAAGCCCGTCTCTACATTTCACCAACCAAAGTATGCTCTATTGCTTCGTATACAAAAAAATGGTGAAGATACAAGTAATCCCTTTGATGGTAAGAAAGCAAGGTTTAAAAAAAAAGGAGATATGCTAGTATGTATATGATGACTGATTGATGTCGTTATTTTATGTTAAGTAGAAAGTGAGATACTTTATCCGTTACCCAAGATATCTTATGCATTGCTTTATGCACAACAACTTGAACAATCCAATGACAATGACCAGAATTCTCTACATGTCTACGCTCAAGTGATTCGAGATCCATTTGACTACATCAACTTTTCCAACTTCACCAGTATCAACACTACACCAAAAGAGGATACCTATATCAATACTGCAAACTCAATTCTTCAACATTACCGACCAAACCTCTCTTTACATTTACGGAATAAACTACAATATACCCAACACCATCGACAATGTTGGAGGTCAATACTTAAAAAGGATATGGATCGATTGGACAGGATGGATCAAATACGTGAAGAATCTCGACTTAGTAGACCAGAACGTACCTTGACAATCACAAAAAGAAAGCTACTTCCACAAAGAAAAAGTAGCAATATTGCACCTCCACCACAACCACAATCAATAAAACGATCTCAATCAGCATCCTCATCTCTATCATATACTTCATCTTACTCTAGAAAGCCTACAGCGACATCATCATCATCATCTATTAATAACCTTGACATCAATCCAACGATAGCAACATCAAATATACCATCATCACAACAATCAAATTCTGATTCTACTTATCATGCCGATAACAAGAAACAATTGAAAATAGCAATCTGGTCAAAACTCTTGAATTGTGGTCATGACAAGAAAGCCGAAGACACGAAATTACTGTATCAATCTATCTATCAAAGTATACAATTTGTTACCGTAAGTGACAATAGTGAAAAATGACAAAGAATCCTATATGAAAACCAGAATCTGACACTTTTTTTTTTTTTTTTTTTTTTCGTTAAAAGAGGAAAACGTTCAAAGATGAATTGCTTGACCGACATTTCATGGAATTACTAATAGACAAACATATACAATTTTACAATAGTTTGGATGTAGATATAGAATCAGTTGATACAAATATTCTTTAATAATAAATAGAACTCTTCTCTTTATATATATATATATATATATGTACTTTTACAAATTTGAAATAAAGTTGTATAATCCGCTGGATTTTTTATTTTTATTTTTATTGGGATCAAAGTTGTTGTTTTATTCTTATGTAGATTGATTTGATAGGTTGGAATGAAAGGACTTGACTGATTGATATCCTAGTGAGAAAAATCGACCCAATTTTCTTTCTTGCTTGTAGGGAGAGAGTTTAGTCTGATTTTAGATCGACAACTTGCCAGGGATAAGACATATCATTTATCGGTTCTTATTTTCAATCATCCATTTATCTTCATTCCCTAATGCGTCCAATTTTCTGATACCTGCATTGAACAGGAGGAAAAGCATCTGTGATCGTCATAATATTGGCACATATAATGTATTCACATGCTTCTTTTTTTTTTTCAAGAAGATCTTTTTATTTTCAAAACAAAAAAAATAATAATAAAGAAACAATAAATATAGATAAATAGATAGATTCAAATAAGATGAGAGTAGTAGTAAAGATGATAGGGAGAACAAAAAAAAAAAAAAACAAATCAAATAACAAAAAAAAGAATAAAATGTAGATAAAAAAATGAGAGATAATAATAATAATAATAACAAATAATAAAACGGTCAACGTCAATAAAGAAGTATATATGTAAAAAAAAAAAAAAAAAAAAAAAAGAGAGAGAGGGGGGGTAATAGAGAACAAAAAAAAAAAAAAAAAAAAAAAAGAAAAAAAGCTATATTAAAATGGAGGGTAAAATGAGGGGGATGAAGTACATAACTAAAACTAAATAATAAAAAAAAAGTTCATCCAAAAGTCCAACTTAGCTTGCATCATCCCATTCCCGATGGACGCGTTTTTGTCCTGTGTTCATGTCGCTATTAACCATTGCAAACATATTGGCCATCGTATCATCCATAAACCCATGATGTGTCGGTTGTGAACCAAAACTAAACTGATCACTGATTGTAGTTGTATGATGTTCTGTATGGTTTGTTGTTAAGTTGCTATTTAGTGCATCTTGTCGTCCAGTCGCATCACTATAAAGTAAATCGTGTAGAGCCTTGGCATCCATAGTCGAAAACATCCCAGTAGATGATGATGGTGGTAAAGAAGATGATGTAGATGATTCCATAGAAGTACTGAGAACTGCCTCTTGCTGTTGTTGTTGTTGTTGTTGATAATGATGGATAGAGGACATTCCAAATCCACTACCTTGACTGTTTGTAAGATATGCCGAGTTGAACATTGTCATTGGTGTATTGGATATAGATAATAAATGATGATCGTTTGTTGTTGATGATGATGATGATTGGTGGTTTATATGAGATTGATTATTGTTACTACTAATGTTGTTATTTGCCAAACTTGTTTTAGATGAATCTATTTGAATTGTTGTTGTTCCAAGTTGATTGAACATGTTGCCTTGGTGCTGCAAGTTATTTTGTAATGTTGAATTAATAAATTGCATATCAGTTCCATAAATAAATTGATCCATGGCTTTGTTTGCTTCTTGTTCGCCAGTAGTGTTTCCCATTGTAATTGGTGCTGAAGGTAATGGACTTGTACCGAAATCCAACAAAGTATGATCACTGAATAATGCATCACCAAATACAATATTATTATTGTTGTTGTCGCTTGAGATGGATGTTAATGAACTACCTTGTTGTTGTTGTATGTTGACAGATGGTGATGGTGATGATGATAAAGCAAACGAACTAGATGGTGTTGACAATGCCATTGATGATTGTTGTTGTGACTGTGGATCCATAACAGGAGTAAAAGGGGATGTTGATAAAGATAAAGGACTATGCTGTTGTTGTTGATTATGTAAATACCGTTGGTGAGGAGGCACAGGTTGACTTCCAGTTGATAAAGTGGATGCAGTCATCATTGAAGAAGGTGTTCCAAACGCAGGATTACTATGCCGCTGTTGTTGACTTTGTTCGGAAATAAAGGTTGATGAGGATGGTGAAGAGGAAATCGACGAATTGCTATTGTTCTTGTTCACTGGAATTTCATTTTGGTCAAATACAGTAGGATGGAAGACAGATGAGAGGCATTGTTGATTAATAGAGTCTTCATTCACAGCAGGAAGATTTTGTAAATTGGTGGCCAGGTTATTTTTCTTGAGAAAATCTTCAATGCTTTCAACAATTTCGTTGATCTTTTCCATATAAATCAGAGGAGATTGACGAAGAATATCAGCAGTAACGATCAAATTCCGTTGAGCCAAATGAGCTACCTCTTCTTCAGTTGATATGGCATTGACTTGATGGATAGTGACACTTGCAATAACACCATCGATAGCATAGAAAAACTGACACCATGGTAGCTTCGATCGGTAAATATCCAACATTTTGGTGATAAAGTTGGCAGATTTGGTACAAATGTTGAGAGAAAGTAAAGCTACAGGAGTTGCCGTTTGATTCTTTTTGGGTAAGAAGAATTTGTGTAGCATGATCCATGTCGTTTGATATTGAATGTTGAGAATAAGACATGCTTCATCCCTAAAGCTACTAGTTGTATGGAATGCTTCATCAGATTCAAATCGAAGGTCCATAGGAAGATCTTGAAACCAACTTGTCAACGCATTTTCCAATCGAGAGATGGCAGAGAGTAGAGATTGACCAGATTGTTCAGATGGTAAATGTTTGGTGATATCCTTTCGTACCTTCATCAGCTTGATCGAGTTCACAGCAAAGCCAATACGGTATCCAGTTTCATCGTCTTCACAATCTAGTTTCACTGGGTATTCCAAATCACAGTCCTTGTCGTCCACCATTGTTGGCCGATTCGATTCCAAAGCTGCGCAGAGATCTAACCAATATGCTGTCCACCATAATCGTTTATTCGCTTCCCTAAGTGTAGGATCCGCCGGCATAAATTCTTTTTTGTGAAACTTGAGATCTTGGGCCATCCGAATAGCAAGTCCAATATACAGATAAGCGAGACTTGATCGTTCACAACTGAGTTGATACATGTATAAGTTGATAAGAGCATGAATCGTGTTAGGACTACTGATATCAAAACATTTCTTCAGGAGTTGGCGCGCATTTTTGAAGTAGGTTTCACCCATTGTTGAAGGATCTTTATCAGGGCAAGCACCGTGGTACACACATCCATGTTTTGATAGCCACGCATTGATAGAGTTGAGTAAGAGAGGATCCAGTCCCGATTGTCTATTTTCATAGAGTTGCACAAACGTCTTCTGATCCGCGATTTGGTAAGCCAGAAAACAAGAATGGTAGGAGGTACGAATAAGATTGTTGAGAGTTTCTTGATTCATTGTATCATCCGGTTGTTTTTCTTGAAGGATGATACGTGCTTCTGTTTCATTGACTTCCCATAGTCGTCCAGGTGAAGATGCTGCAGATGATTGTGAATTATTAGCGATACCAGAAGAAGTAGACACTAAAACGTTGTTTCCATCCGAAGTATCCATTTGTTCTTGTTGTTGCTGTTGTTGAGTGGAAGAAGCACTGCGATTTCCAAAAGAACGATATTTGGCGTATCTTCCCCAGGCTCTACTTGCTTTCGTTGTCTTCATGCTACTATCCGCTGTGTCACCAGTTGAATCGTTCGTGTTGTTTCGTTTACCTCCATCACCACGAAGAGAATCCATACTGAAAAGACTTGTTGCCGAATCACCACTAATATTCAATTGACTAATACCATTGAGTAGAATACGATAAAGATCAGCTACACTTGCTATATTAGTATCGATACGTAAACCGGAGGGAGATAGCGACAATTTCCATGTAACAGGTTGTTGAGCAGTTGAGATTAATTGTTGTTGTTGCTGCGGTTGATTCTGGGATTCAAACATTGAAGATGAAGATGCTGGGTCGTTCACACTACTAGAATGGTTAGCCTGACGCGTATCACCAAAAGGATGAGGATTTCGATGAACAGTTGGACCTGATAGATAGTCACCACCAGAAAAAGGGTGTAGGTTGGATTTCATCATAACCAATTCAGATTGCATCTTTTGTATACGTTCTTTGAGTTCTTCCACATGATTACCAATTAGATCAAAAGCTTGACCATCTACACGACGAGGAGGAGTGGCATAACTACAAGGTAATCGAGCTGTTGAACATCGTCCACAAGTTGGCTGTACAAAATCGCATTTCACCTTTTTCTTTCGACACCTTATACACTATTTCAAAAATAAAAAAAAAAGTGAAGAGGAAGATATTAATATCTATCTTTTTTTTTTCTTTTCTGTATTTAATACATACAGCGAGACTAGATCGAGGTCTTTTTGGTCGTACAGGTTCAGGATTATTATTATTATTATTATTTTCTTGTTGTTGGCCTGCTTGGTCAAAGGAGAACATCAAAGTGGTGTTAATCGACACAAGGTTGTTATCTGAAGTAATATAGATAAATAATAATAATAATAATGAAAAAAAAAAGTGATTTATAGATAAATAATAAAATAGAAGGATCGTTAATAAAAAAAAAAAAGATAAAAAAGAAAAAGAAAGAAAGAAAGAGAAAAAGAGATAAAAATTCGTGAGATTTTCCTATTTATATTTCAAGCTCCATTTACCAGGTACAAATATAAAAGCAGTGTTTTTTATTATTATGAAAATGAAATAATAATAATAATAATAAGAGGTATTCTATGAAGATGAGTGAGTTCTAATTGTAGGACTAGAAGGAAAGACAGAGTTAGATAATAATGGACTTGGAACTTCACCACCTGAACCAACCACAGCTTGAGTATTGATAGGTGGTTTTCTTTGAGTTGGTTTACTTCGATGAGTGTCAACGGCTGGAATATCCGCTGAGTAACAAAAAAAAAAAAAAAAAAAAAAGAAAAAAAAGATCAATAATAGTAAACTTATATATGATCATATTACCTTTATAAAACTTTTCTTCACAATAATAGGCTTTGGGTGTAAGTTCGATCAAGGTATGTAATGGGATCTTGATATAGGGTAAATCTTCTTGACTATAGTTCATAAAATAACCATAAAGACAACGAATAATAGCTTGATGACCAACGATCAATATATCTTCTTGTCTTTCTAAATCCATAATAATAGGTTCTAATCGTAACACCACATCTCGATAAGATTCGCCACCACGATATCTATAATTGAATTTATCATCATCTCGTCTTGCAAAATCTTCAGGATATTTCTCCTATTGAATATAAATAATAATAATAATAATAATAATAATAATAATAACATATGAGTCATTCGGAGGAGTGGAGATTTTTTTTTTTTTTTCAAGATTTACCTCTACTTGTTCATAAGTCAGACCATCACATACACCAGCATCTAATTCATCCAAAGCTTTACGATGCTGTTTTGGATATGGAAGGTATTCACTTGTTTGAATTGTCCTTTTGAGAGTAGAAGTCCATACCATCAATTCCTTTCCACCTAACTTTTCCTTAATAAGATCAGGTAATATTTGAGCATATAATCGACCACGAGGAGAAAGATCAGAATCACCACCCAATTTTCCTTCCAAATTATACATTGATTCACCATGCTATAAAGAAAAAAAAAAGCAATGTCAGTCATTCTTTTATATATATATGTATATATATAACTTACTCTTGACATATAAATCTTTCTACCACGAATATGAAGATTCATAAGATAGTATACGATACGAGATTCCAAATAACCTTTAACCAAATTGACGATCACTTGACTTCCAACATTGATGAGTTTGATATACGAGTAATCTTGTTCCACAATAGTTTGATATTGAGTTGTATATTGAGCAATACGAGCTTGAAAATCAGATAAAGCCATTTCGGGATCCATATCTTTATAATCTGGAGAACTGAGTTTCACATCTCTTATGTTTGCTGATACTAATGCTTCATCTTCACAAATAGATTCGATAAAAAACACCTGAATATCTTTTTGAGTAAGCGTTTCATGAAGCCATTGTCGTCTTTCCAAGGTACTATTTGTCGCATCATAGATTCCAACTATGCCCTCTTCTTCATCATACCATTTGAGCATTTGTTGTAGTGTCATAAAAGCAGCTTCCTTGCGTTGTTTTTGTCCTGATTGATTATTTGGATCGAAGAATGTATTGTCTTGTTGAGCACCACAAAGTTCCCTTCGACAATTTCCTACGTTAAACACCTTTGTTTTGATACCAAGCCATGTAAGATATCGACATACTAAATCATAATAATAATAAATAAAAGGATCATTAATTTAAAATTTCATGATAATTATTTAATCATTCTTACTTTTTTGTGAAATATATGTCTTTCCCCTAATTGAATAGATAAAGAGAGAGAGAGAAAAAAAAAAAGGAAAAAACAGCAATATAAGAATCATATGTATATGTGTATATAAACACGCACAAACTGTACATATATGGCACACACACACACCACTCTATCTAACGCAGGTACATGTTATGTATTCTTTTTTTCTTCTTCTTTTTCTACCAGTCGTGTCATTTACCTCGCGGGTAATCCAACCATCTATCAGAATATATAATAGAAATAATTGGTAAGAAGGAGAAATAAAATAATAATAATAATAAAAAAAAGAATGACATTTGCTTTTAATATCATATAAGAAACTTACCACACAAGCTATGCGAGGAGCTGTAAGTGTCAAAGATAAAAAAAACCATGATGAAATATTGATCAGTCAAGGATATATACTATCTTATTGTTATTTTGAACCACTTACTGAAGTTAACTCTTGTAGTCATAATAAATAAAAAAAAAAGAAAGAAAGCCAGTGAAACAAAGAAGGAAAGATGAGGACAAGAGAGACATTATTATAAAAAAAAAAGGGTGATAATCGGAACTGACTTGGAAATGTGGGGGTCGTGAATTACAGATTTTATATATTTGAAAAAGAAAAAAAAAATAAGGAACGCGTCACTTTTTTTTTTCTCTTTTTTTTTTTTTTACAATGTTCCTTATTATTATGATTTTTTCATGATCAAGTATTATTAGCTTCTAGATATTCTTTTTTATAATTTGAATATGATCCAACTTATAGAAATAAGTCAACCCAAAACCGTGGGACAAGAGTGAAAAAATCAAAAAATAACCGGTGTTTGAAAAAAATACTCTTTTTTTTATTTATTTTTATTTTATTTTTTTTTTTTAATTTCTTGTTTTTATACAGTTTTATTCCCAATGGAAAAAGATCATCGAACTTATGGTACATCATGATTCTTGATTTGTAACTGACGTTTGAAACTATATTAACATACTCTGTTATTACTCTACATTTGTCATTGTTACTTTTCTTGATTCTATCCATTCAGACACTTCACAACAACAGGACGATATTGAATATCATCTTTTTCGAATACAAAAGCTTACTCATGGTTCAACAACAACAATACAATCATTAGAAAAAATATTATCCATGATAATGAATGATTGTGTTATTAGTAATATTGAAGTAAGTAAACATTAATATTATTATTATTATTATTATTTCAATTCAAATATTTATTTACTATTCACTTAGGCTGGGAAGAATTGGATATTTGAAAGCTGTAGTCAACCTGAACATTGTCAAGCTGTATTAGAATATATGAATGCTTTAGCCAAAACAACTAACCATTTTTCTCATCGACTGCATCTGTTGTATTTAATCAATGATATATTTCATCATGCGTAAGTAGCTTAACTATTCATTCTATTTTTCTTTTTTTTTAATAGGAATAATTCATTTTTATTATTATAGTATACGACGACAATTAAATTGGATGATAACTGGATTTTTATCAAGAATATCAATCTTATTGTATTTGATTTACCATTGTCCTGATGCAACAAATATACAAGTACGACAACAGAAAGTTTTAAAGGTCAGTAATACTCAATTATTAAAACAATTCTATTTCTAAAAAAAAAATAATCTTTGTCTTTTAAATATACATACATACATACATACATACATATATAGGTTCTCAACATATGGGAAGAAAAACAATTCTTTGATTCAAATGTTATCCAGAAACTACGTCAAGAAATTGAACATGGCCCATCATCAGTATCATCATCACAGTTTACCTCATCTCATACAGATACTGATAGTGGTTATATACCAATACCATCACAACAACAACAACAACAACAACAACGAAAACCATATTATGATCTTCCTGCTGGTCTTACTGTTGTATCCATCAAGGTTAGATTTCAAATTATTGTATATTGAATCTCTATTGTCTAACTCTTTTTTTTTTTTTTTTTTTTTTTTTTCGTCAAAGATCAATCAACCACCTTATACACCTATCAATCCCTTATCTGTACATCAAAGACCTACTCATCAACATAAACTTCCTTCCAAAGACATGCTTCGTGCAGTGGATGATTTTTACACTGGATTGAAATTAGATGACAATGGACCATTCAAAACACCTATCAGCAAGGATATGGCTTTTACATTGGGATGGGAAAACGGTTATTTGGATGATTTTTACAAAACTTTCCAATCAACATTGCCTCAGCGAATGCGAAATGTACCTTCTCAAAGTTCATCTCAACAAAACAAACGGTCAGATGATGATATGGAAAGAAATGAAAAACAAGATCATCGACATCGTAACCAAATTAACAGAGATAAAAGTCCTCGACGCGGTAGAAGTCCAAGAAGACGTGATAGAAGTATTGAAAGAAGGAGATCAAGATATTATAGGTAAAAACGGAAACAGATTAACTGTTGGAACAGTTGGCTGACCTTTTTTCTTTTTTTCTTTTTTTTTTCTTTCTTTCTTTCTTTTTTTTTTTTTTTTTTTTTGAATCAACTTGTAGTCGATCACGAAGCCGATCAAGATCCAATTCACGCTCTAGATCACCAGTAAGATCTGATTACCACCGACATCGGGATCATCATTATTCATCAAGAAGACGATCTACAAGTACTGAACGTCGATATCGAAAGGACTCTAATAAATTGTCATCATCTCAACCTTATTATTCAAAATCTTCTTTACCAACCTCCAGCATGTTGCCTTCTTCAACTTATTCAACGATGTCATCACCATCATCATTATCATTAGCTTCAACTGGACGTATGGGACTTGGTCATGATTCAGCACCTGTTGATGCCTTTGATGAATTCCGAAAACGGTCCAGCTATAATTTTAACAGAGAACTTGGATTCCGTGATAACTCGGCTGGACCAAAATGCTACAACTGTGGAAATGTAAGAATAGTAGAAAGAGATTTATCTCACAATAATAAAATAATCTCACTTTTTTTTTTTTTATCAAAAAACAATAGTATGGTCATTTTGCAAGAAATTGTGATGGAAAGTAAGAGGATTGCTATAGACCACTCTTGTTTAGTTTAGTGTAGTGTTTATTGTTGTTTTGAATAAAAAAATCAAACAGTTTGTTTTTTATATATATGCTTTTTTTTTTTTTTGGACAACATTCCGTGTGAGCTTTAGCCAGTTTGATCATTATTGACTAAGAACGTGTTTTTATTGGTTGATTTTACTTTTGTTGAAATGATAGGAATGTATTGTTGAAAAGGGAAACATTTAGTAAGGAAGAAGAAAAAACATGCTTTTTTTTTTATTTTATCAATCTATTGAATCGACATGACAATAGAAAGTATTACTATTATAGGAGCTGGATCTATTGGCGGAACAGTAGCATTTGGATTACTTGCAAATGAGGATCGGTTCCACATCAAGGAAATATTATTTGTAGATATGAGCACAGATATTACTCAGGCACAAGTGATTGATTTATCAGATGGTTCACTTGGGGAAACAATAATACGTGGAGCTACTTTTAAAGAAGCAGGAAGAAGTGACTTGATTATATTAGCTGCCAATACACCACTTATTGAAGAAGAATCCAAAAGAAAGGTAAAAAAAAAAAAAAAAAAAGAAGAAGATAATTATTTTTATTACATAAAATTAATATAAATAAATATAGTAGTGGTTATTAAGAAGCCAAAGATTTATTGATGGTATTGTGGCATCCATGTTACCTATACAACTTGAAGCATTTATCATAGTAGCAGTAGAACCAGTGGAAATGTTTGTTAATCAATTACGAAAGACAACATCACTTAAATCAGAACGTATTATGGGAGTAGGACATACTTCTATATGTAATCGTCGATTTCAAAAATGGTTTAAACAATGTGAAAAAGGAATGAATGGAAATAACTTTAATCCATGGGTTATTGGTACAGCTAAATTTCCATTAATTATTTGGCCACAAGCAGAAGGAGAGAAACAAAAAGAGATATTAGAAGAAATAAAAAGAAATTGGGTAGGTGCAATCATGTTTCATTCTACTTTAATCAAAGATAAAAAAGGAGATGCTTGGTTTGGTACAAGTGCTTCTGTTATAGAATTAGTTAAAATACTTTTAGGATCTGATCCTAATCATACTATAACAACTATAGTATGTACTTTTCATCCTTCTCTTGATATATGTACTTCTTTTCCTGTTACTATTAATAATCAAGGAATAACATCTGTATTAGAAATTAATCTTTCGGATACTGAACAAAATACTCTTATATCTACTACATCAGAATACTATACAGCTTAAATAATAATTATAATAATAATAATAATAATAAAAAAAGAACCCTTGATTTTTTGTGTGCCTTGATCATGTGTAACATTACAGAAAAGGCGGTGATTGGAAAAAGTTATATTTTTTCCTTTTTTTTTTTTTTTTTTTTTCCTCCCTTCTCTTCATCTCTCTTTCTTCTTTTTTTTTTTTTTTGGTGTAATTGAAAATAATGGCAGAGAAACGTCAAACAAAGGCTATGCAAGAAAGGCATGAACGTATTCTCAACGAACTTCTCAAGATACCCGGAAATGAATATTGTGCAGATTGCAGGTCTAGAAGTAAGTTCTCATTTCTATCATCAATTTCCCCGTTCAAACCTCTTTTTTTTTTTTTTTTTTTTTTTTTTTAAAATAGATCCTCGATGGGCTTCTTATTCTCTTGGTGTATTTCTCTGTGTTCGATGTGCTGGTATACATAGAAAGATGGGTACTCATATTTCAAGAATCAAGTCTCTTTCTATGGATCAATGGACACCTGAACAAATAGAGGTAAAAAAAACACATAATATTATTATATATCTTTTATTATATTCTACAACTACTTTCCCTCTTTTATAGGCTATTAAGAATAGTGGTGGAAATATCAAAGTGAATAATATTGTCAATCCTAATCCTACAAAATATCCTTTACCATTAGCTGATGACGAAGGACAGTAAGTATAAAAAAAAATAAGAGAATATTATATTAGATAATACACAATATTTATAGGGTTCTTATTTTTTAATAGTGCTATGGAAAAGTATATTCGAAACAAATGGGAAAAAAGAGCTTTTATGGAAAACCCAACTATGGTCAGTATCTATCATTTATTTATATATATATTATAAATTAACTTTTCTTATTTTATAGACTTCTTCTTTAGCTTTAACAAATGGTATTCAACAACAACAGAAACATCGAAATGTTCCAATTCGATCATCATCTGTACCAGTGATTTCCAAGGAAAATGATGGAATGGCTTTGATTAAACTACATGAAATGGGATTCAAGGATGATTACAAGAATCAAGCCGTTTTACGCCAAACTCAAGGGAATCTAAATGCAGCCATCGAAATTCTATCTCGTTATAATACAAATCACCAACAAAGAGATACTCAAGATAATTTAACGGATGATCAAAAATTGGTACAATTACGAAACATGGGTTATACGGATATGATTGCCAACCGTGACGCTTTACGTCGTACTGGTGGAAATGTGGATGTCGCTGTCACTTTATTGAAAGGTAATCAGGCTAGTAACACACCTGTCACCAATGCTTCTATTTTTGGTAATTCATCTTCTTCTAATTCGATGAATCAACAAAGTATGATGACGGGGGGTAATGTACAACAACAACAACAACAGCAACAATTATTAGATCTAAGTGATACACCTCCTATTCAAAATTATACGACGAACAATTCAGCAATCCAATTCCAACAGCATCAGCAGACATCTTTTTTACCACCACCACAACAACAACCTATTCAGCAACAAATGTTTCAACAACAGCCTTTGCAACAGCAGCCTTTACAACAACTGTACACTTCTCAACCACAGCAACAATTCATCATGCAACCACAACAACAAGGACAGCAACAAGTAGCAAGCCCATTCTCAATATCAAATGCTATGGATCCTTTTGGCCAAAATACTGCAGCAGGTAAAGAAGAAAGAAGAAGAAAAAAAAAAGGGGGGAAAAGTGAAATGATCTGGGTAATATATATATGTATATGTATAAAAGTTGCTCACATGTTGTTTATTTATTTATAGTTCCTGCCAAATCGACTTCACTGCAGACAACTCAAACATCTGGATTCTACCCCTCAAACATGAATGGATCTGGTAATTTGAACAACAGTAATCTCATACCCCAAGTAACTGGAATGCCTTTTCAACAATCACACGGCCTACAAACATCATCCAATCCATTCTCTAATACTAGCCAAATCATGATTCCTCATCAACAACAGATTCAACAGACAACAGATATGATAGCGTCTACTCCGTTTATGACAAGTTTCTCACATCAGCAGCCACAGCCACAATCACAACCACAACAATCTCAATCACAACAACAACTACAGCAATTACAACAACAACAACAACAACAACAATACCAACAAATGCAACCTCAAGCCTTCAATCGGTTTCCCAACTTTCAACAAAATCAACAGATTACTAGAAGTAGTTTTTTTTAGAAAGTTAATAAAGAAACTTTTTGTCCCTATTTTTCTACTCCGCCTTACTTGCCTTTTATCCTTGTGTCATTCTCACTTTTCTTTTTCTTTCTTTCTTTCTTTCTTTCTTTCTTTCTTTCTTTCTTTCTTTCTTTCTTTTTTTTTTTCTTTTTTTTTTTTCTTTCTCTCTTAAAATACGTGGATTTGATACCATCAACTTTATACCTCTCACTTAGTTATTGAAAAGTGAAGCAATGTCGAATCCTATTTCTGATACAGCAAACTACTTTAGGCGGCGAAACGCAGACTACAGCACAAATTCACCCCATCGTCATTCAGAAAGTGGTTTGTCTCAAGATAGCGGCAAAGCACAATTCAATGGTCGAGGAAATAGTTTAGATTACCATACCAACAGTCTCGAAAATGGAAATATTCGTCATTGGAATCGCGTCCTGGCAAGCATATCTCCATTGACAGCAAATGAACATATGGCTCCAGTTACTACTACTAATAGTACTCTTCGCAACAAATACAGTAGAAACAACAGAAGTAACAGTGTACAACAATATGATGAAAACGATACTACTATGATGGGAACCAACTTCGCCACAAATAACGACAATCGTGATACATTTGAATTGATTCGGGAAAATCGTTGGTTCAACTTGAATTTTGGATCTGGACAATCAAGCAGAAGACATTCCAGCGATGATTACAATGACTTTTTTATAAACAAGAATAAGTTTGATGATGATGATCTTTTGCCTTCCTGTATTGACTTCAAACACGACGTGACGACTGATGGTCAAGACCAAGACAATACCAACTATTTTATGCATCCATTCCAAACTAGCATTGATGATACCTCCTTACCTCCGCCAAAAGCCACTCCTGAAATCACGTTTGCAGTTCCTGTATCGTACTCTGCACCAATTCAATCTGATCCATCTATCTCAATAGATACATCATCTTCTCCAACGGTTGGTACAGATGGTTCATTTCCTATTAGACCTTCCAATCCCAGTCTACATATGCAACTGAAAACTTCAACTGGCCCCTTGAAAGTTACAAACCCGCCAACATCGACGACAACCGCAAGTGACAACAATATCACCAAAAGTCATTGGGAAAGAACAATGGACAAATTACGCCTGATTTCATCAATACAACAGCAAGGCGAGCCAACTACTCAATTGGATACAACCGCCACCACAATCGTTACTTCTAGTAGTGCTTTGGTTCCTTATTATCCACCAGCGTTTGATCCTATTTTTATTGCATTTTCAAGAGATGAACATGGAAACAAATTGGTATATTGATAACTAATAGTTATACACATTGAATCTAATAATATTCCTCTTTTTTTTTTTTTATTTTTTATTTATTCATTCATACTTTTAAATAGCCACCAATCTTATTACAATGTCTCAATGTAAGTCACATGATTCAAAATATTTATCATGGTTACTAACTGTATCAACTTTTTTTTGATTTACAAGGTGTCAGTGACAGATTCTGAATATCTCGATGGAATGGGTCAATGGGCCTTTCGTATAGAACTGCAATACGGGGATGTGAAATGGGTGATTTATCGAACTATTGCCGAATTCGTCATGCTTCATTATATGCTCAGATTCAAGTCTAGTGTATCAGATTATGTGCCAGCGCCTCCAACATTTCCAAATCAATTACAAAGCTTATACGACTCGGCAAAAACAACAATTGGATGGGATCGGAAGGAAGATGAAGATGATGATCAAGATCAGATACAGCAGCAACAAAATATGGATATCAATGATGAGAATGAAAAACAACGAGATGCACTTGATCGACGTATCGCCTTGACAACTTACCTCCGTGATTTATTTAAAAGAGCTCATATGCAAATCAGCTACGATGTATGCGAATTCTTGGAACTCTCTGCGATCAGTATGGTGCAAGATATGGGTTGGAAAGGAAAAGAAGGCTATCTACAACATCGAATCAATTTTGTCAATCCTCGATGTTGCCAATTTTGGACATCTCGTGCATGGAACACTGAATGGGTATTGCTACGTGACTCTTATATAGCCTTTTGTGAAAACATCAGTTCCGACACTCCTACTGATGTATTGATGCTCGACAAGGGATTTACAATGACCTCCAGTGAACCGAATCTTTTGGGCCATTATCATTTGACTCTTACCAATCAAACTCGTCGGATCAGACTTAAAGGTAGCAAACGCGAAATGGATGAATGGTGGAACAATATCAAGAAGGTTCAGAACGAAAGTCCTTGGGTGCGTAATCATCGATTTGGTTCATTTGCTCCTGTACGTCACAACGCCAAAGTCAAATGGTTTGTCGATGCTGAAAGTAATGTTGAAAACTACGAAGAACAACTTTTTTTTTTGAAACTAACCTTGATATTCCTCTTATTTATCATAGATCATTTCAATGCTGTTGCTGAAGCAATATTATCAGCCAAATCAGAAATATATATCGCAGATTGGTGGCTATCTCCAGAATTAGTAAGAGAAATAGGATCATTTCCGTCAGATTTCGAACTTGACTTTTTTTTTTTTTTTTTTTTTTTTTAGTATCTTCGTCGTCCTCCTGCTCAAAATGAAGAATTCAGATTGGATCGACTTTTACAACGCAAAGCTCGTGAAGGTGTGATGATTTATATCGTTGTATACAAAGAAATGTCTTTGGCTCTGACTATCGATAGTGCTCATACTAAACAATGGCTTCAAAGCTTGCATCCTAACATTATGGTACAACGTCATCCTGATCATGCTTCAATGGATAATAATGTTCTGTTTTGGTCTCATCATGAAGTAAGTATAAACCAAAAAGAATGGAAGGTTGTAGACATATGCAAACTCAACTCTGTTTGATTTTTTACAGAAAATAGTTGTGGTGGATAATCGTTTAGCATTTATTGGTGGATTGGATTTATGTTTTGGTCGCTATGATTCTCATGAACATTCTTTATCAGACTGGGTTCCTGATGATCCTGATCAAGAAATTTTCCCTGGTCAAGACTATTCAAATCCGAGAAAAAAGGATTTTGTCAATGGCAAGTTGTGAAATAGTTTTATTTATCGAGTTATTGTATATTTATTTATCTATTTTATTTTCATTACTTTTAGTGGCACATCATGATTTGACTTTGGTTGATCGTCAAGTAATTCCTCGTATGCCATGGCATGATGTCACTCTAGCAACGGTTGGACCCATGGCAAGAGATATTGCAAGACATTTTATTCAGCGGTGGAACTACCTCAAAGCAACCAAAAGTATGCATCGACAGAATTTACCTTTCTTGCTTCCCAAAGGTGAATATGTGGCCGCTCGTGATGAATCCAAGTTCAAGGGCACCTGCAGAGTGCAAGCACTTAGATCATCTGCACAATGGAGTTCTGGTGTGGAAAGAGAGGTAGGAAAAAAAAAAGAAAAAGAAAAAGAAAAAGGAAAAGAAAATACTGATAGATGAAACCAAAAGATATCAGCAGCTCATTTTTTTTTTTTTTTTTTTGTGACAGCATTCGATTTACAATGCTTATATGGAATGTATTAATCAAGCAAAACATTTTATTTATATCGAAAATCAGTTCTTTAGTAAGTAAAAAAAGACAAAAAAAAAAAAAAGAAAGGGTAAGATTAATCTTTGAGTTTATATAGTTAGTGCAACAGATCAAGACAAACTGCTACGAAACAAAATTGCACAAGCTTTGGTAGAGCGCATCATCCGAGCACATGAAGAAAAAGAAAAATTCAAAGTATTTATTATTATACCATTGGTACCAGCTTTTGAAGGTGATCTTGCTGATTCTGGATCATCAGCAAAGTAAGTAGATATAGACATTAAATATTTTGCTAATGTTGATTCATAAATACTCTCTCTCTCTCTATTATTCATTTAGATCGGTGATGCATTTTCAATATACTTCCATATCAAGGGGCGGTAACTCTATTATTGAACGACTTGAACGAGCTGGCATCAATCCATCTGACTATATTGATTGGTACTCATTGCGAAACTGGGGAAGAATACAACAGACAAGACGACAGCAGGATCATCAACCAACAGAAAATAATGACATTAGAAAAGATGGATCTCATTCGGAAGAGAACAATACTCCCTTTCATTCGACTTTTGTTGCCGAGGCTTCAGCTACCACCGATGATCATGATAATGATACCCCTCTCGATGATCAACAATCTTCTGAAATACATATACCACTGAAAAAGGACGATGATCAAGTTTCTAGGGATGATGATGATAATAGCGAATACGATGATGCTGATCAGTATGTTTCAGAATTACTCTATATTCATGACAAGATTATGATTGTGGATGATAGACTTGCTTTGATTGGATCAGGTAATAGACAAAATGATTATATATTTTATGTAAAAATTGTTCTAATGATTGATTTCTTTTTTTGTCTTTTTTTTTCTTCCTTAGCAAATATCAACGATAGGTATTTATCTCAATGAAATGATCAATCCTGTGGATAACTTATTTATTTTATTATTCTTATTTTTTACTTTGATGGATTCTTTATTTAGATCACAATTAGGTAACAGAGATTCTGAAATCGCGATGGTAATTGAAGATACGGAGATGGTTGGCTCCTACATGGATGGGAAAAAGGTATTTTTTTTTTTTTAAAAAAAAAAAAAGGATAAGAAGGTTCAGGCTCATCAGTGCTTTTTCTTTTATATTATTTACAAACATGAATATAGTACAAGGCAGCCAAATTCGCGCATACATTACGATTACAACTTTGGAAGGAACATTTGGGACTTTTGGACTTTGATGATTGGTCGAGCTTATTGGCAAACGACAAGGATCATAACAGTGATATTGTGAATCATTTAGATGTGACTTCTGCAACGCAGCAACAAAATATGGATCATCATCATCGTCATCATCATCATCATCGTCATAAGCACCACCATAGCCACCGTCACTACCATCACCAGACTCAAAAGGATAATGACAAGGATATTCAATTTTGTGAAGCAGAGGAACCTGTACGTATGATCGATCGTCTTAGTCGCACTCGCAGCTTATATGACACATTTAAAGCGCCAAATCAAGGCAAGGACAGCAATGATGAACAACAAAGATTGGACGCGATGGCTCTCGACCCACTCTCTGATCAATGTTATTATAACGTTTGGCGAAAGACAGCAGAATCCAATACTTTGATATACCGACGACTCTTCCATTGTGTTCCTGATGATACTATCCACACTTATGAACAGCATCGCCGTTTTACTGGAATGAACATGTCCGATAATAGTACAGAAACCCCATCTGCCACCTCTCTTTTCACTGCTTATGGTCATGTGGCTGATCCTTTGTTGTCTGGACAAGAAATCCGTGAAGAATTGGAAACAATTCAAGGTCATCTGGTGCAATTCCCCGTCAACTATCTCAAAGATGAAAATATGATTGGATCTAACAATATTATTGATTCAGTGACTCCTATGGTTATATTTACTTGATAGATAGATCATTTACTTTTTTTTTTTTGTGGCAATAAACGATTTTTTATTTATACATCTTGTCTCTCTCTCTCTTTTTTTTTTTATTTTGGTAAAGGGTTTCTAGGATATTATTATTTCAATTGACACTGCATATAATTGTAATTTTATTATATTAGATAGTGTTAAACTTTCTTGTCAATTGGCGTATTTCAGTTGGCGCCAAGATCACGTTAACAAGTTGCATACATCTAGTAGGGGTGTTTATCATACAATAAAGAATAAATAAATAAATAAAAAAAAACATATTTATGAGTAGATCACTATGATGGTGGGGTAGAGATAGTTTCGTTGGCGGAAGAAGGAAAAGAATGGGTCAAGGATCGTGTGACAGCAGGTGGTACAGATTGAACCACGTTAGATGATGATGATGATGATACAAATTGTTCATTGAACGTATTTTCTTTTCCCATCAGGTCGGTATAATGAGGAGGAGGAGGAGGAGAAGAAGAAAACATATGTGATCGGAGATGATGATTCAACATGGCCTGTGATAGTTGTGCAACATCTCGCTCAGATAATTGAGATGTGGGATCCGTGGGAGGTGGCAAATAAGGAGGTGGATGATTGTGATAAGTTTCGATGGTGGAACAAGAACTTGGATTAATAGAATGAAGTTGTTGTCTAGCTAGAGCTCGTTCCATCATCGTATCATGTTCTTGCAATCTAGCCATATTTTGCCGTTTTCGACGATGGCGTCCTATAAAATAACACGCTGTAATAATCATAAAGATCGCAACAGAGAAGCTCACTTCGAACGTGATGATTAACACTGCTGATACACCATTCTCTGTTGTGGATGATGTGGCTACACTGGTATCACTATATAATTATCATAATAAAGAAAAGAGTATGACTGTTAGGAAATCATCATGACGAAATAAAGTATGTACTTTGATAGACCAGACGACATTATCTAGCGAAAAAAAAAAAACTGTGACAAATAGGAAACTTTTGGAGATAAACAGAAGAGATAAGAAAAAGAAAGGGAGAGAAGGGATAAAACATTACAATAAGTACATATACAAAAACAAATAATAATAATAATAATAATAAAAGGATTTCAGGGCAAAACAATAAAGCAGTCGATTACCATAAAAGTCACCCTTTTTTTTTTTTTTTTTTTTTTTTTTTTTTTTTTTTTTTTGGTACAAGTCGGTTGTTTTATTATGCCGCTTAAGTTTTTTTTTTTTTTTTTTTCGACACTCCTTTCTTTTCGAAATTTTTTTAGAATCTCAGGCAACATTGTAGTATGACAAGTAGTTACTTTACTGATCTATTACTACAAGATGATGAGGCAATAGTACCAGACGAGGATGAAAACATTCAATTCAACACACAATATTCTGGTCAATACCGAGAAACAGAACCGTCATGCTCTTCTTTAAATACGATTCCAACAAAGCGAAGCTGGACTTCTTTTGTCAATAACAATAATAACAATACTGATACTTATTCAGACCAAGCAATATATACATCTGCCACTCATTCTTCTTCTTCTTCTTCTTCATTGGATCCTAACAATGTACATTCTTCTTCCATTGTGGATGATATTATTGACCCATTGTCACCGCCACTGGTACCAGTTACTGACTTTGCTACCTGTCCACCACAAATGGATTCTGCTTCTTCATTCTCCTCACCTTCTATGGACTTTGCTTATCTCGACTCACTGGACTTTCAACAGCAGTATCAACCCTCTTTCCCTAGTTCTCAAGGCAGTCATCGAACAATTTACCAATCAAGGTAAAATCTTGTAAAATCTTGATTTTATTTTTATATGCACTCACTAACATTTCTTTTTCTTCTTTTAGAGATTCTGTCATGGCATCTATAGAAAATACAATACTGGAAATCTTTGAATCTCTTTCAAAAACAAAACCTGTGGAACTTCAAGTGTTATCAAGAACACTGTAAGGATCTTTGTTTGTGTTTTATCAAAAGCACGATATGTGTAACTGAATCATCCTCTTTTACTCCATAGGAATCGAAGACAAGTCAATGCATCATCCCTTCCTAGTAGCGATCTGCCAACTGGATCTGACGGACCATTATACACAGGAGAACCTCGGATGAAATCTCTTTCTCTGAACACTACTGCTTCTGCTACTTCTCTGAGTAAGAATGAAATATATATCTATGGTGATTATTTCAATTGGATTAATCTCTATCTATGTATATCTCCTCTCTTTTTTCTGTTGATTCTCATTTAGCTCGGTATGTACGTGTACTGGAAATCGTCTACGAAGCTCTTGCCAACAATATCATGGTGACTAAACGAGATATTTTTTACCGTGATGTACCTCTATTCAAGACTCAGCCGATTGTGGATAAGGTAATTTTCAAAAAAAAAAAAAAAGATAGAGACAATGACAGACTATGGTCATATACGGTATCAAAACTCATTTTTACTTTATATGAATAATGATAGATTGTCGATGATATCTGTTGTCATTATAATGTACCAAGATCATGTCTCAATGTCGTAAGCGAAAAAAAAAATTATATATGAGGTATCAATAGGGTATATACCAACCATGATTGATTGTTGATAACTAGAGCGCTTCTGGAAAAGGTCGTATCTTTGGTCCTGCAAATATTATTCTGAAAAACCACCGTGTTTTGAACTGTATGTCATCCCCAAATGGTAATTCTGATGATTGTAATGATGAACAAGGTACTCTGATTCCTCCCATCAGCCAAATTCTGGATGTCGAATGTCGAGCTCAACTACTTGTGGTGATCGAAAAAGAGGTAAGAAACTATATGGAAAGAAAACTGAAAATCAATTCTAACCTTTGATGAGAGTAGGCTAGTTTTCGACATTTGGTTTCGGTTGGATTTGTACAAAGACTTCTTCATCGTTGTGTACTTATCACTGTAAGCTAAAAAAATGTATGTTGTCAGATAAGAAGGATAACTCGTTTTTTTTTTTTTTTTTTTTTTTTTTTTTTTTTTTTGGTAGGGATGTGGCTACCCGGTATGAATCATAGAAAATATATACATCGTTCAAATAATACTGACAAACACACGATGATTTTATGAATGATAGGATTTTGCTACGCGACATATGGTCAAACATCTCTCTACACGATATCCTCGAATGCCTGTGTTAGCAGTGATGGACAATGATCCTTATGGATTGGATATTTACTCTGTATACAAATGGGGTAGTATGGTAAAAAAAAAAAAAAAAAATAGCTTGGGAAGAAAATTGACATGAATGTTCATCATCTTTTCCTTTTTTTTTTTTTTATACTAGGCACAAGCTCATGATTCAGTCAATTTGACAATCCCCTCAATGAAATTCCTTGGACTTGAATATGCAGATCGAAAAAAGTAAGACTAAACAAAAAGTATAAGGACAAAAGACTTCACTTGTTTTTTTTAGGTATCAAATTCCAGATATCGCTTATACGCCATTAACTATGAAAGATCGAGAAAAAGGGATTCGGATGATTCAATCTGCTCAACAACTACAGTCTAATGCTACAACTGAATACAAGCAATTCATGTAAGTATGAATATATGAAAGAAAAAGGTTAAACTTTTTTTTTCCATAACATTTTTAGATTGGAAGTATGCAAGATTCTTCATAGGAATCAAAAATGTGAATTACAAGCACTCTGTTCGGATGGACCTTTGGGATTTATAGAGTATTTACAATTAAAATTGGAAGCTCAACTCGATACCATATTCGTTTATTGATTTATGCATTTTTTTTTTTTTTTATACTTTCAATCAATAAACTTTGTTACTCTATTTGTACACATTCAATTTCCGACCTAACGTGGCCGGTGAGGATTTTTTTTTTTTCACTTCTCTTTCTTTCTTTGGACTCTTATACTATATACATAACCATGGGTGACTCGTAAAGTGAAAACATTATATTTATATAGTTGAATTGTAGATATTATGATACTGATATGATCTTATTTTCTTTCTATATATGCATTCTTTTTACCAATTCAATAGACAACAGATGATCCTTGATCCTGGTGAGTATTTTTTTTTTTTTTTAAAAAAAAAGAGAACTTGAATCGCGTTTGTTTTTTTTCTTCCCTTTATCTAAACCGATGATGTACTAATCCAACATGTTATTATGTTTAGCTATTCGTGATTGGGTACTTATTCCTATCATGATTGTCATGGTATTGGTAGGTGTACTTCGACATCATATCACCATGTTATTAACTGGTACACCTAAGAAACCACTTCTCAAAGCTATTCGTGAATCGTAAGTTTTTATTTTTATAATATTATTAGATACTCATCTTTTTTTTTTCTTTTTTTTTCTATATATAGAAAGGCTTTATTACGAGGTATGCGATTACGTTCATTTGGCAATTATATACCACACCATGCTTTCAATAGTCGTAAACAATATCTCTCTCAAGCGTATGAAAAAGGCACCTATCTGAAGAATCCTGATGCCGCCAAAGACAACAATAACAACAATGCTAATCCATTAACAGCACCTAACCCTATGACAGATCCTGAAATGATGGAAGGTATGATGGATGGTATGAAGAAACAACTCGTTAATATGGTACCTCAAATGTTAATTATGGGCTGGATCAACTTTTTCTTTCAAGGTTTCATCGTTAGTAAGTAATATTAGAACGGCAACTAAGAAAAAAAAAGACTGATTTTTTTTTTTTTAGTCAAGCTTCCTTTTCCTTTGACCCCAAGATTCAAGTCTATGTTACAAAGTGGTGTGGATACAAGAGATATGGATGTAACCTGGGTCTCCTCTTTATCTTGGTATTTTTTAAATTTATTTGGTCTTGGCAGTGTGTTTGCATTGATTCTTGGTGATAGTAATGGTAATATTAAAAAAAAAAAAAAGGAATGAAAACATAATGACATTCATTATTATTATAATGATTCTTTCTTTATGTAGCTGCTGGTGTGGATATGGCGGCAATGGGTAGTATGCCTGGTATGATGCCCGGCATGGGTGCTCAACCTGGTCAACCTCAAGATTTCAAGAAATTGTTTTTGGCAGAGAAGGAAAATGTCTTGATCACTCCTCATGTTTGGGATCTAGACGATGTCGAAGAACGTCTGTTAACGAAATATGGAAAATTCAGCCCAACAAAATCATCATCTCCACCAGCATCAAAAAGCAAGAAGGAACCAACCATCAAAGATAAAATCAAGGCTGCTCAGAAAATTAGTGGAAAACGTCGTTGATAGGAATCTTTTTTTTTTTTTTATAGAATATTATTGATATGAAATAAAACCTTTATTTTTCCAAAAGGAAGAAGAACGAAACTTATGTGGACTTTTTTTTTTTTTTTTTACATCTCTGAAATGCCTGGGGATAGTTTTCTTGAATACTTAGACCATCACATATCAAGATAAAAAAAACACTTTTTTTTTTATTAACATTTTTTTTTTTTTGATTCAAATACACATACAAATATCTATACTATATTATCAACTAATCATCTAAGCTTTTGATGGGGCCAAACCAACTTGAGCATTCTTGAAATCATACACCGAATAATAGTTACGTAAAAAGGTGTCGCCCATGATGATCAAAGGGGAATTTGCTTCGGCCACACCGGAAAAACAGAGAGAGGGATTATTGGGAGTAGATCGTTCACGAATCATATCACCAAGAGGCACAGGGAAATCTTGACCACCCAACTTGAAAGTAATAGTACCACCATTTTGTAATTTGCATGGAACTTGCCATCCATATAATCGACTAAATGTCGCACCAGGGATAGCATCATGGAATGCCTTGGATAAAGCAGGAGGAAGAACAGTCAAAGTAGTGCCAGTATCAATGATAGCTTGCGAAGCACCTCCAGTTGTGGTGTTGCCATTGATTTCTATTCCACCGAATTCCACTTGCCAATATTTCTTCTGTGTTACTGGAAGATACTTGATTTCTCCTGTGAAATGATTTTGATTCACACCACCAAATTTCTAACATCATATCAAAATCAGAAAACATTCGATCATTGTTTTTTTTTTTTTTTTATATATACTTACAGCTTCACCTTTTCCACCATCACGAACACGACCCAAATAGATACCCACAATAGGTTGTTCAATTTCCCCAGCTTCATACATACTTTCAACAATAGATTGTTTTTGACCTGTGAAAGATAACGACGGGAATGCCAAACCAAAGATACCATCCAAATTCTGGTCGCGTGCAAAATCTTCCGTTTCAGTATGTGCCAAGCCAATGATTTGATTTGCATGTTTCACATCACCTACTTCCACCGTGTCCCTGGCAGTCAACTATAATAATAATAACAAAAAAAAAAGCATATAGTGTGAGAATGAATGAATCTATTCAATTTTTATAAAAAAAAAAAAAGAATCAAAAATATACACTTACACCGATTACACTCGATCCATCTGCATACCGTAACGACCAAGTTTTGTTAACATTTTCAAATGTAGAAGAAGCTGCAGAGTCAAAGAGTTGGCGATTTCCACAAGTTGGACATTCCTTGGCAGGGATCCAAATATCAGCACTTCCGGTATCCAAGTCCATATTGAAGTATTGAGGAGGAGTGCCTACACCAATCTTGCCTAAATACTAAAGTGAAAGCATGTGTCATTATTTGAGCAAAGAGAAAAAAAAAAAAAAAAAAGAATGAACCTCGTTCAAATAAACAAGCAAACACGTTCGGTGTTTAAATTACCTCAACATCCACAAAAGCACTCTCCAGTTCCACTTCAGCAGCAGCGTCGAGTTTGGTCTCATCATCCATGATACCATATTTGGCAAGGACATGATTGACTCTGGCAGGTGTGTTCCATACTTTACCTACACGTTGTTCAAGCACCATTCTAATGAATAAATAAATAAAAAAAAACAGGACGAGTCATCCGTCAGTCAATCTTTTTTTTTTTTTTTTTTTGTTATTTTGAATTTACGTATAACTTTTATCCTCTACAGTCGATGGCGCGCCTTGTACCGTCAGCATAATGGCACTTGCCACACTGACAAGAGAAATTGAAAATCGCATGATAAAGGTTTTCCTTAAGGAAAGGTGTCTAAGAAAAAAAAAAAAAAGAAAAAGAAAAAGACAATGACTTGATTTCTTTTCGTTTTTTTTTTCTTTTTAAAGGTCAAAGGTTGGTTTTTTTACACCCGAGGTGAAAACGAAGCGTGATATTCTCCTATAATCAAGCTCTATAACTTTTCTTCTCTCTCTCTTTTTTTTTTTTTTTTTTTCTTTCTTGCATATTTAATAATGAGGATGAGAAACAACCTGTGGATCAGAAACAATATCGGTATAACTCATCTTTGGGCTTTAGTTTAAGAATTGTATTGTTCTTTTTATTTTGCACGTTGATATACCGCTGATTACCTTGTATTAATAATTCCTATGATTGATGACTCGTATGATGATAATACTGTTTTATTTGACGATGGTGACTTCTACGATGATGATGACTTTCTATAATGTTTTTCTCTCTAATGATAAATAACTTCTATGATGATGATGATTTTCAATAATAATGGTTATTCCTATTAGGATCATCAGGCAACTTTTGAAAAAATTGATTTTTTTTTTTTTGAGAGTTTATCGTACATTAAGTGGCAACATAGGTGATAAAATGGGATTGGATGATATTAAACTAGTTTTTTAAAAGGAACCAATGGTAATAATTTTATTGATGATGGTATTTTATTATTGGAATTGGATGAGGGATAAGTATTTTTTTTTTTTTTTATGTAGTCTACATTTGGAGATACAGATTCATAAAAGATGTCCTCTATTCAAATCATACAGTATGAATTACCGATTCAAAAAAAAAAAAAATAGCTGTTTTATTGGTTATACAAAAGATAATAATGATCTAAACTAAGGCAAACATACACAAAGGGAAGAAAAGAATATCCAAAAATCAGGCCTTTGAAATAGCAAGACCGACACGAGCATTCATAAAGTCGTAAGACGTATAATAACTTCTTAAAAAGCTTTCACCAATGATAGCAAATCCAGCCGAAGTAGATTCAGTCACACCAGAGAAGCAAAGAAAAGGATTATTTGGCGACATACGTTCACGTACCAGATCAGCGATAGGTACAGGGAAAGATTGGCCACCAAGCTTGAATGTTACTACTGATTTGGAAGATGTATTGCAAGGAGCCAACCATCCATACAATCTGCTATACCGAGCACCAGGAAGAGCTGCATGGATTGCTTGCGATAATTCTGGAGGAAGCACTGTCAATGTAGTGCCAGTGTCTAGCATAGCTTGTTTGACCATAGATCCTATCATGCGTCCATCGATTTCAATACCACCAAAGTCCACTTGCCAATATTGTTGTTTTGTCACAGGAATATATTTGAAATCACCAGTATAATGACGCGTATTGACCCCACCAAATTTCTAATGAAAGGAAAAAAAAAAAAGAGATGATTAGATTATCTATTTCTTTTTTTTTTTTTTTATTATATACTTGCCACTTCGCCTTTGCCACCATCACGAGGACGACCAAGATAGATACCAATCACAGGCTCATCAATATCACCAGCAGCATGCATATTTAAAACAAGTGATGTACTTCTATCAATCAATGAGAGTGAAGAAAATGATAAACCAAAGATGCCATCCATCAAGAGATTCTTTGTAAACGCTGCTGATTCCGAAGTAGCTAATCCAAAGACTTGATTTGCGTGAGATACATTGCCTATTTTTATTGTATCCTTTCCCACTACCTAAACAATGAAATGAGTCAATCAGTTCCATCTTTTTTTTTTTTTTCATGTACATTACCCCGAGTACATTTGATCCGTCAAAATATCCCAACCGCCAAGTTTTGTTCACAGGTGTAAAAGTACTGGACATACGACTGTCAAACATTCGGTGAAAACCACAACTGAAACAAGGGTAACTAGGTACCCAAATATCTGCACTACCAGTGTCCATAACCAAATCAAAATATTGAGGAGGTGTTCCTATACCAATGGAAGCAACATACTATTTTGATATTATCGTCAACCAAATTAAAAAAAAAAAAAAAGAGCGAAAGAGAAAAGAAAAAAAAAAAAAGAGTGAGGGCAATTTATCAAGAATGCATGGAGCGGAGAATAAACCATACATACCTCGACATCGACCAAGATACTATCAAGTCCCACATTAGCAGCTTCTTTTATACTATATCGAATACCATCATTGATCACACCATATTTTTCAAGTACTTGATGTACTCTATAAGGTATACTACTACCTAGTACTTGACGTGGTTTCAATTCCATTCTGATTAAACAAACAAATGAAAATTAATACAAAAATGAATAAAATGTGGGGGTTTCTTACGTAAAACTACGTTCATGTGGTTCTTGATGAGAAGAAGAAGAGGATGATTCATCAGCATGCAAGGATTGAGTCAAGCCAATAATGGCAATGACAAAAGAAATAAAAGAAGTCAATCGCATGATACAGAAAAAAAAAAAAAAAAGAAACGAGAAAATATCAGTCCAACACTATCGGTTCTTATTTTTATACAGAAACGAGGCATTCCATTCCCAATAATGAATAAGATATGATCATCACATCTTGTTGAAACAAATGGAAAGAGAAATTCTAATCACACCTAAATCATCATCTATCATTTATCCAATACAATCCAATCACTAAACACGAAAATGTAAAATATCTATTATATTATTAAAAAGAAGTGTAATAAATTATGTGTAAAATAACTAATATACAAAAAAAAAAAAAAAAAAAAAAAGATTGGGTAACTAAATAAATCACTATCGATGCTTGATTTCAAAAGACCATAAATCCCGTGCACAATAAAGATCTGTATCCTTATCCTTGCCAAAGCGAGCCAAAGCCAATTGCCTAATTTCTTCCATGACCTTGATACCATCTTCACTATCATCGCCCTTATATCTTGCGCTAAAATGAGTCAAGATCAATGTCCGTGCGCCTATCCGAAGAGCAAAATCACCTGCCATTTGAGGAGTCGAATGCCCATGTTGAACTGCCCTTTCTTCCACGAGTGCCTCCGTTGTTGCCAAATTATCCCGATCTAGAGAAGTCCATGCATTGGTTGCTTCATGTACCAGTAAGTGAGGTGATTGACAATAAGGAATGATGGATGATGGATCACAAGTATCACCTAGAATCACCACTTGCCTTCCCTGTTTCTTGTCAGGTGGATTTAGCCAGGTACCATCCGGAAGTTGAATAGGTTTCCCTTCACGTTGTAATCGTCCCAAAAGTACCAGTGGTTGCTTGATCCCTTGCTGTCGGAAGAGTGCCTCGGCATTGCGTAATAGTTGAGGTACTAAAGTATCCCGATCCAACTTGCCCATAACATCTGGTTCTTGAATCACAAATCCTAACGATGGAATCGAATGTTTGATTGCCGTGGCCGTCACTGTGAAGCCTCGTCCAACGTCCAATACTGCTGCAGGTGTCAACCTAACTGTTGTGCCGAGTAATTCTTGAGGATGGAAATGAGTAGGATCGTCTATAGATTCTTCTTCTTCAGGTCCCAAGATTTCATGTACACGGTAATATCGTCCTAAATTAGAATATGTGGAAGAGAGAGTTGTCCGTAACCATCGTCGTAATCGTGCAGGTCCGTAGACATCAATAGGTGGTTGTTCCTGTTGTGTAGCATCTTGTAACTGTAGTTTTTTTTCAGGATTCAAGTTGTCTGTCATGGAGCACATAAGGGGTCCAAGACCAAAACAATGGTCGCCGTGCATATGAGTAATAAATATCTTGGTGATCCTACCCATTTTCAAACTGCTTTTTTGGAATTGATGTTGTGTTGCTTCGCCACAGTCAAATAACCAAATGTCCCCGTCCACTCGTAATGCCATAGATTGATGATTGCGTGTCATACTTGGTTGAGCACTACTAGTACCCAGAAATGTAATGTTCATGCCTACAACCATATTCAGAAAAAAAAAAAAGACAGGAAAGAGAGTCGAAATTATCGGTTGAGCATTTTTTTTTTTAAAAAAAAAAAAAATAGAAGAAATCCCCGCTTCCTAAAATAGAAACTATTTTATTTTTATTTTCATGGTAAACAATCTATATTATGAGATGAAATAAGAAGTGGATAAGGTTTTATAGAAAATACTTCCAGAAAAATCATAATAGCAATAAGGATGTAGTGAAGACTGATGATTATTATCCACCAACGATCAGTTGCGAGTTCTAATATATTACTGTAGACAAACCAAGATACCAAGGTGAGGACTAAACAAGATATCAGGAACAAGATGGGAATATAGATCAATACAAGTGAAGGTTGAATAGATTTATCTGAAAAGGCATTCTTAGATGACTGTTGCTGCTGCCGATATTTCATTTTGTATCTAGTAATGAGAGATGATAGGAGATTGATCACAATGAACACAGATTGAATAGATAAACCTATTGAAGTGGAGAGCATCCATTGATCATCATCATTGAAAATAATCTGACATACTATGGAGGAAACACCTGCACATCCGTATAAAACCAGTAGGATCAAATTCATCCATAACCATACAAAAGTATAATAATGGCTGTTTATGGTAGGAGATGATTGTTGTTGTTGTTGTTGATAATGGTGAGAGTTTTTTTTGCCAAGCGAAACATCCATGTGCAAAGCAGCCCATCGTGCATAATTGTCGAGGATGGTGGCATAGAATTGAAAAAAACGGTATTGGGTATCCACAAGTGCGCTATAGAGAATCGTAGATAAGAGTGGGAAGATTTGGAGTACTGGTATTCTATAATGTAGCCAATGGTGTATCATCATGAAAGTAACCGTCCATATAGTGGTTGATAGGCAAAAGATGGCAAGTTGACAAAAAACGCGTGAATTTCTTTGATAACGTATCACTAGTACTATGAATAGAACAGAATAAATCACTACAGGAAGAATCCAGTCTATTTCTTCAGGTCCCATATAGAAAATCAAGTTAGAAAAAAAAAAAAAGAATACAGTTCAGTAAAAAGAAGATAAAAATAATAAAAAAAAATGTCAATCATATATATATATATATATCTGACTGCAGCAAAGATACTAAGCCCAAAAAAAAAGAAAAACAAATATGTTTCAAATAAAAAAAAAAAAGAGTAATTATAGAATAGATTTATTTATTGCATTAATATATTTGTAAACTTCCACCTTTGTCCTTGAAAACTATTCTACAATCGTTCGATCACAATAGCAGAAGCACCTCCACCACCTATTAGTAAAAAAAAAAAAAAAAAAAAAAAAAGAAAGTTAGTTCTACGATCATCTTCTTGTTTTATTATTATTTTTATTACCATTGCAGACACCAGCACAACCATATTTGCTCTTGGTTTGATTCAAGACAGAATTCAAAGTAGTGATGATTCTTGCACCAGAACAACCAAGAGGATGACCCATAGCAACAGCACCACCCCAGATGTTACTATATAATAAAACATATAGCAAAAAAAAAAAAGTTGATCACTACTATTCTTTTTTTTTTTTGTTTCTCTTTCTATCCTTATTTTTTTTTTCATGACTTACATCTTTTCTTCATCAATGTTCAATAATTTCTTATTGGCACAAGCAACCACGGAGAAAGCTTCGTTGATTTCAAAGTAATCAATATCTTGAATAGTCAAACCAGCATGCTTGATAGCCTTGGGAATAGCGAGAGCAGGGGAGGTAGTGAACAAGTTGGGAGCTTGAGCGGCATCACCCCATCCAGAGATCTTGGCCAACAATGGAAGGTTGTACTTTTCAGCGGCATCCTTGCTAACAAGAACCAAAGCAGATGCACCATCTGATAAAGGAGAAGAATTAGGAGCAGTGACAGTACCGTTCTTGGGGAGGAAAGCAGGGCGAACAGCACGTAATTTTTCTTCATTCAATTTGGCGACTTCATCATCTTGTTGGACCACACGATCAGGTTTACCACGACCACCAGATACAGTGACAGGGATGATTTCTTCCTTATAATGACCAGCAGCAAAGGCAGCTTGAGCTTTCTTGTATGAGTTGATGGCATAGTTATCTTGTTCATCACGGGAGATGGAGTGAGTTTCAGCACATTCTTCAGCAGCAATACCCATCAAGTAGTTGTTATACACATCAGTTAAACCATCCTTCACAATACCATCCACTACTTCAGCGTTGCCATAGGTTGATCCAAATCGTTGCTTGGGCAAATAATAAGGCGTATTGCTCATGGATTCCATACCTCCAGCAACAATCACTTCAGCATTACCTAGCATGATACTTTGAGCACCCATAATCACAGCCTTCATACCAGAAGCACACACCTTATTGACTGTTGTAGCAATGGTTTCGTTTGTCAAACCAGCACCAAGAGCAGCTTGACGAGCAGGGTTTTGTCCAAGGTTGGCAGATAATACACATCCAAACACAACTTCTTCTACAGCTTCTACAGGCAAGTTAATTTTCTTGACAGCACCTATTGAATAGTTAAACCAAAAGCGAGTGAGAAATAAAAAAAAAAAAGAACTTTCAAGTTTGTCTTATCCAGTCATCCTATTTGATTCATTTCACGGTACTCGACACCGACTCTTTTTTTTTTTTTTTTCCTTCTGTTACTGTTTCTAATTTGTATACCTTCAATAGCAATGGAACCAAGTTTGGTAGCAGGTAAAGATGCCAAAGATCCATTGAAACCACCAAGAGGGGTACGCACAGCAGCGGCAATGTACACGTCTATCAGAAAAGAAAGAAGAGAGAAAAAAAAATAGAAAAATGTATGAGTTTGTTTGATTAATATTCAAATAAGATATCTCTCTTTGTTATCAGATATATCAAAAAAAAAAAAAAGATACTTACCACGTTGTTGAGTCATGGTATGTATATATTATATAAGGGAAAAGATGAAGAAACACAAAGAAAAAAGAAAGAGAATGTAGACAGCTGTCGTATTTTTTTTTCTTCTTGTATTTATACAGCGTCAGCCAATGAGATACGCCGACTTGATGACTGATTGGACAATGGATCCAACAGTAAGTGAATCAAAAATCAGGTTTTTTCACTACCCGATCAAACGGATGTACCATGAACCAACCGTAATGAGCATAAATTATAAATTTTGTTTTTAAGAATAAATCATCATCATAAAAAAAAAAGACTTATTAAGATTAATACAATTCATAATAGAAAACTAAATAAAATATAAGTAATAAGAGAAAGGGAAGTGAAAGCGGAAGCCAATAGTACGCGTTCACTCGTCATCCATCCCGTGTGGTTATCCATATACTGATATCACGAATCATTTCAATTATAAACAGCCTAATCGTTCTATAATCATCAAAACTACTTATAAAGTATCTCTCTCATGTGCATATAATAAATTCTATTTTGATTGACGAGTAATATATTTGAAAAAGAGAGACCATTTTGTTACTGCTTGTTTTTTTTTATTGTTTGATGAAGAAAGCATGAGAGAGGTGGAAATACTAAGACATGGAAAAGAATTATGATGAATATATAAAGTATTATATAACAGGTAAATAAAATGCAAATAAAGAGAAAGTAAAACAAATAAATAAATGACAAGGTCAAGCAGGGGTAACGACAGCTGTAGTGGATGATGTTGTGGGTTGATTGGTATTCAATACTGGGCCTACTTGAGCTTGATCCATATTATATTGTTCTTGTACATATTTTCTTCGCGCAAGATAACTATAACGTGATTATATAAATTAATAAGTAAACGGCAAATAATGAGCTTTTTTTTTTTCTCTCTTTTTTTTTGTATTTTTTTTATACCTTTTTGTTCTTGGACGACAAAGCGCATAGATAAAGTTCACAAGAGGGTTTCCAAAATCAAACAGATGAGGTTCCAATGGTCTCATGGCCATAGATGATCGTAACTATGTAAGAAAAAAAAAAAAAGGGAATCAATCGGCTATCTATCTTTTTTTTTTTTTTTTTTTTTTTGCATTTACCTGCTCATGAGTAGTGACACCACGCATTGTCAAAAAACAATGATACCCAGTAAGACTACCAACGGGAATCACCAAAAGAAAACAAAAAATCACCAACAAGAAGCTGACAGGAGCATTAGTCAGGATCATTTTGAAGGAACGATCATTTGATACCAAAAACATACTAATCAACTGCACTAGACCAAATCCAATGACATAGAGACATAATACGGTTGAAGTAACAATAAACGTAAAAAATGATCGATAGTTTCGTTTTCCAACGCAATTGTTTAGCCATATACAATGATGATCCTCATTTTCTAACACATAAAAATAAAATTTAGATCGTTTTATACTTGTAACATATTTTTGTATATGACTGACCTACACAATTGTTACATTGACGACAATGACTTGCTCTAGGAGGTCGATAGATACCGCATGTGTCACAATATTTCAAATGGACTTGTTCCCCTTTGATCGTCACTTGTTTCAAAGGAGGTGGTGCTTCCCCATGAAGTTCATAAGCATGGCCAAAGTTATCTTGAGAAATTGAAAGTGTTCCATGTAGGTGACGAGGTAGAATCTAAATTTGGTTAAAAAAACGGGAATTAGATGTTTGATCTTATTGATCTTATTGTTCTTACCCCAGGATCTGTCCAGGATGTTTTCACCATAGAAGCCAACGATAATAAAAACATATAACCAAAAAGGATAGGCACAATAGGATGAATTTGATACCATAGCCAAGGACATCTAATCAATATAAAAGGAAATCAGAATATATCATTTATTATGCGCCCCTTGTTCTCTCTCTCTTTTTTTTTTTTTTTCATCTCCTTAATTCTTATCCCCCCTTTTTTTTTCTATTCCGCGTTTGATCATCCCTTGTACCCTGGATAGAATGGGATTTGACTTACATAAAAATAGCAAATAAGATAGATGGAGCTATCAAAAGGAAGACAGCCAAAGCAAATGCCCAAAACACACGACTTGTCAAAAATCGTCCATGAAAGAAGAAAACATTGTTCCCTGGAAATCGTTCATAGTTGCGTATAGATAGTGTTCGTATACCTAATCGTTGTCTACTTGGTCTTCTTCCAGTTGGTGTGGTGGATGGAAGAGGACGAGAGGTTGAAGAATATGAGGCTGAGGATGAAGATGTTGTTGCTGAGTATGTTTGTTGTTGTTGTTGTTCTTGTGGTATAGTTTGGTTAGCATAATGCTGAGTTGAAAATACAGGATACAATGATGATGATGATGTTGGTGTTGTTGTAGGATTGGTAGCTGGAGAGCTATTTACAAATATTCTTTCAAGTGAAGGATGAAGAACTTTTGGTTTCGATGAACTTGAATGAGGAGCTATATCAACGTTATTGTTACTGCTACTATCTATAATGTTGTTTTTGTGCAAGGTGTCAAGTGCTGACGTAGTGATCACGTTATTTAGGTCATTGGTATTATTGTTATCGTTGTTGTTGTTATTATTGTCATTGTTATTATTATCATTATCATTATCATTATCATTATTGTTGTTGCTGTTGTTGCTGTTGTTGTTGTTGTTGTTGCTGTTGTTGTCGTTACTGTTATTGGTATCGTCGGTAACTGTGGGTAATCTATCCAAGTCCATATTTTCAAAACTGCCTTGTAATTCATCAGATCTACTTTGTTGTCTATAACGTGGTGTCAAATTGTTACTCCCTCGCCCTCGTCTAAAACTATTGCTGCATTGATGTGAACAACGTGGTGAAATCATCTGAATGTTCGAAACAGACCGATGCTGAATGTTATCTGGAGATTGTTTGAGCGATGAAGAGGGTGGATCATGTTTGGACATGTATGTATATAAAAAGAGAAAGAATAAAGAAGTATAAATGGTCCTGCGTTTATATACGTATGTATTTGTAAGTGAGGATGTTGGTGTGAAAAGAAAAAGAAAGGAAAGGAAAAAAAAAAAAAAAAACTATATAAAGTACCCAAATTCGGAACAAAAAGAGCTGAAATTGAAAACAAGAACTTTATTCTTTTTTTTTTTTTCTGGAAAGGGGGAAAGGGGATAACAAATGGGTAGCATCAATATAAGAAAAAAAGGTATGTACAGCCTAAAGTATAGAATATATGTATATAAAAAGAATAAGAAAAGCAAAAGGTTATGTACAAAATGAAAGTAACTAAGTGTCAGAGTAAAAAAAAAAAAAAAGGGCTATATAACAAGAAGGATGGGTTTTGATAAGATTCAATTTTCAAAGTTGACTTGTCGTTGTTGTTGGCATAATATTAGTTGCAGAGAAATTTGAATTGATCTTGGCACTACGTTCAGGACTAAGGCGTTGATTGACATCCGCATTCATTCGAGCAATACGTTCTTCCACATGGTAAAGAATCAGTTCATCAAAGAAGAATTGAAGTGTATTGAATGAATCTAAAGTCAAACATGTCAAATACTTGTTAGCCTATCTTTTTCTTTTTTCTTTTTTCCATTTACCTATACTACCGATATTCTTCATATAAAAATGTTGCATGATTAAACCAGTATATGTTTTCCATTTCAATACAAATTGTTTTGCCATGGCCAAATATTTTTCAATATCCTGAATATCACGAATCTATAATAATAATAATAAAAAATGGTATTAATATCAAATCAATCTAAGGGTTTTTATTTTTACCTTTGGAGTAGCAGGAACAAATTTATCAAGCAATTGTTCTTCCCATTTCATCCATTGATCCAAAGTAGTACCAACTGTCAATAGACGAACCAGATCTTTTTCCACTATCATCAACAAGACAAAAAGGAAACAACCGTAAGCCTTTTTTTTTCCTTTACATGTATTCTCTAATAAAAACTTACATATTTGTCTCATATCATTATTTCTGCAATCACAAACCCAAAGAACGTGATCCAAGACAATACCAACATCTAGTTGTTCCCAATCAGTTTTCATGGCTCCAAGTAGATCAGGTCGCCCTAAAATCTTTCCGGTCGCAATAGCGAATTGGTTCAAGGTCAGTTGTCGGCGTATTTTCGCAACAAAGATATTGGCAACATCACATTTCTTTTGTCGAAGTGCTTGAGGATAATCCTTGAGTAATTGTTGCAGAAATTGAGGTAATGATCGGGTATATTGACGAAGTCCAGACATCATATGATTACTTGTTGGTGTGTCCACTTCAGGTAAAAGGTCAACAATAAGCGACTAAGAAAGAAAAGAAAATGTTGTCATTAAAAAGAATGATACCTTCAATTTTAATAAAGAATGACTTACGTCGTACAACACACAGTCCCAACGCCAGATGGAATCATAAATATCAGGCATCTCGTTCAAAAGGGTCCTAAAATGAGGATGCATCTGATGATAAAAATTTTCATAGATACCTTGAAGCTAAATGTCATTATATAAAAAAAAATAGTATTAGAGTTCATTTCGTTTCCTTTTTTTACAATCGTTTTTATTTTTATAAATTACCATTTCAAATTGACCAGTACATATGTTATTGTAAATATTTCGACAATGACGATTATAAAGATCGGCAAATTGCGTTGATAGTTGAGTTGTATTCCATGAATCCAATTGTCGATATGAAGAAGATGATGATCCAGGGACATCAATGGTAGGAAGTGCCAAAACAGAACCAGAATGACCACCACCGCCGGCAGAAGTTGAAGCCGTCATGGTAGACATAGAAGACGAAGACGATCTTGTTGGAGAAGAAGGACCTTGATCATGATGATAAGTGGCAGGTGAATCAGGAAAATCCGATACAAGACCATTGTTGTATGAACGGGTATGTTTACTTGAGATTGAAGGAGAATAGCCAAATGGAGGAGGAAGTCGAAAAATTGGTAAATCCCGTGATCCTGTCAAAGTATTTGAGATATTATTGTCACCGGGGCCATTCGTCGGAAGTCGAACTGTCAAAGATGGTATTGTTGTATGAGGTGGATTTGTTGATGTATTCGTCATAAGATCATCAGAGTTACCCATCATGAAATAGCTTGTTGTGTTGGTATCATTTCCATCTCGTTGTTGTTGCTGTTGTTGTCGGTATGGAAGACATTGAAGAGGATAGTATTGAGGATGTTGTTGATAAAGTTGAGTAGGATCAGATGGAGATGGAAGAGACGGAGATAAAATGGTTGATTGTTGATGATCATCGTTGGTACCAGTCATAGTTGTAATAGCAGCAGCAGCAGCAGCAGTAGTAGTAGGAGGAGGTGGAGGTGGTGGAGGAGGTATATCTTCAGCAGTTTCACGACGTTGGATATTACAATATTGATATTTTGATTGGCCACGATTTCCTAAACGACGAGTAGCAATGTTGGGAAAAGCCGCACGAATGAGTTTTCCAAAAGTAGCAGCATTAACTGGTTTCACATGTCTTGTGGTGCAATAATGTTTATAATGTTCAAATATACCAGAGCGAGGCACATTGGAATTAGGCTTGATTTCATAGTTTTCCCGGACCCTAAAAATAAATAAATAAACAGGTTTCAGTTATGCAAAAAAAAAAAAAGAAATATTGAAAACAAAAGTTGGCTTATCAACCACCATCAGTGATTTAATATAAAGTGACTTACCATAAAACGACACGTTCACTTGTCACTTGATCCACACTACTGATTTGTTTTTGTGTATGATCATTGTTGGATGAGGTTACCGTGCTAGAAGACATGGAGGGGGCTGACGTGGAGACAATATCAGGAACATCGCCTTCTGGTTGACGAAGGTCTTGACGTTTAGCGTTTCGAGTAGATCTTGTAGTAGGAGGACGAGTAACATCTTCATTCATAGAAGTTTGATGAAGTAAAGTTGAATGAGAAGAATCAGATATGGAAGAAGAAGGAGACGAAAATTTTATTTTAGTAGTACCTTCAGCTTGAGTAGAGGCAGTTGAATTTCGTGTGGTTCGGCGTCTTCTCGTAGCACCTGCCATGGTTGTCAATTGTTGCTACTATTGTTCAAAAGTTGAATATAAAAGAATGGTATAATGAAGAAGATAATACTTTGTAAAAAATGAAATGAAATAAAAAGAGAATGAGTGGTTGGTAAGTGGGAAGACAATTAAAAGAAAGAAAGAAAGAAAGAGAGAAAAAAAAAAATGAAAGAGGAAAGAGAAACAAAAAAAAAAGTTGGAATGCCGACTTTTTATCTTTGTTTTTGAAACCAGATGAGTACCAGTTCCTTTTTTTTTTTTTTTTTCTATCAAAGATTATGATCTCTTCAATAAACTGTCAAGTGATCCAACTGAATCAAATCAATATTCTATAATGATTAGTAGTAGAAATCACTAGAATAATCCAACACGATCTTGTCTAGATAGAAACCGCATAAATATCTCTTAATGTTGTCATGAGACGTGACCTGAACATATATAATAAATTTATTTTTCATATATTTTTAAGTTTATCGAATCTATCTATTCATCTACAAATACTTGTGCTTCAACCGTTGGATATAATTCAAAAAATGCTTTTAAAAGATCAATTCCATTCTTCACATCATCCACACCAGCTGTTTCTCGAATAGAATGCATACTAAGTTGAGGATTTCCAACATCTACAAAAGAAAACTATCAGCAAAAAAAAAAAAAAAAAAAAAAAAATAATGTTCTCGGAATTTCCTTTTCATTATTACCAATAGTTCGAAGACCAAGCTTAGCTGATAGCATTGGACCAATCGTAGAACCACAAGGGCTATCATTCCGAACAACAAAGAACTAGAAAAAAAAAAAAAGTCGTCAGATCATATTATAATCAAATCAAATAAATTTTTTAGTTACCTGTACTGGGACATTTCTTCGACGAGCAACTTCACGTAGAATTAGACTTGTTTCCGAGGTAGTGGCATATTTCTATGTTACCAAGAAAAGAAAAATGTCAATGAAATGTTTTTTTCCTTTTCTCTATATATTTATTTTTATTTTATCAATCATTTCGATTACTTGCCTGGTTTGCATTGATCTTGATCACAGTTCCTTGATGCATCATTGGTCGATGATTTTCTTCATATTTTTCACTATTGTATAAAAATATAATAAATATCATATACCATAAATAAATAAATAAAACATTATTTTGTCAGAATATGATGATACCAGTTCTTTTTTTCTTTATTGTTAGTCAGTCTTCAAAGTGTTACCTGTAGTTTGGATGTAAAGCATGGGCCATGTCAGCACTAACTAGCATACTTTTCCGTAAAGCTTGTTCAAATAAACCCTTTTGACCCTCCTTGTATGATTGTTGTGATCGAGATGGCAAGAATGGCCAACAATGTTTTGGTGCAAATGAAGAATCCAGATCGTTTGTTGTTATTGATGAATAATGTTGAGAAGATAAGTGTGAGTCAGTTTTGGTAATCTTCTTTTGAAACCATGATGATGATCTTTTGGGTACCTTGTCACCTATTTTAGCTTCTACTAATCTTTCCAGAGTAGAAGGAAGCAAGTTGGAGTTGGCACCTTGAGCTGAGACACTACCAATTTCTTCATTATCAAAAAGGGAGATCAATCGAATGTTGGGTTCATTATCCACATTATCACTGTTGATAAGAGACTATAAATGAAAGAATGAATATATATTTATATCTATTTATAAAAAAAAAATCAGTCTTACCATTAAAGAGCAATAGGTCATTCCAAGATTATCCAAACGTGAAGAGAAAATGAATTCGTCATGGATACCACCAATAACAGCAGATTGGATATCATAGAGACATAGTTCAAAATCATGAATTTGATGTTCTATTTTTAAAAACAAAAAGGAAAACGATACGATCATTAACAAGAAGAGAAGTAACTCTGTGAATAAATAAACATACCTTCCACCTGTAATTCCTTTGCTAGCATTTGAATCAATGCTGGATGATGATGTTGTTCTTGCTCAGATATTTCACCTTTCTTTTCTACTACATTGAGTGCTCTATCATGTTATTAATATATATATACAAAAGAAATATTAGAATTCTTGCATCTTAGATTATCCCTCTCCTCACTACTTTACGCTTTTGCACTGGTTGCCAAAATTGGTAAGAGATGAGTTTCTTCATTGAACTCAAACTTGTTGCTTGCAGATCTATCTAAATGAATAGCCAAAGTAGGAACATTGAGAATAGGTCTATATATAATGATAGAAATATATAGAAATGAGTTCGATTGTTTTCTAATATCTATTGTCATTTCATTTTATCGTACTTGTGGATTCTAACCAGTGTATGTCTGAATGTGCCATCATTTTGTTGTACCATCACGCGACCAGCCAATCCCAAATTGCGATCAAACCAAGTATGCCTACGAAAACAAAAACAAAAAAAGGAAAAGGAATTCATTTTCATATTATTCATATATAAAGATTACATGAGGACTTACCAGATACCACCACCATAAAGTTGTACACCAACTTCCAAATAACCAGTTTGTTCTTTTTTAGATATAGGTTTGACCTAAAATAAAAGAATTAAAAAAAAAGAAAAATGAGTATATATATATATATATATATATATATATATAGATATAAATATATATGTTTGTAGTTTCAAGAACAATGTTTTTTTTTTTTATTTATTTACCTTCAAACAAGGAGAATCCGTATGTGCTCCCACGATACTGAATCCATTACCAGTTTTGTACTTTCCGCCCACCACAAACGCAACGACTGAGGATCCATTCCTAGTAAAATAATATTTCCCTTTACGTTGCAATTTCCAATCTGACTTTTCATGAAGTTTTTGGAAACCTGCTTGTTCTAATCGTTGTATGGACTCATGAACCGCATGGAATGGTGAAGGTGAAGCATTTAAAAATTCAACAAAGGACAGGGCTTCTTTGGGTGGTGAAGAAGAAGAAGAAAGGGTCTCAGAGAGCGTTGTAAAGGAAGAAATGGACATTTTTTTAACAGAAGAAGACCGGGAATATTTCAAATATTGGAAACTGCGTAACATAAAAAGATAAAAGTCAAAAAAAGGGGGAAAGGAAAAAAAGTGAAAAGGAAAAAAAAATATAAATATATATATAATTTTGAATTCCGCAAGTAAATCTGGTTTTTTATTGGTTCATTCGTGTCAAACAAAGTTAACTACAAGATGATTTATCTATGGATGATTGTTGTTGATGACGATGTTTCATAGTATAATCCAAAACCATAGTATCGGCTAGTGTTCGTTCTTCCATGGTGACCAAGATGTTGTCCAACATATCTAGCTTACTACTACATTCAGAGATAAACAAAGCACGGTACATTTTTCGTCGACGTTGCCAGTGTTCAGGAAGATTTTCATAATGTGTTGCATCACGAGATAACCAACTAGTGTCATATTCAGGTCCAAGATACCGACAGAGACGATCCGTTTTCCCATTCTTGGATTGATAGCTTGAAGTATACAATAAATCAGGATATAATTTAAAATTGATAGGATTGACTCTATTATACAGAGAAAAAAAAAAGTGAGTTGAGTAAAGAATAATTGTATTGTTTACCTAATATCCAAATAGTTTAATCGAGGTAATGTTCGTATAGTATCCAGGATATCACCTAACTTTTGTAATCGATTGTCGATCAAGACCAGTCTTTGTAAACGCCGATGATGTATCAATGGGTTCAACTGTTTTAAGTAATTGTGACTCAAATAAAGTACGCGTAGTAAAGGAACTTGAGATCCAAAGTCAGATGGTAATTCTTCCAATTGTGCCGAACTTATTTCCAAGTATTCCAAAGTATTGAAATGAATCATATGATTCAACTGTTTGACAGGCATGCCTAAAAGAAAATAAATTTTTATTGATGAATTGATTTTTATATATCTAAACATAATATATTCATATATTACCTGATAAATAAAGTTTTCGAGTACTCTGTAGTTCTTTCACATTGACTTGACTAAAAAAAAAAAAAAAAAAAAAAAAGACGTGAGAACATGGCTTAAACAAAAAAAAAAAAAAAAAAAAAAAAAGATAATATATATCTTACAGCTGTGAACCACCTTGATCTCGTAATGATATAGAATCCAAATGTTGCATGATACGTAAATCAACGATACGAACAAGTCGATTGCTGTCTAAATATAAAGTCCGTAGATTGGGAAAGAACCGTCCATCAAAAGCCTGGAGTCTATTGTAATTCAATTTTAACACGCGTAAAGTGTCCACTGGTTTATCCAAAGCCACTGAGTCAATTTGATTATTATCTATGAGAATATCAAATGTCAATTCAAAAGAAGAAGAAGAGGAATAATAAAGTTAGTTTAGTAAAATAGATAATTCTATCAGAAACTATCCTGTACCTAAATTGAGTTCATATAATTTCGGTACGCCATTCAGTGACTCCAAACAACGCACTCTATTGTAAGATAAATCCAAACTTTCCAACTGATATCTAGGACCAAATAGTAAAGTAAATATAAAAAAAAGTCTTTTTTTTTTTTTTTTTTTTTTATCTTGGTGACTTACAAAGAGGCTTTGTCAAACTTCAGATGTTCAATGGCATTCCCCCGGAGTTTTAAGACGACCAATCCATGCATTTGTTGAAGAGCAAGGCAGCACTTCAACTTATTGTTTTCCACTAATAGAGTTCTTAAGTAATAGAAAGGGCCAATGCCTAAATGATGTTCCAAAAGATAAGTGATACACGTTTTTTTATATATTTTTTTCTATGATTACCATCAAATGAATCGAGAGCATTATCACATATATCAAGGTATTCCAATTTATGCAAATAACGAAATCCTTCAATATCAGTTAGTCTATTAAAAAAAAATTTAGTTTAAATATCCAAATATATCCAATTGATCTTTACAATTCCTACTTGTTTGATTTTGCCTTCATAATTTTGAGAGAGGATGGTATATCAGATAATTGACGAATCTGATTGTGAGATCTATTTTTTTTCAAATAAGCAGAATAAAAACAAATGTTAATCTTCTTTTTCATTCTCTATTGTTTTTTTCGCTTACATAATCAATACTTCCAATAGTGGAGTCAAGGTATCCAAATGTTGAATAGATGTTAAATGCTGATGACTGAGATCTAGAGAGCGTAAGGTATGCCATGGTGATGGTGATGATGATGATGATGATGATGATGATAATGGGGCAGGAATTTGTTGATGAATACGTAACATAATCGAGTCCAAAGCTTGTCTTTGATCACCAACTAAACCAGAAAATTGAAATACCATTGGATTGTTATTAATCGAAGGCGATGAAGAAAGACTAAGTTGAGAAGCTTTATGATGAATGAAATCTAAACATTCTCCGTCATTGTCATTGTTGATTGTATGAGAAGGTGGAAAGGATGGTGTAAATACAGATGAAGAATTTGCTGGAAGTGGTGGTCCGGTAGTGTTGGTGTGATTTGAAGATGATGAAGAAGATAATTTTTGTTGGTGCATCCTCTTCCACTTTTCGCGTAAAGCTTGATTGTGTTTTTCAAAGTCGTTTTTCAAAGTGTCGATATCATTTTCAGTTTGATTTGTAGGTTGACCAAATAACCAAGGAATAGCAGCACCAGACGTTGTTGTGGTACGAGGAGGCGTCCAAGATGCAAATGCATCGGCATGTGATGTGGTAGTATTATGTACATTGAGACTTGTATCATGAGAATGCATAGTATGTTGTGAAGAAGAGGAGACTAGTTGAGGTGAATATATAGTTGTTGAATAATTTTGTTGAGAGGAAGAAGTGGGAGCAATTGTTGGTAATGGTGGTGATAAAATTGGAGTCATCTTGTCATTTTCGCGTATAGAAGAGGGTGATATAGATAAATGTGGTTGATCAGTTGAAAAGTCATTTTCATTACTGGTATTGTTTTCAGTCGAGGTGTTCTTATCGATAATATCAGAAACGTCTGGAGAAGAATAGTCTGCATTCAGACCTTTAAATCTATCGAAATTGAGTCTACGTTGGGGTTCCATGGTTGATGAAATAGTGGTATCCTGAATATTTTCTTTTTTTTCGTCAAGGTTAGCATATTCCGTATCCAAAAGATGCCAACTATCTACGGACATGTAATAATAAAACGAGAGAATAAAAGAAGAAGAGGGAAAAGAGAGAAATCAAGGAACAAGAAAACAAAAATCATATAAAAGAAAAAAGGAAGTCGGAGGTAGAAAATGACATATTTTTTTTATTCGTTTATTGCAACATACAAGAAAAAAAAAAAAGATGAGAGATAATATCTAAATGGATGTAAAATGTAAAGAAAGGAAGATGAATTCATTGAGGTGTATTTTCATTGTTATCTTGATGTCCTGGTGTTACTAGTTCCATATCTGTATCATTTTCAGTCACAACATTGATATTTCTTTGTAAAGGCACATCAGAAGGTGTGTCGCAAGGTGTGTCTACTCCAGGTGTATTTGTAGAAGATACAACATCAGGTGTTTGGATTCGTCCAGCATCTAGATCGTCAGTTATTTCTGAATTCATTCTTTGTTCTGTTGGTAGAGGTTGTTGCTGTACTACTGGTGATGGTTCACTTTCTACAGTTGTAGGCGCTATGGCTGGTGCTGTGGCAATTGGTACAGAGGAAGAAGTGTTAGTAATATCTTCAGTAGTTGTTGTTGGTTCTTCGATTCCAGTTGTAGTGGCATTGATTTCAGTAGCAACATTGATATCATTGTTTCCATTGTTGATTATATTCTCTGTTGTAGTTGCGATAGTGATATTGCTGTTATTATTTGCGTATAATTCATCCTGTGGTGTATTCGTCGTTGCCGTTGATGTTTGTTCAGAAGTATTGTACAAGTTGTCATCACCATTCAGTCGTGGATGTATATGAGGTGCAAAAGCAGGGTGTCGAGAAGCATCATTTAAATCATCGGCATTACTTTCTTTGTCATCATCATCTCCCATGGTCTGATCCACATCCGATACGTCTGAAAGTTTTGGTGTAGGAGTACGTTCTTCTTCGTCAGCCAGAGAACTTACAATTTTGTTGTCAATTGGAGTTGAGAATAATCCCCTGTTTTGATCTGTGACATCAGTTATAGTCGTTTTTGCTTCTGAACTTGTTCCATTTATAGTTGATGGTAATGTTGTTGTTGGGGTTGTTTGAATGGTAGTGCTATTGATATCTCTTGATGTTGCAGTATCCTACATTAAAGAATATATAATATATATCAATCAAAAAAAAAAAAAAAACTTTTTGTGATTTATCTTACTTTATCAGCATCTGTCATTACTTGATCCTTTTCGTCTTCGTCTTCGTCTTCTTCATCGTCGTCATCATCTTCAAAAACAATGGACTTATCAGCTAAAGGACACATAAAAAAAAAAAAAAACAAAAGAGTAATAAAGTGAGTTTTTGAGTTCTAATCAACTAGTTATATATGCGAATACTATACATTTGATCCATTTATATGTTTGATAATTCTTGGATCTTGTACTTGGTGCCCATTTCTTTTCCCTGGAATAAAATATTAGCGTTTTATGAAAAATAAAAACAGTAAGTAAAATAAATAATTGTTGTTTTCTATTATTATTGTATTTACCATGACTGTACAGGCTGAGAAAGTATTCGTGATAATCTATCGTTATCTGAAGAATTGTATTTTCTTTCACGATATCTACTATTGGAGGACATGATAGACTTTTTCTTTTTTGAGAATAAGGAAAGCAGAAGAAAAAAAAAAAAAAAAAAAAAAAAAAAAAAAAAAAAAAAAAAAAAAAAAAAAAAAACGAAGCTCCAAAATACGCGAATGGACTTTTAAACTTCCGCACCAATACTAATGGATGATGATTTTGTTTTCACAGTGATTTCACAGTGTTTTCACAGTGTTTTCAAAGTTTTTTTTTTTTTTTTTTTTTTTTTATATCGGGTCACAAGAAAATAGTTTCGTGATATAATAAAACTATCCATCTTCCCCAAAATGGATGTGGCATTACCATTTTTTCAGATATCGTTCTAGGGTATGTCAAAACACATTGATTGATGATTGGTGATGATACAGCATATTAATCATTCTCTTCTTTTTTTTTTTTTTTTTTTGAAATCTCCTTTGGTGTTTCCAGTTCAAAGTGAGTAATCAACCTGGAATAGCAACATATAGAAATTATGTTATCACCTCTTTTGAGGATGTATTTAATACGAGTAAGTTAAAATAAATATAGACAAAAAAATGGATATGTTGACTAAAGATATATATATTTTTTCTATTACTCAAAATACTCAATAGAACTACTGTTCACTCTTTTTCTTTTTTTTTCTTCTTGAATTCAATTTCGATTATGCGTTTCAACTTTTTTCTTCTGTCAATCATTTTCTATCCTTACGATATTTTATTTCCTATTTTTGCGACATCTTATTTTTGAATTCTGTCATTTATTATTGAATAAAGTATAGTAATATATATAAATCATTTATATATGTCCTCTTTAGTTATATTGTGTGTTGTGGCTGATGATGATGTACAAACATCTCCACGTTCATATGATGATATAAATTGTTTATGATTTTAATCATGATTAAGTTTCTATATCGAATCATCGTATAGGAATAATATTACATAGTTGTTGTACCATTTAGAAGACATCGTTGACTTTTACCAAATAATGATATAAAAAGAATGATTCCATAAATTTATGAACCATTTAGGGAAAAAGAAAAGAGAAAGAGAGAACAGATTGTTCCCTTCCCCCCTTTTTTTTCTCTACTCATAATAAACTCGAGTAAAAGGGGGAAAGGGACGTCTCAATGGTAGTCTCATACCATATTAACCGATAAACCGGGTTTCAAAGTAAAAGATGTAATATTGATTGATCTATTATTAGCTTATCATTATATGTTTACGGAAGGAAGGAGAAAAATGGATGAAGAGGGAGGAAGGATTACGCCACATTTTTTGAAATGATTATTGTATTGATTAGTATAATTCATATTATTTTGTATTCTCTATCTTTGATGTGTACTTTATTTATATTTATAATAAGGTGATAATAATGTGATGATGATGATGATGATGATGAAGGTAACCCTGAAGGGTTCTATCATTCTAACAAACTGTCGGTGTTCATTTTTTGTCTCACCATCATTGTTGATTATGAAATCAACTTTTAAACATTGTGAACCGTTTAAACTGTCTCCTTAACAACGTAAATGATATTTACCCCACCAATTCTCCTACACATAATACGCCTTTTCTTATTGATACAAAAAGGTATATTTCTTGAAATTCCCTTTTCCACTTGTCAAAACCGAATCAATATAACATACATTTTTTTTTAAAAAAAAAGTGATCTTTATTACAACAAGCACATATGAGTAAAAAACAAATACTTTTCTTCCCTTTTAAAGAATCAACAGGATAAAAAAGAATCACTCTGTTCCGGAAAACTAACTAAAGTAAATAAAATAAAAGAGACTACAAAACAACCAAAAGATTGTTAATAATATGGATATCAAAGGAGAGGGAAGACAATGGGGTAGGAGTTGAAGTGAAATGGGGATATGAGAAAAAAAAAAAAAAAAAAAAAAGAGGAGTATGGCTAAATTGGAAAGAAAGAAAAAAAAAAGTAAAGAGAAAGAGAAAATGAGAGAAAGAGAAAGGAGTTGGACCGAAGGAAATATATCAGGATTTGGAGTTGACAGGATTCGTATGGATCTTGGCATGTCTTCGTAAGTTACTGACCACTGAAAAATGTCGACCACAGCCTTCCACTGGACACTGGAATGGTTTCTAAATAAATAAATAAAAAAAAATATCATCATCATCATTAATATGTTCCTATTTTTTGCACGTCTGCTTCCTAATTATCAGTGTATGTATTTACTTCACCAGTATGACTATAGATATGAGTAGTCAATGAACTCGGTCTTGTGAATTTCTTGGAACAAACATGGCATTCATAACGTTTCGGAGAAGCACCAGTAGACACATTAACCTTGGTAGGGAAACTTGAAATCATGTTCATTGGGGAGTAAGACATTGTAGATCCAGTAGTACTTCCTTGTTCTGATAATGGCGACAACGATCCAATAGATACAGGTCGATTTGGTTTACTGATATAATGTGAATGTCGTTGTTGATGAAGGTCACCAGAAGATGATGGAGACGATACAGGAGATCGACCTTGCTTTGAGTAATGCAAAGGTGATGATTGAACACGTTTTCTTGTACTGGATCGATGACTGGTAGATGATGATGATGATGATGGAGAGGTTACTGGAGCGGTAATAGGTGTTTGAGGAGAAGACGATGTATCGATAGGACCTATTTTAATAATAATAATAATAAAATAAAAAAAAAAAAAGAGGTGAGATTTTCAGTACACATCTAATAATTTCACCAAAAAAAGAAAAAAAGTAATTTATATTACCTGGATACATTGGTCTGGAGATATTGTTATTTTGATGGTAATATGAATTTGAAGATACTTGAAAGGATGGGATTGGATCATAAGAAGTACTTGAGCTAGCGAATTGTTGTTCTAGGGAAGTAGACGTAAGATAAGCAGATTCGTCTTGTTGAAGCATATATTGTTGAGATTGAGGTTGTTGTAATGGGGTTGAGAAGGGATGATTGTACGTAGAATCAGTAAGAAGATCAGTCGATGAAGAATATCTCCATGATTCATCCATAGAAGGTGAAGATGTCACAGAAGGAGAAGAAGATGATACTACATTTCCAAATGTTGAAGGATAAGTAGTATAATACATTGTTGATGGTGATGATGATGAGGATGACGATAAAGTTGTTACTGTATTTGATAGAGGAGTAGATGTCATAGACAAATGAGATTGCATCATAGGTTCAACCATTGATACAGGTGCAGTAGATACAGTAGTTGGATAATGTTGTTGTTGTTGTTGTTGTTGTTGTTGTTGTTGTTGTTGTAAGTAACGGAAAGTATCTTGAGGTTCAAAGGATACCATACGACTTCTAGCCAATCCAAAGGGTTCAGGAATTGACTGAGTAAAATTTGTGTCCATGCCAGGGTAAACCGAGAGCATTGAGAAGATTGAATATATATATATATAAAGGATAACAAAAAAAAAAGGTGGAGGAGGAGGGGAAAGCAAGTTTATTTTTCTTATCAAGACAAAAAGAATAAACAAGCAAGTATTGTGAAAATATACAATGAAAAAAGGAAGAAGAAGAAGAAGAAGAAGAAGAAGAAGAAGAAAAAATGATAGAATATTATATTTCAGCAAGCCAAAAAAAGAATAAACTATCAATAAAAAGAATGGAATATTTTTCAAAAAAAACAGCAAGCCGTTCTAATGAAATAAAGATAATACAAAAAAAAAAAGGAATAAAATATATATATAAAATAAAATAGAAAGTAAATGGGATCTTACAAAGATCGACCTATTTATTTCTTAAAAAACGTATAAAAGGTGAGAAGGAGAAAAAGGAAGGGAGACAAAGAGGAGAAAGAAAAGAAAGAAAGAAAGAAAGAAAGGAAAGAGAAAAAAAAAACACAGAACAAGAATTGGCAATTTATTCTTTTGTGACCATCAAAAAGGTTTAGGGTGCCAATGCTATTGAATAAACTGTTAAGGAGCCATATTTCCATTTTTAGTTGATTTTGTACAACTACAAACACGAGGCGCTTGGCTTTCTTTATCTTTAAATGCAATCAACATAGGAAAAAGAGAGATCCAAATTGCATGTAATTAACTAGCTACATACTTGATTTCTTTACTGACCACCTTGATGAATTCGAAATACTCTGTTTTGTATCTATTTTTTGTTCTTTTTTTTTTATTTTTTTTTTACATCTTTGAAAAAAGTTAAAATAGTTCATCACCTAAATTGAATATGATCATGAAATATAGTCAAAAAAAAAAGGAATAGATATATGAATCAAACAAAATCATTTACAATTGTATAAGGAGTACAGTATAATCAATGCAAATCATCATCAATACTATAAAAAAAAAGTATCATCCATAAATAATAGCAACATATAAAAGGTGACGTTAGAATCGTAATCGTACTATTTCCAGTAATCAGTGACATTTTCTTTTCAAAAAAAAAAAAAGAACGAGTGAGAATGAATTACAAGCATGCTTTATACTTTTTTTTTTGTAAACCATATTAACATTTTAATTTTAAAATAAAGGCCCGACGCAGGGCCAGTGAAGCTGTACTGCCCCATGCGTACCTAACTTAAAAGTATGTTATGAGATGATGATGTTTCCTGGTTTGTTATGGTGGAAGTGATTAGTCTACATTTCTATGTTATATGGAGTGGCAAATTTATCTCTATGATTTTTAACACTAATGGTGGCTGTGATACTTAAGATAAAACTAGTAGATGTATATTATATATTATTCCAAAAAAAAAAAGAAAAAGGGATAGTAATGTTCTATTAAGGTGATTGGCTTTTTTTTTTTCTTTTTTTTTGTTTTTCTCCTGCTCCTTTTTGTTCCTTGAAAAATATTTAGGGAGAGTGAACGAATTAGCCAATAAGAAGCAAGGAAGGAGCGGCTATTGAATTCCATAAATAAAAAAGCGAGCGAAGAGAGACAAAAATAGTGGCAATAGTAAGATTGGAATATTGAGTCTTTTCTCTTTTTTTTTTTTTTTTTTTTATTTTTATTCTTTTTTTTTTTTTTATTTTACTGTCCTTTGCTACCTTACATGTCTCTTTCTACCCCTTTTTACCACCAATAACATTTTTTTTTATATCTTTCTTCCCTTCTTGATGATACTCTATGTCGAATACCAATTCTACTTTACTACAAACCGATCTATACCATCCTTCTTTTCCTTCTAAACAAGAACCACCACCAACACCACTTCCTCAACAACAACAACAACTAAGTACAAACATCACCAATGATGACAAAGAGGAGGAAAGCAAAGATACATATGATCAAGAAAATATCCCTTTGACAGCAGCAGGCTTGACACGCGCTCTTGGAACAAATCATGGTCAAGCTTTGACTGAGATCATCAACATATCCACTTCCAACCCTTCTCACTTATTCTGGTATGAAAACACTTATTATCAAATTACTTGGCATTTTACTAAGCAGTCTTTTTTTTTTCTTTTTCTTTTTCTTTTTTTTTTTTTTTTTTTTTTCCTTAGGGTTCCTGCCTCTCAACATCCTGAACTTGCTCCTGCCGAATTCGAAAAATATGTTACTGCACTTCGTACCAATGCCAAGGATAAAGGAAAAGTCAGACGACGACGCTCTGTATTATCAGTTTCATTTACTGCTGCTGACAATGATAGAGGGGAAAATGACATGGATAATGACCATTCACTAAACGAAAATGACAAAGATCAGGACCGACAATTTGCCTTGGATGTTTTGGAAAATAACATCAACGACTCTGTCCCATTGATACGATCAAATTCCTTACAATCTCTGGGAAAACAAAATGATAGTGACCAACCATCAAGTGAACCAGATAATCGAGAACAAGATGATACTAACAAACTTGCAGCAAAAGCCCGGAAAGAAAAATTACGACGAAGTATGAGCCTACAATTACCAGGCAATGGTGCAGGTAAATCGATTTAGAAAAATCCATTATATTGTTTAACTTTTTTATTATTATATAGATCCTGGCAGTGGTAGAATTCCTGATTTTCTTGTATTTGATCGCAACTCCACAGCTCTTGATCAGTCTCCTGTATTGGTGCCAAAAACAAATCGACCTTTGTCACGACGTGGTGCAAGAACAAAGTTCCAACGAAGTTCTTCTATTGCGCCATCTTCAATGAACATATCCGATATTTCCTCTAACAAATCTTGGTCAACCTATCGACATAGTGATTCTGTTTGTACTTCTTCCAAAACATCAACTATTTATGGTAATGATACGAACGATGGCAACAATTCTCAAAATGAAAACGACATCAGCCATAAGCCTTTTCAATCTCTTGAAAGTATGATGCTTCCCGATAGCCCGATGACTTTTGAAGTACCTCACCTCGATATAGAAATGGATGCTACTTTACCACCTACCTCAACTTTACCGCCATTGCCGACGACAACAACCGATCACTACCAAGACAATTTGCAAAATGTCGTTTCAAAAGAGGAATTAATGCCAATAAAGAATAGCAATCCAGCAACAACTAGTCAACCTTGTATCTATCCATTCGAATCATCTCCTCCACAGCAACAGCAGCAACACCAACATCAACAACAAGAACAACAAAAGCATGATCAGTATCCAGAACAACAACAACAACAACAACAACAGCAACAACAGCAACAACAGCAACAACAACAGCCTACGGCCAAATCTTTGCCACGTGAACGGAAATCATCATGGTCTTGGGCATTTTGGTTTGATGATAAAAAGGCAAAGACTGAACAGACGTCATCAGTGGAATTAACACAACAACCAAGCCATATTGATAAGGAAGCTTATGGAACAAGCAATACTAAAAATGTGCCTCGAATGTCCACATCTTCATCAACTCCCACGACATCATCCAGTAAACAACGATTTGGATTATCCTCACTGTTTTCTCGGAAGTCATCAACGTCAGCAAACAACACATCTTCGGAATCATCGGTGACCAACGGGAAATCATCAGCAACAAGTTCTGACGAAACGAATACCAATTCCACTATGGTCATGATACCTCCGAAAGATTTCCAGCTTAATAAAATCAACCATCAATCTCGGCTACCTATTCATGTGGAACGTGCCGTGTATCGACTTTCTCATATGAAATTGGCAAATCCCCGTAGACCTCTCCATGATCAAGTGATCATCTCGAATTTTATGTTCTGGTACCTTACTATCATTAGCCAGCAACAGAACCAAAATCAACAGCAAGCACATCAGCAGAATCAATTACCAACGAATTCGTCATCTCCTCATCAACAAGGCTCCAACAATAATCGTGTCCCACCAAGAACACCCCAACAAATTGTCGCGGCATCGAAGAAGAAAAAGAAACGATTGACCAAGAAAAATCATCATCAACAACAACATCCGGCAAATTCATCGTCATCATCAACTCCAGCATCCTATCATCAATCAAGACATTCATCTGGATCTCAAAAAAGTGTCAAAAATTCAACAATGCATTATCAACAATCTCACACTTCAGCAAAATCATCTGATGAACAACCATTACAGGCATTATCATCATCATCATCATCATCATTACATATACAAGATTCTTCTTGGCAACAATATATGGATGGATCAACAAAGCAGACATCTACAGGATTTATCGTCCCAGAAAACTATTTACGACCGACTTCTGAACCAGAAATCAATAAACGCGGTAATGGTAAACATTCAGTCCGACAGTATATACGACGCAGCAGCAGCAGTAGTAGTAGTAACAGTAGTAGTAGTTCAGAAGGTAACGAAGACGAAGAAGAGGATGACGATGATGATGATGACAGAGCTTTATACGACAAGAAAGGACGGAAACAAAGTGGGGTCATGCAACAACAACAACAACAGTACTATGCTCATCCAAATTCAACATCATATTCTACATCACCATCCAATAACACCTCCCACGTAGTCATGTACAAGAAAACTGCCATTTCCTGATATCTCTTCTCTTTTTTGTTGATTTTTTTTTTTGTTGATTTTTCAGTCGTTTAGTTATTTATATATATTTTTCCCCACACACATTCCCTTTCTATTCAGTATTACTATTACTATTTATATATACACTATTTTTTTTTTTTTTGTACGTGTGGTCGTACAATTGTAGAAACATCTTTTTTTTTTTTTGAAGCTTATCTTGGGGGTTTTTTTTTCTGTACACAAACAACACAAATAAACTTCTGATTTATATGACTTTTTTTTTTGACTTCATTTATCGTTTGATTCATACATATATAAACACAATGTTAATTGACAATTGGACTATGTATATGATTTTGTACCTTCACCAGGAAGGAATCATGATCATTCTTTATTGAAAATAACAAAATAGAGAATATATGTTAGGGGGGGTTATCAAGATCGATATGAAAGGAGAGACGGGAAAAAGATTGATATAATGATAATATATGAGGGGGAGTAGTATTTGGAATATGAAACAAAATATAAATGAAAGTGTGTGTGGAGAAGAGTATATAAATAATAAGTGTAAACAAATAAAGTAATATAAAACAAACTAAAAAAAAAAAAAAAAAAATAGAAACAAAAGAGGGGAAGAAGATACATTATTCATCAGCCAATGAGGAAGAAGCAGTAAATTCATTTTTCTTTGTAGTTGACCAATAAACATCATGAAGTCGATGAATATAACCCGAAAAAGTGGAACCTTTGCTACCAATGAAGAACCAGCCACGACTTGATATAGAAGCGTCCACCAAAGGCAAGAGAAATTTCCGCATACTTGTTCCAGTGGATGGATTACGTTCCCTGTCCAGAATGGCCCAACCCATGGAAGCTGCCGCTGCTGCAGCATCTTCATCATCATTATCTTCCGTTTCAAGATCACCATCATCATCCAGACCACCACGATTGCTGTTACCTTCCTCTTGTGCGATAATGTCGTGGATAGTAAAACTGCAGGGGTACAATTTCCATAGAGGCTCGAAAGCACTGTTCATTCTTGGGTCCCGGGCATCTGTTGCTACATAAATCAAGGTAGTTTGTCCATTTTTGGCAGCTGTAACGCATTGTCCCAGATCTGGTACTCCATTGTTGGTTGTAATTGGTGGCTGTGTTGATGACAAAGAAGGATTTTGATGATTGATGTATTGATTTATGTTATTATCCTCGTCCAATCCTGAATCCAATAAGGTATCTTGTCGTCGTTGTTGAGATTGTACTGCGCGATTGATATTTGATACAATGTTAAGAACGTTTTCTGGTAGTGCGTTGACAAACCATCCATCACCCGATCTAACATAGAAATCATCATTAGTAAAAAAAAAAAAAAAAAAAAATACATATATATATATATATATATATGTCATTACCTGATATGAAGGCCAATGAAATTTCCATGTCCACCTAATTTATTCACCATCAAATCAGTCATCCCCAAGACAGCAGGATGTCGATAGGTAATACTTCGTTGTAGAGAACGTAAAAAATCGTAATGTTCAGGTCGTCGGATAGGTAACTTTCCCGAACCAAAAAGAGATGAGAAATGTATCAATTTTTCCTTTCGTCGTCGTAGATCGTAAATGTTGAGAGCATCTGCGTACTTGCCAAGACGTTGAGATTTTCGAGGTGTATCAAAAATTCGCCAATCGTATCGCGTTTCACCACGGAAATAGAGAATATCTCCATCTACGTAGGACCCATAATCTTGTTCTTCTACCATATCTTCATCCACCATTCGACTAGGATCATTAGAACCTGCGCCACCAGCACGATAAATACCAAAGGTCGAAGCCAACCATGCATCATTTGCTTGTTCACGCACGACTATTTTCACATGTTGCTTGGCCCACGAAAGATCAAAGATAGAATCAAAAGGTAACATGGCAAATCGATCACGATTTGGGCATTGAATTTTCCATTGTTCCATATCATTGCTAAATTCTTCACAATCTTCGGTAGTATCTTGATCTCGTAATTGATGTTCTAATTGTAATTTGGCAAACTGACTCCATCCAAATGCTTCACCAAGAAGAGCTCGTGGTAATATCAAGGTTCGATTCAGATACCATGCTAATAATATTCCATTTTCGACTATTAAAAAAAAAAAAAATAAAAGGAAAATGTAAGACTATTTTTTTTTAAAATAAATAAATAAAATAAAGTAATTTTTTTTTTTTTTACCTTGTATCAATTGATTTTGGAAACCACTATGAGTGAAGAAAGTAAGATACTTTTCTTGAGGATCATATGAAATAGAAGGTATATTAAATGCTGATTGAGAAGTTGGTGATGATAAGATATCAGATGAGATAGAAGAGGGTAAAGATGAAGTTGATGAAGTTGATGATGAAGTTGCTGTTATTGTTGTTATTGTTGTTGAAGAGTGAGATGGTAATGATAAATTTTTAATCAAAGAGGAGTTTGTAGTCATGGATTTATTTGACGTATGTATATATTGAAGGTTAAAGTATAATAAATATAATAAGCAAAGTAAACATAACAATGTTGACTTTGACCGAAAGGACATGATATACAAAAAGGAAAAGGATAATGATACAAGAAAATGAATGAATGAATAAATAATGTATAAAAATGAATGAAAAGAGTAAGGTTAGTAGGAAGAAAAAAAGGGGAAAAGAAAGTAAGAAAAAAAAAAAAACAAAAGGGGAATTTTGAGCCTTTTTTTTTTTTTTTTGATTTTACAGATTAAGCGGATTATCAAATTGTAGACAGGTGGAAAAAAGAGTTACACCAAATTGTATCGAATTTCCTACGCCTACAGTTCGTCTTACTAAATATAATAATATAATATAATAATATATATATAGAACTCTCTCTCTCTCTCATATATATATATATATTTCATTATTATAAAATATTTAGATTTTTTGAAATAATAGTAATAATAATAATAATAACAAAGAAAGAGTAAAAATAATAGTAACTATCAAATAAACTAAAATATATATATATATATATAATATATATAGTTTAACTTCTATTGAGGCGTTGTACATATAAAAAGTGGCTAATTTTATAAGTCTGAATAACACCTAAAAAGGAAAAATCAATTTCAATTCAGGTAGTTTGTATCACTCTTCAGGGCATTTTACCTATTTAAATATGGAATCATCACATCATCATGGTTAACTTTAAATCTTTTTAAAGCTCCCTTTTGAATGATGATATATATATATATATATTCTTTTTTTTTTTTTTATAAAAGAAAAATCATGTTTATCACTGTATAGCAATTTTACTGTAATACTTCTTGAGTATATCTATCATTTTGGCTTTGATATGATGAAAATTCTTTTGATGTTATGATATCAATTATTCTTTATATGACATTTATAATTTTATTATCCCTTTAAATTAATCTTTCTAACCAGAAGGAAAGCATAATTCGTAATAAAACGATCTCACTGTTTTTGATGATGAGAATGTGTTGGTTGACGATGGTAATTTGAAATCCAGCGTTATTTTTTTCCATCTGAAGGCTTCTTTTCTTTGCCTTCCTTTCTTTTCCCTCTTTTTTTTTTTTTTTTCTTTGTTGATATTGTAAGTTAATGATGTTATTAAAATAAACATATAAATTAAACATAATTTGTACTCTTTTATATTTTAGGTAAGACTGATGCTTGAATAGTCATAAATGAAGCTGTCAATGATATGATACCAACCAAGTGACAACGATATATGAAATCACTCTGTATGGTAAGACGGAATGCCAATATATACAATCAATAGGTCAATCCATGATTGGGAAAGACATCATGACAATACATCAAGGAGATTCAAAGTAAGTCATTCCACGTACTATTATTATTATTATTATTATTTTCAGTCATTTGTAATTCATTATTTCTTAGATATTCAAGATATACTTTGGATGATGCAAAAAAAAAAAAAAAAAAAAAAAAAAAAAAAAAAAAAAATTATGCATCTTAGAAATGGAAAGGGGATGATTATGATAAAAAGGATTACGGATGGTATAAGGGATGAGTCGCTTGTATTGGACCAGTCTATCTGCACTATCAAATTCAAGCTATCAAGCATCTACATTGATTAGTATTGGTTTAGTTATTAGTTAGTTTTATCATTATGAACGTGTAGTTATATTACTTGTCAATGGTTATAATAAAAGAAATGATTAGTTATACTCTGCTCAAGTTTCAGTATGTATACGTGCTATGATTTGTATGGTCGTGTGTATATATGTTTGTGTATGCTGGGTATATAAGATGGTTGTTTGTGTCTGATCAGAAAATAACAAAATGCATTCCTTGAAAAATTCTAGCTTCATGCAGTGTAACAAAATGAATGAAATTGTTCTTTATAGAATCAGTTCATCCCTCAGGATGGTGTAATTCATAAAAAAGAAAAGTTAAGTGGGATGTTTTATTTGTATTTATTAAACTTTCTCTTTCTTTCAATAAATAGGATTCAAAGTTTATATGAGTTTACGACGTGCAGTATGTGTAGATCAACAAATGAAAGAAACGAAGAGTGTTTCATCAACATGTCAAAGGAGAGAAAATGGTAATATTGAATCGTTTGGTTAAAATCCATTGTTTTTATAAACAATAACCTTTTTTTTTTTTTTGTTGCACAGCAGCGTAACGATTCCTGGATCATTGTCGTCATGTATGAAACATTATTAGATGATAAGTTTTTCATTTCCAAAAAGAGTAATCCATAGTCGGACTATGATTGATCAAAGGATAAAGAACCATCCACACACATATTTAATTTTTCTCCTTTCTTCCTTTCCTTCTTCTTTTTTTTTATTTTAATCATACATTTCCTTCTTATATCAACATCATCATCATGTCTATTGCCAAACAAAACTTTGCCACTGCTTCTGAAGAAGCCATCAATCAACAAATCAACACTGAATTGCAGGCATCTCAAGTGTATTTGTCTATGGCAGCTTGGGCTCAACATACCACTGTGGCTCTACCAGGTAATGACGCGTCCAGTCATTTACAAATAAAGAAAAAAAATATGAATTAATATTGATTAACTTTTTTTTTTGATATATATTTAATTTAGGATTGGAAAAGTATTTCCGTCACTCTGCTCAAGAAGAACGCGAACATGCTCAACATCTTATTGGTAAACAAAAAAAAAGAAAATAATATTATCAGCATCATCATGATCTTTGAATCACCCTTACAATGATTCTCTTTTTTTTTTCATAGATTATTTGAATATGCGTGGAGGCAAAGTTATATTACGCGCTTTACAAGCACCTGAGGTAAAACTACATACTTGTATTTAACCACATCTAACTTACTCTTGTTCAAATTAGACTGATTGGAAGTCTGCAAAGAATGCGGTTGAATCTGCATTACAATTGGAAAAGGGTAAGGACAGTTACAATATATACAAAAAAATAATAATAATAATAATCTGTATATGTGTGTTTGACTACCATAATGTTTGACGCGTCTTTTTTTTTTTTTTTTTTTTTTTTTTTTTTTTTAAAAATAGATGTCAACAAATCATTACTTAACCTTCATAAGATTGGAGATGGTAACAGTGATCCTCAAATGTGTGACTTTATTGAAAGTCGTTACTTGGATGAACAAGTACAAGCAATTAAGACTTTGGCTGATATGGTGACTCAATTGAATCGTGTTGGAGAAGGTAAGAAAAAAAAAATAAAATAAAATAAATAGTAACACAGAAAATAACATTATACTCCCACAAAACTCCTATTCACGATGTTCTTTGATCATTTGTTTATTATTTTAGGCCTTGGCGTTTACTTATGGGATCAACAACTGTATAAGGATGATGACAAGACAGGTGCTGGTAGTAGAGTCATCAGTAGTGGTGGCAACTAAAAACAAAAGTACATCCTATGGTTTCTATTCTATATATAAATGTCATTCTTTTTACTTTGTTGGTTATGTGTTTATTCCAAAATCAAATCAAATAAAAAAAAAGTTCATCCATCACTTTATTTATTCTTTGTATAAATGTACAGAATCTAAATAATAATAATAATAATAATCATCTGCCACTGGTTCAAACTAATCTGAAAGGATAAGGAGGGTCAGTTCTAACCTAAATATATGACTAATACTAATCTAAATGCTTTGTAGTCCTGACTTCGCTTGGAAATCCGCATAGAATTGTATCATTTCTTCTGTAATTCGTCTGGTAAATGATGATAATGCCTTGATAAAATGTCGTCGTTTGATCTTATTTCAAAAGGAAAAAAAAAAAAGATGATAATTGATAAATAAATAAAAATCATCATGACAATTTTCTATTTATTACCGAGTCAATTTGCATATCTTCTTCCATTGCATATAACGCAGCATCTTGACAAATTGCTACTGCTTCTGCACCAGAGCATCCATCGCTCTATATCATATCAAAAGAATAATAATAAAATAGTGTTCATAATCATATCAACAATTTTTTTTTCATTTTGCTTACCATGATTGCAAGTTCCTCCAAATCTACATCTTGATCGCATGTCATTTTCCGCATCTGGATCTTGAAGATCTCCCGTCGAGACGCTAGATCAGGAGGTCCCACATAGAGAATTCTATCAATCCGCCCAGGTCGTAATAGCGCATCATCAATGATATCTGGTCGATTTGTAGCAGCTACCACCGTAACGTTCACCAAAGGTTCAATCCCATCTAGTTCATTCAATAACTGTGATAGTACACGATCAGCAACTGATGTCCCACCATCACCTGATGATCCTCGTTTCACTGCAAGTGCGTCAATTTCATCCTTTTCAAAATAAAAAAAAAAAGAGTTATTGCACGAACGAAATATGACTTTCTTACATCTTACAAAAAATACTATGGAAGGTGATGCTGCTCTTGCTTTTCTAAATACTTCACGAACCGCCTTTTCAGATTCACCAACCCATTTGCTAAACAACTATATAAAAGATAAAAAGAACAAGGAAAGAAAGAATGATGAGGATAATCGTTCCGGTCTTTTTTTTTGTTTGGCTATATACTTACTTCAGGGCCTTTGACAGCAATAAAGTTTGATCCGGCTTCTGTTGCGAGTGCTTTAGCCATTAATGTCTTGCTACAACCAGGTGGTCCGTACAGTAATATACCTTTAGGAGGCCGAATGCCAAGTCTAGAAAATGCTTCAGGATGCTGGAAAAATAAAAAAATAAAAATAAAAATGGGGTGTTAATAAAATCATCTTTTTTCTATGTATATAAGTTTACCTGCAATGGCCATTCCACTGATTCTTTCAGTCGCTGTTTGATATTATCTTGACCACCGACATCATTCCAGTATACTTTAGGCACCTCAAGAAGTATCTTTAAAGAAATGAGATATTATCAGGTTAACGATTAGTGTACTCCTAACCCCCTAACTTTTTTTTTTGTTTTACCTCTCGCATAGCACTTGGTCGTATTTCACTAATGGCTTCTTTCATATCATCCATATTGACAACTAATTTTGAAGAATCTGTAGAAAAAAAAAATTACATATACACTTTTCCATACATCGCTATTTTTTTTTAATACCTTGAATGCCAAGATGGATACATCGTTTGATACATTTGAGACCAGCTTCACGACAAACAGCAGCCAAATCAGCTCCAACATAACCATGAGATTGATTAGCAATTGTTTCCAATTCCTTATTTGATAATGAGTTGGGTATAGAATTCAGAATGGCCAATAATATCGACAGTCTAGCATCACTATTTGGTATACCTACGTAGATGATCATAAGTATATATAAAATTCTTTGATTTGATTTCTTTCTTACCGATTTCCACTTCTCGATCAAATCTTCCGGGTCTACGTAATGCATCATCCAAAGCATTTGGTCTATTGGTTGCTCCAAGAACCACTATCCGATTTGATTGAGTTTCTTTATCTGAACTCACTGCTCCATCCATTAATGTAAGCAATGTTGTCACCACCCGCTTTTCCAATTCACTTGGAGCCTAATAGAAAAAAGAAAGAAGTATGGTTGTCAGCTAGATTATTATCATTTATCATTTGCTATTGACTTTTGACATACTTCATCACGTTTGGGACATAAGGCGTCAATTTCGTCAATAAATATCACGGCTGGTGCACACTGATTTGCTTCTTCAAATATATTTCGTAACTATTAAGAATATAATAAGTAAACACAATGACATATCTTTTTTTTTTTTTTTTCAACACTCTAATCAATATTACCTTTTGTTCTGTTTCACCATAATATTTGCTAATGATTTCGGGTCCATTGATGATAATACTATGAGCACCAGCTTCATGAGCCACAGCACGCGCAATCAGTGTTTTCCCAGTGCCTGGAGGTCCATATAATAAAACCCCACGTGGAGGTTTCAATCCTATATATTAATATATTGTATGTAATGATTGATGAGTGTACTGTTATAAACAGGTGGTTGTGAATTAAAACAATCTTTTTTTTTTTTTTTTTTTTTTTACCATATTCAATAAAGACTTCAGGTTTTAATAAGGTAGTTTCCACCATTTCTCGCACAGTATTGATTTCTTCTGAAAGGCCTCCAATTTGATCGTATGATAGTTTCTTGTTCGTTGTCGTTACTGATGGTTTGGCTATTGTGTTAGGTAATATATCTAGTTTGATTTTGGTGTTCTGTGTAACTTGATACACTATAGAAGGGTGGGGATTGTCATCTTTTTGAGGTACTTCATGAGTGGTATGCAAAGTGAATCGTCGCAATCGCCCATAGTATGAAACATCAATGATTTGTCCAGGTACGATATATGCAAGACCAACTATTTATAAACAAGATACCGGGTAAAAAATAAATAAATAAATAAATATAAGCATTTTCTAGATATGAGTTCGCGTTATATTTTTTTTTTTTTTTTTTTTTTTTTAGATCTTACCTAGTGTTTGACAAAGAAAGTTGTTCAGAGAGTTATTAACAGGATAATCAGGAGATACAGAAGGTTTGACAGTGATCATAGACGCTGTGAGTTGAGATCCAGAAAATTTTTCCAATGTCACGAAATCACCAAGTCCAAGTTGGCAAGTCAATCTTGCTGTTGCATGTAGTTGTACCACTATTGAAATAATCAAAAGAATAAAAAAGTTAGATCTATATTATATATATATATATATATATATATGTAATAGGAAGATTGAAAAAAAAGACTTGCCTTGTTTTTCCAAAGAAAGGCTTGGCCAAGCAGAGTTGACAATGATCTAATAACATAAATACAAGAAAACTAAGTATTATAGGCACGTCGATATAACTTAAGTTTTATATATTTACCCTATTAGTATCTTTTTCTGGTCGTATAATGACTAGGTCTCCAGTATAAATCTGTCTTTCTTGCATAGTTTCCAAAGATATAAGGACTCTATTGGAATAAGCAAGGGATTTTGCGACTTGAACTTGATATAAATCATTCATACAGTATATCCAATTTGAATTGATAAAAAAAAAAAAAAGACAAATAATAAAAGCAACGGATGAATAAAAAAAAAAAAAAATCAACTTGGAATAGAAATATCAGTCGAATTGGAATACCGAAGGAAGTCATAAAAAAGGATGTTTTCACCTGAGAGAGAAAAGGGAGACTACAAATTTGAACATTTCAGGTACAAGAAGGAAGAAGATAATCACAGAACAAAAAAAAAAAAAGATGATGGATTGACAGAAATTATCTCTTTTCAAGCGTATGTGTTAATATTAGTGTCACTGCTCAATTTCAATTTGACAATGTCTCAACATCTACCGTATTAAATGAAAATCTGTTGAATTATACAGAAAAAAATAATAATAATGTAAACAGAGGAGACAAAACCATTACTATTCGTTTTAAGTAGCAAATTTTTCTGACTACGATACAACAAAGAATCAATACGCTGTGATCTTCAAACGTGAAAAGTAAAAAAATCATGTCAGTCTGACTTCCAATATTAAAAAAAAAATTCTAGGGAAAAACTTCCTTTTGCGTATTTTTCTCTCCTCTCCCTTTTCTTTTTCTTTTTCTTTTGCTTTTCTTTTATTATTATACTCCATCATGATACTTGAGGCTATTGCTGTTAATTACATAAAGGTACTGTTTTATTCGTATTTTTATTGATTCCTTTGGATATTGTTGTTCACTCATTGCTTCTTTTTTTTTTTATCATTAGGACTCTGGATCTCGCGTTTCCTAAAGCATTATATATTCAATGAATTTACTGATGAAGCAACTATAATATAACATCATTTGATGGCGAGTACGACAGTTTTGTGGAAACGTCCTTACCAAAATATGGCAATTAAGCGATAGCCCACTGGATGAGGTAAGTACATTATTAATTTATATTTATCAAAACGCTCACTTCTCTTTTTCTTTTTTTTTTAAAAGATTGCTACTTCTTATCGACCTGCTCATCAATTATCAATCAAGTTGTTATGAATCAGAAGCTGAACAAACTCTCAAGGAAACACCCAACAGACGAACCAAGTGTATCATTATGATGGGATTTTTTTTTGAAGAGATATCGTTGACTTATTGTTTCCAATCTGGTGGTGATGCATTTGGCGTTTCTTGGTATTCTACTCGGTCAGAAAAAAAAAAGGTAAATAAAAAGGTACATTCGCTGTCAATTACTGTAGTATCATGATCTTGCTAACTTGTATTCATCTATCATCTAGTTATTGGAAATAGTTTATGGCCTGTGCACCGATTCTGCTCATCAAACACGCCCATCAGCGGCAGCTTTCAATCAATACTGCTATCTCAATTGTTGTCCACCTTCTCATGAAACCAACAAAGTTGTTTCTTTTTTTTTTTTTTTTGATGTTTACTTCAAATGAAACCACCCAAATGTTGTAAACTGGCTTCAATGGATCAAAAAAATCAATGATTTGATAAAATCTACGTCTGTCAAGCAAGCTTCTCTTCGATTAAGCCTCTTGTATTATCGAATCGTCTTTTTATATCTCTGATGTGTGTTCGCTGCTACTGTTTACCTCTTTCTCTCTTTCTTCTCTGTATTCTTTTTGTTCTCTCTTCTGTCTCTAGTGGAATATATCTAATCCTCGTCTGGTGAATGTCGCAACAAGAACTTCAAGCAATTCCTCCTCTTTATTCATCTTGTATCAAGAGGCTATCCAATGTTTGCGACCATAACTTTCTCTATCTGTAAAGAATTTGGTGGTTGAAAGCTTTGTTATGTCATCGGTATGTCAAAACAGACTAGGGACCAAACATTACAAAGTAAGTTGATTTTATCTTATTATCCTTTAATTTCATCAACAGACTGCTGACGTTCGCTTATTTTTTTTTTTGTTAGACCAATGGGAATCACAAATAAGAACGTTACAAGATGGTGCCTTGTATGAAGAATTAATTATGAGCAAGACGTTGCTCCTTTTCATACATACTTTGAAAATCTTTGATATGCAAGGAAAATGTTACTGTCGAAAGCTTTCTACGTAGGTATTTAATCATATTCATTCAACATTTTAGACGAGGACTGATGTATTTTTTTATTATAGGATACTCTTGTACTTATCCTTTTTATCTTTATTTTATAAAACTATATATGGTATTTCTGATCATATTATTTTTGGTAGTAGATATCTTCAATAAAACATTGTTTCGCAAGCTTCTTTTTTTTTTTTTTTTTTAATGATTGAATTATTCAATTGTCCATCCATTCAGCTATTTGATGCGGAAATAACATATAGACGTTATTGGTAGTTTATTATTTGAAAATTAAGGGTTCCTCTTATATCTGATTAGATGTAATATATATTTGGGCCATGATATGCTGTTGGATTTGATACAAAACGTCAGAATATTTATATTATATTTCTTATAATGGTCTTTTCACTGATAGTGCCCATCACCATGCTGCTTATTCTGTAAAAACGCTTCTCGTGCGCCAGACTATTTCAATACCCGATCCGTGTGCATGACGTTAAAGGAGAAGCGGAAAAGTCTTTTTTTTTTTTATTTTATTTTTCTTTCTCTTCTCTATCTTTTTCTTTATGACAAGTACTTTGGTCCAAGGTCGGCATCATCAAGTTCTCCTTCGAAACCAGTATCTGCTTTGACTCCAGCATCAGAAACGGTATATTATGGTGTGGATTCCGGTGTAGAAGCTATGGCAACAAGTGTGAAGTTAACTGCAAATCAAGCAAGTACAGTTTTATTACTCTTCAATAAGTATGCACCACTTCAGGATCTTATCGCCAACGACGAAAATGCCACTCACTTGAAAAGGTCTCTCAACACCAAAGGTATAAAAACTACTGCAGCATCTATCAATGGTCGATCACGATCGTACTTCTACCAACAACAACTCCAGAAGAAAAAAAGGCGATTTAGTATTGGAAATAGAAGAAAACCTATCAAAACGTGGACATAAGATTATGGCTACTGACAACATCAAGAAAACAGTGATGGACGAACGATCCTATACCAAGACAGTTCGTGATGATCTTCTCAACTTCTGTCATCATTCATCATTCATCATTCATCATTCATCATTCATCATTCGTCATTCATCATCCATCATTCATCATCCATCATTCATCATCCATCATTCATCATTCTTCATTCATCATTCATGAAGAAACAAAAACAAAGCCGGGGTAGATATCGAGACAAGGCCTATGCAGTGGCGGCAAGAAGACTAATCAAAGTATCTTACCAAGGATCTGGTGAAACTAGTACGACGGGCTCTCGCTTTGTGTTTTACGGTGATGCTGGTAGAGGGCATGGTTCAAGAATCCAGGGAAATATGAAAAGAAGTACTGACAAACTTCAAGAAGCCTTAGTGAATCATCGTCAAGTTGTTTCCACAAGTGAATATCGCTCCTCCAAGATTTGCTCTTTCTGTGATGCTCCTATTCAACCCCCGAACAAAAGAAATGGTAAGGCCAATCTTGGTGTGATTACATGTATCAATCCTGATTGTATCTCAAGAAAAGTATGCTGTCCATCTCGTGATAGAGACGCCAATGCCGGGATCAATATCTTGAAAATCGGTTTATATCGTGAATTGACTGGCGAACACCACCCATCATTTACAAGATCAACAACTACAGGAACTACTTCAGCATTCTCATCATCAACAATTATCAACAACTTTGGTTCTGCACATCTTGAAAAGATCATGCGGGATCTCCATCCTGTGTGATGGTGGAATAACTTATTTAGGGTAAGTAATAGTATAAAAAAGAAAAGGACAATAGGACTAACCTTTGATTTATTTTTTAATCTCCGTTCTTTTTTTTTTTTTTGGGACCTCGTAGGATTTCTTCATAAAACTTCGTCTTCATTCTCTCTCCACCACATTGTTTCTCTTTTTACTTTCGTACCCATTTATTATTTTATTCCTTTCCTTTTTTTTTTTTTTTTTTTTTTGAAAAATTTATTTTTTCATCTTTTCTCTACATTAGTATCTCGAATATTACCTCTCATGCTTCATACTACCCGTTCTTCTTCAACATCATCCCCTCCTACTCGTCCAACTGTCTTTCCTTCCCGTACTAATAGTCGTCAATACCTTCAGTCACAGCAAAAGAAACAACATTTACCTGTATATCCTTCTTTAAGTCATCATACGAGTAGTACCACCGATAATTCATCCATCACAACAACAACTACCACTACCACCACAACAACAAGTACCTTGTCTTCTTCCTTGTCGTCTACCACTACAATTACTACGCCTCAACAACAACAGCAAGAACAACGTAATAACTCTGAAAATGTCAAGGTGGCAGTACGGTGTCGTCCACTATCACATAAGGAATCTTTTGGAAAAGGTGATAATGCTTGGCATATTGATACTAGTCTTGCAAAGATACGACTTGCTGAAGGTGTGGTGAGGCGACCTTTACAACAACAACAACAACAATCATCGACTTCTTCAATGAACACAGAATATCATTTTGGTAAGAAAATTTTAGAATAGAAATGCCACCCTATTTTTTTTTACTAACTCCTTTGATTATTTTTTTTTTTATGCAGATAACGTGGCCTATGGTAGTGATAATAATGCTTTATACAATACCAGTGTTAAGCCATTGATTAGTCAAGCTATGAACGGATACAATGGTAGGAGAAAAAAAAGTCAATAAACTTGGTTTGAGCGATGATAATGGGAACTAAACAGTCTGTACTTTCTTATATATATAGCTACGGTCTTCGCCTACGGACAAACTGCTAGTGGAAAAACTTATGCAAGTACCTGTTTTAATTTGATCATATTTAATGATGATATTAACTCACTCTCAATTTTCTTTTTCTTCTTCTCTGATATATTTCACAATGATCCGTTGATAGACAATGGTAAATGAAAACGAATTCTGTAATATTTGTTCAATACTAACTTGGTACATTTGTTTTGATTCATATCACATGTGTATAGATGGGAACTGAATCTGAACCGGGGATTATTCCGAGGGCAGTAGACGAAGTGTTTGCATATATCAAGATGGTAAGGGGTCTCTATCATCCAACTAAACATTATGATTATTTGTTTACTTATTATTCATCTCTTCCCAAATAGGCAATGAACAATGAATTCTTATTACGTGTTTCTTATTTGGAAATTTATAATGAAACTATACGTGATTTGCTTGCTCCAGAAAATGACAATCTCAAGATACATGAGAACAAACAGGTAAATTAACACTCGAACCTTCTTCTTTTTTTTTTTTTTTTGGACACTAATGACAAACTATTTCATTATTTATCGAATTAGCGTGGTATATATGTGGCTCCTGTAACAGAAGAAGTAGTGACCTGTGCCCAAGACGTTCTCAATGTGATACATCGCGGGGAAGGCAATCGTCATATTAGCACTACAGATTACAACTTACACAGTAGTCGAAGTCATACTATCTTTCAAATGGTGATTGAAAGTCGGCAACGTTCGAATGATAGTACAACATTATCCACAAGACTGGCTCCACAACAATCACGAACTCTTTTACATCCTAGTCAACGAAAAGAATCTGTCAAGATTTCACAATTGGTAATAAAAAAAAAAAAAGAGTGGGAAAGAAAATGCATATATATTTAGTAGATTCATATCATTGTACTATTATAGAATTTAATTGACTTGGCTGGATCAGAAAAGGCGGCTTCGAATCAAGATCGTCGAAAGGAAGGTGCATTTATCAACAAAAGTTTACTTACTTTGGGAACAGTGATTTCGAAATTGACCGAAGTAGGGAAAAGGTAAGAGTGATTATATAAATTGAATGTTTCCCTTAACTCTCTATTTATAAATCTTTTCTTTTGTATTAGTACTGGTCATATACCTTACCGAGATTCCAAACTGACAAGAATTCTACAATCATCTTTATCTGGTCATGCAAAAGTAGTAGTCATTTGTACTATTAGTCCGTATACCTTGGCTGTGGATGAATCCATCAATACTTTGAAATTTGCTACCCGGGTCAAGAAGATTGTTACAGCAGCCAAAAACGATGCGGTAAGTTCCAATACTAGCAATAATAATAATGATAATAAAAAAATAAAAGGACTAGAAAACAATTCGAAAAGAAATGGTGTTTGATATTTATTTATTATTATTATTATTGTTATTATTTATTTAGGTTTTGGATGATAAGGCTTTATTACAACAATATCGAGGGGAAATTGTGGATTTGAAGATCAAGTTGCAAACGGCGAATGATGTGTTATTACAAGAGCAAAAACAGAATCAATCCATGCTGACAGCAGAACGACAACAGGTACCTAAATAAATAAAAAAAAAGAGAGATTGTCTTCAAATAGAATAGATAGAAAAAAAAATTCATGATCTTTTTTTAATAGTATGAACAAGAGTTATTCCAAATGCGACTTGTGCGAACAGCTTTGAAAGAAAGGTTAAAAAAAAAAAGGAATATGATTCAAGAGAAAAAAACTTACTAGTTTTATTTTAACAATAGAATCGATCATCTGACCAAGCTCATTTTGACATCTGCGTCTGTAGCTATACCGCCAAATAATCACGATAACGATAAACAACAACTGAATAATGAAGCACTTTCACCCAAAGCAGAAAGGCAACGATTATATGATAAACATGGTAAAGATGGAGGTGATGATGACGAAAGGATGAACAAGGATCCATGGGCACTGGTGACCGATCTTCGACGTCAAATCCACGATCTTCGAAACAGCAATGAACAGTTACAGCAACAACTGGAATTGAAACAACAACGATTAGCACAACTGGAAGCGGATGCTCATGGTCAAAAGGATTTGATGGATAAAGTGGCAAGATTGGAAGCCGAACTTAGCGTCACCAAAGCAGAACTGGAGCTTACTTCTTTGATGGCAAAAGAAGCACAAGATGAATCTCGACTGGCCTCTATTGATAATCCTCTTTTATCATGGGATTCTCCCTCCTAGTATAGTACATCAAACATAGGATAGTCTACATTTTCCATCCTTTCTTTTTTTTTAAGCACAAACACCATCTCTTTAAAAATCATATAGATACCATCCATATATTCCATGCCCTTCCTGTATCTACTCTTATATATACATCTTTTTTTTATATATCTCTCTCTTTTTTTTTTTGGTTACTATTTTATTGTTATTATTGTCGTACTGTATATATGGACGGTTTTTTTGACATTGATGATCAATAAAAAAAAAGAATGTACTAACCATTTGGAACGAAATGTGGTTTGGATAATTGAGTGGACTTTATTACGAAATATGAAAAAAATAGGAAAAGCTAACATTTAGCAGATAACTTCTTGACTATTTTTGGTCTTCTGTGCTATCTATCAAGCTTCCACACCACCCAATAACAAAAAAGATCTATAGCGTGCATCTTCACATCAAATCTATGTCTACATCTTTTCAACAAAAACAATCATCCACAATAAAAATCTATAGTCGTCTGATTATTAGACCTGAGCTGTTTTTTTTTTTTTTGGTCCTGAGTTTTTTTTTTCTATTTATCTTTTTTTTTTTTTTCCCTTCTCTATTTTTCCCTTTTTTTCAGTTTTTTTTCTCTTTTTTATATATCCTCCCATATTCTTTGAATGAACAGATCAATTTATCATTGCAGGTCATCGGACATTGAAGCGACGATGATCGTTTTTTTATTAATGCGTGCATCAGAAATGCCATTGACAGTGATAAAAGGGAACCAATTTTGGAAGTCAGTAGAATTTGAGACGCTCGACATTTTTTATTTATTTATGCTTGACACGTCCTACATTTTCACTTCCCCCTTTTTCTTTTCCTTCTCATCTTTTTTTCTTGTCGTCTTTTTTCTTTTCTTCTTCTATCAATCAATCACATTATACAAAGCTATGCCTCCTAAGAAACGTCGTATTTAGAATGTAGACCTTCCACCGCCGTCTATCACAATCAGCAAACCAGAAGAAGCCCAGCAAGCACTTGCAAATGAATTGAAAGCCTATATCGTGGAAACAATTGTTACTGCACAAAAGAATCATGACACGAAACAGACCATAGAAGATGAATATTTTTGGAAAACAAGCCAACGACAAGCAAACTTGAACAAAGTTTATGCAGACCTATACAACAAGAAGCAATTACCGCGGGGCATCTTATTATCTATCGAACAAAAGGCTAATATGACTTCCGGACAATCCAGAAATCGATATAAAAATTCTATTGACTTCATGGGAATCTACCATCAAACTGTTGAATCTTATTTCCAAGAATGTTGCAACACTGCTGAAGCCACTTTCCAATCAGCTTCAAATCCTTCTACACCAGCTTCCACAGAATCGACAAATATCACTGGTGTCTCCGGTTTAGAAATAGTCTGTACGTCGCTTTTGCTTATATCTCTTATCAATGTGTTATAGGATACTACCACTGAAAATGTAAGCTAAAAAAAAAAAAAAAAGAATGGATCAAAAGAGTTTTAAACATAATTTGTCTTTTATGGTCTTAGGATGTCGCAATGGTGAACTCTATGTTGCAAGACAATGTTGAAGAAGGAATGATTGAAAGATTGATGGAACTTGAAGAAGATAACGAAGACGCTGACGAACAAATTTTACTGGACGTGATCATGGATGAAGATATTGAAAACAAGGGATGCTCTCGAAATTGTCTTCGATCCCTACAAGCGTGTTTGACAAGAATGTTATTTATCGAAAGCAAAGCAGAATTCAGCAATCAAGTATTCAACAGTTTTTGGGATGGTACCAAGCTTTCTGACAATGAACTATCAACATTGGGTCGTCTATACAATACCTTACGTCCTTTCATACCAATCAAAGGAAAATCGTCAACCATTGCTGAAAAACTACCTTTTGTCTTCCTCGCGAATGCTATTTTTCAAATATCTGGATATCATCATTTCAAGCAAAAGCCCTGCCCAAGAATTTCTCCCTCTCAAATACATGCATTGCTTTTAGACTGTGCTTCATTATATCAAATTTTTGGATCGAAACAGAAAGATGGCCTTCGACCATTGACCATGACTAAACCCGACAATACTCCTATTACAAGTCTTTCAACAGCCCTTGGTTACAAGAAGGAAGTCATTGGATCAATCTTTGACATGGACGCTATTGGCAAAGTGTGCTCCTCGGCTGGATGAGTTTTTCATGACAACATCACCATCGTGGATGGGAAGACAGCAGTACTCACCGGTGTTACAATAAAGTCACGATTCAAATCCATATATCAAAACCAACACCAATCAAAGAAGGATCATTTACCAATCACTGATGGCCGTTCTCACGAAGAAATGAAAAATGAAATGGTGCTTATTGACGCTCGTGTTTTGGAATTGGACGAAAAACGGCTTGGAAGTATTTGACATCAAGCAACAGATCAAGAAGGCAAGTGGCGTGGAAAGGTATACTCTTGTTGGCCAACTACGAAGCAAACAAAAAGGGTACGCGGAAGTTATGATCAACCTTGGAAAAGTAAAAACAACATTGGCAAACCTTAGAAGTGACAAATATCTTATCCGACAGGTATGATACCAAAAAAAAAAAAAAAAAAAAAAAAAAAAAAGGCATTCATTGATTTACTCTGTGTTAATTATAATTTTTTCCAATATAGATGATCCAAAATGCACCCACTAAAAAAAGAAAGAAACCTATAGCATTCTCCCCTTCAGCAAGTGCAACTGCGAGTACAATAACGGAAACGATGGTAGATGGCAAGAGCTATCCAAGTATCCAAAATCCTGCCTGCGAGGATCTTCAACAAATATCGACCTCCGTAACTACAGCAATATTCCTGACGAAGATATAATGCACAGTGGAACTATGCTTAATTACTCTATCTACCGCAACTAACCATAAGGACACCCGTTCACCTTTGTGCCCGTATAATAAACACTACAAAGGCGAATCAAGTAAGTCAAAGCTTGTTTCTGTGACAAATATAGTAGACTCATAATAAAAAATATCATTGTAGGCCACTCTTCAAACTCAAAACGCAAGCAAACAGAGCAAGAAAAAGAGCAAATCAAGCGTCAAAAAAAAAAAAAAAACAAGGATTAATGGAACTCAAGAAGAAGCAAATGAATGAAATAATCACACCATACCAGAAGTGTACTGATGAAGGTGTATATGATCAGCAATAACCCCATGCCAGCGCCCGTTCTATTCACTGCTCCCACCACAAACTATCATTCGATGAACTCAAGTCAACCCTTATTGGTTCAGCACGAAATGGCGTCAAGAAAAATTAGTTTGGCAAAGTTTTTAAAATTGGATGGAGAGCACAAGGAACGATTCACGACTGAAATTAACAAACTAGTGGATTTTATACAAGAACTAAGCATAAAAACTCTGATGTTTTTATCCTCAAGCCCGGTTGAAGCTACTTCTCCCCCTGGCGGCCCATCCTGTGTCATCATCTGATTTCCCTCAAGAATCTAATGCTCCTTCTCATGGTTATACTAATGCTGATGATATTTTACTTTCAGATATTGATGATGCTATCGGTGCTGATCTGAAAGCTCACTTCGAATCATTTACTGACAAGCTGAACATCTGTTAGTACCAAGCATTATGATTTCCATTTGAAGCTTTACAACCATTAGTCAGCTTTAGAATCCAATGATGACGATGATACCCACAAATCTTGACCTGACCGAAGAAGAAGTCCAAATGATCATGTTACCAAATCATACAACATCCATGCAGAAAATCTTTTCTGGAACGCCGGGGCATGGCAGCGACGAAAAAAGTTACAAAACGGAAGAAGGTAGATTATATTTGAATCGAAAGGTATTGTTGTTGGAACCAGTGCTAATTAGGTTTTTTTTTTTTTTTTTTTTTTTTTTTATGAATTCTTAAGTCTGAAAAGGGTAAAGATGCCTTGGAATCTGAACAAAAATTGGCGAATCAAAGAAGCAAGAATACTCGGGAAGAAATGCTGGATTTCCATAAGGTAAAACTTTAGAGAATAATACTCTTGGATTTGGTGGTTAGGATTCTACCGTAATATGAAAAGCAGACAACATTCAATGACCTCTTTTTTTTTTTTTTTTTTTTTGGTTGTGTCAAGAACAAAAAAACCACTTCGTGCATTTTATCAAAGTAATGGAGCGATAAAAGATAGAAAAAGTAGCAAGCTTATGAAGGATAAGGCGTACAAATTGGAAACTATAAGAGAACGGCGATCTTTATAAGGAACTAAAAAACATCTGATCATGACAATTGGCGACCGAGGAACATCTACAGGCTCTTGGATTGGTGGACAGAGGGAACTGGCATCATACAGAATACACGAAAGACGTGGTGTCGTTGCAATTACAAATGAACATCGATCATCACAGACTTGCGTGTCTTGTTATCAAAAGGTGGTGCGACCAAAACGAACTGTGGTGAAGGATGGCAAGCAATATATCAAAAATAACGATGGTACCTCACTCTGCGTCAACCCAAGGTGCATAGCTGTGAAAAAAGGGAAGGATGTACAAGGTAGCGATCGAATGGCGTCTGTGGCAATTTGTTTGGCTGGAGTTCATGGAATCAAGACTGGTCAAGCACTTCCTCCTTTCTCTCCAAAAAACAGTACAAAGACTGGAACTCAACTTTTACACCAAGATACCATCTTTGAAGATGAAACCTTTGGAAACCTCGCAAGGGGTGGATTAAACTTAGTAAGTTGTTAGAAAATCGCTATTTTTATTTTTATATTCTGGAGCTAATCATAATACTTTTGTATCCTATAGGTTTGTTTATTACGAAATTAAATAAATATATATTTTGATGACTTTTAGGGGGATGGATTTGATAATATAAAGGATGATTATATGTGTGATAGGAGATGAATGGTATTGTAATCTACAAGGGGAGACAAAAAGAAGGAGAAGTAAATATGTACAAGACAAAAAAAAAAAAAAAAAAAAAAAAAAAGAGATGCTTAGTTTTCTTCTTCCTGTTGGAAATGAATGATGGGGTGCAGTGATGCCTTCTTAGGTTGTGGATATCGCCAATCAAGATGATTATTCAAATCAAATGTATCAGAAGGAGTCCATTGAGGTCGATCAACTGTAGATGGATGATAAAGTAACTGTTGAGAATCTCGTTCAAGTAAGATGGCACGACAGGCAATGTCACGATGAGTTTGTACTTTAAAATAACCAGCTGACCAACGACATGTATGACCAGTTTTATAAGCTAAAAAGGTCAATGCAGCTTGGTCTTGACGATGATTGACACGAGAAGATCCAGGAGGAGCAATACAGTTCTTATTCAATCCACATTGGTACCAAGGTGTGATGATCTCATCCATGATAGTTTGATTGCGTGTATCTAGACCAAATGCTGCACCATTACAGTTGATATAATGTGCATAGGGTTCAGGATCCTGTTGAAAATACTCAAACATACCTGGATGTGTCAATCGATGCATTGTATATGCACTACGAGGAGACCAAAACCCATGATCATTAGCTATATAGCTTGGTAAACGATAGAGGAATTTGGCAGATACTTGATTACCAGCATCCATCCATACTAATAATCCACCATGTTTTTGTGCTTGCTCATATACCATGGCTGTCTTCCATCCGTACTCACCAGCATTTTTTGAAATGTCCCAAAAAGATGGATATTTTTCATAATCAAAAGTAATCAACTCATCCATCAGTCCGTTATTATGGAGTTGTGTTAATACTTCAAGTTGACTCGTTTCATTGACTCCTAAATTATAAACCACTACTCGTGGAAAATTTTCCATCTGGGCACGATAATCATATAATGTGTATAAAAAACTTTCTAACGCACAAAGATGATTTGCACTAGCAGCCGTTACTATCGTATATGGAGGTGGTGGTCGTTTTGTACTGGCTGCAACTGCTGCATCGTTTAATTTAACATCATCAATTGTCGTACTGATGACACATGAAGTTCCTTCTATCACTATCCGTTGTCCTTTGATAGAGATCCCTTTATCAATTGTTGTTGGGCAAACTATTAACAATAATAATAATAATTAAAAAAAAAAAAAAAAAAAAAAGAGATGATGATGAGCTTGGGAACCTAATAAGGAAACTGATTGTATCACTTTTTACCTATGATTCTTTTGCTAGGTATACTTTGCATATTCCAAGTAGATAAAAGACAACATCCTAGTATCAATATGATGATGACATATTGAATCATACTTGTCTGTTTCTTTGATAAAAAATGGTACTTTATCATAGTGAAATGATGATGAAAAAAAGCAAGAAAAAAAAAAAAAAAGAGAATTGGACAAACTAAAGAAGAAAAGTAGATCCATTTATTTGACCAATTATAATAGCTTTATGTCTTTACTCCTTTTCATTACTAAAATCATCCATGAGAAAATAAAAAAGAAAAAAAAAGATCATTCTTGCCCCCCTTTTTTTTCCCTTTGCTCATGCTTATGCTTAGTTCTATAATATTTCTTTTTGCAGTAGAATTGTCAATAAGTGCTTATTTTAGTATGATATGATTATCATTTGAACCCCGCGCGGTCACTTGGCCAAGAAAGTAAATGCCAGAGGGAAACACGTCTTTTTTTTTTTTTTTTTTTTTTTTCCCTTTTACCCGTTACACTCACTCAATTTTTTATTCTCTTCCTCTTTTTCTCTCTCTCTCTCTCTCTTTTATATATATATAGTTCAATCATCATTATGCGTACACCTGAATTGAAAGCTGTAGATCAATTTCCGGATGGATTCTTTTTTATGCGGTGTAAAGAAAAACCTATGGCGGTGGATGTTAATGGTGGTGCTATGACTGTAAGTGAAAACTAATCAAATTAAAATATGTTTTGTTGGCTACTTCTCCTTTCTTCGACCCCCTTTCCCCTTCTCCCTTTTTTCCCCTCTCCCTTTTTCTCGCAACAACGTTTTAACTTTCTTCTCCTTGTCTGAACATTGTACTTCATATCTTTTTTTTTTTTAATATCTCCTTGATGGTGTATCTCTGTTGTCTCCTTACTTTGTTATTATTCTCTTTCTTGGTTCTCATCCTTAATGGTGATAGAATGATGCAACTATGATTATATGGCCTCAGGTAAGTAACTGACATGAAGATAAACAATAAAAGTGAACCCTGAACATGAAACGCCTATTAACTTTCTACTAACTTTTTATTTTTATTCTTTTGATAGAAATTAATAGACAGTATTAATCAGGTAAACCTAGTAAAAAAAAAAAAAATAGACAGTTTTTATGATATATCTATATTTCCTTTTTTTTTTCTTTTTCTTTTTTTTTCTTTTTTCAGTTATGGATGCATGAAGATGGATTTCTTATCAACAAAAAATCTGGATTAGGTAGGAAAAAGAAGTGTTGAATACGATATATACAATGGACTACTGATAATCTTCATTATCTAGTGATTGATATTCGTGGTGGAGATATCAAAAAGGACAAAGTATTGATTCAATATGCTCGGAAACCTGGATTGGCTCATAATCAAAGATGGAAATATCAAGATGGATTCATTTTCCCTCAAGCTGCTCCTCATTTGGTCATTGATATTCGTGTAAGTATATTGAGAAAATAATTCAAATTATATCCTTTTATCAATATTATTGAAAACATCTTATATATATATCAAATATAGGGTGGCGATTTCAAAGAAACAAATGTCCTCTTCTTGAACACTAAAGATATCAATAGTAAAACTCAACAATGGTACATCCAACCCTTTGAAAACGAAAAATCTCAAGATGAATTGGCTTTATTACGACCATCACCAAGTAAAAGAAGAGAAAAAAAAAACTTGATCATACTTATGTTTATATAGATATTAATCCATCATATTATTCCTATTAGATTTACGTACTTCTTCATTTCCACGACCTGAAGAGTTATGTGATAGTTATAGAATAGTTTATATTGAAAACAAGCAAGATCCATTGGAAAATGAAATGGCAGGAGCAGCAGCATTCAAAGCTATCAAGACTTATATTGCTCAGCAAAAAGAAAAACAACAACCTATTTTGACCCCTAGTGCACGCGATTCCATTCAACAATTAGCTAAAACTGAAGTAAGTACCCTGGAAATGATCGACGCTAAGATAAGGGGAAATTGTATTTTAATCAACCTGCCATATTTTTTTTTCTTTTCATTTAGGTACTATCTTTATCTCATGGCCAACAAGACACTCGTGGTTTGATTCAAGCGGCTGAACAAGCGGCTTTGAGTTACTTTGCTCGCGAATACGAAGAATAAACATTTCTTTTTGGATTTGATCTTGTAGTTTAGTTTTTGTTGTATATATATATAGTAGATTCTTTTTATCTCAATAAATCTTTTTTTTTTTTATGAAATAGTGATAAATACTCCTAGTAGATTTTTTTTTTTTTGTAGATATATATTGAAAGAGGGTTAATTTATGTTGGAAATCATAAAAAGGGTGAAATGACAGATAGAAACATAGGTAATATCTTGTACGAAACGTAAGAGAGAGATTACTCTGCTTTTCTTCTACAGAAAGGAATTTGAGTGATTCGAAGTATGATGGATTCAAAATGACGATGACTATTAATGTGGATTTTTTTTTTTTTTTTTTTTTTGGAAATGATTATATAATTTATCGTTCCTGATTATAGCCATCTGCGTTCATCATCATAGGAATAATCATTAGTCAAGTATTGAAATACTGTATATCGATGAACGTCAATTTTATAATCTATCATCATTACTATTCTTTGGATGTATATCAATAACAATTACAAGAGGATACTTGTTTAGAAACAACTTGTCAATGCAAACCACTAACAACATTTCTTTTTCTAGTAATGATTACTTTCAGAAAGCTCCAATAAAAAGTGAGACTATGATTTATTAATAAAAAATAATATATGTTCAAACATAAAAGTATAAACATACATACATATAAGATAATAGCATATGTGGATACAACAGTATGGGAGGTAGAGGAGAGAGTATATGCATCAAATGAATCTAAATCAAGTTAAGACACCTATAATCATTCAATGGCAGCACACCGTAGTTCCCTTTCCCATTCTTCCAAAGGTTGATTCATAGTAGTTGTTTTCATAGTTTTAGTGTCATCAATTGAAATAGGCTACTTCTTGGAGTTTCTTGGTCTTGTCACCAAGCATATTCTTCTTCATCTTAAAATGAAACTCAGAGACTAACTTACCTCTTTTTTTTTTTTTTTTTTTTTTTTCTCTTTTAGTCTTATTTTTTTTTTTTCAGTCCACTATCCAGTCTTTTTCTTCCCTCTTTCAACAGTATAAAGGATATACTTTATATTGTTATATCTTTACTTCTCTCATTAGACTTTTATTATACGACCTATGTTTTATAGAATTGTCTTGTCATTTGCTTTGATTTAGACTTTATTCTTCTTTATTTGCCTATTTTTTTTTCCTTTTCGACTACGTCCTTTTTTCCCCTATTGACTTGGCTAGTGTCTCTCCTTCTTATACTTTATTCAACCATCAGAGGGGGGGATTACATATCTACTCAAATATATCTGCTGTCTCTTGTTGGTTTCCTCAATATTCATACCCTCTCTTCTATTTGTTCGTCAAATACCCTATTGAAACTTCCAACGAAATCATCAATATGGATTCTTATTATTCACCTCCTAGAACCAATCATTCAAAACATCGACACTCAACGCCTTTATCTCCACTCAGGGAAATACAAAAATATACTGGACGGACAGCTGTTCAAGATACAAATTACATTGGTATCACTATCACTGATCAAGAAGACAATTTGAAAGATCCCAACTCTACTTCATGGTCTACACCTTATTTACAAGACAGCACTGGTGATGCTTCGCAATCTTATCGACACTCCTTCAATGGTTTGGATGACTTTTCTCGTTTCAATCAATCTGACTCTTGGAATTCTCAACAATATCAAGATTTCTTATCATTTCGGTCTGAATATCAACAACAAGAACAACAAGAACAGCAACAACAACAACATCTACAGCAACAACTGTTACAGCAACAACAGCAACAACAGCAACAACAGCAGCAACAACAGCAACAACAACAGCAACAACAACAGCAACAACAACAGCAACAACAACAGCAACAACAACAGCAACAACAGCAACAACAACAACAACAACAACAACAACAACAACAACAACAACAACAACAACAACAACAACAACAACAACAACAGAGGCGGCATCAAACTATTAACCGACAAGGTGAGAAAATTATCAATAAACCTCCTTTTCTTTCTCGACATGCATCTATTACTCTACCTGCTATTAATACCAGCGATCTTCCACCTCAGCCAAAACCATCAACATCTACCTCAACTATGCTTCATGAAGGACCACGATCAGTAACTCTGCCTATACAACACTCATCTTCACTATTGTCCTCTTCAAAAACTCGGCCTCATCCTACTACATCAACCTCTTCATCCCTTATCAATGGTTTGCCACAACATAATTCAGAAGATGAACTAGCAACAAAAGAAACCGTTCCTAGTGGTGCCCCACAACCGTTATCACCATTGACATCAGTTTCATCCTCGTATCTACAAAGCCCTCGTCACCGTGGACATCAAGTATCATCAACACCTACTTCTCCTTTTTCACCAATCAAAACACACTTTGGATCTAGTTCTAGCAACTCTTTTACAACAACATCTCATCAAAAATCAAAATTTTCAGCTTCATCACCCAACTCAACTCATCCTTCACGATCCAATGGGTCAACTCCTTCATCTTCCCTATCTGGTGCTTTTCGAAAAGTGAACAGTTGCTCTGATTTGAATCATCTCTTTTTAAGGAAACCGATGCGGTCCAATGTGGTCAATGTAAGAGCCTAAAACGAAATACCAGAATGGAAATACAAATTTGACTAATATAATCTTATATATATTATTTTATCGATTTAGCCCTTATTATCCATGACAAAACATTTGAATTCGACCTATCAAAAATGTAATCATGGATTCCAATACAATGCAGCACGAAATCCGCGTCGAGTGTTGACAAAACCAAGTAAACCTGGAGGAAATGATGGTTACGATAATGAAGACTACGATTATATATTATACGTGAACGATATTCTTGGGTCTACGGAAGGACACAGGTATGCCAATAAAGGACAGATTCATTATATAATTAGGTTATTTATTTGATTTTGGTATTTATAGATATATCATCTTGGATGTGTTGGGCGCTGGTACATTTGGCCAAGTGGTGAAATGCAAGAATATGAAAACACAAGAACTTTTTGCTGTCAAAGTGGTCAAGAACAAGCTAGCATATTTCAAACAAAGTATGATGGAAGTCACGATTCTGGAAATGGTAAGAACTTGATGAAATGGAATGGATAATCAGGGTATTCATTGTCATCGTTTTATATATATATATATAGCTTAATCAACGGTATGATGCCAATGATCAGCATCACATTCTTCGACTAAAGGATACTTTCATTCATCAGAAACACTTATGTCTCGTATTCGAACTTTTGTCAGTCAATTTATATGAACTCATCAAACAAAACCAATTTCGTGGACTGTCTACCAATCTTGTACGTGTATTTACTGCGCAGATCTTGGATTCATTGACAGTATTGAATGAAGCTCGTATCATACATTGTGATTTGAAGCCGGAGAACATTTTGTTGAAAAAGTAAGGACATAATGGAAATTAAATAACAACAGAAAAAAAAATCTCACCTTTTTTTCTTTTCTTTTCTTTTCTTTTCTTTTCTTTTTTTTTTTCTAATGGTTAGTCTTGAATCACCAACAATCAAAGTAATCGATTTTGGATCAGCATGTCATGAAGTTCAAACGATGTACACGTATATTCAATCTCGGTTTTATCGATCTCCTGAGGTGTTGGTTGGATTACCATATACCAGTGCAATCGACATGTGGTCATTAGGATGTATAGCGGCAGAATTATTTTTGGGATTGCCTCTATTCCCTGGAAGTTCAGAGTACAATCAAGTATCTAGAATCATTGATATGTTAGGGTATGTAATGAAAAGTGGTTACAGTTCAATGACTGAATATTTTTACCTTTTTTTTTTTTGTTTTTATAGTCTACCTCCATCTTATATGATTGAAATGGGAAAAAACTCACATCGTTATTTCGAACAACAAGTCGATGATCAAGGTCAGAAACACTATCGATTACGATCTATGGAACAATACGCGAAAGAACAAGGCAAACAGGAACAACCATCCAAACGATATTTTACGGCAACAACTTTACCTGAACTCATCACAACGTATCCTCTTGCACGGAAAGATTCAATGTCGACAAAGGAATTAGAAAAAGGTATAAGAAGAAAAAGAAAATTAGAAGATAATGAAAAGGACATTGGACTGATTTTATATATATATGTATATATAGAAACACAAAGTCGACTTGCTTTTGTGGATTTTTTACAAGGTCTATTGAATCTGAATCATTTTGAGCGCTGGTCACCTCAACAAGCCAAACAACATCCTTTTATTACTGGAGAACCTTTTACAGGACAATTCACACCACCATTTATACCGCGATCTCAACCCTCTATGAAAATACCACCACCAATGCCATCAATTTCACTTCAAGAACCATTCGATTTCTCTTCTCCTCCATACCAACCACCACCACCACAACGTCAACATGTATCGCAATCTTCTCTTTCTGTCAGTAATGATTACCTACCATCCAATAATCAGTATTCAAGTGAAACTCATGAGTCTTACTTATCACCAGCCTACTCCAGTCTTCCAAATTTTTACACTAATCGATTATCACAGCAACAATTCTCCCAACAATCATCATTACTTCAAGGTAATCAAAGCTCCTCTCGTCCTGAAGATGATATGGTGGACCCTAAAAGCAAATCATCATTCGCTACTATCTCCAAACGGTCATCTTACAACCTGCCTCGTGTTTTGGAACCTCCTGAAGGTGAATACGATACTTCTGTGGAATCAAATTTTATGCCATCCTCATTATTATATCAACATCGACAGCAAGCTCAGCAATCAAATCAGCAATCAATGTCAGGTGTTGGGTCTCAAGCATCGAGTGGTGGTGTGCACGGTCGACCGCGGGCAAACACAGTAGGAACAATGCAAATACCTCCTCCTATACAAATGGCTACTCTAGATGCAGTGACGAGTAACGTTGATGGTCCAAAATTGGGAATGATTCGTGAACGAAATCTGAAATTAGCTGATGTCAGTTCTCGATCTTCTCCATTGCAACAGCAACAATATCAACAACATGAACATCATCCACATTTCCGTCATCATCATCATCAACATCATCAACAACAGCAACAACAACAACAACAACAACACAATGCTCGTTTATTGGATCCTGATTATGTCGATTTTCAAGGAATCAAAGTATTAGATTCATATCAATCGGTGATGCCTAATGATAGCAACGGATCTTCTAGTTTTCAACCTTCCACAATATCCATGTTTCAGCAATCATCCTCTACGTCATCCCATCCAATCAATATCTCCACATCCACTGTCAACCATCAAGAACAGTATTATTCAGCAAATCAAGATTATGACTTTGGTCCATCAACGCAGCCACCTCCATTCCCTTTTAGTTATCAACAACTTCATCGTGCAGTTCAAGAACGTCCAAGCACTTGGCGATCAAGCATAGGAAATGTACCACCCATTGATTTGGAAAGAGATGCGGATTGGACAGAAGAACGAAACAGCCCACCATTAGACTCATCCTCATTATCACCTCATCACTATTCACAACATCAAACATCATCCTCATCTACTTCACCACTATCAGTTGCTAGTATGTCTATACGAAATTCAACATCCACATCCTCCCGACCATCTCAAAATTCCTCACAACAGCATCGTAGAAGTCATAGTGGTGTTCGGTTTGCAGACATAGTACCAACAATTTCCTCTTCCTCCTCCTCCTCCTCCTCCTCAAATAATGTCTCATCTGTGATGTCAAGATCTAGTATGGCAAGTAATGTAGCAAGTTTACATCGACGTGTCCGGGGTCATCCACCTCTTGTGCAGCCGTATCACCGTCATGATCTGGAGTGGGATGGGGTTCATAATATTCCATCACATCAGCAATTACAACAACAGCAGCATTTGACATCTTTCCATCAACATCAAAACCATGTAACAACAACTAGTGATTTGGACAGAACTTGATTCTATTAATTTCTGTAGTATTCTTTCCTTTTTTATTTTTTTTTTTTATTTTACATATACCTTATTAGAAATGAATCAACTTCCTCTTATCTTTTCTCTACTCTCATTTACATATTTCCGTTTAATTATTTCCCTTGTCTAGTCATATGCTTTTCACGCACACACTCACGTACACACATACACACATACATATATTACTTTTTTTTCAATAAAAGAAGCTTTGATATTATGATGATGATCCATATTGGTCTTTTTTTTTTTTTCCTCTTTTTTGTCTTCTGTTCAGTCAAGCTGACTAAGCGGCTATTGAATCCATACTCCTTTTTATTTTGGTATCATGGGTACGTAGACTGATGATAAGGTCATAAGGGTCCAATGGATGAAGAATATCAATAGCTCCGCATCATCCACATCTATACTTTTTCAAGTAACACCAATGAACGCATGTGCCGCCTTTCATAGAGACCATATTTGTCATTTTTTTTCAAAAGGAAAAAAAAACAAAGAATGATATACGTAAGAATATATCTATTTTCTTTTTTATTTTTATTTCTTTTTTGAAAAAAGAGGACGTTACAGGAAAGAAAAAAACGTTTGATTCTTTTTTTTTTTTTTTTTTGATCATATGCACTACGATGCCAGGGTTCAACACATGTATTCTAACAAAACTCAGTTCGTGCCACTAAAAAAAAAAAAAATCAGAGATCGCCATAAGGTAGTACGAAAATCATGTCTTTTTGCTTCAAAGTGGCGCCATTGGCACTTTCCCTTCTAAAGTGACAATTCAATATATTTTTTTCTTTAAATAAAAAATAAAATAAAATAAAAAAAAAGGAGTTCATGTGAGTTTAATTTCTTCATCAATATAAATAAAAAGTAAAGTAAAAAAAAAAAGGCTTTATTTCACAAAATAAAAATGTACAAAAAAGAAAATCATACATATATATATATATATATTGACTATCATACGAAGAATATAAATAAATCATCATGAGGTAGATAACGATGGGAGTAAAGCTGGGTTTTTCTCAACCAAGAGAGCACGTAACCATTTTGCTTCCATTTCCAGAGTCTTACACCGTTCTTCAAGCATATCTGCCTTGGCCGTCATATCCTTGACAGTTTGTTGTAATGCCTGTTCACGTAACTTTTTCTTCATTCGGAATCTTGCTGATGCGGCTGTGTTGCGTCGACGCTTGTCTTCATCCACACTTGATTTACGTTTTGCTTCATCCAGTAATCCAGATGATTGTTGTTTATTATCAATTAAATTCGTCACTAAATGTTGTTGATCTATATATGAAAATAAGGTAAGGATCAAAAAAAAAATATTTTTTTTACTATTGCTTTACCAAAAGGATGTATGTCATTGAAAACAGTATTATAAAGACAAGAATCATTTGTATGTGTAGGTTTAAGATCCAAAAGAGCTGAGCCTGGTGTAGAATCAAACTTGAATTCAGCATTGGCCCACATTGCAAGTTCGTTAGTGACATCTTCTTCTGATAGAGGAATCGACGTTTCTTCTCCAAGGAGATTCAATGATGCAATATAAGACATTGGATAGATCAAACTTGAATATAAATCAAATAAAGGAAAGAGAAAAAAAAAAAAAAGAAAAGAGAGAAAAAAAAAGTTATTTTCAAAGCTTAACGGAGAATCAATTACCGATGAATGGTTAGATTCTATAGTTGCACCAACATGGAATAAAGTTAGATTGCATTGAGAGGGCAAATTGATAAACCGAATATTCATTTATATGTAAAAGATTTTTTCGCATTTCATTGCGTAAATAAAATTCAGATGAGTCTATATAAATAAAAATCAAAGGATTGTTTTGGTTTACTTTTTATTGATGATATGTACAAAAAAAAAAAAAAAAAAAGAGTAAACTAAGTAAAATATGTAAAAAACAAAAGGGAACTATATAAACAATTTCTTTCAAAAAAAAGGGGGAAAGAGAAAGAGAAGGGATCTAATATCTGTAATATATATATGTATAGAATCCTTTTGTTCAAATCGTATCGATGGCTGGAGATGGTGGAGTTGCTGGTACATGTAATTGTAAACTATCACCAGGTTGATCATGATGCACAATGGATGTCAACGATGAAGATGTAATAGCTCGATGAGGGTGATATGTTGAAGAGAATCGTCCTTCACCTGATGATGATGCTGTAGTTGTTGTCGTCGTGGTTGTTGATCCTTCTGATGATAACGTTGGTGTATGATTTCTAGGATTCACCATTTGTGCCACAGTAGCAATAGTATGACTGTCAAGTTCGGTTGGTGATGCTGGTCTAGATGTTGCAAGTGCTGAATGAATCCTAGAGATCGGTTTATACCCATGTCGTTTTTGTGGATGTAATAAACTATGATGATGACGGTGTGGTTGATCTTTACCAAGATGATCTATACGTTGTTTTGGATGATCCAATTCAATTGAATGACGACGTTGTTGATGATCCATTAGTTCATTTGCATAGGTCGATGATGTTCTCCTTAATGATGACGGATTTGGACCAGTTTCTTGACCAGGTGATGATGGTGATGATGATATGGATGTTGTTGTATTGGAAGATAACGATGAAATGCTTGATTTCTTCACTTGAGTTGATCCATAAACGGCATCCTTTTCTTGATCTATCCAGTCATGAGTCCATGTATTCCTATCCTGTTTTTCTTGTTCATTACTTGCTTTGTTTCCTTGAGCCAAATTAAATGCTTCCATTTCTCTTGCATACCGAGCCTTGTCAGCTTTTGCCTTTTCTTGCCATGGATACTTCTCATCGTCTGTCATTTTACGCCATTGTTCTGCTATTACCTTGCTAATCATACCAACATTGCTTTTTGGATATTGTCGTACAGCGTCCGGTCGTGCAAAAGAAGCGAAGAAGAGAAAACCAGACATTGGATGCTTGGGTCCAAATGGATTCTTGTGCTTTTTCTTCTTGCGTCCACGAGGATCAGGGAATCTACGTTGTTGTTTACTTTCTTTTCCTGGTGTCTGTTGTGAACTGGTTGTTGATTTTTTGCTGTGTGGGTTGATATCATCTTTGGTGTCCCAATGATCACCGTACTTGTCACCTTCTACCGATCTCTTTCGTTTCTTTGATGGTCGGGATCGATATCCTGCTTGTTCCAATTCAGTTCTTGATCTTCGACTATACACATAATTGGGGTAGTTTTCCAAGTGTTTCTTCTTCAAATTGGCTGCCTCGTTGATATAACTATTTTTCTTTTCCTATAATGATATATATGTATAAATCATCGATAAATTTACTATTATTTATTATATGCTTACCTGAGGAAGATTTCGCCAACTTTCACTTATCAATTTGCTGATCAATGCCACAGTGAGATGTTCATTTTGATCCAATAGTTTTCTTCGCATTTCCCGGTTGAATAACAAATAAGCGTTGGGTGGGCGTTTCAAACGTGCCGTTTTTGGTGTCAGAGATGTGTTGTTGCATTGATGAATACCTACTGCTTGATCTAGTGCATTCGCTTCTGCAGCTCCAGATATACTTGCGACATTCAAAGTACGTTGAGAAGGAGGTGAAGTAGATAAAGATGATGATGACGTTGGAGATGAATTGATTGTTGTAGCGTCATTGTGATGATAAAAAGGATGATCTTGGTCTGTTGATGTTGGTGAAGAATGAAAGGTAGATATCATAGATACGTCACTATGGGCCATTGATCCTCTTTTTGAATGTTGATTGTCGCCTGTACCAAATGAACAAACACTTTCATCATCAGCAGCTATAGTGAGAGCAAAAGAGTTACTGCGGCTACTGTGAGAAATGGGTGATGAAGTCGAAAAATCATTGTATGAAGCATCAAATGATGATCCAGGGCGTAATCGATGATGGTTACCTATGTGTTCATCGGAAGAAGATGATGGTGGTTGACCAGTACCAGAAGAAGCTACGGTTGTAGTTGTGGTAGTAGTCGTGGTTGTAGTAGTTGTAGTGGTAGCAGCAAAACTGAATGGGGCTGGATCGGTTGGGTGAGTAAAAAGTGTCGTCGGTGTTCTAGTCGTAGCAGTAGTGGTAATGTTGTCATTTGGAAGTTCGGCTCTGATCCTATCTGCCTTCTGTTTGTACCAGTCCCGTTCTTCCTATCATAACAACAACCAAAAAAAAAAAAAAAAAAAAAAAAAAGTTAAGTAAAAAAAAAAAAAAAAAAAAAAAGAAAGAAAGAAAAAATGTCATAATTTTACCTGAGTCAAAGCTTTCCATTCATCACCAAGTTGTCTATTGATATCCGTATTTCGAGCATTAGGTTTTCCTTGTTTCAAAATTTGACGACGATCCGAGCAAAAAACGAAAAAGGCATTGGGAGATCGTCTTTTTCCAGTTTGTGGTCTTTTTTGTTGTTTTTCCGATTTTTTCTTTGTTGCATCAGAGTTCTTGGTACCGGCATTTGTTGGAGAACGTTGATTTGATTTTGTGATGATGTCGTCAGATACCGTTAGAGTAGTTGCAGTAGATATATCATCCCGACTGGTTTTGGTTTCGGTAGAACCCGCATCATCTTGCTGATCAGAAGTAGTTACAGTCATATCTTTTTTGTTGTGAAAATCATCATCGTTGGAAGAGAAGGTCATCGATAATAAAGATTGCATATCATTTGTTCGAGATGATGGTGATGATGATGTCCATTGATTTGCCTGTCGATGTTGATCCATAAAATTACCGGTTGTTGTAGTGGTAGAAGGTGATATATGGTATTCAATTCCCTCCATCCTTGAGGAGTTCATTGGAACAAAGTTTGAACCTTCAGGTGGTTCTGAGTTAGAATCTAAAATGAAGAGATTAAAAAAACAATTCAAAAAAAAAAAAACTAAAAACAATTGTTATTTATTTTATACCTTGACATAATTCATGTTTGGAAGGACGAGAAGAAGGATTGATTGAGTGATGATAATCATTTTGTGAACTTTTCTGAAAAGTAGAATGTTGAGCATACCAAGTCATCTAAAATAAAATAAAAATGAGTTTAGATTGAAGTTGTCAAAAGAGAGAAAAAAAAAAAAAAAGAAATTACTTGACTAGAATTGACTGAATGCGATTGGTAAACAGCAGCAGCAGCCGCAGCATGAACAGCAGCTTGTTCAGCAGTTGATATAGAACTATGACGATGATTTTGTTGAGAAGAATGATGATGATAAGACAATAAGGAATGTGAAGTATCAGGAAAGGACCGCGAATAAGAAGATTTGGTAGAGTGATGAGAATCCCTGAGGGTTGAATAATGGGAATGTTCAGAATGGTTGTTGAATTGTTGTAACTGAGGTTGTTTAGGGTTATGGTTGTTGTCGAGGGTGACCATTCCTTGGCTAACAACACGATGATCTTGATGATGATTGGCTGGAAGAATCACAGGAGGAATCACTTGACTTGGCATTGTTCGAACAGGAGACCCATCGGTATGTAAATCCATGTATCCGTGAGTCAAAGGATGAAATAAAGATGATGTTGAAGAAGAAGAGGAAGAAGAGGAAGAAGAAGATGGTGGAGAGTGATGTTGTGAATATTTTTTATCATCTGTTTTATCATTTCGTGACCATTCATGTTGTTTAGAATAATTTGTTGATCGCGTTTCAAATTCAGAAGTTGAACTTGTTAAAGTAGTTGAATAATTGTTGTGTTTTCGTCTTGAAGTATCATGAAAATTCCAAGAGGTAGTTGGATTGACGTAGTTATGATTTTGGTTGGATAATTCATATAGAGTCAATGTTGGCGTTGGTGTGTGCGGCACGTTGTTTTTAGTTAATAATGTGGCGTTCTCCATAGCGTGTACAGGTATATAATCACCATCACCTTCTTTCCATTGAGACATTGGTCTATTTTATATAATAATAATAATAAAATAAATATAAAATTATTTATAATAATAATAATATTTTTTTTACCTATAGAACAATGTAAAATTAATGAAAATAAAAGCAAAAAGTAGATGATGTGCAACAAAGAGAGAGAGACAGAGAGGAGTATACTTTTGGGTATGAATAAAAGAAAGAAAAAAAAGAAACTTATTTTGGAATGATAAAGAAAGGAATCAATAATAATAAGAAAAAACAAGGTTGTTCATATATATATACACACACACAAAAAAAAAAAAAAAAAAGAAGAAGAAAAAAGAAAAGGAGAAAGAGAGAGGGGAGAAAAAAAGGGTCAAAATGGGAGTATAAAAAAAAAAAAAAAAAACACCATGCTTTTTTTTTGGCTGGTGTGTTGTTGTACGCCCCAAATTCCAAATAGAGTAACCTGAAAAGTTGGACCACGGGGAGTTTGGGGTGAACCAACATTTCGGGCTTTTTTAGTTTTTTTCATATTGGGAAATGTAATATTCTATTGAAAAAAAAAAAAGTTTAATCTATCATTATATATATAGTCATTTTGATTTCTATAAATCTTTAATTATATATATATGTTATTTTATATTTTATAAAACTTATTTTAAAAATAATAACAACAATAACAAAAAAAAAAAAAACAATCTATATATCAACTGATCATTTTGTTGGTTTTCGTGTCACACCTCCACTTTCCTTACTTTACCACACGATAATAAAAAAAAGAAAAAAAATGCGGAGTGTATAATTATTATTTTTTTCTTTTTTTCGAGTAATCCAACTACAAAGGTTTTTTCTTTTTTTCGAGTAATCCAACTACAAAGGTTTTTTCTTTCTTTCCCTTTTTTTTTCTTTTTTTTTAACATGGCTAGTGCAAAGAACTTTTTTACTACAGGTAGAAATATTATTGCTATTGGACGTAATTTTAGGTAAGTAATAGAATATTATTCATATATATTTTTTTAAACTTAATTTTTTTATTTATATTTTATAGTGAACATGCTAAAGAACTTGGTAATGCTGTTCCCACTTCTCCTTTTTACTTTTTGAAGCCTACTTCTTCCTATTTAGCCAATGGTGGTATTGTTGAAATACCTAAAGGTTGTGAAGTACATCATGAAAGTAAGTAATATATATATATATATAAAAGAAAGGAAAAAAAATAATTGTTTTTTTTTAAAATAATAAAGTTGAACTTGCTGTTGTTATTGGGAAAACTGGACGCGATATCAAGAAGGAGGATGCTATGAATCATATTGCAGGTTTGTTATTATCATTCTCTTTATTATTATTGTTATTATTATTATTATTATTATTTATATTTCACTTTTTTATCAAAATTAGGTTATGCATTGGCTATTGATATGACAGCTAGAAATGTTCAGGTAACTTGAAATAATAAAGTGACTGATTAAAAAGGATGAAGAGTCATATATATATTATATATATATAGAATGAAGCAAAGAAGAAAGGATTACCTTGGAGCACTGCTAAAGGATTTGATACTTTTACCCCAATCAGGTAATCCTTGACTCATATTACTTATTTAACTTATTAATCATCAAAACTTTTTTTCTATTCTTTTATAGTGACTTTATACCAAAGGAAAGAATTAGTGATCCATCCAATGTTAATCTATGGTTGAAGGTAGGAAAAAAAAAAAAAGGCTTACAAAGTAAAAAATAAAATTGATATCAATAATATATATTAGGTCAATGATGTTTATCGTCAAAATGGAAATACCAAAGATATGATTTTCAAGTAAGTTCCTGAATAATCATGATATCTAATATTAATATATTTATTTTATTATTATTATTAGTGTACCATCATTGGTGGAATATGTATCTTCAATTATGAAACTAGAAACTGGTGATGTTATGCTTACTGGTACTCCTAAAGGTGTTGGCCAAATTGTGAATGGAGATGTGATTACTTGTGGATTACGTGTAGGATCTGATGACAAGGATTTGGTGAATATGAGATTTGATGTTAAGGATCGTCAAAACAGTAGCTATAGTTTTAAATAAACATTACTTGAAATTCCGCAAAATGCTTTAATCCGCATGACGAACATATATATAAAAAACTCACACGTTACTCTTCTTTGTTTTTGTTTCTTTTTCTTTTTGTTTCTTTTCCTTCTCTGTCACTTCTGTACTTTTTCTTTTTTGTCTTTATTATGACTGTAAGGAAAAAATATAAATATATATATATCAACTTACATGACAATGCTTCATTCCTATTATTTCTTATCTTTCTTTTTTTTTAAAAAAAAAAAAATAAAAATAAAAAATTATTTACAGCCTCCCATTCGCCATCTATCAGATATACAAAAACGTTTATTTCAAATCAAAGCTGAAAGGAAAAAAAGGTAAACCATAACTTTTATTTTTTCAATAGTGTATTCATCTTTTTTTTATATATAGTTTTGCAGATATCGGTAAAGCAATAGGTCGGGATGAAGTATACGTAGCTGCTATATTTTATGGACAGGTAAAAAAAAAAAAATTCTTTTATAACGCGCGTTTTTTTGTTTTACTGTATATCCGGTAGTTACTGATTTATTTATTTGATGAAATAGGCAAAACCTAGTTTTGATGAAATAGAGAAATTATCAAAATATCTTAATATTCCAACAACTCATCTCGCTGCAGAATATGGACCACAATTTTTCCCTGATCGTGGAGGTTTGATGGCAATTCCACCCACAGATCCTGTATTATACAGATTATACGAAATGATACAAGTCTATGGGTATCCAATCAAGGCTATTATTCATGAAAAGGTTTGGAAATAATAATAATAATAATAATAATAAAAGGAAGGCGTAAAAGAAATAACAAGACACCTACGATACTAACTAATTTTTCTTTTTTTGATAAATAGTTCGGTGATGGTGCTATGTCTGCTATTGATTTTACAGCAAGTGTTGAAAAAGTAAAAAAAAAAAAAAAAAAAAATATAATATTTCAAAATTCATAAGAAATATCGTAAATACTGATCTTCTTTTTTTTTTTTTTAATACTTCTTTATTCGTTATCATTAGGTGGAAGATCCAAAAGGGGATCGCGTCAAACTTATATTTGATGGCAAGTTTCTACCTTACAAGAAATGGTAGTAATACCTTAGTTAGTTTGATTACGTAGTATAATTACCTATTCAATAAAAGTCTTTATGAAATAAACAATCACCCATCACAATATATGTAAAATAACATAAATCGAATAAATCACTCTGTTTCAATTGACTTCACTTTAAACTTTGTTTCTCAATTGATATAGTAAAAAAATAAAATAAAATAAATAACGATCAATATCACTACACCCAAAATGATCATCATCCAATGGAACTACTACCTTTCAATTCCTCTCCAAAAAAGTAGTCTAGTGTTGTCTAATTGGGGTTTCAGCGATTGCCTGGAGATTTTTAAAGGATGACTAAACTAAATCAATTGAGTAAATTAAAAATTAGAGGTCAATATTGTCATCCTTCATCCAATAATGATCATCATCCAACATAATTACCACCATAAGATTCCTCTTAAAAAAGTAGTTTAATAGCACCTAATCCCAGTTTATCGCTTATCTTGCCAGCTAATAGTGTAATAAGCACCAAAAGATTTCATCCATTTTTTGAAAAAATGCCTGATGACCCCATGACAATTTATTTTTACAGCCAAAATTTGGCTGAGGAATTGAAATTTTTAGCTGTGAAATCCAAAAAAAAAAAAAAAAAAAAAGAATCCACCGCCCTAAATAGCCCTAATCATCTCACAAGAGAAATTTTCAAATCCCATTTTGAGGTTTAAACGTCTAACTATACTATTACTAAAACAAAGATATATCATCTATGATTATACATTTTTTATTCATATATCAAAGCACATTTATCACTAAAAAATGTCACGTTTATAAGCAGGAAAAAAATATATTTTATTTTTTTTCTTCGTTTTACCTAGGGGTGTCAAAGGTAAATTGATCGTCGGGGGGATGAGAGTAAGAATTTCCTGTATAAAAGATAGTTTCGGTGAAGGATACAAACAAACAAGGTAAAATGAAGGAGTCATCATGATATGTGAGAAGGGGAAGTTAACTATACAAAAGTCAATACAAGAGCAGATGAAGGGGTCAAACCTATCAACAGATAGAAAAAAAAAAAAAAAAAAAAAAGGTTAAAAAAAAGAGAGACTTAAATACGATATTATCCTTCATATACCTAATTCCTTCAAGGACTTGTCCAGATCTACATCAGCAAAAGTTTTTCTAAATGAGAATAATTTGAAAATGAGTCCAAAAAATAAAATAGTCAAATATGAATCCTACTTTTTTTTTTTTTTTTACCTTGGGAAGGTGGTGGAAAGAGTGAAATTACCATTGCAGCCAGCAGCCTTCAAATGATCGTAAACGTCTGTCAATTTGGCATCAGCAGCAAATGTCTGAGTTACTGGAGTTGCGTTTGGAATACGAATCTATCATGCAAAAATAGATATGAAATAGAAATGAATGATCTATGACGCGTCCTTTTTTTTTGGTGTCTATCAATTACCTGTAATCGAGCTTCATTATATTCTGTCTTGATAGTTTGATTGGATCCAACTGTAGAAGTACCAGCAGTAGTGGCAGGAGTAGAAGTAGTCTCTTGCGTAGATCGTTTAGAAGCTTCACGCTTTAAACAAAAAAAAAAAAATGAGTGCACCAATTATATATATATATAATATACCAAATTACCTTTGCTTGTCTTTCCAATCGATCTTGTTCAATCTTAGCCTTAATATTCGCCTTTGCAATACGATCCAATTCCTTTTCTCGACGTTTAGCTTCAAAAGCTTTCTTGATTTCTTTGGCTTCCATTTCTTCCTTGAGTGCTGACATATCTTGACCTGCTTTTCGTCGAATTCGTTCGGCTTGTTTTTGTTCCTCTATACTATTTGCTGCTTCCTTTGCCCGTTTTTCTGCCAGTCGTGCTTTAAGTTCTGCTAGTTTTTGTTTCTTTTCTTCTTCTGTCAATGGTTTGATGATTTCTGTACTTTCTGAAAAATTTTGATGTTGCGTTTTTATAGCATGACGTTCAGCAGAAGTGGCTATACAAAATAGTATATTATGCATTAATAATCCAATTTATTACGCGTACCCAGTATATATAAAACTTACCATCACGGAATAATTTTTGACAATCATTGCATATCAGACTTTGAGCTGTTTGTTCACCATCCTTGATTTCACCTAATAAAAGTCAATAAAAGAGAGAGAAAAAGCCATGAATGTTTGAAATGAGCAATAATAATAATAATAATAACAATAACAATAAATAAAAAGAAGTTCAACTTTTTTCTTATTTTTTTTTTTTTTTTTTTTTTTGCTTTACCTTCTTCTTTTGATGTCGATGATTCTGTAGAAGTAGAACCTAAAGCTTGTCCTTGTTGATCTTCTTCTGGTTCGTCGGAAACGTCAGGATGACTCAAGAGCCTAAAAGAGAGAGAGATAAATATGGTAAATCTATATTTTCCTGTGAATATGTCAAAACTTTTACCAATCCATGGCAGGTTGAAGACCAGCACCGTTCACAGCTTTCCACGCTTTTTGACTACAAAAAAAGAAAGCCAAAGTATGAGTGAGTTTTTTGCTTTTTTGTTTTTTTTTTTTTATTTACAACACAGATAAACTATGTATAACGTGTTGTTTTACCTATTTTCATATTATATATATATTCTATTAAACTTACACTTTCCCTCTAGAAAAGCCCATTCCAACCAAAGTATCAATATCACCGGACATGTTTGTATTGAAGGAGTAACAATTTATTAGTAATAAAGGAAAAAATATTGAAAAAAAAAAGAAAGAAAAATAGAAAGTCAATGAAAAAAAAAAAAAAAAAAAATTGAAATTGAGTTACCGCAGACATGAAGTTGTAAGTTGTAAGAAGTTTTCTTTTTTTTGTTTATTTCTACTTTTGGTTTGGTATGAAAAGGAATAGAAAAAGAATCGTGACACGATAAAAAAAAAAAAGGATTACCGATGATGGTTTATATATTTTGAAAGGAAGGAAAGACAAGAAAGAAAAGTGGAACAGCTGTGTTTCATTTTTCAATATATTAAGGCATATGGGTAAACTTTTTTTTTTTTTTTTTTTTTTCTTATTTCTCCTTTTTTTTTTTTTTATTATTTCTTTTCTTTTTTTTTTTCCTTTTCTTTATGTTTAAAATAAAAAAAAGAAAAAAAAAAAAACTTATTATATAAAATATGACTAGACCATCACCAAAACAAAAAACTATACCACCACTTGTATTACTATCATTTGCTTTGATTCATTCTCAATTCTATTGGCTTTATTCTGTTATTTATCATCTATGTCATAACTTATCTGATAGACCTGTGGATTTAGATCAATCTGTTCTTGATGCTCTTACAAAACGTTCAGGTAGAACAAGAGCTTTTTCTGAACCTCAACAACCTTCTACTATTATTCTTCAACAAAGACAAGCTATTACAGCTACTTCTTCTAAAACACGACCTAGAAGTAAGTTATAATATTATTATATCATAGATTTAAATATTGAATTAAACTTTTTTTATTATTATTATTATTAGGTACCACTATAAGTGCAACTACTGTAGATGCTGATGCTCCCCTTAGAAAACAACAATGGGTGAAACATGTTCAAGCTTGTATTAATCAACAACAATTGATGGATCCTACTGAAAAAGATTATATTTTGGATGAGAGAATGGGAAGAACTCGTCCTCCTCGATGGTGGCAACGAACAAGAAAACATTTAATTCGTCAAGATAAAATGGATAGTGATATCAATATTCATTCTACACTCTCATTACCCGGAACAACTCACATAGATTCTGCAACAACTTCCACCAATAGTAAACAATCACAACCTGTATCACTCCTGCTTTCCGCCACACAATCATCTTGTGATCCTCAACAACATATTCCCAAACCTAATGATATTATTTCATCATCATCATCATCATCATCATCAACAACAACATTATCATCACCAACACAACATTGCATTATAACTTCGGCATCTTCATCATCATCACCTCCTTCTGTCAATCTGCCAACAAAACCTTTTATGGAATCATCCAATCAAGATTTATCTACTACGACAATCACTACAAATGATCCAAACAACAACAACAAACGTCGACCCTTAGCGAAAATTAGATCTGTTTTTATAAAATCACAAATCGAACCGGAAAAGGTACGGTCTCAGTTAGATCGGAAGAGAAAAACAATCCTTGGCATTCCTTCCCGATGGTCATCACCTCCTACAAGTACTACCATTACGACTAAATCAACAACAATGGTCACAATGACAAATCACAGTACTTCTTCACAACCATCAACACAAAAACAACGATTATCAGTTAGGATCAAGGAACCAAAGGAATCATCACCAAAGAAAAGATTATTTTCTTCTTTACCAAATTGGAAACGAATGAATGGAAAATTAGATAGATAGCTTTTTTTTTTTCCTCCTTCCCTTTTTTTTTTTTTTTTTTATTTATTTGTATTTGTATATATTTGTTATTTAACCTTCATACACAAGTTTGATCTATTATCAATAAAAAAAAATTCAGTTTTGTTATCGCTTTTCTTTTTATATTAAAAAATACACGTTGTCTCTCTTTTCATTGTATTAATATCCAATCTTAAAGATATGATATCCCCATTCAGAAGAATAATCTCATATGATTGGTGCAGATTGATTTGCATAATAAACTCATTCTCCTACCAAAACCAAAATGGAACAGAAATATATTGACATTTGATAATAAAAAAAAAGTTGTAAATATGATTTTTTTATTGATTTGATTTGATTTGATTCCAACTATACGAATAATGGGTAGAAAAATAATGTGTAAAAGATAAAGTAGTACACACGAGCACACACACACAAACAGAAAGAAGAAGAATAAAAAAAAAAAAAAAAAAAAAAAAAAAAAAAGAGGAAGAAAAATTGGATAAGGATAAGGTATAAGAAATGGTAAGGGAGAACATAAGTTTAAAAAAAAAAAAAAAAAAAAAAAAGAAGAAGAAAAAAGATAAGAGGGCAAATAGGAAAAAAAAAGGTGAAGAAGGAAGGAAAAAAAGAATGGATTTGAAGGGAATTGGAGGGGAATAATAGTGAAAAATAAATATAAAAGAAAATAATAATATAAAGATCTAACACATGCACAAAAAAAAAAAAACTATTACTGTTTTACTTTTGTCCTTTTCCTTTCTTGATGAGCCACTGTAGAGTAACATCAATATTCACTTGATTCTTAGCAGAAATTGAGTAACAAGATACTTCACGATTGGTAATCGATTGCAAATGTCTATATAATAATAAATCAATGGAATGGATCTTTTTTATTCTTTTTATACTTACAATACTTCAATCAACTGTTTCACTGATAAAGCTTCATCCAAATCATTTTTATTTCCAAGGACAAGCATAGGAATATTCGCCAATTGTGGTTTTTCCAATAATGCTTTAAGTTCTGTATAAGCTGCCTCCAATTTACTATGATCTGCCGCATCCACTACAAAACTAAAGAAAGAAAAAAAAAATTAAAAAAAAAAAAAATAATCATTTTTGTAAATTTTCCTTTACTTACACTATAGCATTGACTCCACGACAATAACGTTCCCACATACTACGAAAACGAGGTTGTCCACCAATATCCCATAATTTCATCGTCACATTGCCTTTGGTCACTTTTCGCATATTAAAACCAACAGTTGGAATAGTATCTTCCATGAATTGTCCAGACTAAAGATTAAAAAAAAAAAAAATGTTACGAGTCAAACATCTATTTTTACATGTGTATATATATCCTTATTCCTTTCCTTTTTTTTTTTTTAGATAACACTCTCTATTTTTTACTTACTGCAATCACATTAACAAGAGTTGTTTTACCACTATTTTGAAGTCCAACCAACGTCAGCTCCATTTCAGTCTATAGGAGGGATAATAAATAAAATAAAAAAAAGGATGAGTTTCTCCTAGTTCGATAAAAAAAAAAAAAAAGAAGATATTCCCATTATTTTATTTATATACCTTAAAAAAGAGACTTCGAAGCCATTCCAGTATCGAGTGAATAATACTTGCCATTAATGAATATAATTAGAATATGTTGTTGTCTTGTTATCCAATGAAAAGAAAAAAAAAAAAAAGTAAAAGAAAAAGAGGAGAGAAGCGGAGAGAAAAAAAAAAGAAGTAGAAAAATGGAAAATGTATATGTCGACTGACTGAAAAAAAAAAAAAAAAAAAAAAAATGAGGACAAAAAAGACGTCATGTGCTTCGTTTATCCCAAAATTATTTATCGATTTTGAAAATAGACTTTTTTATCCCAAAAATTATTGAGTCACACCATAGAAAAAAGAAAGGTTAAACTTTTTCATTTTTTGTTGACATAGTAGTAATGTTGAGGGGTCCATCATCTATCGAGGAAACACAAAACTTAATCACTCTCGTGTCAAGCCCCGCACGCACATCTATATACCCTTTCATTTTAATACAAAGATCAAATTCAAGTAAAATGGATCTATAAAGGATGATTCAAAAAAGGAGTCTTTTGTTACCCTCATCAAACAAAAGCGGCATTTTTATTGGCTTTGATCACTAAAAAGAAAAAATAGGTCTCGGATTTCAGTCGTATTAAGGCAATTCTTTCAATGTTGAATTTTCAGTACTACCATCAAACTCGGTTAAAAACTTACAATAACATGTTTGAAAAAAAACCTTTTTTCAAGGACATGGCCAAAAAAGGAAGTCGGATCTTCAAACACACATAATAGGGTAAAAGAAGACCTTTTCTTTCTCTCTTTCTTTCTTTCTTTCTTTCTTTCTTTCTTTTTTCTCTTCAAAGAGTATCATTATACCTATTATTATTTATTTATTTATCTTGACTTTAAATTATGTCCAATGTCAGTAAGTTTCCACCATGATAATCATTTAGCTTTTTTTTGTTTTTAGGATGACCAATGGATTCTATTCTTTTTTTTTTTTTTATGTTACGGCCCAACAACAATCTAGAGTTTACAACTAACTATGCATTGAACAAACGAAGAATGACTTTTTCTTCTATCAAAAGAGAAAGGAAGGGATAGTGTGGTAATAACAAATTTTCATGTAACAGGTGTGTACAACTGGTAATTATTATTATTATTTTACGTAGGGCTCCTTGTAGATTTCTAAACAATAAATATGCAAGGACTTATACTGTATTTTTTTGAAGGATTCATGGGAATTGGGGAGTGATTATTCATTCATCAATTATCACAAACTGTCATCATCATCAATTATAGGCATTTCATTATTATGGTGAAAAACAGGAGACCACAGGACGATTTACGCCAGTAACAAGGGGGGCCATTTCTTTTATAAGAAATGCAAGACAAAAGAAGAATACAACAAGAAGGCTTCTGTAATTCCACTTATAGAATAGTATCAGAAAAATTAGTTTTTAGATTATTAGCTTTAATTATATCAAATAAACTCTTTACTATTGCCTTGATTCCTACTTTTACTTTCATCTATTATAAAATTACCAAGATATTTTACAAGAAAAAAAAAATGAAATTTTTTTTATCCTAATGTCTCCTTGCATTTGATTTCAGTTGGGATAATCGACTAAAAAAAAAAAAAGGGATTCAGTTGATTAGTTCGTGGTGATCGCGAAACAAGATTGAATAAAGTGTAAAGTAGAAACAATATGCATTTCTACTCTTTTTTTTTTTTCTTCTCTTTCTTTATGATTAAACACCCTTTTGCTTTCCCCTCTTTTCCCCTTACATAATAAGGCTAAATTCTATTTTATCATTTTCTTCCATCATTTTCGATTCCAACCTTTATATCTCATGTCAACACTATTAGAAAGATGATCAATATAAAGAAAAAAAAAAGGTACAAGTGAACGGTAGGAAAATGCGCTACTCTCAGAAATGGAAATCAAATTGAAGCCCAGCAAATACAAACATTGGAAAAAACGCATAAATATCTTCCACTCTAGTTTTTTCTTTCTTTCTTTCTTTCTTTCTTTATAATATTTATGAACAATGGAAGAATCATCGGAAGACCCAATGTCCAAAGATCAACCTAGTCAATTAGGAAAGTTGGCACCAATGGCAATTGGAGGTACGATAATATCAAAACTTATTTATTGTATTAATCATTTCTCTCTCTCTCTCTTTTTTTTTATTTCAATAGATCAAAAACTTGGACGACACATTGGATTCTTTAGTGGAACAGTGATGAATGGTATTAATTCAAAAAAAAAAAAAAACTCGGATGAAAGTTGACTTTTTTTTTTTGTCTAGTTGGAGAAATCATTGGATCAGGCATCTTCTCAAATCCTTCATATATTCTTAAAAATACAGGATCTGGTGGAATGATGCTTATACTTTGGATCGTAGGAGCTCTCACAAGTGTTTCTGGATTACTTACTTTTTTGGAACTGGGAACAATGGTAAATAATCAAAAAATAAGAAAAAAGTTCATTATTTATATCATATGCTCATCTCCTTTTTATTTTTAAAAAATGCATCACAAAAAAAAAAAAAAAAAAAAAAAAAAAAAAGCTTCCTCGTAGTGGTAAGAGATGATTTTTTTAAGAAAAAAAAAAAAAAAAAGAAGGAATGGGGACATTGAATTCATACTGTTGACTTTTTTTTTTTTTGTGTTCAATATGATACATAGGCGGTGAAAAGACATATATTGGTTATATTTATCACAAACCCAATCAATTATTATCGTTTATATTTATGGTCATGGTGGGAATATGTACAAGATGTGGCTCTCTTGCTCAGGTATATCATATAGAAAAAATAACCAAAGATAGAAAGAAAGGAAATGGACTAGAAAGGAAATATCATCGAATTACCTTTTTTTATTTCTATGATTAGGGATCTATTGTATTTGGTGACAATATGGTTTATGCTATGTATGGTGGAAATGAAAGGAACGAATGGGCTTCACGCGGCTTTGGAGGTAAGCTTCAATTATTTCCATACCCAAAGAGATATCCAAATCAGCATGATTCTTCTTTTTAACTTTTTTTTTTTTATATTTCAAATACATAGCGTGTTGTTTAACCTTCTGGATCCTTATCAACATTGCTTCAGCAAAGGTAAGAAGAGTTATTAAAAAAAAAGTTAGGAAATAAGTGAATATCAACTTTTTTTTTTTTTTTTTTTTTTACATTATTTATGTAGAATGCAATCCGATTCAATAATGTATTCACGGCAATGAAGATTACTTTACTTGTGTTATTGATATGTGTTGGATTTGCTGGTATGGCAGGCATCTTACCGAATCGACCTTCTCTGACAACCAATTTCTCATTTAACGGCACTGTTCAAAACGCAGGATCCTATGCAAATGCCATCTACTTTGTGATCTTCTCCTTTGGTGGATATTACAATCTTCAAAGGGTAACGGATGAGTTGAAAAACCCTCTCAAGAATTTGCCTCGGTGTGGTGCCACTTCTATTGCGTTTGCAACTGTTGTTTATCTCTTGGCAAACTGTGCCTACTTATCCGTCTTATCTTTGGAAATGATCAAGTCTTCCGATTTGACTGTGGCTGCCCATTTGTAAGTTCCTAGTCCTTCTTTTTTTTATTATTGTTGTTAATTTGTTTCGGCTGTTTGTTTTAGGTTCAATGTTGCTTTTGGTGGTACGTTTGGATCTCATGTCTTGCCTGTGTTTGTTGGATTGTCATCTTTCGGTATGGTAGGCGTAAGTATATAGATGTATCATTGGCCGATGAAGGTATAGCTGATTGATTCTATTGTTTGTTTCCCTCTTCTTTTTTTTTTTTTTTTTTTTTGTTAATAGGTAATTGTGTATTCTGCTTCCAGGGTGATATTGGAGTTTGCTCGTGAAGGTCATCTACCCTTTGATCGGTACTTTAGCAAGGTACATCCTACATTACAAACCCCAGTTCCTGCTCTTCTATTACTTTATGGTCTTTCTTTGGTATTTTTGTTAGGTCCTCCTCCAGGCACAGTGTTTGAATTCATTATAGCGTTTACTAATTATGGTGAATACTTTTTTGGTAACTATGAACATAAGAAAAGAATAAAAAGAAAAAAGGATGATATATTCATATCTTATTTTTTTTTATAAAAACAACAATGATGATGATGATGACCATTTTGTGCAGCTGCCTTGTGTGCCATTGGTATATTTATCCTTCGACATAGAGAACCTGATCTGAAGCGTCCCATTCGAGCACCAACCATATTTGTTTTCTTTTTTATTGCAGTATGCATATTCACCATTGTATTTGTCTTTCTTCCACCCACACATGCTCCGGCATCTTATCCCTATTATGGTAATTGAAAAGAAAGAAAGAAAAAAAAAAAAAGAATCAAGAAAGAAAAATTAACTCGCCATTTTTTTTTCTTTATTTTTCTTTTTTGGTCAACTATTTAGTTCCCTATCTTTGTTGGATAACTATGACATTATTATGCATCATTCCTTGGGTAAGTTTTGATCAAGTTATACCGTCTGAAAGCTAATAAATGAATGTTTCTTTTTTTTTTTTTTTTGGGTATTGTGGGATTGGTTTTTTATTATAGTATATCAAGATGGTGGTACATAATGGACTCGATCACTCTTACAACAATGAAATCAAAAAGGCTGGACAACAAGAACTATTCAAGGATGTGTATCAAGACCAGGATCAAGCAAATGATTCTTCGATGGAAAAAGGCAAACACGATTCAAATGATTCTACTGACAATGTGGATGAAAGTTATGTCATTACAAAAGTACAAGTCAAAGGTTCCTGAATATTTACATAGATCTTGAATTTGTATACTTAGTTTACTTTGATTATATGTTTATATATATATATATATATATATATATTAATAACAATAAATGATCACTTTAAACAATATCAATGTCATGGATTTTGTCTTTGTTGAAAGACTGAATAGGAAATGCATATAATATGAGAGGAAGAGGATGATCAAAATATAAAAAGAAAGCACAAAGAAGGGAGATGAATAGGGGGAAAAACAAATGATTGGCAACATTTCCCAATTCATCGGATAATATTTTACTTGTAGATGGCCGTTAGGGATTGACAACATTGATGATTCATCATCATTTGAAAAAAAAGGTAAATGACCCATAACAGAATGGGAATAATAGGTTACAATTAGAACGTCTATTTTTTTTTTCTTTTTTATTACCACCGTTACCTCGGATTTGCCATTATATGGTTAACGTCCCTTTTTAGCACTATCTCTTTGAATAAGCCATTTTGATAATTGTACCAATCATGCCTTGATGATAAACTTAATTTTTTTTGACAACCCAATAAAACGATGAAGTATTATATTTGGGTGATTTGTTTGAATCCTATTGACAACAATATCAAAAGAGACATATCACAGCTATAAAGCTTCCTCTTTCCTTTTTTTTTTTCCTTATTCATTTTTTTTTTTTTTGTTTCTCGATAAACATCGCAAATCATCTATTTTCACACTATATATCTCTAAACTTATTATAATCACAAACAATTCAAGATGGGCTGCCTTGTGTCTGTACCAAAAATGGAGAATGGTTTCCTGACATATTCTCAACCTTACAGAAAATGGAAGTTCAGTAACTACTATTATTACAGTAGGTACTACTACTAAGATAATGCTCAGCACATCATCATGACGATATGACTTTTGCGTTCAGGAAGAAGTTGATGGTCTTTGAAACACTTTTATTGATTTTACTATGTGATTTGTCATTATCAAGTATACGTTGTGTCAGAACTTACTGTAAAAATATTATATATATTCAATTCTCTTAAATAAATAATCAATATGATAACCATCCTCTGCTTTTAATCATCATAGTTTTAGTGGGGGGGGGGAAGAGAGTGGACAGTCATTTCAAATCTTTTCTTTTGAAAGAGAAAAAAGTTGTGTGGTAGTTTCGGGCTTTCCCAAAATGGATATTGCTTCTCTTTTGAAGTCGCATTTTTTTTTCCTTTTTCTTTTTCCTTTCTTCCTTTTTTTTTTCCCTTTTACTTTTTTTATTAATTATAAACTTCTCAATTTTATTTGAAAATGTGACATTGTGGATGATAATGGTAATGATACAATGAAAGTGGTTGAAGAAAATGGCGGTATCAAACTGAAAGTACTTACGACTATGGAATCAAAAGAAAGAGAAAGACACCAGAAAAGAAGATATCTCTCTGGGGTACATCAGGAGAGTAAGAACAAAAAGTAAAAAGGTAAAAGATCAATTTCCATACATACAATACTTATTTCAATCAGGTCAAACTCTCATGTTATTTAGTGTCTTATCAGAAAACTAATATCAACCGGTGAAGACGGAAAACAAGGTTGGCGTCGACAAACGTATAGTATGAGGAAATTTTCAATAGAAGTAAGTACTTTTGAAAAAAAAAAAATATTCATTTCATTTTTTTTCACATTCGTTTCATTTAGATATATACTTCGACCAACGCCAATAAAGAGTACTGCGGCAATCAACTGTCAATTATATCATTCAACGATAGTCATGTTTATGGATGGAAACGTTGTATATCTAGCAAGCTGTACAATTTATGCAAAACGACTTTATTACTTTATATACCGACTATCAACAATAGTTGAAGAGGAAGGATTTTGACTTTGTAACGCATTAACGAATCATAGAAACCCTTACGGACTGCTTTATTACTGACTACACGGATAACAATTGGTAGCTTGTGAATAGGTTACTCCCCTCAAGACTACGCTACCTTTTTGGATCGCTGCGAAAAGCAAAAGAATTATAATGGACAATCACTCTGATCAACAAACGGATATACCATCTGCTATCTACACCGTGAAGCAAGCCATATTGGAGACCCAACGACTTACAAACGGAACTACTGAATGAAAAGAAAAACAAGGAAGCTGGTATGCCTCGAGCGATTACTGCCCCTGACACTTTACGATGGAAATAGGAACATGTATGAGCGAGATTACAACAACAACAAACCAAAAACAATCTGGCTCGATCACCAACTATATCACTGAATTCCGTAGCATCCTGATGAACCTCCCCAACATGGATGAACAAGATGCCAAGTTTCACTTTATATAAGGATTGGATCCAATGCCCGTTACTTTTCATCAACAAGGCAGGATGTCATTTGTACTTTTGGTGTTTGGATTTTATTTTTTATATTATAGTTACTCTTTTATCTTTTTTTTTTCTGCAGCTTTGCTAAGATAGTTATTTATTACTTTTTTGTTTGAAATAAATTATTGTTATTCCCGATCAAATCTTTTATTAGTATCTACTTACATATGTTGATGGATGGGCGATGATGAGATAGGGATGACGAAGGATGACGGGATGGTAAGAAGAGGTGTGATGACTGGATGATGGAAGGTACAAAAAAAAAAAATAAGATTTTGATTAATTTTATTGGTTAATTAGGGGGATGTATTTCACCTGAATGCTAGTGTGCGGGGAAAGAGGGGGAGGATAAAAGGATCTGCTTGAAAAGACACAGCCTTTTTTTTTTCTTTTTTCCTTTTTTTTTTTTTTTTTTTTTACCAACCATTTTTTCAGGAACCATGACAACTCTGGAGAATAAAACATATACAGTGGAAAGAGGCCACGTCCAAGTAGCATCACAACGTCAAAGTAAACCTATTCGACTTTACTATGAAAAGTATGGTAACGGTCCTGAGCGTGTTCTTTTTGTCATGGGTATGTATATTACTGATCCATCATCCATCATCCATTATCCCTTATTTTCTTTTTTTCTAATCATCATCACACTACTATCCTATTACTAGCTGCTATGGGAGCTGATTCAACATCTTTTCTTTTTTTCTGATTTATATATATATATATATAATAGGTTTATCAGCACCCTGTCAAGCTTGGGATTTCCAGGTACAAACGGATTCATCTTTCATATGAAACTTATTGGTTACTAAACTCACTTCATAAACTCATATTTTTTTTTTTTACGGATCAGACAAAATTTCTTGCTGCAACGGGTAAATACACTTGTATCCTTTTCGACAATCGAGGCAATGGTCATTCTGGTAATTATAATATCACTTTTTTTTTGTTATTATTATTAGTATTTTATTCATTTATGATGATGATCATTTAGATTCTCCCATTGGATTGTACACGTAAACTCGAAATCAACAAACAATAGAGAGAAAAAAAAAACAAATTTCATCATCGTGATATACCCTGATTTAGTAATTTCATATGATTTCCTTTTTTTTTTTTTTTTTAATCAGGACGAGTCAATTAGCCGACGATGCTTTAGATTTACTTGATGTATTTGAATGGAAAACTAAAGTACATCTAGTAGGTATTTCAATGGGAGGGATGATTTGTTTAGAAATGGTAGACAAACAAGTAAATCGATTCTCCTCTTTGACCTTGACAAGCACATCAGCCAGACGGTTTCTACCAACGGTAACTCAATTAAAGTTCACCCCACTCTTTTTTTTTTTTTTTTTTTTTTTTTTTTTAAATGTGATTTTTTTATGGATAGTGGACTGCTGTATCTACATTTACAAAAATCGCTTTATTATATCGAGAACCACGCGATCAAATTAATGCAGTGATGGGGTTAGTGTATCCATCAGCATGGCTAGATCAAGTACCAAGTGACCCTGCACATCATCAGTATGAAACCAATAGAGACATGGCCATTTCCACGTTTATCCGACACATGGGGCAATCAAGACTACAACCATTGCATGGCAACTTGGCCCAAGTGTCTGCCTGTCTTCGCCATCATTTCTCAGACGCTCGACTTATTAAATTACAGCAATCTGGTTTACCCATCTTGGTCGTCACTGGAACTCATGATAACTTGGTACCTCCTGCATCTTCCTTTCATCTTAATCGTATCCTAAAACCACGTCGCTTTCACGTTTTCCATGGTTCTGGTCATGATATACCCGAAGAACAAACTTCTCGTTACAATCAAATTTTATTGGAACATTTGACTTTTAGTAGTACGTTTTATCCACCTACTTCTTCTCCTACTTTCATTGCAGAAGCCAAACTATGATACGTAGTATGATGATTTTATTTTTTTTTTTTTTAAAAAAAAGGAATAAAGATAAAACTATAAATATCATTTGTATAAGTGTAATGGGACTATCTACAAAGGAGAGTGTTGGGATATCATCTATCATCTATATAAAATCTTGTTCAATTCCATTCAGTCCATGTTTCAAGATCGTATAGCTAATCCAAGTTCATCGGCAATTGTTTTGGATCCCTCCAAATTCCATTCTTGTTGTAGTTCTACCCGTCCTATGACTGTACCAATAGCTCGTGTCAAATCGGTACCAAATACGTCTTCCTTGACCCCGGATTCTCGTAGTCGATAATAAAATGCAAGTACCTTGAGATCTTGAGCTTGTTCCAAATAGGTACGTATGATGTCTTGAATCGCTTGTATGCCTTGTTTTTTTGTCCTATGTAGATCGGTTGTTGATGATGATTCCAGTGATGTTGTGGTCTTATGATTACTATTGTTATTGTTGTCAGTGTTGTCAAATATAGCTGCAGTGGTATCGGATACGTTGACAAGACAGAGTAACAACTTTTCAGCATCAAGACAGTGAGAAGGTGATGAAGTGGAATGTGTCAAAAGTCGAACAACATTGAGCCAAGTAGATATTTGATGTTGTGTCCAAGTGAATCCTGAAGTAGAAGTTGTATTATTTGTTGAAGGTGATGGGATAGAGGAACCAAATCGTTGAATAAGAGACTGAGCAGTACTGGCAATCACATTATGAGGAGCATGACTAGACAATAACCACTCCACATATTGAGTATAAAGAGCTGGACCAGGCTGTATCGTATCGACATGACGCATCGTATATCTCCACAAAAAATCAATGGCATGAGTATTTCCACATTCTATATAGTATCGCATCATTACACTACAGTCGAATGGAGTTTTCAGTTTGTCGAGTGAATAATGTTGTAACATGGCTACATAGGGTCGCACTTCTTCTAATGGTAATTTCCGTTTCAAGTGTGCTTGAATCAAATAAGTGCAAGTACGAGTGGTTGGTAATCGATGTTGTTTGGTTTCCATCATGTTCACCACTTGTTTGGCTTTTTCCAGTCCTAGTTCAGAAGGGCACGAAAGATATGAACGAATAAGTCGATTGTACATAGTCGTTGGTACTTGACTACCAGCTTGCTGTAATTCATTCCATAGAAAATCCAGTTGTTCCATATCCTTTGCTTTTCCTGCTGCATCAATATCTTGTTTGAGTCGTCCCAATTCTTTTAAAGTTGTTTGTGAAGGTCGTATATTAGATATAGTTGTTGTCGTTGTTTGGGTACCGAGAATAACTTGATCAATGATGTTACTGTAGGATTGATTACTTGAATCTGATTTTTCTTTCAGTTTTTCTCGGAATAATGCTGTAATTCCCAAGTATAGTTGATTTTCTTCCTTTGGACTAAGAAATCGACGAAACCATTGAGTAGAGGAAGTACCAAAGTGAGCTATTGTTTGTTGACGTGATAAAATTGAAAAGGAAGTAAGTGGTATATAAGTGGTGCGTACTAGACGATGTGTCATTAAGAATAATCGAAAAAGTTATAAAAATGGGTTGATAATATATATAAAGAAAGGGAAAGAAAAAAAAAAAAAAAAAAAAAAAAAAAAAAAAAAAAAAAAAAAAAAAAAAAAAAAAAAAAAAAAACGAATGATAAAAAAATAATAATAATAGAAAACCCGCAGTTAAGAAAATAAGCAACCCAAAAAGCATCAAAAGCGGTGTATTAAAAAAAAAAAAAAAAAGAAGGACTGACCAGATCAGAGGTCAAAAGAGATGAAAGGATAAAGACTTTATATGGTAACCACGTGTATTGAATGATAAAAAGTAATATATAATGTTAAATAAGACTTGAATGATTAAATTTGAATAAGATAGGATGATTATGGAAAGTTAAAATAATATATTTTATCAATATTCATGTTTTTACTAGTTTATTTGTAAGTGTCCATCGGGCTCTGCTGAATAAGCCAAAATAGGGTAAGGTCGAAAATTATTTTGTAATTTTTTTCAAATCCTTTCTCCTTTTCTTTTCTTTTCTTTTCTTTCTTTTGTTTATATTCACTGTGTCAAGAACTTTTTTTTTTTTTTTTTTTACTTACTTGTATCCCTTTTCATCTTATTTACTCTTTTTCTTATTTTTTTATCTGTCTTTGTCCATCATGTCGAGCAGTGGAAGTGCAAGTGATACGACAATAGACCTTCCAGAACAACATTCACACAATAATACTGGTAGTAAACGAAAATCCGTTATTGACACTCGACGAGCAGAACAGAATCGTGCAGCACAACGAGCATTTCGACATCGCAAGGAAATATATGTCAAGGAATTAGAAAGCAAGGTACGAGATATGGAAATACTAAAGGATCGTGTCGACCGTTTAGAAAAAGAAAACGATAGGCTCAAGCATAGAATATGGGAATTAGAAACTTCTTCTACTATTACTACTACTACTACTACTGCTACTACTGCTATTGCTACTACTACTACTACTACTCCATCTTCTCCTCATGTTGGTCAGTCGTCTTTTGTTGATGATAGAAACAATCGCATCACTTCCAATGAAAACAACAAGAATGATTCTTGTCAATATTATGATCAACACCAACAACCATATCATACCAGTAATTCCATTAACGAAACAAAGGATATCACCAATCGTTCTTCGTCAAATTCACCACCAATAACAACAACAGCAGCAGCAATAACACCTCCATTACCATCATCATCATTGGGACAAGATATACGATTTTCAAATACCTCAACAATAACAAGTCGTAATACTGGAAATAGTAATACATTGACGCACCCTATCTTACCACCACCTTCACCATCACCATCAGTATTTCGACCTATTCCGGTAGCTTATTGGGATAAGAAAATGGAAAAAAGACAACGATCTATGGATGATGATTATGAAAATCCTCCTTCAACAGAACAAGGCCGTGTTTTAGATGATCTTGCTTCCATTTTACGTACTCGCCATCGACCACCTATCCGTCACCAAGAACAACAACATCAAGAACAGCAATCGACAACATCATCAACCACGACAATGTTAACCTGAATCAGTGTATGCTAGATAATGATGAATGTATGATTATTTTTTTTTTGATACTTATTTTTCCCCCACTTACATACACTCACATATCCTCATTGTTATTATTCTTATTCCCCTTAGTCTTTTTTTTTTTTTTTTTTTTTTTTTGTCCGCAGATCCTTATTACCCCATACTCATTACTTTCTTCCTTCTCCCATTTTTTTTTTTTTTTTTTTTTTTGTTATCTCTTTTTATTTCTTTATTTGGTCCATTGTCAGCACTTCAGGCAATGTGTATGTATGTAATGTGTTTTCTATTACTTTTTTTGTGATGATTGTATTAGTTACTTGATAGGATTATCATTTCCTTCCCCACTTCTCTAGTTAGTTAGTTACTTTATTCTTTCTTCATTTTCTTCTTTATTGTATATATTTCTTTTTCTTTTTTTCTTTGAATAAAACATATATTGTGTTTCCAAATAGATTATGGATTTTTTTTTTGTTTTGTTTTGTTATTGTTACAATGTAATCCGTTGATCCATAAAGGTAATCTTAAAAATAAAAAATGAATGAATGTATAGGTAAGCAAGATGGATTCATATATATTTGCACTTGATTCTCTCCTTTACAAACGTGACACGAACAAGAAAGTTTCAAGTGCTTCTGAAATTTGTAATCAGATTACCAGCCAGTCTGGAAAAGGAAAAGTAGGCTGAACAAGATATCCCATTTGGGTCTCAACCTTATTTTTACATAATACATGTACAATGTTCTATTTTTCCACCAATAATAAACGAAAAAAAAAGGTAGATTCGTTGTCAAATCATCATCACCCCCTCTACCCCTTTATCTCTACCCCTTCTTTACTAAAATAATCATACATGATATCATATTTATTAGTCTACAATGCATATAAGAATAACATACTTTATTTCACAAATAATAATAAAAAACTAACTAACATAATAAAAAAAACCATATACAGTTAACTAATTGTAATGTTGATTTGCCTACAAAATCACTAAACATGTTAATTAAATAATGAATTAACTAACTGGCATTGGCCATAGAAGTTATTGCCATCATCACATCTGTCAATGATACCACACCAATAGCCCTATCCCGTTCATCCGTCACCCAAACACGATGAGATTTCGTCGCCAATAATTTTGCAATAGAAAAGCCTAAGGTCGTATCCAATCGTACATCAAAAACAGGTAATCGATCCTAAAATCATCACCATAAATATATATATATATCAATACCAAACAATAGTACATTCATTTATATTGTCCTCCCCCTTTTTTTTCACTTACTTGACCATCATCTATGCCTTGTTGAGTACGCACCAAACTGACAAATTGGAAACATGTATCCCATAATAATCGATGTTGATAACTTTTGAGTACATGCTAATAAATAAATAAATAAATAAAAAATTTTAAAAAAGAAAAACATTTAAAATTTCTTTTTTTTTTTACCTTGACATCGGTCATACTAATATTTCCCAAAATAACACCCATATGTCCTAATACTGCTACGGAGGATACACCATATGTACTCATTTGAGAAAGAGCATCCAATACTGGAGAATCAGCACTTACGGATATAACATCCGTTTGACCCAAATTTAATTGTCGTAACTAAAATAAAAATAAATAAAATAGTAAATAATAATAACACTAATTTATATATATTTATATATATATTATATTTACAGTTTTGTTCAGTAAAGAATCAATGGAAGGAAATTGATGTTTGTTTTCATACAAATATTTTACTACGGTTGATTGCGATAGAATACCTTTAATTTGTCCATCTGGATTCAAAACACATACTATATAATGTATAATAAATAAATAAAAGAATATTCTTTGTATTAAGTTCTTACCACGATGAGTTCCACAACTAAATTCTTCTACAGCAGATATCAAGGTTGCTTCAGGTAATATAGAATAGAAAGGATTCTTTTGAGAAAGATCTAAAATAAAATTTAAAGTTGAGTAAAGATATAATTATTATTATTCATATATTTACCACTTGCTAAAGAAACTGGTACTTGTTTTCCTTGTAAAGCTTTTTTAACAATATCACGTATTTCCAAAGAGCCACTTTCTTCTACAGTTGTACTTTTCAATATCAATAATATGTAAGCAATAACATCTGCATAATCGAAAAAACCATTATAAGTTTTTCCACTATGCATAGATGAATTTGTTTTTTGTTGTGTTGTTGTATCTGATATTGTATAAACTGGAGCTGACGATATATTATTATCGATCAAAATATTACAAGCTTGTTCAACAGGTGTATTTCCATCACTTTAATAAATTAAAAAAAAAGAAGTTGAGTTATTAAATAATAATAATAATAAAATACATTACATTTCAATGACTTTTTGGTTTTCTATTAAAGTAGAAGCCTTGATCATAGTCCAATCATGAGTTTCAGTTGTAATACCTTCCCTATGAGCCATTGTTTTTATAATTATTATATTCGAGAAAGATAAAAAAGAAAAGAGGTGTGAAAAAAGAAAAAGAAAAAAGAAAAAAAAAACTGGGTATGAAAATGAAATCAATGCTTTACAACAAGGGATTATCGACTCATTTTTTTTTATTTTTATTTTTTATTTTATTATATGTTTCACTACTCAAAACGATTTTCATTATCATCATATTAAAAAAAAAAAAAAAGAAAATATCGTTGTTAAATATCTTAACTTAATATTAAGAAAAAAAAAAAAAAAAGAAAAAGAAAAAGAAAAAGAAAAAGCGTGGGTAACTTTTTTTTTTTTTGTTATTCTAAAGAGGATTTGTTTTTGTTCTCTAACTATTGTTACACAAGTATAAGAGAATATTTTAGTAAATTCCTCCTTTCTTTTATAAATATATAATTGAATGAATACATTACTATTTTAATATATACATTCATTTTGATTATAAAATCATTCAACAACTATTTATTCTTTGGCAACTTTTTTTTAAGTCATGTGATCTACTTTCCAAGATTTTGTTAGTTTTTATCCATCCGAGGAAAACTAGTCGATTACCTAAACCTTTTCTGAGTACAGAAAAAAAAAAAAGTTCTTTTTTTTTTCCTCCCCTCTTTTTTTTTTTTTTTTTTTTTTTTTTTTTTTTTTTTTTTTTTTTTCCTTTCTCTTTCTTTTCTCATCTCTCTCAACTTTTTTTTTTTTTTTCACTCCTATTCTATCTTATATATATATATATTTTTACTCATGTTGAATGACGATAGGCAATTGAAAGACTCTACATTATCAGTCATTGATGCTTCAGGACGACAAATTAGTTTACTTAATGATAATAGACTCGATCTTATTGACCCTGGTTCACCTCATTCTCACTCTTCTGATGAACCTTCTACTACTTGGATGCCTCCTGTTATACATACCAACGCCACTATTGATACACAACAACAACAACAACAACAACAACAACATTCTTCAACTTCAAAACGAAAATATCATTGTTCTGAACCAGGTTGTAATAAAAGTTTTACAACAAGGTAAAAAAAAAAAAAAATTGTGTAACGAATTGGATTTATTGAAATATTTCTTTATTTTAGTGGTCATCTTGCTAGACATAATCGGATACATACCGGTGAAAAAAACTTTCCATGTCTTTTCCCAGGATGTCAATCTCGATTTTCCCGTCAAGATAATATGATGCAACATTATCGTACACATATGTCACCAAAATCAAGACGAACACCAAAAAGACCTTTTGAAGATTCTCATCCTCGTCCACGTTTACATGCCCATCATCGTATTAGATCTGATCCTTATCGTGTAGATCCTCCTTTAACTATTGATCAACATCTCAGCAATTATCATCGATCCTTGATTTCTCCTGTTAGTATCACATCATCATCAACATCATCAGCTGCACCAGTACCACTTTCATCTATTGGTGATTCTCACATAGCATCTAAGATGATACAAACACAAAGAATATTACAACATCTTCCTATTTCTCATTCTTCTTCTTCTTCTTCTTCTACTACTACTACTACTGGTTCTCATTCACTATCTTCATTTGGTACTTCTACTCCAATAACAACTTTGGCTTTACATTCTTCTTCTCCATCATCCATGATGAGCGGCTTTAAACCAAGTAGAAATGGATCACTCACACCATCACTATCATCATCACCATCATCATCATCATCATCATCAATGACAGCAACAACATCGATATCATCAGCATCATCACCTACAGCACAGAATAATGGAACTAGAATATCAGAATCTACTTCTTTATTAAGCGTCAATCCATCTATCGCCACTACATCATCGACTACCTTTAGGAAAGAATCAGATTCTGTAGTTGTAGGAGACATATCTTCTTCAACGTCAACATCATCTTCGTCATCATCATCGTCATCATCACCATCTCGCACTACCACTACCAACAATACTTCTACTTTGAACTCTACTCCTGCTATTATATCATCAACATCAGTATCACCATCTACATCATCTTCTACATCATCATCCTCGTCTTCTTCTGTTACTACTTCTACTACTAGTATGCCCATGTTTTACCAGCACCGACCCCTTGTTTATAAGTCTTCTGAACATACTTCGTCCTCTGGTGCTGGTCATCAGATTCCTTGTCAACCATTTCCTTTTACTTTGTTACATCCTTCACTTACTTACCCTTCCACTACTTCCTCTTCTAATACTACCTATTCTTCTTCTTCTTCTTCTCCTCCTCCGCCATCATCGACTTCCAAACCGAAGGAAAAAGACCAAAAAGAGGATAGTTTATTACAGTTAGCTCACATTGTTAGTACTTTTGGATGAAATAATAAATATGATTATACATTCTCTTTATCATGAGCTTCTTTTTTTTTTTTTTTAGTTACCCCAAAGTTTTTTTTTTTTTTTTTTTTTTTTTTTTTTGTATAAAGTTCATCTTTGGTTTGCTTTTTTTGAACGTCCGTCCGTTCCAGGGAAAGATCAAAGAACCCTTATTATTGATGATCGATTGAACAGGGTAGTGTTTCATTTGGGTTTGTTTGTTTTACATCGCCGCTCCATTTGGGTCATTGTTCAGGATCCAATCATCACTGAAAGGAACCTAAAGAAAAAAATATCCCTCCGCGGTTCATACCAATGATCTAAACTTAAACAGTATGATAGATGAAAACATAGTTCTTCTATAGATAGAATGATTTGAAAATAAAAATCTTTATCACATGTTTGTTTCTACTTTTGATTTACATTATGATAAATGTTGATCAGAAAATCTTTTATTAAAGTCTATTAAAAATACAAGTCATGAACTAACTATGGAAGGCAGGTACCAATGTAGTAAGAATATCTTGATCATTGTTGAGTTGCTTTGCCAGGCGTCCTTGAGCTAACTCTTTTTGTCCACCACCACCACCTTTGACAGTTTTCAGCATATGTTTCAGTACCTGTTTGTGATATCATAAGAGAATAAGTCCCATATATAAAACAATCATCATCTTTTTTTTTTTTAATATGGTTCTTACCGAATTGGCAGTTTCGGATGAGATCTTTTTTCCATTCAAAGCTACTGTCACTAGATTTTCCTTGACTAAGATATGGATGGTGTCTTGTTCAATTTCCTTCAATACATTCGCTCTTTTTTGAAGGAAACTTGAGTCCAGATCCGCATCTACAAGATGTATCTTCAATGGAATACCTATATCAATGTATATTTTTTTTTAAAAAAAAAATGAAGATTCCCAAAACAATGAATTTCTTCAAAGGATGACAACAAGCATTCATTTTTTTTTTTTTTACCTTTATATTTTGTTTCAATTGGTAATGTTTTTGGTGATAATTGCGCCATTTTTTCCATGATGGAATCCAGTCGCTTTTCAAGATCCTTTGATTGTTGTATCGTTTTGCCCAATTTATCCAGCATTTCACGAGTAGAGTTGGCACGAAGTAATTTCATTGCTTGAGGAATAGGTGTATATGTTTGTCGATACCAATCAATACATGATGATCCTGCGATGGCTTCAATTCGTCGTGTACCTGTAATGATTCCATACATCAAAACGTGCTATTTCATTGAAACTTTTTTTTTTTGTTTACCTGCAGCGACAGAAGTTTCATTGAGAATCTTGAAAGGGTATAGTTTTCTAATGTTGTCGACATGAGTTCCACCACAAAGTTCCTTGCTGATACCAGGTACATCAATAACACGGACATGATCACTATACTTTTCAGAGAAAGTGGCAACAGCACCTGATGAAATTGCTTCTGTCAAGGCCATATGCTGTCGATAATAATAATAAAAAAAAAAGGTGAGTCTATCCATATCATTTTTTTTAAACTATCATCATCACTAACTAATATGGTATTCGTTATTACCTTGACTTCAGTTTGTGTACCTAAAAGTATCATCTCGTTCACCCAGTTTTCAATATTATCCAATTGATCTTGCGACAAAGGTTTTCCATAGGTAAAATCGAACCGTAACTTGTTTGGATCCACTAATGAACCAGCTTGAACAATATCAGATTGTAAGACTTGACGTAACCCCGCATTCAAAAGATGAGTGGCAGTATGATGAATTTCCGCTCCAGTACGACGATCTACATCTACATGTGTGTTCACCAATTGACCAACTTGTAGGTATTGTTGATCTATTTCATATTGTCGATGTTGAGATAATAGGATACCGTCTTGAATAGTAGGTAGTGGTGCCAGTTGTAAAGCTAAGCATCCTTCATATGGTTGTTGTACATCCATCACTTTCCATTCATTTCCATTGGCTAAAGTCACCTTTCCAGTATCAGCCACTTGTCCACCACCTAGTCCGTAAAATGGACATGGATCAATTGCAACGTATACTTGTACCTTGTCACCTTTTTGTATCGTTTCTGTTGCCACAATGGCTGATTCTTGATGGAATAATGCATGATCATAACCTGTGAATGTTGGAAGTATGTTTCGATTTTTCCATTCTAAAAATAAAACAAAACAAGAATGAATATGTCAATCTCTGTCTCTCTTTTTTTTTTTTTTTTTTGTAAATATATATCTGTTCCTATACATTACCAGTGAATGATGTTTTATTTGCGAGATCATTTGATTTCCATGAGCCACGAGCCATTAACTTTTGATCCTCTTGTAACTTTTCCACAGCTATAAAAAAAAAAAATTCGTAAGTGATTTATGATGATATCTTTTTATATTCATGTATACCTTGAATATCCACAGTCCATCCACGTTCTTGTGCAATAATCAAAGTCAAATCAAATGGGAATCCAAAAGTATCGTAAAGTTGAAATGCGATAGATGGTGGAATTGTTTTTGAATGTTGAAGATCGGATCGATTAAATACATTGTCCAGTAAGATCATTCCACGGTCGAGAGTTGTTAAAAAAGTCTTTTCTTCATTTTCAATAATACTTTGAATGGATGAGGCTCTTTCTTCAAGTTCTGGATAAATATCATTGGAGAAACCTTGAAGTAAATAAGGGTACAGTTCAGTCAAAAAGGGATCTAATTAAAAAAAAAAAAAAAAGGAATATGAATTGGATGAAGAAAAAAATAGACTATAAAAAAATAAATATTACGATGAATGCCTAGTTGACGAGCAGATCGAAGGGCTCTTCGGATAATTCGACGTAAGACATAACCTCGACCAACATTACTAAGAGCCAAATAAAAAAAAAAAAAAAGGGACTGGTATTCAGAGGAATGATATCAACTATATATGTCTTTCTTTTATATATATACCTAGGTACAACACCATCACCAATCAAGAAACACATGGACCGAAAATGATCAGCAATGATTTTTTCATGAGGATCAGGATCGTTCAAAGTAGATGCCTAAGTAATATATATGTGAATGACCTATAATATAAATCTTTTTCTTTTTTTTTGATTTTTTTTTTACCTTGATACCATGTTGATTCATCCACAAACGTAAACCAGAAATCAAATCACGAAATTGATCAATTTGAAAATTATTTTGTTGCTCTTGAAGTACGCATGCCATACGTTCTAAACCCATACCAGTATCAATACAAGGAATAGGTAATTTAGAGAGTAGTCCATCCGCTGATCGATAATTTTCCATAAATACCAAGTTCCAAATTTCAACCCATCTACATAAAGGAAAAAAGATTGAGTTTTCTTTTTTTTTTTTTTTTTTTTTTGATCAGTATTATTCATTAAATTTATCCATCTTCTTACCTGTCATTTCCTAATGAGTCATCTTGAGTATCCCAAAAGATTTCAGTACATGGTCCACAGGGTCCTTCACCATCACCCATAGACCAAAAATTATCTTCTGGTCCACAAGTCACAATCATATCATCCGTCAATCCTTGTTTTTTCCATAAATCATAACCTTCTTGATCACCTTCCAATACACTAAATACCCCCAAAAAAACCAATTCAATTATCACTATATATATATATATAAGTAAAGAGAAATAAATATAATATACTTACGTGACCCTAAGTCTTGATAAAGGAAGCTCCAGTTCTTTCAATAAGAATTGCCAAGCATATTGAATCGCCTTTTCCTTTGAATAAAGACCAAAAGAGAAATTACCAAGCATTTCAAAGAAGGTATGATGACGAGGAGTATAACCAACATTATCCAGGTCATTATGTTTGCCACCAGCACGCATACATTTCTGCACACTTGTAGCACAACGATAAGGAGCAGTTGAAGGGTTCATAAAGTATTCCTTGAAAGGTACCATACCTGCATTGGTAAATAATAGACTTTTATCTTGTTGATTAGGTATCAAACTACTGCTACGTACTGGAGTGTGACCATTCTTTTCAAAGTAAGCCAGGAATCGTTGACGAAGTTCAGGTGAACTAAGGTGTTGCATGTATCGACTAGTTTGTAACAGGTAATGTTGTTGATATTGTTTTGATAAAGTAAAGACTCGAGAGAAGTTGTTTGGTCGTCTCCATGTTGAAAAGGACTGACCAACAACCACGTGCCTGTACATATTTTTTTTTTTTGATAAAGAAAGTAAGAAAAAAAAAAAATAAAAAATAAAAAAAAATAAAAAATACGAAGGTTTGAAATTTATGCTGGGAGCTTGCTGACAGTGGCTTGCGGACCTTTTATTTTATATTGAAATAGGGATTTTTTTTTAACTTTTTTTTTTTTCTTTCACACACATATAAAAACTACGATTCCCTTTGCCAAAGATGAAAGTTCATTGTTACTTTTTATCTTGCCAGTCGAGATGGATTATCGGTATTTTTGAAGGAATCAAGAACAAATAGATTGAACTCACTATAGACTCTTGTTCGAAAGTTTATTGAACTATAGAGACAGATACGGGTTCTACATCTCCCTTTTCTTTTTTTTTTTTTTTACAAACTAATTATAAATGAAAATACAACATAAACTTATTAGGAAAATATTTTTACTTTGTCTTCTTTTTCTTTTTGAACAAAAAAAAAAAAAAACTATACTATATATATGTCAAAATTCGAATCATCCTCTTTTTTTAATTGTTATTATCATTAATCACTCTTACTATCATAAAAAAAAGTTGGCTTTTTGTAAACGAAATTACTATGTTTATTATTATCGTGTGATTATATGCTACTAAAACGTCAACCTATTCATCATTGAAGAGTAATGATGAACTGCCTGTCATGATCAATGAGAACTTGATTTCGGTCACCGCGTGAATTCAGGGGCCCAGCGCAAGAAGTCACTGCTTACACTCTATTTTGAAGTCACCACCTAAATTTTGACATTTCTTTTTTTTTTTTTTTTTACTTTTTGTTTTTCTTTCCGCTTTTCTTTTCCTTTCCGTTATACTTAGATCATGGCTTCTCATAGTGTGTATCTTTTCCGTCATATTCAAACACAACAAGTACTTGTTAGTACTCGACAAGTTATGAAGGTATACAATATATATATATATATATATATATAGATTCAGTTTTTAAAGGTATTCACATTTTTATCCTTTTCATAGAACAAAGCATTGCAACAGCTCGATATAACTAATAGACCTGTTCGTCTGAGGAAGGATTTATGGCGTCCCATGGTCGCCCTTACTGGATTCAATACTTCTCAATCAGCCCAAGCTGTGTCAGATGCTCTTTTACAACGTTCAAAGGCTCGTCAATTGGATTTCAAAACAACAGAAGAACACCTTGCACGACCAAAACGATTACGACAAGTGGATGAACAAGATTTAGTGGAAAAATCAGTAGTGTCACTATTGGAAGCTTTGGAAAAAGTAGCAACAACTCATATCAAAAACGATGAAAAGTTATTAGCTTTGTGGGAACAACCTCGCTTTATGGATTTGAAGGGTGATAAGGAATGGCCTGCCTTTGTGGAACATGGTCAATTGGAATTAAAGAATAATCGTTTTGTCAAGACCTCTGAAGATTCCTCTGCTTAAAAACAACTAAATGTTTGCACACGTACACACACACACATACATATATAAATAGTTTTTATTATCTAGTTTAGTTCTTGATAGTTTTTGTATAGATAGAATCTCATATTTTTTTTTTTTTTTACCATCTCAGATCTCTTTTTCCTTTTGATAATTATCATCATCGTTACTGTTAGTATAAAGTTGTATTTTGACATGATTACCATTCTCTTGTTCAGTTTACCTGAAACTGACCAATAAAGTCTAGTCTTTTAAACCCAGTTGGATATCGCTTTTTTTTTTTTTTTGTTTTGATATTTTCTTTCTTTTTCTTTCATTCAAGGTCTCCTGTCAATAACAAGAATGAGTTCTTCAAGAGACTTTGTAGAATCATATGTCAAAGATATCAGTCAAGATACTGAAGCTTACTTGGCACAACAACAACCAAATTATGATGCAGCCAAAACGGCAAGTATAGCAACGCCACCACCTACACAAGCAACAAAACCTGATCAACAAAAAGAAGAAATACAACCTACCTCCCAATTCTCTTTCCATAAAGCAACCACTAATCCAATGGCCTCAGAAAATGACTCTATTCCACAACAACAACAACAACAACAACAACAGGAACCTAAAGTGGTATGGACTGTGCGTGACTTTACAGATCAACGACAGGAAATTCATGATACAGCTTTAGTGAATTGCTCTGATTTACATATTGACTTGATGCAATGTTTTCAACATGGTAGCTGGTGGGACAAGGCCAAGATGTGTGAAGATCAAAAACAACGCTTTTGGAAGTGCTTTCATTCTCAAAAGGTAAAGAGTTATATAGGTACCAGTAATGGTTTTCTTATTTTTTTTTTTTTAATTTTTGATTAGAATTTCTTGAAAGCTGCCAATTACAAGGGACCTATCAGTACTCCTGAAGAAGATGATACGGTTCTTATGCAAGCAATCAAATTACGTGATCAACAAGACGCTGCTGATACTACCAAAGAAGACCCCAATAAGCACACAGAATCTTCTTGAAAATGTGATGATCGTTTAGTTAGTTTTTGTATATAGAATTGTAGATTAGATGAACTCAATAAAAATATCCCCTTATATTGAATGACACTGTTTATTCTATGTATATTATCCAATGACAATCACTTTTATCTTTCGATTATCATTTCGGAATAAGGTCCGCGCCCTCATTTGTAAGCTTGACAAATCCAAGTTTCTCGCATTGATATAAAGCCGCTTTTTTTTCCCTCTTATTTTCTTTTTTCTTTTTTTTTTTTTTTTTTTATCTATTAACTATTTCAACTTCGCTCACCATTTTTCAGTTACGTAAAAAAATAATGGCTATCACTAGACAACCTGTGTTTTTCATTTCTCATGGAGGTAATCTAACTTTTATATTCTCAAGCATACAAGATATATGGAGTAAAAGCGGAACGATACGGTTACTAACCTTTTTTTCTTTTTCTTTAGGACCCAATTTACTGGAGAATAAAGAAAAACCTGGTGAATTTTATACTTGGTTTGGTTCTTTATTGAAAAAGGACTTGAAACCAAAAGCTATTGTGATCATTAGTGCACATTATCAAGGAACAGGCAAAAATGGAATCTTTGGTAACAATAATAATAATAAAAAAAAAAAGAACACTTTTGAGAATTTTTTTTTCTCATATTTTTTTTTTCCTTACATAGTCGATACTTCGGAAAAACCTACTCTTATCTATGACTTTTATGGTTTTCCCAAACGTTATTATGAAGAAACTTGGGATCATTCTGGTGAACCGGCTGTAGCGTCCAAAGTCATTGATTTACTACAAAAGGTAAAGAAAAAAAAAAGATCATCCTCCTATTCTCACCTCATACTCATCCTTTTTGTTTTTATTTTTATTTTTTTTATTTTTTCAAAAAAAAAAAAAAAAAAAAAAATGTTATCTTTATGACTGTGGTATCTAGGCAAATATCAAGGCACAAGGCAAACAATATGGCAATGATCATGGTGTCTGGGTTCCATTGAAACGTGCTATGAAATCAAATCCTGATATTCCAATTGTCGAAGTATCTACATTTGAACATGAAGATATGGCGCTACATATCAAGATGGGTCAAGCTTTAGCTCCTCTCAGGTAATATACTAATTTTTTTTATAAAAGGGAGGGAGGATCGACAAATTATGGATTGACTCATTAGTCTTCATTCTTCAATAGAGACGAAGGCGTGGTTATTATTGGCTCAGGATCGGCGGTGCACAATTTACGTGATCTATGGACAAGTATGGGAAAACCATCTCCCAAGTATGTGATTGATTTTGATAAAGATATGGAAAAGATAGCGGTGGAATCAATTGTAAGTGTTTAACAAGAAAGGTATGATGCCCGATGGACTGACATTCTATTATTATTATTATTACTATTTTTACTTAGGGCGATCAACGTGAAAAACAAGCGACTCAATTGAATACACATCCTGCTTTCCGACCAAGTCATCCTACAGCTGAACACCTGATGCCCTTCCATGTTGCTGTAGGTGCTGCTGGTGTGGATCAAGGTATTAAATTACTCGAAGATTATACTGGCACGTTGGCCTGGGGTTCCTATGCATTTGGTCTACCATCCACTTACACAAATAACATTCCCCATCGATCATCATCATCATCTCCAAAATCAGAATTATAGGATAATTTATGACCCTAAAGACAAGAAATAATGTATCATAGTATATAGTTAGAATATTCATTTTTGAATTATTGAAATAAAAGAATTGACTTGATTGGTATGCCCTTTTGAATAAATGATTGAACTGCTAAACGGTTATACCATTGCGAATAGCCATTGCAAAAAAAAAAAAAAAAAAAAAGGTATGATGATCCTCCGGTTTTGTACGAACATGATTATTTGGACCATCAGCGGTTTGGTTGGATTCATTCCATGAAATTTTATGATGATTTCCTCTTACGATCTGTAAATGACCTTTTCTATTTATTTATTTATTTATTTTAATGCCATTCTTTCATCTTTACCTAAAGTCATCAACGTCCTGAAATCAACTGACTGACACATACGGTTCTTGAAGACATTTTACTATGCCGCCTTTTTTTTTTTTCCTTAACCCAACGAGATATCATGTAAACTTATCATTCAATGAATATAAATAAAATGCACCGTCTTTATTTTCGTATATACAAATAAAATAAAATAAAATAAAATAAAATAAATAAAAAGAAGTAATGTAAAGGGAGAGTTATCGAATTAAAGCAAGGAAAGGATATAGAGAAAGAAGAAAGGAGGGTAGTGATTCTATACTATTCAGAACTACACAAGGTGTAACATAGGATGACGTTGTTGAAAAGGATCATTGCCAAATCCATTGTCACCAATAGTGCCACTATCATCAGTCAAAGGTTGCTTTTGATCGAGCTGTTGTTCGTATCCGGAATGATATTGTTGTTGTATAATCATATCCAATTGACGGTCCATTTCATCCACATCAATTTCATACTTTTGTAAGAGTTCTCCCAGTTTTGTAGAATCGACAGTTGGTGATGGCAAGGTATCCAAAGAAATGGTATCCGGTAATTCTTGAAATATCTACAAAGCATAAAAGGATATTGATAAAATAAAAAAATTACATACACATTTTTTTTTTCCTTTTGTTTTACCTTTCGTATTAATCTAAAATCGAATCCTTCTTCTGGAATATATTTTCGAGGATCTAAATGATAAAGAATCTGTTCAATAGATCCAAACTGTTTAATCATTTCTAATGCTCGGATGGGTCCAACCCCATGTATCTTTGAACCAAAATCAGTACCACATAAAATACAAAGGTCCAAGAATTCCGCCTTAGATAATCCCATTTGTTGTCGTGCCACCACTGGATCCACACATAGAATAGGTCGATGTTGGACAAAAAAATATCGTAACAACCGAGAATCTCCAAATACAACAGAATCCATATCTTAAAAACATAGAATGATGAATACCAGAAATCATAATATCTGTTTTTTTTTTTTTATTATTACCTTCAGACACGATAGCGTCGGCTTTACCATCTTCAACTAAACGAGCACACATAGCTTCTGCTTCATGATTTTCGCATGTCATACAAGTATATCCCATTGTAGATAAAAAAAACTGACATTGATCCTTCATTTCTTGTGTCACCCGTAGAGCCCGTTTACCTAATCATACCAGAAGAATGAAAAATACAATCAATATAAGTTACTTTTTTTTTTTTTCTAATTTACCATAAGAGGTCAATAATCGTTCATTTTGTAATTTCAGTTCTTGAAGATCGCCAAAGACGGAATCCAATCGATGTCGTATCATAGAGCACATCAAATCATATTCTTGATTGGATAAATCACGCACGGTTTTTGTATACTTTTCTTTATCTTGCACACGTTGTCGGGTATCATATAGTTCTTTAGCGAGTTGTGTCCATTTGGCTTCCAACACATCCTGTTCTTGCTGAACATATCCAGGATTCAGTGTATCAACCTCGTGTTCCATCCTAGTGGTGCCAAGTTGGTTTAAAAGTCGTTCGATAGATTCTGATGTCAACATGGATAAGCATCGCGATTCTGTTGTTGCCAACCAAGTTGCCAGGCGTACCGATCTTGATTGTTCAAACACCAATGAATGTTTAATCTTGTAGCGTCCCCTTTGTCGTCGTCGATGTTCCCATTCTTGTTTGGCCACCAGCCGCTGAGTCCCATCAAATACAAATATTGGCTTGATATTATGGCGATCACAAAACTTGGCAAGAAGATAAAATCCATGTATATGTCGATAAGGATGAGGTTCGTCTTGGCTGCCATAAATAAACCGATTCAAAGGACAACTGGCATCAATCGCTAAAGTCTGTCCTTGGAATTGCTGTGCTAATACTCGTGTAAGTGACTGTGGTGCATGTCGTTTCAATAAGCCGGTAAGTCCATTAATTCCCATATCCTGAGAACACAAATAATAATAATAATAATAATAATAGAAAAGAAATTGGGAAGAATGTTGCGGCGGTTAATGCTGGAAATCCTATGTTCACTGACACGGAGGTTAAAAAAATAAATCAGGATGAGTCTGTCAAAGAGGATTTTATTAGTATTACTTACACTAAATCAAAGCGATTATTCAGCCATCACACAGGATCGATATCTTTTCAAGATGTACGGAATTCAAGTTGTTAATGAGTGTTGATGAAGAAGATGTTGAATCAGTTCTTGAGAATATAGGATAAGTGCCACTAGTCATCTGTTTGTATAGTACAATTTTCAAAATGTTGATCGCTGCGTTGGTGTCCATACCACATTACCTTCCTGGAGACACAATCCGAATTCGTATATATGTAATCACACCAGGAGTACTTCTTTTCATATATCTCTTGATTCCAGAACCCTAGCCTTTACTAGCATCACCATAAAGCACAAAGTGAGTCCACCAGAGTAGTCTTACTAGATCCAAATCCTTTGATAAATCTCTTTGCCGTCACTGCATCAGGCCTTGTCACGATATATACCCATCCCAGCATTTTCATTATTTCTAGATATATTGAGAATGATGATAAAAGTTGAGAAAATCATCACAAACTGTCTTGGTATAGGTAAGTTCGTCCACTGCTTTCTTTTATTGCTTCAGTCATTGCCTTCTTCACCTTGGATATGCATTTTGCCAGAGGACTTGATAATAAGCTGAACGCAAGTTGCTTCTTTCCATACAGCTAGTTGATCTTGCCGACGTCGAAACATTCACCAAACATCGCATTTTATATAAGCCAAGAGAATCGAGTTGCAGAGGCAGTAGGATAGACACTTGTAGATTAGAGGCAGCCTTTCGACAAAAACGACTATATCAGGTGGACCAAAGCACAGTGTTGCAAACAGTCTCTCCAAAAAGCCCAAGAAAAACATATGGTAGCTGAATCATGTATTTGCGTCAAAATAGAGGGACGAAGAAAGTCTCATAAACATTGACCATAGCTAATGTTTCCAGATACAATACATATTCCATCTTGTTCTGAATGTATGTTGTGCCAAACCTGTCGTCATCATAAAGTTGTACTGGAGTGTCCTCTTGTTTGTCAATTTCCAATCTTATCAGGATCAATGAAACAGAATGATCAATAAATACAAAAGAGTGGTAATCAAGTAATGGTAGTAAAACTTGTTGTTGAGAGTAAAAAAAAAAAAAAAAAAAAAAAAAAAAAAAAGAAAAAAGGTAGAGAAGAAAAAGAAACGTCAAAACGAAAAAAAAAAAAACCTTTTCCCCTTCTCCTTTTTATTCTGAAACGCATGCATAACGAAATCGCATATAACGGTGTTTGAACTCTGGAATACCTTTTTTTTTTTTTTTTTCATTAAGTCATGTAGACGAGAGAACAAGACTTGGTTGTGGTACTATTTCATCTGTCACATTAAGCATGATAATCGTCATCACTAAAGTTTCCATCACAAAAATCATCCGTGATCATGTATAAGAAATGGGGAGAGTCACCTTCTGCTACTTCATTACGTGAATTTCCCTAGTACTGATCTTTCCTTCTTTTTTTCTTTTTCTTTTTTTTGCAATTCTTCAATATCACTTCAACAACCGTTTTATTTAATTTTGAAATGAAAATGGATACAAATAATCGAAGCAATATCAATTGTAATGATAAAAAGAATAATAATAATGATAATAAAAGTAATAATGATAAAAAGATAAAAAACATGATGTGTAATGTGTATATTTAAATATATAGATATATATATAAAAAAGAATATAGAATGATATATTGGGTGATTTCTATACTAATCAGCTTGATTATCTTCATTAATCTTGTCTTCAGTCTCTTCTTCATTAGATATTGGGTCAGCTTGATTCTTTTCTTGCTTTCCATCGTCTTGATTTTCATTACCCTCCTCCACCACTTCTTGCTGTTGTTGTTGTTGTTGCTGTTGCTTTTCCATGTAGAGCCGTTGTATCATATCTTTGTCCTTTTGTTGACGTAGTCGATCGATTTCCATGGCACCACCAGTCTTTTTGAGTTTTTTATGATCCACAAACGATGTTAATTCCTTTTCAAAATCATCAATACGATTCGCCAGTTCACGTTGCCGCATGCGATCAGCCATTTCCAACGCTTTGAGTCGACGATCATGATCCACATCAATGGTAGCTACTTGTTTCAGCACGCTAGTCATACCTTCAAATCCATCTTCAGGAGGAGCAACACGGAATTCACGTATAGAGGAAGGAGCATTGTGTCGGGATTTTTCTTGGAATGCATAAATCTTTTCCAAATTTTCAAATACTTCTTGAAGAGCTTCCAAATCATCATTCATATCCATCAGTAGACCTTCTTGTTCCTTGAGTGTTTGTTGCTCCTTCACAATAGTTTGTAATTCTTGTTCCCATGTCTTCTTCCAAATAGGTTTCACTTTGCCAATATACGTTCCAAATTCTTCAATATCGTCCGCCAATGCTTTTCGTTCTTCTCGGCAGTGCGTCATTTGGACTTCAGAAGGTCGGCATTTACGTTGAGTCACATCCAGTTTCAAATGATCAATGGCATCTTGGAGATCTTCAAGTCGCATCGTGATCTTGTCCGACGACGTCAAAAGTTCTTCCTTTCCTTGTTCAATATATTGTCGTGCTTCTGACGGTGTTGCCTTGGCCATCTTTCTTGCTTCCTTCAGAGCCTCCTTTTCCTTATCTCCTATTGTCAAATCCTTGAGTTGTTGGTCCTTGTCCTGAAGATCTTGTACCAGCTTGTTGCGTTCGTCTTGAAGTTCTGTTTGAGCTTGCCGCAACACCATCACTTGACGCTGTAACTTTTCGATTTCATCACGTTGTTCTTGTTGAATTTTTGTTGAAGGTATATCATCATTGGATCCTGCTGTCACTGTTGAAATATTATTGTTATCATCTTTGGTTATCACTGTTGTATTTTCATTAGTAATATCGTTGTTATGGACATCTTCTGTGGGTGGATCATCTTTGCTAGTGACTTCCGCATGTTCAGTTGCAGAAATCGATGAGGATGATGCTGTTGCTAAAGTCTGGCGTACGATTTCCTGCACCAGTGCTTCAGTATCGGGTGCCTGTTGTTCAGTAAGTTTTTGTTCTAGTCGTTCCATTTGTTCCATCATGACACGTCGTGTTTCATTCCATTCTTTGATCAACGAATTCACATCGACTGATTTTTCGTCATTTGCATCTATTAAAAAAAAAAAAAAAAAAAAAAAAAAAAAAAAAAAAAAGGTGAATAACATAAAATAAAAATAGGTCAAAAAACACACAATAATTTTTACCTTGAGGAGTAAGGGAGAGAATAGATTTGTCTCTAACTTCAGTCAGATCTTGTAATTCATAAGATACAGTTGGAAAAGTAGGATCACAGATATAAATACTTGGAAAATCTTGTTGACCAGCATTATAGCCAAATCTTTCGATAAACAACATGCTCAATGCAGGTAACGTCACTTCGCCAGAATAAGATACTTTTTTCGTTTGTTTACCCATTTGAAGATAAAGAGTGAGAGCGGATGGTTGAGTTGTTGTATCATCCACATTGGAGACAGTCTTATTTGTGTCGTTGTCAGTTGATCCTCTAATCATATTGTCATTCCCAGTAGATTGATGACCCAATGAAGGTGCTATAGGCTGAATAAAATCATTTCCAGTTGCTTTGTCCTCATCCACACGATTCAATGGTAATGTTGATGAAGTTGTTGGTAGAGAAGGTAGCGGTGGCGCATCAGATAAAAATCGCTTGGAAGCATAATCAGCACTGGTATTACCACGATACATGGAAGCACGTCGTACAGAGGATCGTCTAGCTAAGTTTTCTTGTCGTTTCAAAGCAGCAAGAGCACTTGCAGTATTTGGATCATTTTCATCAAAGCTGTTATTGTTAATAGGTTGAAGGTGACGTGATGGGCCTGTAGGAACGACCGGTGGTGGAGGAGGAGGTGGAGGTGGAGTCGAAGTAGGTAATGTACGAGAGGCCGAACGAGATGGAATTGGTTGCTGTATAGGTGTTGTTGATGATGGTGATGAAGAAGTGTGTGAAAGTTTTCGATAGGCTTTTTGTTGAGGCGATGACGGTCTAGATGACTGGTTGTAGAATTTTCTAGCATCAGATGACAGGGTTGGTTGAGGCATTCCACCAGTATAAGGGTCATAGTTAGAATGAGTCAATCTATCAGATTTGTTACTTCCAGTACTTTCAGAGTGGGATAAATTGGTAGAACCACGCACATAATTGTCGCTATTACGGTGCCAAGATTCTTGTGATCGATAAGAGTCTCGTGCTGACAAAGGGACACCTGAATGTTGTTGTTGTGGAGGAGGAGAAGATGGCATTTGAGACATTTGAGCATCCATTTCCCGAAGTTGTTGTTGTTTTCCTTTCAAACCATGAAGCAAGTGAACAATGACATCACGAATACGAGGCAAATATTGATCAAGGGCCATTGTCGAAGGTTCTTGGTTCATACATTCTTCAACTGATTGACGAAGTTTATGTGGAATCCATGCAAGGTCACTAAAATAATAATAATAATAATAATAAAAGGGAGGATTAGAGTTGTGAGAGAAAAAAAAAATTATTCATGGTTGTCTATAATACCTTGTTTTCACGTGAGCTTCTTCGAACGATTGAGAAACTCTATAAAACTGAGCTTCTAAAGTATGATGTAATTCAGAAATATCAGCAGAAGACATACGTAGTTGAGACCAAAGATTCAATGCTTCTAATAAGGATTTTGTGGTACGTAACAAGTGAGTAACAACTTGTTCAATTTCACCAGACTAAAAAGAAAAGAAAAGAAAAGAAAAAAAGAAAAAGAAATAGATGAGTAAAGAGAAGAAGAAAAAAAAAATAAAATAAAATAAATATAGTTATACCATGCTTCTATAAGAACCAGTTCTTTGTATATCAGATCGTCTTGCAGGTATTGGTGAATATCCAGTAACGTTTTCACGAGATCCATAGTCCATGGTTTGTAAAGGTTAAAGAGAAAAAAAAAAAAGAAGAAAAGAAAAGAAAAAATAGAAAAGAAAAAAAAGGAGTGAAGGGCCCAAAAGTTATTGTATTTTTGCAACCCAGCCAATACACAAAAAGAAAAAGAAAAGAAAAAAGCCGGTCCTTGAATTTTTGTTGTTATTTTTTTTTTTTTCCTTTTTCTTTTTTTTCCCTTTTGTTCACAATCAACATATAATATATAAAATGAAGTTGGTTAGGTAAAGAAGAGCTATTTATATTTCTATGTATCATATTTAAATAGTTATGCTATTCTAACTTCATATATATAAATATATTTCTTTTTTTAGATTTTTGATGAAATTGAATAATGAATCAGTGTCAGTAGAATTGAAGAATGGCACTGTTGTTCACGGCACTATCACAGGTATATATATATATAGATTAATATAACTTTGTCTATGATATCAATACAGATTATTCTTTATTTTTATGTATATATATATTTATATATTTCCTTTTTTTTTTTACATAGGTGTTGATATGAGTATGAATACTCATTTGAAAACTGTCAAGATGACTGTTAAGAACCGCGATCCTGTTAGCTTGGATACCTTAAGTATTCGCGGTAACAACATTCGATGCGTTATTTTACCGGATAGTTTACCTTTGGATACTTTATTGATCGATGATACTCCAAAAGCAAAGAGTAGCAAGAAAAAAGAAGGTAAAGAAAGAAACGAAATCAAAAGATTAAAGATCTATATTTTACTGATCTTTCATTCTATTTTCTTTAGATGGTGCTGGTGGACGTGGTCGTGGACGTGGAATGGCACGAGGACGTGGACGTGGTGGACGTGGAAGACGTTAGAATGTTATTATCTTTTGTATATTTTTTTTATTATCATTATTATCATTTTACTACTCTTTTTTTTTTTTTTTTACTGTTGTTTATTATTCCTTTTTTTAGTATTCTTTTCTTCTACATTATGTCTCGATCAAATAAACCAGTCCAAAAGAAAACGTGTTTAGTTTACTTTATATTTAGTGATGAAAGGAGAAAGGGAGTAGGAAGAAGGAGAACGTGATGAGAGAATAGGAATACATCATAAACGTGCCATGATAGACTTAGAAAGGGTGCCATGCAATGTCATGTAGATGTATGAAATATGTATGTATCCAGATAGATGAACGAATTGCAAAGACAACAAGATTGAAAAAGGAGACGATAAATTGAGGGAAAATAAGGTTCAATTGAACCCTGAACACATCTCACGTAACAAGAAAAAAAAAAAAAGGGAAAAAGAAAAAAATCATACCATGATTTTTCTTTCCATATATTACTTCGAAGTTGTATATTTTTATTATTACTAGTATTATTAAAGTAAGACTAAGGAGAAAGAATAAGAGCTGGAAAATATGCTGGTGGGAATCCAAATAAAAATAATAAAAAAAGAAATAATTATAATAGTAAGAATAAATATCAATAGATGGGAATAAACTATGTACGGTGTGGAATTATAAAGTAAAAGTGATAAAGAACTAACTTGTATAATAAGAAAATAGTTGATTGTATATACAAAAAAAAAAAAAAAAAAAAAGATCAGTTTGCTGGTTGATTATACTCTAGCCTGCTGAGTTGTACGATGATTGATAAATGCCATTGTGTGAGGTGTTGAAGTGGTAGGAGTAGCATGTTGTTGTTGTTGTTGTTGTTGTTGTTGTTGTTGGTGATGAAGATGATGATGATGGTGACGATGATGGGCAGAAGGAGATGGAGGAGGAGGCGAACATAAAGGATGTTGTTGAAGTAAATGTTGTTTTGATGTATGTCCTTGAACTCGTTCATGTCGTCTGAGTGCATCCATTCTCGTGAATTTTTTACCACATTGATCACAATAACAAAAAGGTCTATTTTTCAAATGAATTGTTTGATGCCTTGATAAATCGTAAGATCGTCTAAATGTTTGCCCACAAATACGGCCAGATGATGGATCTACTACATGTTCACACAAAAACTGACCCGTTAATTTTTGATGATGACGATGGGAGTGATGATGTCGTTGTTGGTGGTTTTGATGAAGTTGTGGTTGTCTATGATGAATTTCCCTTTGTTGATTACGATGAGAATAATGTTGATGAGAATAAAATGGATGATCTTTTGTACTTGGTATAGGTAAGTGATTAATCATTGTTGTTGACTGTTGTGTAGCTGTTATTGTTGATGAAGGTGTGGATGATGGACGAGGAGAAGTAATAGCAGGAAGATAATTTGGTCGTTGAGGAGATTGTTGAAGAGGAGCCAATTGAGGGTGAAGTAAAACGTCATTATCCAAAGAAGGAGACGAAGTAATGGATGATAGAGCTGGTAGTTTGATTGTGATGGGAGAAGGAGTGGTGACAATACGAGGATAAGACGGTGATGAAGGAGCTGTTGATGGTCGACGCATTTCCAATGGATGAACACTATGAGTTGGCGGAGATGGTGAAGAGATTGATCTGCCACAATAACCAGGAGGAGGTGATAAATGTGTAAGAGTCCTTGATGGTGATGATGATGATGATGATGATGATGATGTAGATTGAATTGATGGTGTAACACGCTGTTTTTTCTTGACAGGTTCATCCATAGAGATCCCAGAATCCTTTCGAATACAAGATCCATCATTTTCAGAAGATTGAGAAGAAGTATCATCCGACCGCCATTGTTGTTGTAGTTGTGGGGAAGATCTATGATGTCTAGTGCTATCTTGATTATCAGTCCATCTGAGAACTGTCGGCTTGATAACCGGGACATTATCTATCATATTTAAAAAGAAAATAAAAAGAGAAGAATTAGAGAAGGATGGTTACTTTCTTTTTATTTTCATTACAATAGACTTACTGATTTTGGGTTGGTTAGACTTTGGTGACAGCGTGATATCCGCACGGTTATGCTTTGTTGCTTTCTTCAATGCCTGATGTAAAGTTGGGGTATCATAGATGATAACTTGATTTTCCATCATGAAATCATATGATGAAATGGCGATATCCTAATAAATAGATAAATTGACGTACGAATTTTCAAAAATAATAATAAGAATAAAGTATAAGGTGATTATGGCACTCCAACACACAAACTACCATAGTTACCTTAAAAGAAAACTTGACATGTTTCACAAGATCTTCAAAAGATAATAGTTTATCCGGATAGAAGGAGATAAAATGCACCTGTTGATTCAAGCGAATACTAAGAAAAGTTCAAAAAAAAAAATACAATACCAGTGAGTAATTTTGGAAAAAAAATGATATGTAATAAATCGATGATTACCTTAAAGTGGAAGGTAGCATGGGTAAACGTAGATGAGCAAGCGAAAAAGAAAAATGAATGTAATGGGTGTGATGAATAATAGAGGAAAAAAAAAAAAAAAAAAGGTAAAATGAATGGAAAGAGAAAGGTATTAAAAGGATGAAGCTCGATTTGCAAGAAAAAGTCGCAGGATTTATGGAGAAAAAAAGTGACCTTTTTTTTTTGGGATTTTCCATAAAAGGAAGAGAAGGAAGAAAGGGGTGGCAATGGGTGAAAGGTTTATTTTTTTATTTTATTTTTTTTTTCTTAATGGTTTAGTTCTAAAACATACCAAACGATGGGTGGCTAATGAACTAAAAACATGTGGCAAAGCTATTCTAGAGTCATCAAATTGAACGTGGACTCTCCCCAATCTTTTTTCCTTTTTCCTCTTTGCCCCTGAAAGTCATTGTGAGTTGCTGTGTTTGACATCTTGCCACATTCTGATGACGACTTTGGATCCCTTTATCTATTCATCTTTATTTCTATGATTCTTACTACTCCTTTTTTTTTTTATATATATATCTCGGTATTATTTCAATACCCTTAAGATCTTATGACCTTATTATTTTCATCATCATCCTTTTTTTTTTATGTCGATCGCATTTAATAAAATAAAATAAAGTAAAAACAAGTATTCAATTGAGTTTGTCAACAGACCTTTGTTTTTTTTCTTTTTTTTTTTTTTTTTTTTTTTAAGACTTGCAGTTCATGCAGGTTCAATTATAAAAAGAAATGATTCATCCACATAATCCGTCACTCGGCTCATAACAGAAAACCAACCAAACAAACCTCATAAAAGGAGACCCTTTGTTTCTCACTTTTTTTTTTTATCTCCAGGGCTCAGTTACAATTGAATAAGAAAAACGTGTCACTTTCTTAACAAATGGAAAAGAGTCAGTGGGCTTTTTTCCATTTTTTTTTTCTTCTGTTACAAAAACATGAGGTACAGGAGGAGTGCATCATGGATCCCTCAGAGTGTTTTATGAAGTAGGAGTGATGGAAAGATGAAACTCCACCCCTATATGAAAATAGTGCGGTTAACAATAAAGATCCATCTTTTTTTTCTTTTTTTTTTTCCTTTCCATTGTTACCCTGTCTTTTCTGTTTAGTATCCTATCCGACATTCCTATCTTAAAAAGAATCTGAGAGTAATCATTATATATTAATGATAGAGTCCCTGAATTATTTTGAATAAAAAGTAAAAGAAGACAAGCAAGCTGACTTTCCTGGTTTATCAATAGCTGCAGTGTAACAAAAGATGCAATGGTTTTGTATCAATGATGATCATCACCTTCATCTCCTTCTTCTCCTCTAATTGATCCGATATACAATGATGATCACTACTACTGCTACTATTAGGTTTGTATCTACAGATACCATCAACTGCTTAAAAAAAAAAAAAAAAACAAACCAATTTTAGTTGCAGTTCCTTTTAGAGAGATCATCCATCGGACAAAGCATAAATAAACAATGAAGGAAATATGAGGGGAGGGAGTGATCGTAAATGAAAACACATCAATCAGGTCCATGATATATATTATATGATATCAGGTAGATATGCTTTCTCCTTAAGGTTCTTTGATCATGCGGATATTTTACTCAGAGATTTATACTTTGATTTCACTTTTGACTTTTTATCTTCCATTAAAATAGATGATCATTGTTAAATTCATTAAATGGTGATTATAGTAATTGTATGTTGATGTAAGTAGCAGTGATGGCATAATAATACAGCATCGAATGATTTGATGATATGTAATGATGGATGATACGTTATGATGGTATGAGATAATTTTCGTAATTTAGCATATTTTACCACGTATATACGCAGTATGATGTAAAATGAAAAGTTCCTAGTTAGGATGTGAAGGTAGCAATAAAAGAAAATAGATGAATAAGGTAAACAGCAATTTGTTAGATGATTGCTCAAGCTCTAAACATATCGTATTACATCAAACGATAGGACATAACGCAAAATATGTTTACTATCTCAGAAAAAAAAAGATCAAACAAGCTGGTCAGTGAGATGGCAGATCCTGATGATAAATATGGTTTGTAATGTGAGTTTGTTTTATTTGGCATAGAATAAAGAATAATAATGTTCTAAATAAAGAAAACAAGAATAAAAAAAAGGATGAGATTTCTATGGAATAAGGAAAATAAATGGAATGCCTAAAGAGTAGTAGAAAAAAAAAACAAATAAATTAAATAACAAGAGGAAGAGAGGTTGTGTGAGAAAGGGAGTCATCATAATAAGGTAAAGAAATTCAATGGATGGGAAAATGGAATAAAAAAAATAAGTCAAATGGGTAATATTAGAAAGATGAGGTGATATAAAGGTTTGTGCATAAAGGTAAATTGAAGATCTAAAGTAAGAGAGAAGAATATAATAATAAAGATAATAATGGATAATAGTAATGGTAAGTAAATGATGAATGAAACTAATGCTAGAGAAGGAATCACATGATTCAGTACTGAGGAAGGACATGGTTAGCAAAGCGAGCCAATTCGTGGGAAGTCGTATAAGGAAGCAAGTTACTCTTGATATGAGCATCGATTTCCTATTAAAAAAAATATAAAATCAATATATCATTCATCCTTTTTTTTGGGGGGGAGGGTAGGATTTTACCATTAAGACATCCTTTGCAGAAGGACGAGTAGAAGCTTCTTCATCCAATAACCAGGCAACAAGACCTCGCATATACATAGAAGGATGACTATAAGTAAAGGTAGGACTTGGTTCTGTAGCAATGATATCAAACAATTCTTCTTCATCCTTGATCAAATAATGAGGAGGGACACGATCCATCATTTCAATAATAGTAATACCAAGAGACCACATATCAATCTTTTCATCATAATATTCTTCTCGGATAACTTCTGGTGCCATCCTATTAGTAAAAAGAAAAAAAAAATGTAAATATTTTATTTGTTTTTTTTTTCTTTTCTTTTCTTTTCTTATTACCATTTAGTTGTACCCAGTCTATCACGATTTCGTCTATCTAAACGAGCAGCTAAACCAAAATCAGCTATATATATATAAAATAAAAAGGAGTAAGTAAATCAATCCTAAATGATAGTTGTTTTTCTTACCTAATTTAATTTGACCATTCCAACCAAGTAACAGGTTTTCACATTTGACATCACGATGGAGTAAGCCTTTACTATGCAAGTAAATCAAAGCTTTCAAAGTTTCACAAGCAATATGTACAGTAAAACCTTCAGGAATACCACGTTGACAAAGAATAGCGAAAACTGAACAACGCATCAAATCCATAGCAATCCAAATATCATCACGGCACATGGTAACTTCACGTAATTTGATCAAATTTGCATGTCCACTAGCCATGATTCGTAATTCTCGAAGAATAGCAGCACGATATTCACGATCGGGATCCAATTTACATCGTTTGATAGCCAGTTGTACATTGGGTTGTTTTCTAAAACTAGCTCTAACCACCGCACCATTGACCCTAATTTGGTAGTACAAATATTAGAAAATAAAAATAAACAAATAAAAGATCATGTTCTACTGCTTTTTTTTTTTTTTTTTTTGTATATTTACCCTGTACCAATTTCCTTGAAATCAGAATAACGTTGACGAGGATCAGATGTTCTTATAGTGACCTTGGGTAAGATTTTTTTCATCTTGGCTTCAAATTTGTTTTCAGCACGGGCTAGGGGTGGCAACTGAGGGATTTGATAATGAGGACTAGGAGGATACCATGGACGCTATTTATATATATATATAAATAAATTTAATAAATGTAAATTAATATAATTATTATTGATTTATTATTATCTTTTTTTTTTTTTTTGTTCTTTACCTTGGTAACTTGTTTAGCAGGATCCATAGGTCGTAAATTCAAAGCAACTGGTATTTCTGGTTTCAAATAAGCATTTCCAAGAATATCGGGTACTTCATAACAACCAGGAGATCTCCATACATCCTATTAAATAAAAATGATAAATAAAAATGTTCTTTTTAATATGATTCCTATTTATATACCTTATTGGAAGTTGAATTTGATAATTTTCCATCCGAAAGTGAAGATTGACGACGTAAGTTTCCAGTTGATTTGCGTTTAGGATAAATAGAAGCAACACGAAATGTATTAGAAGTAGTACTGGTACAATTAGGCTCTGACTTGCTCTTTTGAAGTATCGCCATCTTGAAATGATATAAATATATGTATATATTATATAAAGAAAAAGGTTAAGAAATGAATAAAATTATGATAAATATATTAGTTTATTTATTTACCTTTGAAGAAGTTTGAGTTTTGGGAGTTCGTTTTTGGTTGATAGGTTGCATTCTTGTCGGAAGGAGGAAGTGTAGGAGAGTAGAATATATCAAGGAGTGTGTATATATGGTAAGAAGGGGGTGAGTATTGGAAGAGAGGCGTGTTTTATAAGTGAAGAAGAAAACTCGTTTTCAGGAGAGTGTGAGAGAATGAGAAAAAGAAAATAGAAGAAGAGAAAGAATTTGTTATTCGAAATGTAAGTTGACTAAACGAGAGGAAGATAGAAAAAGAATAAAGGAATGTTTAAGGGAAATTAAAAGGAATGGTAGTGGGATAATATTATTGTTCAAAAGAAAAAAGAAAAAAAAAAAAGAAAAGAAAAGAAAAAGAAAAGAAATATCAAAGTGGGGTATTAAAGAAAAGAAAAAAAAAAATATGAAAGGGGATAAAGATTTGAAATGGCGGATATTGATGTGCAACCATCACCAAAAGGCACATGATATCGGGTTACACTTTTCTCTGCAGTCTTTTGATGACGTGCACTGGTTTGCATGATTAGTTCTTTTGCTACTCAAAAAAAAAAAAAAAAGAAAGAAAAAAAAAATAAAATAAAATAAAAAAAAAAAAAACGTTGAAACCCTATTGACAGCTGTATCTATCGTGATTTTTTTTTATCCCACCAAATTTCCCTTTTCTAGGCTCTCCGCCTTCCGCATAAAACGATTAAGTCCCAGAGAGTTAACACTTTTTCTTTCTTTCTTTCTTTCTTTCTTTCTTTCTTTCTTTCTTTCTTTCTTTCTTTCTTTCTTTCTTTCTTTCTTTCTTTCTTTTCTTTTCTTTTCTTTTCTTTTTTTTTTCTTTACTATTCTTGTTTATATAAAATAATAATGACACTATCAAAATCATCCATGGATAAAAGACAATCTATTTCAAAAACATTCTCTTGGTTACAACACACTACAAACAAACCTGCTATCAATACCAGTCCAACATCAACTATATCTTCTTTATCATCATCATCATCTCCTATCAGTAATAAAAAGTTTGGATTTTTTACAAAGTTTAGAGCTTCTATGACTGAATTGGATCAAATTATATCATCTGATGATGATGAAGAACATTATACACCAACAACACCACGAGACTCTCAACATTTAGCAACACAAGAAACAAAAAATACAATCACTATCATAGAACCATTACCCAAGTCAACAGTATCACTTCCGCCAAGACCTCCTCAACATTTTACTTTAAATCAACGTGTACAAGGTATTTTAGGCTCCACTTTTGATGAAACAGATTATACAATTGAAAGGGAATGGGAACATAATCGACTTCGTTTAGAATTAGATTTGAAGACTCCTGCACCTTACCAATTTTCTTGATTATTGCATACACACATTCTCCCCTGTTTTATTTATTTTATTCATCCTGTATTATAATAAAGTTTCATCACAAGATTTTCTATTGATTCTTTTTCCTTTTTTATATGATTGGTCATTGTGATCGAACAAAGGGCTCAGCATAGACCTTTTTTTTTTTTTTTTAATCCGATATCCACGCGAATGAATTAATATGGTTCATTTAATTACAGTTAATTACAAACTTCAACAATAGTATTAAGGAGAGGTTAGATATGATAGTTTGTTATTGATAAAAATAAAACGATGGAACCTATAATCAGGTATATACCTTTTTGTTTATTTTTTTTTTCTCTCTTTTCTTTACATTTTCTATTTTTACCACGTCCATCCTATTTTGGTACTTATTGAGTGCGAAAAAGTTTTTTTTTTTTTTTCTGGCTGATATTAAACTGAGACATTTCATCCTTTTTTCCTAAAAAAAAAAATATATTTTTTTTTCTATTCTCTTTAACATAGATCAAAATGGATTCAGATAACGATATTTGGGCTTCTAGTGATGATGAAAATAACTATGATCGTATCATTGCTGAAAAAGATTGGGAAAGACTTCAAGAAAACCATGGCAACGTAAAAGCTTTTTTATTTTTATTTTTTTTTTTCGTGAATAACACGCATTTTTCTCTTTTATATTAGGATGGATATAAAGAAGGAATCATAGAAGGGAAGGAAGTTCGTATGCAACATGGTTTTGATAAAGGTTATATTGAAGGACTAGCTATTGGAAAAGAATTAGGTATATTACGCGGAAAGCTAAGGTATATATATATAATATAAAACAAATATGATTAATACTAAATTTTTTTTAATTTTATTTTATAGTACTTACTTGACATTTTATAAACAAATGGAACATAATGAAACTGTCGTCAAAGAATTACAAACTGTTTATGATGAATTAGATAAAGTGGATGTTCAACATATCTTTTCAACTGAATATTTTTCTTCCACTATTTCCGAAAATTATATCTCACCTCAAGATAAAATTCAACAATGGCGAAGGAAAATTGATCAAGTGATTCAAAATACTACTACTTCATATTGAACTTAGTCCTATTTTATTATATATATATATGGAACAACTCAATATGTTTTGGAACAACTCAAAACTTGTCAATCAATGATGACAAAGCAAAAGAAAAAGAAAAAAAAAAAAAAGAGGATGGACTGTCTTCTTTTTTTCTTTTTTTTGGAGCTTGTGATCTATTGGAACTTTTGTATTTGATACGAACAATTTAGAATAGATTGATTGATAGATACATTATTATTAGTTTGATTCTTTAGGCATCATATAATTTTGTCATTTAAATGAAATAAAAAAGAAATTGATAACTCTCCTCTACACTTTAAACAAATTTCAAGCGGCGGAGTTTCCAATCTAAAATCATCAAATAAGGGTCGAGCACGACTTTCTTTTTTTTTTTTTCGTTCTACTTCTTTACTTTTCTCTTGTCGTGTATCATTTATCACTTGACATGGTTTATATAAAACGAAAACCATGGAAAGTCAATTTATTATTTTATATCACACGTAATAATAAAAATATACTATAATCTCCCATCTTTATATCTAACCTTTTTTTTTTTTAACTTTCAATCTTATATTATAGCAATTATTCTTACCTTCTCGACTCTAATATTGGCTCAAGAAGAATCACAAACTCATGTAATTATATTATTCTATTTTTTTATATAATATCTAATTTAAGCATCTGTTCTATTATAACTTAGGTTTTACAAAATGAATATCAACACCAGACCACAGAAGATACTGCATTCTCTAATCAAGGTACATCATACTATCATCCCCACAACTTTAAACTGACTCTTAAGATTCAATATTTTTTTAGGTCAACTATTATATGAACAAGCTTTACAGCAACTAGAAACCTTAACAAAAATACAGTCTTCTTCTACCTCCACCAAGCACAAGCCATTGCCACTCAAAGGGAGACAAACAGGAGTCGTGGGACTATATCATATTGCCACTGACTCTATATGGAAATGGATAGACTCTTATCTTACCGATAGCACCGCTAAAACTACTACGTCCTCTACTGAGAATAAAGAAGACATTCAAACTTCGTCATCATCCTCCACCACACAAGGCATCAACCAACAGGACGAACGTTTACAGGAAGCAACACGATTATTAGAAGAAGCTGGAAAAACATATGGAAATAAGGACGCGTTATTTTTATTAGCAGAAATGTACTTTGTAAGTTCAAAAAAAAAAAAAAAGGATTCATACTAGAGAAAGACTAATTCTAACTTTTAACTCTAGTATGAAAAATATTCTCAACCCCGTGATTACAAATTAGCATTTGATTACTATCAGAAATTAGCGAATACTGGAAATGCAACAGCTCAACAAATGATTGGATTTATGTATGCCACTGGTGTTGGAAATGTTATTCAACGTGATCAAGCTCAAGCCTTTTTACATCATACTTTTGCTGCTTTAGGTGGTGACACGGCAGCCGAAATGACTCTGGGTTATCGTTATCTACTAGGCATTGGTACAGATCAAAGTTGTACTGACGCGGTATATTATTACAGGATAGTCGCCGAGAAAGGTAAGAAAAAAAAAAAAAAAAAAAAAAAAAAAAAAAAAAAAAAAAAAAACAGGAAATATCTTGACTGAAAATTGGAAGGGGTTAAAAAAAAAAAAAAAGAGGAGGAAATTAAGCTTAACTTTATCTTTAATCATCTCTATCTTCTCAATTTAGCCATTAATCATTACCTTTCTGGTCCTCCTGGTGGTCTAGCTCTTCCTTTACCCAAAATACGACTAGCTGATGATGATGGTGGAGTATATGGATATGGTGCAAGTGTGATGACAGACAAAATGCATCGTAGCAATTCGGATAAATCCGTTAGCATCGAAGAAGTATTACAATATCTTAGATACTTGGCTCTCCAAAAAGGCGATATTGAAGCCCAGGTAAAAAAAAAAAAAAAAAAAAAAAAAAAAAAAAAGGAGAAGAAAAAAATTTGTAAAAAGGTAATAATTGACTTGTCACTTTTTTTTTTTTGTTTCTGCATATATCTATATATAGCTACGACTTGGCGAAATATACTACCATGGATCAAGAAATGTTCCTCGTGATTTTGGAGAAGCCCTCTACTTTTTCAAAGCTGTGGTTCGTAGATTACCTTCTGGAAAACTTCCAGATTCAATGGTGAAAAGTGAAATTGGAAAAGCCATTGGACAAGCAGCGGGTTATCTTGGAAAGATGTTTATGCGTGGTGAAGGTGTTTCCGAAAATATAGAGATGGCTTATAAATGGTTTATGGTTGGTACAGAATTACAAGATTCTGCTTCTATGAATGGATTAGGTCTGATTCAAATGAAGGGTGAAAAGAAGGTAAGTTATCTTCTTTTTTTTTCCTTAAAAAAAAAAGAAAGGAAATGGTGTGTATCAAGATAGTAACTTTTTTTTTTGTTAGGACTATGAACAAGCTATCATGCTTTTTAAACAAGCTGCCAATCTGAAAAATGCTGATGCTCGTGTCAATCTTGCAAAGGAATACATGAATCATCCATCTACTGTGACGGAAAGTATCAAGCTTTTTGAACTTGCAGCAGAAACATCTAAACATTTGCTTGCCTATTGGTATCTCGGTCAACTTTATGAAAAGGGAATTGGAATGGATAGACCATCGTGTAAACATGCTGTCTCGGTATGTAAAAAAAGAAACGAAAAAAAAGTTCAAGAGTTCTCATTTTATTTATTTTTTTTTATAGTACTACAAAGCGATTGCTGAACGTGGCGACTGGTTATATCCAACTATGGACACTGCTTATGATGCCTATATGCGTGGTGATTTGGACAATGCCTTACTATCTTATATGCTCGCTGCTGAACGTGGTTACGAAATTGCTCAATCCAACGCTGCTTATTTATTAGATACAGGTAAATAAATAAAATGAAGCATTCGCAATTTTTTATTTATTTGGATTTTCTAAACAATTTTTCTTCCTTTTTTTTTCTAAAAAAAAAAATGATAATAATAGATAAAGTGGCACTCAATATTCCGGAGCAAATCGGTTTAGAGGAAAGACCAGCAAGAGACAATTATTTGGAAGAACTTGCATTGATCTATTGGTCCAGATCTGCCAATCAAAACAATGTGGATTCAAGAGTCAAGATGGGTGATTACTACTACCGTGGGATTGGGACTGAAGTGGATTATGATAAGGCGGCATCATGTTATCGAATAGCTGCTGAATTGGAAATGTCACCTATGGCTATGTGGAACCTTGGTTGGATGTATGAAAATGGAATTGGAGTTGCTAAAGATTTCCATCTTGCGAAACGTGCTTACGATACTGCATTGACTACAAGTGGGAACGCCTATCTTCCTGTCAAGTTATCACTGATCAAACTCTACGCTAAATATTATTGGGAATGGCTTATTGGTGGTGAAGTCGGCAATGAATTGTTTTTCTCTCAAGATCCAAAATATCGACAGCAACGTCAAAATCACCAACAGCAACAACAGGATGGATGGGATGAATTACAAGATCAACATACACCATCAGAGGAAGCGATGGCAATCCAACAAGCTCGTCAACGTCAACAGATTGAAGGGCATGATGATCATAATGGGCAATGGAATGAACGTGGAGCTGAAGATGAACTTCGTCGACAATACAACAGACACAAGGAATTGGAAGAACAGGAGGATGATATGCATGAACTTACAGGTAGTAATGAACGACATCGCCGACGAGCTGATGGCACAGCACAAGAAGATGACGACTCCTCCGAAGAGGATGAATTGATTGAAAGCTTGATTATTCTCGGCATTTGTCTTTTGGTTGGATGGTTAGTCTATGTACGTCAATTCCGATTTGGTAACAACAATAACAATAACAATCAACCTGCTGGTCCACAGCAACACGATCCTCTGTTTCAATTCTGATGTTTTTTTTTTTTCATCTCCTTATATGTACACCTTTCTTTTCTTTTTTCTCTTTTTATTTATTTATTAACTTATTAGTTACATCCTCTTTCGCTCATTCTTCATGTTTATACCATTGCCTTTTTTTTAATATCAATAAATGCTCTGATGATGCTGTACTGGGCTTTATCAATGATTTATATGTATCGTTTACTTTATTTGTTTGTTGTGGAGGAATGGTTTTGTGTCGGATGTTACTTCCATCACAGTAAAAAAAAAAAAAAAAAAAAAAAAAAAAAAAAAAAAAAAGGATGATAAATTAATATTAGTATAGACATCTCAATAGTAGCAGTATGATTTTTTCTTAATGATGGAATACTGAATTGACTTCTCATATTGAAAAGTCGATACTAATATTAATTTTCAATATTTTTTTTGACCGTGCATCTTTTTCCCTTTTTCTTTTTTGCGGTTCTCTACGCATTATTGATGGGTTGACTCTTTTTGATTCACTAACAAAAAAAATTATACAAAGTGTATCAAAGGATCTTCTTTTTTTTTTTTATTGATTTATTATATATAATTCTTCCTTTTTATGAGACATAAATAGAAAGAGAGGAAGGAGGAGGAGGGTGGTGAATTCAAAAAGAGGAAACAAAGTGAAAAAAAAAGAAGAGAATAAAAAAAGACTATATAAATGTACCAAAATGATAACAATATGAGAGAGAAAAAAAGTATATGGACTATTGTTTAAGATGAGTGATAAGAAGAGGAGATAAAAAAATAAAAATAATAATAATATCTATTTCTTAGCAGTAGCTTCAGAGGCATTGATATTGAGCAACAAAGTATCAGAATCGAGCATGACACGGTTACCACTTCGGGAGATCACAGAAGCAATTTCACGAGCAGCTTCAATACGCTTCAATTCCAAGAATCCAGGCTTGTTCTTGATAGCTTCACCAATCAATTCAGCAGATTTGGCTTCACCTTGAGCACGAACAATCTATTCCAAAAAAAAAAAAAAGAGTGATGAGATATCTGATCATCTATCCATTCCCATCAATAATACATACCACTGATTGTTTTTCTTGACGAGCCTTGTCAACCACAAAGGCAGCACGTTGAGCATCTTGTTGGGCAATTTGCTTGGCTTCAACAGCACTTTCAAAGACAGGAGAGAAACCAACATGAGTGATAGACACATCATCCAAAACAATGTTGAAACGTAAAGCACGACGCACCAAGTTTTCACGTACAAGACGAGATACACGTTCACGTTGAGTGATCAATTGAGAAGCGGTGAATTGAGCAACAACAGACTTCAATACTTCATTGACAATGGAAGGAAGAATACGTTCATCATAATCTTGACCAAGAGTACGGTAAACAGTGGCAAGTTGATCCACACGAGGCTTGGACAAAACACGACAAGTAATATTGACCATTTGCAAATCTGTTTTCCATCAAAAAAAAAATCATGATTAATGTATCTATAATAGAACATTCTTTCCACATGTTTTTCTTTTTTCCAAAAGAATATTTCTTTTATTGTATTACCTTTGGTACCAGTCAAGGAACCAACATTGCGAGGTTTAGCACGAACATCATAAACAATGGGAGTTTCGAACCAGGGGATCATAAAGTGAGTACCTTCGTTATATACAGTGTTTTGAACACCAAAGAGACGAGTATATTTGATAGCACGGTGACCACCATCAACTAAATGAAAGAAAACAAAAAAAAAAAATGATCAGTTCAAATTCTACTTTCGTTATATGTATCAAAGTAAGTGGTATTTTTTCTTCTTCTTCTTCTTCTTCTTCTTCTTCTTCTTCTTCTTCTTCTTCTTCTTCTTCTTCTTCATTCGATGTTGTTTGATTGATTATACAGTCAAGAATGGTTCAAAAGAATGAGGTGGTTTCGATCTATTTGATGCCTTTGATATACATGTCGAATTCGATACCTTTGTTGTTATTATTGTTGTTTATTTTTGATTTTATTCGCCAGTGTATGAAAACAAAGAAAAAAGAAGAAGAAGAGAATGTTCATGTATTATTGATTTTCTTACCGTTGAAAAGAGAAGCATTGACACCGTAACCCAAGGCACCGAGGACAACCAAAGCACCAGCGGCAGAGCCAGCACCTTTACCAGAACCCTTAGGGAACATGCCACCCAACTTTTGAGCTGCTTGTTTTGCTTGTTGAGCCATGTCTTGTGTAATGTATAAATTAAAAAGAAAAAAAAAGAAAGACGAAAGGGAAAAAAAAAAAGTGAAGGATATGTTTTTTCCACCCCTACCCTCACCCACCTTTTCCCTTCAGACCAAAAAAAAAAAAAAAAGTGATGAAAAAAAAACATAGGGAACGGTGGCTGGTTCGTTTTCACACTCCGTTCTGTCCTTACTACCTATAAGAGGAAAATCGCCACTATTGTAACAGAAGCATTAAACAATCACTATATAAATGGCTTAATAGGATAAAAATCACTTCAGTAACAAGTCATTAAGAGTAATTTCAATATCATTATTACCAGCATAAAAAAACAATAACATCCCATCATACTATTATCCCATCATATTCTCAAAGATCGCCATAAGGGTCAGCATGTTCAATCATATACCCGTTCAGCATCATCATGATCTGCTGTGCAAGCACTGTTATTGGTAATAATCATGTCAACAAGTCAGAATTATACATACGATTCACATATTGCAGAGGTCAGCAGATCATCAAAATGAAAGAATTTGTTTATTAGTGAACCAAGGATAAATTACAACATAAAAAAAAAAATATTAACAATCACCCATTGGCAATGTCATCCAATAATAATAAAAAAAAAAGAGGAAGAGAAGAGATAAAGAAAAAAAAAAATCCACTCTAACTAATAAGAAATAAAGAATAAGAGTAATAAAAATAATAAAAAAAGAGGGATAAAGAATAACTAATAATCATACGCTACAATACCATATTAATGGATACAATATCAACTAGACAGTTTCGGATTTTTCCCCTTCAGCAGGAAGCTTGTCGATTTCAGTACCAAGAGTTTCCTTCATACGTTGAGCAATATATTCACGATCAACTTTCTTACGGGGGTTGGTTTCGAATACAACGTTCATTTCTTCGAGCTACAGGAGAGAAAGAGAAAGAAAGAGTAAGCTAACAATAATAACGAATCCTATTTTTTTTTTTTTTTTTGGGTAATTGTTTGAAGCTTACTGTGAATCCTTTAGTTTCACTATAGAAATAAAGATACAGGGAAATAAGATATCATGAGTTCACTTTTTTTTTTTAATTTATTCACTATCATCCATCCATTCTTTTTTTTTTTTTTTTTTTTTTTTTTTACAATTTACTTACGGATAAGCGAGGTAGACATGCATAGCCATAAGGAAATTGAAACCAGCAAAGAGCATATAAAGACCATAATGCAGACTTTCCATCATCATGGGCACAGCGAAACTGAGTAACCAATTGAAGAACCAGTTAGCAGCGGTGGAGAGAGAAACTGCCATAGCACGTACACGAAGAGGATAAATTTCAGCAGGGTAAATCCAACCTAAAAAAAAAAAAAAAAAAAAAAGCATGAGGTCTTACTTTCTTCAATCCATCTTCTTCTTACCCAAAGGACCCCACGTTACAGCGAAACTTGCAGTGAAAAGATAGACAAAAGCGACAACAGCATTGGTAGTATGATCATTGGGTAAATGCACCGACCATTTGCCATAGTTAGCTGCAGCAGGATTTGTTTCAACATACCAGTCACCAGTCTTGAGAAGACCTCCCACGAGCCAAAGGAATGTAGACATGGCAAGAGCACCAAAGATCATGGTAGGACGACGACCCCATCTATCGACAAACAAGATGGCAGGGACGGTCATGACAACATTGATCACATAACTGACACCAGAAGCAATCAAGGTACTATTTTGATCGTTACCAATACCAGCTATAATTGAGAAAAAAAAATAAAACACATAATATATCAATAAAACCATAAATCCAATGATATAATAAAAAATAGAATTACCTTGTTGGAAAAGGAAGACAACGTAGAACATGATGATATTCATACCAGTCAACTGTTGCCAGATTTGCAAAAAGACACCCAAGAAAACACGGTAAGCAATACCAGGTTTAAATAAGTCGGTATAACGATGAGATGCTTGTTCACGATCAAATTTGACAACGGCATTAATTTCTTCAATTTCCTGTAAATCATGAAATTCAAAATATTAACATCCATCTACAACGTGATTCATATTTCTTTTTTTTTATATATTTACCAATAGAACGCGAGGATGATTTGGATCACCATTACCATGGATATCAGCAAGAACCTTGATAGCTTCATCCATTCGTCCTTTATCAGCTAACCAACGAGGAGAGAAAGGGAAAGCCCACATACCAGCACACAGGATAAGAGCAGGAACTGTTTGAATGGCCCAGAAAACACGGAAAGCAGCAGTAGATTCGATATGACCACAACCAGTTTGAATCCAAAACCTAAAAAAAAAAAAAAAAAAAAAAAAAAAAAAGGAGTGAGAAAGGATTTCATATGATCATCTGAGTGAAGTAATTCAGTGTAACACTTACGCAAGGAAAATACCCCAAGTAATAGACCATTGCTATATGAATAAAGAAAAAAAAATATCAAGTTATTCATTCATGATGATAATAATAATGATGATGATTTACCTGAATAGCGACCAATCGACCACGAATTTCTTTAGGAGCAACTTCAGATTGATACAAAGGAATCACCATAGAAGTGACACCAACTGAAAGACCATTGATAGCACGACCAGCGCAAAGCATAGGAACACCATTGGTAGCAGCCTGTAACACAGAACCAAGAACAAAGAGAGAGGAAGCAACAATTAAGGTATATTTTCTTGAAAAACGATCAGCAGGATAACCAGCAATCAAGGCACCAACGAAACAACCAGCAGAAAGAGCACCATTGATCCCACCTTGTAAAAGAGCACTTGGATGACCAAAATAATCTTGATATCTATATTAATTTTCCATTAAAATTCACGTCTATCCATACCTATTTAACTTACTGTTTTAAACCAATGGTACCACTATTGGAACCTAATAATATTAAAAAAAAAAATCAATCAAGTTTTGATAAGTATATCCTTTTTTTTTCTTTTTTTTTATCCTTTTATTTATTTTTTTATTTTACCAATATCAAAGCCAAACATAATACCACCAATAGATGCCCATGCAGAGATCTATTTATTCACAATAATGGTAGTTAGTTAGTTCTAATTCTATAATGAAGTAAAAGTAAATGTACTTACCACATAGACGTTGGTGGTAAGCCTTGTCCAATTCACCATCGTCAAATAATAAAGAGAAAAAGAAGAAGAAGAAAAAAAAAAAAAAGAAAAAGGACAAGAAAAAGACTAAAGAGAAAAGGAAACTTTTTTTTTTTTGTTAGTTTTATACTTGGAAAATTAAGGTAGTGAGAACATAAGAGTTTAATACCCCGCTGAATCTGATTCTTTGTCTTTTTTTTGTATTTCTTTCAGCATACTCCCCACCTAGCGCCCCCACCCTCTTCTTCAATTCTGCCTCTCATTTCTTTGTATCACTCTGGGCAAAAAGATTATATAATGAAATTCAAAGAGGTTTGAACCGCGGAAAGTACAATAAACCAAAATATTTCCCAAATGAGGCAATACGGGGATCAGAATCTTATATGGATTCTTTTCTGATTGGCCCGGTGTTAACCTGTTCCTTCAATTTTTTTTTTTTTTTTTTTTTTTTTTTTTTACCTAACTTGAGCCTTTTATTTCTCATTTACATCGTGGTGGGAAATTCCTTCCCGTTTGTTTCAATTTTTGATTAAAAGAAAAAGGATGATTCGGAATAAGATGTACCATATATAATCCACTGTTACCACCTTCATGTCATCATACAAATCATATTATTTATTAAATTCATAGTCTTTTAATAATTTCAATGGAACAATATCATTTCATGAGTAATATATATATATAATCTGAAGATCAAAACAAACATCAGTCATTGGAGAAGGACATGTGGACAAAGAAAACAAAAAATAGTGCTGACACAGTGTCATTTTTTTTTCTCAATCAGCTATGGTGGGAAGAATCTGAAAAAAATTCCTATGGTAATGTCAATTGCTCTATTTATTTATTTTATTTTATTTTTCCCTTGCAATAACAATAGAGGATGAAAGATAGATCAAAAGAAAAAAGAAGTGGGCTTGAACGATCAAAGGAAAGAAATCATCCGATAACTATGTTGTGTATTCTTAATATAGTTTTCTATTCTCTGGGATCTAACTTAATACGTTCATGAGAGTAACAATCAATTAATAAGATGATGTTCCTATTTAACCTCTTCTCTTTCTCTTTTTTTTTTGACAATGATTTTTTTTTTCTTTGGTTCATTGCTTTGGATTCATTACCATCATTAGCAATGAGGATTTTCCCCGTGGGGTGATGATCATTTTGGATTAGCTTTACCCAGTTTCGCTGTTGTTAAATTTATGAGGGAGGATGACCTGAATCATAAACGTAAGGTGGTACGAAAGCCAACAAAAAACAAACAAATAAACCGGCATTTTAAATCAAGGTATCTTCCTTCCCTTTTGTTGAAATCCAAGACTATGGGTTCATAACTTTGATCATCATATACTTATCACTACATATCATCATCTTTGAATTATTATTATTGAATAACAGATATATCGTCCTTATTTTTCTATTGAAGTAATAAAACCTATGCTTGGGAAAAAGATGGATCAGTCATGTGTTAAAACCCCTTTCGTCGGTACTCGTTGGTTACATAATAACTGGGTTCCAACTATAAAAATTCTGTTGTCATGTTAAAATCATAAAAAGTACCTAAAAATGGGGAACATTGATTTCTTCAACAGAGGAAAAAAAAAAGATATAACATCAAAATCTTTATTTGTCTTTTTTTATTTTTTTTTAAGATTAAGAATTACAAAAAACATAATTTAATATATATAAAAAGAGAGGGGAAGATATAATGTAATCATAGAAATGGCACTATTGTCTTGTGATAGTAATATATATATATTCCAGATATTAGTCGTCGTCTTCATCGTCATCGTCATTTATAAAGGCATCCGATTCTTCCGAGACTTCATCCATCAAAACAGCTTCCTTGCTTTCCAATCCACTATCTTCAGAATCTTCTTCTTGCATGTTTGCGTCGCTGTATTCATCATCTTCTTCTTGTGTTTTGCGCGTTCGTCCCAATGATAATGGCATTCGTGGATCTAACGTCCAAAAAAAAAAAAAAGATCAGTAAATCACAATGAATGTTTCATTTTTTTTTTCACCAAAACTTACTTCGCATTCGAGTTCTAAAGAAATTGGCCATTCGTGCAGCATTTTTGTACGCCAAAGAGGTTGGATGATTGTAATTTTGAGCATTTTTTCGAATCAATTCGACATCATCAATTATAGCCTATCAATAATAAAGATCATACAAAAAAAAAAAAAAAAAAAGGAGGAAGAGAAAATGTTAGAACAGTTATATTCACATCCCCACATATATCAATAAATAGAAAACCTTACTTCTAAATGACGATAAAACCCATTATTCAGTCTATCCTTGACCATTTCCAGACAGATTGGGTAAGCAATTTTCGACAGATAATTCGAATAAGTATAGTAATCAACTTGATGCACATAAAGAAGAAAGTCGTCGGTGTTACATATCCAATCCAAAACACTTCTAGCACGATGAATTTGCTGATCGGTTAATCTACTTCCAACATCATACCATTCCGAGAAATCTTCACCAATAGGAACAATTTCCCATGGACTTAGGTCTTCAGGAGGTGAAGAATCATCGTCCCTAATGTATTAAAGAATAATATTAGATAATCCTTTTCCTTTCCTTTCCTTTTTTTTTTTTTTTTATTATTATTTACCATATAATATGATAGCAAGCCCAAGGACTTTGAGATTTTGCTCGTTGCCAGTACATTCCGGTGTCGTTGATAGTCGATATCTGTCCAGTATACTTGCCGACATCGTACATAGCATCTACTCGTTGGCCAGGTTGTACAGGACCAAAAAAGATAGACATGGAAGCCAAAAAACGTTCCCAGAGAACCAAAAATTCAGGACATCCATCTTCATCAGAATATTCTACAATGATTTCTTCCATTCCAGTTATACCATGTCTTCCAGTAGCATTTCGAGATGACGATGATGACGAAGGAGATACCCAATGTGGATCCGCTTGTTCAGTTGCAACAGCCCGTATATTGGTCAATTCTTGTATTGTAAGTTTGAGGCGACAAAAGCAGGGAGGTCCAACATGCCAAGAAATACCATCTATAATAGCGAATATCACAGGTTCATTTTGCTTGATTTGAAGAGGTCCATGTCTTTCATCAAAACATTCCACCATTTCAGATTGTTCCCAGTATTGCTGATATCCTTCCAAAAGTAATGCCACACGATCCCCCATTTGTGGTAAATATTTTTCAACTGATCGTTGTGTCATACTGATCCATGGTGAAGGTTCATATAATTTGATTTCCTCTTCTGTCAAATCTCGAAGTATATTGATACCACGTTGATGTGTTGGTCTATGCGATGTCTTGCTGGTAGTTGCCCGTTTTTTACCTTTATTTTTACTTTTGCTGATTCTAGACGAGTTTGACAACCGTCGTTGGGATTGTTGTTGTTGCTGTTGTTGCTGTTGTTGCTGTTGTTGTTGTTGTTGTTGTTGTTGTTGCTGATGATACTGTTGTTGCTGTTGTTGTTGTTGTTGTTGTTGTTGTTGTTGTTGTGATCGTGTCAGTCGTTGTGAACCACCAGTGGAACTTGTTGACATTGTAGAGGAGTGAGCCCTTGTCATCATTGGCATGACAACATCATCATCACTTTCAGCTATCCTTGCTTGGAGTCGTCGTTTGCCTATCTTTCGTTTCGGTAGTTTCACAAAATCATCATCATCATCATCATCGTTATCACTGTTACTGTCATCACTTTCGCTATCCATCACCGTAGATCGAGCCTTTGTTCCTCTTCGACTTCGTGTTGAAATGTTTGATGTTGAAGGACCAGCTTCAACTGAGGATGGTTGTGCTTCATCCCCGGAATCAGTAATGTTCACCATATCATCTTCAAGTTCTTCAAAGTCATCATCCAGATCACTTTCCATATATGATTTTGGTCGCATACGTACTCTTCGTCTCGGTCGTAAAGGTGCATCTTCTTCTTCATCGCTTTGAACTTGAATTTCTCGTCGTCTTTTTCTAGTAGTCGCCCGTGTTGCCCGATCTTCACTAGTTCTGTCGACAATATTGGATGTACTACTGGATGAAGATGGTTGTAATATTCTTGCAGAAGATCTTGTAGATTGTCGTGCATCTGTACTAGGTAAAAGGTCATTGTCTGATAATTCTGATGAACTAAAGTGACGCTGTCTACCGGCCCTACTTCGAGTCACAGGAGGACCATCATCAGTTTCGTCTTCGTCCCAAGGTTCCACAGTAGAAGTTGGTACATGTTCAAATTCGTCAGAGCCAACATCCTCATTTTCTTCTTCACTATCTTCTTCACTACTGCCATAGATTTGTCCGCCAGTTGCTTCTTCACGGTAATCTTCATCATCAGAATCATCAGGAAGTAGATATGCTTGAGTCGCCGGTATAGGAAATTGGAATGGAGGCAAAGCTGATCCAGCACCACCAGTTTCGTTTTCATCATCATCCTCATTCTTCACAAAGTCACGTCGTCGTTTTGCAATTTGGGCGCGATCCATCACAGGTAATGAAGGAGGTATTTCTGTCCTAATATCCCTTTCTTCTTTGTCGTAACATACCAAACGTTGAGAGTTTTCCGTTTCAAATGTTTGAGCTTGAATTGTAATATCACGACCATATCCTCGTCTTGGTTGATGCGGGTATTCAATGCCTTGTAAATCAATGATGGGTGAAGGTGGAAGTAAATGTGTCGATAGATTCGTTTGTTCATCCACGAATGTGCCATCTTCTTGATATCGAACAGGAAGATAATCATTGTAAAAATATTGTCCACGAGTCCAGTTCTTTGTTTGAGCATAATCCTTGTCTAATCCATTAATACCAAATAACGTACAGTTGCCTTCATCATCAGTAATTGCATATTTCATACCATCCTTGGAAAACTTGCAATCTAAAAAGACTCTACCAGGATGATTTCTCCAAGTAATCACATTTTGTCGTCTGATATCCCACAAAATAACATTGCCATCGTAACCAGCGGAAAGAATCGTATTGGGATCTTGAGGATGACTATCCACAGCATATGTTTCACCCTTATGTCCTTTGAGTATACAAGCAGGTTCTCCGTTATAAGCATAATAAACCTTGATATCACCATGAGTGGTTGCCACAATACATAGACGATCATCAGCAGTCCAAGTAATCATTGATACCTTAGGTGATTCTTCAGTATCTTGATGTTCGGCATTGGCAGTAATGTTGATATTTGTCGTAACTAGGTCAGGCGTACTGTTTGGCTGATATGAATCGATGTGATTTGTTAGTGTATCCACTGAAACAGGCATAATTTGGTTGGTAATCGAGTTGTTCAAGATCGATTCAGAGGGTGATGGACTGAGAGGTGGTATGAGAGTTCCAAATTCAGATGTCTCTTGTTGACCTATTGATGAATCTTCAAGTCGTTTGCTAGCTTTTTGCGCTGTTTCTGAGGCTGTTGACGGTTTCACCATGGGGACGTCCGGAGTTTTTTTGATATCCACTATTGAATAAAGAAATATAAAGATATAAAATAAAGTAAATAAATGGATGTAAACAATATCCTTTCTCCTCGTGATATTATACTTACAAATTATTGACGTCCAAGTAGCATTTTCGTTATTGTATGACCAAATTCGAGCCGTTCCATCTTGCGAACTAAAGAAAAAGGGAGAAAGTAAAAAAAAAAAAAAAAAAAAATGGTAATGAATTAATATCTATCTATTCTTTCAATGTCTACTCCAACTTACCCACTAAGTATCCTTTGACCATCATGACTAAAGGCCAAATCAGTGACACTTCCCATATGTCCTTCCAATATAGCAATAGGTTCAATAGGTTGTGGTTGATCTTGTCCACTCTTATCTGGAAAAAGAGCACTTGCTACTCTTCGTCGTCTACGTGATTGACCATCTTGATTTGAAGTTCTAGTACTCGATCGTCCAGTATCGATAGGATTGTTCTTGATTGTTGAGAATACGTAGACAAATCCATCATCACCAGCCACAGTAAACTTGGTTCCAGTATAATTGAAAGAAGAACACCGTAATTTATCTCTTGCGCGAAATTTGCAACTATATGTAATTGGTGATTCAGGATTCATGAATTGAAAGGTATCGCGATTCCATTTCCATAATCGAACATAACCGTCTTCATTTGTTGCCATAAGATATCGTGTTTCTGACCTTGGTGATGGGGAGAATCTTACAGTTGTAAAAGGTTTTGCCTAATAATTTATCAAAAAAAAAAAAACATAATTCTTAAAATCCAATTCCTTAACAACTCTTTTTTCTTTTATCCACTTACATTGGCTGATATAGGTCGTAAAGATGCTACTTGTTTATATCCATCCATTGTCCACACACGCACGTAACCATCTGAAGAAGCTGTTGCTATAAGAGTATTTTCTTCATTGATGGCAATATCAGTAATAACATTGTAATGTCCACGAATGGTATATATCAAGTATCCAGTTCTAACACACCAAACTTTAACCAAGTAATCATCGCTTCCCTACAAAAGAAAAAAAAAAAAGTATCAAATAAATAATCATAATCTTAAACCATTCCCTTTTTCTTTTTCTTTTTTCTTTCTCTTACCGTGAATAATCGTCTATTTGTTTTGTCGAAAGCCAAACAAAAAACAGGAAATCGATGGCCATTGATAGTAACCCGCTAGATGAAATTAAAGATCAGTAAAAATGATATTCTTTATATTATATGCATTTACCTCTTTGTAAAAAGTTGATAAGAATGTTTGAGTACAACTCTTTTGCATAATATTAGCACCCATTTCACGAGCGATCAACATTCGATCTATATAAAAGAGTAACGTCAAAAGATGATTATTATTATTAACATAATAATAATATATTTCTAACACTTACGAACTGACAAGTTAGCTAGTTCTTGTTGAGTCATTGTCAAATAGTTTGATTTTTCATATTGTTTTCCAGGAACAAAAGCAGATAACATGGTCAAAAGAGATTCATCACCATGTCGTAAAGCATTTGCCCGTAATGTCTGAGGATCAACTGTTTTTTTGTAATGTTGAAGAAGGTGTTCCATCAATGATAAAAGATATTGTCCCTTTGCATCAGGATATTTCTTATTCTATATTAGAAAAAAAAAGAAAAAGAAAAACACATTATCATCAAAAGGAAAAATATTTGATTTTGTTTTTTAGATTTTATTATACTATAATAAAAGATGATGATGAACTTACCAATCGATCCATGGTTAGTGGTACTTGAGATCCATCGTATGTTAGTGTATGTGGTAAAAGTTGTCGTTGTTGATCAAGTTCATGTTCCAAAGCTTGAGCAGATGCTTTACAAGGACCTGCTGATAGGAACTTGGCTATAAGATAATAAAGCTAAAAGAGGTTCAAAATCATGACAATAATAATATATATAAAAAAAAAGTAAATTAATATCAACATGTATGTAACAATAATAAGGATTTTCCTATTCTAGTAGTTGGATCATTCTTTACCTCTGTTTCATCGATGAGAAAGACAGAATTTTTTTTTAAAAAAAAAAAAAAAAGAGAAAAGAGAAAAAAAAAGTAAGAAACGCGTAATACAATATAATTTCAATAAAGTATGATTAATTTATTTGTTTCTCTTTTTTTATTTTTCTATTTTTCTATTATTTTTTTTTATCATGTATGAATGGTTTTACCTTGTTCCATAAGTAACAATCCTCAAGTTTGTAAAGAATAATAAAAAAAAAAAAGAAAAAGAAAAAAAAAAAAGAATTGAAATCTCAAATGAACCGGACGGAGTTGGAAAATAGAACCAGACCCACACAAAAACTGTATTGGATATATATATATATATAAAAGGATTATGATATTCATCTTTAATTATTTAATATATATCATTATTATTTAAAAAAAAAACTTTCAGTATGATGATGTTGTCACATAAAAAGAAAGAAAGAAAGAAAATTAAAAAAAAAAAATGAAATGTTAGATTAGTTGGTTGCACTGAAGGAGACAAGATTTATGCAAAAAGGAAAGAAAAAAAAAACAACAACAAAAGGTTGACTGCATTAGATTGAATCTTGATTTAATAATAATAATGAAAAGGATGATTTATTCATTATTCATATTAAAGCATAAAGAAAATAAAAATGATATGATTTTTTATTTCTCAATAATAATAAAAAAAATAAGACCTGATCATGATTTGAAAATAATATATTTCTTGTTTTCTTTTCAAAAAGTTCAATACAACATTAAAATCAAAAGAGACAACTAAGAAACAGGATCTTCAAGTAAAAAAAAAAAAAAAAAAAAAAGGAGGTTTGTCATGTTTTCGTTCATATTGACATATTTGATTCAATTAGTAAAAAAACCTGATTTCTTTCTTTCTTTCTTTCTTTCTTTCTTTCTTTTCTTTATGACAAGAATATAACCCTGCATTTGATAATAGATGACACGTTGTCCCAATATGCATGAAGTAGAGAAAGAAATAACTATTTTGTTGTTTTTTTCTGTATACAAAAAAAAAAAAAAGAGAAAGATGAGGGTAATCATGGTAAAAATCGGGGTTGATCTAAAAATATATATATATAAAAAAAAACAAACTATAAATTCAACAATGGGCCCGATTGTTTTCAGTTTACAAGAATGGTAAGTTGTTTGTCTTACATGATTTTTACTTTCTCCTACCTTTAATCACGTTTCAATTTTCTTTGTTTGAAGTCAAGAGATTTTATAATAATAATAAAAATGATACTATTTTTCAAACAATCATGGAGAGAGAGATATCAATGATTTGATCAAAAAAAATACTACACTTTATTTTACTTTTTTACTTTTTCGTTCCAGGAACGCTGAATTTTAAAAATTCTCAGTGTTTTCTTTTCTTTTTTCTTATTATTATTATTATTATTATTATTATTATAAAATAGAAATTAGTTATCTTATTTTTTTTTTTTTTGTCTTTCTTTTCTTTCTCTATTTTCCTTTTATTTTATTTTATTTTTTTTTTTATTTTATTTTATTCTTCATTATCTAAATAAATGACAGGAAGAAAACCATTACTCATTGCACCTCCAACTGAACCATCTTATTCTTCTCCTTCACCTCGCCTTTTTAAACCATTCAAAGGTGTACGACATTGGTGGATACGTCAGTCAAACAATGAAAACAATCAACAACCATTAAATTTTACAAAGGAAGGAATAGCAATGACTTTGACTGCTGTTATTAATATACAACAAGATACTCAACCTGCCACAACTCTTCATTCTTCAACTACTTTATTTACACCGAATGCTGCGTATGATACACAACGTACTACCTCCAATACGTATCTACCACCAGCACATACTTATAATGCACGTGCTTTTGTCCATTATGATCCTACTAGGTCTTTTCTTGCTCTTGGAGCTGATTCAATATCAAACCAAACACAAGTATTATGGCTTTCTTTGGAACGTTATTCTTGGTTGATCTCACAATTACATGAAGAACAATATGTCGATACTTTTTTAAAGAATTGTTATTCCAAGGCCAACTCTACTCTTTCTGCTCAACAATATAGACATTCTACCTCTGCTCCTCCTTCTTGTGGCTCTTCCTTATCAACACCCTCTTTAGGTCTATACCCTTTTATTTTCACTACAAGTCCGATATTAGCCGTACACAATGCCCGCTATACTTCTTCAACAGCATTGACTCGTAGGCTCACCCGATTTGTCCATCTTGGAAACAGTAAACACTATCATCCTATGAACGATATTTATTTGTTTATGATACCAAAAGCTCTCTTATTACAAGCAGCTGCTTATATTCCCATGACCAAGCCTTTACCTCCAATGTTTACAACAACTGACTATCAGCAAGAAAAAAAAGAGACTACAAAAATAGCAACAACAGCATCACCATTTACTGATTTACTTCCAAATGATTCAAAACGATTTACAAGATACATTCATTTACTCACTATGACAGCACATGATCTTATCGCGATACCCATATATCAAATAAAGAATGATTCAAAACATGATTCTACGTTCTCTCCAGAAGCTCAGCATACAACAACAAATTTGGAACAACAACATGAAAATAATCAAGGTCAATTCGAACTTTTCTGCTCAAGATGTGGACATACCCCAGGTTTTGAAACTTTGACATATACAACATCCGGATTCTCTGTATCTGTAGACGCAAATCAATTATTAGGTATTTGATAAAATAACAATAATAATAACACTAATAAAAATGAAGGATGAAAAGAGAACTGATTAATATTCTTTGTATATAATAGAACCAACATTTACAATTGTATATTTTCAACCTATCGTTAATAATTCAAGCGAATCAACCCATCTATATCATGAGACACGTCCTCATTCGCAATCACCAACCACCAATTCAACGACAAAACAGCGCGATATCTCACCATTATTCAATACTTTTCCAAAAAGGCAACAACAGACAACTACGAATGGCACTCAACATGGATCTATTGAACGATTATCTTGTACAGATTCAACAAGTACATCAGGCGCCACCACTGGATCATTCTCTATTCCTTTTCAGAAATCCAATACCGATGATATCAACTTGTATACTTTTGAACGGAAAGGCTTCATAGCAATCGACCACGAACATCAAGAAATTTTGGTAATCTTCCCTGATCTTCCCTTAGCCAAATCTGGAGGAACTATTGATCTGGACACTTCGTTTTTTATTCCAGTCCCTTGGTATGAAGAAGAGGATGACAACAAGGATGAAATCAATACACAATCACAATCATTAGATCAAAAAGGTCAACTTCTTTCTTCACTTGAAGAAGAGCAACGGAAAAAGAAAACAAACCGACGTAGAACACTCTTACGGAAAAAGAATACAACATCAGATATAGAACCATCATTATCACCATCACCACCACCTGTATCACCACTACCACCAGTATCATCAACACCATCATCAGAATCATCATCATCATCATCTATACCTTTTGTTTTGAATGGAGCTCTTACTTCATGGCGACGATGTGAACTGGATGTGGCCACTTTATTGATGCGAACGTGCAAGTCTACTCCTCAGCATTATCATGTTGTGATGATTGGTCATGGATTAGGTGCAGGTAAATCGAAATATATGAAAAATTGGAGGAAAAATGCTCACCTTTTTTTTTTTTTTTATTATTATTAATACTATACGTTGTTGATAGCTGTAGCATCATTATGTGCATTATCATTAGTATCTACAGGACTATTATCAAATCGAAAAGTATCTTATTGTGGTGTACATCCTCCACGAATAGGTAACACTGGATTAGAAGAACTGTTATCAAGGCAAAATATCGATACAACAAGGATTATGCATCCCAATGATATTATGGCACATCTTCCACCACGAACATCAGGATTGGTACATATTGGAAATACAACAATTATTGACAACAAGAAATGGATGATTCGAGGACAGAATGCACATGATATGGAAGATAGAATTGATCGTATTTTACCTACAGTAAAGACTTTTGATACAGATTACCATGGATCAGCTTTGGATATAAATTTATACCCTTCCTCATGCACCTCTACCTCATTATTGACAATTCCTTGATAGACTTTATTACTGTTATTATTATTTTACCCTATTATTCGACAATATCATATCTTTTTTTTTTTTTGAATACCATTTACTTATTCTTCCCCCTTTTTTAATACTATTTTGAAAAAATAAAAAATTATGCTATCTTATTTTAAAAAAACATATTTGTGAAGTTTTGTATTTGTTTATTACTGTAATAACTGATAATAATGAGGATCCATTTAATTCAATAGTCAATAAACATCAGCAAATAGAGTAGTTGTACCTAGGAAAATTAACAGAAAACCACCAAAAAAGGAAAATCGGGCGATTTGTAAAGTTGTTTCAGGAAAATACAAATGTGCTAAGGACCGATAACGGGAAAAAGAACATACGATAAGATATCTTTTCCTTTTTCCTTTTCATTTTTTTTTTTTTTTGTTTTTTAATTAATTAATTCATTGATACCCTTTAAACCTTGTTGTGAAATACAGTAAATGGATCTAACCAATCAACCACCTTCGCCACCTGAAAAGATCATGGAAGGTACTTCTACTTTTATGGATTTGATCGATGACAAGGCATTTCCTTCATCAATGGATCCTGATATCTTGGATACTAAAAAATTATCTCCAAAAACAGAACAATCATGTATAAGACCAAAAGTCATGGATTGGACTCCACACGAAGGACATGCTGGTGATACAATAACAGTCGTATTAATGCAACAACAAGATACAAAATTACCTATGAAATTAGTTTTCAATCAACTTATTTTAGAAACAAATGAACAATATGAAGAAAAAGATTTTACTAAATGGATTACTTTGATTGCTAAAGTACCTCGTTTGGAAGATATACAACCATCAACAACAGTAAAAGAAAATACTATTTCAGTCTCCGTCTGTGCTTATGATCCTGCAAAACATCATGTTGTGGATCATTGGCCTGTTGGTACATTTACATATCATTCTGCAACTAGTAAGTTCTTTTATATATTTATAATCAACATATTTACATATATACATATATATATATAGAAAGAACAGCTGAAGATATTCCTTTATATGATCTCCATGATAACGTTTATGCAAAGAAAACTCATACTACTTCATCAGGTAAAAAAAAAAAAAAAAAAAAAAAAAAAAGAAAAAAAAATTATTTCATTGTATTTCTCTCTCCGACATTTGTTATTCTTTTCTTTCACTTTTTTTTTTTTTATTATTTCTCATAAAACAAATGAATAAACATAGATTACATTACTCCTACTGTGGAATTTGGTCAAGGAGAACTTATGAACCTTCTTTCTCCATACGATGGCTCTCAAGTATCTTCTTCTAGTCCAACAACTACTCTACCATCATTTGGAAGGTTGTCATCTCCAACCTCACAAGGATTACCAAAAGCTGTATCAATGCCTGAAATGCATAAACCACAAACCGCAGAAGACGTACAAACTTCCTATAATGTCATGCTTCAAAGTACCATTCCGCCATCTAGAACGACTACACTACAACAACAACAACAACAACAACAACAACAACAACAGCAGCAGCAGCAACGGCAGCAGCAACAGCAAGCTAGCTCTACCAGCTTGAATTTTAACCAACCTCAACTTATGCCACGATCCTATTCAACTCCTTTTCCTACTTCACAACAATCTACCACTTATTACAACAATAGTAACCAGAATTATGCAAGTGGAACATATGGTACAATGGGATACCCATCTTATCCAGCTACGACAGATACGTATATGCAACAACCAAGTACCTCGTCAACAATATATGGCTCTACTAGTTTTTATCATCCAGAACAACCACCATCTTATGCTTATAGTGGACAACCATCTTATAATATAGGTCAACAACCAAGTACTGCAGCTCCTTTGACGCCTCCTTTACAACAAAAGCGATTACAAGGTCAACCACCACCGATGCCACTAGCAAAAAGTACATCAGTACCTAGCAACGTTACAGATATTCATCAAGTAGGTCATCCATTTGCTGGTCTGGTCAGTAGGCCTCAATTAAATATTCACAACGATTTGATGGATGCAACAAGGAACTGGACACAAAAGGAATGGGAAATGAGACGACGTGTATTAAGATTCTGGAGACAACAACAACCAAATACTCAACAGATCGATTGTGGATTTGAAATTTTAGATGAAGAAAGCTATCGAGCACAACGTACACAACAACAACAACAACAACAACATGGTGACATGGAGGTAACAGGGTCATCACCAACAACATCATCATTATACAATTACAAAGACAATTTGGTGGTATCATGTATCTTTTGGCAAGAGCGAAATGATTATTTTATCACATCAGTGGATTGTATACAATTGATTGAAGGTTTGATCGGTGTGGAATTCACAGTGGAAGAAAAGAATAGAATCCGTCGCAACCTGGAAGCATTACGACCCCTGACAGCAGCTAAAACTAGACCAGAAAGTGTTGATTTTTTTAGATTGATCATGGGATTCCCTGCACCAAAACCACGCAATATCGAAAAGGATGTCAAGGTATTCTTATGGTCTACTCTTGGTCCGGCTATCAAGAAGATCATTGGCAAATATACTCCAAGTTATAGCAGCACCGCTAGTGTCGTCAATTATGATGTCTCCTCTTCTACAGCTCCTTTACAACAACATAATACTTCTACACCACGATTATCTCGATCATAGAATTAATAGAATAGTTATTGAACTTTTTTTTTTTGATTCTTTTGTTAATAATAATTTTAATAAAAACATTTTTATAGTCATTTTGTCCTGATTACAATTGACAGATTATTGGGCTTTTTTTTTTTATATATATAAATTGGTTTGCTCAAGCACGTCATTTTTCTTTTTGGGCTTTTGACCAATAGCATGGCTCCTATTCCCTATTTTGGAAACGATCAGTCTGAAAAAAATGGTGAAACTGACTTTTTTTTTTTTATTATTTGCCAATAAACTTTTCTTTTTCTTTTTTTTTCTTTTTCTTTTTTTTTTTTTTTCTGTATTCCTTCCCATACCTTTTTTTTTTTCTTTTTGTACATATAGAAATATTTTCATCTCTTTACATACATGATACGATTACCATTTTCCTCACGATTACTTTTTTCCTTTTTATTGTGTCTATGGATAACAGTAGTAGTTGGTGAAACCCATTGTCGGGATCCTGCAGATTGTCCATTGTATCCTTTACATACTTGTTTTGCTACCGTTGAAGGATTGGTCTGTAAAAATGCTCGTAAGTTTATTCATTATATTTCTTTATTTTTTTGTCGAGTGAAACTAACTGTTTTAATATATATAATATAGGTGAATATGAAGGATTTGAAATGAGTGTGAATTATGTAGAGACCTTCAACTATCGACCTTATATACGACACAACGATACCGGAGAACCATGTCATTTGATTCCACGTAGTTCAGATTTAGAATCATATGTCGATTTTCGAGGACCACAAGCCATGACATTAGATGATTTGGATATGATGGGTAACTGTAGTCGACTGTCTTACTGTGATAAACAAACGAAAACCTGCCAGCCAAAGCATGGGATGGGCTCGACTTGCAAGTATAATATGGAATGTGCAGTTGGATTAGAATACTATCCTGGATATTGTGATAAGAACACCTCTCAATGTGGTATGCGACAAGATATTCCATCATTTTATTATGGAGGGACCATTCGACCGTTTACTATGGGGAAATATTGGAAAGAGGCCGTGGCGGCTGTGGTAGTGACGGGGACGCTGGCGCTCTGTTTCTTAGTAGGTCGTCATCAAGCTGGCAAATTAGTCTCTGGGGTCTCTTGTTTGATTGAAAAATGGCAAAATCGTGATCCAACTCAAACAAATCACTCGTTATCTGATGAAGAAATTTGGCATCAACAACATTGTCGCCGACCTTGGTGGTCTATTTTACCTCAACGGATGACTCGCTTTTTACAACCTCGTGATGATGGTACCTATGTACCCTTGGATACTCGTCCTTTAGATCCTCCTCCTTATCGTGGTGATTGATTAGCTAGTTTTTTTTTTTTCCTCCACATCCTCCTCACTTTTTTTTTTCTCCACCTCCCTACCACCTCCTCATTTCTTTTTTTGTTCTGCATACGCTTTGACCCTTCCTTCAATCATTGTTACACATTATGATATCCTTTTTTTTTTTTTTTTTTTTGTATTCTACCTATTGATGTTTCTTTTACTTCTATTGATTGGATCAAAATAATAATAAAAAAAAAAAAACAATCCATTGATTATTCAATTTGATTTGTTGTTTTTCTTTTTTGATGTGCTCAATATCATTCTATTCTTTTCTGCCTGACGACAGTGACCTTTTTGTGGTGATGACACTACGATAAAAAGTAACTTTTCTTTTTTTTTTTTTTTTTAAAAAGAAAAAAAAAACAATAGATAAAGACTACCGCATTTTCCATATATAGTATATCAAAAAAAACAATAAAGATAATGTCAAATAATTCAAAAATAACCTATTTTTATTTGATGATTGATTTAAACAATGTCTAACTAAAAAGATATATATTCATGAATCTAATGAAGCTGCGCATAGTTTCAATAATTCATCAGTTTTCTTGCCAATATTCTTGATATCCTTTGAGATTGCTTGCCAATGTTCACCATGATGAGGTTCAGCCTGTACACATCGTTTAATCACTAACTCTTGTTGTTCCTAGAAATAATCCAAAACGAAAAATCAATTAATCAATTATATGCTTTTTTTTTTTTTTTTTTTTTTTTTTTTTTTTTTTTTACCTCTACACCATGCTGTAATTCAAACTTGTACCACCAGGCAAAAGAATCTCCTTGATCAGGATCAATTTGAACAGCTTTTTGGAACCAATTTCTAGCCTTTTCAATTTTCCGGTCATTCCAAAACAAACGAGCCACCGTGATGACAATAATGGGATCATGTTCACATTTTTTAAGAGCATCAACACTACGTGCTTTACGTTGTGGTCGAGGTTCCATAAAGATAGCTTCCGTCCAAACACTACCAGAAGAAGGACATTCTTGTAATGCTTTTGCTGCCACCACTTTTGCTGCTGCTGGATTATTTGCCCGATTTTCAATTCTAATAGCCTCCACCCATAATTCCGGTACCTTGGGATTCGTAAAACGTGCTTTTTCCAATGTGTTCCGAGCCTTTGTTACCATATCCATCTTTTCTTCCAGTTGAGCCAGTTGAATCCATAAAGGTACACTTTTAGGACAATGTTTGACTGCCTTGTTGTATGTTTCTCTTGCTGCTGTTGTGTTGCCTAGATCAGTGTTTTCTACTTGACCCTTGATCATCCATAACTTATCAAATGTAGGATAAAGTGCCAGTCCTTGTTCTAATAATGCCATACATTGAGAATAATCACCCATTTGCCGTTCCAACATAACAGATTTCATCCATACACGTTCCGTACCAGATTGTTTTCGTGCATTTTCCAAAAGACGTCGTGCTCTGTCGTATTCTTGATTTTCACTTTCTACTTTGACGGCAGCCAACCAGATTTGTTCACTATTTGGATTCGCTTCGAAAGCTTCCTTCAAAATCATACGTGCACCATCAACGTCACCAGCCATCCATCTTTCTTTGGCACCCATCAACCATAGTACTTCAGCTTGAGGGCAGTATTTGACAGCACGTTTGAGTAGTTCTTCCAAACTTTCAGGGGATCCATGGTTCTTTTCCAAAAATGCAGCTTGTTGCCAAATTGATTTATGTCCAGGGAATGTTTTGAGAGCATGAGCATAGATAGCACGAGCTGTTTCAATAGATCCATGATTTGTGCAAGCTTCAGCATCATCCATCCAAATACTTTCTAAATCCTCTTCATCTTCTTCATCTAGACCTAATCCAATGGTTACCTTCACAATGGCTTGGCATGTCAAGACTGATCCGTTTGATTCTGCCTTTTCTGCTTCTTTCAACCATTGTTCCCTAGTCATCACAGCACCCACTTTGGAAAGTTTCTTGACCGCTGCAATGATGATCTTTTCCACCATTTCTTTTTCACCTTGTTCTTCTTGTAATCGAGCAGCAGCAATCCAGATTTCATGACTTGTTGGAATAGTAGCAAGAGCCTTGTTTAGTACACGTTTTGCATTGTTGTAAGTTTCCAGTCTAGCTAAAGCCAACCATAATTCCACACTTAAAGGTACCAGTTCAACTGCACGAGAGAGTAATACTTTAGCATCTTCCGGATTATCCTCCATATTGATTGCTGTCCGCCATAATTTGACTGAATTGGGTATAAATTCAAGAGCACGTCGTAGTACTTTCTTCTTATTTTTGTTGTCTGTTTCCAGATTCACTGCCCTCAACCAGATTTTAACAGATTGTGGTATAGATCGAACAGCATCAGCCAATATAATTTTCGCATTTTCAACAGTCTAATAATAATAATAATAATAATAATAATTGTGAGCTTTTTTTTTTTTTTTTTTTTTTTTATTTTTTTTTTATGACAATTATTAACTTACATTTAAACGAGCAGATTCCAACCACACATCTTCATTCTTTGGACATTGGATACAACCTTTTGCAATGGTAGTTCGAGCATGTACAGGACGTCCAGCAGCTTCTTCTAAACGAGCAGCAGCAATCCAACCAGGAGCATGTTTTGGATTAGTTGTGATGACAGAACTAAGTAATAAACGAGCTTTCTTAATATCACCAATTTCCGTCGCAGTCTTCAAAGCCACACTGTTGAGATCAGTAAGGTAGCCTTTGGGATCAATAGTTGTTTGACCAGAAGTTGAATCAGAAGATGCTTGATCTAGTTTCAAACCTAAAACCTTGTCACGAGCTTGACCAATTTCCTTGAAATCCGTGAGCATTCCACTATTATCGTCTTGAATGGTTGTTGTCGTATTATGTTGTGCTTGATCGCGAGCGGCAGCCAAAACAGTATCTGGTAATGGAGTAAACCGTTCAGGTATTTTGCTTTTCTTTCGACTCTTGCCTACCAAATCACCCACTTCAGGAATAGAAGCCCATTCTTCTTCATCCAAAGAACTAAGTTGTCGTTTCAAATCAGAAAATTGTTGTGAGATCTTGGGTCGTTCTTGTCTGAATTTGGCTAGTTCTTCTTTTTCCCTTGCTTCACGTCGTGCTTTTCGTCGTTCATCCATACGAGCATCAATCATATCCCATACACGGTCAGCTTCTTCGTCATCTTCTTCATATGGTGCAGCGGAAAAGAGTCCTACTTCATTATCAGGATCTTGATATTGTTCTTCGTCGTCTTCACCTTCCGTTTTGGCTTTGACATCACCTCTATATATAATTAAAAAAAAAAGAATAAATGAATAAAGTCTTTAAAATATAAAAATATATATTACTTACACTGGGAAATCAGCAGATGCTTCCCTTGCAGGTCCAATATCAGATCGTGTAGTAAAACCTGTAGCTCCACGTCCTAAACCAGCAACATAATTGGGAGGAGCTGGTTTACCAATAAAGTCTTTGGTAACACCAAACATGATTTGATTTTTGTCAATTCAAAAAAAAAAAAAAAAAAAAAAGAATGGAGAAGAAGATAAAAGAAAAAACCTTTGTCGCAGCTGAAAATTTAAAAAAATTCAGAGAAACAACAACAACAAAAAAGAAAAAAAAAATCCTAATAGGTAAAATTTCAAATTCCGTTGTCTTATTAAATATTATAAAGGATCAAAAATGGATATCAGATTAGAAAATATAAAATCGATTTTTTTTTTTTTTTTGCTAAAAAGAAATAACAGATGTTTATTGTTATTGTTATTTTCGTGATTGCCCTAAAAAAGAGAAGGATGATTATGAACGGCATTCAAAATATTCTACCTAGTTACACACACGTATGTTTTCATGCACTTCCGAGACACATGGTACATTATCTTGTGTATAAGAAACTACATAAAGACACTTTATTTGACTTTTTTTCCCCTTTTTTTTTTATCCTTGTTTTTTTTTTAAAAAAAAAAAAAAGTTCCCCTTTCGTTTTTCTTGGTTGATCCTCCCCCTTCTTTTCTTTCTGGATTTTTTTTTATCTGTTTTCACAACTTAATCTCTTTTACTGTACTATAATTTTCCATTGGTTGAAAAGTAAATCACTTATTTTATTTTACTTTTTTTTTTAAAAAAAAAGGAGACTGTGATTGTTTCTATTCTCTCTTTTTTTGCGCTCGACTTTTTTTTTTCTATTGTAAAGTTCATAACACGGCAATTACCATCATCATCAATAACTACACGCCACAACAGCCACGACCACCACCATCATTATCATCATCATCATAAATCATCATCATAAATCATCATCATCACTGATGCCATTCGAATCAATCAATCCTTATCGAGCACAACATATACCACTTTCATCTATTCATCCTTATATGATGTATGATCATACCATTCGAAAGATGGAGGAGGATTATGTTACTAGATCAAACTATGATGAATCCAATGATGATACGGTGTCTTGCGCTTCATCTACTAGTAACCTCATAGATGATAATATTGATTACAATGTTGTATATGCTTTACATATATTTATTGCTACAGTGGAAGGACAAGTATCTGTAATGCGAGGTGATAAATTGATCTTATTGGATGACAATAACTCTTACTGGTGGCTAGTCAAAATAGTGAAAACATCCGACATTGGTTACATTCCAGCTGAAAATATAGAGGTAATATGATGATTTGCATTGTTTCAATGACAACACTATAAAGCGTCTTTTTCCCCATTTCCATAAATCGCCTTTTTAGGATGAAATCATGCCAACTAACTAACTTTTTTTTTTTTTTTTCTGTTTAGACTCCTTTTGAACGACTCGCTCGGTTCAATAAATATCGTAATACAGAAGTAGGTGATTAAAAAAAAAGCACTCCCTTTTGATATTGACTTGTAGATGCATCATCTTTTTTTTTTTTTTTGTTAGGTCATTTTCATACCTTCATCAGTCAATGAATACATACATCGCAGAAAATCAACTAATAAAAAAGTGACCATGGCAACCAACGTATCCATTCAATCGATGATTGTCACCCTAGATGATGATTCCTCGCAGATCACGGAAACATTTCAAGAATCACAAGGTAACATTGACCATCCATTTGCATCTACCACCATTGATCCAGATACCACCTCATCATCAACGCGATTATCCAATCATGCATTGTCCATCGGTCTTGCTCAACATTTTGTACAACATCGAACAATACAATCCTCTTCTTCCTCCATGAAAGGGAACAGTTTCCGTCAGTTGTTACTATCGCGATCCAAATATTCAAGCCAAACCAATCTCTCTGATGTTACCCCTTCCTCTTCCTCCTCTTCTTCCCCTTTGATCTCATCAGACACTCCTTCCTCCTTAACAGAAAAGTTAAGTGTACTCCGTGTTTTTGCTGGCAATATTAGTGCCAAAGCCACGTTTTATTCTGTTTTGGTCACAGAAAATACAACTGCTGAACAACTTTTAAACTTGGCCTTGGATAGATATCATTTAGCTGATGATCAACAAAAGCAGTGTGAAGGTATTGAGTATTATATCACTGCGAAAGTCATAGATGGTGGTAAGCGGATCTAAAATTTTCTAAAAAAAAAAAAAAAAAAAAATACAAGACTTTTAACTTTTTTTTTTTTCTTTCTCCTTCTTTCTTTTTTCTTTGAAACGCGACAGATGAAATTGCTCTTGCTCCACAAGATAAACCTTTGGCTATCTTTCACTCCTTAAACACTCATTTGACTACACCTATGCCATCCTTGACGCACATTCGGTCCAAGATTCAACTAACTCGCATAGGTGTAAGTAAGACAAATGTCACTGACTCTTTTGGTGAAAACTCTGTCATTCGGTTTTTATTACATAAACGTATCAAACGGATCAATGAACAAGATGGTCACCTTCGAATCAAGATTGCTTATTATAATACAGTGACAAAAAAGTCGTCAACAACAACAACCTTCTCGCCATCACGATTCTCGCAGTTTTATCGTCGTCCTGGTCTCAAACGGCATTCGCTTTCCACTTGTACATCATCGGTATCTCTACCTGGACAAATCTGTATGGATAGGATCGAAAAACTTGTCTCCATTCCTGGTAACACAGTAGTTTCTGAACTTACTTGTTTGGCGTTGGAAAAGTTTCATATTCAACAAGGTGTCCCCTATAATGCTGTGAATGAAAAGATGGACAAATATGGCATGACCCTGGTAGTGCAAGGAAAAGGTAAAAAAAAAAAAAAAAAAAAAAATGCAAAAAAGTTGGCAAAGCCTGTTGTTTTGATTCTATTTTTATATTATTGTATAGAACATGTCTTGAATGGAAACAGAAGCATCATCGATGTATTACAAGATAAATGGCTTAACCCCAAAGGAACAGACGATCAGATTCTATTTGTTTTACGAAAAATGCAATCTCGAGTTCTATCACCAATTACAACAAATGAAAAACTAGATGATGAAGGCTTCTCCATCCCCACTTCAATACGATCATCACCAACACCCCGTGCATCAACAGATTCCTCTCATTTATCACCAACAAATGATATTTGCAATAGTAGCTTATCTTCAGCATCAACATCCTCCTCTGAATCATCCTTGTTACACTCTTCTTTGACAATACCTGATTCCACCAACCATGGTAAAGTTAATACGGATATATTGCTACACCAGATCGACTTGGCACTCTTATCGTTGGAAAAAGTTGTACCGTCCAAATCTTCTCCTACTTGTTGGTTCAATACCACTCCCACTCCGTCATACTTTGCTGATTGACAACGGATATTTGAAAATATGATCATCATGATTAGGTAATATACATAGATATAGACAACGATAAAAATTTGAAAAGAGGGATCAGTTGAAGAATAAGAAGATTAATGAATAATTCTTTTTATATACATAGTCGTCTGGAGGCAGCTTTGGAAATATTCATGAAATGTAATCATAGCTTTTGTAGTCATAATTTATAGTCATATCTCTTTTTGTACAATAGAATAAACATAATCATCATCATTATTATTATCCGACCATCAACTCTTTTAATCCTTTCTTGTCATTCAAATTTAAGAAAATAAATTGATCATCAACTACATATCCATCTATCCATAGAAAAATCAATCATAAAAAAAAAAAAGATGGTTCCATTCTTTATTATCTATAATTAAGTATATACAATACAACTAAAATTAATCCAACTTGAATCCTAGTTGAGAAGTCCTCTATCGTTCATTGTACCACCGACCCAGATTCTTGTTCTTCGGCTGTTATCATTGACGTGCTAGTAAAAGAACAAAATAATGAATACGTATATATATATGTGACTATATGTCCACTTGTATCATATCATCCCTCTACCTCTTCATATTCCATTAACTTTTCCGTGGATGCCTTGTTGATAAGAATGCGTCGATGTTCGTTCAAATGTTCATTGATCAGATTACCACAGGTAACCCATGCCTTAGTCTCTTCAGCCTTTGGAATAGTCATCTTGTACTCTAAACAAAAAGGACAGGTCCATACTTCATTCTTGATGTCTTGTTGAAACGTCCTAATCTAACATACAATTAATAAAAACCAAGTAGTATCTATTTTTTTTTTGGACTTACTTCCTTCAAACAAGATCCATAAGCAGCTTCTATTTGTAACTTTTCACGTTTTCTCCTTGCACCTTTATCCATGATAAGAGGTTCAAAAAGAAAAAAAAAAGCAGGAAAGAAAAGAATGAAAAAAAAAGGGAATTCTTATTTTCACCCCCCTCAGTTTGTTATTCTCACCCCCCAAGCTAAAAAATAGCCAATAAAATTGATTTTTTTTTTCATATAGTCGATAAATTTCAGCAAAACTTTTATATTCAGTCATTATCCATCGCCCATCACCCATCATCCATTACCAATATATTACATATTTCGTAAAGAAAAAAAAAAGACTTCTTTATGCATCCTGGTAAGACTGTCCAAATTGACGTGCATGACCTTAAACAGCCACAATTCTATGATTATGTCAGATATCGAACAAGTTTTTATTTTAAATGAAAGGTAAGAAGTGTAATATTTGTTTTATAATAGTTCAAGAGAAGTAAGAATAGTAAATGACAAAGTAGTCATCCATCATCCATCATCAACTAGAATCAATAAAAGACTGGATTAAATATAACAACGTTTATTTCAGACAAACAAAACAAACTGAAGAAATAAAATAATAATAGTATAAAATATATATTATGTGCATTTTTTAAAAAAAAAGGTATTTCGTGTTTTATTGGCTATTTTTTAGCTTGGGGGGTGAGAATAACAAACTGAGGGGGGTGAAAATAAGAATTCCCAAAAAAAAAAGCAGACATTGCTGTATTTCAATTTTTTTATTGAGCCAAAAAAAAAAAAAAAAATAGAAAGTGGCTGACAAAAGGGAGTGTCAATCAATGACATTATACACTTCCCAAGGATCACATTTCTCCCTACATCTTGGAACATCAATGCATCTAAAATTGACTGTTCATAATAACAAAGAATTTCAAGTGATGGAGTGCTCTTGTAGATAATGAGAATGGACATGACTCAACTGTACTTTTCAATTCATGCAAAAAGAGTTCATAGTCCGCAAGATATTTATTTATATATATATTGACAATAGTAAACAGTAGTAGAGGATAATAAAAAAATGGAGAGAGAGAGAGTGTATGTGTGTATCTGTGTGTGAATGTGTGTGGATTAACTATCATAGGGAAGAATGATGATGGTAAACTAAGATAGAAACAGATGAAGGGGAAATAAACAATACAAAAAAAAGAAAAAGAGATATAAAGGTAACAGAAAAAAGTTCAAAACTCTTTGTCTACTTGAGAGGAACAAAACGGGAAGAATGAGTGGCACCAATACCAGGACGACCGTGACGAACAGGTTTGTAGGTAATACTATCCATGACAAAAGATGTTAGTATCTGTTTTTTTTTTATTATTATCTATCACTTACGAGAATTCACCAAGATAATGACCGACCATTTCAGGACGAATTTCCACTTGATTAAAGGTCTTGCCGTTGTACACACCAACAATAGAACCAATCATTTCAGGGACAATAATCATGTTACGCAAATGAGTTTTCACGGTAGCAGGTTTTTCACCAGAAGGAGCTTCGGTCTTGGCCTTGCGAAGTTTCTTGATGAGACCCATGGGCTTACGTTTCAAACCACGTTGGAACCGTCTACGGGCTCGACAGTGAACGAGGTCCATAAATTGTTCAGAAGATAAATCTAACAATTGGTCCAAATCAACACCTCGATAGCTAAATTTACGGAATGTACGTTTGCGTTGTGTTTGTTGAGCGTCAGACTATATAAAAGAAGAAAAAAAAAGAATAAAGTCAATTGAATTGTCCATCGGTTCTCATCTATTGAATGCACTGAATAATACATATGTCCTTCCGTGTTTATCCATCTATCCATCCATCCATCCATCCATCCATGTTGTTCCTTTTTCTTGTCGAATATCTTTTTTTTTTTTTGTAAGTTCGTCTATTGCTCTTCTTTTGATTGTACATACCATTTTTGTAGAATATGTAGCGTCAAGCCAAAAAGGAAAAAAAAAAAAAGGATTCCCCACGAAAAGGGTGTCTGTCACCTTCGAGTCGGATGATTAAAATACCGCTTTGAATCATTCTCATTTCTTTTTCTTTTACTTTTCTTTTTTCTTTTTTTTTTTTTTTTTCTGCACTACTATTTTATATTGAAAAAACAAACAAATACCATGGTAAGAAAAGAGAGGTCATTAAAAGAGTTCATTCAAATTATATATAGATCTTAATATATAATTGTTTATTTATTTAATGATTCATGGTTTTTAGGCACCAAATACCCCATCGCGACCTACGTATATTCGCGTTAAACGTGACAAGACGATTGTCTTTTTATGTATCAAGCTTGACGACACCATCCTCAATATTAAAGAAAAACTAGTAACAGCCATGTCAATATCAAAACCTGTGGAAGACTTGCGTTTATATCTCGATACAACTTCCGAACATCAAACACTCACTGGCCGGGTATTAGAAGATCATCAAACAGCAAAATCTGCAGAACTTGTCAACGATGCTTTAGTTTACCTTGTGTATTTTGATCACAATTTGGGTAATTTCAAAAAAAGAAAAAAGTTCAATATATTCATAGGATTGATTTGATCTTCTTTTATATATATATAAATATAGGTAAATGGGAAGATATTCATGTAGTAGAATATGAATCCTTGGATGATGAAATAGAAGAAGATACTACGGACTTGACAGATGAATCTACAAAGAAGAAGGAAAAAGGAAAAGGACGTGCATAACATCCGGGCTTTTTTTTTGACCCATATCTCTCCATATCATATCATAGTTTAGATTAGTTTAGGTCTATCAATATTATACAAATAATATAAAATTTTGAACAATTTTTACAATTTTTTTATTTTTATTTTACAACTATGTTTTACATGGTTAACATCTTTTCATCTTTATTTTCCTAGCTGGTTTAAAGAAGTCCAATCAAAACGAGAAGCGGACATCAAAAGAGGAAACCCTTCCCAAAATGATTTTCTTATTTATTAGTTTTTTTTTATTTTTCTCTTTCTCTCTTTCTTCCCACTATTTTTTTTTCTTTACTTTTTTAGATTCCTTTCTTTCCATGGAAACCATTAGTAATAACAAGAATAACAATCAGTCCTTCTCTAAATACATCTCTACAAAGATATATCAATATGAACTTCAAACCGCTATATACATGTTAGAACCTTGGGAAAAAGCCTTATTCAGTAAGTATTTTTTTTTTTTTTTTTTTTTTTTTTTGTAAAGGACTAATAATAACTCTTTTTCTTTTTGTATCCATTTCTTTAGATACTATTATGATTAGCATTGTATCATTATCCGTTGTGACCATGTATCAATATACGCCTGTTGTTTTCAACAAGTTGTTGACCTAATCTTCACTAGTCGAATATCATCTTTTATATATATATATTTACAGATTCCCCCTTACATCTTCTTCCTTTATCCTTGGTCTTATTTAATAGTCATGTCTCTTCCTCTACTTCTTAGTTAATTTCCATATATACATATATTTTTACTAATGCATATAGTTTTTTTTTTTTTCGTCAATCTATCTAATAAATTGATACTTCTTTATCCTATCATATGATTCAAATGCTTAGCTTATTTTTACGGTTCCCGAAAAAGAAAAAATTGCTGCGTTGTAATCCGAACTGATACCGTTCACTGTCAGTTTATAATGTCGTATATTCTCTAAACCAAATGAATGATTTTCAATCCTTTTTTTTTTCTTCATGCATGTAATATATTATCTTATTATGAAAAATCCATCAATAGTGTATTCTGTAGTTTATATCGTTTGAATTGAGACAAAAAAAAAAATTAGGAACTCAGTTTTTCGAACGAATTTTTCTTCTTACTCTTTCTTTTTTCCCTTAGAAAAAAAAATATAGTCTCAAAGGTAAATCCATCCATCCATCCATCCATCCATCCAGTATCAATTACATAATATGCATCATATACTCATACGTTTATTTAAAAAAATATATATAGTTGCCAAACACAGAACCGAAGAACCATGTCTGCTGAGGAAGAAGTGATCATTTTGAACCAAGACACCATGACAGTGGAACAAGCATTGGAAGATGTTTTGCGCCGCGCTCTTGTTCATGATGGTCTTGCTCGCGGCTTGAGGGAGGCTGTCAAGGCTCTGGATAGACGACAAGCACATCTCGCCGTGCTCAACGAATCCTGTACGGAATCCGAGTACGTCAAGTTGGTCGAAGCTCTTTGCGCCGAACACAATATTAATCTCATCAAGGTCGCCGACGGAAAACAATTAGGTGAATGGGCTGGATTATGCAAAATCGATCGTGATGGTAACCCTCGCAAGGTTGTTGCCTGTTCCTGTCTCGCTGTCACTAACTACGGTGAAGAATCTGAAGCTATGAACGTTTTATTGGATTGTAAGTGAAAATAATCAACGAACTTATTGATCTTACTTTTTTTTTTTCATGCATACATTTTAGACTTCAAATCCAAGTAGGATGATTTTCCCTAACCTTAGATTGTACTCGTTTAGATGTAGATTATTATCATTATTGTTGTTTTGGTATCAATAAAGTCTATCGATACAATTTGTTTAAATGACATTTGATGCTTTTGGTTTTATTATTGAATCTATTATTCTATTGTCTTGAAATTGGTCCTTGTATGTGATGATAATAATGGTTCATGGATGTTGACAGTGATGATGATTAAGTAATGAATGGTTGAATGTTTGATAATGCATGAATAAATGATAATGCTTGCATGATTGATGATGATGATGGTTGAATAAAGACGGATGATCAAGTGATAATGAATACTAGATGATCATTGAACCTTTTTTTTTTTTTTTTTTTTTTTTTGCTTCAATGCACATATAAAGTAAATGGCCAATTTCCTTTTTGAAAAAATGATCATAGATTTATTATAAAAACACAAGGAATAAATACTACACTAGCATAACTAATTTAGATGAAACCAATACGGTTAGCAATATCAAGAGCATCCACATCAGCAGTCAAACGGACGTAAGCCTTCTTGGTACCATCAGGTCTGTATATATATAAAAAAAAAAGATGCCATTAATATCATCCATAGTTTTAATTTCATATTTCTTACCGGATCAAAGTGTTGATCTTGAGAGCTTCTACATCATAGAGCTTCTTGACAGCAAGCTTGATTTGGTTCTTGTTGGCCTTAACGTCGACAATGAAAGTCAAAGTGTTGTGGTCTTCAATCTTCTTCATAGAGGTTTCAGTGTTCAAGGGTTGACGGATGACTCGATATTGGTCCATACGAGGCAAATGAGGAACAGACTTGCGAGTATACTTGGGAGTGCGGCTTAACTTCAAAGTCTTGGGAATGTTGAAGCGAGTAGAAGTGCGGATCTTGCGCACGGTCTTGCCATGGACACCCTTAAGAGCAGCTTTCTTGGCAGCTTGAGCCTTGTTAGTAGCTATCATGTATATAAAAAAAAATGTCAGTAATGATGTTATAATAGGCATCGAGAATAAGAATAAAAAAAAATATAGTCGCAGTCATCGTCATTCAATTCAACCCTATCTTAGTCCATTCCTGTCCAACATGTAGATGAATGTCGCACACCATCATGATTCATAGTTCCGATATCGATTTAAATGGTTGCTATTTTTTTCTGATGTATTAGGAAGGGAATAAGATGGATGGTTGAATTGATGAAGGATGATCAATGGATGGATGGATGGATGGATGATTAGGATGTACCTTGGTTGGCAGGCATAATCTATCGTCGACCACTTAAAAAAAAAAAAAAGGAAAGAATTCAATAAATTGTATCCCGCTATCAGTTTTACACGAGTGCAACCATTTCAACGGAACTCCTCCCCGTCCAAATTTCTCTTTTTGAATGACCGCGTTTTACAAAAACTTTTGATTTTTCTATAATTTAACGAGACGTTTTCAATGGTAATTGTATTTTGATACAATAATAAAAAAAAATAGTGATAGATGATATATACATATTTTATTAGCATTTTTATGGTATGATTGGAGATTAAAGCTTTAAAATATATTTGAAGATTTCTTTTTAGAGTGAGATGAGATGTTAGATGACCTTTTTTTATGCATTATCGATACTGTCTATCTTTGATCCACTAATAAAAGAAGTAATCACCTATAATATAAACATCTTTTGTTAATGGTGCTTATACGGTACGAATAATGAATTTAAGCTTAAAAGTGGGATACCCATTTCTCTCTCTCTTTTTTTTTTTTTTTTTTTTTTTTTGAAAATTTGAATTTTACAGCCAAAAAATTTCAATTTCCCAGCCAAATTTTAGCTGTAAAGTTGGATCGTCAGGGGGTCATCAGGCAATTTCTCGAAAAATCGATGAAATTATTTTGATGTTCATTGCACATAAGGCAACTGATAAAATAGGATCAGGTGAGATTAGATTATTCTTTTTTTTTTTGCAGAGGAGCCCAACAGTGATATTTTCATTCGATGATTATGATTTTGCACTGCATATCATTTATCATTCGATTAAAAAACTCAAGACAACCGATAAAATACTATTAGGCAGTCTTAGGTTGTACTTTTCGAAAAAGAATCGAAAGATTGTATTTTTTTTTTTTATTGCATGGTAATCATTTCTGGGATGATGGATGATCATCAATATTATATTTTTCCAATCACAATCATTATTGTACACCAGTAGTCGAAATGACACCTTATATGAAATAGAAACAATCAATCAAAAAAAAAAAAAAAAAAGACTAGTGTATTATTCCAAAGTACTTCTATTTATTTATTTTTTCGATATAAAATTAAAAACTACAATACAATATTTCACTAAAAAAAAAATCTAAACGAGTTAAACTATGTGTAAAAATGAGGGATAAGGAAATGATATATTTCAGTTGACTTTGATCAATTCAGGAGCACGTTGCCAAACACCACCAGCGACAGGAAGATAAGTAGAACCAGATAGGAAAAGATCGACTTCACGAGCACATTGACGACCTTCATTGATACCATGTACGATCAAAGATTGACCACGGCGACAATCACCAGCAGCGAACACACCATTAAGAGCAGTGGAATATTTACCCTTAGCAGTTTCAATATTTGTACGACCATCTTGCTTGAGTTGTAATTGTTTGGCAACTGCTTCTTCAGGACCCAAAAAGCCCATGGATAAGAGTACCAAATCGGCTTCAAAGAATTCTTCAGAACCTTCAATTTCCTTCATCGACCATCGACCAGCGTCATCCTTTGTCCATTCCACACGTACAGTCTTAATACCCTTGATATTTCCTTCACCATCATTGACGAATTCCTTGGAAAGAACACAGTATTCACGAGGATCATTACCAAAGTGAGCTTGGACTTCAGCATGACCATAATCTTGTTTCAAAATACGGGCAAATTGAGGCCATGGGTTGTCTTTAGCACGAGCTAAAGGAGGTTGGGGCAACAATTCAAAATTGACAACTGACTTGCATCCATGACGAACAGAAGTACCAATACAATCATTACCAGTATCACCACCACCAATCACAATCACATTCTTGCCTTTAGCACTCAAGTATTGACCATCCTTGAGTTGACTATCCAAAAGAGACTTGGTATTGGCTTGTAAAAATTCCATAGCAAAATGAATACCATTGAGTTCACGACCAGGAATCTTGAGGTCACGAGGCCAAGTAGCACCAGTAGCGACAATCAAAGCATCATTGTCTTGACGAAGTTTTGTAGCATCGACATCCACACCCACATTAGCATTGGTAACAAAGTTAATACCTTCAGCAGCCAAAAGGTCAATACGACGTTGTACAATCTTCTTGTCGAGTTTCATATTGGGAATACCATACATCAACAAACCACCAATTCGGTCATTACGATCATAGACAGTGACCAAATGGCCAGCCTTATTGAGTTGATCAGCAGCACTAAGACCAGCAGGACCAGATCCAATCACAGCCACCTTCTTACCAGTACGATAAGCAGGAACACGAGGAACAATCCATCCTTCTTCGAAACCACGATCAATGATAGCACATTCGATACTCTTGATGGCGACAGGAGGTTCATTAATACCAGCAACACAGGCATTTTCACAAGGAGCAGGGCACCTATAAGAAAAAAAAAAAAAAAGTGAGTATAATAGCTTTTTTTTTTTTTTTTAATAAAAACTTACACACGACCTGTGAATTCAGGGAAATTATTGGTCATCATCAAACGATCTAAAGCTTCCTTCCAATTATCCTTGAAGATCAATTCGTTCCACTTGGGGATAATGTTACCAATGGGACAACCAGTATCGGATTGACAGAAAGGTACACCACAGTCCATACATCTTGCAGCTTGTTGATGTAATTGAGGTCGAGTAAGACGATGATTGATTTCATCCCAATCAGCAGTACGTTTCTTTGCATTACGATAGCCGTCAGTTCTACGTTTGTATTTCATGAAACCACGCAATTTATCGAGCTTAGCACGGCGTTCCAAAATGGTCTTTTCATCCATGATACTGTCTTCCAAATCTTCTAATTGAGGTTCATCCTTTTTATGTTCACAGACAGGAGATTCAGCAGGCATGATAGCAGCAGCAGTTTCTAACTTTCCAAGACGTTCCTTCATCAATAATTCCTTGAATTCAGTGGGCATGACCATAACAAACTTGGGTAAATATTCGTTGAAGTTTTGCAAGATACGATCAGCAATGGCCGATCCAGTGTAGTGGCGATGATCTTCGATAAGGTTACGTAATTCATTGGTGCGTTCATCATCATTGACAGTTTCCAATTCAACCATTTCAGTGTTAACACGAGACTTGAATTGACCATCGACATCCAAAACATAGGCAATACCACCAGACATACCAGCAGCAAAGTTGCGACCAGTGCTACCCAAGATAACAGCACGACCACCAGTCATATATTCACAACCATGATCACCAACACCTTCACAAACAGCATAGGCACCAGAGTTTCGGACACAGAAACGTTCAGCGGCAATACCACGGAAATAAGCACGACCAGATGTAGCACCGTAAAGACATACATTGCCAACAATCATGTTATCTTCAGACTTGAATACAGCGTTCTTAGGAGGATAAATAGCGATTTTACCACCTGAAAGACCCTTACCAACATAATCATTAGAGTCGCCTTCCAATTCAAAGAAGATACCAGGAGCAAGGAAAGCACCAAGTGATTGACCGGCAGAACCAGTCATCTTGACATGGATGGTATCAGCAGGCAAACCATCTTCACCATGACGTTTGGAGACATGATAAGAGAGTGTAGTACCAAGAGCTCGATCAGTATTGCAGACTTGAGTTTCAATAGTAACAGGTTCTTTATTGGTCAAGGCAGGTTCGGATTCATCAACCAAGTAATTGTCCAATCGTAAATGCAAGTTATGCTTTTGTTTGGTGACACAGTAAGAAGCAACGCCAGGACGTAAAGAAGCAGCAGGAGTAAGAATAGGAGACAAATCCAAATTGGTAGTCTTGAAAGTACGAAGAGATTCATTGACCTTCAAAAGTTCGGCATGACCCACCATTTCATTAACAGTACGGAAACCAAGCTTGGCCATGTAACTACGCATTTCTTCGGCGAGGTAATAGAAGAAGTTAACAACATGTTCAGGGGAACCTTCAAATTTCTTGCGTAATTCAGGATCTTGAGTGGCAATACCAACTGGACATGTATTCTATCAAATAAAAAAAAAAATAAGAACCTTGTTTCAAAAAAAAAAAAAAAAAAAAAAAAAAAAAAAAAAAAAACTTACCAAATGACATTTACGCATCATTGTACAACCAAGGGCGATCAAAGGAGTAGTGGCGAAACCCCATTCTTCAGCACCAAGTAAACAAGCAATAGCGATATCACGACCAGTCTTGATTTGACCATCAGTTTGAACAATCACGCGACCACGAAGATCATTGAGGACTAATGTTTGATGTGTTTCAGCAAGACCCAATTCCCAAGGTAAACCAGCATATTTGATACCAGTCCATCGAGAAGCACCAGTACCACCATCATGACCAGAAATCAAGATATGATCAGCACGAGCCTTGGCGACACCAGATGCAACAATACCTACACCCACTTCAGAAACAAGTTTGACAGACACACGAGAGCGAGGATTGGCACATTTAAGATCGTAAATAAGTTGCTTGAGATCTTCAATGGAGTAAATATCATGATGAGGAGGAGGAGAGATAAGACCAATACCAGGAGTAGTTTTTCGAGTAGAGGCAATTTCTTCTGAAACCTTACCACCAGCCAATTCACCACCTTCACCAGGTTTAGCACCTTGAGCCATTTTGATTTGAAGTTCATCAGAGTCAGCTAAATAGTAGGATGTCACACCAAAACGACCAGATGCCACTTGTTTGATAGCAGATCGCAGGTTGTCACCATTTTCACGTACAATAGATCTTTCAGGTTTTTCACCACCTTCACCAGTATTAGACTTGCCACCCAATTGATTCATAGCAATGGCCAAGGAACTGTGAGCTTCCATAGAGATAGAACCATAAGACATAGCACCAGTAACAAATCTTTTGACAATCTTGTCCCAGGATTCAACTTGTTCGATAGGGATAGGCTTGTTTTGTGTATAATCAAAGTCGAGCATACCACGAAGTGTACATTTCTTGATGGCTTCATAAGAGTGACGAGAGTAAGCATCATAGGAGTTTTGATTCTTGGCACGGACAGCATCTTGCAAGTTGGCAATAGTAGCAGGTTCAGCAATATGAGGTTCACCACCATCACGCCAATGATATTCACCAGATTCAGGAAGAGCCACAGGACCAACAGAGTTGCGAGAAGGATAAGCATGTTCGTGTAAAGTCAAGGCATCCAAGGCAAAGATATCAAAAGTGACACCTTTAATACGAGAGGCAGTACCGGCGAAACAACGAGAGATAACAGATTCATCCACACCAAGAGCTTCAAAGATTTGAGCACCCTTATAGGAGGCCAAAGTAGAGATACCCATCTTAGACATGACTTTCATAATACCATTGTCGATACCCTTCTTGTAGTTGTAAATTAATTTGTCGGCAGTCAAATCATCACGAACAGCTTTTTCACGAACCAACTTCATCATAGCTTCCATAGCAAGATAAGGACAAACAGCATCAGCACCATAACCCAAGAGAACACAGAAGTGATGAACTTCACGAGCTTCAGCAGTTTCCACCATGAGTGCAATACGAGAACGTTGTTTGTTTCGAACCAAATGATGATGAACACCACCAACAGCAATCAAAGAAGAAATGGCAACGCGTTCGGCATTAATACCACGATCAGAAAGAACCACAACCTTGTAACCTTGTTCAATAGATTGACTGACTTGAGTACAAATACGTTCGAGAGCTTGTACATAGCCTTGGACACCTTCAGATTTGGCAAAAGTGATATCAATAGTGGCGACTTTCCAATCAGGATAGATAGTTGACATGTTCTTGACAGCAGCTAGTTCTTCCATGGACAAGATAGGAGAAGGTAAAGTGATTTTATGAGCTTGAGTTTCATCGATTTCCAAAATATTTCCTTCTGGTCCCACATAACATTCTAAAGACATGACGATTTCTTCACGGATAGGATCAATAGGAGGATTGGTGACTTGAGCAAAAAGTTCACGGAAGTATTCATAAACAAGACGAGGTTGTTCAGCCAAGCATGCCAAAGCAGTATCGTTACCCATAGATCCAAGAGGTTCTTTTCCAGTGGAAGCCAAAGGAAGCATAATCAAATTGAGTTGTTCCAAAGTATAACCAAATGCACGAAGACGAGGATCAGCACTGACGGTGGTATCATCCAAAGTGGGTTGGTAAGAAGCATGAGCTTTTTCAACAATGTTAGATAAATGAATCTTTTGTTTCTTGAGCCATTCAGAGAAGTTGCGTTTGGAAGCAGTTTGAATCTTGAGTTGTTTGTCATCCACTAATTTGCCTTCCAGAGTATCAACCAAAAGCATACGACCAGGTTGAAGACGACCTTTTTTGACGATGGTATCAGGATCAACAAAAACAGTTCCAACTTCAGAAGCACAAATCATAATATCATCAGAAGTCAAATAATAACGACAAGGACGTAAACCGTTTCTATCCAAAGAAGCACCACAATATCGACCATCAGAGAAAGTAAATAATGCAGGACCATCCCAAGGTTCCATAAGACTAGCAGCCCATTGATAGAATGCTTTCATTTCAGGACTCATGGAGGTATTATTTTGCCAAGCTTCAGGAATCATCATCATAATAGCTTCAGGAAGAGTGAGGACACCATTAACAACCAAAAGTTCTAATACATTGTCGAAAGCAGCAGAATCAGAACCACCTTCTTCAATAATGGGATATAACAAGTCGAGTTCATCACCAAAAGTATCAGATTTCATGACACCTTCACGAGAGCGCATCCAGTTCTTGTTTCCACGTAAAGTATTGATTTCACCTAATCATTGTCACAAGAGATGATAAAAAAAAAAAAAAAAAAAAAAAAGAAAAAGAAAGTTTAGTAACAAAAAAAAAAAAAATACATAAATATCTATTTCTGAGATTGAATTTTTACCATTGTGAGCACACCAACGCATGGGTTGAGCACGATCCCATGAAGGAAAAGTATTGGTAGAGAAACGAGAGTGAACCAAGGCAAAATGAGTAGTATATTGAACATTATTTAAATCATGGAAGTATTGATAAACTTGCTTGGGAGTAAGTTGACCTTTGTAAACAATGTTTTTGTTGGATAAAGAGCATACATAGAACCATTTCTTCATAGTGAGAGTGTGAGTAGCATGTTTGCGAAGGACATATAATTGACGTTCAAAATATTGTTCATCAAAAGGAGTTTCTTGATCTGCCAAAACGACAAAAGGTTGTACAATAGCTGGTTCCTTTGATTTTGCAGCAGGACCAATAATAGTGGAATCACGAGGAACATCACGCCAACCGAGAACTTTGAGATGAAGAGCAGTAGCCATATCTTCGAATACCTGTTTGCTTTCCTTGACTGATTCAATATCACCTTTCATGAATAAATTACCCACAGCATAGTGTCCTTCTACTGGTAATTGGATTCCAAGTTCACGACTAGTTTCGTTGACAAAGAATTGATGAGGAATGCCTGTCATGACGCCTGCGCCATCCCCATCACGAATATCTGCACCACTGGCACCTCGATGGGTCATATTGCAAAGCTATTAAAAATAAAGATATGAAAAAAATGAGTATTTGTTGATGAAGAAGATGATGGTGATGATGATGATACAATAGTGATAATAATAATAATGATGATGATGATGAAAGAAGATCCTCTTTTTTTTGTTAAAAAAAAAACTTACAATAGAGCTTGCATCACTCAAGATCTTGTGAGATCGTTGACCCTTGACATGTACCATAAAACCAACACCACAGGCATCCTTTTCAAGTTCAGGATTGTAAAGACCTTGAGCAACAGGAATTGATTGTGCCCAAGATTTATTTTCCATTGACATTATTGAATATAAGAGAAAAAGAATAGAGTTTTGAGTTGTAGTAGAAAATATATATACAAGGAAGATTCAATAAAAAAAAAAAGTGTTGTATGTAGACAAAATATAGAATAAAAATAAGGTGACTATGTATAAAGAGTGGGGGATATTTGAAATATATAAACAATATTTCTTTATAGACAATAAAAATGGAGCAAAAAAAAAAAAAAAAAAAAAAAAAAAAGAAAAGAAAAAAAGAAAAGAAAAAAAAGAAAAAAAAAGGGAATCAATTTTTAATAATTTATACCAAGGGATCAAAAAATCTTTGAATGCTGATGGGAACGGTGTTTGAATATGATGGGATGCTTTTTTTTTTCTTATCTCATGAAATGGATGGACCAATGAAATATCTTGATTTTAAAGAAGAAACATGTTCCTTTCAACTTGTCGGATTCAAGGTCATGTGCTTTTTTTTATTATTTTATTTAATTGATAGTTTTTTTTTTTTTGTTTCTATGATAGACAATATTATGATGATTCCCCTTTTTTATTATAATTATCATTGAGAAGTGATTATTTCTTTTAATTAGATGATAAGTATTTATTACTTTAATCATCATATTATAACTCTTATTTTATCTTTGTTTAATATTTTTTTGGGGACAATCTCATCTGATGGAGAGAAAAAAAAAGAAGCACAGACTGAGTGAAAGTCAAAAACGAGATCAATAGGATGAATTTCTTGTGTCAGAGTGGACATCCCGTTATCTTATCACTCTTGCCTTCCGAACAATTGAACATCTTTAATCTCCGAGACTTTTCTACTATTTTTTTTTTTTTGTTGACTTGAACCCTGTGATTTCTTCTTAAATATGGCTATATATATATAATGTATTACGTTCTTGAAATGATTCAAAAGTTTGATTTATTATGTTTTAAAACTTTCAAGAATAATAATGATGACGATATACATATCATCATATTTAATTGTTAAAGATAAAAAAAAAAAAAGAGACTTTCCTTTTTTGGGTCATCACCCAAGTGAAAAAAAAAAAAAAAAAAGGTGTAGATCGGATTAACCAAAAGGAAAATGATTATCACATCAAAAAAAAAAAAAAAGAGAGATGGAGAATATGTAGGGTGTAAAATGAATATACTAATTAACAATCGAAAAGCAACGAAAAGGACCTGATGTTAGCAACCAATCAAAGGCCAGGAATCCATCTTTATTTTCAAATGCAACCAAACTTGGATACTTTCTTATCATTTTCACTCCAGCAAAAAAAAAAGAATGAGATTATAAGGAGGGGTAAACCTTAAAAAAACGATCATTTTCTTTTCGGACATCTACGGAAATCTTGATGATGATGATGATTCTGCCTAATTTTTTTTTATCTAAATTATCAATTGATGGGCAAAAAAAAAAAAAATTCCTGGTTGTATTATTTAGATTATCTTCGGATTTCATAATATTTAAATACGTCATTAAAACACTATGATTTTCGTTGGATGTTTTTTTTAGTTCTATTTACAGTCATTATCATTGTTATCATCATCAGTCGAACACCTTTTTATCTTGATGTTTCGTGTCTAATTATCATCATGTGTTATGAAAGAAAGAGAACGGTATATTTGAGCAGCATTATTCGAAGCCAGACGAGATTCATGCTCTCACATGTCAGTGGTTATCTACAGTTGTAAACTTTAATTTTCACACTTTAAACTCCAAACACAAAAAAAAAAAAGATATTCCTAATTTGGAATATCTTATTCCTTGTTGCCATTGGTGATGGTAAAAGAACAAAAAAAAAACACTATTTCTTCATGCTCATAACATAATGAAATACTTGGTCAATTGACTCTTTCTTTTATAAACAAATATTCTTTGTTACAAAGTAATTACACAAACATCAATTGATCATTCATCAAAAGTTAAAAAAGGAACGGTAGCATGATCACCCATCAGAGATAACGTTTTTAAGTGATACAGACATGCTTGTGTAATCAACGGGAAACTTAAGTCACGACGCGTATAAACTGACAGAAAAAAACCAAAAAAAAAGAGAGATACTGATAAGAGATGTTATCACTTTATAAAACCCAAACTGCTTTACATCCTTTTTTATTTTTCCTTTTTTCTTTTTTTCATCTGGTTTCAAAAATGACTGGATCCTCTATTCCATACAATATTATATCCGAATTTTTCAATGAAATGTAAAAAATAAGTGTTTTTTTTATTACATTTGTGTATATGATTCAAAAAAAAAAAGGTAACAAAAAGATAGATAGGTGTATAAAGAGCAGGATATAATAATATAAGATGGGGCTCAAAAAAAAAAAAACTAAAATTACATATCATCCAGTAATGAGATTTCATCCAATGGAAAAGCCTATGATTTAGAACAACAAAAAAAAAAAAAAAAAAAAAAAAAAAAAAAAAAAAGAGCATTAATAAGATGCTGATTTCAAAATCATTTTCTTTTTTTCTTTTTTCTTTCCTTTACCTGTTCCGAAGTTGCACTACTTATGTTTTCATCAGTAATAGTCAAAGCTCCATTCAAAGGGGTCTCATGGCTTTCGCCGGGAATCTTGATGGAGGAAGGTCGTTGATTAGGAGAAATTTCAATAAATTGTTCTGTTTCATCTGTTGAAGTATGAAATGTGGTGGATCTAGTAGTAGTAGTAGTAGATGATGTTGATGATGATGATGATGGTGATAGTGATGTTTTCATTGATAATGTCGATGTATTGATTTCAAGACACTGAGTTGCATCTTCTTCTTGCTGTTGTTGTTGCCGTTGTAGTTCTATTCGTTGAATCATATTAGTCGTACATACTGCAGCAATGTCATTTTGTAAGTCAGACAATTCCCGGTCGTTGTTCTGTAATGAAAGTAGTATTAAAAAAAATCAAAAGTTTTTTTTTTTAAACTTACAGGCACACTAATATCCAAAAACGTGAGCGTATTGTTCATTTTAATAGAGATGGCCAAAGCTAATACACCAGCTAAAGAAATAGAAGGGTTTTCAGAAAGATCTAATCTCGTCAAGGTGGCATTCATTGGTAAAACTTCAGCAAGAGTGATAGCTGCAGTCGCATCCAAATCTGTGTTGATCAATAAAAGTTCCTGTAATGTATCATTCCGTAAAAGTGCAGTTTTCAAAGCATGGATCTAATAACAAAAAAAAAAAAAAAAAAGATGAGTTTCATCTTGTCAATTTGTATTAAAAAAAGAAACAAACTTCTTTTTTGAGAATCACTTGCCCCTTCATCCGAACCATGCATAATTAGATTTCCAGAAAGATCCAAACTTGTCAGCTGCTGATTTGTGTACTTTATAAAAAGAAGAAAGAAAAAAAATTATTAAAAAATAAAACCTTAAATATATATAAATATTTGAACTTACCAAAGCATCTGCTATCATTTCACATCCACTAGAATATATCTGACAATTGGCAAGAGATAGATAAAGTAAAGTTCGATTACTATATAAGGCTTGACATAATGGTCCAATAGCAATATCTTGTAATGCATTTCCAGTAAGATCCAATCGTTGTAATCCCCCAGTTGATGCTGTTGTTCTTATTGCTGAGTAATTTTTTCCTTCTACTGTTTCATCATCATTATCCAAATACATGTCCATAGTTTGATGTTCATTCAATATAAGAGTAGCTAACCATTGGGAAGAATTAGATGAAAGTCGATTATAGCGTAATGATAGAGAGGTCAATGAAGGAGATCGACATACACCAGGTGCCAATATTTCTAAATGAGTTGATTTCAGAGCGCATTGATCCAAATGGAGATACTGTAAAGATGTGGAATATAAAAGAGCTCGAGACAAATAATGAGTAGCACGTCGGTCAGGTGAGGATTTTGAAATATCTAATGACCGGATTTGTCTTGACTACAATATATATATATAAAAAATGAATTTTCTTTTAAATCATCTCATCCTTATTTATTACCTCCATAATATAGATAGATATAAATTTGAAACCTTTTGCCTTGAAAGAGTTTTGGGATAAGTCCAATTCTGTCAAACGATCACTCATTAGAATACTATTCAATAAAACACCAATACTCTATATAAAAATATAAAAATTGAGATAAATAATAATAAAAATAGTGAATCTTTTTTTTTTTTTTTTACATCATCTTCTAGGCCACAATTTGATAATCGAAGAATTCGTAGTCCAAAATCCAATAACAGTATATCAGCAAGTGGTCCAACCAAAGAACGATTAATAGTATGATTACTCAAATCAATAGTAGTCAAAGGCGTAAAACTAATATATAATATATAAATAAATAATAAATAAATAAATAAATTTTATTTTATTTTATTTTACCTATGTGTTTGTAATATTTCCATAAAAAAAGGCCATTCTTTTTCTTCTCGTAAACGACAAGCCCTTTCATAACAGTGAGGTAAGAATGGAGTTTCCAAATCAGATGATAATTGTTTATTATCGTTTTCTTCTTCGTCAAATGTATGTTCTGTTGTTAAGTGACCCATAGAAAAACTTACTCGTTTCAAATCTTGTCTTTGTAATTGAAAATGAGTATCGTCTTGTTGAGATAACTTGGATTGGATACGAGATAACCATGATGATGAATTATTATTATTATTATTATTGTTAGTTGTAGGTTTTCTTAATATACTTTTTTTATTCTTTGTATTTTCCATTATAATACAAAGTAATAATAGTAATAATAAAATAAGAAGAAAAAGAAGTTTGTACAATGGGTTCCCCCCACCAAAAGAAAGTAAAAAAAAAAAAAAAAAAAAAAAAAAAAAAGCGGAATTTGAAATATTTTATGTCAAAAAATTCATATCATAACACAATATTGTTAATCGCTTCCCTTTGAAAATATAAACGATTGATTCCAATATGCAAAAGATTGCCACTATTATTGGTACTACAGGTGTAGGCAAATCACAATTGGGGGTTGAACTATGTAAAGCCCTTGGAGGACAAATTATTAACGCTGATGCTATGCAAGTAAGTAATATTTACACACACACACACACACTCTCTCTCTCTATATATATAGATATATAAACGAAAATTCAACCTTTTCTTTATAGGTTTATCGTGGTCTTGACATTATTACGAATAAAATGCCTTTAAACGAACGTCAAGGTATACCACATCATTTGATGGATTTCTTGGATCCAGAAGAAGAATACAAGGTGACAGAATTTAAACGAGATGCTACTCAATGTGTAAAGTCTATTACTCTTCTATATCATTTCCATTATCACTCACCTTCTTTATTTATTTATTTTTTTTCTAAATGTGTAGATAGATCAACTAACAAAAGAACATCAACTACCAGTAGTTGTAGGTGGAACAAACTATTATGTACAATCTCTATTATATCAAAACTCTTTGATCAAGGATGAGCAAACTGAAGATGCTTATAGTAGAAGTCCTTCTCCTGAGCCAATGCCTGAATTAGACGCACTACAAACTACTGAACTTTATTCTCGTTTACAAGAAATTGATCCCATCATGGCAAATAAGTGGCATCCTTCCAATCGACGAAAAATCATAAGAAGTCTGCAAGTCTATTACCAAATAGGAAGGAAACAAAGTGATATTATAAAGGAACAACAAGAACATCATCAAATTCATGGATCTCAAGCTCGGTAGGTTAAAAAAAAAAAAATAGGATGATCTTTTTTTTTTTTTGAATTTATATTCATTATGTCTAAATTACAGGTTCAAATCCCTAGTATTTTGGTTGTATGCTGATCCTTCAAAATTAAATCCAAGATTAGATGATCGAGTTGGCACAATGATTGAAGTAAATGGATCTATATATATAACAAGTTAAGACTAATTTATTTATTTATTATTATTATTTTTTATTTGAATCAAATAGACTGGATTATTCGATGAGATCAAACAACTTCGAAAACAAGTATTACTAGGTCAAGTTAATATACCTGGTCAAGATTTGGAAATATACCAGCGAGGTTTATGGCAAGCCATTGGTTACAAAGAATTTGATCCTTATTTTACTGCTCTGGAAACAAATTCTACTGATCAAGATGGATTATCTAAGATTCGGGAAGAATGTACAGAAAGAATGAAGGCTGCAACACGACGATATGCAAAACGACAAGTTCAGTGGATCAGAAATAAATTATTACCTACTGTTTGGAATTCGCAGAAAAGTGATGTCATGGTTTACCTGTTGGACGCTGGCGATCTGAAAGAATGGGATACAAACGTACGACAAAAAGCAATAGAAATAACAAAAGGTAAAGAAAAAAAAATAAAAAAAAAAGAGAGAGAAGAAAAGAAATAGAGTGTTATGTTAACTAATCCTTTTTTTTTTTTTTGATTTGATAAGCATTTCAAGCGGATGAAGAATTACCAGTACCTCAAGATCTTAGTGAGACTGCCAAAACCATGTTAACAAGGAATCATATACAAGAGTAAGTGAATCATTTTATTTCAGAGCTTTTTTTTTTTTTTTTTTGACTAATATATATATATATATATATATATATATATATATATATAGCACACAAACTAGAATCTTGACTTGGAAAAATCATACTTGTCCTGTGTGCAAAACTGATAAAGGTGATCAAGTGATACTCTATGGTGATATTGAATGGGAACAACATAGGAAAAGTCGATGGCATAGGAAATCAATTAAGAATAAGAAACTGGAAGAAATCAAGCACAAGCATAGTTTAGAAGGAATGGTATCATAATCTTTTATAACATGATATCAATTTTGCGTGCGGAATAAAACGTTACCAATGTTGGCCAACCAAATTTGAATTTCAATGAAAATGGACTCCACCCCCCCTTTTTTTTTTTTTTATTTTTCCTATTCCACTTCTCTTATTCTTTTCTTTTCCTTTTTTTTTTTTTATAACTCATTACGATCGCTCAAGATCAATGCTCTTACGATATAGATTTCTTCCTTCTGGTTTTATTTTATTATTCCCTTGAAAAAAAAAAAAAAAAAACTTTTTTTTTCTTGTACTTTTTTTTTTTGTCTATTTTGTTTGACCACACACAATCATTTTTGTTCTCATCATGGCTTCCCGCTTGGTTCTTTTCTTATTAACAAGTTTCCACCTACTTGGACTGACTATTTTTTTGAAAGGCTTTCTTTTGACACGACAAACACTTGGTCAACGGGGAACTTTTTACGATACTTGGGATAGATTTCCTCTGATCAATGATAACAACAACAATAGTGATATACAAATGAAAGATTTACCAGCTACAGTTGATTCTCCTCCTGCATTCAAACGCGTCATTGTGGTGGTTATTGATGCTCTTCGATTTGATTTTATGGTCCAAGATGAATCACAACAAAACAGACTCTACCGAAATCATCTTCCCATCATCGATTGGCTTTATACGACACAACCTGATCACACATTATTATTTCAATTTCGGGCTGATCCTCCTACAACAACAATGCAACGTATCAAAGGACTTATGACTGGCTCTCTACCAACATTTATCGATGCTGGTTCCAATTTTGCCTCCTCTGCTGTGCAAGAAGATCATCTACTACACCATATAGTAGCACAATACCCGGCTTTGTATTTCATGGGTGACGATACTTGGCAACATTTATTCCCAAAAGATTTGGCACCTGAACGTACATTTGCTAGTGACAGCTTCAAAATGTTTGATCTTCATACCGTTGACAATCGAATTCAAGAACACCTTTGGCCCTTATTAGACAATCCAGAGTCAGACTGGCAAGTTATCATTACTCACTTTTTAGGTGTGGATCATTGTGGGCATACTTTTGGACCTGATCATATCAACATGGCTACAAAACTAGAAGAAATGAATACTGTATTGGAAAGACTGGTGAAGAATCATGTGAATCAAGATACTTTACTGGTGGTGATGGGAGATCATGGCATGTCAACTGAAGGTGATCATGGTGGTGAAAGTGTGGAAGAACTGATGAGTGGTTTACTCCTTTATTCTGGACGGAAATTGACAATGGCTATTTCGAACGACAACAGCAACCATACTAGTGGCAGATCGGATTCTTTCTCGTCAACAATGGATTATTTTCATGATTTTGTCAAACGAATGTATGACACTAGAGCCTCTATTCTTGGATATGACAATCATAAAATCACTCAGCGATTACACTACAATGCATCAGCGTTTCCTATCGTTCCTCAAATCCATCTAGTACCTACTTTGGCGTATTTACTTCATATTCCTATTCCATTTGGCAACTTGGGCTCTCTTGTACCTGATGTACTTCTCTCGTGTCTCGACAGCAATGATGATGGCGTTACAGGAGTAACAGATGATGACATTGACCAACGACTGAAATGTATATTACATATGGCTCAACAATTCCGATTGAATGCATTACAAGTATACGACTATTTAACGACTTATGGATTGGAAACACATCACATTGGATTCACCAAAACAGCGATGATGCCTTTGATTGAACATTTGGAGACAGCAGAAGCAACTATGATACAAGCTTTGAATCTATTATCGAACACTGATAACAATCAAATGGATACCATTGAATTATTAGCATCAGCAACCATGACTTACGATCTCTTTTTATCAAGCACTATCAAATACTGTGAAGCGATATGGGCTCAATTTGACGTTGGATGTATGCTGTTAGGAATGATGATGCTCAGTGCTACAACTGTGACAGGATTGTTTTTATGGATACGATATACTGATTGGTCAGGAATGCAACTATGGCAATTGGGAACCGCGGCTTTGGAACTGATATCATCTTATTGGATTTATATTGTATCAGCGATACTGATAATGATGTCTGGAAGTGGTGTTCTTTTCCATTTTTTTATTGGTAGTGAATTTCAATCCACTTTTTCTATCCACTGGCACGGTATGTTCGATAAAATGGGATGGATGGATGGATACTCTTGTATGACTGGCTTGGTGATCATGCTCCTTCTTATCACTATCATCCAACAACGACGGCAGAAAATTCAATCATCATCATCAACAACAACAACAAATACGGCAATGACCAGGACATATCGTGATGGATGTATTTTATTATTTGCTGCGTTAGGACAAGCGTTGACTTTGGGATCCAATAGTTTTGTTATTTGGGAAGATCGTGGATCAAGGTTTGCTAGTGTTACTCTGTGTGTCTGGTGGCTCCTGCGAAATATTCAAAACATGGGACTGGAGAAGAACAACAAGAAAAGTGATTGGGTATCGATGGTGTCAAGTCCTTTCTTGGTGATGTTGTGGACACGACTTTCTGGTACATTAGGCCAATGCCGAGAAGAACAATATCCTCATTGCAAGTATGTTGACATTGGGGACTTGAAACAATTGGATACTGGCTTTTGGATGACTTTACTTATTTGTACAGGTGGTTTATTACTCGTTATTCGTTGGATGGCAAGTGTCACGACTGAGTTGTCTCCTTGGATCCTTTTGGCATACGCATCGTGTGTTACGGCAGTATTTATCCGGATGATAGACGACGTATATCGAAACATCAGTGACAAAGGATTATTGGACTCTATGGCATTTTTATTTGAAGATGGATCGACAGTAATATGGCTACAGAAATCAATGGACTTGTATCTACCACGATATATTTACACGACATGTCTTTTGGTTAGCATTTACATGTGGGCGACAAAGAAGAATGATTCTATAAAGATGAAGCAACAGTATTGGCTCTCTTATCTATGTATTTGGTCAACGGTACTGGCTCTATTACAACGACCAGCAGCAGGATGGGTGATTTTACTATGTCCTTTTATTATATATCGATTATCTACAACGGATGATCATAGCATCATGATCAGATTAGCATTGATTCATCTAGTGGGACATCATTTATTTTTTGTTACTGGCCATCAAGCAACCTTTACCTCACTACCATGGCATGCGGCATTCATTGGTTTTGACGACATGTATTATTATATTGGCGCTATGCTGGTGACACTTTCCACGTTGACTGGGTATGTGGTATCATGGATAGGCACGTCGTTCATATTATCACAATATCAACATCATGATGATGATAATACTCTCTTTATGGCACTCTTACATTATATTCCTACTTGTCTCTCTTCGTTCTTTGTCTATATTCTTCGGCGGCACCTGATGACTTGGAAAATCTTTGCTCCACGGTTTTTACTGCAGACACTTTTGGTGACTGGTACCTTTATTGCACAATTGGTACTTGGATATTGAATTATTATTTTTATTATTTTTATTATTTTAGTATGTAATGAATTTAGATTTTTGTTTTTATGAATAAATATTATTTTGATACCATCAATGAAAAAAAAAAAATACTTTGAGCATATTTGTTAACATAGCAAATGATGACAAGTTTTTTTTTTTAAGGTGATACAACATGTCATATTATTATTATTATTTCTATGATAGATGACCAGTTTTTTTTTCGATACAGTATTGTTTTTGTCATCAAGAAAACTTGTTCTTCGTGTGACTCTATCGATTCTTTTTATGCTTATTTATTTTTTCCCAACAGTTTCAGTGGACTTTTTTTTTGAAAAGATGATTGCCCGATTTGTATCATTCTGAATGTCGGATGAGCGATGATACAAGATAGTATAACTGTAAACTTTTTTTTATTATTATTATTTTGATAGAAGCATGAATCAATCAAAATAAAAATAAATAAAAAAAAAAACCTGTTTCATTTTTTAATATCATCCTTATTCACCTATCAAGTCATTCCCTTCTTATGGACCAATGTTGTTCATCTACGCCATCAGTCAATGCAATGCATGTTGATTCATCTACCTTGTCATAAATTTATTTTATAACCCCCCTTAGAAAGTCTAATGGACGTGTAACCTGTCTAAATAGAAACAAAATCATGCGTTTTTACATAGAAAAAGAACAAAGGATCGCCGCATGTTTATGCTAGTCATTTTAAATCTCCCTTTTTTTTTCTGAATGATATGAATATAAGATGAATTTTTTTTTCTGTTTTTATTAATGATGAGTTCAAATGAAGAGGCGTATAAACGAATAGATAAAAGAGAGGAATAAAAAAAAAAAAAGGAGATCACATACAGAATAGATGAATAGAGGCATAAAAAAAACGAAGTCAGGGTATGATGCAGATGACAAAGGAGGAAAGAAAAAAAGAATGATAAAAAAAAAAAAAAAGAGAATACTGGATGTATATCTTTTTGTGTGAATGTGAATATTTGTATGAGATGATGATATGTGTGTGTTTTTGTGTATATGTGAGAAGATGGAAAAGAGGAGTAAAAAAAAAAATGAAGACTATGCACGCATGTCAGAAATATACATATATATAAAGGAAGGTATATGGTGTATATATAGATGTCATCAAAGGGAAAAACAAACTATAAAAAAAAAAGGAGTGAGGAAAAAAAAATCATGAAGAGACATCCAGATAACGATGCCAAGTAGCATCCGGTAACCATGATGATAATTCCTGTGGAGTAAAACGACGACCAAATTGGTGATCCAAAATATCTGTATCTTTGAAAATTGGACAATGGGCATGTTGTTGATGATCAAAGGTAATTATGGCTTGTTTTTGATCTTCAGACAAGGTGACCAAAGGTTCTTCGTTGTTGTCTACCATTGGATTCACAATCATAAAAGGAAGGGCCGTCATGGGTTCATGTCCTAATTCATGCTGATTTCTCCAGATCAACCTCCGCAGTTGTAAGTACTAGAAAAGCAGGAGTCAATCATCCATATTCTACCTTTTTTTTTTTTTTTTTTTTTTTTTACCATTTTCAAAGTATCACCTAGAACAGTGCGCGTTGAAGTACAAGTGGCTAACCATTTTTCTTTTTGAGCCTATGTATATATATATAAAATAATAAGCAAGGATGACGATGAGTGTTAAATATGAACCAATAGTTTTTTTTTTTTTTTTTTTTTTTACCTCTTCCATCTGAATTTGTTGTTTCAATAAAAGCATATCATCATCATCTTCATCATCATTACGATCATGATTCAAGTCATTCATGATAATATCCGTAGATGAAGAAGAAGGATGGTAACAAGAAGGAATGCCGAGCCATTTGATTTCTTTCTTATCTTTGACAATAATGTTCATGGCCATCAAGACGTTGAGAGCATCATAGACACGACGACGGATATTTTTTTGATCAAATTGACAGAAGGTAGCAGATTTGGTCAGATCACTTGTCAGTTCTTGTACTACTTGATCATATGTTGTTACACCATGTTCCTTGACCTTGTCACATACTTGTTTGCTGAAATGTCGTAGTCCTTTGGTGGCCCGTTCGTTCAATACAAGTGATGGTGATGAGGCGTTGGATGTACAGATAATTGACGTGGTGGTAGATGAATAAGGGGTGGATCCATTTTGTTGTTGTTGTTGTTGACGGCGATGTTGTTTGTTGCATGGCTTTTTCCTTTTTGGGGCTTGGTCCGGTAACGATGATGATTGTTGATCACAATGAATTGAAAGACGACGTTTGACACCAGCATTCATAAAATGAGTTTGATAACCATATTTATGTTCTTCTTCATCCAATAGCTTCAGTTCAGGATCAGAGTTCAATAAAGATGCAATGGAACCCTTCCGTTGAGATGGCGTCGAGTTAGGGGTAGATGAGCATGAATCGGATAGGTGCGGTGTGTGAACAACGGGTGGTGTTACCGAAGGTGAAAAAGAAGGAGAGGATGAAGTTGGCGGAGACGAAAAGAGGGAATCAGAGAAAGAATCGGGAGACGAACCGCCAGTGAATGTATAAGAAAGTGGTGGAGAAGCAGATGATGGAGGTGGAGACAACACGACGTGATGGATAGATGGTAAATAAGGTGTGGAATTGTTAGTATCAAGTTTGGCCAATGAAAGAGGTCGTAGTTCCAAATCAAGATTACTGTGATCGCGTTGTTGATGAGGGGAAGATAAGGTCATTGCATAATGAGAAACGGCGGATGTTTTGATATTATCAGGATGGCATCGATCATTTAGTGGTGGTGAGGGTAAAGACGTATAAGAAAAGGACGAATAAGGTTGATAAGCTGACATTGTTCAAAAAAAAATGAAAGGATAAGAGAATGATAGTTGATTTTGTGTGTGTGTGTTTTACTAGGAAAAGAAAGAAAGGTCGGGGTTGAGGGAAATGGGAGGAAAAGAAAGTGTAGAGAAAGTGAAAGAGATGTAGAATAATGAAATTGAATCAGAGCAACTAATAAAATAAAAAAAAATAAAAAACTTCTTTTTTTTTTTAGCATGTAAATATTGATATCTATATAAATAAATAACATGGGTAAACTGGATTCTTTTTCATAAAGGACTCACACACGTACACATATATCTATACTGATATACACAGACGCACACACACAACTCTGTCTGGTAAACCTTTTTTTTTCTTTTATCAAAGTAATCCCGTCTTTTTTTTTTTGTTTGTCTTTTCATGGATAAAAAGAAGAAGAAAAAAATAACCTTAGAGTTTATTTGAAAGGCTTCGATTCAGGGGAAAAAAAAAAGAGAGAAAGAATAGACCAATAACCTTTCTCGGAATTACCATAAAAGCAATTCATTCTATTCAAACGAATCACTTTTTTTTTTTTTTTTTTTTTTACTCACATCAAGTTGACAGTGTTTCATAAAAGTTGTTTTCTGTGTGCGTGTGGTGTATGTCAAAAAATATAACCTTCATGTTGTCATTTTGTATTTTAAAATAAAGTATACAGACTTTTTAGCTCCTATCTTTTCCGAGCTAAATAAAAAATCATCACCAAAATCCCAAGTCAGTGCCTTTTTTAATCATTAATCCTTTGTGTCGTTTTCATATGTGCATTGACCACCCATCATTATCTTTCTTTATTCAATATAATATAAATAAAATAGTTTACAATAATAAATGAATAAATAATAATAATAATAATAATAATAATAAAGACTATCTATTTAGGTTAAACTATTTTTATCTATAAACGATGATAAGCCTCGACCAAAATACCAAAATAGATTCATATCCATCATTCTGATTGTTGTTGTAATAAGAATTCTTTTACAGAGATCCTAGGCCGTCTAGTCTTTTCTTTGTTGTTGTTGTTTTTTGTTGATATTGTTAGTTTCCACTAGTAACACCTATATTCGAGTCCGCCATCGTCGTTGTTGTTGTTGCCATCTTTCCAATTCCTAACGACCCGTCGTCAAAGATAGCAAAAATATATTAGTACCTTCCAATTCCATACTGCGAGTTACCATGATATTGTCCATCATTTCGAATTTCTTGTTCATGACCACCATATCATTAGCTTCATCCAATATCACATGTACTGAGCCCAGCTTATCAATCGTCACTCGAAAATAGAATAACATCATACTAAGTTTGTTGCTGTCCTATGATACAGTACTTCATGCTGATCTTGAGTATTTCGAAGTTGATATGTTTTGATAATTGAATTTGAATGTTCATCATCGTCCATCTGTTACGTCTAACGAAGTAAAAAAAAACTTGAATTATCCTTGTTGTTTTTCTTGTTGGTGTTGTTGTATAGCCTCCAATCGATATCGATGTGATAGTTTTCAATGTCCTATTAAGGAGTTCATCATGACCCATGCCGGAGTGATTACCGTGGGTTATATTTACCCAAAATATGCTAGCATCACAATTTGTCGTGGTTCCTTTCATATTGTTGATCTAAACAAACAAACAAAAAATAAATAAATAAATAAATAAAGATTTGTAAGTAGAACTTTAATGACCTAATGGGGTAGATTCCTTTCTTCACATGTCATGACCTCTTTTTTTTTTATATATATCCATTTTACCTTTTTTCCAATGTAATAAACGTCAACAACAACATATGAAAAAAACAACTGCTTTGTTTTTAATGACTACTAGTATATTTTTGGCATTATTCATTTTGTCGAACAGGTTAGGGAGTACAAAAAAAAAAAAAAGAGAGAGAGAGAGGTAAAGAAAAAAAGAAGTGTGAGCATCTTAGAATTAAATCCTATCTTTGTTTCCATCAGTTTCATCTTGTTGTTACCATGCATTTTCTTTTTTCAGTGCTTGGAGCTTCTACTAGTGTCGACAGCGGTTGTTTTGGGTTCCAGAATCTTCACATGTATCACAGAGTACGCTTCAGGTTCAAGCATGTAAAGTCAAAAAAAAAAAAAAAAATCAAGTCAGCAATCATGTATTTTTTTTTTTTATAATTATTATCTGTGATTATGCCTACCGAAGCTATGATTATCCATCACCAATTATAGTTGTCTCATGCTTGTCAATGAGTCTTGCCATATTATATATAGGAACCTTCATCAAGAATCTCAACCAAAATCGTATCACTGCTTCGCCACCTCCATCGTAGTTAACAAATCAGGATAGGTCACTTTCGTTTCAGGATTCTAAAAAAGAAAACAATGGAATTGAGGAAGTACACTGATTAATTACCAGGAAAACTCGTTCCTTTTTTCCATTTCTTACGATAATCTATAGACACATCTTCATTGCATACAAGCTAAAAAAAAAAAAAAAAAGTCATCAGTCATTAAATAAGCTTTTTGAATGTTTTGGTTAGAATCTTACCACGTGTCAGAAACCACGAGCCACCCTCTCAATTCAAAGCAGTATCTTGAGTTTACTCGAGTCAATCGTCACGCATTTGGAATCATCGTTCGTTGTAGGAGCATTTTTCTATAACCATAGACACAAATACATATATGCATGCATAAAAGTGAAGTTACATCAAGTCATACTAATCTGACCCCTTATCAATTCCTTTGTCTTTTTTTTTCGCCCTTTACCTTACGTTTTGAATCATTCCATCTCCAACTACCTTTTCCAATACGTCCAACTAAGCCGTATCATATATCCTATAGAAGAGATCTTGCTATCTATTCATTTGACTATCAATCCAAAAGGATAAAAAAAAAAAAGAGTGAAGAGTAAGACCCATAAAATTATACCAGTTCAATAATTTTGTTTATCGTTGTTCGACATTACGTACTACTAAACCTATCAGAAGTGATAGCCAAATCCGCTAGAAAGCTAAAACGGGATAAGATGTTGAATTTCAGAAAGGAGAACAATGTCAGAAAAAAAAAAGGAATCAATGAGGAAGAGAGGAATGGTCGACCAACAGCAATAATTTAAGAAATAGATTAGTACCTATGTTTTACTCTTCCTCTTTTGTTTGGATTTACCTTTTAAAACGACCCATTGTCCACATTCATTCCATTCAAACCCAATGGAAAGACATTCATATAAAAACCAAAAAAAAAAAAAGGAAGAGAAAAAAAAAAAGAAAACGGGAAAGAGAGAAAAAAAAAAGGAAACGAGCCTGTCCTTTTTTGGGTTTTTCGTGTATTTTGATTAGCCATTGATATGCCTTTTAAAAAAAAAAAAAAAAAAAAAAAAAAAAAAAAAAAGAAAAAAAAAAGAGAGAGAGAATAGATGGATCAAAATGCATTTTATTAAGTCTAAAAAAATGAGACCGAAAGGGAATCTAATAGTACAATCAAGAAGAATGGTATAAAAAAGTAAAACTACTAAACTATATACAAAGGGTTCGTAATACATTTGTCAACGTAACATCATCATAAATAGGTTTTCCAGTAGAAGCACATTGATGACCTTTGACCTTGACACATTGAATTCCAAATTGTTCGATAGCTGATACATCCACAGAAATTTCACCTTGATCCAAATAGACCAAATGAGAAATAAAGGCATTTGGTGGTGAAGGTTGAAAGAGTTGATCAGGAAAAGGTGGATAATGATGAGTAGGTGAACTTGAGAAAGATGCGTAACCACTATCAGGTCGAATGGATGTTGATGATGATAATGACGGTGGTGGTGGTGGTGGTAAAGATGATTTGTAACCAGAGCATAAATGTTGAGTAGGTCCATGGGTAGTCCGACCGCTATAGGAGGAAGCACCACGTTCACACAGATTGGTTTGATAAAAGGCACGACGGCAATCGATCTTTTGACTTTCGTTCAAAGCAGCAGTAATGGTCAAAATAAAGTCCAATGCAGAATACCCTCGTGTTTCCCGATCATTGGATCCATTCAGTAATAAAATCTTGTATTGTAGAGATTGTGATTGAGCGATGGCATTACCTACATTTCGAAGAATTAAGGAAGGTACAATAGAAGTATAAAGAGACCCAATAGAATAGATCAATGTATTTTTGGTGGAGAGTTGTGTGATAACTTTGGGATTCGGTACTGGATAGATTTCTTGTCCATATTCATTGATGTAATAGAGTCGTCGAATAGGTGATGGTAATGGTTGTTCTTCAAGTTTTGAAAAGAAAAGATTACTAGTAACATGTTTTCCATTGTTGTCATTATCATCATCATCGTCCAACGTAGTTGAATTTGTCTTGTTGATCATCATCATATAATCATCACGTGTTGTCGGTATAGGATCATCACCAAGGTGCATAAAGGCATCAATAGGATTGATAATCAATTGAGAAGAATGGCAATCAGGCGCATTGGTAGTAGAAGAAGGGTGACTAATATTGCATTGACCGATAATAGTTTCTCCATTTTGTAATTGAGCTGCAATTGTTGCCTGGTGATTGGTATTGATAACGGGAACAACCATGGTTGGTTCGCTGATACCAGTGATTGCGGAGAACAAAAATAAGGCAGCTTCCAGAGATCCAAAGAATAGTCTTGCTCCTGTCAAAAAGAAGTTGCCAATACTACCATTACAAAAGTTGAATCGTTTATGAGCTCGTTTCAAAGTTTCCCCGTTGAAGTTTGTCAAAAAGCCACGAATAGTTTCTTTTTTATCAGCAGGAATCCTTTTCCATAATCTAAAATAGAAAAAAAAAAAAAGTGAACCAAGTGAGTCATATTTCCTTTTTTGTTTCTATCAATATACTGGTACCTGTGTCGACCCTCTACAATAGAAGCCCATTCATCTTTGACTTGTTCAGGATCATTTGATAACCGGTAACTTAGAAGTTCTTTGATCGCCACTCGTTCATCCGAAGGATTTGGATCAATAATGTCAATCAATCGTGTCAAGCGAGAACGTAGATCTCCAATACTTGGTCCACCCAATACTCGTAAAATTTCGCTCTATCACATAAAAAAAAAAAAATAAAAATAAAAAGAGAGAGAGAGATGGATAGATTAATACATCAAGTTATACACATTTATTTTTATTTGTTATTACTGTAGATCCACCATTGTCACTAACACCAAGAAAATAAGTAATGTCGTTATGACCCAGTTCATGAAATGATTTGGCAATATGGTTACATGCTGTTCCACCTGAAAATACAACCAAGGATGGTGTTGTTGTCGTCATGACGTCCAGTGAATCAGCAGAAAAAAAAAAAAGATAGAAGATATATAAAAAAAAGAATGGCGGGGGGAAAAAGGGAGATTTTTTAAATGGTACCAATCTCGGGATTTGTTATAAAGTGTGGAGATAAGATAAATTCTCTCTTTTTTCCGTTTTCAAATGTTTCCGATTCACCAATCAAAATGAACGCCCCCTTTTTGTTCAACACAACAAATACACCCCAAGGAAGAGATTTTCCATTTGCATATCTTTCACTGATAAGATTTTGATAACAATTTTTTTTTTCGAAAAAAGTCTATTTATATACTGCTATTTTTATTTTTATTTTTTTAAATTTTTATTTTCAAAATACAATAATATAAATAAAAAACGACAATCTATATAACAGATATAACTATACAAAGTGTGATAATAATAACAATAAGGATGATGATAATTTGATGATGATGATGATGATGACGATGATGATAAATAAAAAATTAATAAAAACAATAAGAATATATAACAATAAAACGTTTAAGAAGTAGTATCTTCAGTCAAAAGGAGAACACTATCTACCACCTTGATTGGGAAATCACGTTGCTTCATCATGTTCACTACTTCTTTGGCCTTGGTAACTTGATCATGATCCATATATACTTTGACCATCGCTTCATATGTACTGGGTTCCCGGATAACATTGTTGTTATTTTCAGATTGTTGATTATCTTTCATCTTGTTGAATACTTCTTCGGCCTTGTTCACTTCTCCATTCGCACCATACCCCTTGATAAACAGATTTTCAATATACGGAGATGATTGTACATTGGCATCCGTCATATCCTTGTAAAGATTTTCAGCTTGAGTCATCTTGTTATTGTTAATGTAAGTATCCAACAATGCTTGATATACCAATTCGTTTGGTTTCACGCCAGCCTTTGTCATTTCTTTGTATACAGCTTCAGCAGAAGTCACATCACGATGAAGGCATCCATATGATTTCATCAAAGTAGCATAATGTGTAGCAGTAGGATCCAATCCATATCGTTTCTTCATTTCAGTCAATAAATTGTGTGCAGTCACCATGTCGAAAGCAGGAATATTGGCATAAGCTTCAATCAATAATTTGTAGGTATGAGCAGAGGGAGTCAAGTTGGATTGTTTGAGTAATTGAAAGTATTCCAAAGCCTTATCACGATCGTTCCGTTGTTGCACATAAAATTGGATCATCGAGTTGAAAACACCAATACGAGGTTGATATCTTGGCAAACGAGTCATTTCTTCAAAGTAATACACAGCACGACTTTCAGCAGAGCATCGAATACAAGCAGAAATCACACCAGCATAAGTAATTGAGTTGGGTGATACACCAAGATCCTTCATTTCCTTGAATAAAGCCATCACTTGATCCATTTTACGACATTTGGCCAATTTGGAGATAATTACATTGTAGAAATACACAGTAGGTCGCACTTTGTGTCTCTTGGCTTCTTCATAAATCACCATAGCATCTAGAGATTCGTCTGTAGTATCATTCGCTGTACATGATAATAAACATCCATAAGCATCCGCATCAGGGAATGCATTCGCAGCACGAAGCTTGTCGTAATATACCTTGGCCATTCCCAAATCCATGTTGCGAGCGTAAGCAATAAGCATATTGTTGTTGAGAATATTCAATGCATGTTGGCGGCGAGAAGGATCCATTTGTCTAAAAGGTTGTTCTACCAAGTTGTAAATGGCTTTTGAAGTGTCCAGTTGATTTAACTTGTTTGCATGTTGAATCATATCCCGTACTGTTTCAGGAGTAGGAACCATACCTTGATTAATAATCTTTTCTTTCATCATATCCAAAGCCTTGTCGAAATCACCACGAAGAGCCATGTTCAAAGCTTCACCAGACAATATATCTACTTTAGTAGAATCAAATGGAAATTTGCTAACGGTTGATTCAGATGATACTGACGATGCTGATGATAATGCTGGAGTTGCTGATGATGATGATGTTGTTGTTGTTGAAGGAGCTTGATCTATTTGTTCTTGAATGTTGGGATAATATTCTTCAAAAGTCTTCTTCCAGCGAGCTTCATCTTCCACTCGACCATATTTGTTCAGACGTGTACTAACCCGGATATAGAGACTTGGATTGGAATTCATGTTGAGAGCATGCATATCATTCAATAGAGTAAAGACAGAATTGCAGAAATCTTCACTGGTAGATTTGCGTTTGAATGCAGCTTCATACAAGGTGAAAAAAGATCGATCAGTACAGTAGTTCACAAATTCTTGCCATGTAGTTGGATTTGCCTTGGCCTGATCATACAATTGAAGGAGAACAGCAGATGTTTGAGGGGTAGAACGAACAGAATAATTGTTCAAAAAGCGTAAAATGTCCAAAGCATCCACCAAATTATCAGAGCGACCAGCAATTTCCAAAGCCAATGCCACCAAAGGAGAGTTTTGCCTGATAAAAGTAGTCTTGCTATGCATACGAAGAACTTCCTTCACTACATCTGCTGCTTGTTTCATATCACCCAATTTCACATAACCAGATACCACATTGCAGCACACTTTTGTATCTAATTCCACGCCATGAGAAGACATTGCTCTAACAGTTTCCAAAGCACGGTTGTATTGTTGTTCGTTAACACAAGCATTGACATACTCGCTGAGATGACCATATTGACGACGAAGATTCAATTTCAACAAATTTTCAAAGGCATCATGTGCTTTGTCCAAATCCTTCATACGACTATAAGTTGATAAGAGTAATCCATAAGTATTCGCATCGGGTTTGGGTAAATGTTCAGAAGTCGAGAGCTTTTCCAACAATTTTGATACAAATTCCATATTATTGTCCATACATGCGCGATAAAGCATTCGATTGTAGGGTGAGATAGTCACAGGCACACCATCCTTGATCATAGTTTGTTCAACGACACGTAGAGCACCATTAAGATCACCAGCATTAACATGAGCAAATACCAATGCATTATAAACATAAGAAGGATCATGAGTTGGAAGAATACGAGACATAGACTTGTATTCCTTGAAACATTCACGGACTGCCGTCAAATCACCAGCTGTACCAAACATTGACATCAACATGGCAAAGGTAGTACCATTAGGTCGCACACGATCATTTTCTAATTGTTCATAAATAAACAAGCCATCTTGAGTGTTTCCGACATATGAAAGTCCACGTAGAAGATTATTGTAAAGTTCCACATCAAAAGCTTGAGTTGATTTTTCTTGAACAGCTTGCTCAAAAATGGCCACAGCACGTTGCAAGTTCTTTTCAGATTCCAAAGCGTGAAGAGATGATCCTAAACAAAAAAAAAAAAAAAAAAAAAAAAAAAAAAAAAAAAAAAGATTAAAATTTAATTAATAATGCAAATAGATAAAAATGTTGTCAGTCTATTTACCATCTTTATGAAGAGAGCCTACTGTAGATGAAGTTTGTTGAGAAACTCCTTCAAATTTAGCCAAATTAGTATCCATTTGACGACGAAGAACATTGGAGGCACGATTCACTTCAGCATCTCTTGCACATAAATTTCGAATCACAATAGCATAAGTTTCAGAAGTAGGTTGAACACCATGCTTCACCATTTCATCAAAAACACCCAACATAGCGGTCAAAGGCTGATTCTTTTGATGCAAAGTACCATAGGATTCCATCACTGCTTGATAGGTTTGAGTAGTCAGAGGAGTATGTTGTGTCTTCGTTGCTTGAAATTCCGCCACAACAGCACCATAATTCTTATGTTTAGCCAATTCCAAAATACGAGCATTAGGTTCTTCCAAAAGTTCAGGAGAAGCTTCAAGAGTAGATTGTGTAGGTTGTTGTTGAGCTAAAGCTGATTTGAAGCGTAATTGTTGTTGTACAGGTTTAGGTTGTAAAGAAGTAGAAGATCCGGAAGTCCAACGTTGATTTGAAGCACGAGCAAGTGGTGCGAAAGGATTGCCATTCAAATGTTGTTGTTGTTGGTCCTTGTTGTTATTGTTGTTGTCATTGTTGTTCAAAGTTCTGGAGGTAGTATATAGTTTACCTGAACGAGCTGGAAAGGCTGTAATAAAAGCTGAAGTTTTGTTACTAGCATGAACAGTAGCGAGTTGTTTGGAGAGAGCACTTTGACGAGCTACAGTATTCAAAAATGTTGTTCCTTTGGCACCATACATTGTCGAATAAAGAGTAATAATCAAACGGTAGAAAAAGAAAGAAGAGGAAGGTAGTGTTATATATATATAAACAAAAAGATCGAGGAAACCAGAATAACAAGAATATGTAATCTATTTCCTAATCTTTTTTTTGGGGGTAAAGTAAAAAGAAGGTGAAAGAAAAAAAAAAAAAAAAAAAAAAAAAAGAAAAAAGAAAAAAAAAAAAACTAAAAAGAAAAAAAAAAAATATTTCAGCTCGCTTCCGACATGAGGCGATGATTTTTGACTCAATATTGAAAAAATCAGTGACTGGAATGACCCAGAAAAGGATGCCGGAACATAAATTAAGCGTTCCTGTATTCAAAAATATACAGAGAGGAGAAATCTACTTTTTTTTTCCCTTTTATTTATATTTTGATTTTGAATAATATGACTAAACTAAACTATACTACACGTTTAAGTTTGGGTCCATTCTTGTTTGATTTTAAAAAAAAAAAAAAGAAAAAAAAGAAAAAAGGGTTTTGTCATTATTCGGCAGGTGAAGGAGATACAGGAGTTTGAGCACCATTAGTGGAAGTTGTACTAGTTAGAGCAGTTTCACCTTTGAGGTTTTCGATCTTGTTATCAATCAAGTTATGCAAAGCAATCACAGCACGGATAAGACTTGAAAGATACATCAATAAGAGTTGATCATTGGTTTTGGTACTGAAAGCTTGAACCATGAATTGTGATTCCAAGTTGGGTAATAAATTGAAAATATCTTGCAAGTTGTATATGATTTGATGATTCACAGGTAATTGACCAGATACCACTTTTTCCAAATAGTCTCGGATTTCTTCTAAGCGTCCTTGTAATCCTGACAATGAGCTCAATTGTCCACTGATACGTGTCGATAATGATCCTACTGCATTGTCTTTGATATCCCTCAATAAATGTTCCACACCAATTTCTTCTGCTTCTTCTGCTACAATTTCAGAAGGAACATGCATAAAAGTCTTTGTTGTTGCTGTACCATCCTAAAAAAAAAAAAAAAAAAAAAAAAGTCATCAATAAATAAAATCAAAAAAAAAAAAAAAAATAGTAAGGATAATAACTCACATCTTTGATTTCTTCAATGGAAAAGTAAGCATCAGTAGGAATTTCAACATCTTTAGGTTTGACATCCACAATCACCAAAACAGGGTTAGGAGTATATCTTTTAAACAGTTCATTGATTTCCAAATCGCAGGAGCGTAACTTGGGTCCACTGTGATACCATCCAATCATCTTTTCCTTGGCTATCATATATATATATATATAAAAGTATAAGTATTGTAATCATCATTTCATCGTCTTGACATAATTATTTTCAATTTACCATTGACTTTTTTAAACATATCGTTCATTGCTTCCACATAATTATGATCCAAGAACCAGACAGAAGGATCCTTTTCATCTTCTTCAAAAGGTACTATATAAAAAAAATATAATTTATATATAATTCATTTGTTAATTTCCTTTCTTTTCTTACCAGCAAAACTATTTGCGACATTGACGATCTTTCCTTTTTGTTGTCCGAGAAGTACACCTACAACACGTTTTGGGGTATCTTTGGCCACACGATTGTAATGATCAGTTGCAGATAGAAGAACTAAAGGATGAATATGTACTGTAGTTGCGGTAGATACGGATGTTGTAGAAGGCATGATGATAATATATAATAGACAATTAAGTTAAAAAGTATAAAATAATAAAGAAAAAAAAAACACTGTTGCCGCGCGTCCATTTTTTTTTTTTCTTTCCTTTTCAACTGAGATTGAAATTGGACGACTTCATCTCTCCAAAAGACAACTATCATACTAAGGTTTTCCAGTAACGGCTTTATTTATTTTATTTAACATTATTTTGATACAAGAATATAGAACTATAATTTTTTTTTTCCAGTTATCATCATTATAATAATCTATTTTGGTGTTGTTTATACATGATAGTGTTTATTATGAAATGATATAGGTACATCCAATATGAATACATTCCAACAACTCCGAAAGAACATCTTCCATCTAAAGACATTAGTGATAACCGTCGAAACGTAAATTTCTATAGCCAAAGACCATTTGATTTATGATGATCACACTGAATATCAAAAATTCCCGTCAAGAATGTTCATGATGATTACAATATACTTGTTAGTTCTTTTATTTTATTTTATTTTTTTTTTATTTTATTTTTCTTTTCTTTTCAATTTTTCTTTTTTTTTTTTTAATCTGTATTTCAGATGCGAATCTTTCTCTCTTTACCAGTATATACTTTCGGAATAAGTTTATTTTTATTTTTCATAGCAATTGATGCACAAAAAGGTATATATCGTATATATATATATTTTACATTTCAACTTACTTTATTTATTCTATCAGGAAATAAGAATAGATTCAATTCATTTGCTCCTATTAGAAGTAATACCAGTGTCAGTTGGCTTATAGATGGTCAAGGTACTGTTATTATTACTTTTTTTTAATTCGAAAACAACTTAAAATTCAACTTTTTTTTTATATATAGATTATTTCGAAGCAGTGATCAATGGAATTTCATCAGCTCAATCATTTATGTATATTTCTTCCTGGTGGTTAACTCCAAAATTGGTAATAATAAATTCTAATAAAAATCTGATCATTAATCCTTTCTTTTTTTTTGATAGTATTTACGAAGGCCAGCAAATGAAGATAATAATCGACAATATCAATTAGATCTATTATTGAAGAAAAAAGCACGAGAAGGTGTGGATATCTTTGTGATTCTTTATAAAGATCTTCATGGAATGGGATCTGAATACACCTTTAAAATTTTGACCGCACTTAGTCCTCGGATTCATGGTAATTAAAAAAAAAAAATTAAATCCAATCTTGATTTTCTTTTTTTCTTTCCTCTTTCTTTCTCTTCTTTTCGATACAACCTATAATATCTTTCCTCTGATTCCTTTTTTTATTTATTTTTTTTTTATAATAGTCATCCGTTGTCCAGACGTACCTCTTTTATGGTCATATCATGAAGTAAATAAGTTATACTCAAATCATATATAGAAATGGTGCATATTCTTTCGCTAATCACTTTTTAAATATAACGATTCTAATTAAATAGAAATACTTGATTATTGATGGCAAACGTTCCTTTGTTGGCGGCTTCGACTTATCTTTTGCGTAAGACTAAAGAAAAAAAAATATACTACACACAATGTCATAATTGATAAATCAATCTTACCCTTTCCTTTTTTTTTTTTTTTTTTTTTTTTTTACTCCTTCTATCTATAGTCGGTATGATACTGTCGACCATGTTTTATCTGACTATCCATCAACAAACCGCCCTAGTGAAATGTTTCCAGGACAAGACTATAACAACCCTCGTGTTCGCGACTTTCAACGAGGTAATCTATATTAATACTAATAATTAAATATCATCAACTTTATCTAACACATTCAAACATTTATATATTTTCAGTTTCACATGCTGGAGAGACATTGGTCGACCGTACAGTGATTCCACGTATGCCTTGGCACGATATATCAATGTTTATGGTAAGATATATCTACATATATTTTACTATCTCAAAATATTTGACATACGTTATCGTCTTTATATTTTGGTTTCGTTGTATGACATAGGAAGGTGGTGTCACAATTGATCTCATTCATCAATTTGAAGTACGATGGAACTATTTACGAAATCTCAAGATGCTTAAAGGACTCAAACTTCCTGCTTTGCCTTTAGAAAGAATAGTGGCAGTCAATCATCTTTCCAACAATAGTAACAGCATAAACAACGATTTTGGGGGAACTAATCAAGTACAAGTAGTGAGAAGCGCAAGTAATTGGAACACAGATGTTAGTCATGAAAAATCGATCTATCAAGCCTATTTAGACCTTATTGCCGAAGCACAACATTATATTTACATTGAAAATCAATACTTTAGTAAGTCTTACCATAGTCATGACATTTATCTGACTCAATTTTTTTTTTTTTTTGTTTTCAATAGTCAGTAGTGTGGATCAAGATAATATGATATTGAACAAGGTTGGAAAGGCATTGGTGGAAAGAATCAAGTTGGCACATTTAAAAGGGGAAAATTTTAGAGTCATTGTAGTCTTACCACTTCTTCCTGGATTCCAGGGTGATTTGACTTCTTTTGAAAGCAGTGCAGTAAGGTATATATATTTTGGAATGATCTGATAGGATGACTTGTATTTGACAATTTTTTTTTCTTTAGATCCATCATGCATTTACAATATATTTCTATATCTCGAGGTGAAGATTCTATCAATAAAAGGCTCGAACAAGCTGGTATCAACCCTTCTGATTATATTGAATGGTACTCACTTCGAAATTATGACAAAATCATCCCACCATTGAAAAAATCTCGACTAGCACATTTATCATCCATGATATTCCGTCATCGCCATAGACACCAACTACAGCAAAACAGGGATATTGACTATTTCGTTTCAGAAATGATATATATACATAGCAAGGTTGTTATAGTCGATGATAAAAGAGCATTAATTGGATCAGGTAAAAGAAAAAAGCAAACATGGCGAAATAAATTGTTGCTGATCAATCGTTCTTTATTTATCTTATTAGCCAACGTGAATGACAGATCACTTCTTGGAGATCGTGATGCAGAAGTTGCTGTCATCGTTGAAGATACAGAATATGTACCATCTTTTATGAATGGAAAAAAGGTAATTAATAAAAAGAAAAAAAAAGAATTAAGATAGGTATCACTCATTTTTTTTTTTTTATTTTTATGATATGAACTTACAGTACGAAGCAGGAAAAAGTATTTTGGACCTCAGATTACGGATATGGAAAGAACATTTGGGTTTGTTAGAAGTAGAAGATTGGGAAGATTTATCATTACCAGGATTGGAACAAGATGATTCGGAAATGGCGGAACGACAGGTCATGGATCCTCTCTCAGACATCATGTATCAAATACTTTGGAGGAACAAGGCAAAGAGAAACACATTGATCTATCGTGACGTTTTCCATTGCGTACCTGATGATACCATTTTTACATACGATCAACACACAGCATTTGTACCTGACAGCAAAAGGATTCCTTATGGTCATGCACCAGGATTCAACAATACGCCAAGTGATAATAATGCAACAACTATTCAAGCAAAATTGGATAAGATTCGTGGTCATCTTGTACAATTTCCTTTGGATTACCTCAATCAATCAGATATTATCACAAGAAATGTTTGGGAAATGGTCACTCCTCTTGTTATCTTTACTTGATCATCTTTTATTTTTTATTTTTTATTTTTTTTTATTTGATTTAGAATATCGATTTCTAGCTTTAGTTTATCATTCATCATTTTAGCATTTTTATATTTATCTTTATCACTAACCCATCATCATCTTTGAATAAAGTTTACAAATTGAATCACTATATATTGAATCCCATTTTATATAGAAATCAGAATGTATTGCAAGTCCTTTTGAGTGTCATTAATAGGAATATAAAATAAACCAGTTTTTGTACTATAACTCAAAATGGTAACTTGAAATTTTTTTAAGGAAAACACAGCAGATCGATGCCCGGATATATAAATAGGCAAGGTAAAAATGAATTGGGAAAAAATCTGACAAGCGCTCTCATGTGCTTATAGATGACTTTACACTTTATTTTTTTTTTATTTCCTCTCAAAATTATACTCATATCATTAAAGTATTGACTATTTTTTTTTTTTTTTGTATTTTGTCTTTTCATCCTCATATTCTGGACCTCTTAGATGATCATTTGTTGTTATGGCATGTTTTACTTTGGTTGGTTGGTTTTATCATCTTAAAAAAAAAAAAAAAAAAGAGGGGAAAAAAAGTTCTGGGTTCGTATGTCCAAAGCCCGTCCACCGTGGGAAACTGTTTTCTATAGCTTAAAATGATACTTTTTTTTCTCCACAGACGCGAATTTTTTTTTCTTTTTTTTTTTTTTTTTTCTCATCAAAAACTTGACTTCATCAACAAACATATACAATGAACTTTACTAGACTTGCCTATAAGCTTCCTCAAGTAGCACGTGCTTCTACTTCCCTTTTGACTCGTCAAGCTCCTCTTCGGTAAACTAGAAATAGTAATAAAAAAAAGGGGGGAAGATGACTTTAAATTAAGACAACTTTTTTTATTATTAGTCATTATTCTATGAAGTATGCTGTTCCTACTGTTTGCGAATCTCCCTCTTCTCTTTATTCTTTTACTGAAGAAGAATTGATGTTCAAGGATACTGGTAAGAATGAACAGAAAAAAAACTCGATGTTCTGTACTCACGCTTTTTTTTTTTTGTTTGGTTTTAAATAGTTGGTCGTTTTGCTCGTGAAGTGGTTCAACCTCGTGTCCAAGCCATGGATGAAGCTGAAGTAATGGATAAAGATATCATTGACTCTATGTTTGAAAATGGGGTAAGCAAAGAATATGAGAGATAATACTAATAACAATCGGATCACACTGACACACACCCCTTTTTTTAAAAAATGATCTCTTACTAGTTGATGGGTCTTGAAACTGAAAGTGATTTTGGTGGTGCTGAATGTTCTTTCACTGCTGCTATTTTGGCTGTTGAAGGTAAACTAAAAGTTGTTGATGATAATGTTTGCATTTGTTCAAACTCATCCTTTTTTTTTTCTTTTTTAAATTCACAAATAGAACTTGCCAAGGTTGATCCTTCTATCAGTGCTTTGTGTGATATTCACGTAAGTTAGACAATGATCTTATTTGAACCCAATCTCATCTCTTTTATATATCCATACATATATAGAATACTTTGACCAATACTGTTATTCGGAAGTGGGCTAATAAAGATCTCAAGGAAAAGTACTTGACTCGTCTTGCAACTGATACTGTCGGTAGTTTCTGTATCTCTGAAGCAGGTGCTGGTAGTGATGCCTTTGCTCTTCAAACTCGTGCAGAAGATAAGGGTGATCATTATGTTATCAATGGTGGTAAGATGTGGATTTCCAATTCCGGTGAAGCTGACATCTTTGTCATCTTTGCTAATGTGTAAGTAGAAAAAGAGGAGATCGGAGATGTTACAATGTAAAAAACGATGTAGACTAATCATTTATGTTCCTTTTTTGGATACTTTCTTATAGCGATCCTTCCAAGGGTTACAAGGGTATCACTGCCTTTATTGTCGAAAAAGAATGGGGTGTTCAAATCGCCAAGAAAGAAAAGAAGGTAACTTTTTTTTCTTTTCTTTTCTTTTTTTTTTTGGAAAATATACTGTTGTACTAAGACGTGCCCTTTTTCTTGATAGTTGGGTATTCGTGCTTCTTCTACTTGTGTCTTGAACTTTGATGATATCAAGGTTCCCAAAGAAAATGTTCTCGGTACCATTGGTGATGGTTATAAATATGCTATCGACTCTTTGAATGAAGGTATAATATAAAGCTAGTATATGAAATATTTGGATGATCAACTCAATTCCTCTTTTTTTTTTAAAAAAATAAATAAATAAAACGCTTGACATTGTTTGATAGGTCGTATTGGTATTGCTGCTCAAATGATTGGTTGTGCTCAAGGTGCCTTTGACATTGCTGCTACTTATGCTCATGAACGTAAGCAATTTGGTAAGCCTATCGCAAGCTTCCAAGCTATGCAACACCAATTCGCTCAAGTCGCTGTGGAAATTGAAGCTGCTCGTTTGATGACCTACAATGCTGCTCGTCTCAAGGAAGAAGGTAAACCTTTCGTTATGGAAGCTGCCATGTGTAAGCTTAAGGCTACTCGTGTTGCTGAAATGGCTACAAGCTACGCTGTTGAATGGATGGGAGGCAATGGTTTTGTCCGTGAAACTGGTGTCGAAAAATTCTACAGAGATAGTAAGATTGGTTCTATCTATGAAGGTAAACAAAGAAAAGAAGAAAAAAAAGAGGGAGAGGAAGATAAGAATAAATTAGATCAAAGATACTCATTTTTTGATAATGATAGGTACCAACAATATGCAATTGGAAACCATCGCCAAGATTCTTTTGCCCAAGTACAAATAGATTCGTCGATAGGATGATGGATGTTTAGGATGATCGTGTAGATAGTATCACATTTTTTTTTAGTGTCGTTATTTTTTTGTCATTTGAAATAAAAATACATATGTAGAAACAGATGAAATGAATATTTTGAATTGTTATTTGATATTATTTTCCATCACATGGCTCTCTTTTCTTGTCACTTATATATATTTGATTTTATATTACTTCCAATAGATTTTCTTAGTGATTTCTATAATAGTTTATGGGAATCAATGATTTGTAATGATCAAGGTTATTTTATGAGTGAATGCTTTATTTCATAGATAATCAATGCAAGGATTACTTCTGCTTGAATCTTTTTTTTTTATTATTATTATTTCGGATATCAGCATATAATAAAGCACTAGAATATGATGATGATGATTATACCAATAGCGATGATTGTCTTACTAGTGAACAACAGTGTAAGATTAACAAGTATGATTGCAAGTTTTTTTAGCTATTAAAAAAATAAAAAAGAATAGACTAATAAAAAAAACGATGATAAAATAATATTCTTTATTTTTTATTAGTTACACTACCCAAGGACAATGATAGTAATACCAATAATAATCGTAATAATAAAAATATGTCTAAACTACATAATAAAAAGAGGATCTCTGTCTACTTTACTCACTATCACTTCTACATCATCGGTTGCCAATGCCTTTTCTAGAGCAGGTTTCAAATTTGCTGTCAAATATCCTCTTTCAGTATTTGAATGTTCACCTAATATAAAAAAGAGAGTAGATTCAATGAAATAGAATCAAAAGAGACATAAATAATTCAACAAATACAACTTACAAAGAATCACACTAGTATTGTTAGCCAGAGCTGCTAATACATCATGATGACCCATTTCCCCTGTAAGATACAAATCAGCCTGAGTAGGGCCCAAAACGGATGATCCTGATCCTGCACAAATAGCCACTGTTTTGATCAAATTGCTACTCATGTTACATGGATTTTGAGTAGCCACACGTACTATGATGAAGAAAGAAAGAAAGAAAAAAAAATAGTCAACAGAGAGAAAAAGATGGATTTTTCTTCACAACTTACAGTATTGTAATTTAGTCAATTTTTTCACATGTTCTACTACTTGAGATAGAGGAATAGCTTCATCATAGGTAAAATAACGACCAGTACCAGCATTGGGATGACCTACACCAGGAAGAGAAAAATTAGTTAATATATATTGTCTACCATTGTAAGTCATACCTTCAGGTGGATTATCAAATGGAGTGATAGGTTTGATAGATCCTTTTCCTAAACCGCTAGCTAACCAATCGTTCACTAGAATAATAATAATAGTAATCATAGCTTGATTTTAGTAAGATAATTCTTTCCTTTTTATTGCGGTTTTACTTGCCTCCATTTTCGCAATTATCACAAGCAGTATGAGGAGAATAGATACCAACTCCTTTAGCCACAGCTTTCATAACCATATCTTGTTTGGGATCAGAAGTCGTAAGTCTCTTCATAGATCTGAATATGGGTGGATGGTAAGCCACAATAGCACCTACCTAATATTACATTTAAGTATAACCAATACTTTTTTTTTGAATAGTTTTACTTACAGCAGGATCACTTAAAGCTTCTTCTAATACTTGAGGAGTCAAATCAATAGTTAAAAAAACACGATTAGTATTCTTGGCTGGATAAGGTGGTTCTATAACAAGCAAAATATATTTGTACATAGGAAAAAAAAAAAAAAAAAAAGAAAGGTTAGTCAAGATGTTCTACTTTAGGATAGTCAAATAGAAGAATATGTTTTCTTTTACCAACAAGAACACCCACATTATCCCAAGTCAAATCAGCAAGTTCAAGAGGCGCAATGGTGCGCATGGCACGCGTGACTTTAGAGAAGAGGGACATGAGGTATATGAAAAAAAAAGAGAGAGAAAAAGAAGGAAAAGGTGAGAAACTTAATGCTTTGAATTTCCCACTTTTTCTTTTTTGTCATTTGCAGATTTTTTCATTTTCCGCCTTCAACGGGTACGTTTTTATTTCTTTTTTGTTTCTTTTGTATTTTTTCTTTTTCCCTTCCTGTATCAATATTATGTATTTACCAACCGTTATATTCTTACTTGTACTTATAACAGAATCCATCTTATTCCTTGGTTATTCTTATGTCACATCAGCAGTAAGTAAATTTAATAGACATTCTTTTTTTTTCCTATACTTACTTTTTAAAATATTTACAAATATAGGCTCATGATTTGTATTTGAAACTCTCCAAGGATCCTCGTGTAGCAAAACAAGAAAAATTAAAACGCGATTTGTTAAAAATGAAGAACGAATTAGCTGCAACTAGTTCACAGGTAAGAAAGTAAGAGTTTTAGTGTTATGATGAACAAAATAAATAGATCGATATTAGAAAGACATCTCTAACAATATTTATATATTATTATAGGATGAATTTGCAAAATGGGCAAAGATGCGTCGAAGGTTAGATAAAGGAATGGCAGATTTGGAAAAACTAAGTAAGTTATTCAATAACTGTGTTAGCAAATGACTAATTGTTTTTTTTTTCATATATGATGTAGACTCTGATATCGCGTTTTCTAAGACTGGTTTTGAACTGAAATTAAAGTCAATTTTATGGTTTCTTATTCATGGTTCTCAAGTACTTATGGTTCTTTGGTTTAGAAAAACACCTGTATTCTATTTACCTCCTGGATGGTTTGGACCTGCTCAACGATTATTATGTTTACCTTTCTCACCGCTGGGTAAAAATTGAAAATGGAGAACAATATATTGAGCTCTCTTTTTTTTTTTTTTTTTTTAACGTATCATTTTTTTTTCTTTCTATCGTTATATAGGTTCGGTGAGCGTTGCTGTTTGGTTTGCTGCCTGTCGTCGTATGATCAAAGCTGTTGCTCTCACTGCCAATGATTTTATATTTACAAAACATTCTGAACCTACTATCTCTCCCTCTCCAACTCAATCTACTTCATAGTATACATAGTTTTTGTTCCTTTCTTCTTCTCTTTAACTTATTAAAAAAAAATAATAATAAAAAATGAGTCAGGCGGAACTCTAATGCCGCTTTGGTCATTCCGTTCCGTTTCTCCCGAAGAAATAAAAAATTACCTTTTCATATATTTTTTTTTCTTTCTTTCTTCCTTTCTTCTTTTTGTTCATTCTTTCCTTTTTTTTTTTTCTCTTTTTCTTTTCCTTTTTATACCAATTCTTTTCTTTATTATTTTTTTTTATCTATTATCCTTCTATTCTTTTGTATCTTCATATATCTGCTTTTGACATCTATTGTGTTTATACCAATCTTCAAATTATACTTCAAAAAGAAATGTCATTTCGTTTCAATTGGCCAAACTTTGACGATAAGTTTTATATCGAAGCGAAAGATCAACTGGAAATAGCATTGAACAAAGAACAAAAGTCAAAACATATTGCTGATCATATATTTGTAAAAGAATTGAACATGGGATCTATGGTATGTAGAAAAAGGATCTATCTTGGATATTTTTCCCCGATATGGTTGAAACTAACTTTTATATATATATATATATTTTAGCCACCAGAACTGGAAATATTGGAAATATGTGAACTTACCACTGATTATTTTCGCGGTATATTTAAACTTACGTATCACGGTGACTCTTTTATCGAATTACAAACAAAAGTTCAAGTATGTTACAAACTTAAAAATTCATTCCTTATTAATATATTCATTTATTATTATTATTATTATTATTATAGGCGAATCCTCTACATAAACCAATACAACAAGAAACATTTTATCCTTTATCAAGATATGGTCGATCAAGTATTGTTGCTGCTGATCAACCTTTAGTAATACCCATGCTATTACGTATCAGTGATGTTCAACTCAACGGTATCCTTGTGTTGGCTATGTCAAAGACAAAAGGTATTACTCTGGTCTTCAAAAATGATCCTTTACAAAGCTTATGTGTCAGCTCCACTTTTGATATTGTCTCCAGTATCAAATCCTTTTTACAACAACAAATTGAAACAAAATTACGCGTTTTTCTTCAAGATACGTTACCTCTTGTTGTCCATGACTATAGTCTCCGCCACATCAATGATGCACCAGCAACAAAAACACCGATACTATCCTCCAAATCTTCGTCTGTTTATACCTGTGGAACGATATCATCAACAAAGCAGCATCCATATTATCTTAGTGAAGAGAATATTATGCAACAGCCTATCTCTTACACCAACGAGGATAATACCGGCGACTTACTTACTGTACCGGGTCTCATCTCATCGACATCAGCATTATCAGCGACTAAATGCTATTCTGATACATCATCTGTTAGTCTTTCGTCATATTTCAGTGGTGATGATGACAGCTCCATACGTACACCTCTTTCCGCAACACTCGACCATAGTATATTCAATGATATCACTGATTTGTATGACTTTGACAGTGGCAACTCCTTTTATTCGACACAACATCATTTTCCAAACATCAACAAAACAGACAGCGATATACCTGTAAACTTTTCTGCAAGTGATAATCAGATAGGAAGGAATGATCAAAATAATCAGCAAGACGATAACCTTCATCCCTCTTATGCTAACAACTGGCGTAATCATAGTAGTTCAAGAGCAACATTATACCCAACATCAACGCAATCGATCTCTCCAACTATCTTTTTTAGTCAACCAATCACAATACAACCAAATCAACCACATAATTTATTACAGAAGATGACAGATTTATCGATATCATCACATTCATTATCAGTGGTTTGCAAGAACAGTCATTTCAACAACACCATCGTGGAATGTTTAGTACACAAGACTAGCATCATCAACAACAGCAACAACAATAAAGGCTTTCCTTCTCGGTATTCAAGACACAGAATCAAAATTCCAAAAAGAAGAATCATCCGTTGGAATGCTTGATTTTACATTTAGATTAGCTAGTTTTCTTATTTTGACTTATTTTGATATTTATTCAATTTATTCCTTACTCCATCATTATCTTTTTTTTTTTTTTTGTAATATAGATTCCCCTCTCTCTCTCTCTTCAGTTGTATATCAAAAGAAATAATAATAAAAAAAGTTTTTTCCTCTACAATCTTTTCTCCTTTGATTATTCAACCATGTATATAGTAGATAGTATTTTAAACCCGAATTTTTTTTTATTCAGTAAAGGTACACGAATATAGGCAATCCAAACAGTAAGCTAAACTAACACAAAATATATATATCCATCATGGATAAGAGTCTTGGTATCAGAAAGTGCTTCATTGTCCGAATCCCATTGATATTTTGAAGTTTTGTTGATCCTGCCTATTTTGTCCATTGTGAGCCTTGTACATCCCATTCTGTCCATCAACAAATTAAAAAAATCAAATTTGTTTCCATACCTTCATATCAATCACTTTTTTTTTCTCTTTTCTTACCTGTGATATTAATATATTAGCTCGTGTTCCAATCATCTGTAGTGCCCACCTATTCTAAACTGAAAATAAAACAAGTATTAATCATCAAACATTATCTTTGTATTTTCTTTAGCTTATCCGTCATGATTTTGTTTTTTTTTTCTCTCTCTCTCCCTCTTTCTTTCTCTTTCTTTTACCATTATCACTCCACTGAAGCAACTTGTTGTTCTTGCCAAAAAGCATAGCTAAAAAATAAAGTCTTTCAACATAAAGAAAACGAGTGCGGTACATTCACATACATGCATATAGAAGAATAGTCCAGGTTGGTTTCACTATGAAGTGTGTAGAAGGTAAGAACACTAATACCAGCATCGTGTAGATTGTATTTTGAAAAAGAAAAAAAAAAAGGAACAAAAAAAAAAAAAAAAAAAAAAAAAAAAAAAAAAAAAAAAAAGAGGGCGAAATATAAAAAAAAAAAAAAATGAACCAATCGGAAGTGCCCCTGTGTTCTATGTGTTTGAGAAGGCGAAATGATTTGATTCATGCAAGGGATATATTTGTAATATTTCATCTGAATGAAACGATTTATCATAATACATAGGAATATAAAATATATACAGTCATAGAAATAAATAATCTAGATGGAAGGGGAGTTCTGTATGTATAAAATAATTAGATAGATTAAAAAAGATAGTACAGAGTCAACCAGTAATATTCCCCCTCTCCCAATATGTAATAGGAACTAAAAGAAAGGACCATATGGTTGATCATCATGCATGGATTCATCGATCGATAAAAAGCCTGATTCTTGGATATAGTAAAAAGAGAGAGAAAGAAATTCATTTGACAAGGAAACATACTTCTTGAATAGCTTCACTTGGGATGCTTATGGTAGATGTAGGTTGACTCTTCAGTGAAGTTAACAATGTGATGGTAGTGGTATTATGTTTATGTCTGTATTTACGAGCCTGTAAATGGATGATACCTAAAAAAAAGAAAAAATTAGCTTATCTTCCAAAAAAAAAAAAAAAAAAAAAAAAAAAAAAAAGGATTACCATAAAACCAATAAAGATGTAATGGCAAAATGGCCAAAGCAATGCACCATAGAGATCTAACATGATGATGATGTTTGAGCAAACGAATCATGACGGTATGAAGAACTAAACGGAGACAAAAGAAAGTGAAGGCAAACAAACGATCAGATCGCCAAGGTGGATGAATAGAGCCAAGAGCCAAGATCAAGGTGGGTACTTCAAGTACAGATGCAGCGACAAAGAAAGAAGGAATACGACATTTCAAGAACCAAGTCAATAGAACAAGATAAACACTATGATGCAAGTAACCAGTCACCCAATTGATCCTTTGTCGATAATAACGTCTTCCCAAACCAAGATCCATGGCAAGATAAACCTGGAAGAAACAAACCAAGGCGATATCCTGTTGAGTGTTTAAAGTAAGCCAATGCATATCATATCCACTTTGCCAAAAATGATAAAGATTGGGTAATGAACAAAAAGAACAAATCAAACTGCTTGTAAAGGTCAACACCCAACTTAATTGCTTTTCAGTGGTAACGATATGTTGTTTGGATACAAAGAAACATGATCCAAGGAAAATCATACTGATGCCATAGTAGTATACAAGCATGATTATCCGGTCGTTTGTAAATATTATGTAAAAAAAAAAAAAAAAAAAAAAAAAAAAAAAAAAAGAAAAAAGAAAAAGAAAAAGAAAAAAATATGCATCATCATTGAATTTTATGGTTTAAAACGATTATCCTGATCGTAAAAAAAAAAAAAAGCAGATCAGGGGAATAAAGTTCAAGCAACTAACAAAGGAGTTTCTAGATCACTCACCTCGGGAACCTCTTTTGATTGGATACTTGCATGAATCGACGGTAGACGGGATTACTTCAACGTGCACATATCATCTGGTAATCTCAATTAATCAATAAGAATCACATTTGCTGTCTCATGTCTTTATCACTTTGATGATCTTCTTTTACTAGATACTTTTTTTGCTAAATTGAACTTCTTTAACTTTGTAATGATACTGTATAATAAAGGGTGGGTAGTTCCAATAAAAAAAAACCATGGCTGGGGTTGAATGTCATAGTCAATAGTCACTGAAAATTTTTCTTGGACTGTCTAAACTAATCATAATAAAAGGTTCAAAAAAAAAAAAGAGTTTTTTTTTTCTATTTCTTTTCTTTTCTTTTATTTTTTTATTTGAAACTTTCAAGAGAACATGAACAGGTAAAGTCATCCTTATATATCTTTAATATGTGTTTATGTGTAATGAGTGTCAATGATGATAAATATGTCTCGATATATTTTTATCCCTGAATTACCCTTATGTTGCCCATTGACATTATAAGTTTTCAGCCTTGTCTGAGACACTCATATATAAACACATAAAAAAAAAGAAACTTGAAACTGGTTAGTTTGAAATGATTTTCTAATTATTTTTATATCTATATATATAGTTTGAATGGTTTATATTTATAAACTTGAAAAATGATTTGATGGACTCTTGGATAAATATATTATTATTATTATGTAGAAGGTAAGAGAAAAGATTTTAAAATAAAAAAGGGATGGGTGATCTTAATGATGATACCAGTTGACGGGCGGACGGACTCGTGCACTGTACAAGCACATTATAGAATGTCGAATGTCACAGTTGCTGAAAGATCACTTATCAAAATTCAAATAATATAGATTAAATGTTTATACTAAAATCATTCATTATTATTATTTTAGATGAATAGGACATGATTATTCAATAGGCTTAGAGTAGTATTAGATAGTTATGATCTCAGATAGTTTTATTACATATATTCAATAAAAATATTGTTTTTATCAAAAGACTTTTTTTTTATATTTTTAACATTGACCATCAAATTAGATTGTGATGGTTTGTCACCCCCAATCTTTACCATCTCTCTTTTTTTTTTTTGTTTGATGTTTCGGACTTTGACAATTCTCCATCCTAGGAACGCGACATTTTCAAAGGATTTGATAGATGGAAGATGGTGTGATTGTGCAATGATTGGATGAAATTTCCCATCAAAAATTTTCATTGGGTAAAGTGGAGATTTTCAGGTGGCTGGGGTGCACTCATTTCTCTTCCTCCCCTTCGACTCAAAAAGTCTCTGTCTCACAATATAAGAGACCCAAATAAATTTTTTTTTTGTTGCCGACTTTTCTCCTTTTTTTCTCTCTTTCTTTACCCTTTTTTTTTTTTCCTTTTGAAAAAACACATATACACGAATCACCATCATGAGCGAAACTTTCCTCTTTACTTCTGAATCTGTTGGTGAAGGTCACCCTGGTAAGTGAATAATATACCTTTTTTTTTTATTCTTGTTATTTATGGTTCTTTGTTGAACTCGAAATAATATATAATATTGATACTCATCATCCTCTTTTTTTTTTTTTTTTTTTGTATATATAGACAAGATCTGTGATCAAGTGTCTGATGCTATTTTGGATGCCTGTTTGGCTCAAGATCCTTTGTCCAAGGTTGCTTGCGAAACTGCTGCCAAGACTGGTATGATTATGGTATTCGGTGAAATCACCACCAAGGCCAACCTCGACTATCAAAAGATTATCCGTAATGCCATCAAGCAAATTGGTTATGACTCTTCCGATAAGGGTTTCGACTACAAGACTTGTAATGTGTTGGTTGCTATTGAACAACAATCTCCTGATATCTCTCAAGGTTTGGTTCAAAAGTCTTTCAACATTGAAGATATTGGTGCTGGTGATCAAGGTATTGTGTTTGGTTATGCTACTGATGAAACTCCCGAAATGATGCCCTTGACTGTCGTTCTTTCCCACAAATTGAACCGTCGTATGGCTGATCTTCGTCGTGATGGTACTCTCTCCTGGTTACGCCCTGATTCCAAGACTCAAGTGACTATTGAATACAAGAAGGAAAATGGTGCCATGGTCCCCTTACGTGTTGATACTATTGTCATCTCTGTTCAACATGCTGAAGATATCTCCACTGAAGATTTGCGCAAGGCTTTGATGGAACATGTTGTCAAGCCCGTTGTCCCTGCTCATTTGTTGAATGAAAACACTATCTACCATTTGCAACCTTCTGGCAAGTTCATTATTGGTGGACCTCAAGGTGATGCTGGTTTGACTGGTCGTAAGATTATTGTTGATACCTATGGTGGTTGGGGTGCTCATGGTGGTGGTGCTTTCTCTGGTAAGGATTGGTCCAAGGTCGATCGTTCCGGTGCTTATGCTGCTCGTTGGGTCGCCAAGTCTTTGATTAACGCCAAGTTGTGTCGTCGTGCTCTTGTTCAATTTTCTTATGCTATTGGTGTGGCCGAACCTCTCTCTGTCTTTGTTGATACCTACGGTACCTCCACTCGCTCTGAATCCGAAATCCTCGAAATCATCAAGAACAACTTTGATTTACGTCCTGGTGTCATCGTCAAGGAATTGGATCTCTTCCAACCCATTTATCAAAAGACTGCTGCTTATGGTCACTTCGGTCGTGAAGAATTCACCTGGGATCAACCTAAGGAACTCAAGTTCTAAATTGCTGATTTTTTTTTATATTATTAGTATTACCTTTTTTGTTTGATTCATGTTTTCAACAAACTATTTCCATCTTTCCCTTTGTTTATCAATCTCATCTCTTTCGTCATTTAGTATTATTATGATATCACTCTCACTTTTCTCTCTATTTACTTCATTTGTCATTCTTCTTTTTTTTTTTATATACTTTTTTTTCTTATATTATTTTGCATCATTGATTTTTGTTAGATAATTTAATTCCTTTCTCTTATACATATTTTGTATCTTTTTGACGTTCAACATCGTCAGCCGACAGTGTCCCGGTTGCAGGACAAGAATTATCACTATTTATATTTTAATAAACAATTTTTTTTTTTTTCAATATTGAACTTTTGATGACTTTTATATGATGATTATTTTTAAATATAATAATTGATTGTATGTATGATCAATTTTATTAATCAAAAAAAAAAAAAAAAGATGATATGAATGGTATATGGATGTAAGGGGGGAAAAAAGTCTAAATTACATGTTCTATTCTAATCCAAGTCAAGATCCAGAACAGGTCCTGTTGAATGTTGCTTTTTACGACCATGACGCGCCACCATTTCAGCAATAAGGGTAATAGAATCAGATCCCACGGTATAATAATAATCGTTTTTCTTGGGATCAAAAATACTTGTATGAGCAATGATTTCGGATTCGACTTTGGTGACCATGGGTATAAACACATACATTGTATCAGCTGGTGGTAATGCAATAAACGTTCTGTTTGTTGTACCCTCAGATGGTATCTATTTCCACAAAAAGAAAAAAAAAAAGTTACAATGACCGTGGTAAAAATTTGAATAATAACTCTTTCCTTTTGAAACGAATGTTTTCCCGATTTTTCCGATCCTTATTTTTTTTTATATACTTAAAACTTGTTTGTTACCTGTATGTAAAAGCATCGTACAAAAATATCCGGAACTTCAAGTAAAGCATTCATCCTAATTGAGAAACAATAAATAAACATTATACTTTCTTTATTTTTTCCTGATTTTACCTTTTATGACATCCATTTCTATCCATCAATGCACTAACGAATTCCAATTGGTCATATGCATCAGACACTGTGGATGCAATCTTATCACGAGTCAAATAAGCACCTACTGCAGCTACACCAACCGCACCAACAGCTCCAGCAAAGAGACCCCATTTTTTTGTACTAGATGATGACTGAGAAGTCGTGATTGATGATGTTGTATCCCAAGTCAATGATAATGGAGATGATGATGATGTTGATCTACTGTTGTTACTGGAAGATAATAAGGAAGAAGGAATATATCGAGAGTATTTGTCCACCTGAGATAATGCAGCAGAAGATAAAGAGTCTTGATTTACGGAATAAAAAGGAGTATCATATGCCAATAAACCAATGATAGAGGCACTACCTAAAGGATTATCATGACGTCTTCCATCAAAAAGGAGAATGGTTTCAGCGCCTATTTATAAATCATATTATTTTTTTCATTTTATTAGTATTTATCGTTATTTTATTCTTCTTTGATTTTTTTTTCTTTTTTTTTTTTTTTTTTTTACCAACAATTCCACCCATAGAATGTCCTAATAATATGATATCCAAATTTTCCTTATTTTTGGTTTGATCAATGAGCCAGGCACTAAAGTTTCGTACAGCCAAAGATAGATCTCTAAGATAAAAAAAAAAAAAAAAAAAAGTTAAATGTCATTCTATTATAGTCATCGGAAAACTTACCCTGTTGTTTTGTAACTAGGATAGACTATTGTTTCTACATCCATATTCATAGTATCATGAAGAGATGTTTTGAGCCAGTTTGGAAAATCCTAACATGAAATAGATAAAGTTATTAAGACCAACTTCTAAATTGGTATTGAAGTTATTACCTTGAAACTTGTATCACTACCTCGAAAACCATGGATAAAAACAAGAAGTAGTTTATTGGTCATTCCTATTTGTATGTTGAAGCCAAAAAAAAAAAAAAAAAAAAAAAAAAAAAAAGAGGCAGAGGGAGAAAAGTAAAAAAATCAAGGCAACAGACCAAAAAAAAAAAGTAAATTTTTAAACTCAATTTGGTAAGAAGAGCAAAACTCGGTTTCTTAAGCATTTGACATAAAGAAGAAAAAGTGATCAGAAGCACTGACCATTCATTATACTTGATATACATAATCAGTAATTAACTAAGAACAGTTTAACTAGACATACAAATTCTTATGAGACAAAAACAAAAAGTCAGACCACTTTATTAGTGTTGATGATAGACAAAAATAGAAAATAAAAGTTGACACTTGTCTCAGAAAAATCAATGGGGCAAAGACCGGGCATTTAAAATGCAATCATTGCCCTTTTTTTCTTTTCCTTTTTTTTTTTTTTTTTTTTTTCTTTAGAGTTTAGATTTTTCTTAGTAGCACGTGGAAAGATGATTTTGTCAGGTATAAAACCACAGTAATCTATTTGTCACCTTTTTTTTTCCCCACAATTTTTTTTTCTTACTCATTTTTTTTTCTATCACAACGATATTAACAATATGATAGAAACCATCTCAACAACAACAACAGTAAAAGATCCATTTCGTTTCCATGTATCAGCAGCATTTGATTTAAATCAAGACCAATGGGAAACACTTATTGCACTGATGGATACTTTTATTGGCGCTTTGGACGATGAAGAAGCTGAACAACTAGCAGACCGATACTCTCAAACTGGATTGGATCGTGAAAGCATTATCAAGTTTGCCAAACTCAAGTCGTCAGATCTCGAGAATTACAAGTCTGTGGTATTAGGTTTTTTGAACCGTGCAGCTGCTCCTGAAAAAAGAAGTGAACTTCAACTGATTCTGTCTGTACTCTCCACTCGTGCTGGCACGTTTGCTCTGACTGGTCATTTTGCTCCTTTTTCACAATTGTCTTTAAAGGATCGTGAAGCGGCTGTGAATGGTTGGCGACATTCCTTTATTCCTCAACTTCGTCTATTATTCAAATCCTTCTCTGGTGTATGTCTGAACCCAGTGTTTGTCAATAAGGAAAATCGTGTGCTTCATCGTGCTATGGGTTTTCCTGCTGAAGATCCTGTGAGAAATCATCCTGATTATCAACCTGTCAATCCTCTCCCTCGTTTACCCATGTTGACCGAATCTGAACTTTTGTCTGTGCCATCTTGGGATTGTATTATCATTGGAAGTGGTGGTGGAGGTGGCGTAACTGCTGCTGAACTAGCTAAAACTGGAAAATCAGTACTTGTCATCGAAAAAGGAACTTACTATCATGAATCTGATCTCTCTTTGGTTGAAGGTGATGCGATGTCAAATTTGTATGAAGCTGGTGGTTTCTTTTCCTCTACTGATGGTAATGTCAATATTGCTGCTGGAAGTACTTTTGGAGGTAACAAGACAAAAAAAAAAAAAAAAGAGATATGAGTTGATGATGACTGATTTTTTTTTTTTTTTTTAAAAAAAAAAAAAAAAAAAAAAAAAAAAAAAAAAAGGTGGAACTACGGTCAACTGGTCTGCAAGTTTGAAAGTAGGTTTAAAGAAAAAAAAAAACTTCATATATGATCACTTTTTCTTACTTATCTAACTTTATTTTTTTTTTTCTTTTTTGATCAATAGTTACAGCATTTTGTGCGAGAAGAATGGGCAAAACAAGGATTGACTCATTTTATATCTCCAAAGGTAACAACATTTTTCGTTTATATCATTATCTGATTCACATACAATATTCTAACATCTAAATTTATTCCTTTTAAAAGTTCACCAGTGATCTTGAACGTGTATTTGAAAGAATTGGGGCTTCTACCACAGGGGTAAAACACAATAACAGTAATCAACATTTAGTGGATGGATGCAAGTAAGTATGAATAAAAAAAAAAAAAAAAAAAAAGGGTTGTTACTGATACGTGATTGTTCCACATTCAATTCATTAGAGCTCTTGGATATCATATCGCAGATCTTCATCAAAACACAGGTGGTCGATCACATAGTTGTGGCTTTTGTTTTGCTGGATGTAAAGATGGAATCAAGAATGGAACTTCAGCTACTTGGCTTCGTGATGCTCAACAATATGGTGCCAAATTTATCGATCGTACTAAAGTACTTCGCGTGTTGGTGGAAAATAACAAGGCGGTTGGAGTGGAAGCTGTCATTGGTCATGAACAAGGTCAACGCAAGGTTAAGATTTATTCGGATACTGTAGTCTGTGCTGCCGGCTCATTGCAAACTCCTGGTGTCCTTCAACGTAGTGGATTGAAAAATAAACATATTGGTCGTCATCTTCGTATTCATCCTTCTGCAATCACTTATGGGTATTTTGAACAACCTGTGGATACATTCGAAGGCTCCATCATGACAGCAGTTAGCAACGTTGCGGAAAATGTGGATGGTGAAGGATATGGTGCCAAATTGGAAGTTCCTGCAACACCTGCTGGTTCATTTTCATCTATTATTCTTTGGCGAGGCATTCATCACCACAAGGAAAAGATGCTTCGATATCGTCATTACTCACCTATCTTGGTCCTAGCTCGTGATAAGGATACAGAATCATGTGTACGCTACGATGAACATGGCAATCTAGCAGTGGATTACAACTTATCAAATCATGATCGGCAATCGATTCTCGCTGGTATTTTGCGCTCTCTGGATGTATTAGTGGCAGCTGGTGCACGTGAAGTAGAAACAGGCCAATTTGCTATCGATCCCTTTGTCTTTGGTCCTCATGAACAAAGTCGTGTGGATAATCCTCGTTATATTGCCTGGAGGAACAATGTGGCCAAGGTCGGTCTTCCTCCATTTGGTGCTGGAATCTATGCTGCTCATCAAATGGGTACCGCAAGAATGGGTATCTCCCCTAATGTCTCTGCTACAAAACCTACTGGTGAAACTTGGGAAGTCAAACAACTTTATGTAGCTGATACCTCATTATTCCCTACCGCTACAGGTAAAAAAAAAAAAAAAAAAAAAAAAAAAAAAAAAAAAAAAAAAAAAAAATGTCAACCATTGATTATTCTTTTTTTTTTTTTTCTAGGCGTCAATCCCATGGTAACCGTAGAAGCCGTTGCTCTCCATGTTGCTGATTGTATTGCCAAAAACGGGGCCGCTTCTGCCAAACTTTAGAGTTCAGATTATCTCCAACTATGATGGGTTATTGTTGATTTTTCTTTTCATACTCTCTTTATTATTATGATTATTATTATTATTATTTATTATTACTATTGTAGTTTTATGTATCTATCTATCTATATATTTTTTTTTATTTATCCTCCTTTCTTGTCACTTTTTTTATGACTATATCCGCCCTTCTTGTTGACAATCGTCTGGAAAAATCTCTTCAAATAAAATTTTCTTTTTCAAATCTGGGTGAATACTATCAATGAAAACTGATCTTAACAGATGAAATGATGCGGAAGATGTGGATAAAATGATACGGTTGAACGATATAGACAAACAGCGTTGAGATTAATTTATTTTGTATCATATCAATTTACTGGATGACGAAGGATGAATACGATAAGCAGGTCAAAACTGAAACCAATACTTCCTAGAGTAGCTGTTGCTCATCATCCATCATCCCACAAAAGAAATATATATATATATATATATATATATATATATATAGATAGATATGTAAAGACTTATGCCATTTTCCGCACTAAATAGCAAAATCGTGTCTGCGTATTATCAAGTAAGTAAAATAAACCTATTTGTAAGAAAGGTCAGAGCTTTTATTTCAGAGAACAAATTATAAGTATGATTACTATCTTTTTTTTTATTATTGTATTTGTTTTAAACAAAAAAGGGGGGAGAAGAGTGAATGCAAAGAGAGAAAAAAAAGGATGTATATAATAAAGGAGAGAGATTGTGGAATATGTGTGTGTTTGTATGTGTATCAAAACTATCAAAAAGTGAAGTGACTATAGACATGGTCGAATGAGGATGATGTTAAATATGTGTATAATAAAAAAATGAAGAGACGGATAAACCTACTGCTTTTGTTTTTTCACGGAGAGATCATCATCAGAGGGATCCACATCCAATTTGCGTTTTTCTTGAAGAGGAGCTGGAGGAGGAATATATGCATGACGGTTTTTACCAAGCTTTGGGGGAATACGCCAAAAGTATTGCTTGTCTTGTAATGTACACTTCCGAGCACTTCGTCCAACTTGAGTATAGGTTGCGCGACGCCATTCTACAGGATCCATGTCACTGTTGTAGTAGTAGAGATTTTCCTTGGGTGATCCATCAGCTGTTTTTCCTTTTCGTACAATTTCTCCAAAGAATGCCTTCTCTTTGAGTACTCGTTGAATTCGTTTGGTCCATACTTCTCGATCTTGTTTCTTGTAAGCTGGATTTGTCTTGATGATACGCGAGCAAATATCACTGATTGGCATAGATGATTTCCTTGAAAAGACTTTATTAAAAAAAAAAAGTTAGTACGGAAGAGATTGTCCCCTATTTCTTTATTTTTCTCTTACCCAAAATATCAATAATATTTTCAGCATAATCTGTTGTGTCTTTATCTTCTTGTTCCAAAGATGGTACATTTTCTTTATCATCATCCTCGTTATCTTCATTTTCGTTGATTGCTGTGGAGTCAAGGGAGTTGACAGATGCTGATTCTTCTACTTTGGGAGTCACTGATTCAGATGTTTCATGAGTTGTGGATTCGATTTGGTCTAAAGTCGGTTCCTTTGGTTGTAATACTAATGATGATACTGGTGATGATGGTGATGATAATGCGCTATCCATACCTTGGTGTAATGGCGAACTCTTTTTGTCTAAGAAAAGCTTTTCTTGAGATTCTTTGGCTTGGACTTTTTCTTCTTCCTCTTCCTCTTCTTCTTCTTCTTGTTGTTGTTGTTGTTGTTGTTGTTGTTGTTGTTGTTGTTGTTGTTGTTGTTGTTGTTGTTGTTGTTGTTGTTGTTGTTGTTGTTGTTGTTGTTGTTGTTGTTGTTGTTGTTGTTGTTGTTGTTGTTGTTGTTGTTGTTGTTGTTGTTGTTGTTGTTGTTGTTGTTGTTGTTGTTGTTGTTGTTGTTGTTGTTTTTGTTGTTCCTTGGTGATTTCCTTCTCTTGTTGTCGTTTATCCATAACGGCAGAAGTCATAATATCCGACAGGTGACTTTTAATAGGAGCAATATCTTTATCTTCATCATTGGCATCATCGTTATTGTTGTCGTTATTATCGTTGGTGTTGTTGTTGGATGAATGTTGTACTTGTGAGAAAGAAGATTGCTTTCGTACTTGTTGAGGAGTAATAGGACGAGCAGGAAGTCGGAAGAGTAAAGTATCACCCAAGACGTCAATAAACGAATAATCTGACAAAAGAGCTCTTTCATGTTGGCGATAGAGAACATTGTCCACAGTTGCACCATTGAGGCCTAAGACTACCAATTCGAAATGATCATTGTTGGAGTTATATTCAATAGCGACATGTGTACGACTGATTTGGCGGTTACGGCGTCCGATTTTGACAGTGGATGAGCCTCCGCGACCTAAAGTGATACGTTGTTCGTAAGAGCCGACAATAACCAAAGAAGAAGAGTTTGTCGTTTCTTGAGAATGAGATTGGATACGTTCATCGTCTTGTTCTATACCAAGGGCTGAGGTAGGTACAAGATCATCCGAGTTGAGGGCAAATTCTGATGAATATGGTTCAGGTGAAACAGGTCGCTCGATAGTTGTAGTATTGATATGCACGGTATTGGTGTATTGAATGGACTTTTGTAAAGCATTACCAAAGTGTTTAGTAGTTGGTGGAGAAGTTGTCATAGTGTTGAATCTATGAATGGATAAATCACGTGTTTAATATAGTAGGCCAAACCGCGTTTTCATTTTTTATTTCTTTTTTTTTTTCTTTTTCTTTTATTGAAATATTTGCCGTGTAGAAAGGGAGGATCACTTACGTGTTGTAATGCAGAGAAGTAAATATAAGTTATCGTCGAATTCACAAGAAATAGAAAGAAAAAGAAAACAAAAGAAAGGAGGATAGTGAAAAAAAAAGTGAGGAAAGAGAAAAGAATTAATTCGTTGAGCGCACTTTTTTTTAAATTTTTTTTTTTTTTACCACTTTTTTTTTTTTTCATTGCAGGCCGCGTTTTCTTTTTTCTTAATGAGAGCGTGATTCAGCCAATCAGGTGCGTGTGTTTTTACCGCGTAATAAAACTTTTAGTTTTGCATATGAATTGAGCAATTTTTGTTCGGATTTCATTTTCTGGCAAACACTCATTTCCCTGTCATCCAACCTAAAATGGAGTTTTTAAGATTTTTTTTTTTCCCTTGTTTCAGTTTTTCACCTTCTCTAATTTTTTATTTCTTCTTTTTACTTTTTTTTTTTTTCGTGGTGTACATTTGTTTGTATATTCAGTCCTTTACTAGTAAACTATGTCAGCAACACTTCCTGAATATGCACCTGTTCCTGGTGATCTTGAATTGGTGTAGGTTAATAGAAACAGTATCTTTATTTTAACTTCAATTCTACTCACATACCAGTTTTGTTTTGTAGATACTTACAAGTAGTACATCGTCATGGTAAAACTAAATGAAGTTTTTAACATGTTATCTGACTTGTTTCTTTTTTTTTTTTCTTTATCAAATAGGTGAACGTACTCCAGTTCGTAGTCGTTTAGAAAAAATCATCCCTTCCACTTGGAATCTTTGTGACGCAAACCGAGCAATGTTTGCAACTATATTGGATTTCAATAAAAGTCAGGGACGTAGTAATGATGGTATACCAGCTTCATTTGTACCACTTCAACGAATAGTAGAAAAGAATGGTATGTCTGGAAACGACCAAGTGACTTATCCTGCTGGTGCGTGGTAAGATAAAGAAAATAAAAACTACCAAATATGCTGATGATCTAATGACTCGAAAATTTGATATATAGTTATTATGGTCAACTGACAAACTTAGGTCGTAAGAACATGACTTCCTTAGGGGCTCGCCTTCGAGAAATCTATATTGACAAGTATGTAAATATTTCTTATTATATCGCATATATTCATTTTATTATTATTATTATTATTATTTTCCATAGGCTTCACTATCTACCTGACTATTTTGATGAAAAACAAGTTTATATTCGAAGCAGTGATTATCCTCGAACTCAAGAATCTGTACAACAAATGGTTGCCGGTGGCCTATATCCTGATGGAAAAAGAAGTGATGACTCCATACTTCAAATTCGTATTCGGTAAGATCTCATAATATTATTTTATTTTGCAATCTTTATTTGGTTTTAACTCTTTTTATAATTCGTTGATAGTGATCCCCGAACTGAAAATCTATATTCAAATCCAAATTGCGCTCGACTTCGAGAATTATCCAAAGAATTCCGTACCAAGGTGGCAGAATTGCACAAAGATGATTTCAAAAATTTGACTAAAAAGTTGGAAAAGTATGTTGACGATGTATCACTTGTTTCTCATCCCTCGGCCAATGGCATTTTAGGTAATATCAACAAAGTTAATAATGACCAATGATACTCATTCTCTTATTATTTTTTTATGTCAAAAATAGATACTGTTGTATCAGCAAAGGTACATGGTTTTGACTTACCAGTTGAATTTGATGATCAAGTATTATTGGATCTAGAAAAAATTGTGGTCCATGAATGGTTTTATAGTCATATGGAATCAAATGAAGTACGTAGACTTGGTTTAGGACGATTAATGGCTGATATTCGAGATCGGATGGTCCGCCGGGCGAATGGCACAGATCACAAAGTTGGAGAAGAAGAATACAAATTATCAATCTACTCTGGGCATGATACGTAAGTTACAAAAAAAAAATGATGATGATGATGATGATGATGACAAGAGGGGAAAAAAAAAGGCGGGGAATGATATTTAGTGCTAAAAAAAAAAACTTCATGTTGTACTAACAAAACCTTAAAAAACTGTTTTGGATTATCTCTAGTACCATTGCACCGATATTGATTATATTGGGTGGTTATGACAATAGGTAAAGTAAAAAAAAAAAAAAAAAATACAAAAAAAGAGTTTACTTATATTCAAACGAATTGGATAGATGGCCTCCATTTGGAAGTTCAATTATCTTTGAACTGTTCAAGAAACAAGGAACAACAACTAGTGATGGTGGAATGTTTGGATGGTTCAACAAGAAAAACAAGGAAGAAGATCATTTTGTCCGTGTACGATTCAACAACAAGATCCTTCAATTACCAGGATGTGCCGAGAAAGGAAAGCATCACAGTGATAGTGGTGACCAGAGTTTGTGTACCTTGGAAGCCTTCAAGAAAATTGTACAAGAACAGATTCCGGATGATTGGACAACCGAATGCAGCAAAGTAGAAATATAGATATATGTTTATTAGAATAGATATCAATAAAACATCTTTTTTTTTTTATTATTATTAATGATGATGGTTTTAGTTTACTTGATGATGATTGGTGTATTTAAAATGAAGAATTGTTGCGTACATTGCAGAAGAAAAAAAAAAAGCGGGGGAACATTTCTGAAGAAGCGAAAATTTGATTGTGTAACAGGGAAAAGAGAGACCAAACCATTGCGGAATTCGAAATGGAAAGGATCCGTGTCCACAGTGATTTTCGAACGAAGCTAGTTTTTTTTTTTCCCTTTTCCTTTTCCTTTTTGTTTTAACACACACTCACACACTCCCCTATATTCACACTTACTCATTCACTTACACTTCATTTATACAACTTTTACTTATTCTTTTACTATCCTCTTTGACTTTTTACTTTATCTTTTTATTTATACAAGTTTATATGGACTATACTCTTCAACAACATAGTGATTCAACAGGGTGGGTGTATTCACATGAAACTTCTTTACGTACGGAAACACATGAACCTTTACGGGAACCTGTACCTTTTGAAGGTAAATATAATATAATATAATATAATATCTCTAAGAATAAAAATAATAAAATTATTACAATTATTTAATATTGTACCTTTTTTTTTATATATATCATTATAGACTTTCAGTTTAGTTTTGGATTGGACCCGGGATTTGCCATGCCTGTACCTTTGGATATGCCACCACCTGTTCCAGCTTTAAATGATTCAAACAGTTTATTACCTATGGATATTCAAAGTGATGGACTTGATACAACAACTAGTAATAACCCTCTTCTTGATGAAAACGACCAAAAGGCTTTCTCTCAATTCTTGGATGCTTTTTTTGTGGATAAGGATGGACAAATGTCGAATGCCGAACAAATGGCGAGTCAATTCTCTACTATGTATGATATACAACCTCCACCTTTATCATTGAATGATAATTTTGAACCAATTCCTCCTTCAATACCTGATCCTTATCATGTGGCCACATCCATGTTTTTACCAAAACCAACAACGAATATACGACCAAATAATAATGATATTAATGATGGTGATGATGATGATGATGATGATGACGAATATCGACGTAGTTCTATATTACAATCATTAGATCAACAGAAACAGTTTCATCAACGATTGAATAGGGTAGCTTCAGTACAACAACAAAAACAACAAAGCAGAAAAGAAAATATTAATGATCAAGGATCTATTGGCCCCAATGCTATTTTCCTTCAACAAAGCAATCAAGTATCAGCACCATTTATTACGAAACATCCATCATCGGCACAAAGGTATCATGTTTCACAGCATGCACCTTATCCACCACCTGAAAGACAACATTCATCTTCTGCATCTGGCAATCAAGATCAAAAGTCCTCTAGGTCCATGTCTACTCCAACTCGGCGTAACAAATCAAATAAAGAATTGTTGACTGAAGAAGAAAAACGAAACAATCATATTGCATCTGAACAAAAGCGGCGTAGTACAATTCGAAATGGTTTCAAGGATCTAACTGACATTGTGCCGACTCTAAAAAATATCAACAACTCGAAAAGTACGGTATTATTCAAGGCTGTGGATTATATCAAGTATTTGGAAAAACGCAACAAAAGTTTACGGGAAAAGGTGGGCTCATTGGAAGTTCGAGTTAAGGTCGAAGGTAGAGTCAGTGACATTTTGATGCATTCTTCGGCATTACAACATACACCAACACAATCTTCACCGCCATCCATGGCTCCATCTCAATCATCCCCAATATCACAACAATCTTATTCTGAATCTGGTTCATTGTCATCCACTGCTGTGATATCAAATGAAGAATCTGATGGCATTATCAAGGATCACCGACAACAACAGCAGCAACAACAACAACAACAACAACATTATTGTCATGACAATAATAGTAGTGGAGGTGTCGCAGCAGCACTTTTGGCTCACAAATCTCAACAAAAACAGTTAATGGCTTTACAAGAACAGTTACAATATCATCAAAGGTTATTGGCACAACAAGATGAACATTATCATCGAAATACCAACAAGGATAGTTACAATAACAATTATCATTCCATTTCTTCTTCATCAAACTCATCATCATCACACTCTTCTCCTCAATCAGCTGATTTATACCAACATCCACCTGTATCTTCTTCTCGATGGAACAACAACTTATCCAAGGACACGACAACTACAGCAACGACAACATCAACTATGCACACTCATGTCAAAATGGAAGTGGATAATGAAGAACCTTTGAAAGTGTCGGCATGAAACAAAAATATAGTTTATCTATCTATTTTTATTATTATTATTATTATTATTTTATTGTATTCCCATTCATTTTTCCTTCCCCATTTTACTGTTAGTATTATCACCCTCCTTCCTTTTATATTATTTTCTTCTTTTTTGTTTTTTTTTTTCTTTTGTTGTCTTTTTCTTCCTATATAATGTGTATAAATAAAAAAATTTACAATGAGAAAAAAAAAAGGGTGAATGGAACATTATTGGTACATGAATTTTGGATGACCGTTGTTTACATAGTTCTATATGCTTGATAGATGAATTGCATATTCAATCAATACATATTAGGATGGTCGTCCTTTTTTTTTTCTTTACATGCTTAAAGTTGATTCTCATGTCGCTCTCTTTCCCTCCTCTTTTTTTTTTTTTTTTAGAATGTTACACTACTCATTCATTATATTGATGAAAGCGTGATACTAAAAAAAGAGACACTATGGTATCACCAATGAGAAAGGATCATGATTATCATGATGATGAGACAATCATCCAACAAAGACAATCAAACAAATATATCTTTCCTTTTCGAATCATGATATATATGCTTCTTTTTTTGATACATCATCAGAATGTGATGGGGTTGGATGGAGAATGGTGGCCAACAGGATGTAAAGGTAACTCAGCACAACGGATGAAAGCCCACAAGTTCTGTCAATCCCCTGATCATCATGACAATGCGGCCACCATGTGTCTGTGTCATCATCACCCACTTGGTTGGCCTGTATGTAAACAACAACAACAACAAAAACGATCTGACTCTTCATTTACACTGTGTCAAGAAGATTCTTATGCTGCTTGCTTAATGGCGTGTGATGCCGCTGTTGAAACCATCCTATGTCAACAAACTCAATTGTTACAATGTACGCTACGCACACCTAGTTCTTTGAATGTCTCATAATAATAATAATAATATGGAGGATGATGACCGTAAATAAACGATAGAGAGTTATATTTATATCTATAAAAAGTAAAATCCATTACTCATTCACTTTCTGATTTCTGTTTCTCTCTCTCTCTTGCGCCGGTAAAAAAAAAAATCATATGTTGGTCCACAACTTCGAGCAAAATCCAGTAAAATCACTTGACTTTTGCTCTTTCTATCTACATATTTTTTCAATTTCTTCCATTTTTCTGAATACATCCTATTGATAAAGGATCCTTAACCTATGAATGATATGTAATGACGGATGATCATGTGATGGATGGATGATGATGCTTATTTTTTTATTCTTACAACATAAGGAGAATCTAAACTAATTCTTTTTATAATTAGTTTTATTGGTTGATCAATCAGTTTGACATTTCTTTTTAAAAAAAAAAAAAAAATGGGATGATCCCGAGATACGAATGGCATCATGATGATGAGAAGAAAAAAAAATGAAGGATCCTTTCTATAAGAAAAAAAGAAATTGTATATTCCATGCTTGCATATCTCTGCCTTTTCCTGATGAGTTGAAATATATTTTCTAGACATTAGAGTTAATCATCAGACTAATCATCGTCCATCTTCTTTATTTTTTTTTCTTATTCTAAACACCGAGATTGTCGAGACAACGTGCCGAATATTATAGACTCTAACAAAAATATATATATACATCCTGTCCATGATAAAACAAAAAAAAAAAAAAAAGAAGTTTGCCCACCTGCATAAATCTACTGCATGAATTCACCCGATCATTTTGTTTGTCAATATAGAATGATATAAAAATATAAATATTGTTTATTAAGAAATAAGTATTTTACATAGTTTACAAATAAAAACAAAAAGGGGGAAGAATGTAACTAAAGAAGAGAATATAAAAAAAAAAAAAAAAGAGAGAGAGAGAGAGAGAGAATTGGCTGATAGCATGGAGGATACAAAAAAAAAAGGGGGGAGAATCAAAAAGGGAATAAATGTATACGACTGAAAAGGAGAAAGGGGCGGATAAAATAATAAAATAAAAAAAAAAAGAAGGGGTAAGAACGGAGGAATGGTAGGTACAATAAGGTAATGAAGAATATACTAGAGAATAATATAATTCCATCAATGATTTGTTGTCGTTGTTGTTGGTGGTGGATCACGAGCATATTTCTTCAATAAATGAGAACGTCGAGTTTCCCATGTATCTGATGTTATGTTGTTGTTATTGTTATCCTGTTCTGGTGATATACCATAAGCTGAATATCCAGTATCACCTCTTCCTCCTCCTCCAGAACCATAACGTCGATGATGATTTATAAATCCAGTTGGTGAGGCGGATGGTTGTTGTCTTTGCTGAGTAGAGTGAGGTTGATGATGAAATTGTGAGGTGGTAAGAGGACTTGGTCGATTATATTGATAATAAGTAGATGAACGTCTATAGTATCTTGATCGATCACCTAGTAGTACTTGACGTTCTTCTTCTTCTTGATCTGATGATCGACAACACCATGAACAGCAACAACAAAGATAACAAAGCCCAACTAGTACCAAGATCAGTAATAAGAAGAATACAATAGATGTCATGATTCCTAAAGGTAAACTAGAAACTAAAAAAAAAAAAAAAAAAAAAAAAAAAAATTCTTAATTTTAGTATATAATATACGTAATGATATATATCTATTCAACTTACACTTGCATTGTTTGTAATAATAATCAGTCACTGGACAATAATCCATTGTCTTATTCACAACACCAAACCAGTTTCCTTGAATACATTTATTCAAACTAGTACAAAAAGCACATCCACTATCTGCTACACATGACATACAGTCGGTCCATTGATTACAAGCATCTAATTTTAATTATACTAATTAATATAGAATTAAAAAAAAAGGTAATAATTTATCTTACCTTCCAAGATTGTAGCGTCAGAGTCTATAAAAGTAATAAATGACATAACTATAAAAGTACCAAAGGATGGATTGGTAATGATAAAGAAAAAAAAAAAAAGGAAAAAAAAAAAAAAAGAAAAAGGACTTTCTAGTTCAAGCAAAATGGGAAAGAAAGAGAAACAAAGAAAAGAAAAAAAAAAGAAGGGGTAAGTGCGCAAAAAGGATGACGGGCTTTCATTTTCAGTTTTCTTTCTATGCATCTAAAAGGTGCACAGATAGAATCCAAAACTAAACTAAAACTACCCTGCTTCATTATTTGATGATGATGATTATAATGATGTTAACTAAAAAGATCACTATGAAAATTCATCCATTCTAGGAATAAAAAAAAAAAGAGAGAAAGAGGGGAAAGAGGGTCTACTTTTGCCTTTTATGGGTATCAATCAAGACTATCGTTTGTTTATCTCATTTACTTTTCTTTTTTTTTTTTTGTTTTTTGGTTTTCTGTATAAATAATCATATGATCATCTTCCTTTTATTATCATATAGTAATAGATACCTACATATTATTGTAAAAATACAACAGTTTTGAATTAAAAATAAATGTTTCAAGAAATAATAAATAGTATTTCTAATTGAAATTATACAAAGATCATTTTTATTATGATAAAAAAAAAAATAACTTTCCATGGATAATGCCAACCAAACAAAGAAAAATGATTACCAAAAAGGCTGTAACTTTGCTAGATGACTGAAAGAAAGAAAAATGAAGATCGGTAATAGTATTGTTCATCTTGTGCTGATAATATCGTAGTTATCATTGAATCTACCGTTAGAGATAAAGAGTCATTCAATTCAACTACAGCAAGCAAACAATAAGATTCTATTCAAGAATAATAAAAGCATATTAATACTATGATTTTATTTACCTTTGTAAAAAATGAACTAGTAAAATCGTATTTATTCTATTGATATATAGAATCAAAAGAAGTCAGGTAAATCATAAGAATAAAAAAAAAATAAAGGAAACAAGGAAAAGACGGAAGAGAAAGCCGAAAAGGTGGAATTTTTTTTTAAGTACTCAACATCATTCTCAAAAAGGAAAAAAGAAAAATTGAACTTCTCAGAAAAAAGAGTTTATATAAAATATCATCTTCCACATAAAAATGATTTCTCCTTCTTTTATATGATTGTTGATGATTCAGATAGATATGCCAGTAGGTAACACTGAGATACAATGTAGTATGTGTAACATGAGCTTGCAGAGAGAAAAGCATGTTGATGAACCTTTTTTATTGAGCCTATGAAAAAGAGAACGTGCACTTCAGATTATAATTCTTATCATTCAAATATATATTATATTCATTCCCCTCACTCACATACTCATTAATAGTCACTGTTTTTTTTTTAAAAAAAAAAAAAAAAGAAAGTCAAATGTCAAAATAATAGATATCATTATTATATATATATAGGTTAGTTTTGCCTCAAATGAAATAATCCAATGATTAGCAGGAATGAAATTGGGGAGAAAATTACCCAATCTCCGCAATTTGGCCCTTTTTTTTTTTGAAGACACCCCTCGGGAGGAACAAATCATTTTCCTTTCTTTTCTTTCTTTCTTTTCTTTCTTCTTCTATCTAGTTACAAAATATGGAAACAGCAGTACGAAAAGCAACTAGATTGGATTATAATCCACCAAAACAAAAACATTTATCAAGTAAAATGATTTATTATTTCAAATAGTTAACTCTGTAATTGATTTTGACCCTTTTCTCCTTTTTTTAAACTACAGCTTTAGTATCTTTGACTTTTCATAACCCTGCTATTATTGGTGAAATGTTGGATTTGTTAGAAAGACGACATAGAGAAAACTCTTGGATTGTAAGAACTAAAGAAAGAGAGAGGTTATTTATGATATACTAACTTGATCGCTTTTTTTTTTCTTTATTGTCAAAAAGATGTCGTTTAAAGTGCTTGTGATCATGCACGTGCTTATGAGGCAAGGCAATGGTGACCGTACAATCTCATATATAGAAGGCCATCCTGCTTGCTTGGATACAACAAGGCTACGGGAGAAGTCATCAGGGGTAATCCATATTCAAAATATTTATTTGTATACAGCTTATTTACAACAAAAGGTCGCAGTATATCGTGAACTTCATGTGGATTATATCAAAACTACAATGGCGAACGGTGTTGGCAGACTTCGTCGTTTATCTATAAGTGATGGTTTATTAAAGGAAACTATGATACTACAGAAACAAGTCAGTGCTTTATTGAAATGCAAGGTAAAATTCACGATTGGAAGATATTTTTTTTAAATGAAAGAGATTAGATGCTCATGATTTTTTACTGGGGGGATGCATATCCCTTCTCCTTTTTTTTTTTTTATTTTCATTATTATATGATATTTATAGTTTATCCTTGATGATGTGGACAATACTATTAGTTTGTACGCTTTTCGATTGGTAGTGGAAGATTTACTGGTACTATTTCAAGCTGTCAATGAAGGCGTAGTTAACATCTTGGGTATGCTCATAATAATGTGATATTATATTTGTGTCTTGTTATTTACATTTATTATTATAGAACACTATTTTGCCATGTCAAAGTCAGATGCCAAGATATCTTTGGAAATCTATAAAAGGTTCGCAAGACAGACTGAAGAAATCATTCAATTCCTGGATCGTGCACGTCAATTTCAACATGAAATGCATATCGCCATTCCTGCTGCAAAACATGTAAGTAAAAAAATAAATAGAGTGACAGACTGTTAGGTATTTATCCTTTTTTTCTTTTTTCATCATTACAGCCTCCCCTATCCCTTGCTGCTGCTTTGGAAGAATATCTGAATGATTTAAATGAACAACCATCGCCACAACAACAAAAAACGAATACTGGTAATATTAATAAACTTAAGAGAAAGAGAGAGAGAGAGAGAATGCATACTTAGTACGAAACGTTGTTTTCTTCTTTTATTAGCAAACTCAACAGCAAATGCCACAGTAGCGCCATCACAACGACGCCCAGAAGCAGAACAACCAAAGGAACTACTGGATTTCTTTTCAAGTCTAGAAAACGATAATTTTATGTCTCCAGCACCAACTCCTCAGCCTAGTTTACACAATCCATTTAGAAATACTATGGTACCCAGCTCTTCAATGTCACAATCGCAACAATCGAATAGTATCATGTCTGATTTGAGCCTTTTGAACCAACCACAACCGTTGACTGTTTCAAACTTAACACTGCCAGTATCACAACCACAACCCTCATCATCTTCATTATTAACAACAAATGCTAATCCTTTCAGAACTGAATCATCACAACCTCAGCAACTGTCAAACATCACAGCAACTCAACAGCAACAATCCAATTTTTCTTTACAACCATCCATTAGTCAGCTGGTTCCCTTCCAACAATCAAACTTTCAACAACAGACTAGCGCATCTATTGGCAATACTAATTATTTGACACCTACCTCTAACCTTCTATCCAATCCATATATGCAACAGCAGCAGCAGCAGCAACAACAACAACAACAACCACCTTTGTTTCAAGCATCTCAATTGACTGGAACGCCTGGTGGTATGAATCCTTTTGCCCTTTCTGTATCATCATCATCATCACTACCACAACAGCAACAGCATCAGCAACAACAACAACAACCTTGGGGGTCATCTGTATTCTAAGAATCATTATCATCTATACATCCTTCCTTAGTTATTTATCTCATATTCTTCTTTCCCATTCGGTCTATTTGTTTTCTTCTAATACCAATAAAGCATATCTGTTACTACTGATTATACATTCTGTTTTATCATATATTTACATATATTTCCTATCATTGTGATAAAAAAAAAAAAAAATCTCGAATTATCATCATCACGATGAGTGAAAATAATCCAGTCAGTTTTATTCATTGTTCATATTTTCACAAATACTTCAAATACAAATAAATAGTTTATTCTAAAACAAACAAAAAAAAAAAAAAAACATTTGATATAACTAAACTAATGCATGGTGGTTCGTATAGCACTATAATGTTGAATTTGATTGATCCATTGACGCTTTTGACTCTGAGTCGCCGCTCGTACTGAGATCACCAGGTTATCACCATATGCAATTTGGAAGCTTGTATCATCTATCAGAGATTATCTTTCAGTATCATATTTATCTATGTAACTATTCTGCTTTTTCCGTTTGCTTTACCTAGATTATTTCCACCAAACGTTGTTTTCGATGAGGTCATTGGTTGTTCCCTAACAACAATACGTTCGATATTCATAGGCTGGAATTTCCAAAAAAAAAAAAAAAAAAAAAAAAAAAAATATCAATCCATATTTTCTCTAAAGAGCTTTTTTTTGATTATTTTACCTCACGGTATAATGAATAGAGGTATCCTTTTGGACTAAGACTCTTCAATGGTTCCACCAATAAGAACATGTCATTGAACAGATATCCTTGAAGTTTTCTTCCACTTTTTGCTTTGTAGAGAACACCATCCATAACAAATTCTCGACCACGAATATCCAATCTCTAAAATAAAAAAAAAAAAAAGATTAACCTTTTTTTATTTTTACTTCTTTGCAACTTACACCAAATCCTTCCATATCCAAAATTCTTCCAAGTTCACCCATCTTTTGATGGTTTTCAAATCGTCGAGTTTCTTCATTGACATCATCCAATACTTTGGATGCTTTAGACAGTGCAGACTTGACCAAACCATAATCAGGGTGTCGTTTCGGTGTAGACTTGAGAATCTATAGGTATCGTCAAAGTAAAAGTTAGGATATAGTGACTTGAGATATTGACTGTTTATTATGTTACCTGACGAAGAAGTAACGGATATCGAGTGATCCTTTGGACTGGTTGGAGTAAAAAGTGAGATAAATCCAAAGATCGACACTCAGGTCGCGTCTGTGCAGTCTAAAAGAAAAGAAAGAATAAGATCATGGCCTTTTTCCCATTCAATATGCTTCTCTTTTTTTTTTTTTTTTTTTTTTTTTTGTTTTTCATTTGAGCTTACTTTCAAAAACACTTCAAACCATTGGTCTTCTTCTCGTTTCTTTTGCAAGAGCCTGCTCGCAAAAGATTGATTGCGACAAAAAGTGGAATAACATTTCAAACTTTCAGCCTAAATAAATAAAAATGATACGATTATTAATAAATGTTCTTTGTATAAATATATTGACCTACATGTTGTAAAAATACATCTCCAACACAATCCACGACATTGGCACATTCTCTTTGTCTCGTTTCCAAATCACTGTAAAAGGCCGTGTTGCATAACAAAAGATCATCAATATTGGAGAACACAACATCCTGTTCAGCAGGTTGAAGATATTTGCTAGAATCCACGTAGAATAACTAATGAGAAACACAATTTAAAAAAAGTCGAATTATGAGTCTCCATGCGTTACTCTTTTTTTTTTTTTTTTTTTTTTTTTTTGGTGATGCAACTTACATTCACAATCATCTGTAGATCACGAAGATAAGATCGTTCAGTCGTAATCAATTCAAAGATAGCTTCTTGACGACTACGTTCTTCCAAAGGTATTGATTGTAATTCAATATCATCCATAGTACTTGCCCAGCTTACAACAATAGGACTTTCCGGTCGCAATATATGTGGTTGTTGTTCCGATGGTATTTGTAAATTTGACGTTCCAACATTGATGCTGCTACTAGGACTGGCATTGCTTGCTGCACGTCGTCGTCGATTGACATCCTGTTTGTTGACATCCAAAGTGGTTTTCTTCATGACAGGCGTACTTGGTGCTGACAATCCACGGGAAACTTGTTCTTCAGGAACAGCTAATGTGTTTGTTGATTTTTGTTGCCAGGATATCGAAGAAGTTGATATTGATGGATGGATAGGACTTGGTTCAGTAGATACAGATGCTGAAGGGAGATCTATATAATTTGAAAAAGTTGAGTATTGATCTTTTCTTATACAATCCACTCTAAATTACTGCCTATATATATGTATGTACCTGTTTCAACAACTTCCACATATGTCTTTGGAAAATAACCTGATTCCCCAGTTTCTTCATTGGTTCCATACCACCAGTCACCATTTTCATCTTGAAAGGGTTGTACTACTAAAATTTCATTTTCACCAAAGCCAAGGTCATCCATACGAGTTTTTTGGAATTCATAAAGAGTTTGTACGTGGAAAGCTGTTGATTGACGAGCAAATTGCATATTGAACAGGAAAGAAGAGAAAGTTAGTACTTTGTTATATTATTTCCATTCATGTATACCCTATTGATCTTTTTTTTTTTTTTTTTTTTTTTTTTTACCTTTTTCTATGATTTCAACATAGGTTCGTGGGAAGAAGCCAACAGCATTTGTAGATAAACTTGATCCATACCACCAATCACTATTCTTATCTTTGGATGGATGAGCCTTGATAATTTCATCTTCGACAAGTGTCAAGTCATCTTCGCGTACACCTTGATAAGCATAGAGAGCTTTTGCACGGAAAGCTAATAGTAGATAGGACATATAAATAAAAAAAATAATAATAATAAAGCGATTAGTAAGTAAATTAAAAGTGATTATAATAATAGAAAATGATTCTTGACTTACTTGAACTGAAATCCACTTCATCATCCATATCCACGCCATAGCCACTTGTACCCGCAGTTGCTTCACTATGATTTGGTAAAGGAGAAGAGACCGATGGTAATGAATCCGGAGTAGGTATCGTTGAGGATGGAGCTTGTTGTAAAACCACCGAAGGCGTATTATCTTGAACTTGTGATTCATTGATTACTTGTTGCTCTTGCTGTTGTTGTTTTTCAATTTCCAAATGCTTCCATGGATTTCGACGTTTCTTTTCTTCAGCTTCCCTAGCTAATTTCTCTTCGCGTTCCCTTGATTCTTGTTCTTCACGTAATCGTCGTTTTTCCTTCGCTGCTTGTTGAGCTGCCAATCGAGCTTTGCGTTGTCGTGCTTCGTCTTCTATCTTTTCCTTTGCTTGTTCTTCAGCTTCCTTACGTTCCCGTTCAAGTCTTACTTCTTCATCTCGTTTTCGCTGCTCTTCGGCCAATTGTTCTGCTTCCTTCCGTGCCAGTTCCTTGCGATCTTCTTCTTCTTTTTCCCGTCGTCGCTTTTCTTCCATCATTTCTTCTTCTGCCTTCTTCGCTGCCTCGATCGCTGCCAGTTTCCGCTTTTCTTCCGCTGCCCTTGCTTCTTGTCGTGCTTGATCTCGTTTTTCTCGCATCATTTCCAAATGTTGACGTGCCTCCATTTCAGCCTGTCGCAATCGCTCTTGTGCCGCCTTTTCATCTGGGTCAACTTCCGGAGCTTTTGTTGTGGATACCAAAGTTAATTTCTTTGCCGATGAACTATTGTCAATAATATCATGTTGTTGCTTTGGTAGAAATAGTTTTCTTCGTTGTTCTATGCGTCGATGAGCTTCTGCCTTGATATCAGCACTGGATCGAGGTGAATCAGGTCTTTCGGTTGTAGGTACTGGTGGTGGTGCTTCGTTTTCCAATGAGGATGGCGATAAAGGTGTCAAAAGAGATCTTCGATAGGATGCTCGTCGATTTGCTGTAGGAGCTGCTGAAAAGTATGAGTAATTGTTGCTTTTGTTGCTGGTTGTTGTCATATCATTGTTGCGGCAGGTCGGTAAAGTGTCGATAAAAGAAGCCAATTCATCACATACAAACATCCCTTTTTCAAACATTTGTCGTTGTCGAAGATTGTGTTCAGAATCATCCTCAATCTGTTCCAATATTGATAAATTATCTTGAAGAATTCGATCCATGTCGCGCTGGTAATTAGATATTTGGGTATCGATAAGATTCATATGATCATGAATTGCCTGTTGATAACGGTCCACACGCTGAGCTTCATCATGAAGATGGGTATGACTGCGCGAGCGATTGAGTCGAGCATTCACCATGGCTTGAGCTTTTGCACGAATACGATCTGATTCGGAAAGTGATGTATCCAAATGTGTTGTGCTGAGAGTTGCAGATGATGATGAATGTTGTAAATGAGCTTTGTTGTAGTCAATTTGAGTGTGAACCCACCTATTAATTTCATCTGTCAGCTTTGTCTTCAAATCCTTGATACTAACATTGATCAGATAATCCATTTCTTTCACAAGAGATTTCCGCTGTCGTGATAAATCTTCTAGTTGCCTTGCATTGTTTTGATACCGAGACCACCACTGATGAGTATCATGTCCATATCTACCAGATAATAATGTTTTAGACTTTTCTTCCTCCAGTTGACGACAAATCCCTCGTATACGATCCTTCAATATATCGACACTTTGACCACCAATAAATGAATCATCTTTAGCTGCTGCAAGAAGTATGTGTTGTTCACGAATGGCTTTACGAAGGGCCTTTACACGTAGTTGTTGTTCACTATCGGCGGTATTGTTGGAATAACCAGATGATGAGGTGTCGCTATATCCATAAACCATGGTGATATGATTATCTACAGATATATAAAACTAAACGGACAATATGATATGTATGATGATGATAAAGTGCGAGAATGATGTTCAAGGGAGAAAAAAATAAAAAAAAAAAAAAGAAAAAAAAAAAAAAGAGAATTAGTTCCCAAAGTGAGGTGTGTACCTTTTGCCTTTTCACTCATCACAATTTAAAATCCGCCCCATACTAACAAATACTAATTTACGAACATCTTAATCCATCTTCGATCTATTAGTTGAAAATATTAAATAAGCGAGAAGAGATAGATGTTGGGTTTGTAACAAGTATAAGGATTTGTTCCGGAGATAACCAAGGAGCGCATAATTTCATGCTTTAAACAAAAAAAAAAAAAAAAGAATTCATCCCTTCATCCATCCTCTTAAAACTATAGGCTTCATACAAATCATCATAAAAAATTATTTTCATATAAATCATTTTCATACAAGACATTGTACTAACTAGCCATAATCATTCTAGTCAAGATTTGTTGAATGCTCTATTTAAAAGACAGTAATGTTGATTACTTTATATATTTTGCTTCCCAAGAATGGCATGTGTAACTGGAAGTTGGTTGCCTTTAGTTCAAACCACATCAGATGATCATCATTTATTATACTGAAGCATGATTTCTTTACCGAAAATCAGGATTGTACTTTTGTTTTAGCATTAGAATGGTTAGAATATTATTGTCATCATCAGAGGAATATTGTCATGCTATCTGTGTACCATTCGTGAGAAAATTTCTCTACAAATTTGACTCTGCTACAATTCCACTCATAGGCTTTTCTTACAAGAAGAAAGACATCCGTTTTTTTTTTTTTCTTATTCTTATATGTTTTAGAAAATCAATCATCTATAACTCCATTTGGATATGATTTATCTTTTTTTTTTTTTTTTTTTGCTTGACTATCAGACTAGGAGCTCCTAATTTTCTTCGATCCTCTTCTTTTGCGAAACATTTGTAGTACTTTAATACTATTTAATACTATGTCTATGGGATTATAGAGTTTAATGTCTCGACTAAAAAAAAAAAAAAAAAAAAAAAAAAGTTACCTAATTGAGATTGTATTGCTGGAATCAGTTTCTATTCTTTTTTTTTTTCCCATGAAGTTTAACGTTTTCATTCGTTATTTATTTTGGATGATTACCTTAAAAAAAAAAAAACTTCTTTAATCTTATTTCTTTTCCACCTGATTGTGCTATCTATTCTCTACTTTTAACAAAGTCCCATAGCTAGACCTCTTTCTTTTTTTTGCCTTATCCTCTCTCATTGGTAAGTATAGGATGGATATTGTGTACCAATCATCTCTTTTTTCTGTCACTATTTTAAGGTATTTGCGGGGTCAACTGTATCAGAGAGATCATTCGTTCTATATCAGGTAATCGAACACCTTGTAACTGAGTTTCATTTGTATAGAGTTCAATGTTTTCATCTGTCTACTCCATTTTCACTGAAGGAAACTTTGTATTCTTGTAGTAGTGATATTGATGTTAGAGATAGAATTAAAAATCATGACGATGTACGATAGATGATGGATGATGGACGATGGATGATGATGTGAGCGTATGATGACTTTCTTTTTTTAATCTATGGGCACATAGAAAAACAAGCACAACCTTTTTTTTTTCTTTTTAACAGACTTCGTCATGGTCTTCTCCTGTTGCTCAGCTGATGATTATTAGACATTTAACAGAGCCATTTCTTGATGTGTATTACCATAGATTAAAAATAACACTCTCTTTTGTGCATGCTTATTCCCTTTTTCAATCGATCTCTTGAAGGAACATTTGGGTAAATCACGTTGTATCTCCGATTACACACCTTGCTTAAGAGCCACGAATGCACAGAATCCTTCTACATTCTAAATTGTTACTAGATCTTTTTTGATTAAGTGACTTCGCTGAACAACAGGGTTAACACATATATATAATTTGATACAAAAACAATGGTGAAATAAATGGATAATTAGAGTATTAAAAAAAAAAAGATGAAGGATCTATATTGAAGACTTAACATTATGTCAAATGTGGATGATGGGTAACTCACATGGATTTCCAGTTATGAATAAACATTGAGGTGTACGAAATCAAATCCTATTTCCTTCCTTCTTCGTCGTCTGACGTTCATGTCAAACTTGGACTGGGAGATGTCGGAATCATAAAAAAAAAAAGGTTTAGATTGAAGGGGATTCTTTTCTTCCCTTCCTTTTTCTTTTTTTTTTTTTTTTTTTTTTTGTTTCTTCTTCAGTTTTATCTCCAATTGAACTTTTTATTTAGTAAGTGAATTTATTGTTTACCTTTTTTAATAATAGTATTGTAAACTTATATAATATACATTAGTAGTTGTCGATCCTTCCATTTAATATATACTTATTGGAAAATATGAAGACCTCCAATCACTCAATCAAATAGTTGAAACTTATCAAGGAAAGGATAATTAGGTCATTCAGAGAACTATGTTTTTGGAAGAAATTAAGTATGACTAGAAATAGTATAGAATAAAAAAGAAAAGGGATTGCTTGGGGGAAAAAAAAATGATATCCAACTTAGAAGAGAAATGGAACAATAGCTTGGTGACACCGAATAGATCAAACTTACTCTGATTTACAACTTGAAATAATTCTAGGTAATCGATAGTGACAAGTTTTGTGATTCTTGTGCCAGTATATCATCTTGGAAGAATGGGACTAAACGACCTTTTTTTTTTTTTTTTTAGTGGAACCAAACGACGTATACAAAAGCAAGACGTACATCAATTTAGGTTCAAGAATCTTATATAGTATTGGTTTAGTCGCATCAGTGTAGCTAGTTATGGATTTTACTTTTTCTTTTATCACAATAAAGAACATATCGTCTTGGTTTTACCTTTTTTTTTTTATAGTATCTTCTTATTCACAAAAAAAAAAAGTCAAATGTCAATGATCCAGTAATATGATTTAGATGGTTTTAATAGAAAAAAAAAATAAAATAGTATTCTTATTATATGATCGAAAAGTATTATTACATGTTCAAGTCATTTGATACCTTTTTTTATTTTTCTTTTTTTTTTTTATTGTTAAGACCTTTGAAATGTCATATCTTCCTCAGACATCATTATCATAGAAATCATCACATTAGTTTTATTCTATCTGCAGGTCACCTCAAATGATACTGTCTCAAAGTAGTTAAAAAATGGGTGATGATGATAAATATAGATCTAAACAACTGTTGTTAGTTTTGTGGTCCAAATTAGAAGGTCCGTGCGACCTTGTGACTCATTGATTCAACTCCACATCTCTTCTAGCCCTCCTAAACTTATCCCCAACATGGAAGTCATGGCGTAGTTTCAATTGTGATCATAATGCAGCCTTTTCAATCAGGTCGTACAATCATTTACGTAGCGGATGTAACTATTGCTTTTCCATTTTATTTTTACTCACGACGATTTCTCAAGGGCAGGGGGGAATAAAAGATGTTCAGGTACATGATTTGCCTTTTTTTTTTTTATAAAGAAGAATACTGATGTTGCTATATTTGTCTCTAATAAAGTAACACATGAATCAATGAATTCACAAGTAAATCATAGTGTTTTGATGTCATGAAAGCAAAATTTTCTGCTGGATGAATGCACAATAGATCATTCTCATTGGAAATTTATTCGCCATCGATCACTATCTTCATCATCATCATCATTATCACTTAATCATCATCATCGTCATCATCACCATTACCACTTAATCATCACCATCACTTCACTTATCATCATCATCGGCTACAGTAAATCACCGTGCTGTTAGTTAATATATGTGATGCGGTTAAACGAAAGGATAAATATCTAGTGAACTATGATACTAAGTAGTAACGTAAAGAAAGACTTTGTTATTGACAGCTACAGTAAGTGGGGGAAAGCAAGGCAAGACTATTATTATTTTCATCTAAAGTGTGATGTGGGTATTTCACATTCTGTTACACCCGTGATAATTGTCTCAGTAAGGCGTTTGATTATTTTCCAATAAGAAGTGATTACTGCCTGTTAAACCATGCCATTTTTTTGATTAATATGAGAAAAAAGCGGAGTTCCGATGATTATAAAAGTAGAAGAAAGGGACAAAAATTTTTTGTTTCATCTCTTTACTTTTATTTTTTTTCTTTTTCTTTTATTTATATTTTTATATAATCTTTTCCCTTTTTTGATATTGACAACTTTTCTTTTTTTTTTTGAAAGAAACGTAGACCCTTTTGACATCACAACAAAGCGTCAAGTCAGTTGATCAATACCCCCCATTCCTTCTTTTTATATATATATATTTCTCCACTCTTTTATTTATTTACCCTCAGAAGAAAACACTTTTTTTTTATTTACTCTGATGTCAGCAGCACAAGATCATCATGATTCTGATGCACTCGCTATCAACGCTCAGGATGAATATTATCACAATGCTCGCGAACGTAGTATCGAAGACGACTTGATGGAAGAATATTCGGAAAAACCACCACCACCACCTAAAAAGAAATTCTACAAAAACAAGAAATATTGGATCATCTGCTCAATCATTTCAGCTATTGCTATCGTTGTCGTGGTTTGTTTGATCGTCTTTGTCTTCTTCCCTATGATTGTACAATCTCTTATGAATCAAGCTGGTATTGATGTCAATGGTGCTGATATTACTTTTTCCCAACCTCAAAATCAACAATCTACCAAGCGTGATTATGACATCCAAAAGACCTTTTATATGAACATGCAAAGTACTCTCAAAAATACTGGTCCCTTTAGTGCTGACATTGTTTTCCACAATCCTATTTTGGTTTATTACAATGGTACTTTACTTGGAAACATCACTTTACCCAACACTAGTATTGGTGGCGGTCATGGTGCATTGAATGCTCAAACTCCTTTTTTGATTCAAGATCCAAATTATTTTGCTTCTTTCTCCAAGGATATGTTGGCTATGGATTCTTTTAATTGGAATTTGAAAGGTAGCTGTGATGTCACTGCTTTGTCAAGGTAATATAGATGATTCTCGATTTCCCCACGATTTGAAATATTTTTAGTTTTTTTTTTTTTTATTTTGTGTTACATTTACTAACTTCCAATGTCTACTTTTTTTTTTTTAACTATAGAACTGCTACGGCTACTTTGGACAAGACTGTATCCATTCCTGGTAAGTCTTTTTTTTTCTTTTTGTTTTTTTTTTTTCCTTTTTTTTTTTTTTTTTTTTTTGGTTGTGTAAAAGATACTTCTGATTTCTCAGATCTTATATGTGGTACATTGGTGTGTTTTTTTGAGCATGATATTCCCATTCATAGGTCATTTTGGGCGTGGCGGGCTTGAAATTATGTCACACTAACTATTTCCTTTTTTTTTTTTTGTCCTTCCTCTCTCTTTCCTTTTTTTTTTTTTTTTTTTTTTTTTATTATTATTATTATTATTATTCCCTACTGTATGAAATTCTCACTCTATGATCATCCCCCTTAGGTATGGGTGGTTTCAAGGATGTCACAATCAAAAACTTCCAATTACCTGCAAATGATCCTACTGGTGGTATTCTCGTTGAACTTGGTACTGTTTTGGTTAGTCCTTCTCCTGTTGGTATTCAACTTGGTACAATTCAACTTCAAATTGGTTATCAAGGTGTCAATCTCGGTACTGTTTCTGCTACGAACGTGACTCTTGCCAAAGGTGACAATTCTATTCCTCTCAAAGGTTCTATCAAACCTCTTTCCAACCCTGCTGATTTGGAAAAAGTAGGTGTCATGTTCTCTACCTATGTTAGTGGTGGTACTGCTCAAACGTCTGCCGTTGGTATCTCCGCTGCTCCTGATGGTCAAACTACAATCAACTGGTTATCTGATGCTTTCAAATCTGTTCAACTCAACGTTGGTCTTTCAAACGCTGGTGGTCCTTTGAAGATTATCAATGCTGTTAGTATGGGTTACCTTGATCTCAAGTTTGATGCTAACAATCCTTATGCTCCTACTGTCTCTGCTCCCAACGTTGTGGCTGACTTTAGCATTCCATTTGGTTTTACTCTCAACATTACTGATGTGACTCAAAACATTACAATGAACACAAATTCAACTGGCAACTTTTCTGAATTAGCTGTTCCTTGGGTACCTTCTCAAAGCAATCAAGCTGCTGGCAAACTTCAGTTCCCTATCAATCAAGCTACTCTTGCTGCTCTTCCTGGAAAAAATGATGCCTTCAATTCTTATACTTATGATTTGACTGCTTCCAATCTATATACCTTTGGTGTTTCTGGTATGGCTACAACCAAAACTCAAACTCCTATCGGTGACATTACTCTTGGTGGTATTACTTTCTCTGTTCCTACTTCTCTTCATGGTCTTCAATTTTTGAATAGTACTCCTACGGTGATCAATAGTGTGGATATGACTGGTGGTACTCAACAAGCTCTTCAACTCAATATTGGTGTTACTATGGGTAATCCTTCTGATTTCAGTATGTCTGTGGGTGATGTTACTTTTGCCATGTTTGCTGGATCTACACAAGTTGGTACTGTTACTTTAGCCAATTTGACTCTTCAACGTGGTGATAATACTGTGATTGCCAAAGCAAACTTTGATCCCAAATCCTCTCAAGATGGTCAAGGTATGCTCACTTCATTTGTCATGGGTAAGAACAGCACTGCTTCTATTGGTGGATTTGATGGTTCAACTGCTATTGCTTCATTGGCCAGTGCTCTAAGTGCTATCAAGATCGATACTACTCTTCCTGGTCTCAAGGCTCCTTTGATCCAAAGTGCTGCTTTGACTGTCTTACCAAATACTATTCAAACAAGTTTCGTCAATGTTGCTGTATCTATTGCCAATCCTTTCACAGCTGGTCTTGCTATCACAAAGGTCAAATCTGCTGCTACTTATAAAGGTATGCCTGTTGGAAACATCGATCAAGATATCAGTAACAATCCTTTCGTTATTGATGGTCATGCAACTGCTGTATCTCCTCAATTGAATATGCAAATGAATTTGGAACCTGCTGCTGTTGCTTTATTGATGCGTGATCTTGCTGTTGATGCTCATTTGGATACCAAGGCTTTGGACGCATTGCTCGGTATGGGTGGTTTTCATATTCAAGGTCAAGAAGATGTTGCTCCTACTGCTGCCCTCTTTAATGGATTCAATATCTCAAGTTATGTGATGCAAGCTATGACTGCTCTCAAGACCGATCTCAATCTGGAATCTACTCTTCAAGTTGGTGATTATGTTGATGTCTTATCTTTCTCTCAAAATGGTGTTCAAATTCATTCTGATGATACAGTGACTCGTCTGATTCCTATTGTTGGTCAACCCATTGTACAACAAATCGTCAATGGTGCCGTACTTGGCTTTGATACTCTGATTTTATCTGATCCTACCAATACCAATGCAAAGGTACAAATGAAAGGTTCCATTACGAAAACTGGTCCTATGGCTGCTACAATCAATTTCCCTACTCCGTTGACTATTAGATGGCAAGGAAAAACTCTTGGTACTGCTACTATGCCTGCTATTCAAGCCATTGCTGATCAAGGTGCTCAATTTGATCTCCCTTCCAACTTTGTGATTACTGATCAAGATGCTATGGAACAATTCGCCGCGTATATGATCAACAATGAAGAATTTATTTGGGATATTGTGTCGAATGATGTATCTGTTACTGCTCTCGGTTTTACATTTACTGGAATCAAGATGGAAAAATTCGTGACGCTCAAAGGTGCTAATGGATTCAAGGGTGCTGTTACAATCAATTCTTTCAATCTTCCTGCCAATGATCCTGCTGGTGGTATTACTCTTATTGCTAATACTACAATTGTCAATCCTTCTCAAGTCGGTTTCTCTCTTAACACTGTGGCTTTCAACAGTTATTACCAAGATGTCATGATTGGTCCTCTTGCTGCTTCCCCTGGTAATTTTGCTCCAGCTGGTTCTTCAAGCGTCCAAATGAAGGGTCGTATGATACCTCAAAACTCTCAACATGGATTGGATTTGGTTACCGAAGTATTTGAAAACTATTTGAATGCCAAAAATTCTGTTTTGTCTGTGAAAGGTGATTCTGCAAGTGGTCCTACTGGTCAAGTTAGTTGGCTCACTCAAGCATTCAAAAGTCTCGAAATTGATAATGTGATTTTGCCTGGTCCGTCTGAAAAACCTGTTTTGATTCCTTCGATCACCATGGAAAATATGCAATTGGACTTCACCAAGGATCCTTATGCTCCACCTGCAAGTTCTACTGATGTCCGCGCTCAACTCAAGAATCCATTCGGTTTCCCTCTCGGTGTTAGTCAATTGAGTATGGAAGTAGATGCCCAAGCAGCTGGTCAAAAGATGGCTCATCTTTCTATACCTACCGAACAAGCAACTACTGATGCAAGCGAAGTGGTGAAGACTCAATTTGAAAATATTCCCTTCAAGGTCAGTGATCACACTTTGTTTTCTGGTTTCTTGGCAGCTCTTACCAAATCTTCTAATTCCTCCTTTGGTCTTTCTGGTACCTCCAATGCTCTCACTCAAACTGCTGTGGGTAACCTTCAACTCAACGGTATTGGTTTTGATGTTACTACTAGTATGGCTGGTAAGTTTTTTTTTTTTTTATTATTATTATTATTATTATTATTATTATTATTATTATTATTATTATTATTATTATTATTATTATTATTATTTGGAATATATGCATGTATGGATTTAGCTACATGATACTCACTATCAACCAACATTTACTTTTTTTTTTCTTTTTAGGACTTGGAAACTTCGGTGGAAAGACTGATATTCTCAAACTTGCTATTACTGGGGGCACCAAAGATTATCTGCTTGTCCAAACTACGGTGTCTTTCACCAATCCATCTCAAATCACAATTACTGTTGGGGATATCAACTTCTCTGCCAAGGATACTAGTGGAAACGTGGTAGGACAAGTGTTTATCACCAATACTGTAATCAAGCCTGGTGTTAATCAATACGATGCTCCATTCCATCTTGCTGGTCCTGCTCAAGCCGTTGGACAAATCTTCTCTGATTATCTTACTAATGCCAAGGTACCATTGACTATTCTTGGTACCTCATCCTCTACCAAGATTGAACCTCTTCAACAAGCTTTCGAAACTGTAAATTTGGCGACAACGATGAGTGGTATTCAAGCAAATCTTATTGTAGGTGTCAAAGTGATTGTCACTATCGCTGATCTATTTGCTAAAAAGGCTAAAGCTGTGACGACGCTTCGAAATCCCCTTGACACATCTTATTCTCTTACTGGACTCAAGGCTGAAGTGTATTTCCCTGGAAAATCTGGACAATTCAAGGTTGGTCACGTTGATTCTATTCCTGTACCTTGTAATGTTCCTGCTGGTGGCCAAACAACGTGTGATCAATGGGATGTGACGATGGATGCAAATTTGGAACAATTGATTGAAGTAGTATTGGCTTCTGACAAGAGTATGAACATGCAACAAAACATCACTACAACGGTTGGTGGCTCGGATGGTTTTAATGCTGCTTTCTATTACTACCAAGATCATGTTCCTACTGAACTCGATGTGGATCTAGGAATCTTGAACTTACCTCTTGGTCCAAAACTCAACAATACCTCTTCTGCTAACAGTACTATTTCGGGATTATCATCATCATTATCATCTGCCGCGAACCTTTCTATTTTACCCACAGCATTGCCCACAGCATTGCCTACTGGATCTGGGACCGACAAGACTTCCGAAAAAGCGACACCTACTGACAAAGCTACACCTACGGACAAGGCCACACCTACCCAAGATTCTGGTTCAAGTGACAAATCATCGACTGCTGCAAAATCTGATCCTACCACTAGTTCCAAGAATCACTTTATTTTCCCATTTTAGATGGGTCACATCTCAGTAAGTAATGCAAAAAAAAAAAAATAGGATGATGTTTCTTTACTAATGGTTTTATGTTTTTTTATAGAATGAATACCGCTTGAACTATACTACTTTTTTTTATATACATCAATTGATATTATTAAATTGATTGATTATTTATTACTATCACTATTATTATCATTATTATTATTATATTTATTATTTATTATTAGTATCTAGTATCACTATCCCCCTTCCTTTCATTTTTCTTTTCTTCCCTTTTCTCTTTTTTCTTATTTTATTTTATTTTATCTATTCACTTTACTTTTGTATCTATATTCTATACTTTGTATTTCTTACGATGATCTACAAGTAGAATTTGTATTTCTTTTATTACTCTCCCATTCTTTTCTTTTCTATTTCTTCATTTTCCTTTATCTCCTCTTTGTTTTTTGTTTTCTTTTTTTACGTTGTTTTACTATTATTATTTTTCATCATATTCTTTAACAGAGACAATTTGTCTTTTACCCTTTATTCACTTTTTTTTTCCTTTAATTTTCATTCTTTTGTTTGGTTTTTTTTTTTTTTTTGTTGTAGTTTTAGTTCAATTTATTTTGTCGCAATAAAATACGATGATCATGTTGTGGTATTTTTAATATTTGGTTGATCTTTCTGGTTTTGGATTTATTTGTCATAATACTGGGATAACAATGAAAAGATATTTTTATTACTCATATTTCATAAGGAAACTTCACATTGTTAGGAATATAAAAAAAATATATATATATGGAAGAAAAAAAAGGGGGTTGATCTGGAAGGTATGCTATTGATGGGGGGAGCGAAGGAAACTGATATGTCAAGGTCATGATTAAGAGGAGATGGCACCAGATGCGATCCATTGTTTACCTGGGCGTAATCCCGACGCGATGATGATGATAGTGCGCTTCTAGGGTTCTCATGTAAAAAAAAAAAAAAAAAAAAAAAAAAAAAAAAAAAAGGAGGTGGGTATCATGGACAGCATATGCAGGTAAAAAAAAAAAAAAAAAAAAAAAAAAAAAAGTCAAATGACAAGGGGAAATGTATATGATTCTATTATGGTATGACGATAAAAAGAACTTATCGAAGTTTATTTTGTATATAATATATATATATTTGTTTTTCAAAGATGAGAAACGTAAAGGAGAGCCAAGAAGAGTAAAACTAAATTGTACAAGAGAAAGATCTACTAATATATAAACTAATTGGGAAGAATAATGATATAATAATAATAATGATATAATAATAATGATATAATAATAATGATATAATAATAATGATATAATAATAATGATATAATAATAATGAGAGTAATGATAGTGATAATGATAATAGGAATAATGGAGAAATATGATAAACCATGATAACAATATATATATATATAGATGTGAAATAAGAAGGATGATATAATAAACTATAAACTATAGTAAGCTATATACTATTTTTTTTTTTTTTGTGGATGCTTTTTGATTTGCTGTTGTAATTTGATGCTGATTTCGTTGTTTTGTTATTGTCTTGAGAGATTCTACCATACTGATGTTGATATTCAGGATACCATTAAAGTGAAGACCCATCTATTACCATTTCATTTACCACATTTGATCTTTCATGCTTCTGTTGTTGCTGATGATCTTGATGCCTATTTTCTTGTTGTTGTACTGTTGATTGACGAGCTTGATGGTAAGTAGTCGAAGGAGTAGGAGGAGCTTGAAGGATGGCATTGGGAAGAAGATCGCTGGCATCACCAGTAGTGGTTCCATTGTTGGATGATCCATGAATAGGAGGATACATGAATAAAGGATGAGCAGAACTTTGTGACATGGTAGATCTTGAATCATGTGGATGCCGTATATCTGATCCTCTTTGCTGTTGTGAAGAGATATCCATCATTGATCTATACACTTCGGGTTGTCTTCGATCCGTACTATGTTGATTTGTAGCAGCATCAGTTGTTGTTGTCGTTGTACTGGATGGTGGAGATGTTGAATTTGTTGCTGTCATCAGAGAGGCTTGATCCAAAAAAGAGATCTCTGCAGGATTGACGTTAGTGGAATTATTGTTATTTGTGTATTGCTGATTATATGGTTGCATAGAATAAACTTGTGCTGCTTGTTGTAATTGCATTCCATTATTGTTGCCACTTCCAAAGTGATGATGATGTGAGTGAGTATTGTAAGAGGTTGACATATAAAATTGTTGATGTCCAGAATCAGAAGGTGATGCAGTATGAAATGTACTGGGTGTAGTGGTCATCGATGTATTGCAAGTAGTAGAAGATGGAAGTTGTTGTTGTTGTTGATTAGTATGGGATGAACCAGTGATTGAGGAAGAGGAAGGTATTCGTTGTTGTTGTTGTTGAAAAGTAGAAGTGACAGATGAGGTAGAAGATGAAGTTGGAGAGGCTAAAGAATAAAATGGAGTATTGTTGAAAGATAAAGTTTGTTGAGGATGAGGACTTGTTACATCCATCATGGCTGAAGGTGACGTGGATGATTCTGCATAAGTTAACCGATGTTGTTGTTGTTGTTGTTGTTGCTGTGCTGACGATGATTCGGACATAGAACGTGAATGATGAGATCGAACGTATAAAGTATATGAAGGAATGAAAACCATATGTGTACCTTTCGGTTGTTGTTGTGATGGTGGTGATGATGATGGATCCAGTAGAATGGATTTCCTTTTCTTTGTTGGCATACCCGATGGTTCTTCCAGTTCCATTTTTACCAAACTTGATGATGATGTATCAGAAGATAATGATGAGCGATGATGTAACAAAGCAGAAGAAGAAGAAGGATTTGATGAGGAAGATTGTTGTAAATTTCTTGTTGCTCTTGCCATGAGGAATTGTTGGTGCTGATCGGAATCCATTGTAATTTGATCTAGAGAGATGTCCACTAAAGAAGATAAAGCATCAGGAGACAGACGAGAAAGATGATAATAATGTTCAAACATTCGGCCCAAATCAGATTCCACATTGACAAACCAATCATCATTTCCAGCGACTACAGAGCATAATTTGGATGATAAAAATAAGATACGTTGAACACGATCCACTACATCCCGTTGTCTAATCCTTTTCCGTTCTTCGGTGAGTCGATTGTAAAAACGTCGTTCATTCCAAGAAATATCGGGAAAACGCTGTTTGACGATATCTCGAATTTCGTGAGTTTGCATACGTTGTCGTGCGAGTTGAATAATAAATGAATTGACTTCAGCAGGCCAAGTTTTGACCATATCTTTTGGATCCATCATTTCATGATTATGTTCATAAGCAGTTGGACTAGAAGATTTTCGAAATTCCCATAAGCCTTGATTATTTTCAGATAATACTCGCGCCATCGACAATCACAACGTTTTGAAGGACGTTTTCTTTGAGGAGTTGGTTTCGGTTTTCGTTGAGAATCAGGAAGTCCTTCACGAGAACAATAGACATATATATTCTAATCAAAGTAAAAAAAAAAAAAAAAAAAAAAAAAAAAAAATTAAAAAATTAAAAAAAAGAAATTAAAAGCGGAGAATGAGTAAGTTCCCTTTTGATATAATGCATCTATTGCTGCATATCTTCTTTTTTTTTTTTTTTTTTTTTTTTACTTACTCTGTTGGCACTAGCTTCTTGCTTAACAGTAAAACCAAATTCCGCACACGCATGACGACAGAATTCAACAGCAGAGTGACTATTGGGAAATGCTTGTTGTAGTAATTGTTCATAAAGAGGTTCCATCTAAAAAAAAAATCTATTTAGTTTCATTATTTCTATATATTTATTATTATTATTATTTACCGCTTCACGACTACCAGATAATCGTCTTTCCTGAGACTGTAATATTTCTTGTTGTTGAGTCATGATAAAAAAAAAGTTTTGATGAAGTTGTTGAATAGTATATACAAAAAAAAAAGATGGTCGTTTTTATCTTTTCTATTGATTGGCAGGTTAACTCGTTACCACCGCTTTCGTTTTGTTCTATTTGTAGATTGATCAAGTACTATGACTAGAATATATAAATCAAAAGGTTCTAATTCATTAATAACAATGATCAAATAAAAAACAGGAAACTCGGGATATCAAAAAAAAAAAAAATGGAAGAGTATAGAGAGAGAGGGAAAGAAAAAAAAAATGGAATAAAAAAAAAAAGAAAGAAAGAAAGAAAGAGAGAGAGAGAGAGAAAAAAAAGGCAAAACTGGTTGGAATTTTTATTTTTTTTTTTTTATGTTTTTTTTTCAAACTTTGGCGTCGTGACAATAGGAAAGAGGGGTTAGGACAGCAATCACAACAAGTCCCAAAAGAAGAAAAATGACAAGAAAAAAAAAAGGAAAGAAATGAAATAAATCAATGGATTATTTTAAAATTATAAATTCAAGATGATGTATTGAATAAAGAAAAAAAAAAAAAAAGAAGAACAAGATTATTAATGATAAGTGACCAGATAATTGGGAATAAGATTAGTGATACTGGCTTAAGAATGCAGGGCTATAGATATCCCGATCATGAAAAAAAAAGGGAGAACAAAAAGAAAGAAACCAAACAAATACAAAGGGGGGAAAACCTTTTTTTTTTTTTTTTTGATGATAATAAGGAGGATGAAATTAAACAATTTCAATGTATCTATTTCAAGTTTTTTTTTTTTTTTTTTCTTATACTTTAAACACTGTCATTTTTTTACTAATGCAAACTACCAAGTGACCTTTTTGTTTTTTTTTTTTTTGTTTTTTTTTTTTTGTTTTTTTTTTTTTGTTTTTTTTTTTTTTTTTTTTTTTTTCTTCACTCCTTTCTCTCTTTCTCTCTTTCTCTCTCTCCTTTTTTTTTTATAACTAGTTTCGCGCTCTTTTTAAGTTGTCGTTGTGTGTGGCAAAATAACAATAAAGCAGGGTCATCCTTTTTTTTTTAAAAAAAAAAATGACACTCTTTTAACGAAAGCCCGCCTAAAAAAAAAAAAAAAAAAAAAAAGAGAGAAAGACATTTTACCCTTTCTCCTATCATTCATTATCTTCCATGAGAAAATCCTATTTTCTCCTGATCTCATTTTCACTATTTGACATCTGAACTCCGATTCTCGTGTATTTCACGCGGCCAAAATATATCATCATCATCATACATACATACATACATAAAATAATTCATAACAGGGATTTTTACAGTGGGAAAATGTATCATCATCATCATTTCTTTTTCAATTTTAGAAATTATTCATTTTCTCGGTCAAAAAAAAAAAATCTATTTTTAAAAAATCTTTTGAACTTTTTTTTTTTTTTTATCTCAGTCATTTTTTTTTCTTTTTCCTTTTTTTATGCCAAAACTAAAATCTAAAAAGAAACATTGTCAACATTATTCATCACCTTATGATACAAATAATATTCCTCACTATATATCAAACCATGCTTATGCAAACTATATCAACCAAGGTATGTACTGCAAACAACATGCTGAAAAACTAGCTCAAAAAGAAGAAAGGGCGAAAAGAAGAAAAGATATGCAAGAAGCATGGGAGAAACGAAAAGAAGAAATGGAAGAATCAAGTAGAAAATTGGAAGCATCAATGAGAAAATTGAATGAATCAATGAGAAAATTGGAAGAATCAATGAAAAAATTGGAAGAATCAATCAAAAAATTGAAACAGGTTTTGGAAAAGTTTTTGGAACAACTAAAAAGACATAAACGTATTCGACCAGAATTAACACCACAAAAGTTGAGAAAATATCGGAAACAATATATTTTACAATGGGATACATTCATACAACAACTCAACAATAATAATACAATGACAGACCTTCGTGATATTCCATGGCCAACATTAGGTTCTCCTATTACAAGAGATAATGTCCGTATCTTTTTGATTCACCATACCCCAAAACAAATTCGACAAGAAATATTACGCTATCATCCTGACAAATTTATTCCAAGAATAAAATCTATCTTCAAAGGTTCGAAAAAAGATTTGGATTGGATACAAAAAAAGGATAATGAAGTCTCTTGTTGGTTAAATGAACTTTGGACTGAACGAAATGGATCTCGACCGACCTTTGGAGGATGTTAGTTAAGTTTTAGTTTTTATCTTTAGTTTGTGTATAAATCTCCCTTGTAACATCCAAATAGGTTACATACATATTGTATATATCATATTTTTTTTTCTTTTTCGAATTAAAAAAAATAAATAATACTTATATCTATGAATTAATTTTGTTTTTATTTTGTTTTTATTGAATGATTGAATGATAAAAAAAAAATACAAGAGAGAGTAGGGTAAGTAAAAAAAAAAATGACAAATGAAAAGAAAAAAAAAAGACAATATAACAATGTAGATATAAATATATATATATATATATTAAATGAAGACTATGGATCTTGTATTAAACGCCAAATACGAACACAACCATCATCACCAACGGAAGCAAGCCAATCACCATGAGTTTCATTAGGGAACCAACTCACACAATTGATATCATGAACACCATGAGCATCTTTCGTAGTAGCCACCGATGACCAGGTAGGTGCATTGATATCCAAATTTTCTTCATCCTTTGCAAATACTCGTATAGAATTATCACCACTTGCACTGGCGATATGACCATGGACCTTGGACCAAGATACAGAATAAACACATCGTTCATGCATCCCTGATAATGTACAAATAGTTTTCCAAACTGCTTCCCCATTAGGTGTAGCGATTCCTTCAGAGTTATTGGGTCCATACATCTTCCAGATACGTATTGTTTGATCATCCGAACCAGATACTATAAAAAAAAAAAAGATTCATTCAATCCTTCTACTTATATATATATATATATATATATATATATATATATTGTACGAATCATACCTATTTGATTCCCATCTTCACTGAAATCTATCGACCATACAGTAGAAGTGTGTCCTTGTAATGTATCAGCACAATACCAATCATCTTCATCTTCTTTCCAAATCTTAATAGTATCATCGTAACTTGCTGATGCTAGAATTTCTTGTTTAGGATGCCATGCCACCATTTTCACATCTTGAGTATGTTCTTGTAATACACTTAGACATTCAAAATCATTATCTGATTCCACTATGGACAAAAAAATAAAAAAAAAGTGTCAACCATAGAACATAAAAATAAAAAAAAAAATCCATCAGTCAGTACCTTCCCAAATCCAAACACTTTTATCCCTGCTACAAGTAGCCAGTAAAGCACCCGTTGAAGACCAAGCAACCGATTTGATTTCATTTTCATGACCTTCCAAAGTCGCTACGCATTCCCAATCCTTTTCACGAGAATCGTGTTCCCATATACCAGTAGTCGCATCGAAACTTGCTGTTGCCATTTCATTTCCTGTTGGTGACCAAGCAACACTTCGTATTGTTCGTTTATGAGCACCTTCTAAAGTATCGATGCATTGCCATTTCGTGAAATCGTTGTGTGAGGATGGTGCCCATAGTCGAACCGATTTATCGCCAGAACAAGTTGCTAATATGGTTTTAGTGGGATGCCAAGCTGCTTGCCAGACACGATCTTGATGACCTATAATATATATATAAAATATAAAATAACACAAAGAAGGAGTCATTAAGTTGAATTAGAAATCTTATATCTGTCATGTTCATCCTTTTTTTTTTTGTTTAAATCAGTTTTACCTTCAAGAGTTGCTAGTAATTCAAGACGAGGCATCTTTTTGGCGCTTTCAAAAAAAAAAAAAAAAAAAGAAAAAATCTGAAAAGAAAACGAAAAGAAAAAAAAAAAGCCAATGAGGGTGCTGTTGTTGTTTTGAGTCTTGAAAGAATTTCAGTTACCGCTCCAGTTACAGTGATTGACTAAAGTTAATTTCAGCTCATCTTTTTGGTGGTTAGATACGCTATGGCCAATCAAAGAAAGTTTTTAAAATTTTTTGCCAACATATAAAAAAAAAATATATATATTTATCTCCTCAAATCAGTACCATAATACTGGATCTTATTGAAGGAATCATCATCAGTGATCCAGTTGAATTGAAAATGAGGAGAACCTAGTAGACAAGTTATGCCGACCAAAGAACCTAAAGGTAGAGAGTAGAATAGGATTCTCACATGATGATGATTATCTCCCATTAGAAGTATAGATCCAGGGTATCATTCTTTTTGTTTTTTTTTTTTTTATGAGGAGAAAAGATTTGATCTAAATAAAGAAAACGCCATGACCCTTCATGTGCCTGGAATGCATAAATTACACTTTATTTCTTTCTTTAGTTTACTCCTTATCATCTTACAGAAGTATGAAATAAGTATCCAATCTATCGGATATCTTTTTTAGTAAGGTGAGAAAGCATGAGAATAAGAAAACCAGTTCCTCTTGTTTTTTTTTAAGTTATGTACTTTTACATTCATACACAGTATCAAGATGATGAATGATGATGTATGCATGATGATGATGCACGTATATTATATATATATATATATATATACCTGGTGATATGACGTGAAATCAATCTCGATAGAAATGACGTTTTGATACTTCTCTTATAACCCAACAATACTCACAAAAAAAAAAAAAAAAAAAAAAACAAGAAGAAAGAAAGAAGAGAATAGGTTTTATTAACAGTATTGATAGCAGATAGTAACAATTTGTATACCTCAATACTATTCATACAGTTGATGTTCAAGGTCCCACTAGTCTCTATGAGATTTGTAACACCGATCGCATTTTACCTTCTTTTTTTCTCAGGATTTGGTGTGAACCTTGTTCTCTTTTCTACTCTTTTTTTTTTTTTTTTTTTTTTTTTCTCTCTATACAGACAAAATGACTACCATTCAAAACGAAAAGGGAAAACTTATGATATGTATCGATCGTGGTGGTACCTTTACTGATTGTATTGGCTTTCGTGGAACTCCTGGACAGTCTGACTATGAAGAGTATGTTATCAAACTATTATCAGAAGACCCTTCAAATTACAAAGATGCTCCAACTGAAGGTATTCGTCGTATTCTTGAACTAGCTACTAAGAAATCATATCCTCGTGACCAACCTGTACCTACAGACCTACTTGGTAAGTACAACCTTATTATTATTATTGTCATTGTATGATAACTAAAAAATGATATTTTATTTATTATAGCTAGTGTACGAATGGGTACTACTGTAGCTACGAATGCTCTCTTGGAAAGGAAAGGTGAACATTGTGCTTTATTGATTACAAAAGGTTTTAAAGATTTATTGACTATTGGTAAGTATCATTAAAAATACAAGTTAGTCTTATTTATTCACCTACTTGTTATATTGGTTAAAACTTTTATTATCCTGCTAGGAAATCAATCGCGTCCTAAGATTTTTGATCTATCTGTTACCAAACCTGATGTACTTTATCAAGATGTTATAGAGGTGGATGAAAGGTAAATAAATCACGATCGATTAATAAAATCATATCTTTAATCATGTTTTCATGGTTTTGAAAGAGTAATTCTTCTCAATTCTGCCGCTACCTCGGAGCCTATTGACCCTCAAACTCTATCAAAGGAAGATTCGCATGTTGTACAAGGTATTTCTGGTGACTGGATTCGTATATTGCAAAAGCCAGGTAACAATAATGAAGATAATCACTACATAATTTAGAACTTACGTTTTGTGTTTGGTTCACCATTTAGATATGGACAAGGTCAAGAAACAACTGCAAGGTTTATTTAATGATGGTTATAGAAGCATTGCTATCTGTTTGATGCATTCATATACCTTTCCTGGTAAGTCTCAAAGGTTTAAAAAAAAAAAAAAAAAAAAAAAAAAAAACTAAGAAACAATCTGATGTCTAATTATTTTCTTTATATATAAAATAGAACATGAACGTCAAATTAGCGATTTAGCCAAATCAATGGGATTCACTCATATCTCTTTATCTCATCAAGTTATACCTATGATCAAGATGGTTCCCCGTGGTACTTCTGCTACTGCGGATGCATACTTGACACCTTGTATTCAAAAGTATATTCAAGGATTTACTGGTGGATTCGATAATGGTTTTGAAAATGGAAATACTCAACTTCAATTCATGCAAAGTGATGGAGGTTTAGGTAATAGTTGTTTATTAAAAGAAACAAAATATGTATATCATCAATCTAACATCATAAATAGTCCCTGTCAGTCACTTTTCAGGCTTTCGTGCTATTTTATCTGGTCCAGCTGGTGGTGTTGTAGGATATGCATTGACAAGTTTTGAATCAGAATTGGATCGCACTCCAGTGATTGGTTTTGACATGGGTGGAACTAGTACTGATGTATCACGCTATGATGGAATGTACGAACATGTTTTTGAAACAACTACGGCTGGTGTTACTATCCAAGCTCCTCAACTAGATATTAATACTGTCGCTGCTGGTGGTGGTTCTATGCTATTCTTTGAAAATGGCATGTTTGTTGTTGGACCTCAGGTAAATCACATTCTCCTACAAAATCAAATGTAATCTTTCTTCTTTTTTTTTTTATTAAAACTGTTTTAATATTATTAATTAGAGTGCTGGTGCTCATCCTGGTCCTGCTTGCTATCGTAAAGGAGGTCCTTTGGCTGTATCTGATGCAAACTTATTCTTAGGAAGACTATTACCCGATTATTTCCCCAAGATCTTTGGTCCTAATGAAAATGAATCATTAGATATCAACGTGGTTCAAGAAAAGTTCAATAAACTGGCCAAACAAATCAATCAAGAAACAGGTGAAACCAAATCATTGGATGAAATAGTTTATGGATTTATCAAGGTAGCCAACGAAACAATGTGTCGTCCCATAAGAGCTTTGACAGAAGCAAAAGGTCATGATACAAGCAATCACACTTTAGCAGTCTTCGGTGGAGCTGGCGGTCAACATGGTAAGAACATATGATAGTATAATAGTCTAGTTTAATCCATTCTTCTTTTTTTTTTTTTTTTTTTTTTTTTTGCTTCTTCTTTTGTATAGCATGCGGTATTGCTCGCAATTTAGGAATCAATAAGATCATTCTCTATCGACATTCGTCTATTCTCTCAGCTTTTGGTTTGGCTCTGGCTGATGTGGTACATGAAGTGCAAGAACCTTGTGCTGAAACTCTTGGAGAATCATCATTACTTATCCTTCAACAACGTGTGGCGAATCTGGTCAAATCTTGCAACAACGAATTACAACGACAAGGATTTGAAGAATCTCAACGAAAAACTGAAGTTTATTTGAATTTGCGATATGATGGAACAGATTGTGCATTGATGACTCTTCAACCAATAACTTCTTCTGGTGATCCATCCTGGGATTTCGAAACAGCGTTTGTTCAACTATACAAGCAAGAATTTGGTTTTTCTCTAACTGATCGATCTATTGTGGTTGACGATATTCGTATACGTGGCATAGGGAAAACAATGAATCAAGAAGATCTGACTCCTGGTAAAGAAATCAACAGTTATCAACAACTTCATATAGTGGATGCTGAAAAGGAACAATCGAGTCAAGCTTCTGTCTATTTTGAATCTACTGGTCGCTTGGATGACGTACCTGTATATAAGTTAGCCAATTTGGTACCTGGATCAAAAGTAGAAGGACCAGCCATGATCATTGATGCCACAGCTACAGTTGTTATAGAACCTTCTTGCTCAGCTTTGATTACTTCGCAACATATCACTATCACGGTCGGCAAAGGTGAAAAGAAGAAAGTCACTACCAAACTAGAACCTATTCAACTCTCTATCTTCTCTCATCGATTCATGTCTATCGCGGAACAAATGGGACGTACTTTACAAAAAACATCCATTAGTACCAATATCAAGGAGCGACTAGGTAATAAATATTAATAATAAGAAAGAAAGTAATTCAAATGGAAATACGGATAGACTAACTAACTTTTATCACAGATTTCTCTTGCGCTCTTTTTGGTGCAGACGGTGGACTAGTGGCTAATGCTCCTCATATTCCTGTTCATTTGGGTGCTCTTAGTCATGCAGTGACTTATCAAATGAACTATTACAAGGATGATCTACATGAAGGTGATGTAATCATGACAAATCATCCTGCAGCTGGTGGCTCTCATCTTCCAGGTAAATCAAATCAGAGCTTCATATCTTGAAATAAACTAATATGAATTTCTTGTTTGTTTGTTTTTTTTTAAAAAAAAAAAAATAGATATTACTATCATCACTCCAGTATTCCATCAAGGAAAAATTGTCTTTTTTGTTGCCTCTCGTGGTCATCATGCTGATATTGGTGGTATTTCACCAGGTAATCATTAATTATAGATAAACCAGATCAAAAAGAAAGAAAGTATCTCATCTTATTTTAGGATCTATGCCACCTCATTCAAAGGAATTGTATCAAGAAGGTGCTGCTATTAAATCATTCAAAATTGTATCTGGTGGACGTTTTGACGGAGAAGGTGTGAAGAAACATTTATATGATATTCCTGGCTCTTATCCTGGTTGTTCGGGTACTCGGCTTTTACAGGACAATATATCTGGTATTACAAAAAAAAAAAAAAAAAAAAAAATTGTCATCAAAGAGAGGAATGATCAAGTTGTGACGCTAACATCCCAATTCCATTTTTTAGATCTCAAGGCCCAAATAGCTGCCAATCAAAAAGGAATCACACTAGTTGAAAGATTGATTGACGAATACTCTTTGGAAGTAGTACAAGCTTATATGTTACATATCCGCCGCAATGCCGAATCAGCTGTTCGAAACCTATTGAAGCAAGTAGCCAAACAACATCAAGGTCGCTTGGAAGGTCAAGATTCAATGGATGATGGGACGGTGATCAAGCTTAGTGTGACTATCAACGAAGACGATGGCAGTGCAGTGTTCGATTTTGATGGCACAGGACCTGAAGTATATGGCAACACGAACACTCCTGAAAGTGTCTGTCATAGTGCTATCATTTATTGCATCCGATGTCTAGTGGATCAAAATATTCCTTTGAATTCTGGTTGTTTAGAGCCTATTGATATTCGTATTCCTCCTAGTTCCATTCTGAGTCCTTCTGAATCCTGTGCAGTAGTAGGTGGCAATGTATTGACTAGTCAACGTATCTGCGATGTGGTCCTCAAAACATTTGGTGCCTGTGCTGCAAGTCAAGGCTGTTGTAACAATTTGACATTTGGGAAAGGTGGTAGAAATGAAGAAACCGGTGAAGCTTTGCCTGGATGGGGTTATTATGAAACAATTGCTGGTGGTAGTGGTGCTGGTCCAACTTGGGATGGTCAGAGTGGTGTACATACGGTAAGAAAAATGATAAATTATAAGGATTACGATAAATCTATTCTGTTTATTCTATACTCATTTTTCTTCCATTAAATTTAGCATATGACCAATACTCGAATCACTGATCCAGAAATCCTTGAAAAACGATATCCCGTTGTGTTACGAGAATTCTCTATCCGTAAAGGTAAGATGTTTCTCTATTTATTATATCTAATCATTAACAAAAAAAAAAAAAAAAAAAAAAAATAGGCTCTGGTGGTCAAGGCAAATATAAAGGTGGTGATGGTGTGATCCGAGATATTGAATTTTTGGAATCAGGTATTCAAGTCTCAATATTATCTGAACGACGTGTTTTTCAACCCTATGGATTAGCTGGAGGTGAAAATGGTCAGGCAGGAATGAACTTATGGATACGTAGCAATAAAAAGACGAACAATGATGATGATGCAACTCCTACTATCTTGAATCTTTCTGGCAAGAATTCGGCACCTTTCAAAAAGGGAGATCGTATCGTCATCAAGACACCTGGAGGTGGTGGATATGGTCATCAACAGCAATCGTCATCCTCGGATACTCGACAACAACAACAAGAACGCACTCTTCGTCATCATATAGTAAAAGCAAGCGGATCACTCGGTGCATACAAGGAAATCTCGGAAAGCGCCTAGTTATAATATAGACTTCCTTTTTTATACAATCTATATGTAGTTTATGTATTATTATTACTATTATTTTTGTATATTTTATATGATGTCGGTTTAAAGTCAATAAAAGAGAGGTATAAAAACAAAAAGTAATTTTATTTTTCTGTGTAGTTTCACCAATCAATTTAATTTTGTTTTATCACCCTGTTGTTTCAACAACTGGAAAAATCTACAACAGAGAATGATTCTTTAAAATCTCATCAGGTTTCGCGATATATATATGTTAGTTTTCTTTTCTTTTTTTTTTTTTTTTTTTTTGGAGATCCCGACAAAAGACTTCCAGAACTAAAATTGGGTCCAGTTTATAGAGTAAAATATTAAAAAATAAAATTTTAATATCGTCATCTCATCATCCAATAAAGTTATCCCCACTGGATTCCTCTTAAAACAGTAATCTAGTATCATTTAATCCTGGTTTATCACTTACTTATCTTGCCATCTAATGATCACTAAAGGATTGGATCGATTTTTGAAAAATCGCCTGTTGATCACTGGACGATTCATTTTTTACAGCCAAAATTTGGCTGTAGAATTGAAAAATCAATCTCATTTTTATATCCTTGAGAGAGCAACCTTCGCCTTCCCCCTTCCTCTCTGAAAAATCATCATCATCGTATCAAATAGGAACAAAATATAAAACAAACCATTTTCTTGAATTTTTTTTAATGCCATTTTACGTTTGTGTCTATAAGCTGAGGAATTTAGCTGTAAAAATCTATAAATGAAAAAGAAAAAACTCTTTTTTTTATCCACTTCATTATTCCATCTCTCTAGTTTTTTTTTTTTTTTTTTTTTTTTTTTTTTTTTTTTTTTTTTTTTTTTTTTTTTTTTTTTTGTCCTCTGTCCAATACCACTTTTTTTTTTTTTTGGTTATTATTCGTTAATGAATTCACATCGATGCTTTTTTTTTCCCATTACTATCATCATTGCTATTATCTCCATCATCGCATATCATCACTGATCATCACACACTATCAATATTCGTCATCTATCATCACTGATCATCATCGTCGACTACTATTGTCAATCAAAGCGTTTATTATAAAAAAAAAAAGCTGTATATAATAAAAAAAAAATCCATACAAATAAAACGAAATCTAATCCAAGGGAATCCAGTCAACGGGGTTCTTGAGTACTTCTTCCAAATTTTCTTCAGGAGATCCAGATTCCACTTCATACATGTATTCCCATCTAGCAGTCAATGGTAAGGACATGAGAATAGCTTCAATACGAGCGCCAGGAGTTTGCAGGCCAAACTTTGTACCACGATCCCATACCAAATTGAATTCCACATAGCGACCACGACGGATTTGTTGCCAATCCTTCATTTCCGGGGTAAACTTCATGTTCATACGTTTTTTCACAATAGGTAAATAAGATTGAGTGAAACGATTTCCCATTTCTTTGACAAAGCTGAATACTTCTTCTGCAGGTTTGTCGTCCAAATCATCAAAGAAGATACCACCGATACCACGAGATTCACCGCGATGCTTGTTGTAAAAGTACTTGTCACACCATTGCTTAAAGTTCCCGTAATACTTTTTGTCGTACTTGTCACAACCATCTTTGAGAACTTGATGAAAATGAATACAATCATCTTCGAATAGATAGCTAGGAGTTAAATCGGAACCACCACCAAACCACCACATTTTGGGAGAACCATCTTCATTCTCGATTTCAAAATAACGATAATTCATATGTACAGTAGGAGCATTGGGGTTGCGAGGATGAATCACCAAAGAAATACCAGCAGCAAAGAAAGGAACAGGGCCATCTGCAGATATATCTTTACCACGATCATGACGCATTTGTTCCACAGCAGCCTTGGGAAGTTGACCATAGACAACAGAAATGCCAACACCAGCTTTCTCGAATACATTGCCGTCTTGAAGTACACATGTAATTCCTTCTCCACCTTCTTGTCGTTGCCAAGCAGTACGAGTAAATTGTTTACCATCCAGTTGCTCAATATCAGACACAATACGATTTTGAAGTCCTTTTACAAATGCTTCCATTCTTAATCGCATAGGATCGCTGTCAGTAATTGGTCCTTCGGCACGCTATATATCGACAAATAAAAAGAAGAAATTAAAAACATAGGTATAACATTACAACAATAAAAATATATAAGTTTCTTTTTTTTTTTTCTTTTCTTGGACTTACACGTTGCTTGTCATCAGTAGCAGCATCACAATGAGTCTATCATGAAGAGTATAAAAAAGAGTCAAAAAAAAAAAAAAAAAAAAGATATAAAAGGAAAGGGAAATATATAATTTATATGATAATGGTGATTTTCCCCGATAAAAAGTAGCAATAATAATATTATAATATATTACCTCGTCAGCCAACAAGATGGAAGCTAATCCAGTAGCTGCAAACAAAGCAGTAGAAGCATACACAAAATGACTGGATCGTCTAGAGTATTGACTTGCACCAGTAACTTGGGCAGTGGAATATAAACGAGGATGGCTAGAAGAAAGATCAACAGAAGAAGACAATTTATTAATATATAAAGTCATGGTGGTTTTGAGCAGTCTAAACATTGGAATTTTAAAATAGGTATGAACTTACATATTAGAGAACGTACGGTTGGTAAATGCACGGCTAGCCGATCGTACTATTGATAGAAGAAATAAAAAAAAAAAAAAAAAGAATTAACCAGTGTATAATATCAAATATATCTATATGTGTGTGTGTGTAAGTGTATGTGTATCTGTATGTGTCAAAAGTGAAAGTAGAATTTTGTCTTGATAAAAGGAGTATACATGTGAAAAAAAAAGAAGTACTTACTGGGAGCCTTGGATCGAAGAGAACGCGCAATGAACATGACTATTTTTTTTCTTGTCTAGTAACAAATGGTAATCAAAAAGAAAAGAAAACAAAAGTAAAGAGAGAGAGAAAGGGTGAGAAACTGAATTATGGTCAACTTTTCAACTTCAGTTTTTTCTTTTGACTCAAAAGGCTAGCGTACAAAAAAAAAAAAAAAAAAAAAAAAAAGAACCTTTTATTCTGAGCGCGAAAAAAAAAATCATGCTTCAAACTGAAGGCTAAACTAAACTAGGTATACAAAACTATCTAAACTATACTATATTCTATGGTTTCTATGTATAAAAATAAAAAATAGAGAGAAAAAGAGTGATGATGTAACTAGATGGTTGCGATCCATCTTGCTATTTCTTTGAATCTATGACGTTCACCAATATGAGTTCCTTTGAATGTCCTTTCATACAAAACAATATCCCAAGCTGTCAAGTTTGTTGCTATATATTTGTCAGTATCATCATCCAAAAGATCCTTCAATCGATTGATTATATCTTGTATCATAATTCCAACTTGTGATCCGTTGGACCATTGAAGCCATTGATTTGTTTCAAACTCTGTTGCATTTGGTTCGTCCCAATAAGCCAAGCTGATATGATCTATACGTTTAGATCGAATCATCATATTTCCTTTTCCATTGTTGTAGTAGTGATTGTTGATAATTTGCGCGCATTTCATAAGACGTTCATGATGCTCCTTTGGTATTTCCACAGGAAGTAAAAGGTGTTTTGATGATAAAGCATGCGATTTCCTATCTTCTCCTTCTTCTTCTTGTTGTTGATGTTGTACGCCTTGAGCTGGAGTTGATACAAGCAATGGAGCCGAATTGATGAAGATTGTTGATGGCGTATGTTCTCCAGATGGAAACTTGGAAGTCAGTATATTGTGATAGGTGTCCTTGATAAAATCCACATCAGCCATTGTGTCCACTGTAAAAAACCCTGTGACGCTGATATGAACAGGATACTTGGTTGCTGTTGATAAATAGTACTCAGGTGCCACCTTTTCTAGAATATTATTTAGACATTGTTGTAAAGGAGTGGACTTTGTAGGTTCTAGATACACAATCAATTCAGGCATCCAATGATGACAAAAAAAAAAAAAAAAAAAAAAAGAAAAAGAAAAAAAAAAAAAAAAAGAAAAAGACAAAAAAAAAAAACGCCCGACTTTAAATCAGTCTTCCACAAGGTCAAAATCACAATATATAACTTCTTTTTATTATAAATATAAATCAATCGATCTAACTCTATTCTAACAATATATGTCATCTATCAATAGTTACTAAGTTGTCGATCATAGTTGGCACCATTGGCTTTTCGCAGTCTAGTCATAATATCTTGTTCCTCCAGATCAGTCAAGTGAGAAGCAGGTACTTCAATATGATAACTGCGTATTACGTTCTTGACTTCAGCAATTTGAATACTAAGTTTTGCACGTCGCATCACACCAACAGATTCACTATTTCAGTCACTAGTTAGTTATCATGCGATTATTCTATTACAATACTATTCATCTTACCCACACCAAGGTACTAGAATAAACTTGACACGATGGGAATAACTATCAAAAAAAAAAAAAAAAAAAAGTATTTAATGAGAATGGATGAACATAAAGAACGTTCCACCCCCTATTATTCACCATCATCTTACTCGTCGTTACTCAGGTTCAAACGAACATAGCCCCAGCCAGCCACATCAGATTGAAGTGTACCAATGAATTCTTTTAGTCCACCAGTTCCACATCCAGCTACCTTGAGACGGTCAGGTTTACCATTAGCAAAGTCAAAGAAGGCCCAATTTGTTTCAGTTGTATCGTCACGCACATCTTCGTAAGCTTCAGTAATGGCAGGATCACTAACATTCAAGGACATGATGGATGGAATAAAAAAAAAAAAAAAATAGTAGATGATGAAAAAAAAAAAAAAAAAAAGAAAAAGAAAAGAGAAAAAAAGAAAAAGAAATACATTTCCTTTTTTTTTTCTCTAGCGGTGAATGAATATTTACCCTTTGATTCAAGAACACCTTCCTTACAACTTGTAAGTTACAAGGCGAAAACTTCAACAAATGGTTTTGGATCATTGTTATCGTTATTTTCTTTTTTTCTTTTTTATTTATTACAAATCAATGGATTGAATCTGTCATTAATCATTTATTTAATTAATCATCATCTCCTTTTGATATATCCTATTTTTTTTTTTTTTTTAATCATCAATCTTACAGTAACTATTGTATCTAATCATGCATCCATATCAAGTATTTTAATTCTTGTATTCTTAAAAAAAAAGAGTCCATGTTCATTGGTATCGATCATCAATGCTAATATTTGATTTAGTATCACACTGAATACTTCTGTTGAGGAAAAAAAAAAAAAAATCTTTTAACTTGCATGTTACATACAATTTCCAAAAAAGTAAAGAACGTCTCTGATTGGTCAATTCCAAACGAAAGTATAAAATAGCAAAAGAAGCTCTCAGACGGGGAATTGAACCCCGGTCTCCCGCGTGACAGGCGGGGATACTTACCACTATACTATCTGAGAAGTTATATGTTTGTAGACCAAAAACTCCATTATAAATCTAAACGGCGGAGATTCAATTATTGTACCACATAGTATATTGTACATTTTTGTAAGATAATTATGTTAAAAAGGTCAAGTTGATTATATAACATTAATATTTAACAACAAAATATCTGATTTTTTATATTAGATTATCTTCTTTGATGAAAAGATTTTAGAAAATGAAAATGTGAGAAGAATTTTACAAAGATAATTTTCTTCCGCACTTATAAATCGATTTTGATTGGCTTAGAGTTTGTGTGACAATTTGAAAAGCCGCCTATCCTTTCTATTGAATGATTTTTTTTTTTTTTTTGTCTCTCTTTTTTTTTTTTTTTTTTTTTTTTTTTTAAAACTTCTCCAATTTATAGTCATGGCTGACGAAACTACTATTAAATCAGATGAACAACAACAAAACCAATCGATCTCAAGTCCATGTATGCAAAAAGAAAGTGGAAATATAACCTCTCCCTCTGCCTCCGACAACACTACAATTTTGCCCAACAGCACCGCCGACAATGAACAAAGAAAAAGTCCCTCCACCTCCACTGTGACTAGTAGTAGTCCCACACAGCCGGCTTTCAACAGTCAAGCATATCATCAGCAATTACACGAAGCAATGATGGCCTTCGACAGTCACGGCATGTCCCAAAACTTGATGGCAGCAGCAGCAGCAGCAATGGCAGCAGCAGTAGGTGTTTCTTCTTCGCCTTCATCAACACCGGCTCCAACTTTACAACAACAACAACAACAAAAGGACATTGACGAAGCTAAACGGGAAAGCATTAGAACTGCGAACAGAGAACGAAAAAAGAAATGGCGAATCCACAATGAAGAAAGAAGTAAGTCCACTTGCATTCACTTTTTTTTTTTTTTTCTATTCTGTTTTACTAAATAAATGTTTTTTTTTTTTTTTTTTTTTTTTTTTAAAGACAAGGATAATGATCTTAGGTGTCGAGTCAACAAAAGGGCAGGTAAACTTTTTGGAGAAGAAGATAGTGAAGCCAAACGTCAATGGGTAGAAGAAGAATTTGAAAAACGAAGAGAAAAACGACGGGAAAAGGAACGACGCAAAGATGTAGTCAACAATGTGCTCAGTGTACCACATTCAACTATGCCTCAACAAACTGCAACCGATGATCTTGCCCATTCTTTTGCTGCTTATCCTGCTGTATTTGATGCTTCAAAGATCTTGGACATTCCTCCGGATTTACAGCGTCATATATTGGAACAATTGAATCTGGTAAAGTCCCGGTTTCTATTATTACTCAAAATATGCCGACTTTTGTTATATACTTATCTTTTTTTTTTTTTTTTTTTTTTTTTTAGGCTCTTACAAATAGCAAACTACCTACACCTCCTATGGATTATGGTCAGCCTATGGAAGGTATGGCTGAATCTTCCACTTCTCAGTCATCCGATTTATCACAACAATTACCAACTGATGGCAATCAAACAGGTACAGATGAAGCAACAGCAGCAGCATCAGCAGCAGCGGCAGCGGCCGAGTTACTAGCAGCTACAGCATCAACAGCAATAACAACGTCAGGGATATCAGCAGCGTCTACAACATCTCAGTCATCACCAACGTCTGTAGCAGCTGTGGAAGCGGATGATCAAAAAATACAGCAAACATCACCAGTGGATGATCCAGAAACTAACAATACTGATAATACCAGCATCAAGAAAGAGGATGAAGGTAGCGGTAAACAATCCTTAGAATCCAGTGATGAAAATGGAACTACAACTAAAGAGGAAAAACCAGTATCAACGGAACAAGGTGACAACTCTTCTGGCAAAAAACAGGAATACCCCATGGATGCTGTTCTAACATTGATGCAATTGAATGCTGGTAATTCAATAAAAAAAAAAAAAGAGTACGTTAGTGTCAATTATTTACTTATATATATATTTTTTTTTTATAGGTTGGAAAAAATAGTAGATGGACTGATTAATATGAATCCTCCCATTCATCCTTGTTCACCATCAACAACCTTACATACACATATTATAGTAATAGATCCAGTGACAATAGTTTCCTCTTATACATACAATAGTACTATTCATCCACAGCTCCGTTCTGTTAATTCATTACATGTCAATAAAAAACCGCTTATGGTCACCCTTTCTTTATATACGTATATTATATGGTAATATTTAGTCTTATATGAACAAAGTTTTTTATTTTATTCAACTTGACAATCGTTAATGATGTTTACTGTACTTGTATTTGTCCTCATCACTCAACCATCATCATTCAATCATTACCACCTAATCAATCAACCATCATTATCAGGTACTATTTCCACGACGACAATACTTAATTTATGCCAGATGATAAGAAGCTTTCAATGGATGGAAAAAAACTTGTTAATCAATGGAATGGATTTAACTCAAAGATAAATCAAAAGAGAATTTTTTTTTTTTTTTTTTTTTTTTAGGAGTCCTTTCTCATCCACAATCGTTTCCTCTTGTTTTTGGATTCTTTTCAGAAATATGTAGAAGTTTCCATATCAAGGCATACACGTAAGCGGGATTTGGAAATCCCATTAAATGGAAAAGGTCATTCAGTTGATATTCTCTCGCTCTTTTTCTTCTCGTTTTTATCTTTCCTGTTATTATGTCAGGGGAACCTGTTAAACTCTATGTATATGATCTATCACAAGGCATGGCAAAGCAAATGTCTTTGTCTCTTACTGGAAAGCAAATAGGTAATTAGTTCATTACTACGATTCAAACTATCCTGACTTTTTATATATACAAAATATATTATAGATGGTATCTGGCATACATCGATCGTTGTTTATGGTCAAGAATTTTATTTTGGGCAAGGGATTCTAGTTGATAAACCTGGTAAATCAATTATATATTTCTCTTTTATTTCCTTTCTAACTTTTTCTTTTTGAAAGGAACCACTCATCATGGTCAACCATTAGATATTATTGACATGGGTACTACGTTTCTACCACTGGAAGTATTCACAGAATATATTGACAGCCAACGTTCAGTATATACGTAAGTTTACATGGGTTTAGAATACTAATCGAAAGGAACTGAATCATATATCTTATTTTATACTAGGGCTGAAAAATATCACCTTCTAGACTTCAACTGCAATACATTTAGTAACGACGTATGTCAATTTTTGACTGGTTCATCCATTCCCAGTCATATTACTGAACTGCCTGCTGAATTTTTGCGAACGTAAGTTCATATATCAAAAAAAAAAAAAAAAAAGAAAAGTGATTGTCTCTTATTAATAAATGAATCATTTGAGTAGGCCGTTCGGACAATCACTTTTACCAATGATAGAGAATATGTTTGGAAAATCAACTCTACGATCAACAACAATGCCTTCCACTTCCAATGGATCGACTTCAGCAACAACTCCAAATGCACAATCATTATCTATGTTACAAGACGTATCTTCTTCTGCATTCTCTGGTGCTCCTTCTTCAGTAGCACAGCAATCTATCCAACAGGCAAACAATTTATCATCGTTACAACAAGCTATCAAGTCATATACTGCTGTTGCTGTTTTCTTCACATCTGCTACTTGTCCTCCTTGCCGCGTTATCAAACCTGAATTCGAACAAATGATCAAAGATAAAAATCAAGGTACTGCCTCCCTTCATGTTTTGGGTATTATTGTAGATACTTCTATTGCTTTTGATGCTGGTGCAAAATATCAAATTAGATCTACTCCTACTTTTATGTTCTTTCATAAAGGTGAAAAGGTAACGCATCATATTCTTTTGAAGGATTTTTTTTTTTTTTCATCATTGATTAAACTCTTTCTATTTGTCATTTAGATATCTGAATTTAGTGGTGCCAATTATAGTGAATTAAAGTCATCTGTTGAACTTCTTTTATTTACTGCCTATCCTCGTAAGTAAATCAATAGAAACACTGTAATTGAGTATATAGAAAAAAAAAAGGATTTCAGTATTAATTACATATATATTATTATTATTATTAGCTCATCCACATAGAACTCTTCATTTACGACAAGTATGCAAACCATCCAACCAACCTATATTATATAACAATTTTGGGAAACTCGACATGATTTTGGAAAAACTACACACTTATCTGAAGGAAGATGGAATACATTTGGATGAACATCAATTAGCGACATTGAATTTTGCAAAGGATGTACTATTGAAAAAACAAGAAGAAATCTTGGATATGGAACAATGGCAGAGACTGTTAGGTAAAATAATAGAGAGAAGAAATTCGCAAATAAAATGGAAACAATATATTGATACTTTTTTTTTTTTTTTTTTTAATCTTTTTATTTTAGATACTTTGATAGACAAACTTCCAATGGCACACCAGTTTCCATTATTGGATATAGCTCGATCTCTTATTTTGACCAAAGAAGCAGGAAATTATTATACTACCAACTGTAAGTAGAATATCTTTCTTTGGTAAGCGATGATCATTCATAAGAATTGATTTTTTTTTTTTCGAACATGATTCTTATATTTTGAACATAGGCCATAAAATTGCTCACTTGATGGATACAGTACAAAATGATAATGAAACAGATGGATCTGGAACACCTAAAGCAACATGGTTAATGATTCTGCGGCTAGCATGCAATTTATTTACCCACCAAGTACTTGTCACTACCTACTTTACTTCTCATTTAGCGTCCTCACATCGTAGTAGTCTTACACAACTTTTGGTGTCCACTTTATTAGCTCAGGATGCTCAAGTACGACAGGCTGCTGCATCTTTGGCCTTCAATTGTAGTACAGTCGTGATGGCAGAGAGATTACGCAAGGAAGAAAATAGTGATTCCTTCACTGGTAGTGCTGGAATGGCTGAACAGGAAGATGATGATTGGCAAGTGGAAATCATGAGTGCTGTGATGGATGCGCTTACCAAGGAAACTGATCAAGAAATTACACATCGATTGTTGGCCTGTATCTCCAAGTTTTTGTTCCTTTCTCCTCAGGGGAGCTCTTTAGGCGATCTTTTATCTGCTCTGGATATCCGTGGTCTTTTGGATGAAAAGAAAACAAACTCGATTATTACCAGCACTCCTGTTTTAGAATTAGCGCGTGATATCAAGTTGATGGTTGATAAAAGTGTTGATCAATAAAAGTGAAAATGAATTACAGTTTTAGAATTCTTTTTTATTCTATGTGTTTGTTTTTTATTATGATACAATTGGATAGATATACGATTTATACACATGACAATGACCCAACAAGTATTTTTTTTTTTTTTTTTTTGGATAGTTTCTTTTGGTTTGGTTGGACTCATTCTTCCTCTTTTTCTCTGTCATATCTGTGATGTCATGATGATTCTTTTATTGGTACTAGTCGTGTATTTTACTTATAGTATGTCGTAGTCATGTTCTTAATAAAGTCGTCTTGATAGTTTCAACATAATCCATTATTGATCATTGTGTCAAATTTTCCATTAGTAGGATTATCATGAGAAATCACACACCATCTTCCGTTTTTTTTTCCTTCTTCATGCGCATAAATCGTCACTAACCTATTTTATTGCATCCATGCCATAGGAGAAAAACAATCACATAAAAAAGAGATCATAGTATGTTTTATTCCAATATATATTATAAAGCTACGTAGACAAAAAAAAAAAATTAAAGATATAAAGATTCGACATCAGTCTGGTAATAGATAGTTCAATAATAAATAAATAAATTAATAAATAGAGATAAACAGAGATAAAGGATCCAAAACAAAAGTGGTCACTAAGCAAGGTATAAAGCGTTTCGATTTTGTTCGGCAGTATTCAATATGGAAAGCAACATATCTTGTTTTTCACCATCCAAATCCTTGGTCAGGAGCGTATACGATTCTGGACTTGATCCTTGTAATTCTATGAAAAAATAACAATGAGATAATGAAAAGAGGGTTTTTTTTTTTTTTAAAAAAAATACTTACTTCTGAAGATTTCATCAAACTTGATATATGGATCAATTTCGTCCAAAGGTGATTCAAATAAGACCTCTTCTTCTATTTCATCTTCTTCATCAAATTCTAATCCATCGTTTTCTTGAGCTGCAGCTTGTTGGGTCAAAAATTCGAGGTATTCATTATCTTCATCATGAACATCTTCATCTATTTAATAAATGTATAAATCAACTGAACCTTTTGCTTCTATACATTGCTTTTTTTTTTTCTTTACCATCATTTTCAACCGTATCATCATCACCAGTACTACTTCCATCGTATCCACTTGATTCTTCAATATCTTGTTCATAATCTTCACCATATAACTTTTCCATGTTTTCGCGATCTTTTCAAAAAAAAAAAAAAAAAAACGAGTCAATGTTAGTATATATGTATATGTATATATTATATAAGTTAAGATTTACTTTCAATGGCCTTTGGTAAACTCTTGAACACCATAATGATGCTGTTGAGGATATGAGACCAACCTGATTGGAGAGAGTGGGGGATCTGATCAGATGGTAATTCCAATATGGCACATAAAGTAACAATCACTAATTTCTTGTCATGTACTCTGAAAAATAGAATGATAATGATCAACACCATTGAATATAAAATATGTTTCATTGTTATTACCTTGAAAACTTGTCGAGTAAACCAAACCAAAGAGAAAAGAAACCTTGTGTCCAGTGATTATCTTCAAGTATACGTAAAGTCAATGCTGGATTGTAGTAAAGACAGTTGATGACCTATACATTCCCAAAAAAAAAAAAAAAAAATACGTAATCTGCTTAGCTATTGGTCATCGTTCTCTCAGTATATTCTTTTCACTTACCACCTCTAAACAATGAATTTTGAATTCTAATGATTTCATAGTACCCGTGAAGATATATTGGAATGCGAGATTCAAAAATGGCATCACATACTATTGATTTGTAGTTACTAGTAGATTAGTACCTTTTTTTTTTATGCGTATAACACATTTCATTGATTACCGAATCCATATGACCACGACAGTTCAGTAAGACAGATTCCATCAGTTTGCCTTTGTAATATAAACGAATAGAAGAAGAAGAAAAAAAAAAAAAGAGATGACTAATTCATGATACTGTCAAATTGCGATTTGTTTTTCATTCTTCTTGACTTACATGCAGATACTTTATCTTCCTCAGTCAAGTGATCACCTTTCATCACCATTTGAATGATATCAAACATCATCTGTTGGAAATTTTCATGAGCGATAAACACATCTCTACCATAGGAGATGTAATTGTCGAGAGGAGGGAGTACAGCCATAAAGTCAACCGTGGTATCTTTGAGAGCTTTGTAGATTAGTTCAAACACACCCCACATCGTAGGTGTCACTCGTTTGGCAGAGAAGGTGCAAGAATCAATGATTTCAAAGATTTCAACATAAAGATCCATCACCGAGTTTTCCAAAGTATACGTAATCACAGGCAAAAGAGCATCTTCCAATTGTTGTAGCACTTCAGGTGAACTTTCCAAACTGAGAATCAGTGTTCCAATCGTTTTGAGAACGCCCATAGCAGCCATCATCTTATCACTGAGTTCATCTATATCTCCATTAAATGACACTTCATCTTCGCCTCCGCCTTCAATGCCATTTCCGTTTTGAGTTTTCGCTTGAGAAATTTCTTCCATGATTCGTAAATAGGTATCACGTAGTTGAGTACATAGTTGGACAGCAAAAGGTGTAAGTTGAACGGCAAATATTTCGACAAATTCTTCCATCACTGTTGCCAAGATATCCACGTCGATTTCATTGGTGAGATTGAGCAGTTCTTGCATAATGAATGGTAGACTAGGTTCCATGGCGTTACGAACTATTATTGAAGATTGGAATATATATATATAAAAGGATCAGCAAACCAAATTATATCAAAGTATCAACCTATTTTTTTTTCTACTTCTTCTTTTTCTATTTTACCAGTTTCATGACGAATCATTGGTTGTAAAGCTAATGCAGCTTGGACCTTGACAGGTAATTCGGAATCCCGGAGACATTCCAATACATTTTCATACAAAATAAGCACATTCTATATCAATATTCCCATAAATCGAGATCAATTATTATGTTTCTATCATCCCTGTCCATAAATTTCGTCTACTTTTTCTTTCATGTTACCTCCTCGCTGGAAAAATCTAGATTGCTAAATTTTCTAGTAATATCACATGCCTAATATATATGTATGTACATAGAAGAAAAAAAAAGTCAGTAATCATATATATATATATATATATATTTATCAAGTTTACCCTTGCACGAAGGTATGGAAATCGACTTTTGAAATCTGGAAACACATGGGTAACAAAAAAGGCATCCATCATATTAGCAACTGGTGATTTCTTGGCCAGAATTTCATTCGCCAGGGAACCGATCATAGCCAAAGCACCATCCTTCTCACGTCCATTTTTCTGTCCTTCCGATGTTTCCAAATAGGCCATCAAAACATTGTTGATAAATCCAAGGATCCCCATAAACGTATGCTTTTTTCGATGATGAGCTAAATCAATCAACATATTGGTAACATTGATTTGAGGCGAATGAAAATCTTCCAATGGATCTATGATCAATTATAAAAAGAAACCTAGTCAGTAGCTTTTTTTTTTTTTTTTTTTTTTTTTTTTTTTTTTCTATATCCTACCAATCTTCTTGTGTACATAATCAACGGGATCGTTTTGCCAAAGCTGTTCGTCTTCCAAAGAGATACAAAGTTGAGGAAAAATAAACTGACTAACCAAGACATCTGTATGTGGTTTCATAATTTGCCATGTAGTTTTATGTTTGATACTGTCATCCAAAAAAGCTGCTGTTAACATCAAACATTTATTAGACATCCAAAGTTCCTTCTTGATCCAACCGTCCACTTGTGTGAGGTATGCTTGAATGATATTCGGTGCAAAATTGTTAACAAAATTTTTGGCGAATCCATTGTAGCGAGTAGCACTTCCAGGAGGTAATAATGCTGGATTTCCGTATTTTCCAAAAAGTCGATTCAAGCAGTGATACGCCCACTTTTTTGCCTTTCCCCAAGGATAAGCCTCCCGTTCAGCTATTGTTTCTGGAAGGCAATCCATCGGAATCCTTTTTTCAATCAGTTGTAAAAAGAGTGTTCCCCAGGGTACCAGTGATTTTGATTCTTGCAATGATTTTGGTAAATCCACTTGAATACTTGCATGATAAATTTTGAGACTAGTTTTCAGCATTATTGCTGCATCAAGATCCTCCATTGTCACTAAATTGTTGCATATTCCTTGAACTGTTGGAAATGTGAGTTCGATAATATGTTGAAGAGGTTCACGTCGTTCCGTATCTTTCCATCTGTAAATAATGGTATAATTAGGATATATATATACATAGTCGAGATTTTGTCATGACTTACTGATAAACTTTGACAACTTCACGTAGAGCAAGAAGACCAACAGAAATGAGTCGAGCATCATTTGAAGATAAGAAAGATTGGACTTCATTGACAAAATTTGGCCATTGATCAGGAAAATCATTATCCAAAATAGTATAGAGAGAGGTAGCCAATTGTACTCTAAAAGAAAAGAATGACCATTAGTTCTTTTATATATATGAATAAAAATAAATAGTCAACTTACTGAACGGCATTTGGTACAGTAACTAAAGCATGAAGAATGCCTTGTTTAACAATATTTCGGTCTTCTTCTCCAATAGGACATGATGAATTGTTACCGCGTTCCCAAGCACGATAAATGCGATTTTTGAAGTAGATGGCAGCTATATATATATAAAATATCCAAATATTAATAATGAAAACAATGACATGTTGTTTCCTTACCAGCTTGACGAGCTCCTAATTCCAATTGTTCAGAGGAGAATATCTGTAACACTACAGGAAGGAAACCATTCTGAGCTTCAATCTAGAAATAAGAAAAGAGGTTATATTAGTTTTATAATTGAAATCCAAATATATATATATATTATATTACTATCAAAGTTTCTTTTTTTTTTTTTCTTTTTCCTTTTAAGCTATATATATATGATATTTCCTTTTTATTTGACCACTTACACTTCGAATGCTAAGTTCAGCTTGTTTATGCACATTGGGGTCGGGATTGTACGTGGCAACAAAGAGTTGATATATAGAATTCTGATCCATTATATGCTGCTCAGGAGGGTAATAATAAATAATGGGAATAAAAATATGGAATCAGAGGAAGAATTACACGTAAAAAGTATAAAAGAAAAAAAAAAAAGAAATAAAAAAAATTTTTTTAGAAAGAAAAACGCGAGTTGACGGAGATCAAACTTTGTTCCTGTACAGTTGAGAATATACGAAAAGTAAGTTACACGTAATTTTTTTTTTTTTTTTTTTGCTAACACTGAGAGAACAATAGATATGTACCTGAAATTATGATGCCGGAATAATCCTTTTTTTTTATTTTTATTTTATTGATATATGGAAAAATAATGAATATAAAAAAGACATAAAACAAAAAGGAGAGGTGCAAACAGTATAATATATAAAAAAAAAAGTATGTGTAGGGTAATGTTGAGATGAAGGAAGGAAAAGGAGAATAATCTAACGTCTAGGCATACCACCACGACCTCTAGCAGGCATACCAGCACCACCACGAGGCATTTGTCCACCACCAGGTTGTTCACTTGCTTTGTTCTTGATAGTTTCATCTACTGATAAGATCAAACAAGCAGCTTCAGCAGCAGCAGCAATAGCATTTGTCTTGACCAAAGCAGGTTCCCATACAAATGCTTCAAAATTATCAGTGATTGTTTCATTATTGACATCCACACCAAACCAGGTACCACCCTCTTGAGCATGTTTCATTCGAAGTCTATTGAGAATATCAGTGGCATCAAAACCAGCGTTATCACATAATTGTCGAGGGATGACTTCCAAAGCCTTTGCAAATGCTCCAATGATCAATTGTTGTTTTCCTTCAATAGTTCTTGAATGTACACGAAGATATTTCGAAATTTCCATTTCTGTAGCGCCACCACCAGCAACTACAAGGTTATTCTTGATAGCACGACGAACAATCATAATGGCATCATGTAAAGATCTTTCGACTTCAGCAATAAATTGTTCAGCACCACCACGAAGGATCAAAGTACATGTCTTGGCTTGAGTACAACCTTCAAAAATATTAAATCGTTCACCACCTACTTGCTTTTCTTCAAAGGATTCACAAGTACCCAAATGTTCTGGACGTAAATCAGTACATGTTGATTGTACTGAACCACCTACAGCTTGAATAACACGATCCATATCATCCTTAGCCACACGACCAGCACAAAAGATATCTCGATCAGCAAAGTATTGAGTTGCCAAATCACCAATAGGAAGTTTGGAGAGTACCACCTTTGCACCACTAGCAACAATAGCTTCAAGTTTTTGGAAGATAATTTGCCATTCAGCATCCACAATAGCTTGATATTCTGATACTTCTTCAACGCGTACTTCTGCATTGTCCTTTTCAGCTTTCAATTCCAATTCAACATTAAGACATAATAACTTGGGATTCTTGAATGACTTGGGTTGTTGTTCGAAACCAGCATAAGAGAATGTTTTCTTGAAAGCAACACCATTGACCAACAATGATTCTTGCATAGCTCCACCAGGTACACGCTTGATACCAATCAATCGTTCATTGAGACTTTCTTGATCTAAAGAAAGTACAGCATCTACAACCATCTTGGTAAAGAATTCTTTTTGAGAATAAATCAATTTGGAAGACATAGCAGTAGCAGCACATTTGGATAATAAATCACGGAATTCTCTATCATGGATTTGATCAACAATTAAAAAAAAAAAAAGAAAGGGGGTTATTCAGAGAATGACGTAAATGAACATCTTTTTTTTTTTTTTTTTAAATAAAATAATTACTTACTCATCATTATTTTTATCAATTTTGACAGCAAGTTCCTTGATTTTGTTAATAGATAATCTTGCAGCATTTCGGTATCCACGGATGATAACATGAGGACTGACACCTTCTTCGATATAACCTTTGACTTCCTTCAATAGTTCACCAGCGAGAAGAACCACACTAGTTGTGCCATCACCCACTTCAGCATCTTGAGAACGAGCAATATCAACCAATGTTTTTGCAGCAGGATGAACAATATCCAAGAGTTTCATAATAGTAGCACCATCATTAGAAATAGTCACTTGGCCTATAAGAAATAAAAAAAAAAAAGGTTTAGTCAATATATTTCAATAACTCACATTGGATTATCATTCATTCTATTATATATATATATATATATATATTCCAACTCACCACGACCATCTACCATAAGTTTATCCATGCCTCTTGGACCTAAAGTAGTTTTGACAGTATCAACTACAGCAGAGCAAGCATTAATATTGGAGAGAAGTTGTCCCTTGCCTTGAGAGGTATCTGTGCCTTCCTTAAGGAGGATAATTTGAGGTTGCTATTCAAGATAATATAAAAAAAATAAAATAAATAGTTAATATACGTCATCTGATGATATGTCAAAAGGAGATCATCGTTTGCTTATTTGTCATTTTGCGTCTTGGTCGTTACACATGGGTTAGATGACATAACACACGCGTAAGAGTAAACAAGGAAAGATGATAAAACGAATTTCGAATAAAAAAATACATTTTTTTTTTCTTTAAATTACCATCATGTTACGTGACATGGTTAAGTGTGATTAAATATCGAGAAAGGCGATCGGGAAAGATGAAGAGAAAAGAAGAATTTTTTTTTTTTTTTTTTTTTTTTTTTTTTAGATTTTTTGGCAGTTTCCAATACTTGATCAAATTACACGTCACTTGCGGCCTTTCAACTCGCGTCTCTCATTTTCACTCTTTTCAACTCTGTTCATTGCCTTTTTCAGTCATGAAATGTCAAGTACAAAAAAAAAAAAAGGATATCATTCTATCAAATTTGATATTGATTCATATTATCTAACCAATCCAAAAATGGAATGGATTCAATATATTAATAAGTATACAGAGACCTTCTTTTTTTTTGGTTTTACATCAAAAAGGTCACCAGGACTGTGAGCAGGAACCAACCAATTCGGACATCAACAGATTTTAATCACCGTCTCTTTCATCTCTCTCTCTCACAAAAAACAAATCGTTCAATAGAATTTTTTTTTTCCTTCGTTTTCTTTCGATACATATATTACTCTATATCTGAATCGTATTTATTATATTCAATAACTATATAACATATATTGTTTCTAAATCAATTAAAACAATTATCAATGTCTTCACCACCCGATTCACTATATGATGTCGGTAAGTCATCTATATAAAAGCTTTTGAATTACCAAACTAATACTGTAACTCTTCTTCTTTTTTTTTTTTGTAGATGATGCTGCTTCAAAAAAGCGAGGAAGAGCTCAGTCTGTTGAACCTACAGCACCACCCAAAGATGAGGTAAGAAATTGAAATTATATATTTATTTGGATAATCAAAGTTTATATTAATTTTTTTTTTCTTTCTATCTAAAAAAGACTGAAACCGATAAAACTCCTTCTGTGTCTGCACCAAAAAAGACGTAAGTCTCTGAACCAAAAAAAAAAAAAAAAAAAAAAAAAAGAATAAATAAAACAAAAAAAAAGAAATAGATTATTACTATTGGATTTATAATTTATAACTTTTTATTGATAGTAAACGCGACGATGAATGTCCCAGTAGAACCAACTCTATGACTGCTATTCGTAAAAATATGAAAGATATGTCTACTACCGATAAATCAACAGAAAGTTTGGATGATAATATGACTGAAAACTCACAACAATTAGAGGATGAAAATATGGGTACAATTAATGAAGAAGGATCTGATACACAAGATAGTGAACATCAGCAACAATATCTTGACGACAATACAAAGAATGGATCACCTACATCAACCATAGCAACTACCACAGATACCAGCAGTTTGGATGCTGCATCATCTACAGAAAATAAGGATAAAAATGATAAGGAAGCGGATAGTAGTAAACCAACAAGAACATACACTCAATTTGGAAGCAAGAAAAATGGTGATACTGATGATTGGAGCGAATTTGCCGAAGAAGAAGAAGAAGAAGATAATCAAAAGCAAAAATCAACAACAACAATACCAGCAGCAAATGCTCAACAAGATAAATCAAAATACACATTTGGTAGTACTTCAGGTTTTGGAACAAAAGGTTGGGCAACTTCTCATCAAACTACTACAACTACCCAAAAGGTAAAAAAAAAACAAAGAAAAAAAAAAGAAAAAAAAAACGAAAGAAAGAGTGAAGTCCATAAATGATTTATTGTTTATTTTATTATTATTATTATAGGCAACTTCATTTACTAGTCTTTCTGGTTCTTCATTTGGATCCTTTACACCGTCATCCACAAGTGGTCTTGGCAGTTTCTCATCTTCCACATCATCTCCTTCAAACAAAGCTACATCAGCTTTTGGCGCATTTGCGAATGCACCTACTTCTTCACCTTTTGCAATGGCAGCTAGTGGCGGTCCTAATGCTTTATCAGCTCTCCCAAAGGTCATCTCAACAACGTCAGCATTATCGCCAGCTGGTTCCGCTTCAAGTGTTACAAGCTCAGAACATCCTGATGGACAAGACAATAATGATCAGCAAGAGGAAGATAAAGATCAAGATAACAATATCGACAATACAGAAAGAGAACATACATTTGGTGAAGGAAATAAGATCAAGGTACCGGGAATAAAGCCAACAGAAAGTAAGCAAAGAGAATAGGATTTATTATTATTTAGTCAATATTAATTTACTCTTTTTTCTTCTCTTTCCTTTTTTATAGTCAGGACAGGTGAAGAAGATGAAAATACAGTTTACCAAACCAAAGCAAAACTACTTGTATTGGATACGACTAGCAATAATTGGAAGGAACGAGGAAGTGGCACCTTCCGTATCAATGTCAAGGATGTGGAAATTTCTGGAACAACATCAAGTCAGGCAAGATTAGTGATGCGGGCTGATTCAGTATACAGATTGATCTTAAATCTCCTTTTATTCGCTGAAATGAAAGTATTTATTATGCAAGATCGATTTGTGCGTTTTGCTGGATTCGAATCAGAAATGAAAGAAAATGGTACTATGGATACAAAATTAGTTAACTATGCTCTCAAGGTAATATTTAGAAAAGAAAAAGAAAGATATTTGTGATATGGATTAACAATTTTATATACATTAGGTTGCCAATCCTGCTGCTGCTGAAGAATTACACTACCAGATCACATCTAGGATTCCATCCAAATCAAAGTAGTCATATTTTATATTAGTATACTATGACCTTTTTTTTTTTTTTTTTTGAAAAAAAAAAAATAACAGAACTCCATGGACTGTCTTCAATTACATTTCTATTGTTATTCTCATTTCTTGTACCTTTGTTATAATATAGAAGATTGAATAAAAATATGGAACAACCAAATATTTTATCTTGTTGCCATTTTTATACTCTGACTTTGAATTCAAGCCACTTGAACTTTTTGGTGTTCTTTTTTTTCATGGTCTTCCTTCCTTTTCCCTTTTTTCTTTTTCTTCTTTTTTCTTGTTTTGTATATCCACCTTTCAATGCCTGATAAAGTCTCTTCGGGGAAAAAGTCAGGGAAGTTTCCTTCACAATTATTCACCAAATGGAAAACTGAAGTGATAGAAAAGCAAGAAAGCTTATTGTCAACACACGCTGATTTGCCTCTAGTGGTTGCTTTGACGAGTCTCATCAATGGGGAAGATCAATCCTGGGTGACACAATCTTCATATTTGAAGCAAATAGGTAATATAATGCTAAAAGAAGGAAATAGATAGTTTAAATATATATATCATTTAATAACTTGTATCTGTTATTTATAGTTCAAATCCTGAAAGCTAGTGGCCAAATCAAAGACAGTGACAAAACCAAACAAGTTATCGTCGATCTTGTCAAATCTATAGTTAACCCTATCGCTGCATTGGGCTATTTTTATGCTTCAGAAAACAACACACGACGTTTATTTATTCCTCTTCTTGAAGCTATTCAGCTATTTGTCCATGACACCAACGACTCCACCTTGATCGATGTTTACACTGATTACCTTTCACAAGAGAAAAGCGACTTGACAAAGATGGATAATGATATAAGTGATGACAACAGCGACAATAATGCTTTTGCCCATAAGTCATTGACCATTCACATGACTCTGGATTTCGAACTTGGCCGCCAGCTGATTACTAACACATACGAACTGACACTTCGATATCTCGTGAGACATATTTTATCATGTCAACAACTATTAGAAAAAGCAACAACGATAAAGGACAGGAATATGGATCAAATTGTTGTCAATGTTCATTATTTGGTCAAGACAACCATGTCTCTTTTGACTCGATCGGATACAACTGAAAAAATTCTTGGTGGACTCCTTGACGCGAAAACGACGGTGGATGACAATCCTTATGTATCTTTACTGTCTCAGTTGACCAATGCTCTTTTGAAAATTATTACTCAATCTTCATTTTATGGGAAAGACTGTTGTCAAGTAGCAGGTATGGCAGTCGGGGCAGTAATGAACCTTGGCAAGGATGCTTCTTTTGTTCGCGATTGGATCTTGGGTTGGTTTTTTGTGGATACTGAAAGAAAATCATTTGATGCTGCCAATCATATGTCCATTCTTTTTGGAATCAATTCATCATCACGTTTAGAAAATACTGGTTGGGAAGGAAAGGATGCACCAATGTTATTTATTATTCGTGGTATGATCTCTACTGTTCGAAAAGAAGTTTTATTCTGTCCCTGTGATCCGGAATTGCCTATCCGTCATCTGAAAAGGTAAAATCAATCTTTTATTCTGAGAATATATCAAAAAAGAAGAAGAGAGGCTAACATTCTTTATATGCATTTCTCAATTTTCATAGTTACGAAGGTGTCAATCATTTATTTGGTCTTTGTTTTGTTGGTACGAAATATTTTTGTATGATGGATAGCGGTGATTCTCAAGGAAAAGTAGTAGCTTTCGAAGCAATGTCTACGTGGTTACTGGAACTGAAGAACATGATGATTGAGAACAAAAAGAAGGATAATGATGTTTATGATGCTTCCAAGATTTTGTCAAATTCAAATGTTGATATATTGATTCATTTTGTATGGAATTACTGGGATGATCCAATCGATTCACTACAACATCGGGTAAATAGTAAAAAAAAAAAAAAAAAAAAAGGTCGTATTACTTTTTTTTTATACTTACTTTCGAACATTTTTTTTTTTTTTATCTGTTGAAAAGGTTCGCATGATTTTCGAATTACTCCTAGCTATTCTGGATATTAGGGCTGCTTACTTCCACGAAGAAGAAGTTCATCAACAATATCTATTGAACTTATTGAAAAACTTGCTGATGATGGACTGGCACAGAAAGGTAAAAGGAAAAAATAAAAAAATACGCCAGAACGATGATTTAATGTTTGATCTTTTATTAATTTTGTTTAGGTGAAATATGCTTTGATGACAATGTTGGTTGTCAAGTTGGGAACGGCAGTCTATTTTGATCTGGAACCCCAATTGGTCTGGAAATGTTTACGTGCTATGGATAGTTTAAGCTTGTCGTCTCAAATCGCCGGCTTCGTTCTGGAGCTGCTCAATCGATATATACTGGAATCAGTCCCTTCATGTAAACCATCAAAAGGTCAAAGTATCAAGTTGATAGGAAAAGATGAAGAAACCAAGGTCAGTTTATAGTTAATATGACATAAGATATGATAGAATCACTCACAGCTTTTTTTTTTTTTTTTTTTTTTTTTTTTTTTTTTTTTAACAATACTCCTTACAGATCCTGATTGATCGCTGGGTTATCTTATGGGCAATCCCAATGCTTCGATGCTTGACTTCTTCGTCTGACATATTACGACAAAATGCAAGTGGATTCATCTTACAGCCTTTATTCAAAACGAATACTGATTCATTTTGGTATTTGATGGATATTCTGAACAATACAACTCATGAAGCTTGGACCAATTTAGATCAACAATATCGTTTACATGCTTTTATCTCTGTTCTAAAGATTGCTCGAAGTTTGGATATCGTGGACGGTAGTCTGTATACAAGAGGTAAAGGGATATATACGTATATATTCTTAGTTGTTATGATTTTGAAATTAAATTATGTATTCTTTTTTTTTCTCTCTCTCTCTCAATGATTTAGAAGATGAACAAACGAAGGACTCTCGAAAAGTATCAGCTAGTACTTTGAAATTGGTGGCTTACCATTTGGATCCTCAAATTAGAATTGATGCTCTTGGACTCTTATGTGAATCTCGAAAAGGCGCAGCTGTAGTGACCGACATTGAACTGGAAATGATCAAGTACTTTTTACCTCTTAACATGAACTGCAATTCCCCTGAATTCCGACAAAAATTGTGTGCTCATCTTACCAAATTATTGACTCGACTTCGTGGAAATATTTATGCTCAATATCGAATCTATTTATCTCATATGACATTTGTAGAGAAAGCAACAAATGAAAAGCGACCAGAAGAAGAAATCACTGATGCTCAATTGGAAATGGAGAAGGTGGGCCAAACTATTCAACAAGGCAAGGAATTCCTTTATTGGCTCAATAATCATGTTGCCAACTCACTCTATCCAGGTGCTTCTTATCAACGGGTGGCTACAGCATTACGTATTTTGAATATACTGGTTAAGGTGTACGGTATTCCTGAATCGTCAGCAAACGATAATGACATGTCCATCTCTGATGATGATGATAAGATAACAGCAACAACGTTTTCAACAACATCAACAACAATAGGTATCCATGGATCAACATCCGATTTCCCATTCACAATCCCTTTGGCGTCTCCTCGTAATGCCAAACTGTTGATTGATACTCTGATGGACTCCTATGATTTTAATCGCAATTTGGCATTTGATATTCTATGTCAGTTCCCTAGTCCATTGCCTGGTGTCACGTCCAAAGAAAATGTTCAAGATCTTCTATGGTGGGGACTCAATAATGTCGTCAGTACTCGCGCTGGTGAAAGTGATAGTGGTGCTATGATCTTCCGATTGATCTTTACCAAGTATGTGACTGGTCTTGAATTCAACTTGTATCCTCAGCAAAGTAGTTCATTGACTTTGACCAAGAAGAAAAAAAGAGGTGGTGCTAAGAAGAAACAACATCAAGGTTCAGCTGCAGGTATTTACTACTATCAATTTCAGAACAAGAAAATCGAATAATACAATCTTTTTCTTTAATTCATCTGTTTTCTTTCTCTCTCTCTCTTTTTTTTTTTTTTTTGATTTCTCCATTGCCATAGTTATCTTTACCAATCGACTTTTAGATATGCTTGAAGATCAGATCGAAATCGCTAAATCAAATCTTCTGTTAGCTGCTCAACATCATCCTATGCATGGGACCTTATTGGCTCTACAGTAAGTGAGGAGAAGAGATATACATACAAATCTGCTTTCACTCTTCCCTTTTACAAATAAGCTTACCTCATTTTTTTTTCTTCCTCTTCTTATTTAGATATGTTTTCCGTGAAGTAGATTATCAGGATTCTCGTATCATGGCTGATCAAGCAAAATGGAAAGATATTCATGCTCGTACTTTGGCGTTGATTCAATCTGTCTGCGATAGTGTGATGGATGTATTATCAAACCCATCTCCTGAAGGAAATGTACCAGCTTGTTTCAAGGAAATGGATGAAACAATTACCGATATCGTTGGCCAAGACACTGAAAATTTGGATGCAGAATTTGGACCCAAACATCAAGTTATTCTTAGCTGTTGTTGGCGTGCTGTCAAGGAAGCAAGGTACAAAAAAAAAAAAAAAAAAAAAAAAGAAAGGAAAATAGCAATGGAAAAGAACTAATGGCTTTATTTTCTTTCTTATGTCTTTCTACAATATTGTATCTAGTTCCTTATTAGAAGTGATCATTGTGAAAGTTCCCCTCGCAAGAAATCGACAAGACAGGAACGCTTTGTTGACCTTTGTGGATTTGGAAAAGAGTGGCAGTTTACTTCGAACATTATTGACCAGTATTCGTCATCGTGGTGCTTTTTCTGCTGTTTATCCTACGTACGTATCTTTATGTTCAAGATTATTGGGATCACAAGATTCAACATTGAATAGTTTACCACATAAATGGATCAAGGTAATATAGGTCTAATTCATTCACTATTTTGTTAACCAAAAAAAAAAAAAAAAAGGTTAAATGTGCTTATATCATACTTTCTTTGATTAGGAAAACCTGTCAAGTCTTACTTCAAGCAACATTTCCATCACTCGACGTAGTGCGGGTTTACCTCTTTGTATACTTGCCATTGTCAGTAGTGAATCTGTCACCAAAAAAGAACTCTTGGGCGAAACTTTCCAGCAACTTTTGAAATTGGCAGGCGAAGAACCTCCTATGGATGCTGATCAAAGAGTAGATCTCCCACAAGTACATGCTTACAATATCATGCGAACTATATTTATGGATTCCAAACTTGGCACCCGTGTTTTGGAATATGCATCTGACGGATTTTTTTTGGCCATCAATGGATTCTCATCATCAAGGTAGGAAAAAAAAGAAGTGAAAACAGATACATGATTCTTTTGTATTCATATTCTATACTTTGATCCTAGTTGGGCAATTCGAAACTGTGCTGTTATGTTATTTTCCACTTTATTACAAAGGACACTTGGTACCAAGAAGACAAGAGATGAACATAGCAATGTGAACAATTTGACAGGACAAGAATTCTTTACTCGATTCCCAAAACTTCATTCTTATCTATTGAAAGAACTAGCAAATGCAGTAGATCAACTTTTCGGAAAATCTATGGTATGTTATCCAGCAATTGAAATGTATTGCTCTGATTTCATTCTCTTTTTCCAATTTTTTTTTTATTCGATGTTGATTCATTTAATTGACATTTTAGGCTGATAGTGTTCATCCTGGTCTATATCCTATGTTAACCTTGCTCTCTCGATTGCGGCCTTCAGTAATGGATGACGCTACTGATGCACTTTCTATGGCTCCCTTTATTCCTCTAGTTCTATCCTGTGCTGGAAGTTCAATTTTCAAGGTAGGCATTTAATTAATTATATATACAGATATTGTGTATTAAAACAAATGCAAACTCACTTTTGATATTACATTTCCTATTCACAGACTCGGGAAATGGCTGCTCGAGCCTTGGTACCACTGGTTTCTTCTACTGTATCATTAGTTGTCATGATAGCGGATTTGTTGGAATGGGATGAAAAGTTGACACAAAATGAAATCCATGGTCGTTTGATTCAAGTCCAATTCTTATTGCGTGGTCATTTGTATCAAGGATCAACATCAAAAGACACTCTATTGAAACTCATCAAATCACTTCCAGGTGTCATCGTTTCCTGTTTGTCTGTAGCGAATCAATTGAATGAAATCTCTCAGGCTTTACTTTTGGATATTATCTCTGAATTCTTCTTGGACTGTAAATGGATTTTCGAAGACAGGTCATCAGTATTGATTGATGGTAAGTTTGGGAACATTTACGACTATTTTTGGGAACGGTCATACTCATTTATTTCTATTTGAATAATTATATATATATGTATATAGAGTTGATTTCAGTGTCGGATGAATCTTTTGAAACTCTACGAGGATTCGTACTCTCTTATTGTAACGAAACCATTCAAACCAAGTCTGAAGTGGGGCTTATCGGTACCTATTTGGCAAGACAATCTATGGCAAATGTAGTTGTTTTGGGTCATTTGAACTTTGGAATTTCTGAACTACCTAGTATCTTGTATCTTCTTGATGATCCTGATTATGAAGTACGATTACTCACCATGACCAAACTGATGACTTACTTTAACAAAGTAGATAACTCAACCAAGATCTCGGGGTAAGTAAAAAGAAAAGAGCAAAGTGAATAATGGTACTGACTTTGATGATGATGATTTTATAGTATAACCACACTTCAACACAAATTGATACAAAAAACATATGATGGTGAAGATAATATCCATTGTTTTGCAACTGCTGCTAAGTTCCTTATGAATCTCAACAAGTCCTCTCCTTATCCAAAAGAAACAATTCAGAATTCCAATTCTATCCACTTTACTCTGGATCAATACTGGAATAAACTGCTTGATCATTTTACGAAACGTCAATCTATTTTGGTGACTGAATCGGTACTTCCTTTGCTTGGTGCCTTATTTGCTCAGGTATTCTTTTATTCTTTTTTTCTACCTTTCTTTTTTTTTTTTTTTTTTTTTTTTTTTTTTTTTTGGGTTGAGGGAGGAAGATTGAAGCACTCAACATGGAATTTCCTTTTGACCTTTTTTTTTTTTTTTTTTTTTTCTTTTTTTATAGATTCTACAGAGTCCACTGAACAATGATTTTGTACAAAGCTGTTTAAAAACATGGAGTACATATGTGGTCAAATATAGTAACAAGGAAGTGGTAAGAAGTCAATGAACTGTCAACAAAAAATAAGTGGGATTCCTAATTTACAATTTTTGTTTATTTGTTTTGATGCAGGCATTGCCGTTACGAGAGGCTGTTGTCAAGTCTATAGAATTTACAGCCAAACATTTGTTTATGCATACCATTCAATTAGGTGAAGAAGCTGATGGTGCAAGAACTCTAGCTGAATTGGCGATTATTCAATTATTACAGGTATATTTGATATCACATATACATATATTATTTATTAGTAGGTTTGATTTTGACGTGTTTTATTTCGATAGGATGACGACATTGATATTCGACAAAATATGGCTACTATTGTTTCCGAAGCATTGCAACTTGTGGTAAGCCATATGACTTATAGTCTTAGAAAAGGGAAAGATTATATATAAAGTTCATTCATTATTCTTATTAGGCACCTGTACATCCTGAACGAGCTGTGGAACTTATTCATCGACATCTTACTATTCGTGTTGTTTATCCTGCTCGTCTTCAAACAGTACTTACACAGAACCTGATTGGGGTTGGGAAGTTACGTAAGTTTCAAAAAAAATGAAGTTAACTCTTATTTTTATCTGACTTTCCTTTCTATGTTTTAGGATCTGTGTGGCATGATGAATTGACAAGTCATAGAGCTTTGTTCGAAAAGGAAAACCCCAACATCTATAAGGAAGATATGGTTGATATTCAATGGGCAGCAGTGGATTTGGATCAATTACATTATCATCAATCAGCAGATTTTTCAAGAATTATGCAACAACAATCTATATTTATGATGGACGTAGCCAATCAACTGATTGATTTTTGTAGACTTTTGGAACCTGCTTCTGGAGCTTCAGTAAGAAAAAAAAATAGAAGAGGAAATAGAGAGGATCAAATATTTGTTCGACTTACTCTTTTTTTTTTTATTTATTCATTTGTAGATTATGAAACATGGTCCTTATGGCATCACTTCTCGACCAACCCTCTTTTTGGTTGCTTATCGTTTATTGTTGACAATGACATTTTCTTATGATTACCTTGCAGAATTACCTGAGCTAGCTCCTGACTTTGTACCTCTGACAAAAGGTAAATACAGATAGAGAAGATGATGGGAATGTGTTGAAATGATAGAAAACAAACTTCTTTTTTTTTTCTCACTTGATGATCATAGAATTGAAATCAGCATTACACAACGTTACTGAAGAATCAGTCCACCCTTTATTATGGCAACAACTTCACGGCGAATCTGGTTTAGCGGGCAAGATACATCAATTCTTACGACGATTTAATAAACCAACTTACAACATGTTTCTTATTGCCCCTGACTTTCGGGAATAGTATAGAATAGATAGATACATACATAGAAAATAGATTTTTTTTTTTAAATAATAAAATAAAATAAAATAAAGAATGACAACTTATTTATTTCAGCCACTCGCATTATGATCGTCCTCATTATTCACTCTCGGTTAACGCTGTGTCTTCCTAATATATCCTTCTCAACCATCGTCCTGCACTCATTACAGATCATCATAGTATCGTCTAGCTTATCATCGCCATATCAACAGCATCATCATCATAGGGATTAATGATGTTATTACTAATTGAATCATCGTCAATAGAATCATTATCTACATTTCATCATCTACCATTCATTATTCATGGAAGTTGAACAATTTTTTTTTTTTATTGAAGGGCATTGTATTATCTAGTACTAAACTAAGAGAGAATGAAGATTATCTCAATATATTGATACATGTAAAACGATGTCATCTAATCTAATATATAAATGTATAAGCTACTGTACACCAAGTTTGCGACGGAGTTCAGGATCTTGTTGAACTACTTGTACCAGGTGTGCCAAGGGTAAGAACAAAGGAGTGCGTTTCGTCAGTTCAGACCAGGAGACCCATTGCCAATCGCCTTGAATTTTATGAGGTTCCATGACTTTCAACGCGGTAGGATCCTTGATCTCGGACTGCATAAATACCGTAACGTAATGTTTATTATCCGTTTCCATAATATCATTGGTTGTTGTCAGTAACTTGGGTTCACCTATATCTAGATTTGTCTCTTCCATACTTTCTCGACGCGCACATTCTTCAAGTGATTCTTGGAATTCTAAATGGCCTTTTCTCGAGAAAAAGATCATAATGAGAAAAAAAAATATAATACAAGTTTAATACAAATATCGAAGTATCTATCTCTCGAGATAGTTGATCTTTTACCTCCTGCCAGTTGCCATGTTCCTTCACCATGAGAATTCTTTCTTTGTGCAATCAAGAACTTTAAACCATCTTGAAACTGATGTTTGATAATGCAGCCTACACCGACTTGGACAATACCTAAATCCATCAGAGAAAGAATCAGATCAACAATATAAGGACTATAGTAACAATACTATTGAAAAAGTTACCTGACATTTGTTAATCACAAAAGGAAAGAGAGAGAACAAAAAAAAAAAAAAAAAAAAAAAAAAAAAGAAGAAAAAAGCAGAAAAAAAAAAAAAAACGACTGCGGTTGCGCATATACATAAAGGACCTTTGACGTACGATGACTCCGCCAAACATATCTTGATATAAAAGTTGAGTTCCAGTCTTTATGCTGTTTTTGAGAAAAGAAAGGAAAAGGAAAGGAAAAAAAAAAAGAGTCAGGCAGAGAAAGGACAAAAAAAACTCAGGGACAAAAAAAAAAAAAATTGGAAAGAGTGGAAGGTTGGAAGGAAACTTCGCAAGGCGTGGACTAAACTTAATAAGTTGTTTGAAAACCATTATTTATATTCTGGAGCTTATTATTATAATCTTGTATCCTATAGGTTTTTTATTGGTATCGAAAAACAAAGATGAAAGAGTATATATTAAAATGGTGTATATGGAACTAACAACAAAAAGGAATAATATAAACTATATACTAAGGGAATAAAATATCATTCAAGATAATTGGTAACGAGTTTGTATTGAAGAAGGTCGTGGTAAAAAGATCATATTAGAGGTATCTTGATGTTGATCAGTGATATGTTGGGATGATTGTTGATGAGCACGTTGTCGGTATTGAGAAAATCCATGATGATGATGATGATGTTGTTGTTGTTCCATTAATAATGATGAAAATCCACCCATATCTTGTTGCTGCAAAAGGGATTGTTGTTGCCGATCACATGTTTCGATTTCAGATCGTATTAGTCGACACAATTCACCTGCCACTAATCCTCGTTTGATCGTCAACCATCTATCCAGTAAATCCACCAATAACACCTTTTTCACTAATCCCAGTAGATGTCGTTCGTCAGTCAATAATTCACATGTTCGTTGGACAGCACATTCCACATGCGTTTCACCCAAGATTTTCCCAATAAAAGCAGCGCCCATCAAATCAAAACAAGCAGAGATACTATGTAGTGTCAGAATCAAAGAAGGAGAAGAAGAGGATGATGATATATAGGGAAGAGTTAACCGTGATCTAGAGAGTTGTTGATGTTGTTGTTGTTGTTGTTGTACTTGTTGCCGAAGTTGATGACGTTGATAATGATAAAGATCCACAGCAGATAGAGGGAATTGAGATTCTGTCGTTGTTGGTGGAAGTAAAAATAAGGAGGAGGATGAGAAGCAAGTAGATAATGAAGTACCAAAAAGAAAAGGATATACCAAAAGATCACGTTCATGTAGACAAGTAGGACGCTGAGCCAGTAGTTTGTATCCAGTATATTCCAAAAAGGCCTTGATATGATCCGCCAAGGTATAAGTGATTTCACGGCAATAAGAGGGAAAAGCAGCATCAAGTCGGGTTAGCAATCGTACCATCATAGCCGCTAAACTTCGATTGTTGTTGAAAGAATCAGATGATTGTGAGCAACGTACAGGTTGTCGAGAGAGTGCAGCGACAAAAACAGTATGGTGGAATATCACATCAACAGTAGCACGAATCCGGTTCCTAATATCAATATCTTCAATCAAAACGTATTTGTGTTTGTAAGAACTGATGCCATGTATAATTCGTTGGTGTAAGCGTTCTTCCTTGAGCATCAGTTCGTTGAATAATTTGTTATCACATGTCCTTGTTGTCAGTAAAAAGTCACTTTCATTGAATCCCGTTGAAGGTATTATTGTTGTTTCTGAGGGTGATGATGGTGGTGGAGGTGATGTTGTTCTAGTAGCCGGTAATCCAATTGAAGAAGATGCTGATGCTGGTATTGATGCTGATGCTGCTGAAAAAGATAGGGTAGTTGACAACTGATTGTCGTTTGTTATAGATAACGTTGCCGCGTGGTGAGGTACAGTCATCGTTTCATCATCATCATCATCATCATCGTCATCATTGTCTCCATCATCATCATCGTAGTCGTCTTCATTTTCATCATTATCTTCCATATCCTCATCATCAATACCACCACTCACTTCATTGAGATCGATATCCATATCATTCATATGTTGCCGTCGTCTAAAATGTGAAATTGAAGAGAGATTGTTGTTGCCAATGGGAGAAAATGAAGAAGCTGTTACTGTTGATAGAGAAGTTGGAGCTAAAAGTGGACCTTGAGTATGTTGTTGTTGTTGTTGTTGCTGTTGTTGTTGTTGAATAACTCGATCATTATTTCTTTGTTCAATAAATTGAGTTGATATTGCTGTTGTATGATTCACAGTAGTTGTAGTGGTAGTAGCAGTAGTTGTTGTAGTTGCTGTTGTTGTAATGGGGTACTGTGCATTGAGAGTCGGTAAAAAGGGTGGAGATAGTCGAGAAGAAGAAGAAGAAGACGAAGAAGAAGAAGAACCTGGAATGGTGGCTAACCCATTGGGTGGAGTAGTGGCATATCTTGTTTGTAAACACAGTTGAGTTGAGAGACGTTCTAAAGCAATCAAGGCTGCACGACACTGAATCTTCATTGTAGTTTCAGGAGTAAAGACAAGTTCGATTTTCCAGCGTTTCTGAATGGTATCAATGGCAAGTTGGCGTAATTGAGTGGACACCTGTAATAATCGCCATACATCAGCAAGGTCCAGGAACTGACGAAGAATGTATAGTACAAGTTCATTCGGTAAACCTAATAGATGAGGTGAATAATCCATAATAAATAAAATGAATAATAATAGTAATAGTAATAAGAATAAGAATAAGAATAAGAATATAATAATAATAATAATAAAAATAAAAGAACAAAAAAATAATCAGAAAAAAAAAAAAGAAAGAAAGAAAGAAAAAAAGAAATGGAAAAAAAAAATCCATAAAAATCCTGATTTCTTTTTTCATCCCCCTCCCTCTGATCCTCCCTCCTTGGCACACTAATAATTTATATATATGGAGAGAAATCAGGGGTAATCTCATCGAAAGACAAAGGGGACGTAAACATCATAACAAGCATGTATTACTACATAGGATTTATATATTATTATTCCATGTATGTATTTCTTCATCTGTTTTGTCTTTTTCTTCTTAGTATCACGTGGGTGCTTTGTTGTGTACGAAATAAACCTTTTACATCTTATTTATTTATATACATACACGTTACAAAAGGTCTCCTTATCATTCATCCCTCTCATTTTCTTACCCGATCCTATTTTCCCTCTCACCCCTTCTACCCTCCTGAGTATCCCACCCCTTTTCTTTTCCAGTTCAATAACAATGATAATAATAAAATAAAAAAAAAAAAATCAATAGGATTCAGGTACGCGGACCTCCAAAAATAAGCTTTATTATCATCCATCGGCATGAACACTTAAAATATATCTAAATCTAAAATAATTCTAATCTATGTATTTCTAACTATGATTTTTCAAAATAAGATAATTTCTACGTAAAGAAGGATTCCACAATTCAAAACCACTATTTTCCATTTCCTTGACCAAGATGGAGCCTGTTTTCCAAAGTTTCTTTCGTACACATTGAGCCATTAACATTGTCCATGTATCCTTGTTGGGATTCAAGTTGTTTTGTCGCATATATCGTAAACAAGTCACTGCATCATCAAATCGATCATGATCTATAAATCCAGTAATCAAAAAGTTGTAAGCTGCACGATCAGGTTTGATTCCTCGTGATACTGCGTATTGAAAAGTTTCCATCGCCTTGGGTAAGTTCAACGTTTCCACATAACCCTGAATCAAATTGGTCATTGTATGGATTGTAGGTGATAGTTTGTAAGTCGATGATTGTAGTAATTGCAATGTCGCCTCCGCTTCTGTCATGTTCTGATGTCGTACCCAACCATTGATCATTGCGTTGAATGTATAAATATTTGGTGTCATTCCCATTCCTAGTACGTGGCCCATCAATTCCTTTGTATTTCGTGGTTGTTTGTATTCAAAAATAGAGTTGATCAACGTGGTATAAGTTACAGTATCCGGTTCGCATTTGTATCTGTACATGTCTTGAATCACCCCACTGGCTAGTGTAAATTCCTTTGCCTTGACAAATCCTTTGAAGAGCGTATTAAATGTCACCATATCCGGTTTGATTTTGGAGTTGGTAGATAACATTTGTCGATATAGAACACTTGCCGCTTGTATTTCTCTATTGATCACCAATCCATCCACCATGGTATTAAGAATCACTTCGTTCAATTGGAGTTTTGGGTGTCGATGTATTTCTTCGAATGCTTGTAATGCCTTTTTTAAATTCCTTGACTTGAAGTATACCTTGATCAGTTGATTGTAAATATGTTCGTTCATAGGATGGCCCGCCATCACCATGTCGCGCACCACGTTTTCCGCCTTTTGTTCATGTCGTCGGTGAGCATACATTGATAACATGGAGCCGCAGATGGAAGGGTTGGGTTTGAGTCCTCGTTGTGTCATATCGTCATAAATGGTTGAAACAAGTCGTAATCGTTTTGCATCTGTCAGATTTTTGATCAATAAAGTACATGTCGAAAGTTCTAAAGGTATATTGCGTTTATTCAGCGTATCATATATCCAAACCGCCTCGTCCACAAGTTCATCCCGAAATAAATGTTGAAGATTAGTGTTTATCACTTCGACTTTATCAAATCCATATTGTGCAATCCAATCTCGTCCCTTGGTAACCACTTCAGTATCCCTAGGCATACATCGATTCATGCTTCGGTTGAAATCGCGAATATCTGGTATCAGACCCCATCGTTCTTGAGCTTCTCTGATCAAGGCTGCTGCTTCTTTTTCTTGACCCAATTTGATATATGTGGCAAGAATGGCATTAAAAGAACCAATACTGAGCTTCAATCCAGACTTTGTAAAAGTTTCCCCTTTGTAAGTGGCCAGAATGTCTTCATACCGTGCTTGATAGAGATTCACCAAAAAGAATTCATTGTATTCACCAATTGTCCATTCATGTCCAACTTTCTTCATATCATTCAGTACTTGCAGAACACGATTTTCAGAATCCCATAACTTGTTTTTCCAAAGAATCGATCGTAACGCTCTATAGTCTTCCGGGATCAAGTCAGGATTGCCTTGAACTTTTTCATATTGATGCCATAACTGATGAATCATGTTGTTTCCAGTAGAACCAGTGGATCCTGAGTTAGCTCCTGCAGCTCTATCTAATTGTTGTCGAAATTCTAGTAATGTAGGATCTATCTCTTTGCTTGTTGTTGTTGTTGTTGTTGTTGTTGTTGCTGTTGTTGTCGTTGTTGGTGATGCAACCGTTTCTTTGATAATAGACTTTGTACTAAAGAAGAGTGCTGGTCGAGTTGTTGATGATAAAACATTAGGACGAGAACTGCGTTTCAAAAAAAGATATAATTGAGGCCTACATGCCCTAGTCAACCTTTGCATTGGACAAGAATTAAAAAAAGAAAAGAAAAAAAAACACAGAGAGTTGAAAAATAGTAGGTTGTCAAAAAAAAAAAAAAAGTAAGTTTGGTGAGAGAGAGAGAGAGAAAAAAAAAATGGGAGTGGCTGACTTGGCTGGTTAAATCCTCACGGAGTCCAAATTCAGATGAATACTGGTTTTTTTTTTTTTTTTTTTACCGTATATTAATTATTCTCTTCTTCTTCTTCTTTTTTTTTTTTTCTTTTGAACTCTACTTTCTATCCTTATTATCTATTTTATTTCCTATTTCTGTGACATATTATTTTTGAATTCGGTTCATTTATTATTGAATAAAGTGTAATCAGTTGTCTCTCTTCCTTTACTCCTTCACTACGCTCATTTACTTACTTTATATATGGAAGAGGACTTGCGCAATAATTGTCAATTTATACCAGCTCTATGGAGGCAACGACGTGAATTTATTTTGGATACATTAAAGAAACATAAAGCTCAAAAGGTACAGAGACAAAAGTGGATAACGATGAAGAATGAAAATTATTGTTAACTATTTCCTTATTTACAAATAGATTCTTGATTATGGTTGTGGAGAAGGTTCAGTTCTATCTTTCTTGATACCCCCTTCAGCATATGATGACATACATTTTACTCACTTGATCGGTCTGGATATTGATCGCAACTTGCTTGAACAAGAAACCATTGCAGCATGTCAACCATGGCCCTCGGATTATGAATATTTACGTGAAACTCCATTGACAGTCGACATATATCATGGGTCAGTGGATCAGTTGGACTCAAGATTAATAGGAACTTGTGATGCTATTATCTGTAGTGAAGTCATTGAACATCTTTATCCGAGTTGCTTAGATGCTTGTCTACCTTTGATGCTTGGTTCCTATGCTCCTCCTCTTGTGATTGTGACAACCCCCAATGCAGAGTACAACGTCTTCTTTCCCAATCTCAACTATGGTACAACTAATTCTACTTTTCGTCATGATGATCACAAATTTGAATGGACAAGACAACAGTTCCAAGAATGGTAAGAATGTAAAATTAATAATAATAATAATAATAATAATATACTGATCATTACTTTTTTTTTTTGTAACGTTATTTATTTATCTATTTAGGTGTATAAAAGGGGCAAAGCAATACGGTTATAAAGTTGAATTCCATGGAATCGGACTATTGGATGGCAAACTGGATATGTTGGATTATGGACATTGTACGCAAGCATGTGTCTTTACAAAACAACAAGGCTCATCATCAACTACAGCATTACATCAATCTTCAATAGGTACAATGCATACAACAGACACACCACATACATTATTGAAACGATTTGAATTTCCCTACTACAATATACCTTCTTTACCCGACAAAGAAATATTAGTACATATTGAATCTTATATATCCGATTATTGTCAAGCAGCAACAACGCAAATACAGCAAGCAGTTGAGAAAGAAAAGGATGTATGCTTTGAACAAGAAGATGATGTATGGTCGACCGACAATTATTCCTTTGATACCCAAGACAATAACAATGAAGATAGTACGAACAATACAGCTGGACTGACATGGTGTACTGAATATACTTACGAAGATCATCATACCAATGACGACAATGACGATACACAGGATCAGTGGACGCTCTCCCCTGTCACAATCAGCATGAATACGCTTTGGTCAACATTACATATTCGGCAACTATGTAAGACAAGGCAACGATTTTTGGATGTCCTACAACTTGATCAAGAAAACTATCGAATCATGGGAGAACAGTTGGTGGTACACAAATCTTTTAGGATCAAAAATAATGCTGGATATGGATTAGACTCAAACGGATGATGATACTTAGTTAGGTCTGTGTATTATATATTATAGTGTTTTTTTTTTTTTGTTTTTTTTTTTTTGTTTGCATGGAATGTGTTTTTTTTCTTGTTTTATTTGTTTTTCAATAAAGTAATAATATAAAAAAGGTTTACTTATTTCCCATGAAATCGTTTGTGTCTCCAAAATCACAGGTTGTAATATAGTTCAAAAAAGGAGAAGATAGGGTTGGGTAAAAGTAATGACGACAATGTCTATTTTTTCACAATGTCATAGGGTTTCCTGTATTGACCCAACATTATCGTCTGTGATTACACTTGTTTGTGTATCAATAAAAAAAAAAACCTTACACGACAGACTCTATACATTTATTAGCAGGAGATGATGAAAAGAAACAGGTTTCTATCATCTGATACTTTTTACCGAAGACTATTAAGAAGATCTATGAAATATTCTTACCCACATCTTTCTTTATCAATTTTATGAACTAATAGTATTGTAAATTATTGAATAATATTGATGAATCATTTTTTAAAAATATCTTTTTGACCTTAAATTTGAATCATACGAAAATAAGAAAAGTAATGGGGTCTATTCCTCTATGTCCCGATTAGGAAAAGTCCTGGGTACAGAAAAAAAAAAAAAAACCAGGTACAAGGGAGAGAATCAAGCAGTATATATATTTATATATATAAAAAAAAGCAGGTGGTTTTTTTTTTATTGAATAGTCTAGTTACACTAATGTGGTTCAAGTGGAAATCAAATAGGGTACGAGTGGTGTGATGTATGGGAGCCAAAAAAAAAAAAAAAAAAGAACCCATGATTTTTTTTTCGTTAAAATTCATTTTTCTCATAGGCACGAAGACATATCCATTCGTATATAAATAGTTTCCTTTTTTCCCTCCCTTTTCTTTTTTTTTTTTTTCCTTACATTTTTTTTTTTTTTTATTTAAAATATCATTTTCTATCTCTATACCCATTTATTTATCCAATCATTATGATGCCTGATACCACTTTACATCCAACACATATCCATCAACCTCTACTAGCAAAAGCAACACCAAGACGACGTTCTACATCATCAGCAAGATATACTTATCGCACTTGTCCAATCTGCGCTGAAAAATTATTGGTCCGTATACATGGGTCCTTTGTCTACAAATGGGTCAATCATCACTTTTCTACAAGACATCATGAATGGATGCACGTCGTGGTCAACTTACATGCACCATGATTTTTATTATTTTTTTTTTTGTCATTACTAGCTATTATTATTATTATCACCATCTTGTTACCATCATCATCAAAATCATTTCTTCTTATCATCATTTTTCATTTAGCTAGTCATCCTAAACGCACACACACACATCTATATATATACGTATATATATACACACCAAACATACATTCATACATACATATATACATACATACATACATACATACATAAAATACACAGACACATAAGAAAAAGAAAAAGTCATCAAAAACAAATTATCATTGATCCTATTCTCTTCAACCCCACTATCATTCTGTACATATCCCTAAAATAATAATTTTCACATATGGATTACCCTTTTCAATTCCCTTTCAAAAAAAAAATAAAAATAAAATAAAAAACATACAGAATAAAAATATAACATCACATATCCATCTATTTCCTTTTTTTTTATTGGTTTTTTTTTTGTTGGTAATGTTGACATACATACATTGGACAAGAGTAAAACGAGAATAATAACAGAAAGTAAACAAAAAGGCAAAACAAGACGACCAAAAAAAAAAAAAAAAAAAAAAAAAAAAAAAAAAAAAAAGGGAAAATAAGACCAAAATACTAAACTATAATAACACCAATCAAAGAAGTATATAGAGATACCATTTCGCCATGATTTCTATATCCTGCTGATCCAACCCGTGGAGTCCGTAATAAAGTATCGTTATTGATGATGATAGTTGATGATGATGGTTGATGCTGATAAAGATAATAATACATTCTATAATGAATTCTATATATAGATGATCTTGATAATAATAAATTACAATGTGAGTACTATTTTTTTTTTTTGCTTTTGTCTATTGCTTGATGGTGTTGCTGTTGTCATTTCCAAGTTCTTGTTGTTCCATAACACATCGAGGGCAAGAGCACAGAAAATAGTAATGATCTAATAGTCGTTGTTGTCGTTCTAATAATGAAGCATCCACATCCCCATAAGAAATACATACTTCTTCGCCTTGAGAGATAGCTTGCTTGGTATAAAATTGCATTTGTCTTCCATGTCGAAGCTTGATGGCATTTGCGTCACATGAATGATTAAAGTATACTGCCGATGGATATATTCCAAACCCAAGTAATTCCAGATCGTCCGTAACTACTGATGCATCCTTACTGATAGATTGTTGTTCCCATAATCCAAAACTGTTGGCCATTTCACGATAATAGATTGCACGGAAAAGACTAGGTGTCATTTCATTCTTGCCAAGGACTACGGGTATGTCTTGATTCACACCTTTGGAGGAAAGCTTTATTGGACTAGTCATAGCTGTCATGAAATGGAGATATAATTGAATAGTTTGCTTGATAGCATCAGGTAGATCGTTTTGCCAATTGCGCAACCATAGTACTGTTGATAATGATAATGATTGTTGATAATAAGTATGTCTGAAATAAGCCAATTCATTGTCTTGCATTTCCCAAATAGCCTCAAAACCAGGTGCACTTGTACTATTGGTAATGAGTTCCGTTTTTCGTTTCACCAAACAAGATGCCATAAATCGACACATAGTAAGATCATCATCGTCAATATCATTGGTTACCAAATAAGGTTGAACTGTCGCCAGACTCCATACTTTGTTCAAATAGATTCTTAACTGTTGATCATCAGTAATGTCGTAAGCATCCTCTTGAGTAAAGTCGTTCATATTTCCAGAAGACAAAGTCGGTTGAGAAAGAAGAGTGTCTTGAGGTTGATAGTGTTCTAAACGATACATACAAGTGAGCCAGGTATACCATTCTTCCTTGGTACAAGTGGATAAATAGTGTTGCTTACATTGGTCAGTACAAAAGGCGCCATGTCGAAGTGGAATGAGAGTTGATTTATTATTGTACTGTTTCTTTTTTAGAGGTAGTTGTTGCTGCCACCAATGTAACAAGGACAATGTATCTTCTGTTGATGACAAAAGTTTGATCTTCATACGTTTCGGATAGGTAAAGTCAAAACAACCAATACAAGTTTCAGGTAACCATTCTTGACTGACAGCTGTTGATAAAGGCTGAGCAACATGGATAAGAGTACCAGCAGGTATATCTTTGTTGGCAATATAACCTCTTCCCCTATTTGGTAAGTCGGCCACCACTAACAATTTTTGTTTCCCTTCTTGTTGTTTGCTGTCTTCACCAATAAGTTTCAGTACATTGATTCCTTCTATCAAAGTATCAACTAACATCTTAACAGATTGGAATGCTATATATATATATATATATATATATGGTCGTTATCAACAGGAAAAAAAAAACAAAAGAGAGAGAGAGAGAGAGAGAGAAAGAACGACAGCTGAGAGATAAAAAAAAATTTATCTCTCAGGTTGATCAATCAGACGCGGTAAATCAAAGTTTATACACCAAAAATTGGCATCCCCCGAAACCTTCCTACACTGGAAATGAAAAAAAAAAAAATATGCTTTCATACCAAGAAGTGAGCCTCTTATGGTAATCAGGTACATATTATTATCTTTTATCAAAAAATCAGGTATTTGTTCTATCATCATCTTAAAATAAATATAAACAGCATAGATACGCCAATAATGATTAAATCAAAGCCACCTTCAAAATAATGTATGCATAAAAGTACTTGGTACATAAACCCATGTGCGATAATCAATGTAAAAGATTGGTTCATTTTATTGTTATTATTATTGGTAGACGATGATCCATCAGAACAATCATAATAATAATAATAATAATAATGGTGCATAAAAGATTCCTATAGTTGATGATGTAGTAAGAAATGGTGATGATATATAGTAGGATTGATGGAATAATGCATTTGACCGAGAAAGTCCATCCTTTTAGCCGGAACAACCGAAAAATAGCATGTGTCTCTTCCTTTGAGAGTTACCCAACCCGGATTTAATCATAGTAAAAAAGAAATCATCCATCTCATTTGAATGACATCATCTTATAAGAAGATATTTTGATAAAGAAGAAAATAAAAAAGATATTTTGTTTTATTTGGGAAGCACCCTTAGTCCCTTTTTTGGATTATAGCTCAGCCTGCATAATGAGATAGGTACCCAAAGATTTCATCCTTCCATTTATTGTGATTATAAAAAAAGAAATCCTCTATTTCCGAGGTATATCAATGATAACAAGATGGCTTTGACTAATGAAACATGATTACCAACTCATGACCAAGAATACAAAAAAAAAAAAAAAAAAAAAAAAGAGAGGGAGGGAGAGCTGCAAACTACCCCCTTTATTTCTATTTCTGTCAAAAACTAACATAATAAAAACTCGTCAAGGACTTGACGGTTTACTTTTGATTTATATATAGAACATGAAGGATGATCAGAGAAAAAAAAAAAAAAAAAGAGCAGAAATTGAAGAACAGATCAAACTTGAATGCAAACATAAACAAAAATAAAATAAAATAAAAATAAACTACATATAAACCGATCTTTTTTTTTTGTTTTCTTTTTCGTTTTCTCTCCTGTTTCTTTTCATCCCTTTTCATACATAAATTTTTTTTTATTATTATTTTATTACTGTTATCATCATCTCCCCTGAATACTTTTGACTGATATGTTACTGATTACAGAAGCTGATCAATACATGGGATATGCTATTGCATCACATTTAGGACGATACCCTGCCTTAAGATCCAAAATCCGATTGTTATGTAAAAACAAGACCATTTGCCTTAACTTTGAACATAAAGGAATGGACGTACATTGTGTGGATTATAATCATCCTCATCATCTCTCTTTGGCTCTACGTGGTGTTGATCACATCATCCTGGCTGTGGGTCATGATGATACTCGGGTCTCTATGGCTAAACATTTGATTCAAACTGCCGTTCAATCTGGTATCAAGTCCATCCTTCTTGTTTCTCATGTAGGTGCTGCTTCTCATACTCATGAGACTTTACAACAATATGCAGATATTGAACGTCTTGTGATTGATACTGATTGTCAATGGACCATCCTCAGGTAAAAATATAAAAAATAAAAAAAAATAAACAAATCACTTAGCAACCCTTTTTTTTTTTTTTTTTTTTTTTTTTTTTTTTTTTAGACCAGACTGGTTGAACCAGAATTTCCATTTATGGGCTCCCTATATTGAGAAACATCGCCATTTGCCTTTGCCGATACCGGATGATACCGAAATGTGTCCCATTGATATGAAAGACATATGCAAGGTGATTGAACAATTGATCCTAGATAAAAGCAATAAAAATTGGAAATCTGAATTGGATGATCTACACAATGGTCAAGTTTATACATTGACAGGCTCTCAAGTCGTCAATCCAAAAGAATTGGTTCAAATGTTGTCACAGGCTACAGGCTACACAAAAATGGAATACAAACCCACTCGACCTATGGATCTAGCCTATTACTTTAATGAATTAAAACGTGATATTTGGTTTGATGCTCGTATTAAGCATGAAAAAGCTCAAATCTATCGTGATGATTTACTTGCTTATGATTATTGTTCTAAAGCTTTTGGTGCTCCTTCAGGTAAAAAAAAAAAAAAAAAAAAAAAAAAAAAAAAAGGTGATTCGTAAGGATACATAATCATGATGATACTGACTATGATGTCATCTATTCTTTTGCATAATAGCCATCCATATTCAAACCATGTTAGAGTATTTTGATTGGATACAAAAAACAGCAAGTAGTATCTGTGTTCCACATGCTCCCATGATCACTTCTCTTCCATGCCGTTCTTTACGAAAGTTCTTCAGTGAAAACGCAAATACTTTCAAACCAAGAGTCTAAATCATTTTTATTTTATTTTTTTAAAAGAGTAATCATTGATCCATTGATTTTATCATCATAATAAAATATCCATTTCTATTTTTTTTTTTTAAATCGTTTCACTTATATAAAATCATCCTTGTTGTCAAGTTGTAAAGAAAATAAAATAATAAAAAAAAAAAGGAATTGGATGGACAATTTCTTTTGAGCTTTTTTATTTGTTTTTTGTAAATTGTATATATTTTTTTTTTGTCAAATATGGCATAAAAAAATCAACTTTGCTACATCCAAATACTATCCACTAAACTAAAACTATCCGACTACACTAATCAGAAAAAAATAAAATAAAGAGTAAGAAAAAAAAATATGACACATATAATTTAATCATGGTACTCACTGGCATATTTTCTAGTCCAATCCCTAGCAGTAGATTCATAACGAGCACGGTCGGTCTTGTAAATATGAGCGAGTTCAGGTACGAGTGGGTCTATTAAGGAAAAATATAAAATTTAATCAACGTACGTCCAATTTTATGATTCTCTTTTATCATATCAAAATGATTATTTCGTTTTTCTTACCATCAGGGTTAGGATCAGTGAGTAGAGAACAAACAGACAATAGAACTAAGTGGAAGGAAGAAGAAAAGCGGAGTTGATATCGGATACAGTTGAGATAATGGTTTGAGTGAGTAAGATTGGTACACATAACATACTCGGTTCTATTTTTTTTTTTTTTCAAAGACCTACCCTTGGAAATAGTAAGAGCTGGAGACCATTGATCTTTCAAGATATCGAGACAAATGCTGCCGTTGCTATTGATATTGGGATGGTAAATCTTGGTAGTAAAGTTAATCTAAAAGAAAGATGATAAGGTATTAGTATATAAAATTGTTTCTTTTTTCCAACCCCTAACATGTATCCCTAGTTTTCAAGCAACTCCCTCTTTTTTTTTTAAAAAAAAAAAAAAAAGAAAAAATTCAAAAGTAATAATGGGAATAAAGAGAAATCCTGGATTTCATCCTTTTTTTTTTTGAGGTTACCTTAGGAGGCTTGAAAGGATAATCAGTAGGGAAGTGAATGGATAAAAAGAACACACCACCTTGATAAGGACTATCTTCCTATTATTGAATTTCAAATCAATTAATAAACAATCAAAACAAAACATATTATATAAAATATGATAACTTACAGGACCAATAATAGTAGCTTGCCAATGGAACATATCATCACCAATAGGACCAGCAGAGCAAGATGAAGGAGGATCACGTTCGAGATCTTTCAATTCCTATTCATAAAGTATGATGAAAAAAAAAAAAAAGAATTAGTTCATCTAGTACCCCTTTTTGTTCAAAAGAATGGAAAATAAAATAAAATAGCAAATAAACAAAGGATAGAAAGATATGTCTTTCCTGACTAATATAATTAAATACTAATCATCAAAAAAAAAAAAAGAAAAAAGAAATGATAGCCACCTTGTTTTCTTCTTTTTCTTTGTTGTTTTTTTTTTTTTTCCCATCCATATCCCCCCGAACACCCCTAATCCGTTTCCAATTCATCTTTTTATACGAAAGAGTCTTACCTTCGTAATACGTTTCATAGCCATTGTTTATTATTTTTGTTCTAAAAAAGATGATATGTAGATAATAAAAAAAAGTGAGTGTGTCAGTTGAGAGAAAAAGGGAAAGTAAAGAAAAAAAAAAGAAAAAAAAGAAAATTGAAAAAAAAAAATGAAAAACTGAGCCTTTTTTGTGTGCTTTCGAATTTTTTTTTTCTTGCTGCGTGAGTGGCCCTTTTCCAAGCGTGACATCAGTTTTGGAGGACAAAGAATTTTTTATAAACTCAGCAGTGTAGAAATTTTTTTTGACCAACCAATGCTTTTTCTTTTGTCTTGAACTTGTTTCTTTTGTCTCTTTAGTCATGAATCCTATTCCTTTGACATCTACCTTATTATCAACTTTTAAGGTAACAAAGGCTTTTGGTCCCAATCGTCGTCATTTGACTTCTTTATCTTATGATGATACTGGTGAATTTTGTATTACAGCTGCTGAAGACGAGAGTTTAAAACTATACAATTGTAGAGACGGAACGTAAGTAGATTTTCATAATATTATCTATATATTCTAACCTTTTTTTTTTTAATACATATATATACATAGACTTAAAACAACTTTATATAGTAGAAAATACGGTGTTGGTTTAGCTCGTTTTACCCATCAAGCCAGTAATGTCATTTATGGATCAACAAAGGAAGACGGTAAAATAAATGAACATAATAAGAGACATACACGTATCGTACTGTTTCTATCTCTTTCTTTCTCACATACACTTTCTTACTTTTTTTTTTTTTCTAGATACTTTACGATACTTATCATTACATGACAATAAATACATTCGGTATTTTAGAGGACACAAAAAGAGGTAAAATATTACAGTGATATACAACACATTATGATTCAGTGTTATTTATCTTCTTTCTCTCTCTCTCTCTTTTTTTTTTTTCCTTTACTATGTAGGGTGATCTCACTAGAAATGTCACCAGCGGATGATCAATTTATATCCTCTTCATTGGATGGAACGGTTAGATTATGGGACTTACGATCACCTAACTGTCAGGTAACCCATTCATTTTATTATTATATCACTATATAAACTTTTTTTGTTTTCTTTTGTTACAGGGAATGATTGATGCAGCAGGCAGGCCTATTGCATCGATTGATAATGCTGGTTTAGTCTTTGGAGTAGGTTTGGATTCTCAAGTTTTACGTTTATACGATATTCGAAAGTTTCATATTGTAAGATTATATATATATATATATTTAGATTGATTTACTCATTTTTTTTTTTTTTTTCAAATTAATTATAGGGACCTTTTGCTACTTGGACTGTGACTGATCCTTTATACCCTCAAGGCACACCGGAATGGACAAGTATCAAATTCACCAATGATGGACAACATATTCTTTTAACAACAACTGGAAATGTACATTATGTATTAGACGCATATAATGGTCACGTTGAAAGACGGTTAATTGGTTCAACCGCATTACCACAAGTTGAAGAAACCGAAGGAAAGTATCGATGTGGTGAAGAGGTTGGGTTATCTCCTGATGCAAAATTTGTTCTCGCTGGTGGTCAAGATGGTGTGGTACGTGTTTGGGATCTTTCAGATAATAATCAAAATGTTGGTACGAATGGCTTGACTACTATACTGGATACCCCTGTCGCGACAGAATTATATCCTCCTCATGGTCATGCAACTGGTAGTATTGATGTATTGGGTTTCAATCCTTCCTTGATGATGATGGCCTCAGGTGGCAACGAATTAGTAAGTACTATCAAAGAGACAATTTTTTTTTTTAAAAAAAAAGAAAAACGATGTTATCCCTCGGACTGTCTGGTCACAATCATCACCATTGTATTGAACCTTATGGCAAGCTATTTACCGCTCTATCAATCATCGAAGATAACATTCTATTCTTTTTCTTCTTCTATTATATTCGTATACGATACTCATGGTCTTTTTTTTTTCTTTTAGGTCTTTTGGGAACCTACGTTGACTGAATAGATTGATTCATCATTTTATTCCTTCCTTTTTTTTTTTTTTCTTCTAGTTGTATATTCACCAGCATTCTTAGTCTAGAATTCCTATTCATCCATTGTATCTATATTTATAATAAACAATCAATATATTTCTTTTTGAGTTTCTCATTAAATATAACCATCTGAATCTCTCCTATTGTATTGTGTAAACTTTTGTAATTCACTTAAAAGTAAGTCATCACCATCGTACCAAATTTGGATTAAATACATACATGAAAGCATTCACTTGCCTGAATAATAATTTATCAAGTAAATTAAAATGCAAAAATCAATATTATCATTTCTCATTCAATAATGATCATCATCCAATAAAATGACCACCATTCGATTCGTCTCAAAAAAGTAGTCAAATATCATCTAATGTCATTTTATCGCTTATCCTGCCAGTTAATGTACAATGATCACCAAAAAGATTTCATCGATTTTTCCAAGAATTGCCTGAGGGGTCCCTCGACATTTCATTTTTACAGCTAAAATTTGGCTGAGGAATTTGAAATTTTTGGCTGTAAAATCAAAAAAAAAAAAAAAAAAAAGACCTGGGAATAACCGCGCTTTTTTTTTTTTATTATTTTATTTTTAAAACTAAATCTATCAACATACCATAAAAACACCATTAATAAAAATCTATGACTTCCTTTTCTATTAATGCATCAAAGAGGCCACTTGTCGATAATGTGTAGAAAGAGCTCATTTTAAGCTTTAAGCCTCGCCAAGGCGGGGATCCAAGGATTCACGGGTAAGCCAATCAACGCCAGCAACATGATGTTTTCAGTTTTTTTTTTTTTTTTTTTTTTTCGCTCTTTTCTCTCACATACATTTTTTTGCTTCATATACATACGCCATTGTAGTTTCACAACAACAGAGCAGCATATAAAAAATGGCATTATATTCAACCTTGTTTGTCGTATTATCAGTAATAGTAACGATGGTGTTAGCAGCAGGACAAGAAGATGTATTTGAATGGCAACCTGAAATACATCACCAATTCCGACCTGATGAAAGTATGCCTGCAACATGGTTCTCACAACTCTTTTCTTTACTGGTACTTTCACCTTGGCTCATTCTTGTGCTTGGCGTAAGTGGATATTACCTTATCAATATATTTTTTTTTTTTTTAAAAAAAAGAAACGGCTTGAACTAATTCTTTTGTATACGTATATGTTACACTTTATATATATATATATATATTTTTAGTGGATGGTCATTGGTATTACTCCTAGTAAAGTCATGTCTGGATTATCAAGTCAACGTGGTATTTGGATTCTCGCCTTTGTCAGCTCTTTGGCTGTGACAGATTACTTGTTTTATTTATATTGGACTCAATGGAACATCTTCAAAACATTGACCTACGTAGCTGGTTGGAGCTTGGTCTTATTCACTACTGGGCAACTCGCCTTATCTTCAGTTCAACGTTATAGACTTAGGGTGTAAATAATAATGATAATAAAAAATATATATCTTTACTGGCAGCAGTTGTCGTTTGTTTTTTTTTTCTTACCTTGTATTTGTTATCTATTATGTATGATTTATGATGATATATCATCAAACACTTCAATATCAAAATATATAAATGGTTCAAAGTTCTGTGTTTTATTGTCAACAAGTTACATCTACATATATATATATATATATATATATGTGTGTGTGTGCGTGTGTGTGTGCGTGTGTGTGTGTGTGTGTGCGTGTGTGTGTTGTGTGCGTGTGTGTGTTGTGTGCAAGAGAATATAAACGCGTGTATAGGTGTGTGAAAGGATGTGTGTTTGTTTATATATGCATGCGTGAGCAGTATGTGTGCGAGTATGAAGGATCAAGACTATTCATTTACTTAAGGATTCAACGTGTTTTGCATAACCAGTTTCATCTAGTAAGGAGTCCATATCCGCCGTTTCCACCAAGTTGAGCTTCATTAACCAGCCTAATAAAAAAAGGTGTATCGAATAAACAAATAAAATAAAAAAAGGTTGATCAACCATCATCATCCTGTTTTGAAATCGGTATCTACTAAGGTTACCTTCTTCTTCTGGGCTATCGTTGACCAAAGATGGTTGTTCTACAAGAGCATCATTGACTTCGAGGACTTCACCACTAGCAGGAGAATAAATATTCTTTAAAGAGTTGACAGATTCCACAGCACTCACTTGTTCTAATAATAATAATAATAATAATAATAATAATAATAATAATGTTATTTTTTTTGATAATATATATATATATATATATATAAAGGAAGGATCCAATGGCTCATAAAATATTATACTATAGTCCAACCCTTTCTTTTCTTGTTCTTACCATCCTTTACCACTTCCTTGCCCAAGTAAGGAAATTCCACAAATACGACATCACCAAGTGCCTGTTGTGCATGATCTGTAATGCCAATAGTACCGACATTGTTGTCTACAGATATCCATTCATGATTCAATGTATACTTTTTCGCTAGAATTAGAAGAAAGACAGTAAGTCAATGAGAGTTTGAGACTGGAAAAGTAGATATGAATGGACTTACTAGCAAAACTACGATAGATAACCGATGAGGTGGCATTCCTTAAACAAGGTAAACTGTGAACGAATCGATTAGAGAAGAGACGAAGTGACATTGTAACTTTGAAATATTAGTAAAGAAGAGAAAGAAAATCAAAAACAAAAATAATGCAGCGGTGATTTTTTTTTTTTTTAAAAAAAAATAGGCAGCCCAAAAATAGATTGTCAGACAAAGCTGGAAAATGAAACTTATCGACTTGGATATGTTTGAATGTGATTCAATCATATTTAGAATGATTCATCTCACTGGAAAATGCCTTCGATATATCATTATATATGTAAAATCTCCCCATTAGTACTTCCAAAAACGAACGTTTCGGAAAAGATCATCCTGTGTGAAATCATTCTTTCGTATCATACGTCAATATAATAGCTTGGTGAAAGTCATTTTGGAGAAAAGATTCAACTGGATAGTTAATAGAATCATCCTCACTTTAAACACGAAGCATAAAAAAGAAAAAATAAAACTGGTAAATGACATTGCATAATAAATATACAATAAAAGTACGGTTTTATTTTTCAAAAAAAAAAAAAAATGCTAATCATCCAAAGATCTATCTAATCAAGTTTCTTTGCCTAATTGACCAAGCTGTTGCAGGAATTGATGCGGTGATAAAATATCTGTTGATCCATAAGTGATTTTCTTCTTTTGATTGTTAGCCTACAAAGAAACGAAATAAAAGATCAGAATGAGATGAAGTATTTTTTTTTCTCTTTTCCTACTTACAGAGGCCAGTTCCTGCAAATTTTGATATTCTACATAGTTACCACCACCAACAACAAAGACAATAGCTTCTTGGAATGATACTTTGTTTTGACGAGGGGATCGATTGTTCTTGCCAAGTTTGGGATCAAAGTATAAAAAGTCATCAGCCTTGGATGGCTCGTTTTGAGGAGGAGACATGATATCTGACACGATTTTGCTAATCACTAATTCCTTTTTCGTTGGTAGTAAATTCTTGACTCCAGATAATAAGTTTTCGAATCCACCACCAAGACCACCTTCTTTCAATCGATCAGTCAACTAGAAACATAAAAAAAAAAAAAGGAAGAAATGATAAGAGAACTATCCAGAAAAAGAGACAAATATTTTCTTTTTTTTTTTTCTTACTCTGTTTCCAATACTGCTGAATCCTCGAAACAAATCATTTTGAGAGAATCCACTGGTTGTATTTGGATTGGGTGATGTGATCATAGAAGTCATTCGCATAAGAGCACGCACTCTATAAAATAAGTTGAGGTAAGATGTAAGGATGATAAAAAAAAACCTATCTAATTTCTTACTTTTCAATATATTTCAGAGGAGCCATATCACAACCAGCAGCTTCCAGAGCTTTCTTGTAAGCATCCATATCTTCAGGTGTCACTTCTTCAGCAGTGGAGAGATAATAAATGAGAAAGAGTCGCATTTTGTCTTCAGGATTCTTTTTTTCAACATCCCTAATTGTTTCTAGTAATAAAGTTTTGGCCTATCAAAATAAAAAATAAAACTAAATATCCATACCTTTTACTTTTTTTTTTTATATATTTGATTCTACCTGTCTTGTGATGTTTTCTTCAATTTGGAAAAATGTGTCCAATTGCCTGTCTTTGATATGATTCAATAAAGCTGTTGCTACATTCATATGCATATCTAAAGTAGCCTTTCTTGCTGTCAACTCTGGTAAAGCATCAATAGCAGACTTGAGAATCTTTGTATTTGATGACATATCACTATCAAATATTGTATAAAAATCGTTTAGTTTCAAGAATACTATTCTTTTTTTTTTTTCTAGTTACTTACATTTGACCCACGTCTTCCAAAGAACTAACACCACTAATCCTAGTGATTTCTGCAGCGTCCTTCTTGTAATTGTTGAGTTCAATATCAATGTCCTCTATGTTAATAAAAATAAAAAAGTATTATATAAATTATATATTCTAAAATGATCCTTCTTTGATTGTTTTTACCTGCTACTTGTGGAAATGGACTAGATGCATTCTTATTCCAAAAGAAATCCTTACTATCCACATCATAACTACGTCTTTGTTGGTTATGTTCATCAGCCTATTTTTGTACGTAAAAAAAAAAAAAAAAAAAAATTAAAAAGGTTTATTCTGTATATAATGTTATCATTTTAATTCAAAAATACTTACACCAATAGTGATTCTATTGAGTTTCAAAGAAAGCACGTCATGAATAAGAGCTTGATATGTCCAAGAATGACTAAGCATAGGTGTAATATCCATACTACGATCTAAAAGAATAAGTACTATATAATGGAAATATATATATAACAAGTAAGTCAAATAGTGAATCCTTTTTTTTTTTTTTTTTTTTTTTTTTTTTTGATGGATAAGGTTACCTGGTCTTTGTAAATTGACAGAATTATTAATGTTTTCAGAGAATAAATTGGAACGAGAATTCATAACATGATCACGGAGTTTGCTATCCAATTTGTTGGCTATCATTTCAGCTGCATTTCCTCTTGGACATCGAATAATGGGTACCACACCTACACAATATAGAATATAAAAGAATCAGAAAAGATTGCAAATATATATTTATAAAATTACCTAAAGTAACAATCACAGAAAATAGAGAGTTGACAGCTCTATCTATAGTTTCATCAATCAGACTTTCTGGAGCACTTGGATTGTTCAAATGAACGAAAGCTTCGGTTTGATCAAGAGAAAAGACATCAGGGTTGGTACATATAAAATTGAGGTATTGATCATACACCTATGAATTTTGAATAAAAATTAACTTTTTCTAAATAGAAAGAAGAATATTTATTCATACCTGAGTGACGGCATCAGATGTATTATTGGCAATGGTTCTTGTTGCAAAATCTTCCAATACTGGCCGAGGAATAGTTGAACAAAAGTTGACATAGTAAGAATCATACAAGTTTCGGTTCAAGTCCTATGATGAGGTAATAAGTATCTGTAAAAATGAACTTTTTTTTTTGGTTGTCGTTAGATTTACCTCACAAACTTTCTTGATATTATCAAAGGTAGGTTCAATAAAGTAGATGGCAGGTACGTCAGGTAATGAAGATCTTTCTTGATTCAAAAGCCTAAATAGAAATAAAAATAGTAAAATTAATTGAGTTCGGCAAAAGATTGGATGGATGGTTATATTGAGTTTTTACATATGTACGGTAATGCCATTTTCACGAAGATCATTAACACGCATAATAGAAGAAACTACATCTTGACCAAATTTATCAAAAATGAGTACCTTCCATACAGCTTTGTCTTGAAAGACCTTGGCGTCACTATATTCATCCGCGTCCTTTCCGTTTGTTGTAGATGAATTTAGGTTAAGCATAGATGTAATAGCAGCTAAAATTAAAAAAAAAAAAAGAAATAAGAAGAATGTATTTTCAATAAAAGTATAGTATTTTACCATATTGTGCTGATCGTAAAGAAGTAGGTACTGTTAAAGTGACGACCATTATAATATATGTATTTTCAATGAAGAAAGGTCGAGATCAACGAAAATATATATATATATAATAAAAAAAAATAGGAAAGAAAGGATAATCCCAGAATCAAAAAAAACGAATTGACGATTTTGAATCTCAGTCATTTCTCATTTTATTATTGAAAAATATTAAAAAAAATCAATGGTAACATGGTCAGTTGAAGAAATATTTTCTTTTTGATATTCTTTTTAGTTCATATATTAGATAAATTTCATTCGTAAGAAGACAATGGATTATACTTTAACTCTTCTATACATATCAATATACCAATAAGGTACCAATTTCCCAAAAAAAAAAAAAAAAGGAAAAGAAACGTGGATCAATCATATCTCATTGATTTTTAATCTAGTATTTTTTTTACTATTCTGATAATGAACAATATAGTAGTATAATAAGCGAGAACTATTGTTATGTTTAATCTTGGAAGAAAAAAGATCCGCAGTGAGAGGTAAAAATAGAAATGAACATTTGTTCAATTCTGATTGGCTCATTTTCAAACTATTTTCTCCATCCTTTTTTTTTTATAGAACCAACTAGATTTTTTTTTTCTTTTTTCCTTTTTCTTTTTCTTTTTTTTTCTTTTCTTTAGACTTTTTCTTCAAAAAAAAAACAACTGTTTTTGATCTATTTTCTTCCATTGGGTGGTGGTTATAGATCTGTTTTTTTTTTATTATTATCTTTTGATCTTTGTTATAAATATTATTTTGGCAAAATATGTCCCAGCAAACTACTACTGATGCTTTGGCCGCTTTGTTGTCGTTACCTATGGATTTTACTATTGACCCGTTGGTAACACTTCATTCTTCTTCCAATCAACCTTTATTTCCTCTTACTTCTGATTTGATTCCACAAAAAGATGAAGAAGATTCACAAAGTACAACAAGTTCTTCTCCTTCTTTATCTTCTGATACATCATCAATGTCCCAAAAGAAGAAAGTAGTGAATAAACCTATAATCAAGAAATCAAGATTATCTTTGGAAGATAAAGACCAAAAGACAAAAGAAAGGTAATATATAATTACTTTTTTTTTATTTTTATTTTTTTTTTTTTTATTAATTATTTATTATTTTATAGAATATTACGAAATCGTGCAGCTGCTCAAGAATCCCGTGACAAGAAACGACGTTATGTGGCAGATTTGGAAAGCAATAATGAACAATTACGAAATGAAAATGAATCTATGAACAAACGTATCAAACTTTTGGAAACACAAAATCAATCACTTACAACACAATTATCTGACTTTACTCGACAAATTGCAGAACTACAACAACAACTCAAATTCACAAACACATCATCTTCTCTACTTGTCCATGGCTTTTGCGATTCAGCACGGATCGCGAAGAGGTTATTTTACTTGATATGCTTATAATTCACAATCCTTTTTTATTGCTTCTCTTTTTTTTTTTTTTTTTTTGGAAAAAATGTCTCAACTGGTTCCACAAAATCCACCACCCAATGGAATGTTCAACAGAAAATGGAAACCCTCAACAACAAGAAAAGCAGCAATCATGGAAACCTTTTATGGTGTGTTTTATAGCAATGATGGTCTTTATATCCTTTCTCCCTGCAGCGGAGGTCATGAAACAAGCAGTGAATTTGACTGTGACACAAGAAATTGGCAACAACAACAACAACAACAACAGTTTATTACCTTCTCCTATGTTATCACCTCATGTATCTCTATCCTCTGATGATGAAATTGACGACAATGAACCAATGTCTCCTCCTCCTTTGACTCAAAATGGCTTTCAACTGGATGATTTACTGGATTGGGAAGGCCAACAAACTGTGTGATTGGGATCTTGGAATCTTGATGTCTGTTAGTTTTAGTTTTGACTTTTTTTTTTCTTTTAGTCTATATATTATTGTTGTAGTTAGCTACTTTGTCCATATTTTTTTTTTTCATTATCCTATTATTGTTTACTTTTATGCCCCCCTTCCTCATTTCCACTAATAAGTTTTCCTTACTCTATTTATTCTTTTGAAATAAAAATCAATAAATCAGATCTCTACTTCTTTTTATATGACTTTTTATCAACCTTTTTTTTTAGGGAATTCTTATTTTCACCCCCCTCAGTTTGTTATTCTCACCCCCCCAAGCTAATAAAATAGCCAATAAAATTGATTTTTTTCATATAGTTGATAAATTTCAGCAAAACTTTTATATTCAGTCATCATCCATCGCCCATCACCCATCATCCATTACCAATATATTACATATTTCGTAAAGAAAAAAAAAAGACTTCTTTATGCATCCTGGTAAGACTGTCCAAATTGACGTGCATGACCTTAAACAGCCACAATTCTATGATTATGTCAGATATCGAACAAGTTTTTATTTTAAATGAAAGGTAAGAAGTGTAATATTTGTTTTATCAATAGTTCAAGAGAAGTAAGAATAGTAAATGACAAAGTAGTCATCCATCATCCATCATCCATCATCCATCATCAACTAGAATCAATAAAAGACTGGATTAAATATAACAACGTTTATTTCAGACAAACGAAACAAACTAAAGAAATAAAATAATAATAGTATAAAATATATACTATGTGCATTTTTTTAAAAAAAAGGTATTTCGTGTTTTATTGGCTATTTTTTAGCTTGGGGGGTGAGAATAACAAACTGAGGGGGGTGAAAATAAGAATTCCCTTTTTTTATTGATACAATAAAACCATAAACATGAATACTACTCTAATTGGTCGCCTTGATCACACCTTCCTTGTCTAATTCAGCAATAGCTTGTGGAGATAAACCCAATCGAGATCCAAGCACTTCGGCAGTATGCGCTCCCAGATCAGGACCTATAAGTAAAGACAAAAAAAAAAAAAAATTGGTTAATTCTAATGTGTCAGTAATCCATGAGTATACCCAATATATCCTCTTCAATCCCCCTTCCATTATATATTGTTTGTTTTATAATGTATTTTCTCGCTATCAAATATCTACTCACCAGCCCATTCAGTGGATCCAGGAGTTCGTTCAAGACGAGGACTCATTCCAGGAATCTTTGAACGAAGAGAAATAAAATACAGATTTAGTTTTCTTTTCTTTTTTTTTTCTTTTCTTGGTTTGTATAATACCTTTAGTTTCCAACCACGACCATCCTCCTTTGTTCCAACAACGACTTGTTCAATCATACCACGGGCATTGATATGTTCATCTTCCACGATATCTTTGACATTATATATCTTGCCAGCAGGTACAGATGCTTCAGATAAAACCTGTAAAATATCATCAGGTGAACGCATAGATGTCCAATTCGCTAGATCAGTTCACCAAGATAAATAAATAAATGGTAATGAATATATCTATTGTAATAAATCTAAGATTTATAAATATCTTTTTTACCAATAGCTTGATCGATTTGTTCTTGTTCCTTGACACGATCAGAGTTGGTTTCATACTTGGGTCCAGTCTTTGCAATAGGAAATAAAAAAAAAATAACTAATTAGATAAAAAGATGGATTTCATTCTAATCTTTTTTTTTTTTTTTTTTTTTTTTACTTACCAAATCTTCTCTTCCAATGGCTTTCATAAGACGTTTGTAGATACTATCACCATTTCCACCGATAATCACATATTCCCCACCCTGGCATGGGTAAGTATTGGTAGGTACAATACCTGTAACACTTGTAGATGATGGTTGTCGAATCTAAAAAAAAAAAAGAACAAAGTTAGTCTATCTATTAACATTTGTTTTTCTGAGTACTTTTTTTTTTCTTTCTTGATACATACTTGACCTGATCTATCATATTCAGGAATAATGCCTTCCATCATATTCAACATAGCTTCATAAATAGCGACATCAACAACTTGTCCAGTTTGATGACAACCGACCTTTTTCAATTTGTCTCGACCATAGAGCCCAAGAACACAACCCAGAGCTGCATGCATTCCTGCTAACGAATCACCAAGACTTATATTTGGTCGTACTGGAGCTTCTCCTTTGTGTCCATTGATATATCGGAATCCACTATAACCTTCACATACTGAAGCAAATCCAGGTAATGAAGATTTTGGTCCTGTTCCACCATAACCACTGATTCTGGTATAAATGAGACTTGGATTTGTCGCATACAATTCATCTTTCAAAACAAAGTGTAAGAGTTAGAAAAGACAGTGCTATTGAAATATGATGTATATTACCAGGCCCAAGTCCCCATTTTTCCATTGTGCCAGGCTTGAAATTTTCAATCAGAACGTCAGACGTTTCGGCAAGCTGCTTGACTAAACTATATAGTAACAATAAAAAAAGAGTCTATCATCTATATATTATCTTTTGAAAATGATTGTTTGTTTCCTCCTTTTGTATATTACCTTCGACCTTTTTCCGTTTTCAGATCAATGCATACTGATTTTTTGTTTCTTGCCAAGCTACGAAACCAAGGGCTTTGTCCATCATTATCCAAATATCTCCATAATCTGAGAGGATCACCAGTTTTGGGTGGTTCAATTTTGATCTATTCAAATTTATTGCAAGAAAAAGAAAAAATCAGTCAAGGTGTCTAATCAAACTTATTCATCAAAATGAAAAATTGGATATATACACTTACCACCTCTACGAATTCGAGATGAGGCCAAAAAAAAAAAAAAAAAAGAGGGAGAGAAAGACATTAGTCATATGGCCATATACTTTGATTTATACATTTCCTTTCAGCTTACCTGCACCATAGTATCTGTAAACGCAGAATACATATCATGAGTTTGATAGATACACAAGCAAGGGAGACGAAGAAAAAAAAAATAAAGTAAGTTCAAGAATACTATATTAAGTTTTTCAAGTGTATACGTGATTTTTTTTTTTTTTGTTGGTCACTATTTTACCCAAGGATAGATCCACAGAATGGACCAGCAATCAACTATATACAAAGAAAACAAACACCTGTCAGTGGTAAGTAACAAACTAAAACTTAATACGTACCTGACCCAATTCTAAAATTTTGATTCCTTCCAAAGGTTTTGGCAATTTGTCAGAAGATGGAGTATTGACAGCAGTGGAATAAGTATGCTTCATGGTATACAAGGTGGCCTCACTTGAGGTTACAAAATGAAATTTGAATAATGTCGTTTTGATAGATCTTTGAAAAAGGGAATTCATATTTGATAGAAAAGACATAAAGAGAAAGAAGAAAAGGAAAAAGAGCAAAAAATCAGCGGAGCTTTTCGATCAAAATGATTCATTCACTCCACCCACCAATCAACAGGCCATTTGTCAAAGAATACATAATTGCATTGATTACGATAGATTAACATATATAATAAATATTTTCCTTAATATATAAGAGAGAAAGAATATAAAAAAAAAAAGACAACATATAGACTAAACTAGTAAAATGTAAAAATATGTATAATTTGTTTTATTTCTTTTTTTAAGCATAATATTGTAAAGACATCTTCTTCTTAGCTTGTACTTCTTGAATAGCATCCATAAAGTCTTCATGAGTAATTTCAGTTGCACCACGACGTAAAGCCAACATACCACCTATAATTTTTTTTTTTTAAAAAAAAGAAAAAGATTAGTACAAGTAGGTCAACATCATCCTATTTACTTACTTTCTACACAAACAGCCTTGCATTGAGCACCATTAAATTCATCACAACACCTAGATAATTCCTCAAAATTGACATCTTTGCTAACATTCATCTTTCTAGAGTGAATTTGAAGGATACGAGCACGAGCTTCTTCATTTGGAATAGGGAATTCAATCTTTCGATCCAAACGACCAGAACGTAAAAGAGCAGGATCCAAAATATCAATACGATTAGTAGCAGCAATCACCTTGATACGATCATCTGAAGAGAAACCATCCAATTGATTCAGTAATTCCAACATGGTACGTTGTACTTCACGATCCCCAGATTTATCAGAGTCAAAACGCTTGGTACCAATGGCATCCAATTCATCAATAAAGATAATAGCAGGAGACTTTTCTTTGGCCAAGTTGAAAGCATCCCGTACCAATTTTGCACCATCACCAATGAACATTTGTACCAATTGCGGACCAGCCAATTTGAGATATGCTGAATTTGTTTGTGCTGCACATGCTCTTGCCAATAATGTTTTACCAGTACCAGGAGGACCATACATTAATACACCTTTGGGGGGTTTGATACCAATATTTTTGAATCGATCAGCATGTGTCATGGGTAACACAACTGCTTCCACTAGTTCTTCAATTTGCTTATCTAATCCACCAATATCATTGTAATCTTCTGTAGGTTTTTCATCCACTTCCATAGCCTTCACTCGAGAATCATATCTAGAAAAAGGAAATATCCATTCATTTTTTTAATATATCTATTATAGTCATAAAAATAGGACTTACTCAGGAGGTAATGTATCCAAAATCAAATAACTATCTTTATTCACACCAATGATATCTCCAGGTTTAAGTGTAGCAGGATCCACCAACCCAATCAAAGGTAAGAATATAGTCTAAAAAAAAAAGAATAAATCATCATAAGCCCACTATATGAACAATATACTATTTGTATATATAATATGCATGTTTTTCATCAAACTTTACCTGACGTGTAGATGTTTTGATTACCGCGCATTTGCCTTTACGTCTTGAGTCGAGATCAACATTAGCACCTTCTTCTTCTTCCTCTTCATCAGGGTCAACATCTAATAACTATATATATATATAAAAGTAGACATAGAAACTAGTTAAGCCTATATACACACACACACTCTCACAAAATATATATATACTAGTTGTTTTCATTTTACCTCAACCACATTACCAACCAAGTATGGCAATTGCTTGTTCATCTTGATTTTTTCCTTGTTGTCCTTGATACGTTCTTTCATGGAAGATTGTTCGTGTGAAAGTCGTTGGATTTCAGACTTCATAATCTATAAAAGTAAATCAAGGATCTTGAGTGAGTCGTTTGTATTTCATTATAAACAAAGTTGAGAATATTAAAAGCATAAGATTCTATCATTTTTTTTCTATTACCTTGATATCGTTTTCTAATAAACGTGTTCGATTATTGATTTCTTCAGCATTGGCTCGAAGAACATCCTTGTCAATATCATCATTATCATCTTGAGTTTCCCATAAGGATTTGTCTTCTAAAGTCGCCATGATTCGGTATAAGGTAAATCAAAAAGATTAAAAAAAAAAAGTAGAAAGAAATAAAAAGAAGCGTGCGTAAGCATCATTTTTTTTTAATGTTGGTTTTTTTTTTGCTACACCGCCTCTCATTAGGAGTCAAGTCACCCTTATGAGGTTCCGCAGGCACATTCTCTCTTCACATACAAAAAAGTATTGACTGTGACGGTTTTGGAAGCCAGCCTTATTTTTTTTTTTATTGGAGAAAGGACAAAAAATTGAAAAAAGCAAACATATTCTTATTTTATTTTATTTTTTTCTTTCCTTTCCTTTCTTCCTCTTTTTCCTTGTATTTCATTACATATAGATATCATGGCAACAAAATCGGACGCTTTGTATGTTTCTATTGGAAGCATGGGTACAGCACCTCATCAACGACCATTCAGCTGTAATGTCAGTCCTGTTGTTTTATTTTCAGTTCTTGATCATTACTTACGTCGAAACGCCAATCAACAAAAAGTAGTCGGTGCCTTATTGGGTGTACGTAGTGACGATGGTACAGAAGTTGAAATCCGTAATGCCTTTAGTTTGATTTATGCTCTCGACAAGACCAACAACGATATCATTCTCGATGAAGATCACTACAAAACCATGCTTGAACTCCACCGTAAAGTTAACCCAGAAGAACTCATCTTGGGTTGGTACACTGCTGGTGAAAAAGTTACTCCTGTTGCTTCTGCTCTTCAAACTTCCTTTGCTCAAGACTGTGCTCCTTTCAATCCTATTCACATTACCATTGATCCCGAAGCTTTATTCAATACTTCTGGTTTGGGTTTGAATGCCTATACTACGTAAGTTCCTGTTTTTTTTTTGGGATAAAATAATGTTCTAACTTTTTCTGAATATTTCTATATTATATATATATATATATAGTGCCCCTGTTGGCTTTTCTAATGATGGTGACTGTATGTTTTTACCTGTGCCCTGTGATATCAAATACTTGGATGCCGAACGAAGTGGATGTAAGTATACTTTATATGGAAACAATTTTGTGACAATCATCACCTTGATAAAACAAAGAGGACGAAAAAAAAAAGGAATACAAACTGATTGCTTTCTTTTATTGTTTTATAGTGGAAATGCTTGCCTCTGCAAAAACTTCAGAATCTCGCACCGCTTCATTGTTATCGGATATGGATCATCTTGAAGTAGCTATTGTACAATTGCAAGATCTTTTGGATAAAATCAGCAAATACGTTGACAATGTGGTGGTAATTTTTTTTTTTTAAAAAAAGACAGAAGTGAAATTTATATTGAGGATAAAATGGAACAATTGATTCACTATTTGATTGCTTTGTATATGTTAGGCTGGTAAAACTCAACCCAACAACTCCATTGGTCGATATATCATGGATACTGTGTCGGTTGTTCCCAAGATTGATGGTGCCGCCTTTGAAAAGATGTTCAACTCTCACTTGCAAGATTTACTGATGGTTGTTTATCTTGCCAATATGACCCGTACCCAACTCTCTGTAGCGGAAAAACTTCATCTCTTGGTTAACAACAACTAGATTATACATCCGTCTCTCAATTCTCTCTTCCCACACATATTTTTTTTTTTTACACTTCTCATTCTTTGTCATTTTATCATACACTTTCGTTTGTGAACCTTTTGTTTTAGTATAATAAAAAAGGCATGTTTTATTTTTTTTTTTGGTTTGAAATACAAATCAAACGGATTCGAAGGATGGAAAAGGGATATATATACCACCATTACTGCTGCTATTATTATTGTTATTATTATTATTATTATCAGGAAAGAAGAAGTGGAAAGTATCCATCACTTCTATCAAGTATTCAGTTTGCCGTTTTCTATTCTCTTATATTGATACCATTGATATGTTGGTGCATGTGTTTTTTCTTGGAAGAAGAGCCTTCCTAAGGAACAGAGGTACCGATGTGCAGCATCTTTATAATGTAAAGACAAAGCATTATCTACATATTGATAATAACAGTATAGAGAGCATAACAATAGACCATCGTTCTTCCAGTGGTAAAAGAAAAAAAAAACGCTTTATTTGAGATAATGTAATGATGTACGTATGAGCTAGTTATATGGTAGAGTAAATTACACAATTGAGATAAAAAAAAAAGAAGATAAATACTCTATAGGAATAGATAAGAATAATAATGAAAATATACTACAGTATGATATCACACTATGCATTGTATCTTTTTTTTTCTTAAAAAAAAAAAGAACAGGTGGAATGAGTAAAGTAAATAAGAATAATACAAATAAATAGGGGATGTATCATCGATGGAGGCCTATCTAGTTTGAAGGTTTCTTGTCATTTTCTTGATCCAATGTTTCAGCAATTTCCACCTTGGATGATGATTCCATAGCAGCAGGTAAAGGTAGTTCAACTACAACTTCATCACCATTCTTCTCATCAGTGCTTTTTTCTGGTTGTTCTTCTTGTTTTTGTTTCTTTTGTCCAGGACGTCGAAGATCATAATGTTTGATGAAAGCAGAACTAAGAATACCTATAAAGGATAGTAAAATTAAGAAATAATCAGATATCAAAAATATTTCCTTACATCCTTTTTTTTTTTTTTTTTTTTTTTTACTTACCCAGGGCAATCAAGGGAATCATGATATACCAAATCAAACGAAGAGAATCAGCATAAGCTTGTAATGTAACGGCTTGATATTGTACAGGTAAGCCATCACGAACAAACAACGAAGATTTGATAACAGGAGAAATATATTCAGGAGGAATCAAATTAGGTAATCTTTCATTTAGACCAGAGTTGAGCACACTACTTGCAATAGCAATACCAACAGCTGCACCACTAAAAAAGGGAAAGGAAAAAAAAGTAAGAATATAATTCAACGTGATAGAGAAACATGTTTTACTTACAGTAATCTTGAAAAATTGCCGAGACCAGTGACAACAGCTAGAAAGAAGAAAAAGAAAATAGTGAATAGATTGATTAACATTGAGTCCTTGCTGCAATCATGTTATTTCTTACCAATATCTTTAGGTTCAACTGCTGCTTGTAATCCAATGATAGTTGAAGAGAACATACAACCAATACCAAGTCCACCGACCACAGTGATACCATAAATCATGGAGAAATCAGTATTCACATCAAAAAGACTGATAAGGCCAACGTGCATAGTCATGATAGAAGTACCAAACCAAATACTAGGAATAGAGGTAATAACAAATAGGTAAGTACATCATGGATATATAGTTGACTGATAAATGATGGTTTTTGTACTTACAATGGACGATAGGCACCAGTTTTAGTAATGAGGAAACCAACTGAAGTAGAACCAACACAGATGAGCATTTGCATAGGAATCAAGCGAATACCTAATATATGAAATAATAAAAAAAGTCAATTACCACCTAATTCATTCGTTTTATTTTGACTATTACCTGACCACATGGCAGAATCACCTTTGACAACTTGGAAATAAACTGGGAGATAATACACAATGGCAAAGAAATTGAGACCAAACCACCAGTTTGTAATAAGAATGGAAACCACCGATCGATTTTTAAATAATCGAGGAGGTAAGATAGGTTCACGGGCAAATCTGGATTCAATAACAGGAAATAAACAAGCCAAAAGAAAAGTAAGAACCAGAGGGACAATGACAGCAGCTGATTTCCATGGAAATATTTCACCACCAAAATTCAATGCAAGTAAAAAGAGAATGGCAGCTACCAATACGATAAAAGTACCTATAAAGAATAAAAAAAGGTATATAAGATTTCGAAGTTTATATTTATCAATCTTACCAATATAATCAATGCGTTTCAATTTGTCAACAAAAGATGATTTTTGTGTAGGCATGTCGAGGAAAAGGATCAATAGCAAGAGAGCAATGCCTCCAATAGGTAAGCTAAAGAGAAGAAAAAAAAAAAAGAAATGAATCGTTGAGTAAAACTCACCATTTTTTTTTTTTTTTTTTTTGTTATTATTTCTTTTTTATTCACTTACTTGATGTAAAAAGACCATCGCCAAGTCAAATTATCAGTAAAACCACCCTATATTATTAAAAAAAAAAAAAAAAAGAAAGGCGTCAACAACACTAAATTTAAGGTTTTTTTAATGATAATTTACCCCTATCAGTGGTCCAAAAACAGAAGCAAGTGCAAACACAGCATTGATCAATCTATCAAATAAATATTTTATTAGCCAAAAAAAAAAAAAAAAATAAAAAAATAAAAATAAAGTTTATTTTTTTTGTTGTATACTTACCCTTGATAGTTTCCACGTTTTTCTAAAGGTACTATTTCCGAGATGATAATAAACACACCAGAGAAAATCCCAGCTGAACCAATTCCTGCAATTGCACGACATATAATCAACATGATCATCGACTAAAAGAAAAAAAACAATAGTTTAATTAGATTTTTGTGGTCAACACTATAAGTTATTATTATTATTTTACCTTGGCAACACCACAAAGTAATGATCCCAAAAGAAAGATACAAATACCAGTAACCAAAGTCCATTTGCGACCAAAAATATCTGAAAATTTAGCAAACAATGGTTCTAATAATTTAAAAAAAAAAAGAATGTTAGATCAAAAAAGTTTAGTAAACATTCCCACGTTTGTTTTAATGAATAATATTTACGGAAGGCATCAAAAGTAAGAATATAAGCAGTAGCTACCCAAGAGGCAATAGTGAATTCTTGAAAATCCGATCCAATGCGAGGTAAACAGGTACTCACAATAGTACTATAATAAATAAATAAATAAATAAAATAAATAAGATGAGTAAAAAAAAAAAATGAATATAACATATATTTACCCATCTAAAGCACCTAAGAATAAAGATACTTGAAGAGCGAGAAAAGTCATTCCTCTTTTGAATTTCTTTGATCGAATTGCTTTATTATCCAAATCATGATCTACTGATTTTGTTGCATCTACGGATGTTTCTTTTTGATCTAAATTTACATTATTGATTTTTTCTTCCATGGTTGTTGATACTGATATATTGGTAGATGCTGTATTAGATTCTCCCATAATCTATAATGATTTTATAGTTACAGAATATAAATAATAAATAACAAAGTAAAAAGGGGATAATAAATCAAAAGAAGAAGGAAGAAAATAAAAAAAAAAGTTTTTTAAAATCGGGTCTTCCTGCCATTGCTTTTTTATAGTGGCCAACCACGAAAAGTTGGTGTAACAATTTCACTTCCGCCACGGAGGTGTATTTACCCGGAATGAATGAGTTTGATGTTTTTGATCCACCAATAGAAATCAGAATACATAAAAAACAAAAACAAAAAAAAAAAATTGATCTACGTGAAAAGGTAAATAGGAAAAAAAATCAAGCGGATTTTCGGTATACTTAATAAATCTACTAGTTAAAATGTTTTAATTCATATAACATGAAGGAATGGTCATTTTCAATTCTATAGTAAGGCGGCTTCTCGGGTCATACAAAAAAAAAAATCATTTTCTGGTAGGCGCTTTTTTTTTTTTTTCAGGTCTGCCAATGAGAAGTCATCTTATCTTGTAATAAGCTGGTTACGTATGATCATATAATCCTTTGAAACAGATTTTATCCCGAAAAGGAACTTTTTTTTTGTTGGTTAATTATTCGATCCGCAGTATTTTTGTTTACCACGGTAATATTATATGACAATAGATGAATGCAGTAGATGAACTGTCTTTCAAAGCAATCACATTGTAATGTTTATTCAAAATAAAAAAAAAATAGGACTCAAGTTTATTCTTTGCTTACAGTATCATCAAATCTGTATGGAATGTTGGTAAAAGGAGACTACTGTATATCTGATGATGATGATGATGATGGATGATGGATGATGATGATGCTGGATGATGGATGATGAATGATGCTGGATGATGGATGATGGATGATGATGGATGATGGATGATGATGAAGAAAATAGTCAATCATAAAGAATGGGAACCATGATAACGGTTATAGACAAGTAAACTGTAATAGATCATCAATGCATCCCAACTTTTGTTTACCATTACAAATTTAAATCCCAGATTTAAAAGAGGTCAAAACTCTATTTTCCCTTTCTTTCCTTTCCAACCTATGTAAACTTCCTTCTCTTTTCATTCAGACAATGGTGCTGGAGGTAAAAAAGGTAATGTAAAGAAGTAATAATATTGAACAAGGACACCAGTCCACCTTTATGATTCTTTTCTTTTTTGAGATCTCTATCAAGATCTATAGGAAAAAAAAAAAAAGGAATCCGTGTATGGTGTTATATTGTCTCCTTTACTAGTAAGGTACTCTTTTTTTTTTTCTTTTCTTTTCCTTGTTCTCACCTTCTATTCGTTTCTCTATTTTCCATTCATTCTTTTATTTTTCTTTTTTTTCTTTACACCTCATTCTCTCTCTTCCTGCCTTTCCTCCAATAAGTTTAGATGATCTTTTTTACTTTACATATATGGATGGGCTAGACGACTGGGTCAATCGGGTGGACACCGCCACAGAATTCGGCTAAATGGATGCACGATCGAACTAGATGGGATATATGGACCGGATCAATTGGATAGGCCAACAAATTAACCGGGATAAAGATGTATCTTTTTGGTAATCTTTCTGAATTTATTGGTTTCACTCTGTCTCCTTTGCCTCCTATTATACTGATTCTTTCATGTGAACGGTAGTGTTAATATTGATATTTTGTATATAGTCTGTTCTTATATTAATAAACTCATATTTATATGTCATTATCATCATTATTGTTTTTATTTTCATTGTCATCATATCAAGTATTCTCCATATTTATTATTTAATCATTCAACTATTCCATCCAACATAATTAGATATTGCTACAAACAAGAGTATCTCGTTACTGTTATGAGAGCTATCAAAAGTATGATCGTTATCACCATCCTCTTGAAAGCTGATTCTATTCGTTGTTTTCAGATGTCATATCGACTTCATAGGATGTGGCAACACTTTATTCTATAATTTTTCACTGCGAAAAAAATATGTAGCACTTCTTCTCGGGGCCTACTTATTTTCTATCGACGGTATTTTCACCCCATTTCGGTGGTTGAAAAGAAGAAATGGAAAAATGGTTAGTGTTATGATCAACTAAACATTATTTGTGAACGTGCACTTACCAAAAAAAAACAAGAAGACCCTCCGGCTCTGAGGCACGGTCGCCACGCATCAACCCATCCAGGATGTGCGCGACGCAAAAGGATAGTGTAAATATCATAATGGTAAAAAAAAAAAAAAAAAAAAAAAAAAAGATCCAGACAGCAAGGAAGAGAGACAGACAGCAAGGAAGAGAGACAGACAGCAAGGACAGACAACCAAAGGCACAACGAGACCAAGAACAACGAGGAACACGGGGAAACAAGAATCACAAACAAGGATGAGAGTGTTCTGTTGCGTGAACCAGGTGAACGGAAAGAAGAAGATACCAATAAGGAAGCAGCCAAAAAGAAGCAAATAATTTTTTTTTTTGATTTTTGGATTTTGAATTTTTTTTTTTTTTTGTGTTTTGTAGAAGAAAGAAAAACAAAAGAAAGGAGAAAATAAAAAAAAAATGTCTTTTATATTGTGTTTTATGTCTAATCCCATTGAAGCTATCAAATAATGATTATTCTATGCGATCAAGGAAAATCAACTCCGCGAAAAAAGGCTCAAATGCTCGTATCTTCTCTTTTCTTTTCTTTTTCTTTTTTTTTTTTTCTTGTTGTTTCCATTATATTCTAATTGTATAGTATCTGCTATTGGATAATAGAAGGTTGGTGTCTTTTGGTCGTTTTGTTATTGATGGTAGTGAAGCAACCCTTTTGTTTGGTAAGTTATCTCGACTTTTCTATGGACTCTGCCTGTTTTTTTTTTTTTTTTTTCTAATTTACTGTACACATTTATATGCATAGAGAACGTTTAAATGGGTACAGATCAAGATCAACTGATTGAATATACTATTGGACCAACGTGATGCGTTTGTAGTACGATTTGACTCTATATGAAAGCAATACTAAATGTGCAAAAACACCTCTGGTTGAACTTCGAAAACGACGTGAGTACGTTAACTCAATTTATATTCATCATTTATCAAAACGTTTGGTTTTCTTCTTTTTCCTTTAGAGATTGCAACTAATATTGAAATGACTACTTTCTTGCCGTCCTCTTCATCAACAATCAAGATATCAGGATGTGAACCAGAAATGGAACAAACTCTCAAGGATGCACCCAATATGCAAGCAAAGTGTATTATTATGGCAGGATTCTTTTTTTTTTTTTTGGAACAAACCTTGTAAGAAGTATTATTTTCAAGCTGATGGTGATCTGATGTATTTTTTTTTTATTATATGATACTTTTTTATACAAATAATCTGTATCTTACCTGAAGTTATGATTGCTAGTTGTTGTCAATATGATATAGAGGAATTCTATGGGTCAAATGATTGTTATTGAATCAAGTTGGAACGCATTGTAGAGGACAAAGCCGATGGCGTCGAAGCTGATATTACCCACAGTTTACTGAAGCTTGTGAAAATGTGATTAGCAAAAAGGATCAATGCCAAGGGTAGTTTCTGCATCAAGGCACTTCCAACAATGGTTATACGTCTTATTTGAATTCCTGCTGGTCTTACTACATTCTCTTCTCTGCCTGCATCTACGACTATCAACAACAACGACAATCGAATACAATTTCTTGAAATGCACCCATCAGGTTGGAAGAGCACTTCGTTTTATTTTATCTTTATATATGTATATTATTAAGTATATTATTTCAATAAAATGCTGTATAGCAAACTTTTTTATTATTCAATCATTCAATCTACCCATCCATATGTCTATTTATCTGTTATATCCATATATAGTATCAGGTAATGGTATGTTACTCGATTTGAAAAAAAAAATCAAAGTATATGTATTTTATCTATTTATGTAATGAGCTTTCTTACAATGACACTGGCATTCACCAGTGGACCATGCTGTTTAGATGATGGACTCCCGCATGAACGTTTATGCCTGACCAGGAATTGAATAAATTCACCCAAAATGGTGAAGCCTTTTTATTTTTTTTTCTTTTCTTTTCTTTTTCTCTTCCATTGACTTTTTTCTTTATGGTTTTATTATATACATTAGTGTAGTCGTTAGATTACATACTTTTTTTTATTCAATAAAGGTTTTATTTTATTACAACTATTTTTATTACATATAAATGGGGTCATCTACAAGATGTATTATATATGTATGAATCATTCTTTTTATTTTTTATTACACGCTGATACGACATATGTTGTTATTTATGTAGATATCACTATAGTAAAGAAAAGGAAAATATAAAGAAAAACAAAGAATAGAAGAAAAAAACGTTTTTAGAAAGAGTATCACTATTTATTTCACAAGTAGTGTGGTTTGGTGACGAAGTCATTGGTTTGTCGTAGTAACTAATCTACAGTAAAAACTTATATCGAAATGAAGAATATTGGAATCGTATCGTTTCTCTTATCTATATAAAAAAAAAAAGTAAAATAAAAAGGAACGCATTCACATATAAAAAAAAAGGTACATTCGAAGATGGAATCAATTGCATTGACATGTAATGAAGTGATTTCAATAAAAGTAAAGTCTTTATTAAATAAAAGTTTAACTACTAAAGACTAATAAACACTACTAAAATGATATACTAACACTAAAGTCAATACAAAAAAAAAAAAAAAAGAAAAGAGAAGAAAAAGAGTGCAAGAAAAAAAAAAAGGAAGGGTCACCCTTAAAAAGATTTCGGATAAAAATTTCCCGAAGCCGCCAATTTAGCGGATCTAGCTTATTGGATAAACCTTTTTTTTTTTCTCACCCCTCTCATACACTCTTTCTTTTCTTTCTTTCTTTTCCATGTTTTCGCGTTCGTTTTACAACACCATTCACTCTTTTCATAGATCCATTCGTTTTTTGACTACAAGTTCAATAGCCAAAAAACCAAACTATGCATTTGCTTTTGATATTGATGGTGTCCTTTTGAAGGTAAATGAAAGAACAGTAGATAATGCCTTTACTCCTATTTTTTCTATATGAATTATAAAACCTGTCCTTCTCTTTTTATTATTAATACTATTATTATTGTATATGATAGGGCAAGAAACCAATTGCCGAGGCAAAATCGTAAGATAAATCTATTTGAAAAAAAATAACAGGGTACTTACTACTTTTTTTTTTTTGTTCCCTTGGGGTCATACCATAGAGCTATTCAACTGTTAAATGGTGACAATCCTCAGAATAGGTAATGATAATAGGATATTTATAGAAAGTAACAAGTTAGAGTCCATTTGAAAAGGTTTAATTTTAATGTTATATAGACGTGTCCCTTTTGTATTACTGACCAATGGTGGTGGGATGACGGAAGCAGCAAAAGCGAATCAAGTATCTAACCTTATTGATGTAGAGGTAAAAAAAAAAAATGTTGAGCTAAAAAACGAATTATTCATTATATGATGTCAAATAACGATGATGTTTACTATAGATTTCACCCGATCAAGTGATTTTGTCTCATTCTCCTATGCAAATGTTGACCAAGAAATACAAGGAAAAACGAGTACTCGTGGTTGGTGGAAAAGGCAAGATATGTGCTGATTTGGCTAAAGGGTATGGATTTGATAATGTAGTAACTCCTCAAGACCTACATCATTGGAATAACTCGTTATGGCCTTATAGTCAACCCAAGGACATCACTGAGGTAAATTAGATTCAATGTACTATACGTAGTAAAGATAATGATTGTGATATTGACGACGTTTATATTTTATGTACTGGTAACTTACATGAAAGGCTGCTTATCAAGATTACTCGACATTACCCATCGAAGCGGTGATGATGTTCCACGATTCTTTTGATTGCAAGTACCTTCTTCTAAGCGGATTGATCATGAATGACTAACTTCTTTTTTCTTTTTATTTTTAGGGGGCCGTGATCTTCAAGTGATGCTAGACGCTTTGTGCTCTCATGATGGAATCATAGGGACGATGAAAAAGGACTTTAGTACTCAATCCATGCCTGTCTATTTCTCCAACGTAAATTTATCAATTAAAAAAAGAAAAAGTTGTGATATTATCATCAACTCACTATAATCTTTATTTCCATTATATAGAATGATCTGGTATGAAACTAATAGGAAAGACAATCAAGAAATAAGAAAAAATGAATGACCCTTTTTTTTTTTTTTTTTTTTTGATATTATCTCTATTATTTCAATAGATCTGGAGCACGGATTTCCCAACCCCAAGACTTGGACAAGGTGCATTCAAGGAAGCATTGGAAGGGTTATATAAGGCATTGACAGGTGGATCACTAATATCGGAATCATTTGGCAAACCACATGGCGCAACCTACTTTTATGCAGAACGAGTAATTTCCCGTCATCATCAAACACTCTATGGTGAACCATTTGTGCCTGAGCATGTTTATGCTATTGGAGATAATCCTGCAGCTGATATCAAGGGGGCTAATGCTCATGGATGGTCAAGTTTATTGGTTCGTACTGGTGTACATACTGGTCCTGGTAACTCTCAAGAATATCCAGCAGATGTAGTATGTGACAATGTCTTGGATGCAGTAAGATGGGCCATCAACAAGGAAGAAAGTAAATAGTTTATATTTTGTATCAATAAAAAAAAATTTGATGTCTTTTTTATTTGTATGTAATAGTTGTTGTTGCAAAGTTTTATTTGATAATACAATGTTGAAAAAAAAAAAGAGGATGCTGAAGAATCAAAGGAATAATAGTACTATATGATAATTGGTGTCTTGTGGAATTGGAACTATGTAAATAAAAATGAATGTGCTTTTGTGTGTGTGTATATATGAATATAATAAAAGGAAAAAGAATCTAACTATGTAAATCAAAATAAATCTAGTTCTTGGAGAGGAATGGTAATTCTACTATTTTGGATCCATTCTTGACATCCTTCTTCAATCGTAGCCATCTACCTAATCGTAATTCTTGACCCAGACCAATGACCAGAACTGTGCGATTTCCAGGCGAGATGGTTTTGATTTGTAAACTATTGACAACACCTTTCACCGCGAGTTGACCTACTTGAGTAAATGATTTGTTATCTGCCGCGATTTTCCAAAACCGTATAAAACCATCCCAAGAGCCAGAAACAAACAAATCAGCATAATGCAAACTGGCAATAGCTGTGATCCAAAAGGGAGTATCGATGGTTTGATGATCGTCGAGATTTTCATAGGTTTGAATGCCATGTGATTGATTAGAGGTGAAGACTGGTTTTTTACGATTAATGTCCCATAGAGAAATGACGCCACTATCGCCACCGGTAACAAATGTGCTTTCATCGATTTGAGCAAGACAATCCAAAGATCCTTCCACGTACAAAGGCCTGTTGCTTCCATCCTTATTCTTTGTTGATACACCACCTCGATATACTAATTGTGATTCTTCTACAATCTTCCACAATCGAGTTGTCTTGTCCCGTCCACCTGTAGACACACATCGTTCGCGACCAAGGGTATCGATAGCTGTGATTTGATCTTGATGTCCAAATAAAGTTTCAACGTATGACTTTTCATCAATATTCCATACTTTGACTGTTCTGTCGTGAGAGACTGAATATAATTGATTGTGACCTTTGCGGAAAACCACACCCTATTATTTCCAAAATATTAATCAGTATCCAATTATTATTTTTTTATTATTATTATTACTATTTCCTTACCGAAACAGCATCACGATGTTGAGTGAAAGTAGCAATATGTTTGTCTTCCTTGATAGACCAAATATTGATAATCTTATCCTTTCCACCACTTGCTAAATATTGATTATCTGAACTTGTTGCTAAGCAGTAAACATGATCCGTATGACCTAAAAAGTTCTTAACACCTTTACGTCCACCTGGAAACACATGTAACTTGTTTAATGTTTTTGCATCCCATTTAATAATAGATCCATCCTTGGAACCAGAGTAAAAGTATAATCCATTATCAGTAAGTGCCACTGCCGTTACTGATAATTGATGTCCACGTCGTAATGGAATAGATAATTCATTCAATGCTGTATAATCGAACTAAAGTAACAAATATCTAGTTAGTCCGTCTACTTCATTATTGGTTGTCTATAAAACTTACTCGATCGGCAACACGTCGATGTAATTTACCAGCTGCTTCATCCTAAAAAGAAAAAAAAAGAGAAGGATAAGAAAACAATTATATCCTTTAAAATAGATCTTTCATGGCCCTGAAAACTTACATCATCGTGTCTTAATCGTTCAGCGATCAAATCTCGATCTAGATCAGCAGCATCGAATCCGCCAGCGAAATCCTCTACAAAAGAAAAAAAAAAAAAAAAGAAAAGAAAAGGAATTGAGTATGATTGAATAAAAGAATAAATAAAGTCTATTCTTTTGAAAAAAAAAATAGATTACCCGCTAGATCGTCTTGAATCTTGTCCAAATATGCTTTAGCCAGTCGTACCCGTTTTTCAGCTGCAGTTTCTTCCAGTTCTTCTTCTGATGATTCAACATCACTAGCTTCTAGATCTAATTCGTCGATATTGCTAGGACCATTTTCAAGAGATGCATCTTCGTCGTCGTCCTTGTCTTCGTCCTTGTTGTTACTTGTCTTGGACTGTAAACGGTATCCTTTGTTAGAGTCGTTGGATCTAGAAGTAGATCGTTTGGGTAAAGTAGAAGAAGAATTGTTATTATTGATACCGTTAGATCGTTTTCTTTTCTTTGTGGTGGAAGTTGTGAAAAAAGCGTCTTTCATAGTTGACGTGAGTAAAAAAAAAAAAAAATATTGAAAAGAAAGAATGAAGAAAAAAAGAAAAAAGAAAAAAAGGGAAAAAAATAAAAAAAGTTTCGGGGCGCAACCAGTAAGGAAGAAAAAGCCACCTCGAGAATATGTAGTGGATCACGTATTCATTCCCCGTCCTCTTCTTTTTCCCTTTCGATCTTTTTTTTTTTTGTTACTTCATTTTATGCAACAATCACCTCCTCAACCTGAATATATCTTTCGTGGTCATCAAGACGATGTTAATAATGTACACTTTTTTAATGATGACAAATATATTATTTCTTGGTAAAGGAAAAAAAAAAGAAAAGTTCTTTCTTTTTTTTTTTTTAATAGATTTCTTTTAGTGATGCAAGTGGTATAATTATTGTCTGGTTATTTCAAACAAGAAGGCCTCTTTTCCAATGGAAAGCACACTCAGCACCTTGTTTAAGTGTTCATGTGTATGACCAAGATAAAGTAGTAAGGTAAAAGGGAAAAAAAAAGAAGTATATCTTTCTCTTATTATTATCTCAGTTCTTTTTTTCCTTATTTACACTTTATATAGTCAGGGTCGTGACAATATGATCCATGTATGGCAACTTGATTTTAATTCTAATGATTCACCACGATTGGTTGATTCATTACCCTATGATTCCATTACTTATTGTCAATTATCACTCACAAAAACCAATGGTAAGACTTAAAAAAAGATATTAAGAAGGATATTGATGATAGGGTAATTTGTATAGGTGACACAATGATCTGTTTCCCTTCAATAGCAAGCCCTTTTCAGGTATATATCTACATATAAAAGAAAAAGAGATTTTTTTTTTTAAAAAAAAAAGAAAAATGTACTGACTTGAAACTTAGATGGATATCTACAACCTTACAAAACGAACATGGGTAATTCAAAATATTGGTGATCAAAATAATGAACAAAGACGAATTTGTATGGCTTTACAATTTATGGAACAAAAATACCCAATTATCGATATTTTAGCAGGCTACGAAAATGGTACGATGGTATTATGGCAATGTCATTTAGAGACAAAGAATGTCCGATTAGTATGGCAGATGCATTGTCACGAAAAACCAGGTAATACTAACTATAAATAAAACTAAAAGTGGTACCAAAAGATAATTAATGATTATTTTTTTTTTTAGTATTATGTTTGATAGGATCAGTCATAGAAGGCTATGCATTATCAGGATCACTCGATAATCAAGTAATAAAATACGATTTAACAAATGGACAAATCATCAAGAAAATCAAAACAAAGAAATCAGGGACAGCAAGTGTAGCCTTAAGAAAAGATAATAAGATTTGGGCTACTGGTGGTTATGATGGAAAGTAAGATATATAAATATAAATGATATTGATTTGAATCAATTGACCTTTTTTTTTTCTGTTAGCATTCGAGTTTACTCTGTCAAAACAATGAAACCTTTGGCAATCTTATCATATCATCGTGATAGTGTATATTATGTGGATTTTGCTAAAAGTTGGATGATAGGTCAAGATAATGAGCAACATTGGTTAGTAGGTTGTTCGAAGGATCACCGCATCAGTTTATGGCAAATTTATTGAAGTTCCGCTGATAAGGATAACGTATTGATAGATAGATGCTGTAGATAGATGAATAGACTATATGTTTATTGAAAGTTTTTATTTTTATTTTTTTTTTATTTGTTTGTATCTTACTTTTCTTTTTCTCGAATGAATTACAGTATGTTGATCATATACCATTATGAAATAAAGAATTTTATCTGATTTCTCTTATATATCCTCGTCATCATTTTGGAAAAGAAATGATCAGCAATGACTCTCTTATCAATAGGATACACGTTGTTTTTTGTCAGTTTAGGTGCTTTTTTTTTTTTATTTATCTATCATTCTTTTTTTTTTTTTTAATTATATTATTTCTGTTATCTTTTTTTTTTCTTATATAAAGATATTTATCGTATGAACTTTTTCTTTTTTTTTTCTTCTTCTTCTTCTTTTTCTTTCCTTCTTAAACAATATCATTGATGGATAAGAATAATTCAGATCATTCACAATATTTTCCAGGAGATATAGCTTGGGTATTAGCATCAACAGCTCTTGTATGGTTGATGATTCCTGGTGTGGGATATTTTTATGCTGGAATGGCTAGAACTTCTAGAAATGCATTAGCTATGATTATGTGTAGTGTTTTATGTTTGGTGGTAGTCACTTGCCAGGTAATTCTTTTTTTTTTTTTTTAAAAAAAAAAGGCGCTGTCTAAAAAAGGAAAGGATCAGATAAAAAATAGCGGGAAATATCTTAACTCCTTTTTTTTTTTTCTTTTTCTTCTTCTTTTCCTTTCAGTGGTTTATTTGGGGTTATAGTCTTTGTTTCAGTAAAACAGCTTCTTATTTTATTGGCAATCTTGATAATGCTTTACTTCGTAATGTACTAGGTGATCCTTCCATTGGAAGCGAAGATATTCCTGATCTCATTTTTATGATCTGTAAGTTAAATAATATATATATTATTTAATCTTTCAATAACAATATTTTTTTTTTTTTTGTATATAGTTCAATGTATGTTTGCTTCTCTTACACCTGCTTTAGCTATTGGATCAGCTGCTTCAAGAGCACGTTTATTCCCATTAATAGTCTTTGTATTTATCTGGTCGACTTTAGTTTACGATGTGATAGCGTGTTGGACATGGAATCCTAATGGATGGAGTTACAAACTTGGCGTACTTGACTTTGCAGGTGGAACTCCAGTTCATATTACTAGTGGTTTTGCAAGTTTGGCTTATGCTTTAATTATTGGACGAGGTATAACAGATGGACAACAACAACAACAATTGTATATTAGCAAACCACAAAATATGTCAAATTTAATCACAGGTTGTGCTTTTCTTTGGTTTGGATGGTTTGGTTTCAATGGTGGATCTGCTCTTTCTGGAACTTTACGAGCTGGTATGGCTGTATTGGTGACAAATCTGGCTGCTTCCGTGGGTGCTCTTGCATGGATGGGTATGGATTATTGGAAACAACGAAAATTTTCTGCTCTTAGCTTTTGTTCAGGAGCTGTGGCGGGTTTGGTGGCTATTACTCCTGCGGCAGGTTTTGTTGGACCTGGACCAGCTGTTGCTATTGGTTTTCTTGCTGGTGTTGGATGTAATTGTGCTGCCCATTTGAAACATTGGTTGAATTTTGATGATGTGGCCGATGTCTTTGCTATTCATGGTGTTGGTGGTTATTTAGGAAGTGTGCTGACAGTAAGTGATATTTATTTATATGTATATTTTACAATCAAATAATTTTTTTTTTTTTTTTTTTGGTTGATAGGGTGTTTTTGCTGAAAAATATATTGCAGGATTAGATGATATGGTAATCGATGGTGGGTGGCTAAATCAAAACTGGATACAAGTACCTCATCAAATGGCCGATGCCACTGCTGGTGCTTGTTGGTCGTTCTGTATGACTTACCTCATCTTGCTAGTGATGGATCGTATTCCTGGTTTATCTATGAGAGTACCTCGTGAAGATGATATTCAACAATTCCTCATCAATCAAAACAATCAAATGAACCATGATAACAGCAACAATGCCATCAGCTTCTCATCAGATCAAAAATCGGATCATCATCTCTCTTATTATCATATTGGGAAAGTCGTGACCATCAATCAAGAAACTGGTGAACAAAGGATAGTTAGAGATGATATGATTGAAATGCAACGTCAACAATATTAAAGAAACTCCACTATCAACATGTATTTCAGCTCATTATATCAAGATCTCTTTCGGTCTCTCTTTTGCTAGTGTATATACCCCTTCTTTTATATATATATATTCTTTAGTTGTACTATATCATTTAATTTTATATTTGTCTCTATTATTCATTTCTTTTTTATTATAATAAACTCTCATTTATAATTCAAGATGCGGGAATATTCTGGATGGACGAATACGATCAATTATTATTTTTACTATCATTCCTAATCAATTACTGGTTTTTTCCATATCTATTTTTTTCTCTTTCTGCATCTGATTAGAGAAGATTTGTTTGCATTGGATTATATTTGCGGTGATTCTTTTTTTATATTAAGGAAAATGGATGATTGATGATTAATTAGAAACTTTTTTATTCTTTATTATAGTCTCTTCTTAATGATCATAGCTAAATCAATAATTTGATCCTTTTGAAAGCTTGGCTGTTAAGAGTGATTCAAAACTATCAAAAAAAAAAAAAAGAAGGACCTTCCTTACCATATTTTTCTTTCCATTCATTTTTATATATTCTCTTTTTGGTACAATCAATACCATACAAATCACACTTTTTTATGGCCTGCAAACCATATGATTCAATTACGCAAATTATCTATTCCGCTAAGTCTTATGAAAAAAGAACAGTAAATACTCGACTTTTATACAAGTAGGATAGTGATTATTTTTATTTCATCTTTATTCCGTCGGGAAGACGGACTGGGAGGAATTTTTTTTTTTTTTTTTTTTTTTTTTTACTATTCAGGCTATTTTCCTTGTTTGGTTACTTTACTCTCACTTTCTTTAGCCCGTTTCCTTTTTATTCTCTTCTTTTTATATATATATATATATTTTAATGGATAATCGTTTTACTTATTTTATCATCATCATCATTAAATATGTGTTCTAATCAGGTTATCCTATTATTAAAATAATAGCCAATCATCATCAATGATATGTCAAAGGAAAGTATGAGAGTCTATTGTTTGTCAGAAGTATACCAATCAATCTGGTAATAAGTCTTTCTTTGTGCTACCGTGGGGGAAAATTCGAATTTGTTTTCCGCGGATAATCAGTAGATGATTCATTCAGTTAATAATATATCATGCATGATCCTTATCTTCATTTCTATATATATAAGAAAAAAAAAAGAAAAAAAAAAAAGAAAAAGAAAAAAAAAAAAAAAAGAAGAGTGGTGAAGCTTGTCCTTGCCAAGTTTTTTTTTTTTTTTTCCATCGTAATAAAAAAAGAACCTGGAGTCCCTACGGAGATGACCGGGTTACTAAAAAGGAAAACGGGATACTTTTTTTTTATACGGTAAACTATTATTATTATTATTATTATTTTACTGTTAAATGACAAAAGAAAAAAAATTGCTTTCATCATCATGGTTACACTGTCCCAAATGTTTTCTCAAGTGCATTTTTAGGACCATAATTTTCTTTACCCGAGGAAGACTTTCCTCCCATTGGGAAAGTTTGGGAAATCTCTTTCTCTCTTAAATCTTCAGACACCGACTTTACCCTTTGATCCCTAAAATTATTTTAGTTCAACTGGGAAGAATCTTTTCACTCGGAAAAAAAAATGAAAGGTATGATCAAGTATATATAGTAATAATGATCCCTCTTAATAAAGAAAAAAAAAAGAAAAAAAGAAAAAAAGAAAAACAAAAAGATCATTATATTATACTCAGGAGTAAAAAAAACAATGAGATTCCTTATCTATAAAATAGATAAGATGATGATGATGATGATGATGATGGGGGACTTTGGATTGGAAATGGAAAGCATCCTAAAAAGGAATGTAACGGTTGCGGTAGTTTAATAATATGAACCCTTCTGTCCCTAATTTTCGTACAAGTGGTGGGAACTGGGAAGTTTCTTTTTTCTTTTCTCTTATTTTATATGCTCAATAAATAATAATTGATGATCATCTATCATGAGAAGTTAATATTTGGTATAACTAAATCATATATTATATAGTTTTACTATCTTTTTCTTTTTTTTTTCTTTTGGGTAACAATAGAACCTTCCTTCCCAGAACAGAAAGGTCATTTCCGAGGTATGTATGATTCACTCAGTTTACCAGTTTTCATCCTCCGAATCACACAATTTCAAAAATAAAATCTTTTTTTTTCCCTTGCTCCCCTTTTTCTCCTTTCTCTTTCTTTTCATTCCCCCCTTTTTCTTCTTCCTTTTTATGTTGACTCATACATCCCATAAATTTATTCACTCACCCAAACCAATGTTACCACAAAAACGACCTTTACATCCTCTTCAACAAGACTTGACCTCATTCAACTTGGAACGTGTCATACAACAGTATGCAACACAACCTGACTTATTAGAACTCATCCTTTCCAGCAAGGTAGAAGAAGATCGTCGACGTGCTGAAGAAGCCAAATTGAAACGAAAAGAAATTGATTATATTTTACAACAACAACAAAAGTCAAAACATAACGATGAACCAGAAAAGGAAACTGATATTACTTTTGGTACTCGAACACAAAAACGACGATTACCTTCTCCTCCTTCACCCTCTTTATCTTCTACTACTTCTTCAACACCTCCTGCTACTCTTCAACCTTCTTTATCTTCTGATTGGTCACCACCACCCCAACAACGATCAAATCACTCGATCGAGTGGCGTTCATCTTCTATTATTTTACCACCTTTGACATCATCACCTACATCTTCTTCTTCCTCCTCATCATCATTTTCTCCGCAACTTGGCCCTGTTTCTCTTCCTCATACTGATAGTCTACTCAAACCTTCCATTTATCCTTCAGTAAAGAGCCCCAAAAGGTAAAGAAAAAAAAACGGAAAATAAAATATCTGTGACAAATGATACTAATCTTTTTTTACCCCATTCTTTTCTTTTTTTCTTTTTTTCTTTTCTTTTTTTTTTTTTTAATTAGATTATCAGATACATCATTCAACGCTAACCGAAAAAGTCTGACCATAGATCACGAGGAAATGTCGTCGTTAGTCAGTCATCATCATCATCAAGATCAAACTCCACCTTCTCCACCTAGTGAAAAGTATATTGATTCAACTACATCCTCCAAATCTACAGGAACTCCCATCAAGCGAAGAAGAAGAGAAATGCAAGCCATCACCACTATTATTGAAACCAAGGAATTCCCTTACAATGATGATTACTTGTGGCGCAACAATGGTAATACAATTCACAAGAAAACTGGAAACAAAAGTATTTATTACAAATGTGCCAATAGTCAACAGGTAAAAAAAAAAAAAAAAAAAAGGACAAAATAACAAAAAAAAAAAAAAAAAGAGATTTTAATTGATCTTTTTTTTATTATTATTATTAATCTAGGGTTGTCCTGTGAACAAGACATGTACTTTACGCCAAGATACTGGAGAATATCTTATTAAATATAGAGGAACTCATCTACCTGAATGTAGTACGATTAAACGGATCAATGAAGTCCAGTAATTTAGCAAACCATCGTTTAGTTTTATCTATTCTCTCATTCCCCTCCTTCCTTTTGAATATACCCTTTTACATTATTTGTTGTATATTAGTTTGTTTCTATATTTGTAAATACATTTTTGATGATGAAATAAAAAGAATGTCTAGTCAATCCACCAATGAACCAATGATTCTATTTGATATCTTTGCTTATTCAACCCATTGTGTTACCCAGATTTTTTTTTTTAAGGTTCATTTTTTTTTTTTTTGCGGGAAAAAGAGTCAACTTGTTCTACCGATCAATGTGGATTTCTCACGATTCAAACAAAAAAAGAGGCCAAAAAAATGGTATTTTTTTTTCGTAGGGACCTAAGGGTGCATTGAATTTCAACCTCAGTGAGTGGGGTAACTCAAAACATGAGAACATGGAGTTTAAAAGTCTCTTTGTTCTCTTTATGGTTGGACACTTGCCGTTTCAAGAAACATTCACAGTAAAGATAGAGGAAAGAAGGATGATTGGATAGAAACACCACTTGATTTGAAAAGGAAAAAAAAAAAAAAAAAAGAGAAAAGTATATATGGTCCGATTGATCGGTCATTCTACATTGAAAGAAAATAGAATAGCTCATTGGAAATACAGTGTTTTCAAGGTTTTTTGTCGGGTCACAAGAAAATGCTTTTCGTGATGTTATCAAATAAAATATCGTACTTTCCCAAAATGAATGGCGCATTACCACTTTTTCAGATATCGCTCCAGAGATGGCGGTAGAGTACATTAAAAACACACAACACATTGATGATAACTTGTTTATTAATAATAAAAGACACAAAAGAAAAGTAACATAAGCTTTTCATATTTTTAGCAGCTTTGGGTGTTGTCCATTCTTTTTTAGGTATCAATTGATTGATGATTCATAATTGATGATTCATGATTGATGATATGTGATAACGGATGATTGTATATTGGATGATTACAGGATGGATGATGGATGACTGTATGATGGATGATATGTGATAATGGATGATTATATGTTGGATGATTGTATGATTGTATGATGGATGATTATAGTCAATCACAGTACAAATTTCTGCTAAAATACAAAATACTTCATTCTAGTTACCTTCTGACAGAACAACATTTTCTTTTTCTTTTCTTTTTTTCTTTGAAAAATGTCAAAACACTCTTTTATCAGCCAACATGATAAATCAATATAATAATAATGATGATCACCTATGGAAATTAAAAAATGGCAATAATAAGTATCCTGTGCACAATCATACTATCATTTAAAATAGAACAACTAAAAAAAAGAAATCTAGTAATTAAACTAAAACACGACAAAAACAAGTCAGTATCATGTATCACTTAGTACATGGATATTGTAATAATAGAACTTAATGTGAACATTTATATAATTAACTTTATTATAAAGAGAGAAATGTTGCTAACACTAAAAAAAAAAAAAAAGAAAAAAAATGATGAAGTAGATACTAAAAAAGACAATGATAAATTAAATACAATAGAAAGAGAGAAATGTTGCTAATACTAAAAAAAAAAAAAAAAATGATGAAGTAGATACTAAAATAATAAAGTAGATACTAAAAAAAAATGATGATGAATTAGATACGATATAAAGATAGAAATGTTGCTAATATTTTAAAAAAGAAAGATGATAAAACTCGCTTACATCTTGTCTCATCATTTTATCTACTAAAATTAGCTCATAATTGCAAGGGTGATTCATTTTCTTATAAAGGGATCCCTTTGATTTAACTTTTTTTTTTTATTTCTTTACATTATATTCATCTTTTTGGCCTATCTGCCTGCTTTTTTGTCTGCCTTCTTTTTGTTGATCTATCTTTTGCTTTACAAGTATTCTTTTATCGTTCAACAATCTTTATCTGTACCTCAATTGACCTGCGTTTATTTTGTTTTTGGGCTTGACCGTGGTCGCTAATGCGCATTTGCGTGGTTACGGTCAGCCTTTTCTTTTTTTTATAACAATTCCGGGATGGTTATCGCCATCCTACTTTCGCTACGGCGATCTCGTTACACTTGAATGGTAAGCTAGTGAAATATTTTTATCTGGATAAGTATTACTCATTTTTTATTTTTTTTTTTATTTTTTTATATGTTAACTTGGTGAACTCAATTGGTGGATTTCCTTTTTTTTTTTTTGATTACTCTTTTTTTCATGATATCTATTTTCTTATATTCTCTATTTGATTATGCGACAATTATATTTTTTTTCTTCTGTCATTTATTTTCTATCCTTACGATATTTTATTTCCTATTTTTGCGCCATCTTATTCTTTGAATTCCGTCATTTATTATTGAATAAAGTGTAAATATGTATCTATATATATATATATATCTCATCAGTAAAGGACGCCAATCATCGGTTTACTTTTATCATTAGTAAATAAAATATCAAATGAATTAAATATAAAAAAGAAAGAAAGAAATAGGATACAGTCATGATGTAGGAATCAAATAAGAATATCTATGATGAGAGTATGTTTATTACAAAGAGTGAAAATAAAATAAAAACAAATGATAATGTGAATCTAAGTGAAATATGCTAATCTAAAAAAAGGGGGGCGAGGGAAGAGAGACAAAATAATTTAATGTATCAATCAAATGAATCATTTATAATCGACGTGGTTTCGCTGCCTTCTTTGCTTTCTTTGCTGCTGATTTTTGATTTTTGGCATCCTTGATATAATCTTCATCTTCTTCCATAGCTTGACGTCTTCTACGTTTTTGTCGACTCATACCATCATATTTGCCTCGTTTGATTTTCTAACAAAAAAAAAAAAAAAAGAGTATGAATATCATTTCCCGCCTATTCCTTTTTTTTTTTTTAAAAAAAAAAAAATGCTTACCTCTTTTTCATTTTTGACTTCTTCTTTCTTTGTTGACCGGTATTCCAAAGGTGTATTTTCTTCTTGAGATTTCTTCTTTTCAGCTTCAGTTTGGAACCATGTTCTTGCAGGACGAGCATAGATTTCCTTTCCATGAGCCAACAAGTTTTCAGATTTACGAATTTCCATTTCAGCTTGACGTAGTGCACGTTCTTCTTTTTCTTCTTGTAAGACTTCTTGGATTTGTGTTGATAGACTTTCTACCTTGGCCTTGTATTTTTGGATGGTATCAGCAGCAACCACACGATTTTTCACTTGATTAGAATTGGCAGATTTGATAGCCATCTTGAGCATCTTACGATCTTGTTCACCCACTAATGTTACAGATCTATTCAAAAAAAAAAAAAATTAATAAATGATCAAATCCAATTTTCAATATGATATATTTTTTTTTTTTACCGTCCATTTCGACCAGCACGAGCAGTACGACCCACACGATGAAGATATTGAGCAAATTGAGTAGGCATATTATAATTGATGACAGTATCAATACCCTTGATATCCAAACCACGAGCAGCCAAATCAGTAGCTAATAAATAATCAATTTCAAGATCACGGAAACGTTCCAAGGATTCCAAACGTTGTTCTTGAGTCAAATTACCATGTAATTCACCAGCATTCAAGCCTACCAAACCAAATAGGATTTTCATTTGATGAGCAGCAGCCTTGGATCGGAAGAAGATGATCACCTTTTTCTTGAATGTTTTTCGACATAGGGCAAGAAGAATGGCGGATCTATCAGATTCACGGTTGGCGCGGATACGTACAAATTCTTGAATCAAACGACTAGCTGCTTGATTACTCTTATCCACAAATAATCGTACAGGGTTTTTGAGTGACATTCGTACTAGTTGATCTACATTATCTGTCATTGTTGCTGAGAATAACATGGTTTGACGTGATTTAGGACATGATTTGATGATTTCACCTAATTCATCTGCGAACCCATCTTCAAGCATACTATAATAAATGAAAAGTAAGTAAATATATATATATATATATATATATATATATATATATATATATATAAATTCTATTTACCGATCAGCTTCATCCATAACGAGAATTTCACAAGTATCTAAACCAAAGCCCATAGAGTTTCGAATATGATCAATCAAACGACCAGGAGTGGCCACCACAACATCAGGTTTAAGTTTCAAATCTGCTTCTTGTTGTTTAACACTGAGACCACCAACACAGAGAGAAAAAGTGATATCGGTATAACCTGCCAACTTGACAGCCACACTATGTACCTGAGCAGCCAATTCACGAGTAGGACATAGAATTAAGACTCTTGTGGAAGCTTGTTGTCGAGGTCGGTATAGGAGACGTTCCAAAATAGGGACAATAAAGGCAGCTGTTTTCCCTGAACCAGTAACAGCACCACCACAAATATCCTTACCAAGAAGAGCCACAGGAATAGTACGTGCTTGAATATCAGTAGGTTTGACAAAACCCAAATTGGCTAATCCTTTCAAAATGGGACGAGATAAATTCATAGAAGAGAATGATTGATGTTCCTTGGGTACATTTTCTTCTTCAGGGGCAAAATAAGCTTCCTTGCGCTAAAATATATATATATATATAAGAGTCAGATTTGATTTTTTTTTATGCAACTTGTATTACCTTGCGATCTTCTTCATTTTCTTGTTCTTCCTCTTCATCACTATTATTCATATTGGCATCATCTTGATCTTCATCTTCGGTATCCGTAGCACTACTACCTTCCTCTTCTTCATCGTCATCCATTGTTTGTCCTTCTTCTTCTTCTTCTTCGACACCAGCACCAAATCCATCCGCAGCAAGATCATCGTCATTATCATCCACTAAATTTTCTTCATCATTATCATCATCTTGCTGATTGTCATCTAAAAATATAAGTAGATAGTAAAAGTGAATAAAAATAACAAGTACGAATTTTGATAATGTTACCTTGTTTCATTTGTTCTTTCTTTTTCATTTCTTTGACTTGTTTTCGTTTTTTGGAAATAATGTCATCGATAGAGGTACGTTCAAGATTCTAAAATAATAATAATAAATAATAATTAAAAAAAAAAAAAACAAACTTTTGATCTAAAATCATTTTTTTGAATGTTTATATAATTACCTTGTTTTTTAACATGTCACGAGCAGCAGTAAAATCCCAAGGTTTAGCAGGACCCATTTCACCACCACCATCAAGAGCAAATGTGAATCGATTATCAAAATCTTGATCTTGTTGTTGTCCTTTCTTTTTATTGTTTGTTTTCTTTTTTGTTTGTTCATCATCCGAGAAAGTTTCTTTTTCTTCTTCAGGTACAACGATAGTTTCGTCATCGTCATCTATAGTCATAATAAAGTCATTGTCGTATTTGCCCATTTCTGTATACAATAGATCTTTTTTAAATTTAAAAGGAATAAAAAATAAAAAAAAATTCAACTAAAATTTTAATAAAAAATAAAAAAAAATTCAACTAAAATTTTTTTAAAACTGGAAGGAGACTGAAGGCTTAGTCGGGGAATTAAAATCAAACGCATAGAACCTGCAATGCTTTTTGTACACCAAAAGAATAAAAACTTAAGGAACACTTTTTTTTTTCCCATGGATTTTTTAGTTTCGTCTTTCTCCTTTTTTTTTCATCTTACATTATGTTGAATAAACAAAACTACGTTATTCAAAATCAACGTTACTTTCAAGCTCCTAACAAGACTCCACTTTGGTTAAAAGGTCCTAGAGACAAAGTATATGCTATTGTTGCTTTTACTGCTATTGGAGTAGGTGTTTTAGGCGTTACTAATGGTGTTTACAGGTAAAAAAAAAAAAGAATATAAAATATATAGAAAGAAAAGGATATTAAATAAATTAAAATAATATTTTTTATATAGAATGGTCATTGGAAAAAAGGATTAAACTCCTAAATTAGATTAGTTATATAGTATATGATGATTACTAGTCATTCAAAATAAAAAAAAAAGAGAGAAAGAGTGTCTAAACTTTTTGTATATCAAAAAAATAAATAAAAATGATGTATCTTTTTTTTTTTTTTTCCTATGAATATGTTAAAGAACTAGTACTATATATTAATGGGTGCGTAACTGAGCCTGAAATAAGTATAAATCATTCAACTCTTTTTTTTTTTTTGTCTCCCCTTTGTTTCTCCCTCATCCTCCCCCTTTTTTTTATTTTTGGCTTTTTTTCTTTTTTCTTTTTTAACACAATCAATTAGCCAAAATATATACTTATTATTATTATTATTATTATTTTCTTCTTCATCCATCTAATTATGACTATTCCTTCTTCTTCTTCTTTTCAACATAAACTAAGTCTTCCTCATACTCCTCCAAACTCAAGTCCTCCACAATCAACTTTGTTATTATCTTCTTCAACAAATAATGTATTAGAACCTGGTTTACGGATAGATCAACTCAAACATTCTTTTCAAAGTTTATCTTCTCAACAACAAGAATGGCTTCTTTCTGAAATTGTCAATCAATGCGACCATACTCATTTATCTTTTCTTCATGATATGATTACTCCTCGTCTCAAAGTTGACTTTTTGAAACGTTTGCCTTTGGAAATATCACTTTATATCCTATCTTTTATCAATCACCCTCAAAGTCTAGGTCAGATAGCTTGTGTCTCAAAACATTGGAACCAATTACTTAAAGACGAAACGATATGGAAAACTGTTTATGAACAACATTACAATCATTTCAACAACTCTTCTTCCTTGATACCACAACAGAATATATCTGATTTTTCTTATAGAGACCAATTTATTCGAAGGTATCGCATTTCTACAGCTTGGAAACATGGTGGACATGTCAAAGTGGTGGATGAAGGTTTAGAAGGTTTGGTGACCTCTTTACAATGTGATGATAAGTATATCGTAGTTGGTTGTGATAATCATCGTATTGAAGTATTTGATACCTCTACTGGAAACAAAATTCGTACTTTATTGGGTCATGAAGGTGGCGTTTGGGCATTACAATTCAAGGGGGATGATCTACCTGACCATCATCAACTTCAACAACGTATTTTGGTATCTGCTGGTTGTGATAGGTAAAAAAAAAAAAAAAATCATATTGATATAAACAATGAAATTAATTATTATTTATTTTTTTATTAGAGATGTTCGTGTTTGGAATCTTGAAACAGGTGAATTGTTACATACTCTTCATGGTCATATATCAACAGTGCGATGCTTAAAAATGAAAAACAAACAATTAGCAGTGACTGGTTCAAGAGATTGTACATTACGGATTTGGGATATTGAAAATGGTCGTGCGAAACATGTACTCTATGGTCATCAAGGAAGTGTACGATGTTTGGATATCTCTGGAAATGTACTTGTATCTGGATCCTATGATCATACTGCTCGCGTTTGGGATCTTACTACTGGTGAATGTATACATGTATTGGAAGGACATCAATCATTTATTTATTCTATTGTAACTGATGGTATCAAGGTAGCAGCTGGCTCTCTTGCAACTCATATTCGAGTATGGTCTGTAGAAACAGGTGAATGCCTAGCAACATTACATGGACATACTTCTCTGGTAGGACAATTGGAATTAGTACCTGGATATGATAGTATGGGACCAACACTTGTCAGTGGTGGAACAGATGGATGTCTTCGTGTCTGGGATTGGAATGAACCTTTTGAATGTTTACAACGCATATCAGCACATGATAGTTCTATCACTTGTTTACAATGCGATGATCAATGGATCGTCAGTGCGGGAAGTGATGGGCGTGTCAAATTATGGGATCGGAAAGAAGGTCGTTTAATTCGTACTTTGGCAAATCCAGCTAAAACTGTATGGAAAACTCAATTCAATCAATCCAAAGCTATTCTACTCATGTATCGTGCTCTAAACTCAAATACTGATCTTGGTACAACTGTTTTGGAAATTCATGATTTTGATATTTGATTCCCACCCTTTTTTTTTGATTCCTTTTTATTTATTTATTTATTTATTATCATATATCTTTTTTTTTCATCATCATCATCATCATTCCTGTCAACAATATACTCCCACATAATTATTTATTATAAATATCATCTTATTTTTTCATTATATGCATTTATTTTATCTCTACATCTTGTACACTTCCTACAACCAATAAAAAATAAGGGGAGATTTTGGCCACTTTGAAGCACCGAACAATCTTTTTTTTTCTTTCTATTTCTTTCTGCTTCTTTTTTTTTCTTTCCTTTTCTTCATTGATTGATATTTTTTTTTTGTTTGTTTTTATATCAACCATGCTAACCAGTACACCTCGTGAATATCCTTTACCAACACGAAAGAGAACTTTGATGGAGACCGATGGTTGTTGGACAAAACGAATGAAACGACGACATTATAATCACCCTATTATGCCTTCAATATATTGGCCTATGACTTCTGAAACGACGATACCTACACAACCATCACCATTTGATCCATCCTTATCAAAACAATGTAAGTGACATGAAGAGAGAAAAAAAAAAGATAGAACGATAACTTATATTAAATAAACTATTTACTATTTTTTTTTTTAAAAAAAAAAAATAGGTGATGATCGGGAATTGGAACCAATGGATACAAGAACAAGTGCCTTTTGTGAACGAATTGATGATATGGATCAATATTTGGAGGAAGAAGAACAAGAAGATGAAATCAATGATAATCGACTTGATATTTATACTTTATTACAACAACAACATCGACCACTAACAGCCACAAGGATCAATGGAGTTTTATTACCAATGGAAACTCAAGATGGAGGAAATAAACATTGCATTCCACAGTTCGTACTACGTTCACCTTGGTAAAATACATTCTCCAAATCATCTTTTTTTTTTCTAACTTTTAATATTTTACATTTATATAGTTCATCTTCTTTTTCAATAATGGATTCATCTCAACAGGTAAAAATGAACAAACAAAAACACGTATAATGAAAAGAAGGATTAATTTTACTTTCTGTCATAGAATATATCAAATTGGCAGCAATCGATGGACATAGATTTTGATTAGTTCATCCCTTATTTTTATATTATCATTCCAGACCATTTATCATCTTTGTTGATCCCCCCTTTCTCTTTTTTTTTTGTTATTTTTTTGTACATACTAGTCATTTCTACACTCCATTTCTCATTCTATTTTATTTTTATTGTATTTATTATATTCAAATAAAAAAAAATCATCTTTCATCTTTTTTTATATCTTAAGAACATGTGCTGATGTGGAAATCAAGGTATGCATAATTCCATCTTTTTGCATTTCCTATCATTTTGTTTTATAAACTTGACTGCCACATTTTTTTTTCTTATTATTATTCATCTCTCTCTCTCTTTTTTTTTTTTTTTTTTTTTATTATTCCATAGAACTTTTGAGTAGATAACACTAGAATGTATCCACTCAATGATGATGAAGATATTATAAAATCACCAGCTAGTCCTTATAACAAACCAGCACCTACATCCACTAGACGTCGATCTTTATTTCGGCGACGATGGTTTCGATTAGCCAGTTGTTTGATTGCACTTAGTTTACTCTCCATCTATCTTTGTTATTATTATTATTATAATCATCATCATCACTCTTCTTCTTCTGCTACTATTAGTCATCTTATTACCACAGTGACCAACGTTAGTCACGACATCAGTCATTGTTCACGTTTAACAGAACATCAACATGTCAAACCACTTGCTCATCCAGAATTTATGCATGATCAACAGATACCGCTAGATGCATGGACACAAAAAGAAGTGAGAGGTGCTTTATATATGATTGTGAGAAATGAAAATCTACCGGATGCACGTGCGACGATCCGTGTGATTCAAGATCGGTTCAACGACAAGGCCAAATACCCATGGGTGCTTTTAAATAATCAGTACTTCAATGCGGATTTCAAGCGTCATGTTTCCTCCATCACCACACCCAAGAATGTATCTGTATATTTTGGAAAAATCGATACTGATGCTTGGGCCTATCCTAGTTGGGTGGATGTGCCGCGTGCGGAGAATGCTTTGTGGGATTTATTTGGTGTTGCCAGAGGTGAAAGTCTTTCTCATCATCAACTTTTACGGTAATCCTTCATTACAATCTTTTTTTTTTTTTTTTTTTTGTGCACATTCCTATTTTCGAACTGATTTTTTTTTTTTTGTATAGTTATCAAGCTGGACTCTTCTTTTATCATCCTTTATTTGACAATGTTGAATACACTTGGAGAGTTGAACCTGGAGCTATGTACACTTGTGAATTAGATTTTGATCCTTTTAAGATGATGAAAGCTGGAAAAAAGAAATTAGGTTATCTCGATCAAAAACATCATGATCATTTTTTGGACTTTACTAATTTGATTTCATTTTCTCTTTCTTTTCTTTTTTTTTTTTTTTTTTTTTTTTTTTTTTTTTTTTTTTACAAAAAAATAACAGGTTTTGTTTTGACAGCAAAGGAGGAACAAAATGCTATTCGAACTCTTTGGTCAACTACAGAATCATTTATGCAACAACATCCTGAATGGATCAAACCTAGGAATCAAACCATCATGCCTTGGATCACTCACCGAAATAAGGAAAATACCAAAGATGAATATAATTTTTGTCATATGTGGTCCAACTTTGAAATTGCTGATCTTTCCTTCTATCGTTCAGAAGCTTATCGATACTACTTTGATCATTTGGATAGCACTGGTGGCTTTTTTTATGAAAAGTAAGTCCCTCTTTTTTTTTTTATTATTTTTACTGATATGAACCTTTTCTACTAGATGGGGTGATCCAGTTCGAACTCTTGCAGCAGCCATGTTTTTAGATAGAAATGAAGTTTACTTTTTTGATCAGATTGGATATACAAAGGATGGTATTTCTCATTGTCCATTACAAAGTGGATATCTTCAAAAATGCACCTGTGATAGTGCAGATAGCCATGGTAACCAAAAAAAAAAAAAAAAAAAGAAGATCATCCATCCATTCACCTTTTTTTTTTTTTTTTTTTTTTTTTTGATATTATAGACATGTTGGAAAATAGTTGTACTCTGGATTTATTACGATATAGTGATCCTCCCACTTTTGATGCATTAATGAATTATGCTCGAACAAAACTACCACCTCAATTATCACTTGATCTTAACAATACTGATATTCTCAAGCAAGTCATCAAGAAGAAAGATCAATTGGAAGCATTCATTAAGGATCAAGAAAGACGTCATTTAGCTGTAGAATAGTTCCAATTCATATTTGTTCCATATATGCTAATAATAAAAAAAATAAGTCTTCTTAGCTTGATTTTTTTTTTTTGTTTGTTATCATCAACTATATATGGTATTCCTTTTTATCCGCCTAGTGAAAAAAAGCTGCCTTTTTGGTTGAAACCGGGATTTTTTTTTTGCTATGTGTATCACAAAAACGCAATTTGTTCAAATGGACCCTGTCTTCTTCATCATATCTTTCTTTTTTTTTTTTTTCTTTTATAACATCAGTATGAACATCAAGTATGAAAGCCGACTTGATCTCGACGGTAGTGGAGACGAGTGAGTCAAAAAAAAAAAAAAAAAAAGAAAAGAATCACCACTATCATTATCAACTAAAACCATTCTATCATTTCCAATGGTACTGTAGATTGAGACCAATATTACAACTACCATTATCATCATCATCATCATCATCATCAAATCAGATGTCAACTTTATTTCAACGTAAATCATCATCAACATTATCATCAATATCTAATACACAAACACTACTACTAAGAAATAATCGACTAACTACAATGGAGCCCTATACTAAAGCTTTGGAAGAGATGCGTCATTCCCTTCGTGAATTAACCCTTCGTAATAATGCCTTCACCAAATTCCCACTTGATATCCTTATATTGACCAATCTAACATCGCTATCTATGGCTAAAAATCAAATGAAATGCATTCAGTCCAATATCTTCCCTCAACTCTCACAACTGACATGGCTTTCCCTAAGTGATAATCATCTTCAATATTTACCTGATGACCTTTCTGCTTGTTATCATCTTGTAGGACTTGATCTTTCCAGTAATGATTTCCACGGTAAAAAAAAAAAAAAAAAAAAAAAAAAAGTAAGTGAACATCAGTGGACTGATATGATGATCATGTTTTTACATTTTGTAGAAATACCACGCGTCATTTCCAAATTGAATCAACTTCAAGTGCTTCTCATTCAAAAAAATCAAATAGAGCGAATTACCGATCCACATATGCTTCCAATAGGACTTCAAACGCTTCATCTAGGGTTTAATCAGTTCACCACGATGCCATCCGTTCTTATTGATTGTCCACCACCAGGCTTGACACATCTTCATCTTTCAGGCAATCCATTGAAAGAGCTACCACTTGGATTTCTTAGTCAGGGATACCAGGAACTTGTGAGTCTTGATCTCCATACCTGTCAGTTGGAGCAGGTGTCCTCCCATTTGTTTATGTACATCCATCAACGCCACATTCCACTAAAAAGATTGAATCTAGCCATCAATCGTTTGCGCCGTCTGCCATCCACTATTGGTCAATGTACACAGCTCCAATGGCTCAACTTGAATGATAATTGTCTGACCACGTTGCCATCATCCATGCAATCCCTTGTTCATTTGGCCAAACTCGGTCTTGTTCAAAACCAATTACAATTCTTGCCTCCACATCTCTTCCAGTATATGACAAAATTGGAGAAGATTGACTTGAGAAGAAACTTGTTGCCATATTTACCACCATCCATCTTGGCTTTAGCTCCCATTCATGAGATTCAACAACATATCGATTTGGCCGTGCCTGCATCCTTGATCCATATTGTTCAGCCCACGAAAGGAGGATCATTAAAAACTTTATTGTTATATGAAAACACACATCTTGAACAAAAGGATGGATTATTTTGTGCTTTGGAAGAAGAAGAAGAAGAAGAAGAAGAAGAAGAAGAAGAAGAAGAAGAACAAGGAGCACCTATTTGGCTCCCTGTCATGAATTTGAATGCCTTGAAAATTCTCGCGAATTCCAAACACCGCACACAAGCTTATGCCATGTGGGCAGCTAAAAATGGATATTTGAGCTCCGGAGAAAAAGAGGAGTGGTATCATGAAGGGATTTCTTTTTTTTTTCATCATCTTCTTTCTCTCAAGGACATTGCTCTTCGACATCATCTTGGATATGCACACAATCAATGGATATCTATAGAGAAGCATGGATATCTACCCCGTTTGGATAGACATCCTCAGGAACGACATCAATTCCTATCACAAGTATTTCCATCCTGGATACCTCTACTCGTGCGTGAACAGGTAATTCGACAGGCTCGACAATGTGATTATTGCCACCAATGGTCCATGACATTACCATTCCAAGTGGGATATTTGGCCAGACTATGTAACAACCGGATGCAAGTACCTATTCGATATTCATTGTGCTCATCGACCTGTGTTTTGGCAGCCACTTTACGATTGCAAGCGACGGCGGATGCTTGGCCACCTACAACGAAAGACAAAACTGTTATCACCAATACAGCTTCATCATCATCATCCAACAATCAAACATCTCAACCCTCTTATGAATGTGATCATCCATGGGAGGAACAACATCCACCTTCATTGACACGTGCTCTACAACGGATGGAAAGATTGGCTTCCTCTTTTCTTCACTCCTCAAATACTTCCACACGATCCTTTTTATCTCGATCATGTATACAACCATGCGATCCATCTCCTCCGCCATCTTTATCTCAACGTGATACTTTTCATGTGACGGATCCTCGACCTGCACTGACCTCATTTAATCATTTACCAAGGGATGCCATTCGTTTGGAAAGATTCTAGAAAAAAAAAAAAAGAAGGGAAGATTTGGTTTTAGATTAAATAGATTTTATTTATTTTGAAAATAAACAATATATATATATATATATATATATCAATTTTGTTTTGTTTTGTCTTTTATTTATATGATGATCGATATATAAGTGTTTTTTTTTTTTTTTTTTTCCTTGAAAAGCATGAAATATGAAATGAGGATGTAATTTTATGCATGTATAAGTATGAGGACATTCTATTTGAAAGAAAGGAAAAAAAAAAAAAGATGAATGTGCATTGGTGAAGTAAAAAGAATAAGAGATAATGATGAATGGGAAAATAACAAAATACAACAATTTTATTGATAAAAATAATATAGAAAAAAAAAAGACACTAACTTAGAATGTTTCATTTTGATTAGGACAATCTGTTGTGGCATGAATATCAAATACATCACAATTGACACAATACTAATCGTAGAAGGGGGCATCAGAAAAAAAAAAAAAAAGGAGATCAGTATAAGGAGGAATGGACTTTTTTTTTTTTTTTTAAACTTACAACCATTGTACTTTCATGTTGTTGAAGTGGAGAGGATACCATCATAGGAGTATTACAACCAATCACATCATGACCATAAACTTCACAGATTTCACAGTAGAGATCAGCACCATCGTTCTTGTTTTTGTTTTTGGGATATTCTTGGCGATAGGTATTAGATGTTGAAGTAGTGTTGACAGAAGCTGTATCAGAGATGGGAGAAATAGGCATATTGGAGCAAGATAATGATGATTTATCGTCCTTGAGTATTAAAGCTTGCCATTGTCGTTGTTCAGTTTTGTATTTGTTCCTCTCCATTGTATAGAGTTCCTCTAGTTCTGAAATTCGAAATGTCTTTTTTTCAATCACAGATTCCAGTTGTGCCATGTCGTTATGAAGCTGACTGATCTTGATGCGATGTTGGGTATCAGTATCGTTGATCTTTTGTTGTTGTTTTGTCAGTTGTTGTTTTAACCGGCTGATTTCATTCTTCATAAACATAGTTGAAGTATTTGGATCTCCAGATGATGCTTGTTCCTCCAAATCTAACATATCATCCATCAGGCGGCCATAATCTTGTTCCATCGTATCATGAGCTTCTTTTAGGATCGTCCATTGTTGTTGCAGAGAGGTCAATTCTGTTTGTGAGGTTGTCAGTGCTTGTTGCGTGGTATCCAATTGATTTTGCAGTTGCTCCAAACGTTCCGTCAATTGGCCTAGTTGATGCTCCAGTCGTGTATTAGTCATCAGTAGATCCTTGTGTTCTTCTTCCATGCGTAATTGACCTTGTAAAGCGACATCTCGTTCTTCCATCAATAATCGTTTATCGTTGATTTCTGCTGAAAGTTCTTTTTGGAGTTGTTGGAATTGATGATCAGCTGCACCTGATACTGCATGCATATGCGATAGTTGTTCACGTAGTTGTTCATTATCCATCAATGTGGCTTTTTGTTGTTGTTGTATGTCATCGAGAGCCATGGTGGTCAATTCTAATTGTTGTTCCAATCTACGTCGTGAAGAGTACATGTTGTTATTGCGATCGATCATATTGTTTCTAGCATCATCCTCTTCGTCCTCTTCATTATTGGGTGATGGTGGGAGTAAAAAGTGGCAAGATTTCAACTCGTCTACGGTATGTGTCAGTCGTTGTATTTCATCATCCTTGAGTTTGATGGTCATGTCACGTTCCATCGTCCATTGCTTCATCGTGGCTTCATACTGTCTAATGGTCTCAGTGCTTTCATGTTTGGCAGTTTCGTAATCCCTTTCCATGGCTGCGGTAGCTTGATCACGTTCGGCAAGGTCACGTCGTAATTGTTCAATTTGAGATGTATAGGTGCGTTGTTGTTGTTGTAATTGTTGATGAGAATCTTGAGCGTCCTGTTGCCATTCGCGAACTAATCGATCGAGCTTTTCAATGCGTCGAATATATTGTTGCTCCATTGCGTTGATCATCATTCCATTCAAAGGTTGTTGGTCCAAAGATGGAGAAGAAGGTGATATTGTTCTGGGTGATTTCATTTGTAGTAGTTGTGATTCCAGATGGGCGGATTGTTGTTGTGACATATGCAGTGAATCTTGTAGTCGCGTGATTTCCAGTTCCATATCTTGTACCTTGAGGGCGTAACTTTCCTTGGCAGTCACTAGTCGTTCCCATACAGCTTCTTTACCATTCATTTCATCTGATAGTCTTTGCTTTTCAAGTCGACTTTGTTCCAATAGACTATGCATTTTCTTCAATTCATCGGATGTTACCGTCTTGCGTGTACTTGTGCTTTTGCTTTTTCGAAGTGTTTCAGGTGCATCTGGTTTACTTGATAAGGTTGAGTTTCGTTTTTTGGTGCTTGGAGTCATTGTCATCCTAGTGCTTCTACTGGGTTCTCTACTAGTAGTTGTTGGAGATGATTTCCTTTGGGATGATGACGATGATGATAATGCGGGTGTGGCTGATTTTCGCCGAGATGCTGTTGTCGCTTTTGTCGAGACCGAAAAAGGTAACGTGGATGATGATTTCTTTGTTGTTGTATTTGTTGTTTGTGGTGCAGTTTTTCGTGCTGAGACAGTTGAGAGGTTTTTTGTTGGTCGAGGACTTTTAGTAGACAAAGAGAGTTCCTTTTTCTTTGACGTAGAGCATGTTGGTTGTTGTTGCTGCTGATCATGAGAAAGACATCGTTGGCGAGGTGTCTTGGTATCATTCGTAGAGGGAGTCTTGGTTGTACGGCGTGTAGTTGAAGGTACTGAAGTAAGACTTTTCTTGGGTGTAACAATGGGTTGGGCAGACAATGTAGAAGAAGAGCAAGAAGTAGATTCCTTTAGAGGTGTGACCTTGTTGGCAAGAATAAAGAGTCCAGTTTCGGAAGGACAAGTAAAATAACGTACACTAATCATGGTATAAAGGGAAGAAGAAAAAAAAAAAAAGAAAGGAAAGAAAGAGGGAAAAAAAAAAAGGAGTGTTAGTACAAGTTTTACCCATCGCTTTTGTTATTGTGTAACTGTTTATATGTCAAGTTCAAAATAGACAGCATAAACTTTTTTTTTTTTTTTGATCTCTTACCCTTTGATAGATCCATCATTTTTGCCTGATCCAACAATATCAAGTTCAATTCCAATCCATAGACCAGGTTTAAAAGAAGTAGATCCAATAAATCGAATAGTCCCAATAGCACATAAACTAGAAACAGAAACTCTTTGCCCTATTTTCAGATCAGTACTATCTTTGCTGTTCTTTGTTGATGATGATGATGATGACGATGATGATGATGTATTTGATGTATGACAATTGGATTGACAAGATCGATAACGACGTTTGGTAAGTGGAGGTGAAGTTGGTATTGCACTATTCGTATTTGTTTCTGATGTAGAACAAGCTGAAGTAATATGATGACCGTCAAAAGTGCCAGCACCTACTGATAGTCGTGCAATACGAGTATTAGTATTCACTAACATTATACCAATGAGATAAGGACGTATATTTATATAATATAAAAAGTGAGAATCCGTATATAAAAGAAAAGTAAGGGGGCGCTTTTTTAGAGGAAAAAAAAAAGTGGAAAAGAAAGAAAAGAGAAAGTGGAAAAAGGAGGCAATTGAATTTTGTACATTAAAAATAAAAAACGTGACATGCATCATCTCTTTGATTTTCCTCCTTTTTTTTTTTTTTTTTTTTTTTTTTTTTACTTGAACCAAACTTAGAAATATAATGATGATGAATGTTAAATAACGTGGATAATGATGATGATGATTTGTACTTTTCTTTCTTACTTTATATCACGCTTTGACAGCACGATTCATCCTTTTTTCCTTTTTTATCAAAAACGGTTAGCCTTTTATTCGGCTTTATGCAATACAATAGAACCCATGATTTAACTAGACTCACTAAGATCATTAAGAATAGAAAATACAATAGAAATATCACGGTCTTGAGGAGTGATAATGCAGCAGTGAGATGTATGCTTGACCAAAAAAAAAAAGAGTTGACTTTATCATTTCAGCCAATAGATAACAAGCGGTTGTTGAAACACAATGATCCCAACAAACTGGAAATGGTCTTTTTTTTTTTCTTTTTTTAAAAAAAAAAACCAGGTATGCTTCGTTCCCTTCCTGATATAAAAACTGCACAACCTGTAACTTTGGGTCAAGGTCATTGGATAACTCTTGAACAATTAGATTACTTTGATATCAATGGTATAAAACATACTTGGGAAAGGTGTGTAAGAAAGAATACTGCAGCTCCTTTGGCTGATGGTAAGTTAATATAAAAAAAAAAAAAAAAAAAACTTGGAACTTAGAAGATTATTTTATATATATATATATATATATATGTAGCTGTTGATATTCAAGTTATATTACAAACAAATACTGGTCCTCATATTCTTTTGGTCGTGCAATATCGTCCTGCTATTGAAAAGTATGCTCTTGAATTTCCTTCTGGTTTGATTGATCCAAATGAAACAGCTTTGGATGCAGCACAACGCGAATTACGTGAAGAAACTGGTTATGAAGTAGACAAAACAGCTTTTCGGTTATCAACTCAATCTGTATGTTATGAACCTGGATTGACCAACTCCACTTGCTATGTAGCACATACCACTATTGATACGACTACCATATCATTACCTCCTAAACCTTCTTTGGAGCAAGATGAATGGAGTTTACAAACTATTTGTCTACCTCTAAAGAATCTTATGACTCATTTAGTTTGTAAGTAAACCAAACGAAGAAAAGGAAAAAAAAAAGAAATGTTTTAATTTGTGTGATTTATATTTATAGTACTTCAAGATAAGCATCAACTTGTCATCGATTCAAGAGTTTATAGTTTTGCTTCAGGATTAGACTTGGCTAGAATGATTTTATAGATAGATTATGCATTAGACGCATGCTGAAAAAGGAGAACTATACATCAAACAGGATTTAGCGTAGTTAGCTCCTCTCCCTTCCTCAAATTTTTTTTTTTTTTTTTTTTTTTGGTTATTCATCAATAAAAACGTTTTATATATATATATGATTTATAAAAAAAGATGATTGTTTTTTTTATTTATAACAAGGTCAAGGTTTGACTACCATGATAGTACATTTCAAATTTCGAGTAAGACCTTCAGATACAGAACCCAGTAGTTGCCTATATTATCATCATTCAATTAGATTCACAATACTATTTACAATTTTGTAACTTACCTCTTAAAGAACCCTCGTCCATTGCAACCAACGATCACCTAATTTACGAAAAAAAAAAAAAAAAGATTAAAAAATCAGATGATATTTTCTAGGAAGAAAGAAGAAAAAAAAAAAAAAAAGGGAGATATTTACCATATCAGTTTTTAGTTTCTCTGCTTCTTCTACCAATGCATCCGTAGCATCACCTTTCAATATATGTGGTGTCGCTGTAAGCTAATCAATGTATCCAATTAGTTTTTTTTTTTTTTTTTTTTTTTGAAGAATTATACTATTTTTGTTTAACTTACGCCGTGTCTCTTAAAGACTTGCATGATTGTTTCCAATAATCGAGTTGCATCTTCTTTTAACTTTGTGACTCTTTCACCACAATCATCATTAATCCAAGCTGTAGGACCAATAGCCGCAGCTTCTAATCCAAATCCTTCAAATGCTAATACATCATCATTCAATACTGTAGTGATATAAATCTTATCTTCTGGAAGAAGGATTTGATGATCAAGTATCCAATTGACCGCTTTATATGAGGCTTCAGAATGATCATAAGCTATAAGAATTGTACGTGGCATTTTATTCAATAATAAAAAAAAAAAATTGAACAAGTTTCATTAAACCTCGTGTCTTTATATATACAAATATTTCATTTATTGGTCGGTTTCAGATTTTTTTTTCCATTATCCTAATGTCGGTGATCAAATGTTTTGATCATATGTAGCATGAACAACCGGCATTTTCCTATTTTCTTTTTTTCTGATACGATAAAAAAAATATATCTTATGATTTTACATATTCCAGATGTATGTTTGAGGTTTTAAAAAGAAAAGATGACAAAATGATCAATATGATGATTCATCATATGTATGCACTTACAAGTTGTAAATAATCTCTAGCTCAAAGAGTAGCAACACTTATTAACTAATCCAGGATATTTGGAACCGACAGTATATTGACCTATTATGATAAGATCAAAGGAATCATCCTTCTATCATATGGTTTAGTCGTCAAATGATATTCTATCATCATTTCATCGTTCATGGAAAGGAAGATCCTCTATCAATGCGAACACACTCGGCGTGCTACAAAAAAAAAAAAAAAAAAAAAAAAACTACCTGTGGTCGGATCGTGAAGTGTTTTCCTGCTAGAAAATTTGTCACGGTACTCCTTTTTTTTCCTTGCTCTTTCTTTCGCGCTTTTTTTTTTTTTTAAAAAAAAAAAAAATTGGTGACCTTTATGAAGAAATTTACAAAGATCAAGAAACCAAACTCTGAAAAAGAGGGAACCAATATTCAAGTAGTCTTACGATGTCGGTAAAAATTCAACCACAATGATGAAAATAATCAGTTTTCTTTTTTTTTTTTAAAAAAAAAACAATAAAGAGATATTATACTTACTCGTTTATATATATATATTAAATATCTTTAGCGGAAGAAATATTCAAGAAATAGAAGCAAACTCACCTGTGATAGTGGAACCTGTATCTAGTAGTCGTCAACGGGATGTTTTGATCAAAACGACTAACAAAGTTTATTCTTTTGACCATGTATTTGGCCCTGAATCCAATCAAGAAGAAATATACTATGAAGTGGCACAACCTATATTAGATCAAGTCTTGTTGGGGTAATGCTTTTTATATGTATATATTTAAAAAAATATTACTTAAAACTCAATCTTTTTATACCATTAGATATAATTGTACTATTTTCGCTTATGGCCAAACTGGTTCTGGGAAAACGTAAAAAGTTTTTATTTTCTCTTTTCTATTTCATATGACCAATGGATTTTTTTTTTTTTTATATTTAGATATACCATGGAAGGAGATTTATCAGATCGAACTATTGGAAGCAATTCAAAGGCTGGCATTATACCACGAGTAATATATAAATTATTCGAATCTTTGGACTATCAAGGTGCGGAATATTCTGTTAAAGTTTCACTTATAGAACTTTATAACGAAGAATTACGTGATTTACTCAGTGTTGGTGGTAACAATGGACCTTTGCGTATTTATGAAGATCATCAAGGTTCTGGTGTCATTGTACAAAATATTGAAGAAACTCTTATCTCTAATGCTGAAGATGGTCTCCGTGTACTACAGGAAGGAACTCGAAATAGAAGTAGTGCTGCAACAAAATGCAATGAAAAGTCAAGGTAAAAAAATAAATCAATATATAAAATAATTTCAATGATATTTATTAATTTTATTTATTTATTTATTATAGTCGATCTCATTGTATCTTTACTTTGACTGTACATATTAAGGAATTAGTTACTGGAGGTGAAGAAGTATTGAAAGTGGGTAAACTGAACTTGGTGGATTTAGCAGGCTCTGAAAATATTAGTCGTTCAGGTGCTGAAAATACTAGGGCGCGTGAAGCTGGTATGATCAATCAAAGTTTACTTACTCTTGGACGTGTTATCAATCAACTTGTGGATCACTCACCTCATGTACCTTACAGGTAAAAAATAAAAAATAAAAAAAAAAAAAAATAAAGTAAAATAAAATAAAATGAAAAAATGTAAAAACGAATTATTATCTTTTATGTAGGGAAAGCAAGTTGACTAGGTTATTGAAAGATTCGTTGGGTGGACGGACAAAGACATGCATTGTTGCTACAGTATCTATAGCGAAACTCAGTCAAGAAGAAATCGTTAGTACTCTGGACTATGCTAGCCGCGCCAAAAACATCCGGAATACTCCTGAAGCTAATCAACGTCTAAACCCGAAGATACTGCTAAGAGAATACGAATCAACCATCGAAAGACTAAAGGCAGACTTGACAGTAAGATAAAAGTATAATATAACCATTTACATATACTTACAATCATCTTCTTGACTTTATCTGTTAGGCTAGCCGAACTCAAAAAGGTGTTTACCTGTCCCAAGAAACCTATAACATGATCATGGATGAAAAACAAAGCAAGACCGATCGTGTAGATGAACTCAGTAGGGATATCGATACTCTCCGTACTTCTTTGGAAGAACGTGCAGCTGAATTAGCCGAGATGACAAAATTGATGGAAACAAAAGAATTGAAACTGGCCTCTACAAAGGTAAAAGAAATTAAAAAAAAAATAGGTAATTTTATAACATTATTTTTAATACCTTTATAATAGATGAAATTGTACGATCTAGATTCTAAATTGAAACATCAGCTTCAAGAATTTCAGCAACAAATGACATTGGTAAGTTATATCAACTTGGGCATGGTGTATAGACAACGTTTCTAACTTTTTTTTTTTTAAAAAAAAATGGACAATAGTATACTATTGATGTGGAATCGACGATTGAACAACACTTTGAATCTGTGGATAAAAGTACTGATACAATGAATTCGCTGGCGACACAAGGTATCAACAATCAAAAAGAACTAACTTCTAAGATCGACAAGATTCGCCAACAATTTTATGATGAAATCAAAGCTCAAAATAAAAAAGCAAAGGACCAGATGCATCATTATTTCAAATCTATGGATAAAGAAATTCATGATTTTGGAAATCGAGTACGTTGAAAAATATAATATCAATTTTGATTTACTTAATCCTTTTTTTTTAATTTTATTTTATTTAGCTTGGACAACTTGGTCAATTTTTTACTCAAGATATTCGTAGACATATTTCAGAAGAAGAAGCTTATCTTACATCACAACAACAATGGGTAGAAACTCTTGGTAACGACACATTATCAAAGGTGACGAAAGAATTAGCAACATTGAATGAACAACATGAATTACTTCAGGCTTTTGTTGAACAAGAACATGGACGACGTAAAGAAGAAGATACAAAGATGACTGAAATGGTATCTCAATATCTTGCTCAAATGATGGACAAATATTCTCATGAACGATCCTGCAGATTAAACAATATTATGGGCGATGTTCGCGAACAATTGAATCAAAGTGGAGATCATATCCTTTTTTTTTTTAATACATAATGAAATGATTTTATTATTATTATTATTTATACTCTATTTTTCCTTAACCTTTTCTTTTTTTTTTTTTACAGCTTAGATCCTTCCAACATCAGATCAAATCAGTTTTATCTTCAAATTTAGATAAGAATGCTTTACGGATACAACAAGTGCAAAATTTTAGTGGTAAGACTCTGTTACAACAAGACCTATTGGGCAAGGTAATGAATAAAAAAGAAAGAAAAAGTTGATGAAAGAAAGAGAGTAACGAATATTGATGATTATTATTTGATTTTCTAGATTCAAAAGTCTATATCTCATCATGGCGAGACATCTTCGATCAACCATCAATATTTACAGAAACATGTAAATGAAAATGGATCAGTGGTGGACAAAACATGTCAATCTTTAGCGACAGAAATATCTAACAGTTCTCAAAAGCTCGAAAGTATGATATCAACAATAACATCATCGACAATAGATATCAAGTTTGAACCATCATCCACAACAACAATAGAACCAATAGTGACAACAAATACATTGGAAAATCAAAAAGAAGATAAAGTAGAAGATGATGTACCTCGAATACTATTACAAGATATTAGCAATAGACAAGGTAAAATATATATATATTTATGAATATTATTTATTTATTTTTTATATTTTTATTATAGTGAAAAGAAAATTAGAATATGATATGACAGATTTAGTGAAGAAAAATCGAGTACCTATTTCCAAGAAACGCTTTTTATCACAATAAAATATCTCCCCCTTACTCCTTTTACTGTTGAATTACACTCAGACGTTTTTTTTTTTTTGAGTGACACAAGTCATCAAAGTAAGATTTGGATAGATGTTCTGCTTTTTTCTTTTTTTTTTTTTTTCTTTTCTTTTTGTTTTTGTTAAAACGACGCCTTACTTTTTATTTTTCTTTTTTTATTTTTCTTTTTCTTTCTTGTATATTTATATATTTATTCCATCTTTTATATATTCATTCTTGTCACTCTTTTTATTTTATTTTTATTTTTTTTTACTTTTCCTTAGTATAAATATTCTTTGGCAAGTTTATTTATTTTGTCATTGTTTTAGTTTTTATTATTATTATTATTGTACCATTACTTCAAACGCGCTATTTATTATAGTCTCATCATGCAAGGCAATATTAAAGTAGTGGTACGTTGTCGTCCTTTGAATGCAAGAGGTAAAATAAGATGAAATGAATGACAAATAGTTTATTATTATTATTATTATCCTACACTTTTATCACTATTATTATTCTTATTATTCTTATTCTTATTCTTATTCTTATTCTTATTATTATTTTGATAGAATTGGCGCGTGGTGCTACATGCTTAGTGAAAATGGAAGGGAATCAAACTATTTTACAAAATCCAAAAGTAAATGATGATATCAAAGCGTTTACTTTCGATCGATCTTACTGGTCTGCTGGTAACAAGACAGATAGTGATTATGCCGATCAAGAAACAGTTTACAATGATGTTGGCCGAGAATGGTTGGATCATGCTTTTGCTGGTTACAATTGCTGCATATTTGCATGTAAGTAATAGAATCTGATGACTATTATTATTATTATCTAATCTTTGTTTTTTTTTTTACTATTATTATTAGATGGACAAACTGGTTCTGGAAAATCATTCTCTATGGCAAGTAAATATATATTCTTTTATTTTAATTATCCAACTTCTTCAGCTTATTCTCTTTATTATATATCATTTGGGATAGATGGGTTATGGTCCTGATAAAGGTATTATTCCTCGTACTTGCTCTGATTTGTTTGATAGGATACATCATCTCTCTAGTACTCAACAAAATTTTCAAGTGGAAGTATCTTATATGTAAGTTTTTAATAAGATTATTGTTTCACTAAAATGATATTAAACTTCTAATATTATTCGTTGTTATCAAATAGTGAAATCTACAATGAACGTGTACGTGATCTCCTAAATCCTCGTACCAAACATCTTAAAGTACGTGAACATCCTATTCTTGGTCCTTACGTAGAAGATCTTTCAAGACTGGTGGTGAAATCCTTTGATGATATTGAACATCTAATGGATGAAGGCAACAAGGTAATAATAATAATAAAAAAAAAAAAAAAAAGAAAGTATCACTGATGTGGGACAAAATACTTCACTTTTTTTTTCATCTCCGTACTCAATCTTATATTTTATAAAATTAGGCAAGAACGGTGGCAGCTACTAATATGAATGAAACTTCTTCTCGATCTCATGCTGTATTTACAATTATATTGACTCAAAAATCTATGGATGAAAAAACCAATCAATCAACTGAAAAAGTATCAAGATTCAGGTACGATTTATAAAAAAAAAAAAAAGAAAATCTGAAAAGAATTTACCTTTTTTATATCTCCGATTTAGTCTAGTGGATTTGGCTGGTAGTGAACGTGCCAATAGTACTGGTGCATCTGGTATGCGTTTGAAGGAAGGTGCTAATATCAATCGATCTCTTACAACACTGGGAAAAGTCATTGCTGGTCTTGCGGAACAAACAAATACAACATCAACAACAAATTCAAAATCCAACAAGAAAAAAGATTCTTTTATTCCTTATCGAGATTCTGTAAATATATACATACATATATATACATATATTAAAAAGAATATTATTTTTTTCTATATATTTACATCCTTTTTTTTTCTTCTTTTCATCTAGGTGCTCACTTGGCTACTGAAGGATTCTCTAGGTGGTAATTCAAAAACTGCAATGATAGCGGCCATTTCACCAGCAGACTTTGATGAAACTCTCAGTACCTTACGTTATGCTGATCAAGCCAAGAAGATTAAGACCAAGGCAGTTGTCAATGAAGATCCAAATGTTCGATTAATCCGTGAATTGAAAACAGAAATTCAAACTTTGAAACAATCCTTATTGGCCTATGTACCTCATCCAGAACAATTAGAATACCAACAGCACGAACAACAAGAACAACAACAACAATTGGTAGATCAAACTGGAAAGGAGAGAATAACAAGTGGAAGTGTAACTCAAATTTTACCTTCAAGATCTATTGTGATTACTGACGCTTTTGGAAATGCTACGGAACTAACAAAACGTGAAGTGGTGGAACAATTGAAATCTTCTCAAAAGTTACTAGGCGATATTGATCAGTCATGGGAAGAGCGATTGGAAACTACTATACAAATTCAACAAGAACGGGAACGCGCTTTGGTGGAATTAGGAATCACGGTGGCCAAGAACGAGATGGGTGTGTATACTCCGAAAAATACTCCTCATCTAGTCAACCTCAATGAAGATCCTCTTATGTCTGAATGTCTGGTATATCAAATCAAACCTGGAACAACTTTAGTGGGACGTAGAGCTGATGATGACAATGATGACGACAATGAAGATAATGATCAAGTAAAGAATAAGAAACAGTATATTCGGCTTAGTGGATCAAACATTCTTGAAAATCATTGTCGATTTGAAAACGTGGATCAAGTGGTGACTATCTATCCAAACGAACTCTCAGTAACTATGGTTAACGGTATTCATATTAGCGAACCCAAGCAGCTCAAAAGCGGTTATCGTATTATTCTTGGTGACTATCATGTATTCCGATTCAATCATCCAGAAGAAGCAAGACGTGAACGTGAAGAAAGACAGCAATCACAAGAAAAAGGCACTCATTCTATTATTGAGGAAACGACCATGAATGACAACATCTCAACCGATATGGGTTTTTCATCTGCAGCAACAATATCAACAACTGATGAGGCAGATTGGTTATACGCAAGAAAAGAGGCTGTCATGCATTATTTTCAACAACAACAACAACAGATTGCTAACAATAATAATCCAACTGAAGGGCCATTATCTCCAACATATACAACAAGTTTTGAAAATTTAACAAACGAAGAATTGGAAAAATTATTCGATGAAGTGACCAAATTACGAAGGATACGAAAACGACAATCTTCACATAGTGGTAGCGGTTTGTCACAGCCTATGTCTCCTTGCTCTTCTACTTCATCCTTCTCCTTCCGACACAGTGCTACTCCTTCTACAGTCTCAACTATTTTGTATGAAAATGGTGGCTATTATGGATCATCATCATCAGCAGCTGACGATACCGAATCTATGGTGGACAGGGAAATCATTCGCTTGGCAAGAGAAGAACTACAACAACAATTGGACGAACAAAAAATCAAATACGAGAAACGAATCCAACGGCTCTCATGTTTATACCCAGTGGCAACAGACTCATTATCCACATCTACTGTTGCATCCTTATTACCACCACTATCACCATTATCACCATGTACAGGTTATTCCGACGATGCAAGGATTATATTATCAAGATGCTTAAAACACTGGCAAAATCAGAGGTATATTCATATGGCAGAAACTTTACTGGTGAATGGGGCAACATTATATGAGGCGAATGCTTTGGCGCGACAACTCGATAAAAAAGTTGTATATCAGCTTACCATTATTCACAACACCAATGTGGCAGGATCCAACTGGGAAGAAGATGATCAGGCTACAAGATTCGACAGGACGTTATTAACATCAAGAAAGCCTTGTATTGGTGTACGCGTTATTGATTCTAAACATCAATGTACCTATCTATGGTCCTTGGATAGATTGAAAACTCGATTACGATATATGCAAGGGATATTGTTTACGACTGACGAGACTCATCATCTTATGACAGGAAAACGAAACAATCAATTCAGTACCAATGATGATGACAATAATGATGATGATGATGATGATGATCTTTTTTATGACAGCCATCCTCCTCGATTTGCATTGATCGGTACAGCAAAGATGCGACTCCGTCATTTGGCTCTTCACGTACCTATGGAACAAACATTGGATGTATTTTGTCAACGGACATGTCGTGTGATGGGAAAGCTGACAGTATTGATTGCACCTATTGCTAGGTCAAAGGAACGACATCACTATCATCATAGCAATGTCTCTGGGGATAACAACAGCGACAACAATAGCAATTCACCAACGCCAACAACATCTAGTGTTATTACAGACGGTACATCAATTATAGGTGACAACAACACTATCAAACAACGATCATCCTACGACGCATTACAAGTTGGTCAACGTCTTGTCTTTGAAATTCGTATTGGGACTCTTTCTGGTATTAATGAAAATGAATTTAAGCAAATCCATTCACAGTTCCAACTCAAGTTATTTGGTGGTGATCAAAACGATCAAATTTATGCAACATCAACAACGACAGCACCATCATCATCTTCTTCTTCTTCTAGTCAAGGATATTCTACTATTAATTTTGATTATAGCAAAGCCTTCTCTATGGTGGTGACTGAAGAAATGCTAATGGCTATTCACCATGATGAATTAACCTTTGAAGTCTATGGGGAACCTCAACCTGCCTATCTCAATACTTTCCAAGATGAACCTTGTGCAAGTCAAGAATTACCCTCTGTGGAAACGAAACACAATATTTATACATGGATTGAAATCCGTGAGCTAGCTCGTGTTTCTGGTGAATACACTCCCGTCCAAGTCAAGAACAAAAGAACAGGATCAAGATTAGATGACGATGAAGATGAAGCAATCATGACAACAAACATGACAACTCCGTTCTCTCAATTAAGGAAACGAAATGATCAAGGTATATTTTTGTTGAAACAAGGACAACAAAGACGCATTGTATTGACTATCAAGCACGACTGGATCTTACCTAACAAGAATACTACCCTTGATGGTGATGAAGAAAACGAGCACGATAGAAAGTGTGGGGATGGATTAGTCCTGTGGATTGGTGATATTCGTTTACGACAAGACAACACAACCCTCGATGATAATACACCTTCTGTCAGCAAATCAATTACGTCTTCTTCTTGCCAAGATCTTTCCATTCCTCTCGTTGTAATCAACAAAGCAAAAGATTGTCTGGTACTGGAGGGAGCATGGGATAGCTCAATGCACAATTCATTGTTATTGAATCGACTGACTGAACCTGGTCAAACAGTGGACCTCACGATCAAATGGGTTTTCCATGGTGCTGCTTTCCAAATGGATCTCGCTGTGCAAATCACTGGTGACGCTCTATCCAACCAAGGACTTGTCAAACGGCAATCATTACTTCGGAATCTATTTACTTCATCCAACAGAAAACGACGATCAGGAGGTGACGCTGATGATGATATAGGCGAAGAGGATGATGAAAGTGATATGACAAGAGACGGAACAAATGAATCATCAAAAATAACACAACGCTATGGAAAGAAAAAAACATCAGTAGTGGGTATCTACCGTGTGTGGGAACGACCAAGAAGACTCTCATCTTTCCACGTACAACAAGAAATCGATAGCGATCATCATACATGGCAACAACATCAAATGACGAAAATCAAGGTTTATGACCAGGCACGACGTAGAATGTTGATGAAATTAGATGTGGCTCATACCAGGTATACTCTTGCTTTGTTGGACCTTTTACGAAAACGAGACGCATCATTAGGTTCAGCAACACCATGGAAAAAAGAAGATCAAACCAATTCAATAGGTACTTCACAGCAATCTTCAAGTACTACTACTCAGGATCAACTTTTACACCATATTATCAATCAGTGGAACTCAGAAACGAAACAAGAACAAACAACTGGTTTGGAGTTGATTCATAAGTTTGGTTCTACTGATCATTTGACCTCAGCGAAAGAAATGAATGATCCTATTCCTCTCTATGATATTCATCAAATTACTCTAAGGTAAGAAATTAAGTTCATTGGAATGATTTTTGCCTTATCTTTTTTCTTTCTCTTTTTTTTTTTTTTTTTCTTAAGCGATGGTTGCCCATCTGGAAAAAATGGAATTTTGATGTTACAACATTATGGCTATATGAAGATGCGAAAATTAGATGACAACAATGCAAAGTGGGCTCGACGATGGATATTATTGAAAAGGTAAATTATATTTACAAAAAAAAAAAAAAAAAAAAAAAAAAAAAAAAAAAAAGAGTGACTGGAGGACAGAATGATTTACCACCGTTTTTTTTTTTTCTTTTTCGAATGATGAATAGACCTTATGTATTAGTGTACGCTAACGATTACGAAACAAATGAATTAGATATCTTAAATATACAAGCTGTCCGTGTTAATCCTCCTACAAAGGTAAATGAAAGAAATAGCATCCATTGAAAAAGAAGGTATTGTGGTTTACCTTTTTTTTTTTCTTATAGGATCTTGTGAATACCTTTACTGTTTATACCAAAATCAGCACATATCAATTTCAAACGAAAGATCAAGAAGAAATGAAGGAATGGGTGGCTTCGATGATTTAGATAGATCTTTTTTTTTCTTTTTTCTTTTTCTTTTTCTTTTTTGTTATTTATTTGTTTATAGTCTATATTATAAATATATATATATATATATATATACTTGTTACTACCATGAAATAAAAGAGAACTTTTTTTTCACTTTTCTGTAGCTTTTTTACACCGATCGATGATGGATGTCAGTATGGTATTGTGGCAAATGAACTTTTGTTGTTTTCTTTGTTTTGCTTTCTCCTTTTTATTATCCAATTTAGGTAATCATATCGGGGAAATAAAGAGAATGATAGAAGGAGAGAGACATCACTCATCCTATGTTTTGGAACAATGCTTCAAAGTGTATGTGTCATTGTTATGTTTCTGCGGCAAAGTATTTTCTTCATTGTCTAAAAACGGAGAATGTTTATATGCAATTTGTTGTTTATTCTTGACTACATTGGGTTGTCAAAAAAAAAAAAAAAAACATTTCCTTCCCACACTTTACTCCTGCTTTTTCCAAATTAGGTTGTTAGTATGAACATCGGGAATCTAGCATAATAGCATATTGTTTTTCTTTTCTTTCATTTTTATTTTCCTTTCTTCTCTCTCTTTCTTTTTTTTTTTTTTATTACATTTACTGTTTTTCCTCATTATTAGTCAACAACATCATCCGAGTCATGATGGTATCCTCTTCTATCAATACATTTACTACTAATTATTGTTCATGCAAACCCATACCCACTTCACCCATCCGTCGAATCCATGTTCGCCCAAGTCTGGATAATGCTATTGAGGTCTCAAATGGCATATCCTATTGCTCTTCACCTATTCAAAGTAAAATAAATGACGTTGATGATATCATTCCAGTATTTAGCTCGATTGTTTGGGTTAACTTCTTTTTTCTTTTAAAAAAAAATAATAACTTTATATAGAAAAGCGATCATTAATCGATCATCATTCTTTATCATTCACTAAACACCATTTCCAAATACTAAAATCACTTTCCCCAGGACAATATGGAAAGGTAAAAAAAAAAAAAAAATCCATGCAAAAAAAAGTTATTTTTTTTTTCTTAATCTCTTTTTGAATATAGACCTATGTTGTCAGAAGTAAATTGAATCAACAAATTTATTGTATGAAGATCCAAAGCAAACGTCTATTGAAAATGCATAGCGATCGGGTATCCTTTGATGTCGAACAAGCCATCCTGTCTTTGCAGCATCCATGCCTTCCCCGCTTGTATTGTTCGTTTGAAGATGACACAGATCATTACTTGGTGATGGATTATTTCAGTGGTGGTGACCTCTTTAGTCTCTTGGATAGGCAACCTACATTGTGCTTGACTGAAAAACAAGCTCAGTTTTATATGGCAGAAATGATCTTGGCTTGTCAAGCTTTACATCAATTAGGCTACCTTCATCGAGACATCAAACCTCAGAATATCTTGTTAGATCATCTTGGGCATGTTAAATTGGTCGATTTTGGTTCAAGTATTTTGATCTCTCAAGCCACAAAGGTAAAAAAAAAAAAAAAAAAAAAAAAAAAAAAAAAGAATAAATTAATCATCCTTCTTCTCTTTTGGTTAGAATAAACAATCCACTCCTGTAGGCACTTGTGACTATGTATCACCTGAAATACTTGATTCATTCCAAGGAGACGCGACTTATGGTACAGAGGTAGATTGTTGGTCTTTAGGCATCTGTTTATATGAAATGCTTCAAGAACTTCCGCCTTTTTATAGTGATGTCAGTGAAAATGATACTTACCGAAAGATATTATTCCATCAGGTAAGATAGAGAAGAATATCAAAAAAAAAAAAAAAAAGAATGATAATAGAATGTGGATGATATTTAGGGTCAAGTATCTTTCAATGATATGCTTCCGATTTCTGATCAAGCCAAGGACCTTATCAATAAGTAAGTAAAAAAAAAAAAAGGGTAACGAAATGATGATGATTAACTGACGATCCAATTGCAAAGTCTACTTACGAAAAGGGAAAATAGATTGACTTTGGACCAAATCAAAATGCATAGTTTTTTTGATGGTATTGATTGGGATACCATTTACCAAAGTAAGGCATATGAACAAATGACAAAGGATCAATAGAGCTCATTTATATATATATATATTTAGGTAAGCCGCCATTTCGTCCTAGATTACATAGTGATGATGATACTTCCAACTTCTTTATACCCCAGGACATTCTGCAAGAAGCAAAACAAGATGACAACCCTGACGATGATGATGATGATTATATTTCCCTTTCTCAACCTATTACACCACCTCTTTCTCCTTTGTTGAAACATACTTGTTATATTCCCTCTTCTTTAGAACAGTAGTCTCCTTTTGTATCATTTGTACCTTTTTTTTTTTAGTCGATGTGTTTTTATCTTAACTTATCTACTTTACAAAGGAATTATTTATGAAAGATATAGTGTCAAGCATGCTTATTGTATCTTGTCATCATATCAAATGTTGAAAATACATTCATTTCTGTTGAGCAGATTTTTCGGGAAAAAAAAAAAGAGGTGTCAACGACATCAATGTATTGACACTTCTTACGAATAAATTTGGATGTCAATTTGTATTCCTTCATACGACACAAATATTCATAAAAAAAAAAAATAGTTTTTATTTTTGAATAAAGAAAAAAAAAAGCAATATATACACTAATGAAGCTAAACTAATTCCTTAATATCCATGTTTATTCTTGTCATTCTAGAGCAATATAGTTGAAATTGATCCAGGTCACGTTCAAATCACAATAGCAGTTTCATCAAAGACATGATCATTGAAAGGAATATCGCTGTAATCCACTTCTTCGTCACTTTTCTCATGAGTACTGATTGATTCCGTATATTGGCTGTTGAATAATGCAGATAAATCATCTAATCGAATTTAAAATTACAGGATAAATAAATGAATTCAACGCCGAGCAAAAGATAGATTTTTTTTTTTGGTTACTTACCTAGAGTGAGGCCATGATCATCCAGGAAAGAAAGAGGTTCCATTGGTTCCAGAGCAATTGTAAGGTCATCATCGCTAAATAATTCTTCTGAAAACATCACTTGTTGATCAAAGTATTTGGAAAGATAATAAGCAGATACGTTCGGTGTAGAGGTAAAGATGGATAAATCAACTTTATCAGTATCAGGTTCAAATGGAAGTTCTATATATAAATAAGGGAAGAATAATAATAATAATAATAATAATAAAACGTTGAATAAGAAATTGTAACATCAAAGAAAAATGATGATATGTACTTACCATTTTCAATTGGAGGGCAGAATTCAATTTCAGTAGGGAAAGAGGATGAATTCACTTGTTCGATAGGAATTGTCATATCAAAGGGATCTTCAAGTAAAGTATCATCACGGTCTTCTTCATCATGAAGAGCAAGGTGTGTTGTTGGAGAAACAACTGTGTTTTGTTGAAATTGTCGAATTTTTGTAGGGAAAGATTCGTCGTCATAAAAAGATTCAAGATCAGTAGTATTTGTTGTAGCTTTATAGGCATCCATATGAGCTCGATCATCAAACATATCAAGATCAAGAGGAGAAACATCATCAGGAACATAAGGTAGCTCTACATATTGATATATGAAGAGAGGGAGAAGTATGTTAGTTTATATTGAAAACAACAGATTTGCTTGTTCGTTACCTTGTTCACCTTGGGATCCATATTCAAAGTCAAGCTTTGTAGATTTATCCGAGTTACCAAGATCGACACGTTTGGAAGAAAGTGGCGATTGTAGAACTTAAAAGAAAAAAAAAAGTAGAATAGTGAGATGGATGACAGTTTAAAAGTTATTTATTGATATTTACCACTATTAGGAACTGGTCGTTTCAAGGGAATTACTTGCTTTGAAGGATCATTTTTCGCGCCAAGTTTCTTTTCAGTAAGAGAAGGTTGTTTTCCTAATTCAAAAGAGAATATGAGTTGTCACATGTAATGTATTACTTTCAAGTATATACCTTTTTCATTTCCTTTTGAAGACTGTTCTTTCTGATAAAGAACTTGGTTGACGTTCTTGCTTCGAAGTAAACTGTCGGCTTTGTTGTTATTTGTTATCGAGTTTTTGAACCGTTCTTTGGTATCTTGATTTTCCATCACATTTTCTCCACCTCCACGTCGTTTTTGAACCGTCTTATCAAACGGTCGCAACATGATGTGTTTAATCAAAGGAGAAAGAAGTGAAAAAAAAAATAAAGGAAAGAAAGAAAGAAAGAAAAAAAAAATGTAGAGCGCGACTCTTTTCATCGCATATGGAATTTGAGGCAAAGCATTTCAAAATCCGGTACTGGAAAAAGAAAAAAAGGGTGATGATCGAATTACAGTTTATTTATTTAATATATGAAAAAAAAAAAAAAAAATAACATACTAATAATAATATGACGATTAAATTATATATCAGTAAAAGCCATATCCCAAAATTTGACTTCCAGGGCCAATGTTTCACGATATACTTTTTCAAAACTTTGTAATCGAAGAGGATCCGAAGTAGAGAGAGAGTTGACCAAAGCCGCACACTCATTGACAAAATCCTTGAATTCATCCATTGTCCAATTATTGATCAGTTCTTGAATGGTTGCTATATGAATATCATCATCACCTCTAAGTTTTTGCTTGTCCTGAATTGATTTTGCATAAAGCCATGCTTCCAAAAACACCTTTTCCATAGCCCACAAGACAATTAATGCCTCACCAAGATCATATCCAGCTGTACGAGCCACTTTCTGGTGGAAATCAACATATCGACTAGTCCAGTGTTTCATACCTTGCTGAGCAAAAGATCTGTAAGGAGCACGAGACAACAAATCGGTAAACATTTGACATTCACGGAATACATTCGATGCTGCAAACGCCAAGGTTTTGAATATACGTTGTGAATGAGCCGAAGAATAGTGTGGATCATTATCACCCCATTCACGTTGGTCAGGGAAAAGTGCAACGCGTGACATCATAATACCCATCATTTTTGTATATCCATTGGTGTAAGCTCGGTCTTGTTCTATCCACGATTGTAAATGCTGGGGTGCTATTGTATGTGTTCCTACTTGTCGTAAAAATTCATGTCGAGTTGCCTTTTCATACACTTCCTTGTCAAGAGAGAGAAGGTGGTCCGTCAAAGAAGAGTTCATATTATTGGTTTATTAAATCAAAAGTAAAGTACAATTACGATAATAATGATTATGAAGTGGAAAAAAGAAGAAATAAAAAAAAATGTATTAAAAAAAAATTAAATCTGGCCCATTTATGTGTTTCAAAAAAAAAAAAAAAAAAAAAAAAAAAAAAAAAAAAAACAACAACCCCGGCCAACAAATTCACCAGCATAATGATGGATGGAACTGCGTCTTTCTTTTTTATTTCAAGAATTCAACATATGATGCAAAATCTAAAGTGTTTCTAAATAACTAAGTTCTCATCCGCCCATAGTTTGAAAGTTCTATCAAATCCTGTTGATGCAATAAATCGACCATCTAAAACAGAAATAAAAGAGGTTATTAAAAAAAATCATACTATGGTTTATCTTTTCTCGTTCTTTTTTTTTTTTCTTTTTTTTACCTTTTGATATATCCACGCCCATGACTTTGCCTTCATGACCTTCCAAGCTTCTCAATAAACGATAATCATCAGCAGACCACATCTTCACGCATCCATCATAACCTACTGTGGTCAAATAAGTACCATATATAGAGGTCGCTTCCGCATCATCTCGAGCCACTGGCGTAGACCCTTTTGCAAACTTGACATCCGATACTAGTGATTGATGAGCGGAAATGGTATATATGTTTCGTAGAGCTCGAATATCCCAAATCTTAACAGAGTTGTCTGCACTAGCTGAAGCAAGATGATATCCATTGGGTGACCAATCCAAACCAACAATATCCTTAATATGTCCTTGTAATGCCATAGCTGATCGTCCAGTACGTAAATCCCATAATCGTCCAATAGCGTCTAATCCACTATATAAAAAAAAGAAGTTATTATCATTATTCCTCATTGATTGAATCCTTGTTCTTACCCTGTAGCCACAAGACTTCCATCACATTGAAAGGCAATAGAATATACTTCTTTGGAATGTCCTTCTTGAAGTAGTAATTCTTCTCTACGTTCTACATCCCATAATCGCCAAGTACCATCAAAGCCAGCGCTACCAATATATCGACCAGAAGGATGATATCCAATTCTTGCTACTCGACCTACATGGCCTTCCATCGTTGCTAAAGGCGATGCACTACCAATATATATATATATATATATATATATATAAATAAATTAATCTATTTTCATATTCAGTATATTTTTTTCTTTTCCTTACTTATCCAGACTCCATAATTTAATTGATCCTTCAGCTCCACTTGTAGCGAAATTCACAACACTTTTATCCAAAGTCAAAGTAGATTCAGGATGGAAAGCAACACCTCCTACTCGATCAGAATGCCCAGCTAATGTCGTAATAAGTTCACATTTTGGAACAGACCATAATTTACAACCTCCAGACCAGGATCCAGTCAGTAACAATTTGGAATCAGGAGAAAATGCGCATTGTGCCACAGGTCGTTCATCCGCTACTTGTGATGACCAACCAGTATAATCCTATTGTAGCATGTTAAAAAAAAAAAATAAGAATGAGATTTTTTTTTGTATGATCTCGTTTTATATTGTATTACCTTTAATTTTTGTTGAAGTTCTTTTCGTCCGACCTTGAGTTGTGATAATGGAATTTGTGTTTCTGCCTGTTGTTTCTCTAATCTTCGTTTTGCCCTATATATATATATATATATAGTCAGTATATAATATTCTTATCTTTTTTTGTTTTTTGCTTGTTTACCTTGGTAAGGAGTAAGACGTGATCTGTTGTCTAGCCCGTAATAATGATGGAGTACCAGGAGTAAAGAATTCTTCCTCCTCATTTTCCTCTTCCTCTTCCGATTCAGATTCACTTTCTACTTTTTCACCTGTCAATTTTGATAATAAGAATCGAAGACGATCACGACGATCACCAGCCTATAAAGATTTAAAAAAAAAAAAGGCAATTAATCATAAATAAATGGAGAAAACAAAAACAATAGATCATAGAGTACAATATATTATTAACTTACATCTTCACCAAAAAGACATTGAGGTTCACCAAGTTCACGTAATCTTTGACGTACACGACCATCGTCAGTGGGTACAGCAATTTCACGAGCTCGTTTCCTTCTATCGAATTCAGCAAGCACTTGTTGATTTCCTTGTAATAATCCACCGTTTGTAGATCCAACATCAGCTAATTCGGCTAGAAAAAAAAAAATAAAAACAAGCATTAATATATATATATATATATATATATATACTCTTGAGTATTACCTAAAGCATCGAGATCAATACCGCCACCACTAGAAGAAGCAGCAGATATAATAGCAGCTTGTTGTGAATCATCATGTTTAAACCGTTTAGCAGATTCTTGTTCTTCTATTGAACCAAAATGTACACGAGGTTTTGCCATAAGTTTTGAAATATTGCTAGCATTAGAAGAATCACTCATCCTTAAACAAAAAATGTAAAGAAAAAAAAAAGGGTCAATTGAGTGAGAGAATTTTTTTTTCTTTGACCAATTTTGTCGGTGTATGAAATGAACAACCTTCCAATTATTTTTTTTTCCCAATGCAATGATATTAGTATTTTCTTTTCCTTTTTCTTTTTTTTTTCTTTTTTTTTTTTCTTTTTTTTTTTTTCTTCCTATCATTGTAAAAAAAAAAACAATGTCGGATACAGCTCTAAGAAATAGACGACAACCAGTGAACGAAAAGGCTCTACCAACACCTTCCAGTCCAAAAGAAGATATCAAAAAGGTAAATAAAAAAGAAAGCCTAAAAGATGAAAAGGGGTAATATCACCAAAAGTCTTGACATTTATTTATTTCTTCATTAGGTTTCCCTCTTGCAAGAAACCCATGAAAAACAGCAAAAAAATGTTCATCGTATAGTATTTATTGGTCTGACTCTCCTTAGCTTTTTTGTCTCTTTTTATAAGATATGGTACCCAGCAGAAGTAGTGTAAGTGAACTCAAAAAAAAAAAAAAAAAAAAAAAAAAAAAAAAAAAAAAAAAAAAAACGCGTGCCTTTTTTTTTTCCTTTGTTTCCTTCTTTCTTTCTTTCTTTCTTTCACTCATTCTCATCTTGATATTATTAGATTTGATGAAGTCCACTTTGGTAAATTTGCTGGTTATTATTTACGCAGGTCCTACTTTTTTGACGTTCATCCACCATTGGCCAAGTTAATGATTGCTGCAGTGGGTTATTTGATTGGTTATGATGGACATTTCGAATTCACCAATATAGGTGATAATTATATTGAAAACGATGTACCCTATGTATACTTGCGATCTTTACCTGCCACACTCAATGTTCTCTGTGTTTGTCTGGTATATTCTATCATGAAACAATCTGGTTATTCTCTCAGTATTTGTGCTCTTACGGCTGCATTGATGATTTTCGATAACGCTTTGGTAGCTCAACACCGTTTGATTATGTTGGATAGTATGTTGATTTTCTTTATGCTTGCCACGGTTTATTGTTATATTCGATTTCGAAAATTGCGTTATCAGTAAGTTTTCAGGAATGGAAAAAGAAAAAGAAAGATTAACATGTTTTTATTTTATTTATATATTTAGAGAATTCTCATCAAAATGGTGGTTCTGGTTGATTGCTACTGGTATCAACATGGCATTAACACTTAGGTATTAGAGAAATGAAATATATATATATATGACTAACAATCTTAATTATTTGTTTTAGTGTTAAAATGGTTGGGCTATTTTTAGTTGTTACCATAGGAATTGCTGTTTTGGTTGATCTTTGGTCTTTGTTTGACATTCGTCGTGGTCTTGATATGGTAACAATAATCCAAATAAACATGTGTGTGAAAACAATGAGACTAATTCATCTTTTATCTTAGAATCATTTTATGCGACATTTTAATGCACGTGCTCTTGCTTTGATCGTTATCCCTATCTTTATTTACTTATTCTGGTTCTATATTCATTTTGCTATTTTGATTGAATCTGGTCCTGGTGACTCTTTCATGTCAACTCATTTTAAGGAAACTTTGAAAAACAGTGCAACGAAAATGAAATCGTTGGGTAAAATGGATATAAAAAAAAAAAAAAAAAAAAGGAAAAAGATTCACAGAATTTTTTTATTATTTGAATAGAAATACACTACTATGACAATATTACCATGTTACATAGAGATACTGAAGTTTACCTTCATTCTCATGCCCTGGAATACCCACTCCGTTATGAAGATGGTCGTATCAGTAGCAAAGGTAATTCAGATGGCAAACTATACAATCACCTATATTGATCTCTTACTCTCTTGTTGTTGGCATATTATAGGACAACAAGTGGTTGGTATTCAAGAACCTGATGAAAATAGTTGGTGGCAAGTCTTACCTACAAAAGAAATTGATAGCGAAAGTGAAGATGGAGTCAAGGTTCATCATGGTGATATTATTCGATTGAAACACTTGGCAACAAACACTATTCTTTTGACGCATGATGTAGCTTCTCCAATATTATCAACAAATGAAGAAGTGACCACGATAGCTGATAATGATGATCATGGCAGATATAATGAAACATTATTCAAGGTTCTTTTAGAAGATAGCAACAATAATGATGTTTGGCAAACTCATTTGTCTCCTTTCAAATTACTTCATATGGACACCAAGGTAGCAATTTGGACTCATGATCAAGCACTTCCTGATTGGGGCTTGGGTTTACAAGATGTTAATGGCAACAAGAATACGAATGAAAAAAGCAATTATTGGGTTGGACAGGATATTATGGGAAAAAATGGTAAAAATAAAAAGATTTAAAACTATAAAGTTCGCTTATATTTATTTATTTTTTTCATGATTTTATAGCTACTGAAATCAATATGAACAAGAAACAAGAAATCAAATCAATGTTATTTTTAAGAAAATTCTTCGAACTTCAAGGTCGTATGCTTAGTCATAATGCTGGTCTTACTAAACCTCATCCTTATCAATCCACACCTATTTCTTGGCCATTCATGGTTCGTGGTATTTCTTACTGGTCCAACAATGATACTCGTGAACAAATCTATATGACTGGTAATCTTATTGGATGGTATCTTGGTTTTGCTAGTGTGATTATTTATGTTGGTGTATTATTGGCTGATACATTAGCAAGACATAGAGGAATAGAACCTATTGATGGACGTAAGTCTTTTTGTTTTAGATGATGAAAGACAAGTTATAGATTTGATTTTTTTTTTTTTTTGATTATCAGCTGTACGACAACGATTCATTCACAATGCTGGCTTCTTTATCCTACTTTGGCTTCTTCATTATGCACCTTTCTTTTTGATGGGTCGGGCACTCTTCCTTCATCATTATCTTCCAGCCATGGTTTGTAACTATATGCTTTTAGGTGCAGTTCTCCAATTTATGTTTATTGATGGTATTGATTCACCAGTATCAAGTTTGCAACGGAACAAAGAAGCATCTATTCATCGTTATCGTAGTGTGGTATCGTATATGCAAGCCCTACCAAGCAACAATAAAACAATTTTGGTTTTTGGTTTTATTCTGTTATGTCAAGTGGCAATGTTTATCTTTTTGGCTCCAATGACATATGGTTCCCCTGGTATGTCAGTATCTCAAGTCTTACAACATAAGATTTATAGTAGCTGGGATCTACAATACGGTAAGAAAAAACAAACAAAAAAGAAAAGTGAAGGAGTAGGGTGGTTTAAGAAAGAAACTATTGATTTATCTTTTCTTTATCCTTTTTTTTTTTTTTATTTGATTGATACACTCTTTCTAGCAAAATGATCTAGCTCAAAAATATTTATTAAGACAAGACTTATTGGACTCTTATGGAAGATGTTATATTTATAGATTATTTTTTTTTATTACTTTAGATAGTTTAAAAAAAAAAAAGAAAAGAAAAAGACATATCAAATAAACATATTTACGACTCTTTAATATTAATAATATTATTATAATAATGGTGATGATGATTGGTGTGTCTTAATCCTGGTATTCGGAGAAACAGCAAGTTTGTTACCAAGAGGATGAAGGAAAACTAATAAGTTGGTCAAGATGATCTCCATTTGGTATTTTTTACATTGAAACAATTGAAAGCCAGCGGTTGATTTGCATACTGATTTGACTCGGTGACAAGAAAAAAAAAAATTAAGAGAACCAAGTTTTTCTTAAATACCCACTTTTTTTTCCGTTTCTCTTTTTGTCTTTGTTTTGTTTTCTTTCTTTCTTTTTTTCTTTTTCTTAACTTGTTCTCTATATTATTATGTCACTTCGTATTTTGTCTACTCGTATTATTCAATCTTCTACTCCTTTGAACAAGGTTGCTTCTATGACCATCTTGCGTAGTTATACTAGTAAGTAGTTTTTTTTTTGAAACATAAAAAGTCACGTTTATTTACATTATGTTTCTCCTTGTTTTTCTTTTAGCCAAAAAGTACACCAAGGATCATGAATGGGTTAGTGTTTATCATGGTGTAGGTACCGTTGGTGTGACGGATTATGCTCAAAAGGCTTTGGGTGATATCGTATTTGTTGAAACTCCTGTTACCGGTGATAGCGTGTCAGAAGGAGGTAAGTGCTCTATAGCCTAATAATTTAAAACTAACCATATATACTCTCTTAGAACAAATTGGTGCTATTGAATCCGTCAAGGCTGCAAGTGATATTTATGCTCCTGTCAGTGGTAAAGTGGTAGATGTCAATGGTACTTTGTCTGATGAACCTACTTTGATCAACACTAATCCTGAAGATAAAGGTATTAAAAAAAAAGTGAACGCGAAAGAAAAAAAAAGTATCATGTATTGATAGGGTGATAACTAATCCTTTTTTTTTCCTTTTTCCTCTCTTTTGCTTCAATAGGATGGTTGTTCAAAGTCAAGTTATCCAATGAATCTGAATTGGACTCTTTATTGGACAAAGCTGCTTACGACAAGCTTGTAGAATCTATTGAAACTTAAAATCATTATTCATTTGTATTTTTACCCCCCCCCCCTACCTTTCAGATATGTTGTGATATTAGTATAGTTTACTATATACTTTATTCTTTTTTTTTTTCATTCATCAATCAATCAATCAATCAATCAGTCAATGAAATAAAACAAATGTTTATCTTACTTTTAATTGTATGAAAGAGGAAAAAGTATGTATATGTTCATCAAAGAGAATCCACAAAGAGAACAGCAAAATAAAAGAAAATATATAAGTATTATAATACGTTCCCTATGTTACTGTATCTACAGTACGTATCTTGTCTAGCAATTAGTGTATTTTATCAATTCGAAAAAAAGGTTCTCTGTCATCAGGATGATGTTGATTTATTTATGGTCAAATTTAGTAACTTCTCTTTTTCATTTTATTTCATACCTTGACTCTACTTTTAGGAATATAGCGAGAGAGATTTATTAACGACTTGTTTTTTTTTTCATTAAAATAAGTTGAATATACTACTTACTGTTTAGATTATATTACGGATAGACCATTGAGAAAAATAAGAATCATCTGTTCCAAATTTGGTACTATATTGCATGAATCGGAGTTGTGGCTTTTGCTGTTGATCCTCATCATCATCATAATTTTTCTTTTTCTTTTTTTTATAAAATATCTAGGTAACAGTCATCAATGAATAGGAACTATCCTGAGTTATCGGAGTCATGAAGGAGACAATTCTTTAGTGTATTACAAAACAACCGGCTTTTTAAATTACGGTATTTTAGACAAATGATTATGGATATGGTAATCTTGCTGATGTCAGGTTTTTAGTATCTAAACTTTAAAATGTGAATAGATAAGATGACATCTTTTTAAAATGAAAATATATTTTCTTCAATAAAATAGTGTGATTGAGTAAGTTCAATTGCTTGATTACTGAAAACCAAAAAGGAAATAGAAAAAACGAGCCTCTTTGCCAAGACAGGGTAAAGAAGTTACAAAAATAAAATAATAAAAAAAAAAAGCCTTCTCTGCGGCGACTGAACGAGATAAATTTACCTTTATAGGACAATTATAGTTCTCTTCTTTTTTGTTCCTTTCTTTCTCTCTCTTTTCTTCTTCTCTACATATAAACTAATATCATGTCTTATCAACAACCTAATAATGGTGGATATTATACCCCTCCACCTGCTGGATATCCTCAACAAGGTCCTCCTCAACCTGGTTACTATCAACAACCTCCTTATTATCAACCAGCGTAAGTAATCATATGATAGGATGATTAGTTCAATTAACATAATTTTCTATATAGACCTCCTCCTCAAACATATATCATCCAACAACAACAACCTCAACGACAAGATGATGATTGCTGTGCTGCATTGTAAGTGATCATAAGAAAGAGAACATAATTTTTTTTATCTCATTGATGTTTTATTTCTAGTTGCTGTGGTTTGGCTTGCTGTTGCTGTATAGAAGAATGTTGTCTGTAGAAACTAGAACTACTGTAGAAATAAGAATCATCCTCTTTTTTTTTTTTTTTCTGTTGTCAATTATCAGATTGTATTTTATTATCATTTTCATCTTTATCATCATTACTAACAATAACAACAACAACAAATATTGTAGCATTATCGTTGGTTAACACTTTTTACTTTTTTTTACCCTAAATAAAACTACTATGTTTATTTTTTTTCTTTTTTGGAAGCTATGGACTTTTGAATTCCCGGTAGATTGTAACGGTAAAACTTGGAAGGAAAAAAAAGTGCTGAGGTCCTTATTTTTTTTTTCTTTTCCTTTCTCTTACCTTTTTTTTTTTTTTTTAATTTTGTTTTGTTCTACTTTTCATGACAGTATTATTACGAATATTGAAAAGTAAAGGAAACATATTCACTGTCGTTTTTCTATGCACTGCGGTTTATTTCCTTGCTGCACTTTTACCAACATCCAATCATACAGCTTTATCATCACAACAACAACAGCAACAACAAGTAAAGTCAATAAACAAATTCAGTAGGATTAAGGATGATCAAAAACGACAATTACTCTATTCAGCATTGGGTCATATTCGTATAGGTTATGTGGCGAATCGAACTCCAGATGTAGATATTCCTCCATTATTAGTTATGTCAAGTTGTAAATCAGCACTGATGCCTTGTGGATCTTGGGGACAACGATTACTAGATATGACAAGCGCTTATTTCTTCAGTATGTTAGTAGATGGGACAGCATTTACGATGGATATGACAGATCCTTTACCATTCCAATCCTATTTTGAATCTTACCCAGGTTATATGTCACTACAGCCTAGTCAAGCATACTACTACATTCGACAATGGGAAGATAAAGGTGAACAAGATAAGGTGCGCAATATTACAATGCAAATGATGACTCTTGATGCCAATACAGATTATAAACAACATTTTCAACATGTCAAGATCTTACAAACGACACAATGGCCACCACTGAACGACAATATTGCTACATTTGGGACATCTTCGGCAATGAAGCGGTTAAGAGATAGATATCAATTGAACCGATTGGAGACCTCAGAATGGTTTTGGCTTGTCTATCGATTATTACTGAATCCAACGGATTGGTTAGCGACACAATTGGAGCCTCACCGGACGTTGATGGGTGGATCGACAAGATGGGGTGAATCTTTATCAATGACAGATCCTCGTAACCAGGTGGCAACTGAAGTGGCAACGCATTGGTTCAGGATTGGATTAAGACTGGATGACAATAAGGAACATAACGTGGATTGTTGGTTGTCCTATATAGAAGGATTGTGTGACTCGTCAGGAAAGGATCAGTGTCATGTCTTTGTATCAGCAACATCAATCTCTCTTTTGGATCAAGTACGACGCTATTCATGGAAATTTCCTTCGGTGACGATTCATACCATTTCAGATGCTTATGATTTTACTAGTATAGACAATGAAGCATCGATGATACCAGATAAGAAGAAGAAGTTATTCGAATCAGAGGACCAACGTTTAAAAATGAAATTTGCAAGATCGGTGATGGATTGGACTATTCTGACAAGACTGGATTATTTACTTGGCTCTGAAGAAGATACTTTTATCAAGACAGCGGCATGGGCTGCTCAAGTACAAACCGATCTCTTGGCCGAAAGTGCATCATGCCAAATCAAATCTATGACGGAATGGTGATTGGCGAGGGAGGAAAAGTTTAGAGTTGGATGAATATTTTTTTATATAGTTGGTACTTATTTATTTATTATTATTACTAGTATTATCATCATCATCATCATCATCATCATCGTTATATATCTACCATTCAATTTGAAATAAATGTATTGTGTCTTCTCCTAGAATGCTTCATCGTCATTATTATTATTATTATTATATCGGGTGTGAAGTAAGAAAAGGCCAAAAAAATAGGGGAAATATTAAAGTTTGATTCTCTATGTGGTTAGTGGTGATCGTGTATGATTGACAAAAAAAAAAAAGTCTGGGCATTTTCATTGTTTTTTTTTTTTTTTTTTTTTTTTTTTGTTATTATGCTGGATTTGCAGTGAATATGACCAATTTGAGCTGTTTTTTTTTTTCCTCTTTTTGCAATCTCCTAATTTTGGGTTGTTTTTTTTTTTTTGTTGAACCAAGTGCCAAGAAACTTGACCTATTCGGATATTGAAATGATGAGATCATGCAAGACAGATAAAAATAGCACAGAAGAGTAGAAAAGAAAAAAGTATAAAATCCACTTTTCGGATCTCCCTTTTTTTTTTCTCTTTTCTTTCTTTTCTTAATTTATATATCAATTTCATTTACCTATTCATCATGAATCAACAACAACCTTATTATAACAATCCTCCTCCACCTCAACAAGCATATTATGGACAACAACCACAACAAGGTTATTATCAACCACCTCCTCCACCAACCACTGTATATGCTCAACCTCCTCCTCAACAACAAAGTAATACTGGATGTTTAACTTGTTTACTTGGCTGCTTGGCTTGTGAAATGTGTTGTTGTGCTACCGAAGAATGCTGTGAATTATGCTGTTAGTCAACAAAAAAGAAAAAAAAAAGGTATTTAGATGAATCTTCTCTCTCCTCCTTTCATACAACATATGCATTTTGTCATTCTTTGATTATATCTTATTATACATATTGTACTTTATTATTATATTATATTATACGGAAATAAACGTTTTTTATTGATCTATTGGTGATTTGTACACTTCTTTTATTTTTTAATGTGCGTTTGTTTGTATATTTAGACTTATTAGGTGGTTCTTATTTGAAAAATAAAAACTCACACGTTGGAATGCATAAATGCAAAGTGTTCAAGTGACTTTTTTTTTTTAAAAAAAAAGAAGGATGATCCTTTAAGATTGCCACATCATTCAACAGATGTAAATTTGGATATATGACAAAAAAAATTTTTTTTTTCTTTGATGACCATCATCTTTTCCTTCTATCCGTCCTTTCTCTTTCTTTCTCTCTTTCTCCGTTTTGCCCCTGGAAGATAGTCGATCATTGAATTTCCGCTGTCGTTCCATTAGCTCACAAATGGTTTAGTCTCTTTTGTTAAAGTTTGACAAAAAAAAATAACATAAACAAAAGCCATCATCAACAGAGTTCCTGGTTTATTTCTTTATTTTTATTACCATCATCATTGTCATTTCATCATATATAATAGTGATTTATCATACACCATAATGATTCATCATCATTGTAGAAATCATCAGACTTAATAATCTGTAACAAAGACAAAAAAAAAAAAAAGATACATGTGCTTGGACTGGAGGAGCTGTCATACGTTTCTTTCTTTTTATTCCAGGTCTCATCATCTTTGCAAGTGGCTCAGCTGAATAACTGGAATATATCAAGGGTCTCTGACCACAACTCGATTTTGAAAATTTGAGTGTCATTTATCATTAGCATAGATGCATTACGTACATATATTAACAAACGATATTTGATTGGCTATTTTTTTTTTTTTTTTTTGTGATTACTTTCAAATCAATAGAAATAGGCAACAATATTTTCTGCCTTGTTCTTCTTATTATCATAATAGCTATTATCCATCATTTGTATCGTCCATCATTTTATTTCAAAAATTACCCCAATTTTATTTCTACAATTTTTTTTTTTATTCTATACTACAAGATACCACTCATCTATATTAAGGTCCTACATAATAAACATGATGAACACTATTTCTATGACATATCATCCTCAGGTTTCATCTTTGCTTCGATAACCAAGGCATTGAATTCGGCAACAAAGATCTTGCAAAGGATATGGGCCAAGTCGGGATAATGCGGATGATTGTCGGTAAGCATGGAGACATTGACCTTGTCGCAATAGGAGACCAATCCAGCGCTGATGGAACCCTTTCCAGTTTGAGGTGGTAATACATGGAAGCCAGTCATTTGTTGTCCAGCAAAGTAAGTTGGTTCGATAGGCCCGGCAATGTTGGTGAAAATAGCATGAGGTACGTCGGTATACAAGTGTTGCATCCAAGTAGGAATCAAAGTCATGAAAAAAGGAAAATACCGTAGGATAGTTTGGATGATAACACTGTACATCAAGTGAGGCATCAGTGATCGTTTGACTGTCATCATACGTTGATGTACTTGTTTTAGCATTTTAGATGAGGAGGTTGAATCAACGTCGATTCCTACAATATTGCCCGTCACAATGTTCTTCATCGTCCAGTCAGTAGGTGAGCGAAATGATAAAGGAATGATGATGCGAAGTTCAAAGTTCGTATTTGGTCGTGCTTGTTGTTGAGGTCGATAATATTGTTGTAAATAACGTCGAATAGTACGTACAAATACCATCAACATCACATCGTTCAATGTACTTTCTTTACCACCAAATGCCCGTTGAATCATGTGAATATCCGCTACGTCCATATCATCTGTCCAAGCAATCAGTTTTCCATGTGTCTGTTCGCCATCGTATGTCATCGCCCTTGGGAGTCGTTTCCTTTTCATGGTTGTCGGTGAGATTAATATCAATGGACATAGTAGTAATTGTAATAATACATGTTGCAGTTGCTGTAAGAGGGGTTCCACGACTAGCCATAATGTCCATACTTCGTGATACACTTGATACTTGATGATTGTCCATAACTGCCAACTCCAAAGAAACCATACCATTAGTTGTTGCCACAGGACGCCGAATTTCCGTCTTGCCCTTTCGTATTGATGTTGCTCATATCTTTCGCGTGCTATTTGATGACGTCGTGCTCTGGTTGGATGATGAATATTACTGCTGTCAGATGTATGTGATGATCCAAAAATGTAGGTATTCATTTGTTTTGATTTCCTTCGATCTAACTGTTGTATTAAATGTGATGTTTCTTTTTTGGCATCAAAGGATGTAGTAGTGGCTAGTACTGCTTTCATGATTCCAACTCCATCTGACATACTATGATGAGCTTTCCATAAAAAGGCAAATTGATTGTTTTCTAGTCCAGAGATAAAGTGTACTTCCCATAATGGTTTGTCTCCATCAAAAGGTTTCACATACTTACACACCAAAAAAAAAAAAAAAAAAAAATAACATCAGTATCCATCAATAATTGATTATTATTCTTTTTTTTAATTAAACCTACTTGAGAAGCTGTGTATTGTTGTAAACAAGCAGCAGTAGGCGATTTCAGAGTATGAAATATAAGATTATCTCTATATTTCCAATTGCGTCGTGGTCTTGACCAGATTGGTGTTTCCAGTAACGATCCATGCTTGGGAACAAGACAAAACCTTGGATAATGAGAACATAATTTTTCCAGAGCATCTAATATTAAAGTTGTATCCAATCTTTGTTCAAACATCCATACACTACAAATAGTCATTAATCTTCGTGGATGTTCCAGTTGAAAAAACATATTGTCCATGCCAGTAAGATGATGACCGAGTTCTGAAGGTAAAGTTAACTCTGATGAACCCATCATAATGCTAAAAAGGAGGTATACTGTCAATTGTGCTAATTTGTCAATAGTAAATGAGGAAAAAAAAAAAAAAAAAAGAAAGCAAAAAAAAATAATGAAAAAGGGAATCAAACGCGGCGGAATATCAAGTTATATGGAGTAGTTTTTTTTTTTTTCAGTCTACAATACTTTCATTTCCTAAATTATGAATTTGTATAAGTTTCGGCATTTTTCATTAACATTTTATATCGAATCATCAAACAATGGAAGATTTATTATTATTATTATTATTATTTGTATCTATCCATCTGTGCCTTTTTCTTTTTTTTTTTTCATGCTTACATTATAGCGCTGCATGATTCTTTCTTTCTTGATCTTTTTTTTCAAGCTGAATGTTTGATTCTCCGTCGTCAAAAGCCACACTAATTTTTTCTTAATCTCTTTTTCTCTTTTTCTCTTTTTTTTTCTTTCCACTTCCTTTTGTATTCTTTAATTATAAAATATATCATGGCTCCAAGTAAGTTATTAAATATATCATAAAAATATATGAAAACACTTTTTTTTTTGATATTAAATAATATTCTACTTATTTTGAATGTTTATTTATTATTTTTTTTTGTAGAGAAATCACTTGCTGATCAGATCGCCGATCTAGATAACACTGCTCCTATTGGTAAGGAACTTCCAACTGTTACATATATATATAAAAGAGACTCTTCTTTTTTTTTTTTGGCAAATGATAGATTTATAATAACTTCATGGCTGATTCTTTGTATTTTATCCTATTATATTATTTTATCTAGATTATGATCCTGAAGATCTAGTGGAACCCATGAACGAAACAACTATTGATGAAGATGATCGATCGGATACAGAACAACACGATGCTCGAAGTCATTACGTCAAGGTTGGAAAAAGCAGTCTTCGTAATCAACAAGCCTTTTTGATGGATGATCCTCGTTATTCTGGTGAACGTAAAAGTAGGAAAGATATCTATTCTGACAGTGATACAGACGAACAACATGACATGGAACAAGAGACCGAAGATGACTCTGAAGATAATAGTGATCAAGAAGGATCTTGGCAAGGTATAGATGATAATCAGGACGTACTTGGTCTTGATGACAATGAAGAAGAAGAAGAAGAAGAAGAAGTTTCTGAAGCTGATGATGGAAGCGACGATGATGACGACCAGGAGAATGATAATGAACTTAGTGAACAATTACGACAATTACAAAATGATGAAAAGTATGTTTAAAAGAATATTGAGATTTTATTCTATGGAATTGAATATAGGGAAAAGAATATTAACTATATATAATTGTACTGTAGGGATATGCTTTCTCAATTGGCCAAAAATACTTCGAGTGATATTGAAAAAGGTCAACATGTTAGGCAACAACTTGTAAGTAAAACAACAAATAACAAATGGAATCAATACTAATCGTTTCTTATCTTATTTTATTTTTTATTACTTCATCAAATGGAAATAGACATTATGGGACAATTGCTTAGAAACTCGTATTCGTATTCAAAAAGCTGTTGAACTTGCAAATCAATTGCCACAGATTGACAAACTATCCGACATTGTGGAAAAGGACGACAATATTAAACAAGATGTTAATAAGGTGAAAGGGGAACTTCGCGATGTAATTGATGAACTGATGGATCTACGTACAGCATTACTTGGAGAAAATGAAGCCATTGATTTGGATGGGGTATCCTACAATACTCGTAAACGATACTTGGATGATGAAGAAGGTGATTCATATAATGATGCGTTATGGAATGATATCAACCAAGTCAATAATGTGTAAGCGCAAAAAACAAAAAAAAGAAGAAGAAAAGTGAAATATATATATATATATATATATATATACTCTATGTGATACTCATCTGTTTTTCTTTTCTCGTTTAGTTTTGTGCCTTTTCGAAATTCAACATTGGAGAAATGGAGTAATAAAGTGCAGGCAGCTTCTAATGGTGGTATGAACAAAAAATTCAAGGCTTTTGATCAGGTAAAAACTTGAATTCTTACATATAGCAATATTTTATATCCTATTTTTTTTTCTTTTTGTATTTATGCTAATGGTGATTTTTATCATTGATGATAATATAGAATATTTTGACACAAATTGACAACTTGATGTCGGACAAACAAGGACTTGTGAAACGTACACAATTACAAAGAGCTGAATACAAGATTCTCGGCAAGGTAAAAAAAAAAAAAAAAAAAAAAAGAACAATACAAAAAGGTAGAAAAGAGAAAACTCAATCCTCTATTCTTTTATATTTGACAATAGGTAGCATCAACACCAATAACAACTAATGATGACCAAATGGAGAACCAAAAGAAATCGGATCGATATCTTGATACCTATGATGAAGAATTATTTGATGACAATGATTTCTATCAACAACAACTCCGAGAATTAATTGAATCCCGTATGGTGGATACAGATGATCCAATTGCCAGTGGAATGCGGTGGGCTGCAAGCAAGAAGGATCAAGTGAAGAAGAAAAAGAAGAATATTGATACTAAGGGATCCAAAGGACGGAAATTACGGTAATCAATACAAAAAAGAAGTTAGACATTTTTCTTATTCTTTTTTTTTTGAATTGTATTAGATTCAATGTTCATGAAAAAATACAAAACTTTATGGCACCTGTTCCTGCTGGTACTTGGCATGATAGTATGACGGATGAACTTTATTCATCACTATTGGGACAAAGAAAAACCATGATGGAATCTGAAGTGACTGCAACATAGGATCAACAAACTTGGTCAATTACCTTGTCCATAGATACATATATATATATATTAGATCCTAGGTTTAGTTTTTTTTTTTTTTTAATTTTCACTTTATATGTAGCTATATAATAAATAGCATCTATATATTACAATTTGTTATGATGTGATAGTTTTTGTTACACCGGCAATAGGATGGATTGACAGGAAATGGGGTCTTGAAACAGTTCCGCTGCTAGCTCCTTTTGGACAAAACGAAATCCCAGGAACAACAATGACAAGATGACGATGATGATCCTGATCATCTGAGGTAATAACAATAGTGATGAATAATATAATGATGGTTGACGATGAATCTATTGAATTCTGGATATTGGATAATGAACGATCAACATTGAAAGTTAAAAATGATGATTCTTTGTTGTATCGTTACAGAATAGAAATGACTGATTTTCAAATACTTGAAACACTCTGTTCTTTAGTCCTTTGTTGCTTCAATCCTGGATATCATTAGAAAAAAGAGAGACCTGAGGGAACAATTTCTTATTGTTTCTATTAGTTGATTCCTTTACTACTACAAGTACTATCCATTGTATCACAATGTATTACAAATAAATGATGGATTATTCATTCTTACCCCTTACTTTTCATTTTGCTATTAAACTTTCATCATCAGTTGACGGGTTGAATTTTTGACTCCTTAAAAGAAGGAACCAGTTTTACCCTGCCTTAATCGCGTGGCAAAAGAAAAAAAAAAAAAAGAAGAGGACCGATCCAATATTAGAGTAACGATAGTGATTACATGAAGAAGATGCCAACGATTGATTCCTTTTTTTTTTTTTTTTATTGTTCATCCATCAAACAAACTTGAGGTTACTTGTTGTACCAACTGTACCTTTTTTTTTTTTTTTTACCCTTTTGTGACCAAGGGTTCTTGATGTAACATTACAAAAAGGTGGATCTTTTGCTTTTTGTAACAAATGACAAAAAAAAAAAAAAATAGACAAATATTGAATTGGAGAAAAACCTAAGTAGTTCCAAAAACAGCCAAGGTTTAAAAGGTTTGGGCGGCGGATGAAGCCCTCTTTGATACCATTGAAAATGAAAGAGGAAGAAGAATTCAAACTCGTCTCCGACTTAAACCGTACATTGATGGATTGCATTTTTACAGTTTGTTTTAATTCCCACTACTGATCATTTATTAGTTTCAATTCGGTAAGTTCTTCCGAGTAATCTCTATAACGATTCATCTGGGAAGAATGAGTGTAAAAAACTAAAAAAAAAAAGGAAATCTTAAAAAAAAAAAAAAAAGATGTATCATATATCCCCTCATTCTCTTTACGGTTTTCTCCTTTTATGATCTAGTCTGAAAAAAGTGATTACTCGGAGAAAGAAAAGAGCATTAGCGCGCAATGAAAAAGTACATATCATTTTATCACGTTGTAGATTTCAATTACTTTTTTTTTTTCTCACCAAAGAACAAAAAAAAAAAATCATCCAATCTAGGTTACTTTTTGTAAAAAGAAATAACTTGTTTTGATTGTTGCTTATGACAACAACAACAATAATGACCTATTTCTCCATTTTGGGGGAAATCATTTTTGTTGCCTTACCATTATGTTGAACAAACGCACAGACATGTCTTTGCGTACATGAATCCTACATTTTTTGTGTTCCAATGAACATCAAGCATAAAGCTGTCTCTTTTCATTTTTTTTTCTTTTTTGATTGTATTTCATGAGGAGTGTAAAAAAAAAATTACTAGTAGCTTCCCTTTTTTTTTTTTCAAATGAGATCGAACGAACAAGAAATGAAAAGTAGGCGGAGCATCAATCCAAAATGATGAACAGCTGCGAGGTCAACAACCTCATTTTTTGCTATTATGGATGATATTGCTTAAAATGGATGGATCAGAAAATAATAATAATAATAAAAAAAAAAGAGGAGTAAACGAATATGGTTTTAAACTTTCATCATTACCATCATCATCGTCATCAAACACTTTTGTTATTCTTCTATCTAAAAAAAAAAACAATAATTATATTATCCAGTCCTTTTTATCTTATCTAACAACAAACTATGTATATATAACTACATCCGGTGTTAATATGGTTTGGTTTAAAGCTTAAATGGAGTTTGAAAATAAAGATCATCAAACAAGGTTACCATACCCAGATGATTGAAAACAAGACAAAAAAAATAAAAACCGAGGTACTATAAATAGTATTTGTAACACAAACAACCCAATTTATTACTCCAACCATCATCATCTTTTTTCTCCCATCCTAAGAATTCTACTCATCGTTTCGTTGCTGTAGTAAAGAAGAGAAAGAAATAAATTGATGAAGATATGAGTTAAAACGACACAAATACATCTTTTTTTTTTTTTTTTGGTGTTTCACTGAATGTCGATCTTTTTTTTTTCCTTTATCCTTTATATATATAATATAACAGATTATATATATATATATATTATTGTATATCTTCATCATCAGGGTTATGACCGTTATCAATTTTATAGAATTAAAAAAAAAAAATAAAATCACTATCATCTATTTAAATCAATACTCCCCCCTCGGGAATACTGAAAAATTGGATCAAGTGCAGATTAACTTATTATGTGATGGTACTTCTCTCCCCCCCTTTTTTTTTTTTTTTTAAAAAAAAAAATAACATTCAATATATATTTGTTATATATAATTCATTGGAAAAAAAAGGGGAATTTAAATACCGCAATGTCCCCATTTGAGTTTTTTTTTTTGTTGTATATACTTGGTCTTCAGTTTAAAGTTTTCAACTTTCTCTCTCTCTTTTTTTTTTTTTCCTCTTATTTTCTTTTTCTTTTCTTTCTCTTTCTCTTTTTCTTTTTTTATTTATTATTTTTAATAATTTTCATTGCCCTTTATACCATTATATACTCTTGTATTGATATATATCAAAAATATTATTCAAATTTTATTACTTTTTGTCATTCTTACATTCCATCTTAAACAACTTTAGTCACTGACCTGACTACTTTTTTTTTTATTTGTATACTTGGCCACTTTCTTTTTTTTATTTTTTATTTTTTTTTTTTTTTATTCTGAAACACATTTATGATGAATTCAGTACAAAGTACCAAAGAATGGCAAATCAGTCAACCTCCTATGCAAAGTCCTTCACTAAGCGAAAGTCCTATTAACACTAGTCAAGCAAATAGTTATTCACCTACACCTACTATGGCCACCCATCAACCTTATTCTTATACAACTCAAAATTCAATGATGCATCCTCCTTTGTAAGTCATTCATAAAAAAAAGATTATACACAATCGAATAGAAACATCTATTAGTCTTTTTTCTTTTTTGACCCTGTCAATTATGCGTTTTGATGCCGCTATTTGGTGCAACTCTTTGGTTTCACCAATAAGCAAAAAAAAAAAAATACTTATGGGTTGAAAAGGAAGAACGGCGGGGAGGAAGAAGAGAAACGGGCGTTTTATGTCATGTGAATATATTGGTAGTACGAATTATTTATTTACCCTTTTTTTTTTTCTATTACCTAGGCATTCATATCCTACGCAACAACCTTCAATTCCTTCCAATGGTTCTCCTACTGCTTATATGGCTTCTGTGAAAAATGAATCCGATACAAGACTTCCTGGGTAAATAAATGGTTAAAAATAAAAAAATTTTTTAATCTTTTTTTTTTTAATCCTTTTTTTTTTTTTTTATTTCTTGTTTAGAATGGTTCTATCTCAACCTAGTACACCTCGTCCTAACTCCATGATTACTGATAATGGTTCATCTGCTGGTAAAAAGATACGACATAGTTATGTATCTTCTTTTTCATCCAATCCTTATCCAATCATGGCTCGAAAACGATCAAGAACTGATACTACTCTTTTTCCAACTGAAACCGGTCCATCTTTTAGTGCAGCAAAATCATTAGATAATCTTTATTCACCTGACAGAACCAATTTGTAAGTAAAAAAAAAAAAAAAAAAAAAAAAAAGAAAAGGAGTGATTTCATCTTTCTGCCAATACATTCTAAATAACTTTTTTTTCTTTTTATTTTGATTTAGATTGACAGTGCGTATACAGTCGAAAATGGATCGTGGGTTCTTTTTGGCGGATAATGATTGGACTTGTTATCGACGTAACTATTTCCAAGTCAGTAGTACTTTTGGTATCCATGGAATCAATCACTATTATGGAGAACATGAACTTCAATGTTTTGTACAAACATCTAGACATGGACTTCAACCTGTTTCTCGATTTGCTTTAGGGATTTCTGCTCGTGTATCCAACAGTGACAAACATATCGATTTGATTCAACATACACCAAAACGGGATAAAGGACCTCAAATGACGCCAGAACCAAAAGTCATTGCTCCTGGTGGTAATCTTAGTCTTAGCTCAGTTGGTAGTACTCAAAATATCGCCACTTTCGAACGTATTCAATTCAAAACTGCTACTGCCAACAATGGAAAGCGTCGTGCTGCTCAACAGTATTATGTAATTTTGGTGGAACTCTATGCTGAAACTCATGAAGGTGAACGTATTCCTGTGGCCTCATGTGTCTCTTCTCCTTTGGTGGTCCGTGGTCGAAGTCCTGGACATTATGCAGATAGTCAAGATCGTGCATCACCCAATGCCAATGCATCCATGATGGCAGCAGCAGCAGCAGCAGCAGCAGCGGCAGCAGCGGCAAATGAAGATGATCGATATACTCATTATCCAAAACCACCCATGACTCCTCCTACTGCAGCAATGATGTCAAATGGATCTGAATATGGTGCTCCTTACAATTATTATAGTGGCTATCCTACAACTCCTTATGGTATGATGGTAAATTCTTCTTCTCAGCCACCTTTACCTACACCTACTACATCATCATCAGGGAATGCAAATAATGTGGCTCCATCATCATCTTCGGTATCTACAACTTCGTCATCAAGTGGTCCTACTTCATCTAGTGCCCATCATCAACCTTACATGGTACACAGTATGTCTGATCCTTCTTCTTCAGAATCTTCTTCGCCTGATCTTTACCAAGCAGCTCCTGATTATCCTTTACACCATACTGACAAATCTCACCATCATCATCCTTCGCAAATTAATATTCACTCTTTACCTATGGATCCAACTGGTGGTGCTGCTCATGTTGAATGGTCAAGGTCACGATATCATTCCGCTGGTTCAGTTCCTTCTCCTACCTCTTCTGCTGATCAAAATTCCTACTTTTCTCAACAACAATTACATCATCAACAACGTCAACAGCAACATCATCCTTCTACAAATGGTGCTCCTCCTACGCCTACTACTCCTTTCAGTACCAGAAAATATGATACCATGTCAACGTCTGACCATCATCATCAACAACAACAACAAAACTCTTGATTATTCTTAGTTCAGTTTAGTTTTATATACATTATGTTTTATTATATTGTACCCTCTGTTACTAGTATTTTTATCGTTTATTTCATATTCCATATTATTATTACTATTTTTTTTTTTTTTTTAGTTATTTATCTCTACAACTTGTGTTTCTATATATCATCTTATTCAATATACATTCATTCTTTTTATATTATTATATATATTATTGCGTTATGATTCTATTATTATATGTATTTCTTTTTCGTTGTGATAAATATGATTTTTGATTGGGAAGATCGGGTGTTTTTTTTTTTTTTTTTTTTTTTTTTATGTGTGTGTGAGAGAGATGTATTGGTTACTACAAGATGTTGGATCTGATTGGCTGAGCTGATGAACAACCATTTCATCATCACCTAGTTATTGAAAGTGAGAGAATTTTTCTTTCTTTCTCCTTTTTGTAGGCATAGTAATAAAAAAAAAATATGAAAAAAGATATCATTAAAATAATGATGGTTGAGTATATGAAACAATCACACTCCTTTCTTTTTTTTTTTTATCTGGGTAGGCAACTGAAAGAAAGGGCAAATAAAAAAAAATGATGTAGTGATCACTGTTGCTCTGTTTAAAAATTGACTCGCGCTAGAAAATTTTGTTTATTTTTTTCATTTCCAACCTATATTTTTCCTTCCTTCTTTCTTTCTTTTTCTCTTTGTAAAACATTTTCCCCTCTTTACCCTTCTCTTTTTCTACATACATATATATATATATAATATATTACCTTTTTTTTTTGTATATACACTTCATATCAGTCTTTTCTCTTTTTTAACATTGGTGACTGTTACGTTGTATTTATTTTGTAGAGACCCAAAAACAAAAAGTGAACCATTATTAAGTTGTTGTTATTTTGTAGCAGTTTGATAAGGTTCATTTTTTTATTATTATTATTCTCTCTCTCTCTCTCTGTCTCAAACACATACACATATATATACAAACTGTTTTTTTTTTTTGACATTGTTGTTCTTTTCCTATACATATTTATTATTTTGATATCTTTCATCAACAAAGATGATGCCAAGACTCTTTGAAGAAAACCATTCTCCTAGTAGTCAAAGGTATGACTTGCACCAACCAAAGGCAACAAATCAACCACAGGGACAGGTAAATAAATAAATAGAAAAAAACTTTATAGTAATAGGACATGATCATGAAGTTATCATCTTACGCGTGTACTGAATTCATTTTTTTTTTAATCGTCAAATAGTTAGCTGCTCTACTTCAAGGAAAATATGATAGTGATTATGACTTATTTATGGCTTCGGGTACCTCCAATTTATTTCCCAATGATGATTCTTATGATCGCTCCAACAGTGCTCCTCCTACTCAAATATTGTATCAACAAATGAATGCTACTATGCATTCTAGACATGGTAGTCAAACTGAAAGTTCTCATGACAACTCTATTATCGATAACTATCAAGATAATTCCACCGGTGCAAACAAGTTTGATACTCTTACAACTGCTTACACTCAAACCAATGATGCCTGGAAACAATTATGGGAAAACAATGCAAATGGTAAGTTTTGGATATTTGTGATAGGGAGCTCCTATCGGCTGTTTTTTTTATGTATCGGTTACGATTTCAATATAATCCTTATATCTGATTTTATTATTATTATTATTATTATTATTCTATATAGAATATGATCATCCTGCTGCTCAATATGCTCAACAACAACAACATCATCATCTTCAACAACAACAGCATCTTCAACAACAACAGCAACGGGACAAGCGTGGTAACAAGATGAAATCAAATGAGGATGCTATGAATCGACGTGGTCGCAATTTGGTAGATATTATTCAAGAGGTAAAAATTAATTATGATGAAGAGAGTGATTTCAAAATAGGGAAAATGATACAAAACTAATATATCCAAAACAATCTTCACTTTAGGATTTCCCGCGGACGCCATCACCTTTATTTGCTTTGCAACAAGCTCGTCAACGCCATGCTCAATTAAATGGTCTCGATGTGGGTGATCTGGATTCTAATGATTATGATGCCTTGGCCACTACATCCACTTCGTCTTTTCATCATCAGCAACAACAACATGATGATAATGGTGATCCGAATGATCGATCTATGGCTATGCTTTCAATGATGGATGAATCGGAACGAAGTCATGCTAGCCGCGTCAACGCCCTCCGTGCTCTGTCTCCTCCTTTACGAAACAAGTTCACCAGCCCACCCCCTGCAAGATCAAATTCAACACCTCCTGGAAGACACTTCAATGCTCATGGTGGCACTAATGTACCAACAAGTGGTGTCAACGAAAGTGATTACAACATTAACATGGAACCTCAAACTGAAATGATGCTGAAACAGTTCGGAAACTTTGGTTTGAATGATGAGGTAAGAGAAACGGAATAGAAAATATGGGGAGGTTTACGAATAAACTGACAAGTATTAACTATATATCCCCTTTTTCATTTCCATATGCAATTATATGTGTTGATTAGGATGACTATGGTGTAATACAGCAAGCCCGTTACTTACAACTTCAACAACAACAGCAGCAGGCTCTCCGTATGCAACAACAACACCAACAAAGTGGTGGATATCCTGGTTACTATGGTGGCGGTGGCAATGGAAGTAATCTTGGTAGTCCTCAATTATATGGTCAAATGCAACCTTTTACAACGCCTCCACTATCTTCCATGTTGGATATGAACGATATGCATGGTGATGATGCTAACCGTACTGACAAACGTTGGCCGACTGGAGACCTATATCGACGTCAGCAAGGTGAGTAGGAAAAAAAAAAAAGGAGAGAGAAGGAAAGGATAACAAGTACATGTTTTATATTGCAATTACTCATTTTTTTTTCTCTCTTTTTCTCTTCTGATGTAGCTGCCATGGCTTTTGGTCCTTCAGGTCCTCTTTCTGCTCCCGCTGGTTTGGATCCCTCTGGTTTCCCTGACGGTCAATTTGGTCTAGGTGTTAATGCTGGAACGGATAACAAGAAACTTCGTCCTCTTCAACAAATGCAACAACAGCAGCTATTGATTCAACAACAACAACAGCAATTGATGGCAGCTCGTCAGCAATTGTTACTTCAACAACAAATGCAACAACAAAAACACGGATCTAGTGGTTTTGGTGGAAGTGCTAGCAATCTGAATGCCAATCATCGTATGCGGAATATGCCCTCTCATCATACTCAAGATGTCGCCATCTCACATACTTCTGTATCGTCATCTGCTCATCATCATCAACAACAACAACAGCAACAGCAGCAACAGCAACAACAACAGCAACAAGCAAATAATTCGCAAGATATGACGCTTAGCATTCGTAGTCAACTCCTGGAAGAATTTAGAAATTCCAAGAACAAAAAATACGAACTCAAGGATATTGCTGAACATATTGTCGAATTCAGTGGTGATCAACATGGTTCTCGATTTATTCAACAAAAACTGGAAACCGCTAACAGTGAAGAAAAACAATTGGTGTTTGAAGAAGTTCTTCCCAATGCTTTACAATTGATGACGGATGTATTTGGCAACTATGTTTTGCAGAAATTCTTTGAACATGGTAAACAAGAAAAAATAGTCTTTGTATATCAAAGAGATACTGATTATTCTTTTCATTCTACCATACTCTTGATAGGAAATCAAATGCAAAAAACTATTTTGGCCAAACAAATGGAAGGTCATGTTATTTCGTTGTCTCTTCAAATGTATGGATGTCGTGTTGTTCAAAAGGTAAGATGTAGTTTTCTAATCCCTTTTTTAATGTTTCAATACTGACTCGCATTCCTTTTTTTTTTTATTATTTCATCTGGAATAGGCTTTGGAACATGTTTTGACGGAACAACAAGCGAAACTAGTTAGCGAATTGGATGGATGTGTTCTTAAATGTATCAAGGACCAAAATGGCAATCATGTTATTCAAAAAGTAAGAAAGAAAAAAAAAAGAAAAAAGGAGAGAAGGTTTTATAATTCTTCATGATTCACATCTTAATTTATTTTGATGATTTTAGGCTATCGAACGTGTCCCTGCAATTCATATCCAATTTATCATTGATGCGTTCCATGGTCAAGTTTACAATCTAGCAACACATCCTTATGGCTGTCGTGTGATCCAACGTATGTTTGAACATTGTACTGATGTGCAAACTGGTCCACTCTTGGAAGAACTTCATCGATGCACGGGACAATTGGTACAAGATCAATATGGTAATTATGTAATCCAACATATTCTTGAACGAGGCCGACCTGTGGACAAGGCAATGGTGATCAGCAAGATTCGTGGTCAAGTACTTCAACTTAGCAAACATAAATTCGCAAGTAATGTAGTGGAAAAGTGTGTAGATCATGGATCCAAACGCGATCGACAGCTTTTGATTGAAGAAGTTTTGCAATCAAGACCGGATGGGTAAGTTCCAAAAAAAAAAGTGCAAGCAGAAATTGGATATGCAGAGAGAATTTGAATTATTGACTCCTTTTGTTATTATTATTACTATTAGTTCTTATCCTTTGGTGACGATGATGAAAGATCAATATGCGAACTACGTGGTACAAAAGATGTTGGATGTGGTAGATGATGATCAACGTGAACTTTTGGTGAACAAGATTAGACCTCATTTGCAATCATTGAAGAAGTATACCTATGGAAAACATTTGATTCAAAGTAAGTTTGAGAAAGGATGGATTTCTTGTGACATCAATGATGGTTGATGGAAGGTAATTAATTCCTATTGTATTATTTGATTTATTTAGAGGTTGAAAAGCTATTGCCATTGATCAACATTACTGGTGATGATTATCAAGACAACACTGTCATTAACAATCAATCTACAACGACGACGTCGGATGAAATTGCTATAGAACAACGATCTATGGCACCTGAAGAAGATCGTCAAGATCAAGGCGATCAAGCCGTGGAAACATCGACTATTACCGCTACTGAAACCACCAATGGCGATGTGAACAAGGAAACGTTACAACATGAAGCATAATGGCCAGTTTTGACTGTTATTATTATATATTTTCGCCCCCTTTTATTCTATATTCGTTTGTTTTATTTTCTTCTCTTCTTTGTTATCTTTTTATTTTTTTTACTTTTATTATTTGTGTGTATTCTATTCTCCTCTTCCATTATATTATCTTCCTTCTCTTTTGTTATTAGAAATCAGGACTTTTGATAGTTCGCTGTACATGAATTGAATCTGTATTCATTTTGGAGCAAGTCATTTTATCTATTGATAGGGACTTCTCTAATGTATATGCACAACAAATATATCTTTTTATATCTTCGATATTTTGTCTTTTACTTCCCTCTCCACTATTCTTTGTATTTTCCCCTGTCCACAGTTTTTTTTTTATACTATTCTTTTTATAATAAAAAAATCAAAAACAATTGACAAACAAAATTAAACTTCACATTAGTCTTTTTTTTTTTTTGAATAACCTGGATGGTTCAATCAAGATGATCATTGAATTTCATACACTTTTATTTGTCATACAATTCAAAAATGCAACATGTAGATAGATATACAAATGTGGGGGAATAACTACTGGTAATAAATAATAATCAATAATAATAATAATAATAATAGAAGGAATCAAGTACTATGATGATTTGCAAATGACAAGGTGTAAAAAATTGTCAGGATACGCCAAATGATCAGAGGTCCACCGGATAGGTGTTTGTAGTGGCAATTGGATCCCATGAATCACGACAATGAGGTTGGTGTCTTTAGTTGTATAGTCTGCCATAAATAAACTTGGTAAAATTGAATGTAAAACATCTCCCAAAGTACAAGAATCACCTATTGCCAATAGAAAAAAAAATCAACTTACGATATTGCTTTTTCCTTCTTTTTTTTTTTTTTTTTTTTGCCAATTTTGTGCTTTTTACCTTTTTCGTTGGTGAAAGGTGCAATATCTTGTATCACTGGTGCTTGATCAGGTAAATATAGTCGAAGAGGTACAGATCTTACTCCTATCCCACGATCATCCAAAATAGTTTGATTCACGCGCCAATAATCTTCATATTTCTCTATAGAAACCACAAAAAAAAAAAAAAAAAAAAAAAAAAGGATAAGCGTTGATTGTCTAACATGTTATAGTGAAAAAGTTACCTGAAAAGAGTGCTTGCCATAATTGGGACTGATCTTGTTTTGATAAGTTCATCACCCTTTTCGTACTGCCATGTCGTAAGAAATCTGCCTAAAATAAAATAAAAAAAAAAAACAATGCATCCCCAAATGATCTTAATCAATATGCTGCATATATGTCAAGTCTTTTTTTTTTTTTGGAGCATTTTTAAAACCTTATGGTCATCTGCCTAGTATTACCTCTTTGATCATTGACATATACATATCTTGCATAGTTTCCAGACCTGGATTTCTTAGTAATATTGTCTCGGGGAAATGATCATCATGAACTATAATACGCCAAGGAAGTGAAGGAGTTTGTTGTTCTCGTTGTTGTCCTTGTATCGAGGTACCCATACGTAGAATCATATCGTATAATAACCCGATAGGATAATGCCTAAATTCACAAACAAAGAGAGAGAGAGAGAGAGAGAGAGAGAGAGAGAGGAATGAAGTTAACCATCTTGGAACAAACAATCTTTTCGGGAGAGTCTTCATTACCACTTCAAGGGTTCACCTTCATATTCGTACCAAATAGAATGTGGATCAGTAGCATGATATCGTTCTGTCTGTGAAGTCAGATGAGAGGTCACTAAAGGCAAATAAGAATAACGAGGTACTTCCATCTTCCAAATATATATATATATAAAGTTGAGTTCATTGAAACATAAAAACAGAGAGATATATTCTATAATAATAGACTTACGAAGAGAGTATCCATTGGATCGACAGGATTCAATACAAGCTGTATAGGGATTTTGCCATGCCAAATTGCCTTGGATATATCTTTATCTATTTCAGTCATGAATGATTAATATCTATCTATTATATGGGATTGAGAATAAAAGAAAGAAAAAGAAAAAAAAAAAAAAGGGAAGAATAGAAGACTAGGCAAAGGAACGATGATACGTCGACTTTTGCACTCCGCTGTTCCATGCCATTTCATGGCGTTTCCTCCCCTGTGGTTCGTATCATCTACTCATCATCTTTTCCATTTATCTACTTTTTTTTTTTGGTAACTTCACCAATCTAACTTTGACTTATTCATTAAACAAACATTCGAATCATTATCTGTACATTGTAACATCACATGAGATAGACATAGACTTGTTTATACTTTTGTAATTCCTTCAAAAATGGTCATCATCGCACCAAAATTGGACTGAACGTACATAAAAGCATTCTCTTTCGATTGCTTTAATAACAGTTTATACCTTACCTCCCAATTTATAGAGTAAATCAAAAAATAAAAGTCAATATTGTCATTTCTCATTCAATAATGATCATCATCCAATAAAATGACCACCATTAGATTCCTCGCAAAAAAGTAGTCTAATATCATCTAATCCCATTTTATCGCTTACCTTGCTGCCTAATCTACCATAATCACTAAAAGATTTCATGGATTTTTCGAAAAATTGCCTGATGATCCCTCGACAATTCATTTTTACAGCTAAAATTTGGCTGAGGAATTTGAAAATTTTGGCTATAAAATCCAAAAACTGATCCCATTTTTTCATCCTGTATATAAGCTTACAGAAAACTTTGCCTTTCTCTTTCTCACTCAAAAAGCATCATCATTGCACCAAGTTTGAATATAACATAGAACAAATCATTTTCTTCAAATTTACTTAATGTTATTTATAATTTACTAATTTGTATTTGTAGAGTACGTTAAAAAAAAAATGAGCATCATCATGACGTGTTATTTTCAACCTCCTCGAATGAGTACCCTAAAGTTCCAAGTTGATAATTCATTCCTCTTTTAAAAAATAAATTGGTGTTTACCACGTACGATGATTGTGGTCAAGTATGTCAAGGTGCTTTGAATGAGTTTGGGAATTATCCACTTGAAAAAACCATGCGGGATTCAAATCTTCCTTATTTTGATTTTTTTCTTCTTCATTTCTCTTCCCTCTCTTTTCTTTTTCTTTTCTTTTTTTTTTGGTATATTATGCCTTCTATCTCAACACCTTTGGAAAAAGCACAATTGGCTTTATCATCAAATACATCAGTAGAAGAAAAGATTCTAGCATTAACTGCGTTCTCTACATCCTTGGGTGGTGCGTCTTTTTTTTTTTTTTTTTTTTTTTAGATATTATTCACGCTCGCAGTCAACGTCATACTAACTACTGCATTTTTTTTTTTTTTTATAGACCAAGTTCAAGCTGATGAAGCGCAAGCTATCTTATCAGTTCTACCTTTGTCTCTGTTATATGGAACTTTGAATCATTGTGTTGAACATGATTATGACGACACCTCCCACGATCATCTTCCAAATGTTTTATGTGATCTTATACGAAAACTGCTTGGACCTTTTCCTTATTCGGTGGTTTCTCAAGGTGAAAATAGAATGTATCTCGAGCAAGGTCTTCAACATTTTACTCCTTCTATTCGTTATTTGTCTTTACAACAAGTGGAAAAGTGTTTGAATTCTCCTTTAGATACGGTGGCCATGGTAAATAAACATTCTTAGAATCACTTTTTTATATGCTCAACTGATCTCTTTTTTGATATCTCTGCATATAGATTCAATCTGACTTTTTACCAATGGTGTCAACAACTGTTGCATTTCAAGATTCTAGAACTGCTTTCAAGGCTGTTGATATTCTATACAAGGTAAGGAGATAAGTAAGGAAAGAATATAAAGTAATTGATCAGTCTTGTGTGTATGATAGGCTTGTCTCTCAGATATAGGAAGTGAATCTTTTTTCCAATCTTCGGCAATTCAATTACTACAATCCATTATGCAAATGTAAGAAAGAAAAAAAAGACAATGAGGAAAGAATACTTACTAATCTTTCTTATTCCTCTATTTTTTTTTTTTTTTTTTTTTGGTGACTAGTAACGGTACTGTTGGCTTTCGGGTGTATGATTTGATGATGAAAATCGCTGGATACTCGGATCGTAACTTTGAACTTTGTGAATCGTCTGGCATCTTGAATCAATTCATGGAGGAACTGAATACCAATGACCTTTTGCTCAGAATGAATGCTATTGAATTACTAAACGAAGTAAGTGATTGCCATATTCCTTTTTTATTCAATAGGCTCATAACTTTTTTTTAAAAATATATATATATATTCATGATAGGTGGCTGCTAGTCCTTCAGGATTACAATTCTTAATAAAAGCTCATCTGATGAACAAGTTGGTTGAGACATTGGATATTGATGATGATAGCGATGTTGCTGTGGCTTTGACAAAATGTGCTGTTATCAAGTTCTTTGGTAGTTTGGGTGCAAACAAGGTAAGAACACTATTGAAAAAACCAAGGATACTACTTGGAAATTTGATATAATCTCATGATACTAAATTATTCACTGTAGGAAGTTAACTTTACTAATGCTCAACAACAATTCCATATCATTGAAAGATTGGAAAAGTGTATCGATAGTGATAACAAAGAAATTGAGGTAATACCAAAAAAAAAAAATACAAAGTATGTACTGATATATGATATACTGCAAAATAGACTGTTTCCTTGGCAGCTGTAGGCTTAATTGGAAGTCATTTGAATGGATTACAACTAGTTCAAAGCAACAATTCACTGATGGCAAATTTTTTTGGAATTGCACGAACCGCTAGTGGGGATACAAAAGCCGTAGTTTTACAATCACTCTCAAAAATGATTGGTATCTCGTAAGTATAAAGAGAAAGAGAGAGGGGATGAAATATATGTTGTCAAAAAGATATATTTACTTTATGTTATTTTTTTTAAATACATCATTGTTGTTGATAGTGATTCTGAAGAAACTTTTGAACAAGTGGAGCAACGAACTAGTGCCATATATCCATCTATCCCAGGTACTTAAGAAAACAGGAAGGAAGAAAAAAAAAAAAAAGAGAGAGAGATGTACTTATTTTTTTTTCTTTTTAGAATTTCCGAATGTTATCAAGGGTATAACTGCTTTAGCGAAACTTCCAGTGGACAACATACGGGTAGCAGCTTTTGCAGTTTTGGAAGCAATTGCTACACGTCAATGGGGAAGACAGGTAGATGAAGATAAACAATAGGAATGAAATGAAAGGGTCAAATAGTGATCTATTTTTTTTTTTTTTTGTTATGAATTAGGAAATGGCACGAAATTTTGAGTTCTTGGGATATCTTTTGGATCGATCTAATGAAAGTACTCAAATTGGACAAGTAATATTAAAAAAAAACAAACGGAATGATTGGTGAAAGAATTTTTAGAAACTAAAATCTTTTTTTTTTATGTGTAGATGTGGAAATATGCAATAGTCAAAACATTGGTGGAAACCGGTTCGAATGCGGAATCTATACTAGGACGACATTATAGTATGCTTACTCAATATATCCGACAAGGACCTTATTATCGAGCAGGTCAAGTGACAATGGCGATGGAAAGTGGTTAGTTTAGTTTATTATTGTAGTTGATTCTTAGAATACATAATAAAATCAATTCTTTTGAATCTAGAATATTTTATATATTTAAAAAAAAGCGTTTTGATTTATTATAATGCAACTGATAAGATTTGGGAGTATTATATAAAAGATATTATTCAGTACACAACTATTTCCTTTTTTAAGTGTGTAGGGATTACACAAGGGGGAAGAAAAAACGGGTCCTGCCATTTATAACGTTTTGTATTTTTTTGATTTGAAACAGAAGTATTTACCAATCTTCCCCCCTTTTTTCTTTATACTTGGTACCCCTATCCTACCCCCCTATCTTCTTCTTTTTTCACATCATGTAAAAAAACAATCCTTTTTTCAATTTCTTTCTTTTTTTTTTTCTTTTTACTTTGTGTACATATTTATTTACATTCATAAAGTGATTATGACAAAATCATCCAATAAAATGTCTGATGATTCTACAAAAACCAGGATGGATGAAGATTTGGTATCTTATATAACATCGACTTGTTCCGTATCATCATCCGAACATGAAAAAACTCGGTATAATGAATCTTCTTCGTTTCTTCAAAGATGTATGCGACATGGTTATAAATCATCCACTTCTCTTTTGGAGTCTCGCTACGGCAGATTACAAAAAGGGAAGATCGGTCGAGGTGCTTATGCTCATGTACGACTCATCATTGCAAATCATCATCATCATTATAGGCATCATAAGCATCATTCACTTACTAATAACAACAAGATAAAAACTACCATCTCTAAACAGGTTTACGCTGTCAAGATATTTAAAAAACAAAAACAAAAAGAAAGTCATGGCAATTACATGAAAAGATTGATAAGTGAATATTGCATTGCATCTTCCATGCATCATCCCAATATCATCACCACTTTGGATCTTGTTACAAATGCTTCTGGTCAATATTGTATTGTTATGGAATACGTAAGTGATCATCTAAAAGTGTTGCTTTCTATTGATGTTTTTTTTTTCCTTTAAAAAAAGTGTTCAGGTGGTGACCTTTATCAAGCCATTAAAAAAGATCAATTGACAGAATCGAAAATGAATTCATACTTTAAGCAATTATTATTGGGTCTAGATTATTTGCATTCTTTGGGTGTGGCCCACAGGTATATATAAAAAAAAAATGTTAATGCATGATAACTTTTTTTTTTTTATTTTATAAAAAAAGGGATATCAAACCAGAAAATTTATTACTAGATGATGATGGTCGTACGTTGAAGATTACTGATTTTGGTGTTGCTGATGTATTTTGTGAGACATGGCAAAAACATAGTAGATTATCAGATGGATTTTGTGGTTCATTAGCATTTATAGCTCCCGAAGTATTTTCGATATTACAACGACGAAATTATTCTTTCCATAATCATGGTTACCAAGCAACCAAGGTAGATGTATGGTCAGCCGCCATTGTATATTGTTGTATGTGGCTTAAAGGCACACTTTTTAATTCGGCTGAGAAAAGTGATCCTCATTATCGAACTTTTCTCAAAGCTTATTATTCTCGTTCGTTTACTCCTCTTGCTGCTTTATCGGAACATGCTCGGTCTTTTATATATCTGATGTTGGACCCTGAACCTGACCAAAGAATTTCTATACCTCAAGTTCTTTCTATTCCTTTTATCATGGACATTGATTGTTCTTTATAATATTTTTTTTTTAAAAAAAAAAAAAGATCATCATCTATAATAATAATAATAATAATAATAAACTATCTGATGAGATGATTAGATCATGTTGAAGTCATCTACAGCCAATTTCATTTGCTGCCCTTTTTAATCACCGTTTACACAAGGAATTTCTTTTTTTCGTTATTTTCTTTTTTTCTTTCTTTTTTATGTTTCGACGTTCTATTTTATTATATTCTTCCTGTCGTCGACTCTCATCATCCTCCCTTTCTAGAATGACTCCTCCACGTTTTACACCTGCTCAACGCGTTGCAAAATTTGACCAAGATGGTAAACCACAAAAGATATATATATATATATATAAATACAACTAAACAACGTTTATTTTTTATATGTATATATAAAGTTTGGTCTATCTTTACACCATTGGCTGCTGAAACGAAGGCTATCAATTTGGGTCAAGGTTTTATGAAGTATGTTGAAAATAAGAAAATGTGAATACAGAGAGATGGAAAGTTGTTAGAAAGGGTTATCATTGTTTCTTTACAGGGCTTTGGTTTCTCTTAATTTTTTTTTTTTTTATGTCTCCATTAATCATTATCTTTTCTTTTTCCTATAGTTTTGGACCTCCTGCTGTTGTTCAAAATGCTGCAAAGGAAGCTATTGAACGCGTGGAAGCTAATCAATATAGCCATCCTAAAGGACGACCAAGACTTCGAAATGCTTTAGCTGCTTCTTATAGTCCCGAGTTCAACAGACAATTGGACCCTGAAACCGAAATTCTCGTCACCGCTGGTGCCAACGAAGGTAAGAAGTCACTATCGATGAATTGATTCACTCATGTTTATCTATATATAGCCATGTTTGCTACTTTTGCTGGTTATTTGGATGAAGGATCAGAAGTCATTGTGATGGAACCATTTTTTGATCAATACATTGTAAGTCGTATTATTGTATGAGGTAATAACTTATTAAAGATGTGATCTATTTTTTTTTTTAGCCCAATATTACGATGAATGGAGGAAAACCAGTCTATGTTCCTCTTCGAGCTCCTTCTCATGCTACCACACAAAATATTTCCTCCAGTGAATGGCGTTTGGATACTGATGAACTCCAATCTAAGATTACTCCTCGTACCAAAATGATTGTTCTCAACACTCCACACAATCCTATTGGTAAGGTCTTTGATGAAGATGAACTACGTGCCATTGGCAAGGTGGCTGAACAACATGATTTGATCATTTTGACTGACGAAGTGGTAAGTACATTCTTTTTTTTTTTTATTTATGTATTTATAACTCATATTCTTTTCATTATAGTATGATCGATTATATTATCCTCCTCTTACAAAATTCCCTCGAATTGCAGCTTTGGATGAATTCTGGAATCGTACTTTAACGGTTGGATCTGGTGGCAAAAGTTTTGCATCCACTGGATGGCGTATAGGATGGTTGATTGGACCTGAACATTTGATCAAGTATGCATTTGCTGCTCAAACTCGTGTGGTATTTTGTGTGAACTCCCCTTGTCAAGAAGCCATTGCAGCTGGATTGGAAGCCTCATTGACGCAACCTCTCTTCAAAGACCAAACCGCCAACTACTTACAAAAGCGTGCCAAACTTAGCAAAGTGTTTGATGATCTTGGTTTGCCTTACACGTCTCCTCAAGGTGCTTATTATATCTTGGTCAATACCTCCAAGATCCGTTATCCTGCCGACTATGTATTCCCTGATATCCTACACCAACGTGGTGACGACTTTAAGATGTGTTACTGGTTGACGAAGGAAATCGGTGTATGCGCTATCCCTCCCTCCGAATTCTACATGAAGGATCATTGGCCCCTGGCAAAAGATTTTGCTCGATTTGCCTTTTGCAAGACGGATGATGTACTGGATCAAGCTGTTGACCGTTTGAAAGCATTGAAGAAATATATATTGTAAATTAGTAGATTATTTGTGTTATTATTGTCAGGGATGCTTTCTTATTTTGTGAATAAACACTCTGAATTTCTTTTATTTTATTTGATTTTATTGATTTGATTTTTTTTTAAAAAAAAAAAAGCAAAAGAATAGATTGGACTGAATGAATGAGATGATAGATAATGAAACATGGGCTTGGTGGATATCGGGAAAATGATTGAATGATGAGTGGCTACTTTCAAGGTACAAACTATTTGATTGGAATGAAGCTGTATGTTAAAAAAAAAAAAAAAAGTGACCAAGTAGGACAAAATACCTAAATTTGGATGACATTGCTTCATGACACTTGGCTTAAAGAGGAAAAAGTAGACGAGTTGTCCTTCTTCCAAAGAAAGGCATCATCCATTAGACGATAGACAGACATGTAAGAATTTTTTTTTTAAAAAAAAAAAAAAAAAAAAAAAAAAAAAAAAAAAAAAAAAAAAAAAAAACAACCAAAATTAGATGAAAGTTTCAATCTTTTTTGAGAAGACATAGTTGATCTTTATTCATTAATCAGAGACAACAAATAAAGTCGAGAGGAGGGTGCATTAGGCAGGGTGTGGCCGTGCATGTAAGGCATCTAAACAAGAAAACTCAAAAACTCATATCATCGGATTCAATGGATGATCTTTTTTTTTTTTTTAATTTATTTATTTATTTTTTACTTTGATGATGGTAAGAGATCGTTCATTGGTAGAGTCAGACACTTACCATATGATATCATTCAGTTTGATGGATTTTCTCTTTTTTGTTTTTTCGTTTTCTAGTGAATCACCGCCAATTGTAACACAAAATCTAGTAGGAAAAAAGTTTAAAATACAATACATACATACACTCGCACATACATACATATATATATTGTACAACCAAAAAGATGATATATAAAAAAAAAAAAAACTTTATTTCTTCGATAAACAAATTTACAAGATGGATGTCTTTATTAAAGAGAGTGTGGTTTTTCTATGATAAGAAGGATAGGAATGATATAATTAATGTGATTGAATAAATGACAAAAGTGTGTGTGTGTGTATATAAAAGATAGGGAAAAAAAAGGAGACGATGGGAAAGGGATGAGAAGAGGAGGTTTTTTTTTTTAAAAAAAAAAAAAAAAAAAAAAAAAACAAGAAACGAATTAAAATGAGTACAAGAAATACACAAAAGAAAGCTAAACTAGAAATGAAGAAAAGAAACTATTCTTTCTTTTTCCATTGTACACGTGAAGTATATATATATATATATATATGATATAATGATGTATGATGAATGAAGAAGAGAAAAATAGAAGGGATGTAAAAAAAAAAAAAAGGTAAGTATAATAACTAATGATTTTGAATATGATAAATGAGATAAGAAGGAAGTCCAACTACGGAGAAACCCATTGCCTTGGCCATTTTTGCAAATCCTTCTGTTTCTACTTGATGATGGAAAGGATAAGCTGGGAAATTGGCACCTTCACGATGTACATTTGCCTTGACTAAAGTGAAAGTAGCACCTACACCATCCAAAGGAACTTTATAATCCAATCCAAGGTGAGTAGGCATATCCACCATCTATATTAATAATAAAAGAGAATCAGTATTTTGGTTTTTTTTTAAAAGTAATCCATTTAACTTTACCAAATAACGATGAGTAGGGAATTCATAATAACCTTCTAATAAAACAAAATCTTCATCCAATCCTTTTTGAATTTCCATTGATTGATCAGTTTCTTGCCAATTATTCTTGTCATAAGCATAAAAAGCACCATCTTCACGATCCAATAAACAATTAGGTACTACAACATCTTCATTGGCAGCCATCAAATCTTCAAAAATAGTAGGAGGATATCTTACAACATCGACATCCACCCAAGCGACATATTGGAATTCATCACGGAGAGCAGAAGAGAGGAGATAATTACGAGAACGAGCCATGACACTACGACGAAGAGGTTGCATTTCATATTTATGACGTTGATCATTGGGTAAATCGAATTTGAAGTCCTTGTGAAAGACACGGATATCATGGAATCGATTCCACCAAAATCTATTTTGTAAGGTTTCAGCATGACGATGTAATTCTTCAATAGTATTATCAGTTGTATCAGATACCAAGAAAGCCAAAGAAAGAAGATGATTAGGATAAGTAGTTTGGTCCAATAATTCAAAGTAACGGTCCAAATAAGGAACAGCGTCTTTTAAAGGAGTCAATACCAAAATTTTAGCTTGTTGAGAGTCTTCATTCAAGTTTTTAAAAGTAAATTGAGTTCCTTCGTTTGTTTGATAAGAAGAAGGAACTTGAAGTTTATGTGATAAAGAACGATGAGGTGAGAATGTAGGCATAAAATAAAAAAAGGATAATACAAAAATTAAAGCAAAGATAATTAATCTTTTATTATTTTTTGTATTTAATGAGAAAGACATTGTTTATTATGAGATGTAAAAAAAAAAAAAGTAAGAAAAGAAAAAAAAAAAAAAAAAAAAAGAAAAAAAAAGAAAAGAAAAAAGAAAAAAATAAGGGAGATTCAAAGTGTAAAAATAATAATAATAGGGGAGAGAGAAAAAAAAAAATAGGAACGTACGGAGTTGATTTTTTTTTTTTTCAGAATAACTAATGGAACTAAGATTTGATTGGATATCATATTATCGAATGAAAATCCTTTTCAATGAGATTTTTTTTTTTAAAACATTACAAACTATAATAATTTCATTCATCCATTAAGAAATTATTATTATTATCATATTATTATTATTATTATTATTATTCATTTCATATATATATATATATATTATATATAAATTACAGGAAAAAAAAAAAGAAAAGAAAAGGTTTCTCAAACTTTGTTTTTTTTTAAATTACCGCACATTTGAGTCGTCCTTTTTTTTTTTTTTTAGTGTTCCAAAGAGATCGACGTGAAAGTGACACCAATATTTTGTATCACCAATAAGGCTGGTTTCCCCTTATTTGCCCATCTTTTTTTTTTGACTTTTTTTTTTTTTATCATCATCATTCGTCGATCTTTTTCTTAACAAATCACAATAAACTTCTTTATCTAACAAACAATAAAAAAAATATACTAAATTTATCATCATCCTTTTTTCATATCATTATTACTCTTACAATCAAAAGTGATTATTATCAATAAAAAAACAAACTTTTTCAAGTTATCATAAATAAATATAAACAGATGATCAATTCATTACATATAATTTCTTTTTATCTATTTTTATATCGTTGTAAACTAGAACAACTTCATTAACCATAATAGGATAATGAGTTACCAATGAATCAAAGAAGATGGGTTAACTGCCAAGAAAAAAGAAAAATAAAATAAAATTCATTTCCAAATTAAGATAATGACAGATAGAATTAAAAACAACCATCTAATGGAATTAAGATGATGATCGTTCGTAATACACAATGATATATTTAGATCTATTTCATTTAAACTATTAACTATCATAGAATTAATATTGTATCATCTCATTGATCATCATCAATTGTATGACGAACAAGCTACTGTATAGATCTCATCTTTTATTCATTCATCACTATGAACATATGATCACATCATCCTATCTTATCTGTTATATTCTATCAACCTATATATTATCCAATCATAAAACAAAACATCAAGAATCATACAAATAAAACCACCTTTTCACTTTATTTCTGAATCAAAGATAAAAATAAAAAAAAATAAAAACAAGATAAAACTACGATATATAATATATAATAATGCATAACATAAAAGAAGGAAGACATGAGGGAGTAGTAAATAGAATAAAACCAAAAAAAAAAAAGATATATGTATAGAGAGAGAGAGAAAAAGAAAAAAAACGAGGATCATAAAACAAAAAAAAAAAGTCACCTTGGATAAAACCAGCCTAGACGATTGAAAGCACCCCAAAGACAACTTGTCTTATTGACATCTATTCGACATACCTTTTGAGCATCTGATTTTCGAAAAGGTAAACCATGTTGATGAAAGACTTTGGCGGATAAAATCAAGGCTCGTTTACATTTCAAATATTGTTCTGGCGTCAATCGTAAGGTGGATGCAATACTTTGTTCATTGGTGTGTAATTGTTGATAATAAGGTAAATGTTGAATAGAAAGTGGTGATCCTAAATTGAAATATTAATAAATAAAAAAGGTCATTAGTAAAAAAAAAAAAAAAAATTAATCAATAAATATATATATATATATATTGATTTACCTTTCCAAATGACTCGTATACTTGGTCTATTATCAAAAGATTCCCATAATGGTATCCATGCTGGATCAAATATATCATGATCTTGTACAGAAAGGTTGATATGGTCATAAAAAAAGGTGTCTGCTTTTGGTTTATTGCCAATATCTGTCAATGGTGAAGTTGTTGTTGATGATGATGATGATGAAGATGATGATGTTGAAACGGATGATATTGTTGAAGTTGGTGATGGACTTGGTGACGTTAATGGATTATATACTGTATTGGAAGATGATAATGATAATGATAACGATGATAATGAATGTCGTTTTTTTCTTGGTCGATCAAATACATTCATTGTAAAAACGCCCCGGGAATTTGCAGTTGTCGGAGATGGCCTGGGCAATGATTTTGTACGATGTGACCTTCGTCTTTTTGATGAAGAGGATCGATGTTGATGATAATCAAAAGGAATACTGAAACATTTACCAGTTATATCTAAAGTATCACGATTGGCCAGAATCATAGCATGGATTGTATGAGATAAACTGGTTTTTCGATAAAGTAATGATGATGATGATGATGAGATGGTTTGATTGGTAGGTGGTAATATTGTCACATAATCATCATCTTCAGGTGATCCATTCATACTATTGAATTTAGGTGTCATAGGTGGAGACATCAAATTGCTTTGATAGCTAGTTGTTGATTGTTCGTTGTTTTCAAAGATCATTTGATCCTTATTATTGATAGATTTCAAGAAAAGAAAGAATCAATATTTTATATAACAGTAAAATAAAAAGTATGAAGAATATAAAAAGTAATGAAGAAGAAAAAAAAAAAAAGAAAGGAAAAAAAAAAGAAGGAAAAAGTATAAAAATAAAAAGAATTAAAAAGAAAAAAAGAAAGAGGAAAAAGGAAAACCAAAAAAAAAAAAAAAACCACTTTATACATCTGACGAAAATCATTTTTTTTTTTCCCAAAAGCCAAAACCTAAAATCAGGTTTTACTTCCCGACACTGTCCATCCAATATGAGCCAATCAAATTGGAGCCTTTTTTCCTTCTTGGCAAATTTCCATTCTTACTTTCTCTCCCCTACTACTAAACTGATAGACCACGTGGGTTCTCGAATCAACGTCATCATCATCATCAACTACAATCGTCATCGACTACTATTCCATTTCTGATCATCACTTTTTTTTTGTAAACTGGGAAAAAATGATGCAGATCATTATGAACCAATAATCCTTCCAGGTCCCGATCATTTTTATTCACTTAAAAGGAAAGGGTTAAAAATCCTATTTCAGATTGAAACAATTTTTTTTTCCTTTCTCTTGATTTATTTTTTAATAATAAAGGGGGGGGATAAATGTGAGTTGAATGTAAATAATCTATCTAATCTGCATGGTTGAATAAATAACTAACACTTTCACCATTATGCTATACAGAAAAAGAAAGAAAGACGTTAGTAAAATTAAATAAATAAATAAATAAATAAAAAAGAATCGTCATTGTTTTTATTACCGTTCTTCGAATGGCTTCAGCAAGTGTTGTAGAGATATCAATAATTGTCAATTTTTCACATTGATCCATTTTGGTACGGGGAATCGGGAATGTATTGGTGACAACAAGCTAAAAATAAAAGAAAAAGTAAATAATTTGAAAATATTATCATAATATTATATTATTTTACCTTATATACACTTTCACATGCTTGAATCTTTTGAACGGATTCACCACTAAGAACACCATGTGTAGCAATAATATAGACTTTATCAGCACCGCACTTGTTCACCAAATGATCAGCTGCATCAAGGAATGTTTGACAACCATCAATAATATCATCCTATAGATATATAAAATTCATTATTATATATCTAAGTTTCTATTTTTTTTTTCTTCTTCTTACCGTCAAAAATACAATTTTATCCTTGACATCACCCACTAAAGTAATAGTACTTTCTTCACCATCGGTATCAGCTACAATGGAAACAGCAGCATTCATCACATCCAGATTACATCCCATATCATTCAAAGAAGAAATAGAAGCTGTCAAATCTTCAATTCCATTATTATCTTCTTCATCAGTTTCTGCCATTTGTTGTTGAGCCAAAGAGGCAGTTGCATCATTTCCACCTTTTGGCATACCACTATATGGTCGATTATGTCCTTGAGGTCCAGAGCGAGATCGATCTTTATGAATTAATGCAAAATCCAAACGAAGAGCATCAGCCAATGAAGTGACTCTATAGATAAAAAAAAAAAAAAGGAATAATTAACATTTATATATATATATATATATATATTTACCTTTTGGCACCACCAGCATTTTTACTAACAACCACACCATTTTCCCATTGAGGTACATGTTGGGTAATCCATCTAGCAATCACAGGTTCAGCATATAAATTATCCACTGGACGTTGGAAAAATCCTTGCATTTGACTGGCATGAAGATCCATAGTAATGATATGATCTACACCAGCAACAGCTAACATATTTGCAACCACTAAAGAAAAAAAAAAGTAAGTACATATGTAAGGAAGGCGGAGTTTCACTTACGTTTAGCAGTGATACAAGTTCTACCTTTGCGTTTGCTTTGCTTGCAGTAAGGGAAGTAAGGTAGGACGGCAGTGATTCTTTTGGCAGATCCAATACGAGCAGCTTGAATCATAATACAGAGTTCGATAATATTGTCGTTCATATCATTAGATCCCGATTGAATAATAAAAACGTCTTCACCACGAATAGATACGCCTTTTATTATCAAAAATAAAAAAATAAAAACAAGTTCAGTAATATCCTTTCATTTTATAAACTTTTTCTATTGTTCTTTACCAATTTCAACACTAATATATATAATAAAACAAATAGATAAAGTTAAATAATGTTTTTACATATTAAATATATTCTTTTTATACTTCATTTACTCACCTTGTTTCTTTGTTGCTAAACTTTTTTGAGGTTGTATCAGCAAGAGGAGTACCGAGCTTCTTTGATACCAATTGAGCAAGTTCTGGATGAGACGAACCAGCCAAGATCTTTGTGTTTCGCATGGTGGGAAAAGTTGACAATTAAAAAGTAAAAAAAAACAATATCGAAGAAAAGTATAAAGAAATAAAAAAAAAAACAGACAACCCAAGTCCCCGCCTTTTTTTTTTTTTTCACTTACTTTCTACACGAGGCTTAAACATTGAATGCCCGCCTCAGACTACTAGTAAAAGATGTTTGTCTTGTGGAGAAATAGGAACGCTAAGGTAGGACAAAAAAAAATAACAACTAAAAAACTGTCAAATGCATTCATGAACTAATATATCAATATGAATTCTTCCTTGAAAGTATTAATGAAGCTGATGATTTGAAAAGTAACTCACCTTACCCGGGTTAATGCCTCATTCCAAGGTTCTCCAAGACACTCCAGTCATAAGAGCAAGTAAAGGAAAATAGATGATGAATATGACTCAATAAATCAAACTCAAACACATTCATCTGTACTCCAACTATACTATTTGACAAATAGATTGCAGTATTCATTATAAAAATCATCCATTCAAAAACTCTGGATTATGAAGATAATCTTTTGTAGCTTTTATTCAATATAAACAAACAGCCAAATATATAATAAAAGGAAGAAATGCATTGATGTATAATACTAAACATGAGAAGGATGAAGATGAAGATGATGATGATGATGTTGTTAATAAAGATGCTTATGAGAAGAATGATGATAGTAGATAATAGTTAATAATAATAAAAATAATAATAATATAATGATAGTATTAGAGAGAGATTATGGGAGCAAGAGAAGAAATATACATAAATAATAAAACAGGAGTGAAAATAATATTATACAACTATCAAAAAAAAAAAAAAAAGTTAGAACCCATCCCGTCTAGTAATGTCAAAAAAAAAAAAAAAAGATTTACCTTTTTCGTATGATGGATGTTGAGAAAATCCTGCGGTTTCAGAATACATTTGAAGAGCCCGTAAAACATGAGTTGGATCCAATTCCAAAGCATCACCTAATTGTTCCAATACCACTGAGAATTGCCCCACTTTTTGCAAGTATAAAGTAGAGACAGCGTTCTATACATACAAATATATAAAATATAATGATCAAAAAAAAAAAAAAAAAAAAACACAATAATATATCATTCATTACCTCTATTCGAGTCACAAAGTTTTCCATCAATATCATCAGTTCATCATCAGATGCACATTGCATAATATGTCGTTGCAAAGTATCCAAAAAGGTAAATCCTCGTCGCATATGAATTCCAGGTTTTTCTAATTCAAAGTAGGAACCGTCTGTATCTTTAATTCGAGTAGTAGCTCGAATGGTTGTGATTGCTGATGCTGTTGCCGTAGTACCATGGCGCCGTAGAGTAAACTCAGGATGAGTAGCCACAACATATCCTGTTGTAATTCGTTCCAATCGAATTGCCAAATCATTGAGAGCACACACAAAAAGAGGATCGATAGTGCGCATAGAATGTTGAGTAGATGAAGAGGGTGGTGGTAACAAAGACGGTCGCTTCTGAAGTAATCTTCGTCGTTCATCATGTTGGTGAAAGTCGAAACTTGACTGTCTTTCATGTCGTTGATCAGTACTAAGTGGTGGTGAAAGAGGACCAACAACCGAAGTATCTTCATCCAAAATAGGCGATGTTGGTATCATTGTTGGTGTGGTTGCTGTTGAAGCTTCTGTTGGTGTATTTGCAGTTGTCGATGCTAAATTCCTTGGATTCTTGTCTGTTTCTATACGACCAGCTAATTGTTTTGGGTACACAAAACTAAGGGTTTCTGGTGTTTCTAATCCTTTCAGTCGACGTTCACCCAATTCCATCACTTGAAAGCCAAGTCGTTTTAATTGTTGTACATCACGAGTTAAATAACCCATGCCACCACCTACACCACGTCCTTGAGTTGTTATCATATCTTCATTGTCGCCACCACCACTACCGCCACTACTGCTGATACTGCTACCAGAGAAGGATCCAAGATCACCAGGAATATTTCGTAAAGCTGTGATTACATCAGAGGAAACACAAATTTGTCCACCATCAGCCGCATTACAAATCCTTGCCGCCTTGTTCACCACAGGTCCAAAATAATCCATCCTATTGGTAATAGGATTACGTTCAAACACAGGTGTTCCCCAATGAATTCCCATACGCACAGATAATCCACGATAAATCACTGTATCTTCTGCATCTTCAATTTCTCGTCCTTCTTCAGTATCCAAAATTCCAGCTGGCCAATCTGCTTCCAATAATTGTAGTTGTACCGTAAAACACCAAAGTAAGGCTCCAGTGATATTTTGAAAACAAGTCATAAAAGCATCACCTTCAGTTTTAACTTCATAACCACCTACACTACGTAATGTTCGTCGCATAATACCATCATGAATCTTGATCGCTGATCGCATATCTTCCTGATGAGTTTCCCATAAAAAGGTGGAGTTCTTAATATCCGTAAAAACCAAGGCAACTTGATTGATAGGTGGTGGCACTTCACGTTCTAATCTTGCTAAAGTCTAAATCAAAAACAAAGATAATAATCATTAGAAAAAAAAAATGACGATTTCCATTTCCTTTTTTTTTTTTTTTTTTTTTTTTTTAAAAAAAAAAAAGATATCACTTACCGAATCACCAGCACTTTCTTTCATCCTACGCTTGCTCTTCATCAATAGACCAGATTCATCTGAAGGAATATCACCAATTGTTCTTCCATTAAGGAAAGGAGAGGCTCCAGGTGCACCCATTGGGATACCACGATAATTCCTAAATTTCATTCCATGTCGATCAAACATATCGCCAACTCCAATAACCATGACCATGATATTTTCATCAGCACCGTAACTAATGGCAAAGTCTCGTAGTTTTTGAGCAGCAATCATAAAATCCCCTTTTTCTGTTCGAGCCACATCCACCGCCGTTTGATAAGACATACAATCCCAGAGACCTTGAGAAGCCATAATCAAGAATTCGTCATTTTCAGTTAATTCCATCACCGAGATATAAGGATTAGCGTTGACCACAGGTACCAAATGGAAGTAACCAAAACTTCGAGACACAGGCAATTCATCATTTAAAAGACCAGAATTGGATACATATCCACCAGCAGCACGGATACGAGATGTTTCACTTGGATTTAACGGAATATGTTTTTGTGTGATTTCATGCGCTTGACCATTGTTACGTGATAGTACAACAATCACATCCCCTATATTTGCCACATATAACTTGGTTCCAGAGATATAACATACGGCTGCAGATGCACCAGAAGAGAATTGAGATGTATCATTTTCCGTATGGCTACTTCCACCGCTATTTTCATTCTTGTTTTTGTCATTGTCATCGTTGTTACTGCTACTTAAGCTTCCTGCACTGTTGGCGCCAATACCAAGTCCTTTTTCTAAACCCAAAAATGTTCGTCGTATTGCTGATACCACGGTATCGTCTTGTTTGGTTTTGACAAGTTCGCTTGTAAGATGATATGTAAGTGAATCGTTCAAATATTTTGTCAATCGGCATCCAACCTTGTGATGTCGACATCCATCAAAAAGGGCAAATAGACATTCATCATCCTTGTTCCTAAAGCGTGGTATCACCAAGTCCCATGTCGATAGATGATCACTAGGTCCAAGCCAGTCTGCAATCCCATAGCGCATATTGTTAACTTCGGATGGTGATGTTCGTACCCGTCGATCATAGTATTCTTCTGGTGTTGTCACTCCCAATATCGTAACATCCATTAAGCCCAGCATCCGTAATTTGGTTAATGCGCTAAAGTCTGATAGATTCTTTTCCTTTGGATTGTAGCTTTCAGGATACATTTGCTTGATTTCCAATCGTTTGTTTCCAGATAAGTTCAAATACTTTAACCCCAAATTCCAATTCCTATATCAATAATAATAATAATAATAATATTTTTCATTTGTAAGTCTTCTAGTTTTTTTTTTTTTTTTTACTATTATTTTTTTTTTTATTCTCTTACCAATTCCAGTCATAAGGCCAATTTGCAATGTTATATTTGAGTACATTATTCCCTACATCAAGCACTAATAATTTTCTCAATTTTCCAATTTCTGCTGGTAAAGTTTGAAGTTTGTTGTCGTTGACGGCCAAAACACGCAAATAGGATAATTTTTCAATATCATCTGCCGGTAAAGATGTAAGAGTATTGCCAGAAAGATACAATTCATATAAATGTTGATGACACAATTCTTCAGGAGGGATTTCGTATAGTTCGTTGTAAGCCAAATTCAAAGTTCGTAATTCCAAAAAGAGGGATAAAGGAGACCAAACATCATCTGTTAATCGATTATCACCCAAAAACAGTTGTCGTAATGAGAGTGATAATGGTGGAGGATGATTTCGAGGACTAGCGAAAAAGGAAGGAGGATTGAAGTTTGGAGGTCCACCACCACTTGAAATTGAAGATGAATTCATGCGTTGCCGTCTTCCGGGGCTACCATCATCAGATATTGTATTATTGTCTTGATCTGTACCATCCGTTGTCATCGATCCAAAACTGGGACTTGAGAATTCCGGATGGGAACTGCCACGATTATGAGCTGGCACCATGCCTTGACCACGTACGGATCTATCTGATGTTGTACTGTTGTTGAGAGATGTGCCAATACCAAAGGGTAGATGTAATGCCACACCAGAATCATTGAAAGGTTCAGGGAAGGTTTCCAACAAGTTTGAAGAGCAATTCAAGATTTGTAATGAAGAACAGAGCCATATTTCCTTGGGTAAACTTTGCAAATTGTTTTTCTGTGCCAGAAGAACTTTGAGTTCTGTTAGCTTGGATATTTCAGAAGGAAGTCCATTCAATTTGTTGTCTTGTACCGATAATCGATTGAGTTTTTGGAGCAAGCCAATACTTTTGGGGAGTGATGTTAATGTATTGTTATCTAGAGTCAATTGTTCCAGTGTCAAAGTTGAATAAAAGATATCATCAGCGAAGGAAGATAGTTTGCAATTCGATAGATTGAGATTGGTGAGCACACTAGGTACAGCATAGGGTTGAATATGACGATCCGCTAATGAGTAAAGAGCATCTTCTGGTGTTTGACAAAATCCCATGTTGAATTGAGTGAGATGATTTTTCGACATTTGTAAGTGACGTACATGAGCTATTTCACTGCTGACAATACTGACGGCATTGTAATCCATGAATAAAATACTAAGATTCGGTAGTTGACAAATAACATCAAGATCGGTAATAAAGTTTTGTCGAAGATCCAATTCTTGCAAACTTTCCAATTGGGCAAAAGATGATGGCAAACAACCTGCCAAACGGTTGGCAATAGCAAAAAAACTAACGAGTTTCTTGAGGTTTCCAATTTCTTCTGGTAAGGAGGTGATCTTATTGAAGCTGATATCGAGATAAGTCAATTGAGGGATATCACAGATAACTTGAGGAAATTTGGTCAGGCAGTTGTTGGAGATATAGAGCAAATTGAGATGTTGAAAACTAGCGAAACTACTTGGTAAAGATTCCAATTTGTTGTTGAAGGCACGAAGAGATTTCAGTAGATGTAGATTTTCCAAGGAATCAGTGGTTAGATCAATCAGTTGATTTCCAGAAATGTTGAGATGTTCCAATTGAGTACAATAATGAAGAGATGATGGAAGTGAGGTATATTCGTTATCAACAAGCCAAAGTTGTTTGAGAGCTGTACAAGATTGCATAAAGTCCAAAGGTATTTCCATCAATAAATTTTTCGTCAAATCGAGAGACACAATTTCCGATGCATAATTGTATAAAAAGATAGGCACAGTTGTCAGATTGCGTCCCTGTAATCCTAAGTGCTTGAAGTTGTTAAAATCAATTTCGTGTACGTTGGGAATGGCCTTCGTTCCAAATGAGAAGCGTAATAAATACGAATTATCTTCACGTCCGACGTCTTCGATATTATCTTCTTCAGTATATCCCATTTGTTCCAGTAGTTGTTTTTGAATTTGAAAAGGTCGTTCATTGGGTAATAAAACGCGATCTAAATTAAAAAAAAAAAAAAAAGATCAGTCATCATCCCAATACTCTATTATATTTTTTTTTTTTTGTTGAACGGGGAGTATTTACCTAGATTGTGAAGTCGAATCAATAGACTGTACTTGCTGAGATCGTGTAAAAAGAATTTTCCTGCCAATCTATTCACCAATTCTTTTGTTGTTGTATTCAAAGGAAGTTGTAGTGTTCCAAAAGTATTATCAGATCGGAAAACACGAATACAATACTATAAAGAAAACATAAAGAAAAAAGTCAGTTCAATGATTCCCCCTACACTAATATGATAAGTTATTTAATATCTGTTTACGTTTCGTCGTTTGATATTCCAATCAGTAGAATCACTAAAAGTCACTCCATCATAGACCGATCGATCATCATCAGTAGCAGGTACAGGAGCCAATAATTGAGAGACTGACTCAGCCGAATATGCAGGTTCAACAGCCCAGCTGTCAGGAGGAGCCCATAATTCAGAACTATATACCTATAAATGGATGAATCATTTTTATCAATAAATGATTCTTTTTTTTCTCATTGAATAACCAATTTTTACTTACACCACCGATTAGTTGAGATCCAGAACCTTGTCTATTTGAAATATCCAAATTATCTGTATTAACAATGCCTTCCATCGTTTCAAAATTTTGATCCACTATATATATAAATAAACAAACGAAACAAAAAGAAAACACATTAATCATCTTCATTTCACTTTTTAAAAGTTTTTTTTTTTCTTTTTTGAAAGCATACATTCAAGATCCTATAATAATAATAATAATAATAAAAGAAAAAGTTCAGTAAAATAATAATAAAATATCATATATCTTACCTTTCCATCAATAGAGAGTAAACCATCACTTGATTTATGAAGCGAAGGAGTTGTTGGAGTACCGACATCTTTTTTTCGTAATCTGTCAGACGTTGCAGGAGAATGTCGATTTCCATAATAAGAATATACATCCTTTGGTGGTAAGCGGCTGTCATCTTGAGAAGTATCCAAAGGATGTGGCGTAGGTCTTGATTCAAATTCTTTTTGTCTACGTTTTGACATTGTTGGAGATGGTGCTATTGGTAAAGATGTAGTTGGTAATCCATGAGGATCTATTATAGGCGTTGAAAGTTCTGTTCGGTCTATTGTACATAAATAGATCATAATTAGTAAACAGCCAATCAAAACCAATCTTTCTATTTTTACAGTTTTAGATACTTTACGTTTTTTTTTGAATCGACCGAATAAGTTACGTTTCTTATCTTTATGTTGTTGAGGTTGTATTGGTGAAGAAGGTCTTGGATGAAAACTTGATTCTATATAGTAGAAAAATAGAAAAAAATAAAGTAAAATTAGATTTTGCACAACGTAATACCGGAAGAAATGACAGACAATAGACGGACGATGATTTTTTTTTATTATTATTATTTTATTTTTATATTACCACGACCAACTTCAGGTAATGTTTGTGCACGGTTCATTGTAGGTGTAGAAGAATAGGATGGATTAGTAGTAGAAGATAAACCATAAAAGTGTGGACGTAATTGAGATGTTGTTATTTCATTTATTGGACTGACAGGTCGAGATCTTGAAGGATGAGGCGGAAGTTGTTGTTCCAAGGAGCGCCTCCGTGGCATAGGCATGAGAATAAAAATAAACTAGTAGAATGTATATTTGTTGATTAGAAGCAACAGTTTCTTTTTTTTTTTTTCCTCTTTGAACAACAAGGAAATATGTTGTAACAACAAAAAAAAAAAAAAAGAAGAAGAAGTGGTTGAAGAATATATAGAATAGTTGAAAAATAAAAAAAGAAGAAAGAAAAAAAAAAAACAATACCCAGAGAGAATGAAAAAGAGAGACAGTTGTTTCACATTCCGATTAAGTCTTTTTTTGTCCCCATCAATGCCAAACGGGGAGAAAAAGAAAAAATTATCCATTAAAGCAGGTTTTTTTTGTTTATTGACGTCATGGACCACTTTTATTCCCTACCTTTTTTTTTTTTCTTACTTTTCCTTTTTATTCTTTTTTCTTTTTTATTTTATTAATAAATAGTTCTTTATACCTTTAATATTTTATATACCCTCATCTTTTTTATTCATGACCAAACATAGTGAACCCTTTTCTATTCCCTATGACTTTGTACAACAAGAGTCTTCAATGATGCCTTCTACCAGGATTAACCGTTTACATCAAAACCAACTTATCAATACTTCGCAAACTAATGTAGAAAATTCTCAAGTTATCACTAGTATTGAAGAATACCATTTACAAGGTGTTATAGGTATTAAACAAAAAAAAAAAAAAAAAGAGTATCTATTCATATTCAATCACCGCGTCTTCTTAACCTCTTTTTTTTTTTTTTTTATTACTTTCAAAAGGTTATGGATCCTCTGCTACTGTTTACAGTGCTATCTATCTTCCTCAAAATCATCGTGTAGCCATCAAAATGATTGATTTGGATATGTTTGAAAGAAACCAAATTGATGAACTTCGAGTAAGGAAAAGTAAAACCATGTGGTCTTTTATCATTTGCCTTTTACTGATTCATGTGTTACCTTTGTGTGAATTTAGCGTGAAACAGCTTTGATGGCATTATCTAAACATGAAAATATTTTACCGGTTTATACCTCCTTTGTCTCTGGTTCAAAATTATGTATAGTTACACCTTATCTTGCTGGTGGTTCGTGCTTGGATATTATGAAAACCGCATTCCCTGAAGGTTTAGATGAAATCAGCATTGCCACTATTTTGAAACAAGCTTTAGAAGGAATCTCTTATTTACATAAAAATGGTCATATTCATCGGGATGTCAAAGCTGGTAATTTGTTAGTGGATGAAGATGGTTCTGTCTTACTTGGTGATTTTGGTGTTTCAAGCTCTCTAATGGAAACTGGAGAACGTGGACTTCGGAGAACTTTTGTTGGAACTGTAAGCTACAATATATATATCTGATGATATCCTAATGATTATAATGTTATCATTACTTATCTTATTATTAGCCTTGTTGGATGGCTCCAGAGGTGATGGAGCAAGCTGGATATGATTATAAAGCCGATATTTGGAGTTTTGGAATCACTTCTATTGAATTAGCTACTGGTCAGGCTCCCTTTGCAAAACTACCCCCTCTGAAGGTATAATAATAATAATAATAATAATGTATGATGATACGTTATTTGTTTATCTTAACTTTTTTTTTTTTTTACACGGTGATTTCCATATTTAGGTGTTACTGATGACTCTATCGAATGACCCACCTAGTCTAATACGAGAAGGTACAAAATACAAGTATTCAAAAGTGTTCAAGGATATGGTTGATATGTGTTTGAACAAAGAACCCATAAACAGGTCAATATTATTCAATGATTATGGTCACGATATGACAAAGCTAGAACTGATCAGTTTTTACCTTTTAGGCCCACTGCAGAAAAACTCTTGTTACACCCGTTTTTCAAACAAGCCAGGAAAAAGGATTATTTAGTCAAAACCATATTATCAGATTTGCCTCCTTTGGAACGACGGTCAAGAAAAAGTATTCAGAAACGACAACACTCTTTTACTACCTCAGAAGAATGGGATTTCAATGACAGTAATGATGATTATCACCATGATACAGCGATTCCTTCAAGCGATAACGATAATAACATCGAAAACAATGAAGGTCATTTACCGACGGTCGCACATGATAGTACAGGTAGTGATAGCAGCATGAATATTACCTCCAACAATAACAACGACAATAATAATTTAACCAATGACTGTACTACACCAAACGATTCTATAGCGTTACCCAAATCAAAACGACATATATCATTTGGTTGCGTTGTAGTCCGGAATCCACCTCAACCGTCCAGTTTATTTTCAACATCACAACCAACATATTCAATCATACCAGACACTCAGCATAGCAATATATCCGAAACCTCTATTCGTTATACGGGAATTGATGATGATTGTAAGAAGACAACTGGTATTTCTTCTACCTACCCTACTAGTGTGAAATTCTCGTTGGATGATCAATGTAATAGTAAGGTAAAGCTATCAAGGAAGATAACAAAGGAAAAAGAAAAAAATAGCAAAAGAATAATCATTTACTTCTCTTATATACTATATTCAATTAGGAATGTCACCATCCAGAAACGACCCAACCGCTAGAAATTGAGAACATTGGTAATCAACAGAGTAGTACTCACCAATTGATAAAGACAGAGAGTAATGACAGCGCAGGTAAGGTTATATGTATTTTTAACGCTATTTCAAGTTGATTCATTACTAATGACGTTTATTTTTTTTTTCTTAGGTGAACGACATTCAAGATTCGAAATACAACGTGGACAAAATACAACTCCAAATTCAAACTGTGTTTCCGGTGATGGTGGCACAATACCTACGACCACAGCAGTACACTCTCACAACATGTCTTCATTAACTATGTTACCAGTTACAACGACCTCAGTTCACGAAGGACCTTGCCGTTTGCCGATTTCTCGATCATCATCATCAAAGCAACCATCAACTAATCGACCTCAATACACTCATCAGCATAATCATAGTGTTGGAAGTGACAAAGAATGGATGGTATCAGGTGGTGTATCTGAATCAAGAAAAATAGGTCGATTTGAACTAACAACTTCAACAACATCAACAACTACAGCTACAATAAGCGAGTCATCATATGATTTTGTACCAACAAGAGTCAGTGTAGAGCGACAATCATTGGTAGCATCACCACCGTCATCTTCGTCCAGCTTATCATCATCATCACCCCCTCCGCATAATTCTACGAATAGTCAATCCATTCCTTCTCATCATCATCATCATCATAATCATCAATATCATCATCATTATCATCAACAGCAACAACAACATATTAACAACGATATTCCTTATCCTTCTTTATCAACAACACCTCCTACATCCTCTTCCATTATGAGTGGATCTAAATCATCTATTGGTATGAACGCAGCTACTTTACAGTCTCATATTGAAGAACTTTTAAAATACAATGAAACCCAACGACAGATTATCTCGGACATTTTTGGATCCTATCGTATGGAGTAAGTTGTTACTCAAAAAAAAAAAAAAAAGACAACCCAATGTGAAACTATAGAATGTATATCCATTTTTCCCTCCCCTTTGATAGACGTTTTGGTGCCTTATGTCAACAGCATAAACATACTGGGTCCACATCGTCAAATGATGATTATACTTCGATGATAGTAGGTCTTAAGCACTTTAATAATATTGTAGCTAATTATGGTATATTATCTTCTATGGTAGGACTCACTGGAAAAACAACTTTCTCAAATCGGAAAGGAAAATGCTGCATTACGTATGGAAAACAGACAACTACGGAAAGATTTGGATCAGATACGTTTGTTATAATATGAGTAGTTGATATTCGTTTTAGTTAATCATTTGATTGTTTTATTGGTATTGATATTTGAATAAAGAAAAAAAAAATCAATATAGTTTGACCGTATTATAGTTTTATGAATATTCGTTTTGCCTATTTTAGTAGTAATTGTCGACTATAAATATTATGTGATTCAATAACGAATCATGATCTTTCTGACAATCATAAAAAGTAATACTGTAATTAGATGGATTGAAGAATTCAATCGCTTATAATACAATGGTAAATTGTACCTGATGATAACTGTTTTTTTCTTTTCTTTTTCTTTTTTTTTTAGTAAAGCATGGGTTGTCGGGATTTCAACCCCGGATTTCATTTGAGTTTTTTTTTTCATGCTGAAAAGAGGACTTATTAAACAACGGATCAAAATGTAACTTTAATGAAATATGAATGAATGTATATATATATAAGGGCTTAAAATGTATTCATCCTATTTTCACAAGATCAATAATAGGATCTATTTGATCGGATGACAAGAAAATATGTTGTTTAAAAGAATAAGTGCAACAAAGATTTTTAGGCCACGTGAATCGTAGACGGACTGAAAAAAAAAAAGTTAGATATTTTTTTTTTCTCCCTTGTTTCTCTTTTCTTTTTTCTTTTTCTTCTTAGTTTTTATTTTGTTACATATATATTTATATTTATTTATATATATATATATATATATATTCATTTTTGTTTATTCATACTTATATAACTTACTTTCCATCTATTTGTATATATTCAACAACAACCATATAGTCATGGGTAATGCAACATCAAAGAAAAGAAAAGATAGACCTAGTGTGATTCGTAACGATATTCCAGACAATGATTATTCGAATACTACGGCTACATCCATCAACTCAATTCTTGTCAATTCAAGTCTTCAACGGAATTCTATTAATAAGAATGGTAAAGCTGATAGTAGTTCTCATCAACAAGTTCCTTCAGCGCAACAAGCATTTCCCAATAGTCAAGAAACTACAAATACAACAACTACAACATCAACAGCACATAAACGCGATAGTGGAGATATGTGGCCACAACAACAATCTTCTTTTGATGACCAAGATTCCAATCAACTTACATTTACTTCACAAAACCAATTAACGGCAACATCGATGCGATCTGTAGGACGAAACTTAGATATTGACGAATGTATCGATCGACTTTTGGAAGTGGGAAAAACTACTAAAGTGTCCAAATCTATCTGTTTCAAGAATTCTGAAATTGTCGCCATCTGTCGTGCTGCTCAAGAAATCTTTGTAAATCAACCTGTAAGTTTATAGAGTGGATCAAATAAGGAGTAGTGATTCTATAGGATGATGATTTTTTATTAAGGAGTTGATTCAACCCTTTTTTATGTTGTTAGAGTTTATTGGAACTTAATCCACCAGTCAAAATCTTGGGTGATATCCATGGTCAATATCATGATCTGATTCGATTATTTGAAATGGTAAAAACTAATTCCTATCACGATACTTTTATTAAAACTTATACTTTCTTTTTATAGGGTGGTTTCCCTCCTGATGCTAATTATCTCTTCTTGGGTGATTATGTGGATCGTGGCAAACAAAGTTTGGAAACTATTCTCTTACTATTTTGTTACAAGATAAAATTTCCTGAAACTTTCTTTTTACTACGTGGAAATCATGAAAGTGGTAAGTTTATATAATCCCATTAAACAATCTATTATATATTCAAATATTCTCTTCATTTGATTCTATAGGTTCTGTCACTCGTGGTAAGTCAATAATAAAAAAAAAAAAATAGAAACTTTATTTTATATCGGTGAATTCATTTTTTTTTTTTCGTATTTATATATTTATATATTAGTCTACGGTTTTTACGATGAATGTAAGCGACGTACGAATGTGAAGATCTGGAAAACGTTTGTGGATGTCTTCAACACCTTACCTATAGCAGCACTAGTGGCAAGCAAGATATTTTGTGTTCACGGAGGATTATCACCGTCGTTGCATTCGATGCAAGATGTGCGTAACATCATGCGACCTACTGATGTTCCTGAATATGGATTATTGAACGATTTATTGTGGTCTGATCCTTCTGATACAGCAGTAGAATGGGAAGATAATGAACGTGGGGTATCTTATTGTTTTGGCAAGAAAATCGTGAACGAGTTCTTAGCAAAACATGATTTGGATCTGGTGTGTCGTGCTCATATGGTGGTTGAGGACGGTTATGAATTCTTCAATGAACGTACCTTGGTCACGGTATTCTCTGCTCCTAATTATTGTGGTGAATTCGACAACTTTGGTGCCATCATGAGCGTTAATGAAGAATTATTATGTAGTTTTGAATTGTTGACACCAACTGATCATCCACCTCTTGCTACCAAACTTGGCTCGATGAACGCTCCAAAGGAAAGTCATCCAATGGTTATGAATACTGATACTGATTCACCTGGAAGAAAACCAAGGTAATATGGATTTATACTGGATAAGGGATTTTTTATTCATCTTTTTTTTTTTTTTTTTTTTTTTTTTTTTTTTTTTGTACATGGAAGTCCACCTATGATCTCATCATCATTATCTTCTGCCACAGAATATCAAGATTGATTTACTATTTACCCCTCATCGATAGTTATTTTACTTCTTCTTTCAAACAAATCTATATTTACCCATTTTTTTTTCTTTTATTGTTATTTATATTTGATTCATTACTTTGGAATTTTTACAGTTAGTTTATTGTTCGTCATTTTGTTTCTTATTTATTCATCTTCATAATATCATCATTTTTTTTTTATATTTATTTTTACATTTTATATGGAATTTATTTTAAGTGTTGATTTATAAAATGCACAACTTGAATAAAGTGTAAAAGATCATTATCCATTGTCATGTGTTTGCTTTCCATTGTCATTATTGCCATTATTCCCCTTTATCACTCTCCCCAAATCATCATACATTAGTTCATCATTTAATCATCAAGTGATAAAATAAGATGGAATAGAACAATACTATTGTTTTTTTTTTTTTATTGAAGACATACAAATATTAATATTGTGAAGAATATGAACACGGCAAGACTAACATCCATACTGCCAAATAGTATGCTTATGGAGAATCCACACCAATTTATAGAACGAAAAAGAATAAAAAGAGTGAAACCGTATTTAATAAACTAATATAAAATAAAAAGGTAACGACTACAGATATATACATAATAGAATAAAAAAAAAATCAAATAAAAAAGGACTACGTATATACAAAGGAATAAAATAAAAAAAAAAATAAAAATAAAAATAAAAAAAAAGAGTGTAATCTTGGCGAAGATGGCGGCTATGTAGCGGATGATGGTGTTGACGAGGGAAGATATGTTAGTTTCACCGCTACTTGGATTGAAAATAAAAAGTAAAGAAAGAGTTAACGTATGATCCGACTGGTTTGATTGATACTTACTAGGAGGACGGGAGGTGCGGCGGCGAAGGGAGCATGGATGGAGAATAGGTCGTTCTCCTGGAAGTGTTACGTAAAATAGTAGAAATAAATGAGTATACGCTAATTTATTCATATTATTTATAACTTACGAGCAACATCAGAACACAATGACGCGACCCTAGGAAGAACCCGTCGTGGAGGAATAAAAGTGTAGGTCGCGACAGGATCGAGATATACTAAAGAATATAAGGGTAAATAATGTATTCACATTGTCGTCTTTTTTTTTTTTTTTTTTTTTTTTTTGTAAATACATACCTTCTAATATCACGTCATATGAAGGGACAGCATAAGAAATAGGGGATGAAGTATGATAAAAGTCAATAAAACACACCGATATGACCACTATCTTCTGGTGTACTTACAGTCTATCACGACAAACATGGAAGGAGAAGAGGAAGGTGTTGGATGATGAACGGTTGGAGCAACCATAATGACACTATAAAATAAAGAACAGAATAGTCAAGAGGATACCCGTTTAGCCAATTTGATTCTTTTTTCTTTTTCACTACTTACTATCCAATTCCATTGTCAAAGAGAGTGCGGTTTTCAAATAAATTCAATAAAATAAAGCTGATTGAGTTCATGGAATAACAGTAATGAGCTCTACACTATATTCAATAAAAAATGACGGAATTCAAAGAATAAGATGGCGCAAAAATAGGAAATAAAATATCGTAAGGATAGAAAATAAATGACAGAAGAAAAAAAAATATAATTGTCGCATAATCAAATAGAGAATATAAGAAGATAAAGAACAAGAAGAAAAGGAGTGATAGTAGTTCCATTGAGTATTTTGAATAACAGAAAATAAAATATTATTTAGTCAACATATCCATTTTTTTATATTTATTTCAAATTACCTGTAGGGTAGCATTAAATACGTCCTCCGAAGAGGCGATAACATATTTTTATATGTTGCTGTACAGGTTGATATTCACTTTGAACACCAAGAGAGATTTCAAAAAGAAAAAGAAAAAAAAAAAAAGAGAAAAAAAAAGAGAAAAAAAAAAGGAACTATTATGCAAATTTACATTCGTTATCGATCGATCGAATGTCTCAGTTAATGAAAATAAACAAAGAAGACCCCAGTAAATGATTTTTTTTTTTTAAAAAAAAAGAAAGGAACTATTATGCAAATTCACATCAACATCACAAGATATGAATATTACATTAGTATACCCCTGTCTTAACTGTGAATATTATGATGATACAATATAAAAAATATATTTCTTTTTTTTCCAAATATGGCCTGTTGAAAAGAATCAGCTAACAATCAGTCATCAATCATCAATCATCAATCAATGACATACTCTACCGACATCTCTAAAGCGATATCTAAAAAAAGTGGTAATGCGACATTCATTTTGGGAAAGTACGATGTTTTATTTTATAACATCACGAAAAACATTTTCTTGTGACCCGACAAAAAACTTTGAAAACACTGTATTTGACAAAGAGAAGAAAAAAAGAAAAGAAAAAAAACAGATTTTTTTGTTTATTTAGAACTTTATCTGCTTTTCGGATCATTGGTTGGTTTCTTTAAACTCCACCTTAAGCCACCCTTTCATATGATTATTTCATTTTGTGTAGTCTTTCATCATAGAAAAAGAAGTAGTAGTAGTAATCGTATTTTCTGATACTTACCATTCATACTATAAATGATTTATGCAAGTAGCATCTGCTCGACGCTGAGCGACAATTTGGATAAAATTCCTCCAATGTTTTGTATTAGATTTGGCTGGGCGAAAATTTCAAACCTAATGTTTTCTGTATTCCGCGGCTGTTCCAGGTACCACAGGGACAAATATTGTAGTCACTACTTCATTACATTATATCACCCATCATCGCATATAATCCATCATCACATATAATCCATCATCACGTATAATCCATCATCACATATAATCCATCATCACATATAATCCATCATCACATATAATCCGTCATCACATATAATCCATCATCACATATAATCCATCATCACATATAATCCATCACCACATGTCATTATAGCCAAAGGACTATTCTATTTATATCAGGAGATCATGTATAGTCAATAAAGCAGAAGGGGAAAGGGTAGAAGGAGATATATAAAAAAAAATAATTTATTAAAGGAAAAAGCACGATGATAAATGAATGAATCAAGTGTATCAGTAAAAAAAAAAAAAAAAAAAAAAAAAAAAAAAAGAGGGATTTGTATCCGAATGGATCCATTCGAAAAAAAAAATAGGCTTCGAGAAGGAAGGACAAAAATATAAGCACAAACTAACGAAGAATAATAGTGATGATGATGATAATAATAATAGTAATAGTAATAATAGTAGTAATAATAATACGAGATATATATATAAAAAGAGAGAATGGGTGATGATAATAAATCAATCAATAAATAAAAAAAAAAAAAAAAAGAAAGAGAAGGACTAAGAAATGGAATAAAAATAACAACATGTGGTGATCACAAGCGCAGGGAGAGGGAGTATTTAGGAAAAAAAAAAAAAAAAAGGATGACACATTACCTATTCTGGCAACAAGGCAATACGATCATTCAACCAAAGACAATCCCCTTTCCAACGATCCTTTTCTTGAGCTACGTCTTTGACTTGTTGTTCAGTTTGCTGTCGAGTCATAGCCAATTCCAATTGTAATCTTGATTGTTGTTCCTGGGCCAATTGTTGCTTGAGTTGTTCGATCATGGCCAAAAGCTGCAGTTGTTGATGATCCTTTTGTTTCATCTGGCCTGTGGGTAAGACGGATGGACAACTGGTACGACGTTTTTCTTGTTTTGGTTGATGACATTGGGAACACACATGTTCATCTTCCTTGGGTGGATCAGTTTGCACTTGCATATGGCGGACACGGACAGATCGTCGTTTCAAAGCGGCTGCAGGTACACTACCAGAATGGCGGAGCACGGACCGATGTTCCGTTGTCATAGAAGTAGCCGATGTACTGGAGACTGTACGATTGATGGGATGAGTCGATGATTGTTGTTGGATGGATGCGGTGGCTGATGCAATGGCTGCAGATGCAACAGAAGGTGGAAGTGGTGCTGGACGTTGAGGTGATGGTCGATGTTGCGATTTGGCAGGAAGTGAAGGAGGTGGGACTGGTGGAACAATCATATCTTCTTTTTCTGACACATCACTATAAATACCTGAATCTCGTAAAGAAAGCTGACGTCGTGAGGTAGATGAAGTAATAGATCGTGTAGGTGAGGGTTGAGGTGGTGATTGTGTTGAGCGTTGATGGGTAGGTGGAAGATGAGTATTAATACCAGAAGTGGATGATGGTGGTTGATAGACTGGTAACGGGATATAAGTTGATTTTTGTTGTTTTTCACTTGTTGCTGTGGATCGGATGGTGCTGATTGTGGATATATTACTATTGTTGTGAAGAGATAAGAATGGTGTCGACCCCTTTTTTCGTAATCGATTGAAAAGACGAGAAGCACGACGGAATTGAGGATTTTGTTGTTGCTTTTTGGATGGTTTCAAAAATTCTTCAGGACCGGTGGTAGCAAGAAATTGAGCAAGTACTAGTGTATCTGCATTATTGCTGCTATTGATTGATACCATGGAACTACTGGCATCATCATCCGTCATCGAGTATAAATCATCATCATCGTCATCATCGTCATCATGAGCAAAAAATGCTGCATTCTTGTTGGGGCGAAGAATAGCTCGTTGTTGTGTAAATGTCTTGGTGGCCATATTATCAGTAATTAGAAGAAAGGAAAGGAAAGGATTTCTTATTTAAAAAAGAATGGAATGGGTTGTTGAATTATAAATAATAATAAAAGATAAAAAAAAAAAAAAAAAAAAAAGAAAAGAAAGAAAGAAAGAAAAAAGGATAAAAGAAAATATCAACTTTTATTGTTCTTTGATGTCTCCTTAAATGCCGTTACACACACCCCTTTCATGTTGATCTTGTCTCCTATATGAAAAAAAAAGAAGGTTGGAGATAACATGAAATGAAGAACGTGAAGCTACAAAAGTGTAAAATTGGCAAAATATAACAAGTATAATGAGGGTGATAAAGAACGAATGATTTTTTTTTATTATTATTATAATTTTGAATATATATCAATGATATATACAAATGATATGTTTGAGTGAATTTGAAGTAAAATAATCAAAAAAGGAAACAAAGACAAAAAAAATAAAATAAATAAAAGAGATACTAAACTATACTATCACTAACCATCTGTGAACAATCAATAATAACAATAATAACAATAATAATGATAAAGTAACAATAATAATAATCATAATAATCATAATAAACCAGCCTATTCAGTTTCTCCTTTTTCCATCGTTCCTATAGATAAATCATGAGAAAGGTTCCCGAAGCGCCATTTTTGGTTTTGTTGTCATGCGTTTATTGTTGACCAAACTGGATGAACCTTGTAAAAGAATCCCATGAGTCTTGTCTATATTTGATGTGCTTGATTCATTGATTGTTGGAGTTGTTGTTTTCATATGCGATGGTAAAACCCTATTCTCTTCCTCTCTTGGTGATGGTGGTGGTGATCTGGTTGGTATTTCCTTTTTGAATTTTAGTATTGCCAATGTCTTGTCTAATGATGAAGTTTTTGCCATCACACTGCTTTGTGCCAACGACGATGTTGCTGCTGAATTCGTTGTTGGACTAGATGTTGATCGTTTCCATTCGCGCCATCCTTCTACATCAATCAATGCCTGCATACAACCCCATTCCATGATCTTCTTTTCCAACCATTCCAAACTGACAGGTTTTGTAAGGAAATCATTACATCCAGCGGATAATGCTGCTTGTCGATCTGATTCATGAGATGATGCTGTCAATGCCACAATGATAACTGGTGATTGGAAAGCTGCTGCCCTAGTACTTGATGTTGATGATGCTTTACTTGGTGTACGTTGTTTGTATTGTTGCTGTGGTTGTTGTGAAGTGCCGTCATCTAACCTATCATTCACTGCTCCTTCGTCTTCTAATGGCAAAGGTGTTGGTGATGTTGATCTTGCTGTTTCTGCGAAGTCATCCTTGGTTTCCAATTCATTCCATTTGCTAGGCAATACACCGATGTTTTCTTGCTTTTCAATTTCTCGAATCATCTTTGTTGCATCAATACCACTCATCACAGGTAACTGAATATCCATCTAACAGATATCATCAACCAAAAAAAAAAAAAAAAAAAGAAAAAAAAGAAAAAAAAAAGAGAGAAGTCAGTTCAGTAGTCTTGTCAGATCTATAAAAAAAAAAGACATACCAAAATAAGATGAAAGCCACCCTTTTTCCATTTTTCCAAAGCTTGTTTCCCATCACTAGCTACTTCATATTTAATATTGTGTTTCTTCATCCAGGTTGATAAAATAGCTTGATTAATCATATTATCTATTATCATAATAACAAAAAATCAAAAAGTCATGTTAAAATTTTTTCCCCTTTTTCTTCCCCTTTTGCATTCCTTTTTCTCTCTTTCTTCTGTTTCAGTTTACCTTCCACAATCAACACCTTGATAGGAGGGCTCCACCAGGGAGTATGTTTGTTCTTATCCTTCTTTTTGCGGTTACTTATCCTGAATCTCAAATTCCGTTGTTGTGATGTCGTTGGAGGGCTTGTTGTTGTTGCTGTTGTTGTTGTTGTTGTTGTGTTTATTGCCGTGGCTGTGGTGGACGATGCTGATGTTGAGACAGGAGTGGCAGCAGTAGAAAGTTCCGTAGCAGATGGACCAGCCATTGGTAAAGGAGGAGTAGTAGTAGTACTAGATAAAGAGGAGGATACTTGATTTTCTGATGGATTTGAATCCGAAGGATGATCACCAAGAGGAGTTGATGCTTGATTTGTTGTTGTTAGTGATGGTGCTTCAGTTTCTGTAGAAAGAGATATGTTTGTTGATGATAATGCAGGTGAAGATGATGAAGGTAGTAAATTGGAAGATATATGTAATTCATTCGATGGAGGAGTGGTTGTAGTGGGTTGTGTATCAGTAACTGCCTGTGGAGTGATCATTTCCCTTTCAGCGACCATAGATATTCGAAGAGGACTTGCGGTACCTGATGAATCGAGATTACCTTGATGAGAATCCAAAGGCAGACTTGCTGTTGCTAATGATGTGGCACGATCATGTCCTGTTTCTGTTGTGAAGGATAAATCAGTCATGCGTCGATTGCTGTTGATACTGGAAGGATGGAATGTATTTGAGTGAGATCGAAGACGGCGATTTATGGATGGTGAGCGATTGCTAGATCCAGTCGAAGGAGATTTGGAACCAACAGGATTTGAATAATGTCGAGTAGAAAAATAGTTTCCATCATCACAACGGGGACCTGGGGATAACCTTTTCGTATCAGTACCTGGAGTAGGAGGAGTGGAGACAGAATTCGGTATTACCATCCAGGCAGGATAATTCAAGGGACAAGTGGCCATAGGAGCAAATTGAGGATCCACGATAGCATCCATCCATGCTGTATGTAGTGCAGTCAAAAATCGTCGAGGACCACAAGGTTTTGGTACAATGAGAACACGTGGAGGATGAATGGTTGCTGATGAATTTTGTAAAACTACTTCGCGTACACGTCGATAATCCTTGAGATATGAAAAATAAATGATAGCAATGGTTTTTTGAGATTGCCGACGATGTCGTTTTGAAGGTAATTCTTGTTGAACGGGTATCAATACATGTGGCGTCGTTGGTTGTTGTTCTTGTTGTTGCTGTTGTTGCTGTTGCTGTTGCTGCTGTTGCTGCTGTTGTTGCTGTTGTTGCTGTTGCTGTTGTTGTTCTTGTTGTTGTTGTTGTTGTTGTGTTCTAAATTCTTGAAGTTGTCGTTCCAAAGTCGCAATATCATTGTCAATCAATAAAAACATGGGTGGAGTAGAATGGATATGATCTTCTTCAGTTGCTGGTGTAGGTGCCTTATGTGGATTGGAAGTGGATGTACTGGTGGATGACGCTGAAGTTGTGCCAGATACAGTACCAGGAAGAGGAACATTATTGAGTAAGTTGAATGTAGAGCTAGACATGGTTGAAGTGAACACTGATGTAGGCATATGACTAATATCTACGTTCCAATTTGCAAGACAGCTGGTGACATGTTTAGCGAAAATACTTTTTTCGGTTGCATAAAGAATCATCCGGATGCCTGATAATTTTTCAACAAATTCAAACAATTCTTTCAAAGTTGGTTCACTAGCATATTGAATATTGTTGTGTAAATCATGTATCGAACGTTCCATCAAAAGTCGTCGTTTTGCATTATCGGATCCTGCTTGTAAGTTGTAAAGGACCAGATAGCGAGTACTTGTGTCGTTGATTTTGTCCACTGATAAAGTACCATTTGAATATCGTATAATTTCTGTTGTGTAAAGAGAAAGCGGTAGATCTGTAGACGGAATCCCTTGTGGAATAGCATGAGATCTTGTTTGTGTGATATCAAATGTGATTTGTAGTCGATCCGAACCATGTGATTCAACATTCAGTCCAATCTCAATGCAGGCGCCTGGGGTACATCCTTCCATGATATTGCGTAGAAGCTAAAAGAAAGGTAAAAAAAAAAAAAAAAAAAAAAAAAAAAGATGAGCTACCTTGACAAAATATAGAATGATTTTGTTTTATTTCTACTTACACACATAATTCCATGTTTAATAGCATCTTCATCACCCAAGACAGTAATACAATGTAAAACATTATCCATATGATAGAGAATAACAGATATACCTTGTTTGGAAGCCATAGCAGCAAGAGCATCACCTACATTTTGAATCAATTCACTAATATCGAATTCACGTGAGATGGGACTAACATAAGCTTGTTCTTGTCGTAAAAGTCTTGATAGAAGATGTAAGTGAGTACCGATATGACCAACTTGATTGACGATAGTATGAATAGCAGCAATATTGGTGACAGGTACAGGCATACTACAAGAGCTTAATAGTTCATGTGTATTGTTGAGAATAGTGATAGGAGAGAATTGTTCTAATGTTGTCATGACCATCATAGTAGATTCTTGAATTTCCCGTTCCAATGTTTGTACAAAGTTTTGACGAAAGGTTGCGATTTGATCCAAATAGAGATCCACCTGTGCTTGAGATTGAGCTAATTGTTGTTCCAAAGCCAATTTTTCGTTCTGTTGAAGGTTGCACAAACGTTGAGCCATGTGAAACAACCCCAGGCAATAGATCCACAAGGCCCCATGAGACCAAGTAAAGCCCATTGTACCACTAAACTTGCCCGAATCATAGAATGGCCATAGCGCATCAGCTGCAGCAATCGTCACACTTTTGTATATGGAAGAAGAAGATGATAACGATAATATGACCGACCATACGTATGCTATTGAAGTAACACCTGCTGATACTATCACTAAGCACTGACCAACTAAACAAAGAAGACGCGCTTGTTGCCAACCAAAGAATGCATTATATAAACCAAAAACTAACCAACCGAAAGGAAGTATCCAAGAAGAGTAATGTAAACATTGTATGACACATAAAAAAGAGGCAAGTACCAGCATGAGTTGTGTTTCTTTTTGTAATAATATTTGTTTGTCGTAAGAAGATGTCAATGTTAAGGCCAAAGGAGGAATTGGATCGTCAAGAGTTGAATATTCAGAAATAGCTGATCGTAAGTAAGTTAAATGAGTTGAACCAGTAGAAGAAGAAGCATGACTAAGAGTATGATCTAAACTTGGTCTTGTTGGTACACGTTCTTTATCATCAGTAGTTGAATGTTGACGACGGTGTGAGTGTGGATAATGAGACATGAATGAAAGAAAAATAAGTATGTATTTTAAATTATAAATATATACATGTATATATGTATAAAGAAAAGAATGTATATAAGTTTATAAAAATATAATATAATAATATATCAAAGTAATTAGATCATGAATATGAAATATAAAATATAAAATAAAAAAGAAAAAGAAAGAAAAAGAGGAAAAGAAGGGAAAAAAAAAAGAGAAAAGAAAATGGTAGCGGTAAACAAAAATATTTCAACTTGACTGAACCATCCCCAAAAAGGACATTAACCCCAATATTACATACTAACTATTATATTGTATTTTTATTTTATAAAGTTCGTTGATCAAGATTAAATTCTATAGGAGGATCTGTCACTACGCTAAGATTTTGTGATAAAATGGTAGTTTGATCCTATATCAAAAAGAAAAAAAGGTTAAGATTATATATATATATTATATATATCATTATTTGTTACCTTTGCAAAATGAAATTCACCCAAAAAATAATTTCCTTCTAAAGCAATTGGTAACCATTGTTTATCATCTGTCCACATTTTTGGATAAGGGATTGTATCATAATCAAACCATTCAGGACGCATTTCTTCCGTTCTAGATATAAATAATAATATTATTAAATAATATAATTTATATTATTTTATTTTACTTACTCAGTTGGAGTACCAAGATAATCAGTTACAAAATAAACGTGAACTTCAAGACCTACAGGATCATCTTCAAAAGTAAAAAAGTTGATACCTATCTTTTTCATATCTTGAGCTTTAATCATGGATTCTTCCTATAAATTATGAATATCAGTTTTATATATTAAAAAAAAAAAATTCATCAATAGAGTTTTACTGTCAATTCACGATGCGCAGCTTGCAATACAGTTTCACCAGCTTCCAATTTCCCTCCAAACCCTATAAAATAAATAAAAATAAAAATAAAAATAAAAAAAAAAAAAGAGAGAGGGAGAGCGACAATTACCATTGAACTTATTCATGCCAAAACCGCGTTTCTTAAATCCAAGTAAAATCTAATTTCAGAAGACAATGTCAGTTTATTATTATTATTATTATTATTATTTGATGCCATCGTAACTAATAATAAATGCATTACCTTATTTTTCGATTTATCCAAAGGAAATACCAAGGTGAGTGGTTTTTTGGATTTAATAGGTAACATGATTAATATGGACTACTGTTGAGAAAAAAAGGTTGGGTCAGCATAATGAAAATGAGCCTACAAAATAGAAATGGGACGGTTAGTATGAAAGTGAGTCACACAAGTGAAAATGGATTCATCTTGCCAAATTGGGTCAATCATGCACTTACCAGATATTTCCAAATAAGAGAGCCTTCAAATCCTACTTTTTTCTTTTTCTTTTTTTTTTTTACTTACAACGCAAGCGTTTAACCGTCGCGGATGTTTGTTATCCGGATTATTGTTGCAATCGAGAGAACACCGAAGGTCGAGATCCACTTTTGATAAAGTTCATAGCCAGAGAATGTATGTTACGAGCAGCGTTATGATCCCGTTGCCATACACGTCCACAACTTGTGCATGATTGGACGGCATGCAATTTAGATTCACCAACTTTTATGTTTTCCAAGGACTTAGTACCACAATTGCTGCAAACTTGACTAGTGAGATATTCATCGATGTTAGCCACTATCAATCTTCCTTGTTGTTCTGCCTTGCGAAGTAGCTTCCGAAAAATATTTGCAAGACCATGTATTTTCCCTCTGAACATGCGTCTTCCAAATGATCCATCCCCTACACATACGACAGTGGTTATATTGCTTGGTGTTTGGCTGAAAGGAAGCTTTTTCCACTTGTTCCTAAAAAAAAAAAAAAAAAAAAAGATGTTTGTCTATCTGTCCTCGATCCTACCAAAAAAAAAAAAAAAAAAAAAAAAAGACTACTTACAATTTTGATTCCTTTGCTGTAGATGGAGGGTGTTCATCAGATGAGGATGGTGGTAGTTGATCGTCAAAAGAGGATGGCGGTGGTGGACGTCTTCTTTTTCTTCGCGTCGTTCCATCTGTTCTAGTTCGAGCCATGACAACTGCTTCACTTGGATGATGATCAGGATCCGGATTGTATTTCTTGCCGCCATTAACGAAGATATTTATCCTTTCGTCTTGTACCTTTTGTTTCCCGATGTAATTGAGGAATCGCAGCCGTTGTATTTCAGTACCATAGAATTGGACCAATTGGGGTAAAACATCAAGTAATCGTTCAATATACAATTGTATACCATCCATACTGCTTGTTTTGGGCGACGGTATTGAAGATTCAAGTCGATCGATATTTTGAGATTGTTTCGTTTCACAAATAGTGTTGTTCGTTTTCTTATATCCAGCTTTCACGTAATACTCTGCTGAGGAAAACTTTCGTACCTGGTGTCGTTCGGAAGGATCGCTATTGTCGACAGCCACGAAGACTTCAGTAACCCCAGGGTCTACCCCCCATACCTTGCATTCTTGCATATCTTCACTGGTAATATCGTCAATCGAAAGAGAAGGCAATCGGTCTTGATTCACTATTTTTTTGAAGGGAAAGGAGGTTGCATAGCCATCTGTCGTAAAACTGTTTTCGAAAATTCCATGTCTAGTTCAATGAAACAAAACCAGATTAGTACTAGATCATTCTTCTCCTTTTTCTTACCTTTTAAGCTTCCGTAAGTCAAACATATTAAAATTCGGGTGAGGCTGGTTTGGTGGGATCGGTGTAGAAGATGGACTAGCCAAACGTCCTAGACCAAAATGTTTTAGTATTGTTCCAAGAGATTGATGATCGATGTGTATATATTTGCGTGTGAGTCTTGGAATGGGTATGATAGTGAATAGTCTTGCTTGCTGCTTTGCCAGATATACTGGTGGTGCAAATCTTCCTTCGCGAATCTCTGTTTGTGCTGTAGTAATGGCGTTTTGTATATGCATAATAGATTCAGCGCTGAAGCCAGCAGGTAATTTCTCTGGAATAAATCGTACACCTTCATTGATAATATTTGTAATAGCGCGAGTCAACGATGAGCGGCGGCGATGGTCTAATCGTGTCCATTCAGGCAATCCAGATAAAAAATGATATGTCCACGTGCGTTTTGCTTCATTCTGAGGTATGGCTGGTAGTTGAGAGTCTATTTGATTCCATTGTTCCATCTTGCGTAAGATATCAAACATGACAGGTAAGAAAAATTCTGGGTAGGAGGAGATTGTTGCAGTCGTAATAGATTTCGCTGAATGTACAGGATTTGGTGTTTCAAGGTCCAGTTGTGTCATACCTATACTTCCTACACTTGAGGCTGGAGACGGGATGTCCATTGACTCCGGGAGTGGGTCTGTCGATGAGCTAGCTATAGACGAGCCACGAGATGCTTGTACACTTCGACGTCGCGCTTCTTCCGTAGTAATCAATTCATGTATATTGTTCCATTCGGTACTTGCTTCATCCATGATGGTCAACAGTGATTCATTGAGCTTGTCGTCAATAGCTGGATCGTATTCAATTTCTGGCCAAACTGGAGGGAACTTGTCATCATTGACGGTGGATTGGTAAACAAAGTGAGCAAAATGCATAGCATGATTTTGTGCCAGTTCCTACACACGAGTAAAAAAAAAAAAAAAAAAAAAAAAAAAAGAGATGAGAAGGAGAAGATTTGTACTGATTTGCCTTTACTGTTCTTGTAGATATACTTACAGGAATCATGCGTCGAAGGCGGCCTTGTAAATATGCTATATAGAATCCATCAAAATTTTCGACAACATGAGAAAGGAGATGAGTTGAATAGGTTTGTGCTGTTGAGGATAGAATACCACTGAAAGCAATTGGAGATCGACCAATAGGGGAGGACACCTTTTCACATCGTGCCAGAGGAAATTGCTGGATAAATCGACGAAACACAAAATTGATATTATCACGTGTTGCAGCATCGAAAGTCGACTGATTGGTGAATTTGCCACCTAGTAGTAACTGGAAGATACCATAGAAGAAAGCTTGTTGAAAGAAACATGAGAGCAAAGGTAACCCGGCATCAAGACGATATGTGAAGAAATATAATAAAAAGAGATGACCCTTGATCACAAGTTGGCGATTGAAGTCCACAACAGTTTCCACTCCTTGAACAAACTGAGTCTTTTCGTCATCGGTCATATCTAGGAGTAAACCATACAGGCCATGTTTGATCGTGTGAGTTCGGAGAGGAGCACCAGAAAGTTCTTCGTTCTTGACCTTTTGTCGTTTTTTCTGATCAGGACATAAATTACTTGAGGAGCGTGAATGAGTTTTTGCCAATTCATGACGCCCAGCAGCGATACATGTGGGACACGGTTTGCGATTTGGGTTTTCTAGTTGAAGAGCTTCTTGTCGACCTTGGTTGGCAGTTTGCTTTTCTTTCTTTTCGTCCTTAGCCTGGCGTCGTTTGGTAGTCTGTTTAGAAATAGCTTTTTTCTGTCGTTTGTTCGCTACCAAATAATGGGAAAAAAAGGGTAAATGATATTAGCTTATTTAGAAAGAAAATTATAAAAAGTAACATACCTGGTTGTTCATCGTCTGTATCAGCATCTTGTTCTTGTTGCAGTAATTTTTGTTGTTTTTGTAGTTTTTTATTTCTGATGAAATTTTGTACGGTACGTGCCATGATAGATATAAAGATAAGAGGAAAAAAAAAAAAAAAAAAAAAAAGAGACTGAAATACAGCATGATGACCTGATCTTGGACTCACTTTTCGTACTAATCCAAAAAAGGAAATCAAAAATAAAAGGATGGCACTTCTGCCAGCTTGACCCATTTTCGCGGAGTTGGCCCACATTGAAAAACTTGACCCAATTAAAATTCATTTGACCCATTTCCATTTTGGTGACCTATGTTTAACTAACCTAACCCGACCTAATTTTCTCGACTGTGAAAAAAAAAAAAATAAGTCTACAAAACTCAGAAAATGGCCTGTAAACTTACTACATTTTGCTGCATAACGTATAAGCGTAATAATAATAATAATAATAATAATAATAATAATTAGTCAATCATATTTTGAAGAGATACACAAGACTGCAATAAAAAAACATTGATTTCATTTTTATTTATTGAGTTTCAACGTAAAAAAAAAAAAAAGAAAAGAAAAGAAAAAAAAGAGAATTCCATACAGTAAAAGCTATCCTATCTAGAAAGTGCCACCTATCTGTTCCACCATCACATCAATACTATCACCATCTTCCATATCCAACTATTATTATTAAAAAAAAAAGAAAAAAAAAAAGGTAAGAATGAGATAAGAATAAAAACATTAATTAACTTACTTCGTCTGGAGTATTGGTTGGTAGTAAACGATTGCCATCGTATAAGAATCGTACGGAACCTGCGCTCTTTCCTTGTCGTTCACAATAAGCATCCATTAACTTACGAAGTGGTGTTGTACGTTTGATCTTGAAGAATACTTCATTGTTATCCTTTTAATAATAATAATAATAATAAAGGTGAATCATAAAAAAAAAAAAAATCCTTTACACGTGTCCTATTCTATTGTTTAAGTTATACTTACACTTCCCACTACTTTGAGATTAATATGTTCAGTAGAAGTCACTTCCTTCTTTTCAGGTTTTTCAGGTGTATCACTCATGTCGCTTTGGATTTATATGTAACGAAAAAAAAAGAGCGTAAAAAAAAAAAAGAAAAGAAAAAAAGGAAAAAAGAAAAGAGAAAGGTAAGATAAAAGAAAAAAAAAAAAAGGGAAGGTAAATCACTTTGGGATTGAGTAAACAAGCCTTAGTGAAACGAGCTCTGATTGGTTGCTTTTGGTCTCCGTTCTCATTCATTCAGAAAATCGACGTAGTATCAGCCAGTGACGTTTTTTTATTTCTTTACAAGGTAATATATATATTAAAAAAAAAAAAAGAAGGATCAATTACTTTGATCAAAAAAAGGAAAAATAGAATACGAGGAGAGATGGGAATACTAATCTATACTATATGTATATATATCAAGTATAAGCATCCATAGAATTGGGAGTGGATGGGAAATAAAATAAATTGGAGGTATGATGATTTGATGAAGAAGTAGATGGAGTAGGTAAAAAAGAAGGATATGTTGTACTAGGGGTGATATTTGAATTTCCAGTGATCTTGTTTGAACCAGCACCAGGAGAGGAAGAGGTAAGAGGAGGAGAAGATGAAGGTATTGTATTGGCAGTAGAAGGAGTCAAGAGAGGGACATGTTGACCAAGGGAAGAAGAAGGTCGTCGTTGTTGAATAGTACGAGAAACAACAGCGTCATATTGAGCCTTGTTTATCAATAATGTTGGATCTCCAGCCGCTATAAGTTGTTCATCCAATAACTTTGTTGAAGCTATTCGAGGCATACTAACTATCTTACCATCCAGTGGTTGGGTTCCTTCCAATTGTTGCATAGCCATTTCTCTGGATCGTAGTTTGATGTCATTATGTATTGTAGTTGAATCGATGCCAGGTAGTTTTGATAATGATGATGATGATGATGATGGTGGTGGTGGTGAACGATGATGATTTTTATCCGGAAGTCTACGTTGTTGTATGATATCATTGCGAGGTATAGGTAATGTAAGTCTATCATTGTCACCAAACATCAAAGGACTTCTTCGACGACGACGTTCTTTCAGAGGTAAATCGATGGAAGATGAGCGTGAATCCGAATCCATGGATAGACGGCAAGAAGAAGAAGAAAAAGAAGAAGAAGAAGAAGAAGAACTAGGTTGACCGGAAACAGGAACCGAAGGTAAAGGAGGTAGCAGTCCAGCTGATTGATTCTTGAGGGATTTAGGATGACCTAGTGTACCACTTCGGAAAGGAACCGAAGAAGGAGCCAGAGGTATCATGGAACTATTATAGGATATAGTACTTGAATTAGCGCGTAAGGTAGAGGCATCATCTTCTTGATATGTAATCATTGAATCTCTAACAGAAACAATATCAATAGGACTATCACTGATATTACTTGTAGTATTGATTTGTCGATGATGGATAAATTCAGTATCGAGAGAAAGTCGCAAGTTCATTTTTTGATAAGAGGATGTGAATTGACGCCAATCATTAAGACAATTACCAGCAGTGTCACCAATAGCGCGATCTTTTCCAATTGATTTATTGTGGCGAGGAGGTGGAGATAGAGAAGGTCTTAGGTTGTTGTTTGTGAGTGTTGATAAATTATTTTGTTCAATAGATTCAAGACTTGATAAATGAGGACTAGGAGTGGCAATAGTTGATGCAGAGAGTTGTTGTTCCTGTTGATAAACTATAAAAAAAAAAAGATGGAATTAAAAAATATAAATAAATAATTCTTCTTTTAGGTGAAACCTACCATGACGTAAAGGAGGAGGAGGAGTAGATTTTCTTTGATAACCATGTTGTTGAATGGATAAAGAAGTAGTATCAGAATGAATAACTGATAAACGATTCTTTAAACGTTTGAACTTGTTGACAAGACCAAAACAGTTTGACCAACGTCGAGACTTGTTTTTATTTTCATAAACTGTATTCTTTGTCGTATTGGAATCATGGTCCATGAGTTATAAAATAGGCAAAAAAAAAAAGGAAAAATAAAAAGAAAAAAAAAACAAGAAAAGAGGAGGTTAGGAGGGAACGGAAGGAAGGAGAGTAATGGAATAATAAAAACAAAAGGAGAAAACAAAAAGAAAGAACGAAAGAAAGAAAGAAAGAAAGAAAGGGAGAAGGGAAAAAAAAAGGTTAAAGATCAGCCACGTGCGTCTTTCTATCACAGCTGTCCATTTTCATCTATTAACATGCGTTTATGTTTCTTTTTTGTAGTAACGTGTCCTTTTTTTTAAAAAAAAAAAAAAAGACGTAGATCCCTTTTATATATATATATAGATATATTTACATTTGTCAATAACCCTTTTTATTTTGTTATATATTCATTTTTCTTTTTTTTTTTATAGTTCAATACGTTTAGGAGACACAAAAACTATGTCATGGGAAAAAAAAAAAAAAAAAACCACCCTCACGTCAATGATGTCTATTTAGAACAAGCGGATAATGAACACAAAATTTATATATTTATTTCTTTTAGCCAATGATGAATTGATTATTTGAACGCATTGACTTGAAATTAACTTTTTTTGAATTTCTTCCCCCCTGACTTCTTAATCCCAACCTTTTTCTTTTTTTTTTTCTATTAAAAAATATGATTTTCATTTGTTAATATAGAAACTGTCAATTCTTCATCCATATAGATCTTTTTATTTAAAAAAAAAAAAAAAAAAAAAAAAAGAGAGAACCACTCTTTGAAAACAGAATATCAAAAACTTTGTCTGACTTTTAAATATCCACCACAACTTTCTTCTGTTACACTTTTTTTTTTTTCTTTCTTCTTCGCCTCTCTTCCCTTTTTTTTTTTCTTAATAAACAATGTCCGCTTACGGTGCAGGAAAAGCTGTAAGTTGTCCTTATTAGATCCAAGTTGAAATGAAAATATATGATTAAGCTTATTTATGATTCTTTTTTTTTTTATTATTATTATTTAATTTATTATTATTAGAAAGATACGGATTTCCGACGTACATGGGATAAAGCTGAATACGCAGAACGAGCTGCTAAACGAGAAGCAAAGGAAAGATTAGATGCTATCAATGCAGATCGAAAAAAACGAGGACTTCCACCACTCAAGGATAAGAATGAACCTCCTGAACAACCAAAGACAATGCTCAAAAGTCGTGAAGAAAAGGTGATTCTGGATAATAATGTGGGCAAGATACAAATCGTTACTGGTGGAGCTGATAATAAGAGTCAACCAGGCTTTTATTGTGAATTATGTGATTCTGTATTCAAAGATAGCAAAGGTTATCTTGATCATATCAATGGTCGAAGACGTAAGTTATATAAAAAAAAGATGATCTTGATAATACTCAACTACTTATTCACTTATATATATATATATTAGATCAATCTAAGCTTGGTGTATCAATGAAAGTAGAACGTGCTTCAGTATCATCTGTCAAAGAAAGACTGGAAGCTTTGAAACGGAAAAAGGAAGATCCTCAAGCAAACAAGGAATATGGTAAATGAACATTACTATAAAGTGAAGGTAACACTAACTTTTTGTTTTATTTATAAAAGATTTACAATCAAGGGTAGAGGAATTGAAACAACAAGAACATGATGAAAAACAGCGAAGAAAGGAACGAAAACGTCAAAAGAAGGAAGAAAAGAAACGAGCGGCTCAAGAAGATCAAGATGATGAAATGACTAAAATGATGGGCTTTGGTGGTTTTGGATCTTCCAAGGCATCTTAGATTTGATAGTTTATAGATACACGGTATATATATAGTTTATTCATGATAATGGCATTTTTTTTTGGGGGGGGTATATTTGTAAGGATGGAAGAATAAAAATATTTATTTTATTGATGATTTTGGAATGATAATTGAAAGTAATACCATAATAATAAATATAGAAACATATACGAGGGGAAAAAAGAGTAAGATATAAGATCTAAAAGGTAAATGATGACTACAAAGACTAAACCGTTTTTGATTTTTTGATTTGTCCATGATAGATATTATGAGCATAAGCCCCTATTGAGAAAAAAAGAAGAAGCATTGATAGTTTTAATATATGTTTTTATATACCTTTTTTTTTTGTTCTTTATTTTATTTTAATACTTACCCAGATGATACATTATCGAACAGAGACCACCACATACCATAAAGTAGATAAACCGATGTAAATCAGAAAAGAGTGCCAAAAATGGATAGACATAGAACTTGTTTTTCTGGAAACAGTGTTCCACCCAAAAGTAATAGGCAACAGAAAAAGAGAATAAAGAGCAGACATCAAGAGTAGACGCTTTAAATCCAGGTTTGAATACAAACATATCAATATACAAAAATATTGTGGGCCATAAATGTAAAGCCAAGTCTAAAGAGAAAGGTAAAACAAATGGAGTATCCTTGGGAACTAGTAATTCTCGATCATATAAAGCCATCGACCAATACAAAAAGGATATCAGTCCCTCCACCTAAATATACCCAGAAAAAAAAATGTGAGTTGGTAAGAGAAAAAAAAAATAAAAACACAACTGATCACTATTGTATTATCTTAATATCCACTGGTATACTTACAGGAGTAGCTAAATTGGAAAGATATATGTAAGGTCCTATATATATATAAAAGAGTTATAACCATTATTTTGTATAGAAAAAAAAAAACCTATTGATTCTGACCATGAAACAAGGAGGAACTGAGATACCGAAGGAGTTTGAAGGTCATAGCAAGCGTGGAAGCAGTTAAACCTAAGATAGTCAAGAACTAAAAAGAAGATGATTAATATATGTTTCGAGAATACATTAGTGTGTTACCTGATATTGTCCACCATATTGCATATCTTGAAAGTCTCAAAAGTAAGTTTCAACTCTTTTTTTTTTTTTCAGGGCAACCCATTTCTTCTTTTCCATTGATATTTTTACCTGGAGCAATTTGATGAATGGTAATAAGTCCATATAAATTAGCAGACAAAGCAATTATGTTGAATAAAATTTCGTTCAATGACATGTAAGGTAAAAAAAAAAAAAAAAAAAAAAAATTAAAATGAAGGACGAGATAACAGACAAAAAAAAAAAAAAAAAAAAAAAAAAGAAAAAAGGAAAAAAAAAAAAAAAAAGGAAAAAGGAAAAAAATATCGGTTTAATAGTGGATAAATCGTTGGCCCTTGACACCCAATCAAAACAAATAAATACTAATAAAAACAAATTGGTCTATCTATACTTTTTATTTTGATTTAAGATCACTACCAGCTAATTCATCTTTACCCATACTATAAAAAGTCATCATACATTCCAATTTGTATCGTTTCCAAGTTTCTTCTGAGCTAAATCCTTGTTGCTTCCATTCAGGGTCTTGATTTGACTTGTCATTATCATCCTCCACTCGTAGTAATATAATATCTCCATATGTTGCAGCCAATTCTTGAGTCAGACGAGCTGCTTCTACTGCTAACATATCGTGTCGCTCCCTTAGCATTTGCCATTGACGTAATTGATCCTTTATCATTTGTTCTTCATCTATTCGACGTTCCTGTTGTTGTTGTAAGTTTTGTTGTTGTTGTAATTGTAATTGTTGTTGTTGTTCTGGCATTTCTTGTTGCATTGTTCGAAGTGTTTCTTTTTCTACTGCTTCAATATCAGGAATCAATTTGGTTCGTAATAGTACACTAAAGATATTGGTATCTTGTTCCGTTAAAGGTGGGTTCCAAGGATGTAACATGAGTTTGGGTAAAGTGGCTGTACTGCCTGTTTGAGTGAATTGATGAAAATCTTCAGATAATGTGGAAAACTTGGCAGTTAACATATTGAACTTGTTGAGTAGATCTGGCCAAGTAAAGTGAAACTTGGGTTCTTTTAGATAAGCGATTTGTGTTGATAAAGTTTCTTGTAAAGATCCTAGTTTTCCTCGTAAAGCTTCTAGTTCTTGAATTGTATGTGGATCTAAATAGGTGATCGTAGATTGTTCCATTTTTATATTATTTGTTGTTATATTTTATTAGCCAAAAAAAAAAAAAAAGTTGATAGTTGGGTTACAACAGAAAAAAAAAAAAAAAAATCGTGAGAAGGAAAAAGGAAAAGCAATGGAGCGAAGGCGGTGTGGCACTGCGGTCATTCAAAAGCGGTGGGAAAACCTGGTGAAAAGACGCATACATTTTCTCTTTTTCTTTTCCTTTTCTTTCTCTTCCTTTTTATTCAATATGGCTACTCTTGAATATACTCCTCTATCAGATATTCCTGGTATTATCAATGATGTGAAACAAACCTTTAGAACAGGTTAAGTAGAAAAAAAAAAGAAAATATAAAACGATATCATATTGACTATTTTCTATTTCCAACAGGTTTGACCAAGGATCTTGCGTTTAGAAAGAAACAGTTGAAACAATTGATACGTTATTTTGAAGAAAACGAAGCAGAAATTGAAAAGGTGGTATGGTCTGACTTGAAAAAACATCGTATGGAAGTTCTTGCTGAAACTGCACCTGTTGTTAATGAATGCAAGTATATGTTGGACGTAAGCGAACTTCTTTTAAACTTTATATGTCAAATACTTATCTTATATATATGTGTATAGAACTTGGATCGATTGGCGAAACCTACTTCTCCAAAAAAAGTATATTGGATCAATGCTATGGATACTACCTTTGTGCGAAAGGAACCTAAAGGTGTTGTTTTAGTTTTAGGTAAGAATAATCATCAAACAAAAAAAAAAAAAAAACGCCCTAACACATGTGATCCTAAAAGCTACTTTTTTTTTTTTTTTTTTTTTTTTTTGCAGGCGCTTGGAATTATCCAGTAAGAAACCGGTTACTATTGCATATTTACTTTTTGTATACCCACACTTGTCTGATTCTCCTTTTCTTTTATATTATATATGTATAGATCCATCTTGCACTTATGCCCGTAGTAGGTGCCATTGCTGCTGGTAACTGCGTGATTTTGAAGGTAAAAAAAAAAAAAAAAAAAAGGAAAAAAATGTTGCCCGCGTGCATACTATCTTCCCCTAGAATTCCATGACTAAACTAATCCCCTGTTATCTTTAGCCTTCCGAAATATCATCCCATACCGCCAATTTTATGGCCAAAACGATTACAAGTTATTTGGACCAACGATTTTTCAAAGTGATCAATGGGGCTGTACAAGAAACAAGTGCCATACTGAGTAAATAATCACCGTAGAAGATGAGTAATAGGCTTACTAATATCCCAAATCTTTTTTCTCTTATCTATTTTTAGATCATCCTTTTGATCATATCTTTTATACTGGTGGTGGAACAGTTGGAACTATTGTGATGGAAAAAGCTGCCAAGTTTTTGACGCCAGTAACTTTGGAACTAGGAGGCAAATCACCTACTTATGTTACTCCTGAATCTGTGAACCAAGTAACAGCCAATCGGATTGTGTGGGGCAAGTTTTACAATAACGGACAGGTAATCTTTTTTTTTTTTATTTTTTTATCATTCCTCAATTTTTTTTTCTTTCCTTTTTTTTTTTTTTTTTTTTTTTTTATTCAGACATGTGTTGCTCCAGATTATGTACTTGTACACCGAGATCATGCAGAGAAGATGGTCAGTGCATTACAAAAGAGTATTCGTGACTTTTATGGACTGTATGCTGAAAAAAGTAACTCTTATGGTCGTATTATCAATCAACGTCAATTTGATCGATTGGTTTCTTTGTTGAATGGAGTGCCTTCTGAAACGATAGTGTTAGGTGGTTATTCTCATCAGGATGATTTATTTATTGCACCAACAATTGTATATCCCGCTCCTGCTCGTGGTGTTGCTTTGATGAATGACGAAATCTTTGGTCCTATCTTACCAGTGGTACCTGTAGACAATGTGGATGAAGCGATTGAAATTATTAATCAAAAGTAAAGTACAATGATTCTTCATGAATAGCTTTGATTTATTTATATTCTTTTAGACCCCAGCCTTTGGTTACCTACATCTTTAGCGATAACAAGACAGAAATCAACAAAGGTAAGAAAATAAACTCTGTAGACATTTATTGATTTGTTTTTATGATAGTACTCGATCAAACTTCTTCTGGTGGTGTATTAGTCAATGATACTCTAATGCATGTAGTGGAAACCTCATTGCCATTTGGTGGTATCGGTGGATCGGGTATGGGTAACTATCATGGAGATCGATCTTTCACTACTTTCTCTCATGAACGCAGTACCATGATCAAGAGTACAGCTTTGGAACCAGTGATAGGTGCAAGATATCCTCCTTATAATGATGATAAATACAATCTTTTTAGCGTCCTTATCAATGGTTTGCCTGCTAGTATCGGTGCCAAGTTACAAACAATCAAAACTGTCTTGGGTTCAAGCTATCGAGTTCTCTTTTCCTCTTCTCCTGCTCCTGATTCGGATATACTGTAGACATCGTCATCATCGTAGTATTAGTAGTATTAGTAGTATTATTAATGGTCATTTTATTATGTACAAAAGATATATCAAAAAAAAAAATAAAGAATGCTAACTATATTCTAATCCTATTTATATGTCAATGTTAATCATTTCAAAGTATAAATTTTCTTGTTGCTTGTCCAAACGAAACCATCCTATCCTACTGATTCCTTGGTTGATTGTCTGAAGTATTATCGAATCCAATTCCGTTTCGTTTTTCTATGTTCGTCCCTTTCCTTTGTGATTCGTAGTATTGACAGTTACTTGATTTTCCGCTATCTTGCCATTATCATCATCATCATCATCGTCATTATCACTGGCGGATCGATTATAATGTACATCCCGTCGATCGTTGAATAATTGATAATCAGCACTAGCTCCTAATCGTTTTTGTTGTCCACAGGTATTGCAAGTCGTCATGATGGCTTGAGCTCGGGCTACACAATAGATGAGAAGAAAAGATCAAAACCTACTTATTTTTTTTTATGTCATAGTTATATATATCTTTTGAATATATAGATCACTTACATTGTATACGAACACTGCTGGTCATGGCGGGTATCAATGTATTGTTGCATCGCTTACATATGCTACGTTTGATATGAGGATCCCTGCAATCGACAAAAAGAAAAGAAGAAAAAAAAAAAAAGAAAAAAGAAAAAAAAAGTCAAAAAAAACATATAGTCCAGAAAAACAAAAGAGCTTACAGTCTTAACACCATCCGTTTGCCAATTTTTTTCATGGTTGTATTGTAATATCTTCCTAAGGGATGGAGTCCTTGATTTCCTTGCCATTGAATACGTCGACGATGCACTGATTTGGTTGTTGTATCTAAGGGCGGTGGTTGATTTGTTTGTAAAGGTATTGGATCAGATAATGTAGTCATAAGATTGGCTGCTTGATATAAAAAGTTCATTCGCAAATGTTGTTGTGTTGCTCCAGGTATATTTGTTTTCATTTGCTTCTTTCCCATGATTGTTGATCGTCTGTCAAAAAGAAGACAAGAAAAAAGAAAGAAAAAAAAAATTGAAGGTCAAGAGATTTTGAAGTGGTTTTCAAATTCCCGGAGGTCAAAAAAAAAAAAAAAATAAAAAAAAAAAGGAAAACTGATGATTGCCTATTTTGGGTCTTCTGTGCTAACCTTTCAACCTTCCACACCACCCAATAAAAAGCATGTTTCTATTTTTTTTTTTTTGTCCCTGAGTTCTTTTCTCAACTTTTACACCAAGATACATCTTTGAAGATGAAACCTTTGGAGACCTCGCAAGGCGTAGACTAAACTTAGTAGGTTGTTAGAAAACCATTATTTATATTCTGGAGCTAATCATAATACTTTTGTATCCTATAGGTTGTTTATTGTAAAAAAAAAAAAAAAAAAAAAAGTTAAAATAAAAACAAAAAGATGATTTGGTTGCTTGTGTATATATAAAATAGGATTGTCTAAACCAGGAAGAAGATGATCATGTTTCGTATAATAAATAGAAAGGAAAGAAATGTATAATATATGTATTTTTTGGTTTAAGCATCAACTAAACTAGAAAGAACAACATGGGATTCCACAATCTTGAATCCATCAAAAAAAAAAAAAGTTAGTTTTTCAATCGTATCACATTTTTTTTTGTCATCAATTACCTCTAAAGCTTGTTTCACTTCCAAGTGTTGTCTAGCAGATTGGATCCATCCACATGCCAATTTCTTAGGCCAGCCTTGTAATTGATTCAATTCACGAGCAGCATTTTCTAAATCACTCTTTTGCAAATAGTAGGAGGATCGGGCCAAAACAGCTTCCACATCATCACCTTCAACGAGACCGTGTTTCTTGAATAATAATTTGGACATGATATAACTGAGAATATGAGCACCAAAACCACCATCTTCAGGTACAAGAGCTACACGACGGAGTTGTTCAGCCACCACATCAAAGCGAGCAGACAGTTCATTCAAAGAGGCGATACCTTCTTCTGTTGTTTCCCGAGATACCGAGGAGAGAATCTTTTTGAGGTTGTCATCATGTTGTGCACCTTGGCGTAAGGCTTCCCATTCATCCACAAAAGGTTGTTTGTAATGAGCATCTACGGCGTCTTGTACAGCAGTAAGAGCTACATACAATTGATGAGTTTGTCGTGCATGATCCAAAGCAACAGCGTTTTGTAAAGAAGACTCTTCAATGGCTTGGAATCGTTGATGGATGGTATCCAGTTTGGCAAGTCGTCCAGCACGTTCACGTTCGACCAACAACTTGACATCTCGAACAAATAATCTCTTGAGTTCAGCAGCTTGTTCAATCAATGCTTCAGCACGTTCACGTTCCAATTGTTGTTTTTGAGCACTGAGTTCGGTCACCAAAAGATCAGAGAATGATTGTTTGAGCTGTTCCCGAGTTTCTTCAGCTTCAGTTTGAAGTTGAGTTTCTTTTGATTTGACTTTGTTGGCTGTGGCGGCATGGGTTGCATGGAGAGTTTCTTTGGTGTCCATATGTAATTGATCCAAATCCTTATCTAAAGTATCCACTTGCTTCTTCAATTGTACTAGATTCTTCAATGTATCGTTTTGTTCCTTGTCCAAAGCTTGATATCGTTCATTCAATTGTTGTAATTGTGCTTCAGCTTGAGTCAAGATATCACGTCCTGCATTGGCTAATCCAGCATCGTTCAAAATGGAAGCAAGTTCAAGTACCACCCGTGATAAATCACGTACAACAGCATGATCAGAAGTAACACGTTTGACGACAATAGGGGGAGGACGATCGATCACAGCAGTAACAACAGGTGTAGTGGATTTTTTGTCAGAACTGAGAATACCATCATGAGTATTACTGTGACCAGGAAGCTTGGAGACGACTGCTGATGCTGAAGAAGAAGAAGAAGAAGACGTAGTTGATGATGATGAATTAGTGTTGTTCAATCGTGGTGGTTCAGTAGCTCCAGTCAACTTTGAATAGGTATCAACAGCGTAATCATAAGCACCAGTAGCAGTATCTTTGGCAAATGACAAATAATCTCCAGCTTGTTTCGTATATTGTGTAGCTTGATCTCGATAGTTGTGTAAATCCTTATTGGCCTTCAAGTCTTCAAAGAATGTGACGGATTCAGTAGCACCAGGTACAAAGTTAGTAAATGTTTGACGGAAGTCTTCGTTTTCCAATGCATAATACACTGCACCACCGTAAGAAGCACCTGTCACAATAGTCAATCCTAATAAAGTTTTGCCAATAGATCCAGAACCTTTCGTTGTCGATGAAGTCGTTGATTCTGTACGCTGTAAAAGAAAACAAAAAACAAAAAAAAAAAAGGTCAAAAAGATATAATCCAGATTTGCATATTTGTCATTGTTATGAGTCATAAACTTACTTTAGCTATCAAGGAGCCGAAACGTTGTTGACTAACTAATCTGGTGGTGGTTTGACATAACTTGGAAGCGCGAAGCATGGCGTCTATTTTGTATATATGTGGTCGTATAAATGTGTATATGTGTATAAAAATGACAATAATAATAGCAAAAAAAAAATTAGTTTATATGCTGGTAATGTTGATACGACTTGCCTTATAATCAAAATGCCCAAGCGTTCGTTAAGAAGGGGGAGGAGGAGGAGGAAAGGCTATTGATGAGAAAAGTTATTCACGTCAAGGGTGAAGGAACCTTTAAGTGAAATAAGAGAGGGGTTATAAAAAGAGAGAGAGAAAAAAAAAAGAGTGAGGTAGAAAAAAAAAAAAAAATACCGGCTCCCTTGAAGTCACAGGGAAAGCCCAGATGAGGCTCCAACGTCACGGATTTTTCCTAATAGAATTGAGCTAATCATTTAAGTTACAAAGATGATCTTTGTTTTAATTCCTCCAACATTTTCATGATCAAAAAGGAATAACAATGCTATAAAAGACTTTCTTTATTAAAATGATAAAAGAAATCAATATAAAAAAAAAAAATACAGAAAAATAATAATAATATATGTATATATAAAAAATAACTACAAAGAATCACATTCTACTTTCGAATATCCGCTACACGAATAGCAACAGCGTTCCTATGAGCATCTAATCCTTCAATAGCAGCCAATTGCATAACAGAATCACCCAGTTTATCCAATCCTTCTGCAGTCAATTCTTGAGAAGTAATATGTTTGACAAAGGTTAATGTATTGACACCTGAATACATACGAGAGTAACCATAAGTAGGTAATGTGTGATTGGTTCCAGAAGCATAATCACCCATACTGTTCCACCAAAAAAAAAAAAAAGAGAGTAAATATATTATACCATCAAAATCATAATTCTATTTAATTACCTTTCAGGAGAGTAAGCACCAACAAAGACACTACCAGCATTAGTAATATGTTGAACCAAATCCTTAGCATTATCAATGTGCAAAATCAAATGTTCAGGGGCATATTTATTGGAGAATTCAGTTGCTTGTTCCAAAGTCTTGACACGAAGAGAATAGGATTTTGGAATTGATTGTCGGATGATATCTACACGAGGCAATTGAATAGCTTGATTGTGTACTTGATCTTCAATAGCAGTCAATTCATCATCAGTCAAATCCACACCCAATAATACCACTTGAGAATCAGCACCATGTTCAGCTTGAGATAATAAATCAGCAGCAACGTAGGCAGGGTTACAAGTCTTATCAGCGATCACTAATACTTCAGAAGGACCAGCAGGCATATCGATAGATACCAAACAAGAGGTATCATTTTGAGCAAGCATTTTAGCAGCTGTCACATATTGATTACCAGGACCACAGATTTTATCTACCTTGGGTACAGTTTCAGTACCATAAGCCATAGCAGCAACAGCTTGAGCGCCACCAGCAAGAACAATATGAGTAGCTCCGACCTTGTGAGCAACATACATCACTTCAGGAACAACACTACCATCAGCACGAGGAGGAGTAGCAATCACAATTTCAGAACAACCAGCCACCTTTGCAGGAATACCAAGCATCAATGTAGTAGAAGGTAAAACAGCCGTGCCACCAGGAACATAAAGTCCAACACGTTCAATAGGACGAGCAAATCGAGAACATACCACACCCGGCATGGTTTCCACCACCAAAGTTTCTCTATCCATTTGGGCATCGTGGAACTTGTAAATGTTGGAATAAGCTTGATCAATAGCAGCCTTCGTCTTGGGATCCAATTGCATCAATTCAGGAGGGAAAGGAGCCTTGATGGTAGGAGTGGACAATTCAACACGATCAAATTTCCTTGTCAAATCAATCAAAGCCTTATCACCACGTTCACGCACATCTTTCATAATAGGGGTCACACGAGAAGTGATTTCTTGTGAATCAATGATAGGGCGAAGTAATAATTCAGCTTGCTTTTCTTGAGAAATGGAATCCAAAGAATACTTTTGCATTTGAATACGTCCATTAGTAGCAGCAGGAGGGGTACCAGAAGTAGCAGGAGTAGTAGAGGTAGTAGGTGTTGACCATTTAGGCTTAGCATTACCAGCACGACGAGTGATCTTTCGAGCTTTCTTGTCCAAATTCTTTTCCACATCAGCCAAAGTAACACCAGCACTAACACATTTGGTCAAAGCAAAGTAAATCAAATCAGCAGCTTCCCAAGCAATGTCATTCTTGTTGGTAGCATCACAAAGTTCTTCAGCTTCTTCCATAATTTTGGATCGTAAAAGTTGAGGATCATTGAATAGGCGAGCTGTATATGATCCTTGTGGAGCATTCACTTTGCGATCTTGAAGAGTTTTTTGTAAAGCACTCAAACCAGTATCAGCACCAAAACAATTTCGAGTGTTCAAATGACAGAAACCTATAGAATCATATTTTTTTTTTTAAAAAAAAAAAAAAAGTGAATACATATCTTTTTTAATAATAGCTTTTTGATATACTTACCAGCACCATGTTGTTCAACCACAAATCTTAAAGCATCACTATCACAATCAAAACCCAAGCGTTTCAAAGTTTGAGTAGCACCAGAAGTAGCACCCTTGTACCACAAACCACGAGCACGACTTTGAAAGACACCTTGACCAGTACGAATAGATTCAGCTACACTTTGTTTGCTAGAGTATACCAAACCCAAAGCATTGTTGAGTTCATCTACCACTAATGTTGCATATAAACCATCAGGTCGATCAGTAGTAGCACTGGCCATGAAAGCTTCTCCAATGTTGAGTTTGTTTGTTTCAGGTTTCATATCGGTTGTGAGTTGAGAGCAATCCACCAAAGTATCAATGCCAAGTTTTTGTAAAGATTCAATAGCTTCCAAAGACGCGTTTCCTTGTAATTCAATAACAATACGTTTGGCTCCACCTTCAGGTAAAAGAGTCTTAATCCATTGTTGAGCAGTTTCAATAAATACTTTTTGATCTAAAAGTTGTTGGAGAGAGGTATCGACTTTAACAATTACAGCTGATGTATCGAATAAACCATTAGTGGAAAAGGAAGCATCGACAGAAGTTGAAAGAGCAATACGATCTTCAGGAATATCTTGTAAGTCAGACTTTAAAGTAGCATAGATAGAAGCAGGGAAAATCACCTTGTAAATACCAGCGTCCCAGAGTTGAGTAGCTTCTTCTAAAGTTGTAGCAGGAGCCCAGTAAAAAGTAGAACCTGTTTGGTCAATTAAAAGTTTAATAGTTTCTAAAGTAACATTCTTGAGAACAGCAGAACCAATGTATCCAATAGACGAGTACAGTGAGGATTGTGATGAATCGGAAAGGTCTAATGAAGGTATGAACATAATATATAAGATAAAGAAAAAGAAAAAAAGAAAGAAAAAAGCCGGAGATTCATATTGATCAATTTGGAGGAAATGTTAAAAAAAAAAAACATCAAAATGATTCATCTTGCAGTCACTATGGTCATTGAAATTCCGGCATGATCAACTCTCACCTTTGATGAATTATCATCCTTGACAATAGGAAAGAAAAAAAAGTATCCAATCTTAAATCATCTTCTTCTTTTTTATATATAATGATTGGTTGATTACAATGACTACAATGGAATGCTGGATGCGGGTGTGGACTGGTGATCCCTGAAATGGGGCCTTGTTTTTTTATATTATATATAGGTATGGTATTCTCTCAATTTTTGGATCCCAGCTGATAATTTCCTTTCCTTTTTCTTTTTTCTTTTTCTTTTCTTCTTTTTTCTTCTTTTTTCCTTTCTCCTTTGTTTCTTTTATTTAAATTAATGTATCATCCATGTCTGGTAATCGAGTACCCTTAGAATATCGTAGTTCACCTAGTTGGCCAGCTCTTTATTGGCCTTTTGGACCTGGTTTTGATCCTATATATCAAGTTAGAGATATTCCTCATACTTTATATTATTTGAATGGTAAGGAACTTTTTTTTTTTAAGAAAACGTTTATTCATTTTATTTTTATTTTAGATATTTGGAAGTTCACAATGATATGGTCTGTACTATTATCTTTAGTAGTTTATATTCCAGCAGGTATAATATATACTAATAATAATAATAATAATAAATACTTATGTATATATTACCTTTTTTTCTTTCCTTCTTTCTTTCTTTCTTTCTTAATATATAGGTTTATTGGCATTCTCCACATTAGCAAAATCACGTACACTTCCTTGGTATATTCTGATATTGATTCCATTTATCTTTGCCTTTGGAGGTGCGTTGGCTTCTTTTATCATTGGAGGAATAGTTGGTAAGTCATATTCAGTAAAAAAAAAAAAAAAAAAAAAAAAGCTATTTTATTATAGAGAACTAAAACTATATATATATATGATAGGTGTTGCACTTGCCTTTGTATATACTACTGGATTCTTTGTGATGTCTACTTGGATTCCATTTTTATGGGCATTGATACATATCTTAGTTGTAGTTGTTGGTGGATATTCTACTATTACTGCCATTTTATAGTTCTCCCTCCCCCCTCTTATATTTTTTTTTTTTTAAAAAAATCCATTCTTATTTCTTTTATATATATATATATATATATATATATATATATATGATCAGATTAATCTTTTGTATTTCTATTCTTTTTTATACCCTTCGCATTGATTCATGTACAAATAAAGTTTCATCTCTCTATCTGAAATTCAAATCATCTGCTTTCTACTGATTCCTTTTTTCTTTTTTTCTTTTCCTCTTTCTCTTTCTCTCTCTTTTTTTTTTTTCCTTTACTTTATCAAACTTCAATATAATGGCAAATCTTGATATCAAGATAAAGTTGGCTAATTCCATTGCTACTGTATTACTTTTGGGTATCTCTCAATATGGAGTATTTGCTTTGTAAGTTCTTGTCGCGTTTTATTTTTTTAGAAACTAATATTTTTTATATTTTGTTAGAACTATGAAAAATGAAATAGAGATATATGGTTGGGTTTATCTTTTGTATGCTCTTCTTCACTTTTTATTGATTGGTATGACTATTTATCAATATCTTCCAGCTGCTCCAAAAGGTAAAAAAAAAAAAAGAACTTCTTTTTATTCCTTTCTATGACTCACATTTATTTTATCTTATAGATGTTTTTGATACTATTGGATATTGGTATCTTTTGATTGCTCTTTTGAACTCTGGTATTGCTATTTTCCAGGTATCACCGAAAAAGGGGTGGCTTCATGTTATGGATGATGTTGCACAAAAAGTTTTTTTTTTTTTTTTTTATACTAACTATAGTACTTCATCATTAGTACTTTCATTTGAATTGGTTTGGTTTTGTTGGACTTCTTTGGCAACTGGCAACATTGATCTTTATATACCATCGTCTTCGTAATTATCCTCCAAGAAACAAGACTGATCATACCTTGATAAATGCACCTTTCTCCATACTTACTGCGATTACCTTATCTGATACCTTACATACACTTTTCCGATCGTTTGATCAAACAAAACACAGCGAAGTGGTAAATAAAAGAAAGAAAAAAAATAAGATATTTGATAATTCTCTTACCTCTTTTTCTTTGGATAGGCACAAACTATTTTGACAATTATCTTAGGTTTTGTTGCTCTTCATTTAGTGGATTATTCACATCGAAAGGATTGGGTTTATGCTTCAAGTACTGCTTGGTAAGTATCAATGAAAAAAAAAAGATTTTTTTTTTCTAATTTTTTTTTTTTTTTATTTTGATTAGGTTACTTGGTTTCGCTTCTGCTGGTACCTCAGAAACTACTCATACTGTATCATTGGTTGTTGTGGGTATTCTTATTAGTGCTGTGGCTCGTACCTTGATTCCTAATTGGTTGGAGCGTATTAATCGACGATTTGGTCGTTGGTCTCGAAGATTGGGCGAACGTACTCCTTTACTTTCTGGTCATTGATTTTTGGAAGTCCTATTCTCTCTCTTTTTTTTTTTTTTTTTCTCACGGGAAATAATAAAGCAAAACTTTTTTTTTTGCACTTTTCTTTTATCTATTTATTGTTGTTGTTATTGTTATTATTATTATATTGTGATACAAATGGATAAATTATTATTAGAAGAAACAACTGCTCAGAAACTTGCCTTGGAATTGAATACTCAAGATCTTTCAGCTTTGGCTTCCACTTGTAAACCTTACTCAACTGCCCTCAAAGACGAAGAAATATGGAAAAAGTACGTGTTACAATGAAATGACGTACGATAATACTGATCCTCCTTCTTCTATATATATATATATATATCTATTAGGAAAACTGCTCATGACTTTGGTGATCTATTTTACATTTATCATCTATTTGAAACATCTACAGTTGATGTTGCACCCGATCTACGAAAGAAATACAGTGAATCACCTTCAAGCTGGCGACAATATTATTTGACAAAGCAACAGCGACTTTCTCAGACTAATCAGACTGCCCTAGAATCTCAAGTACAACAAGAAGTCAAGGATACGACTGCTGCTCTTGAAAAGTGCATGGAAGAAGGCAACAGTATTTCATTCAATCATATTGCATCCAAAATGTTATGGATATTAGGTACTGAAAAACAAGATGATAACATCATTTAGAAAAATGGTATTGATCTTTTTTTTTTTTTTTCCTTTAGACTTGATACCTCAGCATGGTGGTTGCTATTATGTACTTGCCAATATACTCTTCTATCTTCAACATGATCAAGCAGATTTTGTATTGAAAGAAGGTCGACGTATGAATCCTACCTATCAACCTTTGATTGAACTTGAATTCAGTATTAACAACGATCAATGGATGATAACCCGAGGTGAAGAACAACAACAACAACAACAAAAAATCAGTCAAGGAATACAATCATCAGCTTTTCCGTTTCAACCACCATCTTCACAACAACATCAAGAACACCAACAACAAGATCAACTGTCAGATGATCAATCAAATTTAGAACATCTACAACGACGACGATCATCTATCAAGTTACCAGTCCTTGATCCTGATGGCACAGCATTATCTGCACCATTATTACACGTACTCGACACTTTATTTTCAAAATTTGACAAGGATCAAGATCAGGCATTACGACATGAAGAGTTAGATCACTATGTATTCTCGACCAATGGACAGCATCCTTCTGAAGAGTTTTTATCTGCCATGGGACAACGTTTTGGTGCCAATGATAAGGGTTGGTTGACAAAAGAAGGGTTCTTGGTGAGTCTTTAAAAAAAAAAAAAAGATAAATAACAAATGAGGTCAATTTTACAATGTGTGTTCTAAATGTCACTTTTTTTTTGTAGGCATTTTACTTGGAACAAACTCTTGGTGATCAAGATGAAACTAGAAAAGATATTGCTGCGCATGGTTATGACCGATGGACTTTTAGAAAATTATGATGTTTCCTTCTTTTCTTACTTCTTGATAATATCATTTGATATTTATTTATACCCACCTTTTATTATTTTGACCATTGATAGAATCTATTTTTTACTACTACTATTATCTTTCCTAGTTGTTAGTCTTTTTTTTTTTTTTTTTTTTGTTTATTTGATTGAAAATCGTAATAATAAAACAATATCCATTTGAATCAAACATTATAGAATCATTATCGACCTAATGTCAATCACTTCGTATCATAATAACTAATTGTCATCAAAATAAAAGAGAATGATGCCTTACCGCTCGTATTATTGGTAAAGGTAATATAATTATTGCTGACGGTGGATGACATGTGATGTGATACATCATTGCTACTCCCTTTATGTCATTCTGTCATTTGGATTATCGACATAGATAGACAACCTGTTCTATTTGCAAAAGAAGTTTTCAAATAATAATAAAAATAATAATAATAATGTAATAACAATAGTAGTAGTAGTAGTAATAGTAGTATATAGTACGTCTTTATTTAATATATAATCGGAAAGTGGGTAAATAATAACTAAATCAAAAATGAAAGCAATAAGTACTATGAAAAGGACAAATAAAAGTACTAATATGGTATTGTTGTTATGTAATCAAATGCTATTCTAATCCAAAAGGTCCACCAAAGCTAAATGAATAAATAAGAATAATACAAAAATGAAAAAAAAAAAAATGATGAGTATGAGAATGCGATTTCTTTTTTTTTTTTTATTGTTATTATCATTATTATCATTATTATTATTAGTATTCCTACCTAAAAATATAACGGAACCCAGCATAACAGCCAGCATGATGATAGCTTCTAGTTGAGCAAAAGGCACTGCGCATAACGACCATAGTATCGCAGCTACAATCACACGAGTACCAATGATAACTTTTCCATATATATCTAATTAATCCAAGACCTAGTAGTTAATAACAAAAAAAAAAAAAAAAAAAAAAAAAAAAAAGAATAGATTTTTTCCCCTTTTTTCTGATTTACCCGATAATTTTGTATTCAATAATTTGATGAATGAGTTGATAATGATAATTCCACCACCAAAGATCAAAAATGTCTTGTACACAAAAACCTTTTCCTCATCTGATAATATAGCGTCTTCCCCTTCTGCAGCTCCTGAACGTCGAGCCAAATGATGATGATTGATAGGTTGATCCAAAAGTCCATTGTCTGCTTGACTGGTATATGAAGTGACGAATTGCATTGCCGTAAAGACCATAGTATGTGCTGCATAGTTTCCCCAAGTTAAGTAACCTGCATAAATGGATGGTCTGGTAGGCCGTTGTTGTTTCTGTTGATACTGTTGCTGCCGTTGTAATTCAATGGCCATTGGATTATAATCACTCAAACTGTCATGATTCGATAATTCGCGAATATGGTCCACAGCTCGTCTTGCAAGTTTGTGTGCTGCTGCCGGTGCTGATGTATGTGAATCACTAGATGCCGTTGGAGAGGATGCCGATGTTGCTGTTCCATGCTCATTACTTGCTGATGCTGATGCTGCTGCTCCATGTTCCCCACTTGCTGATGCTGCTGCTCCATGTTCCCCACTTGCTGATGCTGCTGCTCCATGTTCCCCACTTGCTGATGCTGATGCTCCGTGATCGCCACTTGCCGATGATGCCGTTGTTGTAAGTGTGGGAAGTTTGCCTTCTGCTTCCATTTGTTGTTTGTAAAGCCGAAGTCTAAATAATTTTAAAGGATCATCATAATATTAGTTTGACTCATATTTTTTTTCCTTTCCTTTGAAATGCTGATCCAACACTAATAATAATGATAAAACAAGAAATATCAACTTACGTATCAATTAATGATATACCAAAGGCGACTTGTAGTAAATGAAGAGGGAAATGGAGGTACACCCAGACTTGATGATAATTATTGTGCAAAAATACCTAATATACAGCGTTGATGGAAAAAAAAAGGTAAGTCCTTACTAATATATCATCTGGTTGACCCTATGTCTCCGTTCTTACTTCTTTGTTAAAGTCTTCAAAATACATGAAGAAAAAGCCAAAGATGATCGTCACGGCCATAAAGTTTGGAACCCTAAAGAATATTGATAGATAAAGAAAAAAAAAAAAAAAAAAAAAGAGAGAGAGAGAGTCAGATATCCACTTACAGGTATTGTCTCCACATGTTCACCATTATTATTGTTATTATTATCATAACTTACATCATCAAGATAGCAGTGCTAGACGTGGCCACAAATGGAACCAAGCTCATAAGATTTTCACCAAGCACAATTAGAGTCAATAAACCCAATCGTTCAGCCAAATGACTTGCTGCCCAAGACAATGTTTTATCCCCACGCACAATAATGTTGACCAATATTTCAGCTAAAAGCCCCAGATACCATAAAAGTCGATGAATTTCTTGATCTAGCATCAGTAAGGATCCACCCCATAATGCCATAGACACAATGTTGGCTCCAATATAGAATGATAATGGTATCTTTGATTTGGATCGAATCATCACTGCCACGATAAAAACTACAAAGTACAAACGATAACAATGTTAAACACAGAATTCATTTTTCTTTTTTCTTTGCTGTTTATTGTACTTACCAATAGTATATTCTATCACCAAAACCGCTTTAAGAGCTGCAATAAAGAGGACATCAAAAAAAGTTAGCGAGAATGACGATTGTAAAAAAATTCATTATGTTCTATTCAAACATCCATACCCATATATCCATAAACATAACCAGGTGAATTCAAAAAGTGATCAGAATTTCCTGCCATACCAACTAATATAGTGAATTAGAAGAAAATCATAAGTACAGTTACTGTCTTTTTAATATAAATATCTCTCACTTACTAACAGCACACATTTCGATCAATTTCCAAATATGATGTACCACGTCATCCCTAAAATAGAAATAGGTTAGTGACCCTATCATTTTTTTTTTTCATTCATCATCCCAGTGCACACTTACGTATCGAATCGAGCAGTATACCTAAGTAAGTCATAAAAAAAAAGAAGAAGAAGATGAGTCTTTTTTATTTCGTACACGATGAAGGATATTTTCAACTTACAAAGAACTAGAGATCCATGCCCACCAGGTAATAACAAACCAAGATGCATAAGTACCAAGTGAAGCCCAATCTTTGATAACATGGGTATGAGTGAATTGAGTCAAAGTAGCAACATAGAAAAGGTCATAGAATAGTTCCAACCAAGATGCAGCTTTTTCTTCGCCAATGTCGGCACTAAGATCAGGTTCAGGGTAACGAAAGAAGGGTCGACGAGTAGCCTCTTGGGGTAATTCTTCATGATGATGATGTTTTGGTTTAAATTCCACATAGACATTGTCGTTGAATTCGATAGTTTCGTTGTGAGGATTGTGTTCCAAGTGATGATGATCATGAGTTGGATGCTGAGAATCATGCTCAAGGTGGGAATTTCGAGCAACTTCAGCCTTATGATGAATCTTGATAGAAAAGTCAACTTTAGTCTTGTAAAGGAAAGCAGTTAAACCATCAGTATCCCGAACACCATTGAATTGAATACGTTGTTTTTGAGTCAAGCCAATCTATAGAACAAAAAAAAAAAATGCGGTATTCCAAAATATGAGCCAAAAGCACCATTTCCACAATAACTACTTAATTTGTGCTACTTACCTTTTTTGCGAAATGATCAGCCTTTTCATGATCAAGAGCAAACCCCTGGTTTCCTCGTAGTTGTCGAAAGTGTACCACTATAGAAAAAAAAATGAAAAAAAAAAATGAAAAACGTTAGTATCAACGATAACATGATTGAATCCAATTCTTAGATTGACTATTATATAAAAAGGATAACTTACCTACCACAAATTCTTCACTGGGAGTTTGATCCACTGAAGGTTCAATAATGCTTAAACAAAAAAAAAAAAAAAAAAAAAAAAAAAGATAATATTTATTTAGTGATGGTCTCATTTTATTATTTGATTTCTTTCTTTACCCTGATCTTGCTTTTCGTTGTCTTTCTTCGTATTCTTCTTTTCGTTTTCGATGAGCCTGGAATTCCTCTATAGGATGACTGAAGACGTCACCAAAAGTCTCTTGACCATGTTGATAAGCCAATGGATCTTTTTCCCTAGACGTGTTGTCGTGTTTTCGAATATCTATATGCTCCATTTCAACCTCGTCGTCATCGTCATCGTCATAGTCACTATAGTGTGCACCAGAATTTTGATTGAGAGCAATGAATTCTTCTTCATCGGTATTTCTTTGTCGTCGACTAGCAATAGTAGGTTGTCGCGGAAGATGCTGGTTACCTATAGGTGGTCGGTAACCTCCTCTCATGGTAGGACCACGTCGGATCGTTCCTTTTCGGGAGCTCATCTTGGTAATGAAGGTGAAATAATGAAAGTAAAAAAAAAAAAAAAAAAAAAAAAAGAAAAGGAAATGAGTTGGGAAGGGAGTATAAGGATCAAGCAAAAATAATTAGAAAGGAGAAAGAAAAAAAAAAAAGGAAAAGGGGGAAGATGAGATTGACAGCAAATTATTTATTTTTCACTGCGGAGTATTCTTCTCAGTGCTGCCAAAAATAGAGAATAACTCAAGTGGACTATATACTCTAAGGATAATAATAAAAAAAAAAAAAGAAAAATCGTATCGTCGATCCTCTTTGTAAACATCTGAGCTTAAAGAAACGATACCTTAATAGTGTTAGTTTAGAACTAGATGGATTTATTACCTTGAGCAGACATTCATCGTTAACAATCTTATGCACGTTATTCCTATCACAATTTGATGCATCTCCTTGCAGTTCATTTATGATCCATTTTACTGCGACTACAATGATTGCCATTAACCCATGATTCTCATCATCTTTAATACAAAGATTGCTTTTGAAGGTACTCAGTAGATATCAGATCCTCCCATTTCGTTTTCCACTTAGCTTAATATGGAAAATGATGGAAATAAGCAAAGCCACTCCACGTAAATACAACAGCACAATAGAACCAATCATATTGAGAATGCTTAAACAACAATCAGCCCATTGATATTTGTCTCAAATACATAACATAAGAAGGACCAGTAATTGGGTATGAGAAAGAAAAAAAAAAGGACTTTGGCATCTATGGAATGAAATAGTCTTCTGACTCTACATTCAAATCTGGATCGCCAAGATCCCCCATCAGAAACTGGAGCATTGTGGTACAACAACCTAATTTGTTTTATCACAGACTTATCATTCGAAAGTTAGTTAAATTTATGTTATTGTGTAGCACATCATCCTTGAGCGGCCAGGAAAAAAAAAAAAAAAAACCAGCCTATCATTTGAAAAAAAAAAAAAATTTCAGTAGTTTGACATTTAATTTTTCCCAAAACGTTTTAAGCCCATTATGTATAGGGATCTAATAAGTTTTATCTTCAGCATAATACAAACAATGAAGTTTAATGATAATGATGACAATCTTGATAATAACAATGATGATAAGGTGGTATGACCATGATGATTTTTTTTTTAAAAAAAAAAGGAATGAATTATTTTGTACTATGAATGGAATCATTGTGGTTTTAACAGCGGAGACTACTGCTATTAAGAACCAGTGGAGAATCTAATAATAGTCTATAAAGAGAGCGATATTCTTTTTTTATAGTGTATTACAAAAGGAGAAAGGATAACTAGGGAGAAGTGAACAAAGTACTGCGGTAAAATCTCGATTTTTATAAGTAAATAGATTCTTTCCTTGGACGGATTCTGGATCATCATATAAATCGAGAATTCAAAAGTATTAATGAAGTATTCGAATAAAGCAAATAAAAAAAAAGATTTTATTTCCTTGTCATTCAAACGAAGTAATATTGTATGAAGAAAAGGATACTAAACTTTTTTTTAAGTATATACAGTGTGTGAATAGTAAGATGAGGAAATAAAACAATGATAGGGAATATAGAAATGAATAATGCTAATAATTAACTAATAATGGGAGCAGGTCACTGAAATAAGGATATACCAAGAAAAGAGTCCAAGTCTTGATTTGTTTGTAAGGGATTGCATTTGATATTGTGGTCACTACTGTGGTGTTCTTGATCTTGAAATAAGTCGTCAAGCCAAACCATTGTATTCATTCCTGTTGCGTCCTCTTTTGGTGTCACTACAGTTGATCCACTATCTTCATCTCCATCATTAAGTAACAATTCAATATCGGCCAGAGTATAGTTGTTTTTTGATGGAGGTTGTTGACAGGTAGTCTCTGGTAATAGTGCAGGTGGTGATAATATACCAGATTTTATACCATCCACTGTTGCCGTTCCTGTTGTTGCTATTGTTGATGTTGTTGTCATAACTGTTTGCTGGGGTCGAGTGGGGAGCTTTTTAGCAGCAAGATCTATCAAAAGAAAAAAAAAACCATTGTATAGTTAATATATGGTTGTATATATTCCAAAAAGAACAAGAAAAAAAAAAGAAAGGATAGTTGCTTACCATGATTTAGTTTTGAAGTCATTGTCGGAAGAGTTGGAGCTAAGAGGGAGCCCTTGGAAATGGACTTACTAGGAAGAGCCAAAACAAGAGGTTTATCTTTCTGTTCAATAGGAGAAGTCAAAGAATATGTAGTTTCTTGCTTCTTACCGTTCACAGATTTTTGAGTACGATCAGACATTGGTTTTGCCCTTTTCCTACTCTTTATACTAGCATTGCCATCACCTACTTGTACCACAAACCGAGTAGCATCGTTAGAGTTGAAAGGATATGAGCACTATAGTAATAAAGAGATAATTAGTTAAAAAAAAAAAAAAGAAACTTGTTATTTTATTTTCTTCTTTTATTAATTTTACCTTGACATTTTCACACATGATTATCTTTGTATCAAAGTGGATAAGGTATTCTTCAATAGGGGATTCACATAAAGGACAACCATCTTTTGATCTTTTGACTGGCGGCATACTATGGTATTCAAAAGAAAAAAAAGAAAAAAAACGAAGAAAAAAGAAAGAGATGGCATATTGCGCCGCAGAGTTACTCTGTATAAACAGAAATGTTGAAGGGTGACTTTTTTTTTCTCTCAGTGAACAGCCGCCAAAAAAAAAAAAAAAAAAAAAAAAAAAAAAAAAAACGTATCTGCTGAGCGGAATTCAAATCAGGCACGCGTCTCCTTGATATATTTTACTCGACGCGATTCTTTTTTTGGTTCTAGTTCTTCTCTTTCACATTACTTACTTGTCCTATATAACTTCTTCTCATGTCGACAAAAGATTTGGCCGATGTTGAGGATACTAATGCTCTTGCATACAAACGTGATGGAAGGTAAAGATATACATTAACTCTCTCTGATTTTTCAATATTAAACAAACTTCATTCTTTTATACAATAGTCAATTGGTAGCAGTGCGACAAGATGCTTGTATCAACATTTATGATAATTCAGTCCACCATGACATTATAGAGCCTATTAGAGATGAACATGTGGAACCTATTGGTAGTGTAGCTATTTCTGTAAGTAATTTTATATGACAAATAAGAAAGAACAAGTCATTCTAAACTAAAATTTATTTTATTTTATTTTTTCTTATTAGGACGCTTATATCGCTACTGCAAGTAACGATGGAAAAGTACTCTTATTTAGCACAACGGACAACAAATTCTCAAAGCTTCTATTCCGTAGTCAAGTACCTGTACGTGACATTGCATTCAATTCTACTGGGAACAAATTGGCAGTGGCTTCAGAGTAAGTTTATCCAAAAATAAAAAGAAACATTAAAGTTGATTTAATATTTAATGTATGATTTTAGTGAAAATATGATTCGGTTAGTATTAGTCAATGATGTGACCAATATTGTAGTGTTAGAAGGTCATGTCCAAACGGTGAAATCTTTGGCCTATGATCCAAAAGATAAGTACTTAGTGTCTACTGCATGTGACGGCACGGTGATTATTTGGCTTATCAATCCTTCTACCGGTGCTCCTGGAATGGTCAAATCTTTCAAAGGTCAATTACCTCCTACGTTACCTGATATTATTCGAAACTCTACAGTGTCTTGGAATCCAAATGGTTCTTATATTGCAATGCCCGGTCGAAATGGATGTAAGTTGATTTTTTTTTTATTACTGAAGTTAAGTACACACTTATCATGACTCATCGTTTTTTTTTCTTTTTTAATTATTATCATTATTATTAGCTATTCAACTTATTCAGCGTGACAAATGGTCTATTGCTCATACTTTGGTGCATCCACGGGTTGAGGTAATTGAACAGGCAGCCATGGTGGAAGATGTGGGGGAGAAAAAAGTAGAGATCTCGTCGAATAAAATATGTTTATTTCTATTTTCTAGGAAGCAACTCATGTAACTTGGTCTCCTAATGGACGTTATCTTGCATCAACTGGAAAACACAAACATATTTACATTTGGGATATAAAAACTCGACAAATAGTGAGTCAACGCGATATCACCCGTCAAGTTACAGCTCTCGTTTGGAATCCTATTAGAAATGAATTGACTTATACGGTAAGTGAATATATAATTATTGGATTAGCTGATATACATGTTGGATATATCATCCGTATTCATCTTTTTGGTTTTTACTCTATATAGACTTCTGGTTCAGATGGAGTTTTGACTTGGGAACCTGCTGTGCCTGAAACCTTACAAAGCCCATTGAAACAATCCTCAAGACGATCAACCACCGATACACCACCGATAGAGTCATCAATGCCTGATTTTTTGGACGATATGGCTTTGACTGATACTTTGGATGGAGATGATATTTCTTTGGCTGGTACTGAAGATGATGTCGCTGAAATTGGTGAAGATTTAGATGGGAATTTATTTTCTGATATGGAAAGTGTAGAGGGGCAACCACATCAAGATGAAATGGAACAACAACAAGCACCTATACATCATGTCAAAGGTAAATAAAAAAAATATTCGATCAAAGAAACTCATTTTTTTTATTTCGTAGGACCTGTATCTACTTTGGAATGGCCTATGCGATTTCAACCTGGTTCAACTACCTTCAAAAACATGGTCAATCCTACAACACCTGAAGAGAATGAACGACGATATCTCGATTTTAACTTGGTTGGTATCGTATATACAATCTATCAAAGCTCTCATTCTATCGTCAATGTTGAATTTCATGATCAATCAGAAAATCGCAACTTCCATTTCTCGGATTATTTCCATTATACAATGGCGGCTTTAGGTTCCAATGGTTTGGTATTTGGTGTCGAAGGTCAAGAAAAGGTCAAAGAAAGACGATCTAGAACAACAAATGGAATTGAGGATGATGATGATCTTAGTAATAGTGACGGTGATGAAGAAGATACAATGGAACGCACTTCATCTATGGTACATTACCGGCCGCTTAATTCTTGGTCAAATCAAAAAGAATGGACTGTTCATCTACCATTGGGTGAAGATGTGGAAGGTAAACTAAAAAGAAAAAAGAAAAGAAAAGAAATTGTTACTTAGCTTTTTTTTTTTTTTGTTTTTAGCTGTGGCTATCAATGATGTTTCAGTGATTGCTGTTACCAGTGCTGGTTATGTTCGTATCTTTACTATCTCTGGTGTACAAAAACACATATTCTGTATTCAAGATGTGGTGTCGATTGTTGGTAAATCAGATTTGGCATTCTTTGTATGTTCAACAGGTCCTACTATTAATAAACAACAACAAGTACTAGAATTCATCCTCCTCAATACCAGCGACAATGATATATTACAACGAGGACCCATGCCTATTTCTACAGAACATGAATTGACTTGGATTGGTTTCTCAGAAACCTCACAACCAGCTTCCTATGATACAAAGGGTATATTGCGTGTTCTTCATCGACAACGTCGACCTGGTCAATCTGCTTGGGTACCTCTCTTTGATGGTGTACAGATCGCTGCCAGACGTGAACGAAATGAAAGATATTGGCCCATTGGCTTGTTACATGATCGACTTATGTGTATTATTTTGCGGGTATGAACCATTAGAAAACAGGAATCTAATATGTGACTCATTAGTCCCTCTATTTTTTTTTTTTTTTTTTTTTGTAGGGACAAAATACTGAACCTTATTTCCCTGTCCCATTGTCAACAGAAGTGGAACTTCGAGTGCCAACGGCTGCTGTGGATTTGAAATATGATGATCTAGAAGAAAGGTAAAGAAGAAGAAAGAAAAGGATCCGAAGTGGAGACCACTCATCGTATATTTGAAATTTTTAATTATCCATAACAGTTACTTAAGGAAACGCATTGTTACTTTACACGAACGAGATGAAGCAGATGCAACTGACTCATTAGAACAACATGAACAGTTCATTGACCAGGCAGAACTCGATATGGATAAGGCATTACTACAATTGATTCAGGTAATCTTCCCTTTTTTTTTTTTTTTCTCTAAAAAAGAATAATAATCGGAAGATGGACCTTCTAGACGAGTACTGACTCATCTTTTTTTCTTTTCATATAGTTAGCGTGCAAGACTGAGAAATTAAACAGGGCATTAGATTTAACGAACGCATTACACTTATCAAGATCAGTGGACGCAGCTATTCAAATTGCATCCCATCATCGATTGACCACCTTGGCGGACAAGTTTACGGAAATCAAGGAAATTAATTTTATGAACCAACATCGACATCGAACAGCACATACTACAGCATTACACGATTTCCAACAATCACAAGTCAGTCTATTCCCTTCATCTACATCTACCATGTCAAGTGATCTTGCATTTGTGGACCGTGCTCCTAGTAATGGATATGAAAGCAGTATGCACCTTGGTGGATTTTTAGGTTCCAACCGAAAACGACCTTCTCCTTCAACAAATGGTACACTAGACATTGATGATGATTTAGATCTGGACCAGACTCAAATGACAACCTCAACAACTGATATGGACACAACCATGACTTCTCCTTTACCCAAACGATCACGATAGTTAGTTTTTTTTTTTTTTTCTACACCTCTCGTCTATTCAGTAGTAATAAAAATCTTGTAGTATTCAAGCCTTATGATTCCATTTTCTAATTTGACTCTTCTATACATTTTTATATTATTCTCTCTTTTTTTTTTTTTTTTTTTTTTTGTCTTGAAGCAGTTTGGATTTTGATGTCTTATGTCGCCACTTTTTGCGGATAGTGACTCGATAGTGCATGTAATTTAAAACGATGCCTAACGTAATCGTAGATGAATGATGATTATGGTAAATAGATGATAAGCAAACAAAGAATTAAAAAAGAAAAAAAAATGAAAGTGTAAAAGTATGAATACCAATGGAGCGTGGTTGATCACTAAAAAACGAAAATGTAAATAAGACGATCATAGTAATACAGTACAAAAAAATAAATAAATAAATAACGATTTCCTTTATTGCTATAATGGATGTATGTACAGGTAATAATAAAGCTAGCTAAAAGATTATATATATATATATATATATATGTCTATATATGTCTATGGTGGTGATCCAAGTCGTTCGGTAAGACGTTTGTGTTTCTCTTTTTCCTCTTCGAGTTTTGCTTTCCATGATGCAGTTTCTGATGCATATTTCAATTCTTCCAGTTTTAGTAATTCACGACAAGTTTCTTCCAGTTTACCCTGTTTCATGATCTGTTCCTTCAAATGCTTGATATATTTCTTGGCACCATAAAGTACGTTCGGTTCGCCATAGTATTTATTATGTACCCGTAAACCTATGTTGTTTATATATTGGAGATACAGATCACTACCTACTTGATTGGAATCAATATTCTGTACTTCATCGCTGTCATTATTGTTGTAATCGATTTCCATAGTGTTGTTGTTGTTGTTATCCAATTCCATTACCGCATCATCCCTGTTTTTGTTTTCGTATTCGCCATCATTTATACCAAAGTTGTCAATGTTTTTTCGATCATTATCGTCATTTGTGCTGACAGAAGAGTCATCCGGCATATTGTCTTTGTTGTCCACATCATCGTTAACATAAATGGCATCGCTGTTGTTCAACATTGCAAAGTGAACACATCTAACGAAATTTTCCGGCAAAAGATTATGTAGTTCAATCATGAGAGCTTTATAGTGACGGACTCGATGTTGTTCGATTTCTTTCCTTCGCTTGTTATCGTCATTAATACTATTGTCAAGATCATAACCATCCAATACCTTGACAAGATGATCATATGGTCTTGAGTACTTGCTGTGATGGATTCCACTTTTGGGTTTCGATAATATGGCTGTGTGATGTATGATAGGCGCCTGATGTACGTTAGAAGGATGTCGTGTGCGAAGTGAAGGTATACGGGTAGGCTTGGATGACTTGTTTGAACTTCGTGGTCGACTAGATCTTGTCTTTTGCATGTCAATGAAGGATTCACCAGTTGAGGTAAAGAATGTTAACTCTTGTGATCCATGTCCTGTGTTGGATGATTGTGTAGTAGAGTCGAATGTCGGTTGTGATGGTTGAGCTATTGATGTTTTTGATTCTAAGCGTGGTGGTAATCCGTGGAAATTATTCCGGAATTTATCTTTTTTTGTTGGTTTCGGTCGATCTTTGATGCTGAACTTCGAGCTAAGGGTAAAAAAAAAAAAGGTAGACACATTAGTATACTGCTAACAGAAAAAAAAAAAGAAAAGAAAAGAAAAGATGAAAAGAAGACCCAACATCCAATCTTTTCTATAAGCTTCCCCTTTCCTTTCACCAAAGCTTACATTAAGTTGTTTGCCATGTAGAAGTAACAAGCATTTAATAATTGATATAGTATTAAAAGAGAAAAAGAAAGAAAGAAAGAAAAAAGACACGAAGGAAAAAAATAAAAGACCCTTTTTGCCATAGCGAATTATAGGGTACACGATTTTCAAACACAGCTACTGACAGCATTAGGCAAAAGCTTCAATAAGATACATTACTATGGTAATTATTTGTTATATTTTCATTCTTTTATTATTAAACCAACCTATCATCATCATTATATCCTTCACTAAAAAAAAAAAAAATGGTTTCCTGACAGACTATACTAACACAAAGAATGAAGATAACAATGACATTATGTGTGTAACAAGTAAACATAAGGTGAAGTAATAAAGAAAAAATAATAATAATAGTATATAGTAGTAATAGTATTAATCATCATCAATATATATGAATTTTAAGGGGTCAACATGATAGAAATCAAAGCAATCAAACCACCAGTAACTACAGCGGAACGAGTAGAGATGACATTCATGGAGGAACCTTGATTCACTGACTGAGCGATAACAGAAGATTGTCCTAATTGACCTGAAGCAGAGCCATTTCCATTCGTACCAGTATTACTAGTTGATCCATTGGAAGGAGATGGAATACTAGATGAAGATGATGATGACGATGATGATAATGTTGATGATGATGATGATGATGGTAAAGCAGAGGAACTAACAATGGTCACAGATGAGGATGGTTGTGATGAAGATGAAGACGCAGAAGCAGAAGCGCTAGAAACAGAAGAAGAAGCAGAGGGTGAGGATGTACCACTACCAGTGCCATCCATGGGACCACTGTAATCACCTGGAACTACCCTAGCACAGCCATCTTGAGAAATTCCACGGTTACAATTCACAGGATCATTCTATAAGAGGTAAGTGAGAAAAATATTAGTACTGATGATGATGATGAATGATGGATCATGTCGACTAAAGCAAATAACTATTAAAAAAAAAAAAAAACTTACGCAACATCGCATACAATACGTGTTTCCAGCAGGTTCAATTAAGTTGACGTAATACTGCCAACCAGCACAAGAAGATCCTTTAGGAGCCTACCAAAAAAAAAAAAAAAAAAAAGAAAAAAAAAAAAGATGAGACCAAGATGATTTGTTGAGTTCTTGTTTTTTTTGTTTTTAATTATACCATGATATCGCATTGACCACCTTCATCAGTAGGATTCAAACCAACTTTAGAAGGATCAATTTGACCAGTGACTTGAACATAACTATCAGTAGCAACATAATGAGCTGATTGAATAAATCCATCGGGCAATGTGTTGGCATTGGTAGCCTGCGGAGTACTTCCTAAACAATAAGCTTGAGAATCCCATTCATTGTCAGATAATGGGGCACTCATCTGTCCAGGAGGAGGAAGGAATACACAAAAGTTGGTAGAATCGACGACCTGAGCAATCATCCCACCTCCTGCTGATACCATTACAAATGATGATAATCCAATTAAAGATAATAGTTTGGTTGATGGAGTAAGTTGAACCATTGTTGTTTATAAATCGTTGTCTAATCGTTTCTAATGATGATGACAAGGAAGGATGATGAGGTAGAATGAGATGATTAAACCAAGAAAAAAAAAGAAGATCTTTTTATAAAGAAAAAGAAAAAGGTCCAAAAATGAAAAAATCGAATATTCTTCAAAATAAAAAAGAAAATCTTTTTTTTTTTTTTTTTTTTACAATTCAGATCGGAGACTGATCATCCTTCCGTTGTACAGTGATAATAAAATAACCATTTTTGGTGAATTCTTTTACATCATTGGTTGTACGATTAAACTTTTAGTTCCATAAACATCCATTCAAGACCCTTATTTTTAGTCACTTTTTTATTTTATTTTTATTTTTGATTTAAAAAGTTCAATATTATGTTACATCTTTATCTTCTTTACTATATGGTTAATCATCTTTTTGAGATATATCTAAGCAAGATGATCTTTACTATTTGTTTTCATCGAACTGATTGTTATAAAATGTAAAAGATGATAATTATCCTTCTTTTTTTTTTTTTTTTTTTTTTTTTTTTACACTAACATCCACCTTTGATCTATGCATATTCTCCATTTTTATGTGTCTACCATATATATTTGCGTGTAACACACAATATAAGGAAGTAATAATGATCTTGCCATCCTTATTTACTTTTATGAAAAAAAGTGCCTCTTTTTATTTCTCTCCAATCTAAAAATAGACTCTTGCTTCAACATCATGTTCATTCCCATCAAGGTAACATACACTCAGTTTTGTTAATAAAATAGTCTAGAAAAAGAGATTATTCCACCTTCATCCTATATATATATTATACACTATTGTAACATGTATCCAATCGATTAAATCACCGGTCATTGCAAGACAATCCTCCTTACAGTTTGTCACTGAAACCAGTTTACAGCATACATTCTTATAGTGATGCAAGAGACAACATTAATATCATTTTGAATATTTCAATAAAGTTTAAACCATTACTTATTCCCAAAAGATATTTTGATGTTCATAATTGTTTTTTTTAAAAAAAATGTTTCAGGGGCGAGTTTGGACCATCTTCTCTTCGGGGGTGAAATGAGAGATCTAAGCCGCTCAACCCCAAGGTCTGACTCACCCATCGGAAAACAAATATCTCAACAAAAGGAATCAATGCATTTTTTTTTCTTCCTCTTTCTTTCGTTTCTTTCTTTTCCAAATCAATCATAATAGATTCACAACATGGCTCTTCTTGAAAGGTATAAAAAAAAAGATAATGGAGAACTACTAACTTAAATATATATATCTTTTGAACTTTTGTCATTACATATAGTAATTGTCCTGATTTGAAACTTGTTGCTCGAGGTAAAGTACGCGATCTTTATGAAGTGGATGAAAAGAGTTTATTGTTTGTTGCCACCGATCGTATCAGTGCTTTTGATGTTATCATGAAGAATGTAAGTTCAAAATAAACTTTTTTTTTTCTCTTTCTTTTGTTCTTATACCTATTTTTTTTTTTTTTTGATATAGTCTATTCCTGGCAAAGGCAAAATCTTGACACAGTTATCAGTATTCTGGTTTGATTTGTTGAAGGACATTTTACCCAACCATTTGATTACTGCCAACTTTGATGAAATGCCCAGCAACGTACAAAAATATCGGGAACAATTGGAAGGACGGTCTATCTTGGTCAAGAAGATGCGTGTATTACCTATTGAAGCCATAGTTCGTGGATATATTACTGGATCAGGATTGAAAGAATACAAGCAAAAGGGAACCATTTGTGATATTCCTTTACCTGAAGGTTTGGTAGAAAGTCAAAAGTTACCTCAAGTCTTATTTACTCCTAGTACCAAGGCTGATATTGGTGATCATGGTAAGTAACATCAAGATGTCGTTTCTATATATACCAACAATTTTTTTATTTTATTTTTTTTTTTTATTTATAGATGAAAACATCCATCCTTCCAAAATGGTAGATATTCTTGGTGGAAACAAGGTTCTGGCCGATCAAATTACTCAAGCTACCATTTCTCTTTATACCAAAGCAAGGGATTATGCTGCTGAAAAAGGAATCATCATTGCTGACACCAAATTTGAATTTGGTTTGGATGAAAATGATCAATTAGTAGTGGTAGATGAAGTCTTGACACCAGGTAATGATAGCAAGAAACATACAAGTGAAAAGAAAAAAAAATATAGATAGTATGGAATAATTGGGATTTTTTTTTTCTCATCCGTTTTTTTTTTTCTTTCTTTCTTTCTATTATTTATTATAGACTCTTCAAGATTCTGGCCTGCTAACAAGTATGAAGCTGGTCGTGTACAAGAAAGTTTTGATAAACAATTCTTACGCAATTACCTCGAATCTATTGGATTTGACAAGAACACAAGTATTGAATTACCCACTGAAGTTATCAATAACACATTAGCCAAGTACAAAGAAGCTTACACATTATTGACTGGAAAAGAAATCACTCTTTAGTAGATATATAATAGTTAGATTTTATTTGTATTCATACATAAACATATTGGTCCTCTACTTTTTTTTTTTTTTTTTTGAAAACGAAGATTTGTAAGAATTCATTTATGACTTTTCATGTTGATCCATATTGGGATGTGGCTAGAGTCTATGCGTAACATAGGTATATTTTAAGTTTGCAGCCTCAAAATAGAATTTGAAGATGGTATAGGATTAAGTATCAGATGAGCGTTTTTTTTTTTTTCTACGCATTATCAACTAGTTATCTTTTTGATCCACTAACAAAGAAGTAATCATAAATAATATACACATTTTTTTTAATGGTGGTTATATAGTATGATGCTAGATTTAAGCTTAAACATGAGTGATTAGGATTATTAGGCAGTGGACGAGCTTTTTTTTTTTTTTTTTTTTTGATTTCACAGCCAAAAATTCCCAATTTCTCAGCCAAATTTTGGCTGTAAAAATCAAATCGTCAGGGGGTCATCAGGCAATCTTTCGAAAAATCGATGAAATCTTTTGGTGATCATTGCACATCAGATGGCAAGGTAAGCGGTAAAATGGTATTAAACGATACTAAGCTATTTTTTAGAGAGGAATCTAATGGTGGTCATTTTATTGAATGATGATCATTATTGAATCAGGGATGACAATATTGATTTTTATTTTTTGATTTACTCTATAAATTACGAGGTAAGGTACAAACTGCTATTAAGGCAATTGAAAGAGAATGATTTCATTTATGTTCAGTTCAAATATGGTGCGATGATGATTGTCTTGAGCTGGAGTTTTTTTTTTTTTTTTTTTTTTCTATTTTACAGCAAACAAGGCTACAAAAGTTCACTGTCAAAGAATTCGGAGTCAATTTAACTTTTTTAATATTTTTCTCTCTTTTTTTATTTTCTTCCTCTTTCTTTGAGTTGTTTGAAATATGAATGTATACGATGCGATAAAGTAAAATAATAAAAAAAACCAGTCTCTCATGTAACCAAATGAGTAAGTAAGAATAATGGAAGTATTAGTTAAGTGTGTCATGGCTGTTTTTTATAATATATATTGACCCTCATTCTATTTCCCTATCTGTCTTTTTTTTTTTCTTTCCTTTTTGTTTTAGTGCTTTTTGGGTTCTCCTTATTTTTCTTTCTTACTTTTAAAAGGTAACTGTTTCAGCAAATTGGTTATGGTGCAAAGAGGTCTGGAACATATATTTACTTAGAAAGACAAGTCAAGAAGGGAACAATAAAAAGAAGGTACCCGTATTGTGAAACTATACCTTGTTAATACTTTTTTTTCTTTTTTTTTTTTTTTTTTTTTTACTCGTGATATATAGAAACTCCCACGAAGCGACCGGATACCTCCAGCTATCACTATATCTTTTACTTGGAATACTCCTTTCGAACTGGCGCGCCACTAAGGGGTACTATGAATGCGGATACGGCTCCGAAATAGAGATCCGGTCCCTTTTTTATTTGGATTTTCATTGTTGTGTCTCTTGGACCCTCTTCTTTTTTTTGTGTAAGTTGTGATCACTATATGAAATTATTGATTCATTAATGCTCATCCATTTGTCTTTTTTTTTTTTTTAACAACGGTGACAATGATATCTGCTAATGGAGATTATACTGGATTGAATGACTTTTTGGTGATCTAGACTAGACAACAAGAACAACAACACGTGCACTTTATTCGGAAAAAGAAGGGGCCGGACTAATTGGGTTTTGCTGATGGACTTGCTATTGATCTTCTGATGGTCATTAATGTAGGAAAAAAAAAAAACCTGAAACGAAATCAAGAAATATATTACAAAAGTTTATCTGGGTCTCCCTCAGCCTCCTCTTAATGAAAAACAATTGGCGAAAAGGATGCTTCCTCTATAAAATGGTCCCACGGTACAACTATATGCATATAGTGACACAGTACAAGAACCAATCGAATGAACTTCAGCAAATGGACCTACAAAATCAATCCAGTCTCCTTGGCATACTTACAATGGTAAAGATCGACAGATCGCTGGAATAAATGAACCGGAAAAGTTATTCTGTAACTATAATGAAGCCGATATATCCAGAATCATATTAATCCTTTTCTTGACTTTATTTTTCTTCGTCTTATTTAGATTATTAGCTCAAAGTTTATATTCTTAGTGATAGTTATGATATATTTGATCGATTAGATGGTTTTTTTTTATTATTATTAATAAAAAGAATAACATATTGGAAATAGTGACCCGATCTTCAAAAAAAAAAAAAAAAAAAAAGATGGTAGTTTATTTTATTTTATTGTCATTTGGGAGGGAATATCGTTGTATCATGTATTGGAAAAACAGGGTTTCATGGAATACGCACCGTATATGGAAAAAAAAATGAAAGAGCGCTGCACAGCAGGAAAATCAACAAAATAGATGAGATAAGATAGCATAATTTAAAATAAACAATAATGTGACAATGCACGGGGTGGAAAATAAAACATAAGGTATAAGAGAAGGAATAAAATCATATGAAAGAGCAGTACGAACTTCACAACATGATGATCTATCAGTGATTTTTGACACTGCGTAAATGACGCTTGAGAACATCCTTGCGTTTAAAAGTAGCATTACATCCAAGTCTAGGACAAGCATATGGTCTTTCTTTTTTATGAGTAGATCGGATATGTCGCTTAAGCTCCTGGAGTCGACCAAAACCAGAATTGCAGATATCACACCAGTTCTTTTTGGAAGACGAAGTAGATGACGAGGATAATGGTGATGATGATGATAATGCTGGTGATGTCGCTGATGATGATGATGCTGCTGATGGTGATGCTGCCAATGATGATACCGTCGATGGAGTTAACAATGATGGTGATGGTGGATGATCGTCGTTGACAACGGCTGGTGTGTGATGATGCTCGTATGACGACGGTATTAATAGTAATGGTAATGATGAAGATGGTGATGATGAAGATGGTGATGATGATGATGATGATGAAGAAGAAGAAGAGGATGATGATGATGATGATGATGATGGCTGCACAGGTGCCACATCTGGCGGATAATAGACATTGTTGGGAATAGTTTGTAGGTCCGAATCAATAATAGGTAGCTGATTAAATTGGGAGGTTGGATCAGCAGAGAGGATATCATCAACTAAATGCATCCAACTGTTGATATTGGTATCAGTCGTGGTATTAGCATATGCTGCTGTGTTGGTATCAGTTATGATACTATTAGAGTAGATCGCTTGATTGGACTGAAATAAAGTAGATGATGGTGATATAAATGCATTGTGGATGTTGTTGTCATGGTAAGTGGGATAGGTGGAGTTGGTATGATGATCAACATCATAAATTGGCAAGGGAGGAATCAAGGTAAAATTGGATCCATTGCTTTGACTAATAATTGTAGATTGGATATATGCAGGTATAGGTTCTCCCCAGGAGACATAATGTGGAGTATTGATGGTAAGAGCAGGATTGTATAATCCAGGTACAGCAGAGAAATCCATATTGGTATGTAACATAGATGTATCCAAAGCAGTACGCATGATTTCTGTGGGAACTGTCAAAAAAGAAAAGGGAGATATTGGTGTTGCAACTGATATGTTTGCCCTTTCTGTTATTGAATGTATGGATTGATGATGATCACCATAATGACAATGATGATGATGATGATGATGATGATGACGATAAGGTTGAAAATAACGGTTAGTGGTTCCAAATTGGGTTGCTAGGTTTTGATTCATATTTAATTTGATTAGAGACAAAAAAAAAAAAAAAAGAATAGTACTGTCACCTAATCATAAAAATTGCATATGTATATAAATGAGTTTAAAAAAGAAAGGAAAGAAGAAGAAAAAAAAAAAAAAAAAAAAAAGGGGAAAGGGAAGTTGAGTGCGGCAAAAACAAGCCCAAATTTTATACCAAACAAACATGAGAAACCAAGGATATTGTTGCTTAAAGGCACTTGCGGTATCCGAAATGAAAAATACATGGATAACCGATAACCATTTACGTGCAAGTTTACAAATCATGTGGTTTATCATGGACTCCACTCCCACTTTTGGTTACGTCCAAGCATTATGTGTTTGTGTGAAGAGTAAAGACACTGAATGATCGGCGGACCTGATTATTTGCGTAGCTTTTTGTGCTTTTTTCTAGAATGAATGTTCGAGTATTAAAAAAAAAAGCATTTACTCATGTGACGGAATCCGAGATCTTATCAGCTGTGGCGCGGCGCGTGGTGGCACGCTTGATTCTTCTACTTGCGCTTCCCAGCACTTCTCACCACTCAAAAACACATCACTTGAAAAGGAAATACAGTGGGGTTATTATTTTTTTTTTTTTTTCATGTCAAATCAAAACCTGTTTATTCATCATGGAATCTGAATCATTTACAATATCCTATGTTCACTGTTTAATTGATTTGACCCAACAAAATAAATGGATTGAATACTATGGTAAAAGAATCTATAACAAAGGGTACGATATATTCATATGTTTTTATTAAGATACTAGACTCTACACTATTAAATAAACTACACCACCACTGTAATAAACTATGCTTGAGAGCTTTTGTGCTTTTCCAGTTTGTCCCCTTGTAAAGGTAGTGTTTCCAAACCTCATGATGATCTAAAAAAAAAAAAAAAAAAAAAAAAATAGTAAATAAATAGTCATCAATTGTCACACCCTATTCAACATACACGAATAACGTACTTTCATCGTACCAAGATCGTTTGTGTGTGACCCATCGTTATTTCAATCATCCTTGTGCCAATCATCCTTGTGTCAATCATCCTTGTGTCAATCATCCTTGTGTCAATCATCCTTGTGTCAATTATTTGTACGTCAATCATTGTAATTATCCTTGTGTAAACATCCTTTTGTCAATTATCTTACATCAACTATCTTTGTGCCAATCATTTTTGTATCAATCATGCTTGGTAGTCGTATCTAGCCCATTTTCCCTGTTCATTCATCGGTATAAAGTATTCTACAAACGAGTTCGTAACAGTATTCAGATAATTCCTATCCTTCTCTATCAATTCTTTACCATGTATAAAGTAAATAGCGATCGCAATCAACGTATATCTTACCTTAAATATATTCCATTCGTCATTCATCTATTCCTTGCTACATTTCCCGATATATCCGATCTATCTCGCGGCAATAGTACCCATAAGATCTTTTGATTGTATCTGATTGCGATGCCAAAGGTTGTCCTGGTACTATCTTAATAAAGTCAATACGTTGGTATTGATAATATAAAAGTAAATTAACAAAGAAACAAAAGCAGATAGTGAAGGTGATAGTAATGTAGATTGTAATGATACCTTTACCAATTTCTAGATAATAAGATGATGTTGAAGTCAGTAGTGGTATTCCTGAGAGATAAAACCTAAACGAAGTACATAGAGAAAAAGAAATATTGGTGGTAAACTTGCTACAAACGCTTCGATAGTAATCGCGTCAAACACTTACCTTTCTCTGTCTAGCCATCCTTTATTCATTCCACTGGAAACAAAGCCACTGATCACTAGTCCATCCGAAGTATCTATAGAATAAAGAAAAAGACAAAGAGAAGGCTTTTTTTTTTTTGGTAAGAATGAACGTAAAGCTGAACTTTTCATTGATAAACTAAGACAAACCTACCGTGATTGAAAGACAACAACATAAAGGTCGTTCATATGAATAGTTACCATACCATCCTTTTGTCTTATTTATGGTCCAAATGTAATTTGTATTTCATAAAAGTATCATGGATTAATTTTGACAGGATGAAAACAGAAAGAGAAGAATAAAAAATAAAACAAAAAAGTTCAATTTTTCAATTTAAAAGGCCCAGTCGGTGATTTTTTTTTTTTTTTTTTTTTGTCATTTGACTGATAGCAATCTTGGTCTTTTTAAATGGTCTAACAAAGACATAAAACAACATGATGACAAGTTATTTTGAAGTGAAAATAAAGAACATCAATAAATATTACCATATCTTCTTGATCTTTTGAACCATCGAGCTTTCTGCATGATTTACAGATTCATCACAAACATTACTTTTTCTGATTAGGAAGTACTATTATGTTAGCTTGCGTTTGAACTCATTTCTATACATTTCATGCTATGACAACCTATCATCGAATCTACTTAAAAAATAAGGGTCAAAGGCCACTCATCATAGTTTCCAGATGATTGATTTTAATGATGATTACGATGAAAAAGAGAATTTGTTCATTTATGGAAAAGGGATGGTGGGGAACAAAGGGGAAAAAGCGTACATACATCAAGTCTATAAGTCGGAAGTCTAGGAGGAGGATCAATAAGTAGGAGGGAGAAGGATCCGGAGATGACCGAAGAAAACCATTTTCATTTGGTGAGCTCCCTTTTCCTCCTAAATATTGATCATAGACACTGAATATTGATTTTTATAGTTGTTTTTTTTCATGATCATTCATATGGCTGTTATATGAAATAGGGAATGAAATATTCAAAAGGGAGTGTTGCATCCAAGAAACCGAAAAAGTATACATGTTCGAAAAAGGTTAAAAAAAAAAGATCGTCGTTTTTATTTAGGAATCCCTCCTTCCGATCCCGCAACCTTTATTCTAATAAACCAAAAGTAGAAAAAGAAAGGAACTACAAGGAGGAAAAAAAAAAAAAAAAAGGGGGAGAAGTAAAACCGATCAAACATTTCGCATGAAAACCGAGATATGGGGAGCTGATATAAAATGAATACAAATATGAACAATCCATAAGAAAACGTTACCTGTGTCATTGGTATGTGAGATTATACTTTTTGATTACCTCACTGTATTTTTCTTTTTATCATCCTTGTATTCCTCCTTCTTCTTTTTTTTTTTTTTTTTTAATTCCAAACGAAACTCCTATCTGCAAAAAAGCGTACTTTGCCAGACCTGTGGATCATAAAATTGTCAATGTATAATGATGATGTCTATAATGATGATTTCTATGATGATATTATTATGATGATAATCCATATAGTGACAGCTCCTGTGATAGTAACAATAGAACTTGGTCTGGTTCATTAATGACCTCATGGTGAACGCTGTAAAGACGACAACGATGATGATGATGATGATCGTGATGATGATCGTGATGGTGGTCAGTGTGCAGTTAGTGTATGTGGTCAATGTGTTATGAATTTATAGATGTGTAATGAGTAATGAGTATAATTAACATATTGAATTAATTTTTTTATAAAAAAAATATATTGAAGAGATGTTGTCAGTTCATATATAACAATATAAAAGTACAAGAACACATCATCATGTTATGCAAACAAAAAGGATTTTCAATCAGAACATGTGTCGTTTAGATAGTTCCGATTTTGACATATTCTCCTCAGTATTTTTACGATGTATATCATATGATGTTACATAAACCGTCAATCTCACTTACCCCTGAATCAATATCTATATTTAGTCACTATTATTTTAAAACAGCTAGTCTTTTCTTGGATGAGATTTTGACAGTGGGAAAAGATGTTCTATATTTCCCCCCTGAATCTATTGTGCTTTCACCAACAAAGATATATATTATTCTCCTTCGGTTTGAATTGCCTCCCCCGTTCCCCCCTTTTTTTTTTCCTCTCTTTGGGTAACAGTTGTGTTACTAGGCAATAAGATATAATAAATAAATAGTAATAAAAGCGATACCCGTGCTTTTTTTTTTTTTTTTAAAAAAAAAAAGACATTCATTCCATAAGGAGTGTTTCCCAAATAGAATATAAAATCATCTCCTTTTTTTTTATTCTCTTTATTTCGATAAATGTCTCCTTGTCAATTTGTTATGGGTAAGACTTTCAATTGACATTTTATATATAAGGTAGGTTTTGATGTGTATACTTCTTTTTTTTAAAGATGATGACTGATTGTGAGAGTAAGAATGTCATTTTAGAGTTCAGACGAAGAGATCTCCCTGTCTTTGTTTCAATGTAGGGGTGATGATATGTTACTTTTCTTCAAATAGAAGAAGCATAGACACTCTTTTTTTGTTTTGATTTTAGGGAGAAAGTTAAATAACATCATTTATTTTGTTTTGGTGTAGCTTCTCTCTTTCTCTTTTTTTGGTTGAGTTGTCTCACGCATAATCATCGCTCTCATCACCATAAACAACAAAGCAACACACAAACATTGTAACCACAGTCAAATCTCCTTGCATCCCTTTTCTCTAACTCCCCTTTTCTTCTTTCTCTCTATATCTCTCTTCTTTTTTTTTTTTTTTATTTCCCCTCTTCTCCTCTTTCTCCCCTTATATTCTTATAAAGTGGCATTATTCATTTTTTTTTTTCTTTTTCGATCACTTTCCTTCATTTTTTTTTAATTCCTTCTCTTCATTCCCCTTTTTAGGCCAATCATCATCTTTCACTGTTTTCTAATCAAGTGATTTTTGTATTATTTGATTTTAATTCATTAAAAGTGTCAAAAAGAGAAAAGAATATCATAAACAAGGTTTTGGAATATCATCATCATCCTCACCTATCATTCCTCCTTAATAAAGAGAACTTATAAGGTAACCTATTTAAATTCCGATGGAAGAAAGTATTTCTTTGTTATTTATTTATTTCTTTCTCTTTCACTTTATTTTCACTTTTTTTTTCTTCTTCTTTAAGTTTCAATACAACTCTATCTCTGAATTTTATCTTATACACTAAATGCTTGCCAGCGAACATTGTACTGATACTTTATATGATAGGTAAATCTCTTTTTTTTTTTTCTCTCTCTCTTTTCTTCTTTTTGTAATGTCATTCCTTGATTCACCTTTTTCTTTTTTTTTTATTTTTATTTTTTATTTTTTATGTAGTCAATATCATTCTGCCAAAATGGCATCTGATTATACCTTCAAGACAGAATCTGACTTAATTTTGAATGATGTACCTCCTCCTACTTCTGGTACTTCTATTACAACAACGCTTCCACCATCATCTACTCTAGTAACAACATCAACATCATCATCAGCTTCATCGTTATCATCTCCATCTACATCATCATCTTCAACAGCTACTACTATGTTTTTATGCCAACCTAATCAACATGATCAACAACAATGGTATCATCCACAATCTGCCTCTACTAATAATCATCAACACAATATCAATGCTAGTTATCCATCTGATGAACTACTTTATGCTAGTTTGCCTCCTCCTCCACCTGCACCATCGTTATTTTCATTTCCTTCGCCTTTACCCAAGAAGAAGCAAATGTCAAAAAGAAATCATCCTCGTCACCATAGTGCCAACGGTATTTTACAACAATATGCTCATTATCATCATTCGCAACAACATCCAGTGGTTCCTTCTAGCCATACTCAACGTCAATCATCCTCTTCTTCAACTATCAACTCTACTACATCTCCTCCCAACTTGGTATCCAATCATTTTCCCATGACTTCTTCTGCAAACAGCATGAATTATCCTTCCACCAATTCAAACTCCTCCTCTCCAACCGATTCCTCTTATTCATCTTTATCACCAACATCCACTCTTCAACGATCACACCAACAAGATATTATAGATAATACTTCATCCTCTTTGTAAGTACTAATTTTATTTGTTCTTTTTTATATTTTTGTGATGGATGATTACTAGTGAACAAATTTAGGGGGGTATGGTTTTTGTATGTTCGTGTTTGCGTGTGGGGAGGTGATTATCCGTTTATATTATGTATGTGCGTGATTTTTTTTTTTTTTTTTTTTTTTTGGGATAGGATGGGTACATAACAGCGGGTGTTGAATTCAATCAGATTGGGCAATAAAAAAATAGGGGACGAAAAGGTGATACTGGATGAGAAAAGGAATGGGTGGCAACCACGTGTATGATATATATATTTATATATATCTTTTGAATTCACAATATCACTCCTTATTCTAATTCTCTTAATGTTATTATTTATAGGTCATCATCTCCTCTACGATTCCACATTGCACTTCAAGCTTCCACAGCCGCAGCACAACGATTTAGTGAATCATCTTCTTTGACTTATTTGAATCGTGGACAAGCCTATGCTATTCATTTTCAGGATCAACAACAAGACTTAGCGGATGATATATTGGTTACAAGTACTATTTCAATTACTTTCCATGATGTGGCTCATAGACAGGCATCTCAAAATTACTGGCGATTCTGGCTCAGTCAACAAGATCGACCCAACGAGGCCCGTGCATTGGATTTAGATGCTCAGCAATCATCTGGTTTGGTTAATGTACATTATCCTTCCTTTGATTGTATTACTTTCCAATGGAAATCTCATCTTGGTGCTTCCCTCTATATTCGTTTCAACTGTTTATCAACTGATTTCTCAAGAATCAAGGGTGTTAAAGGTATTCCATTACGTGCTCTTGTTGAATCTTCTTGTTCTTCAACCTCTTCCTCTGTACCGTCAGCAACAACTGGATCAACATCGTCACCATCTTCATCACCATCAAGTCCAACTCAAATTCAATCCAATGTTTCTTCTACTAATGATTTGGGGAAATATACAGAGAAATCCTTTTGCAAAATCAAGCTATTTAGAGATAAGGTAAGCTAAAAAAAAAAAAAAAAAAAAAAAAAAAGGAATCGGTAAAAGATATGTGATACATATTATGTTTGTTCGTTCTTCTAATATTTTATTTCTCCTTTTTGGTTGATGAATGGCGTTGATAGGGTGCAGAAAGGAAAAACAAGGATGATGCAAAACAGATTTCGAAACAATTGGAAAAACTCAAAGGTACAACGATAAAAAGAGGAATAGTATCATGCAATAGACAACTGATGGGCGTTTTTTTTTATAATGTTCTTTCTTTATCCTATTATAGCTGAAGGTAACCCACAACACAATCCACTTTGGCATTTCTACAATCGACCAGCGGTGCCTTATAGCACTTTTGAACCTTTGCCAAAAGAAGATGATGTGATCAAGGATGAATACTCAATGACAGCGGCGCTTCCTTTATTGTCCAATAATGCTCCTGGTTGTGCCTATAATTTGCCACCGCCACCACCACCACTTCAACAATTACCACAGCAATATCCAATCTTGTCATCCTCTCCTCTCATTCCTTCTTCTACTTCACCAACATCATCTTCGCCAGTGTCCATTGTATCAAATCCGGCCATACAACCTCTTGTTCATAGCGATAACATTAATGCCAACAATAATAACAACAATAATCAACAAGAACAACAACAGCAGCAACATGGCAGTAACATGACCATCATGTCGTCATTTTATCCATCAACGTTTCAATATTCTCCCCATTTTGTACAACCTACTACTCCATATATATTCAACCCCGTGACTTCCCCACCTATATCTTCTGGTTACCTTTCCCATCAGCAACAACAACCTTGGATGACATCTATTGCAAGCAGCACCCCTGCAGCTGGTATGAAACGATCACGGTCTCAAATGGCTCCTCCTTCTGCTACAATGGATCATCCATCTCCACCTGAAGATCAACCTCCTATGAAAAGACAACATAGTCTACCAGGTAAGACAAAAATAAATAAATAGATAAGGAGAGAAAGTCATTTGACTAACTTTATATTTTACCATAAATAGCATTGACATTGTTCGTGGATACAAAGAAAGATCAATCATCATCATCTGTGGAATTGAAACGTATTGAATTGGAAACATTGACTGTCCAACATTTGATTATCAAACTCAGTGCCTTGTTTTCCCTTCAAGCTCACAGCGTGACAGAAGTACTATGGCGACGCGATCCTACTAGCAATACCTTGGGCTCACATCATCATCAACTTTATCACAAGAAATCTGCAACGTCAACAGGAGCAACAGCATCTGGTAACAATTTGATGGTACTTGTAGAAGATAGTGTACTGGAACATTTTCCTGATCAAACGATTATGAATGTACAATGGGAAATCAGTTCGTCTGGTACGGTGCGATTGATCTTGGACTTTTAAAAAAGGGAAGTGAGACGGCATCTCTGTCTTTCTTTTTTTTTAATTTTACTTTTAGTTTATATCCATGCTCTTTCTTTTTTTTTTCTTTTTCTTTTTGTTTATATACTTTTATCATATACCACCATCATCCTTCTCTATAGTCAGAACATACCCCCCATTTTGATTTTCTCCATACCTGACATTTTTATCCTTTTTTATATGTCTTTTTTTATCTCTTTTTTTTTTTTTTTTTTTACGTTACTCCAATAGTTTTTTTTATAACATTAGGTAGTTTATGTTTTTACTTTATACTTTCCTCCCCTTCTCTCTTCCCTTTAGTTATATTTTTCTTTTTTCTTTTTTTCTTTTTTTTTAGTGTATCTATGCATTTTATTCCCATTGACCTCTTTATTAAATTTTTTTTCTTTTTGGTTTTTGTATACATCGTTATCTTATTTTTTTTTTTTTTTTACATGTGTATGTAGTGTTTTGGTGATGATAAGGAGGGATAGACGAGCAATGGGGTACGTAGGAGGGAATAGAAAATACATGTGATGCAAAATGCAGGGAAAGCATGTCTGCGCTACTTCTACCCCAAATGTTTGTGTGATTCTTCATATCGCGTCGTTTGAGATCATTTATCTTAACGAAAATTGGAATCGTTGGGGTGAAGATGAATAAACGGCAAAATAAAGAAACAAATAATGTAGTAGAATGACCTATATTGTGATGATGAACAGTCTATAATAATGAAAATACTATAATAAAGATCTCATGATGATTATGAATACGATAATGATGAATAAACTCTATAGAACGTTATCTCTATTGGGGATACACAATCATTCGTAGTATCCCATGCGTCAAACCATAGTGATTCCTTCTTTTTTTTACATGTGATCGCATAAAAAAGAAATGGGGAAATTCATTTACCGCCATATCGTCCTTATTGTTGAAGTTGCTTTAGGTGTGAAAAGTCATGATCAAACGATTCGCCGGTACGTGTTACCTTCATTTGCTTTTTTTTTTTTTTTTTTTTTTTTGTGGGGTAGGGAGCGGAGTAAATAAAGTGAAAAGAAGAGTGCAAATGAAAAAAAAAATTTCTCTCTTTCTCTTTCTCTTTTCTTTATCTTTTTTTTCCTTGACCTTTTTTTTTTTTCCTCTTTCATTCATTTTTTTTTTGTAGTATTATCTAACGCGTAGTTATTTTATTATGTCAAAAATCGAAGTGTCACCCGTGTTACAATACATATTCAATCAACCAGTAGTCAACGCATTGACCAAACAACCATTCATTCAATCGATGTTAACACAGCCTTTGGTTCGAACAATAATGAAACAACCATTGACTATGGGTACATATGGAGCATTAGTTACAACTAGTATTCTTGCCTTGATTTACAATGATCGTGTCGTTTTTGCCGAAAAAAGGAATGATCTTGAAGCTCCCAATGCTTGGCCTTTGATTGGAAGTTTTCCTACATTGCTACAATGGCTTCCCAATCTTCATGAAGCTTTTCTTCTTGGTTCACACGAATTGGATAAAACTACTTAGTAAGTAACTAATATAAAATTCCTTCTAAGGTTTTCATCTCATCGTTTCTTTTTTCTTTTCCTGTTTTACAGTGCATTATCAGTGTTTTTAGTTCCCCATATGGTTGTTACCCTTCATCCTGCTAATGTCGAACATATCTTGAAAAGTAAGCTGATTCAATTCTTCAATCGTTTTTTATATATATAAATTATGTCAACTGATTTTTTTTTTTTTTTTTGCACATCTACAAACACACAAGCTAACTTTGAAAATTATATCAAGGGACCTCATTTTAGCAATGCAATGGATGATTTATTTGGTCATGGTATATTCAATGCTAATGGTGAAGAATGGCGATATCAACGAAAAACGGCCTCTCACGTTTTCAATGTCAAGAATTTCCGGGATCAGTTCACAGAGTAAGTAAATCCAAGTCTTTCTTGTCCTCTTGTGTAACTCATTTTATCTTTTTTTTTTTTTTTTTTTTTAGTGTGTTTTTGGATGAAATGAAATACATGACAACGCATGTTTTGGACAAGGCTGCTGAACAAAATCACATTATTGACTTCCATGATTTGATGTACAAGTTTACTCTGGATTCTTTCATCTTGTAAGCGCTCTTTCTTTTTACTTTTTTTTTTTTTTAAAAAAAAGAAGGATATATATATATTTATTCTTATTCATTTTTTTTTTCAATAATAGACTTGGTTTTGGTGTCCATTTGAACTCACTTCAACAAGAAGGAAAGGTACCTTTTGCGGCCGCTTTTGATGAAGCACAAAAAGGTACATTTTTTCGGATGATCAATCAATACTGGTCAAAGACAGAACCGGCATTCAACTTTATTGCACCATGGTTATTCCCAAATATGAAGGAAGGTCTCAAGGTAGTGGACAGCTTTGCTCGTGAAGTCACAGAAAAAAGACGGGCCGATATGGCAGCAGGCAAGACGGATGCTAAGGATCTCTTATCGCGTTTTATGAAAGCAAGCAATCAACAAGGCGAGCCCCTCGACGACAACGAACTTCGTGATATTGTTTTGAATTTCATCATTGCGGGTCGTGATACTACTGCTCAAGCATTATCTTGGTGTTTCTACATGTTGACTACACATCCCCGTGTGGAACGCAAACTTTATGATGAAATTGATCAATGGATTAATGATGACCTACTGACGGATTCCTCGGCATTATATGAAGTTATCAGAGGAAAAATGAACTATGCTCATGCTGTGTAAGCATCATCATCATTGTTATTGTTATTATTATTATTAGAAAGGGATATTAACTTTATTTTATTTTATCTTTTTTTTTACGTGTAATAGATTCTTCGAAACGTTACGCCTTTACCCATCTGTACCATTGAATCAAAAATATGCTCTGAATGATGATATCTGGCCCGATGGTACGCGCATCAAGAAGGGTGACTATGTTATATGGTCTTCTTATGCTCAAGGACGAAGTGAAAAAGCTTGGGGACCTGATGCCAAACATTTCCGCCCTGAAAGATGGATTAACGAAAATGGTGACTTGAAACGTGAATCACAGGGTCAATGGCCTGCCTTCCATGCTGGACCAAGAACGTGTTTAGGTAAATACAATACAATATATCATTATCATTTAATATCTTAATATATTAATATATATACATAGGACAAAATCTCGCTACTTTGGAGGCCATAGTAGCAATCATCAACTTGGTTCGACAATACAAATTCACTTTGGTGCCTGGCCAAAAAATCACTTATCAAATTTCCCTGACACTTCCAATGAAGTATGGTCTCAAATTATCTGTTGAAAAACGTCAAAAGAAAACAACTTGAACTCTCATATAGTTAGTTAGCTCCCTATCATCGGTATTCTTTCGCTACACAAATTCATATGTTTTTCTTTTAGTGTATACCTATTTATTTATATTTATCTTTTTATATTTTTTTTTTGATATATATACAAAATAAAATTTATCAATTATCGATACTGTATTTAATCTTTGTAAATAAGACAATTCAAAATTCTTTACCATTTTTCTATTTATATCATGTGGTATTATTATTGAAAGACTTGAAATATGTGTTACTATTGTTTTTATCGACTAAAGTACGCACGTTGTCCTATTGAACGAGAGCTTTTTAGAATATTCAAGTAAAGTTATAGTGAAATATATGCTTCTATCACATGTGCACCGTCTATTGATTTCTCTATGTGCTGTAACAAAGGGGTTGTCCCTGTCACGGAAAACTAAACAAAGTTCAAAGTGCGATTTTTTTTTTTTTTTTTTGAATTCTGACTCTTTCTTTTCGTGTCCTTTTTTTTCCGCTTTTTCTTACTCACTACAATTTTATCGCCACAACGATCACTAACACCAACACGATCATGACCATAGACCGACAAGACGCGTTGGATTATTTCCAGTATCATATACAGCTCGTTTTCAAAGATCTCAAGGATCCTATTGGTGTACCTATTTTAGCCTCTACACCTATTTTTGAAGAACTACTGGCTGCGTTTTTCAATCCACAAGTTCTGGCTTCATGGGATGTCAAATATACCGCTATCAATCCGGTAAGATCGTATGATTGTGTATTACTGAAGGGAAACAACGAATTTGACCTGAAACGAAGCCTTATATGTTTTATTTTCCTATCTTTATTTAGACACACCAAAGTACAGGATTTATTACATTCTATCGATCACTTTCGACATATACGCTTCTCAAATATGCTAAACTCAACACTCTCTTCCTTGAACGACTCTTATCTCACACCACATCATTACTACCACTTACAAAGTTAGCCATTCATCTTGGATTTGACGATGCCAGATATAATGCCACTTACAATTTCAGCGATCGACTAGTCATTCTATTAGGGTAATTAAAAAGAAAAGTGATTGTAGTCTCGCCATGTTTATCCTTAGTACTTGTTTACCAATTTTTTTTTTTTTTTTTTTTGGTATATTCAGGGTATTACATTTTAAATCAGGACCAGCAGCGGTGGATGACTTTTTACATCCCTTATTTACACAGCTGATCAAGAATCAAAAGAGTCAACAACGGATGGATTTATTGACTGATACTGTACAGTTTGAAAACATGATCAAATTACGAGGAGGTCTATTTGACGTTACTTATCAACAAGAATTAGGTAAAACTCCTGGATGGGAATGCATTATCAAGTACCAATTGGCTCGAGGCGCACCTTTTGTTGTTCATCGGCGAACAGACCAAAACAAGAAAAACGCAAAGAAACGTGCCATCCATGATATTTGTCAGTATTACCAACGCAACGAAGAACGACTGATGCAACATTGCAGCAACAGTGATTCATCGCCTCACAATTATGAAATGTTGATAACAGGCCATGATATCCAGGGACAACAGCATCAGCACAACACGGATGATTTGTCAGTAACCCAAGTAAATGGCAAAAGTCACGACGTAGAAGTTTTGGATATTCCAGTCAGTCAAGTTTATCAATATGATGATAACAGCATTCAGCAGGAACAACAGCAACATCAACAAGATCGTCAACCAACCAACCCATATGGAAAACGTGGACATTACAACGCGGTACATATCTCTGAAGAAATGATGTTAGACAATTCTTTAACCAACGGTGACAACGGTGAGAGTCCAATGAGTATTTTGGCGCAGGTGTTACTTCTCGATTTTCCCAGTATGACATTAAGTGAACCTTCGACAACCACAATGGGAACGGATTCGTCACCTCAATATTTTCAGGCATCATCATCACTGAAATCAACTCACTCAACTTCATTGAACAACAACGATTCTTCTTTTACAAATGGACTTGGTACTGGACAACATCTATCATCATCATTATTACAAGTACAATCACCATCATCACCGACAACAACGTGGGCCAGTGCTCAGATGGAATTAACAGACGATAATCAAGATCTGATCCAAAACGGCAGGAACAAGAAACGATGCTTTTCACTGGATGGAGGAGATATCAATATGTGTGCAATAAAGACAGAATCGACTGGACAAACCTTGGATGATTGCTCGATGACAACAGTAATGATAGCATCAACAACTCAAGATACTGGAGCATTCCCTCTGCATGACAATGATGATGAACAGGCATTACTCTCAAACGCACACAAATTGATAGCCATGTTACCGGAAAAGGAAAGGACTCGACTAAAGAAAAATAGTTACCATTTATTGGCGCATCCGAACGACTCAAAAGGTGTACTAAAAAATCTATCCAGCAACTATCCTCTTGGATTATACGAAGCCACGGTGAATCATACAGGACAAAACAATAATTCGGCTTCTTTTAGTGCGACTGTTCAGTTTGGGATCAGTGGTGTCAATCTGGTAATCACTCGTTCAGGTTCAAAGAAATCAGATGCAGAAGGTTTGGCAGCTTGGGCCATTTTTAGACTTTTGGATAGGGCGTTGATTTAATAGTTATTTAGTTAGTTAGTTTTATTACACGTTATATTCTCCATTATCTTCTTTTATATTTGTGTATTGTCGATAACAATGATCATCATGATAACTAATAAAAATTGACTCCTTACTACTCTACTGTTTACTTTTGTGTTGTTTTGTTTTTTTTTTATGACTTTTATGTTATACCTCCTTCTTGATGATATTTATTCCTAAAAGATTCATGTCACTAAAGTGTTAAAAATCTCTGGTTAAACTGATGACATTACTCACTAAAACATCAAACAATCATTTTTACTCCCCTTTTTGAGAAGAAATCCATCTTTTTACATCTAGGTAAGGATGAGTCATCACAATGTATTTATCCTAATGAGCATCATCGTCAACATCATAGAGTATCCATCCTTTTGTATTATTGATAACAGAAAGACAAGAAAATCGACAAGTACTAAAAGAATCCATGACATGAAAAAAAAGTGTTGGAGAAAATACCAAAAAGGAAAACGATGATCTTGATAGTTTATCTATCTGTAGAGGTCAACAGAGGAAAATCGCATTCCTTTTTTTTTTTTTTAAAAAAAAAAAAGCTATTTCTTCAATTGGGTGTTTTTCAATCAGGGGAACTTTAAAAAAAAAAAAAGGTTACAAATGACAAACAAGGGTGAGAACAAAAAGGAAAAAAGGCAGTTGCCTGAACAAGGTGCGAACTTCCATTTTTGGATCGTTCTGTTTGTGCTTCATGTGAGTGATTTCTTTGTTATCAGCATTCCCAAAAAGGTAATCTATAGATATTAGAGTTTTTTTTTTTTTTTTTTGATAAGTTTTTACACGGAGCCAATCAAAGAAGGAAAAACAGCATCGTAATACTTCTCTTTCTTTATCTCAAAAGAAAGAAAAAAAATAGTTCATTATCAATTATCCTATCATCTTTCCATGTCTTCCCGCACTTATTTGGTTTTTTTATTTATTTAGTATTATAGAAATCATAAAGAGGATGACTTCAATAGAGTTGGATTCGTTAGCAATGGAAAAACTAAAATAAAATGGGAATGACCTCACACAAATTACATTTCGTGGGAAATGATCATCTCTTTTTTGGTGTCATCCTAATACAAGACCAATCCAATGTTTGCCACCCCTCTTTTTTTGATACAAAGCCACATCATCATGGTTAAATATATCAAAATCATCAAATAAAAAGAATATTACAATAGTTACATTGATTTTTATTGGAGGCAAATAATGTTGATGAAGATAATAGATAATAAAAAATAAAAAGGAAAAGGAAAAGGGGGTGAATTGGAAAAAAGCTAAAACTACAATATACTATAATAAGGCAATAACAAAAAAAAAAAAAAAAAAAAGGTAGGAATAAATAAATAAAAAAAAATTTAAAGAGCATCAAAGAATTTGCCCATCAAAGTTGTAGGTTTTTCTTCATGCAAAGCTTCTTGTTCAATTTCAGAGATACCAGTATGGAAGTCCATTTCAGATGCACGTACAAATTTGGATTTTCGTAGGATAGTAGCACCTACAAACAAGATGATGGCCACAGGTAAAGGCAAATAATTGGTAACAAAAGTGGCTGTATCCCAATGTCCTTCCAAAAATACTGACCATCCAGAAAACAAGTTGATGAAAGTTGTTGTAATCACCACATAGTAACCAAAGAAAGGTTGTAAAGGACTCTTAAACGGTAAAGTGTTGCGATCAATACCTTGTGCTTTCATACCATAATAGAATCGAAGATAAGTGATACCAATACAAGTCCACGTAATCAAACCACACATAGATGTCATGCCTTGGAACCAACCAAATACAGTACTAGATCCTGATGAAATACCCATGAATGCTAATAAAGAGAACATAGCACAGAAAACCAAGGACACATAAGGAAGACCTCGCTTCTTACTAACACGAGCAAAGATCTTGGGAGCATTACCAGCAATAGCCAAACCATACAAAGCACGAGAAGAAGTGTAAAGATCAGAGGATGCAGCAGACCATGCAGATGATAATAAACAAGCGTTGATGATATGAGGTAAAGCTTGAATGTTTGCATTGTTGATGGCAATGACAAAAGGTGAAGTGTTAGCATTACTACTGGAACCGAGTAATTTGGGATCGTTGGAAGGAACAAGAAGACCAATGATGAAAGTACCAAGAACATAAAAGAGAACAATACGGATATAAACCTTATTGATAGCTTTAGGAATATTTCGTCGAGGATTACTTGTTTCACCAGCAGCAATAGCAACGATTTCAGTACCAATAAAAGACTACGTAAAAAAAGAAAAAAAAAAAAGAAAAAAAAGAGAGAGAAAGAAGGTTTAGTGATATGATTATTTCTTTTTCGGTTAGAGCAAAACCATATTTATTGTTCTAAACTTTCTATCTTTTTTTTTTTTTTTTTTTTTTTTTTTGGAGACTTACAAAGGCAGCATTCAATAAGACAGAGAAGTAACCCAAAAATCTACCAAAAGCACCAGGAATACCTTCATATTGAACCCATGGTCCAGGATCTAATATAAAAAATAATTATATTTTTAGTATTAAACATTGATAATAGAAATATGATTTTTTAGTAAATACCTTGCCAATAACGAACACCAATGACTTCATGATTAGGAGGAGCACCACCAGCGTCAATAATGATACCAAGAATAATCAAACCCATGATAGTTAAAATTTTGATACTTGCAAACCAGAATTCTGCTTCACCATAAGCTCTTGCACCAAAAAAGTTGATGACTACGACAATAATCAAGAAGATAATAATCCATACAGCATTACTAACACGTTCAGGACCAATCCAATAGTTAACCAAAACAGCAGCAGCAGATAATTCAGTAGGAAGTACGATCGTCCAGTTATACCAATAATTCCAACCCATAGCAAAACTAAAAGCAGGACTAACAAAACGTTCAGCCAATTTGATATGACCACCAGGGATAGGCAAATAGGCTACCATTTCACCAAGACAATTCATTACAGCAAATACGATTGTACCCATTGTAATAAAACCAAGAAGTAAACCAGCTGGACCACCATTTGCAAGTGATTTAGCAGTACCAAGGAAAAGACCAGTACCTATATATTAATAAAAAAATGAAAAATGAAAATCATTTTCCTTTATATATATAATATATATATCTTCCTATACTTACCAATAACACCACCTATAGAAATCATTGCAATATGACGATTTTTTAATTGACGGTGAAGGTTTTGAACCTCATAAGGATCGTATTCTTCAGAAGCATCAGGATGGTCATGATCCCTTTTTTCACTATGTTCAATCTCTCTTTTGTCAACAGAGTCCATTGTGTATATACAAAAGAGAAAATATATATATATATATAGAAAAAAGAAAAAAAAAATAAAAAAAAAAATAAAAATAAAAATAAAAGTATTAGAAAAGAAAGAAAGAAGAATAAAAAAAAAAAGAAGTGGGCCCCGGATTTTTTATGTGTGGTCAAGTTTGCGCGAAAAAAAAAAAGTTTATTTTTAGTGAATGGCTGGATTTGGTCAAACAAGAGAGATAACTTATCATGTGAGCTATAGAATTATCAAAACTCAGCCATCCTTTCCCTCTTTATTATAATTATTAAAAGAAGAATAAAAAAAAAGCTTTTTATGGTTAATCAAATACCCTATTTTATTATATATTTAATAAAAAAATAATATATGAAAAGTATTATTATATATATATTACAAATAATAGGAAAAAAATGAAGAAAAAAAAAGATGATTCAAAAATGTACTCGTTATCATAGTTAAAGCAAGACTTTACAAATGATAATAAAAAAAAATCGATTAAGTCATTGTACTCCGAATCAATCCCATTTTGACCTTTTCTCCAAATACAAAAAAATCTAACAATCAAACTTAATATCTCTTTCAATATGATTGGTGTTACCTACATCACTCCTTACTACCTTGGATCTTTTTTTTTTTTTTTTAAAGTTTTCTTTTTCGTATTTTCAACACCGAGAAACAAAAAAGGTTCACTCACAACAACACATTTACTATTTTTTTTTTTTATGTCTATTACGTTTGCCCAGCTCATCATCCCAAAAAGGAAAGTCAATTTCACTTGATTTAAGATCACGTTGCATTAATCTTTTTTACTGGTCGATCATTTTTTTTTTTTTTTTTGGTTGGATGCCTCCGCACCAATAAAAGTAATACAATGGGGGAGGACAATGTCTAAACTCCGTATCCCATTTTTGATAATGGAATGAAAAAAAAGATGGGAATGAAACCGTGTTGGAAATGGAAAACTTTATCTCATTTCACTTTCTTTATTTATTCTTTTCTCTTTTTCTATGGTCCCTGTCTTGAATATCATCTTTGTTAAATACCTTGTTTTCGTGGGAATCATTTTGTAACCAAATGTCATGGGAAATAAGAATAATAAAAAAAAAAAGAAAAAAAAAAAGGTAGTTGGAATATATCTACTTTTTTATTATTATTACAATCATCATCCATCGATTTTATCTATTCATTAATATACAACTTATTATCTCAGTATCTTACTATAAAAATTTTCAAGTAAAATCATAGAGTAAATATTGTCAAGATAGTAAAAATTTAACAAGGATGGATAGAAACAACAAAGGAGTTCATTTTCATTGGATGATGATAATTCTTGGTACGATTTCCTTATTGGGAATGGTCACTCCCCCCGTCTGATACTCATTTGAAAAAAAAAAATATGATTTCATTTTTTTTCTTGATATCAAAATGGATGATGTCTAAAGGAAGATGGGCTAAGCATATACTTTTCATAGTTAACAACTTTCTTATTGAGCAGTAACGTATAATACTTTAAAATAGAATAGTCTTTGGGATCACATTGATCTGATGATGATGATGATGATGATGATTGATACGTAGCGCTCCTTTCCCAGGAAGTGTCCTTATATATATATATATATATATATGTGTACGTATGTATGTATGTCTGTATGTATGTCAAGATATTGCACAGTATTATAAGTACTGTCATTGATCAAGTAAACAAAGTTTGATCTTTTTTATGATTGATAGAAATAAAAATGCATGCAACTTGGTGGCAAACTATTTTTATATAAATCTTGTGATCTGATTCATTGGCGTACTGTGGAATTTTTTTTTTTTTTTTTGCCACAAGAACAAAAAAAAGTCGGTTCCATTTTTGGTAAGGGTTAAAATATTGGTCACAATCTTTCCTTTGATCACCTTTTTTTTTTTTTTTTTTTTTTTTACCTTTTGTTTGCTACGGATGATTATGCGTAGGTGGCTGTAGGAACGAAATAAATCCATTTATGGAAAAATCACTGTTGATTACCTGTTTATGCTATTTTGCTATGATACGCTCTTTTTTTGATGTTCAAATATCAAGATCATAAACTGCCTTCATAGTAAAATGTTCAGTCTCCGGTCTCTCTCTCTCTCTTTTTTTTTTTCCCTATTTTTTTTTCCTTCTTATTGGGCTTCCATTCCGCTCCTTTTTTTTTATATGGCCTTACCACCTATTCGAATTATTCATTATACCAAGGTATTTGATTCTATTTGGAACAATGGTAATTATCACAAACAAGAAAAACTAAAACCTAAAACTGAACATCTGGATTTTATTCTTTATAGGAGAAGAGAAACGTATCAATTGTGCCAAACCAGTTAATTTATATCAAGACAAGGACAATGATGGTTGGTGTTCAATGACTTCTGATACTTCAAATTTACGTGATGCTTCAGCTCTTGTATTTCATGCTCACGATACGGATTTGAAAAAGTTACCTTACAAGCAACGACAGCCTCTTCAACCTTGGATTTTGGAAACTATGGAGTCTCCTTTCAACCCAACTTATCGCCAGGATCCAGAAAAGATGAAGACCTTTGATTATTTGGCATCTTATAGCTTTAAAGGTCGGTTCCAGTTATCTTATTTTTCACCCAATATTATGAACGTGATCCGTCAACCGCTTGCTCCTGACTTTATTCAATCAAAACGAACTAATGCACCTATTTTGTGGATCGCCTCTAATTGCAACGCATGGAACAACAGACACTTATATATTCAAGAACTTATGAAATATATTAATGTAGATAGTTATGGTCATTGTCTCAACAACAAACCTTCTCCTAGTAGTGAAGAAGAACGAGCTGATTTATTACGTCAATACAAGTTTTATCTCGCAGTTGAAAATTCCAATTGTGATGATTATGGTAAACATATTCTTTTTTTTTTTTTCCTCAAACAGTTTTTATTCTTTTATTGATATTCTTTTTTTTTTTTTTTTTTTTTTTATGTAGTGACGGAAAAACTTTTTGATACATTTATGGCTTCAACAGTACCTATTGTTGATGGACCCAATCATTATGAACCTTATTTACCCAACAATCGATCTGTGATTCGAATGGATGCATACCCTGATCCAAGGAAACTGGCTGATTACATCAATTATTTAGATAAAAATGACACTGCTTATTTAGAATATATTGCACCATTTCGAGATCAAACAGTACCGGAGCAAGAACGATTGGATGTTGATTTTTATGCTCAATGGGGTGATCGGACTAAATTCGACTTGACTTCAGCATGGTGTGGAGTATGTCATGGAATATTACCTTGGTGGCAAGCATTACACAATACATCAATGGATTTTCAACAGGATCAAATGAATTACTTGCGTGCTGATACATCATGTTCTCCAGCTGGAAAATGGGATTATATTACTTATGGACCACCTTATCTCCCTCATTGGAGACCTTCTTTACCTGATGAATTCACTCGTCCTAATCATCCTAATCATAGAAAATTGGCTCCATATTCAATTCGATCTCTACATACTTATGGAATGGATGATTCTTCTAAAATGACTTGGATGATATTTTCTTTCTATTGTAGTTTATTTACTGGATTCTTATGTTTTTTATTATATCGAAAACGTACTAGACCTTCTCCTTTTCCTTAGATTATATTATATATATTTTTTTTGAAATAAAAAATAAAAAAAAAAAGTATTTTGTAGTTGATGGCTGGGTTCAAAAAAGGAAATCAAAGATCAAAAAAAAAAAAAAAAAAAGACGAGAATCGATGTCAAAATTGCGCCATCAGTCTGCATTTTAAATGGTTGCACTTCTTTCCACTATTTTTTTTTTTTTGCTGAATCAGTATTGTTCACTGAATAGAAAGTAAGTTGACTATATAACAAAAAAAAAAAAAAAAAAAAACTATATTCTTCCCCTTTCCTTTTTCTTCTTCTTCTTCTTCTTTTTTTTTTTTTTACTTACCTTTTTTTTTTTTTCCTTTCTTTCTTCTTCTTCTACTATGTTTGCTTCCACAGCACTTATAGCTGCTCTTGTGAAGAGTCAATTCCCTACCAACAATGCACATGACAAGTTGGATACCAAGACAATTGAAAAAGTAGTTACCAATTTGACTTCAACTGATTATGATAATGATGACACAAGTACTACTGGTAGTCAAAGTACTATTGTGGACGATGAAATCAATGGTATTCGTTTACAATCTCGTATTACTCAATTGTTATTCAATCTCTTTCAAGATAATGCTCAAGAAAAGACTCGATTGGTTAATGTTCACCATGTTGTTGATTATACTACGTTTGCTTTATCTGACTTGGTATTTGTATATCCTGGTACTGCTGCCTCTTCTGGATCTGGATACCTTGGTCAAGATCTTATTCAATGGTCAACTTCTTTGCGCAATATTCGTGATCAATCTGTCAAAGTGATTGAAATGGAAACTCGAGACGGTGCTCTTCAAGTGGTACAAGGTGCTTTGGAACAAGAAAACGTTAAGGCTACAGTGCTTACCTCTACTGAAGCGCTTTATAGCATGATTCCCAATATTCATCGTTTGGCGGCCCAACGTCTTCCTGTTGTATTTAATGTATCGGCTCTCTCTGTTGATGAAGATTTGGTGGCACATACTCATGTTGATGCTGTCTTGGCTGCTCGTCAATCTGGTGCTATAGTTCTTGCCTCTACTACTGCTCAAGAAGCTCATGATCTCTCTGTAGTGTCTCATCTCCTTGCTCATTCTCTTCGATTACCTGTGATTCATTACTTTGATGGTGCTTTGGCCAATGATTTCCAAAAGGTTACTCTATCTTCTTACTCTGCTTTAATTGATCGTGTAGCTACTATTTCCAACAATCTCTCTGCTGAATCTATTTTGGCTTCTTTCAACTACAAGGCATTTGACTATCAAGGTGATGACAAGGCGGAAACAGTGTTGGTGACTTTGGCTGCTGGTTCTAATGGTCTTTCTACTGCTGTGGCTAATATGATTGATGGTGGTGATAGTAGTGTTGGTTTGCTCAGGGTAAGATTATATCGTCCATTGAATGAATTTGCCTTGTTACAAGCTTTACCTACTAGTGTCCGACGTGTGATTGTCTTGGAAGAAGGTGATGGTCTTTTTGCCTTCAATGGTCCTTTGTACTTGGATATCGCTGCTGCCATACGATTTGGTGATTTCTCTGGCGCTCGTCCTCGTGTGATCACTGCTCAAGCTCCTTCGTTTGATCATCTCAAGTCTTCTCAATTGAGTATTTTGGCTCAACGTGCTACTTCCGCCTCTTATATCGATCTTTTGGCAGAAGAATACACCCATGATGATAATGATGATCAAGTGCCTGAACATAATAATGTATTTGGTGCCTCTTTCTGGGATGTGGAACAAGATGGATCTGTCCAATCAGCTACTCATTTGACTCAATTGATTCATGAACAAGATCCTGAACAACCTTCTACTTACCGTGTGACACGCGATGCTTTCCGTCTTGGTGGATCTGTTGTCAACACTCGATTGGTCACCAACAGTACTGATCTTCGTCACAAATCTGATTATATCGGTATCCACAATGTAAACTTAATCAAGGAATACAACATTTTGGGTTCAGCTGTCAAGAAGGCAAAGGTTTTGGTGCACGGTCCTTGGAAACATGGTGATGAAATCGAAGCTCATCTGACCAATGAGTTCAAGTTGGGTTTGACACAATTGGATATTCAATTATATACTTTGGATGCTGCTCGTATTGCTGAAGAACAAGGTCTCCATAGAACATCTATTCATTTGGTTTATGAGGCTGCTTTCTTTTTATTGAATACCCCGCAAGTGGATGCTGCTGATGTTTTGACTGGTCTCTATGAAGAAATTGTTCCTACTGATCAACAACAAGTCAATGGTGAAGATAAGCGTGATTTGCGTACTTTGGTCACTGATGTGGTTGCTGCTGTCAAGGGTGGATTGGTGCATGTGGAATTGTTGCCTCCTTGGACTATTTTGGAAATCAATGATGTTGCTTTACCTTTGGCTCCTCTGAATCGTGCTGCTGGTATCTCTGATGTTGAAGAGGATGACACGGATTTGACTGTTGATGAAGAACAATCTACTGGACAAGTAGCAACATGGCATAAGGCTGCTTGGCAACTCATGTTCAAAGATACCTATGGTACTGAAAATCAATTGCGTCCTGATCTTCATGAATCTACTTACTTGGTCAAGTTGACAGAGAATCGACGATTGACACCTGTCACCTACGATCGTAATGTTTTCCATTTGGAATTTGATACTACTGAATCCAATCTCAAGTATGAATTAGGTGATGCTCTTGGTGTTCATGGTCTCAATGATGCTGATGAAGTCAAGGCTTTCATCAAGTGGTATGGTCTCAATGAAGAAGATGTTGTTTTGGTGCCTGTGGGTGGCAAGCGTGAAACTCGTACAGTATTCCAATTGTTCTCTCAAGTTTTGGATATCTTTGGTCGTCCTAGCAAGAAGTTCTATGAAGCCTTAGCCAACTATGCCACAGACCCTAAAGAAAAGGAACAATTACTTTATCTGGTATCTGCTGAAGGTAAAGAAGAATTCAAAAAGCGTGTGGATGATACTGTGACCTACGAAGATCTTTTGCGTGAATTTACCTCTGCAAAGCCTAGTCTGGAACATTTGGTACGTTTGGTTGCTCCTATCAAACCTCGTCATTACTCTATCGCCTCCTCTCAAAAAATGCATGCAAACTCGGTTCATCTTTTAGTGGTTGCTGTGGATTGGGTCAACAGTCAAGGGAAGAAACGATATGGTCAGTGTACTCGTTACTTGGCTAACCTTCCTGTAGGTGCGGATGTCACTGTGTCCATCAAACCATCTGTGATGAAGTTGCCTCCTTTGGATTCTCAACCTGTGATCATGGCGGGTCTTGGTACTGGTATGGCTCCTTTCCGTGCATTTATTCAAGAACGTTACTTGGCAAAGAAAGCTGGTAAAGATGTTGGTCCTGTGGTGCTTTACTTTGGTTCTCGTAATCGTGGTAATGAATATCTCTATGGTGAAGAATTAGAAGCTTATCATCAAGATGGTGTGCTCTCTCGTATGGGTCTTGCCTTCTCTCGTGATCAAAAGGAAAAAGTGTATATTCAACACAAAATGAAGGAAGATGCTGAAATGCTTCATGATTATCTCATCAACAAGAACGGTCACTTTTATCTTTGTGGTCCAACATGGCCTTGTGGTGGTAAGTAACTCATAAAAAAAAAAAAATAGAATAAATAAGTATTCAATTTTTTTTTTTTTATTTTTTTTACTTTATATCCTATAGATATCAAGGATGCAGTTGTTTATGGTCTCAACACTTTTGGTGGCATTGATGAAAAGGTGGCCAGTGATTTGATTGAAGAATGGAAGGAAAAGGAACGCTATATTCTTGAAGTGTATTAGTTAATTTGCTCCTCCCCAGTTTATGCATTCATATTTTGTACTTTAGTCAGTTTTATTTTTATTCTTCTTTTTATTTATCCTATATATGATTTCTAAACAAAATACATCCATATGAACGATAATAAAAAAAAAATTATATGTATCTACATTCTATACTATTTTGATATGACTTTTTTTTTTTTGTCAATCAAGGATGATCCATTTTCTTTCTTGTTGATTTCTATGGCGAAATTATTGTCAGAACGATCATCCCTTTCAAAAAAAAAAAAAAAAAAAAAAAAAAAAAGAACCAGATCTAACATCCAGGAAGATTTTTTTTTATTTTTCATTTGTGATTTTTTCTCCAATGTGTAAAAAAAAAAAGTAACTAAATCCGGGAGGCAGTTCGTCATTGAAGATCCATCTATTCTCTGTCCAGATAAAAAAAAAAAAAAAAAAAAAAAAAAAGGGCGTCATCTACCAATTGTATCCTTTTGCAATTCGCTCAAAAAACATTCATCACTGCACCAAATTTGGACTGAACATAGATAAAAACATTCTCTTTCACTTGTCTTCATATTATGCCTCTCTAGAGTAGATTAAAAAAAAAAAATGTCAATATCGTCATCCAATAGCGGCCGTCATTGTATTCCTTTCAAAAAAAAGTAGTTTAATATCACCTAATCCCATTGTATCGCTTTATCTGTGCAATGATCATCAAAAGATTTCATCGATTTTTCCAAAATTATTGCCTGATGACCCCTCGACGATTGATTTTTACTGCTAAAATTTGCCCAAGGAATTGGGAAGTTTTATAAAAAAAAAAAATATAAAAAAAAGGTGAATTCACGGCTCTAAATAGCTCTCATTTAAATCCCATTTTCAAGCTTAAATCTGTCATCATATAAGAGAACAAAAGATGTGTATACTATCTATGATTACTACTTTTATTAATGAATCAAAAGGATAACTAGTTGATAATGCGTAGAAAATCATAGAAAAACGCATATGATCTCACTCTAAAAAGAGATATTCAAATCCCCATTTTAAGATCTAAGCTTTCAATCGTACCATGAAACCAATACTAGTAAAAACACGTGTATCTATGGTTATATTTTTTATTAATGTATCAAAATATCGTGCTAAACTAATAGTGACCATAAGCATTCTCTTCTATATTTGCCAGTGAAATTATCCAATCACCAACCTGGCTTTTCCTAAATGACAATAAAAAAAAGTATGTAATTGGGTTTTTTTTTATTTTTATTTTTATTTTTTTTACATGTAAAAAAAAGAGAGATTGGATATTAAAAAAAAAACAAGAGTGAAGGGAACTGTGAAACATAGGGATAAAGGGGGAATAAATGTGTAGACAATAAAAGAAAAAAAAAAAAAGGAGAGAATAAGTATAAAATCTAACTTTTGGCTTCCGTAATAAAGGATTGGTAGTATTTCTTGAATTGCTTGGCGTCATATTGTTGAATAGCTTGACAGTAACGTTCAGCAGTTTCTCTAGGACATTGAATAGAAGGGAAAAATACATTCATCATATATTCAACATAGTCATTTCCTTGTTTGGAATACAATGTCTTTTGAATCGCAGTGATTTCACCAAAGACCTAACAAAAAAAAAAAAAAAAAAAGGATCAGTACCATTTATATCGTATTAGTTGATGATTACTTTTTTTTTGATATCAATCGACTTACCAACATCGACTGCCCATCGGCAACATTGAATGCGTTGTTCATTGGGACCGAAAAAGTGGTGGGAATGAGTTCATTGTAGACAAATTGATCAAAACCATGTGCGACGGTTGGTTGTTGAGCAGTGCTTGCAAATGAGGTGACCAATTTGAGGAAGACACCAAATGCCATTTTCTGTGTGGTGGGATCACTGTTATCTTTGCTGAAGTGAAGTATAGTTTGTAAAATTGTGTTAAGATGACTGATATTTCGTTCAGATACAAGTACACCTTCAAGATCGGCATTGAAAAGACTGACGATAAAGTTGAGATATGCCTTTCGTAGTTCCAGTAATAAAATTGCTTCATCCGTACCAGAAGGTGTAGTGTTCAAAAAATCAAATACCCTCTTCACCAAAGGTAAAAGTAGTTCATCCATGACATTCCTGATCATTGGCTAATAAAAAGAAGAAGAACAAAAAAAAAAAGCAAGTTGAGTCAATCATATATATATATATATATATATATATATATTATTGTTCTTTACCTTGTATTTGTGAGCGATAAGTCCAATAAAGGGTAAAAAGTCCACAAGTTCAGTGATTTGACATTCGGTCAATAACCCATTGATAAGAGACGGCAAATATGGTAAAATTTCTGAACCAAGGCAAGTAATGAAACGAGCAAAAGAGAATCTGGCAGCATCACGAATAAGTTCAACTTGATTGTAGGTTTGTAAAACATTCAGAATGATTTCGGTTGCTTGAACAAAAACACCAGCCCATTGTTGATTACAACTTGCTCCCTTTGGAAGAGTAGGAAATCCTATATAAAAAAGTCAGTATGCACATCTACTTAAAGTATCCATGAACTATGTTTTAACATTACCTTTTGCGACACTGCCTATAGCTAACACAAAATGATGGAGTTGAATCATATAAAGTTCATCATCACCATTGTAACCCTGAGCCATTGTATTTTGGATTCCGTCCACTAGAGGTTGCAAGGCAATCTTCAAATATTCAGTTTGCTTTGAGGCGTCTAAATGTTCACAAGAAATCAAACCACCAACTGTTTCAAACAAGTATAGCTGACTATCGAAAATAGAGGCTGCAGGCAAAGGCATACCATCAGCAGTACTTGTCAGGACTGGGAGTTCAGCTTGTATAGTCAACAGATCACCAAGAGAAGAAAGCACAGTTTCCACATAAGGTCCCATCTTGGATTTCAGACTTTTGACAAACCGATGAAATAAATACCAACATCTTGATCTAATTTGTTTCAATGTATGATGTATGCCTCTTGTATCTACAAATGCTTCCAAAGCCTGAGGTAGGTATTCTGGACGATGTTCAAAGAATTGATAATATCGGACGAGATTTTCAAAGAATTGTAATGGCACCGAGGGATGAGGATAAGAAGAAATGTCTAGTTTACATGTATATAAAAAAAAAAAAAAGAGAGAGAGAAAGAGATAGAAATAATGTAAGTAATTTTAGTAATTACAATCTTTTTTTTTCTTTTTTATCTGGTATTTACTTGAAGTGACCATTTCACGCACTAGTTCACCAAGGGGGGTCAAAATATTGGGATCATTAGTATTCACAAAAACCATTGCAGCCTTGGGAAGGGCTTCACCATAAGTATACAATACATAGAGACAAAGTTCAACTTCACGCCAATCAAGTTCAGCACCCGATTTAAAGTTGTTGATAGTTTCCATAATGGTAGAGTGAACATAACTAACATATAGATCTTCATCGATGGAGGCAACATGATCGGCAAACACACGTAGATTCTAATTTAATAAAGTACATCAATAACATTCTTATATATCTATTCATTTTTATTTACCTTGCGTAGTTCCGTAAAAAGAGCTTCTTCTTCTGGTTCATCTTCATCATTTCCCCATTCAGTGTCCTCGTCGTATTTCATTTTTCGAATAACCACGCTAAGCAGGGATCCTAATAGTTCACGTTGAGCTTGGGTAAATTGCTGCATTGCCTTTTTTTGTTTCTTGAGCTAAAACAGAGACAAATAATAATAATAATAATAACGTTAAACGTCATGACAAGATATTTCTTCTCTTTCAAGCTTACAATTGATAAAACATCATTAACAAATGGAAACACAGCTGTTGTAGTATCGTCATATTCGTTGGCCAAGAATTTGAGTAGGTAGGGTGAAAGTTGTTCGATCAGAGCCCATGAAGTAACTTGTGAAAAAAAAAAAAAGAGTTGAGGATTTTTTTTAAAAAGTCATTTATATTTTCAAAGCATGATTTCCTTTTCTTTTTCTTTACCTTTTGCTTCAGCTGGTACATTGGTATCCAAGTTAATTTTGCATAGTTCGATCCCTAATACATTTGTCAAACGGGCAGCGCTTTCTACAAATTCAGGATCACTCTATTATATAAAAAAAAAATTATCATCAGCACATGACTTTTATCATACTTCTTTCCATTCCGTTTTTCTTTCTTTACCAAATCTAGACGACCAAGAGTTTCAGTAATATTCAGCATTTGGATCATATTCAACTTATCGAGTGGCAACATTCCCTTGCTAACAACCTGTATAAAATTCATCATATTAGAATATGAAAAAGGATAATAGTGGAAAAAGAGAACTTACATCAGCCAAACATTCACAAGCAGGAATACGTAGGTTAGAATCAGACAATAGTTCATACAAAGCATTCATCACTTGATCATTGACAACAAGCGAAATATCCATCCATGCGATATAAGCACCAATATTCTTCAAAGCCAATTGAGCAATATTTGGATTTTGAATTCGAAATTCTTGCAAGACTTCAAACCAATAACCAGCCAAGAGTTGAATATCACCTAAACGCATAGAGTCCTTGATATTTGTATTTCTAGCCACCTGATCTCGATGTCGAGGGATATCCATACGAGCGATTTCTTCATCAATACTAATACAAAGTCGTAAAAAGAAGTCGGCTGCCTTTTCATGACTTGATCCAGTTGAAGTTCGAGCTAAAGCCATAAGATCTTTGAAAAAAGAAGGCCAACCGTTTGGATATACTTGAGCAAAAAGTAAAGTTAATGACTGAGCCGCCTTGTTTCGAATATCTATATTTTTTAAACAAATTAATTAATAATAGACTTTCATTGATACTAATATCCATTTGTTACTTACAGGTTTCTTCGGATGCAGAGTCAGTGTTATCAACAAATTCTCTTTGTAGGTATTCCATCATGGTACGTTCAATATATTCTACAGAGCTGGCATCGAGAGTATCGTATCTAATAATAAAAAGAGAAACATGATTGTTATGTATGATTAAAAAAAAAAAAAAAAAAGAGAGAGAGAGAGAGAGAATGTGGGGATCTTACCTATTCTGGAGAGTATTTTCCAATATTTGAAGTGCAAAGAATCGAGCTTGAGGAACACTAAAAATATATTTGAAATATAACAATAATAATAATAATTATGTTGAATATAGCATATAAATAATATAAGTTAAGTAAGAGAGAATGATTGAATGATATACTTACGTTTTGGGTTCCTTCATGAATAGTTGTAAACACAATTGCCAGCCATCTTGAGACTGTTTGATTTGTTCGCAATAAGCATTTGCCTAGATAATAATAATGATAATAATAAAAAGAAATATTTAGTATTGCCCATAAAAATTTCACTATATGTCACGCGAGTACGAGTTGACCCCATGTGTGATCCAAATTTCCGTTCCCAGATCATCATAATGACACATATCTATCCGCAGTTCCTCTCCCCAAGATAAGTATAACACTCCATTTTAGCCAAGAGCACCCCTACATGCATATATGTAAAACATGACTATCCCACAATCTACAATCCACTATTCCATCATATATACCTGAGCTTTGAGATTGGGATCAACGTGAGGATCCAAAGCACAAATCACAGCTTGTTCGATCTGTTCCATTGAATGCTGCTACTAATGTGTCGATATATCTATGATGTCGCGGTAAAAATGAAGAAGAGGGGGAAGGACAGAGTTGTTAGGTTCAATTGCTATGATAGCGATCTAGGAGTTGGAGGCGCAGAGCTGAAGTTGATTCAAAAATGGCAAGATTTAGTATAGAAACCGGTTGAATGGCCCAATCTAAAGAAGAGATCAAGAGAAGAAAAAAAAAATAATAATAATAACAAGAATAAAATAAAAAAAAAGAAGTCAGGAGTCAGTATAAGCTTGATATAAGAACAAAAAAAAAACTAGCCTCGGTTTTATGTTTTTCTTACTGGGTATTTAACAATTAGAAAAAAGAACTTACGTCGTATACAATAAGAGATCAGATCGAGAAAGTTGGAGGATAATCGCGTTCACTGAATTATTCCAAAAAGGAAAATCTATAAAACTGATGGTGTAAGAAGGGTAAAAGAGGAAACGAGAAAAAAAAAAAAAAAAAAGAAAGGGAAAAAATTGGAAAGGAAAAAAAAATGTGCGTGGCCCAGACAACTCTTTTCTATTTGAAGGACCGCCATTTATACCTGAAAGCTGTCACTCTTTTTTTTTTTCTTTTGCTTTATTTGAAAACAAGGTTTAGTAGTTGATCAAGTCTCAAAACACATTTTTAAATAAATAGCAAACCAAATGCTATCATTCTGAATTGATCTAAATGATGATTTTAACTTCTTATGCAGGACTTCCCTTGTCACTAAAATATATACTCACTCCATTTGTTACTGGTGGCTTTGCTTGAGTATAAATGCCGAACCATCCATCCCTTCACGTGCATAATTCAATCTGTGATATATCCACATCGTTATAAAAATGATCTAGTTAATGTATTCCTCGGATTTACAATTAATTTGATAGACATTGACTACCTCCTGGATTTTTATATTTACTTTTTCTAACCATCATACTGTTAATCAGAAGAGTCATCCAAATAATCCTATTATCATCATCATCATCATCATGATACTGTCATACCATCATTTCATCATCTTGTACAAAAATATGAAAAGGTAAAAAAGAGTGTGAGTTTATTTTAAAAGCAGGGAGGAAATTTATGTACAAAAAAAAAAAGTATATACAAAATGACTATCATTTTAAAAATCACCAAAATAGCGCCCATATTTGTCAGGTTGATCTAAACCATAAGGCACTTTTGTTTCTTCATAATCGTCAAAATTGCTTGTATCTCCTGAACCCTTGAAGGGAGGTACATAAGGAGGGGAGAGTTGTCGACTGGCCACCTTGATAAAATCCATTGACGCAAACCAAGGATGATCTACCAAATCCATATAACCACGTTTCAAATTCCCATACCTTCGAGTTAAATCTGTTGTCAATAGATTGGATAACAAATCTTTTGCTGCTGGTGAGAAATGATCAGGATACTTGGGTTCACATCGTACGATTTTTTCATATAATCGAAATTGATTATCATCCATAAAGGGAGGATAACTATATATAAAATAAAAAGAAAATGATGAGGATCTTTTTTTTTTTTTTTTTTTTTGAATGATATTATATTTTCATTACCCAGCTAACATTTCATAAATAAGAACACCTAATGACCAATAATCGACTGCTTTTCCATAACCTTTAGATTGAATGATTTCAGGTGCTAAGTAATCTGGAGTCCCACACATCGTATATGTCAAATCAGGAACATATTTTGCAAAACCAAAATCTGTAATTTTCAAATGACCTTGAAGATCAATCAATAAGTTTTCTGGTTTCAAGTCCCTATAAATGGTGAATAAATAAATAGATAAATAAATAACTGTAATGGAAGTACTTTTCTTTTTTTTTTTTTTTTTTTTTTTTTTACCTATAGATGATATTATGATGATGAAGATAAGCGATTGACAATAGAGCCTCTGCCGCATAAAATCGAGCCCATTCTTCGCTAAACCTCTATAAAGATATATATATATAGGATCAATCAGCTTTACCATCCTCTTTTTTTTATTATTATTATTATTATCCTTCTTCTTTATTTATTTATTACCTGTTTTCTCCGTAATAGATTAAATACTTCACCTCCAGGAATATAATCCATGACCATATAAAGATTACCAGGATCTTGAAATGTACCCCATAATTTGATGAGGAAAGGATAATCCACTGACATGAGTACATTACGTTCATTGTTTGTATGTTCGATTTGCTTTTTCTTTACGACTATTTCTTTGTTTAAAACCTTCATGGCATAATATAATTGATTGACTTTAGATTGGACCAAATGAACGCGACCAAAAGAACCAGTACCTAGAGTACGTAATAGGTAAAAATCCGATAGTTTTATTTTCATCCGATCTTCTGATTGTTTTTGATGTTGTTCTTGTTGTGGTTGCTGAATAGAATAGGTTGTTTCAAATTGAGTAGTAGGTGGCGAATGATTCATGTCAGTAATTTCAGGTATGAACATAATATTTGTATGTGTAGATGGTTCATCCATTTGATCATTCTTGCTTGATATATGAGGAGAGTGTGGTGGTGATACTGGATAATTATTAGATGTCAAAGGTTCTTTTAAAATAAAAATAAATAGATAAATAATAAATAATAAATAAAAAAAATGAGAATATTTTTGATTACTTACGAAAATTCAAAGTTTCTTCTTCATAATCCATTTTAGATGATTGATCATTTGGTGCTACTAAATATTAACAATATATGAATAAATCTTTTCCTTTATTTATTTATTTATTTATTTATTTGCCTTGATCATCCGATTGTTTGGGAGATGGTAAAGAAGATGTATCTTTCTTCATTTCTTTTTGATCGTATTGAGAATTCATTAACGTTATAAAAAAAAAAGAAAAGAAAAAAAGAAAAAAGAAAAGGACGTTAATGCAAAAACTTTTTTTTTTTTTTTTTAATCTTGGCTCCAAGGTTTCACGGTTAAAAATATATCATGATCTGACTCCGAATATGCTTAAAAAAGAAACAATTTTACCCTTTTTAATCAGATTTTTTTATTTGCATGAAAAAGCAAACATATGACAGAGAAAAAAATAAATTGCTTACAAAGAAACTCACAACTTTTATATAATTCAATTTTTTTACGTGTACATTAAACAGTATCATCGATAGTTGAAACAACGTGATGACTTTTTTTTTCTCTCTCTCTTTTAAACCATTATACAATTGAATCCATTTTTCATATAATACTGTATCACCATCATACTTTTTTTTTTCTAATATAGAGAAAGATTCATGCAAAAAAAAAAAGGAAGTAGGAGGGGGATTAGTAACATGGGAGATAAGATAGTTTTGTTTCTTCTGATATCAATCAATCAATCTTTTTAGTTAACTCTTGCTTGATAAAATCCTTACTGTGTTTTGTGTGGATTAGTTTCACTTCATTTTTGCATAATCTTTATGGATGACTCATGTTAAAAAGTTTGTGAAAGTGTGGGTGGATGATTGGAAAAAAAAAAGAGCTAATGCCTTAATAGGAAATGATTTATACCGCAATGCTGAATTCATGCTAAGAGGTCTCGGTTACACGGTTTGTTTATTTTCCATGCTTTGTTCATTCAATGTCACGGAAGTACGTCAGTTCAGATACATAAGATTTAACAATGATGTGATATGAACTATCATTCAGTCACATGACAGCATATCACCATTTAGAATAACGTCTACAGTCACGGGTAATTCAAGAGTATAGAATCTGATCATCGATGTAATTTTTTCTTTATTTTTATTAGGTTGCATAAAAAAAAAGGCGGGGATAAAATAATAATAATATAAGGCATAATAATAATTAAATATTTTGGTATATTGATAAATATTGATATATATTTGATATAGATGATGATACTAAACTTGATAATACTAAAAAAAAGAAAAGGGATTTATATTGAGAAGGATGGGGAAATATATTATACTAAAAGAAATGATGACGAAAAAAAAAGGAAGGAAAAGGAAAAAATAATTGTCCATCCACCAGATTTGTCATTGGCAAGGCATCACCAGGTGCTTCATACGTCGATTCTTTAATAAAGTGGCGTTGTTCATATTCAAATCAAACCCAGGTTGATGTCGTCGTTGACCATTTGTCGTGTGAATCGTACCAGTTGCCATGACAATAGGGGTCACAGCTGTCTTCTTGATTTTAGCCAGACCTTGTTGATGATGAGCCGCTGCTTGTGCATTATATAGTTGTTTTTCCTTTGTTTTGATATTGTGATGATATTGTCGTTGCTGATCTTCATGATCATCCGTGATCATTTCCCCGTGATTAGTATGTTCTTCCGTCATACGCTGTACAGCTGCAGTGATATCCAATATTTCCTTGAGAGTAGCCATTCCGGGTGAAAAAACATCTTTACGTCCTGTTGAAGATGTTGTACTTGTTAAATCAGATGTAGATGAAATATGTGATGTTGTTTGTTGATTGTCGATAGAATCAATATTGTGAGGACTGTCAGTTGATTTGATCGTAGATGATGCAGCAGCTTTTCGCATCGCTTGTATTCGTATGGATTCGCATTCGTCAACAAAAGATGGTCCACCAGATTGAGAAGATATCAACTTTTTTCCAGTAAGCCATGGATGTTGTAAAACCTGTCGCACAGTATATCGTTTTCTTGGATCTACACATAAGAGACCTTGAATCAAATCCTTGGCTTCATCAGAGATTGGATCCCACCACGGAGAGAGGAAAGAGAATTCTCCACGAGCAACTTTACGAGTCAGAGCACTAATAGATTCATCATAGAATGGAGGAAACCCGCAAAGCATGGTAAATAAAACGCATCCCATCGCCCAGCAATCCACACCTTTTGAATATCGTTGATCCTTGACAATTTCAGGTGCTGTATAGCCAACTGTACCACATGGAGTCAATGTGTCCTTGTCCCAAATGATTTTTGATAATCCAAAATCTGCAAGTTTCACCTGACCGATACCACCCCCACCAACATCTTTAATAAATACACCTTCATCTTTCTTGGATTGATCATCAAACACATGGAATTTGCGTTGTTCAGAAGGAATAATAGGTATTGGGTCAAATAGAATGTTTTCAGGCTTGATATCCCTATAGGAAAAGATTTGTTAAGTCATTCTTTTTTTCCTTTTTTGCTTCTCGTGATTAGTAAGTAACATATCGTATTTTAAGTTTACCTATGAACCACACCACATTCTTCATGTAAATGATAGACTGCTTGTGCTAGTTGTCCAATAACATGTCGTGATAAATCTTCACTAAGGTAAGTCAGATCAACAATTCGATGGAACAATTCGCCACCTAAGAGAATATATGAATATATTAGTTTGATATATATGAATATAAATATATATATTAGTTACCTTCACACAATTCAAGTACCAAAAAATAGTTTTCCCTTGATTCAGTGAATTGGATAAGTTGGACAATGTTTGGATGACGAATATTACGCATAATTTGGACTTCTTTTAGTATATTGGCTCTCTAAATAATAATAGTAATAGTAATGAGATTATCAGTATTTTACTCTTATTTGGTGTTAATTTCTGAGATCATGTATGATCTACTACTTGCCTCCGTCACCCTAGGTTTCTTTTTCATACTTGGATGTAAATGTTGTAGATCCACCTAGAAACCAAAAAAAAAAAAAAAAAAAAAAAGAATGAGTATCACATTTTTGATTTCTATTTAATTTTAGCTCTTACCATTGATCCATCACTGGCATATTTTTGAGCTACTTTGATAGCTACGTTTCTTCCTGTTCTTTTATCACGAGCACGATATACATCTGAAAATGCACCACTAGAAAAATAGGTCATATATTAGTCAATTAAAAGTTTTCCTTATTTTTTTAGTTTATTCACAATTCCCTGCATAATTTTTTTTTGATCACGCTACTTACTCGCCTAATTTTTTGATGATTTCAAATCGTTCTAAACTGGGGTAAACAGGTAACGTAGATTTTCGGCGCATATTGCTTGCAATCAACTGCGTTGCTTGTTCTTGTCTTTCTTCTTGGGTAACTTCACGAACTGAACCTTCGTATAATTTTTGTTCTTGTAGTTGTTGTTGTGGTGAGGATAAAGGATGTTCTAATATTAGTTGTTTTGGTTCTATTGGTGACAATGGAATCTCGGGTTCTTGAGGTTTAGTTTTTATGGGAGAGTTCTTCTTTTTCAATTCTAAAGTTTTGGTAGATTTCATCCAAGGTGTTAGAGATAATGAATATGCTTTTTGCTGTTGTTGTTGCTGTGGTTGTTGTTGGTGTTGTTCAAGGTGATCCATAGGTCGCATGTCGCTGGTATAGTTAAAAACTTTGACTTTAACTTGGTTTTTACTTTTTTGCTTCTTGCTGATAAACTTTTGCTTCAAACGTGATAACATGAGCTATCTATATATATAAAAAAAGAGAATAAAGTGAAAGAGAAAGAAAGAATAAGAAATTTCTGCTGAAGAAAATAAAAAATAAAAAAAAAAAAAAGAGAGGGGCACACGCGGGAATTGAAAGACAAGAGGGAAAGAAGAGGAGCAAAGCAAAGGAATCATCTTCAAACTACCGTAGATAATTTCATTCACTTACCAATAACGTCTCATCACTCTAGAAAAAAAATCTTTTCTTTTTCCTTTTTTCTTGAAATACAAATATCTCAAAAAGAAAACAGATATTGTCAATATTTATGATTTTTCTGGTTTTTTTTTTTTTTCTACATCACTAAGTTCAGAAAAACCTTAAATAGTCAACTGAGCATATCAACAGGTGAATGAAATATCGTCATCACTTGTCATTCAAAAAAAGAGTCTACACCATGTGGTCACGAGCATGCCCTGTGCACTTCAAACTAATAATAATACTATTTCATCATTAAATTTTAAGCTTTTCGTTTCTATATTTAATGTAATATATATATATGTAAAAGGTTGGAAAAAAAAAGTGAGATGGATGGAATAAACTAAGACAAAAAAAAAAAAAAACAATTAGTACAATTGACTATACTATAAATGAGGGATTAAAAAAATGATGACGAGGGAAAATAACAGTAATAACAAAATAAGAAGAAAGGAAGAATGTGGAAAAAGAGGGATGACTAACTAGTTTTTTTTTTTTATGACTATACTATATATATATATATATATAACATCAAGCACATAATACCAATAAAAACACATCAGAGAAAACGGATGATGACATTCTAATACTTCTTATCGAGGATATCACGGGCAACTTTGACAATCACCTTATCATCAGGGAAAGCCAATTGTTCGAGGTTGGCAGCATAAGGAGTAGGAACATCAGCACCAGTAACACGGCTCAAAGGAGCATCAAGTTCATCCCAGACATCAGCTATATATATATATATATATATATATTAAATAAAAATCATTTAATATTGTCATCTCTTTTCTTTATGTAATAACTTACATTCCATGATTTGAGCAGCAATTTCGGAACCAACACCGAAAGAAGCCCATCCACCTTCAACAGTCATGATACGATGAGTCTTCTTGACGGATTTGAAGATAGTTTCAGTATCCATAGGCTTGATGGTACGCAAATTGATGACTTCAGCAGAAATACCAGTCTTGGCCAATTCTTCAGCAGCCTTGACAGCGAAACCAACAGAACGAGAGTGGGCAACAATGGTGATATCTTTACCTTCACGTTCAATCTTGGCCTTACCAATGGGCAAAATAAAGTCAGATGATAAAGCTTCTTGAGAGACAGGATAAGAAGTACCATATTCCAATTCGTTTTCAAGAACAACAACAGGATTGGGATCACGAATGGCAGCCTTCAACAAACCCTTAGCATCTTCAGAGTTCCAAGGAGATACTACCTTCAAACCAGGAACAGAACCATACCAGGCAGCGAAACATTGAGAATGTTGAGCAGCAACACCAGCAGCAGCACCGTTAGGACCACGGAATACAATAGGACAAGTTACTTTACCACCAGACATGTAATAAGTTTTAGCGGCAGAGTTAACAATTTGATCGATGGCCTATAAAAAGTGATAATATATAAAAGATAAATCAAACGAATATTTATCATTATTATCATTCAACTTACTTGCATAGCAAAGTTAAAAGTCATAAATTCACAAATAGGCTTGAGACCATTGAAAGCAGAACCAACAGCAATACCAGCAATACCCATTTCAGTGATAGGAGTATCAATGACACGCTTGGAACCAAACTTGTCAAGTAAACCCTTAGTGACCTATTAAAAAGAAAAAAAAAATTTTAGTGAATGAAGTGTATTATTTCCCCAATCTCCGATTCCGGCGCGCCACACTCGACCAACAAACCTATATCACCCGATTTTCGCCCCAACCTTTCTTTGTATTTTCCCGTGTATTCCCAAACAGATAATAACAATTTTTTTTTCTTTTCTCATCCTTACCTTATAAGCACCATTATATTGAGCAACTTCTTCACCCAAAATATAGACTTTTTCATCAGCAGTCATTTCTTCGTCAATAGCTTGGTTCAAGGCATCACGAACAGTCATCTAATAAAGAATCCAAAAGACAAAAAACAAAAAGAAAAAAAAATATTATTATTAGTATTGAGAATATAAAATATAGATGACAATAACCATAATAATATCTATTCATATTCCTCTTTGTAGAATTATCCTAGTTCAATGTCATCCACTCCTATTGTTTCGTTGATAAATGAATCTATTTCTTACTTCAGTGACACCATTGGAATTATAACGCTTTTGAGCATAAGCAGTAAAAGCAGGCTTGACAGACTTGGTGGCAACACGAGAAGCAGAGGTTGCAACAGGAGCAATACGGTTCAAGGTGGAAAGAAAGGTCATACTGAAAAAATTGGAGAAAAAAAAAAAGAGTTTTGAGAAAAAAAAAAAAGTAAAAGAAAGAAAGAAAAAGGGGAGTCCAAAGTACACTTTTTTTCTTTTCTGTCCCCCAAAATAACCAATGTCACAAAAAAAAATTTTCAAACTCACGCCCTGACAAACCAAAGAATACACTTACTACTCATTGAATTGACTTTTCCTCTTTTAAACTTGATATTTTATTTTTTATTTACTTTATTAAAGAAATTGTTAGAAGAAAGATCGATATATAATATCATTTTTAATTTGTTTTCATCATAGAATTTTATACAAAGAGAGGAGGTTTTGTAGTTAGTCTCTCGAGTTTTGACCTTTTTATCATCTTTTGATTTCATGACCCGAACCCTTAAACTAAATATACCCATCAACTTTAATCATTTATATATATTCATTCAGATAATAATAACTATTGGTTTTTTTTATTTCTACCACTTTTTCAAAAGTTTTCCACGAGAGGATGATGAAGGAATAGATGTGGATGAATGAGATGTAGAGGAGGAGGATGTCCTTGGAGGTGTGACGTTAAGACTATTGGGTGCATAACGGGGTACCACTGATTTGGCGGGGGGAATGGGTTTATCTAAATTGCTAAGAGAATGTACGAATTTTTCAGGGGCAATAATATGAGTGGATCCTAATATATATATAAAAAAAAAGAAAGGTGTATTTAGCACTACGACAATTTTATCTTTTTTTTTTTCCTTTGTTTTTTTTTTTTCCTTTCTTTTTTCTCTTCTTTACCAATATAAACTTCACGATCAAATAACTCGGCCAATTCATATGCAGATCGAACTTCAGAGTAAGTCATACCTCCAGCAATAAAGATGATGATGGGTGGTCCAGATGGTGGTTTAAGTGCAGCCTATATAAAGATCATTTTAGTTCACCTTATTATTATCATTATTATTGTTATTCTACTTACATTGTTTCCACTTGATTTCTTATGCCATTGAGTCTTATATACACGAAGTTGAGGAACTTGTTGACGAGAATGGGATGCATCAGCCTTTTGATTTTCAGGAGCAGCCACACGAAGTAATGGGAATAGACTTTGATCAATAGTACCTTTGACATGACCTTCTACTACACGTTTGACCACTGGTACGTAACGACTCAAATCAAAGGGCACATCATTTGGATTCGTCACACTTTCGCGCTTTTTCTTTTCTTTCTTGGATTTCTGACCTGTACGGTTGGCAGACTTCGATAACTGTACGCCTAAGAGAGATAAATTATCAATAGCATCCTTGTATTCTTGATCTAATCTTGCATGTGCCATCAATAGCTGTAATTCTTCAGAATCAACCTTGTCCGATGTAGCTATCCATAACATGATAAGTCGAGTTTTGATCATTTGACTAAAATACAAATAAGAATAAATTAGAACGTGTATCTTTTTTTTTAATAACCACTATCCATAATAAGCTCGTTTACCTAGTATAAGGATCATCTAATATTGGCACTAATTCATCTACCAAATGTTTGGGTGTATGCCCATCTGGTGTTTCTCCACAAGCCATATTCTATCATGGAGACATCGGAAAGAAAAAAAGCTGATTGTTTTAGTATTTCCAAACTTGGTGTCTTTTAAGAGATTTCTTACCTGTTCCAACAAACCAATCGTTTCCAAATTTTGTTTTGTAAATTCTGACATACAATCATTGGCAATTGTCATATGAGCAGAAAACTATAAATAGCATGATGAAAGATCCCATTATGTTTTCTATTTGACCTGATAATAAATCTTTCTTTTCTTTTTTTTTTTTTTTTTTTTACCTTGTTTTTCATTTCTTGGAATTGTGGGAGATTGGCAATCATTTGTTTCATATCATTCAAACTACGGACAGAGGACTCGCTAAAAAAAAAAAAAAAAAAAAAAAAAAAGAAAGATATTAATTCATGGATTGAAGGGTTGATTGAATGTTACTTACTTTCCACTAGATCCTTTGTTTTCAGCCACAAATTTGTTGAAATCATCAATAAGTTGTTCAGTGGTGCTAGCGATATGCATATGTCGAATGGAAGTATACACTGTATCTTGTTCATTCAAAGTAATTTCATGATCCTTGCTGGTTCCATCTTCTTGTGTATATTCATATGAGTACTTGAGTCCAGCAGGCGTTTCTTCAGCAGCCAATAAGTCTGCCAACATTGCTTGGTATGTGAATTCATGTAAAAATGGAGCAATAGGATCAATTGTTCGATCCAATAGGATAAGTGTTCCTTGAGGCAATGGAGGATCACGAGGAGGCTAATTATGAATAGATAAAAAAAATCAATATATATATATATATATATATATATATATATATAATGTTTTCATTTTTCTTCACTACTTACTGGAAATTCAGGATTCACTTTACAAAAATTATCCAATTCAGCTTGTACCAATTTCGCAAGATGCCAAGGTATATTTCGATTGATAGTTCCTTGTACGTCCAATGGTCGATGATATCTAATTTGAGGGTTTTCTCCAAGAGTAACACAAAGACAAAGAATCTAAATATATGTATTAAAAAAAAATGCTATCAACATCATTACAAGGATGTTTTGCTTATTTTTCTTACTTGTTTTGCCATGTCATCCAATTCACCATCAATACTTGACGAAGTACTAGATCTGTTTCCTCCCTTTGAATTATCACTACCAAACAAAGCAGAGAACTTGCGTTCATCGTCCAAGGAGTAAACATTTGGTTCGCGTACTATCAAAATGATATTTAGTAACTAAAAAAAAAGTACTATATTATTAAATCCTAATGATGATAAATATTTACCTAAGAAATCCACATACATTTCCTTCAAGCCTTGAATATGTTTTGCTGCATTGGCGGCATTCAATTTGCGAGTGAAATCATCAAAAACAACATTGTCAAGAGCTATATATATATATAAAGAAGAAAGAATCATCAGTTATTCGTATTCATTTATGTTTCATTATTTACCATTGATAAAATGTACATGAGCAGCTGCATACATAGGACCATCCTTTCGAGAAAAATCATCCACGAGACGAGAACAGGATTCGATACAAGGTGTTAATATATAGACAGCTTCCACACTAGGATAAGGAGTTCTTGACTTTTCAATATTTTCAACCACTATAAAAGGGAAATATTAGCTGATTTTTTTCATTTAAATTGATAAAGAATGATTTTTTTTTTATTATTATCAACTAAAGGTACGTACAAGTTACCTAAAAAGAAAAATATAAAGCAATTCAGTAAACCAAATACAAATAGACATCATATTCAGGGGAAGAAAAAAAAATATATTGTAAGTCTTACATTTTCTTCTAAAATATCATACATCTTGCATGCAGAGTTGAGTATTTTTAAGGATAAACTGTCAACTACTACCAACTTCCATCTTCCAGCAGGTTGTACAGATTTGATGAGTTCAAGGAACCCTACAATAATAATAATAATAATAATAAAAAGGAATATAGTAAGTATAACATCATGTATTATATATTGTCAAATTTTTTATTTCTCTTAATAATACATACGTCTTTTGAGAATTTCGTCAACACCAATCATCAGACCAATAAAAAAAAAAAAAAAAGAGAACGAAAGAAAAGAAAAAGAAAGAAAAGAAAAAGAGAAGGGAAAAAGGAAACTCGGCTGATAGAATTCAAGTGAAAGTTCCCCCGCCAAATTAGATTACGGACATTTAAATTTTTCTCGAGATTTATTATTTTATTTTTGATAGACACCATGTTCAGCACTTCCCAACAACAATCAACAATTCAAAAAAAGTTAAATACAACGTCAACCTTAGATCTACGAAGGACAAGAAGACTATTAGAAAAGCTACTGGAAATGAAAGGTATAGTACAGAACATTGTATTTGTATTCCACATGACCGTAGACTAATGGGTTAAGTAAATGATACACTTTTTTTTTTTTTCTTTAGAAGCATTACACATATTTAAGGAATTGTTAAAGGTCATCATGGAAAGGGAAAAGTTCAGCAAAACGAAGTATTGTTGCAAAAATGAATACGTGGCGAACACTCTTTCGCGATAGTCAGCAGGTTGATGCTAGCTCCTCACTACAACATTTATGTGGGCTGGATTCGGTCTTGGTGCCTATCATAGATTACTAGTATCAAATATAGTGAACGCGTTGAATAGCTCTATGTATACAATGAAAAACTCCTCTACTGATAACAAAGGTGCTCCAACATGTTTGAAGAACGTAAGAATAGAAAATTATTAACACTGCATAATTATCATAAATATTATTGGTCTATCTAACTTTAACCGAATTTTTATCTTACCGAATAAAATCACAGTACGGGATACTTGGCCTCTTCCTATTATGACTGATCTTTTGGAACAATTGGGTGGATCTAAATTCTTTTCGTCGATGGATTTACTCAAAGGTTTTCATCAAGTAAAGGTACATGAAGATTCAATAAACAAGCTCACTATTGCCACGCCCTATGGAAATTTCTCTTATATTGTGATGCCTTTTGGTATACAAAATGGACCATCAACGTTTTGTCGCGCCATATATTTAGCTCTCAAGGATTTGATCTATACTTGTGTTGTTGCGTACATAGACGATATAATCATTCACTCTCCTTCAGTACAACAGCACATGGAAGACTTGGAAAAATTTCTACTACATATCAAGGAAGCTAATATGGTACTCAATGCAAACAAGTGTACGCTATTCAGAACATCAGTAAATTTTGTTGGCTTCGTGGTTGATTCTGCTGGTTATGCTCCTGATCCTGAAAGAATAAAGGCTATCTCAAACTTTCCTACTCCTACTTGCCAAAGGGATGTACGTGCCTCTTTGGGTGTTATTGGTTTTTATCGTCGTCACATACATCTTTATACTGAATATACTGTCAAACTTACTAGTCTACTCAAGAAAAACACTCCTTTTATTTGGACAAATGAACATCAAATGTGTTTCGAACAAGCAAAGCAATTGTTGCAAGAAGATTGTTTCTTAGTTTATCCAAATTACACCAAGAAATTCTTCCTGTTTACTGACGCATCGGATTATGGGGTTGGAGCCGCTCTATGTCATCTTGAAGGTGATGATTATATTCCTATCTTTTTTGCATCAAGAAAATTACAACCTGCTGAAGTCAGATATCCGACGGTGGAAAAGGAACTTTTAGCTGTCGTCTTTGCCCTGAAACGTTTTAGAAAATTTTTATTGGATCAACAGTTTACTCTTTTTACCGACAATACTGCAGTTACCTATCTATTTGAAAAAAAAGATGCTAGCCAACGACTTCAGCGATGGACTCTTTGCTGTATGGAATTCCAATTTACTGTCAAACATATCAAGGGAACAAGAAATTGTGTTGCTGATGCTCTCTCAAGATATCCACCTGGTGAAATTGAAGAAACAAATGGATTGGATGATGCTTGTCACCTCAAAAAATGGACCACTTTTTACGATTACGAGATGGATGCACCAATGTCAAGAATATCAAGCCTCTATCGGATGTAATCATCAGATAGAACTCCACCTACTTCATGATAAACATGATTACCCCTCTCACTATGCTGATATCAACGGACACTGACTTGCAACCCAACTAATTGACAGATGAAAGTGTTACTGGAGGTAAAATGATATATTTCATCTATTGATGTAGTGGTTCAGTATAAGCTCCAACACTTTTTTTTTTTTATTTAGGAATTCATCTCAACATCTTGATCCCAGCGTACAATTTCTTGATGGATATGGCGTACATCCTAATTTGGAAAAAGCATTGGATCGACGTGTGCAATATCTGATTGGGAAAAGAATATATTTGACAGGAGTATTCGTCATGGAGAATGCAAAGGAAATTGCTGAACGTAATGCTGAAATCAAGGATTCCGTGGATAAAAACAAATTCAAATATTCTGACTGTTGATTTGCTCTTGGAACGATTTATCAATGCAGCAACACACTTTGTTTCAGTAGATTACAAAATTACAGATGATTCGACTATTTCAATGATAGCGTATTGTAAGTATCTCTTTTTTTTTTTTTTTAATCAAAATAGAATGCATTTATCAATTTTACTCACTTTTCTTTTTGATACAGTAGCGCTTGACCCTGATCTCACTATTGATTATACCGATCGATATGACTAGGAAGCTGAATTCGTTAAAACAAGCAAATGGCGACTAATTGAACGATCGAGACATACTCAAAATCAAGATGATACTTTACCTGCCATTGACCTTGAAGACATTCCTCATGTATTACAGCATGCATATGAACGAAGAATAGCAGTATGAAGGATTGAAGAATGCGTGGATGAAGTAGAACTATAATATCACAGGGCAAGGGAAATGAACAGTATGTTGCGTGATATCTTAGGCTGATGGAAAGTAGAACAGGATATCCTTCCGGTGTTCCCAACAATGGTTCGTGATTACCCTGCTGTCCCAGGTAAAAAAAAAAAAAAAAAAAAAAAAAAAAAAAAAAAAAAAAAAAAAAAAAAAAAAAAAGTCGTAGTTATTGTTACCAAGTAAGAATTTTGTATATCACGTATCCTCACATGCTCTTTTTTTTTTTTTCTTTTTTTTTTTTTTTTTTTTTTTTTTTTTTTTTTAGGCACTAGTGTTCCAGTTGAACGAGTATTTTCCAGTGCCAAGCATACGATTTAAACAACTCACTGTTGCTTTACTTACAAAAAATTCTGAACCTACATCTAGTCCTTTTTCTGCTCCAAGGTCAACAAAATCATTTATCTGTTACAATTGTACTTCTCTGCGTTGCTCCTTGAAACTATCTACTATTCTCTATTATAGGATGGAAAAATATCGATTGAAATGATCATTGGATTTTTTCTATGGATAGTGAATAAATGGCGAAGACTCAACACTTTGCGTTCAACATCATCACAAGACCATACTTTACTCCTGGCATATATCCAAAAACCGGAAAAGATTACTTCCATATGCCCAACAACAGCTGCCAACTGGATCAAGGATAATTTTCCTTTTTGTTTTTACCATTAGATTCGATTAGATCTTTTTTAGTTTTTACCTCTTTCCCTTCATATTTTAATAAAGTCGACTTTCTACATTTAAATGATTATGAACATGAATACAGTAGTTTTAGATTATTGATAATGATAAACGCATAAAAGCACACTTCATTTCATCCTAACTTTTTAAGATGATTTAATCTCACATACTATTTTACCGTTTCATCAAAGCATAAATGGTTTGGTTTTCATTATTCTTGCTGGCCAATGTGGTGGCTGGCGAATTTCAAAATCCGGTCGGATGGGATTTTTTTTTTGAACCATACCCAAATTTTTTATTTTGGATGAACTTCCTCTTTTCCCCAATACTTCTATAACCATGGTAAGTAGAGGACGATAGATAGATAGAAAGGAACACAACAATCGAATTTGTCATGACAGATGACTAGTATATATGTATATATATAATATTGAATCAATGGATGGATGAACAAATGGATGGATGGATGGATGGATGGATGAATGGATTACCTCTACGTTTCTCTCTCACTCTCTCTCTCTAAGGTCAATTGGAATGAAACAACATCAAATATAAATAATTGAACGTCCTTGATATATTTACACCTTGTTATCATTTACGAACCATTCACTTTTGATACAAAACGACAATCAGTCATTACACACACACTCACACACGTACATCATTTTTACATTTAGTTCAAAACGAAATAGGTTGAATGGAATCACCTTTTTATTATATACATATATACAGATATTCTGTCATGACCAATATATGAAGTCATGGTTGAACTTACCATTCTCTTTTTATTTTTTATTTTCTGTAGAGTGCTGAACAGAAGCCCACTGCTGCCAACCCCATGAAGGCTCTCAACATTGAAAAGCTTGTTCTCAACATCTCTGTTGGTGAATCTGGTGATCGTTTGACCCGTGCTGCCAAGGTGCTCGAACAATTGACTGGTCAAACCCCTGTCTACTCCAAGGCTCGCTACACTGTCCGTACTTTCGGTATCCGTCGTAACGAAAAGATCTCTGTTCACGTTACTGTCCGTGGTCCTAAGGCTGAAGAAATTTTGGAACGTGGTTTGAAGGTCAAGGAATACGAATTGCGTGACCGTAACTTCTCTGCCACCGGTAACTTTGGTTTCGGTATTGATGAACACATTGATTTGGGTATCAAGTATGATCCTTCCATTGGTATCTACGGTATGGATTACTACGTTGTCATGGGTCGCCCTGGTTTCCGTGTCGCTCGTCGCAAGCGTGCTCAAGCTTCCGTTGGTGTCAACCACAAGATCAAGAAGTCTGAAAGCATCGAATGGTTCAAGTCTCGTGTAAGTAAAATTAAAGTGAATGAATGAAATAGTATTATGTGAATAACTTCTTTTTTTTTTTGTTTCCTTAGTTCGATGGTATTGTTTTGAACAAATAAATAGTATGTTCTTTCTCCTCTACTTCTTTTTTTTTATCAACTGTTTATGCATTCTCTCTCTGTTACAAATACAAATAAAAAAATTTATCTAGTTTTTTTTATGGGCCATTCTAATATTTTTTTTTTTTGGTGATGATTTATCTCTAATATCTTTAAATTGAAAGGGAAATGTGACGATTACAGGATGATGATTACTTTAAATGCAATGGAATGAAAAAAAAAAAAAAAAAAAAAAAAAAGTGGAATAGCTTCACTTTTCAATTCAAGGTGGGAAATGTTAAATCCATACTCCTTACTTATAGTCCTGTTGCATAGCAGCAGTGGTGATAGAATGGAGGCATTTTTATCCATTCAAGAGCAAGACGTATCCTCAGAAGGGGTATCTACGACGAATCATCAACCTGTCATCATTCCTTAATTACTGAGTATAAAAGCATATGCCAACGTGGTCAATTGAAGCAACCCCTCCGTTGTCAGCATTTGTTAATACAGGTATACACTTTATTCAATAATAAATGACGGAATTCAAAGAATAAGATGGCGCAAAAATAGGAAATAAAATATCGTAACGATAGAAAATAAATGACAGAAGAAAAAAAATATAATTGTCGCATAATCAAATAGAGAATATAAGAAAATAGATATCACGAAAAAAAGAGAAACCAAAAAAAAAAAAAAAAAAAAAAAGGAAATCCACCAATTGAGTTCACCAAGTTAACATATAAAAAAAATAAAAACTAAAAAATGAGTAATACTTATCCAGATAAAAATATTTCACTAGCTTACCATTTAAGTGTAACGAGATCGCCGTAGCGAAAGTAGGATGGCGATAACCATCCCGGAATTTGTATTGAATATAAAAAAAGAAAAGGCTGACCGTAACCACGCAGATGCGCATTAGCGACCACGGTCAAGCCCAAAAACAAAAAAGAAGTAGATCAATGGAGAAACAGACAAAGATGCTTGAACTATTAAAGAGTACTTGTATAGAAAAAGGCAGATCAAAGAAAAAGGAAGACAGACAAAAAAGGAAGCAGGTAGGCCAAAAAGATGAATATAATGTAAAGAAATAAAAAAAAAAGTTAAATCAAAGGGATCCCTTTATAAGAAAATGAATCACCCTTGCAATTATGAGCTAATTTTAGTAGATAAAATGATGAGACAAGATGTAAGCGAGTTTTATCATTTTTTTTAAATATTAGCAACATTTCTATCTTTATATCGTATCTAATTCATCATCATTTTTTTTTTAGTATTAACAACATTTCTCTCTTTCTATTGTATTTAATTTATCATTTGTCTTTTTTAGTATCTACTTTATAATTTTTTTTTTTTAGTGTTAGCAACATTTCTCTCTTTATAATAAAGTTAATTACATATATGTTCTACATTAAATTCTATTATTACAATATTTATGTACTAAGTGATACATGGTACTGACTTGTTTTTGCCGTGTTTTAGTTTAATGACTAGTTTTTTTTTTTAGTTGTTCTATTTTAAATGGTAGTATGATTGTGTACAGCACATTTATTATTGTATTTTTTAATTTCCATTGATGTGATGAATCATCATTATTATATTGATTTATCATGTTGGCTGATAAAAGAGTGTTTTGACATTTTTCAAAGAAAAATAGAAAAGAAAAAGAAAATGCTGTTCTGTCAGAAGGTAACTAGAATGAAGTATTTTGTATTTTATCAGAAATTTGTACAGTGATTGACGACAATGTTTCATCATCCATCATACAATCGTACAATCATCCAACATATAATCATCCATTATCACATATCATCCATCATACAGTCATCCATCATCCATCCTGTAATCATCCAATATACAATCATCCGTTATCACATATCATCAATCATGAATCATCGATCATGAATCATCAATCAATTGATACCTAAAAAAGAATGGACAACACCCAAAGCTGCTAAAAATATGAAAAGCTTATGTTACTTTTCTTTTGTGTCTTTTATTATTAATAAACAAGTTATCATCAATGTGTTGTGTGTTTTTAATGTACTCTACCGACATCTCTAGAGCGATATCTGAAAAAGTGGTAATGCGCCATTCATTTTGGGAAAGTACGATTTTTTATTTGATAACATCACGAAAAGCATTTTCTTGTGACCCGACAAAAAACCTTGAAAACACTGTATTGCCACTCTTTTTGAAAAAATAAAGTAAAAATAAAAGAAGGAAAGTGTACTCTATCAATCAATAAAATAAAACAATAATAATCCACTAGTCAGATTCGACATGTTGGCCTTAACATTGAAAGGAGATAAAAAAAAACAACTTGTTTTTATTTTTTATGATTTTTCGAATGATAGGGAATGAATTTATAAACTAGTCAATATAAAACTAACTAAGATTTCAGATATAACAAAACAAAAAGAAATAAAGATAAATAAAAAAAAATCCAAATAGAATATCATCAAGATGAAGAGGAGGTGAAAAAAAAAAAAAAAGATGCCTTCATCCATAAATAGATCAATTCAAGTTCAATAAAACAAGTAATTTGGATTTCAAGAATTGGAACGTCACATTGTTGCCATAAGAATGCTGAATATCAATCACATACAAGTCAGAGAGAAGAGATCGGCAGATTTCCACTGTAAAATCAACATGATGGCCGTCATCCAAATCAGGAGGTCCATAAATGGTAGCTGTTGTCAAGTCAGTCTTTTTGTCCTTATTGATACCCTTTTTGTTCTTCTTTGATACACCATGATGAAGACTCCTTCTAGTGCATGCCAACTGGTAAGATGATTCATGGTGTACATCGATACCTAATGCTGTCAAAATTCGGACCAAGGTTAGCATCAAATCACCAGGGGCCATAGAGGAAAGGTTTTCGCCTTGCGCATGAGAGAGAATACGCATTACAGATCGATCCATGGTAGTGGTTTCCAAAGAGGAAGGAGAAGAAGAAGATGCCAAGTAATGATGAATTTGCTCATGTTTTTGATCTTCTTTGACGTGATGATGGTGATGACGATGACGATGATCTGTTCTTGATTGTTGTTGTTGCTGATTATTGTAGTTGTTACCGCGATCGGTTGCGACAGACGATGTGGATGTTGATAATGATGAAGATGATGAGTGATGAGACTTCATAAAATGCTTTTTCTTAATAATCCAAGCTTTCACTGTTTGTGTCATTGTTTTCTTTCTGGCCACAGGTATTGTTGCTGCAGCGGTAAATGATGATTCCTTTTCCTTTTCATGTTCATCGGTTCGTTGCTTTCTTGGTAGATGTGTCGATTGGCTACGATAAGGTCGAGGTCCAGAGTAAGATAAAGAAAGGATGGATGGGAGCCTACTATGTCGTTTCTTTGGTGGTTCTTGAAGATTACCATTGCTGTTGTACTTGCTAGCTGAAGTAGAGGTATCAATGATGAGATCTGTATCAGTCTTATGAGATAGCAAGGGAAGACTGGCTGTTTTCATGTGTTGGACGTTTTTGTTGTTTTCATCCTTTTTGTCATCTTTATCCAAGTCATCAGATTTCATTTTGTCACTAAGATCACCTGGAAGTAGAGGGCTATAATGTGTATGATCCTTGACTAGAAGTGAGGGCCGGATACCAATGATATCGTTGTTGTTGTCATCGCTATTGATGTTATCTGGATAATGATGTTGAATGTTGTCCACCTTGGATTTCACTTTAACAGTTGGCATAGGTTCAGCATCAGTGCTTTGAGGATGAAATTTCTTCTGTCGACGTAAACTGGGTTGTCTTTGTCGTGGATGTTCTTTCGTAGCAGAATCATTCAAGAGGTCTTCTTCTTCATTTGATATAGCAGGTAAAGGCGGAAGAGATGGCAATTCTTTTTCCTTCGCTTCATGTGATGTTGTTGTTTCTGTTGTTGTTGATAGCTGAGATTTGTCCAATAAAGAAGATGGTGTAGGTGGCATTGCATCCATTGGATGTTGCAGCTGCTCTCCATTTAAATGATCATCTAATCTTGGCATCTTACTGTCCTTATTTTGGATTAAGTGATCTGGTTCTTGAGACTGAGCACCTTTTTGATCCAATTCTTGAGATTGAGTGTACTTTAAATCCAATACTTGAAAGGTGGTTCCATTTTGATCCAATCGTTGTGAGAAGGCACCATTTGAATCCAATTTTTGAGGGAGAGCACCATTAGAATCCAATCTTTGAGGAAGAACTCCATTTGAATCTAATCCTTGCGACTGAGCTATCTTTGGTTCAAGTATTTGAGAATCATCCGCTTTCTGTTCCAATATATTGTTGTTTTTATCCGGTGCTTGGGGTTGTTGACCATTTTGTTTCAGATCTTGAGAATGTGATTCCGTCATAGATAGATTTTCTACTTGGTCTTCAATTTCATTGTGTATTTCCGAATGTGTGTCTCTTTGATTTTGAACTTGATGTCCATTTAGTTCTTGTGGTAATACGTCAGAGATAGTGTTATATTTGAGATATGGATGGCTATTTTCAGATTGTTGTTCTTGTTGTTGTTCTTGTTGTTGTTGCTGTTGTTGTTGATCGTCATCGACTTTATCAGGTGGCAATAAGTGAATTATTGAATCCAATGCTTGTTTCTCCAATTCTTCGTTCGACATGGCAAAAAGTGTATTTTTGTAATCTTGAAGCCAGGGGTGATTCATAACAAAATGGAGGGTGCATCTGTCGGCAGGATCAGGTTGCAGCATATGACGCATCAAATCTTGAGCTTCATCACTAACAAAAGTTGGAAAGGTCAAAGGAGTTGAGCGAATATATTGATAAAGTTGATGTAGATTTGCACTTTCAGGATTTTCAGGATCATCATCAAACGGTAGATAACCACAAATCATACAATATAGGATAACACCACAAGACCAAATATCAGCAGCAGGGCCACTATAACCACCAGATGGATAAACTAATTCAGGGGCAGCATAACTGGGCGAGCCACAGCAGGTTGTAAGTAGATCCTTCTTGTCATTATTGGCAAAACCAAAATCACTAACGACCAATTGAGTTTGTTCCATATCCAAGAATAGTAGGTTTTCCTGCAGAAAAAAATATATTAGTAAACATGTTTGAACCAGTTTTTCTTTTTCCTTTTTTTTTTTTTTTTTTTTTTTTTTTTGTTCAGTAGATCTATCCGATGTAAACTTACCAGTTTTAAATCCCGGTGAGCAATACCTTTCAAATGCATGTGATTCACGCTGCTGATCAATTGGGCAAATAACTTCACAGCTTCATCTTCTTCTAAAGATCTGTGCGACAGGACGTATTCAAACAATTCACCTCCTTGAAAATAACAAGTAAAACAACAAAATAAAATGAATAAACAATATATATATATGTTTGTACCCCTATTATGATTCTTTTATGTTACCTGAAGCATATTCCAGGATAATCCCAATACGAGAATTTGTTTCTACCACTTCAATCAATTTTATAATATGAGGATGCCGTAAAGACTATAAATGAATAAAGATAAATAAATAAATATGAGTAATTCGCTTATTCCCTTTTTTGATCGTCCTAACATTATGCGACCGCCCTTTTTTTCACACACTTGTGAAAATGCTACAATAAACATAAACAACAAGCATTTGTTCCTTTTTTTCTTTTTTTTTTTTTTCTCTCCTTACCTTGAGAATTTGGATTTCACGTTGAACTTTGGCTAGTTTCGAATCAGTAGTATTTTTCTTGATCACCTTGATTGCTACCTAATATTATTATTATTATTATAATGGAAAAAATAAAAAATAAAAAATAAAAAAAATAAGGTACAACGTTTCACTAAAGACATATAATATAATTGTTACCTTTTGATAAGTTTCGGTATGTATTCCGAGCTTGACTTTACCAAATTCACCAAGACCCAAGGTTTTCACCAAACGATATTTTCCCAAAGGTTCTTGTTCTTTCACAAAAGAAGGACAAGAAGACACACATGAGGAACAAGTTGAATCAGAAGAGAGAGACGCGTTATCAGCAACATCAGTTACATGTTGAACTGACGATTCCATGAGTGGTATAACACGAAGTAGATTACTAGAAATACTGGTATTCATAGGTGCAGGAGGAACTTCGGTCATAGTGACAGAAAGGAAATAATAATAATAATAATAATAATAATAAAAAATAAGTAAAAAGAGAGGAAAAAGAAAGGAAGAAAAGGAAAAAAAAGGTTTATAATGTATATATGAAAAATTAAAGTTTGCTTGACCAAAATCAATGTCCGTCTGATTGCCTAAAATGGATGGAAAAAAGTGAGAAGACGAGATGAAAAACAGTTTTCAAAACATCCTAATCATTAAGTTCCTATATATTAATCTTTACATATATATATAATAGCTTGCATAGATAGAATACAATTAATATTAAACGTGGTTTTTTGTTTTGTTCACAGTCAGGACATGGAGCACTGGCCTTCTTTTTTTTTCTTTGTAACACCCGATTCCAATGGCGTAACTTAGTTTGATCTCAATCCTCTGTATACCATAAATACAACAAATCGTCGAATAATGATACTCATATGTTCAAGCCATTATATAAAAAAAATTTTTTCTTTTTCACATCACTATCTGAAAATAGGAAAAAGGAAAGTTATTCACTTTTCTCTTTCAATCATCTATATAGAACTTGTTTGTTTCTTGATTTATTATGGTAAACTAGGAGCCCAGCAAAGTAAAAAAAAAAAAAAAAAAAAAAAAAAAAAAAAAAAGGAAAGGAAAAAAAGAAGGTACAAACATAGTAAACAAATGTACTAAAAAGGTACCTGACAACTAGTCATATGGCAGATGCATGTTGCTTTTTTAGATTGTATGAGCGAGTGAAAAGATATGTCATGATATAGATAAAAAGAAAAAGTGATATTTTTATTCTTATTATTCCCCATCATCATCGACGTCGTCGTCATCATTAGTTTGTGACATTGGAATACTTTCGACATGATAGAAATTCAGCATCATAAGGTATTGTAGTCATCATAAGAAATATCATTAGGATTATCATAAGGATCATCATCATTGGAGAGTCATTACAATATCATATAACTATAACTATCAATATCGAGTTGATTTTTTATTTATATCATACCTCATAGTTCTCAAGTGAACTGATTCTTGGATGATGAGTATTCATTTCATTCGAAAATTATATATATATATATATGATTATCGTTTTTTCCTTTTCTTTTTCCTGAAGAAATAAGCCTGTAAGGTAATATTTTCACTATACCAAAAAAAGTAATCTCTCCACTTCCCCCCAATCTAACGAATTATCTAAAAGATGAAAAAGTAGATGATCTCATCAAGCAATCAAGATGTCGTGTCAGCTGTTGTACCCTAGAATAATTAGAATCATCGGTTCACTTTTTTTTTTTTTACTCAATACTGTAATAATAGTTTAAAGAGAAACTTGACACCAGATCCGCATGATAAGTCATTTCCCATGACAATGCAAACTAGTTCACCCCAAAAAAAGGAAAGATACAGTAAATCGGAGAAAAATAAAGAGACATATACTGAAGTGTTTTTTATTCATGTGTCGTAAAAAAAAAAAAAAAAAAAAAAAAAAAAGGAATGAAAATAAACTAGTTGTAGAATAGGAAGGACGAAAAGAAGAGAAGGAATCCAATTTGTAAGTAATCATTAAGACACCAAGCATGATTTGCACCAGATTCTTTGTTATTGTTATTGTTGTTATCATCATTGGAAAAGGTTGGTTTCAAAGTAGGACAGGTTTCAATCGAGTTCTTATTTTGAGGAGTCACTTTAAGAGCATTACCTTGAAAATCACAAGCACCCATATTGTTTTGAGAGTAAGTATGATATAGCCATGTCAATTTGTCAGTAGGGTCACAGAAAGAGAATACGCCATACTTGCCAGATTCACCATCACCTTTGATTTCATCACAAGAAGTCATTCCACACATAATATCCAATTGAGTACCGACCGCAGATGTTCCATTGGCATCGATTCTACTAACCTTATCAGAAGCCATACAAGATACACTTTTTCTCATACATTCACATGCCTTGGCTGATGGAGTTGGTGGTAAATTCAAACTAGCTTTCCAATTTGCTGAATGAGAAGGACAAGCAGGAGCCGATCGAGTATTTGCATCAAAATCATCCATATTCACACCTTGTGGATCAATTTGGGACAACTGCATTTGAAGATTCGTATAATCTTGTAATATCTGGGCCTTTGCTGGTTCATTTGATGAGTTGGATGATTTTATTAGTTTAACTAATCCATAGTTATTGAGCTCTTGTGTCCATTCATAGGCCACACCACCTGACCAGACATCCGACATGGGTTGACTATAAATTGCTTGAACTTCGGTAAAAGGACGGGGAGATACCAAATTACATCCAAATTCAGATAAAAATACGGGTTTGTTATATTGATTCATTTCTTTAGTTCGTTCATCATAACCAGATGATTTGTATGAGGATTTGCCACACCATTCATAAAGATTCACACCATAAAAGTCCACCTATACAATAAAGAAAAAAATAAAAAAATAAAAAAAAAAATCAATAAATAATAGTAATAATAATAAAAGAAAAGAATATATAGATATATATACCTGCGAAGCATCGTCATCACAACTGAAATAATCCCGAATAGGTTCCCTGATACGTTCGTCATCATTACTAGCATAACCCACTGGAATATACTTGGTTTTGTTGAGTTTAATATAATGTTTGATATCTCTTAAAGCAGCCTTGACAAAAGCAGATGCACCTGTATTTGTATTGTCATTGGTAACTTCATTGCCAGCCATATAAGCCAAAATATTATCATAATGATGGAACGCGTCTACAGTGGTCTTGTAACCGTCAAAGAGTTGTAAAGTATATTCAGGATGTTGACGATTGATACTATTTTTTGGATTAGCAATATCAAGTAAAACATAGATACCAGCATCAGAGAAACTTTTCATACATTGGTCATGGTTTTTTTTTGGATCAACCTATATAATAATAAAATAAAAAAAAATAAAATAAAAAAAAAAAAAAACAAGTTGAAAGTTGCGTGAAAAAAGAATGATTGTCAGTCATACCTCATAAACCCTGATTAAATTTAAACCCAATTTAGACATTAGAGTAGCATCACGCGCACAAGCTTGAGGATCAGCCAATGGATCAATGAGTTCATTTGCGCTCCGAGGTTGATAGGCCACACTAATGCAATTTTTTTGAATAGAATTTATTTTTAGTTAAAAGGAAAATAATTTTTTTTTTTTTTTTTTTTTTTGCGTGAGTAATGAGTGAATACAAAAATTGTTAAATCATTTTATTTTAGTGTTACCCTTTAATGAAGAATTGTTGCTTGGTGATAGAATCAAAAAACTTATGACCTTTTATAACTATTTGATTTAAACCCAAGGTAAGATGAATACAAAAAATACTTATGAATAGAATATGAAATAATATCATCAATGGAATTTTTTTTTGTTTAAAAATAAAAGAATAAAAAAAAATGAAGGATGATGATTTTTTACCATAGTATTTAAGACATCCTTGATGAGGGAGATTATTCATTGGAATGAATACTCTTCATTGAATACAAAAAAAAAAAAAAAAATCACTCGGTTTCATATTCCGCACACTATGCTTACTACCTTGCCATTTTCCTTTTGAGTCATGGGAAGAATTTTACGACATCATCATCATTTCCACACTTTTTTTTTTTTATCATTATGCCCCTCGAAAACCTTTTTTTTTTGGGGGGAGGATTATATAGAAGATATAATAATCAGAGTTGTTTATTGATATGATGTTGATCCTTTTTTTTTTTTTTTTGGATGATTGTTGATATATTTTTTAAAAAAAAAAGTTGAAAGAAAGCAGTTCTATTTAAAACGATTTTACCAATCTGAAATAATAATCAAATGTAGATAATCAATTAAATAGATAATAAAAACAATCAGTTAATCAATATCAAGTAAAAATTCAATTGGAGCATGTGAACACGCCGAAAAAGCATAGGATGTAGAATGATTTTTCTGCATTTCTATTTTGAATTCTCTGGCTTGTGCGTCCCCAGAAAAGATTTTTTAGATTTACCAGTGATGCAATAGTCTTGACCTTTTATAGTATTCTCTCTATTCAAACCACGCTCCTATGGTCTTTTTTGACGTGGGTCCCCAGGTTCTTTTTCTCTTTTTGATCGTTATCTATTTTTCATCTTTACTTTATAAAGTAATCATGATGAAATTATCAAGCAGGAGATAATTGTTACTAGTTATGAGTGATTTCCCTGAAAAATCATGCTCTTTGGGGGGTATAAAAAAAATGGCGGGATGATCGAGCTTTTTTTTTTGTTGCATATAAATAGTCTGAGCGGTCCCTCATTTTTTTTTTATTTTTTATCTTTTCTTTTACTTCTTTATCTTTTACTGTATATTTTTCAAAAAAAAAAAGCTTTTTTATATTGTTTTTCTTATATATCAAATCAAAAAATGGTGGTTTATCGAAATATTCAAAATACTCATCGTCCTACTAATGCTTCATTAACACTGGTTATCAAAGTGGGTACATCTTCTATTTGTGATGAAAAGACACATTATCCTCTTTTGGGTAATTTATCAAGGATTGTGGAAACTATTTTAAGGCTAAAACAACTTGGTCATCGTGTGGTTTTGGTCACTAGTGCTGCTGTTGGAACTGGATTACGAAGACTCAATATGTCAGAAAAACCAAAGAAGCTTGCAGCCGTCCAGGTAAAACATGTGAGCATCACCAAATCATTCATTTTTTTTTTTTAAAAAAAAAAAAATCAAACGAAAATAATCAATCATCACTCATCATCAACATCATCCTTTTTTTTTTCTTTTCTTTTTTAAAAAAAAAATTAGGCTATCGCTGCTGTTGGTCAAGGTCGATTGATGAGTATGTATGATGATTTATTTGGTCAATTCAATCAGCCTGTAGCTCAATTATTACTTACTAAGAATGATCTTGCTCAACGAACACAATATTTAAATGCTGTGAATTGTCTTGAAGAACTATTGGATATGGGTGTTGTGCCTATCGTTAATGAAAATGATACTATTTCTGTTTCGGTAAGAATCCTTTATATACATCATATTTTTTTTTTATATATCTATATATCTTTTTACTTTATCCATCAAATCATCACAATCATCCAATCATCAAACAATATTAACTTATTCTTTTTTTTTTTTCTTGTCTCTTTTTATTGCAATAGGAAATCAAATTTGGAGACAATGATACCCTATCAGCCATTACAGCCGGCATGGTGAAAGCTGATTATTTATTCTTGATGACAGATGTGGACTGCTTGTATACTGATAATCCACGCACAAATCCTGATGCCCGACCGATCCGTGTATGTGAAGATATTGAAGCCCTTCGTCAAGAAATCAAAGTGACAGCTCCAGGTTCTGCTCTAGGTACCGGAGGAATGGTGACCAAATTAGTTGCTGCTGACCTTGCCACTGCTGCTGGTGTGACCACAGTGATTGCTCGTGGAGCGACGCCCGAAAACATCCTACCCATCATTGCCGATGCCAACCCTGCTCCTCCTCATACCCGTTTTGTTGCACAACCACAACCTCTGATTGATCGCAAATGGTGGATTCTCCATGGTCTTCATACTGCTGGTACTATCCATATCGATACTCAAGTAGCCGAAGAAATTGCTATGGGTGCCGCCAAACAGAAATCACCCACTTCACTGTATGCTCACTCTATCTCCAAGGTGGAAGGCAATTTTGTCGAACATCAGGCTGTCCGTATGGTCGTTCATCATACTTCAAATCAAGGTGTCAAGGATACCGTTACCGTTGCAAAAGGTATCGTCAACTATTCCGCTGCTGAAATCATGCGTATTATGAAGGCCGAAGAAAGCAACATTGTCGACTCCCTTGGTTATACCGATTGTGATTGTATTGTAGATAGTGAAAACATGGCCATCTCCATATAGTTTTTTTTTCCTCACCCCCTCTTCTCTCTCTATTTTTTTTTTCTTTCCTTTTTTTTTCTTCCTTTTTTTTTTTTTTTTTTTTTTTAAAAAATATTATATCCCCCCCTCTCTCTCTCTTCTTTTTGCATGACACTGTTGCCATTACTACATCCCCCCCTTTTTTTATTATTTTTTTATAGTAATATATTATAATCTTCATCATCATCATTCATTAGTATCATCATCATTATCATCATTATTATTTATACTCAAAAATAAAAAGAAGTCCTAACGTTATGTGGCTATCATTATAATTTATTCATTTGATCTTCATCTTTTTATACATGTGTGTGTGAAGTGTTGGCGCTCATGTTTTCATATGAAGGTACTCTATATATTTGTAAAATGTTTTTCCTCTCCCCCCCCCATGAATCAAATTTGGACACATATGTCAATAAAGGCGCCTTCCCCCCTTCTTTCTTGCATCAACAATTGTTTTAAACCCCATGATGATCCGATAATTAAACATAATAGAAAATCCTATGACTTTTTTTTTTTTTTTTTTATATTTCTATTATAATGGTATACAATCTTCATAGTTTATTCAATCAAAAATCACATAACTAATAGGAATAGAAACAATAATAATAACAATAGTAATCGTAAAAAGTAATGGACAGTAATGGTACAAATAATAAATAAAAAGGGCAATATAATATATAAATGATTCATTGTTTCTATTCTACACTATACTATGGTATGATAAAAAATGTAAAAGAATCATCAATGTTGATCGGAGGAGTATTGTTGCATATCATCTTGTTATTGTTTGTTATGAGACTGGTTCGATGAAAGTACGATAGAAGAAGAATCATGTTGGTTCCTAGGATCCTGTTGGTGTTGCTGCAAAGGTACTCTGGTGGGGATATAATCGAATCCATTTGATGCATATGCCGGTTGATGTAATGTTGTCCAAATTGAGGATGCAGAATTGCATCTGTTATAATTTTCCTGAGATGGGACATCCTGATGTGTAATCATTGTTGCTGCTGCTGATGTTGTTGTTGTTGTTGCTGTTGTTGTTGTTGTTGCTGCTGTTGTTGTTGTTGCTGTTGTTGTTGTTGTTGCTGTTGTTGTTGTTGTTGCTGTTGTTGTTGGTATCGGTGAGGATGATGTTAATGATGATGACGATGATGATGATGGTGATGAAGAGATACCAATCGTCGATTGAGTAATAGCGTTTGTTGTTCCTGTTGAAGAGCCTGGTAAAGATAGGTTAGACGAACCGGATCCTATCGACGAAGATGATGCTGATAAGGATGTAGTTGAGTGCATAAATGGTGTAGTTGATGATGCTGATGAAGAAATTGCTCCTGTACCAGTTGCTGAATAAGGTCCAAAAGGTGAGGGGATTTCCATGACAGGGTTGTACAAGAAATCGGAGAAAGGAAGATCACTGAGACTAGCGCCAATCATCCCATCAGTCTTGTGCATGCGAAATGAGGTAAAAAAGTCTGCAGTTTGTTGATGAATAGAGTGACCAGGAAATAATTGTTGTTCTTGTTGCTCCATAGTTTGATATTCATATCGAAATTGAGATTGGTGTTGTTGGTGTTGCTGCTGATATTGATCGAGATGTTGATATGCACTTTGTTGTTCCCCTATTCCATCCTTGACTTCAGCAGTATTATCGGTGTTTCCAGATTTGAAGGTATTCTGTATTGATGTAGAATCATCCGGGTATAAGAGTTGCTGAATCCGAGTCATAACTAGAATAACATATCGATGATGTTGAATAGGAGATACTTGTAAAATCTTTAGCATAGTAGTCAGATGAGTTTTGGCTTGTTCTGCTTGATCTTGATTCTTGAGAAGCATTTCAAATATATGTACAGCCATCATGAGAGATTCCAAAGAGAAATGACACCATCGTTGTTGTAATTGATTCCAACATTCCATCAATTCTGCTGTCATCGTTGCTGAAGTAATACAAACCTCTCTTGCCATGTTTTCCATCGATAGTGATGCAGTTTTGGAAAGAGTGTCGCCCATATCATCATCAGTGTTGATGTTGTTTCCCATGTTATCATCGCCATCATCATCAGTTTCACTTCGTATGTTATCATTGATTTTCTGTTTCGTAAGGAAGACCGAATAAAGTTGACACCGTTGGAAGTGGTATTCAAAGTTGAGCTTGATACATGCTTGTTCTCGAAAAGAAGTACTTCTCCAGTTCCGCCGTAAAAGATCGCCTTGTTGATATTGTAGATACACAGGTAATTCCTTGTACCATTCACCAAGACGAGAATCCAATTCAGATATTGATGATAAAGGTAACTTTTCTTGAGCAGTTCGTTGAATAATGTTCCGATAAATATGAGTGATACGAATTCTTTTCATCATGAATTCTGTTCTCCATCGTCGTTCACCTAATTCATTGTCAAGTACATTGGGATAGGCTACTGTTATTTGATCTTCAGATGGTAGAGAGAATGGTCGATCCGAATGTACAGCGCAAAGTGTTTCCAAAAAGTAAAGTACCCAGAAAAACCGCCGATAACGTTCCACTTGTAATCGTTCTTCATTGTTGTTACTGCTGTCACCATCATTGTTTTGATTCGTATCATCATCCATCCTATTATCTTGGCCGTTCAAGATAGGTTTCCTTTCTTCATGAAGTTTCAAATCCAGACACATCCGAATAGCCAAACCTAAGAATATATAAGCTTCTGATTCAACACTACCTTGTTGCCGATTATTATCTTCGGAATTTGAATGAGGAGGTCTTCCAATAGCATAGATGTACATAATCAAGAGTGCATGGAGAGTGTCAATAGCTGGAATCATGAATCGGTCCTTGAGTAAATCTTTAGCCATGGCAAAATAGCATTCTCCCACATCATTTGGATCTTTCCCAGGAAATAGATCGTGATAAATAGCCCCATGTCTGGCTGACCATGAAAAAATAGCGTTTGCCAAGAGTGGATCTAATGTTCCAGAAAGGTATCGTTCGATGATTGTCCCACCATAACCAGTATCAGGTAAACACAAGAAGCATTCACAATATATATTGATCATTTCTTCCAAAACGGATAGTGTTGTCGTACTGGGAGTATCATTAACATAGTGTTCATATTGATGATGTGTTGAAAGAGAAGAGGAATCGGATGAAGTTTGATCTTTTGTTGATGACCAAGAACTATATAATGGGAACGTCATCAACCGAGATCGCCATAAAGGTGTTTTGCGCGCTACCATAGTTGTTTTGTCAGTAGTTGTAAAAGAAGACTTCCTTTGTCGCAATTGTTGTGTATCCTGATTTCCATTAACAGACAGACTAGAGGGTATAGGAGAAGATGATGATCCATCCATATTATCTTGATTTGTGATTGTAGGATCAGTTTCCAAGTCAAGTTGAGAAACGCCTGAGAGTAGAATTTCATACAAATTGGGAAGAGCGACGACATTAGTATCAATTCGTAAACCGGTTGGAGTAAGAGATAGAGACCATTGTTGAGATTGATTAATTCTAGGTTTATCAGTTTGTAATAGTGATCTTGATACCATAGTAGTATTTTGAGCTGTCATTGTATTTGAAGTCATTTCTTCTATGGTATCAGTCGATGTTTGTGTATTTCGATGTATATCGCCAACAGTTTCTTCCAATGACTGTACTCGTTTCTGTAAGGTACCAACTAGTTCATTGAGTTTCACAATATTGAAAAGATCTACCTGAGTCGAAGAACCTTCATAAGAACAGTGTGCTGTCATCACATTAAAAAAAAAAGAGTGAGATCCTTTTATTTCATTTACAAGTTCTTTACTTACTTTTGGCTTGAGCACACCTTGTGCAAGAAGGATGGGCAAAGTCACATTTCACTATTAAATGTTAAAAAGTTACAAATGAGTATGATGTATAAAATGACAGTTTTGTTAATTCATAAAGTCTTGTGTTTCAAAAATATAATGTTTTACCTTTTTTTGATCTAAGTATATCCAAAAAAAAAAAAAAAAGAAATAAGAAAAATTAGTTTTGTTTGTTTAAAATAATAATAATAATAATAATAACAAAAAGATTAAAGCTGATAGTTATTATTGTAAATGTTTACCTGCAACGAACACAGGCAAGTGTCATACGCATTTTCTTGGAGGCCACTGACTGTCTAGTCAGATCTAGCTGTGGTTGTTGTTGTTGGTCATCCAGGGGAGACATCGAATACAGGTCGTCGATGGATAGAGAAGAGGAGTCAAGACAGCAACAAAATAACGAAGGAGTATTATGTCAAATGAAGATAAAGGAGAGTCAGATAAGTTATTCGGGTCGAGTTCCAAATTAAAAAAGAAAAGAGGAAAACAGATCAAAAATGGACGGATTACAAAAATTTAAAAATAAAAATAAAAAAATAATTAGAAAGCGAGCGAGCGAGAACGGATTATTGTTTTCCCTTCCCGATGGAGACATGAATGATCGAAAAAAAAAAGAAAACTTTTATTCAAAAAATAATACAGATATTTTTTAAATTCTAATATATATACATATATATGTATTCAACAAAATCAAGTTCATTCACCAAGATAAATCTTTCTTTCCTGTAGGTTTCTGTTGATCATCAATAATACCAGTGGGAACACGTGGAGGTGGGGTATGAACAAGAGCAGGATCTTTGGGTAGAATCATGTCGGGACTAGCATTGTCACGCTTGATTGTGGAGAAATGTTGAATAGTTGGTAAAGGTTGATCTGGTTGATTCGATTCCGCTATTTGTTTTCGCTAAAATAGAAATAATAATAATCATTCATTAAAAAAAAAAAAAAACTTTATCATTGTCTCTTTATTATCCTTTTTATTCTTTACCACTTTTGATTCCTTGCCAATTCCCAATTGGGGTAAACCTCGATTTAATCCTTCCAAAAGAACACAAGCTTTGCATACATCATTGGAAGACATATATCCGCATCGTTCGCAAGTCTTTTGAGTAGGCATCTTGATTCCAGTCTTGATTTCAAAAGCTTCCCCTGAATGAATAATGTCTAAAAAAAAAAAAAAGGAAAATCAATATTTTTATTTCTTATATATATATATATATATATATATATATTATACCTATGATAGCACTTGGTCGAATGGCTTCCAAATCTTTCAAAAAAGTACGAGCATGACCACGATAAGCATTAGGAGAATAGATACATTCGGTTGAGAAGTAATCCAGTTTCTTGAAATAAGCATACATAACAATTTCTTTTTCATAAGTATATTTGAATGGTTTGGATCGTCGAATCATGCTTTCTCCTTGAGTAACAATTTCAGTACATCTACCTAATCGAGCAACATCACCACGGAAAACTATGGATAAATAAATATATATATATAGAATAAAAATTAGTATCATTTTATATATATATATATATATATGTATGTATATATACAACTTACTATTCATCAAAATGGTTTCTGCAATATCATCAGCATTATGACCAGTAACAATATGATCTACACCTAACATTACTGATCCACGATCCAATGCCTGTCGTCGAAACACCCCACAGTATGTACAATTATTCTTCAATCCTACTTCTTTCACAATTTCATCCATGGTCCAGCCATATAGTTGCTGATAAGATACAATTTTGAGTGGTAAGTCGTATTGTTGTTGATTTCGTTTAACAGTTTCCAGTGAGTCGTCCCGATAACCAGTGATCCCTTCGTCTACAGAAAGTAAAAACATATTAAGGCCATAGTCATATCGATCATTCAATGTTTTCATGACATGGGCTAATACAGTAGAATCTATATAACATCAAAAAAAAAAAGATTTAATCAGTTATACTCTTTCTATATATTATTTTTGATCCATTACCTTTGCCACCACTGGCACCAATAGCAACATTATCACCTCGTTTGAATAGTTTTGCATCGGTAATAGTGTTATGAATTTCCGTCTCGAATACATAGTAAAAGCAATCCTGGCAGATCTGTTGTGCTGTTTTAGGTCGCTTGAGAACAGCTCGGTTTTTCGAACAAAGAACGCAGAGTTTTACCATAATCTAAAAATGAATAATAAAAGGAAACAAATAAAAAAAAAAAAAAAAAAAAAAAAAAAAACTTTTTTTTTCTTACTGCCTAAAGACAAAGCCCTCGCTTTCAATTCCCGACTCTTACTTTTTTTTTTTTTTTTCCTTTTTTTGCTTATTTTCTTTCTTTTCTTCTCTCTTTTTAACGAAATACAATTCTCATGCTTTACCTATGGATCTCAGTAGTTTATTAAATCAAGGTGGTTCAGGCTTATCTACCGAAGATTTGATTGCACTTCAGTATTGTGACAGTAGCGAAAAACTCAACAAGATTAACAATGCTGCCTTCAGATATCCTTCCAACACGAGCGAAACATATCATTTCTTTGATATATTTGTTCAACTAGTATTATCTATTCATGATGCAGACGATGAATTCGGTGTACAGTATACCAATACAGTCATCATTGGTGCTTTACGATCTTGTATTAGTGGATTATTACAACAAGAAGGTTTCAACTGGTTACTTGATTATCCTTATCATCTCTCTATCAACACTTGGAACTTGTTACATTCGACTTCTGTTACAACATTTCTAATTTATCTCTATGGACTTTCTTTGGGCTTAAAGAAACAACATACAGTATCTGTCTCCACTTGGGCATCATCTATTTTACAGTTTTTACGCGTCAAACTACCTCTTATAACCTGTCATATTTGGCTCAATTTTTGTCACTTGGAAGAACAACAACAAGACACCGATATCAAAACTACTTTTCTCTTCACTATGGAATCAACATTTTGGGAACAATTGACAGATGTCTTGGTGTTGTTGGAAAATGGAAATGCTTTGGAATTGACGGAAAAATTAGAAAACCAATTGGGTGGCACATTGTTACGGAAACACTTCACCAAAAATGAAATGACTCTAGCTTTAATATCACTTGAAAATATGATCAGATCTCAACAGGCACGTTATCCTCGATTGACTCATTTATTGAACCTTTTTGTTTATCGGCACGCATACAAAGGTAAAAAAAAAAAAAAAAAAAAAAAGAAAAAAAAAAAAATAGAAAATTCAACTGTACTTATCTATTTATTATTATTATTATTATTATTGGGAGTCAGGGATATCAAATCAACGCCAATCGAAAAAATCAAAGAAACAAATGAAGAACAAACAGCAACCGAAGAAGGAGATATCTCTTGATATAAATGTCAATCCTTTGGCTAGAAATATGTTATGTGATATATCTTTGGATCATGGAACTCGATCTCTCATATTACAACAAAGGACACAAGGATGGGTACAACAGATGGGCATTCTTTCTCCAGCAGATTTCGATATGTATCTACAGAACCTTATACACGATCATTACCCTTCAGAAAAGAAGTTTGTTTTGGATATGGTATTAGTGGATTGGGCTGCTCGTGATATCTTTGGGTGCCATATGGAACTCATTATTAATACTCTCATCAATTTACTTGGATCGACAACTTATAACATGCGACTTGCACCATATTACGCTTGGATTCAAGCTTTCAACTTGACCTACGATGATACTATCTCACCAGCAACTACTGCATACAATATCAAGACAGGGGCAGAAATCAATATTTCTCAATTTAATACCAAACACGATATGATACTAGTGAATGGATTGAGTAAAATATTACAACGAATGACACTTCAATCATCACCATCGACAAAGACTTGGACTATGGATTGTTTACGTGTGGCATCACCGGCAATAGTTGAACGATATGTGCACTGGCTTACTCAACAGTTAAACCAAGAATTTGAAAACAAGGAAGGGAACAATATAGGTCAGGAATCGTCATTCAGCTCACATCTACAATCAGCGTTGATCAATCGAAATACATTGTCTTATGCTTCTGTAGTTGTACCAACTTTACTTCGCGAATCATCCGATGACACTTTGGCCTGGTTGGTTCAGAAAAAGACACAACGTGTAGTATCTACAGCAGCAGGAGCTGGAAGGATTTTATTGGAATATTTTGGCGAGGGAACTCATTTATCAAGTCAATTTTTGGTGGTCGACTTGCTACGATGTAAAACGAAAAATTATATGGACACACTCTTTGATTATTTATGCGACAACATGAAAGATACCAATTCTGATTCAAAAGTCTCCCGATCTTGGTTTTATCGTCATTTTTTGGAAACATTATTATCAGAGGCTGCGAACGATTTGATGAAGAACGGACAACAACAACAACAACAAACAGCATCACCAAATGTAGCATCGCAATTATATCATCAATTACTGGAATCACCAGCTCACTTTGAATGGTTTTATACAATACCTTGTACAACCGAACCATTGGATATAATAGGTCTTGCATCTTCTTATATATGGACCACCGACTATCATCTATTACTATCTGTCAGAGATTCTGGTATGGCATCTTTACTACAATGTATGACACGACTAAGTGGATCTGAACAACAGCATCTGATAATAGCATGGAGGAATTTATGGACAACATCAACTACTACGACTTTAGGAATGAACTTGAACAAAGAACGACGACAGCTGGCTGTGCCGATTCGATGGATTTTACAGTGTGTTGGACTCTATGATCAAGCTCCCCCACTTGCAAAACAAATGATGGAGGAATTCTTGAAGATTGGGATTCAAACGCGGATACATGGTCATGAAATCATAGTAGATACAGTTGGTCAGTCAGAAACATTTACAGAACAAGTGATGGACCTCTTGATGATATCAGATGCACCAGAAATCGACGGATTATTTGATTTATACCTACAACTTTGTCAAGACGTTCAAGGGACCAACGATATTGATCAGGAAGACATGGTACAAACAATGGTGAACACACTGATCTCTTTATCTGAAGAACTCAAGTTACAATATGAATATATTGGAATGGATAGTGGATACCTGACTGGTGTAAAAGATATGGATACTCATATGACTTCTGGAGGAGAAAGTAGTGGCTTGACGGATAGTGATACTGGATATAATAGCAAGACTGGTACAGAGGTAGTACTTGGGGTGGTCAAATCTCGCAAACTTCGACAATCACTTTTACAAGAAGAGGAACAACAACAAAAACAAGGCAAGAAATTCAAGCGACAAGTAATATCTCGCAAGAAAAGGCAAAAATTGAGACAAAGGTTGAAACAAAGACTGGAACAAAATGAAAAGAAATCGACGGAACAAGCAAAGAATGTGATGTTGATCTTGGTGCAACGATTATTAAACTTTTTACTTGTTGTATTATCAGAATCTGATGGAAATAGTTTATGTCCAAAGGCAAGATTATCGATCCGAGACAAACTTGTACGAAATCTGTTATTATATGAACCTTTGATGACCCTCACACATCTGACTGAATTACCGGCTGATATTTTGGATGATGTACAATTAGTGATAGATATTAGTTTAAATTACCTTCAAAAGAGTAATGATGATGATGAAATTTATATTATTGTACAGCGCATGATTGGATTAGATTAAACTTTTTATATTACCTTAATAAAATTGATTCAATACATTTATTCATTTTGCATAGACTCAAAAAAAAAAAATCAGCTCAGCCACTTTTTGACAGGCCAAAATTTTTTTTTTCTATAGCCGCTATCACCTCTTTTTTTTGTCCTTTTTTCTTGTTCTTCCTCTACTTTTTTTCTATTCCTTCCTTTTTTTTTTTTTTTTACATTATCACACATACATATAGACAATGGTCACTGACGAAAGGAAACGTAAACACAAGCACGAAAAAAAAGAACACAAGGATAAGGACCGAAAAAAGCACAAGAGTCATGCTATTGTGGTGGATTCTGGTAAACGTCGAACCTCTGTAGCACAAGTCAATCTTCCAACTGGCTTGTCTTCTTTCTCTGAAGTGGTCATCAAGTTGTACATTCATCTTGCGCCTATGTGGTCAGGGAAAACTATGGATGGTGTGAATGAAATCCTTAATGCCTTTTTGATGAAGTAAGTGATTGATGTTAATAGGGATCAGATCTTTAGATCCATACCAAAAAAAAAAAAGAAGAGGGGGGATGGGTTACTAGGTGGCAATGACAAAAACACAGTTTCTTTTTTTTTATTATTATTATTTAGCTAATTATTCTTTTTTATTTATTTATTCTATAGACATGTTCCTGAGGTAGACGGTATCGTGTTGGCTCATTCTGATGTGGAATTGCTAGGCGAAAAGGGCAAGGTATTATATGATTCTCCGTTCTGTCACTTTTTCATAAAGGCGAAATTACTTGTATGGAAACCAAAGAAAGGATCCAAATTAGGTAAGACATGCCATGGAAACAAAAAGAGCGAAATAGTATTTTCAGTATGTCATATATTTATTCTTATACTTGTTTTGATACAAAACATTATAGTGGGTAGGATCAATTTACAATCACAGGATCATATTGGTCTTTTGATCTATGGTACATTCAATGCATCAATTCCCAAGTCACGTATCTCTAGTGAAAAATATGAATGGCGTACGTCTGAAGATGATGATAATGATAACAATGACGAAACATCAGGTGATGACGAAGAACAAGCTGAAAAGCGAAGCCAACATGGTGAATGGGTACTCAAGGATTCTGGTGCTAGTATTGGTGGGGACGATGGCTCTTTAGAATTCAGTGTGGTTGAGTAAGTGACTTTATCAAATGATTCATCATGATATTAATGATTATTCTTTCTTTTGTTATAGCATTATCGAAGCTAATGATATTTTGACAGTGACAGGCTCTTTGTAAAATAGTATATTTGTTTTGTCTTTTTTTTTTTTTTTCTTCTCATCTTCACATTTTATCCTTCTCTTATGTTATTCTCAATTATACACATACACTCACATACATCATATCTATCCTCATTACTTGTATACACCTCTTTATTGTCATTGTTACTGCTACTCCTTTTTTTTTGGTTACAAAAATATAATAAAATGAAAGAACTGTAGATCATCAAATTCCTTGTTGTTCGATTGCATCGGTGATTCAAAAAAATCACTACATATATAATTTTTTTTGTTCCTCTGTTTCTTTGATTTCTCTCTATTTTTTCTTTACTTTTTTTTTTAATAATGTCTTCATCTCTCACTACTTCAATATCACCTCCCTCATTAGATTATGATACTATTATCAACAATATTGTACAAGCCAATGGTAATGAAGTAATCGAAGGCATTGATGAATTTCTTTTGAAGGAAGGTATTCATGTTGGATTTACAAAAGGTAAACAATATATATTCTTCTTCTTTTTTTTTTTTGTTACATTTCTTACAAGGAAATGTATACTTTTTCTGTTATTGTTATTCATCAACTCTTTCTTCTCCTTTAATATATTATTAGAAACGAAACCTGACGAAACTATGGATATGGATACTTTGTTAAAACACTTGGCATCAAACGATCATGATATCAGCCATCAAACACGACAACTTGTCCAGTCCTATTTTGCCAACGTTGACCAAATGCAAGGAACAGAACATACAGCAGTCGAAGCGTTGAAACAGGTAGAACAAGCTCAAATCAAGCTGGAAAACGTATTACGAGAAATGGAAAATCAAAAGAATACCGTATAGTTAGTTATTCTTTGTTTTGAAGGATAGTTTTTTTAGAATATGAATGTTGATCCTTGTCTTTATTATTCCGAATTACCCTTACTATAGTCGCATTGTACATACAAGTTTTTTTTTATATATGTTTAGTTTTAGTTTATATTTTATATTGAAATAATTTATTTCCCTGTTGGAATATATTGTACTTTATAGTTTTTTTTTTCGTCTTTTTCTTTACTAGAAACAATGATGATGATGATGGATGATGATGATGGATGATGATGATGGATGATGGATGATGTTAGACGAGAATAGAAAGTTAATATTCATATCCAAGAATATATTCAATAATAGTAAGAAGAAGGAAAAAACAGAGGTTTTATATTAGTATCATCTTTGTTTACTTTTCCTTTGTTATGCAATGAAAGTTGTCAATCATGATTAAGGTAAGTGTGAATTTGACAGAAGGGATGATCACCGTCTCAAATTTGTCTCAATACTACATCATATTTATTGCTATCATTTTTCTCATACTAATTATAAAAATGCCAATTGTGATACTGATAATCAATCATCGTTTTCATTCATTTTCTTTTTATTTCTACTAATAGTAAGGAAAGAATACCAAAGCTTCCATCTTTTTTTTTTATATACATATATTCGAAAGCAAATTCATGCATACTGTTGGTATTCCAAGTCCGCTGAGGATGACCATCAGAGTCTTCAGCTTTAAAAAAAGTTCATTATATACTATGTTCTTTTTTTCCATTACCAGATAAAAATATAAAAAGAAAAAAAAAGATCAAGATGAGATGAATATAATTATCCCTTTTTCGTTTTTGTGTGTCATAGAAGCAGTAAAAGTCAAATTATGATGATATCGGTTTAAAATATGATATCATATCAATAACAATGGTTATGTAAGATTGTATATTAAAAAAGTGTATCCATTGAGTGAATATGACATATTCATTTGAAAATATATTATTTATTATTGTTGTATTGCCAATTTTTTAAGATAAAAGTAGTGGGAACGATGTTGGGCCCATTTCCTACTCCGCAGTAGTGGCAATACATTTTGTCATTGACTTTTTCACTAAACTATTTTTTTTTCTTTTCTTTCTGTTTATTGTTTAATTAAACTATGAGCAATAATGAAAACGCTACTACAAGGGACTTAAATCGGCGTATGGGTAAGAAACAAAATAAAGAAAGAGAAATAAAAAGTTACTGAGAATACAGTTGCACTCATACTTACCTATTATTTACTATGAACTAACCACTTTTTTCTTCAATATTCTCCTTCGTGTTGAAATGAAATTATCAATATAAATATATCATTGATAAAGCTGACGTAGGTCTTTCGGATACAAATTATAACCAAAGTGGAACAAGACGTTATGTTCCTCCTCATATGCGGTCAACAACTAGTTCCCAAACAGAAAGGAATCAAGACTGGAGAAACCCTAGACGAAACAATAATAATAGGTAATAACAAAAATAATAATAATAATAATAATGATAATGATAATAATAAAAAGAAAAAAACAAATGAATAAGTTGAACCATTATTCTTCTTGTCTAAAATAGGTGGAATGAAGGATACTCAGACTTTGCTTCTACAGGTGGTCGTGGTGATGGTGATTGGAGTGGACGATCAAGTGGTGGTTATGGAAGAACTCAATTCGATGAAAGAGGCTCCTATGGTGGATATGGACGACGTGGTGGTGGACATATGGGTGGTGGATATGGTAGTCGTCAACGTGAAGATGGAAGAGGATATTGGAAAGAAGGTGTACACCATGTGGCTCCTCGTAATCCTCGTATGGAACGTGATCTATTTGGAACTGCAGAAGATAAAGAAGTGACTCATACTGGTATCAATTTTGACAAGTACGACAATATTCCTGTGGAAGCAACGGGTAGAGATGTACCTGAACCTATTATTGAAGTAATGCTTTGGAATCAAATAAATCCGATAGATTGGAAAGATCTTGATTAATAACTTCCTTTTTTTTTTTTTTTATAAAAAAAAAAATAGTTTCAATCACCTCCTATTGATCCTAATCTGTTAAGTAACATAGAATTGGCAAGATATACTACTCCTACACCTGTACAAAAATATTCCATTCCTATTGTTCTGGGTAATCGTGATCTTATGGCTTGTGCTCAAACAGGTAATTAAATATTTTTTCATTGTAGTTATTAGTAAAGGAAATTGAACTTTTTTTTTCTTTTCTTTTCTTTTTATTATTATTATTATTATTGAATTCTTTATTTAGGCTCTGGAAAAACTGGTGGTTTTCTGTTTCCAATCCTTTCAAGCTTATTCTCCGAAGGTCCTTCTCCTCCTCCTCAAGATAATGGTCCTCCTATGGGTTATCGTCCTCGCAAAGCTTATCCTGAAGTATTGATTCTTGCCCCAACTCGTGAATTGACATCTCAAATCTATGATGAAGCCAAAAAGTTTGCCTATCGTTCCTTTGTTCGTCCTTGTGTGGTTTATGGTGGTGCTGATATTGGATTTCAACTTCGACAAATTGATCGTGGATGTAATCTGTTAGTGGCAACTCCTGGTCGTTTAGTGGATCTTATTGAACGAGCACGAATCTCTTTGGCAAATATCAAGTATTTGGTTTTGGATGAAGCTGATCGAATGTTGGATATGGGTTTTGAACCTCAGATTCGTCGTATTGTGGAAGGGGAAGATATGCCTGGAGTCAAGGATCGTCAAACTTTGATGTTTTCGGCTACCTTTCCAAGAGACATTCAAATGTTGGCTCGAGACTTTCTCAAGGAATACATCTTTTTATCGGTGGGTCGTGTTGGTGCAACTTCGGAAAATATTACACAAAAGATCGAGTAAATACGAAAAAAAAAAAAAACCATAGATTGTTTTCAAGGAACTGATAATGACTTCTTTTTTTTTATTTATTAGATACGTTGAAGATGAAGATAAGAAATCAGCGTTACTGGATATCCTCTATGCACAATCTTCTGATAGTGGCTTGACCTTGATATTTGTGGAAACGAAACGTATGGCGGATGCTCTATCTGATTATCTCTATGGAGCTGGATTCCCTGCTACTTCTATCCATGGAGACCGTACACAACGTGAAAGAGAAAATGCTTTAGAAGCTTTCCGATCTGGCAATGCACCTATTATGGTTGCTACAGCAGTAGCAGCTCGTGGACTGGATATTCCAAATGTGACTCATGTCATTTCATATGATTTACCAACCGAGTAAGTTGAAAACACTCCTTTTTTTTTTTTCTTCATTTTAATTTATATATATATATATATATATATATATATATATATATATATATTTAATTCATAGTATTGATGATTATGTTCATCGTATTGGAAGAACAGGTCGTGCAGGCAATACTGGATTGGCTACTGCATTCTTCAATAGAAATAACAAGAACATTGCTCGTGATCTGGTGGATATCTTGAAAGAAGCCAAACAACAATTACCTACTTGGCTCGAAAGTATTGTAAGGGAATCTGGATACAGTGGTCGTGGACGTGGACGTGGACGTGGTTTTGGTCAAACAAGGGATTTCCGTCGTCATAATGATTATGGTGGTCCAGGCAATTATGGTCAGTCTCGTGGCGGTTATGATGCTGAGTAAGTCAATAATAGAGAGGATATATTAAAATAATGATTGTACTCATTCATGTGTCTCTCTCTCCTTTTTTTTTTTTTTTTATGCATCGATATAGTGGTGGAGGCTATGGTTATCAAAGTGGAGGCTATGGTAGTTATCAAGGCAGTGGACGTGGTTATCAACAACGTGGACAAAGCAAAACCAGTTGGTTTTGAGCATATTGATAGTACCTTGACTGAAATAGTTAGCTTTTTTTTTTTTCTATTGTTCTGTATATGAAATATGATATTCATCCTATCTTCCTTCACTGATTTATTATTGTTATTATTATTAGTTAGCTCTTCATGGATCGCATGATCTATTCTTCATACAATTTTTTGAATCGTACAATAAAAGTCCTACACTCTTATTTATCATATCCATCGGAAATCGCTTTTTTCGTATCTAGGCTAGAAAGCATATAATAGGTAGATTTACCTTTTTTTTTGTAATAAACATAGTTATCAGGTCAAATAGGTAGAATTTAGGACTTCTATATAGAGTTGAATAAAAATTGGTTTTCTAGGTAGAATTTAGGACTTCTATATAGAATTGAATAAAAATTGGTTTTCTAGGTAGAATTTAGGGTTTCTATGTAGAGTTGAATAGAAATTGGATATTCCAGTCCTAATTTGGAAGGAGCATATTTTGCCCACAGGCTCGCTGAGCGAAAATTATGCATTGCTAAATAAAAAAAAGGACGTTTGTTTATTTTTACTCTTCTTCTTCTTCTTCTTCTTATTTTTATTTTTATCACATTATTGTTCTTTTTTCTTCTTCTTTTTGTTATACGTTTACCTTTTAAGACAAATCAAAGTAAGGTATGGAAACAATAATAATAAACGATTGTTTATACATATATTCATTGTATTCATGAACTGACTGAATCATTCTTTTTTTGCTGTATGTGTTTATACCTTTTAGTTAAAACAAGTGAACACAAGTACTTTTAACCTGTTATATGCTGTATTACTCATGTTTAATAAGGTAAATCCATTTCATTATGCCACCAACGTTATATGATATTGATTTTTTTTTTATTTGAATCTATATTCTAGATGCAAATATGACGGTTAAAGTAAGACAAACAAAAAAAAAAAAAGATAATGATACTGCTGTTTTATAACCTTTTCTTCTTTTTATACACGAATCATTCCAACCTCTTTGCTATATCCTTTTCTCTATGTGCTTTTACAGACACTCACTCTTATTAATTGTAAGTTTCAAAAACAAGTTCTTTTCCTCTTCTTATTTCTAACTTTACTTTTCTTCTTTTTTTCTTTTATACGCGTTCTTTCGACCTTGATGTTTTTACTACAACATCTGTCCATATAGGATTATCGTTCTTTCTTCTTCTCATCCTTCTTACTTGGTATCCTGGATAATGACTATTACTGAATATACGTCTGACAGAAAGAAAGAAATCTAGATACACGAAGATTGATCATTACCGTTTCATGTCAATAGGATACTACGAGAAGTGGCTATCCGTCTGGATCAGCGAAATGGATGAACAGGATGTATTATAGGATTCAATTGGATTCGACTTATAATCAATTAGAGATATCTTCTTGGTCTTTTTATCTTATTCTGGCTTAAAGCGTTAGTGATTCTTTTTACTATCATACTTAGTATACAATTATACATATTGATATTCTTTTTGTTTAATAAAATTATATTCATTGCCACTATTTACAATCATCACTTTTTTTTTTTTAATGTTATCTATCATTTCCTTTCAAACAATTGTACCTTAAATAAATTAAATGATTGCTGAATCCAAGCTTAAGAGAATCAAGTTAGATGAAAAAAAGGAAATATATTATGAAGTCGTTCTCTTTTTCATATATTTTTTATCACTTTTTCTTTAATATTAAAAACTAACCTTACTTCTTTGTAAATACTTTATTCTCATTAATACATTACAACATATTCTTTCTCTCTATTATATATTCCTTTGGCACATTGCCTTTACTTAGTCGGACTTTTCGTTGCATTTTTATTTATTTCGTTTCCTAACAATTTTCTTTTTCTACCTTCTCTTTCCTTTTCTCCACACTTTTTTTTTTTTTTTTTTTTTTTTTTTTTTTACTCCTGCGCACTTTGTTCGTGTCTCCATATTGGCTCATGATAGGTAACATATAAAATACAATGACAAGTAATGGATTCTTATTTTATTATTGTCAATTTAAAGAAATAAATAAAATAATAATAATAAAATAAAAAATAGTATAAAATACAATTAGTTACTTGTTTTATAGTTAATTCATTCTAGTGTCTACAATTTCAAGACCTCTTCTTGGTTGAACTCTCTCTTTCTTCGGATTCCATTGCACAGCCAATGCAATTCAATTATGCACAAGTACTTTTGAAGGTCCTTTTTACTGCTTGGTTAGTCTTCCTTATGATATTTCAAAATTTCTTTTCTACTTGTTTGGACTCTCTCTCTCCCTCCCATCTGTCGCTCATTGTGGTGATGTTCTCTTCAATATATATTTGCTATTTGGTTGGACTCTTTCTCTCTGTTGTTTTTTGTATCTGTAGATATTAAGATTGCCGTCTGTAGAGCCGAACTAGTAAGTTGTACAAAAAGAAGAAAAAGGATCAATCGATATTACATACAATCACTTGTTTCTTTCTTTTTTTTTTTTTAGATCCTTCTTTTTATTGTATTGTGATTGATACATTGACACTAGCGCATGATCCAAGGTAATGTGTATATGTAAAAGAAGAAAAAAAAATGAATAACATCGATGGATTACTACTCATTTTGTTGATTCTTTGTTATCTGTTAGGTATCAGAATAGTGGTCTATACAGTCAAATGTCGGATGGTCATCATTAGTTTATACTTAGCTTTTGGTCAGACGAAGATCATGGTGTATTGATCTTTGTTTGTTTACGGGCAATGGACTTGGTCGAGGATGATCAGTCTCTAGAATTGTTTATGAATCTAGTGACTGAATTTTGTGCTCAAGTAGGTGGAGGGCAAAATGCAACACGTAGGAAATTCAGTTATTGTCTGTTGATCGTGTTGTTTCATGCTGGAGTCCTTGTTAAGTCCTGACGTTTGCGGTATTTGGTTTGGAAAGAATATTGAGGATCATATCAATGACTGATAGTGGAGCGCTATACGTAAGACGATACAACTATCTTTCTTGATGATCTGAAATTGTCTGATATCTGCATTTGGCAAGCCTTTATTTCTCTCCGAGCCAACTGTTATGATGACATTGGGTTTACTGGTGGTACAAAACGTTCGATGGTGCAGCCAAGGTAACTTGTACATAGAAAAAAGGAAAAGAAAAAGAAATAAACATTGATGGATTACTGCTCATTTTGGTGATTTTATCTGTAGCTTGCTAGATTATCGTCTATACAATAATGGTGATGCAAACATTCAATGATATAGCCAAGGTAACATTTACAGTATATAGAAAAAGAAAAGGAAATAAACATTGATAGATTACTACTCATTTTATTGATTTTATTTGTAGCTTGCTAGATTCTCCTCTATACAATAAAGGCAATGCAAACATTCAATGATATAGCCAAGGTAACATCTATATAGAAAAAGAAAAAGAAATAAACATTGATGGATTACTACTCATTTTGTTGATTTTATCTGTAGCTTGCTAGATTATCTTCTATACAATAAAGGTGATACAAACATTCAATGATATAGCCAAGGTAACATTTATATAGAAAAAGAAAAAAAAAGAAAGAAAAAGAAAAGAGAGCATTGATAGATTACTATGCACTTTGTTAATTTCATCTGTAGGTTGCAAACCATTCAACAAAACCAAGATCGAATGCCTTCTACGTTGGAATGGCTCTGTTATCCAATTGAAGTGTCTGTATCAAATAAAAGTCCTACCCAAAGGTGCAAGTCATGATCGTTGTCCTGGTGATGGCATTAGTTGTGATTCTGGTCGTGTGTTCATGGATATTATCGATTATAGTGTAGTTACTTATTATTATAGTTATGTAGTATAGTTATGTAGTATAGAATATTTGTAGTGATGAAATAAAATTATGATTTCAATAGTATATTTGTACTGATCAAATGAAATTCCTTGTTCTGGAGGTCGACCAAACCTATATTTCAGCCTTAATATGTCCTACCTAGATTTAGTATATTTTTGTCATAGATTTATTGAAGTCAAAATATTTTTATAATTTCTATCCTATCTATTTAGGGGGGGGGGGGGTCCTAGAGGTCCTAGAATGCATATCTAGGCTAGAAATTGTATAGGAGTCCCCTAGACGTCATAGTAAATTTTTCCGATGTCTAACTACTACAAAATTGTTCATATGATGCATTTCGAATGTAATTTTTTTTTTTTATTTCTTTATTGTATACATGAACGAGAAAAAAAACATAATAAAAAAAAATGATGTGTAATGTATTCTTCCTATCCTAATTTGCTTCAGCTTCCAAAACAGTACCACGCTTGATCTTGCCCCAACCGATAAGACTAACAAACAAAGAAAGAAAGAAAAAAGTGAGTCCAAATCATTCATCCTTTTTTTTTTATTATATCACATACCGCCAATGTCGTTCAATCTTTCTAGACAAAGCAACCTTATCACCAACTTCAGTACAAGTAGGGCCAGTCAACACAATCTTGGCTAAATCCGCCTTGACACCAACGACACGACCACCCGTAGACACTGAACCAATATTGACCAAAAGCAATTCATTCTTAGTAAGTTTGGATACCTTGGCTTGCTTTTTATCATCTGTCTTGACACCTAACAACCGACGTAACAAAAAGTAGGAAATTTCCAATTCAGTGTAAATAGAGGGAAGAGTTCCAGGGTAACCAAGCACTTGACCGACCAAACGATCACCACGACAAAGAGTAGGATCCATTTGTGTACCAACACCAATCAGACCACCAGGAACAGCAAATTGTAGTTTATTTGTTTCAGCAGCCAATGTCAAAATCTTGGATAGAATAGGACGAGCACGAATCTTTCCTTCTTGATCCTTGATAATCACACCAGGACGTACTTCGATTTCATCACCAATCTTCAATACACCCTTCAAAATAGATCCACCAGCAACACCACCTTGTAATTGCTTAACGTCAGCACCGGGTTTGTTAATATCGAATGAACGGATCACAATCAAGCGAGGATCGGCGGTGAAGTCACGTACAGGAACGGGAATCTTTTTAGTAATGTATTCGTTAATGGCGTCAATGTTGTATTTCAATTGAGCAGAGATAGGAATGACTGGTGCACCATCAGCCACAGTACCTAATAAATTACATAAACAAAGAATGATGAGTTCATCCTAATTTTTTTTTTTTTTTGGAATTTACCCTTCACAAAGGCAAGAATATCTTCATGTTGTTCTTGAGCAGCCTTATCCTTGACCAAATCCACCTTGTTTTGAAGAATGATAACATGCTTGAGTTTCATGATTTCAATAGCAGCCAAATGTTCAGAAGTTTGAGGTTGAGGACAAGATTCGTTACCAGCAATAAGTAAAAGAGCAGCATCCATCACTGCAGCACCTGACAACATAGTTGTCATAAGAATATCGTGCCCGGGACAATCGACAAATGAGACATGACGCACCAATTCGTATTTTCCACCGCAGCCAGGTCGTTCACAAGGTGGGTTGTCTTCCTTCGCAGAACCGTAAGAACGATAACAACCAGGACGAGGACATTCTTCATTACTACATTTGTAAATCTTGGCATTTGCATAACCTAACTTGATGGTAATGTTTCGTTCCATTTCGTTTTTGAATCGCACAGTCTGTTAAAAATGTAATTTATTTTTTTTTAAACAAAAAAGAGAGAAAATGAGTAATCTATACATACATTTTCTTTCATTCCATCTTTGTCTCTATCATACCTGCACACCAGAGATAGCTTTGACAACAGTTGATTTACCGTGAGCTACATGACCGATCGTACCTATATATATAGAAAAAAAAAGTAAGAATAGAGAAGAATAAATCAAATAGAATGAGCAAATCAAAGAAAATAACTCGATGGTTCCGATCGTCTTCGATTACCGACATCCCCGATCCCTTACCGATATTGATGGTAGCTTGTTTAGAAATAACTTCAGGTGACAAAGGTGTCAACTTAGTCACGTCAATGTTGACAGTTGGGGTTTCCGTTTCAACCATACTACAACACAAGACGCAGTAAAAAAAAAAAAAAAGGTTAGTTGATATAAAAAGATGACAATATTGAAAAGAAATCACACATATCTCTATATAAATAAAAATGAGTGTTATGAAATGGTTATCATTTACCTATACTATGTAGACTTGACGAAAAGCTATCAAGAGAGAGAGAGAAAAGAAAAAAAAAAAAAAAAAAAAAAGGAAAAAGGTGAACCTGTTTTGTCGAAAAACAAGTTTTTTCGCAAAAGACTCAGAGCAGTCACCAGCCAATTTTTTTTTTTTCTTGCCTATACTGCTCAATGGGCGGGGATGAAAATGATATTTCTTCTTTGGTCAATTATATGCCTTCTGTCATGCTGATGAACTTCAATGATCGAACTATACGAATTGATTTCTTTTTTTTTGGAGAATACTGTAAAGGTCCTCACTATGTACTTGTGGAACGAAATCAAGTTAATTATTGGAAAAAGAAAGCTTGACCTCTCTTGGATAGATAAGATGACGTTATGTAAGAGGGAAATATCCATGATGCATGATAAACAAATTCAATCAAAGAGAATATTTACTTGAAAAAAAAAAAATACAATGAAGAATAATTGGAATTTTCTTTTTATTGATGTATACAAAAAAATAATGACTCAATAATCATAACTAAAAATGATCTATTCTTTTTTGAGGTTCGATTTCTATGATGGGATAATAATAAAAAGAAGTCCAGTGAGTCTATCAATCTACTACATATATTTCACTATTCAAATCACTAGTTACCTGCTTTGTGTCATTGATGCTGAAAGGAAGTTTTGAAACAATAATGCTTAGAACAAAGAGAGATAGCAAAGATGCAGAGACAACCAATGGTTTCTGTAATAATCTGTAAGTGGGATATTTGTAGGTGATCTATATTGAAGAAGGTAGTCATTAGTTCCCCATCATCATCAGACGAACTCTTCCTTACCTGAATAGGCTTTTGATGTTCATAAACTACGTTCTTCTTTTCCAAAATGATTTCATAGCGGCCAGTAGAGTCAAAATTGGTGAAGTGTTTACCTTCTTGAACATAATCTAGATCCATATTGGGATATATCTTCACATCACTATAAAAAGAGAGTAAGAAATGATGAATCCAAATAATAAACAATCTATTCTTCTAATCCATCCCCCTTCTTCTACAATGTCACTTACGTTGCACCTTCAGGTAAAACGATTCGTACACGTGCCTTGTCAATTGCCATATTTTTTGCATTATCCACAAAGTTGACATTCAAAATATAATCTCCAGTTGACTTTTGATATCGAAGAAAAGATCGAAGTTTGACATTATATCCATGATACCAGTTGTAAGTCCATCCACCAAAAACAGGATAACGAGGTTTGATTTCAAGTAAAGAGCGTGTACGTTCGTTACGGAAGTGAGAAGTAGATACGTTTCCAATTTCGTCTCTAAAGTAAGCATCTGAAGCACCTACAGGAAGTTCCAATGAGATTTCTTTCAACATATTGGTCGAACCATGGACTGGCGCTGAACGCATATATTGAGCACGGTTGAAATTGTCATCCAATCTATACATCACATACCAAAAAAAAAAAAAAAAAAAAAAGTACAATAAAAAAAAAGTAAGTATATTGAGAATCGATTCATTTGCTGTTGTAAATTAAAAGTTTTGTTTTCACTTACCCTGCACCATCGTTGCGAACTGTATAATGTTCTTCCACGGCAAGATTGTTGCCCCAATGAGATACTTGTAAATCACGTTCCAAATTGGTGACAGTAATTAAAGGACCAAGACTTTCAAAATGGCATTGAAGTTCATGATAAGCATAAGGTTCCAAGTCGTTGAGAGGTCCATAAACAAGTTTGTTGCCTTTTTGTTGAACGAGACCATCGCCACCAGTAAAGGAAACAATAAGTGCAGTAGGCACTCTATAAAAAAAAAGTGAAATTAGAAAACTATGAAGAATCCTCAAACCTGAGGAATTGATTGTTACAATACTTACTGAAGTGTAGTCTTCATTTCCTTGGAGGCATAAGGAGAATATAAATAAACATTGCCACGATAAAGAAGAAGTTGACGTGCCACTTGAGGTATTTTAGCAGGCAATGGCTTGAGTACGTGAGTGTACGAGATATGAATACCAAGTCGAATATCTTCTTGAGGTTGAAGAGGTTGGTCCAAGATTACTTTGTATAGCTGAATTTCCCTGTCAAACAATATATATATATATATATAAAAAGATGAGTAAAGAAAAAAAAAAAAAAAAAAGGACGAAGAAGAAGAGATTATATTTTACTTTTCAGAGTCAAAACCGGCTTTTTCGATAGTAAGAGAAATCTTTTGTTGTTTACGTAAGAAGGCGGTGATGGAGGCGACATGTTGTTCGATAGAAGCAGGAATGGTGTAATAGTATTCAGATACTGGTGTTTCAGCGATGTTCTTAGCCCGTATTCCAATCTCTTCCTGAACAATATGGTTACGAGCATCTAAGACACGAAGAACTTTGACGTTTTGGAAATGGTTGGGAATAGGAATAGTTGTTTTGGCGACCTGTGTTGTAGTGGATGACATGACAATACCTACCCAGCATAATGCCAGTACAATATTAATCCATAAGCGCTTTGATAATCGAGACATTATAATATCAAGAAAGTATAAAAGAACGCGCGTTTGGAATAATCAAAGAAAAGGAACAAAAGAGAAAGGGAAAAAAGAAAAAAGGCGGTAAACAAAAATGCCCTAATAAATTGATGTCAAGATATTATTGGTAGATGCCACTTGTCGCATGTCGGTATTTCAACAAGTGATCAAGAAGAACAGCATCATTATGATATGATCAAGCATAAGAGAAACCAGTAAAAATAATAATAAAGGATAATCTTTAATTCAATGATATATAAAATAAACAAATATATATATATAATAAATAAATGTATATGGAAAAGAGTAATAAATAAATAAAACTAATTAAAAAAAAAAATCTATGCTATCTACATAATAGTACAATTTTGGTGATTGTCACGATTCATCCTTGCAATTTGATCAGGTGAGAATGTTCTTCCAGTAAATGCTTCAACATCTTCAATTGCTTGTTCCCGTTCGTTTTCCCTTTTCTTTTGTTTGATTTCTTTGGGGAAATACATCAATAAAAAGTTTTGTAGAGGTTCATCCAGATTCAAAGCACTAGCAGTTTGGACAGCAGTTGGATGACGGCACATTGGGCAACTATCCATATGCTTCTTTTGCGCCTTGATCAAACATCGTACACAAAACACATGGCCACAGACAAGACGGATTGGTCTCCACGCAATACTCATGCATACAGGACATGCTATAAATAACTTGTGTTAGCCTTTTATGTTTCTTTTTTTTTTTTTTCCTCGTATATAGTACTTACAATAATCATCAGGTTGAGGAATGATCGTAGTTATTTTTTCCACTATGGCGGCACATAATAACTTGGCGAGGGTAGGTGTGAAAAATTGACTGGATCCAACAAAATCTGGGAAGCTAGTACTTGCACTAAAGTATAAAAAAATGTAATCTATATTAGTTATTTCCATAAACTTTTTTTTTTTTTTAAAAAAAAAAAAAAAAAAAAAAAAAAAAAAAAAAAAAAAAAACGTACGTTAATCCACTCCGTTTATCATGTTTCTTCAAAATCTTGGTCATAGCAGTTTGATTCAAAGCTTGATAGTGTTTCATTGTAATTAATTCCGTGTTCAAAGCCATAAATTGTTGTAAGGCAGACTTGGATGCGCCATTTTTGAGTTTCGATATCTACAAGTAACAAACATTAAGTATCACAACATTTTTTTTTTTTTTTTTTGATTTTCCTTACCAGATTTTCTCTTTGTAGTTGAGTTGTAAACCAAGACATTTGTTGTTTTGCCTTTTGTACTGAATGCATAGATCGATCTGATTCCATTTTGCCTTGAAAGATTTGAGCATCCATATAAATACTGAATATTTTTCGCCATGCATACATATCTGACTTTTGATTGGGAGATGCCTACATAAACATTGAGATCTGTCAATATGCATTGATCCTACTTTTTTTTTTTTCTAACTTACTATTTTCACCATACGCTTTTCAAGTTCATTGATATCAGCTTCAAAACGATTGGATGCTTTATGTTGTAAATGTACTGCACTTTGTAATTCTGTCATCAACATGTAAAAAAATTCATCATCTTGTTCCAATTCCACTACAAGACTTCGCATTTGTCCAGGAGATTTGGTTTGCCCTTCTTTCTTCAAAGTCAATTCTGTCAAATCACGAAGCACCCTGGCCGCTGAGCTTCTTCGTCGATTTCCGTCCAACAAAGTGTTATTGATATTGCTATTATCTGGTGTCAACATATGGGAGGGTACCATAGAGGAAGATGTAGATGATATTAAGGGTGCCGATTGATCAATGCTGCTAGGTATACTGTTATCATTTTTGCTATGGCTGATACTATTGTCATCATCGGTAACACTATGGGTAGTATATTCATCAGAATCACCGTCTGTATCTATACGCGATAAGGTAAAGAAATCAGTATTATCTTGACTCCGTTGATATTCCAAGGGTCCACGGTTTGTTTTGTCTTTGGTTGAACAAGTCGTTTTATCAATGATCCTTTCCGAGGTTTTGTCTTGATCGTTGATTAGATTCGATAAAAGTTCCATTACTTTGGTATTGCTGCTATCATAAGTAAATCGAATACAAGGTCGAATATTAGGGGCTTCACCTAATACATTTGACAGTAGAATGTTAGTCCTTGCATAAAAAAAATAAATAAAAATAAAAATAAAACATCAATTAGAGATCTTACCAGTAAAATAATATTGGACTTGAGGAGCATTGATATTGGGTGATCTAGTTGTTGTCATAGAAGAAGCTCGTTCGGCAGAGTTATCCAGACAATCATGTAACATAGAAACTGACATACCATGTTTTTCAATTTCGTCGGCTACTTTAGCGATTAACTTTTTCAGTTTCTTGTATTGAATAAGGTAAGGACGCCATTCCGAAGGGATGCTCTCAGATTCTGTTTCCAATTGCTTTGCGAACTTCATTCTTACTGCATCACATAAACAACAAACAGTAAATACACCTCCCTAACTACAAAAGGTGGAAAAAAAAAATAGAAAAAGAAAGAATCAAAAAATCAAAATGAATAAAAAAGGTTTTTTTGAAATTAACTTCCCGCACACCGGATGAATTTTTATTGGTAGTTATGAACAGCACGTGTGGGTGCTCCGTTACACTATTGTGGTAGTATGTCCACCAATAAAAAACTTCTCAAGATCAAATGGTGTTGGTTTTCTTACACCTGTCAACACGAAGAATAACATTTTTTTTTCGTCAACAAACTTGAAATACCAATCATTTGAATTTCTTCTCTTTAAAAATATGATATTTATTTATTTTTATTTTTTACATTGATCTTAGGTGATACGAATGTCCTTTTTTATGCCGTTTTAATGTCAAGGAACAAAAAAAAAAAAAAAAAAAACTTGAGCACATGGTTACATATTCGATGATATTGGTATACAGAAAGGGTGGGAATGCGCTATTTTACGCTTTCTGGATCCAACATGAAAACGTAAACTGGATAGAATATGAAGCAATATGCTAATACGATACTCTTATGACTATCATTCTGATTTTTTTAATTATTTTATAGGTAACTACTATGCTATAGGTATCATCATCGTAAACTAATATCACTGCTATACAACGTAAGAACCATTTGTCATTGAATTAGCATCGTAAAAATAGGATGATTTTATTCCTTGCTAATTCTACTATTAAAAATGAGGTTGCAAAAACTTAAATTAGGAAATTCGTGCGACGATGGACGAAGGAAAATGAATGATGCATGATAGACTGCTGGATGATGGTATGATGATCATGTTGAATAATTGTAATAATGGATGAAAATGATGAAAAATTATAAAATGATGTGTGGGTGAATGATGATGATTGGAAGATGATGCTTAGATTGTGGATATCATTACTGACTTTTTTAGATCCAAGTTTGGATGCTTACTCTCATTCTTTTTAACACTAGTGGTCATCAATCATTATACACACCAGCTGCCAAAAGCAACTATTCGTGCTAATCATTGGAATCGATCCTTCACATAGATCAGTTAAACTGTCCTCACTACACAATAAAACCAACCGTCCGCACAAATTTTGGCTATAAGATCTTTATTAATTGAGCGAAAAAAAAAAATGATGACGATTAATCTATAAAGCTGTTTGGTACAATGTATAAAAGATTCAAAAGGATATATGGTATAGAAAACAAGTTGATAAACTACTACTATAGGAAAAAGGTAGTGACCAAAAAAAAAAAAAAAAAAAAAAAAAAAGTGAACCAAATCCTACGTAGTAAAATTGCTATTCTGAACGAATAAAAAAAAAGGCGGGGGGAGAAAGAGGGGAATACTAAGCAGGTTGTTTTTCTTCATCCAATCCACTCTTTTCATCTTGATGATGCATAGATAAAGTCGCAGGAGGGGCAACGGGTCTAGGTTGGAACCTGATATTCTTCATGAAGAGAATGCAAATAAAAGCCAGTCCACTAGCTACCAGAGGAATAATGAAAACATTGTGTAAGGCTTCGTTGTAAGCATGGATGATAGGCTGCTGGATATCGGTAGGCATGTTTCTGATATATAGGTAATTCTTCAATGCATTGTACTTCCCAGCAACCGCCTACAAAATAAAAAAAAAAAAAAAAGTTAGATAGAGTTTCTTTTTTTTTATAGATATATTCTTGGAAGAGCTATATAGTTCATATCATGTAAATTTACCAGGACAGATGGATCTACCGTCGATAACTGAGCTGTTAAGAATAGTTGGAATAATGCTTGGTATATAGCAACACTAACAGAAGATGACAGAATAAGGAAAAAGTTGTTCTATAAAGAGGAAATAAAATATGAGCTGTTTTATCTTTATATTTCCATCTCTTTTCTTACCAATGATGTAGCAACTGCCATGTCCCTTTTTTCCGATGATAATTGCACTGCCAATATAACGTTTGATTGAGAAATACCAAAACAAAAGCCTGTTAAAAAAAAAAAAAAAAGAAGAATGAAAAAAAAAAAAGAGGAATATGAGTGATGGTAAGGAAAAGAAAGAAAGACAAGGATATTGATACTTACCACAAAAAGTCATATACCCAGCCTGTTGACCCCAATTGCTGTGTTCATTCACAGTATAAAAGAGACCAAAACCAAGGACGTTAATGGCAGCACCAAACACAACATAAGCTTTGATGTATGGAAAGTAAGTCAAGACAAAACTACTACCCACAGAAGCAACTATCAAACAACCCATATAAGGAAGCAGGCGAATACCAGATGACATGCCTTAATATAAAATGAAGAAAAAAAAATAGAAAAGAAGACAAAGATTAGTGATTAATATAGTAGAAGTTGAGTAGATAGGATAGACATACTTTCAGCACCAAAGACTGATTGATAATAGACAGGGGCAAAATACAAGGTAGCAATAAAGCATAAACCAAGACATATCATATACAAATATAAGATAGCAACAGATGGATTCTTGAGGATGCGAGCAGGCATTAGCTATGTAAATGTAGAATGAATAAAAGTTTGATAAATATACAGATGTGATAAAAGCAATTCTTTTTTTTTTTTTTTTTTTTTTTTTTTTTTTTTTTTTTTTTTTTTTACTTACCGGTTCTTTGGCTATCCATCCTTCAACAACCACCAATGCAATCAAAGCAACTGCAGCAGCAACAAAAGCAGCAATTGTATGTTGATCACTCCAACTAAAGGGAAAAAAAAGGATATGAGAATCAGATAACAAAAAAAAAAAAATTAAAGTAATATAATATACCCATAGGATGGACCCCAATTGAGTGCCATCAAAAGACAACATACAAATCCAAGCGAACATATGGCACCATACCAATCGATACGTTTTAGTTTTTCGGTAAAGGATGATTTTTCAAGTTTGACTGGTTCATTCAATAACAAAACAATGAGCACGAAAGCTACCCCAGAAAGAATGACATTCAACCAAAAATCCCAATGCCATGATAGATGATCTACAAATGCACCACCTAATAAAATAATAAAAGATTAGAGAAAAAAAAAATAAGAACTTTTTTTTATTAATAATCAGACCCATTTGATTTGATTTGTATTTATTTACCTATCAAGACTCCTACTCCAGAAGAGATACCATAAACAGCTGTTAATAGTGACTGAAAGCGTGGGCGAAGATGAGGAGGAGCAAGATCAGTGATGATGATAAATGCCATAGACATAATAAAGCCAGCTATGATTGATTTAGGTTGGATAATAAATAAAAAAGGTGATTAGTAAAAAAATGAAATATGAGAATGTTGCCAAACCTTTTTTTTTTTTTTTTTTTTTTACCTCCAAGACCTTGAACTACACGACCAGCTATCAATATACGCATTTGTTGTGCAAGTGAATTGATCAAAGCGCCAATGAAAAACATCAGAACTCCAAAGGTAATAACAGGTTTTCTAGAGAAAAAAGAAGATTAGTTCATGACTATTGTTAGAGAATTCTTTCCTCGTAGTATTGTCAATAGTAATGTAGAACTAACCTTCCAAAAATATCAGACATTTTCCCAGAAATAGGTTGGACAGCATTGAAGATCAATAAATAAGCAGTAGCAATCCAAGTTTGTTGATCCAAGGCATGAAGATCAGTAGCAATAATACCCATAGCAGGAGCTACAACAGTAGTATTGAGTGAAACTATCAACATACTCATAAAGAGCCCAATATAAAGAAATATAATCTTTACTTTGGAGAGAAAAGTCATTTTTGAAGATTCCAAGACAATGGTAGATGCTGATTTGTGATCGTCATGTTCATTCGGATTGTCATGTACCCGTGTTTCGAAATGAGAGGTTTCGCTTTTACTTGTATAGTTCACCGTCGTTTCTGTACTTTGTTGATCCATAAATACGTGTAAAGGAGATATATAATACAGAAGGAACAACAACAAAAAAAAAAACGAAGAAGAAAAGAAAAGAAAGAAGAAGGAAAAAAAGTCTAAAAGAAAAGGCGATCTTTTAAAAAAAAAAAACCAGGTACTTTTGATTGATTTACTAGGTTCAATTATTTAACCGAAAATTGGAGCCAATCAGATCACACCAATCGATTAGATCAAACAATAAATTGTTCTGTGTACCTGAATCCATTTCAGTAAAAAACAAAAATGTTTTGATTCATTCAAACTATATCCTTTTTTTTAAAAAAAAAAATGAGCATATTCCTACCAGAGTCTATTAAAACGAAAAGACACAATCATCATCTGCGAGAAAAGAAGAAAAAAAAGATCAAACTAACCCCCACTGATCTACGGGAAAAATATATTGCCCATATTAAAGTTTGAAGAAAACTTTTGGAGATACACAAAAAAGAAAAGAGCATGTGTTGATGTCTGATGCAATCTATGTACAAAAACGTTCATTTTGGAAATACGTTCCGTAATGTTCACAAAAAAAAAAAAAAGATCACCTGTTATGGTAATGATCTTTCTGGTTATCAAGTTGATTATCCTATCATAAGATGATTACTTGCGGTAACCTGTTTTTCTTGTTGAGGATGATGGTTCATGAAATTGGATATATGGATCAGAAAAGTAAAAATAATACAAATAGAGAGATCTTCACATATCAATAAGCATCATCGATTGGTTGGAGAATATTCGGAGAGCAAGAATCAATCAGCACAGCCCAAAAAAAAAAAATGAATATCAAACTTCATTATTTTTAATTACAAATATATCGTGATGATTGATGATACTTTTAATATTTTTTTTATTTAATATGTTCAAACATATTGAGTTTATAATAATAGACAAAAGTGATTAAACAGTGAAAATTCCTATTCGTTGTAATCATCTATCAACAGCAAAAAGCGTAATGACTACTAACGGTGTGAATCCATCAGCTTAGTAATGTCAAAAAAAAAGGATGAATATGTTTTTATTTTTTATTTTAAACATTTGAAGATGATAAAAACATGTCTAATCGATGAAAAGGTAAATAAAAGATACTTCTTTGTAGATGTGTTTTGTTCAGTACTTGGTTACTCCTTTTCCCGATACCTCGGCGTCTGATCACCATTTTCAGTGTTGAATTCCCTGTTTGTATCAAATTCATGCAACCATGTGATCATCATCCAGCAAATACAAAAAAAAAAAAAAAATTATATTGCTAATATCAAATCCCTTTCTCGATGATTACTGATGTTGTTGGTGAAATACAAACATGACATAAACAATCCAGAATTTAATAGGAATTGATCATTATGTATGTCTATTTTTGGAATCTACATAAATAGTAAAATGTTGACATGCTTTGATCAATTTATTATCTAAAATGGAAAGGGGTATTCTTTCATGATGATATTTGATAGATCAATAAAATAAAATAATCGATGAATGTAAAAATGGATAATGATGAAGGATCACTACATTCATTATACCGTAATTGATGATGATTTAGTAATACTGTAAATGGATGATCTATGATCATTGCTTTTTTTTTTTTTTTTATCGACATGATGAAAACTTTGAATCCCCTTTTATGTTTGAGATCTTGATCGAAGGAAATATTACAAAAAAAAAAAAAAAGAAAGAGAGTATCTAGAGGATGAACTATGTTATGATAATGCATGTAACAAGAAGATTATATATATATATATATATTTTATTTATGAGAACATAACTAGTATTGGATCATATCAAAAATGGAAAAGACATCTAGCTATCATCATACTTTTCATTGGATATTGAAATACCGACGGTACGTAGCGATTTTTGGGTCAAAAGTAGATTTCAATTTGTGAAATCAGAATCCGTCCTCTCTTCTCATATTCAAGGTAATGGTCATAACCTATAAAAAACTCAAACTATCCATCCATCCATCCATCCATCCATCTATCTATCTTCTTTATACATCTACCCATTTCTTCATTATATAACTCTCATTTTTAGTGACAATCGCCTTTTTAGTTTTAATCCTATTTAATTGCAAACGATACTAATGGATTTCTTTCTTTCTTTAATATAGTATGCCTCCCAAATTCGATCCCAGTGAGGTGAAGATTATTTACCTTCGTGCTACTGGTAATATACGAAACAATAGAATTAACGTGAAACGGATTCAGCAGGACAATGAAAGTAATAAGAAGAACTAACGATTTCAATTTTACCATTATTACAATAATAGGTGGTGAAGTCGGTGCTTCCAGTGCTCTCGGTACGTTGATATATAGATGTCGATACTAACAACAATTGGATCATTTTACCCAACAAAAAAAAAAAATACTCATTATCTGTTTCACTCTTTTTTTTTTTTAATGTATAGCCCCCAAGATCGGTCCTCTTGGTCTTTCCCCCAAGAAGGTTGGTGAAGATATTGCCAAGGGTACCAAGGAATGGAAAGGTCTCCGTGTCACTGTCCAATTGACCATTCAAAACCGTCAAGCTCAAGTATCTGTTGTGCCCTCTGCCTCATCTTTGGTGATCAAGGCCTTGAAGGAACCCCCACGAGACCGTAAGAAGGAAAAGAACATTAAGCATAGTGGTAACATCACTTTGGATGATGTCATTGAAATTGCCCGTACCATGCGCTATAAGTCTTATGCTCGTGAACTCTCTGGCACTGTCAAGGTAAATTAACAAAAAAAAAAAAAAAAGAAAGAAAGAAAGAAAGATAGCGTTTTCATCTATGATAGATCAATCCGGAATGGACAAACTGATTTTTTTTTTTTGTTATGAGTAGGAAATCTTAGGTACTGCTCAATCAGTGGGATGCACTGTTGATGGTCAAAACCCTCAAGATATTTGCAAGGCCATTGATGCTGGTGAAGTCGAAATTCCTGTAAGTGATTAAATATAATTTACATAGACTGCACTATATTTACTCTTTTTTTTAACTTGTTCTATAGGAAAAATAAATGGTTCTCTTTTAGTCTTTTGATTTTATGAAATAAACAATCGCAGTTCTTTCTGCTCTTTTTGTCAAATTCATGCCTATTCTTCATTTTTATTACTATTGTTATTATTATTACAACTGTGCGTCAAAGATAATCAAAGATGGAAGGTTATAATGGGGGTTAATATTGAGAGCAAATTGTATCAATTGGATTTATTTTAACTTTGTTTGATATGCGTAGTATTCCCCATTGAAAAGTAGCCAGCCCACTAATAGATGATTATACTTTCAAACATTATTTGTTCAGATGGCGTCTACAGTACCCAATTTTAAGTCTATATAATAAAATCAGGCAAGCTCTTTGAAATATTAAAAAAAAAAAATAAAAAGAATATGTTTTATTAAAATATGTGTAAACAAAGCTAATCTAATCAAGACACATTCACCACAATCTTTCCCATAGACTTGTTGGCTTCCATATGTTCGGTGGCCTTGATAATATCCTTCCAATCATAAACGCTATCGATAAAAATCTTGAATTTTCCATGAGAACATCCAAAGTGGTCCTTGATGGCATGATTGTAAACTTCTTCCCGCAAGTGAGCTTGATAATCCACTGATCGACTACGTAAAGTAGAGCCTTGAATCTATAATAAAAATAAAAATAATGAGAAAACTAGTCAAAACGAAGAGAGAATGAGATTTTTTTTTTTTTTTGAAAACTTACTCGAAGTCGTTTTCTTAAAATAGGAGCGATATTGAAATTTTCTATCTGAGCGCCTAATTTCACAAAAAAAAAAAAAAATGAATAATGTGTTAATCAAAGAGTCAAATTCAAATATATATACTTTTATTGGTCTTACCACTCATGAAGGCCAATATCACCATACGCCCATCAAGGCCTAAGGTTTCTAGATTGTCAGCAGCGTAATTCTTTCCAATAAAGTCCACAATCACATTGACACCTTTACCAGACGTTTTTTCAGCGATCTATATACAACAGCTGGTTAGTTTTAAATCCTAATGATATATCTATGCATTCTTACGATCTTGGCCCAATTTTGAGTCTTGTAGTTGATGGCATGAGTAGCCCCAAGAGATTCACAAAACTTGACTTTTTCATCACTACCAACAGTAACAAAGATATGATGACTAAGTTATATAAATAAAAAAAAGGAGGATTACTAATCGTCGTTCAGTCAAGTCCATATATATATATATATATATACAAACCATTCAAAAAAAAAAAAAAAAAAAAAAAAACTTACGCGCCAGCTTCTTTTGCGAGTTGAATAGCAGCAATACCAACACCAGATGCACCAGCATGGATCAATACATCTTCACCTTTTTTCAATTCAGATACCAAAAAAAGAGCCTGGTAAGCAGTAAACCAAGTTTCGGGAATAGCAGCAGCTTGTTCAAAAGTAATTTCATCAGGTTTTGGTATGACTAATTTCTCTTCCATGACGGCATACTAGTAATACAATTTTTTTTTTTTCATTTAGTTCCATTCACTATAGTTTTTTTTTTTTTTAAAAAATTTATACCTCTGCATAACCACCACCTCCCATCAAACCAAAGACAGCATCACCTTTTTTGAACTTGGTCACTATAAAGAAGGATAGCAATTGGCAAAAAAAAAAAAAAAAGTTTCAGAGTTAGTTATAAAGAAATGATGGATGATCAATCATACTTACCATTTTTTCCCACTGATTCAATAATACCAGAGACTTCGACACCAAGAATTTCACTTGCACCAGGAGGAGGAGGATAGAAACCTTGTCTTTGTACAATATCCATTCTATTCAAACAAAAACTCTTGACCTACATGACACTATCATTAGTAAACTTGACACACTTTTTTTTTTCTTTTTCTTTTCAATAAAGTCCTTTCTTCATACTTTAATAAGAACCTGAGTATCTGTAGGAATAGGAGTTGGATATTCGCCAATATATAATTGATTAGCGTCACCTAAAAAATATTCATAAAAAAAAAAGAGTCTATTGAGTTCTATTTTCAATAGGTTATTGAAGTTTCATTTGATTACCTGGTTGTTTAACAAGTACAGCACGCATTATAAGTTTTGAAAATATATAATAAAAAAAAAAAAAGTGAAAAGAAAGAAAAAAACGAGCCGCGCTTCTTTTATATGAAAATAGTTTGGCGGGAATAGAAATAAAAGTCAAGGGAAGGTTGTACAAGACTACATGCAAGTCAATTTTGATTTATCATCACCCTCTATTTCTCACATCTTTACATTGACTTACATATCAAAACTGAATCTTCATTTTTTTTTTTTTTAAGATGATTAATGATTTTTTTTTCCTATTGATTGAAACAAATGAATCTACCGTTAATATATATATATTTTATTTGGGTAAAGAGTTTTTTTTCTGTTTTTTTTTTTTTTTTTTTGTTTTTAAATGATATATAATAAGAGACAACAACAATAACAAAAAAAAATAAATAAATAAATAAATAAGAAACTACTCCTTGTTTAGTTATATTGAACTTGAGGTGAATATCTATGGAAAATGCTTATGATATACTAACTAGAACAAAACTTTTTTTTAAGCCTTCACCACCCGTCGAGCATGAGGACCGAGTTTGGCATCCTTTGCTGAAGCTTTGTCACTAATCATAGAGCGCATTTCGTCCTTGATATCTTCCTTTAAGTGTTCCTTTTTCTTATTCATCTTCTTATTACTATCTTTGTAAGCAGACATCATATCTTTCTTGATATTATTTTTCTTATGTTTCATGTCACTGACGATATCAATAAGAATTTCCTTGAGTTTTTCTTTTCGGTATGTAGAGGTATGAGGTGCAAGAAGTCTGTGATCTGGTGTTTGTGTATTCTCTGTTGTTTCAGGTCTTTCAGGTCTTTCAGGCTCTTCATCCTCTGGAGTTTCTGGTTCTGGTTCTGCCTCTGGTTCAGGTGCAGGGGCTGCTGGGGGGTTGCAATCACAAGGAACAGTATGATAAACATATATTACCTTCTTTCCTTTCTTTTTTTTCCAATCATCGTCATCGTCATCGTCGTCATCGTCATCATCATCGTCGTCATCGTCATCATCATCATCATCATCGTCGTGTTTGTGGTGTTTGTGATCATCATCGTCGTGTTTGTGGTGTTTGTGATCATCATCATGATGTTTGCCGTATAAGGCTTGTAATTTCTTAACAACGCGAACAGCACCGGAACCAACACCGTATGGAGACTTGACAACGTTGATGGTGATGTCATGATGACCCTTAGCAAGATTGAACTCACCACGACTAAATCGTTTATCAGCAACAGCTTCTTCGGGAGTTTCTGCAAAAACAGAAGCAGATGCATTGGTAGGACTAGTCATACCAATGATTTTTCCATTATCGGAAATTTCATACATATCACCACCTACATTTTTTTTAAAAAAAAAAAAATCATGCATCATATGAGCTTAAAGATCCGATGGTTCCTTTTTTTTTTTTTTTTTTTTTTTGTTTCCTACCTAACTTGTAATCAGTGATTTGAAAAGCAGCAGGTTCATTCAAATCTAAAGAGAATGATCGATCGACACTAGTTTGACCATCTTTAGTGGCCCAGTTGAACGTTTGGAACTTGATGTTGTAATCCAAAGGATAGGAAGTGGCATGAACAGTAGCCAATTCATTTTCGGTATTACTTTGAGTAGGGGCAGCCATGGCAACGGATGCCAACAGCGCAGCGGAAATAGAAGCAAGGGTAAAATGCATTTCAAACGATTAACTCTTTATTTTTTTTTTATATATATATAAATGTATATAGGTAGTAGAAAAGGATGAAGAAAAAAAAAAGGCTAAAGGTGGGGAAAAAAAGAAGATATGAGTTGGTTCGTTGGATGATTGCCTTTTTATACAACATTCCCAAATTCGGAAACTTTTCATGATCTTAGTCATTTTACTCACATTTCTATGTTGGGCTTAATCTTTTTTTTTTATTTTTTTATTTTTTTTTTTATTTTATATTTTTCTCTTAGATTTAAGGACGATTTCCATTGTAATTGTATCCAAACTTTCCGGGAAATTTGCTGACAAGGAATTCAAATTTTGACGATATACAGTATAGGTTTTTCTATAACCATCCATCGAGATCAAACTTTTGTGATGAAGAAAGAACAATAATAACATAGGAGATATATAATTATAGTGTTTTTCATTCCAGTTTTCTTTTTTTTTTTTTTTTTTTTTTATCTATACCCAATTAACCTATTTCCTCAAACCAACTTTATCCATCAAATGATTCGATCAAACAAAACTATAATATATAAGAAAATGAGATAATAAATGCAGTTTATTGATGGATATATAATACAATTTTCTAAATGAATAAAACTAATGATAAGATGGAGCCAATCCAGATTCTTCCATATTCTTCGCCTTCTTCGCTCGATATAAACTGATCGTCCGTTCACGTTCATCTTCCAATGCCTTTTTCGCTGATGCACTCATATTCGCCAATTTTCGTTTGTGTGAAGCCTTGAGAGCTTTCATATTTTCATCTTCTTCAGATTCGTAACCACCCTTGGTATCATCTTTTTGTATCGTTGTCTTTGCTTCCAGTAACTATGAATAAAAAATGTGTTAGTCATCATCTATCCTTCTTATTTTTGTATATACTTACTGCTTTATTTTGTCCACGTGCTTTTGGAAGCTTTTTGAAGATAGGAGGAGCTTCTGCTACTTCACCAAATTTTATATTATCCTTGAGATCATCAAAATCTCTACCACCATACTTGTCCATCAGTCGTTGTTTCTTATTTTTTTCCTTTTCTTTTCTCGCCAATCGATTCCGTTTCTTCCTTTCTGTCACTGGTTTTGATTCCTTGTATGCCTTGTTCATTTCACTTCTATACTCATGTTCCACTCGTTGTGCAAAGTCCTTCATCTTTTCACCAGGTTGAATTTTGATTTGTTCTACCTAAATCATTGAATAAAATATAAATATCATCACTTTCATATTCCTTTATATATATATATTTACCTTGGTTACTTTGTTTTGATCCTTTTTGGTTTTTCGTTTTTGTTCCATGACTTCCTTCATTTTCATTAGTCGCATAAATCCCTTTGGGGCTTCATGGTTCAGGTCAGAATCCTGTGCAGGAAGATTGATACTATATATATAAAAAAAAGAAATTAAAATAAATACCTAATCTTTTTCAAAAAATAAAAATAAAAATATACTCACTTTTTTCTACGTTCGTTCCGTATGCTTGCTTTGGCACGTTTATGAGGCATGTCAGTATTTTTTGAATAAAATGGAAAAAAAAAGAAAATAGAAATGAAAACTCCCAAAAAAAGCCACCTTGGAAAGGAAATTCATTTGGATTCCCGAGGGTCAAATATTTCTCTTTTACCCAATATTTTCCAGCTGAAAGCTATTATTCTGATATTTTTTTTTTTTTTTTTTTTGTTTATTATATCTCTGATATGAATGATTTTTCTTTTTTTTATGATGCTTTCAGTTTATTTATATATATAAAAAAAAAAGAAGATTTCTTTCATTCTTTCATGAATTTCAACTACGGGATGAGCCGTAAATGCTACTACAAATACAGGACAATCGGGACATCAAACAAGTACAACTTATAGTTACAAATTTTTTTTTGATTCCGAGATGAGCCGGTCATCCGAATTCTAAAGCCTTGTTTTTTTTCTTTTTTTTACCTGCCTTTTCCCTCAACCTCTCTCTCTCTCTGTCTTTTTTTTTTCCACCTCCCTTTTCCCTTTAAAACCTTTTGTGTATTTATAAAGTAAGATTAAAACTAACCATGAGTCGAGAAACAAAATAAAACGGAAAAAAAAGAAGAAGATCGTTTGTTATTATATGATATTTTTCACCTTTACAAATCCTAATCGACGTTTTATTATTCATCTATTAGCATCATCATGTTCAAGTCAGTTCGTTCCGTTACTGGTATGGCCGCACGCGCCTCCAAGGTAAATATAAAGACTGAACATCTTTTTTTTTTTTTTTCTTTTTTTTTTTTGTAAATACTAATTAACGGGTTTATATAGATTGTCCGTCAACCCACTCAACAACAACAAAAACGTTTTTTGAACATTCACGAATACTTGTCTGTTGATGTTATGAGACAATATGGTATCAATGCTCCCAAGGGTGCCGTTGCAAAGTCTCCTGAAGAAGCTTTTGAAGTTGCCAAGCGTTTAGGTAAGTTAGAGAGATAAATAAAAGATGTATATCTTTAATGGATGTTTCAAAGCCAGAAGATGTATATTAATCCATTTTTTCTCTCTCTCTTAGGTTCTGATGATCTTGTTATCAAGGCTCAAGTTTTGGCTGGTGGTCGTGGCAAAGGTCATTTTGATAGCGGTTATAAGGGTGGTGTCAAGACTTTCTCTACGTAAGGTTTATAGTGATATGGGTTACATGAATTTGACATCTTTTTTTTTTTTTTTTTGTTTTTTTTTGTATAGACCTGAAGAAGCCAAGGCTCTTGCTGACAAGATGATTGGTCACAAATTGATCACTAAGCAAACTGGTGCTGAAGGCAAGCCTTGTAATGCTGTGTATATTTGTGAACGCAAGTATGCTCGTAATGAATACTATTTTGCTATCTTGATGGATCGTCAATCTGCTGGTCCTGTCCTTGTTGCTTCCTCTCAAGGTGGTATGGATATTGAAGCTGTTGCCAAGGAAAACCCTGATGCTATTGTTACCTTACCTGTGGATATCAAAAAGGGTCTTTCTCGTGAAGATGCAAAGGCTTTGGCTCAAAAGATTGGTATTAGTCAAGTTGCTCAAGATGATGCTGCCGAAACCTTCATGAACTTGTATAAGCTCTTCACTGAACGTGATGCTACTCAAGTTGAAATCAATCCTTTGTCAGAAACCAACGACCATCAAAGTATGTATTAAAAAAAAAGGAAGGATATATGAAATGAGACAAGTTGATGATTTTTTTTTATTATTATTTTACTAACCATCTTTTTGTATCTGAACATTAGTTCTCTGTATGGATGCCAAGGTATAGAGGAAGAAAAAGAAACATATAAAGAAACAAACAAATGAACTGATGTTTACCGACTTTTCTTGATTATTTTAGTTGAACTTTGATGACAATGCTGAATTTAGACAAAAGGATGTGTTTAACCTTCGTGATTTCACTCAAGAAGATGCTCGTGAAATTGCTGCTGCCAAGCACAATCTCAACTACATTGGTTTGGATGGAAGCATTGGTTGTTTAGGTATATAGGAAAAAAAATATGATCAGAAAAAAGAAATGGATATGTGCACTATGTACTAAAAAGTATGTGTGTGTGCATTGTATACTGATTTTTTTTTTTTGATGAATAGTGAACGGTGCTGGTTTGGCAATGGCTACTATGGATATTATTCAACTTCATGGTGGCAAGCCCGCTAACTTCTTGGATGTTGGTGGTGGTGGTAAGTATTCAAAGTGAAAGAATGGAAAGAGACAGTATGGAATGCCAACACTTTTTTCTTTATTTAATAGCTACTCCTGAAGCTGTCAAGGCTGCTTTTGAAATCATCACTTCTGATCCTCATGTAAGTTTGTACTAAAACGTCCAAAGTGATCTTATGCTAACTCTCCTTTTTTTTTTTTTTTTTTTAGGTTTCCTCTGCCTTTGTCAACATCTTTGGTGGTATCATGCGATGTGATGTGATTGCTGAAGGTATCATTGCCGCTGCCAAGGAACTCGACATGACCATTCCTTTGGTTGTTCGACTCAAGGGTACTAAGGTTGAAGAAGCCAAGAAATTGGTAAGTTTTTTTTTTTTTCATTTTTTGGGGAAAGAATGATCAAACTCATTTTTTTATTATTATTACTATTTGGGAATATAGATTGCCGAATCAGGTCTCCGTATCTTCGCTGTCGATGATCTTGATACTGCTGCTCAAAAGGTTGTCAACTTCTCCAGTATTGTGACTCTCGCTAGAAAGGCTGATATCAATGTCAAATTTGATTAAATCCATTTATTGCTTTTGTTTTAGTTTACTATTTATTTATCTTACCCTGTGTTTGACCTTTTTTTTCTTTCTTTCTTTTTACATACAATAAAGATGTTTTATATATTTATATTCTATTATACAAGTCTTTTCGCATTTCCGATTTAATAATGATGGATGGATGGTAGAGTTTAAACCTCAAAATAGATTTGATTAACTGTCAATCCATTAATTCTTTTTGGTGTTTATTGCACATTAGGTAACAAGATAAGCGATAAAATGGTATTAGATGATATTAGACTACTTAAGAGGAATCCAATGGTGATGACTTTATTGGATGATGATCATTATTGGATAAGATCAGAATTGACTTTTTTATTTTTAATAAACTTTATAAATTGAAAGGTATAAATTGCTATTAATACAATCGAAAGAGAATGCATTTATGTACGTCCAGTCCAATTTTGGTATGATGATCATCACTTTTTAGCGACAAATGAAGAGTCAACTTGTCGCTCCATTTAACTTCAGGGCAGGATGGAATTTTAGATCTAATTCGTGATGTCCATACCATGCCTAAAATATGTTTATTTTGTGCTGTTTTTACGGATTATTGAGAATGATAAGACAGCAAAGGTTTATCTATGACTTTTTCTAACAACACAACAGACAGACATGATAGTGGATGATAAGTAATGATGATGATGATCTTTATTAAATGGTGTACGATGGATGATGAATGGCGATTTTCTTACCAACTATCTCATGTGAATGTTATTTCTGCGTCATAGTAGTATGGTTATGGATCCATTGCGAGAGACGTGCATGTGTTAAGAATCTTTTGCTCGGATTTTAATTACCGCAAATAATTGAAGGCTGGCAGGTCAGTCACTCCATCTTTTTTCTTTTTCTATTCCTTTTTTCTTTTTCACTCGTCTTTACTCATGGTTCAAAACGTCGGGAAATTTCTTGCCTATGCATCCGGTATCATAGCCACAGGTTATGGATTGATGGTTTTCACTGTTCCCAATGAAGCTGAAATGCGAAAAGTAAGTTCAAATGGAGAATTTTTTTTTTGTTTCTGTTATATATAGATAAAGCATGTTGACATGATCTTTCTTTTTGTTTAGCGCTTGGATCCTACTCTGTTAAAGGAAGCTGATCGAATGAAAGAACATAATATGGAACGACATCAACAACTTTTGGATCAAATACGTCAAACAGCTGCATCTGACAAACCTGTCTGGGGAGACATCAACGAAAAGAAACATCATTAAACCATTCTTTAATATACCTATGTTATAGTTTTTCTAAAATGTGCTCTTGTACCATCTCTATCCCACATTCCTTTATCATAGCTTATTATTATTCATATAAAATATAGAAATAAATATTGATCCTCAATTAACTTTTTTTTTTTTTATTGACTACAATTTCATCAAGAAATCCAAAAATGACAATAATTTATAAACTACTACTACTACTATTCTACATATGATGTAACCACTAGATACCAAAAAGTGTCCTATTCCTATGCGCGTTTGGTGCGTTTCTTCAATTCCCTTTTCTTTTCACGGTTGCGTTCCTTTTCATCATATTTTCGTTGTTCAGCGGGACTAAGGTTCTTGATACGCTCTTCTTGAGCACGTTTTTCTTCAGCTTTCTTCTTTGCAAGTTCTTCTGCACGATCTTCAGCTTCTCGTTTGGCAAAGATCTTTTGAAGTTCGGCTTTGTTCTTGTTTAATTTGCTTGTTACCTGTGTATATGCATCATGCAAAAAGAAAAAAAAATAATAATTGTGGTTAGTATTTGTTTAAATCTAGTCATTGTTTTATACTTACATCACCAGGAAGATTCAAACTTCCAATGGTATCAGCAAAAGCGCAAGGTAATTCAACCAGAGGAGAGGAGTTAGTGTTTTTAAGATCATACACCAAAGAGATCTTTAATTCCTTATCAGAATTCAATCGTTCAGGTTCGTATTCAGGCAAATAAGTGATCACTAATGATTCAAGACCAGATGATTGACGTAAAATCTCACCAGTCTTTCCATTGAGTAAAAGTTCAGCCAACTTTTGTGATTCAGCATAGATGACCAAATGAGAAGGTAAATTAGCTGTAGCAATCTTGGTCATTTTGAACTAGAGATGAGATAAATAAAAAGGAATAACAAGATAAGTTCCTTCAATCTATAAAACCATCAACAAAGAAAAAAAAGAAGAAGAGTTTTACCAAATCAAAGCGTTTTTCATGAGTTTCCTTTGCAATAGATTTGTCCAAAATAGCAAACACAAATTTGTGATTGATAATATCTTTGTCCAAAGTCAATGTCACATTCTAATAGTTTTACAATGTAAAAATTCTTGTTAATAATTCCTGATATAATTTGCACTTTTAATCTTTTCCATCCTTCCTTTTTTTTCTTTTTCTTACCACACGATCCTTGACAGGTTTGACCCATTGAACCAAGGAGAACAAAAACGTCAATAAATGAGTAACAGGATCATTTCTAGGTTTGAGCTAAAAAATATATATAATATATATAAAGATAGATATTAGTATCGAATACAGCTATCCAATATGTATCTTTTCAATCATCCTCCTTACTTTGAGCCACCAGTGACCAAATTGAACATTGCGTCGACCAGAAGTATACAACAAATAATCAGCAGGACCATCCTTCACTAATGTGACCTTATTATTGTTTGCTTTATTGCCCACTAAAGAGAATTGTTCTTCAAAGTATCTCACATTCGCATTTGTCCTATGTCAAAAAAAAAATGGATAATAAAAGTTAGACTAAATCTGAATCATCAAAACTTCATCATGACCTTCTCCCTTTCTATCTTTTTTTTTAATAGTTATTATTACCATTTTGTTGCTTGAGACAAATTGCTACGTGAACCTTGCCACCAAATAAGAACATATAAAGCCAGAAAGCCAATAACTACAATTTCCGTGATAAAATCAGTCCAAACAAATGCTAAAAAAAAAAGGTAGAATAGAAAAATTGAAAAAAAGTGAGTATAAGTAACATGTGTAGTAGGATATTAACATCGTTGTCAAAATAGAATAAATAACTTACGTCGAGGAGGAACTGGCGTGGCAGTAGTAACAGCTAAAAAAAAAAAAAAAATTCAACGATATGATCAGTACGCGTTTTGTTGTGATTAGATAGACTGTTTTGTTTCAAATTCACTTACTTTCCACTTTTTCATCAGCAGCCAATACTGATAGAACTGATGTGGCAAGTAATATAAAGGATCGCATCAGTATTTATAAAAGGATGATAGAGGAAAAAAGAGAGAGAGAAAGAGAGCTCAACAAAAAGATTGAAATGAAAAAAGTAAAAAAGGTTTGAAGTGCCGTCATGGGATTCAAAATTTGATTGGCCCAACACTGGACTTGTGTTTTTTTTTTCAGCTTATTGCAGTGAATATATGAATACGTTTCTTTTTTAAAACGGGCATCATATATCATCATCATTATCATAACTATTATTATTATTTGAGACGTTTCTAATAACGACAAAAATATCCAAGAGTATCATTCTAAAAGACAAATTAATTATTTTTATTTGTGTTATATTGCAAAAAAAAGAAAAAAAAATGAGTATACAAGTATAAAAATGTAGTCTATATATACGATGTAATAAAAGTGATAATAATATATACTAAAGGGAATGTACAAATAAAGGATGATAATGCAAAAGTGGTGGAATAAAATATATTACTAGTTGTTGTTCAATTGAGTTTTTCCGCCATCGTCTATTTCGATCTTGTTGCTTCCTTGTTGATTAGTAGATACAAAGTCGCGATTAGTTGATAAAAATTCAGGATCAATATCATCGTCAATCAGCCATGAATCGCGTGATTTTTTCCCTTGTAAACCATAATCATTATTAAGTATATCATCATCATCGAATAGATGTCGCACTAAGATACAAAAAAAGGAAAAAAGAAAAAAAGAAAAGGAAAGGTAAATATAAAGACGATCACCAAAAGGGAAATCTACTCACTATGAACGAGGAGTCCCATGTTAAAATTGCGTTTCACATAGATGGTCAAGACTATAGTGGTGATACATAATGCAATGGCAAGACATACTAAAAAAAAAAAAAAAATAAGTGATCAAGAAAACAAAACACATTGTGCAACCTTACCAGCCAACACCCAATAAGCCCAGGAATTAGCAGTTTGCTGTAAAATGATAATAAAATCTATCATAAAAATGACTTGAAACACCAAAAATATATGCATAGACCTTGGTTTTTCCAGTGTGACACCACGACGTGCTAGGAGGAAGGAGGGAATTTGTACGAGAGTTACAAAGAGATGAAAGATATACCAAACTACGGCAGCAGAGTCACGTTTATATACATTTTCCTGAGTCATCACCACAAAAAAGAAGACACAGAATACAAGATGGAAAAAAGCATCCAATTTGAGTATCAATAAAAATAATTGGGCCAGTCGATAACGATCTTAAAAAGAAAAGATTAGATTGAATATATATATAATGAAATAAAAACTTACGTTTTTGAGCTTGATCAGCACCTAAACGCTTATAGTTACTCCAACCAATTTCTTGTCGAAGTATTCTACATAAATAAGCAAAGATCAAAGTAAATACAGAAAGAAGAGAGATGATGGCGATAGATAGATGAATAGCAGTATCAAAGAGAATAGAATCCATAGCAGGAGTTGCCAAGTTTTTACAAACATTAGTTTCATACAATTGAGTACCAGCAAATACAATAGACATGATTTCCAGAATAGTATGAGCCACCAATTGTATAACAGATTGTCGTACAATCTACCCAAAAGTAAAAAAAAAAAAAAAAAAAATAATTATCAATCTATCCGATCTTCCGAATCTATTTTTTTTTTTTTTTGTCTTTACAGCATCAATACCAAAATAAACTTGAAAGAGTCGCAATAATACGAAAAAGATATTTTCATCTTTAAGTCTTTTCAAATCAAGTAATGCCCACAAGTAAGGAATAGAATTTTGTGCTGGGTTCCAACCAAGAGCCGAATTCAATAGAGATAGATCACCACCTGATTTGACATAAATATCTTGAAGTAATACTAATGCCTGTGTATGTAAATTAGCTGTAAGACCTTGTAATATAAGTACAACAATAGTGGATAATAATGTAAGAAGAACATAACAAAGAGTATATCTTGTATGTATTATTCTATTCCACTAGAAACAAAAAAAAAAAAAAAAGAAAAGAAAAGAGTGATTAGATTAAAAAAAAAAGTAAATGTTTTTAAGTCTCTTTTTTTTTTTTTTTTTTTTTTTTTGCTTACGACTACATGAGGTAAACGGTTTATATTTTTTGGTAACTTGAAAATATTCATTTAAAATAGTAGATCTATTTCAATCAAAATAACAATAATATGAGATAAAAGGAAAGAAAAAAAAAAAAAAGAGAAAAAAAAAGAAAAGAAAAGGGAGAAAGGAAAGAAAAAAGTCAAGGAGGTGGCAAAAGGGACCTTCCTAGATCTGATTTTTCACTTCCCGCTTTTTTGTATATAAATGATTTGATCTAAAAAGAAGCTCTTATACAAAGATATAATGAAAGAAAGAAGGAAAGAAAAAAAAATGTCATTCTTTTCATTCATTTGATATTATATTGAAATGAAGACAGTAAAAAGAAATATATATTTGTTTATTTTGATGTTTAAAGTTCATACAAACAAAAAAAACTAACTAACTTTAAATCCAAGGTCGCCAAGAAGAAGAAGAAGAAGAAGAAAAAGAATAAGAAGGAGATGTTGGTGATAATGATGGTGAAGAAGAAGAAGAAGAAGAAGGAGATTGATATTGTTGTTGTTGTTGTAATTGATCACATCGTTGAACATATTCAGCAGCAGTAGCTAAAATATCAATAGGTGACATATGAGAAGAATCAATAGAAGTATCGCATAAAATATTATGTTGAGGAGGGGATTGTGGTGGAGAAGATAATAATTGTTGGTCCGATGATAAATGGTGGTACAAAATGATGCCTTGATGAAAATATTCTTGTTGTAGTTTTTGTTGTTCTTGTAACTTGATACGATTTACCTTCGCCCGCCTATTTTGAAACCAAACCTAGTAAGTATATAAACAAAAGAAAAAAAAATTAGTCCTGACATATTATATATTCTCTCTCTCTCTCTCTTTTTTTCTTTTTAATCACATGCATTGGAATGATAAAAAAAAAATCACTTTTTTTTTCTTTATATACCTGAACTTCTCTATTCGTCATATTCAATAATTTGGATATCTTGTCACGGAGTTCATGATTTGGTGTATCAGTTTGAAGAAAGAAATTAGATAAAGTCCGGAATTGATCAGGTGTGATCCGTTTACGTTTGGGTTTTGTAATATTGTTGGATGTCACCCCTAATCAATATCAATATCAAAAAGAAAAAGGAATTGATTAAGTATGAATACTACATAATAAATATATAATATATTATAATATATATATATATAAACATATACACACACAAAAAAAAATATAAATATGTACATGCATCATATACACACAGACACACACACACATATATATATATATATTATATTATATAGTTATTTTATAATATTACCTTCATTTGTCTTTGTTTTTGTCGTTGTCATCGTTTTGATTCTAAAACCATGTTTTTTACCAATAGATGATAATGGTTCTGGGTTCAAAAGGGAATGAATGGAAGCTCGATGATGATCAGTATTAGACATAAGGAATAATAATAATAATAATAATTGATAAAAAGAAAAAGAAAAAAAAAAGTAAAAGAAACAAGAAAGAAAAAAGAAATTCGGGTCGTCTCCGAAAAATAAAACCTTTTTTTTTTTTTTTTTATTTAGGTGGTTTGCTTTGAATGATCTCAAATCTTTGTCTGAGATTAAATTTCACGCACGCACACACACAAACGCACGCACTCACATTCATTCTTTTTTTTCACTGTCCTGCTATTGGTTTCTCTTTTTTTTTTTATTTTTTTGGTATTCCCCCCCTCCTTCTTTCTTTCTTTTCCTCCCTCTTTCTCTCTCTCACTTTTTTTTTTTTTTTTTACTTCTCCCACCTTTTGCTCAATAAAAGAAAGAAGACAATTTACTTTTTCTTTTTTTTTTTTTTTTTACAACCAACAAGTACATTCTTCTTCTTCTTTTTTTTTTACTGGTTGTCAGTTTGGTTATGAAACGGTCTTCTATTGACGATCATCATATTACAATTACAACAAAAAAACATTGCTCTTCTTCTTCTTCTTCTTCTTCAACTATCAATACCTCGTCAGATTCCCATATGACTTCAGTACTTACACACATCAACCATTTGGCTCGTTCTCTTGAAAAAGGTGATATTAATACTTGCCTTCTTTCTAATGTGGATACTACGCCTTGTTTGGATTCTTTGGACACAACAGATTCGGAAACGACACTATCAATTATTGAAGCTTTACGAAATATTGCTCAAAATCAACTGACTCTAAAAACGGAAAACTTACGGTACCAAATAGCTATTCAACAACAACATCAACTTTTGACTTGTAATAACGATATATCAACCAAGAATAATGATACCAATGATAGTAAATCTGTCAACAAAGTACCTATAACTACTCCTTCAACTTCTTGTACAACTTCATCACCACAAACAACAGCAAGAACAAATACTCTCACTTCTGAAAATGAATTATTATCTGTCAATGATTCACCATTATTAGAAAAGTTACAACAAGTATCCTCCGTTGGTAAGTCAAATCCAACTCATTGTTGTTTCCCCGCGTATTCGTCCTTATTTTTTTTTTCCTTCTAACTGATTTTGGTTTTTATTTTTTTATTTATAGCATCTCTTCTTGAATACCCAATGTCGGACTTACCTAACAGAGTCAACCTTTCTACGACGTCTATTCCTACACCTCCATTGACTACCTCTTCAACATTTTTGGGCTCAGCAGCAAATTCATCATCATCATCATCACCATCATCATCATCTTCACCAGCATTCAATATTACTCAACAACAACAACAACAACAACAACAACAATCATTATTATCTGGAAATATCAATAATACCGACGTATGTCCTACATGTGTTACAGAGGCAGTCAAAGTGGCTTCTGCTGTCTATGCTGGGGAACTGGATCAAAGAGTAACATGTGATCATAGTTGTTGTGGTTTGGTTGGTCCTATTCCTTTCTCTGCTCCTATAAATACGTTGAAGAATGCTGTCAATGCTATGGCTGATCACTTACAACGTGTTTCTGATGAAGTTTTATATGTAGCTCATGAAACTGCCGTCAAAGGAAAATTAGGTGTACAAGTTCGTTATAATCAAGATATGACTGGTGTTTGGCATGATGTCGTTGTGAACCTCAATGATATGACAAGAAATCATTTGGAACAAGTACGTGATATTGCCGATGTATCGAACGCTATTGCTCGTGGGGATCTCAGTAAAGCCATGACTGTACCCGTCAAGGGGGAAACTTTATTACTCAAGGATACATTCAATACAATGGGTAAATATAGAACTGGGTCTAGATTCCGATGGATCCAAAAAAAAAAAAAAAATTGCATGATCAACTGACCAATCATTGCTTTTTCTTTTTTTTTTCTTTTTTTTTCTCTTTATAGTCAACCAACTGAACCTGTTTGCATCTGAAGTATCAAGAGTTGCTCATGAAGTTGGAACTGAAGGCAAATTAGGTGTAGAAGCCAAGGTAGCTGGAGTCGATGGTATATGGAAGGAATTGACGGATAATGTGAATACAATGGCCACCAATCTTACCAATCAAGTGAGAGATATTGCTCAAGTTTCCAAATCTGTCGCCAAAGGTGATCTAACCAAAAAAGTCACTGTGGAAGTTAAAGGGGAAATGCTTGATTTGAAAAATACTATCAATACTATGGTCGATCAGGTAAAATGAAATGAAATTAAAATTTAAACAAAACTAAACTTTTTTTTTTTTTTTTTAGTTATCTACTTTTGCAACAGAAGTCACTCGCGTATCATTGGAAGTTGGAACGGGTGGTATACTAGGTGGACAAGCTATAGTTAAGGATGTAGCCGGTACTTGGAAAGATCTTACTGATAATGTAAATATGATGGCATACAAAATCACTAGTCAAGTTCGCGATATAGCCGTTGTAGCCAAAGCTGTAGCTGAAGGAGATTTATCCAAAAAGGTCGTTGCCAATGCTCAAGGTGAAGTTTTGGAATTGAAAAATACAATGAATCGAATGGTAAGTATGATCTATCTTTTTTTTTTTTTTTTGAAAATTATTCTACACAATTTTTTTTTTTTATACTTATGATTCTTTTTTTTTTTTTTTTATGAAACAGGTGGATCAATTACGATTATTCTCTGCGGAAGTACGACGAGTATCACTTGAAGTTGGTGTGGAAGGAAAACTGGGTGGACAAGCCATGGTCAAGGATGTGGGTGGTACATGGAAAGATCTTACTGATAATGTTAACATTATGGCTGCTAATCTTACTACTCAAGTACGATCCATTGCTGAAGTTACTAAAGCTGTGGCCAAAGGAAATCTTAGCAAGAATATTGATGTGGAAGCAAGAGGGGAAATTTTGGATCTGAAAAATACTGTCAATGATATGGTCGATCAACTCCGTGTATTCTCAACTGAAGTTACTCGTGTGGCCAAAGAAGTCGGTACGGAAGGCAAATTAGGTGGTCAAGCTGAAGTACCTAATGTGGATGGTACATGGAAAGATCTCACAGATAATGTCAATACAATGGCCACCAATCTCACTACTCAAGTACGTTCTATAGCTGTTGTCACCAAAGCTGTTGCCAATGGGGATCTATCCAAAAAAATTGAAGTCGATGTCAGTGGTGAAATCTCAGATTTGAAAAATACTGTCAATGATATGGTGGATCAACTACGTGTATTTGCATCAGAAGTCACTCGTGTCGCTCGTGAAGTTGGTACTGAAGGAAAATTAGGTGGGGAAGCCATTGTACCTGCTGTTAGTGGCACTTGGAAAGGTCTTACAGACAATGTGAACACAATGGCAGCTAATCTGACAACTCAAGTACGTTCTATCGCTGTTGTTACCAAAGCTGTAGCTAAAGGGGATCTCTCTAAAAATATTGATGTCGAAGCTCGTGGTGAAATCCTGGATCTCAAGAACACTGTCAACAATATGGTGGATCAACTCAATGTATTTGCATCTGAAGTCACTCGTGTAGCAAAAGAAGTAGGTACAGAAGGAAAACTAGGTGGTCAAGCTGAAGTACCCAATGTGGATGGAACATGGATGGATCTTACTGACAATGTCAATCAAATGGCAGCCAATCTTACAACTCAAGTGCGATCTATTGCTGAAGTGACGAAGTCTGTAGCCAACGGTGATCTATCAAAGAAAATCGAAGTGGAAACCCGTGGAGAAATCCTGGAATTGAAGAATATCGTCAATGATATGGTGGATCAATTACGTGTATTTGCATCAGAAGTCACTCGTGTAGCAAAAGAAGTTGGTACGGAAGGCAAATTAGGTGGTCAAGCAGTAGTACAAGGTGTTGCAGGCACTTGGTTTGAACTAACAGACAATGTGAACATCATGGCGGCCAATCTGACGAATCAAGTACGAGCGATTGCTGAAGTAACCAAGGCAGTGGCAGATGGTGATCTTTCTAAAAAGATTGAAGTGGAATCGGGTGGTGAAATCTCTGAATTGAAGGATACTGTTAATAATATGGTGGATCAATTACGTATTTTTGCATCTGAAGTCACTCGTGTGTCGAAAGAAGTTGGAACGGAAGGTAAATTAGGCGGTCAAGCAGTGGTACAAGGAGTTGCAGGCACTTGGAATGAACTCACGGATAATGTCAACATCATGGCAGCTAATCTGACGGATCAAGTACGTTCAATTGCTGAGGTGACAAAAGCAGTGGCACTAGGTGATTTATCCAAGAAAATTGAAGTGGAATCAGGTGGAGAAATATTGGAATTAAAAAATATTGTCAACAATATGGTGGATCAATTACGTATCTTTGCATCAGAGGTCACTCGTGTGTCGAAAGAAGTAGGGACTGAAGGGAAACTGGGTGGTCAAGCAGTGGTACAAGGTGTAGCTGGTACTTGGAACGAACTTACAGACAATGTCAACATTATGGCGGCCAACCTCACAACTCAAGTACGATCTATTGCTGAAGTGACAAAAGCAGTAGCAAATGGTGATCTATCGAAAAATATTGATGTTGAAGCTCGTGGTGAAATTTTGGATTTGAAGAACACAGTTAACGAAATGGTGGATCAATTACGTGTGTTTGCCTCGGAAGTGACTCGTGTAGCAAGAGAGGTTGGTACAGATGGAAAACTGGGTGGACAGGCTGTTGTCAACGGTGTAGCAGGTACTTGGTTGGATCTAACGGATAATGTGAACACGATGGCTGCAAATCTTACAACACAAGTTCGATCGATTGCTCAAGTTACAAAAGCTGTTGCATTAGGTGATCTCTCCAAGAAGATTGATGTAGAAACTCGCGGTGAAATACTGGAACTCAAGAATATCGTCAATGACATGGTGGATCAGCTGCGTATTTTTGCTTCAGAAGTCACTCGGGTGTCAAAAGAAGTAGGAACGGAAGGTCAGTTAGGTGGACAAGCGCTAGTACCCAATGTTGCAGGCACATGGGAAAGTTTGACCGACAATGTGAACATCATGGCGGCTAATTTGACGAATCAAGTACGATCTATTGCTGAAGTGACCAAAGCAGTGGCTCTGGGTGATTTATCCAAGAAAATTGAAGTGGAATCAGGTGGAGAAATATTGGAATTAAAAAATATTGTCAACAATATGGTGGATCAATTACGTATCTTTGCTTCAGAAGTCACTCGTGTATCGAAAGAAGTTGGAACGGAAGGAAAATTGGGTGGACAAGCTTTAGTACCGAATGTAGCAGGTACTTGGAATGAACTTACCGATAATGTCAACATCATGGCGGCTAATCTTACCAATCAAGTACGATCTATTGCTGAAGTGACAAAAGCAGTGGCTAATGGCGATCTCTCGAAAAAAATTGAAGTAGAATCTGGTGGTGAAATCTCTGAATTGAAGGATACTGTCAATAATATGGTGGATCAATTACGTATCTTTGCCTCCGAAGTCACTCGTGTATCGAAAGAAGTTGGAACGGAAGGAAAACTGGGTGGTCAAGCTTTAGTACCGAATGTAGCGGGTACTTGGAATGAACTCACTGACAATGTCAACATCATGGCGGCTAATCTTACCAATCAAGTACGATCTATTGCTGAAGTGACAAAGGCAGTGGCCAATGGTGATCTTTCCAAAAAAATTCATGTAGAGACACGTGGGGAAATCTTGGATTTGAAAATCACAGTCAACTCTATGGTGGATCAACTACGTGTGTTTGCTTCTGAAGTCACTCGTGTAGCTCGTGAAGTAGGCACCGAAGGCAAATTAGGCGGTCAAGCAGTGGTACAAGGTGTTGCTGGTACTTGGATGGATTTGACTGATAATGTTAACCTTATGGCTGGAAATCTCACTACTCAAGTTCGATCGATTGCTCAAGTTACTACTGCTGTTGCTCGTGGTGATTTATCTAGGAAAATCACTGTGGAAGTTCAAGGAGAAATTTTACAACTCAAGTAAGTATAATATATTATATATATATGTAAAAAAAAAAAAAAAAAAAAAAAAAAAAAGAAAAACTAGATGATTCATTTTTTTTTTTTTTGAACAGGGAAACTGTCAATTCCATGGTGGACCAATTACGTGTTTTTGCTGCTGAAGTCACTCGTGTAGCACGGGAAGTGGGTACTGAAGGTATTCTTGGTGGTCAAGCAACTATTGTGGGTGTTGATGGTACTTGGAAAGATTTAACAGACAATGTGAATTTGATGGCAAGTAATCTGACAGATCAACTACGTGGTATTGCTTTTGTATGTAAAGCTGTAGCTCAAGGAGATCTATCCAAGAAAATCGAAGTGGAAGTACATGGAGAAATAGCTGAATTCAAGTATACAATCAACACCATGGTGGAACAACTTAGCTCATTTGCATCTGAAGTGACACGTGTAGCTCATCAAGTGGGCACAGAAGGAAGATTAGGTGTACAGGCACAAGTGATGGATGTAGAAGGAGTATGGCGTGAAATTACAAGCAATGTGAATACGATGGCTTCCAACTTGACAACCCAGGTACGTGCGTTTGCACAAATCTCGGCATCTGCTACTGAAAACGATTTTTCTCGACTGATTACTGTTGAAGCTTCTGGAGAAATGAAATCTCTCAAGACCAAGATCAATCAAATGGTGGGCTCATTACGTGACGCTATACAAAAGAATCGACAAGCAAGGGAAACAGCTGAACTGGCGAATCGATCCAAGAGCGAATTTTTGGCCAACATGTCTCATGAAATCCGTACACCCATGAATGGCATTATTGGTATGACTTCTTTGACTTTGGAAACTGAATTGACTCGACAACAACGTGAAAACCTGATGATTGTATCCAGTCTAGCCAACAGTTTATTGACCATCATTGATGATATTCTCGATATTTCCAAGATTGAAGCTGGACGTATGACTATTGAAGCCATTCCATTCTCCTTACGATCAGCAATGTTTAGTGTATTGAAAACGTTAGCGGTTAAGGCAAATCAAAAGAAGTTGGACTTGATTTATGGTGTGGATAGTGGTATTCCTGATCAAATCATAGGTGATCCATTACGTTTACGACAAGTTATTACAAATCTCATTGGTAATGCTGTCAAATTTACTACTACTGGTGAAGTTGCTTTACATACTCGTTTAGTGGATGTACGTGGTGATGAAGTCAAGATTGAAGTTTGTGTACGGGATACTGGTATTGGTATTCAAGAAGATAAGTTACATATGATATTTGATACTTTTTGTCAAGCAGATGGTAGTACGACGTAAGTGATTATACCAAATGTATATATATATATATATGATGATTGAATGAATAATTTTATTTATTTATTTATTTATTTTATTTATTTATTTATTTATAGACGTGAATATGGTGGTACTGGACTTGGACTCTCTATCTCTAAACATTTGGTACAACTTATGGGTGGTGATCTTTGGGTGGAATCAAATTATGGACATGGATCACAATTTTATTTCACAATGAATTTGAAACGATTTGAACCTGACAAGAATGACATCCACGAAAAAATGCTTCGCTTCAAAGGACGTAATATTTTGTTTTTGGATAGTCTTGGAGATAAAACAGGTGTGATGAATGTTTTAGCTGAACTTGGACTCAAGCCTATCCGTGTGACTAGTATTGAAGAAGCAACCGAGCTCAACTCTAATCCTGGACGTGACAAACGGGCCCCTTTGATTGACACGGTGATTGTGGATCGAATGGTACATGCTGAAAAGATCCGTGAAGCTGTTCACTTGCGATATACACCTATTGTCTTGGTCTCACCAGAAACGCATCTACTCAACATGAAGTTATGTATCGATTTGGGTGTTACAGGATATATCAATTCACCAGTCAATGCCGCTGACCTATCGCATGCGTTACTACCAGCTTTAGAAAGCCATACCACTTTACCTAGTGACTCTGGTAAATCTCTACCTTTGGAAATCCTTTTAGCTGAAGATAATATTGTGAATCAAAAACTGGCTTTACGTATTTTGGAAAAATTTGGTCATCATGTCAAGATTGTCAGCAATGGGAAACTGGCAGTGGATGCCTTTGAAAGGTATTCATTTGATATGATTCTGATGGATGTACAGATGCCTGTCATGGGTGGATTTGAAGCAACACAGAAGATTCGACAAATTGAATCGGCATCAGGAACAAATACACGTACTCCTATTATTGCATTGACAGCACATGCTATGATTGGTGATCGTGATAAGTGTCTTCAATCTGGAATGGTAAGATGATGATGGAGATGTTTTCATTTTTTTTTTTCTTCTTGGACTCATTTTTTTCTTTTTTTTTTTTTTGATTTAGGATGAATATGTTACCAAACCTTTACGATTACCAGAGTTGATCTCTGCCATCAAGAAATTTGCCCCTCAATCTGCTCAAATGATGATGGAACCTCCCAAGAAATAATGGATGTATATCTATTTTTTTTTTTTTGTTAGTCTTATTACCTGTAGTCTATCAATTTCATTTTGTACCTTTTTTTTTTATTATTGGTCTTTGATATATATATACCTTTTTATTTTTATTATTATTGTCGTTATATATTTTTATTCATTTCATTTACTTACTGATTTCTGTATTGGCTTTTGTATATAATATGTTTTCTATTTTCTATTGAAGAATAAATGTTTCTTTTTGAACTGTAACTCCGATTCCTTCTCTCTTTCTTTTTTTTTTTTTTTTTTTTTTTTTCTATCGACATGGTGGCTATAAGAAATCTCTATAGTCAAAGGACCCACCTACTAGTATCACATACTCAACGATCATTCTTTATCAAGACTCTACCTATACGTCGTACCTATACAACAACTACTCCATTGAAAGGTTGGCGCAAATACGCAGATCAATTCAAACACAAACCAGCTTCGTACCTTACAACATTTGCCATTTTACATGAACTGACAGCCATCATTCCCTTCCCTCTTGTCTACTATGGTTTATCATGGTCCTCACTCAAAGTGCCTGTACCAGAACAAGCTGTGAATGAAGGTAACCGTATTGTCAACAAGGTCAGAGTCCGTTATGGCTTTACCCCTTTGGAACCAGATAGTCGTGTCATGATTAATTTGGCTACTACTTATGCTATCGTCAAGGTATATATATATAGAAAATATAGATATCTATATATATTATATATATGTGTGTGTGTGTGAAAAGAAGCGATGGAGGTGGGATGACTATAGACATATATGGAAAGGCTAATCCACTTTTTTTTTTAACCTCGGCGTTTAATGATGATGACTAGATCATGCTTCCTTTACGTATTGGTGCTTCGGTGGCAATGACTCCTTATCTAGCTGAAAGATTGATGGGTCCTTTATTGTCTTCTATTAGTGCCTTATTTAAGAAATCAAAACCATCCTTATAACATCTTTTATTATCATAATGTACTTTTGTATTCCCTCTGGTTTATATTTATAGTTTCCTTTTTTTGACAAAATAAAAATAGATGGTTGATATTATAGTTCTATTGTAATATGATTGGATTGGGTACATAGTTTTGAAAATGGGAAAATTATCCGTTTCTTCCATGTGTGACAACAGCGGTGAATAAAGAAACATATGTTAGATTGCATGACCCATGTTTCTCATTCTTTCTTTTTCTTCTTTTTTTTTTTTTTTTTTTTTCAAAAACAAAATATGGAGAAGAAAACTTCGTCTACTGGTCCATCAAGTTCAGCAAAGCATCATTTCTATGATATTGCCCAAAAAGTCGTGGAACAGATAAGAAGGTAATCAATTAAAAAAAAATATTCTTTTTCTTTTTTTGGCTAATGGATTATGATTCTTTTTTTTTTTTTTTCAGTGAAAAGGATTCTGAGGCTCATCGAGAATTCAGAAGTCATTCTGGAAATATACAGAAAAAGTCGCGAGACGCTTATATCTTTGGTATCGAACATCCTGGCAGTACTGGTGTCATCTATACCACTGATCGTGCAACTAAATTAGGTTTTCGTCCTGATGATCCTACTTGGGGTAAGTAAAATAATAATAATAATAATAGTAATAATAACGGATGATTCTATTTTGTTTCTTTTTTTTTCATAGCAAATTTTGGTCAAGGTGCTCCAGAAGGTATGTTTACTATCATCTAAATTGGTTACAGTCAATGATGAACTTATTTTTTTTTCTTTTGTCATGTGTATCATCATCCAGTGGGTCATATTGATGGATGTATGGATAAACCCACCCATATTGAAATCCCTCTAGCATCACTTGAATATGCCCCAGTGGCGGGTTGTACTGAATTACGATCTGCTGTTGCCAATCTATACAATGAAATCTACAGAAAAAACAAGACGTCGAAATATACTGCCGAAAATGTAAGTCATCACCATTGAAATATATACATGATTGATCCCTTTTCTCTTTTTTTTTTTTTTTAATCTTAGGTGTGCATTGTACCAGGGTAAAAAAAAAAAAAAAAAAAAAAAAAAAAAAAAAAAAAAAAAAAAAAAAAAAAGTGATGATCTTGTCATTAAAAACTTTATATATATCTTTCTCTCTTTCAGTGGTCGAGCAGGAATGACTAGAGTGGCCAGTGTCATTGCTGATGTTGAAGTGGGCTATTTTTTACCCGAGGTAAATGATCATGAATGATTATCGTCTAAATCAACTCATTATTCTTCATCATAGTACACTGCCTATGAACAAATGCTTTCTATCTTCAAACGGTTTGTGCCTATCCCTACATCACTGGATGAAGAAGTGGATTATAGTGTAGATTCAGAAACATTACGCAAACATATTTCTGGATGTGGTATTAGCTTGATCGTACGGTCCAATCCATCCAATCCAACAGGCACTTTGGTGGAAGGAGAAGAGTTAAAAAAAATGATTCAAGTAGGTCGTGATCGACATGCCACTATGGTCTTTGATGAATTCTATTCTGCCTATATCTACTCGCATGATGAATCTCAAAATGGTCGTACTGTGAGTGCTGCTGAATTTATTGATGGTAAATTGAAAAAAGAAAAAAAAAATTGGATAATAATACATAGATACTAAATTTTTTTTTTTAACAAGATGTAAATACTGACAATGTTGTCATTGTGGATGGATTAACTAAGAACTTTCGCGTAAGTACAAAACATCATACCATAAAAAAAGATACAATTGAATCCTTTTTTTTTATTTAGTTACCGGGTTGGAGAATATGTTGGGTAGTAGGTCCAAAAAGAGTTATCAATGCGGTGGAAGCAGCTGGTTCTTTTTCAGATGGTAAAATGAATATTGATACATCATCATTAAAAAAAAAAAAAAAAGTGGACTAAAATGTTTTCTTCTTTTTTTTTTTTGAATAACGATTCATCTAATAATAGGTGGAGCTAATCATCCTTTACAATTAGCCGCTGTGCCGATGCTCCAGCCTGAAACGTATAGGAACGAAGCCAAAGCTTTACAAAGACATTTCCGAATGAAGAGAGATATTGTCTTGAAACGTTTGAAAGAAATGGGCTTTGTCGTACGCAAACCACCTAGGGCCACCTTTTATATTTGGCTTGATCTGTCTGCCTTGCCACCTCCTATCAATGCTGGTTTGGTCTTTTTTGAGGAATGTTTGAAAGAAAAGACAATTTTAGTGCCTGGTATCTTTTTTGATATCAATCCTGCTCATCGTAGAGAATTGTTTGATTCTCCATGCCATCATTTTGTTCGACTATCTTTTGGTCCTCCCCTTGATGATCTCATGAGAGGTCTGGATGGTATGCAAAGAGGTAAAAAAAAAAAAAAAAAAATGACAGTAAACGAATACTTTTTCAACCAAGTATCTTAATGTTTTTTTTTTCCTTTATAGTGATCAATAAATTCAAAAAGGTGTAAACAAAGAACAGATCAATGATAATTGAAATAAAATGATATATATGTATTTTGTTCACGATGATTCGATCTTCAATCTGAGTTCTTTCTTTTTTTAATGCTGTTATATATATGTGTATGTGATTGCACCGCCTTTTCTGGTTATAAATTCCAATTTTTATCGTCTTATTTTTGTCCTCTCTCTTTTCGTTCCGCTACACTTTTTTTTTTTTTATATTAGACTAGATGTCACTACGCGAACCAATTGGATGCTTTGACGATAAAATCGACTGAATGGATGGATAGCATCGTCAATCGAATGGATGGACAACATGATCAATTGAGCTGGTATTACAAAAAATGCTTTTACGAGGATTCGGTTTGAACAAGTAGGCCGGTCAGGGTGATTTTTCGATGGTATCTTCTTCTCGGTTGCCTTCTCTCTCTCTCTCTCTCTTCCTTTCTTTTTTTTTTTTTTTTCTGTAGATTTAGCGATTCTTTATTAGTAGTTGATATCGATAATTACATAGTATATTATCTCTATATAATTTCTTCAATAAAATTGTGTTATGATTTTGTTACTCTTATCATTCTTCTCATTATTATTGTTACCAACATCATAAATCATCATCAATAACACACTACGAAATTTACATTATATCATTATTATAGACAACAATAGGAACCATTCTAGGACTCATCAATCATTAGCAGTTTATTATCATCTGCTTGCCAACTTTCATCATCATACAGTTCGTCTATTATTCGTTCACTATCCATCATACATCATCCTTTAGTCATAATATGTCTTCCTTATAGTCACCATACCATACTTTCATTGAATCAAAAAAAAAAAACATCGTTTCAATTTGGCTATCACTATTCTATAAAGCTTGAAATAAAAAGTGATTTTTATTGTGAGGTTTAAAAAAAAAAAAGATATCTATACCAGTCTAAAATAACAGATCATCCTTTGATACTTTTCCACCTTCGGCATTCACAGTATCAACATCCATTCCCAACACCATGATCTTTTTGAGTCTATCCAATCGATCTTTTTGTAATTGCAATAGTTCTTCCCATTCATCATCATCCACTTGTTGAGGTTCATGACTGTTAGCAAAGCTATTATCACTGCTACTATTGCCACTGTTGTTATTGTTGTTGTTGTTGTCATTATTATTGTTGTTGTTATTGTTAGCAGATAGATTGTCTGGAGTCTCGTTCATTTCTACATCCAATGGGGTATCATCCACTTCCATCATTTCACTATTATTGTTAAAACCTAAAGACAAATCATCGTCTAACGAATTGTTTTGGTTTGATTTGTTCTCTTGCTGTTGCTGCTGCTGCTGTTGTTGCTGCTGTTGTTGTTGCTGTTGTTGTTGCTGTTGTTGCTGTTGTTGCTGAAGTTCTGCTTCCAATTTCTTTTTCGCTAGAGTCACATTGTTTTGTTGATACTGTAGCTGAAGCACCCTTTTGGATTGTTCCTAAAGTATATAGAGTTATTGTTAGTGATAATAGCTAATGAAAAACTTCAGAAATGTCCATTTACCAGAATATAGTAAATCTGATCACACACGGTGTCAAAGTCATCACATTTCTCCAATAATTTTTCAATCAATTGAGGTGGTGGTTCTGTATCAGTCAAGCCTAACCTACTATAGTATTTGTATTAAAGAATAGGTCAATATATATATATATATATATACTGTTCACGTATCCAGTTCTTACCTCGCCTGTGTAGTAGCAAAATAATCTAATATCCTTGAAGAGTGTTCCAAAATATCCTATTATATTCAGCAATACAATCAGTTGTTTATCCTTTTCTTTTTCTTGTGCATTGCTTACGCTTCCCAATAGTTTGTTCAATGTCAATATTTCGTTCTGCAAAGGACGCTGAGTCATGTTATGCGTAGGTTGGAATCGTGGTTGCATGGTGAGATATTAATAACAGGAAAAAGAGAAAAAAAAAAAAAAAAAAAAAAAAGAAGTAAAAAGGGCACAGTCGCGTTCAAAAAAGTCTGAATTTCAAATTGACCTACTGAAAAGAACAAATCTCAAAAAAAAAAAAAAAAAAAAAAAAAAAAAGCTTTTGTTCTTTTGCTTTTCGTTTCTTTCTACTCAACACTTTTGTAATATTAAACTAGTAGATGTTTCTGACTCGACGAGAAACATGATTTTGGAAATAAACTTGCGCTCTGAAGAAATATACTGCATAATGGTAATAATAAACCAAAAAAAAAAAAAAGAAAAGACCAACTTCTACAGTTGACAATTAAAAACAGTGTTTTATTATACAAGTTCTCAAGAGATTGTTTTTTTTAACTCTTTTAATTTTTTTGACTTTTTACCTTTTTTTCAAGTTGGCAAACGATCATCTATAAATCAAGACAATTCAAAACAATTCCTTACCAAAATAACTCAAACTTTTATTTTACCACGTATAACAAGTAAGTACAAGACTTGGATAAAAAGGAATGGATATTTTGGATAGCAGAGATATCATTGTCAAGTTTTTATGGATTAATATCGTTTTAAATAGATATACATTTGTAGATATGACGACAGTATAAGTATTCATTTTGAAAAACTAATCTTTTTGTTTCCCGGAACGGAAATAGAAATACTTTTCTCTCTCGGATTTACTTTTCATCAGTCATATAGTTATTTGCTAGATTGATTGAAGTATAGGGACTTTTGACAAAAAAGGATACTTCTTTATTCTGTGGTACGAATTGCTATTTTATATGTGACTCTCTTAGATGGCTGCATTATTTGATATGGTATCACAGAAAACAAAACAAAAAAAAAATGAATGCTTAACTAATTTTTCCGCTCGTTCATCTTTTTCCTTTTTTTATGTAGGTTAATGATGATGATGATATATATATATATGTAGATTACATCCAATTGATTTATAGTGAAAGGATTGTTTTACAAGCTCTTCGTTTATGAATAGGATAGTTATTAGTTTGATACAAAGAATAAAGAATTTGATTGATAATGTTTAATATTTTACTGTGGGTCATATGAATAGAAATGGATTGGAAAGGTGTAAAAATGAAAAAGATGTTCCGAGAAGTATGATCAATTTTCCTTTTTTTTGAATGAAAAGTTTTATCATCTTTTTGAGAATTCTAGTGTCAAATAATGAAGCATAATAAAAAGAAAATCTTTCGGAAAAAGTATCATTGTTCTTCCTTTGGAAATCAAAGTGATCAAAAAAAAAAAAAAAAAAAAAAAAAAAAAAAAAAAGAACAACATTATGAATGAGTCTCATATATACAATGTTTTTTTTTCTTTTAAAGTCATTTGTACTACAATTGAAAAAAAAAAAAAATTAAAAGAAATAAAAAAAAATAAAAGAACACGGAATGAACAAAAATGTGGGGAAGCCCTAATTATCGGAAAAACTTGTAAAATTATGGGATTTTATTCCGTTAACCGGTTTCAAGCCAAACTTTCTTTTCAATATTCCGTTAACAATTGACAACAGTTTTTCTTTTATTATGATTTTATGATTAATATTAATTTACAATTGTTTTCTTTTTTTTTATTATTATTATTATTATATTAAAATAATAATTATATATAAAATAGACATTTTTTCCTATTCTAATAATCATTCATCATGTATCATTTATTCTATTAGCGGTAAATGAAAAAAAATGATAGGCAGGAGTTGATTCTTATCGTGGGAAACATTTTCTTCCCACGATTTTCTATAAATGCGTTCTTTAACTTCTCTTTCCCGTTTTTTATTTTTTTTTCTTGTTTTTTCCTTCTTTTTATATAAAATTTGAATTTTCTCTTCACCCCCTACTCTTTTTTTTTTTAATTTACATTCAAATATCAATATAAACAAGTGATTATGGTAATATATAGAAACATAGTTTTTATTTTTTTATTTTTTTAAATCTAACGATTACATTTTATTATAGGCTACTACTTATACTAAAGAAAATAATCCCTTCGCTGGTTTTGATCACCTTCGATTTACTGTGACTAATGCAAAGCAAGCTGCTTCTTTTTATTGTACTCGATTGGGTTTCAAGCACTTTGCTTATCGAGGATTAGAAACTGGAAGTCGTGACACTGCTGCTCATGCTGTCAAGGCTGGTGATGCTATCTTTGTCTTTGAATCACCTATCCAACCTCATTTGCAACAAGAAATGGCTCAAGAAATCGCTCGTCGTGGTGATGGTGTCAAGGATGTTGCCTTTACTGTGGATGATTGTAAGGCTGTTTATGAAAAGGCTGTTGCTCGTGGTGCCATTTCTGTCCGTGCTCCTGAAGCTTTCACTGATGAGGATGGTACTGTCATTATGGCCACTCTCAAGACCTATGGTGATGTGGAACATACTTTGATTGAACGCAAGAATTATAATGGTGTATTTTTACCTGGTTTCAAGGATTCATTGACTTCTCTTCGTTATGAAGATCCTTTGGAAAAGATTTTGTAAGTCAATGAATAGGAGGGGATAATTTATCATGACTGACCACCTTTTTTTTTTTTTTTTTTTTTTTTTAGGCCTTCAGTTCCTTTGGCTTTCATTGATCATGTTGTTGGTAACCAACCTGATGATATGATGGAATCAGCTGCTTCTTTCTATGAAAATGCATTCGATTTCCATCGATTTTGGTCTGTGGATGATAAACAAGTACATACTGAATATTCTGCTTTGAGATCTGTGGTCATGGCTGATCCTGCTGAAAGAATCAAGGTACCTATCAATGAACCTGCTTTGGGCAAGAAAAAATCTCAAATTCAAGAATTCGTTGACTTTTATGGTAAAATCATCAATACAAGAAAAAAAAATTGTATTCTTATCTTTTTTTATTATTATTATTAATGATAATTAGGTGGCGCTGGCGTTCAACATATTGCTATCAACACTTCCGATATCATCACATCTATCACCAACTTACGTGCTCGTGGTTGCGACTTTTTAACCATTCCTGACAAATACTATGACAATCTACGAAAAGCATTGGCTGTCCATAATCAAACCGCCAAACGTCCTGTGGTAGAAGATTTGGATATTCTTCAAAAATTGAAAATCATGGTTGATTACGATGAAAATGGTTACCTATTACAAATCTTCACTCGTCCTTTGGAAGATCGTCCTACCGTCTTTGTTGAAATCATCCAACGAAGAAATCATAATGGTTTTGGTGCTGGAAACTTCAAGAGTTTGTTTGAATCTTTGGAATTGGAACAAGATCTCCGTGGTAATCTGACTGACATGGAACAACCTCAAGCTGCTCCTAGCAATTAGTTTCTTATTATTATTATTATTGTTATTATTATTATATATATATATACACACACACCCATATCAACACATGCATATTATTCTCCTTTATTATTTTGACACTTGATGAAATAAACATTTTGATGTTCTTTTCCTCTTCATTGTATCTTTTCTTTCATATCATTTTTTCAAGTCCATCTCAGTATGTATCTAATATAGAGTTAAAATGGATACTATAATATTATGGTTGTATGATAGAAAATATGAATTTATTAGATAGTAATGTAAAGTAGAATAATAATAAATATAATGTAAAACGCTAATTAAAAGAAACCAACTACTGTTGGAAAAAGAAAGAAAGAGAAGCAGCCCAAACCAAGACAAGAGAGTTATCGAAGAGATACTTTTACCTAACTTGCTATTCTTTTATCCAATAGAAAACATTGTTATATATTCAGTTAATCCTATTGTATATTTCTTCATATATCTATCTACTATATGTTCACAAAAAAAAAAAAAAAAAAAATAGGTTAGTTCATAATATGAAAGGCTAAGAAGAAGAAAAAAAAAAGAAAAAAAAAGGAAAGAATAAGTATAGAGTAAGTATATAGTAAAGTATAGAGTAAATATAATATGTAAAGAATGACTTTTAAATATATAATATAGATTAATAAAATAATGTATAATGGTAACTTAACAATGTCCAAAGTGCCAGTGGTTAAAAAAAAAAAAGTAAAAAAATAAAAAATAAAAAAAAGCAAAAGGAAAAAAAAAAAAAGTGAAGAGCGCGCCAATTTTTCTTTTGTCAGAGCTTGGTCCAACTTTTTTTTCAATCTCCAGATTTTTTTTGATCTCGACCAACTTTTTTTTTTTTTTGAGATTGGAACCTCCAGACTCTTTTTTTTTTGATCCAACACACCCCCACATTGAGACCGGACTTTCAATGTATACCATTTATGGAAAACACTTATGATTTGCATTAAAAGAAAGTAGAATTAGATGAATAAATAATAATAATAAATAGGATGATGATGATATGAAGATAAACTTTATTAAACAAGAAGAAGAATATAAGATAATAAGACTAAAACTATCAATAAAAGAAACTATAGAAAAAAATATCATCTATTTACACACAAATTGATTTCCCTTTTCCAGTTGTTATTAATAATATACTGTAGTTACATTAGTTATTCATCCTTTTTATATATCTAATTTTCGTTTGGTTCTGTGATCCGTATATATAGGATGATGATGCATCAAAATAATAAAAAAAAGAAAGAAGAAGAAGAAAAAGAGAATGAGAATCATATTTTAAATATTCTTTTTCATTTTTTTTTTATATCTTACTTTGAATGCACTAATTGATCATACTTGAAAATGATCATAACAATTGAATAATAGTAACATAATAAGACTGATGGACGATGTATCATGACAACCTATCTATTTAATAAATAAATGTTTAATGGTTGATGTGTATAATATATATATTCCACTGTAGTTGGAACTTATACCAATAATATTTGAAGGATGACAACGATAGTAATGATAGCGATATCAATTTCCACGAGGATAACTAACTGATGAGAATTTAAACGATCTTGAATAAAAAGGATGCCTTTATAGAGAATAGAGTAACATATAAGCAGTTCAACTTGTATTTGTGACACTACCCATCCACAAAAAAAGAAAGAAAAAAAAAAAGAAAAGATGATATTAATGATTGACAAATCCTTCATTATCGTATTTTAAGCCTTACCTTCAAAGGTAATACCCTTGATTTTGTTTTGTTTGTGCTTGATAACCATAATTGATAGATATATTCAATAGCCTTTCCATTGGCATGATACTGGAATACTACTGAGAAGAAAAAAAAGGAAAGAATGAGAATCGCAGCCATACCTAAATCACTTACTATTTTACTATTTCTTTTTTTTTTTTTTTGGATTTATAGTAGTACCTTTGATAGTTATAGTCCCATTGTTATAGTTTCATGATCTGTTGAATATATATTGAGGATTCAGTTTCTAAAGAAGAGTCAAGAGATGGTATTTCTATAGCAAGATAAAAAAAGAGGGAAAGAGAGAGAGTTTAGTTAACAAGTATATAAAGTTCCTTTTATTATATCTTTACTTACTTTTTATACAAAATAGAAAAAAGAAGAAGTTTATAAAAGTAGTGATAAAAAAGAAAAAGAAGAAGAAAGTGTGAGAAAATAAAAATAATGTGAGGTCTATTTTATATAACCTCATGAATTGAGCCTTTCCTTTTTTGGATGTTCAACTACCGCTTTTCATAATTTATATTCATTACTTTATTATTTTGTTATTATAAGGTAATCAATTTATGATATTTAAACTGATTTATTATTCTATATGAATATGATTGATGTTCCATCAGATTAATACAAAGTTGTTCAAATTGATTATATAATCTATATGCTTGATATTCCTTATTCTTTGGTAATCTTTCTTTACTATCATGATTATTCAAAGTTCAATGAATACAACGAATAAGAAATAAGTGATAAAATCATTCACTTGAAAATGTTTATTCTAATATATCATCATCATCATCATCATGATTTTACTATAACCAATAAAAAAAAAATCAATTCAAAAAAAAAGAAACTTAAGCCTATGTGATTCCTTATGATTCGTAGATTTGACTTGCAGGATTTTTTAAACTGGCTCCGATCAGGTAGACATATAAAATAATTCTTTTTCTTTTTTCTTTCTTTCTTTCTTTCTTTCTTTCTTTCCTTTTTTTTTATACATTCCAACTTCGTTACTATATCCTACTCATTTTATCTATGTGGTTTTTACAAATATTTACTCTTATTAAAGATAAGCTTCAAAAACAAATGCTTTTCTTCTTTTTTCTTTCTAACCTCCTTCCCTTTTTTTTTTATTATATACGTTCTTCTGACCTTGATCTTTTTACTATAACACCCATCCATCTAGAATTACCGTTCTTTCTTCTTCTCATACTTCATAATTGGTATCCTTGACAATCGTCATTACTGAATATATGTCTGAAAGAAAGAAAGAAGTCTAGATACACGAAGACTTGATAATCTAAATATAGGATCAATAGGATAATTACGCGAAGTGGCTATACATCTGAATCAGCGGAATGGATAGATATACAATAGGATCACAGAATGAAACGAAATAAATACGTGCTATTGTCATAAGGTGTGGAAAACATGGATGAACAGGATATATTATAGGATCCAACTGGATTGGATTATACAATCGATTAGAAGTATCTTATTTATCTTTTTTTTTTATTTATTCTGGTCTATGAATCGTTAGTGATTCTTTTTAATTGTAGTTTAGAATGGTACTTAGTATATCAATTATATATATATATACATTCTTTTTCTTTAATAAAATCATAATTATTATTTTTCTAGGATAGTCATCAATGCATTTCTGTACCTGGTTCCTTGAATAAATTAAATGACAGCTGAATCCAAGCAATTGATCAATGACATCGTTATTTTCGTAAGATAGAAGACGAACAATCAACAGTATACAGGTACAGGTTGCTATTGGCATGATGATGATTGATAATAAGAGAATATATATGCTTAAAATGATGAACGCAATGTATGAAATGAAATAGTAGATACTGATGTGTATATGAATCATGTTTCTACAATAGTTTTTTATTATTATTATTATTATTTTTTAGTGAAAATAAAATGATAATCATACCCATTCTTTCTTATTACTCCTTTTGATAATGATGATGATCGAGAACAAATAGATAAATAATATGTGAAATGACAATATAATAAACAAACAATAATAAAAATATGATTTTATTTAAAAGATAATATAAAGTAAAGCACTATAACTAAAAGACTAAACTATTAAATAAACCAATGATAAAGAGTTGGATACTTTTTCCCTAACTTGCTTATTCTTTTATCCAATATCCATTTAATCCTATTGTATATTCCTTCATATATCCTATCTACTATATGTTCACAGAAAGAGTAAAAAAAAAAAAAAAAAAAAAAAAAAAAAAAAAAAAAAAAAGAACCAACCAACCAACCAAAAAAAGATTAGTTCATAATATGAAAGACTAAGAAGAGAAAAAAAAAAAGGAAAGAATAAGTATAGAGTAAGTATAATATATATATAAAGAGTGACTTTTAAGTATATAATATAGATTAGTAAAGTAATGTATAATGGTAACTTACAATGTCCAAAGTGCCAGTGGTTAGAAAAAAAAAAAGTAAAAAAATGCAAAAGTAAAAAAATAAAAAGTGAAGAGCGCGCCAATTTTTTTATTTTGTCAGAGCTTTGGTCCAACTTTTTTCCATTGTCTCCAACATTTTTTTTTTTTTTCAATCTCCCAGATTTTTTTTTTTTGAGATTGGAACCTCCAGACCTTTTTTTTTTTTCTTTGATCCAACATACCCCACATTGAGACCGGACTTTGAATGTATACCATTTATGGAAACACTTATGATTGTAATAAAGTTGAATAGATGAATAAATAATAACAACAATAATAAGCTATGATTTAGATTGAATTACTAGTAAATGATGATAATAATAATATGAATAATATAAAATGATGATTTTATAATATAACTATAGTAATAAGATGAATATTAACTATAATATCATTTCCCTTTATGATACTGTACTTTAATGACAAAGTACATCTCTCTTTTTATCATATTCATACAATACATATGTATGATCAATAATGATAAAGTAAAATTAAATATAAGAATGATAGATGATATGTGATAATGGGATAATATCTGAAGGGATGATGATGATGTATATTGGGTGATCTAATGCTATATATATAATAATGGTGATTATAGATCAAAAGAAAAAAAAAATAGGGAGATAGGAACAAGACCATTAATAGTAACGGTATGAATATGGTTTTTATTAAAGAAGGATGTACAAACATAATCCATATGATCACTAAGAATAACTAATTTTGTTTTGCAATGCACGATTATCTACATATTCCAAATCTATAATCCTATTAAGGAAACAAAAAAAAAAAAAGAAATGATATGATATAGTAAATGTTTTTTTACCATTCATTATCAATTTGTTCATATGAACTTACCCATTCATCAACACCTTGAATTTCTGTAACTGGGTGGCCATTTGACTAACATGTTCTTGAGTTATTGGGATCGATGTCACTTCCACCAACCACATATCTTCAGGTTGAAATAAATAAGCAGTTGAGATATCCACCTTTGTCTTGACTTTGTATAACTGACTGATGGTGATCTTGAGTAATTTTTCATAAGCAAACAATTGACCGCGCCGTACCACTTCAAAGGAATAACTTTATTATAATAAAGAAAAAAAAATCAACAATATTGCACATTTTTACTTGTTTGATATCGTTTATTACCTATAACCAAGTGATTTCATATAACGAAAGACATCGCCTCCAAGTTGAACACGGGTATTTGGTCGTACAATAACGGATCGTCCTCTTTGTGGTTCTGGATTGCCTTGCATAGATAAGTACCTATAAACAACAAGATATAAAACAAATATTGAACTAGTAATAAGAACACAATGTCTCATATCCTTTTCTGTTTCTTTTTTTTTTTTTCCAATCTACCATTGTCTGTGTTTTAGTGATATCTGCTGTTCATTTTCAATTCTTGATACAAGTCGAAGTATCACATCATCGTTTCTCGCTGGTCCAATTGGCGTTTGTACTATAATAATAAAAGAGAAGGGTTTGGTGAATTTCATATAAAATAAGTACAATTGTTTTCCTTTATACCTGTCGGTGTAAATACGATTTCGTGTTCATACAAGTCGAACATACTATTGTTTCCAGCTATGCCCAATATACGATCAATGACTGCCTTCTTTTGTTTTTCACCTTGTATAATTCCCTGTAAACTACATTCATAAGCTGCCATTATATATATATATATATATATATATATACGTGTGTGTGTGTGTGATATCAATCAGAGTAGAAAAGAAAGAAAAAATTGGCAGTGATTCTTTTTTTTTTTTTTTGTCCTTGTTTCTTCGATTTCAAAGCCAGAATCATACTGTATTGCATACGATCCTCTGTAACTCTCTACCTTAGTTTTTTTCCTATTTTACTCTTTTGAAATCATCTATATGAACCATCCTTTCCTAAGAAAAGAAAAATTGTTTCCTGATCTCACGTATGGAGGATGAAATAGGAACATCATCAAAAAAAAAAAAAAGAATGAATTACCACAAATGGAATCCTTGCCTAACACATTAGCCAATGAGAAATGTTATGACGCGCCCTGGTAGAAAATTTTCTACACGCGGATGTTCAACTAGACAGCGAGCTGTCACAAAATCATTATAAATAAGCAATGTACCTTCACCAAACCTTGCTTTTCCTTTTTCTCTTTCTTTCTTTTCTTTCTAAAACTCTTCTAAAAGGTAAAAATAATAGTTATATCTAAAGGATGATTTCTTGATTGTATATGATGATTTCGCAAAGTATAGTTCATTTGACAGTGGACTTACTACCCACTGACTGATCCTTAGTCTTTTTCGCCCCTATCTGATTCATGATAGAAAATCATCCAGATTAAAATTTATCATTAAAATAACTAGAAACTAAATTCTTTTTCTTTTTTTTTTTTCTAGGCTCTTGATATGAATCCTTTTGTATTAGTATAGTTTATGTTGAAAATGAAACAATAATAATAAAAGTTTATAATTTGTCCATCTATTTTATATTGTGTATATTTATGTGTATTTGATATGACAGGGGTTGTCTGTCAAGATCAAAAAAGAATGAAGCTCCGAATGATTTTACCTTTGTATATGGAAAAAGTTGACTCTTGACTGACCCTCCAAGGGCGGGCAACAAAACAGTGACTTTGACCTTTTTATTTTTTTTTTCTTCTTTTCTTTCCTTTATTCTCTATCCTATAAAAAAAAAAAAGAACGAGAACAGAGTTTGTTGAAACTAGGGGTGCGTCAGTTTCATTATATATTTATATTATTACCTATCCTCCCCACTCTTTTGTATTACATCTGTCAACAATTTTTTTTTTTTTTTTTTTTTTTTTTACATTATCAATTATGCGGATCCGAACGTTAAACCATTTACAACGACAACGATTAACGTCCAATCTCTTTGTCGTGGTCGCCATTGGTGCAGTTGTAACCGTCGCCTTGCCTACAATATTCCCATGTCCTGCATTTGATCATAACGATAAGGCTGCCCGGTTAGAAGCTCAAAAGAAAATCAAATCTAAACAAGTCATTGTCAACTCAAGGGTATCTCCATCCTCAACATCATTACCTGCATCCTCTTCACCAATAAAATCACAACTGGAGTCTTGAAAGGATCACTATTTTACTCTTTACACTATCTTTTATTTATCATTGTTAATTAGGATTAGATATGTTGTCACATTCTCTAGATACCACAAAAACCTATTTTTTACTTCAAACTCTTCCATTATCTTCTTTATATTACTCCCTATACATATCTATTTCTACTTTTGTTTATTTCCACTTCACGCATATTATTTATACATTATACAAATTGTTTTTGACAAATAAAAAAAAATCAACACCATCTTTAGTTTCTTATTTCTAACAACAGCAGTAATATCTTCCGTGTTTTGTCTATAGTTTTTTTTTTTTTTTTTTTTTTTTTTTTTTTTTTTTTTTTTTTTTTTTTTTTTTTTTTTTTTTGTCGTATGGCAATGAAAGGCAAATTGGTTCGTTTCATAGACTATTTCATACCATAGATGGAAAATCATTTCGATCTGTTATGACTCTCAGTTCCGGCGTTTGATATGTTGATGGATCTGCAGTTTTACTACAAATGCCCTATTGATCATCCCGACCATCATATTATCCCGTTATCATCTTTGCATCACCATCTTCCCATCATCATATTATTTATCATCAAAAGACTTAGCAGAAAGAAAATAATGGCCAATAGTGCTTTTCAGAAAGAGAGTCGGAGGAAAGTTTTTTTTTTTATTATAATTATTCAAATCATTAATGTGATATAAGGATGATCATCTACATACATTGTAAACAATCTAAAACAAGTAAAAAAAAAAAAAAAAAAGATAAATAGAAAAAATAAAATAACCAAATAACTATGCTAATGTATTAAAATAAATGGATTCCTTAACAATGTTTTCTATCAATTGAATCGGTTGATCAAGTCCTTGACATTGTTAGGAGTAGTAGAGGAAGGCTTGCTGGATGATCTACTGGGAATCACAGAGGATTGTAAGGTTTCAAACTTATTGAGTAGTTGGGCCATTTCAGGAGTTTTGGGTCGAGATTGCGTTTCCACAGGTTTTAATGTATTGTTGGAATCGTTATTATTGTCATTGTTGACTACATTCATGATTTCGGCATCCAATTGTTCTTCTTCTTCTTTCGTTGCTGAAATATCTATTTCTTGTTGATTGCCTTGATTAGTAATGCCGTTTGATTGTACATTGTCCACATCATCCACTTTTTCTTCATATTTATCTACTTTTTGGTGATCTTGCTGTTCTTCAGTGTGTTCTATTTCTTGATCAAGTTTGTTGTTGTCTCCATGATTTTCTTCAATACTGCTTTTATCTACCTGACTGTCTTGATCATCATCATCATCGTTTTTAGTGTCGGGTTTGCTGATTGTTTCTTTGGATCCCTTCTTAATGGTAGCGGAGGTCCTCTTCGTAGTTCCAGTTGCACTGATGACTTTGCGTTTCGCTTGATTCTTGTCTTCACTAACAGCAGTAGATCCTACCTTGCTAGGCTTTGTGATCGGCTAACCAATAAATAAAATCATACGTTAGCCGCCTTTCTCACTCATCCTCTCTTTCCTCCCACCCTTGTATTACCTTTGCAGCTGAAGAAAGTGGAGTGCTAGTTGGAGGAGAAGTACGTCGAATTGGAGTACGTTTGACAGTAGAAGTGGCAGAAGTGGCGGAAGGAGACTTGGTAGTATTGGAGGTCCCACGAGAGGCTGTTGATCGAACGGGTCTAGTAGGTACAGCTGTTGATGAAGGAGGTGAAATGCGTCTTGGATTGACAGTGGTAGCTTTGTCTGCTGTGCTTGATGGGCTAGTACGACGAGTAGCTGGTTTCTCTACTGTTGTAGCTGATACTTTTTTTGTTGTCGTTGCGGTTGTGGTTGTAGCTGTAGTAGTAGTGGTACGCCGTGTAGATGATGCAAGTCCTGAAGCTGTTGCCGATGTCGCTCTGATTCTTGATGTTGCATGAGTGCTTATTGTTGCTGAGGAAGTTTCCGAAGTACGTTTGTTGGCACTAGCTGCTGTTGGTGCAGTAAGACGAGATATAGTAGAAACGCGTTTCTTGGTAGCGGTGGCAGGCTTCGTTTCGGTTGTTGCAATCTCTTCCGATTTGGTCAGTGATTTCTTCGCTAAAGTGGCTACACGTGGAAGTGGTGTACGACTTGGTGATGTCGATGATTTTGGTGCTGCTTTTTTCATGGTTTTTTCAGTTGTTGCATCCGTTCCTGTGGTTGATGTTACGCCTGATCGTCGCAAACGAGTCATGGTGGTAGCAGTGCTTGATTTGACTTGACCTGTAGTAGTAGCCGGTACCTTCTTTGTTGCTGTAGCAATTGGAGGTGATGTTGATTTTTCAGGAGCTTTGGCAGTGCCTGTAGGTGATTTTCTAAGAGGTGATCGGGTGGGAGAAGTCGGTTTTGATGTTATTGGCTTTTCTGACTTTGCTGCTTGCTTGTCATCATGATTGGGCGTCGATATTTCTTCATGTTGATTTGATTGTTGGCTGATAGACTTTGTTGTTGAGTCATCCCCGCAAGATACGTCGTCGTGATGTTCGTCTTTTGTCGAAGGCAATACAGTTCTTTCAGTGATTCCTCTTTCCATTGGCAAGTCTTGGTCATTTCTTCTTACTATTCCTTCCTTGTTTCCTTGGATGGATGGTGCTTGGTCTGGATTCTTCAGAGCAATAGATCTCTCCACTTTTTCCTTGGAAATATTTAGCTCCCCGTCCTCTTTGATAGATTGTCTAGCGGATTCTTCAACAACTTGTTCAACAGATTTTTCCACAGGTTGTTCAGCAGATTCTTCGACAGGTTGTTCAGCAGTTTCTTCGATAGGTTGTTCAGCAGATTCTTCGATAGGTTGTTCAGCAGATTCTTCGATAGGTTGTTCAGCAGATTCTTCGATAGGTTGTTCAATAGATTCCTTGACAGATTGTTCAATAGATTCCTTGACAGGTTGTTCGATAGATTCCTTGAGAGGTTGTTCAATAGATTTGTCAGCAAGTTGTTCAATAGATTCCTTGACAGATTTTTCAGCAGATTTTTCGACAGGTTGTTCAACAGATTTTTCGACAGGTTGCTCTACAGATTCCTTGACAGGTTGCTCTACAGATTCCTTGACAGGTTGCTCTACAGATTCCTTGACAGGTTGCTCTACAGATTCCTTGACAGGTTGTTCGATAGATTCCTTGACAGGCTGTTTAGCAGATTCTTCGACAGGTAGTTCAACAGATTTTTTAACAGATAGTTCGACAGGTTGTTCAATAGATTCCTTGACAGGTTGTTCAATAGATTCCTTGATAGGTTGTTCAACAGATTCTTCGGCAGGTTGTTCAATAGATTCTTTGACAGGTTGCTCTACAGATTTTTCCACAGGTTGTTCAGCAGATTCTTCGATAGGTTGTTCAATAGATTCCTTGACAGGTTGTTCAACAGATTCTTCGGCAGGTTGTTCAACAGATTCTTTCACAGGTTGCTCTACAGATTCTTCGGCAGGTTGCTCTACAGATTCCTTGACAGGTTGTTCAACAAGTTGTTCAACAGATTTTTCGACAGATTGTTCACTAGATTGCTCAGCAGATTCTTCGACAGATTTTTTAACAGATAGTTCGACAGGTTGTTCAATAGATTGTTCAGCAGATTCTTCTACAGATTTTTTAACAGATAGTTCGACAGGTTGTTCAATAGATTGTTCAGCAGATTCTTCGACAGATTTTTTAACAGATAGTTCGACAGGTTGTTCAATAGATTTTTCAGCAGATTCTTCGATAGATTTTTTAACAGATAGTTCGACAGGTTGTTCAGATGATTGTTTGATATTTCCCTTGATCGCATCCACAGAAATAATTTCTTCAAATTGTTCTTTGTTGTCTTCCTTGACTACATCCACATTAACATTAGATTCTTCGGAAGTTTCTTGGTTGATTTCCTTGGAGATACCCACAGAGGCAATAGATTCCCTAGAAGACTCTTCAGCAGATACCTCAGATACTTCAGATTCTTTTTCAGAGAGTCTTGTAATAGCATCACGATCATCATAAACTTGAGTAAGGGATTGTTCACTAGTTTGTTCTTCGGCAGCAGTATCATGAGTAACATCAGGATCAAATTGCGTATCAGAAGTTTCAGTCGGTTTCTTGTTGGATTCCTCGATCACATTGACACGTGTTGCAGACATTTGTATCGTATCTTTCGTAGGGAGAGTAGGATAATCATCATCATTCACGGAAATATCTTGACGTTCAATTGCAGTTTCTTCAGTAGTATCATGAGCAGCATCATCAAGGGCAAGAGTAGGAGAAGGAATAACATGTTGTCCATGTTCGTTATATTCATCCAAAGTCATATCATCAACTGTCAAGAGCTCTTTTTCAGTAGACACATTGGTTATCTCTTCCATAGTCAAAGGGGTATGAGTCGTGTATTGTTCAGTAGTACTTGCAGTAGATTCTTCCGTGGCTTGCGTGACAGTTTCAGAAACTTCCACCAAAGGAGCATTATCAGAAGGAACTGAAGCATCATCACCATAAGGATCATTTGTGTTTTCTCGTAGTGTATCATGTTCCATGTCGTTCGTGTTATTGCTTTGTTTGATATCATCATCGGTTTTGATGGATTCAGTAATAGTAACATCAACAGTAACGACTTGCTTGTCAATGGTATTCGTAACGTTGTCGTTGCCATCTAGATCATTCGTATCCTTGACTGGTGTTACTGTATTGTCTTGAATAAGGAGAGATTTAATTTCTTGTTCCACATCGTTGACGTTATTGTTGTTGTTGTTGTTGTTATTGTTGCTATCGTCGTCATTTTCTTTTTTGATAAAGGCGGTAGCATCTTCAACTAATGGCGATTCACCAATCTGGATATCTTTTTCCGAGGAAGCTAAACTATCCACCACTGCCGTTGTTAAAGTATTGACAAGTACTTCTTTTTCGGTTTTGTTGTCCAGAGCATCAATGTTTGTAATGTCTACATTGCTGTTGGAAGAGTTTGCTTTTTCATCCTCGAGTAGTTGTTGACATGATTCATTCTTTGTAATAGTGTGGTCAGAGAGTTGAGTGGTGACGATATCAGTGTCATTTTCCTTGTGGTTATCCGTATTATTTGTTTGTTGTTCTAAATTAGCTGTGATCAACGTGTCATCCAATGTTTTCGACTCATGAGTCAAGTCTTGTTGTGTTTCATGACCAATAGAAGTTGCTAGTTGCGGCGTTTTTGCTTCCTTGTTCTTGTTGATATGAGAAGAGAAAGATTGTTCTTCGGATTCAGTAGATGATGCTTCGGTAGAGTCAGCAGGTGGCACAAAATCAGAGTTGGGACAAGTCGGTGCGTCGTTTTTGTCAGATGATTTGAGGTCAGTTGTCGGCACAAAGGGGTCGACATCGTTTGTGTTGATAGAATCATAATCACGCGTGCTGTCATCCACCTTTATAGTAGCCTGGTTCTTGTCAATAGAAGGTTTATTTTGATTGGTAACGGTAGCGTCTTCATTGGATTGTTGCAATGTCGGTTGATTTTGTAGTTCGATATTATGTTGTTGAATATGAGATTCAGTGACATCCAAAGAAGTTGTTACACTGGTATTGACAGTAGATGTTGGACCAAATACAATATCGATTTCACGTTCAGCACTTGTAAGACAATCACTTCCATGAGTAGCATTCTGAGATCCATCAGTTCCAAACAACGCACGAATACTAAAAGAAAGGATATGAGTTCATTTGACAAGAAAATAGGATTTTTTTTTTTATTTGACTCTTGCTTACCTAGTGGGATCGATTTCTCGAGCTTTAATAGAATTGGTTGGACCCATCAAAGTTCTCCAATCTTGAATAGCATTTTCTTTTTCTAAAATCAAAGCATAAATGGGAGCACTACAAACATAATGATAATAATAAAAAAGAAGAAAAAGTCAATTAATTAAGGAGAAAACAAGAAGTGTCCGCATATCAACCTCCCCTCCTTCATCATCAGTTGTAAATACTCCCTTAGTAGTTTCTCCATATTTACCCCTCACTCTTTGATATTTGATCTTACCTGCTCATCCATTCTGTCAACTGAGGATAAAATGATTTGCCTTCATGTTCACGATAAAATAAACGGGCTTGATCCAATGTAAACTGGATTTGTTTTTGTTGAATGATAGTGAATCCAACTTGAGTGATTTTATCGATAATATCTTGTTGATGATTAGCTTGTACGGCGTCTGGTTTGATAAGTGTTAATGTCCTTTGGTATGATTTGCCTGTGTTTTCAACATCTATGAAAGAAATAAATGATAATCAGTTAAGGTAGGATGGTGTCCTCTCTTCCTTCCTCTCTCTCTCTCTCTCTTTTATATATATATATATATATATATATATATATATTCATCATGATGATATTCATCTTTATTTCCTTTTTGTTCTATCTTACCTTGTTGTTTTCCTTGGACCTGCTCTGGCTGTTGTTCTTGTTTACTAAAAGAAGTATCCTAAAGTTATAAAAAGGAATTGTCACGTCTCGTTAGTATTAAAAAAAGGTAACCTGTGTTCAGTTTCTGACTTGATAGTAACAAAAAAGTATCTTACCATGGCAGTCGTTTCAGGAATGGTCATCAATAATAAAAGGTATTAAGAAAAATAAATAAAAGATATATAATGTATGGTGATAAAAACAAAAGATATATATATATATATATATAATGACCAAGATGAAGCGGGAAGAGAGAGAAAAAAAAAAAAAAAAGGAAAGAGAAAAAAAAGTTAAAAAAAAAAAGGTGAAGTAAAGTTTGAAAGTTGAGCTTTAATTGGGCTGTCGTATCACTGCCAGAAGATGCAAGTCTTTTTTTTACAAAGTTTTTTATCGGGTGACAAGAAAATAGTTTCGTGATATTATAAAATAATAAAACATCGGTCTTCCCCAAAATGGATGTCGCATTACCACTTTTTCAGATTATCGCTCCAGAGTATGTCAAAACACATTGATTGATGATTAATGATTGATGGTTAGCTGATCCTTTTCAATAGTTGGAAAAAAAAAAGAACTATATTTTTTATATAGTATCATCACCATATTCACAGTTAAGACAGGAGTATAATAATATAATGTTCATGTCTGGTGATGTTAATTATTTCAGCAGATGAGTTGATTCTTTTCATCCTATCAGCAGCAATTTACATAATACAGAAAACATAGTTTTTTTTTTTGGAATCATTTACTCGGGTCTTCTTTGTTTATTTTCATTAACTGAGATATTCGATCGATCGATGACGAATGTAAATTTGCATAATAATTCTTTTTTTTTATCGTTTACCAGGGACTTTTTTTTTTCCTTGATCAAGTGAGAAAATATAAAAGAGTGCTATTTTCTTCTTTTTTTTTTTTCTTTTTGAAATCTTCCTTTGGTGTTTCCAAATCAAAGTGAATAATCAGCCTGTATACAGCAACATATTAAAATATGTTATCATCTCTTAGGAGGATGTATTTAATACAGCTAAGTTAAAATAAATATAAAAAAAATGGATATGTTGACTAAATATATATATTTTATTTTCTGTTATTCAAATCACTCAATGGAACTACTGCCATTCCTTTTTTTCTTCTTGTATTCAATTTGGATTATGCGTTCAACTCTTTTTTCTTTGTCATCTATTTTCTATCCTTACTATATTTTTATTTCCTATTTTTGCGACATCTTGCTTTTGAATTCCGTCATTTATTATTGAATAAAGTGTAGTCAATTCCTTACTATTAGCCTAGTATACTTCTATTAAGCCAATCACCGCTTATAATGGTTGAGCAGTGATTTCAGGTACATAGTTTTTTTTTTTTAAAAAAAAAAAATCTCAGATCCACCTTTTTTTTATTGTTTTATTATATTATTTCATTGTTCAATGAACCTTATTGATGATGATGATGATGATACATATATATAAAGGAGTTCAAATCAATGTCAAGGTAAAACCCTTTAAGACTATGGAAGCTAATAATAATAATAATAGAAAAAAAAAAAACTCTTTTGTTATTGTTGCCACGTTATTTTACAAGGGTAAACGTAGGTAATCAATGGAACAAAAAAAAAAAAACGTGTTCCTTTCCATCTTTGTATGAAAAACGTGGATATTAGAATGATATGATATTGACAGGCGTATATTGATGGAGTTTCAATGCGTATGTGATACTTTGAATATCCTTTCTCTATTTTTCACACACACGTTTTTTTTATTTTATTTTATTTTATTTTATTTTACAGTAATCCTATCTGACCTTTTGTTTTTAATATTAAATATAATTCAAGGAATTATACTTAGAGAAATAAGAATGAATGAATGGATGAGTCACTTTTTAATAAATGTTATAATCATTATTGACTCATTACATAAAAATGATTCCTTTATGATTAATTGATGATGATGATGAAAAAAAAAAAAGGTTAATAGATAAGACAAGCAAAATCTTTCGTGAGAAAGCCAAAAGGGAACTTAAAACCAGGTCAAAGCCAAATAAGGTTAGTCTTCGGTACTACGTTAAAAGGGAAGATCACTCTCTCTCTGGTCTTGCATGTAATTATGCTCCTCTTCAAAATTATACAAACAAATATCTAAAAATGATTTTCAAACAATAAGAATGGGAAAGAGAGATCTAAAAGGTATGATTGAACTAATTTCTCTTTTTCATTGTTTTCAAATCAATAAGTGATGATTTGTTCCTAAATAAGAATATATATATATTTTTTAAGTAAGATGGTAAGTTACTGAAACTACTAAAGTTATCCATTGGAACTCCGTAAACTGGGTAACTGAAAAAAAATATAGTTTACATGGTCTGGTTCATCCTTATTCTTTTCACCTTTTTTTTTTTTCTTTTTATTTGATCCGATGAATCCATTTTATATTTACTTAATAGAAGAAAAAAAAAAGAAAAAAGAATAGAATGATTTAAATAAAAAAATAATAAAAAAATGTAAGAAAAAGGTTATAACAGAAGCAAGTTAAATTCAGATGAATGCTTATTGGTGAATTTAAACAAAAAAAGATGAGCAAAAAGTAAACCACCCATTAAGACCCAATCAAAAAAAAAAAAAAAAAAATTTGAAAAGCCCTTTTTTGGTTGTCACTCATTGAAATTAACATTTCATACTCCTACTCTTTCAACAATTATTATTTTTTCTTTTTTCTTTCTCTTTGTCTCCTTTTTTTTTCTTTCTTTCTTTCTTTCTTCGTTTTTTTTTTTTTCTTTTTTTTCCTTCTTTCTTTCTTTTCATCCTTACACTCTAAATATATATATATATAAAGCACTCTTTCTTTTTTTTTATATATATATATTTTATTTTATTTTCCTTTTCCGACCATTGCTAACCACCACTACAATATTATACAATGGCAGCTATGGCTCTGAAACGTAGAACACCTTCATTAGGTACTTTACCTAGTGTACCTCCTGTGACAATGATGGAAACACCTTTACCAACTACTCCTTCTATATATTCTACCACCAAAACGTTATGTAATAATCCTTTGACACCTACATCAAGTGGTTCACTTTATCATATTTGTCGTGCTGTATTGGATCAATTACCTAATGTACCTGGTATGAGAGAGTTTATCGAAATGGAAAATAATACAGCTTCTTCACCTACAACTAATGAACCGCCTACAACTCCAACTTCTTTGAAAAGTGGTGGGGATCCTTTATCAAAATTATGGCATATCTGTCGTCGTGGTAGTTCTCTATGTACTTTATATAACGCTCTCAAACCTGAACATCCTCTCAAAGTTGACCAAAATCCATCTCTCAACTCTGTCAACGCATGCAAAGCTAGTGTCTATCATTTTATTGTCGCCTGCCGAAAAGAACTATTATTTCCTGAAGATGAAATGTTTACTATTACTGATCTTTATCAAAATGATACCAATGGATTTGTCAAAGTAAGTCTAGATTATTATTATTATTATTATTATTCTTTTTTTTTTTGGATGATATTGATGATTACACAAAGAAATATATTATACCAGGGACTATGTGCCCCCCTTTTTTTTTTCTTCTCATTGTTGAACAATCCACTTCATCCAAAAAAAAAAAAGATCATATGACAAAAAAAAAAAAAAAAAAAAAAAAAAAACTGATTGACTGATATCTTACTTTTTTGGATAGGTTGTGAATACTATTCAGAAGATCCTCAATATATTGGATGAGCGCGGTATTATTACAGTAAAATCCCTTGATGAAAATGCTGATGCAGATGGTCCCAAAGATACTCGCGATAAGGTGGTTTTAGAATTATTGGAAACTGAACGAAAATATGTACAAGATATGGAAACTTTACAAGTAAATGAAATCACTCTTTTTTTTAAAAAAAAATTATCACTAAAAACAAATACTTCTATTTTTTTTTTCACTAGAACTATATGCGTGAACTACATGCTCAAAAGATATTACCTCCTGATACCATTCATTATTTATTTGGTAACTTGAATGCTTTGGTAGACTTCCAACGTAAGTTTTTGATCCAATTAGAAGAAATTGCAGAAAAGCAACCTGAAGAACAACGATTTGGCGCCCTGTTTGTTCAAAATGAAGAAGCCTTTTCGGTGTATGAACCTTATTGCTCCAATTATTATTCTGCTCAAGACTTGGTAGTGCAAGAAACGCCCAAACTGCAAAAATTAGAACACATCTTAAATCCGACTTACCAATTACCTTCTATGCTTATCAAACCTGTCCAACGTATCTGCAAATATCCCTTGTTACAAAGTGAACTCATCAAAAGCACAAACAAAGACTGGCCTTATTTTGCTGAAATGGATGATGGTCTGGAATCTATCAAACGTGTTACCGAAAAAGTTAATGAAACTCAACGTCAACATGAAAACATTCAAGCCGTAGAAGATTTGAAGAAACGTGTAGATGATTGGAAGGTAATAATTTATTATTATTATTATTATTATTATTATTATTGTTCTTACGTACTGACTTGCTTTAATAGGGAATCAGTATTGATGGTTATGGCAGCCTATTACTTCAAGAAAAGATCACAATGACAAGTAATGATAACTCTAGGGATCTCCATGCTTTCTTCTTTGAAAAAGCGTTACTATTCTGCAAGGAAACTCGTGATTCTTCTCGCAATCGATTAACCAAAAGCAATACTCTCTCTATCAAAAAGAAACGTGCTGGTACATTACAACCTAAATATTTGATTCTGATCAGTCGTATCATTGGTGTTCACAACAAGTCTCAACAAGGTAAAAAAAAAAAAAAAAAAAAAAAAAAAAGAGGCCTATTAGAATCCTGATTTATTTTGTTTCTTTGTTATTCATACCTCTCTCTCTCTCTCTCTATATATATATATATAGGTGTATGGACCTTAACAGTGGAATACAAGGATCGTGAAGTCGAAAGTTTCTCTGTACGTTACCGAAATGAAGAACAAGTGAAATTATGGGAAACAACGCTCAGCAAAATGACCATGTTCAACAAATCAAACGTACCAAATACCCATCTCATGTCCATGCCACCCACTCAAGGAGGTCATATTTCCTACTTTGATGATGAAGATGAAGAGGATGATTTTGAAGATGAAGAAGATGAAGAATACCATCCAGCACGATCTAGAAGCAATTCCATATCAGCACAATTACATCATGCAAGGTCAAAAATGGGCCTTAGTGGCGGCAATAATGGTGAAGGATCAAGTAGTGGCAATAAAACAAGTCCTCGTATCTATGCTACAACTCCTGGTATGAATTTATCACCTTTACCTCGAAGCAGCTCCAGTGTGACAACAAATAACAATGGTGAATCCAGCACAGATCATGGTCTTTATCCGGCATCACCACCACCTTCAAAACCCTCGTCTCCTACTACTCCTCGAGTTGTATCATCATCATCGTCATCATCATCAGCTTCACCATTACATCACCCACAAAACACCAGCGGTAATAGTAACAAATCTTCAGCTATATGGCAACGACAAACTCATGAAGATGGTGCTTATCTAACAGATGCTGCTACCAAGTTTATGACTGAAGACACACCCAAAGGACGAAGCTTCTCTCAATCCGCAGCTAGTTATTCATCAACAGGAATGAGTGCGTCAGCAGCAGCAGCATTACAAACAAGAGTAAGATCCCAAAGTAGTCCCAACATTCACAAAAATGGTCCTCACCAATGGGATGATTTACCTCAAGTACCTATCAATTCTCGTACGTATTATCAACAACAACAACAACAACAGCAATCTCCTCCTTTGACATCCATACCAACTAGCAGTGGATCTCCTATTACTATGGATACTTTGAAGATCAAGCTAAGTTATAACGATGGAATCTATGTGATTGTTTGTCCTGTGGATATTAGATTTACGGACCTGATGGAAAAAGTGGAAAAGAAGATCAAATTGGTGGCCAACTTACAACCCAACGATATCCTTCGATTAAAGTACCAAGATGAAGATGAAGACTTTATTACAATCAATTCTGATGATGATGTACAAATGGCCTTTGAAAGTCGTGGTGCAAGTAGTACTGTCAACTTATTTGTTAGTCATTAGATGTTAGGTATTTATATTTGTGTTATAGAATCTCTTTTCCCAACTCCCTCTTTTTTCATTGTTATATTCATTATCATTAGCATTATTATTACTATCGTTTTTATCTTCTTAGTTTATATAGGATCACCCTTTATTCATTCTTTTTTTTTTCCTTCCTTTTATCTCCATTCCATTCATTCATACTTATTTTGTGATACCGTCCCCTTTCCTTTTTATTTCTTTTCCTTTATTACTGCATTTATTATGATTTTTAGTCTTTTTTTTTTTTAGTTCTTTGTTGTAAATATAATATCTTTTTTTCTTCTATTTGTCTCGATGTCTCTGTGTCTATGATGATCGCGGGGGGATGGTTTTTGTTCCTATGTTTGAACATCATGTGAATCTTTCGGATCATTCAGTTAGAAACTCAGGGAAGATTTACCAATAAGGTTGGAGGCGGATGCTCAATGTTTCGAATTCCAAATGAGGGGGGAAGCTTTTTCTTTTTGATTCCCACTGATCTACATTTAAATCAAAAATACCATCTTATGATTCACCTTCTCTCTCTTTTTCTTCTTTTTTCTATCTTTTGAGAGTATAGCATACAGCGATCCCTCGTTATTATCTTGGAGTAATCAAGATTGCTTCCTTCTCCATATCCTTTGCGTTACCTTTTTTTTTTTTTAAAAAAAAAAAAGAAATTGGATGATTCTATTGGACTGGTTTTACAGTATTTGATCTCCAGGTAAATTCTTGTATATGGTAGATTGGCTATGCCGAGATGTTTTATGATTGTGTCAATATTGTATCATTTATTCTTTTTTTTTTTAATTTTTATGATAAGTGAGAGAAAATTGTGGCTATTTTAAATAATCTTGGGGTTCTAACTTTATGGAAGAATCTTTTTCCAGGGAAAAATCAATCTCCATCTATCAATGATCATTGTAAATTCAACAAAAAAAAAAAAAAAAAAAGAAAAGATAGATAGCTGATATGATATTTTGATAATCTATAGTTTATATTTTTATGAGAATGATGATAAAAATGATATGCCTGATGATGACTCCTATGATGATTCGTATGATACTGCTAAGTTTGACCCTTGAACATGAGTGATGGGTTTTTTTTTACCCATTATCCAAAATGGGGGTTCAATGTAATCAAAAAGTATAGGACCTTACTTTGGACTCCGCGAGTCGTTGATGCCACAAGAAAAAAAAAATATTATTATTAAAAAAAAAAAAAAAGTTGCCTTCTCTCTTTATCTTGATCTTTTTTTTTTCTTTTTTTTTTATTTTCCAATCTATTTTTTTTTATATTAGTTTCATATTAGAACATTGGGTGGGATTAAAAATGGAACCAATTACAAGGCAACAGACAAATCAATCAAATAAAAGTATATTTGTAGTAGCATTAGATCAAGGTGGCCCAATGATTTCTCATATTATGGAGACTATTGATCATCATGATTCAGACGAAGAAGACGAACATCATCAACGTTCTATCCAATCAACTGTTGATTTAGAAAGAGCAAACACTATTGCTTCAGATGCAACTATCCACACTAATCAAGATGGAAAGCAGTCTATTATTCAAACAGAAAGAATCACAACCAATAATCATCTGTCAATATTATCATCATCATCATCATCATCACCACCAATATCAAATATTGCTTGGTGGAAACGATTATTTTTACAGCGACAATCATCATCAAGAAAAGATTTGGTTGATCCTCGTACTTTTTCTTTTCGAAAAAAGACAATGATCTTGGCTATTGTTGCTACTGCCGGTGCTGCGTAATATTCAATTATGATGTTATAGAGACATGGAAAATCTAATCACTCCTTTTTATCTGTTTGATTCTTAGATCTCCCTTGGCTTCCACCATCTATGTAAGTTCTTTCTTTAGTCTTTTGTCACTCCGATTTTTTTTTTTTCTCTTTCAAATACTAATGCATCCTTCAATTATTATTTATTCGTAGTACCCTGCTCTCATCGATATGGAAAAGGCCTTCAATGCCTCAGATACCGCTATGAATGCATCTAGTAAGTGGTTACTTCTATTAATGAACAACTTTTGCAACACTTATAAAGATATTGGTAACATAACCTTTTTTTTTTTTTCAGTCTCCATCTTTACCTTCTTCACAGCTTTTTTTGTAAGTACTTATCCATTCATCATCCCATCCCATCATCATCCCACCATATCATCATCCCATCGTATCATCATCCCATCGTATCATCACTTGTAACTGGTCATTAATCATTTATCTTGTTCTAGCCATTACTTTGGGCCTCTGCTGGTGATAGGGTAGGAAGACGCAAGATCTACTTGACATCCTTTATGATCTCTGTAACAGGGTCTATATGTTGTGCTCTTTCTGTGAACATCACTATGCTCATTATTTTCCGTGCATTCAGTGCGATTGGTTCTTCTTCTGTTATGTCTATGGGTGCTGGTACTTTGGCTGATATTTATGAAGCTCATGAAAGAGGTCGTGCTTTTGCTTGGTATACCTGTGGTCCACTCCTTGGACCTGCTTTAGGGTAAGATGAAAAAAAAAAAAAAAGATTCAACAATACTAATTTCTTTTTTTCCTTTTTTGATAGGCCTATCATTGGGGGTTATTTAAACATTGGTTTTGGATTCCGCGCTACTTTTTATTTTTTGGCAATTTTCAATTTTTGTGTTTTTCTTGCCATCTTTTTCTTCTTACCAGAAACATGGCGACCTACGGTGATACCTACTCTTAATCCTCAAGAAAAAGGACAACAACAAAAGAAGAAAAATAGAATGAAAAATAGAATTAATCCTTTGGAAGCTTTGAATCTCTTGTTGAACTTGAACATTGCACTTACTGTTACCTTTGTTGGTGTCTTGTAAGTTCTCTTTCTTTTTTTTTTTTTTTGATATTTAGTATTGATTCCAGTTTTCTTTTTTTTTTTTTTTTTAGATTCTTTGCCCTTTATATTGTCAGTACTACTTTTTCAAGAACTTATGAATCTCAATATGGTATGGATTCAGGTACAGCGGGTTTATGTTATCTTCCCAACGCGGTAGGTTGCATGATTGGAGGTATTCTTGGTGGAAGGATGTCTGATAGAAAATACAATCGAGAAGTGATCAAATTACAAGAAAACAACAGTGATGATCAGCCTTATCCTGAAATGCGACTTGGTGGTATTCAATTCTATGGAGCCATTCTATTAAATCTTTTTGCTATGATTGGATATGGTTGGTGTGTACAAGAAAATGTGCATTGGGCTTATGGTGTGGTCTGTCAGTTCTTTATTGGTATTGCATTGATGGTACCCAATGTAACATTATCAGCATATATGGTGGATTGTTTTCGAAAACGGGGTGCCTCGGTCACAGCTTGCAACAATTTCGCTCGGTATATAATGGCAGGGATTGGTTCACTGGTATCTTCAAGTTTAATGTCGGCAATGGGTCCTGGTCCTATGTTTACTATGTTAGGAAGTGCTCTAGTGATATTCACACTCAATTTGATTCTGGTCCAATTCAAGGCGAATACTTGGCGAATGAAGAAATTGGCAAGACAACAAGAAAAAGAATTACAAGCTACCTCATAGATTCTTATATATCATATATTATTAGTTATACAGCATTCATCATTCTACTTTATCATTTTTAGTCTTTAGTTAGATATTATTTATCCATTGACATGTATACCTTAAAAAACTATTCTTCATTTTATTACCATGGATGATCAATTTCAAGGGGTCTCTTATTGATATTGAGTAAACTTGAATTACCGCCTCGTATGTATCGCTTTTCACTTTTTTAAATTTTTCTTAATTTTGTTTTTCTTTTTTTTTTTTTTTAATTCTTTTTCTTTTTTCATTTTTTTTTTATTTTGAAAACGTTATTTTATGGGAACTCACTTTCTTAGAAAAGTACAAGCATGCTGTACATTTACTCTTAATGCTTCACCCGTTGTGTTACTATTAGGTATCTTTACTTGGGCATTTTGGGCATATCATTTCCGGTTATGTTTGTATTTGATTCAAAACGATGCAATTACACAAGGTACAAAAAAAAAAAAAAAAAACCGGCGCATGTCTCTATTACAGCTCTCTTCCTCACTTATTTGACAAACATACTCCTTTTTCTTTCTCTTCGTTATATTTAGGTTGTCTTTACATTCTATTCTTTGAACCATTCTTTTTCTTGGCTTTATGGTGTTTTTACAAGGCATCACGGACCTCACCAGGTAATACGATCGATGTAAGTCTCAAAACAGGAATTATTTTGAATTATGATCACCATAAAACTGAAGGGCTATACGAGACTTATTCTTTCTATTTATATCTTCAAGGCTGCCAAGAAGGAGGAACTAGTAGCGGATGTTGAACAAGGATACCAAGACAGTGAATATGTTCAACTACTACAAAGCCAACCACCTTCTACTCACCACCATTCAGAAATCGAAACGAATTCAACCCACTTATCTGATAACAATGTTGATAGTCCTGCCATCCTTCCTATTGATAATACTAATAATAATAATAACAACAACAACAACAGTAGCAGTACCCGTCGTACTACCCATTCTTCCATTACTGTTAAACGCGATGGCGCTAAACGATACTGTCAGAAATGCAAAATGGATAAATATGATCGAAGTCACCATTGTCGTACTTGTAAAAGGTAATTCAAGCAAATAGAAGAGAAATAGGATGATCTTTAGTTTAATATGACTAATAATGGAAACTTATTCTTGCTTTATCTATTTACTTTTAGGTGTATCTTGAAAATGGATCAGTAAGTAGAACAGACAGATGATATGAGCGCATTCATTTTAATTTAGCTTTCCCCATTGATCTTTTTTTTTTTTTTGTAGTCATTGCCCTTGGATCAACAATTGTGTAGGATTTTATAATTACAAGTTCTTTTATCTCTTTATTGTTTATGGTTCTTTATTTTGCATCTATGTATTTGCCACTACGTTACCACCTACCATAGCTATTATGCAGCAACCTATGGTAAAAAAAAAAAAAAAAAAAAAAGGAAAAAGTATTTATGGTAGGTTTTCATCATATAGGGAATACTGGCGATCGATTTCAACTGGTTGTTCTTATGTTTTGTCTCTGCCGTATTTGGACTGTTTTTAATTCCATTCAGTCTCTTTCATACACGTCAACTTTGCAAAAATCGAACCACTATTGAATTTTATGAAAAGGCTAACTATCGATTAGGATCAAGACAACGACGACGTAATGGACGGCATCAGATGATGGATATCATGCGCAGCAAATACTTTAATCCATGGGATCTAGGGACAAGGTAAAAAAAAAAAAAAAAAAAAAAAAAGGCGATAGAGTGAACTGATATAATTTCATATATACATATATTATTCTTCTATTCGTTAGATCAAATATTGAACAAGTTCTTGGACGATCACCCATGACTTGGTTCCTTCCTATTGGTGCACCGTAAGTACAAGAAAAATCACGATGTTTGGATTAAGTCTTACGTTTTTATTTTATTTAGTCTGGGGAATGGATGGCATTATCCTTTGAATAATTATGCCTATGATACTTTAGCCGTGGATGAAGATGATATGTAGTTTAATCTATAGGTTTTTTTTTCTTATGTCGTGGATAATGATGATAATAGAGTTTTTTTTTGTATATATATCAATAAAAAGTGATACCTAAATATGGAACCTTTTTTTTTTTTTTTTTTTGCCCTTTTCCGTTTCATTTTTTTTTTTTTTTTTTTTTTTGGCTCCGGCGCACCTTTTTTTTTTTATTATTTTCCTTCTCTTCCTTTACTTTTAATATTGTTTGTTATCTCTTCAATGCCATTGGATAAATCCTCTATCCAACAACAACATAGTAGTAGTGCTACGACGAACGATAACAGCAACAATAGTGATTTACCACCACCATACACCGTTACCGACCATAGCCGCAACAGCCATACTAGTTATAATGATGTCCCAAGCTACAATCCTTCGTGTGTAAGTGATGCTCAACCATCAGCACCTTCCTTATACCCTTCTATTCCTCAACAATTACCTCCAGTTGATCAAAGAGTCTCATTCCCCACGCCGCAACCATATATCCATCATCCACCACCACCGGGTTTATATCATCCTCATTCCACTACTCCACTGCAACCTCCATACGTTTCACATTATGGTAGTGTTCGTCATAGTCAACCTGGTGGGTTCCATACCATCTATATTCAACAACAACAACCAATAGTTCATCGTCGATTTCCTATAGGTGCCATTATCTTTATCTTGGGTTGGTTCTGTCCTCCGTTCTGGGTACTTGGTGCCTGTTGTTGTGCTTCCAGTAGTAATCCCTATGAAGCCTGGTGGGCTCGTCTGAATTTGACCATGGCCTTACTTTTATTATTCTCTTCCATTCTTTATTCCATGTTGGCTGTCGTTATGGGTGATTGGTTCTTTGTACAGTCTTTCCTCTTTCGCCAAGAAATCTAGTCAGATGTTTCCCCCTTTTTTTTTTTTATGGTCTCTTCCTTTTTTTTTTTATGATATTCTCCATGCCTTTATATCTTCTTCTTTTTACCCTTTTTATTATTAATTTTATTATCATTATTACTATTATTACCATTGTTATTGCAAATCCTTTTGTAATAAAATGATCGGCATTTTTTTTTTAAAAGAAAATGATGGGATGAACGGATGATTGGAATGACATTGGATGATGATGGGAGACACGTGATGATATATGATATGGGATGATATATGATATGGGATGATGATGAGATGAAAATAAATAGACACTGGTAACCTGATAAAAAAAAAAGATAGCCATAGATGAAATACACATGTTTTATTAGTAGTGCTTTTATGGTATGACTGAAGGTTTAAAATGGGGATTTGAAGATTTCTTTTTAGCGTAAGGTTAGGTGTCAAATGACTCTTTTTTTTTTTATTTTCTACACATTATCAACAAGTTATCTTTTTGATTCACTAACAAAAGAAGTAATCATAGATAACATACACGTCTTTTGTTAATCGTACTTATACAATATGGTGATAGATTTAAACACGGGAATTAAAGGCACTCACCTTGCTTTTTTTTTTTGAACATTTTTGGATTTTTACAGCCAAAAATTTGGAACTCCTCAGCCAAATTTTAGCTGTAAAAATAAATCGTCGAGGGATCATCAGGCAATTTTTGGAAAAATCGATGAAATGCTTTGGTGATGATTGCACTATTAGATGGCAAGATAAGCAATAAAATGGTATTAGACCATACTAAGCTATTTTTTAGAAAGGAATCCAATGGTGAAAATTTTATTGCATGATGATCATTATTGGATGAAGGATGACGATATTGACTTTTTTATTTTTAATTTAATGTATCAATTGGGAGGTAAGGTATTAATACAATTGAAAGAGTATGTTTTCATATATGTTTAGTTCAAATATGGTGTGATGATGATCTTTTTTTTTTTTTGAGTGAGTTGCAAAAGTATACAACTGTGGATCGAAAACAGAGGTAAAAGTAATTTTGTTGGCTAAATTGGGGCTCTCAAAAAACAAGAAACCGAAAGGGACGAGAATAAGAATTCCCTGTATAATGATCAATCATCAACAATCCATCATCGAATTGTCCCTGAATATTTTATACCGTGAGATGATCATCGCCAATATGCGCAGGAAAAAAAAAATAAATTTTTATTGTAAAAAAAGTATATACAATTGCAGAGAGGTCGAAATAATGACACTTATCTAAATAACGTTGTATGGTGATGATGATTAATGTAAGATTGGGTATGTCTATGAATAAACTAGGTAGAATCAAAAAAAAAAAAAAAGGAGGAAGACCAAAAAACAGGAATAGTGGGATCAACTATCGTGAATTACTTGTTATCTACTCTTCATCGCTACTGGATTCGCTTTCAGACATCACAGGTCGATTGTTGTTGACAAAAAGATCATCATCCTCATCATCATCACTATAGTTATTTCTGTCCAATCCTTGTTCTTCGTTCTTGTCCTGGTCATTACTAGTGTTTTGAGAGAATGCAGTTGGCCTAAGAAAAATCAAACAGTAAATGACATCATTCTATAATATATATATTTACCATTTGCCAGCTTGTTGTAAGGATTTGATATGTTTTGGGAATAAAACTTGAACAATTTCACCACCTACTTTTTCAGACACAGTTCCCAAGGAAGGATCTACTACCACAAAATGACCTATGTTGAAAAATAAGAAGAGTCATCATTAATCGTAAAGAATATATATATATATATATATATCTTGTTTTTTTTTTACCTCGCTTGACCCACACTAGATTACGGAAACGAGGTGGCATGGTCACCAACTTTTTTGATCCATCTAAAAACTCGACTTCATGTTGATGATTACCACGAGGGCCTAATGATCGTGCATATTTTTGATGTTCTTGAATTTCGAAATCGTCAACATCTAATAATGTTTGTGCTGTATGTTTTTTGCCCATCGTGATTAAAAAAAAAAAATAAAAAATTAGAAAGAAAGAAAAGAGAAGGTTTTTTTTTTTTTTTTTTTTTGGAGGAACATTGCTTTCAACTGCCGCTGTCAGGCAAAACGAAATGAACTATTAGTATTTAAGCCACTCATATATATATATAAAATATAAAAAATGTGAATCATTTTTTTTATTATTATTATTCAACGATTATATCTATCAGGATCATCCAAATCTCTTTTCATAGGTTGAACTTGTTCGGTATCAAGGGAATCCAAAAGTGAAGAACGACGTAAGATTTCGTTGGTTTGACGACGATCCAAAGAGGCCATAGCATTAGCATCCTTTTATATGAAATAAAAAAAAAAATCATCAATATAATATCATGGTTACATAGTTTAAATTACCATATGAGCAAATTCTACAGGGTCAATGACACGTTGAAGAACATTTTCTTTTAATAAGGGATTCGATGTATCTTTCAAATTCAAAACGTGTGATCGTATGGCATTTTTATAATCTGTATTCATATGATTCGAATGTATATTATAGATAGCTCGTTCAATATCTTTGGCTAATGCTTCATTATTATTTAATGCATGTTGTAATAACTCGGTGCCTAAATATAGTCATCAGTTGTCAAATATAATTTTTTTTTAATATAATCTTACTTTTTTCTCGAATATGTTTGGTATCTGACATGGAAAGAAAAAAAAAAAAGAATATAATAAAAACGAAAATAATAATAAAAAAAAATGATTTTTTTTTTTTTTTTAATAAAAGAGTCAGAAACTCAAACTGATTCAATAAGAATGTTTTTTCCACATTGTTAATCATAAGGTGATAGATAGCGGAGTCTCAGTCTTTCACCTTATTTTTTTTTTTTTTCGTTCTCTTTCTCTTTATTAATTAGATACCCTGTATTAACTAATGTATAATTCTCCTTCAACAACAATACAACAATCTACACAACCACCTAATGGATATCCACAACAACAACAACAACAGTTTCAAAATACGTCTTTAGAAACCATCCCACATGACACCGGTATACAAAAAACAATCAAAAAAAAAAAAAAAAAGAAAGAAAAACTAAAACCAAGAACAGAAACAAAAAGAGTCTAGATTCTAACTTTTTTGTATTTTAGCATCATCACTTAAACGTCAACCGAATGGTCCCATCTTATGGTTTGCTAGTCCACCGATCAATGTAGCTCCATTGAAATCAACACCAGTCCATTCTGTTACCTATTTGAACTGGAAACAACAACAACAACAAGAACAACAATAATTATAGATATTGGCCTTTTAGTCTTATATTTTTTATTTTTTTTTTTTATTTTTTAATATAGATGATTACCAATAATAATATAAAAAAAAAAAAAACCAATTTGTGTGTATTGTTAATCCACCATCCAATGAAAGGTTATGTTGATGCAATTGTTTTTTTTTTTTTTGTGTGTGTGTGGGAATTTTCTTTACTCCAAATGGATGCCGAGGTCAAATTTGGGGGGGGGATGCTGGTTTATGCACTTTTCTTTTTTTGGGGTGGTATGTTTTGAGGGAACTAGGGAGATATAAAAGAAAATGAAAAAAAAAAAAACGATTCTCCTTGTTTGTTTTCTTTTTCTTTCTTTCTTCTTTCTTCTTCTTTTTCTTTTTTTTTTCTCTTTCTCTCTTATATATAAAATCACAGATGCTGATGTCTTCTTTAAGTAAAAGTCAACAATCTTTGATTAATATTAGTCGCGTTTGGGCCATAAGAAGCAGTGCCAGTATGATGAAATATACCACCACCACCACCACCACCAACAATAATAATAACAACAGCTCGGATGTAAATCAAGTGGCTACAGCTAATGATCATCATCATGATCATTTCCATGCTTTGTACAATAATGAAAATCAATCCATCTTGGATGATTTGGATCATCCTAACAATCAACATACTGCTGATACCTTTTCTCCTAACTTCAATTCGGTTTTTGATGAATGAATCCTCTTCTTAACAATTTTTCTTTTTTGTATATATGGTCTCTTTTTTTTTTTCCTCAAACCTATACATAGTGCTTATCTTCTTATCTATTAGTTCAATTTCAATTCCAATCATTTTAATCAAATAAAACCCCAAGTTTGATTTTTTTTTTATATATATGCCACTTTTTTTTTTTTTCTTTCTCGAGATGTTTTAATTTTCATTTTTTTTTAATATATATATAAAGTATGTATGTATGTGTATTTCTATCAAACGTTCATATAGCATGGGAAAATCTGAAAGCCTAAAAAAAAAATAGTAAATGTTTATCATAAGGAGTGATCTCTTTTTTAGGCAGGTTGAAATCAAGCAAAGAACCAATGAAATCTTACTACTTTGTGTACGTGGTCCTTTTTTATGCAAAAGAAACTTCACCATCAGATTAAAAAAAAAACATCTTTCGGAAACCTTGAAATCATCCAGACCAAAAGGGAGGATGATCATGTGAGTGACCCAAAAAAAAATTTTTTTTTTCTACATTGAAATGCTTTATATATTTTGAAACGAAGCATTGAAGTGGTAAGGACATTTTTTTTTTTCAGAAATTTCACTTGATTCGGCAGATCATCCTCGGCTTCTAGACTACAATGGAAATCAAAGATGTTACACAGCTCTTCGTTTCTTCCTATTACCCAATCTATCACCCTGTCAAAAAAAAAAAACCATCTTTATTGAATAATACAACCAAAATACAAATTCTAAAACCAAGAGACTAAATAAAAGGGATATCATCCATATCATGTTCCAAATCATCCAATGAAGCATCAAATTCTTCATCATCTTCGTCTTCTTGTTGGTTCTTTTCTCCAGTCGTTGGTATTTTTGCTGATGCATCTTTTGCCTTTGTGGTTGAATGATCTCCTTCAGTTTGTTGACCATCACCATCTTGACCATAAGCAAACGTTCTTGATAACGTGTTCCGTACACCACCAATGCCGTTCGATAATATATGATTCATCAATCCACTAGATGTTGGGCTTTCAGGTCGTAATTCATTTTGATTCTTTTCCTTATCAATAACATCACCATCATCTTGTTTCATGGTATCATCATCTTGTACTGAAGTTTCAGCTGAAGTTGGAGTCGAGGTTGATGGTGGGATTGTTCCAAGCAATAATGAAGATCGTCGTATAGTAGAAGTGAATGAGTGTACACGATTTCTATTTCCAACTGTTGTTGTTGTTGTTGGCACTATTTCTGCTGTTGTTGCTGCTGATGCTGCTGCTGTTGTTGTTGTTGTTATTGTTGGTATTGTATTGTTGTCAACGCTACTTTCAGACACTGTTGTTGTTGTTGGTAAATAAGATGTAATATTACTTGGTGGAGGAGAAGGTGATTGCCGCCTTGGAGGAAGACTCGTATCAGATAATAAAGAACTTGATGATGTTGATGACATGGAGGTTAAACTACGCAATAAACTACCACGAGATGATCCTTGTTGTTTTTCAGAGGTTAAGACGGCTTCAGTAGGTAATGAGGAAAGATCAGGCTTGATGGGTTTTGGTTTGGGAGATGTAGGAGGAGATTTCTTGGTATCAGTCACGGCAAGAGGAAGTTCGATTTCTGGTAAAGGTTGTTTCCAAAAGTTCCAATCATTATATTCTTCGTCAGTAGTTGTAGTCTTGGTATTCACAGGAGGGAATATTTGATCTACTAAATCATTCAGATGAATATAAGATGATGTAAATCCTTTGAGAAGTTCCAACTTGATATCACCATAAGGATCAATAGTGAAAATACGAGATGCAGGTACATTGACACTTCGATAAGAGATAGCATCTGTCATTCGGTTTCCAAATCCAGCATAAAATGGGTCGCGTCCGCCAAATAATCGTTGTATATCCTTTAAACATGCCATTTTGAATACTTCAGGCTTCCGCATAATGACTTCACGATGAAATGAAGTGAAAAGTCGATCTGGTGACATGATAACCGGTCCATCGGGCAGCTGATAATTCCCTTGTTCCACCTTCTTCAAATAATCCCTTGTGTAGTCGGCTTGACCAATCGCACGACTAGTCAAATATAATATCTTGTATCCATTATTGCAAATATCCGTATATAGTTTAGCTACACCATGATGAGTCCAATCTTTGCCAATCATAGTGAAGACGTGACCAAGAGCATCTGACTTTGTAATGGTTCCGTCGATATCTGATATCACAATCGGCATATCGTAATCCCAGTAAAATATCTTGGCCGCACATGTTGCTGTTCCTTGGTATGCTGAAGTAACAGAGAATGAAATCGTATTGACTCCTTTATTCAGTCCTAATTGCTTGAGCTGTTCCGAGGTCAATCGTAGCGTTTTAGCGTAGTTCTTTCGAGGTGCAAAGTTCATTGAGTTTGTCAGATCATCACCATTCTTACCATCGTGGTTGTGCACTTCATTCCATCCAACTGTAGTTGTTTTCGTAGTTGTTGTAAAGGTGGTAGTTACATCATCATGTCCATCCTTATCATCATCCGTTGCTGTTTTTGCTGTTTCCGTTATGTTTGCTGTTACTGTATTGATTTCGGACGAAGACTTATCAGTAGTTGAGCTATCAGTCGAGGTAGATGGAGCCGCCACAGAAGAACGACTAAGCCATTGACGCCAACCTTTGCCAAAGAGATAGGATTCTCGACTGTCTTCCACATTACCAGCCGACGAACCAGAACCAGTAGTAGATGGATGATGATCATTCTTGCCAATAGAAGTTTCTTGCAAGGGCTTCTTGTACAACAATAAGGAGGTAAACAAAGGTCCAGTATGTCCAGCAGCATAATATCGACGCTCATAACGAAATACCAGCCGTTTGTCATTAAGAAGATTCGGATTATGCATAAAGGTATCATAGGTGATCTGATGTTCTTCAAATACTTGACTATTTTCTTTTTCATCGGATCCAAAAGCTGAGAGGCCGCATAAACTCATTTCAATGCGATAAATGGTGCCAGGAACAAGTTGGTATTTTGACGGTGTTGAATCATTGTTGTTATTATAAATAAGTTTATTGCCTTGTTCGTCCATTGTCGTTGTTTGAGAAACATCAGTAGCCTTTGTGGTGTCGGTGCCAATCGAAGTTGAATCATCATCATTATCATCATCGTCCATATCGTCGTCTTCATCATTATTATTATTGTTGTTGTTGTTGCTGTTGTTGTTATTTTTCAATGATTCCTGTGATTCGTTTGTACCTTTTCTACGAGAGTTACCCCATCCCCATAATCGAGTTGATATGTTATTGCTTTCTGATGTTGTCTCTGTTGTTGTTATTGTTGTAACTTGAGGTAGATCATCCTTCTTGGTCATCGATATAGGAGATTCTGCGCGTGCAATACCATCAGTTCCATCTTTAGATAAATCAGCCTTCATTTCATCTTCTAATGTTGAAAGAATCAGATTGTCTACTTGTTGCCGATGTGCTTCTTCCCAATCATTTTGATCTGTTTTATAACCAGCAATGTCCAATACAATAGATTCATTATGGCCATGAGCTTCTTGAGGTTCAGAGTCATCTTGCCCTTGATGTTTTTGCTGTTTCTGTGATTTTAACGATTGTTGATGAGAAAAAGTGGACTCCAGAGGTAAAGAATCTTCTTCTATTTGCTCTGATGATGATGACGATTGATCGTGTCGTTTTTGTACTGATCGATGAGATACATCCATAATCTTGCTATATATATCACCGTTAGCAGGTCGTACTATAAAAGTTTCTTTTGCAATAGTAGTAGTACTGATAGCTTCTGGTATAACACGTTCCAGTAAAGAGGATCCATCATCCATAGGATAAACATCATTTTGTGGAGCAGGTTTTTTAATATTATTTTGAGAATCCAAAGTCAAGTTGTCAATATCTTTGTTCAAATTGCTAGTAACATCTTGTTGTTGTTGTTTTTGTTGTGAATGGTGATGCAAATGTGTAGAATAAGGGTCCATATTGGTGACAACTTTATCCATTTGTTCTTCAATGATCATCTTCGGAGATTGTAATTCAGCAGGTAATGGTAGTTTCATATTTGTATCATCATCTTCAAACTGATCCTTGTCTTGAGAAATATTTTGTTTAGCTAATAGAATAAATAAAAATAAAAATAAAAAATGAGTTTCATAATGATTTTTCTTGTTGTTATAATTCTTTACCATTTTCTTGATTTTTGGATTCACCAATATCTAAAAAGGGAGGTTCCTATTTTGATATTTAAAGTAAATAACAAGAAGTCTTTTTTTTTGATTTTATTATTACCTCGTCAACTTTGCTTTCATTAACAGCACCAACAATAGGTGACGTTTGGAATTCTTCAGGTACTTCATGTTCTGTTTCAAAGACAAAAAAAGATTCACCAGCTTCACCTACTTTCATCAAATAGGGTACAACTTGTCCATTCACCTTAATTTCGATCTAAAGAAAAAAAAAAAGATGTTAAACCATTTTCAAATAACTTTTTTTTTTTATACGCACTTACTTTTTTTTCTTGAGGCATTAATAAAGACAATTTACCGAATCTTACATGAAAAGGACTACAAGCCAAGTCTCCATCTTTTTGTTCAACTACGACAATATCTACAGCACCACTAAGAGTCGCAGGATTGATATCATTATAAAAACTTTGGACCGAAGTAAAAAGGCTTCCCAGTTTTCCAACGTATTCCATTACTAATAACTATAGTATAATATATGAATGAGGTCAAAAATATATATATATATATGTATAAATATATATATTGGAATATGACCAAAGGGGATATATGGTTTTATATAAATAGATCTATATGTATAGAATATAAAAAAAAAGAATGAATAAAATACGAAAAAGAAGAAGAGAAAATGTAACGAAAAAAAAAAGAGCCGCTTTTTTTTTTTTTTTTTTTTTTGAACTTCTTGTCTTGTAAGGGTATGATTCAAACTCATTTTAACAGTAAGATGTTGGATGAATTTGATGACCGATGATCACATGTATTTTTCTTTAATCTATTTTTGTCTTGTTTTGATCTACGCGTTAAACAAATACTATATAAATATTATCAAATGATGATGATATTCATTCATTGTCAAATATTAAAGAGGCAAAACAAATTTTTATTTCAAATATATAATCATTATACTACAATATTATTATTATTATTATTATTATTATTATTATTATTATTTTTCTCTTCTTTTTCGAACTAAAATTTGATAACTATGTTCACAATGTTCTAATAAAGTATAAGCTTGTTCCAATTCTAGATGATCCAATACCTTCGGTTTAACAAAAGAAGTTCCCCAACGATTAGTTGCTGAAGTGTACCTTAACATAGTATTAAGTACGTCCAGAGGTTGTAAAGCAACAAAGACAGCACTAATAGATCCACGATAACCAGTAATATTTTGAGATTCAACTCCACACAATCGAAACTATCATATATAAAAGATAATCAGGAGATATCATCTATTATTTCATGCAAAAAAATTACCACATAATGAAATAAACTTCGAAAATAGACAAGCCATAAAGGTAAATTTCCAATTGCACTAGCCACAACGCCTGGTGATACACTGAAGGACGTAATATTCAGTTGATGTTGTAAGAAGTATTCATTACTTGCTATTGCCAATAAATCACATGCCCATTTAGATGATTCATAAGGTAATTCGCTATGATAAAATAAAATAACACAAAAAAAAAAATATTTTGAATGAGAAATAGGACTGATTTTTTTTTTTTTGATGATTTACCATTTCAATCCTTGCCAGTCATTAATATCAAAACATTCACTAAATGCAGTGGAAGAACTTGTCCAAATCACTCGACCACCTTTATCATTATTTGTACCAGCTGATCCTTTAGTAAGTAAACATTCCAATTCACGCATCTATATATACATATATAAGATAAGTAAAATTATCTGTATAGAACAAATATCACTTACCATAACATAATGACCAAATACATTACATGCAAATACCTTTCCTATGTTATCTTGATTGACTTCTCCTAAGGATGCTTGTATAGTAGCTACAGATGTTTCTACTAGACCAATCGGATCTTTCCAAAGCATATAGAAAAGTGTACTCCATCGTATACCCGACGAAGGTAAATAGCCTGCATTCAAAAACAAATAATCAATTCTTGAATATCTATAATAATAATAATAATAATTAGACGTGTTAGTTTTCAATATTCGCAATCACTTACTTCTCTCGAATCACTTGACAACAGGCTAAAATGGAATCAATCGAGTTCAAATCAAGTACCACAATATCAATGTTAGCATATGGATGACTTTGTAATAAATAATCGCGTACTTCAGCAGTACGAGTATAGTTTCGGCTAGCAAATATAATAGTCAATGAGGAAGAATGTCCTTGTTGTTGAAATAATTCGAGTAACCGTTTGGCTATACCGTAAGAAACACCAAGGTAATTCACGCCAGTAATCAAGGCCACCTTCTGTTCTTGTTGTTCCATAGAAAACGATAAAAAAAATAATCAATAAGAGAATGAGACAATATTAGGAAAAATAAAAAGAAAAATAAAAGGGTTTCATTGATGTTGACAAAAAAAAAAAAAAAAAGAAAAAGGAAAAAGAAAAAGAAAAAAGGAAAAAAAATGCTACACAGCATTCAATTCCGTTTTTGGCAACCCGTTTTTGGAGTGTAAATGAAATTTTGTAACAAAAAAAAACATTGAAGGGACTATATAAATTTCGTTTTATTGAGAAGAGAGGGGTTAACAAAGCAAAGTATGTATGTATGTATGAATAGGAAAAGGGCAAGAACACAACAAATTGGAAGAAGGGGAATAATAGATAAAATAACTAACAAAAAAAATAATAATAACAATAATGATAATAAGATGATGATGATGATAACAAGAATAAAGAATAAGAATAAGAAGAATCTAAACTACTATGTAAAAAGAGATAAGAGTACCAACTAAAAAATAATAATAATAATAATAAAAAAACATATGAGGATAGAGGAGGACAATAATAAATATGGAATATAACAACATAAAAGTTTGAATAAGGATCAAGCATAAATACCCCCAAGTCGTCGCCAATGATGTTGTGATTGATTCGTTTCATGAGTACTAGATGTAGGTGAATTGACCACATTGGACGAGGAAGTGGCTAGAGTACAAATAGGCGTAGTTGTCGTTGGCCATTCTTGTAAAAGATGATGAGGTTGATGCGATGATGTTGATGATGACGATAATGATGATTGTAATAGAGATGGTGCTGGTGGAGATAAGGGCATCATGGCATTGCTTGTTTTATAATAAGTGTCTTGTTGATTATTATCTTCATGTTGTGAGAATAAAAGAGGTAATCGGCTACTGGAAGGAGGTGATAATGATTGGAATGAATATAATCCAGGAGATGATGTTGAAAGACTGGATGCATGATGTATCATCTTACTTGTTGTCGAATAATGTTGGTTGGTGGAGGATGACACAGGTGAAATCATGATATTAGAATCATATCCATTGCTGTTGATTGGCTGGGATGCTTTTCTATAAAAAGTATATATATAAAAAAAAATGAATGAATGAATGATCTCATCATCTGATGTATTATTATTATTACCGTAAATATGAATGCTGACTTGGATCATTAGGTAAAAGAGAAGTAGATGATGAATAAACTGGTTGATTTGAAGAAGATGACGGATGAATGGATGGAGAGGTATAAGGAAAAGAATCATATGGATCGATGACTGCAGGAAGTACACTAGATTGTTGTTGTTGTTGTTGTTGTTGTTGATATGGATAAGTATAATCGGATTGCTGTTGAAAAGATAGACTAGGTAAAGAAGACGTTGATGAAGAAGGTTGTGGTTGTTGTGGAGGTGATGATGCAATATGAGCCTTATCATTTTGTGAACGACCCCAAGACAGACGAATACGAGATTGACCAATTTGAAAACCATTCATACGTTCGATTGCCATTTCTGCTGATTGACGTGAGACATATTGTACAAATCCACAACCCTTTCCAGGGGGAATCTTGACATAAGTAACTTCACCATATGGAGCAAAGTAAAGTCTTAATTCATCTTCACTAAGAGGAGTTGATAGGCCACCAACAAATACAGTTGTATTGGATGGATCAGTTGGTTGTTGAACAAGAGCAGGTGCCTGAAGTGCCAGCTGATAATAACGTGCATGTTGCTGCTGAGTCTGTTGCTGTTGTTGTTGTTGTTGTTGTTGTAGGTGTTGATATCGTTGTTGTTGTTGTTGATGATGATGATGATTAAAAGTATTTCCAATGGAAGAAGCACCACCTTTAGGAGTCGCCAATGAAATCCGAACAGGTCGTTGACCGCAGCAAACACCATTCATTTCCACCAAAGCATCTTGTTGTTCTTGTTGATCATGAAACCGAACAAAACCATAACCTCTAGAAAGACCAGATACAGGATCCGTCATGACTTTTGCAGAATGACAAGAAGGATATCTTTGTCGAAACATAGCCTACAAAAAAAAAAAAAAAAGATATGATTTGATGAATTTATTTTTTGTTTTGATATCATTTCTTTTTTTTTTTTTTTTTTTTTTACCAAGAGATAAGTTTCATCAACATCACTACTTAAATCGCCAACAAATAAGCTATATTCGGGAGCACGATCTTCTCTACATAAATATATATAAAGATAAGCATAAATAAATAAATAAATAAATAAAAAATCAATATTATATTTTTTTTATACTTACTTTTTATCCAAAATACCACCACCTGAAGCCCAATTAAGTCGAAAAGGTCTTTGAGAATTCGGCATTTTTGTACCATGAACAGTAGCCAAAGCTCTTTGTGCCGAAATACTTGAAGTGAATCCAATAAAAGCATAACCCAAACTATTCCTAAATATCAAATAGATAAATGACTTTTTCTCTTTAAAAAAAAAAAAAAAGGATTATATTTTTTTTTCTTTGATTCTTTACCCATTACGCTTATCTCGAATCAACTTCACCACTACATTTTCACCTTTTGATATCCATAATTGTCTTATGAATTGTTCATCCATCCAAGGTTCCAAATCACCCATCCTAGTTAAATAAAAAAATAATTAATATTAGTTTATAAATTATTATTATTATTATTTACCATAAAGTCATTTTGGAACTTTCAGAAGAAAGATAAAAAGAAGGTGGAGGAGAAGTCGGTTGTGTCATATCCATAGTAT